ACTCCACAGCTCCTCGGAAGGCGCAGAGGATCAAGAATGGTTACAAAAAACATTGAAGATGGTAAAACCTCCCCTAAAGTTTAATGGGAAGAGCATGAAAGCTCTGCGCGACTTTAGCAATGGTTGGGAGACTGTGTTCGATGTAATTCCTGCCTATATCGTCCTAGATTGGGGTTATCGTATACGAGCCGTAGCCAACGGCCTTGAGGATCGCGCCTAGATCCGATGGCGACAAGATCGTAACGCTGCGGCTACGTTCCCTGTCTTATGGACTGACTTTATCTTATGGTGTAAGGACACTATTGAGGACGCTGATGTGCGCAAGGGGGAAGCCCTTATGTCGCTAGCGACTCTCAAGCAAGAATCGCATCAAGCGGTGCGAGATCTGGCGAATGCGATGGAACTCCTAGAGGGGGAGATCGGCTCCCTTATAGAGGATGAACGCCAGGGCTGGAGACTATTTCATGCCCTTATACCAGGCCTACGGGATGCGGTTCGACGGGACCTTGAGCGCATTACTTCAAGTGCATAGGTCCTAGCCTCAGCACAACGCCTAGAGAAGACAGTCGCAAGGGAGAAGCATGAGACTAGCACGAGAAGTCCTACTCCTGCGATAAAGAAAACAATATATAAGTCGTAGGTGAGGACTGAGCGAGTCTCACCCTCTCCAAGCAAGAAGGTCCGGATAGGCGAGGAGAAAGAAAAACTAGCGCCCTTTGAAGGGGAATGCCGAAACTGTGGAAAAAAGGGCCACAGGGCAAGGGACTGTTAGTCGCGTCCAACAAAACAGAGTGACGCATCCTCTTCGCCTGTGAAAAAGGAAATGAAAGGCAAAAGCAAGGAGTCGAGCTAATCAAAAAACTAAAGAGCAGCCTGCTAAGTGCCGTAGCAGCGCTGGGACTGGATACTAGCAAGGGAATCGCAGGAGACAGCGATACGTAAAAGTCGCTCACCCTCCAAATTGAGCTGATAGGTCCCCATGGGGTACGAACGGCAAAGACGCTACTCGATAGCGGGGCGCAAGCGAACTTTTTGGGACACCTATTAGTGGCCGAAATGGGGGCGCACCCTACCGACCCTAATGTTCGTGTTCGCACGGTAGCCGGCCAATCCATTCGAGTCTATGGGTAGTATCGCCTAGAAACTCAAATTGCTGATTCCTATGGGACTCGTAAGCGACTCGACCAAGACTTCCTTGCAGCAGAACTTGTATCCTATGACGCTATTCTAGGGTTCCCTTGGTTAAGGGACACGAACCCCCGAATAGATTGGTTAAGCGGCACATGGAGCTTCCGAGACGAAGGAGACTCGTAGGTGATAGAAATATCGCTTGCGGAGGTACAGGCTGAGTTGAACACGGACTTAGTTATGATAGCTTATATGCAGCCCCTTCCCGAGGAAGGCTCGTTAGAAGAAAGCGAATCGCAAGCGACTCGCCTGGAAGTTATACTCGATGAGAGACTGAAGCCCTTCGAGTCGGTTTTCTAGGAACCTAGTAGCGACCCTTTCGCTACCGATACTAGGACACGACATGAAATCCCTATTCAGGAGGGCGAAACGGTACCCTATGGACCTATTTACCCCCTAAGCAGCAAGGAGTTGCGAGTCCTTCGCGAGTACCTTGATTCAAGCCTGGAAAAGGGGTGGATTCAATCGAGTGAATCCTTAGCAGGTGCCCCTATTCTCTTCGTACCTAAGGCCGACGGTAGCCTGCGACTTTGTGTTGACTACCGTGGGCTTAACAAGATAACGGAGAAGAATAGGTACCCTCTTCCCCTGATTCCTGAAATTCTGGATCGTCTAGGTGGCGCCAAAGTCTTTTCTAAATTGGATCTTCGAGACGCCTATCATCGTATTCGAGTCGTAGAACAAGACCGTTAGAAGACTGCGTTTCGCACGCGATACGGCCATTTCGAATATTTGGTAATGCCCTTTAGTTTAACGAATGCCCCAGCGACCTTTTAGGGATACATTAATGAAGCTCTTCGGGGCCTTTTAGATAATATCTATATCGCATATATGGATGACATACTTATCTTTAGTGCCAACGAAGAGGAGCATGAGAAACATCTGCTACTTGTGCTTGAGAGGCTAAAGAGCTATAGCCTCTATGCAAAATTGTCGAAGTGTAAGTTCTTTAAGCAAGAAGTTGACTTCCTAGGGTATCGCGTAGGAGTCAACGGCGTCTCGATGGACCCTAGTAGGGTCGCGGCGATCGAAGAATGGCCTGAACCAAAGACTTTCCGGGAGATTTAGGTTTTCTTAGGATTTGCCAACTTCTATCGAGGGTTCGTTTATCGATACTCGGCAGTAGTGGCTCCTATCACAAACCTCCTCAAGGGGATGATCGCTAGTAAGAAAACAGGACCATTCGAGTGGACCGCAGACGCTTCGCATGCGTTTCGCAAGCTAAAGGACTGCTTCAAGACAGCGCCTATGCTGGCTCACTTTGACCCGGAGAAACAATCTCGCGTTGAAGTAGACGCCTTAGGCCAAGCTATCGGCGGTGTGCTGACACAAGCCTACGAGTCGCAAGGGGGTCGCACACTATGGAGGCCGGTTGCATTCTTCTCTCGCAAAATGAATGACGCTGAGAAGAATTACTATACGGGAGATGGGGAAATGTTAGCTATTGTGCACGCCTTCAAGATATGGAGACATTACCTTGAGGCCCCTGCGACTAGCACGATTGTCCTCACGGACCATGAAGCGCTGCAGAGTTTCATGACCACGAAGGTATTGAATAGGCGTCAAATGCGGTGGGCTGAAGTACTAGCCGCATACGACTTTCATATCCAGTGGAGGCGAGGAAAGGATAACCTAGTAGACGGGCTTTCCCGCCGTCCAGATCACATGGTGAAAGAAGATCTCCTAGAAAAGAGTCCTCTAAAGGCATTACTTGAATGTCGCATGCCAATTGAGGAAGACAAGGACGAAGGTCGTATGCGAGTAAGCAACGACGTCCTTGTGGGAGTGCTTACTCGGTCGATGGTTCAGAGCAGCCCTGATCCGGCTGAAAGTAGTTACAATATTGTAACTCTACCAACTGCTGAATCCGAGGTAACTCTCTAGCCAGACCTAAGTGAGGCAGAAACGGATCAGCTGCGACTCCGTCATGAGTCGCTTGCTAGTCGCTTGAGATAACTCTAAACCTAAGATGAATGGTGTAAGGAGGCCCACTGGTCGAAGGCACCTAAGGGAAAAATCGAAAAGGGCTTGTTCAGAGGGACATGGACCCTTGACCCTCAAGGTCTCTTACGTCGTGACGGAGCCGCATATATCCCGCATGATAGTGCCACACGACAAGAGATCCTATGGGCAAATCATAATGACCCCTAGGAGGGGGGACATTTTGGGCAACGCCGAATAGCGGAGACTATTATGCGACACTACTAGTGGCCGTATATAAGGAGAAATATACATGAGTATGTCGACTTATATGATGTTTGTCAACGAATGAAAGTACCAAGGCAAAAACCACATGGATACCTAGAGAACCTGCCGACCCCCAAGGGGCCGTGGTAGGATATCTCTATGGATTTCATTGTAGGCCTGCTAGCGTCGATGCACGGACGAGTCGCATGCGACGCAATACTAGTAATTGTTGATAGATACTCGAAAATGGTGAACTTGACGCCATGCACTAGCACGATAACCGCAAGCGATCTAGGGGAGATCATTCTGGAAAAAATAGTGGTAAAATATGGAGCGCCAAGATCGATCGTAAGTGATAGAGGTTTAGTTTTTACCTTAGCTTACTGGGGAACCCTGTGCTCTTACCTTACGACTCGACGGCTATTCTCCACTGCCTTCCACCTAGAAACCGATGGACAAACGGAGCGAATAAATCAAACCCTTGAAGCTTATCTAAGGTGCTATATGAATTACTAGCAAGTAGATTGGGCGATGCTACTCATAAGCGTAGAGTATACGATGAATTCGTAAGCCAATGCTACTACTAGGAAGACACCATTTTCAGACGTCCTAACCTTCAACCCCTCTATGAACATTAATGTCGAGCGCGACTCGTAGACGACACATGCGGAAAACGCACTCGCAGAGGGGAGGGCGGAAGTGCTGGCCAAGTCTATGCGAATCGCACAGGAAGCGCGTGAAACTATGGCTAAGCACTACAATCTTAAAAGAACCCCTAAACATTTCAGTGTTGGAGAACGAGTTCTACTCTCCGCTCGCAATATTCGCACCTTACGCGCAAGCAAGAAGATGGCTGATCAGTATCTAGGACCTTTCACTATACTAGAACGATATGGGGCTAACGCCTATCGACTCGACTTACCCAAGAATTATGGAAGACTCCACCACACTTTTCATATATCACTGTTGCGTGGGTATCGCATGCGACCCGGTAGCGACCTACCACTAGCTTTAGATATTGAAGGGGAAGATGAGTGGGAGGTCGACTAGATCCTGGGCGAGCGGACCCGTAGAGGGGAGCAACAGTTCTATGTTAGGTAGAAAGGTTTTGGAGAAGCTGACGACTCCTGGGAACCAGAAGAACACCTTGCGAACGCACGGGAAAAGATTGCGAGTTGGAGGCGAAGAGCGGGTGAATAGTTCCATTCAACGCTCGACTTACGCTCCTGCACTGTACCCCCGCGGGGCGTAGGCGAGGCCATAGCGAGCTCCCTGCGAAGAGCAAAACTATCTGAAAAATCTCGACTGACGCCCTAACCCTCTGCACCCCACAAGGGGTTGTAGGGGAGTCTACTGCGAGCGGCATGCCCTCTGCTCCTAGGCCCTACCGAAAAACACAACTTACCAAGACTTTGCTTTGAGTCGTAAGCGACAAGCAACCACCGCAACTACCCATCCTACCACCCACGGGTTGCGTGCGACTCTACTCCGAGTTAGACGATGACGACGATATCGTAGGCTTATTATCACCGAAGCCAGAGAAGGTTGCGGCCTCTATGCGACCCACACGCGACTCCAACGAAGCTAGAGAAGTAGTAGCCGTAGTGACAGCATTCTGGAATTCGTTAGTGACTCGCAGGCAACTCGCAATTGACACTTATAGTCAAGTGGGTCAAAGCCTGGATGATATCTGCATTGGTGACGGTAGGGGGGGAGACAGGAGGAGCAGCAGCATCTCGCACGCTGGCCGTAAGCGACCGCATCAATGGCGCATTGGGCGGAGCTGGCAATAGGCGAGTCGAGATGGGGGTCGACGGCGAGCCGGCAGCGACAGGAGCAGGAGCAGCACGGGCGGCACGAGTAGCACGGTTCACCTCACGGGTGTGGGCAGTCATTTCAAGGTCGAGGACCCTCGCCTGCGTCTCGACAGCGGCTATGGTAACACCAGCCTCACCCTGAACAAGGCGACGGTTGGTCGCGAGCAAGTCGCGGGCACGACCCTCCAAATGCTCCGGGACCTAAAGCGGTTAGCATGCGATTGCCATACAACATATATGCAACTTATAGAAGCGCACTGGGCGATGGTCCGATTGCCACCTCGGCAATACCGGCAGCGATTGTGGCCCTTAGGATACTCGCAGTTGACTCGCTGGCCAGCCTGGCCCTGGCCGCTACCAGTAGGAGCATTGGCGGGCTGAGCGCAGAGGCGGCGGAGGCATCGCTGGCAGGGCAAACCGCGCTTGACTCTCTTGCGAGTCTTGCGAGAGGGGGTGGGAGCATCATCCGGGGGGCCTGCCGCAGGTCAGTTGAAGAGTCGCATGCGATACGCATGTGAACCTACCACGTTTCTCACCACCACCACCGGGAGGACGGCCACCACCGGCACCACCGGCAATACTGCCAAGGCCAGGGACCATAGGCGCAGCGACAATGGCCGACACTACTGCGATTAGTAGGCAACCCGATTATGAACCAGTGAGCACTTACTGGTTGAGAAGAGGGAGCTGCTGCAAAGAAATCAGTCAGCATAGGCGAAAACCACGTGACATGAGTGCGACTCACAGTTGAGTGTTTTGAGATTCTGCACAAAACACAAAGTCAGCAACGTGAAACAAATCTCACGCGAGGCGGCTGAGACTTACAGACAAGCGGCGACTGAGAGAACACAAGAGCTGCAAGCACATTAGTCAGCGGAGAGTTCTATGCGAGCAATACGCAAGTACATACCGAGATGTTGTTGGTGTTGCTGTTGTGTGGAGGAAAGGAAAGAAGAGAGGGAGAGTCAAAAGATACAAGCAGCACTCTGAACTGTGCAGACTCGCCGGGTTCTCGCATATTTGTTGGGTGCGGTACAATCTGCAAAAACTTATTTATTAGGGCGAGGCTGCGGGTCACTGCACACAAGGCTGCGAGTCACTACACATAAGGCTGCGGGTTACTGTACACGAGGCTGCTGGTCACAACCCAAGGCTGAGAACTACTGTGCAAGGACACTACTAGGTGATGCAACACTACTGAGCCCTGGAGTATAGCTCTCACCTAATGAGATAGCGGAATACTTCTCGAGGACGAGAAGCCCCGGAGGGGGGGATAATTGTCAGGAATGGCATACTAGCCGAGCCGCCCGAAGGCATAGGCCCTAAGGGCGCCTATAAGGCACACCCTTCTCGCATGAGAGGACTTAGCTTCTCTCATACTTCGAGTCCTATAATACCTAAGGGTTGAGGGACTCCTAGTTAACTACTAAATACAATACCTATTATATTGACTATGACTCTATCTGCCTATCACACTAGGGTGTTCCTTACAATTTCTTATACTCCTTTTCGTTGGCACTAAAGATAAGTATATTATCTATATATACGATATAGATATTATCTAAAAGGCCTCGAAGAGCTTTATTAATATATCCCTAAAAGGTCGCTAGGGTATTCGTTAAACTAAAGGGCATTACTAAATATTCGAAATAGCCATATCGCGTGCGAAACGTAGTCTTCCAACGGTCTTATTTTACGACTCGAATACGATAATAGGCGTCTCGAAGATCCAATTTAGAAAAGACTTTAGCGCTACCTAGACAATCCAGAATTTTAGGAATTAGGGGAAGAGGGTACCTATTCTTCTCCGTTATCTTATTAAGCTCACGATAGTCAACATAAAGTTGTAGGCTATCGTCGGCCTTGAGTACGAAGAGAATAGGGGTACCTACTAAGAATTTACTCGATTAAATCTACCCCTTTTCTAGGCTTAAATCAAGGTACTCGCGAAGGACTCGTAACTCCTTACTACTTAGGGGGTAAATAGGTCTATAGGGTACCGTTTCGCCCTCCTAAATAGGGATTTTATATCGTGTTCTAGTATCGGTAGCGAAAGGGTCGCTACTAGGTTCTTAGAAAACCGACTCGAAGGGCTTTAGTCTCTTATCGAGTATAACTTCTAGGCGAGTCGCTTACGATTCGCTTTCTTTTAGCGAGCCTTCCTCGGGAAGGGGCTATATATAAGCTATTATAACTAAGTCGGTATTCAACTTAGCCTATACCTCCGCAAGCGATATTTCTATTACCTACGAGTCTCCTTCGTCTCGGAAGCTCTATATACCGCTTAACTAATCTATTTAGGGGTTCCTGTCCCTTAACTAAGGGAACCCTAGAATAGCGTTATAGGATACAAGTTCTACTATAAGGAAGTCTTAGTCGAGTCGCTTACGAGTCCTATAGAAGTCAGCGATTTAAGTTTCTAGGCGATACTACCCATAGACTCGAATAGATTAGCCGGCTACCGTACGAATACGAACATTAGGGTCGGTAGGGTACGCCCCTATTTCGGCTACTAATAGGTATCCCAAAAAGTTCGCTTACGCCCCGCTATCGAGTAGCGTCTTTACCGTTCGTACCCTATAGGGACCTATTAGCTCAATTTAGAGGGTAAGCGACTTTTGCGTATCGCTGTCTCCTACGATTCCCTTACTAGTATCCAGTCCTAGCACTACTACGGCACTTAGTAGGCTACTCTTTAGTTTTTTAATTGGCTCGACTCCTTACCTTTACCTTTTATTTCCTTTTTCATAGGCGAAGAGAATACGTTACTCTATTTTATTGGACGCGACCAATAGTCCCTTGCCCTATAGCCCTTTTTTCTATAGTTTCGACATTCCCCTTTAAAGGGCGCTAGTTTTTCTTTCTCCTCGCCTATCCGGACCTTCTTGCTTAGAGAGGGTGAGACTCGCTCAGTCCTTACCTACGACTTATATATTGTTTTCTTTATCGTAGGAGTAGGACTTCTCGTACTAGTCTTATACTTCTCCCTTACGACTATCTTCTCTAGGCGTTAGGCTAAGGCTAGGACCTATACTCTTAAAGTAATGCGCTTAAGGTCCCGTCGAATCGTATCCCGTAGGCCTAGTGTAAGGGTATAAAATAGTCTCTAACCCTAACGTTTATCCTCTATAAGGGAGCCGATCTCCCCCTCTAGGAGTTCCATCGTATTCGCTAAATCTCGCACCGCTTAATACGATTCTTACTTAAGAGTCGCTAGCGATATAAGGGCTTCCCCCTTATGTATATTAGCGTCCTCAATAGTATCCTTATACTATAAGATAAAGTTAGTTCATAAGATAAGGAACGTAGTCGTAGCGTTACGATCTTGTCGCTATCGGATCTAGGCGCGATCCTTAAGGCCGTTAGCTACGGCTCGTATACGATAACCCCAATCTAGGACGATATAGGTAGGAATTGTATCGAATATAGTCTCCTAACTATTACTAAAGTCGCGTAGAGCTTTCATACTCTTCTCATTAAACTTTAGGGGAGGTTTTACTATCTTCAATATTTTTTGTAACTATTCTTAATCCTCTACGCCTTCCGAGGAGCTATAGAGTCGCTTACGACTCGATAGCGTTGTGCCTTCGATTTCTATATACCGCGACGATTCTCTACCGGTACTCTTCTCTTCTATAGCGAGAATTTCATCCCTAAGTCGCTTACGTTTCAGGTCTACCTCGAGGCTCTTCTTTCTCCTTAGGAGTTATTAATACTCCTCACTCTCTTCGTCCTTATTATCCGAAGAGCGAGGCGTATTGTTCTCGCCTACGAGTTATTGGCGACCTCTACGCGACTTAGGTCCGACGTTAGTAGGTTATAGGTCGTCTTCGCCTAAGTCAACTCTAGACTCCGCCTAGGATGACCTAACCTCCGTCGACGATACCCTTTGTCTCGGTATCGCCCTTTCTAGGCGACGTTATATCGCCTACGACTATTACTTACTCCGACCGATCGTAGTGAGATACTTCGAGAATATAAGGAATACCCTAGTGTAATAAGTAGATAGAGTAATAGTCGATCTAATAGGTATTATATTCAGTAGTTAACTAGAAGTCCCTTAACCATTAGGTATTATAGGACTCGAAGCATAAGAGAAGCTAAGTCCTCTCATGCGAGAAGGGTATGCCTTATAGGCGCTACCTAGCCTCTAGGCCCTATGCCTTCGGGCGGCTCGGCTTAGTATACCATTCCTAATACACTCGATATTACTTCTCGATAATACGATAATTCACCGCTCGAAGCGAGTTAAGACGATATATCGAGAGAAGAGCGTAATACTAGCCTTCCTACTACCTTACGCGCTAGACTTTAACTCGATTAAGATCGCCTTCTATAAATTAAAGGAGTAAATAAGGCGTTACCGCGAGATAAGTTATAAATATATTACGAATAACTTCGCTATCTTTATTTACTTAGTAATATTATAGGTCTACGAGAAGATAACGACGAGAGTATATTTTAAAGTATATAGCTACAAAGACTCTATCGATTAGGCCTTATACTATCGTAAAGAGTAAGAGCAAGTAAAAGAGTAAGTAAAAGAGTAAGTAGAAGAGTAAGTATAGTAGTAAGTATATAGTTAAGTATATAAAATATAACTACGCTAAGAAATTAATATTACGTAAGCCTTTTTATTACGTATCGATATTTCTCTTATAGTAATTACTATATATCTTATATATCTATAAAATTTCGACTAGCTACGGCTATATCGTATCTATACTCAATACCTTTTAGCTATCTTAGTATTTAGTAGTACTATAAATTCTTGAAATTCTTGAATTAAAATAATAATCTTAGTACTCTCTTAGCGCTTACGTATATATACGTAAGCGTACGTAATAATTATTATACTAATTAAGTAGTAGCCCTTACGTAAAGTAAACTCTAATCGAACCTCCGCACTACCTTAAAATTAATAAATATCTCTAAGGATATTAGCCTTACTTAGCCTTACTATAGAATTAAGCCGATAGCGAGCCCGCGAAGCTCGCCGTATCTTCTCCTAAGCGAGATTATACTATAGGAAGATATATAAAGATCTTAAGATTCCTCCTAATCTTTATAACGAAGCCGAGAGCTATATTTATACTATTCCACTAAGTATTCGTATATCCTTTAAGATCTAAAAAGCCCTAACTATTCTCCGTAACTACGCCCTTAATTTCAAGGAATTAGGGGCCGTAAATAGAGAATTAAGTAGCTAACTAATTAAAATATACCCTTATATTATTATCGTCGTCGCTCTCGCGCTATAGTAGACTTAAACGTAGCTCGATTAGGAGTACCGAAGTAAAGGTAGTGATCGTAGTAAATAAATACTATAGTACGCTAAAATAAGTCGCGCCGATAAAGTTATATACGTTCGATATTATATTTAGCGAATTTTACGGTAGATTTACTAAAGAAGAATACGAAGATTATTACGTCGACTCTTTTCGACTCCTAGCCTTTATTATTATCTTCGTAATACTAGTAAGAGCTACTTTAATTATCGTCTCTCTACGAGCGATTATATTACTCTATATTCTAACGAGAGGTATAGATAGCCTAAAATAAATATCTTCTAGTTGCTCGATATATATTCGAGAGTTATTCTTATAGTTTAGATATAGATATTTATAGTAACGAGCTATAAGGACTTACTAATTGTTCGCTTCGTCTAGTATCGCGGCGCGTTATTATCGCTACTCTCTTTATACTTAAGTAGTACTTAGAGCGCTAGTTTTGCTCTTCTTTTTAGACTTTAAAGACTTAGATAATATACGTCGCTTCTTATCTTTTCGTCGACGTATCTATATACTATCCTCGTGTCTTGATCGTATAGAAGACGATCCCTCGAAGCTCGAAGAGCTCTACCTCGACGATAGCTCGGAAGTAAAGAGTATACGCTCTTAATATACTAAATTAAGCTATACGTCTATCTCGTGCGTAGCCCGCTTAGGTTCGTAAGAGATATCCCACTACTTCTTATACGCCGTCTCGAAGTCCGATTAACGTTCGATAGTAAGGTTAAAAGGTCTCTTTATTCTTTAAGCGGTGATCGTGAACTCGTCTTCGTAAGGTAAATTATCGACGATCTTCTTTTTAAGTATTAATATTATTAGGAGACGACCGCGGCACTCGTCTATTATATCAAGATAGTCGTACGTCTTCGAGTTAACTTAGCGACTAAACGCCTTTATCTTTCCTAAGAAGACTTATACGCTAATTAGGAAGAATACCTTACTAAGAGAGTATATCGATATAGTCGACGTATTAAACTATAAACTCGATAATATATATCGACGCGACGTTAATACCTACTTATTACTCTTATTACTTTTCCGTCGCTTCGAGATATTCGATAGGGGCGCCGTCTATACGGACGAGAGGATCGTCGTCGCTATCTTCTTCTCCTTCGACTACGTCGAGGACCCCCCTAGGGAGCCCTCCTCCTTATTATTATCGAGGGTTCTCTTCGGCTCGAAAGACTACTAGATTAACGCTATTCTATTCGCATAGCTAATCCTACCTAGCGGTATATCTTTAATACCCTTAATAGTTAGGGACCGCGAGGTAATAGTATCCCCACTAGTATTTAGCGTAGCGCGTTGCTTACTAAGGGTAAGTAATAATCGCGTAGCTATAGTAGGCACCGACTAACTAGTCGATCGCCTTAGGGAGGGAGTGCGAGTACGCTTACGGCCTCGCTATAATTGAGAGTCCTCGATCGCCTCGGCGGCGCGTACTTCGCGGAGACGAAGGGATAGAGTGCCACTTCGTAGGGAACGACGCGACATATTGATACAATATATTATAGATTAGTCTAGTATAGTCTATAGCTATTTTATAGTGGTGGTGGTGCTCATTCATTCCGTAGTGTATGGCAAAAAAGTGGCGGTGAATGGCTCGGCTAACTTGACAAATTTACAAAGTTTTGAAAGGCACAGTAGCTGGTGATATTATTTTTTCGTGACTGCGGGGTTTGGGGGTGGACGTAGCAAGGCTCTGTAAGCAGCCTTGTTCGCCTTGAAAAATACACTCTTGGCTACGGGGACATACCAGGGAAGGTGGCTCATATCATTGATTGAACAGGAAATCTATTCAGCTTGCTGCTGCTAGTTGTGCTTGTCTCGATGTGCTCGTGATGAAATTGAGATAACCACCCATAGGGTATATTGTAGTAAGGAGACCTCGACCACACCAACGCCCACGGCCGCCGTGCCCACGAGCCCAAGATGATGCCTATCATGCAAACGCCCGGCTCAGGCTGTCGCAAGTGATCGTGATGGCACTCTTGCCTGCTTCAAGGACAGCATCCATGGCAGGAAACGGGTGTGGCATTCCATCCATAACCGTCAACTCGACTGACACTCCATTGGCTCTCAGTTTCCGGGCATATTCTTCTCCTTCATGCTTCAGGACGTCCAGTCCTGCCACGATGATGTTCGCGGTGGGAAGTCGTCGGAAGATCTCATCACATGCCAGGAGGGGTGAGGCTTCCCTGTCCGACCAAGTTGCTGAGTCGGGGAGGTATTTGCGACGATACCAAAGCATCTTTTCCGCTGGAAGAGCAGCCGTGAATTCCAACGACTTCCATGTTGGATTCGAGCACGGTGTGGCCGTGTTATCAGTTACCGGCACGATCAAGAACTGTGATACAATAGTTGATCCCGGTTGTGGCCGCAGCACAGCATTCTGAGTCAACACGGCCGCAATGTTTGCTCCCGCCGACGAGCCCCCAACAGCGATCTTTGTAAGATCAAGTTGAAACTTATCTCTTCCGCTTGTTGTCGCCCAAAGGAGGGCCTCCCATGCATCGTGAACAGGTCCCGGCCAAGGTGACTCTGGAGCGAGCCTATCCCAGGACAAGGTTAGACAAAAGCAGACCTGACATGACCAAAGCAGCAACCGACACGGCTACAGAGCCTGGAGAGCAAGGGTGTGCTGACCTGTACTCAGTTGTAATTACCACAGCCCTCGCGCGGACACAGATGTGCGTGCATATAGTATTCTCCGAGTCGATATTGCCGAACACCCACCCTCCCCCGTGAAAATATAGAACCAATGGCCACCCATTGCTTGGTGGCGCTCCTTCAGGGATGAAGCATCGTATCGGTATGTCTGGGCCACGATCCCGGCGTGAAACGTAAAGATCTTGAACCGTGCCGACAGGCAGGGGATCGCTGCTGGAAACAGCGGCACTCCTTGCAGCTCTGGAAACGGAAATAGGCAACTGGTGCGCGGGCTGCTGATGTAAAAGGTACTTGTTATACCACGCCACGTACTCTGGATGCAATTTGTCCTTGACACTTGAATGAATAGGGTAACTCTCAAGCTGTATCTGGGCCCCCATGCTGAATGGTGACGTGCTTGATTCTGCGAGCTTCATGTCCGAAGCTGGACGTTAAGGGGCTTTTGCATCCGAGGAGAGGAAGCTTTATCTGCAGTCCGCATTCAAACGAGGACGGGAATTGTACCACAAAGTCGACCCTACTGACAAAAAGATGGTTTGGGGCACCCAAACGCCGCAGCCAACCGTCGCTGTTAGTTTGTTGACCTTGGTCCGGGTGGTGTTTCCATCACCAGAATGCAGGGGTCTTGTGGACGTTGAGATGTCAAATCAGAGGTCTCTGTGTAACTCGATGGAGTGGTACTTGTACATAGCCGTGGTGCCCTTGTGACGGGTTGGGGCTGCATTCGCCATGTTGGAATCGAAGGCACACCCCATCGCTAGGGATCTCGCCCAGTCGCGGGTCGACTTAGGTGCTGATTTAAGGGTTCCAAAGATCCCACGCAAAGAAGACTGGGTCACGCTATCCATGCAGTCTTCGAAGCTGCATGTTGCGATGGAGTGGCCTATACCTTCTAGGTCTCTAGGTCAATACACGGATGGATATATACCGGGGATGTACATCGGTATTGTAGGTGGCTACCACACCCGAGACGACCAATAAAGCAGATGAGCATCAAGGCGATACCGCCGAGTTTTTCTGGATTTGTGCCTTTAGCGAAATGTTGCGGACTCGGAGCCGAGCCGTCACCCTTGTCTCGTGCAGATGTGAGTGTAGTATTGGTCGATCATACATGACGGTAGTTGTGGTCAAAACATGAGAATCCCATCTTTTGAAAGTACTTCGAGTTTAGTGGTCATGTCCGTGTACAAGCGAGAAGTTCTAGGCCTTCCAAGTATGCAAGGCCCTTCGGAGCTACCCTGACGTGGACAGTTTAGGTGTGATTCGTTGATGATACACGTAAGAATCCTGGGACTGCTTCATGGGGAAGCCGTGGGGGATATTGTAGGAAGGTCTATATAGAGAGTCAGAGAACACATGCAACAACGGAATGAGCAGCCTGAAATCAACACTATGAAGTGTATTTCAACAGCACCAGTGATTGCGCCTTCTAATTAAGGCAGTTCTAGCGATAATACCCTCAACGACGCCTGCCGTACTTAAAGCAACTGACTAGTAGGCATGAGGAGCCTGCCGAGTCCCATTTACGACCTAGGAGAATATCTCTCGCATGCTTTACCGCCTCCTATCGGATGGTACATATTCCCAATACTGGCTATGACTATCCGAGCCGACTAGGAAAAAAGTGACATTGTCTGACTGAAACCCATGCATAGATGAGATATACTCAGGTGTATACTCGAAGAAGTTAAGATATGTTGTATGGTCAGACAGTACCACCTATATTTACATAGAGACCACCGCCAATGTACCTCGCTGATCCTCATACCGAACGTCCCCAAGGATGGGGCAATGTTGATCATAACCCAATATCCCCTAGATATCATGCTCGCAACGAGTCGCAGGGGCAAACTCCTCTCGTCGAGACCAGGTCCCTGCTATTCTAGTCATACAATACTGACTCTTGTCGTTCTCGTCATATCCGAATACGACTCTGTCAATCAATATTCCCGCCGCTGCTCTCCGCTTGAGCGCCTACTGCCGGCCCCAATCGTTGACTGTCCAGGCGAAGGAGTGCGGAACCTCACATCGTCGACCGGGCTGAAGCTGACGTTCTTCTTGACCCTCTCGTGGACCGCATGAGTGACCGAGGCTAGCCCACTCTTTACATGGCCAAACAAACCGCCATTTGCAGAACTGGCTGAACTTGAGCCACCACTGCTGGTGCTGGTATCGACTCTCATTGGACTGATACTACTGTGACCGCTCTCACCACTGGGCGTCGGCAGATTTGACGTCTCTGGGATCATCTCATAGACATGCTGATCGCCGCCTATACCATCAATTGAGACAACTTTTGGCGGATCATTGCCCTGGCTTGCTGACCGGTCGTCATGTCTGGGCCCCTCACCAGAACCCGAAAGTGCGGATTTTAGAGTGGAGGAGATCTTGTGGATGCCTCTGGGTTCCGGTGCTATGTCTGCATCGGTCGCCCTTGGCACGGCCGGCGATGGCGCCGCCGCTGACAGAGCGGTTTGGTTGACCGATTCTCCATCTTCCTCGACAATTGAGTCCAGAGTCAGTTGTCTGGTTTGTGTTTGAATAGGAGCCGATTCACCGCTCAATTCACTCGCGACGTCTGAAACGTCTGAAGGTGTGAATGACTCCCGAGGATTCGATGGGCGTCCATCCAGTTCTGCAGCACCACTGCCATGTGCCGAAGACGACGGCTGACCGCCCATGGCCTCATGTAATCTGGGGTTGATGGCACCGATGGTGGAGTTGGACGAGCCAGAACCAGCACTTCTCGAGGTGTTTGGGGAGGGAGTTTGACGGCTCGCAGTACTCGGTGGGTATGACTGATCCGAGGGATCGTCATCCTCGAGGCTGCTTTCCCAAGTCAAATGGGGTCTCTTGCTTGGAATCTCCCTGACATCGGCTGCTTCGAATTCTGGGATAACTTCATCAGGGTCCTTGTTGTTTGACGCCGATGCCGGACGAGCATCGAGTGTGGCTCCCTCGACTTCCTCATATATGGGACCTTTTTGACGCCTCTGCTTGCGGGGAGGAATCTCAGGGTAACGGTTCAGGTTCATTGACTGGATTTGCTTGATATCAGGTACAGGGGGAGGGAGCTCTTGACGAACGTTGATGCTCTTCGGCTGAGTTTGCCTGACATCTTGTACAGGCGGAGGAGGATCAGGACGAGCGTTCATGCTACTCAACAGAGTTTGCCTGGTATCTTGTACAGGTGATCGTAATTGTGCAATAGCAGGAGGAGACGGGATCCTTCGACGGGCATAGTCTTCTTCAAGTGGAGAGATAACCTCGGTCATTGAAGGCTCGGAGGAAGAGCGTCCGTCTGTGGAAATCTCGTCAACGTGACTGGCATAGCCTTCGTCCTCTCTGGCGGGATGCCGATATCCTTGAAATCCTCCAGATTGCCCTACTGCAATCTTCATATAGTCTGCTTCAGCTTCCTTGAGCAGATCTCGCCCTTGCGCAGCTCTACCAATCGGGAATCCCGCATCGTTCTGGCGCAATTGAGGCTGCTGGGGCTGCTGGGGCTGGTAAGGTTGTTGTGATTGCTGTGATTGCTGTGGCTTCGGGGGAAGCGTGCCCTCGTCCGGCACACCAGAGAATTGTTTAGCATACGGAAAGGGCAAAGGCGTCGAATAATCCTTCCGCCGCGACATGTCTGACCGAATCTCAGCAAAGTCAACGATAACCCAGCGATGGACCCCAGAGGACGCCTAATTTTATCCAAATTCAATACTGACTGCAGCCGAAAAGCATGGTCTTAAACCCTTGACGAAGCGAAACCATATGCTGATCGCCACTGTCACGGATACGAGATCATCAAGCTCGACGACTGTGGAGATGGTCCATCGTAGATATATCGTGGATTCGTAGCCACGGAAATACACTCTGCCCATCCATGATGTAGATGGCTGACGAAAATAGAGTTCTCCGGGGCGGGACATTAGGGGGCGACAGCCTTATCCCTGCGAGCCGGCACGGCTCAACGTCACCACTTTCGTCTCAAAACTCAGACTGTGCCACTTTATCTGGAAACCTGCTCCCACGGCATAGCGCCATCGCTCAGCGGAATTACCTACCGTCGCACATGTTTCGCTCGTGCTAGATCTGTCGTCAATCGACGCATGCTCATATGTCGCAATCTGTTGTGCATTTCGGATCTCAAAATCATGTGGAGGGCTTCTCCGGGGTACATGCTTGGTAGAAGGTTCCGACAGAACAGGTGGTATTTGAAGTCCAACTAATACATATAGTGTAACGATATACAAGCTCTTTGGCGGTAGGAACCTGCCTGTAGTCTAGGATCGTGACCAACAATCCCACCAGCGATCGCGAGAACTCGAAATGAGGCACGACTTCGTCGGACCGTCGTGCTGTGGTCGGACTGAAATTGAGCCAAACAAAGGAAGATACTTGCAGAGGACAGGATCAAGCAGCAATACCGTCCGACTCGGGCGGTCCCTTGTACGCTTTTCTTGCATACACCGCATACCAAATAGCTGAGATGACGCCGAAACCGACAAACACAACACTGGCGTAGTTCATGGTAACTTGTGTCACGGGCAGCGCAGTTGGCATGCTGAACAGGACCACTTCAAATGTGATCCAGCAAAGGGCAACGCCGTTGACGATCGGTCCGATAACGGGCCCACAATTCCATCGCGCAGTCGACACTTCACGTCTTTTGTGAATAAGGCTGATTGCGATGGGGATCGCGTAGCTTACCGCCAGCGCCATCACACCGACAGACACGAAGGCCGTGAAGGCAGCTGACGAGCCCAAGTATATGAGACCTAGAAGCATCTGCACTACCGTTGTAAGGATAAGCGCATACAGGGGCACCCCGAGCCCAGTGTTGACCTTCGACCATAGTCGAGACAATGGAATGGCGTCGTCTCTTGCAAACGCCCATGTGCAGCGCGACGCGGCGACAGTTATGCTGATACTGCAGAATGCCGTCACCCCCAACACCAGAAACATCAGACCGAGTCCGCCCCCAGGAGTGCCCATGACGCGATAGAAGATGTAAGGCAGTGCCTGGCCATAAGGTGCAGCGACGATGTCTTCCAGAGGAGGCAGGGTTACGCATATCGGGATGATGAAGAAAAGTCCTGCAAATCCACCGACAGGAACGCAAAGACTGATGGCTTTGGGGACTTTGACCGCAGGGTCTGCGCATTCCTCTGCCATAGCCGAGATCATCCCTATGGCAGAGAAAGTGTACGCAGCTGGCAACAGGCCGATGAAGAATGTGAAGCCACCCCATCCGGAAAAGGATTTATCGTAGTGGCCAAGAGCATAGGAAGCGCTGTGTCTACCGGCGTCCGCTTTCACCGAGAGCGCAATGAGGATGATTACGATGCTCAAGGCTGTCCAACCGGCGCATACAGTGTCGACCATTGGCAGGATTCTGTTCATTGTCGCGCAGATCACCAAACTGACCAGACAGATCGCATAGAAGATAAGGAGTAGCTCCCAATCTTTGGCTACCCAGTCTGGGTGGTACATCGCCACGGTACCGGCAATCAATGAGGCCATACCGAAGTTCACCGACAACGTGATAGTCCCTAGGAAGCCATAACATCAGTACTGGATACAAAGCGTGGGTTCTGAAGACAGTTGCCAAGGAGACTGTGACATTTCTTGTTCTCGAGAAGGTACCTCTTCCGCCAACCTCTGCCGTGGCGATGATGATTGAAGAGAGCCTTACAGTTGCCAATTAGCCATGTCCATCCCGTGATAAACGACAGCACGATTTTGCCTTTCGACGCGAGTTGGAAAGACCAGTAATAAGGACCAGCCGATGTAGGATATTTCGAAGCGAGTTCGCCGAGGGAAAGCGCAATGCACTCGTCAAGGACAAGCACGACGATCCAGCCGACGAATATAGCAAGAGGACCACCGCCATAAATAGCACTGATCAACGGACCACCCTCTCCATACGGGATCGCAGCAATGGCGAGTGATTGAAACAAGAGAGTCAACATCGATCGATTGCGACTCAGCTCAGGCTTGTAGCCCAGCTCGGTGAGTATATGGACATCGTCGACGGTCCCGGCTACGACGGAGCTTCTTCTGCGTCCCTCTTCGACCACCGGCGCTTGCCCCGGAGTCGCTTTCTCTGCGTCGGCAACCATGGTTCGGTGTAAACTGGCGAATTGGTCTGCGCAGAAATGCGAGAGTTGAGGCTTAAGGTGCAAGGACAAGAGTGAGGATCACCTCTGGCGTCTGAGCTGAATAGTAGAAGAAGTCACTCTTCAGAAATGGCCTTCGGGTCTTTTTTTAAGTATGAGGCTTCCTCACCTCCAAGCTAAGAATGGTATTGTAGGAGGTGAAGGTGGATCCATGAGGAAAATGAAGCACGACTCGGAGGCTTGGAACGTAGCGGCAGAGCGAGTGTCCGCATGGACTTGCCATGCGCTGGTTGGACTGCTCACCATCAGGCAGGATGCCGTGGCCGTGAATGATTCTTCATTCGCGCATTGGTGATATTTTGCCCTTTTACGGACTAGTCGAGATTGGTTATCAAACCACGCCAGACGAGAAGGCGTTAGTCCTATCAGTTGGTCTGGGGAACTTATCAGCAGCCAATTGTGATTGCCGGCTGGGTCTTGGGAGGGCGGCCTTGTCCTTTGGTGGTGATCAGCACACGGCATCTGCCCTCCTTTGCCAAGGTTCGAGCCCCGAACGTAGCTGGCACGCTTGATCAAATTGACCTTGGGCGATCAAGTTGGTCTCGGATCCCGTTGCCCCCCTGCCTAGGTCATGCGAATTGCTCTGACCAAAAGCCATGTGTCAATCGATGCAGGTACCCCAAATCCAAAGGCTTGGATCCAAGGGTGCATCTGCATACTATATCAGGCATGGTATGAGATAGTGGGTGATGTGCCACAATGGATTGATTGACGACGTTTTGGGGCGTCCGCATCCAATTGTTGTGAAACGATAAGCCAAGGGCCAATGTTTGTAGCTGCCGAGGCCGAGGCCGAACATTGACCTGGGTACCTCTGATAAGGACACAATCACAAGCCTCATCAGAGCCTTGCTTCTCAGAATCATGAAGTGGCACTGTCTGACCGGGAGCATACCACTCTCCAGCAACATCAAGTAGTTGCTTTGTTGAGACGAGATCAGTTGAGTTATACTGACAAAGCTGGTGCGATTTCGAGTTGCAGGGACCCACGCTATAACGTTTTTGCGAACAACTCCGCATAGATAACGACTAATAAGTATATGTATCTCAAGGTGAAGAGCTCCCGCAGTCAGACAGTACCACTTTTCTGACCACAGCCTTGGTGTAGCTTCAATCTCCTTCGTAAAGCAAGCTCTGCGCCATGATATCGGACGTGCAGAAGGCCTGGGAGGCCTGCGATAAGACCGACACTGTCTTCGTTCTCTGTTGCACGGTATTCTGCTGGACCATCATTCCAGCTGTCGGCCTCGGCTATTCTGGATATTCGACCAGACGAAGTGGTCTTGCGTCTTTCATCCCATCCGTGTTGACAGTCTGTGTTTGTTCCATCCAATGGTTCATTTGGGGATATGCTCTTGCATACGGAGATGGACCAGGAGGGGTGATTGGGGACCTCACTTATGCCTTTCACCGAGGAGTTCTTGCCAATCCGGTAGGGACCATTCCAGCTCTACTGTTCAGTGAGTTCCAACTGGTCTTCCTGGCGACAGTCTGTGCCATTAGTGTGGGAGGAGCTTGCGAGCGTGGTCGGATCCTTCCATTGATACCGTTCATCTTTGTATGTCTCCGTACTGGACTTCGATGCGCAATTGGAGCTAATGTTGCTACCATAGGTTTGGGCAACTCTCATCTACTGTCCTCTAGCTCACATGGTCTGGGGTGGCGGTTTTCTGGGCGAGTTGGGAGTTCTGGACTTTGCTGGTGGCACACCTGTCCATATATGCAGCGGTGCAACAGCTTCGGCGCTGAGCTTGTACCTGTCGTATCCAATTGCACGGTCGCGGACTTCACCAAACCGTACGCCTTCCCATCTGAAGCTGCATCGTCCACACAACTCGATGTGCCAAGTCCTCGCAATGATTATCATTTGGGGATCATGGTTGGCTTTTGATGCTGGCACCACTCTCAGCCTCACATTCCAATCTGTGATGGCTCTTTGCGTGACGAATCTGTGCGCGTCGGCTGGTTCAGTGACGTGGGCTTTGATTACTTATTATGAGACTGGCAAATGGTCTCTGGACAGCATCTTCATGGGGGCTATTGCCGGCCTCGTCATGATTACTCCGGCAGCTGGCTTCATCGACCTTCCCACGTCCTTGTTGTTTGGTGTCCTTGGTGCAGTGGTGTGCCGCCAGGCTCTGCGGATCAAGTTCACAGACTTCGCTCGAAAATGGAAGTGGGTTGATAATGGAGACACCTTCGCCACCCACTGCGTCGGTGGCTTCCTCGGTACGATATGTACTGGACTCTTTGCGCAGAAGGCAGTCGCAGGGTACGGAGGAGCTGAGGTCGCTGGCGGAGTATTCTTTGATGGCAATATCCGACAACTTGGGTTACAAATTGTGGAGGCACTCATTGGATTTACCTGGTCCTTTGTTGGTTCATACGTGATCATCGCTCTGATCGATTGTATTCCGGGGCTCGAATTTCTGGCAGAGGACAAGTGAGTTGAGATCTGCCTCGTGTCATTGTTATCTGCTAACTGGATTAGGGATGTCAATATCGGCATGGACGCGTCCCAAATGGACGAGAGTCTCTATGAGGCGCAATGGGCAGGTGAAGAAGATTATAAGCCTCTGGAAGGAGGACATATTGCTCTCGATTGAGTATTCTCCCATCCGGCGACCGATACTCTTCGTACGCCATGAGGTGAGTACTGAGAGAAAAGCTCAAACACAAAATGTGCATATTAACCGGAAGATGCTGGCGGTGGGAAGAAAAGAACTGCCTTTGCATGGATTGAGTTAGACATAGAACGGCAAGCTTGAGACACCAGACACATGTGCATGCGGCAGTCTCAACGGTGGCTTTGATGCATCCCAAAAGCAACATGGGCATTTTTCGAGGGATTGGAGAGGCGCATTGCATGTTGAGAACCGTGGATAGACATCTTGACTTGAAGGCTGGAAATGCCTCGTCCACGTGATAGATTACCTAATCGACTACATATATCAATGTCACGTGCGCGACCATCATTACCATTAAATGAACGATCAACAAGTGCCCAGTGTGCCCATATCTTCTTGATGACACCCAGTCCCTTGTTCACAACCAATTCTGACCTGCCTCGCCTGATCTATGCCTCGCTATGCTCATACACAATCGTCCAGATAGAAGTGGTGAATTTGACAATGAGAACATGGTAAGGTCTTTCATTCCTTTGTTCATCTTCTGTTTCCGGTTTCACAATGTCGCTCATCGTCCCAAAATGCCACTTCCTACCTGCACCCGGAGTAAGTCCTCCCTTCTTGCCACAATTGATAACAACAGCGCCGTCCAAGTATGTATTGAGGCCGATGTAAGCTCACAGCCAAGCCACTCCCACCACCGCCGTGCCGATCCACCTCCCAGTATTAAACACAATGTCTACTTATGGCACACAGGATGGCTCCGTGACGGATACAATGTCAGATGATGAGCTGGACCTCTACAAAGGCGGGCTTCTCGCCGTCGAACTTCACGCCAATGTCCTTCTGAATCGGGCACACTTCCTCTTCTCTACTAGCCGTTGCGATGTCGAACGAGCAGAGGACATGTGTACACGGGGAAGAGCTGCTCTCGACGAGGCCGAAGATCTGTGCATGTCGCACAAGTATCCTGTCAGCAGACTTCTACAGGCAAAGTGCTGGTTCGTCCGAGGTTTCCTCGCCGACCTGACGCGGGACCGTAGCAGTGCTTGGCAATGTTTCCAAGAAGCCCTGAAACTCGACGATGGCTACCGGAATGTCAGAACCGTACAAAGGTATCTCAACCGGCATGCGGATGAAGAAGAAATGGCCGACATGTGGAGCGACACAAATTCAGACGCAGCCAACTCCTGGCCAAGCAGCAGAGCAGCAAAAAGCATCTCGCCGCTCGTGCCGGCTGGCGCTAATGGGACCCCTTTGTCTCGTTCCAGTCTCCACCGACTTGCTGATGAAGACGAAATGAACGACATGTGGAGCGACTCCGGTTCGGAGGCAGCTTTCTCCAGCCCACGCAACAGAGCAGCAAAGCACACCCAGCCTGTCCAAGCTGATGCTAGCAGGCCATCCTCCTCATCTTCAATCGACTCCCGTCGAAACAGCGGTCTCTTCGCCATACTGTTCAACCAACTCCAACAGACTGGCTCTACTACAGACTCATCTCGCCCTTCGACTCCAGAGAGCAACTCGCGTTTCTCCGAGAAAGGCCTCGTCGATCAAGTCATCGACCAACTCAAGAATGCCTCCTCCAGAAGGAGGCCATCCGCAGAGATGCACGAAGCTCCAGTCCAGACACCAGCGGAGTCGCCATCAAAGCGCGAACGACTTACCTTGAAGGACTTTCAGCAGCGTGCAGACGCAGAGCACGAAGAACGTCTATACCTCGAGCACCAACATGTCAATCTAGAGACAAAGCCAGAAGCATCACCAGTCTCCCCAGGCAAAGCTTATGCCCAAGAAGAAACTCTTCTTTCCGACACACCCAGTGTTGCGAAACTGCTGGACACGACAACTCGTCGTCCCGGCCTAGGCCTGTCAATTAACGGAAAGCGACCTTCTTCAGCCCATCTCATTCTCAACACGCAACCTCTCAAACGTGTCTCAACGTCCCCGATCAAGGAGCTACCTAATTCTCCGACAACATCGAGTCCGCTGAGGCAAGCGTTCTTTCCTGGCGAGGTTGGCGATAGTGAAGACCGTATCGACGCCAACACTTGAATGGTTTCAGCAGCAGCACTGTCTGGGAGCCACATCACCAGGAGAACGACCTACCAACTCATCTATCTACTAATCATACTCTCTTGGACTGGACCTCATCCTTCGACCTGCATCTATAAGATAATCATGAACATGCCTGGCAGATTTCGGCTGCGGGAATTCGCCAGAACATCAGTCTTCCCCCTCTTCTCCCCGGATTACTGATCGCAACTGTCACGTCATCTCAGACGTGACAGATGTTGCACGAGTGGTGAATGGAGTCTTAATCTACGATATATGCACCAGACGGGCTTTTTGCTCAACCACAGTTTTGGACTGCACATCATCGTTCCCTACCAAGTGTTCGCCTCTCTGCAGGTCCTTGTATCAAGTACAACTTGCTGGACCCGTACACCTCATCAGCCAGGACATATGTTTATTCCGCCTATTTAAGACGAATCTCAAGCAGAATTAGCATCATTTCGGAACAAGCCATCCTCGCCGGCTCATGGTCGAACCAGATCCTTCCTACCACAGCTGAACCTCTCACACGCAGACCCAAACCAATCCAAAAACAACAGCGCCTCACCTAACCATGCCCTTAATAACCCAAATTCAAGCTGTAACCCTCGACCGCCTCATCTACCATTCCCACATATCCTTCGAGTCCGCAGAATCTCGCATCCGATCCTCCATCCAGAACGGACCAAAAGAGGACAAACCCTTGCAGCAAACCTCATCAACTCCAAATCCAGCCACTCGTCCTACAGACAAATCCTTCTTCGAAGCCTCCATCACACCCAAACTCGGTCCGCATGGCTTCATGTACTTCACGGAATTCAATCACGGCAACTGGCTTCGGTTTTACACCCCTCCCACCTCGGCCATCAAAGACCCCGACACCGGCGCGACCAAGAACCTCCGCGCCATAAAGTACGTCTTGGGAAACCCATTGGTTGCAATAACCATGCTCCGACACGATCTTGACGCTGGCCTCTCGGTGCCGGTAGAATTGTATCTCGTGGAAGAGCCCGAGGGTGGCGTCAAGGTCATATGGTTTCGTCCCAGTGGTCTTGTGGCTGGGTATGAGGGCGCAAAGAGCGAGCTGGTGGACGCGGCGAGGGTTCTTGACGTCAAGCTTGAGAGATTCGTGAGGTATGTTCTGGCCGAGGAGGGTGAAGGGACTGGTAGTGGGAAATTGTAGATGTAGATAGTTAGTTCTTGTCATGGTCTCGGAATTGTTGCGAATACTGGTTACGATATCCATATGATCATTTCGAGAGCCTCCATCTTTGTCGTAGGTGAGTCACGACAGGCAGGGCATGGAAAATCGTGTATCTGTTGAGCAGGCGTTGTGTAGACAGATTCTCTTTGCGCAATTGACATCGAACCCTGCCAAACGCATGACCTGAGGTCTAGCCAGTTGTCATCCCTGGACTGGACAGGTCTCTTATTCCTGCCCGGCGTTGCCACGCACATTGATATGTTACTGTAGCAAATCCGCCACTCGATGATAGTACGCATGTTGGGATGTCGTGGCAGCAGATCCATCGCCTGGTGTTCGCATGTAGTTTCTGTGCCTGCTGTCGCACAAGTGAGCCTCATGGAAGGCATGGTATCCCATGTGGCTATCACCCTCCTGACGAAGAGATCCTCAACTCCCCCATGAGCTTCTCAATCGCAGCCTCAACATCACCATCACCATCACCATCACCATCACCACCCACACCGACGTCCTTCATCCGCACATCGCTCTTCTTCAACCGCGCAACATTCTCTACGAGACATTCCTGCATGACCTCGCTGGCCGATCTGTACTGGACACTGTCCTTACCCCAGGTGCGCTCGATATTGCTCAGGTTGAGCCTGATTGTATCAAGGAGGATGTTGATTCGTTGGACGTGCTCATCCTCCTCGGCATCTCCACCACGCTGTTCATTCTTATCCACGTCCATGGCGATAGCTGTGTCTTTACACGATTTGCTACCGGCGGCCCAGGTAGTTACCTAGGTATGTGGAAGGGAGAGACAAAGAGACATCGCTGGCGTAGGGAATACCTATGCCTTGGCGGGACCCGCCAACGCAAATGGTAATATACCTGGGTACCTAGGTAGGTAGGGCTTATCAGACGGTACAGTACACGTTCACTCCAACTCATCATCTGCATGGTGGTCATTCATACTGTAGAAGTCACAGTCTCTCATCCGGCCTCAACAAGCCAAAGACGAGAAGCTGGTTCTGTCCCGACATCATCTCTCGCGGACAGGGTGAATGAGTATAATTCAAATTCAGGCATTAGCTATCTCAGACATCGCTCCTAGCAACGTTAATCCAATCCAACGCCTTGCCAATACAAAGACACAAAAACGTCCCGAGTCTGGGACCGATCTTGCCCAAGTGCTCTCTCACTGGACTTGTGCCACTTATCGCGAGAGCTCTCATGGGCTTACGAATCTCTCGTCTTCTCTCTGTCGTAACGACGGGGTATAACATTTCCGCGATCACAGTTGCCCATATGTTGAGCTTGCTTCGAAGTCTCCCTGGTGCGTAGGGCAAGAATACATTTCAAAATTCCCCTCTCTGGATGCTCGAGAATCCAAGCCTCTTTACGTGCCGATATGCGCGCGGTGCCCAGCAAATCTTCCTTGAGTCGTATCCAAGTTGGGGATATGGTGTTCCAAGTCTTGCAGGTCCTCCTGGGTAGAGGCCCATCTTCAAAGCTGGGAGCGACCCGGTTGGGGCTTCTTCATGTCGTAGTTCCAGCATCCACGCCAAAAATTCGTCATAGAATAGCCGAAGTCTCATTCAATCAATGGCTTCTTTACTGCGCCGACCAAGGCGACACCAATGCAACTCATCGCATTAGGATCCGAAGCACGTACAATCGTGGCAAGTGGCAGCATCGGATTGTCAGCGTTGACATGCGAAGCATCCCTAGCGGCTTGTTCAATAGCTTCCATCTCGGCCTTACATGAATGGTGATCCCACGGCGAGGCGACAATGGGCTGACGAAGAATAATATCTTTGGCGCCGTTCATCGATGCCTAATGCATGGTTAGCAAAACCTCTGCAGGTGACTTGTATCAACACATACCTTGACGGTCAGGTAGTACTCGACTTTGTACAAACCTGCCGTTGTCGTGAACCCAGTCACCGCATATGTCGGAAACCCCGACTTGCCGCGAGGCAAGATACCATCGGAATCACGAAGATCAATTGACGGAAACACCAATCCCAGGTTCGTAAAGTAACCTGCTTCTGGCATCTTCACACCGACATTCTCCGTTTTCTTGACCATATTCTTAGTTTTCCTCTGCGGCTCATCGCCTTCGTGGTTGTAGATAACTTCCTCATCAATCCCGATTTCGATCTTGCGGATTGTGACTTTTCGTGCCTTACTGGGCCAGTCCGGGTTCGGTGATAACTTGATATAAACGCTGACCGGATCAAGAGGTCCATACGACCATCGCGGCAGAGATATGCCTAGCGTGACTAGGTGGTCGGAGACTCGCTCTGCGGATTCGGGACGATTGTACATACCAAAGGTCGAAAGTGTATCGTATCGCGCAATCGGAACTGGAAAAGCATACTGTTTGCGATCTCCAGACCCGTACCCAACGGTCACCACCATTTCATAGAACGTTTCAGCCGTCCTCCGCGGTAGTTGGAGACTGGCGGGCGGTACTCTTCGGGCGGTTTCTTGACCTCCTCGACCAAAGGGTATGAATATCACAAACGGTAGGTCCATGTACATGATCTCTTCATATTCTCTGTTGGCTGGACACCGGAATAGTAGCATCTCTTTCCCCACGGTCTCTGTGGACTCCTTCCTGGGCGCCGCCAGATGTTTCTTGGCTACCGAGTCGGCATGAGGATGGATGCTTTCGCGTCGCTGGAGAGCGATAGTGACTATGGAGATGTTGACGGGACTTGATATGCCAACACCGGAGCGTACCTCGACGGTCCCCTCAATACGGGGCTAAAAGTGTCAGCACAAGGATTGCGCAATCCAACCTTCGAACTTACCAGTGTAGCAGAGATTCCTGGATACCCGACGAGGAAGTTTGTGTTGGGGCGACCAGATACACGCACAAATGCGCTCATCTTCTCATACGGCTGGATCTTATACCGAGACCATTAGGACTGGTGGGAGGTTCCCTGTGCTGCGGGCAGCCTGTTCTTGAATTGAAAGATAGCGGGGGCCTTGTTCTGAGCAACGGTGTGAAGCCCATAGAGACGTCTTGCTGGCGTTTGTTGTTACATGCGGCAAGGGATCCAATTCATTGCTCCCTTCCCTCGTCGCTTTGTTCAGGTAATAATGGGACTCTTGAGAGAGCGGGCTTGTTGACGTCGTTTGTTTTTGGCGAGGGATGCGAGCGAATGACCTCAGGGCAGGCGGGTTGATATCGATAGGGCGTAATATGTTCGATGAGTAGTTGAGGATAGTAGTCTATGGTCAGAGTAGAGGTTGTGTGTACTGAGTAAGCGGTATAGGCTGAAGTGATAAGGTTGGGTTGTGCAGACAGATGGAGGTGCTAGATGATGCTAGGCGCGCAGAAGGCGCAAGTGGATTGGAATTTGGCGTGGAGAGGTACAATAGCAGGTGTCGTGCTACAAGTGACAGACTTGGAGAGCCACCTGGGAGTGAGCTGATCGCCTGCCCCGCCCAGACAAACAAAGAGGAGACCAAAAACGCCTGGAATGCCTGCAAAAGTGCCCTTTAGGCTTGCGATGCTTGCGGCCTATAGCCCACAAAATGTCACAGTACAGCACTCTGCCCTTGAGGAACAGGCATACCAGCCCTACACCCAATAAACCTAAAAAGTTATTACGCAAGCCTGTCAGCACCTCAGCAGCTTGTTGTCGATCTGGTTCACAATGCCTGTGGCGCTAGTCGGATGAACCAGTATTTGTCGCCTAATTGTTGCTGAACAGGGAGTTTCGGACTTTATCATGATTTGCATCTTTTATGGTTCTCCTCTTTACCTGCTTGTTTGCCTGTTGTTTACGTCTTCGTCTATCTGAAACACATGCCAATCAACATGCCACCAGCTAACATAGCCAGGAATCCTGCACTGTCCCGCTCGGCGTGGTCTCGCCAGTATTGCGGGCGAAGACCCCGATCTCTTGGACGAATCAATCGCAACCGCCCCAGTTCCAAGATCTGATGGAGGTACGCCTTATTTTGCCCCAAGTCCGTCGACGGAGCTTGAATTGGCGGACACTTCGCGTTCGGGGGCAAACCTGACAAGAATAATAATGTCCGCCTTCCTTCATGCCCAGCACATGTCTGCACATGGCTGACAGAGCGATGCCATGGCATATCGTCAGCTCTTAGCAGTGAGGGCGAGGCTATTGGCACCGGCCCTAGCACGCGCTTCCCAGCGTGTTGTGGCGTAATCGTTGTGATGCCACTTCTGTGCGTCGTATACCCCCGAAGGCATGATGTCTTTGGTGCCTTAACGTCTTGCTCAATACTGAAAATCGAACTGCCTGGAAGTATGTCTGTGGAAGGACCAATCGTGTCTTGTCCTGCTTGAGTATCCGACATGGCACTATACCTCGTCGGTTGGCTCCATCGCCTCATTGTCATTCCTAGCCGGCCAGCGGATTCGCATGTATCGTGACTCGTTCGAGAACAATCTTCTCACTCTTCGGTCGATCTTTCTTGTCAACCTCAACACTCTCCATTTTCTCAAGAGTGGACCCCTCTTCAGCACCGTCAATGACTCGTCCAAAGACTGTGTTCTTGCCATCCAGGTGCGGCGCCTCCTTGAGTGTAATGAAAAACTGGCTGCCGTTCGTTTGAGGCCCTTTGTTTGCCATGGAGACCATGCCCCGTCCGCTATGCCGCAGAGCAGGAACCTTGATTTCGTCCTCGATATATTCTCCCCAGATCGATGTTCCTCCCTTTGTTACTGAATTACCAGCAGTGGCGCGAGACGAGAGTGAAGTATCCCCTCCTTGAATCATAAAGTCAGGTATGAGGCGGTGGAAAGGTGTCCCATCATAGGCTCCTGAGGCACATAGAGCCAGGAAATTCTCGGCCGTCTTAGGCACAGATTCGCAGAAGATCTCGACCTTAAGGTCACCGTGAGTGGTATGGAGCTGAATGTGTCAGTGGCTTGTAGGGTAGGGGAGATATACGGTACGTACTGTGACTGACATGCTGCAATATTAAATCCATGGACTACTGCGAAAAGCGACGCAGATCGTGGAGTGTAGAATTGCCGCTGCGGAGCCAGTGATGCGATTTTTTGTGCAAGAGCCACGTGGGTAGAGTCGCCTGCTGCTGGCGATGTGACCGGTAACCTTCTTCGTCGTGAACAGACAAGGTCTACCGTCGGTTGATCTCATTCAAAAAAGTTGTAGGTATTTGTTCAGAGCCGCAGTTTGAAGGTCACGTGCGAGTGTGTACAAATCCACCGAGACTGAGACAGAACAGAAGGGCATTTGCCATTTGGGAGCATTCCACAACGTCAGAATCAGTGCCTCAACTAGATTTGGTATCAATTGCTAGCCTTCCGACCAGCATGTTTACGTTTGATCGCTGATATTTCAACGTTAGGGACTCGGTCCGGTCTCGAAATCCTATCCCTTGGAGAGTTCTGTACAAAAGGTATGATCCCCAGGTATCTCAATCCGTGCATTCATCTTTAGATATGTCGTTCGTGATGAAAATCAAACAAAAGGGTCCTCTCCCTAGTAGTACAAGTCGAGCAGCTGCTCTGACACGCCGAGAATTGAATAATACAAATGTAAGTATAGTGCAACAGGCAAGTCAATGTCCACAGGCCTCTCAGGTAGCGCCAGACAAAAGGTTCGCATGCTTCTTGGATATCCAGTTCATCAGCATGTCATCAAGTTGCGATTGCATTTCAACAAGTTTCGTTCGTTCATCTGAAAAGAGGTTGTGCATAAGTGGGTGCTCTGGACCCACGGGAGTGACATTTGAATTGTCGTGGACGATAATGAGTAGGTCCTTGATGTCTTGATTGTTTTCCATGTAGGTTCGGAGTGAGGCGTCCGACCATGTCGGAGTAGACCTCGAAGTCGAGGGTGTGTGCGTGGCGGTAGAAGGCGACGGTTTCGAAGTGCTGGCTGTCCCTTCTGATTCAGGTGGATTGCCCTCGTGTGGCTCAGGCGATACCCTTGTTATTTCTTGGTAGAACGTTGATGCTGGGAGGCCACCCTGGAGTTTATCATTGGCAGCATTGGTCGTCGATTCGAGAGGTGAAACAGATCTCACGATCTCTATCGACGTCGTTTGCCCTTCTGGCTCCACCAGAGGAGAGACACTGTTGCGATGCACATCTTCTGAGTTCATCGCCTGTTCTTCCGCTTCATCGGATCCACTATCATCGATTGCAAATCGCTCTTTAGCCCTCTTAGAGTAGATGGCTTTCACAGGAGAAGTAGTCTCCGCTGCAGATGAGGAATTTGACTTCAGTGCCGTGGTAATGGGCGCGAAGATTGACCTCTTTTCTGTGAGCGAGGGAAAACGATTGACAGGAGGTGCCGGCTGTGTCTGCGTAGGCGCCGAAGTTTGAGGCTCGTCCGCCTGCGTGGTATCTGAATCGACTTTTCGTACCGTTGGCGGCGCGGGCGCGGGCCCTGTGGGTGCTGGAGGTGCCTCCGGTTGGAGAGCCTTTGGACCATCTCTGGACGGGGCCCGTGTATCCGTTGGTGAAGAGGTCGACGATAGGACAGGAGGTGCTTTCTGTAGTTTGCTCGGCTTTCGCTCTGGACCAACCTCGGGTCTCGATGTGAGAGATTCCAATGAATCCTTGTTTTGCGGTGACTGTCGTGAATCGTCGGCCACTTTCTCATTTTCTTCTTGCGGAGCGCCCTTCTTTCGCTTGAACAGACCGCTGAGCATACCCTTCTTCTCCTTCTTTTTCTCTTTGCCCTTGTCGTCCGCCACCACGGCCTTGTCGATGGTTTCGAGACTCGCACGCTCACGCACTCCTTGTTCGGCGGTCACGTTTGCCTCAGAGTCCCCTCGTAATAATCTTGGAGTCAAGGATATCTTCTTCGTCTCCACCGTGTCGTCTCGGAAGAAGGAATCTGTATTTCTAACCACACCTTTCCTCGACCGCTGAACAGTTTCTTCGGAGAGTTGTTGCTCTTGTTGGGTTTGCGGCTGTTGAGCTTTGGGAGGACTTGACGACATGTCATGATTCGAGCTCTCGTTGCCAATGCTGCGCTGGGCGCCGTTGACTAGTATGGGCTCAACTTGCGCTTGGTTTTCTGTCGATGTAACAGGCCCATCTTGTTGGTCTTCACTCGCTTCACCTTCCTCAGGATTCTCGCCGCCGATCTGGTCGAGTGTGTCGTCTTCACCTTCTTCCTCCTCGTCCGAATACTCATACTCAGAAGGCTCATAATAAGTCGGCGCTGAAAATTGGACGGTCTTGGCGTTCCTCCTGCGCATGGCTTTCTTCAACGGATTCTTGGACTTCTCCGTGTTGTCTCCTAGCATCGAAGCTGACAGCTGAATGGATATTAGTGCAGAAGGAGACTAAACAACGAGGTACGTACATCAACGTTCCGATGTTTATTCAGTCGAGCTAGTCGCTCAGTGGGCGTTTCAATGTGTTCGGCAGGTAGGTAGCCTATGAGTGTGAGCTCTGTATGGACCATGGGTCTCTACTGACTTACCAATACTACCATCTTTGACGACACGCACGAGCCACCAATAGCTGTTACTATCGTCAAGCAAAACCATGGTGTCTCCCTTCGTGGCATTTGCTTGGCCTTCGACCGTCGCGACAAAGGTGTGCAAAGCGTAAACAAACTCGAAGTCAATGTCCTCTATTTCTCGTAAGCATTCTCCTCCCCAACCAGAATCGATGAAGCGATCGGTGCAGCAAAATTGGAATTCATCGGTGTCATCATCGGAGCTTTCATCAGCATCTGGCAAGAAAGACCCTTCATCTTCCCACTCATTCTCGTCGTCATCCGAGTCGACCAAGTCGTCTTCATAGCTTTCGACCGCATCGATCAGGAGAGGATCCTCTACGGGCAAGAGATATCGTCGAAACTCCTGAGATTCAGAAAAGGGCATATTGTGGGAGCTGGCAGCCGTGTCTTGCTCCGAAGCGGGTAAGTGGCCATTGTACCGTATATCGTGATCGGAGATGCCTTGGGTAGCAACGTGTTCGTGATGCTCCGTATACTCACCATGATGACTTGCCGGGGAAAACGATTGCGTTGGGCGCAGAGGGAAATGCTCAGGGGTAGAAGAGAAGGGTGAAGAAGAATGACAAATGCCTCGAGTCGGCGTTGACTGGGAAGCCGGGGAAGCTCCCAAATCCATAGCATCGCCTCGCTGCTGGGGTCGCAGGGAAAGGGGGTATTTACCATCTTCAATGGAAGGTGAACTGGAGATTTTGTCCATGAGGTCGTCATCCATATCCTCGTCATGGGAATCACCCGCTTCTCCGTCGTCCAGGTCCTGCCCATGGTATCCATTCCCATTGATCCCAGTCTGTGGGTCCATATGGTCGTCGTCGTGATCGTCATCCGCATCGTCGTAGAAGTGTTGTTCAGATGAGGGTCCTCCATTGGGTTGGTCTTCTGAGATCCTGGGGCTTGTGTGTTGTTGCTGGTATGCCTGCTGCTCAGCCTGTCTTATGGTCTGCGCTTGGTGCGGTGCAGCGGGTCCAAAGCCATAAGGTTGAGGATGGGCGGGCTGTCTCGTATGGTCTTTTGCGGACGGCGCCTCGTGAGCTTGTAGGTCGAGTGTATCTGGCGGCATGACTGGTGAGTATATGGTAATCCATGTTGTATCTCATACAACAGATTCAGAAAATTTTGGGGTGTTATCTTACCAGCTCTCACAAGCTGTGGCTTCAAGGAGGTCATTGCGCGCACCATTTAGGGCGGGGAGAAAGTGAAGGTCGCGTTATGTGTTCGCCGAGCAGACTCGACGAGTTCCGATGAGTTTCAGGTCGCATGAAGGTTACAAGCTTGGGCGATCGAGCAGACTAAGTGCAGCGAGAGAGTGTACGCGATTGGTACGAATATGAAGCAGGACGAGGCTCGGAGGTGAGGCAAGGTATAGGGACTCGGACGCGGTAAAGACTGAGGCGAGTGCAGAGAGCCAGTCTCGGTTGCTTCAAAAGAGCGACGCGTGTGGAGAGGTGGACAAAGACAGGGAAAGATCGACTGTATTGCAAGCAACGAAAGAGTCGTGTGCGCTTGCCTGCACGAGTAAAGAAATGTACCTGATGTTGGGTGATGGATGGTGGATGTGAACTGAAAGTGGAATAATTGTGATGTTTGGGAAAGGGTCGGCGGGAATAACGTTAACTAAGGCACGGAGTAGGCTAGGGCTTGTTCCTCTCTCCCTTCCCCCCTAAAATCGAAGGGAGGGAGGCTTGCAGCTCCAGTGCCTGTTTTCCAAAAATTAAAGATGGACGCTTGGATTCAGAAACTGGGGTCTAACTTGTCTAACTCGCAGAGAATCAGGGACGGTGCGACAAGTTTGGGGATCGTGATTGGGTGAATGTCCGCCATCCCAGCCAGGAATTATAACTTAAGCCCTGTCAGTTCCCACTCCGTCTGCAGCATCGAAGAAGAGGCCGCGGGGGCGGCCAGTTGCGCTTCCATTGAATGCAGGTGCTGAAAAAGAAACGCCCGTCGACAAGTCCGACGGCCGCTGCAGCTTCTTCTCAATATGCTTTGGAGACGGCGATGAGTGGGCTTCTTGCCGCCCTTCAATCCTACAACCACCAATGAAGGTCACAAGTACTCCTGTTTTTCTCCATACAATGATGAGATTCATTATCATGCATGCTCTTTAAGGTAACGTATTTGACCACCTCCTGGGTTTTGACCACCTCGTGGGGGTAATCGTGACAACTTTTACTCTGGCAACTCGTAAAATCGTGCTTTTCTACGATTAGGCGTGCTCCTGCCCTGATCGGCGATGCCAGGGGGCTGTTTTGGGGAGGATAGGCATGCCGATTAGAACGCTTGCCACTGTAAATAACCTGGAAGCTGTTCTTCTGGGCATTGCCACTATCACTTAGGGTGTTCCTACGTATCCCAAGTCGATCTTGCACATCTATTTACCACCACTATTTATCTTTTCCTGCTCTTTCTGAGTCGCGTTTTTCGCGTCGGTAGCAAAACTTGCTATGATCCTTAGTGTTGATGAGCGTGATAAACGTGATGAACAGCTTCCCTTATTGCCGTGACCTCACGGCGTTGATCTCGCTACCGCCACTAAGCTAGTACCGTAGTTATATCAGAGGGAGAAGAAGGACGTCTAGTAGGTGATTCTATATAGCTATTAGCTAAATTATTCGAGCAAGTCCAAAAGCAAGCCTAAAAAGCAAAAAGCAAGTATAATTACAATTCAATATATTTGAGCTATTTACCCGATCTCGTAGTGGCTCGACCTCGTTATCGACCTCCTTCCTTTCTCTAGTAGGGATAGTCCCTGATTCGACTTAAGTCTCTTTCTCGGCTCCCACTTTACCTAAGTAGGCGCGGGTAATAGCCGTAGGTATCATAGAATCGGGTTCTCAAGAGGTAGAAGAGCTATTGAGAAGTAATATCTTTATCCCGTCGTTACCAAGGTTGTTTGTTGGGCTTGATTCTCCTAAATCAAGCTTGCTTTCCTCGCCACTACTATCTTTAGTGATTTCGGATCTTATAGAGCTCGAACCTGGTTGGGAGAAGACTAATGCTGCTCGTATAGTAATACTAGAGCTCGGAATGATAGACACTATAAGAATCATACTGAGCAAGGAGGAAAGGCTTGAACTAGTACTTACGGCTATCAAATCTAGCGATTTTCTTGTCTCTACTACCGCTTATCGATATAGTATTGCTTAAACGACTTTAAGAAGACGTTTAAATAGTGGTTTATCTATAAAGATTAAATACTTTAGCCAATAGCTTCTCACGGTTAAAGAGGAGCATACTCTCAAGGAGTATATTATGTATATATATAATTTAGGCCGTCCTCCAACTCTTGCTATAATTCACGGCTCTACGTAGGCGATTAGTAAAGGTAGAGAGGCTCGTAAAAGAGGTGTTTCAAGCTCCGAGGTTAATTTCGAGGTTGGCAAGAATTGGCCGCGTAGGTTTATCAAACGATATATAGACCTAGTTTACAAGCTCTCGTTAGCGTTGGAATCAAAGCGAGCTCTCTAAGGCACTCCTACTATTTACTATGCTTTTATACAAAAGATAAAAGAGACGGTAGAGTTATATAAGATCTTACCTAAGGATATCTAGAATATAGACGAAAAGGGTTGCGCCAAAGGAGGCACGATTGGGAAGGCTACCAAAGCAGTATTTAGTGCCAATAGTCGATAGACGACGATGACCTCTTCCGATAGGCGTTGGGTCTCTTTTATCGAGTTCGTCAGTGCTATAGGCGTCGCTAAAGGGCCATTTATCATTCACGACGGCTAGGGACAGTAGGTTTCGAGAAATCTTGCTATAGCTTGCCGCCGTTAGTTTAGTAAGGACGTTTAGGGCTACGTAGTCTCACTAAACGGCTGGTCCGATAACTATATTAGGCTCTAGTAGCTTGAAAAGGTGTTTCTACCCTTTATAACCAAGCGTCGTAAGGGCAAATATAGTTTGCTCGTCCTTAACGGCCACAAAAGTCACGACAACCTCGAGTTTTACAGAAAATGCGTCGAAAGCAATGTTATGGTGCTACTTCTTCCGCCTTATACGTCCCATATCCTTCAACCCTTGGATATGGGTTGCTTTAAGAGCGTACAGCAGTTTTATAGTGCAGAGATTCAACGCCGAGCATCATACGGTCTTGTCAAGATTGATAGTCATGAGGTTGTCGAGATTTACGCACAACTTCGACCAAAAGCACTATCGGAGAGCAACATTCGAGGAGGGTTCCGCGGTAGTGGCCTTTGGCCTATTAATCCTATAGCCATCTCTTTTCGATTTACTAAACTAAGAAAAGCTCTTGGGGACAACGCCGTCAAGGAGCTACAAACCAACCTTACTAGTGCTAGAGAAGATAAGTTAGTGGCTTAAATACTGAATGCGGATAAACAACTTGCTATTCATGAGACTCCTATCGAGGTGGCGCTAAACGTCGAGACAGTATTAAACCTATAAACAACACCAGGAATCGATTCGCTCTTTCGTCCTATCTCGCCGCCGCCGACGTAGGTAAGACGTACGTTTTGTACACTAATGGAAGAGATAGTAAATAAGAGAGACCCTAATAAGCGTAAATACCTTACTTAACTTGCCGAGCGAGCCTTTCAGGTTGAGCAAACCAGGAAAACCATGTTACTTCACACTTCGAGAGCCTTCTTTAAGGCTAATATCGATTCGAAAAGAGCTTCTAAACGTAAGCTTCAAGGTCACTTTAGTAGTGGGCGGGTAATCGACGAAGAGGCTTTTAAAGAGGAGGAAAAACAATAAAAAAAGAGAGAAGAGTATCTACGTCTATATAGAGAGTATATTATGATTAAGAAGAGGCTCGCCGACGCTAGGAAGGTGTTGAAGGAGGAGACCTATAAAGACAACCGCATTCAACTACTTAGGGTGAAGAGCCTCATGATCGAGCTTGACACTTTTCGCCTTCACTACCCTAAGTTCACCCCTAAAAGCAAGCGACAGCAAGATAAAGAGATCATAATATACGACGGTAACGAGAATACACTAGAAACACCTTTACAGGACTCGCCGTCGAGTGCTATCACTACGGAGCCTCGTCAGGTAAAGAGAACCCGCAAGGCTATAGTATCAACACCAAGCCCATCGACGGCAGCGAGGTCTATTATACCTTTACAACCTTTACTAAACGGTCGAGGACAGCCTCAACTACGGCTTTCTCAGTCGTCAAGTCTCTCTCAAGAGGTCTTTCCTGTGCCTACCAACACGCAAGTTACTACCGATTATGCGAGTCAGTTATCAACTCAGTGGCAGTACAGTCCCATGATGCCACCACAGGTACCTTCTCATACTAGCTACAGGCAAATGGTACCTGCGTCGCCATCCTGGGACTGCGCCGTGGACGAGAATGACTGGGATTTACTTGGTTTACCATATAATTAAGAAGTGGTAGTGTGCGTAAAAAGTGTCACGATTACCCCCACGAGGTGGTCAAAACCCAGGAGGTGGTCAAATACGTTACAATTTTCGTCATTGTCCTTGTCAGTATCCTCTCCGGCAGCCCAGACAGGACCCTGTGATATGATGTAGTTCAGGGCAATGCTGCAGACAAAGAAAGTTCTCCGTAAAACGATACGAGTCTCGGCGGCTGCGGCTTCTGCAGGTGCAGGTCAAGCCTGGAGCAATTCACTTGCCCTGCGCATGAACTCAAAAAGAATACACCTGATCACTCGTGCCTCAGATTTTTAATTTCAACCGCCTAACCCAGTGAAGTAGCCCTGCTTGCTCCGCACTGCATGTCAAGGATGCTGATCCCGTCGCGCCGACGCCCGCACCAGCCCCGTCCGCGCCTTTCCTGCCCGCACGTGGGTATTCGAGACTTTTTTCGAAAGAATCATAATAATACAATTGTGACCGGGTGCTTACAACCTTCTCATACGAGCTTCTCCTGCACAATCCTCTGAGGGCTACGAGTCTCGAGAAGCACCTTGACACGACTTCTCTGCTCGAGCATCCGCCAGCGCATACCCGGTTCACCACCAGTTTCCCCGCCTGAGTGCGATGGCCCAGCCTGACAATCATGTCCATGGCCGCGATCATCCGCGTTCAGACTCGGAGACTGATGGTGATCATACCTTGGCTACCGAGGCTAGATCTGACTCTATAAGTTCGTTTTTGGCGAAACCTTCTATACAGTCTTTCAGAGATGCGGCCACCAGCGAGGAGACCCTCCGTGCGACTCGGACTCCTCCCGTCGATATCCCTACTCCGCAAGAGCATCATACACCTACACGAGACACTTCCGAGTCCTCCTCATACGTCAATCACTTCATGCGTAATCGAAACCCTGCCGTCAGTTTCAATGACGAGATCCAGTTGGATTCAGGCCAGCGCCAGAGTATCACCGATCCGCTGGAAAAGCCTTCCCGAGACCGAGGTCGTGCAATGGTGCTAGCAATGGCAAGGGAGAGGAAAGAGTCAAGGGCACACAGTGAATCGGAGAGGTCGTACTACGATCCAAAGACCGGCCGCCGCTTCCCGCAGTATTCCCACAGCCCGCCCAGAGAACAAGCACGCGTGGGTGAAGCCCGTTTCCCCTTGCTACAAACCACGGTGGACGCAATGGCGAGGGAGCACGAAACACATCCACCTCAGACAGAGTCTATGACCTCTGATTCCACAACGTATTCCAACGAGCAAGCCATCCTCTCGCCTCGATCCGACGACAATTACCTACAATCTCCTGTAGCATCACCTCTAACTCCTCCATTCTCAAGTCAAGCCCTTTCCTACGACGAACCAAAGTCCTTCCGACGCACAGCATCACAAAGATGGAGAGATGGCGAATCCAGTGCATCGCCTCAAGATTTCTTCTCGCGCGCAGGAAGTCTGCGCAATCGAAGCATGAAGGACATTGCGAGCCGGGCCTCACGTCGCGATACCTCCGGATCTGCAGCATCATCATATCTCCGCGCATTCTCCATGAGTAGTAGCACAAACAACGGTGACGCCGAGGCTGGACCCCTTGCATGTGACGCCGAAGGTCAAACCATTGGGGATGATTATGTGCTAGGCAAACAAATTGGCTACGGCGGGTTCAGCACCATCCGAGAGGTAACACAACTCCAGGAAGGCAAGCAAAGAAAGCTGGCTGTCAAGATTGTGCGCCGACAGATCGAGAAGAAGTCTGAACAGGAAAATGAACAAGCACAGGCAGAGTTCGAGCACGAAGTCGAGCTCTGGCGTTTCTTGAATCACCGCAACGTTCTCCCCTTGGAAGCCGTATACAAACTCGACGAAGCCACATTCTGCTTCATCCCTCTAAACACCGGCGGGACGCTTTTTGACCTAGTCCGCACCAATCGCAAGGGCGTTCCGCTCGACCTAGCAAAGAGCTACGCATATCAACTTGGATCAGCTCTCCGCTATCTGCACCTTGATGCTCGCGTTGTGCACCGAGACATCAAACTCGAAAACTGTTTGATTGACCAGGGCAGCGACGGACAACCTAGCCTCCTCCGTCTTTGCGACTTTGGCATGGCAGAATGGTTGTCCTCAGACAGCCTTTCTGGTCCTCCGAGCCCTGACTTCAATGATTCTGACCGCCCTCCACGCAAACCGTACGGTCCCGCCGACACTTCCACCTCGGCTTTTGCCGGCGGCAGTCTCGAGTACGCCGCCCCCGAGATTCTGAGGATCGCCGAGCGTGACAAGGACAACGTCACCCCAGAGCGGTCGATCGTGTCTCCGGCTGTTGATATCTGGGCCTACGGTGTCTGCGTGTACAGCATGATCGTCGGTTCCCGGCCCTTCCAGAACTCGTTCCAGCCGCGTGTTGTCATGGCGATTTTGGCGGGCGATTGGGACCGCGAGGTCCTGACCGAAAAAGGTGGTGACGATGTCCTCGAGCTCGTCCAAGGATGTTTGGACATGGACGATTCAGAGCGCTGGGACGTCACTCGAGTCATGGAAACCCCATGGTTGGAGGATCTCGCTGCGGCTGAAGATAACCACGATCAAGGTATACATGGCTGGCGATTGTGATATCTTGAGGCCACAGGCCGTGGCCAATTTTCTTTAATTCTCCACAGGCATACAGCGACGATACCATCGAATGCTTTTTGCTGTTTCTTTCAACGACATCACGACTCTCTGTTCTTCACTCTTGTTACGCATGCAAGGCGCTCTGTGGGAATTTGGTACTGGTTGAGGTGGGATGGAATGCTAGGCTGTATCAACATACCCAATATGTTACCACTCGTTGGCTGGCGGTCTCCAGGACATTGGCGATCATAGTCATATCTACTACTCAGCGGCCAAAGAGGCTGTAATGATAATCGAATGTGATACCAGGATGCTGGCGCATCCTAAAGTTTTCTCCAATTTGATTGAACAATATTCGTTTTGAAAAGAGGAAGATACGAATTGCTTTTCCTCTTGTCTACTTGCTTGCAGAGAGAACCTCCGCATTCATTCCTCGATGCATCTAACATTCGTCAACAGGGCTTGCCACATGGACACCTGTTATCCGCCTGAAACCGGAATTCGCTTGGCCCGATGGTCTAGAGTACCTCATACATTGTGCCAATGTCCACTCTCATCAGACTCTGCGTATGACAATTGTCGACTTTCAGGATCTTTTCCTGTATGGCAATGTCGGGTATCATCAATCCCTTCCGTATGCCATTACCCACTCTCATCAGTCCTTCCGTATTATGTTCTCGTGTGCTCGCTGATACAAAGGTTCTTCATCGCTCCAAACGTGAACAGGGCCCGAAGGCTCCGAAATAAAAGTACAGGTCGCAACTTCCTTTGCGTTGCTGGGTATCATCATTTTTCATCACAGTGTTATCATCAAAACAAGCAAACTCAGGAACAGCATCTGCGCTTGCAACGCTATTGACGGCGCAGCGCCGGAGCTGAATTGGGAATCGAAGGGGCTTCCACCACCACTGCCACCATCGCCGCTCTCGCCGCCGTTGCCCGAGGAACTCTGCGTTGACGTAGATGCATGCGATGACGATGTGGTAGTAGATGATTTTGAGGTGTGTGTCGTGGTCTTGGTGGAGGTAGAAGTCTGTAATGATGTCGCTGAAGAATTCAAGCGACTTGTGGAAATGGAAGTAGATAATGACTTGCTAGTGTTGGTATCGGTACTGCTGGTGGTTTCACTCGATGACGTTGTGGATGCACTACCAGCAGTGGTTTGTGAATTGGTTGAAGCAGTGCTGCTCGCCGTATTGCTTGCCGTGTTTGACGATGTAGCCATCGAAACTGTGGCTTGTGTTGAAGTCGATGTCGCGAATGTCATTGTGTCTGTGTATATCGTCTGTGATGTCGCCCCACTGCCCGCCGTACTCGTCGTTGCAGCAGAAGGTTGATCACAGAGAAAGGCGACGACGTTTCCAATGAATAACTGACCAATCAGACTGTCGGCGGGTGCCTCTTCACCATAGCACGCTCGTCGTACAATGATCTGCACCGTTTCCAGCGCAATCTCGCAGTTGACAGAACATGAACCCGTGCCACCAACCCCGGGGAAGTCGCTAACCTGACAGCTGTCGATGAGTGTGCCATAGGCTTTTGTGCACAGCGAAGGAAAGCCGGAAATGGGCTGGAGGTCGGAGAATGATATACTGGCAATTGAGACCTGTATGAGCCCGCTCAAGCTGATCGCAAGAGCAGTTTGACCTCGTAATCGTGGTCGCATGATCAGTAGGAGGGTTCGTTGTTCAGCTTCGTCGATAACGGTCGATTCTTTGGTTGTTTGGAGAGTAGAGGTTGTAGATTCAATGCCGAGCAAAATCTCTCTCGTCGTGCGTCCGTTGCGGTCCAGGTTCGTTTATTGGGTGAGGCAGAATTCTGGTCAGATTCCTTCACTCGGCCAGTCGGGGGAATCCACCAAAAGACAGACGATGCTCGGAGTATGTTACGCTGGTGCTAAAGCACACATCCCAACTATTCTTGGCTGCTCGTGGTCGCTCCTCACGCGTCGCCCTTCCAGGTGTATACAATGGGTTTCTGAGTTGGATAGTCTCCGCGTCGCCAACAGGATGGTCGCAACTCCGTATTTGATTGAAGACGTTCTTTCCCCTTGGCGCAATGTATTCACCTTTGCTCCAGCGCTAAGATCGACCACTGCAGTCGACTGGCAGCGGTGGAGTTGAACAATGTAGTGACCAGTCACCGGTTCACGTCGAGGATAGACTCGGCAACGGAAGGGAACCTTTCGACGTACGACGTCAGTCCGTGGTCGCCGAACGAGGGATAGACAACAGCTGCAATTCCGTTGTGGGAGATCTGGGAGTCTTGACAACAGATCTTCGTCGATCACAATCAAAAGATCCGCTGGTTGACGGACTGTTACAGGCGACTCTTCTGAAGCGGACCCCACAACCTTTTTGGTCTGAAACAGTAGCCTCCGCGCACAGATGAGGTACGTTGTTTGACTTGTACTTTGGTTCCTTTTTGTGATGTCAGATATCCATCTCTTTCCAAATTTATGCTTCTCTTGGGGTTGTCAGGCAGGCGCAGGCTGAAGTTAGCGGTCAGTGGTGGGCAGAGGATGAATAAGCTGCTCTCGCTTGTCGGTGTCTGAAGGCACCCGATTTACGCAAAGGAGGACTCTCAATTTCTCGCATATAATGCAGAGCAAAGAGAGAGGAACAGGAAAGGATAAGAGGCTGCTGGCTTGAGGCTCCTGTACTCCCTGGATGACCGTCATCACGAAGGCCTTTGGATGAGATGTATTCTCGCTTGCTGCTATGCATTGCGCAAGTCGCGTAGGGTTCTCATCATCACCTAAGCTGAGGTAGCCAAAGGCCGTTCATCGAGCCGCCATCATGGAAGTCGACGCGTATTCTGCGACACTTGAGCCCTGCATCAGGGTTGCTCAACACGAGGACCTGCGAACAATCATGGATTGCAATTCAACTGAAGCAGTCAGTGTATGATCAACAGGGGAGCACGATTAATGATTGGCAGACGGGGGATCAAGGGGCTACCCTGAAGCAACAGGCGCGAAAAGAGACACTAGCCATGCCCTGCCATGCCCACCAGGCGGCTGCCGCGGGGAATAAGCCGCATCTTAGATCCACCGAGTGTTTCCAGAAGAGTGCGCAATCGTTTGACCAAGAATACTCTCGACAATAAAATTTCAAATCCCAGCATAGTGAAGGCAGAGGGTGCATTGACCGCAAACTATTGCACGTTACCGGTCAGGAAGGAACTATCCAGGCATTTCAAATCATTGCGTGAGGATTATCTACTTGGTAGCTGCTTCATGTGTTGTATGGCACTCCATCCACCATAGGTAAGTCAATTGACATTACAGTCTTCATTGACTGGTCCATCATATCTTCGAGGCCATGGAATGGTCTTCCCGTCTACGGAACAAGAACTCCCCTGAATCTGACCTTTCCTTGGACCATATGGTCCAAAGCTTCATTGGCCTTGTCAAGAGGGAATTTCTCAATCATGACATTGACATCGTGGACCCTGGCAAACTCGATTGCCTCCTCGCTGTCGAGTGCGTGACCGCTGGGCCAGGCGACAATGCTCAATCCAAGTTGGATCATGGATGAGGTGTTGACCTCAACAGGAGCGGAGGCCGCCAGAATGAGCAGTTTGCCTAATGGACCCAAGCCTTGAAGCAGTGAAGGGATGAGTTTCTGGTTCGGCGCGGTAAAGATGACTGCAAATCGTCAGAATACAACACTGGTATGAACGGAGACCGAAGAGCTTGCGCCTGAGGGCACAGTCCTTCAAATAGGAGCAATCATACTGCAAGAAGCACCCCCCATCTTGGCCAGAGCTTCTCCGACGTCCTCCTTTGACCCATCGATATAGTCGTGGGCTCCCAGCTGGTGAGCAAAGTCCTTCTTGGAGTCGCTGCTCGAAATCGCAACTGTGCGGTAACCCATCTTGCTGGTGTATTGCAAGGCAAGATGACCAAGCCCGCCGAGACCCTGAACGGCCACGAGAGAGCCAGGGACAATACCCTGTTTCCTCAGAGCTGGACGGCTTCAGTCAGCCAGCTGATCGACGGTTGTGGTCGCATGCGACTTACAGTTGAAAACAGTGACCCCCGCGCAGAGCAGAGGGCAGAACGCAGCCGGATCGACATCTGCAGGCACTGAAACCACGGCTTCTGTTCGAAGAGTCACGTATTCGGCGTATCCTCCATCCCGTGTGACTCCGTTGACTGAAGAGGGAATCTTAGTACCATCGTGCAGAAAGTGGACGTCGAACCATTGACTTACTCTGCTCGTTATCGCACATCTGGAACAGCCCGCGTTGACATGTTTTGCAGGTACCTATCAACCATAGAGTCAGGGTGGGTGTCCAGTTAAACTGAGTAAAAGTGACGTTGCCTCACCATCATGACCACCGTGCCAGGGAGCTCCAACTCGGTCTCCAACCTTCCATCGCTTCTCGTTGTCCGGAACCGCAGCGACTTCGCCAATCACTTCATGTCCAGGTGTAATCGGGAAGCCATTTCCGAAGAGACCTTGTTGAACAGCAGCGTCGGAATGGCAGACACCACAAGCGAGCACCTTGACGAGGACCTTTGCAGCAAGGACATCAGCATAAAGTTCTCATTCAGGAGCGTTCCAGAGCAAACGTACTTCTCCATCCTTAGGCAGTTCAAGCTTGACCTGCTTGAAAGTGAGAGGCGCGCCTTTGGACTCAAAGACGCCGGCCTTGTATTCCTTGGGGAGTTCTGGTGCCATGTTGAATTGTGAGAGCAGATATATGGAGTATTACTGTAAGGTAAGGTTTACAACAGGAATATCCTAAGGTTTGGGTCTACGATTACGAGAGTAAAGTATATTTATATATATTCAAGTGCGATGTCATTATGTACGTGGGCTGCGATCGATCGTGATGATGTCAAACCCTTATCATTCTGCTCTGCATTGACACCACTAAGTACCTAGGTAGGAAGTTACCGGGATTTCCGATTTGGCAATGTTTTCAGTCTTTCTCCATGCTTCCCGGACCACTGCCAGGGCCTAGAAGCTTGTACTCTCCTTTGTTTCCTTATTTGCGACAACGCTCAAGGCTGTGGGAGATGTGTATGGACGATGAGAGTATGGGGGCCGTGTTTTCTCTCCACAGGCCAAGGCTTGAGGTTGCAGGATGATTACTCATTCATCTAACAAGCCTAGGGAGCCCCGAAAAAGGCATTTTCACTCGCTCGTCTCCGGCGCTGACATATGGGAGCCGGATCTACAGGTGAGATGACTGGTCCATTTATCTCCGGCTTTTGGGCTGGCGCTGGCTTTAAGGATTTTCCTCTTTGGGCGGCCAAGATACCGATGAGACGGTTTAAACAGATTCAAGTCCATCATGTCACAGACAAATCTGGACTTCATACTTCGACAGTGCCCGCTCTAAGGACAAAAGGCCCAAATCTGGGCATTGAGATCGGCAGCCTTCACAGCGCGAACGCACTCACTCTAGAACGATACAAGCGAAGGGCTCTGCAAAGATATCAAGGGCTACGTCCATGTTGATCCTGATGGGTTTGTTGATATCAGACCAGTGCAGCTCTCTTGGAGTCGACTCGACAGCAAATCGATCTTACATGGTCGTCCTCATGGGATCCTCTGGTCACACAGCGCTGGTCAGTTTCCTCCTTCATGCAATATCGTGTTGTCTCATCAATCCCCCTCCATCGATGTGTACTCTACCCAGTCCCATTAGTCTCCTCGATCCCGGCCTTCGCCGGAATCCGCTGTTGTCCCTCATCCACCATACCCTCGCACCCAGTCAGGCTACCGGCCGTCTTCTCGACCGTGCCCAAGATACTTGATTGCGCAGGCTCGCCTGACGACTGGGCTTTGGCGTCTTTCATTTCTTGCACGGCCTCGGACTTGGTTTGCTCGCCGGTCTCGTAGCCTAGGGCTGAGGAGATGGCGCCTTGGACGTACTATTCCATACGTTAGATCATGCATACTAGAGTGGCGGCCAGCACGGTGATTCATGGCTGTGGTGATGGGCTTACCTTGGCGTGGCCGCCTAGCATCGAGGCCTGAGACTCTGAGGATTGTTCTGATGACATTGTATGTTTGTTTTCGGTGATTGATGGGCTTTATGAAAGATAGAAGGTGTGGTTGTGATTTGAGCAAACGGGTAAATGAGATTGCAGACTATCTGAAGGGCATGGTTGCCGATGACTGCATTGCGGCGGTGATGTCATGGAGTTTTGGGCTTCCGTTATCGTCGCTCTTATCGGATTAGATGCGGACTAGATGTCCGTGGGAGATTAGATCGGAAAGGGGATATTGTCTGACCCGGGGAGTTGCTTCGAGATCAATTTCAATTTGCAACAACAGATCATCTTGACACTAACTAGCTGAGTCACTGTGATAGAGCTGACGGTCTCCTGAGCATCGACGACTCCTCCTCGACGGTATGTCTAATGCATACCCATCGATAAGGAACATCTAGTGCATTGGCGGCCGGTGAGCTTCGTGTGTCAGACAGGATGTTTGCAAGTTGCGAGATCGGTCCCAATAAGCCGAGGTTGAGTACCGGAAGCAGAAGCCACATGGGTGTATAATTTCTTACGATCCCTAACGCCAGCGAGCTTTGGAAGCACTCTCTTCGTCACTTATCAGGATTGTGTTGCTTGAGGTCCACGCGACAGACAAACAATCCTGCTCGAGAACAGAAAAAACCAGCCAAAAAGGCTCTCTCGTCACGTTGCTCAATGTTTTTCAAACAATAACACAATGAGCACCCAGTTTGAGCCTTTGCCCGGCGATAGGCCCATCTCTTTCAACCGGTTGATGGCTCTTAAACAAAATGGGGACGACACGTTCGAGTCTCTGACCGGGGCATGGCCACCGGGGCCTATGAAGAGAGCATTTGGCGGGCATGTCTATGCCCAAGCTATGTACGCGGCTAGCAAAACTGTCGCAAAAGGGTTTGTGGTTCATGTGCGTCGAGAAAGACTCTCTCCCCATGCCCATGTCGAGTCTCTGATTGTCTTCACAGCAAATGACGGGCTATTTTATACTGCCCGGGGCTATTGATGTTCCGTTTGAATATCGCGTGCGGAGGGTTCGAGACGGTGGCATATACTGTCTCAGGGCGGTCGATGTCTTTCAACAATCTCATGCCGCGGCAGATGGGAGGACACCTTGCTTCACTGCTACCATGTCGTTCAAGCGGTCTGAAAGGGGTAACAGGAAATGGCAGCCCTGGGAGTATCAGAATGTGCCCAAGGAGCATATCAAGACCGAGTACGGCCGTGTTCTGGACGGGCTGAATCCTCAGGATCATATCCTGGCTCCTGCAAGTGATGCCTTGTGGTGGATAGACTCAGACTATATGAAGCGCGTGACGCCTATCTTTCCGGGCGTGGAGACGCGGAAAGTCGATATGACAAAATACAATGGCCAGGTCGAATTGGGACGAGGTATAGAGGGAGAAGCGATTTCGAAATACCGACAATTGCTCTTTTATCGGCTTTATCAGGATGAAGAGGGTGATGGCGATGTGGATCTGAATCTACATGCTGCCGCACATCTTTACACGTCGGACAGAAACTCTTTGTTTCTGATCCAGCGGGCGCTCGGCTATGAAAAGGTGGTGTGTTCCCTGGCTTCTCTATCGCATACGGTGATCTTCCATGGATTTGCGGAGGATCTGTGTATGATCGGAGAGAATGGTAAGTCCAAGTGGTTCGTGCAGGAGTCATGGACGAGCCATGGTGGAGAAAATCGAGGGACACATCATAGTCTGCTGTGGGATTGTGGAAAAGGGAAGGTCATTGCCACAACGATACAGGATGGAATGATCAGGGTGCCGAAGGAATCTGCTGACAAGATCGCGATGGGCAAGGAGGACAGCGGCAAGGCAAGCAAGCTGTGACAATGGCCGTTTTCCTTCGATCAATCACTTCAGAGATGCCCCTCAACGGTGGCCGAACGGGTGACGAACAAACATGCCGTTGCCTTGTGCAGTCTTCAGCAAACGACCGCAATGGTGCAAAAGACGGACGTTGTCGCCGCTCTGCATGGCATAGTGTCAACCACACCAAACCCGCAAAGAGCCTCAAAGTCGTCGATTCCCTCAAGAGATAGAATGTCCAAAGATGCTATCATGTCCAACAACTCTGACGAGATGTCCGAGATCGCTAAAGAGCTCTTCATCCTCCCGGGCGAAGATGGACCGCAGCAAGAAACCGAGCAGGAGTTCCGGATCTCGCCTCCAGAGGATCAAGCCCTCCCGGAGTTCAAATTCGAAGACTACGTGAACTTCCCGCCCACCCTTATGCGCAATCCTCCGCGTAACGCGAACACCATATTCTGTCATTGCAGCTTTGGGGCCTCCTTGGTCAGCAATGGAAGTGGAGTCTTTGTCACCTATCGCATGAGAAACGGCGACCTGAAGTACATCACCAACTTTCTCTCTCAGTCCGTCGGGCCTGACCCGTCGTTCTGTCGAGATCAACGGTTTTGGAAAGCCCCGGCACAAACGCAATACGAGCCTCACTTGGTCGAAGTCGTCAGCTACAGCATCTCTGGAGCCATCATGCGAGATACGAAAGTATCGTACTGTGCCCTCCCTAATACTGGGGAGGACGGACTCGAAGGCAACAAAGAGGAGGGAAGGACTGGGTACGATATAGTGCCTGTCTGTCTGTTTGGCAATATTCGCTTCCTGAGGGGAACAGGCCAGCATATGCTGCTTGAGACACGTTGGTTGATATCGTGTAAACTGTGTGACAAGTGGTATGAAGTCAATGTGTATCGATGAAATGTGCTGGGAGTGCAATAGTGTCCACGGTTAGAGGCAGTCGTACTAGTATGGCATATAGACTCCTAGCTAGGACATCAAAGCATGGTAGTGCTGTAGACAAAAAAGGGAATCAAGTCTTGATAAGTTGATAAACGGAGGAAGTGTCAAACTCTCTTGGGTGCTAACCTCGAGCCCCCAGAATCATAGAAGCGGAGTTTGCCGATAAGTGCATTTCTTCTAAAGTGGTAAAGATAAACCGGTCGGCGTCCTTTTGTCAATCTACTGTCTCCATACCACACTTACGGGTCGAACAGCGAGGGTTGCGCATCTTGACGATTTCGATATATCAACAAAAGGGTAAGGAGTACCGGATTAAGCGAGAGGTATTACCAGGTACAGCGTGACTGAGAACCAATCATTTTCATATGAATATGTTTTGCGCCTGAAAGAGACAAATCACAAGGTCAAGGGCAGCATGGGTATCGTGATCAGGCCCATCGAGGCCGCAGACATACCTTCGGTAGTCGAATGTATTCAACTCGCCTTCGCAGATGATCCGTATCATCAATGGGCTTTCGATACCCGACCAGGCAAATTCAACAAGGAGCGCAACTTTGCTAGTCTGAAAGCAAAATGTGAATGGTATTTAGCCGTGAAGACGATTCGTCGACTTCTCGATTAACAGGTGAATAGGGGTGTGCAGAACGCACTGTTCTACGTGGCAAAGGACACCGACGACAGGGACGGCAAGGTGCTCGGCGTGAGCATGTGGATGAAGCCAAGGAGTGCCACCGAGAAACAAACCTGGAACGAATGGCTTGACGGGTACATCCTGTGGTTCAAGCAGGGTTGGAACTTGGTCAGATTTCAGGGCCGCGGCGGACTGAACACCAAGAGATACTGGATCTGGAAGCACGAGCAGGCCATTGCACAATCGGACATCTGGACTGATCCGGAGGGATACTACTTTTGCAACATCGTTACAGTCAGGCCGGGCATTCAGGGTAAAGGCATCGGTCGGCAACTTTTCGAGATCGTGACGAGCAAGGCGGATGAGGAGGGGCGGAAGTGTTATCTGGAGAGTTCCAAGGAGACGCCGAATATTGCGATTTACGAGAAGATGGGGTTCAAGCTCGTTAGGAATATGGTCTGTGAGGAAGGTGGTGATAAGTGCGATTTGTTTTGCATGATTAGGGAGCCACGGCCCAAGCCCTGAGAAGAAGCTCTCGCTGAAGGTGGCTGGAGTCATGCTACCTTTACTCATTGCGCGGAGTTGATGGACGTTCCGGTCTGAGATTTCATATATTACGCTGTGCTCCTGCCAGCCAGCAGCCAGACATGCTTGATAAAAAGAAGACAACGACTGCTCTGAGCCGTGCTGTTCTAGGTTATCTTGACTATCGCTCATCCATTCAACCCTACCCCCTACTCCACTGGTCTTCATGACCGGCGACATCATGTGAAAGCGTTCCCGGCTGGTCCACTACACAACCTCGCACTTCGGGCTAAAGTCCGGCCCAGTCCCATTCGCCATGTAAATCACACTGCCTGGTGCAGGAAGCACGCCCGGATTGGCGGTCGTGCACGCCAACAAGGCCGGATCATATATTGGCGGCGTCAAACCCACCGACTCCATATCTGGGAAGTTCGGCTTCTGGCTCTCCAGCGCATCAAAGTCGATCATGTCGTAGAAATTGTTCGCATTGGCATCGCGGCATGACAGCGCAGGCAGGTTGTACTTGTGTTCCAGCAGAGACAGCACCGACGTCTGTTCGTGCACGACGTGGCTTATGTAATCTTTCTTCGCGTAGGGAGATACCATGATCAGGGGGACACGGAAGCCGGTCTTGCGATATTGGCTGTATTGGTAGTATCCCTTGGCGAGAGATGCCGCCGGGATTACAGGCAAGACGTCATCGGGCGCGATGGCTGGAACGGGGGGAACGTGATCATAGAACCCTCCATGTTCATCGAAGTTGATGATCAAGAGGGTCTTGTTCCATTTAGGACCGGTCATGAGGGATTCAACGACATCGTATACGAGTTGGTCGCCGAGGGCAACGTTCTCGGGGCACTCCATTGATTGGCTGGAACCATTGTAGTCGAGGAAGCTGAAGGCTGGCAGGTTCCCTTGTGCGACGTCTGACATGAAGGTGTAGGGAAAGTCGCGGAATTTGCTTGTTGGGTAGCCACTGGTGATGTTTGGGAAGAGATCGAGAGTTGAAGTTCCGTTGCTAGATCATTATATGTTAGCGGCATATTCGGGCGAGAGGGACGAGGGAGCAGAAAGACTCACTTGTAGCTGATCCAGGAGACGTTATGGGCATCGAGGGTGTCGAATATGATACCGGTCGGCCAAGTCGCAGCAGCAACCTGGTCAGATTGTCCAGTTGCAATAACCCCACGTGACGAAGCGCCGAGGGCATACATGCGATTCGGCCAGGTCTGCCCGAGAAGGGAACAAAAGAACCGATCGTTCAAAGCGAATTGCTCGCCGAGGCTATGCATAGTGGGCAGATGTCTGGGAGTAAAGTAGCCGAGAGATTGTGGCTTGTCTTGTTCTCCTCCGATGGCGAATCCATCCATGCTTCCATTGTTGAACTGCTGGTGTGACGACTGCCAGTTCTGAGACGGAGTGTTGTTGACGCCGCCGCACGAGTTGGGCATTTCATAAAGCAGCTGGACCGACCCGTTGTTGTACTTCTGAGGCACCAGCGTGATGGGCTCGCCCGTGGAGGGATCGAGAGGATATCCATCCTGGCCAGTCCGGTTCAGCAGGCCGTAGACGTTGTCCCACGAGTGGTTCTCCATCATGAGCCAAACAATGTGCTCGATGCCGGGGATGCTGTCTTGCCCTGCGGGTTTGTCTGGGTAGGGGATCGACCCAGGGAACCGTAATTGAGCTGGAGTCTTGCCTAAGGCTCCGAGCGCGGCGAACATGTGGTTGTCCATGGGGCCACACACGGTCTCGTACTCGATACCCCAAGCCACACCGGCGAGGGCAGCGAGAGACACCACCGCACGCTGGAGGGTATGCATGGTTGGAAATTGATGCACTGAGGCAGATACCGAGGCGTTGCGCTGGTACTCTTTGGTGCTACGGACGGTCTCTTCAACTCGCAACTCTGCAGCTGGATTCCCAAGTAGTGTCCTGGTCAAAAGGCAATCGTCGTTACTGATGAGGCACTCATCTCATTTTTATACCTCGACCAACGCCCAATGCCCACGTGCGCTCGTAAGAAAATTTCGAGAAGGGCAGCATCTGGTGCTCCATGTATGGATCCCGTTCCTGCGCTATGAGCTGCACTCGACAGCTGCACTCGACAGCTGCATAGCTAGCTGTTAGCTAGCATTGTAAGCATGCTGTTCTTCATGTGAGCAACCCAATGGCGCCCAGCAGCCAAGAAACGTGAGGCTTTCAAGGTCCTCAAGAGCCATGTGCGCAACTTTCCGGAGAGTGACCGGCGACCATAACACGGTTGGTTTCCTGAAAGTTGAAAGTTGAGGGACCTTTCTGCGACTAAAGCATGGATACGAGGGCAAGGCTCAATGCCGATCTCAGAAAGGAACCATGTGTCGACGAATAGGGCAGGTCAATGGCGGGTGAGGTTGCAGCCGTTGCCACAGTTCATTGACTAGCACAGTACCTAAGTAGGCACTTGTAAGTAAGCTTCGAGAAAAGAAGAATGTTATGGCCGCCATATCCGGACTTTATATAAAAGGTACCTGCATCGTGGCTTCTTGCCCAATACTTTGATTCGACGCTATGCACGTGCCCAGCCGTTGAAACACGTGCATAACCGTTGAAGAATTCTATAGCAAATGCATTCATGCCTATAGGCTTCGCGTTCCCGACTAAATACTGTACTACTGTAGTGCTGATATCCACCCATGGTACCCTGCATATCGAAGCGGGAACGTTTCCTGCCACAAAGAATGCCTTATGCGAGCACGACCGACATTGCGGATACAATACACATATTCGCAACAGCTCCGAGGCCGGCATCAATACCGTTTACCATATCCTAAGCGAGCTTCTGCTACCACGGACACCTGTGTGACACCTCAAGACTCATTGGAAGAGGTCCAATTTCAAATATCACTTCGTCCTCACCCACCTAGTACCAAGTCATAGACATATTCACAACTCCAATCCACCTTGGACTTCTCCTTGCGTAACTTCGCATTTTTCAGTCTGAAGGGTGACATCGAACGCTTGATACGCACCCTTAGAAATTTCATACTTCTCATCCAGCCAGGGAATCTTTCCCATGGTAATAATAAAGTTCGACTCCATTCGTGTCCGGACCGGTTCGCTGTACTCGTTGTGTACGGCTTTATCATACTCGACGACAGGCTTACCGAGCTTTTGACGAGTACGACAGATAATAATGCGCCTTAGGAGAGGACACTGCCAAATCACAGAACCACTCTGGAAAGGGTCATTGGAAAAGGTGGTCAGTAATACAATATGTGTAAGATGTGAGCCTAGGGATAAAGCTGGTACGCTTAGATGGAGTGCAGCCTTTGGCGAATGTGCACAATCAAGGAGGAATATTCGTCAAATATGTGTTTCAATCTACGAGTTTGGTTGAGTATCTAGCTACTCGGAACCGGTGTATGGGTATTTGAAAGCAGACTGCTCCGTTCCACCTTCGTTCCTCTTAATACGTGTATGTTCGTAATCTTCCCGGCCCGTCGTGCCATGTCGTGTCTTTATGTTAATCCATACCAGCTTCCGCACATCTTACTACCCAGTGTCACTCCTCGATTTCGGCAAAGGCACTTCGCCATGTGCCGCCTTTTCCACAATGACACTGTCCTCAAGATCCTCATCTTCCAGCCCCTCATCCGTCATCCTGACTTCGTCGTTTTCGTCTTTGTACGCATAACTACCGCCGTATCTGTCCCTTTCCCGCTCCTTTGCTTTGACCTCCTCGGTGTTGTAATCGGGCTTCTCCCACTCGTCGCCCACCTCTCCGTACGTGATGCCGCGATCCTTGCCTAAAAAAGTCGGCCCGTCACTGGCATGATACCAGCCTTGATCAACCCACGCTGTCACACATTCCTTGGCCTGCTCGCCGAGGGCGTAAAATCCAGGGTTCTCCCTCGGAATGAACATGGAAGTATGCGCCGTCGTCTCGTCCACGGCTTTGTCATTGATCGTCTTGATCCATTTAAATCCATCGCCAGCCTCGATCGCTTTGGTTCCTTTGCCGTCCTTAGTGACAGTGACCGGCAGATTGCAGAATGTCCGTTCACTCCCAGCCACACTGGCCGTAATGCCATACCCTTCTCGCGCACCCCGTCCCAAATTGGAGTACAGGTTCGCACAGCCGCCACCACGCTCCTTGAAAGCTTGCTCGACACCCTCGACCCTCTTGCGTAGGTACTCGGGCTTGAAAAGCTCTCCCACGAACAGCAAGTGGTCACTGGCCCATTGCCAGCCAGCAGTAAGCTTTTCGCGTTGCGAGTAGAGCGCTGCTGCACCGCCGGCGACAACCGCGCCGGCAGCACCTGCAAACATGGCATATTTGCCCCACGATTGCCATTTGGGCGTTGCTGCTGCATCTGCTGTGGCGGAGGTCGGCGCAGGAAGGGCAGCAACAGGCTTGGACTTGGAGGACGAGGCTATATTTGGTTCTGATTTCGAACCCCAGCCAAATATGGATGCAACTTCGGTGTAGGTATTGTAGGCGTTGGCCACGACTTTATGACCTCCCTCTAGCCCGTGGGCGACCATACCAGGCGCAAGCCCAAGATAGGGTGTGTCGAAGGCTAGTATTCCCTGAATGTGTGGGAACATGAAGCCGGTGGGGTGGGAGCTATCATTTTGCTCGGACGGGGTAGGATGAGACGTAGAGGTTGTTGAGTTCAGGGTTGTGTTCGAGGGGAAACTCGGCGTGCTGACATTCTGGCGTGAGGCCGTGCTGGGAATTGGTTGATCACTGGAGAGTTGTATATATGTCTCTGCCGCTACAATGCCGCCCATAGAATGACCGAGCAGCATGACATGGATCGATGGGTCGATTGTTGGCGAGGGAGTAGAGCGAGCGACCTCCAGGTCGATGACTTTGTTCTGTAGCCTATAGATCCCGTCCCGTCAGTGTGTCTTTCAATATGTGGCTGTCCTGATTGTTACCATTCTTTGAATCGTGCCACGCAGTCCTTCAAGTCGCCTCGGGTCTCAAACCTGGGATAGGTCAAGGCGATAACGTCGATGTTGGGAAGCGCATGGCTGACCAATGCGCGGAGGTGCTCGGGAAAGGTAGCAAAGGTGTCATCACCACCCTAAAAGAGGATCGTCAGCACCAAGCCATGAGAGATGGAGGGCTGCGCGCAAACAGGTTGTCACAATTATCACAAGCTAACAAGAGGACGTACCTTGAATCCGTGGATGAATACAAGAAGTAATGTCTTGCGCATCCTTGCAGGGTAAGTGGTCCAAGTGATGCTGCATCATTCGGTGCGGGCAATCATGTATAGTTGATCATCTTTGTCACAGACCTCGAGGCGGGGAGCTGTGATTCTGTTTGTTGACTTCACTTCACTTTGAAGTGGCCGGCAGTCCAAGTTCTGGTCTCAAATCTCAGAATACTAGACATGACGTCTACCTGGTAGCGGCCGACGACTCAGTAGGTCACGTGATGAACAGGAAAGCGCATCACCATAGGTCGCTTTCATGGACAAATCAATGTCTGAATCGCAACAGCGTACAATTCTGTCACAGCCTGATAGTTATAACATCGTAGTAGGTATTCTGATGCTGGGTGACCGTATGAGGTAATATGATAACTACTGACCTGGTGGGATCGAGGATGACTGCAATGATATGGGGGACAAGTTTATTTTGCTAACTTCTTGCCTCTTGTCTAGACCAGTCTAACAGGGTAACCCGGCCAGAGTATGGTTGAATCATCTACCTGTACATGTGCCTTATCCTCTTTTGAAACGGATGGTATGCCAGCACCCGATATGTTGCCATGTTTGATGTCCGTCCTACCCAGCCGCTGAATTCCTAGATATGCATCGCTAATAAACTTCAAGTGTAATCCCGCCCAGCGCTATGCATAAACCCTTCAATTTTGTGGACAAGTGTTGAAAAGAAGAAATGTCAAAGGAACTTGAACGCTCTGACTTAGAACGGGTATTGCTGATGAGTAAAAGGGGTAGAATTGCTCCGGTGCCATCCATCAGGTTGCATAAAAGGAAGAGGTCCCGTGTGACGTTCAGAAATAGTCTTGCTCAAGGGTTGATAATGAATCTGATCGTATGGAACATTTCTGACAGGCGCTTGGAGGGTAGTAGAAGGCGGTGGAATCAACAACGTGTTGACATGCCGTACAGGGCGATAGGGCGACGTCCGATGAGTTAAAAAGTATGAAGGGGAAAGTCCCGGGAGTGTAGGTGTGGAGGCATTGAAGCCATTCGACGGCGACGTATGAGCTGAAGGATAGTTTGATGCCGACCTGGAAGCGTCACCGAGGTTGGGTATCGGGGTTTGAAATAGATTCTGAGGAATCGCCGAGATGGGAGTCACAGGATGGGAGTAGGCAGCTGATGTGTTTGGATAGACGCTTGCCATTGCTCGATTCACCGGCATTGACAAAGGAGCCAGTTGAGGTAGGGCGAGCTGAGTAGGAGGGAGTCCAGATGACGAATGAACTCTTGAAATATCCAGCCGCGGGATATCCAGTGACGTTGGAGTCAATCTGGCATCCGCAAAGTTGCTGTTGTTCTGGACTGAAGGAATTCTGAGACTGTTCGGGAGGTATTGGTGCGAATTGGTAGCGTTCAAGGCTGCTCCTTGCATCGGAACAGGATACTGCTGCTGCTGCCTTTTCGCAGGTGGAATATCCGCTGAGAGGTCCGCACTTCTCTTTCGTGGTTCAGAGTGGTTATTTGATACGTATGGTTGTTGCCTTAAGGGCGAATTTGGTAGTTGCAATGCGGAAGGCAGTGGCTGTGGTAGGGTCGGATATTCACTGTGTGATGAGGCCGACCTGGTAAAGGGTGTGGCGGCGTGACGAGGTGATGGTGGGGAGGGTAATTTGTGAGAGAAGCTCTGCGATGTTGGTGTGACCGGAGCCGTTCCTTTGCCCTCACGCACCGAAGGCAGTTGTGAAGCTTTGTCATAGAACGCGCCAAACCTGCCCAGTTTGGTCTTCCACTCATTCCACTCTTCGGCCGAGGCATACAACTCGTATCGCATGTTGCTGAGGAATTCGACTTCCATGATATGGATTTCGGTAACAGAAATGCCAGAAACCTCTGCCCAGGTCTTGTTGGTATATGTATTGTCGTCCAGAAATTTGTTGCCCAGCATCAAAGCAATCGTCAGGAGTCTAAACTCGCTCCCTCGCTTGCCGCTGACTGTTGGGTTGAATTTCTTAAGCCGGTAAATGAACATCAATGCCAGCAAAACGACATTCTTGCCAACTTGGGTGGTGCTGATGATTGTGGTCACCCACTTCCTGAAACCAATCGTCGGAGTAGCATCGGAGAGCAGGCCTTTGTCTGTCGGCTTGTCAATTGGTAAATTTTCTGCATATTGTAACGTGTCTGCAGTCTCGAACCAGAATAGAGAGGTGATTTCAGCGGTGAACTCTGCTAGACTGCCCTTGCTCTTGTTGACTGATTCTGGAATCTGCAGATGTGGTGCAATAGAAGTGACGTTGTTTTGCTCCGCGGCCTGGCGGTTGTAAAGGCTGGACTCAGAAATAGGCATCGACGTGTAAGAACTGCCATTCGAGGTTGTGCTCGACTCTCGGTATTGCTGAGAGGTACCAGGTCCAGCCCAGGGCAGATCTCGGTCTTGTTGGGAGAGGTCGCTCACGGAGCTTGCGTAGCTGCTTCCTAGATTGCCCCAGTTCATGTTCTTCGATCCAGGTGGCGTAGGTAAGCCACTGGTGAAGTAATTATCAGTCTTGTCCCAGCTCTTGGATCCATGTACCGAAGGATGGTCGTAGGCTTGCCTTGAGGAGGATCTCGACCAATCCAGGCTCTCAGCACGGTGCTGAACGGCAGACATGGACGACATGAGACGGGGACTGTTCGGTACGGAGAAGGTCGACAAAGGTTTTGACGATCAGGTATTATTCATCGATGGCAGCGACGTTGTCGGCATGAACTTGTCGACGGGAGTGAAGGATCGATACAAGGTGTGGCGATGTGTTCGATGAGGACAGATGGTGAGGCTCGATAGGCGGTGCTAACAACAGAAAACATCGCAGACAAGTAAGGATCAGAAAAGGGATTCAACGAGTAAAGAGGATGGTAGTTGATGTTTGGGAGGGTTTGGAATGAAGACAATATTGATGAAGGGTTGGTGGACCCTGTGGTATGTTTTTCGGTAGCAGTCGACCTTCACCACCAACGCCTCCTCAAACAGAGACTGTGCGAGCACCAACCCAATCAAGTGAGGTATGCTGGAGCAAGTGAGGTCCCAGATATGACAAGAATATGATTAATGGTTAATACGCGGTCAGCCGAACAGCAAGCCAGGGTAGACTTTGGTGGCTGCACTGGATAGTTTGAACTGATCGACCTGTATTTGCATCAATACTCACACGGCCTTGTCTTGGATCCAAAGGCGGTTCGAGGCTCGGCCTCTTTGATGTCAGGGCCCCAGCCTGGGCAAGTGATAAGCCGATGCCCGATGCAGGGAGACGACACAAAAAGAAGGAAGCAGTCAGTCAGTCAAAAAAAAGGGACAGGCAAACCGCAGAAAGGAAGCTACGACGACTGGGTTGCAACGCGCGGCCGGGCCAATGAAGACAAAGGGGGGCCAACGGGAACAGCAGGAAAGAAGGATGGAGCGACAGGACACACTGGCGTAATAATCATCTCGCAAAGTGGACTAAGACGGGATGGTGGAGGGAAAAGAGGGCATGGAATGTGATGGGGATGGATGGTTTTGGAAAGGAAAAAGAGGATTTGCTAGGATGCAGATGGATGGATGGATGGATGGATGGCGGACGGAAAGCGAAGAGGAGAGCAAAAAACACAAAAAGATCAGAGGCCAAACGGGGCTTGGGCACGGGAAACGGGGGCAGTTGGGAGGTTTGACGCGGCGACACCCAAGTCAGATGTGACGGTGATGAACGCGCCATGGTCACGACTGAATGCTGCTATGCGACGCGAGAGTCTAGGAAAAGCCATGGCCACTTCACTTGACTGAACCCGACAGGTTTTAGCCCGATGTGTGTGGTATCCAAAGGGTTGAGGGTCATGGTCATGGCTAGCTAGCTTCGTATGGGTATTTTTCTGGGCCCCGAAGCAGCATTAGTCAAGGGCAAAAACGCAGGAGCCTTTGGGAATATCCTAGTGAACCACTGACCAGAATCTCAGCTGTTTTTGACTCAGACCCATGACGCTTAGAGCATAGGTAGGGGGGCCAGTGGTTAATTCTGAACCACCAAGGCCAAAGATGCACGACGACGATGATGAGTGGAGTGAATCAGAAGATAGTGCCGCCCGGATGCTTTTCAAGGCCAAAGGCGCACGCGGTTTGCCGACGCCATCGTAATCCGCCAGACTCCGTACTACGGCGTATCATCGTCTAAGCCCGAGCACAGCACAGTCTTCGTAAAGAGTGGGTGCGGGAACAAGACATCCATGACCAAGTATACCTGGTAATTCGGGATATCTGGGTTTTTCCACCTGTGTCAACGACTTGGGCGCGTGCAGCAGTGCCAATGGACCCAGCCTATGAGACAGACTGGGGCCTGTCAAGGGCAAATTTTCCAATCTATCCCACGAAGGAATGCGCATAATATTGCGTATGTGTGGTGAAACTGTGCAATAATAATTACCAGTAGTCGGTGTCAGTTGTCTGCCGCCAATAAAGTCTCATCGTCACTGGTCAACGACGGCAAGAAGGGATACTGCAGCGCTAAGACGCGAAAGGATGACCTGAGGAGCGCACGGCCTGGTCTGGACAGACTTATGCTGCGTGCATCAGCCTCAAACTTGCGAAAGCGGAATGGTTTGAGCTTGCGAAGCCCTGCTGCTTGTCAGGGAGGCCACGACTGCAAGCGCATAATCGCTGTGGGTTGGCAACTTGATGGGTGTTTGATAAACCCTGCCGCCCTGTCAGTCTGCCAGGGAAGGAGAAATGCAAAGAGGCCGAACGCAGCCCGTCATACTTTGGGATCAGCAGTGTGGTTTTGATTTGGGGGGAAATGTAAGGTAGGTTGCAAAGGCCTGTTTTACTTGCCGAACTAGTTCGTGACCGCGTAAGGGCCAACGCCCGTCGGAGGAGCAAAGGGGGGACCGTAGTAGTACGGCAGCGATGTTGGAGGATCGTCCAGCGGTCATCCAGAGCAGGCAGGCCAATAATAATAGTGTTGACTCTATCTGGTTGTTCAGAGGCAAGCATCAACGCTATGTGGGTTAGAAGGGTACGAGTAAGGATGGCAATAAGCCGGACGACAATCTAGGAAATGTCCCCAAGGAGCACTGACTGACGCTTGTACAAGGAAGGAGGTCAGGCCTCACCAGAATGCAAGAATATGCGCGGTGTGGCCGACGGTGACAGTGGCCTTTTCCTGGTTGTTCTGTGGCGGTCTGACCAGAAGTGACAGGCACAAATTTTATGCCCGAATTCGTTGATTCTTACTGGTCTTTTGGGGGAGTTTGCTCGCCCAGAACCTAACCGATGTACAGGATCCGTAGCTGGCGCAGAGTCCCATCAAGCAATAATAATAATGCATCACCCGGGCCAGCCACATATCCCAAACGAAGCTGTGAGAGTTCGGATTTCAAAGTCTCAATGGTGGAGCATGACACAGTACAGTCCCGCGTCTGCAAAAGAGCAACGACATTATTTGTGGATAGTTTCAGTCATGCTTCTTGTCACGATCATCAAGAGAATTGATTGTTCGGACTGCAAACGATTTGCTCAGGATGACTTTGGCTCAAGCCGCACCTCGCTTGTCTAGAATGATACCTGCAAGTGGTTGGTTTCGCCCGTCCCACCAAAGACTTGAACGTACGAATAGCCGGGGCAGTGTCCGGTCGGGGATCGCTCAATAATTACTGTACGGAGCATACGGAGCAGTAGAGGATAAAATAACGATGATACAGAGGGCCGTCGCGAAGCTCGGATCAGATCATTGTTGAGCAAGAAAAAAGCTTTGAACCAGGCCTAACCGAAGGAGCGACATCTTTCCGCGTCTTACAGACGGACAAGGCAAGTCTGGCAAACGGGTGATTACTTCAGGGATACGGATGGAAATTGAGTGATGTTTTTGCCGTACGAACAAGGCCTGCACCACGTTAGGTAGGTCGAGGCTGTGGACCGTATAGCGGGGATCAAACATGAATAGACATGACTACAGGTTACGAATCATGCTGGCTGTGCGTCGCCGTAACGATGCACTCAGGCTGGGTCTCGGCGCTGCTGCTTACGGAGCCCGGCTAAGGAGTTGTGTATGATTGTCTCAACTGTGGCGGTAAAAGGAGCCGAAGGGGCGCAATGATGGCTTCCGAGTATACACAACTATCAAGATTCTAGAGAGCAATGTCTCATCCGTGCGCTTGTGCATGTCTGATGGCTCAAAATCTCAGGCCGGTGTACACATTTTTAGGTGGTGATGCATGACGGTTATGGACTCCGTATAGGCCGTCCGCAGGCAGCATTTGTGCCTGGTATTGTCCAATAGGAGCAGATGGGTATCGAGTAATATGCTGGCCAAGTGGCCGATTGACAGTTCGAGTCTCTGAATTTGTGGTTGGTGGTGTGAGGTGCTGCGACTTCCCTGTGTCGTTGTTTCCGTACGACTACTCCGTACCCTGGCAACTAACGTTATAATTCGGCGCCAGGATCTTTTGCGATTTTCATCCTTGCCTCAGAAAAAGACCCATTCCGAGAAGTGGCCCGGCATGGAACAGATTTTGGCGAGGCACCAAAGGCTAGCGATGCTACAGGAGATGTGAACTCAGAGGAAAAAGTTGACAGCAGCCGATCTAACCCTGGATTGAACATCGCAGCAACCCAATGAAACTTCTTTTAGGTGATTCATCCGGAAACTTCGCTAGGCCTGCACATCAATCTTTTTGCTTCAGGTCGAAGTACGGATCTCCGTAGTCGAACCACTTTGCGGATGTCTTTGGACAGGTCTCATTGCAGGCGCTTTTTAGGGGGATTTGCAGAAGTCAAAGTTCCAAGCGAGAGAGAGGTAGCATGATCGAATGAAGTAGTTGTTTAGGGTTAATTCCGAGCAAAAGAAACGCAGACATGCCGGTTTCTTGTCAGTCTTCGAATGCTCCCACCGCCATGGACAAATCAAGCCGAGCATGAATACGGTGTGCCCCACGACTCTCAAGTCACGCTTGCGCCCAGCATTGACCGGGTCCAGCACACAAGCGAGGTCAACCGGCACCTGGGGTCCGAAAGACCTGGCAGTTTCTGGGTTCCTTGACACACCTTGACACCTCAAAAGGCTGGCCAAAAAAGCCCAACCGGCAAGCCCTGGGAAAACTTTAACTGATGTCTCGTTTCGCAATTACACATGTGTCGGGGCAACACACGCCATGCAGTGATGATGTCTCGCGCCGACAGCCACAATCAAATTCTGGAATCATGTCCACATCGGTAAGGGAGATTCGTGAGCGATGATAGAATAACGGAGTTCAGACCATGGTTCCGCTTCCAGGAAGTACCGGATGCCATGGGGCGCGGCAACATCTTCATGAATTTGGACGACGATCAAGTCTATCAAAAAGAGGCTCGCTAAAGAAGCTGTCAGTGACCCCACCGGCCGAAGCTTGCGAGTTGCTTTGCTTCAGACTTCAGAATCGACGAGGATAGTGTGGGCAAGAAAACCGAACTAACTATTGTAAAAGGCTGTCTGACGTGGAGACAATCAAAATGTTCCAGGGCCAGGATTCCGTGTTGCAGTGAAAGTTGCCCGGATACGACCTTGACGGTCAACGTCATGGTTAAGGCCTCCCTCTGTCAGACATGTTTAGTATTCTTATTCTTGCCACTTTTTTGTTCTTCGCCGTTTCCTTTTCAACTGCGGGGCTTGCTTGCTGCTGCCTGCGCCTTTCTTTCTCTTTGCCCCCTCGCTTATCATCCCTTCACCACTGCTCGTATCACTCTAGCTGCGCCTCTCATCGTTAGACAAGCACGCGAAACCTGACCGTTGCAAGCCTCACCACATGGGATCGCCGTCCTGATCATATCAATCTAATTGTCCGTCCGGTGCGAACCCGGCCCTTGTGACACAAATGATATCTCTTCTGCACAATTGCTCCTGCACACTGCACATCTCGACCGGTCAATGTTCACCAAGGTCGCCGTTGACAACAGTCAGTCCATCGGAGCGACTACTACAGGGGTGGCTTTAGTCAACATCTTTGGCCCCGCCCATTCGTGATTCTCTATTTGCAAGGCACGCTCCATTCTGTCACTATTTGATGCGCCTCCTGAGTTGCAGAAGTCTGAGAAGGGACAGCAAAAGTCACGCATAAATGCCTCGGTTCTGGTAGGTCAATGATCTCTGGACTTTTATGGAATCGTGGTATAACGCCGACCGGTACTAACATACAATGATGCCTGATCCCTTCTTTGAAAAGTACGACTCAAGATACTATCGGAGGACTCCTGCTCTCAGCATGGTTCCTGGCATGGTCATCGAGAAGTACGAGTACGTATCCATGGTCGCAAACGGGGTTGATCGTCTTTCCCTGTCCTGTCCTGTCTTTGCGTGAAATGGCTATCCACACTTGACTACTTCTTCGTCCCTCCGCTTGTTCTGACTTAACCCTGGGCTCTATTATCAGAATTTGCACACAACCGCACTCGAGATCGACATGCACTTTAGCATGTCTCCTGGCTGCTATAGCTCACTTTCGGCAAGCGAATGCTTACCGCCTGATGACCGAGGACTCTGGACTAAACATCACGAAGCCAACACCTGAGCCCTTCGGACTGTACAACTCATCCTTCCAAAGTCTGACTAGATCCTCGCGCCATTTGCGCGGTCTAGTGAGTAGCTGGATCATGAGTGGGGCTACTAGTCATCCACGGCCAGTACGAGTAGCATGATCTTATCTCTGGATGATCTGCCTTCAATATCGAGTCGATGATTCAAAGGAAGGCTCCTCGTTCAACAACTTGATGGCGACATTCGCCCATCTTGGCGCGTCCTGGTTTTCGCACGTTTCCTGTGCCGTAAGGTGTCAGGCGCACTAGTCCCGCAGATCAACAGCGGTAGATTTTTTGACAAGAGTTCTCGCATCAAATTAAGAAGTGCACTGTGGAAGTGCCAGGACAATATTACGGAATATCGTCGTGCACCATCAAACATACTCCAAGATGTGGATTCATGTTTTCGTTAGTCATGGTCAAGTGAGCAAAAGGTGGTCCGTTGACAGCTGAAGCAATATTGATTTATCCCCGCCAATCCTAGGAGATCGGCCGGTACTAACAAGCACTCATATGCACACACTTTACTACGGCATTATGGTACTGTACTCCGTACCACCGCCCAGGGTCTGTGATAGCTGACCATCTATTTGTGGTTAGTGCCCCGATCGAACACGAAGGATGTCAAGGCCTCCTAGCGCTCAATAAAATCATGCAGGAAGATCGCTGAAATCTTGATCGACTCTCGGAACCCGAACCATTGGAAACAGAGCTAACGTCACGACATATCCTTGAGTTGCACACGGTCAACTACTCTTGCAGCCTCTCCACCGGCTAAGCTGTGTCGAACTGTTCGATCCTTCGCACCAAAGAGACTTAATAAAAAATCCTTATTGCAGAATCGGAGCTTTCCATATGCTGATAACAGCCTATCATTATCCTTGGTGCTCGAGCTAGACAAGCCACCTTCTCGATATATTTCATGCCGCGTTCCCCATCGAAGTATCAGACCGCTCTGCAGACATTGGTCTAGAGGGTGCGAATGCCTAGAGTCTTTCCCTTCATATTCGGCAGGGATTGTGTATGATTTGACCATGCATTCACGTCGCATCAGAGTGTCGTCTACTATGATGCACCCTTGCCGCGCACCCATGATTCTAACTGCTTCAGGCAGCAGGAGAGTTTGACTGTCTTCACACATTTTTGGGTGGGTCTCGGTCTTGTGTCTTGTCGACATTCGCACACACCCGTGCGCACACTACCTCAGCCGTTTCGGAATCCCCCGGATGTCCTCCTGACCAAGTTCGATTTCCAACACTCGCAAATACCGCCGGTATCACTCGAATGCATTGTTACCGGAACTGCGGCAGGGCTCACGATGACCAGGTGAAGAGGTGCGAGCACGACCGGGACTCTTGCCTTGCGGCATCTCGGGACGACAAGTGGCGACCAATCTTCCGCCAATTCTTTTATCCACGAAGTCAGCCTGCCGTCATAATCTTGACATGAGTTGATGATCTTGCGAAGACCACCAGAGGTGCTGCACTGTTTGTCACGCCAAAGCCCTTCTGGATATATGACTACTTGATCTCAACGTCGGCAGACAGGTAGGGCCATGTCCAGCCATAGTCAGCGGAGTGTTCGGCAATGATGGCAGGGATCCTGCTAGGCCCGCGGGACAAAAGAGCCGAGGCCTCATTCGCGAGGACAAGTCCATTTGCATATCGGTCGATTCGTGGGTGCCGTCGTTTGAGTGACGCTGATGTATCCTGGAGTTCGCAAAGTCATTTTGCATTGGTGGCAGTATGCCCTAGGAAGCACGATGCTGGGGCAAACAGAACGCACGCTGATTATGAGAAGTGCAGGTGACTGACAGAGGTCCTGCTCTCTTTTGGAAGTCGAGTCTGCATAGGTCTACTACGACAATCCCTGAGTTTCCGGTCATGATTGATGACATGCTATGGTGCCTCGTTCTAGCTGATCTCAAGGTGTTCTCGGGACTGTAGCCAAGGTACGACTAGGAATAATATGATATGACCTACTATCATCGCGAACGGCGTCATATCCACCCCTACATCTTCGAGCGACAAACAACGGCGACATCTTCCAGGAACAGGCAGGCTTAAAGTGCGAGTTTCGACCCCGGCCTATACATACTCCTGGAGCCCAAGATCTGCTCTTGCAAGAAAGCGAGGTTTTTGTACTCTTGGACTCGCGACCTCCTGCTGTCGTTCAAACTCGAGGCCTGGTTACTCGTGCATGTCAACTGGTCTTCGCATCTGTCTCTTCGATAGTGGTGGGTGGGTAGTACCCTTGTACGCGATGCCGGTAAGTACGTGAAGAACCTGTCGATTTGACCTCCTGAACATGAACTGCCAGTCGTCTTTCTGAGCATATTATCCGTTAACGTGTCAGTGACCATATGTCTGATGTTGCATGTCAGTCTCCCCGGAACAGCAGGTTCACGACTGTTATGTCTCTGGCAGATTGTCGACTCTTTGCTCGCCCGGTAAGTTGTTTGGTGCGCGGTTCTGTAATGCCTAGCCCTTTACGTGCACATCACATCCCAGGCCGGAAAGCTTCTCCTTCTCCGTCTCCCAGAGCGGACTGAGCGGAGCACGTCACACTTCCTAAGCTGACAGCTTTAAGGCTCGGGAAGCAGGAGCACAACGTGAACAGAAGAGACGAAGCTATCTGTGCCAGCTAGCGTTTCGTTTAAGATACTGTTTGACTTGTTTAGGCAGTGCTCCTCTTCTCAAACTGGCATATATCAGGACCAATTGTTGTACGGATATATTTCCCTGAGCGTGTCGTCATTCGAGCGTCATTTACCCCGAACTATCAAAAGCACCTCTATCTACAGTATATCCCCATCAGCGAAGTCACAACATGGTTCTCAAGTGATCAACTGGGAAGAATTGATCAGCTTTCGACTGAGACTCTTGTATCGACCATGGCGACCAAGCCGAGCATCACAATTGACCCTTCCAAAAAGCAGCCGCCTACAAGAGACCATCCAGAACCATCTTCACTGAAGCAGCAGCTACCACCAGCAAAGTCAACCAAATCCCATCCAACAAAGACCACACGGAACAATGCCAGCCTCTTCTTCGTGGGCACTGCCACCACAATCCTCGAATGGCAAGGACTCCGACTGATGACAGACCCCAACTTCCTCCACGCAGGAGACCACGTCCATCTCGGCCCTGGTGTCCAGGGCACACGCCAGACGAACCCAGCCGTTGATCTACACGACCTTCCCAACATCGACTTGGTCCTGTTGTCGCACTACCACGCCGACCACTTTGACCAAGAAGTCGAGGCATCCCTAAGACGCAACCTACCCATCATCACCACCCCACATGCCCAAGAGCATCTAGCGAACAAAGGCCAAGGCGAGTCATTCACTGCGGTCCACGCCGTCGACGCCTGGGAGAACATGTTCGTCAACGTCGACGCGGGCACCAAGGGCGCCAGACCAGGCATCCACGTCACAGGCATGCCAGGCAAACACGTAGGTGATGGCCTCCTGTCCAAAGCCAACGACATCCTAGGCGCTGTGCCACCGACCAACGGCTGGATGCTGGAGTTAGGATACTCATCCGATCAGGACAAGGACTTCGAGTGCGGCTACCGCATCTACATCTCCGGCGACACCCTATACGTGTCGGACCTCGAGAAGATCCCCGAAATGTACACCCATGCCGGCAAACCCATCGACCTGATGCTCATTCACCTGGGTGGCACGACCATCCCGGGCCCGCACATGCCGTTGATCATGGTCACCATGGACGCCAAGCAGGGTATTCAGCTGGTCAAGTTGATACAGCCCGAGTTGACGGTTCCCATTCACTACGATGATTACGATGTCTTTTTGTCGCCGCTGGCAGATTTCAAGGCTGAAATGACGAAGGCCGGATTTGACGAGAAGGTGGTGTACCTTGACCGTGGCGACCAGTTCGAGTTTGAGGTCCGTGGAGGCAAAAGTACTTGAGGCCGGCTATCGAGGAGGGTCACGTTCAGTGTGATGTACGGGTGCGACCCGGGTAACGAGCACCGGGCTGGGAAAAAGCCCAGGCAAGCGAGTTGTTGGCGGTGCCAAACTTAAGGCCCACGAGGCACCGACTCCTATGAGTCGCACTATCAATCTCTTTCCTTCGGACACCAGCGAGAACATAGCGCTTTCTCTGAGCTGCGGAGGCAAGGATGAGCAGTATGCAGGACTGTCCGCTCAGTGAAGATGTTGCTTAGTGGTGCACACAAATGATCGGCTTCTTAAAGAAGGAAAGGACGAAGCCATGAATAACCATATCCAAAGCGGGAGGCCAGCACAACCGGGATACCACTACATTCAACACGATCAGCCTTGTCACTGAGGATAGTGGGCAAGCAACCATGTCACCATCTAAAAGAGGTAGATCAGAATCTCATCAATTTCTTATCTGATGACACCGGGGTGTTGTTACACTATATTGCTATGACAAAGCTCTTTCGTACATTGCAGATTGCATTAAGCCTTTTTCATTACCGCCATAGGGCGAAGTCGTCCTATATGCCCCTCCCATTTGCTCCATTCATAGATGCATTGTGCGTGTACATCCATCCGTACAGTCTTGGGAATCCCAACGCCTCGATGCCATGCAAGATCCAGCCCATATCCCATTTCTCGTTTTCGCCATCGCCATGCAAAAGCCCACATCAATAAGCATACTCTCGTTCACGGTTTCTCACAGGTGACTGTGTATGCTGATCATAGTCGTCATAACTCCCAACTTGTTTCCTGATATCACCATAGCTGTGTCTGGGCTCAACGAGATTACCATAGCCAGACAATCGCTCTCTGCTCGAGGGGAAATAGTGCGGAGCTTGAGGTGGGTACTCCATGCTCGGAGAGTCATAAACGCTGTCTCGCCCTCCTCCATAGACACTGTGGGTTCGATAGTCGTCGCTAGGTTCGAGCAGCTGCTCCTTGACGTCCCAATGACCCTGTTTCGTGCCGACGCTGAACTCGAGATCTTCCTTGGTGATGCTGTCCCAATACTGTACAAAAATTAGTCTCAACGTACACAGCGATACCCAGCATCAAGTGACTCACCTTGTAAACCATCATCACGCCCAACAGATTGCAGACAGTCGCAAAGAATAACGAATCAAGATAGTGGTTGACTCCTTCGCAGACTTTCTTTCCGAACACATAAAGGATGACTTGGCCGACCACGAAGAAGAAGCCTCCAAACGCCAGATTGCCCAGGGGCCACCGATCCTGCAAAGTGTTGACGACCAGAATGACCTGCATGATGAAATAGACAGCCAGAAAGACAGCGTTGATGATGTACAGCACAACAAATAGTCCCGTTGTATTTGTTGGGGACAAGCCAGCCCATCCCTTGACAGTGAGCAGACTGACGGCAAAGCTGATGATGAACATGAACAGACTGCCTAGCCGCAACAGCCAGATTGACAGCGTCGTGCCGTCCTCGTACAACTGAAACCCGACGAACCCATTGATGAGAAGACTCGTGCACAAGGCACTGGCAAGGCCATTCTGCACTGCCACGAACCAAGGATATGCGCTCTGATTTGTTGCTTGTAACACGCCGGCGTCCAGCACCAGACTGACAATGGTCAAAAGAGAATAAAAGTAGAAGAACGTCAGGATCTCCTTGCGGCCGACCGCGGTGAACTTGGATCGGACGTGGAAGATCATGATGGCCGTCATGCTCAAGGCGGCAATGTGTGCAAAGTCACTGGCGGCCTGGAAAATGATGGTGTTGCCCACCTCGATCGATCGAGCGCTGCATGCTGGGAGGAGGACTGGATTGTGGAGGGCGGTGAACTCGGTTGGACTACCAAGTAGATAGCAGAGAGGTAGAGCCGACTGCTCGCAGATCGAATCGAAGGATCCGAAACCCATTTTGTGGGCAGTATGCCCTCGAGGGGGGTGTTTCGAGTTAGCAGACGCGCTGTCGATGAATACCGACTCGGGACAGGCTGCAAAATGACTTTGCTTATATCTTTCCAGCAACGAGAGGGTGGTCTCGTCAAAGGGCGGTCGTCAATGAGGATTGCAGGACGTAAAAAAGAGACCAAGTTCGCTAGGACGATCGCGGTGATGGCTCTGGGATGACGAAAGAACAAAAATGAACGCTTGCGATGTATGATACAGATGTAACGAGCGTAAGGTGTCGCCAAGTCATCAGATAGCGAAAAGCAGGGAAAGATGGAGTCGTGGTGATGGTGGTGAAGGGCAACGAAAGATGAGGCTCTTGTGAACAAGGCGCAGTCCAAACACGAACTGTGCCCCCTTAGGCTAGCGCCCTACTTTTCGTTGCCGGAGGCCCCTGAAAATAGAACGCCACGATCTACGGATCTACAGTATAGATCTTCAAGGACTCTTTAGACACAATTTTCATGTTTAAGAAAGCCATTTCTCAGTCTCAAGGCTTTGTGTATGGACTGCATTATGCCAGGACTGGGTAAGTCGCCATATCACACTAGGATGTAAACCCATCACCGCAACACCAGAAAACACACAACCCTCTTATCACCCAAGCACCATTGCCCCGAGAAAAGCATGCCTTTGCAGCAACTGAGCCTAACCAACGCCATGTTCTCTGTTTCGTCGTTATCGTTGCGCTACCCTACACCATAACCTCACAAACTCAACACGTAAGTAAGAGCTCCGTGGTGTCATTTTACACCTTGCCATGTCTGCGGCCATGTCGACGGCTGTGTCGTTTCGACTTCACCCGAGTTTCGCCCTTGGACACGATCTGTCGTGCGCGCTCTTGTGCAACAGCCAGTTTTTCAACCAACATTGCCTTTGCGCTTAGGTCGTGCTGCAGCCGGGCCAAGTCCATGGAATCGAACCATCTCGAAAGTGCCTTTCCTGCTTCTGAGATGCCATTTGATAGTCGACCCAAAGTCTTCTTCCCTTGAAGAGCACCTCTGTCTGACATTTCGAGGAAGTCCTCACGGGCCGCTCTCGCGCTTTGCAAGACATGCGCTTTCAGAGGCGCAAGGTCATCGAGTTTGTAGTGCATGGCTTCGCCGAGCTTACTTCGTGTTCCATTGACAGCTTTGATGATCAGATTTTGCCGCCTAGCAGGCATGATGTTTGACAGTGTTGTTATCATAGCATGGATCTGCTTCTCAGCCATCTCTATGACCTTCTTCGCAGAGAGCTGAACCAAAGTCGGGCGATCCCCAAAGGACACAGTCAGAGTCTCGCTCAGACTAGGCTTGGTCATGGTCAGATTGACCTCGATGTCTCCGAAGGCATCGTGTGGCTGGAGTTGTATGCTATACACCCCTTCAAGAAGCTCATGTACAACAGCCGGGACAGTATCGTTGTTTCGCTCGAGCACAACGGACAGAGGCGATCGCTTCTTTCGACTGGTAGCAATCTTGGGCAATTTCACCATAAACTGATTATCATTTGCGAGCCCCACTTGGAAATGAAGGGCATCTTCCCCCAGTTGATAGATAGATGCGACTGCGAGGTTTGGCTGTCCAAGTTGAATAGCTCTACTTGTGTCGGAAGGGGTGACCTGCGCGACTGGGACATGTCCGGGCGTCTCAGAAACCGGAGTCGCCGAGGTCCATGTGGGCATCATGCTAGGAACAGCATGTGAATGTACAATCTCTTGAACCCCATCTCCAGATGCGCCCGAGATTGTCTCGTACATGATGGGCCATAGTCGAGCACCGAGAAGAAGATAGGCGCCAAGCAACCAAAGAGCCATCAGAAGGTTCTTGTTCAGAAAAGTGTTGCTGCGCAGAAACTGGCCGCGACCATCCTTTGGCTTCTCCGTCACACTAGCCTCCTGATTGACTGCATCCACAAAAGACCGCGGCAGGTCTTCGTCCGGTTTCGAGGTGATGAAAGCAATGTGCTTGTTCAGGGTAGCAGAGTCGAGGTTCAAAAATTGCCCCATGTGCACTGGAAGCGGGTCGAGGCGGTCGACAGATTGTAAATGCTCGGTCCTTGCCTCGACAGTCTCGTACAGATGAGTCGAATCCCATGTTCGGAGGTTGTATACTCCATGCCAACTTCGATCCATTCGGATGGTGATACTAGGGATCTCGTGCTGGGCGGCAAACCTCAAAAATGCGAGGCTCTGAGAATCCAGGAATCCTCTTTCGAGGTCAACGCATATGATGGCAAGGTCGGGGAGTGTCCAGCGTGGATTGGTCGCCACGTATCTGTAGCCATCCCATTGAGAAGCAACCTCAGATTTCGATTGACGGTCTTTCAAAACAAAAGCCGGTCGTGGGCTGCTCAATTCCTCGACGGAGTCAAAACATTCAAAGTCGATTTGCTTGTCAATAGCTACCAGGTCGGCATAGTCTGGCTTTGATCCTGGTCCGAAGGAGTTTGGAACGAGGTGAAATCTGGATATCGAGGATCTTGGGCTGTACGTCGTGACTGGGCGAGCCGCCAACGCGTCACCAAGCTTTCTCTGAAGTTCTGGCCGAAATTGTTCGACCTGTTTGCCTAGCAAGACGATCTTGAAATAGCCGAGGGTGTCTAGATCCAATCCATGTTCCATGAGTGCCATATGAACGATGCTGGAATAGGTGGTCAGGTCGTCAGTGCGTGGGAATCTCTGTCGCATCGCCTGACCTTGCTCCTTGCTAAGGGAGTTGACCTTCGTATAGCATTGGGGAGGAAATGTGCCAATCTCTTGCGTGTCATCGTCGACTTGGCCACTTCTAGAACGAACATCATTCGTCGCTTCTCCTTGCATCCTCAAAATCTTTGTACGGCGTAGATCTGACGAGTTGTCTCTGGTATCCTCCACACTAGTATGCCTTCCATGACTTGGGCTGAATTCGTCCACGATACTGTAAACGTCCTCTAAGTTGTAAACATCGAGTAGGGACCCGACGTCGGTATGTTCAGACCTTAGATCATCCCCACTCAAAGACTCGATATCGGTGAGGGATGCCCAACTCTCGTCGAGGGCAGGCATGTTTGCCTCGGAAGACGGCATGCTTCGCGGCGGTATCAGGCGGGAGGATTGAGAAAGCTCATGTAGAGACTCAAGTGAGAGGTTCAAAGCAATCTCTGGAAATTCTAGATTGATGTTGGAATTTGCAAGTACGGTTGCAGCCTCGTCGTGGTCTTCGTGGCTATCTTGAGAAGGTACATCAGTCATTTTGATGGTAGACTGGTGATAGATGTTCTGTCGAAGGGGAGGGAAGGAATTGTTCGGCGAAGGGACTTACTGGATAAGGCAGAAATCGCAGGCAGTCTCTCGTGTGAGACACTTTCGACTGCCGACTGTCTGGTACGCGAGAGCGATGGTTCAGGTCATTATCTGGAGAATGATCGATGATAGCGTTCTCTCGCGATCGGGCAGGAGTGAATCACGATTTTCAGGAATTCACGTGCAGTCAGTTGCCAGTCAGATTCAAGCAAGTTAGCCACAACCTCAGTATAAAGCAGAATATATCGAAAGTGTTTATCAAAGAGAGTGAAGATGACAGGCAACAGACGCTGATCGTCGACAAGGCAGACATCCACCCCGCATAACCCCTCCGCATGCACATGTGTATCACAGCCTGATATCGTGAATACCTTATCGGCACTATCAAGGCAAGGCTACAGCACAGCCTGATGACAGTTTGGTACTTGCTCAAAGCAAACAAGAAGTATATCGTATTCACACAGATTGAATGTACATCTCATGACCCGTTCGTTGAACGGCGTTCCTGTACCCACAGACCTATTATAAGGGGTTCAACATAATATTTTCGTCCCCAGCATCCATGATTTGGCCAAAACGGCTCCCTAAAGACCTTGATTGGTCTTGCCCACCTGTTTCCTTATCCTGTCTCAAACGTCTGATCACACCTGTCTCACGGTTTCGGTTGTCTCGGTCAGACCTTGCACCTTTCGAGGTGTTTGCCAGTATGGTCATGCTGTGCGTCGAAAAGAGCAGACAAACACAGCGCCTCGAAATCCAAAGGTGCCTCCAACATCATTTGCACAAATGGTCCGACTTTTGGTCCGAACGTCTCGACGCCGAACTGATGTTTCTAACCAGTTAAAGGACACGCGACACCGCCGCGTAGCGATAGCTAGTCAAACATCTGGTTTGCGGTTGAAATACTTCGAAAGCTCTTCCTCGTCAAGCCTGAATGCGTTCAAGGAGAAGCATAGCCGCCAGCCACCTCTACCCATTCAGCATAGCAACTACCCTCTTTGCCTTCCACATCACGGATATCCGTATCGCATCGACATCGGCAGCCTACGCCGTTCTCCTTGGGAGTATCGGGCATTGCCCAGTAGTCGTCTTCCTCCTTTCGTTCCTTGTCATCTTCAGTCGTCTTCTCGTAGAAGGGAAGATGCGGAAGCTGTCTTGCTGGGGCGTTTGCGGGGCAATGTTGGATTGTCGTATGCCTGTATCCAATATCGCGGAAATAGTGGATGTCTCGTGGTGCTAATAGTGCCCCGGCTGCGAGAGAATGAATGGGAGCATCTCCCCACTGGAAACATGTTAGCCAAAGCCGAGATTGATCACTGAACCGGAATCATCTTACCCTTTCCATCCAAAATCCACCACTCTTATCCATCATGTCGAAGAAATCGTTGTATTCTTGGCTCCTGAACCAGTCCAGCCTTGCAATCTCAAAGTTGCTCCAGAAATGGCACATGTTGTATTTTTCTCCTTCCATGGCTTCCGGATCAATATCCTCGATGTTCTGGTGTCCCGGCTCAGTTTGCAAAATCTCGTTTGGTAACGTTTTGGCTCGGTTTTCGTCCGCAGATTCCTTCTTTTCCGGTTTGGGTTCGACAAACATCTCCCAAAGACCTTGCGACTGAATGTTGTTCTTCCGCTTGTAGGCAGATGCATATCTGAAGATGTTGGGCACGGTTTCCTTCAGTTCCTTGACCGCAATGGTGAACCCGTAAGTTTTGTTTGATTTGATCATCTCGATGAAGGGGTCGTAGGTGATGTCACAAAAGTACTTGATCTCTGGCTCAAGGCGCCAGTACCATTCGTACTTCTGCAGCAGCTCATGCTTGTAGAAAAACCCCGAGTAGAAGCGACACATGTGGTGGTAACTCTCCATGCCACCGTACATGATTGCAGCATCTCCCTGTTTGCGAATACCTTCTCTTGCAACCTCATGATCAACCCAGTCCGGATACCCCCACATCGACGCATCAATCTTCCCGAACTCGGACGGACCGCTGGTGTAATTTGTCACTGTGTCTTTGAATGACTGTTCGAATTCGCCATCGTTCAGGAACACGTAGGGATAATGAAACCACCGGTTGAAATGTCGCTCGATGCTTTTTATCGATTGTATTACTCCTTCCAACTCCTTATTTCGGGCCAGGACAACGAAAGCAGCGTTTGCACGCGGCTGTTTGGCAGCTTCATCCGGGTTTAGGCATCCTGTAGCAAATACCTTGTCGTGCTTTTCGCTGATTTTTCTGTGACGGAGTTAGAGAGGGCATCGCGAGATTGAATTGGAGGACATACCTGATGGAAGGCGGTGTCCCTGCCGGGACTAATATGCGTCCCGGTGAGTTAGGGTGCTTGACCACAAGGATGAGAATTAATATGACCACCAGACTGGGGAAGAGTAGCAGAAACCCCAGAGGTATTGATATTGACGAATTCCCTTTTAACTTGACGCGCCTGCGGAAAAAGGATAATTTTGACATGGACTTTGATTTTTCATTCTTCCAGTCTTCGGCTGACGGGGTCGAGGGCAAGCGCTTGAGGACACGCTGCAGAAACCCCATGGTTTGATGGACGGTGACCCAATGTCGTCCGCCAAGGAGGCCGGTTGCACTTCTCCTAGAGAATTATCTCGCAATCATGCAGACCTTTGCCGCGCATTGGATGATTCAATCGACAAGTCAGGTTATGGGGTTGACTACTTGATCGGACGAAGCTTCGTAGGTTTGAATCGCAGTTTGGTGTCCCAACAAACGCGGAGGCTGGAGGAGATAGGGATGAGCGGATAGGGTTGGAAGGGACAGCTGCACTGAGGGTGTTCGAGGTTGCGCCGTGCTCTATGGCTATGTCGACAGATACTTGAGCAATGTATGGAGGTCGTAATGGTGAATCGTCGAAGAATTAAAGGTATGAGGACAGATAATGGGGGTTCTTTTTCGCTTGAAGGGACTGGACTCTGAGGCAGGGAAAGGATGGAGATGCAGTACCACCGGGAGACCCACTCCCAAGTCCTTTGGCAACGGGCGTTTGGCTGAATTGCGATCGTTGCCAAGCACCGGACTACGCAGCTTTGCAAGGAAACAATCAATCACCCGCCTTCTCTGGGCCCCCTTAATAAGACATTACTATCTATAAGTTAAAGTGCCTGGCCCAGCTGCTGGAAGGCCTGGGTGAGCCTGAGAATATCGGGTGTCGTAGTAGGTACGGAGTGAACATCGGACTGGGTTAATTGAAGTTGTTGGATACAGGCACAAAGAACCAGGAAGTTGCTCCCCTCGAGACTATAGCATTTAAGATTGCGTGATATGCTCGAAAAGAGCGTATATGTCATCAACATGGATTGCCATTAACTACAGTACTATCTACCTAGGTCGGTAACCTTCTCAGATGGAGAAGCCATTCGAAAGCCAGGGCACACCAGGGGAGCCAGGTAATTATTATTGCATCTTCCCCGCCCCGGGCATTCCACGTATGGGTGTGATGGGCATATCTCTACTAGTAGTTTAGGTACTCGCACTTGCAGGTCAGACATGCATGGCAACGTCGATGGCGCCGCAGGGCCCAACCCCGTTACTCCAATCGCCACAAGAAATAATGACACAGACCACAGACCTTACGACTGCGCCTGCGCCGTCTACGCAAACCAGAACACGTTGGCAAACCAACCACTCCTACACTTACGAACCTCATGCCAAACACATCCGACAATTTATTTCCAGCACTCTCTTGACAGTGATTGTACCGTAGTAAGCTGTCCAACCGATACGCCTTCATCAAGTCATCTCTGAAACACACATTTGATTGTTCTGCTACCCGGCTGTCTCGAGTTCCGCACGACTCGAAGACGTCCCCGCGCATTGTATCCACTGCGACCTGAAAAGTACAGCCTACATGTACAGAATGCTATGACAAACATCGCGCGGCGACGGACGCCCTTTTCTGAAAGCTCCTGCAAGGAAATCGTCACATATCGCACAGAATGGCGGCGACCTCTCCTCTCCGGCCCTCGACGCCATTGAATTCGCCGTTCAACGCGCCTCAACTATCGCCGAGCCGAATGCCGCCTCCATTCCTGCCACCGGGCTCCTACAAGTCAGGACACCGACATCTCGATGTCTTCTCGCCGGTCGATCAGAATGGTAGTTTCTGTTTCGACAGAGTAATAAGGCGCGGCAAAGTACTCCGGCGTGTGAAGAACAAGGGAGCTTGGAAAGCCTCATGGAAGCCTGCATATCTGGTCTTGAGGCCGAACCTTCTGTCCGTCTACCAAAACGCAGACGAAACCGATCTCAAGGTATCTATAACGCTGTCTGATGTCAATGCTGTGGCACCCGTCCGCAAATCAAGAGCCGAAAACGTGTTCGGAGTCTTTTCGCCGTCCAAGAACTATCACTTTCAAGGCCTGTCGGCGGCCGATACCGCGGACTGGATTGCACACATCCGTCTCGAAGCGAGGACGGACGAGGAGGACCAAATCGATCTGCGTGCGCCACAGTACTCCAACCGCGATGGCGAAACATCCAATACCTATGAGTCGACCGACATGTCGGCAGATGAAGCACATAATGCTCCAAAGTCTTATGATGGACATCAGACAGGTCTGCAAAAGAGGCCGAGAAAAGGGTCCTATTTGACCCAGCAAACCACTCTTCACGACTACTCTGGAACCGAGCAATTATCAACATCGATGTCTGATTTCTCCGATACGCTGGGTAGCTCTCTACCGAAGAACTCTACCACCTCGCTTCCGAAGCAACCAGTCCTCACTCCTATCGCTTCTTCACAGCAGCTAGCGACATTGTCCACACCTAAGCTGCCCGCTCAGCAGCAATTATCAACGTCTCATCAGGATCAAACGGTCGACCCAGAACGGGTCATTCGTCATGGATACCTGCAAATCCTCAAGTCGCACAAGACGGGTGTCAAAGGTTGGAAATGGCTCTGGGTTGTTCTGCGAGCCCGAAGCCTGTCATTCTACAAGAACGACCAAGAATATTCTGCATTGAAGATCTTCTCAATGAGCTCGATCATCAATGCCGCAGAAATCGATCCGATCAGCAAGTCGAAGAATTTCTGTTTTCAGGTCATCATGGATGACAAGTCATACCGGTTCTGTGCCCACGATGAGGATGACTTGGAAAAGTGGCTTGGTGCCTTGAAAAGTGTGTTGAGCAGACGGCAGGAGTCCCAGAAATTCTTGGGAAACGGCAAAAGGAAAAGCATTACGGAAGCGACTGCCGGCCTTTCCTTGCGGTGAGAGCTGAGACTCCTCGTCGAATACTGACGATATTGGACGGGCAAGTCTTGGACTAGACAAGCCCACGATATTATGAATTGATGTATGAATGCGGAAAAGCCGATGAGGCTATGATTGGAAACGGGCAAATTTGACTGCCGGGAAAAGTGTTAGGACTATAACACGCAAAAGCACTCCTCACGACTACATCCTGGTGATGTGTGCCGTTCTGGTTCAATGTTCGGGACGGTTTTTGCGATGAGAACCCCTTTTTCTTCTTAAAGGGTGGTTATGCATGGGCTGTTGGAAAGGGACGAATTCTGGAAATGAACATGAACGCCCGCCCGACATTTGGACGTCAGCATTCAGCCATGACCGAGCTGCAACACACTGAATGGACAGCAAGAGAGATTGGCGACGAAAGCCGCCAGCGCTGAGCGAGGATGCTTCTCTTGTCTATGTATGGTGATGATGACTATACAATAGTACAATATAGTAGAGTACATTAAATGATACCCACCATGTTTTTTGGATATCCGTCCATCTAGCTCGTACAGTATCCTCATTTCCATGCGCCAGGCTGGTAATCATACAATGGGTGAACCCGCAGCTAACCAGTGCCAGACTTCTTATAGATCCTGATACCAAAGATTTCAAGAATGTAACCGAAGATTTTGTGACAAGTCCGAAAGTCGACTTAGATAGGTTCAGCCGGCCATGTCTCAATGATGATCGAGGCAAAAGGCACACGATCCTGCTTTGTGGAGCATCTGGCGAAATCGACCGAGATTGGTCAACTGCGACCAGCTAATCACCTGGCCACGAAGATGGACCGCTCACAGACTTCACCGGTCCTCATAGATAGTCGACTCCCTTTTCCGACGTCCAAAGAATCCGCGCACACGACCCCAACCACGAGCCAAAATGCCAGTGTTTGAGTGCTCGACGTCCTCCCTGACAGCCGCGATATCTTCACCCGCCGTGCCCCGTCCGCGCTCTTGATCCTGTTCATACGCATAAGAGTCTTCCAGGTCCTCGGCGTCTGGCTGTCTCGGCTGCAAAGGCGCCGGCTGCTTCACACCGCTAGCGAACTCCACGGGCATCCAGCCATCATCCAGTCTTCCACCGATGACATGCACGCTCTTGGATAGGATCGTATCTTGACGAGTCTGTTCCGTCTCTGCTTGATCGGTCTTTTTTGCGTCCTTTAGCTGTTTGAGCACGGCACCTGCGGCACCTTGTGGACGGCGCGGCTGGCCTCTTGCCACGTTGAAAGGCGCAAGACGGCTGTGGACCACGTTCTGTGGCCAACTTGCGGCAAAGAGCCCGTCGTTCAGATCGGCCCAGTACATCTTGACTTCGCGCAACTCTGCCCAGTCGGGCTTCCCTTTGTCGCTGTCCTGAAGAATCTTCCCTTCCTTCTCCTCGAACTGATTGAGAGCAGCTTGCCTGGCCTCGGCAACGTTCTTCCACACGGAACCATGCTCTGACATCGGGACGTCATGCAGGTCGAACCACTCCTCGATGGCGCGGCGTTCCGCTTGTCTCAAGGTATACTGCCTTCTACTCCACGCTTCCACGTCGACTTTGCTGGCATCGCCATCATAAAATGCCTCCCACTCCTTGACGGCGTCTCTGAGCTCTCGAATGTTCTCGGCCTCGACAAGCCTGCCGCAGGAGACAAGCCCCTGGTGCTCCATGCTAAGTTGCTCCAAAGCCGCACGCATGAGAGGCAATCGGCTTCGGTTGTCCGACTCGTGCACCTCCAACGCCCAGGAGGCGCGGTCTTCTAGCTTCTGCTGTTCACTTGTTTCTTCTTTCCGGATGGTATTGGCTCGCTGCCTAGCTCTCCTCGTCTTCTGACTGTGTCTTACGGCTCGATTTGTGGCCACTTCGACTAACCTTTCCAGCGGGCCAGGTCCGGAGCTAATCCAGTCGAGCACAAACGCAGCGTCAGCAACACTTGTGGCTTTATGATCCATCAATCTCCGTGCGTGCAATTTCTTGGGCAATATTTCACCGATTTTTGGTATCTTGCCAGTCAGTTCCTCCCGGGCTGCCATCTCCTGATGATCGACCGGATTGCCGATCTTCGACTTGATGACGGCGATGTCCTCTTCTGTAACCCTTATCAGGTCGTCCGGAGGCGATAGTTGCCTTTGTAAAGAGAGCTCGCGCAGTTTCTGAAACGCGAAAAGACCTTCGAGCGCACCTGCGGGTGTGGAAGGGAAATGTATAGAAAAGTGCGGCGTCCACATATCCGTTCGAACTGACGACGGTACAGTTTTCTTGCCGTGAAAGACCAGTTGGTTCAGTACTTTCGTGCTCTATGTATGGGTCAGAGAATGCAGCATGTAGACACGAACAGCAGAAGATACCTGTAATGTTCTTGTCAAGCTATAAACGACTTGATTCGTCCTGACATGCCGGTAGGCATATATGTCCAAGCCATGAGTTCCGTGCCGTAGCGCTTTAACAGCTTGACGAGACTGTATCTGAGCACGATCTTTGAGCGCATTGGCATTGTGTTTTCGCCATTTACCCTGCACCCACCATCGATCTTCACCAGAAGGTCCAAGGGGTGGCTGGGGGTCTGTATTGGGACTCTTAGTCCCCTTGAGCATCCTCGGAGGTCGTATTCGCGGCATCTGAGGGATGGACATTGGGGGCATCTGGTGGGCCATGGTTATAGCTGCGGTGGCCGCCATTGCGGGCGGTGGCCGTACGGCCTAGTCGGAACTGCACTGCAAAGAAAGGAAGGCAAGAGGTTATCTCGTCATGCCGGATCACTGCCGAAGCGTTTGTGCTGTCTGCGAGTGGACGACCGCAATTGAGTGATGCTGGGTATAATTTCGTCGAGATGCACGCCTGCCCGGACTAAATTGACCTAGAGCTGGCGCGGAATTAGATGGAGGCATGATCTTGGCAAGTTTGCAACAATTACAGTAGCCTCATAGCGAAAGTTCTCCCTATCCAATCTATGGCATACCTGGACGGCTACGAAGACTTGAGAAAGATTCGTGATGAACTCAAGAGCAGTCTTACATAGGGGCGGAGCGTCACTGAATGGCAGTACTATTGAGAGCGAAATTCCTGCATGCTATGGGTCGAGATGATCGCCACGGACTTTCAGCCTCAACCAGATTGATCTCCTACCTCTTCCAGATCTCCTCAATTCTTGAACGCCTCCATGTTTTCCTGAACCACATACCATGATCCATATCCAGAGAGCCTCCTTTGTTGGAACCAGATGCGTCGCTCACTTATAATATAATTCTCGTCGAAATCATCAGTCGTGTTTGTGTCGTTTTTGTTGTATGCCATTCATACTAGAATATGCGAGTTCATTCTGTTCAATGTGCGATGGAGCTTGAGGTCGCCAAAGCAGAAGGTGTCTGCTGGGACGAGCCTGCATGTCCGTCAACAAGAGGTGCCCAGGTTCGCGGAATGTCCATGCTCCTATTGAGGCGTCCACCAGGTGTTAACGGATAGTCGACACGGGATCGATCCAGTCTGTCATCCTCATCAGAAGTCTCATCGGCGAGGCGAGCAAAGTAATCAGCCAGTGCGTGGTTCGCATCCCCCGAGACGATGTTATCATACTGAGGAGGAGGAGTAACTAAAGGTGGCGGAGGATCATCCTCGTCGAATGCGGGTGGATTGAAAGACGGGGCTCGGAGCAAGTGCATCGGCCTAGGCTGTGCAGCATTGGGATCGTTCTGGATGTGTGCTTGATCGGGCATGGTAAGACCCCCACTATCATTAGTCCAGCTGCGCTGTACACCAGGTCCGGCACTGCCATTATCGACTGAGGTGTTGAGCGTTGGAACGCGATGTTGAGAGACTGGAGGAGTATTTCGTCGTCTCAAGGCGGCTCCGGGACATCCGCATTCGAACTCATCAGCTGGGGCAGGCGCTGTTCCACCGGCACTGTACGCAGGTAGCGAGATGTTCGCCTGGGTTGCACGACATGAAAGGATGTTAAAAGGTGAATCAATCGAAATCTCGAAATGGCGTCGCTTAGTGGAGTCATTTTCGTCCGGACGAGAAAGACGCATCACGATCTGCCGAGATATATTAGCAACATTTAGAGGTTAAGTGAGGACAGTCTTTACCTTGATCCAGTGATTGACCTGAATGTTGGCATAAGTGGTGTCAAAGTGCAGCCGCTCACTCCTCAATCTATCTTTCATCTGGTGACAGCTCGGCAGCTGTACACTAAATTCCATCTCCGTCGGGCCAATACTTCCGGCGTCGTTATCCAGGTTACCAAGAAGGTTGGTTTGGTCCCTAGGGACCTGCTCGTCTCCAGCAGCTGCAGCTGCACGGTAGTCGTATGGGACGCCACCACCTGCCAAGATACGCATGGAACTTCCAGGATATGAGGAAACGCTGTGCCCATCAGCACGCTTCTCGAATAGTTGCACCTTTCTCGTTGGCTCCAGCCTGTGGACCTTCTTGTTGTTTGTGAAATACTGGATATTTTCTGTCACAAATACTTTGATCCGATGACATTGCACCTTGGCCAGAGGGGTCAGCTTGAATGCAATTGGAACATTTGAGCCGAGCGGGAACGATTTGCCGGAGATGACAATATCATAATGTAGCTGATCCTCCCAATTACGTGATATTGCAATTGGTTCGACCTGTTCCAGAGAGCCCTCAGCAGGTGCTCTGATCAGGCTCAACTCTTTGATGCCGACCAAGTTGGCACGAAAAGCACCGGATCTCTCGACTAGGGCCTCCAACTCGTACTTGACATGACCGAGGTCGACGTTGATTGATTCCGGTAACCGCGAGTCCAAAGGTAGTTCGAAATTGTAGATATAGTCACCAGGATGAAATACCTTAAAACCCTTTTGAGCCACGGTGGGTCCTCCGTTAATTGTGTCTCCTTTGCCAAAACTTCGAGAGTGATTGGCTTGAAGGGACAGTCTCTTCATGTCGCGAGATGATGGCGCTTTTGCGGGAGATGAGCTACGCTGAAAGAGATCAAAGGAAGAAGTTACGCCAAGCTCTTTCGACTCGACTGAAGGGCCTTTCTGGAGCTGCACAATGTCGGCCCCATAGCTGTGCTCAGCGGTCGGGATCTGAGCATTGAAGAACGACCAAGTGTGGTTCATGATTGTGGTCGTATCTCTGAACTCGACTCGCTTTGGCGGAATGCCCTCCGGCCACTCCGTTTCGGACTTGCCACGGAAATTGAGCGAGATTGACTTGAGTTTGGCTTGCTTGGTCACTCGCAGGATGAGACTACCACGAAGCATGGTGGTGCTGTGAGTGGAGGCATCATTGGCATCATAGCCTTGCAAGAACAGGACTGGTTCTGCGAGGGCGATAGCGACAGAGACGCCATTTCCACTGGCCACGGGCTTTTCGTCGGATAAGTTGGTTATCTTGATGGGCACTTCGGGTTTTGGTCGTTGTGTGGAAGCATTTCGGACATCGCTTTCAAGTCTGGGTCTTTGTACCATACCACTGACTGGGCCGCTGATACTGCTCGAAGTCCTCCCTCTTCGTTCCGGGGAACGCCTGCCATCGGCGTGCACCATGTCCCCCTCTCCCACCGAGTCACGCCGTTCGACTTGTTCAGATATTACAGGTTGGAGGGCGACGTGCTGAGCAGGTACTGGAGGAAGAGATAATCTAAGGAGACGTTTTGCGTGTTCTCGTGAGAAAGCCAGCTTCGCAGGCGTTCGGCTTCCAGTTGTACAAGGCGGCCAAAGCGAAGTGGTGGCGGCGTGGGTGCCGTTTCGTCTCGGATGTTTCGGTCTGAGAGATCGAAGCGCTTTCAACGTTCAATCGACGCTGCTATAATGGATTAGATTCATGAAAACCACAATAACATGGCGTTGGTAACAGCAAGTCGGCGGTTCGTCCTGACACAAGCAGACTTTGGGAATGTTGGAAGGGGAATGGGCAGGCGGGTGCCAACTCCGCAGTTCGGGTTGGCCTTGGCTTGGGCTGCACGCACCTTTTGGACTAATGGAGCAAAGACTCTCCTCTGATCTTCTTAGTGGGAGATGGAGTGCCGCTGCCAGATCGGCGTATTAAAGCGAGCCGTGATCCAAAACGGTTGCACTCATCGTCCTCAATTGATTTGGTGTTGTGTGGCAGTTTCCGAGCAGGCTGAGTAAAGAAGAAACAAGAAGGCGAATTTCGAAACGAGATATCTCCTTCGGATTACCTGCAACGAGAATCGCCGGCAGGTAAGAAAAATGACTCTGGAGAACGACCAGATGTAATGATGGAAGAGCAACAGATACCATTGGTGGTAAGCAGAAAACAGGCACGCCCGGCCCGGCAAAGGAGCAAGGTGGAGGGCATTTACATAAGGCACTGATACACGCCGCAATGATCAATCAGTATGTAGCGCTAATGATGTGGGTAGGCCGTGAGCTTGTTTTTGGGGGTGTGAAGCCGCGTATGGTCAATCTTCTCGGTGATCTTACAGGGTATTGGAGATTTTTATGGGGCTCCAGAAATGTCATTATTGTCATCAGTAGGCTGTGGCAGGCTACTTGGATCTCCTCGGCTCAACGGGATGCTATCGAATGCCACGCATCAGATTGATTGATCAACATTAATTCATTCAGCACGGATCTCGCGCACATCTCTGGTCTGGAAAATTGATCGTGTGCTTCGACCACCTACTGTACAAGCTTACCTGCATTGGGTAACTTATCTCAGGCCTTATCGTGCTCTACTCCGCCCTGTCATGCTGGTCGCCTGTTCTCGTCGCCGGCTCACTTGGCATTCTGACTACTCTCTGACTTGGATCAAACGATACACTCATACCAGCCTGAGGCAAATTTATGCCAAGCTATATCTCATTCTTCCCGAAGCATGCCTTAGAGGGACATTGTTGAGGGCAGGGCATGGTCAGAAGGACAAAGGAACTCGTGACGGTAGTGCGAAGGATGCTCCAGAGCCGCCGCGTCCCGGCAGTGACACATACCTCATCATTCTGCCGCCTCTCAACACAGGACGCTGCCCTGTCCATTGGTCATCTACCCACGTTCATTGTACTGTTCACACCCGGCCACTGTCTGGATCCCTCGATCCACGGCTGTCGGCTTGTACCAGAAGAGCGCCATGATTGCACCGGTACCCAATGCCAGGACATGATATTACTGTTCTCCACTGTTCGAACTTGTACCCCATAATGACATATATGCATGCACGGTGCTGGAGAGCAGAGACTTCAAAGTACCTTAATTTCTGGCGATGCTACGGGGAATTACCCGTACCTACTTGGTTCCTGACTTCAATACCGAGATGCCGGACGCGAGCGGTCAGCATACCACAACCGGAAGGATCGCACCTTTGACATAGTCGGATTGGGTCCTTCGGTCTGCGGTGTTTGTAATAGCCTCCATGGGTCAATGGATTGGCCGCTCTCCGGCAGACGCAGCGCTTATTTCTCGTAGCTTTGCCCTGCATGAAGCATTGCAGTACCTGCTGATGAGTCTTTTAGCACTTCCTCTGCACAAATGCATTCGTGTATCATTGAGGCTGAGTACATGTACAATTTAATCAGTAGCATTTCAGAGCCTGTCTAGTCAGAGTCTTCTTCGTAACGACTTCCTTCCCATGCTCCAGCTCCTATCCTGTCGTGGTCAGCAACGATAGCAGGCACATCAGGGGATGTTTCGCGCATGCAGGCCACGTAGCAGTTGCCTCATGGGACAAATCGTACAGCCGTAACCGGAGACAGGCGGCTTCTTCGGCTCACTTATCCCTGGAAATCCAAGCAAGGATTTGGACAAGGGAGCACACTTGGAGGAGAAAGTGAGATTACACAGGTCAGAGTAGGGCTGCATTTCTCGAAGGTTCCGGCAGTGAGCACCTACACGGGTCCGCACATGCGCGTGCACAGTCACAAAACCTTGGATGAGGTCTCGAGCTGATTATGTTATCTCGTGTTTGGATAGGTAAGCACCATGCAAAGAAGGGACCGGCAAATCCCTGCATTCGGCGGCTTTCCTGGAACTGACGGTGTACTTCTGAAGTCAAAGCGTCTGGAGCACTGTGGGTGCTCTGTCTTGTCATATGAGTTGATGGAATGAATGATTCTGTCGAGTAGATCATGGATGAAATACCCCAAATATGTCGCAACTATTGGTGATATACTCCGTACTCTGAAGTGATATCGATGATTTGCAACCATGCCACCCACGTCAAGTTGGGGCGGCAGAAGGATTTCCCCACATTTTGATCGGATCCACTTCATGTCGGCTAAGTTGCCCGCTGGAACACGTGTTTGGACGCGTCGGGATGACCATAGATACTGGTAGACATGGAGAAAGTTGTCTGATGTACTGAATATTGCCCTATCTTCACCCCGACCTCGTTGTCTGCGCCACACCCATCAGCGTCCTTTGTCAAGCCGACCAACATGCAGAATGGCAAAGCCACAAGCCCGAGGTAGGTCAAATAAGCTCGTCTTCCAGCAAGACTAACGTGCGCTTTCAGGTTCCGCCGAGCGACCTCTTCAAGGTGTTATACTATGCTTTACGTCGATAGGAACAGAAGAACGGGTCAGTCTACGATTGTATTGCGTGTCCTGAGACCTGTTGACGGAAGTTCAGACTCGCTATGCCGACTTAGCAATCCAGATGGGAGCCGAACACAAATTGGACCTTACCTCGGACACCACGCACCTCATTGTCGGTAATACTGACACTGCAAAATACCAATACGTCGCCAGAGAAAGGGAGGACATAAAAGTGCTGCGACCTGAGTGGATTGAGGCCGTGCGAGAATGCTGGATCAATGACCTGGCTTTGAACCTGGACGCCCTGTCTCAGGAGTACCGCGTGCCCACATTGGCCGGATTGAAAATATGCATCACAGGATTCGACGATCTCTCATTTCGAGCCCAACTGCAGCGGAACGTCCTCGAGAATGGTGGAGAATATACTGGTGACCTGACGAAAGATGTGACTCACTTGATCGCGGCAAAGCCTGAAGGGAAGAAGTATGAATATGGTTTGCAGTGGCAGAAGAAAGTGGTTAGCCTCAAATGGTACAAGGACACCCTTGAACGTGCGATGCAATTGGACGAAAGCCTATACAACCCAACACTCCCTGTTGAAGCACAAGGCGTAGGTGCTTGGAATCGTGGTTCGCAACGCTCTCCACGACCAGCTAAGCGTGCTCGAGAAGAGAGCAGTGTGCCTGAACCGGCCCGGAAACTCCGAAGAACCGCTAGTGCTAAGCTTGGGAGCCAGACACAGAACCTGTGGACCGATATTGTTGGGGGAGCTGGGTTCGACGCTGAACCCGTTGATCGTCTACAGCTCAAACCCTCTGTCTCAATGCCTGTCTTACGGCACGGAGAAACATCCATGAAGCAGCCTACAAGTCCTCGAGCCGAACGTCATGCATCTGTGACGGCTTCAGAAAGTCGCCGAAGTGATTCGGGGTTCCTGGCTGGCCATACTTTCGTGGTTGAAGGTTTTGATGAGAGACAGGTAGGAGATCTATTAACACTACCATCTTCGGCTTCTGCTTACGTCTATCTAGGAGAAAATTGTACGCAGCATCATCCTCGACAACGAAGGAACCATCACGTCCCCCGAAGAACCATATACCGCAAGCAACACATTGTTAATTGTTCCACATAATTGTGGAAAGGAAGGGAAAGCCGAATTTTCACCTACCAGTACTACGCTGCATGCTGTATCCGAGTTGTGGCTGGAACGATGTCTGTTCCATAAAACGTTCGTGGATGCGGAGAAATATCCTCTTGGACAGGTCAAAAGGCAGTGTCTCGGTCAATTGTCGAGCCTTACAGTCAATGCCACAGGCTTTGACGGTCTAGAAACTAAACACATTTCGCAAATGGTGAAGCTGCTAGGGGGCAATTACACCGAGAAGTTCACCGCAGGTGTATCCGTCCTTGTTTGTAAGAAAGGGAGCTACAACAGGGAAAAGCTTGGTATGGCACGACGTGACGGTATTCCTGCGGTTTCCGAAGACTGGCTGTGGTCATCGATAAGAGACGAGGAGAAAGCCCCGATGGCGAAATTCTCGGTTCACAAAATACCTGTCCGAGCCGTGGACAACAAACAACATGGCAGGCCGACGTCTAGACTAGAAGAATACGTGGAAGTGAGCACGGTTCCACTAAGGCCTGAGGGCAAAGGTCAACCAGTGCAACTGGAGAGACAGCCGGATCGGAGCCGGAATGAGACGAAAAAAATATCCAAAAGGACAACTGATGGGGTTGAGGTACATCAAGACGCAATGCGTGGAAGTCCTGGGCAAATGGACGAAGGAGGACTAGGCACGGGAGAAGGGGACATTCCGTCCGGACGTAGTGAGACACAAGCGGCCTCACCACAAGACCAAGATTTTCCACTGCAGGAATTGTCGTCTAACTCCCCAGGCAAGCACCATCCTTTAACGGAGGCCAAAAAGAGCACAGCGCAACCCTTAGACGGTACCTCGAGCCTGCATGAACCCAACGGGGTAGAGAACGACCATGAAACTGCCAGGAGTGCTCCCGCTCAACCAGGCAACAGGTCCGGCAGTATTCACGCCTTGAATGGAGCCATCCGCGAGTTCCTCGACCAAGAAATTAGGAAGAAGCCTGCGGCGAGCGGGTCCAATGAGCCCAAGAAGAAAGGCAGGCTCATGGGTCGAGTTCTCAGCAACCTGTCCACCACCTCTGCAACTTCAAGGCAGTCCAGAGCTAGCTCGATAGACAGTATCAACACCGACGGGATCGGCAGCGAAATCGGTAACCCACCATCTGTGCGACAGAGCGGCGAAGCCGGCTCCATCACGGAGAAATCGACCTTTTCTTTCGCTGGAAGGGCAAAGACGACGCTGGCGGGACTCAAGCCTCATTCAGTGCCGATGGATGATCTAGACATGCCACAGCACAATGGTCAACCGGAGGAGGAAACTCCTCGTTTGACGCAATTAGGGTACGAGGATCCTGAGGAAGCGATAATACTTCGAGAAAAGTTGGCGGCGTCAAGGCGAAAGAAGTCCAAGTTGGGCCAAGGGGAAGAAGATCCGAAGCCCGGCGTGAGAAGAGTGAGAGTGGACAGGAAGATACGTGACGACGATGTCCTCACCGATGCTGGATGGGGAGTCGGAAGGCGGACGAGGCACAAACATTAAAGTCTGCCAGACGAGAAGGAGATTTGGACAACCTGAACCTCACTATGAATTAATGATACTTGGATAGAGTTTTGAATATCTTGAGCTTGAAACAGATATTCAGCGTTGAGCTCCTCAAGGCAGCACGGGTGATTGGTGACATGTTGATATAATTGTTAAATGTAGTTTTACTGTGTCCGTGCTTTCAGGTCCATGGACCTTGAAGTGACCGGTTCTCCAAGGTTGGAGAGAGATGCTATGTCGAAGAGTGTGCAATACTTCACCAGAATCTAACAAGTCATTCGGAGAATTGTAAGAAGCCCGTGAGTTATCTTGTACCTTGTCTCCGCGACTCTATTTGTTCCCCAGTATAGCTACGATTCACGATCAGTACAATGTTGATATGGAGGAGAATAGACGTTCTTAAACACTCCATATCAAAGGCTTAGAGTTGTTTGCGGCGCCTTGGCATGAGGTGATGTTTGTCTCATTCTCATCCGCTTCGGATAAGGAAATTCCCCTATCACAATACTTGAAACGAGTCCGAAAAAGGTTATGATTTTCGGATCTGAGTGGAGGAATCGCATTGAGTCACGGAGCCTGATGTGTTATGCTATCTAGGTATCCATCGTTCAACAGTCTGTGGCCATTCGTTTGTCCATCACTACTGGCAAGTACTGATTTGCAGGTTCTATTTTGACCGTGAAGATCAACGGTCTGATCCGCCGTCCCGATGCCGCCTTACGGGGTCACTTGGTATCCTGAGTGCACGCCTAAACCATTTAATTTTTGAAGCTAAGGATTTACAGGTTAGTGAAGCTGGTGAGCCGTGTTTCAAGCCATTCCTCGTCGGTCGTCATCCGCGACAATTGGCGCATCACATCGTCGTTTCTCTACCAAATATTCTCTCGACACGTCGAGCCTTACGCACCCAAGTGACCGAAGTCCCCTCTGGCTCTTCTGACATGCTCCGCGTGGCCTAGTAAACTGTGTGATCGACCACTAGCCCAATGTCACCCACTCCCTAGCGCATATCTCACAAAAGCACACGTCCATCAAACCACCAAACCCTTGCAAGCCCAGCTGTTTTGTATCGGTCTGTGTCATTAGCCAGGAAAGACCCAGCCCCTAGGCCACTGCTATCGTACGTCCTACATAATGGCGGACCTCGCCCGCGAAGAGGCAGACCGGTACTTCTCCCATCAAGACCACCACAATTCCCATCCCGAGGACCGAGACGACGATTCCTTACACTCATTCGACGGCGATCATAAGTCTTCCGACGACGCTTATCATTCAGACCCCGGGACAGACGACGACGACACCGCCGCCAACATGGCCACCATGACCAGCACAAGAACGACATACCATCTGCCCACACAGACATACGATGCCAACACAGGCCCCAAAGGCGTCATTGCCGACGCTCAATCCTACGCTCGTGCCAAACAATCGACCTTCCGCCAACGATTGGCCAGTTTCGCAGGCAACTTGACCTCGTCCATGAAGCCTGCCGCCACCAGCGGCACCACTGGGGCCGATAAGCGCAAAAGCTTCTTCGGCACATCTCCCAAGTCGACGTCGTCCTCCGACGAAAACCTCGCGCTCTCAGACGAGGAAGCAGACTCGGAGTTCATGCGATCATGGCGCGCCAGCCGCCTTGCAGAGCTGTCGTCCCAATGCCAGTCTCAGTCGGCGTCACAACGAAGACAGGCCCCCAGCCAACGCACCTGGGGAACCTTCATAGAGGTCGACGCAACTGGGTACCTCGATGCCGTTGAAAAAGTCTCCGAAGAGACCGTCGTTGTGGTTATGATTTATGACCCGTCATCCTCGGCGAGTGCAGAAGTCGAGGACGAATTGAGCACACTCGCTTACAAGAACAACAAGACGCGATTCGTGCGGCTCAATCATGAAATCGCCGACATGGAGTCCGTACAGATTCCCGCCGTGCTGGCGTACAGAGGTGGTGAAGTCTTCGCCACGATATCGGATGCAAAGGCTGAAGGGCTCGAGGGCGTTTTACTACAGTATGTCTTGTCAAACCCTCGCTGACCCTCGAGGTGCGTCCTGCGATGCTAATCATTTCGTCTCTCAGACATCGTGTACTCCAGTAACGAAAGCCCTCCGGCGCCGGTGCTGGACGGTACCTCCTGTGGTTGAGGGATGGAATCCCGCTCTTCGTGCTGCTCACATGCAGCCCTTCCACACTTAAGACACCTTCTTATGACTCGAACTCAACAGTTCGCTTAACGTTGCATCCGAACTACACTTTCATATCGGCACGTAAGCCCAAGCGGCTTACTTGCACCCTATACATGCACAAGGGCCCCGCTGCCATGATTGCAGCTCTTACTCCGAAGAAGCACAGGCGCTGGAGATCTCTTATCAAGCATGGCGAATGTGCTCAAGAGAACTGCATCATCTCGGCTTCCTGTTAGTTGGGTATGATGCGTGTCCCTCGCCTGTATCCTGGGATAGTGCACGTCATGCGACCCGTCGCCTGGCAGACCTCGGGATTTCAAAACACTGTCAAAGTATCATATGGAGGACGCACCAACAGAGGGAATATGCATCGCAAGCTGACCCCGGCATTTGTCAAGTCTCTCGTGGATTCACATTCATGCTGGATGAGGATTCGTCCACATGGTCTGGTGGAAGTCGTGATTGACATCAGCGACCGAGAGTACATTGAATGGTTTTGCAATGGCAAATCTACTGAGAAGGCTAGCCTATGGCGCATCATACATTGAGGTGTCGAAGATGGCCCTACGGAGGGACTACAAGCGCGCAGCTCATTATATCATGTATGAGCATATTTCAGACACTGTACTACTTGGGGAGACACTCTCTGTGCTTGGAAGAATTTTCATCGCTTGATTTTGTGCATGCGACGTCTATGTCGCGGTTGTGATGCTAGTTTCAAAGCACGAGATATGCTCACCGCACTGATGCGGCTTGTGTAGTGTGCCTTTCACTCTCGTCTTGACCGGTCGCAGGCTGTGACCATCTTTGTCCATGAGAGCATCTGCAGGCAAGTCTCGGCCCTGAGTCCGGAACCTCAATCATATCATCCCGCTCAACGCCCATGCTAGATTCCCTCATCTGCGCAAAGCAAACCCCCAGAACAATAACCTGTTCAAGAGTCGCATTGCTGCCCGTCAAGGAAAAGTGAATCACTAGCCTAAATATGACGAGCCCCATAACCAGGACCCCCTAACGAGAGATCTCTTTTGCTCTAGTAAAATATTGGTATCATTTTGCAAGGTGAAAGAAATGCAGAACGGCTCAATTGCACATGGCACTGAGCAGCCCGCTGCGAAAGGCGGGGTGGTCTCGCATGAGAAGTTGTAGATCGTGTGACAGAAGAAGGCTTGGTGGAGTAGTGGTACATGGTGCAGTTCCCGAGTCGCCCGGATCGGTTTGTTGCCACGAGCGCAAGAGTCAAAATGCGCCAGGTATGACACGAAAAATGCAGCTTCAAGTGCATTGAATGGATGCGCCAAGTCGTGGTCCGGCTCATGCAGACAAAGAAATGGCGTTCTTTTCGCTTGTGAAGTCCCAGAGCATCTTGATGAGGTTGTCAGGAAGAGTGTAGAGATCAACGTGGAACTCGCCCTCTGATAGCAGATTCATTAGCGATTGAGCGCGACACTTTGCATGGAGATGGCCGTGCACTTACGTTCGACGTCGTTACGCATCCAGGAATCCTCGCTCTTGTTGTCATGGACCATCTGTACCACCTGAAGAAGGTCATCTTCGCCAAGCTTCTGAAGTCCTTCAGCCAACTTGTCCATGTCGATGGCCTTGCTGTCACCAGCTTTCTTCTTCTTCTGAACACCACCTGCGCCGATTTCGCTTGTGCGCTTCTTGCTAGCGGTGTCTGCGCCATTGGTGGCCGTCTCACCAGGGATGGGACCAGAGTTACGAAGAGCCTCAAGGAGTGCGCCCTTGGGGTTCTTGAAGGTAATGATCTGCTTGGTCTCATAACGAGCACTGTTGAAGTTCAGGTCATGGACGATGTTGTGCGTCTTGCCGCCAAGGTCTTTGAGTTCGACCATGAGCTCGAATTCTCCCCATCCATCCTCAGAGACGCGGAATGGTGGCTTCTTGAAGACTAAGAACGAAAGGTTAGATCGACTTTGAGGTTGCGAAAGGGTTGTGCGTACCTTGTCTTGCCTTATCACCGAACGACTCGTGAAGCACGTATGTGACTGACTCCAGGATGTCTGCGTCGATCTCTTGCTTTGTGTCCGCATGAAGCAGGACAATTCTCATAGACCAGTGTCGCAAAGGGAAACCAGCAACTCCGCTATCGGCACCAGGACTGCAAAGACCAAATTAGCCTTTGTCCAGGACATGCGCGCATGTTGTCTCCATGCGCATTGTACGAATAAATGTGGAAGTAGGGTTGTCGTGATCATCAATGTGCAGGACAGATCGGTGATTTGGGTAGATCGACGTACATGATCTTCTGCTCGGTAATGATCTTTATGGAACGTTTGACCTGTGGGAACAGTAAGAAAGAGCGTCGGTGACACGGGGGAATGCAGACACTTACGTCCGGCATGTTGGGCAACGTTCAACAGGGTGGAGTGGGAAACGATATGAGTGTAGAATGCTGAGATCGACCCGACGCGCGAGTTGCTGGACGACACGGTCTGGAAGGAAGCAAAAGGAAGAGGTTGCAGGAAGAAGAAGCGGCGATCAAGACGGACACAAGGCGATCACAATAATTGTCGGGTGAGATCGACCGTGTACAAATATGAAAGATGAGAGTGGCAGTAGAAAGAGATGTTGGTGGAATTGAAGTTCGTGTCGTGCCAGGCCACGATGCGATGGGATGCGCATCGGAGGTTCACGTTCTTAAATCTATGCGGGGTTGGAAGCGGCAACTCAGCCGAAGCGCAGTTGGCCTTTTGGGGCACCAGGTATCGATCTGTATCTTCTGCTGGTCTCTGGCATTCACGCAGGATCAGTGATAAAGGTGAATTGTTTGGGACTTCTCAAGTCTTCTGATTCTTCTGAGGGTCCTCCAGCCGTTTTCTATCTAGCCTGAGGTATGGAAAGGTGGGCAGGGGTCAACAGGAATCTCAACGCTGTCTCTCATCGCCGTCCGTTTCATATGATCACATCGCTGGATCGTCCAAGATCCCACGCAGCAGGATATCAATCATCAGTCAACACAGACTCCATGCTCGCTATGACACAAAACATCTATGACTGGAACAAGGCCTCGTTCTCTTGTTGAGCCTTGATGAATGCCTCCTTGAAGAGGTTGGCATCTGCATGCAATTAGTACATGTGAAATGAAGCGATGGGATTGTCCTTACTGTCGCTGTTACCGAAACGAATAGCCAATGTCGAAGCTTCAGGCTCGCCCTCGCTGACATCAGCGGCAACGTTCCAGACCCAGCTGCGATCGCTGCCAACATTGGGAGAGAGCTTCATGTCAGGGGTGACTGTTAGGGTGTTAGCATTATTGCTTCCACAAGTGGTTCGCAAGTGACTGACCGTAGTGGTTTGCGCAGACTTTGAGGGTCTTGTCACGTCTCATAACCAATCTTGTCTTGCCGTTCTCCTTGTGTTTGAGTAATCGTACATCACCGGTGCCCCTCTCCTTCCATTCCCTCGAGTCTCGATCGAACTTGAAGAGCTTAGCTCGCATCTTGAATACCTGTTCCTCCGACTCTTCGTTGGTCTTGGTGTCGACTTTCTCCGTCAAGCGAACGACTGGTTCGAACTCGACCTCGGCTTCTTCTTCTTCAGCTTTGTCCTGGAAAGAAAATCTGATCAGCCCATTTTCACACTGCAAACAATCAATTGAGGGTGTCTCACATCTTCTTCGTCTCCCTTAGCTTTTGAGCTACCACTTGGTTCCTCCTTAGTACCCTCGTCTTCGTCGGCCTTTCGTTCCTTCTTAGCGCCACCACCGAACATCGAGAAGACAGAGGCAGTGACACCCGAAGCCGCAGCGGAAGCGGTGTTGGCTGCGTTGGTGGCGGCATTGGTTGCGGCCTCAGTGTATGTAGTGGACTTAGAGTCAGTGGCGGGGGCCTCAGTAGAAGGGTCACCCAGGGGATTCTGGACTAGTTTGGTCTCATGTTGAGCAAGTCTGGGTTCGGACGAGGCAGTTTGGTCCGCGGAAGGAGTTGGCTTGGTTTCGGTAGCGTCCGACATGATTGCAGGATATGCGGCGGATGAGTGACGATGTTATGTGTTGGAGGAAAGGATAAAAGTGAACGGTGCAGGTTCTTTTTAAGACTATGAGATCAAACGATGATCCGTTGTTTGTTGGCTTAACCCCACACTAAGATGTTGTCAGAGTGAGTGTATCTGATGGATGGTGCGTGCTTCGACGATACACGGTCCTGCCACAGCCAAAAAGTGTCAATAGCCTCTTAAGCAATGCCAAGGGGCGGTCGGGAAACTTGCCCCGAAGCTTCGTCCCATTAAGGACGATGACGCTGCCGCTCTAAAGGTATGCTCAAGAAGACCCGGCCTTGTGGTGTCGTCCTCTCAAATCACTTCCGTCTATTCTGGACAGGCACAGGCACAGGCACAAGCCAAGTTCAAGACATGTTACTTTGTGCAACTCGGGGCTATGTCCCGTCGTACTCATAAGAAGTCCAGAAATGGGTGCGTCCCTTGCAAGAGGCGACATATGAGAGTACGTCTCCAAAGTCCCATCCTAGGTACCAGCCCTCGAGCCTCAGGACTGACAGCCTCACCCTCAAGTGTGACGAAAATCACCCAATATGCGTCAACTGCGACGCCGCAGAGATTCGGTGTTCATTCCTCGGTCAAAACTCGCCTCAAATTGTGCCAGCTGTTCCGCAGGGCAATGCCCTCCCAGCGGCTGCCAGTCGTGCAACCACTGCTACACTAACGCCAGAGGAAACACCATGGCAGACACGTACCACGACTTGTCACGAGCAACTTGATGCTTATAGCCTAAATCTGACTCATATCGAGCTGTTCAACAATCTCTCCAACATGGACTTTCTATCCCCCGAAGACCTCACGCAACCAGGCATCGTCCCCGTGGCATTGTACATCAAATATGCCCTTACGACGCCGTATCTGATGCATCAGCTTCTCGCGATGTCGGCTTTTCACCTCAGCATCAAATACGCCGAGTCTCGTATGTTCTACCGCGAGTATGCTACCGGTCTACAGACCCGTGCTTTATCACTCTTCAATGAGACTAATAAGGTCCTCGAGGTAACTTCGGCAAATTGTGCTCAGATGTTCCTGTTCTCAGCCTTGATTGGGGTCCACTTGTTGTGCGACGCTTTGCGATATCACAGAGACAGCCTAGAAGGATTCATTCACAGATTTACACATTGCGTGAGCATTCATTGTGGTGTTGTGGCTATCATCCTCGAGTCAACGCATCTTCTCCGCGAGACGGAAGTGGGACCTCATCTGATACCGTCTCATGTTTTCGAACAGACGCCGTCAACAAGCGACCCGGAATGTGAGGCGCTCCGCAATCTGTTACATGGTACGAATTTACCGCAGTCATCACGAAAAGCCTATGACAATGCAATATTCCGCCTTCAGCAAGTGTTCGAAGCACAGCGTGCTTTTACGGGGACCAAACTTCTTGTGCCCCTGGTATTTGCTTGGCCGGCTCTGCTTTCATTCGAGTTCATGGAGTTGCTCCGCCAGCAGCAAGCGGAAGCGCTTGTCGTTCTTGCGCACTACGCCATGCTGCTCCATCGTGGACGAGACTTGTGGCTGATGGGTGATGGCGGCCGTTTCTTGATCGAGTCAATCTGTGGAAGTCTTGCATCCGAATGGCACGAATATCTGAAAATGCCAATTGCAGCTCTGGAGGAGACCCCATGAATGTTGCTGCCTGCGACAATCCTCTGGAGTTAGGAGCAGGAAACCAGGGCGATGCAATGGCACTTCGCGGCGAGTGGGTCAGGGCAAGGCCCTCCATGCGCACTAGTAGGTCATTACCCCTAAACTTACCGCCTCGGAAAGAGCCGTACGTGTACACTAAGCCCAAAACTGGCTTATACGCGTACACTAAAAGCATTGCACGAGGCTGTGGATCATAGAACCAGAATTCTAACGTATGTTCACAAACTTGCTCGCATAACACACAATGGACTCGGAGCATGAGGCTGTGCTGAAATGGGATCCCGTCTCTGTAGAGGGGAAAAGAATATAATGCCTACCGTAGCAACGTCTTCAGAGATGGATATTTCAATTAAACTAATTTCAAGACTTTCAATACATCCGATTGCCACTTTTATACTCAAGAACCCTGATTGAGATCATCTTCTCTCCGATACATCGACTTACAAGCTGAAAGGCAGATATGGTTCACCTCAAGCCTGTTGATGGGACAGGCATCTACCTCTGGAAATACCTACCTTCGTTACCTCTTGCCAGCATATTCCTCGGACTCTTCACAATCATGACGAGCCTACTCTGCTGGCGCATGATCAAAACACGGCTATGGTTCTCTGCGGTCTTTGCTGCTGGTGGATTGTGTCAAATCATCGGCTACACCGCCCGAATCTTTTCTTACTGGCATACCGACCAGATTGGGCCTTACATTGTCCAGAGCATGTTCATCCTCCTCGCACCTGTATTGTACGCAGCCTCCATATACATGGTTCTTGGACGGCTCACCCGCAGCGTACATGGGGAGCGGTTCTCCGTCGTGCATCCCAGGTGGATAACAAGGCTATTTGTCTTGGGGGACTTCCTGGCCCTAAACGTGCAGGGCAATGGGGCTGGGTTGATGGCGAAGCAGAAAACACAGAAGATTGGACAAGGCATCGTCGTCGCGGGCTTGTTCGTCCAGCTGATGATCTTTGGATTCTTCATCGTTGTGGCAGCAGTCTTCCACGTCAGGATGCGGAGATCTCGTGCCAAAGAGCCACGGTCGAGCACAGATATTCCGTGGAGACAAGGGTTGGCCATGCTCTACGCCTGCAGCGGGCTGATCATCGTGAGATCGATCTTCCGTGTCGTGGAGTATATCATGGGCACGGACGGGTACCCCTTGACGCACGAGTGGACAATATACGTCTTCGACGCAGCACCCATGTGGACTGTACAGGTAATCTTCTTTTTGTGGTTCCCAGACAAATTGAACAAAGCAAGTGAGGGTGGTGAGGATGGTCAGATGCTCGTGGGGGAAGTGAGTCGCCGATGAGAAAACCCTACTGGCGAAAGGGTTTTCAACAAGACCATTGCAACGACCATTCAATACCTAGGATAAATGTATTTCATTCGACCTACCCAGGGTGAATGTATATTTGTCATTGGCAGCAGGGACACTACATCGGTACGCCACTTGCGGCATGGCGTTGACTGGAGTCTGGTGCAGGATATCTCGGGTTGTGAAAACAATACAGTGATCAGTTGGTGATGATGATGAGCTAGAAGTTAGACCACAACCTGGAGTACTCCGTACTTAAAGCAGCCTCAAGTGCAAACCACTGAGCCTGTTTAGCATTGCGCCTGCAACTCTTGAACTCCTTAACGTGACGTCACTGTTGATGACAGGCACCAACGTGACATTTGGACCATTGCCTTTTAACAATTAAAAACACAACGAGGTATTCATGTCCAACAGTTGACGCTCTGAGTCTTATTATTTGCTCATCTCTCCAGAGATGTCTCTCTTAGATCTGCCCCAGGACATCCTCTCCATCATCCTATCTTACCTTCACCCAAAAGACTACCTTGCATTTTGCCAGATTTCCAAAGCTGTCTACCTGGGATACCGACAAGACTCCCTGTACTGGCGAACCGCGACATCAAATACCTTCCGTCTTCCAATCAGTCCTTTGCTTGATGCGGACGGCCAACGCTGGTACTGGCTGTACAAACGTCTGAAGACCCAGACGCAACTCTACACCTGGGGTCAGGGAGTGAAAGGTAATTTGGGCTTCGGTCGGGCTCTTCCTATTCCTCGTCGGCCGCACCCGAGAGTCGGGCACGCTCGACCATTTCCCCCCAACAGGATCCCTTCTCGACCAACGTTCCCGAAAGCATCATCTAACTGGCCAACCGAGACTCATGTTCCCGACGAAGTTGGCGTGATTGCTGATCTGCAATGCGGAGGCTGGTCAACCACCATTCTCGCCTCCGACGGCAAGCTCTATACTACTGGTTCTATTGACTCCCTCAACGGCGTCCCTGTAGGCCAGACGGTTGAGCAATTTACTCGACTCGAATGGCTGACCCAGAGTACTTCTGCAATTCGGCAATTCTCCGCTGGGAGACGGCATATCCTCGCTCTCACTGATGATGGGGAAATCCTTTCCTGGGACCGAGTCAATGCCAAAGGCTTGAAAGTGTTCTCCAGGACTGGGATAAACTTTGGTGGAAAGCCAACCCGAATTGCAGCAGGATGGGGTCACGGTTCCGCTTACATACCGGAGACGGGCATAGTCTTCTGGGAGCCTATTCGAAACAATCACACCGATGAGATGCTGGACGAAGTACATGTCAAGGAGAAGGTCGTGCCAGGAACAGCCCGGCAACACACAGAAAAAGGCTATACCGAAGTGATCAAACATATTGTGTTGTCAGAATTCTTGCTATGGATCACCAACGACTCGAAAATCTATGCCTGCAGTCTCCAGGTCGAGAACGATGAACAGATGGAGCCTACAAGATCTGTGTTCGAGGTCCCAGGTTATAGTGCGTCAGATCGTGAGTTGAAAGATATACAAGGCCAGTTCCAGAGGTTCGGGGTCTTCACTGCCACAGGAGAAGTCCTTGCAGGCAATGTTGATTACCTCAGACGATGTGCCGAAGCTGTTGAAAATCAACCTGATCCGCTGGAAGCGGCTGACTGGTCAGCATTGACGACATTGCTTTCTTCTCGACCCAAAGATGTCCCAGCCCTGCAACATACCCAGGTCATCGCCCTAGCGTACGGTGACTATCACTATCATGCTCTGCATGCCAATGGCAAAATCACTTCTTATGGGACGGACTCTCAATGTTGCGGGTCTTTGGGATTTCCCAGCCCAGAAACCGGGGGCCGCTTCCGTGGTCTCCGTCGAGCACGGCCCGGTCTAGGACGGATCGACGCACATCTTTTGCCCATCGCCAGTTTGCGAGGTCGTCAGGTCTGGTTCGAACCCGAGCGAAAGGACTGGCTTCAATGGCTAGAAGATCAGGTACAAAAAGCGCACCCTGACAGCGATGGTCGATCAGCCAAAGAGATCTTGGACAACGACACGAGTAAACAATCTGCGTTCAGTGAATGGATCGAGCAGGAAGGGAAACACTGGGGCGAAGGCCCTGCAAATGCTTCTACGAGTTCTGCATCGGGCAAATCCATGCAAGAAGGAGATTCTGGTGACTATGCCAACCTTGGTGCATATTTTCCGATAACCATCGCCGCGGCAGGTTGGCACAGTGGTGCTCTGGTTCTCTTCGACGAGGACAGAGCCCACGAGATTCGAAACAAGTGGGTGATACCGAAAGAGCACGATGAGGAAGACCAACATCCAATGCCCGGTGCTTTTCAGAATCTGGACTCGGAGGAAGAGTACGTCTGGCAGCGGGAAGGTTTTCCCAAAGTAAGTTTGTGGGACGGATTCGAAATGCCTGGTGATGGCGTGCCACGACCCTGGCGCGATGGATTGCCCACTATGCAGGAGCTGGGAATCTTGTAGAACTATTCCGCTTTTCTCCAGTATGGCAAGCGACGCTTAGGAGCTCATTGATATCCATCTTTTCTAGCATAGCGATTCTTGGTCCATAAGACCCAGGGGTATCAAGTTTATCATGCCTAAAGATTACATTGCTCGATCCAACCAAATTGCTGTTCAAGATTCATCATCGTTATCACATCGATGCATTCCTCCACCACTAGAGCCCGATGGCTGTTGTCGGTCCTCTGGGCGAAGCGCATGATTGCTCTCAGCATCCCTTCCTTGCACCTCAGCCGCCACAGGTTCGCTCCCTGTCTCTTCCTCCCTCTCCTCGTGATCGACAAACAGAAAACTCCCCACCACAACCGCAGCCCCTAGCCAATAAATCCATCCCTCATAGTGGCCTTGCAGAACCATCTCTCCGACTAGACTCAAAGGGATCGTCAAACTCAACCCCACAGTCACCACCAACGGGCTTGTCAAGACCATGGCATAAGCCCAGCAGATGTCGCTGAGCAGACTACTCACGCTGTTAACGAGCAGGATTGTCCAGATGCGCCGGCTTGGAGGAAGTCGGAAACGCTCGATCCCGGTGTAATGCAGGACAGGGAACAGCGGAAACAGAAGTATCAGGTTGAACACTCCTACCAACCCAAAAAAGAGGGGCATATTCAGCGAACGCGGGAGTGCTTTCACCGTCGTCTTTTTCAGGGTAACAGTATAGACGCCGTAGATGATAGCAGACAGCAAAGCCAGGGCGTCTCCGAATGCGATTTCGGATGGGGATTTGTCTGGGAATGTGTCTTCAGCCCGGACGAAAAGTGACCTCCTGCCGCCGGTGTCGTTGTCAGCGGTGGGTGCCGAGAGATCGACCTGCGAAATGAGGATGATTCCGACCAAAGAGCCCAGTACACCGCACAATTTCCTCCACGTGAATTTCTCGGTGCGAGTGAGAGCGCCGATCAGCAACGTCCAAAAACTCGATGTCGATGTCAGAATGGTGGTAGAAGCGACCGTGGTGTGTTGTAGACAGGACATGGCGAAGTAATTGGCGCCGAACCATAGAAAACAAAATGTGAGGGAGAGACGAGCAGTAGGTGCGATGCCCAGGTGCTTCTGCTTGCCCTGCCCGTCATGGCCGTCGGCGTTGCTATCATCCAAGATTCGGGAGGGCGACTTCGCGCGCCCTGTAAAGGCCGCCGACTCCGAGTCTTCGGAGTCTATTGCTTCTCGTTGTGGACGTCCATAACTCCTCCGTCGTGAAAACACCGACCGCAACCTCATGTACAAATCTCCATGCTTGCGCTGTCTTCTGTATGCAATCCGAAAGAGCGTCGGGACCATGGCCAGCATGAACATTGAGGTATTGAGATAGGTGAGGAAAAAGGGCTTTGCGTATGTTCGGTCGGCGAAAAGACTCTGCGCGCAGGGTCTCGTCAGTCACAAGCACTCATTTCTCCCGAAGGACAAGTTACACGTACACTTCCTAGGAAGTTGGACATGGTCCACAAGAACACCACACATAGCAGAAGGATCAAACCAAGTGTATGTCTCGCTAGTCCGGCCGCTCGGGGTGTCGTTGTCGCATCCTCCGGCGCATCGAGCAGCCTCTGCCTCGAGGAGTTTCGCTCGAGACTGCTGCTGTCGTCGTCCATCTCGAAGTGTTCGTGTGGTTGGAAGGATGGACGACGGTCTCGTGAGAGATCAGACATAGAATCTGCACGGAGCGCACCGTTGCGACATTGCTGTGTGGATTGGCCCGCAACCCACCAAGTCGGCAATCAGTCACGCTGCAAGCACTGACGTCGGAAACAAGATATGAAAATATTTAAGGTTTCAAGGCATGACCCGTCACTAATGGACATCTGCCAGTGTTGAATGAGGAAATTCTAGGCGTTGAAACTCCGCCCTCCGTTACAGCCTGGCGATAAGCCTAGGGTGCTCGGAGCGCCAGGCTTTGGCCTCGCTTAGGTATGCCCTATAATTTGGAGCTGATTCCAGTTTATCGATTCGATAAGTCAGTCTAATCCTCTGATGACTGACCGACCAAGGTCACTTTTGTCGTCAAGGGCAAGCTGGCTTATGCACGTTGAAAGTCCTCAGCTCTTCTAGCACAGAGACGCAGCTAGATCTTACTACCTCGACGTGGCCATCAGACCATTGCTATCCAGATCTGTGCCGCGGCTTGAGGCCTACGATGGCTTTTGCCGGACAGGCGGGTTTCCACAAGCATGAATGATGGCTGCAGCGACTCCAATGGCCAAGAAGCCGCTGCGAATGCTAAATAGCCCTCATACAGCATCGTCCCTCCAATTCGTTGCTATTCCTGCCCTTGGGGGCTAGGTAGCAGCCTTTGTTACATGATATCTTCCGTGGTGCACTGCCTATATCAATGCGGTGATGTAGTCGATTCCTGGTAGCAATGCAACAAAAGAGGACGTGGGTTGGCCGGCTATTGTTGCCAAGTGGACATAGGGCCGGTCGTGGGAATGCTCTCAACCCGCTATCGAGCGGAAGGCGATAGTGTTGTGTATCAATATCTCTCGTTGTGTCATCACTCTCATGGCAGGCATGGTCCTACCTGCCAGTAGCAAACATGACTCGCAAGAGCACATGCGATATGATATCTCCCAATGATTGTGTTGGGACTAGGCGCACAAGCTGTGATGAGGTGGATAGCCTTCTCAATCCTAGAGTCAAAATGAATTTCACGTAACCACAGTGAATATTTCATCGTCGGGTAGTGAGCCATTCATTGGCGTCGTAAAGCAGCTTGCTTTGAGCCACCTCTATTCCAGGTGCTTGACTTGCAGCATGTACCTATGCGAGTCAGTACTAGCCAGCTTTTGAACCTGATTGACTTACAGCATCCCAAATCTTCCATGCTTGATCGAGACTCTTGGTCAGACTTCCACTACCCTTCAGCTGCTGAAACCAGTTGTACTTCCCTTCTTGCTGTTTAATAGTTGTCTTCAGCGCATCGGTGATTTCTGGCTCATCGTTGACGGCGTCCAGATACGTTTTGACTGCTATGCCTAGACCGGAGCCATTGTCGCTAGCAAATGGGAGCTTTGATACAAGAGTCGTCCAGTCCGACCGGTCTCGATCGATATCGCCATTGAGAAACATGCTCGTTGTCACCGTCTCCAAAAGATCTCTCAACGAGGTACGGATGGCGGTGATCTTCCAGGCGTATGTCAACAATTGTCGGTCGAGTGGTCCGACAAATCCCATGGGCTTGTGTCGGATTCTACCCAAACACGCGATCCTAGAGATCAAATTTGTGTACACCTTCCGCTCATAGTCCTTGTCTACACAGAAGTCAGTGAAAATGTCGAGGAGCAAAGGGGATCGACGAACCACTTCGCGCAACCGGCGTCCCCGTCGCATAGTTTCCTGTAAATAAACCCAGTCTGAGCATCTCCACGCCAATAATGGTGCTCTCGTCATCGGCAATGGCAAGTGCCGATTCCAGGGCCTTGCCCCACGCCGTCAGAGCATGCTTGTCGTCCACATAGCCACGGACTTGTAAAAATCGGAACACGGTATTGACAAGGACTTCATCTACAGAGCGTAGGGCCGGATACTCTGGTCTGCCTTTCGTGAAAGTCTTTTCCGTGAACTGCGGGTCCTTCAGTGATCGAAGGCATGGCAGGAATAGAGCGGCGTCCCCAACATTGTTCAGCACAGTATCAACGTCAGAGCCTCGAACCTTCCACTGCCCAAGCTTCCCTTTCAGCGCAGGAGTATTTCTTATCTCGATGGTCAGATTGCTGGTATCTTGAGGTACCCACGGCTCGACTTTGATGATCCTGGACTGGTAGTAGTAATGCAGCGACTCTGCGAGAATCTTCAGTGCCTCTCTTCGGACAGGGTTGAGCTGTTCGATCACCAGTCTGCGGTAAGGCTCGGAATCCAGAACGCCTCCAGGGAGAGTCAGCACGACTTCTCCGGAAGTAAGCCAGTTGGGTATCTCAGGGCCAAGGAGGCCTTTGGACTCGTAGAAGAAAAGCTCCTCGGGCAGCCTCTGGCCGACAAATTCGTGCACATCACCAGGAGCTTCGTCGAAGTTCTGTGGTGCAACAACGCCATTCTTTTCCATGATAACATGGTGTCGTATCGTCATTATGGCCTTCTTGTACCGATCGGCGTATTTCAAAGCCTCAACCTGAGGATGCTCTCGATGAATGTTGCACAATTGTATAACAGATTTCCCAGCCCCATTGAGTGCCTGGATGGCATCAGCTATGCCTGTCGACTTTGTGGCCGCAATGCTCTCGAGTGGTGGGAATGTGGGTGTAAAGGATGTTCCGAGCAAAAGCTGAGCGTCCCGAAGCATATCATCATTGACACGGAGCAGTTCTTCGCACAACGATTTGCTGATCAAGCTGAGAGCTGATTTGTTAAGGTTTATGTCTGTCACGACTCTGTCGATGCCGAAGAGGAAGCACTCGGTAGTGCCCATCACGGCATCTATGTACTGATCCTCCAGTTTGAGCAGATAGGCCAGCTGACCATATGTCAATGCGGTACTCAACATAGGGCGGTCCAATGTTGACTCACCTGCGCCGTTGCACTGTAAGGAGCAACCATAAATTCAATGTTGTTATCCACCAGTACTTTTTGTAGCGTTCGTGTCATGGTATCAACGGGGTATTTTGCCTTGCCAAAGTCCGAGACAGTGCGCTTGCTGTCGCCGCTCAGGTAATGATGCCAGGCCTCATCTTGAACTCTTCTGCTTTCCGTTGATTGCGACACAGGCTGACTCTTGTTTACATATTCTAGCCCATCAAAGACAAAGACGAGTGTCACACCGTGCTGACGCAGGAGAGCGAGATCGTCTTCGATGGCTTTCTTTAGACAGAAGGGCAAGCCTCCGAGGGCATGTTTGAGGGGTTCTTCGCCGTTTCCGTTCAGGCGGAGGTCGAGATAGTAAGAGGCATTGACGCCGATGACAGCATCTTTCAGCATATTCAAGGGGCAGAGTTCGACATGTTTGTTGACCCATTGGTCAAATTTCTGGACTGGAGGGAATTGTGAGAAGAGAACCGCTTGAGACCAGCCAGAGTCCATACCTGACATTTTGAGGCGAGGAACAGGAGAAAAGAGAGGAGAGGCGGGATGTAGAATGCGAGGTCAAGCGAAAGTCTGTCGAGAAGGAAGGAGCGAGACAGACAAACAAGTCTGCGTAGGCAATTGTTTGTCTGTAGCAATTGCAACGGGATCTGTGAACTTTTGGGAAACAACCTCCAACTCTGCGCTTGTACAATGGTAACTTGAAAAGTGGATTGACGCCCCGACCATCTAAATTTTGGCGTCGAGTTTAATGGGGATGCGGGCACCATCCACATGTCAAGGTCAACACGGACCTGGTCAGGGGTACCACTGGCTACCAGATTGCACAAGGCTTCAGCCTCGTCTCGACCTGAAATTTGTATAATGATCATGAATTTGTGCACTACTCAAGCCATCATATCACATACTGATGACAACAACAGCCTTAGCACACATGCCTGTACCATGTTCAAACGAGCCGGGCAGTAGGTGACCCAAGACCGCTATAGCCGCTCGTCATTGCGAATGCTATAGACCTTCCATCACGACGTAGCGTCAAATCCATCTGTTGATAATATATACCTCAAGGTTTTCATTCGCTCCAACCATAAACACTGTGCCGCTGTACATAACTCGTAGCAGGTGCTCATCTCTGTTTGCGTGTTGCGCTTAAACCCCAAAATCATTGTCCCTGGATTTCAGGAACTGGTCCTAACGCCAAACAATACTGATCCATAATACTCCGCTGCTATGCAGTTTTTCAAAGTCACTCATGCATTCGAACGACGGCTGAGGTAGACGTTCTCAAGATGACACCAATGCCTGTGCATGCTCCATGATTCGCGTTGACATTCCTGCATAATGGTCAGTCTCTACTCCTTGAGCATGTTATATTCAAGAAAACATACCTTGCTGCAGTACTTAGTTCGCCGGCAACGTCTGCACTTTGCGAACTGTCGAGGATATTCTTCCCATTTGCCACATTGGTAGTTAGCACATTGTCGGATACCTCCTTTGGCATCGTCTTTTCTGCACAAATTGCGCATGACCACGCAAGCCCAATATTGCATGTCTTTAGAATGATGCCGTACGGTAAACTTTTCAACCAGCGGGAAGATGTTGTAATCATCAGGTTGAAGGAATTCCTCATCTTCATCTTCGGTCGGCTCTGGTAGCGGTGGGCATCCACGCATTGGCCCGTAAATCTTTTCGACCTCTCTATCGATGCGAAGCCTGGGAACCAGGTGAGTCTTCTGAAAGTAATGGCGAAGGTAGCAGTATTTGGATATATATGCGAGCAGTTGCAGTCCCATGAGGACATCTTCGTCCCGGGGCATTAGTGCAGTTGTCAAAGGAGTCGTAGTAGCTGTCCTCAGAAAGAAGTTTGGATAGGCATTGAGTGGAATGGCAGGAGACGCCGCGGTAGCAGGAGCGGGAGGTATTGGTGATACTCCAACAGTTTCGTGAGCAGCAGGACCGAGAGGATTGGCCATCCCTCCGACTATTGGCGTTTGTTGGGCAATGTCAACGTTGTCAAGCTCCCGATCCTGCTGGAGAGGAATGGTCAAGCTTAGCGGCTGACGTCCAACGACGTCTTCAGGGTCATGCGGGCTTGGATCGCGCGTCTGCACTCTGCTCTGCCCCTCATTTTGGCCATCAGCGTCCAGAAGCTCCTCGGCCGGGACTGTAATATCTTCCAACATAACATCATCATCGTCGCCTGTGGAGTTCTGATGCCGGATGGAGGGTCTTCTCAATCGACGTCCTGCAGGAGAGAGGATTCCTCGATGGATTGGTGCAGAAGGCGTGGTAGGAGAATCAGGATGTGAGGTAACACCTGTGTTCAGCGCTGGTAACATTGAAGGCAGGCGATCGACTTCGCGGACTGGACGTAACGGGAAGCCGTCAGAAGCGTCCATCGAAGGAACTGCGGTGGCCGGAGCCTGCAAGTTCATGGATCGGAAGGATCCTCTGCTGTCTTGAGCTCTGTTGTGCCGATGAAAATCACGGGGAGGGAAAACCGTTCGGTCAGGGGGAGAGGTGAAGACACTCGGAGGAATGACGTTGCCTTCCGTCGGGGCTGTTTCTGCAGTGCCAAACGCTTCCGAGAATGACTGCGGCAGATCGAGCGAAGGTGGAGGTGCTTGACGTCGAGTCGAACGCTGGTCGGCTGCCGCATTCATATGTTCGAAAAAGGACGTCCTTGAAAGGGGATCCTGTGTCAGCTCTCGAAACACCTTGGACGATCTGCTGCTTCCGGCATGTTTTGATCCGTTTCGCTTTTCCTGTTCAGCGTCCGCTTTTGCTTTCTCCATTTCAATGACGAGAATGTAATCCCACAAAATGGTCGCGATGACCGGTACCATGTCTGCCTCGACGACGCGAGTGCGGACAAGCTCCGAACCTCGAACTCCTATGTTCACAATACATTGGAACGCCAGATTCCACTTCCACATGTGCATCTCATCTTTGCTCCTGCCTTCCTTCAGTATGCACACGAGGCGTTCGACTCCGCCATCCACTGTTAGTATATCTCGTATTCGAGCAGAAGAAGTGGTCAGATAGGCTAGATGGTTGAGAGAGTTGATGAGTGGCAGAGTCGAGGTGCAATCCAGTGCTCGACGGTCATAAAGAGTCGGTGTTATATGTACGGAGGCCTTGTTGACATTGGGGATGCTGAAATTGACCTCCCTCATATTGTCTAACAAATGTTCCTAACATACAACTCGTGTATATAATTGGCCCCTTTTGTCTTGAATGAATTGTCCCCGAAGTAGTCGAGTTATCCCGGTGAAGGTTGGGGTAACTCTGAGCGGCTAAGTGACGTTCCAGAGGAAGGAGTCGACGTTACCAAGGCGTTATACTGGCCTTGCTCGCTATCATAAAGGATACTTCTGAGAGCAAGCAGCCATCAATCTGGTTATGTCGTGATGCAGAAGGGGATGATAACCGTACGGGGTAAACCGAAAGGGTGAAGGTAAGGTCGGGTGGATCCCCTGATGGAAGGTGTCAGGCACTCGGTGCTCAGGTCAGGAAGGATTCGAATGTAGCGTCGTAGCTTGGTGGGAAGTATGCGCTAGGTAGGAGTATACAATTTCATACACAGGTCGACTGGTGAAGAGCGTGGCGGTCTGAGTCGAGGACGCGCGCTGGGAGGTGGTTTGCGGAGTTGGGCTGGCGGAGGACCGAAGGATGCGAAGACTGGAGACTCGAACTCTGCGACCACAAAAGGATTCGGCAAATGACAGAAGGAGGAACAGAATGCGAAACAAAGAGACCGGACAGAGATGAAGCTCGATGGGACCAAATGTATGAGGGTTGTGGCAGAAGGAGGAGACGATGTGTCGGTGGCTGAAGGTGTGAGAAAGTAGGGATGATGATGTTAATTGGCAAAACGAGAGAGGAGAGCCTGATGGAGGTGTTTGCTATTGCAGATGGTCCAGCGCCGAAGCGCAGGCCTCTCCATCGCATTATTCGCAGTCTGGTAACGTTAAATTTCTGGCTTGGGAGGCCAAGCCTCGGGCCTGGTAGCGACTGGACCATGGGCTAGGGTCCCCATGAAAAGGCCTCCGCTGCCAATAACATTCAATATTTGGCCCCTGTTGCACTCGTCGAGCAACGCCTTTCGCCTCCAAACAACTGCGCTATGACTGTTATTACAAAGAAATTATGGTAGCTACATGCCTTCTTCGCCCTTCGATCGATCTCTTCATTGTCACTCTATAGCCTTGACCATCTGGAGATGAGTCCTGCAGTATCACGCATTGCTGGTAACCGTAACACAACATCAAATCCGAGATAATGAAGCTGATCCTGACGAACTTGAAGATTAACAACATCGTGGGGTGACAAGTGGGCGGTTTTCTCGAAAGGTTCCAAGAAGCTTTTGACCCAGAGTTCCAGAACGCTCAAGCTATTATAAATGATCGAGTTGTACTTTGTAGTCGGGTTTGCACCTCCTATCCAAGCCATTGTTGCTCTGTCGCACTTGAGCAAATCACATTTGTTCTTCAAGCACCATTCGAGAAGTCCCTAGAGTGCGTCAAGAACAGTTCGGAGACTGCATTGTGGTAAGTGTCTATTTACAGTACTCAACTCGTCGGGTCGTATTGCACAAGCATTACTAATGAGATCTGGGCCTGATCAGCGGCGGTTCCAGTACCACGGCCGAAGCCTAAAGCATGTTTTGCGTGGCGAGACGTTCAGCAAATCAAGTGACTGGGACAAGAATACTGTATATAATCTTGTGGTGCCGGTCGTTGAGCTTCCAAAGCCATGGGAATCACATTCCTATGTTGCAATCAAGCAAATGCTCTCTCTCATGCCCGATCGAACGCTGATCATACAGCAATCCTCACAATGGTCTAAGTCCGCATGTTGTTGTGTTCGTTAGACCGTGCTCCTGGGATCGGCACTCTAGAACACAAATCTGCTTATATCAGTGGTAGGCATACCCACACATCCTGAAACACTTCTTTCAGTTTCAACAGTCCTTTGTCTGAAGACAGGTGTGTCTGTGTTGCTGTCGACCTTGCACTGAAATGAGCGTCTCTGACATGACGTGCCTTGGTAGGCCAGAATGCCCGCAAGGCTATTTTTGCCGCTGCCCATCTACAGAGACGCCTGTCCAGAAGCGGCTATTTGAGCCAATGGCTGCGAGATGTTCGGTTGTGACACCGACATCAACGGTGAAGCTCCGAGTCGTTCATAGCGATCCTTCGCACTCTGTACTTTGTCATCCACTCTTCCCTCGTAGCGATACTAGGTCTGGGTCTCAGTCTCTGGCCAACATGTAGCTGCCTTGGACCTTCTTCTCAAGTCAAATGTCGAGCAAGGCTTTCATTCCTAGGCTCGAGTGCCAATATGCCCCAGAGCGGTCGGTCTGAGCCAATCGACAACAGCACCACTGAGAGTCAACGAATGTTGGTATTTCTGCCTTCTATGGCACAAGCAGCGCGTTTCTCTCCATCGAGTTGGACTTATCACGAAAGACCGAAAGGTGCAGGTACACAAAGAGGAGTGTTGCATTGAATTTGAGTCTACATCATGTTTACTGAAATCCTGATGATCCCGATCTCATTGGGATATTCTACTTGAACTCGGAATACACAATGCATACCGAGTGCATTCCGACCGGCGAACGCTATACTCATTCTTGAGGTTGGCGCATTGGTATTTTCCAAGCGGTCGGGCGGTGCGGCCGCTCACCGCACCAATACCATACTGGCTACAGGGACGGACATCCCGGCGTTAAGCCAAACGGCAAGGCTGAATCCATTTTCCACTACCTACTCCTCTGCATGGGCATCCCATAAGGCACATATCTGTGGTCAACACGCTCCATTTATGACGTCTCATTTATTGACACTGCTAGTCATGCACTCTTAGTCACTAACACAGGCACATTTCGATACGACCACGGTGATTAGACCAAGGGTCGCAGCGTCGTGCGGTCCCGCAAAAGGCGTTGAAGAGAGCGGCACTTAGGACTTGTAGGTTCACAAAAGCCGTATCTCCTTCAAGATGCATACAGGCCCTCGACCGAAGTGTCTTTTCTACAAGTATATAGGCTGCCAGCTTGCCTCACCTAAATACACATCCAAGCTCATCAACAGCAGCACCATCAAAAGCATTTCTCACCTCATCAACCACAGCGCTCCAACCAGGTTGTTTTATTGAACTTCCACATTTCAGTCAAATGGCCAGTCCACGAGTTCTCCTCACCGGAGCAAATGGCTTCATCGGTTCCCACATCATCAGCCACTTTCTGGAAAAATCTGTCTTTGTCCAAGCAGTGGTCCGTTCTGAAAGCAAAGCGAAGCGAGTGATGAGCGATTTCCCCTCAGCCGACAGAACCAAGCTCGACTTCTCCATCGTGCCAGACATCACAGCTCCCGGAGCCTTCGACAAAGCTATTCAAGAAGCCCTACCTCTCGACGCCATCGTTCACACAGCCTCCCCCTTCCTTTACGACGAGGGTTTGAAGGTAGAAGATCTCATCAAGCCCGCCATCAACGGCACATCAGAGATCCTCAAATCGACACTAAAGTACGGAAAAGGAGTCAAGCGTGTTGTCGTGACCAGCAGCTTCGCAGCTATCGGCAATCCGTTTGATCTGCAGGGGAATGGAAGAACGTATACCTCTGACGACTGGAACCCAATCACGATGGAACAAGCCACAGCTGGCAACAATCTCCGCCTGGCCTATTGGGGCAGCAAGACTCTTGCAGAGAAAGCAGGTCAGTTCATTGTTCCTCCATTACAGCAGGCACCTTACTGACAATGTCAATAGCTTGGGACTTTATGAAAGCCAACAACCCAGATTTCGAATTAGTCGTCCTCAATCCACCCGGTGTTTTCGGGCCCCTCGCAAACAGCATCGACTCCCTCAAGGACTTGGGCACATCCAATGCGATCCTGTACAACACTTTCATGAAATCGAGCAAGAGCACACCTGTACCTCCAGAAACGCTGCATATCACGGTCGATGTCAGGGTCAGTAATCTTCCTCTCCTATGATTGCCTCTCCAATGCTAACTATCTTTTAGGACTTGGCCATTGCCCACTATCAAGCAGCCTTTGCCCCAGGCGTAGGCAATCAACGCTTCCTAGTCACCCAGGGTGGCAACACCAACCAAGAGATCGCCGACATCGTACGAAAGGCTGTTCCAGAATGGGATGAACGCATCCCGCTCGGCAACCCAGGAAGCCACGCCCTGAAGCCCGAACTCCTCAAGGCGGACAACACAAAGTCCCGAGAGGTGCTGGGAGTAGATTATCAAGGTTTCGAGGAGACCATCGCAGACAGCGCAAGGAACTTTTATGAGTTGGAGAAGACTCTGGGCCAGGACTAGACAACAATGGATAAGACAGAAGGACGCGTCGTGCAGATGTGTTGAGTGGAGGACAGTGTCGTCGCCTGCGAAGTACGGGTATGGTCTTTAGCTTTGTAATACATACACTGAACCTTTTCCTTATGACTGCAAGACCTTCGTTCTTCACGCAACGAATCTGCCTCTACTGCCGAACGCGAGCGCTCCCCATCCCGCGATCAAGCACAATCCACCGATTGGCGTGACCGGACCCAGAGCCTTGAACCGCTGCGGATCCAGGACAAGAAGGTACAAACTCCCAGAAAACATCGTCATGCCAGCAGTGAATAGCACGGCGGCGGCCTTGTTCTTGGGCGCCACAGAGGCTGTGAGGAGTAGTACGCCAGAATGAATCAACTGGAATGGCAAGGATGTAAGTCATTCGTCTCGAAGCTAAGGTGTCGGACAGCTCGCGCAGGCATTTAATCATGCAAGTAGGGGGGCATAGCTTACCTGATATTGAGCTGCCGTTCCCCAATTTGCGATCTTAGATGGATCAGAAATGTGTTTCTTCAGTCCATGCGCTCCGAACCTGTAAACCCCAAAAGACGTTAGTTGTCGAATCTGAGAAATTGACACCCGGGACGTCTCTCAATCTTGGTACTTACGCGCCTAACATAACGGACGAAGCTCCATAGATGCACCCTATGGTCCAGAACATTGTGGAAGAGTGGTGGTAAAGAGATTGCTGCTTGATGAATTCCAGAGTTGAAGGACGTCAAGATGATTGTAGTGGTCACAGGTGGTGTGAGCAGGAAGAAGTTCATAAAGTATCCTGACAGTGGTGCAAGTCGATTGGCGGCGCCTGTGCGGGACGTGGTAGGGACCATGGTGTAAGGTTCCCGCTTACCGGACAGATGTGCGCCGGCAGACACCTAAGTTACAGGTGTCGGGAGATACCCAACCTTAACTTAACGCTGAATCTTATAGAAGCTATCTATTAGTTACGGTGGACGGAATATGAATTCATGGTCATCAATGTACTTTTTGGCGAGTCGATATGTTTCTATCGTAGCAAGCCTCTCCACGATTTTGCATAGTGGCTATGCCTTCCGTCGTAAGTGCAAACCAAGTAAGGAGCAGGATAGCTATCCAACTCTTCGCTATGTGTTGCTCGACTATGCTGGTTCATCCTCTGACCCCACACTCTCGCTCACGTCAAGGTTCGCTGCTAGACGAGAAAGCAAGGAATGCTGCAAACCGTCCACGACATTGATCTGTGCCAAATGCGGTATCCCAGATCCATACTGGTCCCTAAACTTCTTGGACCACGAACCTGCAAGTGGGACTTGGTCAAGAGTCCAATCGCTCCATGCCTTGAGGGGCCCTTTAAGTCCGCGTCTTGATATGAGCGTGGGTGGTGCTGTTGCCCCGATAGCCACCAACATGATCGCGAATGATGGAACGCTTAGGTGGTGGTTGTGACTGCGTCTGCGACTGTGATGGTGGCTGCGATGGCGCTGGCTGCCTATATCTGTTCCAAGCGGTGTTTCGCAAAAACCTGTCTGACGAACTGGTCGATTGCGCAAAGTACTTGGTGCACTGGATGTACCAGTACTTTGACAGAGCAAAATACAGGTAGTTGTCAACGTTGTTTGTTGTCACTGAATATGTGCCCCGTGGCAGATTCTTCAACAAAGGTGCACTGTAAGGACCATATCCATCGGGCGGAATGCCCCCAGGTGGTCCTTCGTAGTCTCGAATATGATGGTCGCCTCCCGAAGTCAGCGGGATCACTGTCTCAAAATTCGGCACCTCGTTCTCGAACAAGAACCCCCAATGCAGCAACTCGTGCAGGAGGACTCCACCAGCCGGCGTCATCAGATCACTATCATGATCGAGGAGGTTATCGCAACCAAATCCTAGGTCATTCTCCCAACCGGCGGGCGGGTTGAGAATGTTTTGCAGAGAAGGATAGTCCCACACAGGCGTACACATGGAAATGAGACCAGCATCAGGATTGTCTTTGGAATGAACCAAATAGGCATCGGTGCCTTCCACGGCGCAATCATCTCCGCTATTTGGCGACCTATCTGGGTGGTTGCCAATTGAGATTGACAACAGCGAGAAAGTCGGGTTCAGACCTCTGCCAGTGACCATGGCTTGTATACCTGGATCGAGCCCACCATTGAGATCTTCAATTGAGATGTCGAGAGGGATGTTGGCGATGGTTCGGAACACGTTGCTTACAAATTGCAGTTCCTCTGGGAAGAAGTACCGCTCAAAGACCTGTGCCACTTGTGAGTGTTGTGTCAAGCTTGTCATGCGTGCTGTGCAGCAGGATCTTGGTAGGAAAGAAGCGATGGCTTACAGGGTCGCAGTAGGGGTTCATGGTCACGGCAGCCATTCTTGCGATGACTATGGCATCCTTGAAAGCTTGTCGTAGATCATTGGCTTGTGCTCCCTGAGGATCGACACCCTGTGGAAAGACAAATGCCGGACTGGCTGGGTCAACTGGGTCACCAAAAGTGCAGCTTATGAGGAAGAGAACTATGGCTGGTAGCCAGCTCATCTTCGAAAACCGCATTGCGAGTGCTTTTCCGTCGGTAGACTCGGATGAGCGGCAAATGAAGAATGGACGAGGATCTTCAAAGGGTCAGGTAGATGCAGTAATCCTTTGTTTTCAGACAGAAGGCTTGGAACAATCGATCTTGGATGAGTAAACGAAAGATGCCTCTTGTCAGTTTCAGTTCACCGTCCGTTCAGTGAAACACCACATGCCTTCTCATTCACTGTATGTGGAACTTCCCGAAGTCGGTCATGACAGTGACGGCACTAGGCCGTCCATGAGCACATGAGCACATGTGCGCAAGCGACCGGCTTATCAGTCTCATATGGGGTACTTCAATAACATGTTGAGAAGTGTCATATCTTCAAAAGACATCCTCGTCCCTGTGTGGTGCAGCTCCTGATGAAAACCAGGCATGGCGGAATACACTAAGCTCATAAAGGTCATTGACATATTCGGAGCATCGTACAGTTGCTTCCCAGAGGCGCCGCTGTTTAGACAGTAGTGCCGTTGGTGCGTCGCATGCTGGCAGATAGGTCGACAGTGCCGGTATGCTGGAATAGGTTCTGTCGATTTGAGAAGGAAGACGAGGGAGACTTCATCTTGGTCAAAACCAGTATCGTCGCCATGGATGAGCAGCGGTATCACGGATTGGAGGTACTGGAGAGGACATTTATGTCCGTACACCATCAATCGTCATCATACCTGATTGCTGCGGCAGTGCGTTTCTTGCATGCAGCGAAAGCATTTGCTCCGAAAGCTGCAGCTTAATATCGTGTTAATTCCGGAACTGTCATACATGTCGCACAGAACCTTATCAAGTCCTTCATTGAAGAACCTTTAAAATAGGAAGTCTGTTTGCCGTTGAGATTGTCGACAGGGACCAGGAAAGACCGGTTAGAACAGCAACTTGTCCTGGTACGGTCACGTGAGGTACTTGCAGAGAGATCTTCCCAATGATATTCGGTGTAACCTTCCAGTATCGTCTCTCATTGAGTTGCGAACTCACTTGCAGATGTAGTAAGCAGAATGTGACTAGCAAGGAGAGGCTATACCACGACGGGTGGAAAACCGACGGCTATACCACCAGGTGCATCTGGCCACACCTTCAGCCTCTCCCAGCTTTCCAACCTTGATCTCTATCTTCGCGAGCCAGCAAAGAGCCCACAGCGTCCAGAGGTGCTCCTCGCCAAGTTGCTTTCTGCTTTCCTCGTAGACCTCCGCCATCAAGTGCGCGCCTTCCTCTTACGTTGTCGATTCGAGCAGGGCCATGGCAAGACTGTTAACAAGACAAGGTGCGCAGAAGAGCTGCCGTTAATAAGAACCAAGCACCAAGGACAGGCCGCAGAACTGTTAAGAGCTCAGACTGGCGCGTAGCACGATCTCCTTCAAATGCCTGAAACACCATATACAGGTTACTGAGCATTTCTGTCCCATGTCGAGAAAACAGGCCTCAAAGGCTCGACAGACATCTGAAGTAGCCAAAAATAATGAAGCAATTATGAATTGGTTCAGCATGGTAGACGTTGATGACTTGCACCTGGGAAAACCCGTCAAGCCATTCAGCCTCGGTACCTACCGGCAACCTTATTCAGTCTTGAGGACGGAATTGTTGCCGAGATTGCATCAAAATCTGCTGCCAAACCACAAATCGGATACAAAGGAATTCTCGTCGCCCAGTGGGATACGCCGAAGTCATTGACGACGATCATGTCGACGCGTGAAATGCTTGCCTAATCAAAACGCTTGGTCGATGGTCTTCAAATCAGCCTAGAACGCTCGGGGCCATGTCAAAGCTGAATATGGGCGCATCTGGAATCCGGAAAATGTCGCGAATGACAGTTGAACTCTGATCCTCTTAAGTTACCCAAGAAGTTGGGTGGGACGAGGATCAACTTCGCGGGTTGAAGCCCAGTCCTACCTGCAGACCCTATTTGCCATCGAAGATCTCTGGAGTAGTTCTCGTAAACACAGATATGTCTGCCATATGAGACGATATCATCTTGATGTCCAAGAGCACTCAGAACATCTCGAACCGTACTTCCTCTCCACGTGCAGAGAACGTTCTGCAGTAAGCTGTTCGTAGCAGAAAAAGGGGCGATCAGCCAGGGTCAGATAGCCTGTTTCTAGCTAGCATAAGTAGGTCGTTTTAAGTTAACCGAGAGCGCAAATATTGCAAGCTCTTTGGGTGCCCTAGTCCGGGTATGTTCTGACTTTTCGCGTGGTGCCGTCGAGGTCCGCGACTAGTAGCAGACCTTTTGATATATGGACAACTCCCGGACATGCAAGTATTGAGTCTCGTGAGCAGCGACGGGAGCGATACAATGTGCCGGTATAGACAACCTGACATTGTCCAATGGCGAGTCTCGCCTCGTATTGTGTTGAACTCCCGACTCTCGTGAGATCTAACACGAACTTTTGATGTACCTGTCAGGGATTGAAGGCTGGTGGGTGGATTTCAGCCGACGATCCGTCGCACCGGCGTGCATCTTTAGCCACGGTTAGACGCGATCAGGGCAATTTCTGTCTTCTGCTGGCTTTGGCGCACAGCCACTCCTCAGTGTTCAGTGTTCACAAGCCATCTCTTTCGTCTGCATCCTCTTCCAACTAACTTAAGCGACCAGAGAAATGGAGCGGGCCACCGTTCGGAGAGAAATCTCATTTTAAGGAGTTGATTTGGCATTGGTTATTTTTGTGCAACTCATACTGTCCATTGCCTGACTGGCTGATTGACTGATTGATCGATCTTTGGCTCAAACGGAGGTCGTTTGTACCCAAGTATCGCCGAATTCTGCCGTGACAGCAGCGGCTGCTAGTGACAAGCTCGTTCGAGGCGGGATCTTGCAAGTCTGGAAACCAAGATCAAATACATCTTGCATCTCTTTGACAGCTTGAGCGTAGGACAGGAAATCGGAGCACGGAGGATGTCCTCATATGTAACAAACGAGAATGGTTTAACCAGCGCCAGTGCTGGACTAGTGAAGAAGCTGCTCGGGCTGATCGACTGCTCATCCGCGGGCCAAGCAGACCCGCCCGAACAAGACAACTTGGGAACCCCATCGCTGGGGCTGCTAGGCCAGCTTTCTACGAATCGACTCGCGCACTAACTTACCTACCGCAGCGCCCTTTCCAGCTTCCCTTTAGTGACACTCCCTTCGCCCACACAGTCCACAAACGCCTACCTAGATCCCCGACCAACCTGCCAGTCTTTCCTCGTTACCCTCTCAGGTGCGGTGCGATTCTTCCTTTGATCCAACCTCACCTTCATCCCATCTGTCAGTCAGTCTCTCCAATCTGTCTGCCACAGACATCAATCACCTTTCCGAGCTCGTCAATCCTCCCGCATCTCATCGCAACCCCCCCGGTCTCGCCATTGCGTCCTTGTGGGACCGCCATTGTCTGCCCATCCCTGAGACCTCCACCAACCACCCGAGCTTCGACCACTGCGCAGTCTCCTACCTCTGGCCTCACAATTCGCGACAGAGTCATTCCCTCCTTGCGCAGCTCTTGAGCCGGCTCAGAGCAGTCATTCGAGTCAACTTGTGTACCCGATTTTAAGTCGGTCCGACAAGGACCCCAATCGGCACCATGTCGACCGACTTGACGGGAGAGCAGATGCAGGCTAAGATCACAGCTGCAAGAAGGGAAGCCGAAGGCCTAAAAGACAGGATCAAGCGCAAGAAGGATGATCTGGCTGATACAAGTTGTAAGCCTTTTGCACTGCTGGTCAATTGATGCTAGATTGATTGCTAATTTCTTGATTCAGTGCGACAAGTCGCTCTAAATAACACCGAAGCTCTCCCCCGGATAGGCATGAAGCCGCGAAGAAACCTCAAGGGTCATTTAGCAAAGATCTATGCTATGCATTGGTCAACGGATAGACGGCATCTGGTCTCTGCATCACAAGATGGAAAGTTGATTATCTGGGACGCCTATACCACCAACAAAGTACATGCCATTCCTCTCCGTTCTTCCTGGGTCATGACCTGCGCATATGCACCCAGCGGAAACTATGTTGCTTGCGGTGGTCTCGATAACATCTGCTCAATTTACAATCTTTCAACAAGAGAAGGCCCGACACGTGTTGCCCGCGAACTCTCAGGGCACTCTGGATACCTGTCCTGTTGTCGTTTTGTCAACGATCGAAAAATCATTACCTCATCTGGCGATATGACCTGTATGATGTGGGATATTGAGACTGGCTCCAAAGTGACCGAATTTGCCGATCATTTGGGCGATGTGATGAGCATCAGTATAAATCCAACCAATGCGAACGTATTTGTGTCTGGTGCATGCGATGCTTTCGCGAAGCTGTGGGATGTTCGCACTGGAAAGGCAGTGCAAACTTTCGCCGGCCACGAGTCCGACATCAATGCGATCCAATTCTTCCCGGATGGAAATGCGTTTGGAACCGGTTCCGACGATGCTTCTTGCAGGCTGTTCGATATCAGAGCCGATCGAGAACTGATGTCTTATCAGGTCAGTTTATTCCCTGCACTTTCGCATCACCCATACTAATTCCACTCAGAATGAACAAGTGCTTTGCGGCATTACCTCCGTTGCTTTCTCCGTCTCGGGCCGCTTGCTGTTCGCAGGCTATGACGATTTCGAATGCAAGGTATGTGATAGACTCCTTATTGATATGGTACTTTCTCATTGAAAACAGGTCTGGGACACTCTCCGTGGTGATAAAGTTGGATCCCTTAACGGCCATGAAAACCGAGTCAGTTGTCTTGGTGTCAGCAATGATGGCATTAGTTTATGCACTGGATCCTGGGATTCACTGGTAAGACCGTTTTCCTGTCTATTGCTGTAATCAATGGCTAACTTGTTTTTTTCCAGCTCAAAATCTGGGCCTGGTAGAGGAGTTTGAGGAGATCCGATATAATATGTGCCATTGGGGGCAACCATGTTCAAACAACTTCGAGAGCTCGATTATCAACACCATCAACAACCTTCCAACTCAGACTGTTTCTGCTGACACGAGGCGAGCAACGACTTTACGTGACTGGCTGGCTCTGCGCAAACCTCTCAAAAGACGAGCATGCTATCAACCAAAACGATTGAAGATTTCCTGGATAGGGTCAGCGTCGGCGGCAGTTTCCTGGGATGGGACGAAGTCATTGATGTTCTGCAGGCTTTGTCGAGGAGTTCCCGCCTACTGCACGCCAACGCAGCCTCGTAATCACGACGAATATGATGAATGGGCCTTGGTGCAGATGGAGTTCGATGTATGTTCCCGCGATTGTGCCTCGGGGCGGTTTTCGTGCCACATCATATTCTGTGGCATTGGGGGGCACCAAAAACTTGTTTCATCTTTTCCCCTTGAAGATAGCGTATCAACAGCAGCGCAGGCAGTCAAAAACCGAGATATTCGAGATGTTTTCTATGTTTTGTTCATCTTCAGTCACGTTTTCATTTTGTCATGTCCCCCAGATGCAATATTACGCAGATGACAACGGAATTGTTGAGTGTATGTCAAGACAGCCGACAAGCAGAATATTGTCAGCGTCGCTGATCGCTGACCTCTGATCTCTGCAGTATTGGTAACGGCCACATTTGTCCACGCGTTCTACAGTGCGAAGACAGAAATAAATAAAAAATAGAACTTATTCGTGTGTGATTTCTGTACAAATGCTACATATCCTGACCTAACCTGCCTTGTACCGCTTGCGCCGTGTACGCCACGAAAGATCGATGAACAAACGTGCTGGACGACCAATTTGGTGAGTACATTTGGACTGCTTGCCATATCACAGAGCCGGAATCCACGTTTTTGAGAGCATTGACTGCATTGCTCGCTCCCAAGCACCATCGTCCACTGCATCCCTCCTTCAGAGCCGTATAGATGCTTCATCCCCGCCCTTGAGCATCGTAGGTTCTCGCAAATTATTCTCCGCACTCAATATCTCGACTTTTAACAAGCACATCCATCCCTCTCCTGATCAAGGTTGATGTTGATCGGGTCCGAAAAGTCGCCGCCATATTCCTCGCTCTCTTCCTGCGCCAGTGCGTTCCGGGCAATGACCTCGAACGCCTGCTCAACGTTGGTGCTGTCCTTGGCGCTGGTCTCAAAGTATGGCATCTGGCCTCGGCTTTGGCAATATGCGTGCGCCCTTTTCTGTGAGATCATTCTTCTCTCCTCACCCATATCGATCTTGTTCCCTAGCACGACGAAGGGGAAGCTATCCGGGTCGCGTGGGCTGGCTTGAATGAGGAATTCGTCGCGCCATGAGTCAAGAGTTTCAAAGGACTTTGCCGAGTTGACGTCGTAGACTAGCACGCAGCAGTCGGCGCCGCGGTAGAAGGCTACACCGAGAGATTGGAAGCGCTCTTGTCCTGCGGTATCCCAGAGCTGCAGGGTCACGATTCGGTCGTCGACCGTCACTTCTTTGGTCAGAAAGTCGGCGCCGATGGTGGCTTTGTAGGAGGTGGAGAATTTCTTGTTCACCTATGCAGAAATCGCATATGAGCTGGATGTTGTACTAGAGGAATAGACAGACGTACATATTGATTCATTAAACTGGTCTTGCCGACACCACTATCACCGAGGATGATAACCTGTACGAATGTCGTCAGTTGTGGTCTCATTACGATACGGCCGGCCGACACTCTCATACCTTCAGTAAAACCTTCTTCCTTGACGACATGATTATGGAGGCTAGGTACTGTGTTTGGCCGAAGAGACTGGCACTGAATTGACAACGCGGCTGGTCAAAGTCGATGTCAACTGTGGCTGGTGATGTATGCAGGTGGTTTTCTGCGGAAAGAGGTCACGCGTGCGCTCTCGAAAGGCGTGATGGGACAATAGGCAGGGACTGCGCTTGCTTTGATCGTTTGGTGCCTGACGCAGTACTCTAACAGGGGTGGTCGGGTGTCGACAAGCGAAGTGTTTCTGAAGCTCGTTAACTTGGACGGTTTGAAGGTCGTCATGCACCGCCAAACAGTGATAGCTGGGGCCGCCGCTCCAACCGCAATCGCAAGTTCTGGACTATCGAGGACCCGCCATGTTTCTCTCAAACATCGGGAAAGTCAGCCGACCTCATCTCATCCTCTGACAACTGCCTCGACCAACGTCTTTATGGTTGTATTTCCCCTGTCAAGTCTACATCCTATATTCTCTCCTGAGAGACTCACAAATCCGGCCCCTCTTTGAGATCAACCGCTCGACTTCGACCACGCAATTATGATGGAAATCTGTCGGTGACGGTATGGCAACATGGAGCGAGCAATACCTCGCAGCCTTGCGAGCCCGAGCCGAGGTTGAACAGGCCAACCTCGAGCTCTACGATTATTGTAAAACCCCAAGACTCCGCTGCTCTTCGACTTGGATCGTCTGACACCCGAGATTAGGCACCAAGCTTGCAGACCAAAAGGCTGAGTTGCACAAAAAGGCATCCAGTCATGCACAGGCACCCCGTGAGGAAGGAGAGCCCGTTACATCTCCACAACCATCCCTCATGAGCATGGGCATGGGCATGAGGCGAGTTACCTCACCACCAGTCGCTCGTCCAGATTCTCCAAACCTGGCTCAACTCCGTCAAGATCTCGCCAAAGCACAGCAAGAACGCGGTGACCTGCAGACCCGCCTCGAGTCTGTCACCCGGGAGCTCGAGACTCTGAAAGCAAGAGGCAAAGCAGACAGCAAACGTATCGCACAATTAACTGCCAGTGTCTCTCAGTTGACGGTCAAATTGCGAGATCGCGAGGAGGAACTCCGAGGCAAAGCCAAATTGATCGAGAACGTTCAAGACGAGAATGTGACTTTGAACTTGCAACTCAATATGGCTGAGGAGCAAGTGGGTAAATTGAACAAGGACAACAAGGAGCTTGTCGACCGGTGGATGGCAAGCAAGGGCAAAGAAGCCGACAGGATGAACAAAGACAGCAAGTTCGGGTGAGAGGCTATTCAGCCAACCTCTCTTCAAGCCTCAATCCTGCTCAACCTTCATCTATGCCATCCTCCAGGCCGCGTCGTCGGCCGGCCATGTGTGCATGCATGGTTCTGGAAAGCTCGATCGTAAGTACAGGGTCTTCCACCCGCCGCCCGTACGCCTCATCACAAGCTGCAGTTGACGGGTGAATCAAAGGGTGATACCACTTGGTGCAACCTCGCGTCCATAACCTGCCGTTACAGTATAGGCGGCACAGTCTGAGGCTGGATCCCTCGTCAAGTAGGCATCGCATTCTGATCATTTTCAGATATCGATTTCCGGCAGGTTTCAGGCTATCGGTCAACAACGATTGAACAAGGATTCAGACCAGAATATGCTGCATGGAAGTGCGAGATATGCTGGTGGCACCAGGCCAAGCTCAATTAGATGATTAGACTATCTTAAACTAACCAGCCACAAAGGAGGCCTTGCTCGACGCATTCCGACGCTATGCAATGGTCGTCAATCATCAAACTTCATCCAATAGTCCATCTTGTCTTGCCAGATCTCTTTTGGGGAGTCGCACCAGACTCAACCACTAGTCGTGGCCTCCCATGCTCTTAACAAAAGAATCCAATTCCCTTGAGTCTTTTCGTTGATGATACCATTTTCCCGGGTCGTCCGTCCAACTGACCATGCCACTCCATCGATCCTTCTCCGTCACAGACAACACGTTCACCGGATCATTAACATTCGACTCCTTGATTTTGTGGTACGGACTGCGAAACGGTTTGAGGCTGATGATATGACAGCCAGGCTTCAGGTCCAGGAACACGTACTTCAGCTTGTCGTTGAGTTCGGCCGTAAACGCCTGATTGTTGACCAGGATTACGTCTGCTCGCTTGAGCACCTGACGCACTTCCTCGTTCTTGAGAAAGTCCCCGTGTATCAAACGGACATTGCCAGGCTTGATGCCCCAGAGTCGACACCGAGAAGGAAATTCTGCTGCCTGCAGCTGGGCCAGTTGATCCGGATTGTCCATGACTTCACACCCCCACGATTCGCATCCAGTTTCCAGAGCGGCCTGGAGCACGCAATTGCCCACCCCAGATCCGAGGTCAATGAACACCTTGTCGGACTTCAAGCTTGTCTCTTTAAAGATCCGACTGAGGAACTTTGGTAATAGTTCTCCATACACGTTGTCGGAAAAGCTTTCGTAGTGCCTAACCAAATTGACCTGTGGCGATACCGTTCGAGCGTAAATTTGATTCTTAATGATGTGTTCGACGAGCTTGAGATCGACACGGGTCATCTGATCCAACTTCTTCCCAATCGTCCCGTCCTTCCGCTTCTCAGCTATTAGGGCATTATATTTCTTGATCACGTCGATGTACTTCGACTGAGCGCCGACTTTGCCTCTCAGACCGAGCATTGCTTGTCGATGTAGCAGCTGCACAAAACCGGAACCGTCTTCTTCGCTTGTCACTTTGCTTGCGGATGCGCTATCCAGATAGTATTCGGCCACAATTTTCATGTTTGCTTCTATCTCGTCGAGAGGTTTGAAGTCGGAAGAGTCGGTCGGTCTCACCAGCTGGTACTGCTCGCCCTGTAATGCAGTTGGGTACTGCAGCTCGATCGTGGGGCACTCGTCCTCGTCGCCTTCCAGCGACGTGAAAAATGCTTCATACTTGTCTCGGCCTTGCTCTATGAGGCTGCTGTTTGCAATATTGATGGCATGAATCATAGAGAAACTGCCGCCGTCTTCACTCGTGAATGCGGCAGGATCTCGAACTTTTCTCGTTTCATCGATGCTGTGACTTCGGTCCACGCGAGGTCGCTTTCTAGGCTTTTCGTCTTCCTCACTTTCGTCGTCCGAACTCGTCAGCCTGGGTGTCGACACCGCAGGAGATGCGCGTTTGATGCGATGGTGTTTCTCATGCTTAATTCGCTCGAGAGGCTCGTTGCTCGCATGTCTGGAAGGTAGAGAGGCGGGCGTGCTAGACTTTCGAGAGACTTCCTGTTTTCGCAAGGCTCCATTGGGGGACGGCTTTGCTGACGCTGAAGACCGAGGAGTCGAACTGGACGACGGTTGCTTCGCGATAGGCTTGCTACCGGCGTTGACGGTGACTATCTTTGTGGTGATCTTTGGAGCGGCCTTTTTCGCTTTCAAGGCAGCAAACGACAGGGGTCTGTTCTGCGGCGGCACTGGTCCCATGATTTTGATGTGAAAGCTGGGACAATCGGTCGCAAGGTAAGATTAGCAAGAGAATGACACCCAAAACCCTTCCAAATCTCAAGAAATGAACGAATATTCTAAGAATGAGCAATTGCGAAAGAAAGGGTTGGATGTTTGGATCACACGACTGCGAAGGGATGAAAAGTGAAGATGGGGCGCAGCCCTCCCAGATCCCAGATGCCAACGAGGGCAAGGCAGCCAGACGGAGATGCCATGGGCGCCTCAAGGCCGATCTGCGGCGTGCGGCTGCGGCGCGAAAGTCCCCAAAATTCTGTTTCGCGGAGCCCATGCAAGGCACCAGCTGACAACAGCTTGGCCTACGTAATTCGTACAAGGAATCCAGCCCAGATTGAGTTTGACATTCACTTACTTGTATATACACAATTCGCTCCTGGCGAGGATATCTATGAATAGTATTTCAGATTTCTGGTGACGAGCTATTGCGTCGCTGTCGAGCACCACTGTTCCTATCGCCGTGCCCGCCGCGGTCGTCCCAAGACCTCTTCATACCACCACCGCCACGCTTCGAATGGTTCCACCGGGTATCCCGTCTGTCCCGGTTGTCAATTTGATCTTGGGTCGAGGCTGCTGGATGTTTCTCCATCCATCTTTCAAGTACTGAGGATATCTTCTGTCCCCAAACCTCTTCGCCAGCTTCTAGATCCTCATAAGTGACCGCCGTTGCCATATCATCAGGAGCAGGGTCGGTGATCGTGAAATCGGCCTGTTGGCTTCTCACCAGGGCTGCCATTGTGCCGTAGGAGCCACAAGCCACCCCAAGATCATAACAGAACGATCTGACATAGAAGCCGCTGCTTACTGTCAAGCGGATGCTAGCGGCGGGCGCATTAGCAGGCGAGGATTCTTGTGTCGGGAGATGGTGAGTGTGCAAAGCAGCCTTGTCCTTGCGTGGAATACTGTTGATGGCCGCGTTTGAGACGGGTTTCTTCGCATCTTTGTCTGAAGTTGCCTGCCCGGAGTGTGCGACAATTGACTTCTTTGTCGCTTCGGCTCCGTCCATAAGTTTTCTGGCTACAGCTTTCTCTTCGTCGCTGGCTTGTTCAGCCGGCCATCGGAAATCGTGCTGACCTGGTTCGAAGTACTCAAGTAAAGAACAATCCGAGATCTCCACATCGCGGCTTTCCAACTGGCGAGGCAATGCCTTCCCACTTCGCGCATAATCGTATAATTTCATGCCGTCAATCTTAATGGCGCTGTATATTGGTGGAATTTGCTTGTGCCTGCCACGAAATTTCTCCATCTGCTCCTCAACGAGACCTTCGGTGATATTTTCGGTAGGTGCTTCCGCCACCACTTTACCCATTACATCGTAGGTGTCCGTGTTCTTGCCGAAAAGAACGACTGTTTCGTAGGTCTTCTTGCAAGCCAGAAAATCCGAGAGATGCTTAGTCCCTCTGCCGATGCCGACTATTAGTATCCCTGTAGCCAAGGGGTCGAGGGTGCCACCGTGGCCCATCTTGAAGACCTGATCATTATCACGCTTTCGCCGCTTGCGCTGGTATCGCTCTTGCTCCTCCTGAGCGCTTCTAGTGTTCTGCAATAAGGGCGCAAAGGTTTTGGACTCCGCAAACTTGTGTTGAAGGTCTCGAAGCACTTGGGCAGAGGACAAATGTGGTGGTTTGCTCACGGCTAAATGGGTAGCGCAGTAGTCAGGACATGCACGGAATTGTAGGGTGCAGCAACTTGGGAGAGGAATTGGCCTCACCGAAGACGCCTTCAAGGACTTTTCCGGATGGCTGAGCCATCTTGGAGAGATGTCTTATGAGCATGTAAAGGTGAAGGTTTGGAGCGGGAGATCACGCATCTCGAAGCACGACTGCTGAAAAAGATAATGGTTCTGTGGAAAAGTGAACGCGATCTCTTTGCGGAGAAGACACGTGATACCAAGGATCTATCGCTGATTTAGTCAAGCGCAACCGAAGGACCCAAGAAGAAACCGGGGCCCTTCAAACCAATCGGACAAATGACGTGCGTTGTGTTCGAAGGGCTCCAGCAAGTGGCAGCAACACGCTTTTGCTTCTCCCAGCCTCGACTCTGCGCAGTCCCACCCACCACAAAATGACTCCCATCCCGTCCTTACATCGTTTCGTGGTTGAGTGCAGTGAGTGTCGAAAACAATATCCAGTCACATCACGAAAAGGCCTTTCAACTTCAAACTCCCGGGACATGACTCGTCACTATCCCCGCTTACCAATGTCCTGACGCGAACCCACCTTGAAATCACAGCATGAAACCAGTCCTTTACCACTGGATATGTCCACCCTGCCCGAATATCGTGTCCTCAGACCTCTCGATCCCGTCCCTGACGACGTCAACGAGTGGCCGGATTTCGCGCTGAGAGAAGCAAAGATATTCTATCAGGGAAAGGGACGCTATGCAGACCTGCTGCACGCGTCCGAAGAAACACCTTTATGCGTGCTGGGCGAACTGATGCCATTGGATGATGAACATGATGACCTTGGTAAGATTGGGATGCCACATTAAGCAAATCTTTCGCTGACAACATTACCCAAAGTCTTAGTAGAGAACCCATTATACGCGCGAGTGAAGGTTGACAATGTCACAAACTACAGTTTTGGACAGGATGACGACGGCAAACCCGTCATTTGGGCTGCTGGAAAAGCGGGCTGGTACGAAATTTCGCCATCAGACCGCTACCTAAGTCATTACAACGATACCGTGGAAGCGATCGATTTATTCTATTTCATGGTCGACCAACACCAGAAGATTCCGCGAAAGCGACAAAGATTCGGTTTCATGATTGACCCGTTCCTCACTGAATATCAGAAGCACACCGGGTACAGAATCAACGATGACGACGAAGCCATGGAAACCATTCATAAACACTATAGATTTCTTCTCAAGCAGATGGTCGAAGAACGAGAAGGGATAGACTGGTCACAGACTTACCTGTGGAAACATTTGGCAGAGACGTATGCAGAAGAAGTGGGGGAACTCAGGGCGAATCTGGCTCGAGCCACCCAGACTGTTCTGTCGGAAGAGCCTCCGATGGCTGATAGTGAGGTGGAGGATGCAGATACCGCGTCGCAGGAGGAGTCGCAAGCAGAGTCTCCAGCTTCGGACAAGTCTGAGGAGAACTCCGAGACCGAGCCTGACGAGTCCACCAGTACCGAGACGGAGATGGAAACGAAGCCTGACCCAATCGACTGGACCAGACCTATATGGGATATGCTCAACATTCTTCGCAAGTCAGCCAACTTCAATATGCGGCATTGTGGCATAGACGAAGCAGCAACCGAATTAGAGAAACTGTCTGCCTTCCAGGGCACACATGAAGATGCTGTCGAAGCATTCGAACGGTCTGCAGAAGAATTACTGAGGTTGATGAATGAAGCGAAACTGCGGAAGAAGTTCAACTGGTCCACTCGAAGAATTTATGATGAGCTAGAGGCTACTTTAGCAGACGAAGTCGCCGACGAGACCATGAAGACACCAGGCAAGCCTGCCAAACAGCGCCATCGCATGAAGTCAGTCCTGCGTCCGAGCGGGGCCAGCAAGGCACACAAGCGCGCCAGAGGCGTCGCCGACACGGAGGATGAGGACGAACAAATGAGTGATGTACCAATATCGTCTCCAGTGGCTCGGCGACAGACGCCGCCACCTCCAAGTCGAATGCGAGAGTTAACGGCGGACTCGGCAGGGACCAGGGAAGACAGTCCTAGTCGACAGCTCAACGGCCATTATGACTTGCAGGGTCTACCTGAACTTCCACCTGGACCGGAGGCGCAAGAGATGCTTGATCTGGTCACCCAAGAAGCGAAGAGAGTCGGCAGGCAAAACCAGATCAACCATCTGCACTCGTTCCTGGGTAATTGGGTGGCATAACAGTGCAGGTGCCCGAAGCGGTGGTTGGGCTGTGGCGTAAAGGTTGGTGGGCTGGCTTGAATTGTGTATAGTTGTGATACCCCCCATGTGCTTTGACGTATTCTTCTCTCGGCGAACAAAGATGCCATTATTGTTTTCGTTGTTCATGACGATTGCTTCACGGTTCTCATCTTCCTGCTACAATGCCTCGTGTCACAAATGCCTCCGCCGCATGTCCTAGCCAGACCTGAGCATCCCTCACCACTTGAATGCGTGGTGCCCGTGGTTATTAGGGGCGCGATTCATGGCATTTCCTCATCGCCCCGCTGCTCTCCTGTTCTTGCCCGGTCTTTTCGGCTTGCCCTTCATCCTGGAGGCCGAGAACTCACGCATATCGCCGCTGCTCATGGCGTCGCCGCTCTTGGAGAACCGCTTCTTCCCTCCGAAGCCGTACTTTGAATCTTTCTTCTGTCTCTTATTAGGTCCGCTGCCTCGCTCGCGACCCGACCGATCTTTTGCAGGACCTTTCTCGATGTCGACACTTTGGAACAACTCGTCGTCATCTTCTCTGACTTTGCCTGTATCCTGGCCCTTGCGTTCTAGACACGAATGTTAGCATCGTAACCTCAAAGCCATGATATACAGATTTGGCTTCTGGGAGGTGAACGTACTTCTTTTCAAGTCCTTAATCTTGTCGAGGGTAGTCCTCTTCTCCTTGGCTCGTTCTTGCTCTTTCGCAACTTGTACTGCCTTGCCGAATTTCTTCGCATCGCGCAACTTTCGGGCTTCCTCGGATGCCTTCTTGGAGGCAGCCTCGTCGTACATCTTCTTCTTGACTTTGCCCATGTGTTCGTCACTCTTGACCATCTCCGCGAAGTAGTCGCTTGGTCTGAAGAAGGGAATTCCGTCCTTCTTCAGAAGCGTCCTGGCCTCGACGGCGGCGTCGCGCGCGATCCGGTAGAATTCGAGTTCTCGGGTCAAATCGTCGTTCGGGTCTGGGACGGCGGTGGAGAGTGGAGGGAGTGACGAAACTAGCGAGTTGTGGTAGTGGAAGGGCATTTTGTGATTCTTGATCACGGCTACGCGGTTGCGTGATGCGATCAGCGCTGGACCGTTGTTGATTGTCAGGCGTTGGTGCGGGATTGTATCCTCGAGGTCTTCATCTTCGAGGTCGGAAAGCGGTACATCGGACTCGTTCTCTGCTTCGGAAGCTGATGCGTCGACTGGTTGTGGTGGTTGAGGGATCGTAGACGTGCCATTGACGTTGTCTTCTTGCTCGTCCTCGTCTTCTGAGAACGAGGCGAAATCTTCTGTTTGAGGTTGCTCTGACTCTCCGTTGCCGACGGTAGATATCTGTGCGTCATCTTCGTCGTCTGATTCTGCCTCTGGTTTTGTGCTTTTCGCCTTTTGCTTCTTCCTCTTCTCCGCCGCCTTCACTTGTTTCTGTCTCTTCTCTGCATCATAGTCTCGTCCCTTGTGCCTGTCAAGAGCAGTGAGGAGTTTGCTCTTAACAACCATGGCTACTAACTAGTCCACTGAAAAACTTGTAGAGAACTGATAATCGGAATGGTCCACCCCAAAAGGTCGGTAAGCAAGGCCTGGATTCTCTTATGGAAGAAGTCCTGGAATCGCAGAAAAATTATTGAGACTTCGGAGAATTGGAGAGCGGTCACTTTTCGAGTGGGCCTGCTGGGCTGCACTTGACCCACCTGCAACACCGCTCATGTTGCTTGTGCGGACAGTCATGCGGAAGCAACACTGACTATGTCTCCAGACCTCGAATAATAACCTGAAACTAGGATTCGCAAGATACCGTGGACTCTGGTCGTCTCAGAGAAATCCGGTGATATGCCTTCTACGTAACGTGTATTAGCAGGACAGCCAGTGCTGCCAGACCACCTCGACCCTACATTCCATTCTGCCGCATGTGGAACAACCCTGCTAAGTTACTGCAGCAGCCATATCACCGCACAAGGTGACACCACATAATGGTAAGTTACACACTGCTTGGCCCAGACTACACAGACATGGAAATCACTGGCTCTCCCTATCCCGCCACGCTCTCGCCGAGAAAGGCCAATCTGAACCTGAAGGTGAACATGCCTAACGGGACATACTTCCAGGCCGCACCAACACCGATTCCTCCGCCGGATTCCACGAGGCCTGGCCTCGCGCGTAACGCCACGACATTCACCGACCTCGCGGCGCCGAACGATGCGACTACCAAACTCACCGAAGCGATCGACGACTTTCTAGGCGATCTGGAGAAGAAGTTCAAGGGAATCAGCGATGAGATATTGACGAAGCGTAAGTCTTCGGTCATGGCATCCTTGGTCGTATATATACGGTGGCATATATGGAGCCTGTGCTGACGTGAATACCTACGGTCACAGTGGACGACATGGCTGAACGATGCGACCGGTTGGAGCAAGAGATGCTGCTTAGGGATGCAAGCACTGTGGAGAACGTTGGAAAGGCTCAGGCGGGACCCGCGGCTGGTTCGATATGAGCCCTTCATGGTCGAAGTTGACATCCGAAAGGAGCATTTGTCACGGAGCAGCCCGCCTTCTCTTCACTCTCTAGATCAATCCAAGTCTGTGGCCGTTGCGACGATGCCTTGACAGGCCCTGGCTGCCAGATGAATTGAGATGTGAAGGGGTACAGCGCATCAGCAGAAATTCAGATGGTCAGATCTCGCCACCGAACAGAGATATCGGAAGATGAAGGTCACAAAACGCCCTTCAATCTCGTTAATGGTGGCTGTTGTAGTCAACCACCTAGATCCCGAGCCCAACTTTTGATATCCCTAGGTAATCTACAACTCGCTCTTGGCTTCATCCTTGACCAAGAACTTGGCCAGAATGTTGCTTCTCTTCTGGAAGTCGTCAATCTTTTCTGCTGACAATCCACCTTTTTTCAACAAGCCAGCCAGTCTGGTCTGTTCCTTCATAGCGTATTCCGGGTTGCCAGTCAACTTGGAAAGTGCACGTAGATAGTACTCATAGGACGTGTCCTTCAAGTCTCCCGCAGCTTTCTTGATCTCCTCCGTAGCCGCAGCGATGTCCTTGATACCGCCGGCAGTGACGTACTTGGCGAGAACATTATCGATGGCATCAACAGTGCCAGCCTTCGTGTTCAATGCGCCGCCAACAAGTCTGTACGTGCCAGCCTTCGAGTTCACAAAGTCGACCAGAGCGTCCTCGGATCGTGCACCACTGTATGACTCAGGCTCAGAAGATCCCTTGGGGAAGAACTTGATGGTTGGGTATCCACTGATGCCCTGAGACTGAGCGGTGGCCTTGGAGTTCTCGCCTTCGGCATCGACCTTTGCGATCAGAACGTTGGGCTCGGAAGCGAAGTCGGTGGCGAGTTTCTCCCAGACGGGGGCGAGAGTTTTGCAGTCTAGGGGACAGGTTAATAGAGGCCCTGCAAGAAGTGCAGCGATCACTTACGTCCGCACCAAGGGGCAGTGAAAGCCACCAGGACATCCTTGTCTCCGCCGACCTCTTGCTTGAATGTAGTATCGGTCAACATCTCAACATGGCTCACGGCTTTCTTCGGGCCCTTGGCCTTGACGCCCGACTTCTCCGTCACGAAAGCCGTCAAGCTCTCCAGATCACGACCTCCATTGTAGTCTTGTGGTTGGCTACCTGACTTGCCATCGAACCACTTCAAGGTGGGGAAGCCTTGCACCCCGAATCTCTTTCCCAGGTCTTTGTGCTTGTCGGCGTCGACATTGCCAATGGTGACCTTGTTACCACTCGAGGCGAATGCGGAGGCCAACTCTTCGTAGATTGGGGCGAGAGTCTTGCAGTGGCCGCACCAAGGGGCGAAGAACTCGACGAGTGCGGGTTTGCCAGACTCGAAGACGACACTGTCGAAATTCGAGGGAATCAGATTGATAACATCTGAGGCGGCTGCAACAAGGGGCAAGGTAAGGGCTGCCAGTGACGAGAAGCGCATAATGGCGTCTGAGGACAGATGATCAAATATGAATCAAAGTGAGGATAATGTCCAGAAAGTTGAATCTCTGCTGTAGCAGAAGAGAAGGGAACAGTTCAAATAAATGAATGTCAGGAGCAGCACGTTGCCATCAGTGCGGCGATGTTCAGTACTATATTAGGTGGGCCCGGGGTCCCTGTTTGACGTTTGAGGCGTGAAGCTGGTGGATTTCCAAGCATTAATTGCGGAAAGGCCAGTCTGTCTCCTAGGCATCCTCAGCCTTGTCGACGTCACTTGGATCAAGATTACTGATAGACCAACCAGCATCACAATCTGGGCCCTCACAACACAATCGCGCAAGTACTTTTCGCTACAGTACGAAATCGTGTCTGTATACTTTACATGCCAATATTTGGCTTTTTGAGTATAAAAGTACAGGCCTTTGTCGGAAAACACACGAAATCCTTGATGGCCCAGATAGCATGACCAAAACCAATCCAACGCCAATGCTTGCTTGTTGCTCATCAATCATTTGAATCCAGGTATGCGAAAAAGTTGATTAGACGTCGTCATTGTCATTGCTTCTGGGATATGCTAGCCGTGATGTCCTCCTACCCTCCAGTATATAGCTGTTGGTAAGCACTGTGGGCATCAATGAGCACTGCAACGAGGTTAGGCATGTACATCGGAACCAGGAATTGATACTCACTCTGTAAAACCTGTTGCTGGGCACTTCTGCTCTCACACGCACACTGGACACATCTCCCGTCCAGTAAATCAAGGACTATACTCCACGCTATCTCTTCTCTTTCCATGTCAGGAAGTGTGGGTTGCTTAAAGTCGCTCAGATGATACTTTCGACTGACGCTCCTCATGTTCGCGTCGGTGACAGGCGGCGAAAAGATAATGTAACCTTGGTCGTCGATTCTGATAAAGCGACGCTTCCATAAGAGTGACTCGGGAAATTGTACGTTGACATCCCCGATATCAACAACATGCAGCAGGGACTCGGAGAATGAGTCCTGCCGTATCGGATCAAGTGGTTCTTGAAGTTGTTTGGGAGGCGACTGCGCCTTAGAAGCCGGCTGGTTCTTGTTGCGCGAAGAGGTGAGGTTTGACACCCGCTTCATCAAGCGGCTAGTCCTGGATGTTTTCGTCTTTTCCTCTCCGATAGACGTTGTGTCACTGGCCGACCGTGGTCCATGCTTTTTGTAGGTGCTCGAATGCGACATTTTGCTGTGAATTGATTCCGATCGAGGCAGATTGCTATTAGAGCCTGAACGATGGGAGGAAAAGGAGAATCTGCCTTTCTCGGACCTGGCCGGACTTTTAAGCGAGGATTGAATAGAAACCATCGAGTGGTCTCTTGGAAGCTCATCGTATTTCTCATGTTCGACGATTAAAGGACTTCGGAATAGGTTGAGAGGAGTATTGTAGCTGGAACTGGGTGACATTGGTGGATGCTTGTGAACAGGATCTCGGATGATCTTAGCGGTAACGGATATGGTCTCTCCTTTCTGGACAGGGGCGTAGGCATCAACCGATGGACGCGTGTTCTCCTTTGGCTTTGTGGATGGTGCGTCGGCATGGAAGGCCAACACAGGCAGTTTCTTTGGTGGCGAGGCATCTGTAGAGGCATTGGGGGTTGGCTGGTTGCTTATCAACGACGAGCGCTTCATGAAGGCTGAGAAGGCTGAATTCCCCCCAATGATTTCTCGTACAGGAGCTGGAGGTTGTTGCGAAACCGTCTCTTTTGTGGTCAACACTTCCAAAGCTTTGATGCGTTTGGATATGCCGGTGCCGAGAGTTGGTTTTTTCGTCAAAGGGACTGGCGCTTGTCCAGCTTGCACAGGTGGCCACTGAGGTAACGCAGTAGAGGTACTCCGTATGCTGCTAGACCTCGTCCGATCAGGCGTGCTTCCAGGACTCCGCCGAGCTTGCGAGCCAGCGCTTGTGTTCCTAGCCGTGAACTCACGGAGTCGGTCAGTACTGCCCCTTGACATTATAGGAGTTACAGGCGAGCGTGCAACCGACATGGGCTTCGCTTCATGCACAGTGGCATTTTGCAGTTCGTCCATAAGCAACTCGTCTTCAGAGACATCCGAAGCAGAGGTATCACCCGTGGCTACAAGCCTCAAAGCCTCAGGTGGCCCGATGCGCCTTGAGGTTTGGGCTCTATCAAATGCAGAAGACTGCTCGAGAGATCGGTTTTGCCTGCTCGATGTCTCGCGTGGAAAAAGAGAAAATGGAGCGTCTCGTCGACTTGGGCTGGAGATTGACTTTGTCGAGGTTGTTGTCTCCTTTCTGGTGTCAGAGCCCTGGACTTTGGGTAAGGTTCCAATGCCCAGTCTTGATCTGCTAGCAGGTCTTTCGTCTTGCCACTCCTCGCGTGGGCTTAGCTTTTCTTGAATACCTGCCCTCGGGGTTACGGACGAGCTGGTTGCCGAAGAGAGTGACCGACGATTCTGGGATGCATCATCTGGATCTGTGTACGAGGAAGCCTTCGTCGATGGCTCTTGCGAAATGTGTGTCATGAATGTTGGAGATGTCGTACTGGATGACTGCGCGAGATTCGTTTCTTCGTCAATGTTTGCAAGGTGCTCCTGACTGGGATTCGACGCCTGCGGACCCAGACTCGAACCTGTGGTAACACCGCCCTGAGGACCCGGTGCCGCAGAAGTGTTCACCGAAGATCTTTGTGCTAGAAGCATGCTTCGTTTGCGTAGCTGTAGCGCTTTCATCATTCTCAGCTTTTCTGGCGTTGCTGTTGACGCCTCTGTCGTAACCGAGGCAGGCCTGGATACAGCAGGGCGACTTTCTGCTGGTGTGTAGAGTGACTGTGCATGTGAGGGAGAAGGTAGCGGTGGCACACCTGTCGTAGGACGGCTGGAGGGTACGAAGCGAGCAGGGACGCTGCGAGTGGATTGCTGCGACGACGGTCGCACGCCCAAATTCAGCAAATGTTTATTGCTCACTCGAATACTGTTTGGTAGGTTGGCGACTGGCCGTTCGCTCAGACTGCTGTCCGTCGTGCCCGACGTCTTCGGACGATGGCCTGCCTCAACATGGGGTCGAGGTGCTCTCTTCTTCTTTGTTGAATCAACGCTGACATACGATGCGACGTGGTTCGTCCACTGACTAATACTATCTGACTCTGCAGCAGAAAGGTGACGAGTGTGCAGAGGACGCGGCGTGAGCGCTTCCGCAGGTTCCTTGTTTCTGGCGTCCAGAAGTATGTTACTTGCTGCGTCGAAGTCGGGGGCTCTCGTCGGTTCACCTCCGCTGGTAGTTGGGGGCGTTGACTCGGGTGTGTCAGGCAAGACCTTCTCTACGGGAGGAGGTACGGATAGATGAAAAGATGGAGGCGCCCTTTTTGGGGAGAGACCATCCCTAGAAGGTGGTAGAGGAAAGTCGAGAGTTGCCAATTGTGCATTTTCTTCTGCTGCAGCGGCCGCAGCTTCTTCCCTCCTCTTTGCCAACAGTGCTTTGGCCAGAATAGCACTCGCAGGCAACTCGTCTAGTTCGCGCTTTCCGTAGCTTTGCGCTGCGGGCTCTTCTGTCTGCGGCGTGCGGTTGACCTTGTCGTCTGCTTCAGTTGCACTTTCTTCTGCATCCTCCGTGATCTCGTCAAGTCTGCGCCGCCGTAAAGATGAGCTCGAGGACCTTAATGAAGCGGCTGAGGGCGCTAGCATCATCGATGAGCCAAGAGAAGACTCAGTCAACTCCGAAGCCGCGGTAAATGAGAAGACGGTGTCATGCGGTGTGAATATTTCCAGGATGGATTGGAATTGTACAGTAAGCCGCACTGAAGAAAGTCAGTTTACGTGCGACAGAGCGAAAGCTGTGTTCAAGTCGGAATAACGCGTGCACTCACCTTGCAATAGTCGCGAAGTGCCCTCTGGTACATATTTCAAGATGATCTTCTTCCGCCGGTGTTGCAGCATGCCATATAGTGGTGATTTCTCTTCATATTTTTCTACCGCACCTCTTACTTCCTGCACACCTCCCGCCCCTTTCTGCAGCAGCTCTACCGTGTCGCGATTGGCATATTTGAGCAAGAACCTGTGATCGACCAGTCAGCGCATCTGTCGCGGCTTTTCAATGTGGAGCAGACGTACCATCCTCCTGGTTCTGCCAGCGCAGCTCGGTGCGCAGCGGCGACCGCAACTTCATCAAGCCCATTCAACGACATTGCTCGGCTTCATCTGAGGTGGCCGCAACCACGATGTTGTTCAAGGCTGACATGTACAGTCGGGAAAAACAACGTCTAAAGGCACAGAGGACAGCAGGCTCAGGGATTCAGCGCAAATCACTGATCGCAACCATCAAAAAGTCTGGAGATGCACCCTCGAGGGGAATCCACATGCACGACATTACCAATGAGGCACAGCGCGGAACGTCTCATGCAGATTCAGGGGGCTTTTGTTCCATGACTTGGCCCAAGAAGCGGACCTTGCAAGGGTACACCAGGCCGCGGCAGACCCAAAAGATGCTTGACCCACACCAGATGAGCGCCGGTGGGGATGCTATTTGACCTCAAAAAGCCCGAAGGTGGTATGTAGGGGCAGTTTCATTCGACCAGTCTACCCTCCAAAACGGCCCAATTTCCCGAGCCCGCATGCTGGCCCCGGACGGCCAGAAGCCAGGAACAATGGACGCTATCACCCTTGAGGCCGTACGGAGTTGGTCTTACAAGATTTTTATAAAGTCTCCTACCGAGGAAACGAGATTCCAGCTACGCCACGGGAGGATGAGATGCCGATCTCTTTCCCGTGCCATGTGTCTGTCTGCCTCAACTCAAGGACTAGAATACAAAATGGTTCCTCGGTCTTCCTGGGATCATGTTGAATGCCCTGGGGCGTGCCTGGGGTTACCTATACATACCGTTATATGTCGAGCTCGGACAACAGGCCCAAGCCCTTGAGTTTCCGGGCTCGGAAACGTATCGTGACAGAAGGCTCGTGTTGATCTCTGTTTGAGGTGCCGCACATGGTTTGTGCCGCATTGGCCCTACGGAAAAGTGCGCCAATGGCGCAACCTGCTGCAGGTGATTCCCTTCCCGCACCTTGCTGTGGCTCGGCTCAGCAACAAGGCTACCTAGGTAGGTATCGACAATACCCGTCCTCTACGTGACCTCGAAAGTGCCATGAAGTTGTGAGTCTGTCAACGAAGTCAGAGCTATAGATCGCTAGCCCTGCTCTGTGCGACTATAAGTCAATGGTTCATTTTCTCGAAGCTCGCTTCGTTAACGAAGTTACCATAGTAAGGAGTCCTTAAATGAAGCTGTCGCCAAAACTCCACGCTACAGCACGTGATGATCATCAACCTGCTATCTGGGTGATTGACTACTCGCCAACGATGATATGACGTTCGCGCCTCTGCTATCCATGCACTCGATATCAGACCCTAAATCTACTATCCAGAGTGCTTTCTAGATCCCTGCATCGTTATCCATTGGTATCCTGGTCGGCACGAGTGGGCAAGTCACGAAATGGCCACGCTACCTCCCATCTCGACATTGCCGTCGCTCGACACGGAAGAGCGGGCGAAAGTGCTAGATCTCCTCTTTGAGCCATGTCAGCAGCTCCACACACTGTCCGTCAGTTCACTCCGCGAAAAGACATTCTCATCCTACGACGAGGTCATCGACGCGGTCGGCAAGCAACTGTTCGATCTTTACGAGTCTAACCTCGAGAGTGACACTAGATGGCTTGACGCCATTCTCTCTGCCCACCCCCGCCTAGGCGAGAAGAAGGTCGACAGCGAACAGAGTCGTAAGGAGCAGGCCCAATTGAATCAAGGCGGATCTGAAGAAGCCCAACTTCTCGCTGATATGAATCGCAAATATGAGGAGACGTTTCCCGGCCTACGATATGTGTAAGTTCCGTGCCATGTCATTTGCACTGTGTGGTCTACGGGGCGACTCTTTGGTGACTTATTCCTGCATAGTGTCTTTGTGAACGGCCGCAGTCGCCCGGTCATCATGGCGGATATGCAGAAACGAATAGAACGAGCGGACATCAACCAGGAGAAGGAGGATTCTATCAAGGTAAGTCTCGATGGGCAAGTGTCGGGTCCATATGGCAATTGATGACTTTTTTTTACCAGGCTATGTGCGCTATAGCATCTGACAGAGCGCAAAAATTGGGAGGATGATCCTCGACAGCTGCAGCCAAGGGGCTACGTTCGTGAAGATGTTTGCCCATGAGCCCCTGTCACTTATATCTTGATCATAGATGACAACGATTGACGACTTCATCAAAGACTCAAAAAGCAGTGGCAAGTTCCCATGAGACAGGCGCACGTCTGGCCAACACCTAACGTTCAGACGCGAAGCGAACATATGATATTACAATTTCTCTTCTAAAAGTCCGATCATAGTCCAGTCCGCATAGCTACTCATGATACAAGGTTGAGACATATAAACCGAGCCCAGCTCAATCGGCTCAGCTCGAATTGACAGGTTACATCCTTCATCTGCCGGTGAGCTTTCTGTTCTCATCATCGGTTTCCTCTCCCTCGCTCCACTCTCCGTCGTCCCCTACGGCAAAAATCGTCTCACCGTCCAACGAAGCTCTGGACTTGGGCGGGTTAGGCGGTGCTCTGCTGCTGTTCTGCAATGCAGGGGCAGGCGATGCATTCCTCGGGGCTGACATGTTGGCCCCATCAGTAAAAGAAGTTGAAGCTCCCCCAGACGGGCTGATTCCTCGCTCGTGGTCTTTCTTGTTTGTTGCTGTTTCCTCGTCATCTGAAAGCGAGTCGGCGATGCTCCGAATCTCGAAGCCGTCATCTTCTTGGGACAACTATCACACTGTGTTAGCAGACCATTTCTTGGTCGAATTCAGCAATTCAGACTTACCTCATCACTCATGGCGAATCGTCTGTTGTTGGCTGTCGGACGCCACAGATACGCGATGAACGCAATATCGAAGAGATAGACTAAGTTGAGCCAGCCATCCAGCACGAACCACCGGCTCTGCCAATGCTCCGGGACGAAGTTGGCCTCCCCGCTCCCAGCAAATGCGAAGCTGTTGACGAAGAAGAAGGCGAAGATGATTAGTATGGAGCCTAGGATGCACCAGGACAACTTCTTATACATCATCGCTTTTGTCTTCTGTTTGCGATCCACCAGATCCTTGATTGTGATATTGAGCGAGGACAAAGTCCAGACGTAGAATGCGGTCAGTGTGCCCGCAAGTGGAAGGATGACAAACAGGATAATCGGACCAACCGACTCCGGTGTCACTGCCATCGACACAATGGCGTAAATGACGCCAAAGACAAAATGCGCCGCAGCCAGTATGCGAACATAGATCATCGTTTTTCCAAGTGATGGCTTGACCACGCCAAAGCCCATGCATACAATTAGTAAGAGGAAGAACGACAAGGAATTGCGGCCGGCATTCAAGATCGAGACAATGATCATGAACACCTTGTTCAAGGTGTTGTTCCCATGTCTGTTCTGATAGTCGTAGAAGCCCCAAGTCATGAGCTGCTCGACGATCAAGAAGATGATGGTCGCGGTGATGTAGTTCTGCACAGGGAGAATGTCGCTGCGGTTCTGTACATATAGAAAAGCCCAAAAAGCGCCCAGTACCGCGTAGGTGATGGTTAGGCCGCCATAGAACGGGAGCTTCGCGATCTGGGCCGCTGGCAGCTCTCCATACGCATTGCGGAACTCGACAACAGCGTCGTATTCGTGGTCGGAGTAGGCATACGTCGAAACGCAATAGTATCCTGTTCGGCGGATAGGGTAGTTGATCGCCTTGGGGTCTTTAAGGTGGATTGCTTCATTGTATATGGGGTTCTTTGACTGTTCTGTAGCGTTCGTCGCGAGTATGAAGGAGCCAATATCCTTTTCTTCACATAACCCCTGCCCAACGGCGTCCGTTGTGCATATGGTTTCGAAGTCGCGATAGGTGTCTCCGCCAGGTGGTGTCTTTCCTATCAGGTGTTCGTCCTGCCATTCGAATATTATGAGACTCGTCAATGGGTCTGTGTCATCTTCGGTATGGTCCGGAAGGAACTTGACAAGGATGAACGGCTCTATTGAACCACCCCAGGACTTCCTGCTGTACATCCCTGAGCATCTTTGTCTGTGGGCATCATCTTGTTTCTGTCTCCGGTCAGCATTTTCGGATGTCAAGGAACGCGAACAAGCCTCACCAGTTGTACTTCATTGCCCGCGACAAGCGCCGAAAAGTATGCGAGTAGGCCGAGCGACGGCGCCCAGCGTTTCATGGTGATGGTTCAATCCGCGCAGGCGGAAGCTTTTTGTTTCGATACGGGCTGAGATCGGGTGGTCGCTCAGTCTTGTTGCATGGTAAGATATGCGCTGGCTCGCCGCCGAGCGCGACTATAGTGAGGGGGATGTGTGAATCTGGCTCTTCGAAGTACTTTGTCAGGCTACAGTATGTCTACAGTATGTAAAGATTTGGCTGAGGTTGCTGTTGGAGATGATGGTGCTCCGCCGCACCCCATTCCCGTTGGCGCAGCAGTGTGAAAGGCCACAGGCCCGGCCACGTCACTAGTCCACCATAGTACGGTACACTAACTTAGGTTCACACTTCTTGATTCTCCTGACTTTAATCCTCGCACAGCTCCTCTTCTCTTCGCACTCGCATCGTCTTCTATCGGCATCAGTGCCATATTGAAGTAAGTTGATCCGGAATGTTTACAGCAGAGGAGTTCCCCGGCCGCCTCCAGCCATCGTGTGTCTTTATCATTAAGAGCCGACAAGTCTATTTCCAGAAAAAGTGGCACACCGTCTGACGGGGAATACATCAACGACACAAGTTCATGGTCCAGCAAGTTCGCGACAGCGCGTACTTTGCCCCCATGCTAGTAGGACTGTACAGTAGAGCTGACGACCTTCCCACTGTCAAGAGCTGATGCCATATCGTTGTGTGCGAAAGACTCGGCCATGACAACAAGGAATGGTATCACAGGTATCTCTTCAAAGCTGACGAGCAACTACCGTCAGACAGTGCCACTTTTTTTTGGAAATAGGCTTGCCGAATAGTCTTTACTATTTACGCACACAGCGAGGCCAAGCTTAACTGAACAGCATGACATTGCAAGTCTCGAAGTGACCTAGCTGCTGGTATGACATGCTCGGGTGCTTACTCTTCTGCTTTGCCCTTGGCTTTGCCTACCAAGCTTCTCGCAGTCTCACAAATGAACATCTGTGGACCAATAAAGTTGACACCTTCCCAAGAGCCTCCTGGCACCTCTTGCTCGTCCTGGTCCAATAGATCATTGATCGTCTTCAGCATCCCAGTCGCAATGGCTCTGTTGCTTGTGAGTGTGACAATATTCTTGACCCAACCGTATAGAAACACAGATGCATTGATGGGGCTAAGTCGCAACGTCGAGGCGACACGCGAAGCAATGGATGATGGAAACATGTGGCCTCGGGGATGTGCATGCTGATTGTCCAGTGAGTGGACAGGGATCAATTCTGCCATGTCGAACTCGACCACTCTTATGGGGACTCGGATAGCCTCAGGTAACGCATGTATCGACACCTCACGCAAAGCCTGACGAAGCACTGGCTCTGACTGGTCAGAGTATGCGCCTTCACCGAGGATGATATCAGCTCGCTTCCGTTCGCTGGTTGTTCCCATGCATTGAACAATCTCGCGCATTCTTTGAGCTGCATGAGAAGTACATTCGAGTTTTCGATCAACAAGTAGAGGGTAGATCTCTGTGGGAAGTAGTGGATCTGATTCTTCGGATTCGATCTGGCGGAGAATTGCCGTATGATAGGTTCCTGATTCGGCATCGCGTGCTGCCGACAGTCGGTCTCGATGGAAATGAGAGATGTCTGATATGAGAGCCAGAAGGATCGTGCAATCGATGTTCATTGTTCCAGTAAGCGACACTGTTGCTATTGCTGGCATCATCTGGTCAAATACCGACGGTCCTCCCGCCACTGTTGAAGGTTGTAAGGGTATGCCACTTTCGACGGTAGCACCAGTTGCTCGCAAATCCGCAATTAACTCATCGACATCGGGAATGACACCCTCGCGGATGTTGGGGAGAACAAAATGAACATGCGGGCGGCGAAAGCGGATTCGGACTCTTTTGGATGCCTCCCTGAGATCTTCAGCAACCCTTACAAGCTCAAGTTTGCCTGCTTGCCTCGATGGGGTATCTTCACTATTGTCGCTTTCGCCACTCTCACTGTAATCGCCGTAGGCTTCCCAACCTTCCTTAGCCATCTCAAAAAGTAAACGCTTTTCTGTCATTGTTGACACCTTGATCCATTCCAACCCATTTTCGGCAACGATGTCCACAAGCACGCTTTTCTTTTTGACTTTGTTTGGCGCTGCCATCAGCCGACCTGCACCTATTTTATCCAACGCTGTGTTCGTTTTGCAGGAGTCACATGAATCCCAGTAAACCCTCTTGCCTAGAGCCGTGATGCCATGTCTAGACTTTGCAACGACCCAGACTGCTTCGTAGAAGGGAAGGTTGGAGCTCCTCAGAGCATGCAATTGCGGGGATTCTGTGTCATCTTCCCCTGCAGACTTGGCCAAAACTCCTCTCTCAGAGGGCCTGAACCGTTGTGTTATCTTTGCCACGCTCTTCACTTCGGACTCAACTCCTCGTCTGAAGATTCTCATCTCGACGCTTTGCTGTTTATTTTGGGTCTTGAGAAGGGCTCGGTACGCTGTCAATTCGTCCAGCAGTGCCTGCGCGCGAGTCTGGAGGCTACCCAAGAGCACCAATGGATCGTCTGAGTCGCCATCTTCGTTGTCTTCATAGGCGGGCGTCATGATATCGCGGATCGCACCCAGCAGATTGCCGTTGTTAACAGGGTGCCGGTCGAGGTTGATGGTGTTCATAATGAGAATCTGCAAGTCTGGTTGCGGAGTAAGGAAAGCGAAGGACGACTCCGATTGGCGGAACTGAATCACCGCCAAACTGCCAAATTGCGAATGAAATATCCCATTCTGAATAAGCGTTGGAAGAATGATTCCCACCCAACAAGTTTTTGGCCGACAGTTCCTGCCACTCGAATGCTTCAGCGACGGGTATGCGTGATTTCTGTGGGAGGCAGTTGGTCACCTCAGAGGTCTGAATTCTTGATTTGATCTCCTGGTAACCACATGCAGACCTTCGAGTCCGCTGTGGCCAGCATGTTGAAGCGTGGGTTGCATTGGACCACTGCGCTTTTGATTCCACGGCTTGGTACCCTCGAAGTGGGCTCCTGTCGACCACCTGTGGCTGCTTGGGTGTCCCAGATCAATAATTCAGACTGATCACCAGCTCCTCCGATAACATATCTTCCGTCCTGTGTGAAGCATGCATCGCCTTGACCTAATGGTTTGCCCGAAGTCGAGATAGGTGCAGCCCGTCCAGTTCCGCTCGTTTTTCCAGTCAGAAAAGACTTGACTGACCCGTCAAAGGCGTCAAGCACAAAGTGACCGTGATAATCTGTTCCTACAAGCATGCTCTTTCCATCATTCGAAAATTCCAGCCTCGTCCATAACCGTCCTTTCGTCGTAGGAGTATACCTCTCCTCGGCTTGTGCCATGTCGAAAGTTTCGAACGGAGCTTTGTCAAAATTGCGAACATCGTACATGAGGACGGAGGAGGTGGTTTGTGATGCGATGGCCATCACGTTCGCCGAAGGGTCGTAGGCAGCCAGGTAGGGCGTCACCAGTTTCAGCTTGCCCTGAGGACTCCTCGAGTTGAGATCCCATAGACACACCATGTCATCGTTACCGCATGACAAGAACTGATCTCCTCCGGGTGACAATGCTATGCAGGTGACTTGTGCAGTATGCGCCGTAAAGTAGCGAACAAAGCTTTCGTTGTGTAGTTCGAGCAAGCGAAGGGAGTCTTCTTGCTTTGTGCTGGCGAAGAGTACATTGCGCGGATGATGGGTAAAGCGAGCCAAGTGAATTCCATACTTTTTGCTGGGTATAACCTTGGTTCTTTTCCCTTCCTTGATGTCGTACACTTGCATCGTATCATCGTCTGAAGCCGCGACCAGAAATTCGCCCGCGTCGTCAAAATCTAAAGACGTAACCCGACTGTCATCTCCATCCGATCGCGTTGATCCAGGGAATTGCTGCATACACTTAGCGAAGAAACTCTTGAGATATATTGCACGCAGGCTTACTCTTGCAGGTCGATAATGTTTGACCACATCGTTGACTTTTTGTTGCTGTAGGGCAGCCATGGTTCAACGAAGGCCAGATTTCGTTAAGGATACGCGCATCGAAGACGGCCTGTTCATGCGACTTGATCAGGTACTCGGGTTTACACGCGAAGCTCGAAGATCATCAATCGATGTCAATGGTGGTCGCATGCATTCGGGCAGGAAGATGTGTGCGGAGCAATCAGATTAATTTAGTTCAGCAACGCGCCTGCGGATCTCCAGGCGACGGCCAGGCACTTACCGTAGGCAATGGGGAGGCATACCAATTCCCCGGCTCTTTCAGCGCTTATACGCGGACTTCGGCTAACCCATCTTTTTCTGGTTCTACATTTCTTTCAATTGTCTTGCGCGCAGTCGACTTCCTTGATGACACGAGTGCCCACAACCTCTGTCCTGCCTCAATCCGACGCCGTCCTCTTTCGTCGAGTCATGCAGCCCTACAGTTTCTCTTCTTCACAATAGAACTCAGCGGCGGAAGGCCAGGAAAAGACATAACATCGACCATAAAACCCGACCGACATCGGAAGTGACCATGGCAACGACTACCGGCGCATTCATTGCTGGTGGCATCGCAGCTTGCGGTGCGGTCACTGCGACACACCCTATGGAGACAGTGAAGATCAGAATGCAGTTGCAGGGAGAGTTACAGTCCAAGGATATCGCAATTAAGAAATACAAGGGTGTTTTCCATGGCGTCAGTGTCATCCTGAAAAATGAAGGATTTCGTGGTATATACCGGGGAATAGGGTGCGCATACGTATACCAGATTCTTCTTAATGGTTGTCGGCTAGGTTTTTATGAGCCGTTGAGGGCGGCTTGCACGAAGCTTGTCTTCAGAGATGCGAATGTACAATCGCTCGGGGTCAACATATTCTCGGGGGCCGCCTCTGGGATATTGGGAGCTATGGCGGGTTCCCCCTTCTTCCTGATCAAGACTCGGTTGCAGTCTTACTCTCCCTTCCTCCCGGTCGGTACGCAACACACATACCGTAACGCCATGGATGGTTTCAGGCAGATATATGGGACAGAAGGAATCAAAGGCTTATACAGAGGAATGGGAGCCGCAATGGTCAGAACCGGAGCAGGAAGTTCTGTGCAATTGCCAACATATTTTTTCGCCAAACGACGATTAATACGCCATGCAGGCATGGAGGATGGACTAGCCCTGCATCTGCTGAGTTCGACGGCCAGCGGCTTTGTGGTTTGCTGCGTCATGCATCCTCCCGTATGTTACTGCTCCCTTGGGCTCTCCCACAAGTACTGATCATCATGCAGGACACGGTAATGTCTCGACTTTACAACCAACACGGCAACCTTTACAACGGCATTTTCGACTGTTTATGGAAAACCATTTCCACAGAGGGATTCCTCAGTGTTTACAAAGGATTCACAGCTCACTTAGCCAGGATATTACCACACACCATCCTCACCCTGACATTGGCAGAGCAGACGAACAAGCTGGTACGGGGAGTCGAGTCCCGGATTCTACCTCAGTCATTGAAGGACAAACTCTGAGAGGGTTTCAAGTCTATGTTTGTACCATTCGCATTCTGCAGCATTCGAACAAGCATCCCGCTGCGATCCGGCAGAGAAAAGCTTGTTCCGGCACTCTGAGAAGCACTATAAGTGCAACTGAATGAAGCTGGCTAGGATATATCAACCCGATGGATAAATTTCTCATGTCCAATATGTGTTGGTTGACGAGATGCACGCTCGTCTGATCGGATCCGCGAGACATGATGGGGTGAAGATGCCAGGACTTGGTGCCGACTGTTAGAGCACATTGTAGAACCTCACACCAGAGTCTGCCATTGGTAGCCAAAGGCAATCAATGCACAATACCAACAACACAAGACGTGTCGACTTCTCTTTGCGCAACCTGAACTATCCACGTTTAGTAGGGCTCAATTTTGCATCGTATGCTCCTCTGACGCATGCCCTTCAGTGTACATGAAGAGGCCTTGTACGCATCCCTCGCTGGGCGTTGTGAGTTATCTACTTAGCAATGGATGAAGTGACGTACCGATGGGGCATGCCAATGTTGCTCCCTCTGGGCGCTTCAGACCATCGCATCGGTTTCATTGTAGATGTATTGCTATGGAAGCCTCGTGTACATTAGACATCACGTCGTCTGGGCGAGGCTGAGGTAGACATGCTCGAGTACTCAAGATTACCAAGTTACCTGAGCAGAGTAGCTCTTCTCTTGTACCTCTACGATGCCAACCTCGTGGAGACCTGATCGTCCGATTTGACTGCCGGGAGAACGCACTGTGGATGACAACAGAAAGTCCGCCAGCTTTAAACCCCCTGTCAACGCGAAATGCAGGCGGACGCGCTCGCACGTGACTTTCTACAGATTAATCTGATAAGATGAGATTAGATCAGGTGGCCCGAGTTCTATTCGTCATGTTCTTGCCAAATCCGGGCAGCCGCTTCAGCAATATGGTGATGAAAGAAGAATTCTAATGAATGTCAGAACAGTTTCCTCAACAACGCGCTGAAAGGGAGTCCACAAGGCCCCTGCAGGTCCAGTTCAGTGACTGTCACGATCGCGGTGGTCATGTTGATTGTGGATCAAGAGACCTGCCACTTAAAGTGCTCCAGCAACGCGCATCGCGTTAGCCGCGTCCTGCGTGACTTCACATAAATCGACTGTTTTCCTCACATTGATTCCTCTTCCACTCTCGCGTCCTTCATCAACACTACCTTTGACTACCGACACCACTTTGTATTGTCTCTTTGTACTTGGTTGCACAGTCCTAGCATTGAACAATGGATACTCAGATCACACCCTCGAAGCAGGTACGCTTTTGCCACTTGCATTATTGATTTTTCATTGTCAAAGAATATATTGCTAACAACACGCGCAGGCGGCTTCAAGCCTCGAGAACCTCAAGTTCAAGGACAGTCCCGTCAAGAAGCTCAACTTTGATGTTGAAGACAAGGAAAACATGCCCGTCGCGTCGGAAATCACGCTGAAGTCTGAGTCGGACTTTGAGAAAAAGCCTGTGGCAGAGATCAAATCAGATGTCGTCGAAGCACCCAAGGCCGCGCCTACTTGGCGAGAGCTGGAGGCTGAGGAAGACATTCTGAAGGAGAATCCTCACCGCTTCGTGCTCTTCCCCATCAAGTTCCACGAGATTGTGAGTGACCATACTGCGTGTCTTGGGACATTTTCACGACGAACCTGTCTAATGTTGTCGACCTAGTGGAACACGTATAAGCGTGCAGAAGCGTCATTCTGGACAGCTGAAGAGGTTGATCTATCCAAGGATCTTCACGACTGGCATAACCGTCTGAACGATGACGAGAGATACTTCATTTCTCATGTCCTCGCCTTCTTTGCTGCTTCCGATGGTATCGTCAACGAAAACCTCCTCGAGCGCTTCAGCAATGAGGTTCAAATTCCTGAAGCTCGTTGCTTCTACGGGTGCGTCCCTTCTATGGATCTATGTTACTGGTAGACTGTGCTAATCATATTACAGTTTCCAAATCATGATTGAAAACATCCATTCAGAGATGTACAGTCTGTTGATCGATACATACATCAAAGATAACAAGCAGAAGAGTTATTTGTTTGATGCCATTGACACCATCCCTTGCATCCGAAAGAAGGCAGACTGGGCCTTGACATGGATCTCTGACAAAAACTCCTCCTTCGCCCAGAGACTTGTTGCATTCGCTGCCGTCGAAGGTATCTTCTTCTCTGGATCGTTCGCCTCCATCTTCTGGCTCAAGAGCAAAGGTATGTTTCTCTTCACGCTTCTTTGTGTTCGATTGCTAACCATTGCAAGGTCTCATGCCTGGATTGACCTTCTCCAACGAACTCATCTCTCGTGATGAGGGTATGCACACTGACTTCGCATGCCTTCTCATGCAACATCTCAAACACAAACCCAGCCCAGATCTCATCAACAAAATCATCACCGAGGCTGTCGAGATTGAGAAGGAGTTCCTCACTGATGCCCTCCCTTGTGCATTGCTCGGAATGAACGCCAAGCTCATGCAACAATACATTGAGTTCGTTGCCGACCGCCTACTCCTGGCTTTGGGCAACAAGCGCTTTTACAATGCCCAGAATCCTTTCTCATTCGTAAGTTATCTTCTTGTGACTGCTTGAGATCACTGCTGACAGCCGATGATAGATGGAGAACATCTCACTAGCTGGCAAGACCAACTTCTTCGAGAAGCGTGTCGGTGACTACCAGAAGGCCGGTGTCATGGGTTCGCAGACGAGCGCCGACAGCAAGTCAAAGGCAGGCTCGCCCTCCGAGGAGAAGAGCGAAGACGACAGCGGTCTCGCCTTCAACGAGGATTTCTAGATCTCTTAGCTCTCTCACGATCATCTGTTCTACGGCGTTTCACGGAGCACTAACGGAAAGGGTTAATGGTTTTGCATGGTATCTCTACTTCGAATACCCCTTTACACCATGGGAAAAGAAAGCATTGAAGGCTGCATGGGTGTACTATTATCCATAAGTCCGTTCACAGAACGGCCATTTTTGTGTGCATAGCTGCGTTGACGGGTCTGTGCTTTGGGTATTATGAAGTCATACACATGGCGGAGTTAGAAGTCTTGTACAAGATCAAATGTTCCTCCTTGACGATAAGCAGGAAATCGAGCTCCTCTTCTTCCTTCCAGCTGTCATCTCTAAGGTTTTGGATCCCTGCACTTCTCCCAGCCTCGTGTGACCCCTTTTCTACTAGAGCCTCGTCGGAGTCGGGTCCATATTCCTCCCTGGTCTGGAATATTTCTGGCTCGAGGTTGTACATGGCCGTGTGTGATGTGGAACCCAGTGGTATAGATGTATTGGCAGGAGCGTGTGTCTCATGGCATTCGAGTTTGCACAGATGTACATCAATCTTCGATGTGCAGCTGATATCTCAAAGGACATGACATCCTGCTTGGCGATTGCCCATATATCTCCCAGCTCATGAGCTCGAGAGCTCTCTATGAGGTGCTTGAGTTGGACATATGCCGCTAAGCATGATATGGCTCCTCAGTCAAGCCCAGTCTCGAGGTGATCCATTCTTCACGACCTCTTCCCCATCCACCAAAGTTCGTCGACGGTGTGTGCGAACAGCAGGCGGATCATGAATATCGATCCATCTATCCTAGGAGCTTCTCATTTCTTGCCCTTCTTCTTCTTGTTCTTCCCACCACCTCCGCCAGCAGCAGGGTTTGTTTGAGTCGCTGCGGGTGCCGCCGTCACGACCTTGTCCTCGACTTTGGGCGCCGACATGCCGCTGTCGATATCCATTTTATCTCCGTCAAATGCTGCAGCTGATCCGTTCGCGGCTGCTGCCGCCGTCGGCATCTCGATGATCTCGCCTTTTGCTAATCTCCCTAGTCCCGCTAATAATCTGCCCACCTCTGCCGCTTTGTCTGTTCGGTATTTCAGGCATATTCCCGATTCGGGCTCGAATGTCTTCAGTGTGAGCTGGGCAGAGGGCTCGCGCTTCGTTTGTGTTGCTCCTGACTCTGTCTTCGATGGTGCTGTTTCTTCTTTCGGTTTTGAGCGACCCTTTGTGTTCGGTTTTCTGGGTAGAGAGTATTTCGTCGTTATGCGCGCTGAAGGGTATGCTTGGATGAGTAGAGAGGATTGGTGCAGGTACGTGTGGAGGTCTGAGAAGTAAGCCATTGCTGGGAGGAGGGATGGCGTTTCTTGAGGCTGTCGTCCACGTCGCTCTTTGTCTCGCCCGGGTAAGTTTATATACGGCGTCTCGTGCCGGGTTGCTTGTAGAAGTTGCGATCCACTTCGTGTCTCCAAGGGTGCGAGTGTTCGCCGACAGGTTTCTCGTGATCAAGTCGTGCTCCGCGGTGCCTACTGCTCCTTCTTCGTGGCAATGCTTCTCGGAGTGCGCGTTCGCGGAAAGAGAACGACTATCGACGTGGAGTGGAATATTCGACAAAGCGGGCAACGGAACGGTGCTTGGCACCTCTGAGCCGGAGTTGGAGTTCATGGCTAATCGAACTATCCTAACAATTTAAGTCGTCTCAAGGGCCCATTACTTTGCGACTTACAAAGATGCCATTGAAACCCCAGACCCGTATCCTTCAGTCTTTCGTCTGTCCGAGATGTCAAATACGAGCGCAGGCCCGGAAGAAACCTCAGGTGCGGAACTTTGCAACATCTCCGCCATCGTATGCCGCCTCATCTAGCGGACCCAAATATGCGCATCTCACAAACCGCACCATCATAAGGCTCGCCGGGCCTGACGCTGCGAACTACCTGTTCAACCTTCTACCGGCCAGAATCTTGGGGACTGGCAGCACCAAGCTTATTTACACGGCGTTCCTTTCCGCGCACGGCCGCATCCTGCATGATGTGTTCATCTATCCGCCCGGCGAGGGCAACGGGGAAGAGTGGTTCGTCGAGGTGGATTCGGAAAGCGCCAATGATCTGATGAAGCATCTGCGCAAACACAAGCTAAGGTCAAAGTTCCAGCTGGAGAAGATTGACCCGCAGAAGTTGGGAGTGTACTACAACTGGCCATCTGGGGCGGAAGAATCTCCGAGAGCGACTGGCGGGCAGGATCCCAGACCAGGGATGGGATCGCGATGGTTGGACGATACACATACCAAGTCAGAGGTATTGCAACGACTCGAGGATAGTGGTGGACAGGAAGTTGCGTTGAAGGACTACACGATCCACAGAATGCTTAATGGCCTTGCAGAAGGCCCAACGGAGCTTCCTCCCACGGCCTCCCTACCGCAGGAGAGCAACATTGACTTCTTCGGGGGCATCGACTTCACTAAAGGATGCTACCTGGGGCAGGAGCTCACGATCCGCACGCATCACACTGGCGTGGTCAGGAAGAGGATACTACCTTGTCAACTGTATCATGAAAGTGAACGGCCTGGAGCCGATCAGACGGAGCCGGAACACAAGCCGGAATTGGACGTGCTGCGGCCGCCGTCACAGTCGAACATATCGAAGCTGAATGCACGAGGTCGAGGACGGAGTAGTGGAAAATGGCTTTCCGGCGTGGACAATATAGGTCTTGCACTGTGTAGACTGGAGATGATGACTGACATCCAGTTGACGGCTGATCGACCGAACTACGATCCCAGTGAGGAGTATAAAGTCGAGTGGGAAGTCGAAGGCCAGGAAGGCAAGGAAGCGGTTATGCTCAAGCCTTTCGTGCCCCAATGGCTAAGGGACGGCGTAGGGCAGAATCTGCGGAGGAAGGAAAAGAAGGCTAAGCCACGGCAAGAAGAGGACGAGGAGGAGGATCTCGATTAGCAATTCGATCATATTCAGTTGCAAGGACTAATGACTCCCTCGAAAGCTGGTCCTTACCCACCTGAAATGACAAGCGTCCAAAGTCACATGTGAACGGTCTTGATGAATGAAGTGGCACTATGACAACTTACAAGGCTTCTTCATTCACAGCCTTGGTGATCATCTGACTTCTCGCAAGTGAAGCACGTTGAGGGTTTATATATTAATGTCCTTGACTTTTTCCTTGAAATTGCCTTGATGGCCATCAGTAAGACGCACCACGTCGAAATGTGATTTCACCTGTGGTTTGGCTGGCGGGCCTTCCTTGGAGATGACGCTTGGTGGATTGAACTGGGAGTCTCGTCTTCTCCATGAACCTTCAATGAGCCACTTATCTGTAGTTTCTACAGAAAGCAGGCGAGGGGTTCTGTTAAAAAGGTATTACCTATAACGGTGCCGGCTGAATTTTTGGTGTTTCAAACCCTGGTCTTGGTTGATCTTCGTTCGTGTGGGCTATGGCGGTGTTCGAAGGTGTGGCAGATTCCTCAACGATAATGAGATTGGTCAGTGAAGGATGAACCACTCCAGGACCCTAGCCCCAAGATGGTCAACTCGAGGTGTTGGATGAATCTTACTGCACAATAGTAGGTCCCAACTCTATCATTATCGAGCCTTGCTAGGCACGGGAAAGACTCTCCCTGTACCGCGTCCGATCAATGGCTGTGAAGCTGCTCGTTTGCCAGTTCGGCTTTGTGGAGCGGTTGTCATCAGTCATGTGACAGCGTCTCCCGCATCGCGCAAGAGCAGTTTGAGGTTGCCGGGTCATGGCTCGACGCTGAGATGATTCTTCATCGAAATCGGCTGATGTGTATGGCCGGAAGCGCTGCTTGAAATGATGGCATAATTGGGAAATAGACCTGACGTTGCCGTAGATCGGACTGCTGCTCTCAAGTCGCATCCGGTTCTTTCTCAGCAGCCCATCCAACACTCTCAATGCCTTCCCACGGTCCCTGAGCCACTATCTTCTTAGCGATAGCCAATGACTTGAACACAATGACGGCAGTTCCAAGCATGACTTTTTTGTCTCTACCTTCAATGCGCCGTTTCTTGTCCTTGAGAACGAGCACATTTTCGACATCACCTGCGGGAAAGTTCTCTTCGAGAGCCTCCTGGTCGACATCGAGTCCTTCCGCTTCTTTGATCCATCGTACCTTGACAGATCGGTCGATCGAGTCTGAAGGTTGCTCTTCTGCCTCAGCCCGAGCATGGGCTTCTTGTGTCTTTTGCTGTACTACCGCCTCTCGTCGCTTACGGTTTTCTTCTGCTATGCGCTTGATTTCCAGTTCCCTGTCACTCCACGTCCTCTTCGTGCCACTAACACTGAATGCCACGCCATTTGGTCCCCCTTCTCTTTTCTCCAGGTCCTCCTTCATTTTCCTCCTCCTGCTTTCCAAGGCTGCCGTTTCGGCCTGCCGCCTCTGCTTAGCTTCTCGTGTCTGGTCATATTTCAGCTTCTCAGCGGCATCGCTTAGGATGTTTATGGCAGTCTGTAGTAGCTGGAACTTTTCCAGATTTTCTGGAGTTGGCTTAACTTTATCAGGATGATAGAGTAGGGAAGTTTTTCGGTATGCGCGTCGAATCTCTGGTTCTGACGCGGTCGCAGGAATCGACAATAGGTCATAATAGTCGACAGACATGTCCGCCTCACCTGCTGGCGCCATGTCGGTCGGCGCTTTCGTTAGACGCTGTGGTCGGTCGTAGTTTGAGACTTAACAGTTCAGGCGAAGTCTTTTGGTCAAGGACGGCGGAGATTTATGTCCTGCCGTACTTAATGCGGCGAACCACAAAGCAACAAGAGCAAGTCAATCGATCGAGGCGTTGAGTGCAGAGCAAGTCACCTTTGACCTCCACGTCCAGCAGCAACCGAAGAAGATTCCAGGTAACGTCGGGCAGTTGGACAATGTGAGGTGATTACTTGTCGGAACAGGTACCACTGCCGGCGGGAAAATTACTGTGCCTCCAAAGAAGGGTGGGTTGCACCTGCCTCTTCTCACATCATAAGTAAATATCATCCACAGTGTCTTCCCCTTGGTCAAGTCATCTTTTGCGCGCATCGTTTGCCATGCTTTTGTGCTATTACGTTCGTTCGACTATCAGTTCTTATGCTTTCCCATACTCGTCTATGTACAGATGAGCCTTCAGACCGGGAGTGAAATGGACAATGACTGCAATGGTCTTCCTTGCCCAAGTCAGATTGCAATAGCTCTACTAATTGTCAAATCCAAGCCCACTCATTCATCCATCGAAGGTCTGATCACATCACTCGATGCAGCTGCACCTGACTGACGTTAGGAAGAACACCTCAACAGCCTACGGAAGGCTGTAATCCAAGAGCCCCATGCAGGTTCTCCGACGTTTGACTTCGATCCAGCTGTTTATTGGGAGGCACAATATCAGATCCTTGAGTCAGAGAAAATGAGACTGCTAGATGAGATTGCTGCGCTCAAAGAAGGACCGAGAGCCGACCGAGACTCAAAAGCCACCGAACCACCCGCAATATCGTCAGCTCTAGGAAAGAGGAAACGAACCAATGCATCAGTGGTGGAAGACTCACCGCAAACCAAGAGGAATGGTCATGATACCGGGGATGTGCTGAGCGATGACGGTCTTCAGGCTACTGGTGCGAAGGCCACCAGTGGCAGATCTGGTATTCACATCATCAGAATTTCTCATTTCCAAGCTGATCAGCCACAGATCGTACAGCGATCCTTCGCGGTTTCTTTTCTCTTCGCCGCGACCTGCACCTCAAAAAGCCTAGTCGTGACAACCTGCTGTCTGCGGTCAAGGCCATCACAAGTGGACTCTGTAAAGGTTTTCAATTTGCATACGGCAATGTTGGAGTGGACGATGCTAGGCGCGAGTCATACTCAGTTGATGAGCTCTTGAGCATCACCGAACAGGTCTATCCATCGATTCTACGAGCTCTGCAGCACACGGAGCCGGGCAAAGGTGCAGATGGTCATGTGCGCTTTTCAGTCGTGTCAGACGTGGTGCGGTGGTTCGAGACTATACTTGGATGTCTTCACAAATCCGCGCTGGCTGAGTATGTCGAATGCGAGAGCAGAACAGAGTCGAACGTCAAAGCATCACAGCCTAGGACGGAAGCCGATAAGCTACCTGCTCCCGTCAAAACAGTCTGCCGTTCGAGCGATGGACGCATCCTCGCCCGCGCGCTGATCAAGCTCATAACGACTTTGGACCTATCACATGATGTACATTGCGATGTCCTAGAGGGGATTCTATGTGCTCTCCTCGATCAGGTCGGCATGTCCTTGTCGCAGGTCGTGTTTTACGGTTCAAAGAGCACAGATGCCAGCATACTTCCGCCGAAGGGCTTGCTTGGCGATGATCCCATTGACTCGCAGGAGGCCGTTGACGTTGTGAAGGTAGAAGGCCCTTACCTCGTTTGCATTCTTCGTCAAGCGCTGGCCTTTTTACACGCAAATGCAGGAAACATGTCGAAGCAAGGCGTGTTGCTTTTTTCATTACGGGAGCCCACGAAAGATAAGACACTTCGAGACTTGATTGAGGCGACCATACAGAATACCCTTCTTCGTGGAGTATTTGGAGACGATGATGACACGTTCTATGATGCCCTACGGCGTAGTGAAGGGAATCCAAATCATGACCTGGACAAGATCCTGGCAGAACTGCAGCCTGAAGAGGCTTCTGCGGACTGGTATATTGGACAGCTTTGGGAGCATTTGGGATGGGATATCTTGTCTGGCAAAAGAGCCCTCTGAGAACGTCTTTGCTTCTGATCTTTTGAGAAAGCAAAGTTTGGGCAAGGTGTGATGTTGAGCTATTCGTGAATGTCCCTAGGTAAAGTAGAGTCATTCCTGTCTCATACTCATAGCTTGTCATAACTCCAGACCAAGCACTCTAACGGCGTTGCCACCCAATATTTTCTTCTTTGCTTCAGCGTCTTGAGGGTAACATCCATCGATTGCGCCTTTGTTGCTTTCCACGCTGAGCCACTTCTCGTCTTCATTCTCCAAAGGCGGGAAGAAGGGATGATCTGTGCCAAACATCACTCGATCTACGCTCCCAGCAGCCTCGATAGCAGCTTTCAGTCCAGGCTGTCCGTAGATGACAGCATCAAGGTAGATGTTTGAGTGTAGCACCTCCCAGATGGATCGTTGCGGACCTTGCTTGTGACCGCCATTAGCCACAAATTCTCGCTCGTGTGCGACGCAAGATTCAATCCGGCCGGCCAGGAACGGTAACGTCCCGCCCGAATGTGCCAGGAGGAATTCAACTTGAGGATGTCGGTCAAAGACACCAGAGAGGTACATTCGAGAAACTGCAATGGTGGTCTCGAGGGGAAATCCCAATGCTAAGGGTAGCACGTGGCCAGATTTTGCGATGACTTCAGGACCGCCGAATGCAGAGTCCGGTAAGCCATAGTGGGGGTGTAAGAAGACAAGAGTCGATGTGCTCGCCAATGCGGCGTATATTTCGTCCAGAGCCGGGTCGTCTAGACCGTTGCCGAGACCAGTCGTGCCCATTATCACGCCCTTGACGTGCGGTAGTGACTTGAGCCGGTGGATTTCGCTGACGATGTCCTTCGCTGACGCGGATAGCGGGAGACAGCCGAAAGCATATAGCTTGATGCCGGCATGGGCTGAAGAGGTGTTGTTCTCGGCACAAGCTCTCTCAAGGTCGTCGTTGATCTCTTGTGCGGTTGGAAGAGCTGAAGCTGGATCAAGAAAATCGAGCCAGGGATTTGCAAGACTGATGACACTGCATGTGATGCCGTGAGTGGTCATGAACCGCCGTTTCTCGTCAAATGAAGAGTATGTGCTGTCGACGGGACGACCACGAGCTGATTTGGGCCGTGAAGCATCGTCGTCGGAAGCCAGAATTATGAGTCTGGGATCAGTGCCAGCGGTGGACGGTTGGTGAATGTAGGGGACTGTTGTGCGTGAGGACAGCAGCTTGATGTACGAGGGAGGGTACATGTGTGTGTGAATGTCGACGACAGGGTGGGATGCAGTAAAGTAGGCCATGGTGGGTGTTTGGCCTCGACACTGATGGAGTTGAAAGGTTGTCACACTCGTCTCGCGATCATACACTCGCCGTCAGTTAGTCACTGCCGCCGAAGGTATCAGTAGTGCAATGGAAAAAACCACAGCCGTTGATTGACGTATTCGTACAACGGCGACCTCCGTCCTTTTATATTGGCGCTCGACTCCTTATCAAGCTCCGCTGCTCAACTTGGGCCAGATTAGGCAATATCAACCGGCATGTCTCGTGCGTTGATAAACCCCAGATAGTGCCCCTCTTTATCTATTGATATTTCTATCAAAGTTGTCTATGCTTCAATCCGGTCTTCCTATTACAAACTGCCTCAAACCATGCTTCAGCCTGACTTGATTTAAGAGGTCAATCTTGGTTGGCTAGCCCTTTGCACCGGCAGAAATCCGTCGAGCAAGTGAAGCCAGGAGTTTGGCCGCCCACTCAAGCATCCCTAATCACCTGAAACCAATCGATCACAAGCAGTTCGTTGTCCCCGGACCCCCCGCAGTCTGCACAACGATGGGTTCTATGGGAAATGCCGTCGAGAAAGGCGTGGAGCAAGATGACTTAGTCATGCCGGTAAGCCCTACTAGGTGAAAACGAATCTCGATGCTTACCTGGGAGATCTGACCTCTTCTTCGCCAGCTGATTGACTTCGGTGCATTTCTTCATGGCGACTCGACAGTCAAGAAGGCCGTTGCCGAGCAAATCGCGAATGCTTTCAAATCGTCCGGATTTTTGTACCTGGAGAACCACGACATTCCCCAGAAACAGGTCTCGCTGGCCTTTTCAGAATCTGCTCAATTCTTTGAACGTTCGCAAACTCAGAAAAACGAATTGCAATGGACCACGCCAGACTCGAATCGTGGCTACGTTGCCTGGGGTCGCGAGAAGGTCACTCAGTCTGCTGACCCCGAAGAAATTGCTCGACTTCGCGCGTCAAATCCAGATTTGAAGGAGTCCATGGAAATCGGTCGTGAGGGTGTTCCTGGACTGCCAAACCAATGGCCTTCACGTTTCGACGAAGAAGGCAAGACATTCGAGACAGACATGCAGCATTTCTTCCTCACACTCAAGGACCTTCACATCCAAGTCATGCGCGCGATCGCTCTCGGAATGGGCATGGACGAATCTTTCTTCGACAGCTATACCAGTGCCGGAGACAACACGCTCCGCCTTCTGCATTACCCATCTGTCAAGAAGAGCCTCTGGAGAAAGAATCCAAGCCAAGTCCGCGCTGGAGAGCACTCTGACTATGGTTCAATCACTCTACTGTTCCAGGATGATATCGGCGGACTGGAGGTCAAATCTCCCAAGGGAACATGGGTCCGTGCCAGACCGATTCCAGGTACTATCGTCGTCAACGCCGGCGATCTGCTTCAGAGATGGAGTAACGACATCATTAAGAGCACTAAACATCGTGTCATCCAACCACCACCGAAAGAGACGGAACAAGACGAGGATGAGGACGCCATGGTACCGGCTAGATATAGTATAGCTTACTTCTGCAATCCAAACTTCGATCGCTTCATCGAAGCCTTGCCGGGTACGTGGGAGGACTCGGGAAAGAAATACGAGGGGATCAATAGCGGAGATTATCTGGTCATGAGGTTGGCAGCGACATATTGAACACAACGCATTCTAACGAGAACAATGTACTCCATCCTATTTTCCTCGGTTGAGAAACCGGGGTATAGACACATTACTCCGATATCGCTTGCTTAAAGCTTCGACGAACAGAAAAGCACAAATCCACAACGCCTACGCTTCACCGCCCGGATACAAGCCATCCCGTCTCGCTAAAGTAGCCGGCCCCGGCCCTCCAGCTTCATCTTCGCGAGAGTAGAATCGCTCCGAATCCCTAAGTGGTTCCAATCGCGCCCCAGACGCCATGGGCACAGACATACGTTCTGCAGTGATATCCATCTCCTCGGCCTCCACGGCCGAGGGCACAGGACTAACAGACCGGCCCCGTCGTCTGAAGCGTGAATACTCGCCTCGTCCGGCGCGGTCACCACCTCGCACCATAAACCCCGAGAAGCCCGGTCCCTCAGGCCGTCTAGACCCAAGTTCCCATTCTTGATCATCCGGTCCGTCCGCCCTGACGCCGACGTCAACACCGAAGCGCCGCCGTTTGCCGATCAAGCCGCGCTCGCGCCACCAGCCCATGCTGTACCTCTGCCCGCCAAAGACAGTCTCAAATTGAAGCTGGGGCATCCACTCTGCGCCATCAGGGATGATTTGTTTGCGGTCGTCGGCCTGTTGGTGCTCATCGACAGCTACATGTATGCTCTCGGGTCGGTTGTCCTCCTGTCCAAACGACCGCCGGCGGGGTTTGCCGCAGCACTCGCAGAGGCCAGCGTCGGTGTTGTAGCAGAGATCGCTGCCGGCGAGGAGAGACATTGTGCCGGCCAGGGAGCATGGGTTACAGGGTAGGACACGACGCATTTTGGTGGTGAGCCATGCTGCTGCCGCGAGAATGGTCATGACGCCCAAGATGATCTGGAGCATCATCTTAGTGTTGTTGTCTTGTACCAGGCGTGATGTCGTGACGGTGGTGGCGCTGCTGCTTGTGGTGCCGATCTGGCGGCGGGAGAGGCGCGATGAAGTGCTGCTGTCTGCTTGTGGGGCGCGCATGTTGGTCGTGATGGCTTGGGCCATGTAGATGCGGTAGAATTGGTTGACCGCGTCAATGAGTGCGTTCTGGTTGTTGGCGCCCACGAGTGTTGATGGATCGTGTGGAGTGGAGCCGTTGATGATGGCTTGAAAGTAAATGTCGAACGTGTTGGTGGCGGGGGGGTTCGTGGCCGGTGTCTCGACAGCACCGTTGAACAGAGTCATTTCGCTAGCAAGGTTGTTCTGGATACGGAAGTCGAAGGACTTTACTCCGGTAGTGCTCAATGGATTCGCTTTGAGTGAAATCGTATCATTTTGCACAACAGGAGGGTGGTCAGAGTCCATCGTTGTCGTGTTGAGCTTGAATGTAACATTTGCTTGGAGGCTCTGTATCTCCTGGTAGCAAATCATGGTCGTGACTTGGCTCTGGTCATCGCTGTTCAGTTGGAAGTGGCCAAAAGTGAATGCAAGGCTGGGACAACCAACGGCAGGATTGTCGCCAATGTACTGACCACGCGCCTCACCATAGTTTCCGTATGTCGAGGCATTGGACCCGAAAAGCAGATCCAGTTGTGCGCCGGCGTAGGTGCCTTTCCCTCCCGAGGGAAGCTCAAAGTTGTTTTCGTATGTGACAGAAGAGTCAGTGCCATCGGCACCACCCAGCTGGCAGGAGTCTGGTAGTGATGCAGTAGCCGTAACGAAGGCTTGATCCGTGGCATAGGCACTGTCGGATCCGGCTTGTTGGGTGATCACGATGATTGACGCATTTGGTAGGACCTCACACCTCAAGTTGCCTCGGACAGCTGGCAATATATAGCTCATCGTCCCATGAGCGGTTGAAACAGAGCTAGAACTTGTCGGATCGCTGATTGAGACCTTGGGAAAGACCAAACCTTCATAGGTGGATTGAGGATAGCTGAAGTTCTGGTGCATGATCAGGTCGGCCATGGCAGCTGCTCCGTTATCGAGAGAGAAACTGTTGGACCACTGCAAATTGAACGTGTCGAGCTGCGTGAGCGATACATTGTTGCCATGCCTAGCATCATCTTCGACTGTGTACAGACCAGAAACGAGGATCGTGAGAATGCTCGCCAATGCTGCTGCGCTGAAGCTAAGAATAGCGCCTACGTTTCGGGTTCGAACTGCTTGTAGCAAAGCAAACGGAGGCGACCTCCCTGAGATATGGTTCAGTATGGATCTTCTGCTGATAGCGTCACCCTTGGCGAAGTTAATCCACGGAGCAAACATAGCGACATTGAAGTCGAGTATGTTGATCAACATTGCAATGATCAACATTACCACAGTTGGAATATAGTGACTGTAGATCTCGGTCCAGTCGTTATCGGGGACCGTATAGACGCCATGATGCTTGTCGGAGGATTGTTGAAGGACCTCCAGGACGGCAATGAGCGACAGTGGAATTGAAAACGTGAGTATCACAGCGGGAATTGTTGCGGTAATAGGCAACCACCATTTCAATTCCAAGCTGGATCTCGTCTGTGAGTCTTCCGGCTCGCCTTCTGAAGTTACGATTTTGAAATTCGAGCTTCCAGAGTCTGTGGTGGCAATGGCGGTGCCAAATTCAAATCCGGCCAAGGTAAACTTCTGATTTGCAAAACTTGGGATCCCTGGCCGGCTCAAGAGTCTGTTCAATTCGGTGCTTCGTGTCAAGATGGTTGCAACAGTGGCGATTGAGCTTGGGTCGCGCGGAGCAACCGCTCGTGGTGCAACAAAGATCAGTGCAATGCAGAAGAGCATGAGCAGACCAGATATCGAAGCCATCGTCCAGATTGAGATATCATTCACCCGCAGCCTAGATTCTTCTCTGCTAACAGTGCCTCCCTCGACATCACTCGTCTTGGCCGCTCTTAGCACTTGGTGAGCATACTGTGACAGGATACCCTTGTAGGTGTCTTGGGCGGCCACCACCATCTTGTCAGGGTCCATAAGCGTGTTGATATCCTGCGAGCCATGGGTAAGAGCCATCAAAGTAAAGATTCCACTGGAGTTTGTGGTAGTAGCATCGGTAACAGTACTCCCGAAAAGCCCTTCCGCCGACGTAGCAGATTGAACAAACACCCTGGTGGCATTCCAATCTGAAAATGTCGTCAAACTGCTGTTGGTGGCTCCCTCTGTCAATACAACGGTTACGCCCTGCCCGCTGCCCTGCGCTTGAGTGTTGTTGGTCACTTTGACGGTGCTCATAACGTACGAAGGGACACAAAATACATTGGTGATATTGGTGATTGTCCGGGACACGTTGCTTGCGATCGTAAAAGACCCGCCAGCTAGCTGAGTTGCATTGTCGAATAGTGTCTGTTGGTAGTCGATGTCGGTAAGAGTGAATAACAACCCCGCGGGCCCATTTGAATCTGGGACAGTTCCGTTTCCCGATTCGCAATATATCTCCTGTATCGTACCCGTGACTTGACGTTGCGAGACAGTATTTGTGTAGGGATCCTCCGCAGGGACACTGACAGAAGGAGACTGGCTGCATGTACCGCCAACTTCGATACTAAAGAATATATCGGAAGATGTCGCAAAGGCCTCTGCCGAATTAGTGCCGTTGACGATGAGTGGACTATCCAGCTGAACATGAAGGGCCTGGCACATCATGAGAGGCACGAATGCATCGACGGTGCCTGATGTGACAGCGTTCTTTCCTAGCGACGAGTTCGAATCAAACGCGAAGACACCATACGCCATACCAAGAGTCACACCATTGTCGAGAGGCATACCCTGGGCCATGGCACCGTAGTAGGCATATACCGGTAAGGGAGAGAAAGACGACTCATCCAGTGCTGTGCTTGGATCGAAAGCATCCGAGCTGAATCCGATCGCTTTAACGGAGGTATTTTTCTGTGTAACTTGTGTTGGGAGTAAAAGCAACAACCCTGTTGAGAACACAGTCACGACCTTCAACAACACGAACCCTGTGATCGTAGTCATAACAGCAAAGTGATTGTTCTTGATCGCTTCGAACAACGCCACAAGTTGGAATTTCGAGACATAGTCGATAAAGAGACTTTCCGAGGGCTTCAAAGGGCCATTTTGAAGCGCATCGAATGGCATAGCCAACTTAGCATGATAGTCCACCATGCGCCAACCTGCAACAACGACCACAGCAACGACGGTCGGGGCATAAGCCCAGGCATAGTGTTTCATGCCGTTGGACACCCGAAAGCCATCGTTGACTTGGTCATAATGCCAGACTAGCGTCAGGCCGACCACAAGAAGAGCGAAAGCTAGAGCGAAGAGGCCCAGAGTCGACCGTCTCAACCAGATGGGAGTCCATAGTGGAGGAATTGGTGTTGTTGAAGCCGGCGAGTACGTGGTATCCTCTTTATAGAGCGACGCTTCTCGAAGGCTGATGGAGTTTGGTTCATCTTCCTCCTTGAAATCCGGTAGAGGGACATAATTTCGGTTTCCGAATCTTTGCGAGACTTTGAGAAAGTTGTTGTACGACAGGCGGACCATGTATAGAGGGGAAGCGTGAAGGTGGTACATGTTGTTCGTCGCGTGGTTGATAGACTGGCTCTGGTAGAATATCGGAGGAGCTGTGATCCCTCCGCCGGGCTTGGGCTTGAGCCCGTTCAGCGTCGGTCACAGGCACATCGAGGTGAACAGGAGTTGGATTGCTGGAGGCCATGGCTAGGAATGGACTTCAGAGTCGACATTGTCGTTATGGCGGTGTGCTAATTCATCTCCATTCGAATGCTTCTTGTGAATATCTCAGTATGTGAGGCTGCATACGACATCGTCGGAGTGGCCATCTCCTCAGCCTTAAAGCTGAATATGAGAGAAGTCCAGAAGTGACCATGGCTCGGTTGACCTTTGGACCCCAAATAGCGACCAGTAATAGCTAGAGTTAGGCTGGGCAATTTCAGGCGTCCGGAGGCTGAGACTGAGATGGACCACGGATGCACTTGAAACGGTTGACTCAGCCTCTCCAACACGATGATCTCCATATGGACTAGCACAATATCGGTGCTTTTAAACGAATGTCCGGCCGCTACACAGCTCCAGCACATCCAAGAGATCTTCACACTGGCAAATACGGGTACAAGAAGTAGTGGTCACCAGACGCGTAGTCCACGATATGCATTTTGTAGGGCATTGATGCAACGGCAGTGCAGCAGGATTTGTGACCAAAACTTGAACGGTGTTGTTGGAAGCCATGAATTGCAGGATTCAGCTTGGGCCGCACAAAAACAGAGCCTGTCCCGCGGGCCTCGTTCTTACATGAGCATGCTTCCCAAGTGTTTGCCAAACCCGAACTATCTCGTATACTGGACACCTGATGGTAGCCTCATCCTGCAGCCATGCATTTGATAACGCGGCCAACACAGCGGACGACCTGTTGTTCAACAAAGCCATGTGGCTTTTAGCCCGGGACGCCGACCATCGCAAGCATATCTTCAGCTTCTTCTTCAGATCATCCGTATGTCCGGTGCTTTCATGTGAATGGGGAGAAAGCACCATCAAGATCACCCCAATTCAAGTGTTGAACGCCTTGATCACCCTCGCGCCGTGCCCCGTCCGCCAATTCCGTTGCTAGGAGTACATCCACAAATCACTTTTGGTCAATTGAATTCGAATTGAACGGTACTGGGAGATGTGCCCTCGAATGGTACGCTCAGACAATCATCTGCGCGACGCCTTGTCCACCGAGTGTCTTGCTACCAACGAACTCTTGTTGTCTCAATCCTGCCAAAGCGTAGCATAATCCCGCCAAAGCCAGGAAAACAGCTGCGGCAATCAGACTGCTAGTATCCACTATGATGCTGAGAAACTGAACCACGGACATGATGCCGTAGATCGCTGCTCGCATATAGTTGGTGGTGAATCGGCGGATGAATGCGTCGAACTTGGAAGATGTAGGACAGATTCGAAGCAGGAGGGGAATCTCAATAAAGACAAGCATCAGCGCCGAACATCTATAGTCATCGTTAGCGATGCTGCGCGGAATCAACCGCAGCGCCTGAGACTAACATGAGGATAATGCTAAATATAATGAGGAGGTTGAAGTGGAAGATATTGGCAATGCCCAAGGCGAATCCAAGGATAATGCATAATACGCCGAGCCTATGAGTCGCCGAGTCAGCATTGGGACTGCGTGCAAAGATCAGAGTGCAGATGCTGTCAATCACCTCCTGCGATGTGGAGGCGCTGTGTTGCAGATTATGCGGTGCATGCGCTGGGTTGCTCGATCGCGTGGCTGAGAGTAGCGAGGAGAGTGCTTACCATTGCCCGTAGATACCTGCGCACTGGTGTCAGCTTTTGGAAACGTTGATGAGGATGGAGTCGTATACTCACTGAAGTTACGCGACCTGAATTCCTCGGCCAGAGTCATCGTGTCGTATGGGAGTCTTCTCGACTGCGAGAGCGTGAAGTTGACAGGTGTTGCGACAATTGGAGTAAGACGCTTTGCGACGTCTGTCGGTTGAGAATCTCTTGATAGGAGGATACTGCAGAAGTACAGGTGTGTCGTAGGGCAGTTGTCGTTGCGCGGTCTGTTCCTGCGAGCAACGGTGGTGGTGTTAAAGGGGTCCGTGGTGGTTCTCGGTCAAATGTTTGTCGTTGCTGACAGCCTAACGGGGACACAGGGGTTCGCTATTTGGTGGCAGCTGCAACACGCGTTTCTTGGTGAGTTAGCGCAGCACAAGCCCAATCCACACTTGCTTTTCGATGTACGCCGCAGCAGAAAGACGAAGTTCTAGTATGACCTTTTCAACGTCCAGATGTCACTTAGGTATATATGTGATCGAAATGCAGCAGCCTAGCTGTGAGTCTCGGCGGCCAGTGGCTCGAGCAGTCACAGCCACGCGTGTTTGGTAAGACCACCCGGACTTCGAGGTATCTATTTGATAACTACCCTATTGAGACCGGGCCGATCCCGGACATGCATCATGCCAATACACAAAGTGGCACATCCCGCAAATCGTCTACATCTTCATATCTGTCTTGTGTACGTGTTGTTTCGGTACTATCCATCTAGTCAGAGATCTTGACGTCTGGAATATCTGTGTGTCCACGGACACGAATGCGAAAACAACAGCCGGGCACATCGATACGATGGGGATGCAGAAAGGCATGATTTGAAAGATTTAGCCGGAAGGAGGGCATATGACCAAGGGGCCCATGTCCTCCCCGTCTTCTACACTGTAGATCCCCAGAAATAGACAGTGGCGAAAGCAGTCACGGTCTGCTATTGAACTGGCTGTATGAACTCAACTCTATCTTCAATTTTCATCTTCATCATTCCGACAGCCCAGTCCTCGGTCTCGAAGTGTTGCGCCTTTCTGCTATGCATCATCTCGTTGGCTGCGAACAATCGTGCTTCTCGACACATCAATGCAATCAGCCCGCCGCATACACCACTGCACACATCGTTAGCTCCAACCGTGAACCTGGTACCTGTTTGTTTATTCTTACATCGGAAGACATCATTCTGCACGAAATAGCTGCCAGCCTCGGGGATCAGGTGGAATGTCTGAACGTAGCTCATCGGTTGTGGTTGATCATCGACCTGTTGTCGTCTCGTCAGAAACCAATCCATGCCAGACCAGTACGGTGTTTTGATTTAGCATACCATCAGTGCACCAGTAACCAAGACCAGAATCCCGCCTTGGTCATTCGATGGTTGTGCGTCTGTAGTATCCACTCGGTGCTGGACTTTAGCGAAAGGCAGGTTCTGCGTCTATCATCAGCATCTTTCCCTCGTGCTTCGTCAGTATGTCGACCATACCGTCAACTTCTCAAGGATCGACTGTGTGCCCTGGAAGGGATCTTTCTCGAAGGAGAGCATCGATGTGTTTCTCTTTTCCTCTCGTCAGCCAGACGGCCAGTAGTCAAATATACAGAGCAAAATGTACGTAGAGAGCTGCCAACTGCGTTCGGTCGCCATCGAAGGTCTTGTAGTAGAAATCAACGAATTGCTCTGTCGCAATGTCAGGAGATGTCCACGTCGCATGGATGGTCGGGGCATGTAGAATACATACGAGCGATGCTCTGGAAGTCTGTCCCCATCAAAGTTAGCCTGTGTGTACCCTGGAATGTGTCTCGGTCTCGCGTCTTGCCCTGCATGTCGCAGAACAGAACCAACAGAGAGACTCAGCGTCGGATACAAACGTACCACCCATTTTGAATGTTTTGTCCGAGACTTTCGCGAAGCCTGTCGATTGTAGGATCTCAGACCAAAAGTTGTATGGTGGAATACTGCGTTGAATCGCAGATCCAAGTCGTGGTGAGTGATCCGCCGCCGCAACTGAGTTCGCTAAACACCCGTTCAGGGTCAAGTCAGGTCAATTGTGTCACCAGAAACGTGATCACGTGCTGCTGCTGTTGCCAAGCAGTTTGGTGGACGCTTCGACATAAGGACCGCTGGCATTTCTTTTCATCTGCTTTCAAGACAAAATTCATGTGTCGGCTTCCTCAATGTCAGCTACTGCAAACACAGATATGTGATCTTGCCATGTGTATGTGTTGTTGACATTACAGCATCATCTCCCCCCCTTTGACAAGAGCTTTTGGTAAGTCAAAATTTTCATTCTTTGCAATCCCAACTCCGATGATTTTCACATATTCAAACGATAACTGATGAGGCGGAATTTGGCGCCGTCAAACGCTACCGTCGCTGAGTATAAAACTTCAAGCTCAACAGTATGAGGTGCTCCCAATACAGATCATTGTTCACCATCCCAAGCTAGCCGCGAATGTTGCTGACAATGTCTCTGATGTAGGAGTTCTTCAAGTCTCTGCGAATTAGTACCCGAACTGCAGATATCTGCTTTATTCCTACCAGTCCAACACTAACATTATATCGTACTACATTTTATGCAAATCTACACATTTTCGAGCGCATCACCAGGATGGCATCGCTTTCCAGATCAATACCAATGCCAACTTCTTTCGTGACGCACAATTCATCGCATCCTGCCTAGGTCTAATCCAGGCAAAGGCGAATCTGATGCTATCCCCTTCTCCCAGCTCTACCACTTCCGCGTTCACCACGCTCCCCTTCCCTCTTATGCCACGGATCGCTAGGCCAGACCCAACCTCTGACAGTCCTTGCTTCCCTCTTTTCGCCCATCTGGGGTTCAGGTATCCACTTGTCCTTGCCGTCCTTGCCCAACTCTTCAACATCACCGTCTTCGTCAATACAGATAGTGCTGCCACCGCTCCCGCCATCCCAGACTCTTGACCTAGACAGCGCACCAGATCCGCCGACGTCCATGTAGCTGCTCGGCTGACCCGGCAATGGAGTGGCCTTGGCAAGCATCAGGAGGTAATACAGAGTCATGGTCACAGTCATTATGATCTCGCCGTTGACGCCCGCCCGCGACATGTCACTGTCCCTTCCAGAGAAAGTCTTGGTTTCGACTGCTTCCGCAACTTCCAGGAATCCAAAGTACGGCTGGTCACGGTCATCGCAGCCAGCCCGGACACACACAAGTTCAATTTCGGTGATGATGAATCCATAGCGGCAACTGTGATCGCGCATGCACTTCTGCAGATGCGCCAAGGTCCGGAGATACTCGACTTTGCGGGCTGGTCCTTCGCGGCGCATTCCAGTATTCCATCGATCAAAGGAGCGCACCAAACCGACGACGCGTCCTCGTGGCAGTCCTGAGAGGGTGCGGTCGTTGTCGCTCGGATAGTTTGCAAGGAAGTGCGGGATGTTTGCGACATTGGAGCTGACACCAGACCCGGTCGGAGTTGGCGCAGGGTACAAGCAGATCGAATTGTTTCCAAGAGACAGCCTGGTAGCAGCATTGACCTTTGGAAAATAGATCTTGGAGATTAGGTTGGCAAGGTCGCTTTCGGATGCAGGGGTCACTGTGTTTGTGTTTGTGTTGGTGAACGGCAGGCATGCTGTGTCGTGCTGGAAGTTCAGCAAGGTGAGTAGGTCCGGAATATGCGACATGGTTTGAATGGAGAACGATTTCCATGGTCGAACATTGCGAACATCCCACCAGAAGTGATTGGTAAGGCCGCGACCCTGCTGGAAGGTAAGATGCCTAACGAGGTTGATTGGCTGCGTGGGTTGGGTCAGGTAACTTAGCATGCTGGTGGTAGACATTGGCGCAATCATGGGTGGTGGGCTCATGGAGCATGTGCGTGAAATGCAGTCCAGGTCAATCGGCATATCAAATGTCCCCTCGAGATTGATGCCCTCGAGGCTAATCACGGGTGGGTCGGGCATGGTTATGTCGGTGTAGGGCATATACGTCGTGGCAAAGAGATCAGGAGAAGGCGTCTCCTGCTCGAGAGACATATATACAGGTAGCTGGCGATAGGTGGGGTAGCCGAAGCGATTCAGGACGCTGTTGTCAATGCTTGAAGCAGATATTGAACGAGAGTGTGTCCTGCCTGGCACGCTCAATTGTGCCTTTGAAAGGCTTGGTGAAGGCATTAGCGAATTCGATCGTGAGTTAGGTGCACTGGACACTGGCGACATCATAGGAATACATTCCGCCGGCTCAGTCACGCTCCTGTACATAGGTGGACGAGTATTCTTGGTGTTGTTGATGGAGGACAAGGTTCGTCGATGCATGGATGGGCGATGCGTCGCACGAGGATCCACGGAGGTATCCTGTGACCTGATCTTTGGAAGCAGTGTCGGGCCATGCTGACGGAGAACTGGCGACCGGTTTGGTGTTGAATTAAGAGTGATTACCGACTCAGGAGAGGTGTCAACTGTGCAGTATGACGATGTTGACAAGTTCCGATTATGACCACGCTGACCTGCAGCGCCCGTTGCCTCTGGAGGCGTGAGGGGTCGATAGTAATAAGGTGCCAACGACATTCTGGAGCTACAGTCAGAATCATCCAACAGACCAGGCACTCAGGCCACAATACTCACATCTGGCGACTTTTGGTGGAAGCGACAAGTAAAGGTTGTGGGGACGAGAAGCCCGCTTCTCGAAGACCACAGAATAGGATGGAAGAACAGCGAAAGCAAACAGTAAGGAAATGGAATACCAATGGTATATGAACCGAGTATTCAGTCTTGCAACTTGGAAGAACGAAAGGCTGAGAGAGCTCGAGGGGAGGGGAGGACCAGGTATAAATGGGCTGGTAGCTATGCGACCGAAAGCGGGCAACGATGAAGCCCGACCAACAATGTCTTGCAGGTCATCATGCAGATGAAACGTGGAGCAACCCGACCAAAAGGCGAGGAAACAAACACGTCGAAGGCATTGTTCGGCAATCCAGATCTTGGATACCTCAGGCTCGGTACCTACCGTGGATCGTGGATCGCGGAGCGCGGAGGGGAGAACGCGCGCCAGAGACGATGGAAACGAATGCACCTATTTCGGGGCCATGGGGAGGTACCTCAGACGTGGTCAAAGTGGCCGGTTGCGTGTAACCAGCTTCGAGATGATTTCATCGTGTCTTACAAGGCAATCTGTGTCGGCGCTTCGTTCACTGTTTCGAGGTAAGGTGAGAACTCCCGGGGCGGCAGTGTTGTCTGACCGAGATATTTGAGATTGAGAGCGTGGCTGAAGGGGACACGAAGCGCGATGCATAAATCCGATGGCATTTCAGATAAGCGCTGGTACGGCCAGCCTGTTTCATTGGCAGTTCTTTTTGAACTGTCTGGCCGGACATGAAACGGTTATTGGTGGCCACGGTTGGCGCCCGTTGCATAGAATAGACGAAGAATACGGAGTAGAAGGGTAGCATCGGTCGACGGTGGCGCAGCAGCAACAATGGAAACACAAAATCAACCACAATTCGAAGCCAGGGGCAAGTTTGCCGACAGAAATACAACACGTCTTGAACGCGCATCTTCCACCAGAGAAACACGAAACTGACGCTATACACACGTGAGTCATTGATATACCCTGATACAGCAGACACGACTATCTCACGAAGTTCGCACGGCTATGTCCTCCCAACCTCTTCGTTTACATGCACTCTGCACCGTCTGCATCTTTAGGCCTTTGACCTGCATCGACCGGTGTCTTTCCTCTTGCTTTCAATGGCCGTTATGGCCAGCAGACCTCACCGCATGTTTCAGGTTGCTGTTCATCGAGGTGAAAGAGATCTTCTACTGGCCGACCTCAGGCTGACGATTGCTGCATGATGCAAGAAGTAGACTACTCCTGCACATTGCACCTGTTCCAGGCCCGACGTTCCCGATGACGAGAGAGCTACACTGCAGGTAGACATACTTTCTGCTGATCAATTAATGCTCGAATTTGCTCCCAAGGGAGACCCTGGCTCCATTCCCATATGTACAATGTTCATGCGAGGTTCAAAGCAATTATCTTTGCTCGACCACCCAGTAGACACACACTATTAGTGCCCAAACCCTCTCTCAAAAGGTAGTTTGGCTCGCCGGCCAATCCAGATTCAACGCCACCATCTGAAACAGCATATCCGCTGCAACTATGACACAATATCTTCTCCTCCCACTCATTCAATCATGCCTTGACTTCGTATTTGCGACGGAACATGTTATCAACCTCGGTCAGATAGTAAGTTCCTGGCGCGAGATCCTCAACCTTGCCGGCCGGCTTGAAGTCTTTCTTGAGATGGGCCTTTTCACGCAGCATGCACATTTCATCATACACTTCTGGGGCCACGACCCGGCGAGCATCCAGTCGTTCTTGTAGGTTGAGCTTGTCTGACATCTCGGTGGTATCACCAACCACCTTGAAGCTGAACAACGAACTAGCCAAGCCACTGCCGTAGCTGAAGATACCTAGTCTCTTGTCCTGCAACGTCTTGGGAGCAATGTTGCAGATAAGCCCAACCAGTCCGCCATACACGCTGCCACAGTACATGTTTCCACACATGGTGGCAACTTGGATGGCCGGCTGCACTCGTTCAGTGAATCGCTTTTTCGTAAGACCCATGAAGGTCTTTTCAACATTCTTGTCTGTCAGCGAAGTCTGATAATCGATATCTCGCAGCTCAGGTGCGACCTCCTTGAATTGGGGGTGAGTTGGATCGCTCAGGAAATCATTGTAGAGCAGGCGGGCGTAAGATTTCGAGACGAGCTTGCAAGTAGGTGCATGAAAGGCCATGTAGTCGAATCGATCCAGTGGAGCTTTCTCGTCCTCTTTTTTGTGCGCACCATTTCCGTTTACTGCGTGGCCATTAGCTTTTGCCTTGAGTGTTTGCTCCCTCGCATTGTATGCTTTGTAGCATGCGTCGACAGCCTCTGTGTAGCACTTGAGCGAGAACTGGCCATCAACATACGGATATTCACTGGTGAGATCCGGCTTGTAGAAGTCATAGGCATGGGTGATGTATGAACCACGTAGACCCGGTTCGAAGGCAATAGGGGCGTCAGGTCCAACCAACATGGCAACGCAGCCAGCACCACCAGTAGGACGAGCATTGCCCTTCTTGTAAAGAGCGATGTCACCAGAGATAACAATGGCGTCTCGTCCGTCCCATGCAGAAGACTCGACCCAGTTCACAGAGTTGAAGAGTGCGTTCGTACCACCACTAGGTCTTGTCAGTATCGCACTGCATGCAAGGCACACGTTTGAATGAGACTTACTAGCAGGCATTGTAAGAGTCCACTCCTTCGACGTTGAAGTTTCCGGACTTCTCAAACAACTGCATCAAGACAGACTTGACACTCTTGCTTTTGTCGAGCATAGTCTCTGTGCCAACTTCCATGCGTCCAATGTTCTTCAGGTCGATCGAGTACTTGGAGATGAGGCTTGTGAGGGTGGTGAGGGCTATCGAATAGATGTCTGGACGCAGTCGGTCAGTATGTGATACAAGAATTTCCACGTGCGCTTTCCTCACCTTCTCTGTCGTCGCAAAAGGACATTTTGGTCTGACCCAGACCAATGGTGTATTTTCCTGCTGAGACGCCATCGAACTTCTCCAGCTCGCTCTGGTCGACACACTGCAAGGATTGTCAATACGCAAAGTCCTACCAACTACTGCTTTCCTATCGAACCGCGTACCTGACTGGGGAAATAGATCTCAATGGCTTTAATGCCGATATTCTGCGGTCGTGTGGCCATGTTTGCGACTTTGTGGGAAAGAAAAGGTTGGCGTAGAGGGTGTTTCTGAGACAGTGTAGTCGACCACTCTATCTCGTGGGTTCAAGGAGGGGTTGGCTTTATGAAGAGGTAGCGGTGAAGGAGGCGGCGATCTGTGGAGGCGCGTTCACTTTTTTTGGGCTGCTCGAGTTGCAGAGTCGCAAGTCAAAAAGAAGAAGCTGTGTAGGTGATACAATGGGTTCTGAAAAAGACCGTGGCTACTACAATAGCAATGATAGACTGTTAAGTACTGTATCCGCCAACACTTCAAGAATGGCCGCCCAGAAATTTCGTTTGATGGAACCTGAATTGTTGAACGGAGACGAAGATCTGGGTCTTCCGCTAGGTAGAAGCTGCCAATCTTAAGGTTTAGGACGTGCTTAAGTCCCTTTAGATCTGGGAGGCGACCAATGGCAAACCCTTATCTACGGGCGGTGAGTTGCTCAACGTGAGGTGGTGTCATCCGGCAAACCGTTCCTGCATTTCTCCCGGAAAGGGGGGCCACTCACGGGCCTTTCGTAGGGTCCTATCCGTCACTGACAATGTGGCACCATATGAGATCTCGAGTTCCCGATAACGCCTTGATCAAAGACATATTAACTTAAGTTGATATGGTTTGTGGTCGCCTCTGGTCCATGAGGCTGAGCACATGCTGGGATGATTTCTACTTCCTTATGGAATCGTTTCTACATTTTGGGCTGCCTGTTTGAACTGGTCACGCCACCAGTTTCCCGATATTGCTCTCGGTGGTCATGTTAGGCTGTGCCTGAATGCTCCTAGGTGCGGTATCTCATACCGAACGACATCGTTTCCAGAGGAGGATAGGATTGACGATTGAGCCAAGACAATCAAGTGATCTCCATGCAGGTTCGTCCCAAGAGCCAGTGTTTTGTACTTCTAGATATCGAGCCATCTATCTATCGCCTTTACCCGCAAGCCTGTTTCCCGGAAAAGTGGCACGGTCTGACCAGTGTCGCTCGTCAGGTGCAAATGAGTATTGTTTCTTATTGTCGTCTCGAAGTCCTTCGCACACAACGATAGAGCTTTATGGATTGTCAGAAAGGAAGTCATCAGCTCCATTGTATATCCCTACTGGCTTGCTGTCAAAGCACCCGTTGTCGCGAACCCTGCAGAACTTCAATTTTGATCGGTCGATGTACTGCCCTGTCAGACGGTGCCACCTTTTCTGAAAATCGGCCTGCCAGATCGCCGGTTGAGCAATGCCACCTGACCACGTCGCTCTTAGTACGACGATGGAAGCACACTGAGTCGACCACCATCGGTCACGACCGTACAGCCATTGATATAGGCGCCAGCACGGGAACAGAGCCACAGGATGACTCCCGCCATATCTTGCTCGTCGCCCGTTCTTGTGGCCGGAACGACATCTTTTGCAAATGTGCCTTCCACGTTGTGGGTTTCGACTTTGCCTTGAGCCTTGTACATGCCTTCCGTCATCTCCGAGAAGTACAGACCAGGTGCAATTACATTGACACGAATGTCGTAATTAACGAGAGCCGTAGCAAGCTGTTTCGACATATGCATCACCGCGCTCTTGCTCGGCCCATAAGAGAGGTTCCCCAGGACGTTTCTGTTGTATCCGCCGATGGAGCCCGTAGTGATGATCTGAGGCCGTGGCTTGAAGTTCTCCTCAGTCGGTTGTGGCCTCTTCTTGTTTGCTTCAGCGAGTAGCGGCAGGAACGCGGCAATGGTGAAGTGTACGCCAGTAATGTTCACAAGGTATGTCGAGTTGACATCTTCTGGTTCTGGGGCCCACATGTTCTTCGCCAACTGCTCAATGCCAACGGGCTTTCTCTCCGAGTCCAATACCGGTACAGATGGGCCAGATATGCCGGAATTCGCGACGAGCACATCGATCGAGTCCACTTGTGCTTTGACCTTGTCGTAGCATTGCTGCAACGATTCCTTTGACGTGACATCGCCGACCAGAGGTATTATCTTGCCTCCTGGTACGGATTCGGCAGTCTCCTTCAATGCAGCTTCTCGACGTCCAATGATGAAGACCTTCGAAGCTCCATTGGCTGCAAGTGCTCGTGCCATCATCCGGCCCAGCCCTGGAAGAAAAGTATATTAGATATGAGCCCGTAGACCACTCAAGACAACAAGCATAAAAGTCGCTGATGAAATGGGGTCAGGAGGCGAGATCACGCCTCAGTGGAAGCATCGTACTCACCAGAGCCGGCTCCAGTGATGACAGCAACAAGGCCATTGACGTTGAACAAATTCCCAGCCTCAATCTTGGGTATATCTGCGGAGGACATTCTGTCGATATCGGTTGAGATCAAGAAATGTCTGGAGCCCGCTGGCAGGTGGATGACTCGTAGCTTTGTGCGATCTAACGTCGAGAAGGGGCCTGCTGATGGGAAGAAATGATTATCAATGCTGTATGGAGGGGCACCATGTTGACGTGCGATATGTCGGGCTTCGTCCGTTTAAAGCCGGTTCCGGACTTTAACCGTGTGGTCACTCCTCGATATGGCTATAGGAACTGAGACCTTTTAACTCGTCGCGAACAACACACTGCAACGAAACGTATATGATAACATCAGGGCCGTCTTTCGTTACTCATACAAGCATTACATAGCATCTATCGATCCACAACTCTCCGCCATCCGCCCTGGCGAGCAAAGTAGGGCATAGCCAGTTTTGTCATGTTTCTTGACTGATGCTTCCCAATTCTAATGTCTTCCAAACCCCATTTTGCCCTTGAGTTTGCTGAGTTTGCCAGGCTCATAGGTCTCTCCACGATCACCGCTAGTCTGGACGTGCGTTCCATCAGGAAGCGAACCTGGACTGAGTTCACGTTCTTCTACCGGAGCCTTAGGTGGGGGTTTTAGTTGATCTCGTCCTCGCTCTTCCGCACCCTTGCCAGAAGTGAGTGTTGTTGATGCGTCGGCGCTCGATGTGGTAGTGGAACCTGGGTCGGTTGGGTTTTCTAGAACACGAACACCTCGTTAATGGAAAGTCATAGATGGATTGATGGCAGGAAGTCCATGCTTACCTGGAGCATTTCCGCCATCATAAGGTTCGGTCGTTGTGCCTTTGCCTTGGATCCCTGATGGGGGCTCTTCGCCAGTCCGTACTGGATCTTCTGCATTGCCTTGATCATACGGCTCCGTGACGGTGCCTTTTCCTTGCAGACCTGAAACCGGCTCTTCACCTGATTGCGTTGCGCCTTCGCTGGTGACGTTCGCATAGATACCCTCAGGCATATTGGTGGCAGGTGGTGTTGATGCTCGATAGGAGAAATAGTTAGCGAGCGGATAGAATGGGCAGAGGTAGTGTGGCCTGTGTGGGAATGAAGTACGAGTGAGTTAGGCAACGTTCGTCAGGTCACATTAATATGCGGTCACAATTCTTGTCTGGCTGTCCCCTTGTCAAGGTTGCAGTTCGAGGGTCTTATCATGCTGCAAGATCGGGCTTCCAAAGCCAAGATCTTGGTCTAATGGACAGCAGCAGCTGGCGAGCTTCAAAGTCAGACGGTACGTCATGAGCACGCGAAGTGGGTGCCGTTGTCAAGCTCCTCCGAAGTAAGGGTGCAGCGAGGGGCTTGCCTATGGACCAGCTTAGGCGCGACGAGGACGATCGCAGTCACTGAAGGCCAATCGGGCCCCCAATCTAATACTGCCATGGGGGTTTTTGCCTTCGTCTGGGTGCAAGCCACCACATGCCAAGGCTTTCTGCAGGCACCACATGGCAATCTTTTCGAGAACATCTGCTGGACTTTCCATCTTCGGCGGACTGTGCAACTAAAAACCCAGTATCAGCAATTTTTTCTCGACCCGGGGGCGGTCGACCATGACATCTGATACGTGTGTCGACTGTCGCGAGCGTGACGCCAGCGTCAATATCCGGAACAGGCGGTTATGCGCAGCCTGTTTCAGTCGATATGTGACCGGCAAAGTTGCGAAGCGGATGGAGTCTTATCGGTTTACAACTCTCTCACCAGACCAGAAGCGCCGACTATTTCTACCTGTGTCTGGTGGCATCTCCTCCCTCGTCCTACTTCAGATTCTTGATGATCAGCTTCAAAGGCAAATTGCGAAGCGCAATAGAACAGCATACGATATCGTCGTAGCTCGCGTGGTGCTTCCCGGTGAGCAAGACCAGCCGATTGACGCGAAATGGTATGAAGACCTGAAGACGAGCTTCTCAAAGCATACCTTCCTGCCTTTGCTTGCGCTTCATAATGTACTACGTCTTGACAGCAGGATCGTCCAGGATCTCGAATGCCTCGGACTTGCTCGAAAAGTGAATGAGTCAGATGAGGAATTGTTCGACCGCATAATGTCCTCGACTACTTCAAACACAGCTCGATCAGATCTCCGATCGGTTTTGATGCAGCGCCTTCTGGTGGCAGCTGCCAAAAAAGAGGATTGTGAGGGCATCCTTTGGGGCCATTCTGATACTCGTTTGGCCGCATTAGCACTTGCAGACGTCGCCAAAGGTCGAGGTGGGTCTGTTTCCTCCGCGATCGCTGACGGCCCGTCGATGTACGGGATCGGTTTCAACTATCCGCTGCGTGAGCTCTACGAAGCTGAACTGCAGACATACGGTCTTGTGGCATCCGAGCCGCTATTGCAAGAGGTGGCCGATCGCGCGGCTCCTGTGCAGGCTCCAGCCAGCATACGCACGACGGCTATAGACGACCTTCTCAGTACCTACATTACCTCCCAGGGCGAGAAATATCCCAGTATCATGGCTAATGTGGTTCGAACAGCGAGTAAGCTCGAAGTCAGGAGACCGGATGGCACAACCGCTGCTTGCCGTTTCTGTGTTATGCCGATGAGGGGGCAACTGGGTGGTCAGACCAGAACAACAGACCTCTGTTATGGGTGTCAGAGAATGAGACAAGACATCAGAACTTGATTACATTGTTCACTATCGAGGGCTACAAGGCTACATACTACAGAATGATCCACGAAAAGGCACTGGACACAGAGTGGAGGAAGAATAAAGTCAAATTGAGTCGCTCAATTTTAACGGAACGCTGGTACTAGGTATCATGCTGTATAAAACGCCATCCCCGTCACAATCGAACTCCAAGTCAGTATTTCCTGCAAATTAACGAGTTCGAGCCGGCATTGGCGGTGGCGCTCCCTCTCCACGCTCGACGTCGGCTGTGCGGTCGCGCTGCGCTCTTCTCGCGTCGCGTTGAGAGGTGTATCTCGGTGGTGGACCATTCTCCGCGTTCAACCGCCCCTCTTCACCCTGGTAATCGTACTCATCTGGCAAACTCGGATCTGCGATGTTGGCTTGCGGAGTCCCCTTAAGCCTCTTCCTGCCACGTTCCCGCAGCTCTTTCTCAAGCAAAACCACATTCTTGGTGTTACACTTGAACACCGCGTCTGCGATATCTCCGATAAAGGGTATCAAGCCAATTCCAAAGTCAACAGCCATGTTCAGTAACATGCGCATCTTCAGAGACTCTGGCAATCCTCCCTCGACCGAGCAACACGTGCGGTATACCATGTAGGCCAGGGCAAGATCCATAGCGTCTCCTAGACCTGGGATTAAGCCAATGATTGCGCCATAGCCAAATCTCGTGCCGCAAAAGTTTCCGAGTGACAGGTCGATGTGGTAGGCTCTTCTCTTTGCCTTTGTCAGGATTTTCTCTTCTTCAGGTGTCAGGCCCGGCGGAAGAGCCCTGCGCTGCTTCTTGGTGGTCTTATAGAGGCCTCCGAGTCTGGTTGCTGGGACAGTCTCGAAGTAAGGATCCTAGAAAGAACGATCAGTAATGACGACAGCGCTGAATAATAGACAACGTACCTGGTGACCATTTTGGTTGGCCACATTCTCCTTGAAGAATCTTTTGGCCACAAGCTTCGCTGCGTAGGAAGTCATGATGGAAGAATAGGAGGTTGTGCTTGAAGATGGTAGGGAGATTTCGGCTTTGGGAAGAGGCTGCGAAAGATATAGGTCCCAAGTCTGTTTACAAAGAGGTGGAACAAAGGATAGTTCCGGCGTTTTATGACACGGCTCGGTTTTCCGATTCGAACAAAGCCAAACGAACCATGTCACGACGAGCTTGGCTCGCGTAAGGTCGATTGGAATTCGGACAATTCAAGCTGATCATGCATATTAACGCTGTAAATCTTGCTTGCCACTCAGAAACATTTTGGCGACTTGCGCGCGCCTACGTCACTGTTTTGAGCATCAGCTTCAAAGGACAGCAACTAAAAATGCACCAAGCCAATCATTTTGTCATCAGCCACAATTTCACAGCCACGCATAGCCACAGCGCCTCATCTGCTCCAAGACAACACTCTTTCGGCGCAGTTCCCTTGAGTTGCACACATGCATACGTTTACCCGAACACGACAACACTATCAAAACTCGACTGCCGATCTGGACGTGTGGCTGAGCACATTGCCCTCCGCTTGGTCCAGTCCAGGCCTTCCAGTATTTGAGCATTAGTGGAAATGAGTAGACACCGAATCATACACAGGAACACTAGCGATGCAGCTGGAGGACTGTAAGACCGAGAGCCCTTGGGCAACAAGGCTGAAATCATGCTGACCACGACCGCCATGCAGGGTTGGATGACCTTTGTGTCCGATTCATCATCAATCTACCACCGGAAGAACTTCAGTCTGTAGAGCGAATATGCTTCCAAGTCGAGGAAGCACAATGGTTCTACGAAGACTTCATTCGACCACTTGACCCTTCGCTACCTTCCTTGAACCTGCGCGCATTCAGTCTGCGAATCTTTCAGCACTGTCCGCTATTCGCACAATGGTCCGCACAACATCATACCACCGCCTTTGCGGAGTTCCTGGCCTACAAGTCTCGCGTGCCAGTGCGTGGAGCCATCATGCTGAACCAAGCCATGGACGAAGTTGTCCTCGTCAAAGGCTGGAAGAAGAGTGCGAACTGGAGTTTTCCGCGGGGTAAGATCAACAAGGACGAGAACGACTTGGACTGCGCCGTGCGAGAAGTCTACGAAGAGACGGGCTTCGACATTCGCGCAGCAGGTCTTGTGAAAGACGAAAAAGACATGAAATATATCGAAGTGACGATGCGAGAACAGCACATGAGACTATATGTCTTCCGGGGAGTCCCGAAGGACACGTATTTCGAACCAAAGACACGGAAGGAGATCAGTAAGATTGAATGGTACAAGCTGACGGATTTGCCAACACTCAAAAAAAGCCGCCAACAGGAGGGAAGTGGTACAGATCAACCAGCCCTCAATGCGAACAAGTTCTACATGGTAGCACCTTTCTTGAACCCGCTGAAGAAATGGATTACCCAGCAACGGAAGAAAGAAAACCGTTATAGCTCGCATTTGGCAGCGCCACCTATGATTGCTGAGCAACTGAGTACCGAGGATGACCAAGATATCGATTTTGCTGGCGCCGGACTGCCAGCAACGGTACCCCAGATCATCAGTGACCTACCCGAGGTCACGGCGCCAGCTACAGCAGATCCCACCGCGCACCTGAAACAAATGCTCAATATTGGATCTAGTCAGTCTGAGCGAGCAGGAGTTGTGCCACAACCAAGTCATATGCAGGACGTGGATGCCGAGAAGTCGAATGCTTTACTGGCCCTTTTACGCAGTGCACCCCGAGGACAACCCCGTCCTATACCTCAAACTCCACTAGAGCAGATTTCTGCACCGCCTCAGACACAAGAATCGCCGCACGTTTCTCATATACGTCCGTCGCAATTGCTACATGCTCACCCCCCTCCAACATTCCAGCCACAACCTCAACACTCTATCCAGCCGGCTTTCTATCGTCTTGAGCATCATCCTACGGAAGCTCCGCTTCCTACGACTTCAATGACTGCTCCATCAAGACTCCAGCCGTCGAGTGGGCCATATCAGAGAACGGTCGACCCAGAGCTTGAGCGGGAGATTGAGAGTCGCACATATCAACCTTCTGCACCTCCAGCCAGTGCTTTACCCAAATTGACGAGCCATACCAAATCGCTTCTGGAAGTTTTCAAGGCCAAGTCAAGTACACCAACAGCATCCGCTGCTCTTCCAGACCAAGGGCTACTTGAGCTTCTCTCTGGAAAAAGGTCAATGCCAAGGCCCGAAGTGCATCAACATAACAATACTGCTCCGACGGCAGGCTTGTTTGGCGGGCCACAGAAAGTTCAAGCTCCAATCGAAAACAAGCCACCGGCAAGTTTGGGCCCACCTCTACCAATCAGCGCGAGTGAACAAGCTGCCATAGCAGCTACAGCACCCGCTGGACGTCCCGTCAATGCGCGACAGACGTCGCTGTTGGAGCTTTTCAAGCCATCATCGAAGCCAGAGCAGGCGAATGTGGCTGGCTCACAAAACCAACTGCCGGTCGAACTAGCGGCGACAACTACTGCATCGCCTGCGTCGAAGAAGGTGGAAGGTAATAAGAACGAGCTGCTCTTGGCTCTGCTGAAAAAAGGTGGTCAACAATCTTCACGAGAGGCAGCTTCTACCAGCCACCCATCGCCTAGAGAGGGCGAGACCTCTGCAACGATCAACGGGCCACTCAACCAGCCTGAGTTCGAAGCTATCTCACGACCGCACCGGCATGTTACCAACGAGCTGAGGCGCAGTCCCCTTACCTCGAATCGCACCTTGTATGACCCCAATCAACCAACTCCTGTCAAGATCCTGGCGCGTCCAGATGAGTCACGCCAACAGCAGGCTCCTCGTTCGCCGAAAGGTATCAAGGCACCCCCCAAGAGGACGGCGAGAGAAAAGACTACGGTAAAAAGTCAGAGCAAACCATTCCAACCTCAGATACTTCGACGGCCCCAAACGGCTGAATCATCCGAGCCAGAGCCTACGGGCAGCGAGGGAACGAGTCAGCACGCCGTCTTAGCAGACGCTGTGCCATCGCCACCTTTGGTCACAACCCCTCCTGAGATCAGTGCGAGACCATCATTCAGTCGACAGGCATCCCAAACACCAGCGCAGAAACAGGCTTTGCTTTCATTGTTTGGCGGAGGACCTGATACTACGCCTAGAGCAACAACGGCGCAACCGGGCTCTGGAATAGTATCACCACTCAGCACAAGCCAAATCATGAATGGGGAGGTTCCGTTGTCTGCAATGGAACCCCTCTCCACTCGGACATCACGAGTTGGAAGCATGGCATCCATCGGAAGCGGACCTGCAACCCATCGTCTACCTAGTGAGAAAAGACAGACGGGAGCGGAGAACAAGGCGTTCCTGCTAGGATATTTGGGAAGAATCGCTAGTCAAGGAAGCTGACAAGGCCGGTTCCAGAAGCTTGCCATGTGGCATGCGGCTGCAACAGCGATACAAATCCGGCTTTGTAGTCAATAAAAACTGCGCTCTTCCTCGGGTCAACTTAGTCGCCGAGTCCCGTAACTCGTGATGGGTACCTGACCACTACGCTGAAATTATTTGCCCACTCCAAAAGTTATGTAAGAATATGCACAAGCATTAACAGGTAGTGCATCGGATCTGGCTTTCATCCTGCGAGAATCGCGAAATCTGGGCCTGGTGTCCGTACATATTGCTACCGATGCAGCAAAGAGGGTCAGGTCGGTGTCCGCCAAGTACAACGGTAGAAGGTGGACCAGAATCATCTCGCAAATCATGACCTCAGCAACAGGCTTGCGAGCAAAAGAGCGCTCTTTTGTACTGGACAGTGGGGCATATCTTCACATCGTGTTACCTCTCGGCAAGCAGGAAAGATGGTGACTTGAGTGACCCGCCGAGTGAGGCCACCATTTCAGGTCAGATGCATTATTATTATTATTCTCCGCAGGCTGGCAGGAGGCGTTTTCAACCGGGACCCATTGAGTGGTGGTGAATGGGTGCTTGGATTCCCATGCCCAGATCGACAAGCCTTACGCGGCCATAGTGGAAGCAGGAAATGGATATAATGTCTTGGTAGAAAACAAAACCTGGATCCGTGGGATTCTGCTGACATTGGTTCTTGCATTCTGTTTGGTATTTTTGTATGAGTGCCCCTCGTGTCAAGGTAGCCTTCAATGGCAGAGGTTGCCCCTCCACGGCCCAGTCGAGGTCCAGGCACAAATGTTTCAACAGTCGCCGAGGCTGTTGCGGCGGCGCGGGCGGCCAGGAACAAAGACCATGTCGCACACCAACTTTCCCTCGTTACAGTCAGCACTACCAGCGACAACAAAGCTACTAGTATCAGCCAAAAGTGTACGTTCTACAACACCCAATGGATTATGTGAAGCATCACTCAGCCAGAGCGATTGCCTACTGCGGCCAACCTTGAGCGGCCAGAGCCGCCAGAGGTGCATACCCTCTACCGTCTACTGGAATGTCCAGGCCGTTGGTTATGCCATCATCAATGCTGACTATGCTTCGTGACTGTATTCAGACACCCCACCCTCAAATACGAATGTCGTCCGCAACGCCTCCCAAGGCCACGGTTCAGGCCTGAAGACAGCAGTCTCTGCCAATATGAGTCCTGTCCTTGGCTCGCCTGAGCCGCAGGCGCCCGGCTCTGAATATGTCCTCGATCCAATTTCAAGGGTGCGCTCAGATCCCCCATTGTTCGCTTGATAACTTCTCTCGTGCTCACTCTCGATCAGCAAATCCTAGAGCGCACTCAATCTCACACCAGGCTGCCGCCAAGTTCGCAAGGCGGTGTCAATGCGGACTCCGGTCTATCCGAAGATCAGTACTCGGCAGCAATGGGTTCCGACCCGGGGTCTCTGCGGAGAGTTGACAGTGGTGCTAGTAGCAGGTTGAGCAAGGACAAGAAGTGAGTTGTACAAGATTACGGGCGGAGGAACAACACAACAAGTCTCCGTCCCCTCCGTTTCCCGCGCATGGTCAATGTCGCCCTCCTACCTCCTCGTTGACCCTGTACCCATCGCAGCCTTGCCGGCTATGCGATCGACAAGGCTGACGTATATGGCTGCTCAGGAAAGGTGTGTCGTTCCTAAGCCGGATAATGGGCGGCACCAAGAAGCGCGATTCGCTTGACCTTCGCGACGACAATGCTTCGGAGATGGCTGAGGATCGTTCCGCCGGCGTCGAGGCCGAAGTCTTCTCACAACCGGTCGGCTTCATACCCAAGTTTCCGGCTCCTCCACGATACATCAAAGTCAAGGCGCAGTATAGGAAAGAGAAGGATTTCGACAGGCTCTTCTTAGCTCAGATACTGCTGGACACTCCGAAAGGAAAGCCTCGGAAGATGTCGATCGACTCCAGGATACACGATATTGGTGAAGCTCCCGCGGCCACCCCCACCGCTTCGACCAAATCGGCGAACTCCGCCATATGGGCAATGGAGTTCTCAAAAGACGGAAGATACCTTGCTGCTGCTGGTCAGGACAAGAAGCTGAGAGTTTGGGAGGTCATTGCGAGCATCGAGGATCGTGATGTGGAAGAGAAGCTCTCCGAGTCCGAGAACGATGGGGACAATATCAAGCTCAATGCGCCAGTCTTTAAGAGCAAGCTGGTCCGCGAGTATGACGGCCACACGTCGAGTATCTTGGATCTGAGCTGGAGCAAAAACAACTTCCTACTTTCTTCATCCATGGACAAGACCGTCCGCTTATACCATGTCACCAGGGCTGAGTGCTTGTGTGCTTTCAAGCACAATGATTTTGTGACCTCGATTCAGTTTCACCCTCGCGACGATCGATTCTTCTTGGCTGGCTCCCTAGACTCGAAGTTGCGCCTGTGGAGCATTCCAGACAAGAATGTGGCGTACTGGACCCAGGTGCCAGACATGATTACTGCTGTGGCTTTCACCCCTGATGGCAAGACCGCTATTGCTGGCTGTCTCAACGGGCTCTGCATACTTTATGATACGGAGGGTCTCAAACCACATTCACAGATACACGTTCGATCCGCGCGCGGGAAAAATGCGAAAGGGAGCAAAATCACTGGCATCGACACCATCGCGTTACCTCGAGACGGCGGTCTTCCGGATGTGAAGTTGCTAATCACCAGCAATGACTCCCGAATACGAATGTACAACCTGAAGGACCGAACGTTGGAGGTGAAATTCCGTGGAAACGAAAACTCTTGCAGTCAAATACATGCCACATTCAGTGACGATGGTAAGTATGTGATCTGTGGGAGCGAGGATCGGAAGGTATATATCTGGCCCACCTCAGTCAACGAGAGGCCGGATAATGATAAACGTCCGATGGAAGTGTTTGAAGCTCACTCGGCGATTGTCACGACGGCGCTGTTAGCCCCGGAGTCGACTCGAAGGATGCTTGGATTGTCAGGAGACCCAATATACGACCTGTGCAATCCACCGCCAGTAACACTGGTCAGTAGGGCAGACTCGGTTATCTCGTCACGTGCCCCGACGAATAACAGCGACGACAAGCACGCTATAAGCGAGAAAAGGCTATCGGGATCACCCAGACGTGCACCTGGAACTCCGGCATATCTCTCCCGATGTTCTCACAGAGGTGGCCAAATCATAGTAACAACAGATTATACCGGACAGATCAAGGTATTTCGACAGGACTGTGCGTTCCAGAAGCGAAAACATGAGTCCTGGGATGCAGGCTCGACATTTTCCAAAAAGGTACTCGGTCGCAGCGGATCTGTAGTTACAGGAAATTCTGCAACCTCATCAACACGGCGAAATTCAATGGCCTCGAAGAACCCATCCACCGATCGGATCTTGAGCTGGAGAAACTCTGTCAACGCGACAGAAACTGCCAATGGTGCTTCCGCCAGTTTGTCTGATATCCGGAAAACACTCGTTGATGAACAACGTACACGTAGCGCATCGCCCAAGAAATCGCTCGCCCACCGCCTCTCAATACGCAAAAGGTCGTCACAGGACAAACATGGACTCTTGTCGCCGACATCTCCAGCCCATTCACCACTTGGTCAGATGCCGGATAGGCCGTCGATATCGATCCAGTCACCCACGGCCGAGTCACCGGGTAGTTTCCACTCCGTGCCGCAGCAGAAGACGCCAAATTACGAAAAGCACCTGGGCCAGGAGCATCTGGTGCCTATCAAGACCAACCCCAGTCCTTCGGATCTTCCTCGAAACGACCCACTCCTTCTGATGGACCAACAGTCTTATATGGGGTGGGATATGCGGAATACGATGGTGCCCATGGCGAAACATGCTCCCCGGTCACCCGGGCTGTTGGGACCAGATGGGAACCCTCTGTCACGGGCGAACAGCTACGTGAGCCAGTTGTCTAGTGAACTTACTGGTTCGGAACCCAATAGTGCCAGTGCTAGCGTGCACGACATGGATGGCGACGATGAGGGAGAACGCAGCCGCAAGTCCCGCGCAAGACGGCGGAGTACTCCTGAGAGTGATGGCGATTTGCGCTGTCGAAAGTGCCAGAATAGGACTTTCAAGGCCACTATGACGGACAAGGGTCAGACGTTTCGGTGTAAGAAGTGTGGCACCGTCGTGTAGTACGCGAGGGATGTCTGATTGAAAATGCCAATGAGCAATGTCAGCGACGGCCTGGACGAAGAATATGACCCAGTATATATTACCTTCCAAGGTCTTGTATAATACAGATATGATATACACGTGTACGAACTACATCAATGACTAATATCCCCGTCTACTCATGTCCATGGCTGAATGCAAAACAGTCTATAGACATGCAGTTTGTTAAGCATGTTTACATCTCTGAGTCGGGAAAACAGTCGTACGAGCCCTGCAACAACTCATCTGGGAATCTTGTTTTACTTGCGTCAGCTTCAATATACAGAGTACCTTGTGAGTGTTGTATCTCTGCGGTTTCCTAGATGTGCTCATTGTATTTCATGAGAACAACCAATTTTTTTTTTCTTGGAAAGGGGCGAAGGTATGCACACGAATCAGACGCATAGAAACAGTGACGTGGGAAACATTGACAAGAAGGATTTCGTGATTTCTGTCTGCTTTCCGACCAGACCAGACTATCGCCTGTCCATATCTATCTGTGTTCTTGTGCTTTCAGTCAAACGTTCATCCATGTCGCTCCTATCGAATGTACACAATTTCTTTGCTGTCTGTAGGCTTTCTCCTAGTCCCCAACTGAGCGCAAGTCTCGCATCGAGGCGCATCGTATGTCAAGATAGCTGAATCCAAGGAAAAACCTAGGGTGGCGAATGTCGAGCTGCTTACAAGTTGGCTCGGATGGCCTTCTCGAGAGCGTGCTTGTTGGCACCGACGACCTCGCCGACCTTCTCACCGCCCTTGAAGAGCATGAAAGTAGGCATGGCTCTCACACCGAGCTCTTGAGCAACGTCGGGAACCTCATCGACATCAATCTTGTAGAAGTCGACCTTCTCTTTGAAGTCGGGGTCCTCGGAGAACTTGACGACTTCGGGGGCGATGACCTTGCAAGGGCCGCACCAGGTGGCGAAGCAGTCGAGGACGACGAGCTTGTCGGCGCCGAGAACGGAGGTCTGGAAGGAGGATTTGCTGTGAATTGGGTTAACACCATATCTTCTTTTGGGGGCCTGCTCTTCACGCAGCTTGGCTTGGTGGTAGGCTACGTACTCTGCGAGATTGTGGACACCCATTTTGTTTAGGGTCTGTGTGAAGTTATTAGGTCGGGTTGTGGTGAAGGAGCGAGTTGCTGATGCGACTGCTGTTCTTTGTCGAAGTGGGGCTGCTTTGGTAGCTGATAGTGATGCTGTTTGGACAATGCGCTGGAGCTTGGTGGACGACAAGCGGATTGATGCAGCCACGGCGAAGGTATTTATGTGCAAAAGGTGAGTTGTGTTGTTTGTGTAGATGGAAGATGCTGGAGGAATGGAGTGTGAAAGAAATCAGGAGCGATTTGACTTATTAGTGTTTGAGGTGATGATGACGGTATCGCTGCCGGTGAAGAAGGCGTCAGTCAGTCAGGCTTAGAAATGCAGAAACCCTTCGGGAGTACTAGGTGGGAGCTGTGCAAAGGCGCAGGCGGGAGGGAATTGACTCTTGAGAGGGACAGGCAAAATGCGGGACATTGGCACAATGATTTGAATTGACATGACGCCATAAGAATTGCCCTCATCCTACAGAATCTTACCTAGGTAGTAGACCCTCACAATTTGGAATTCAGTCACGTCACGTGGTTTCAGAGCACTTGTTACTTGCCGCTATTGTCGCAGCCTGATGAGTGATCAATATGCACATTCCAGCAATGCAACACCAACGACGACAATATTCAGCCAGAGCAGACAATCCCATTTTGCCAACGGCCTAGGTGTTTCTAAAATCCAGCTTTGACTGTATGCAACGATACAGATATGCTCACACCAATAATGTACCGCATCAATTGTGATACATGCATCATTCCAATTCACCACGGCCCGAGCCAGGGAAAGGGAAAGTAAAGGGATGGTTTGCGATATTACATATTCTCTTCTCTCTTCTAACGTATTTGCATAACACAGCCCGCTCAGAAATTCAAGTTTTCGCTGCTCGCAACTCAATTGCTCAACTGTACATGAATCTTTTCAACGCTCAAAGGGGCTCAATTCATCCAATATTTTCTCTTCTCCTCCACAATTTTAGGACGAGTATAAGGAGCGATCTGGTGGGTATCTTTTTGTATCATCAAGGTCGTTGTTTCTCAGATCAGAAGTCCCGTATTGTTTCGTGTGCCACTGGATACGTTCTGCAAGTGAAACCGAAGAATTGACAAAGGAAAATGTCATCATCAACGCCCGTCGAGGGCAGGCTCAATATATGTGCCGGTGCTTACTGCTCAAATTGGATACCTGATGCCCTTGGAGACCTTGGAGTTTGAGGCAAACCTGGACTCCGTTGTGGTCCGTCTGAGTGGACTGACGATGCTCGTCGGATGTCCAATAGTCGTGCACTTCCAGCACTGATGTGTCGTGCATGTCCCTTGTACTCCACGCTCCGAGCTCGTAGAATCGGTGCCTCTTGCAATTCAGCTCCTGGCGTCTCCGCCCCAAGTGCTTCCATATCACTATCCGAATCATCTTCGTCCGAGGTCGACTTTCGGGATCCTTCTGGAGAGTCGTTTCCATATTCCTTCAAAAGTCCCTCTTTCGATTTGGCTCGATTTGCCTGGCGAACCACGGTTGCCTGTCGCCCAAGACCTGCATGCCATGTCTCATCGTGGGCATGACCTGCAGGCAGAGGAGGTACTTCAGGCACAGGGCTCTGCTGGCGCTCCCTTTCGAGATCAATCACAGTACTGCTTGCTCTCCGCATTGCCGAATCAGCTGAATCTCGGCGCACATCAGGGCCTGGCGTCAACGTGTTGAGGTATTCATCCTGGGCAAGTTCGTCTTCTTCTGGGTCAAAGGATCCTGGGACGGCATTTGTTGGGAGAGATGACTGACTCTGTCGGAGCGGGTGACTCATTCCTCCCGAAAGCCTTTTGGCAGGTCTGCCAGATAGCCAGGAGGCTTCCGAATCGACTGATGCTAATGACTGAGACACAGTCACGCCATGGTGCACTCCCATACTCGCATCCATCTCCATTGATCGTGACCTGCGAGGATCGCTCGGTCCTCGATCCATGGCTGCGTTACTTGAGGCTGTAGCCAGACTCCTATCATCGAGAGTTCCTGATTGCGATTGTCGAATGAGATGTTGAGGTCCCCCAATTTCGGGACCAGTCGTGGCTTCTGGCGACTGGACGCGAGAATCGGGCGGAGAAATGGGAAACTCGGGTAAGTCTTCACGGAATTTGGACATTGTCCGCTGAGGGACGCCGGAAGAATCCGATCGCCGGAAGGTCCGAGGTACAACGACAGGGGGTGGCTGTTGTTTGCGGGCGAACGACTCCCTAGAAGTGTTGGAAAACTCAGACGGAGTGCTCCTGCCTCGATCAGTGGCACCAGGCTTCCGCCGTGTACCTCGCTTGAAGAAGCTGGTCCAGGAACTCAGCTGCCGCTGGCTACTTTGATCGGAGGCGCGTCTCTCAGATTGACCCTGCTCCGGGATGTCTGGTGTAATTTCGCGACCCAGGGCGGAGGTTTGTGAGAAGCTCTGACGATCCGATGGTCGCTGGACAGGCGATGTGGGCGGGGAGATCGTTGTTGCATGAGAAGGCTGCTGGTTCGTTCTCATCTCGACGGGCGATACCGTCCGCAGTGGCGACCTGACTGGCACTGCCGGTCCTTCGTCATCCTCATGTGCGAATGGATCAATCATAAGATCAATGTCAGTCTCATCTTCGAACGGATTTCGAATGACATTGTTGGTAGGTCGTGACCAAGCTCGAGGAACCTCACTCTCTTCATATATCTCTGGTGCCCTTCCTCGAGGACTGGGGGATACTCGGGCTGCTGCTGCGGCGTGCGAGGTTTCAATACCGCTCTCCACTGGTGGCCCGCCTCGTCTCTCACCACCACCTGTTCCCGGGCCGAGAGGAGACGATGTTGTTTCTTGGAGTTGGCGACCCCGCAGTTCTTCTTCTCGTTGCCTATCCGCCTTGCGTTGAAGCTTGCGTTGGAGACGTTCTCGCTCAGCTGCTTTCTTCTTGTCATGACGCCGTTGGTCCCTCTCCATCAGCTCCCTCAGACCGCCAGCGTCAAGATCGTCGGCTAGTTCATCAATCCTCTTTCTGGATGTAGGCGCCTCCTCCTCAATGGCTTTCTCCACCGAAGGTTTTATCCTGGCAGGCTGCTTTCCCGCCGATGTTCGGGGGTTGCTGATGTAGGTGAGTGTGGGCCGCGGGCTGAGCGCAGCGAGGATACCAATCTTGAAAGAGGCCGCATTTTCCACATCTTCAGACTCTTGTATGACCTCTGGCAAAGGTAGTGTGACCTTGGAATTTGGTCGCTTGAATTTTCGATTGAGATCCCCCGGAACTTCCTTGGTGTCGCGCCGCAATGGTCCGGATCCAGAATAAGAACTTGGGCGTCTTGAAAGCTGATCAGGCGAACTCATGGCGCGAATCTCCCTCTCACGGGCATAGTCCTCTGCCTTGCGCTTGCTAGACTTTCTCCGCGTAAGTGTCGGGTCATATTGTCCGCGCTTGGCCAGGAGGGTGGGCGCTTGGGGTAGAGCAGTAAAGTCTTCAGGTCCAATGCTCGATTTGGACAGCGGGTTTTGGGAGTACACATTCGATCCAGAATCAGTTGGTGCGCCAGTTGCTGGACTTTCCCTTTTATTCCATGGTTCGGTTCCAGAGACTGACGTGGTTTGCGAACGGGAGACATTTCCAGATCCACTCGGTATTCTTTGTTTTGAAAGTCGTCGAGGTCCTTCTTGAGGGCGTTTGTTTTGACCTCGAGCCATAGCGTCCAAGTCTTCAGACGCACTCAGGCTCGCCTCTGCCCTGTTGTTAGTTTTCCCTTCCTCCGCGGATGGAGATGACTCTTGACGTTGATTATGACTTGTTCGGCCTTTCTTACGTCCACCAAAGGGCCAAAATCCCATGCTGAGCCCAACGGTGGCGGACGGTTACGCCAATCCTAAGCAGGACACGGTCAAGGGACGTAGTTGAGTCGGGGTGGAGGATCGCAAGGCTGGATTGGAGACATCAACGACAACGGGTGTGGCGCAAGTATAGGAAAAGTTGAAGAGGGCGTGCTTGATTGGAGCGCAGGTCGACTGGCAACGCAGGCAGGGCAAAAGAGTGCTGTGCTTGTTGTTTTGCAGACGGACACAATGCGCTGCGTAGTCGGTGGCTCTCAAGGGTCTGACAGACGTCTCGATGACGGGAGTTATGGGGTATCCAAGGGTGCACGTGGAACAAGGCTGGAATGAGCGTCGGCTAGTAACTGCAATGTATCGGAGGATTGGTACAGTGACCTTCTGGATGCAGATAACTTGTTCAATGAGAGTGAACAACCAAGAAGGCAAAAATGTGATGGAAGCGAATTCGAAGCAAGCGGTTTTGACGGGCTCTGTTGCTTGAAGGGTGGTGGTGGTGGTGGTGCAGCGAGTGACGCAGTAAAGATGATGTCGAAACCAAGAGGCGAGCGGCAGGCCCAGGGCGGGTGATGGCGAAAGAAAGAAGACCCCAAGAAGAGTAGACGGGGGGTGCTAAGAAGGGGCTTAAACTGTTATTGTTCAAGTGCCCAGTGCCGGTGGACCAACTGGATCCCCCAAGTACAGGCGAGGGTTTTTTTGCGGTGCTTAGCAGCAAGCCACTCAGTTGTGGGCGCTGCTGGACTCTGGAGCCAGCAACACTGGCAGTTGGGATCACAGATTTCACAAGAGCCAAGGTAACCCGAAAGAAGATTGTCCATCAGCAGAACCATGCATGATTGCACGAGGGACACGATCAGAGATTCACAACAGCTGTGGCTGCACGCATATTGGTCACCCGCCACCTGTCTGGCAATATCATCCCAATCATGGCGTCCTCTTGGAACTAGCCAGTCCGAATTCGAGGATGCGGATTTTCTCCTTCGGTCGCTCCCTTACTTAGAGCTGGCTCCTCTCCAGTTGGCTAAGATCATCACCGATCATCACACTTTTAGCTTCTTTCTTCTCCGTCCCGAACTTCCTGCTACTGATCCGACGCAAAAAGGGTTTACGACTGAGGTGCCAGCTGCAGGAGGCAGGGAATCATACTGCGAATCCTTCTGCATGGGTGTACACGCGACTGCACAAGCGTCATATCGAGCGGAGCTTAACCAGCGTCTGAAATGCAAGGAACACAGCAGTACCTTGACAAGGCACAAGTACCACGCCGGCCATAGGGTGGCCGCAAGCAACAATGGGCACCGCAGACCCTCGTTAAACGTACGGAATACTGCATATGAAGGAGAAAAAGCCCGGCCAAGTGACATGCAAAGATGCGCGGGGGATCACTCTTGTCCGCACAGCTCTTTGTGTCCATGACGGTTGACCTTGAGGCTTAATCAGTGTCTCCTCATAATGACGTCCACAAGCACATGCAGATCCGGTAGACTGTTTATCAACCTGTTCCGTCCTAGGCTCGACGGACTTGAGATAGCTTGTCCAGGTACCCGTGGCCGAGTCATCTTGCTCCACGTTTCGAGTCGACTTCCAGGTCCTGACGGATAGGACACTCCCTTTTGGCGATACCCAGGGTACATGATCCTGAGACCCAGTCATGTATCGATCTTGTCCCTTCTCAGCACATGTCTTAAACTCGACAATCCTGTTCGAGGGAGTGCTGATCTATTTCGGTTACAACGAACAATGACATCGGCACCACCTGCCACGCCAGCATATCCCAGCCTGCCGGATGGCACTTCAATTATACAGGGCTACCCATAATAACTACAACACATTCGAAACATCGTGCTGAGATTTACTGTCAAGAACCCTGGACCTCATACTCGTAAGAGCGTGTACTATCCAAGTAGCTCGTCGGTTGTGGCGTTGCACCGGAGCATTTTGACCGTCAGCGGCGCTCTCGGGGCGTAGCGGGCATGCTGTTCGTTCCTGTCGGTAATCTCTCGATAGGCGAGTCACAAACGGTCGACAGCAGTGCATCTCCCCAAGACTGGCAGCCTTTCGCTGTGAGTGAATAGTCTTTGAGGCAAATATCAGGCTGAGCGCCACGCTTGTTCATCCGGAAAATTATTGCTTGCATGCCCTGCTCTGTGTGGCTGGGAAAAGGTGGAGGGCGATGACGAATGATGATTGTTCAATCTAAACCAAACAGCTTTTGTGGGCGAGACTCTCAGTTCAAACGGGTACAGAACGAGGACGCAATCTCACGATGAGGAAATGACAGGACATCGATCCCTCCGGCTTTCACGAGGTAGGCTTGACCTGGAGTACATTGACTGATTTATTGCTCTCTGTGCTGCTCGGGGTCATTTTGTTCGAACCTAATTCAAGCAGAGTGCTGGCTGAGGTCGAGGTGCCCTGCGACTAATGCAACCTGCTTTGCACTTATGGCGTTTGGACCGAGCCCAGACATGAGGTAGTATCAGCAACCTCACGAGCAGGACGTTGCACGCCGTGAAGATCGACCCGATGGAGCACTTGCAATGACTAACGAGGTCGTCTGAAACTCGTCAATGGAGCGCGAAAACGGCACTCGCGTGCGCCCGATACAAAATGATTCTGGTTCCTGAACAATGGAAAGGCATCCATGAACAGCGCAACAACTTCAACCTCGTTTTGGGACTGAAGCGATACAGGTGGCGCTTGTTATGCTGGACTTGTGGCCGTCTTTGGGCTCCCTGTTGAAAATTCGCCCAGGGATGGTCTTCAGCCACAACGCTGGGAGTTGCAGCCCGATGATAATCTGCTGGCACACAGTCGAATAATGTAATTTGCTTGAGATGAGCGCATGCTTTCTATCATCGAATCCCATTCTCGGACACAGTTAACTTTCTTCGTTGGCTTCGGTCTCGCGGGTTTAGCAACACTCCTTGTTTTGTCGTACAATGGCTAGACTGGGAGACCACAAGCGTTTGTCGCTGCCAGCTGCAGAGGTATTGGGGTTGAAAGTCTGCATTTCAGCAAAGCGCCCCCAGGATCACAGAGGCACCTTAAGCAGTGGGTATTATCACTTCACTCTCAATTCTTCCCTGTAGCAGGCATTGGGTCGGCGTTCAGGAAGATGGACTCCGTCTGATATTGAACAGAACCAGTCTGCAACTTTCGATATCAACAACTACGAAGCTGCCGCTCCCTTCAAGACATATCAATGGACTTACGCCGACATGGCTGATTCCTCTCCGAGGCTTAAAGACGGCCACTTCACGAGGTGCATAACGACCTCAAACCAGAGTCGAAGCAAAGTGCGAAACTATAGCCGGTGTGCTCATTGACTTAGACAGTGCTCACACCTTTGCTTTGACCGGGATCGGTATGGTAGGTACAAGCCAGGAAAGCTCTGGCTGACCCACAGTGTATGACCGACAATTGAGCTGAAAGTGAAATCACTCATCATCAGAATGTCCATGTGGAGGATATGTCTCCATAAAATGTGTGTCTCTCTGTCCAAAAGTACGCAATCATCAGTTCATACAGGTGCTTCTCAGGCCAATATCATGCTTTGCACTCCTGGAGGACATCGCAGTGCAGGGCAAGACATAGGGTCAGATAGGTTGTGGGATCACGAAACCCTTTAGAGATGTGAGAAGAGATGTATTTAGTGGTCAAGGTGAAACCATTATGATCATGCCAGGCAGTACTCCCATGATCTCTCGTTCAGGTACTCCTGATTCTGTGTCAGGTGAATAAGGCAGTCTGCCAGTCTCCCAGCCGCGTGAGGAGATACAATAGGCAGATGAACACTGCTCTATTGAGGGCCGGCAGAACAATTGACTTGTGTAAAGCGGTGTATTTGTTTTTGAAAAGTGCACCTATTATTGTCTGAATCCCAGACTTGTAATTCTTCTCACAACACCTTGAATTTCTTTCCACTTCTCATTATCAAAGATCTCCGATAACGACATCCTTTTTCGTGCTCTTTTGGTTGTAGATCACGTGCCGAAGCTTATCGATATCGCTTATCGCTGCTTATTGAGGGAGCGCAGTCGGGCAAAAGATAGAGGTAAGCATTCCTCCGCCCGACCTTCTCTTTGCCCTGTTCCGCCCTTTGTTCGGCGTGCATGACGCCTAAAGGGTCACGCTTGGGGCTGCTTTTGGGCTGCAAACTCCGCAGCCAGTGACACTATACGTGCCTGTTATATCATCAAAAAGCCCCTGCCTTTGCAAGGACAAAAGGAGAAGGCGAACACCACATCTGTCCAGCTGTCGTCTTCCTATCCTGCGGCCCTGTCATGTCTTTCTGAACTGCCTTGGGGCCTCTCCTCCTCCTTATATCCTCCAAATGCTCTGGTCAATGGATTTGTCTGGATCATGGCTGACCATGCATACTCAACGCAGCTTCCAAGCATGGTCCGCAAGCCCAAGGCCGTATGGCCTGGATTGGTCAAGATGGGCATGTATCAGAAGCAGATAGCAGGTGATGGTAAGGCTACAATACTAATAACGTGTACATACCATTGACTCTGTCACAGGCAACTGTCTCTTTGCATCCCTCTCTGATCAACTCTACGGCACTCCGGCAAATCACCCCGAAATACGTGCAAGCATCATTGACCACATGCGGACCTACCGACCACTATTCGAACATTATGTCCACAAAGATGACGTGCAACAACGTCGAACCCTTCGTTCCGCTACAATGGCCATTCGGCAGGAGCCAGAAGACGCGTTTGAAGAATACCTATCTCTCATGTCACGCAGTGGTACCTACGGCGGAGAGCCCGAATTGGTAGCCTTCTGTCAGGTCTTTGACCAGGACGTCACGGTTCATCTTCCGACCATCAAGAACTTTGATCGTGATTCGATCACCTACACAAACGAGCACCGAGAAATTCCTACGCCTACCACTCCTCTACACATCTGCTATGGTGGAGATGAGGTCACGCGAGCACACTACGACTCAGCCCGAAGCCGAGATGGTTCAACACCTGCAAGCCGCAGCAGCCCTCTTCTCAAACCACAAGACATTCCTCGCAATGGCATATCAAGCCCTCTACCATCAGTGCCGATGTCCTACCTCACGTCGAGAGGTATCCGCAATAGCAGGTCTGACCTGTCATCCGAAATCATCCAGGACTTCCTCCAGGAGAGCAAGAAGGAGGCAGGAATCAACCTGGATCATTTGAATGACAAATACCGCGCCAGAAGCCCTTCTGTGACTTCTTCACAACGAAGCTCGAGCTCCAAAAGATCATTGGACGATGACGGAGAGCCTATCCGATCAAGCAAACGAGCCGATAGGAGGAAGAGCATGAGGAGACGTGCACATCCTCTTCCAAGCCCAGACGACGAATTCTCCCCTCGTCTCCCTATCGACTCTCCGAGCGCAGAAACACCCCCAAGCACCCAAGAAACCGAAGTATCATCCGACACTCCGTCACTTCAGACTGAACAAGCCACTATCCAAACCTCGTCCATTACCCTTGACGATGAAACTGTCAATGCGAAGTATGTTGCTCGTGCTACGAAACCATCGACCAAAACACAGACTAGGACGTCTCTCAACCTCGTCACCAACAGACCACAGACAGCCGAGGCACCAAGTCCGAGGTTGATGTCGATGGCCGAGAGACCAAAGTCAACATTACGAGCATGATGCATACATGGAGTACAAATGTGGTTACTAGTGACAAGGGACAATTGTCTATCTTGGTGAGGTGTTTCTGTATAGCGTGGGTTTGCATAAATGATACCCCAGCATTAGCGTTCGGCAGCATATGGTTACCCAGAAGTTCAAGGGACAAAAAAGAACTTCGAACGATCCGCAAGCAAAAGGCTTGGGAAGTTCACATGAGTCATGAGAAACGGTCAGATCATAGAAAAAGATCATCACACAACGGCCTCAAGAGAAGCAGCCTTGTTGGATCTTGGTATTAGTCTTCCCCCAAAGTCTAGTTTGCAACAATAAGATATTGCTTGTAAAGTGGCATCAATGACTCTGTGTCGTCCCTTGCAGTACAATTCATACCTAGGTAGCCCGTGTGAGGATCTCAGTCTCCATTCGGCATATCGTTAGCGGTAAGCGTTGTGGCAGACACGCCGCGCCGCCACAAGTACATGACATCCAGCCCGAGAACTGTGGAGCAATCTTTGCTGAGGTTCACTGCTCCAAGGCCTTGATAATATACCCTGTCTAGGGCTTATGTCGATACCACAACATCCGTTATAAAGGCTACCTAGATGGTGGCCATCTTTTGCAATAACATCTGGCACTACGGATACAGTAACTCGACTGGGGGGGAACATGAAAGTACCTCAACAATTGGGCTACGAGCGTAGGGGAAAGAATATGAAGGGTCGAGGCATGATATCTATTCTTGTAGGTCCAATATCGTCCTGCGTTGTGAGACATCTATCTGTGGTTCGCGGAACGATATGGAACATGCCATCAGCATGCGACCTGTGCTCAATGAGGCTCTGCATAGTAGTATCGAGTGGATGCCTTTCACATAGAGGAAGCCCTCGATCGGCAAGAGAATGCCAGTCCTGTCCTGCTCGTCCCATCACAAAGTTTCTTGACCCAGCCACAACTGGCTCTGCAACCAAGTGGGAACACTTTTTCCGACATATGCACGCTGTCAATAGTGCGACACGATCCCCCAGCGCCTTGCTGCGATTACTCAATTTCAAATCAGTTCAGGTTCGATGGAAGGCTGCTCCCACGCAAATCATCATTCTCGTCTACCGATGTCGTCATGTTAGTTCATCGATTTCGCGTTCTTTCGCACGTAATGCCGCCCTCATGACTTCGGCCTCGCGCATCAGTTGTGTCCGCCGTTCAGTTCGGAATCCTTCTTGGTCTTCTTCTGCGTTCGCTGGAGCCCCGGTTTGTTCGCCTTCTGCCGTGTCTCCTTCTTGTCGTGGACGCCCCGCATCTGTCAAGGCAGGATCGAGCTGCATTCCTTCTGCAGCGGCAGCAGCTAATTGTGCTTGGACGGTGTAGTCATCAATAGACCTTGGTATGCTTGCTTTCGCATCGCCGTTGGTAGGCTCGGGCACATAGCCGGTGTAATCCACTTCTGGAGGCGGCCGCCTCCTCTTGGCTGGAGGGGCATTGTCACTGGACTCTTGCTGAGTGTCTTGCGTGGGAGAGACAGGTTCAGGCGAGACCGAGACGTTGGTTTGTGAAGTGCCTTGATCAGCTTTGGGTGCATCGGGGTATGCTGGGACCACGCGTTTCCGCCTCTTGATGGTAGATTTCTTCATCTGTACAGGTCGGTGCGAGCCGTGCAACTTGTGGTACAAACCGCAAGCGTTGCAAATCGGATGCCCTTGCTCATCCCGCCGCCAGAGAGGAGTGACGGTGGTGCCACAGTTCTTGCATGCAACGACCAGAGAGACATTGCCCGGCGACGGTTGAGACTCTGGCGCAGCGCTTGAGAGTGTTGGTGGAGCGGCTGCTTTGACTGGAGTTGCATTCTCTACATCGTTCTGCGGGGGGTTGCTGGATAGAGCCGTGGCATTGGTAGATCTTGCGACTCTGTTGTTGTATGCTGGGCATCCTGAACAGCCATCGGCACCCCCAGCGCCGTTACAGTTTCCACCACCAGGACAGGAACCTGGCGTGTGTTCGGGGACTCGGTAGGGAATAGCGCCGGGTTGACCTTGCGATGTTGGTGCACTTGTTGCTACAGGTGAGGTTGTAGCTCGTTGATGACGCGGACTCTCACCAGACGCTGCTGAGTTGGGGCGCTTGAAGGTCGTCGGTCTTGGTGCATTCCTCGTCTTAAGATACAGCCCACATGCATTGCAAATGGTAGTGCCTGTCGGCGATCGTCTCCATAGCGGTGTTTTTGTCGTGCCGCAGTTACTATGTAGATGGTCAGCGAGCGCCCATGTCTGATGGCTAGACGATTGGATGTCATCTAGGAAGCATCCTATAGCATCAGCCATAATTTCTTGGAACATACCTGCATACTTGACCTAATCCATTGCCATCGTCTCTCACCTCAGGGAGCTCACCAGATTGATGTGTCCCATCGGCGTTGGGTCTTGGACTGGGTTGACTTTGACGACTATTTTCCGTGGCCGCGTCACTCAGATGCCCATCATGAGTGGGAGGGGATCTGTGGCGCTCGCCGAGTGCGGATGATACGAGTTGATGAGCAGCGTCAAGATCCTCTGCTGATGGTTGGCGCATAAGACTGTCGCGCTCCGAGGCCAACTTGGCAGAATGGTTTAGAGTGTCCATAGGACTCCGAACAGCCAACATGCCGATTCGGTAATTGTTATCTGAAAGATCGACCCATTCAGGCAATAGAACAAAAATAGCTTGGGAATAGAGAATCCGAGAACTCGTGGCCTTCACTGCTCCAAAAAAGACGGTGTAGAGACCAGGAGTGTGTGTCTGCAGGACTGGAGCGGAATCTCCGAGGACAAGCAAATGGTTGGGCGGCGGTTTGGTGTGAGATGTTGCGTTATAGAGGAATGATCAACGCCTCGATTTTCTTGGTTGCGACTGATGGTCGCAAAGATGGTGCTCTGAGGAGGATTAAGTGAGTTCTGATCTCAACAAGAGTCAATTTTTCTCAAGTAGAGTGATGGGAGGACGACGAGGAGGATAAAAGTGACGGCAGAGGTTGGATCCCATCGAGAGAGAAGGCGCGCGGTGGAGCGAAATGTCGCGCCAGGCACAGTTGTTCAGCGTAATGTCAAACACGTCCATCATGATTGGTCACCGGATTTTAAGCATGGGTGATCCTTAGTAATTAAACACGTGATATCACCTGATATGTGTTGGAGGTCTTCGACTTGGATTAATAGATCGTTCTGCTTGAAGGCCGTTCTGTACTCATTACTCTACACATTTTATACACTGAGTGGCATCCTGCTTGTCAAGAAACCAGGTGAGACCAGTCACTACTGGCGAATTCAAGTATTCCGCCCATCTCCCCTTCTTCTCGATGTTGCTATACGCTTTCCTGACGATTGAACGAAGGATTCGCATGCCCACCATCTGTGCGCCCCTCTCGAATTGGACTATCGAGGTGCAAATTGAATCATGCTCGCCGTCCAACTCCTTGTTTCTGATGCTCAGAATCTGCCGGAAGCCGTTCAGACTTGTTCGGCTCCCCAGCCAGCATCGGCGTCCCTCATGTTGGATGGAGGTTCGATTTGAGGCAGGAATTCGAGCGCACAGTAACCCAGACCAACAGCTCCGACGATGGTACCCGCAATGATCCGCAATACATTGCTCTCGATGATGATGCATCCGACGAAAACATAGACTAGTGCTCTGTCAGGTGTTGCGCATGTCAGATAGAGTATGTGTATACTAACAGACACCTCGCCCGAGGAAAGAGAACAGGAAGCTTGCGTATTTCGGTAGATATGGCGGGACTTGAGGCAGCAGTTCAAGACCAGCAACAGCTTATGATAGTCAGTGTTTTGAACATGTCCTGTTGCATCGGACTCTTCATACCAAGGCCAAATATGATCACGTAAATGCCAACAATGATGTTCCGACTGTTCAAGTCTTAGTATCTCGGTCGCGATCGTGTAGATGGACGACTGACATGCCAATGGGGAAAAATTGAGCGATTCCTGTACCGCGAGTATTAGCAGACGTTTAGCAACCAGCGCGCGGCTGCACTGTGACCTGGGAAGCTTACCTCCCAACACCATGATACCACCCACAACCAAGTTCACCAGACGACTGTGCGCATCATCAGTATTTCGGACCCAGATACCACCAGATATCCCCATGTCGCACGTACAAGATATTAGAGAAGTCCATTTTGAAGGGGTCCGAAAGCCAAATGCGACGTGGCTTGAGTGACAATAATCGCGATTGCTCCAGTAGACGGCTCGACGCGAGAGTACGAAAGTGAAAGAAAGGTGGATGAAGGTTCGGGTAGATATTCGAAGCTGGATTCTTGGGGGGGTTGTACTCGAAGACGATGCGCAGGCAGACGACAAAGGGCAAGGCAAGCTGCAGCTGCAGTCAAAGACGAGGTGCCCACTTTCAGGAACGGGCGAAGCTGCTGCGAATTCGCCAAGTAAAATCGTCAAGTAAGGCTCGGCCGACGTCACGTTTTCATCATATTGGGCCATGTCCTTTTCGATTCACTCCTCTTACTACGAATACATAATGGGCTTAACACAGATAATCTCCCTGCTTTGAAACTTGCTGCCGTCTGTAGCCGCATCTCGAAGCGGCCTCAGCTGCGGACCATCTCGCCAGCCCGTCCACATAGACGGTATGGAAATCTCGCGGCTGCATTTGCAGGCTGCCACAAGTGACTCCCATTCTCAATGATCTTCCCACGCCATTAGGATCTCCCTGCCCACTGTCGTGGTCGCTGTTCGTCACTGTAGCTAGGTAGAGGCATCGATCGCCGTTATCTTCTCCTTTCGCACTCTGCCTGTGTAGCGAAGGCCTGTCTCCTGGACGGCAGTAATGTAGATATTCGCGACTATCTCTTCGGTGTCTTGGGTCGTTTTGCGACTTCCTGTCTCATGTAGTGCTCACAAGCTGCTGCCTGAGATATTGCAGCAGCTTCGGCCTGTCTTCATTCAACCTTCCTCAAAGGCCTGATCACCGTGCTCAAAACCATAACTTGATCAACTCCTCACTTATTGCTTTGGGTGTGAGGATGCCATTTTCTGTGATCAATGCATCAATGAGTTCTGGCGGCGTAATCTCCACCATTTGTTTTCCATCAGGGAGTTCCTCGTGATCACTATTCTTCGAGCCATCCATGTCGGTCGTAAATTGCAAAATGTCCTGCTCCACACCCATGCGAGCGAGATCGAGAGGTCCGTAACCTAAGGGGAAGTTGCGGACAAACTTGTACGATTCCACCGCAACATGTAATGGGATCGAGAAAGCCTTAGCCGTCAACCCAATTTGATGAGTGCCCAATTCTGTTATGATCGAGCCATTCTCCAATACAGCCGTAGCACCAACAATGAATTGTGGTGGAGGAGATCCAAAAGGTAAAGAAGCCAGCGCGTAGGTCAATGCTTGTAAAGATATGGTGGTAGTCGGAATGCCCAGTTTGTTGAGTGCCCCGATGGACTTTGCAATAGTCTCAGACAGGCCTTTCGAGGGAAGGACGTAGACAACGTTGAAGTAGCGGTTGGCCTCAGCTGCGTGAGTAAGCAGAGTTCGCACGACCCGGCTATAGCCATAGGTGAAGATCGTCGATTCCTCCTTGACGAAGGGAAGCGCGCAGTGAGCAATTTTGAGTCGCGCCTCATTCGCTCGCTTCACGAAAAGCGAAGAATTGCTTAGGATGTGGTCACGGAGCGTGTGGAAGTCGGAATCGGCCAGCGAGGAGGGCCTCTGTTGAAAGGAGCTGACCAAGTATCGCTGGAAGAGGTCTGTACCGGCCGACAACGGGATTGGATTACGCTGCGAGGCCAAGAGTTTCTGAGAGTGGGTGGACAGTAGAGCCAGAGTCTCGGAGATGGTGGTTAATCGTGTTTTGGCGAGAAGTTCAATGAGGGACTCGATAGCGGCGATCGGTGGTGTGATGGTGGGATCATCGCGAATCAGATCGTTGTAGAAGGCCACCACATCGAAGTTCGTTGACGGTAAATGATCCGAGGGCGGTTTCGGCGTGGTAGGCGGCGTTTCTAAAGAGGCTGCCGTTTTTGAGGTCGGGTTAGATGAGACTTGAACCCTTTTGAAGAAGAATAATGCACTCTGATAGAAAGACCAAGCAGTAAACGTATCAAGGAGTCGTGCAAACTTGTTGTTCATGCTTTCAAGTATTGCTCGTTTGGACACACGATGGGCATCCACCGGGACAGACCTTGACTCATACTGAGGGAAAAACAGGTGAAGGGGGGAGTTTCGCGCAGTGACTTACCCGAAGCCATGTTGAGATACCTTTGTACTACTCAGCCAAAGGCTTGAAGTCGATCGTGGCGGAATGATATTGGTCGGAGATGCACAAGACTCAAGCAAATCCAAATAACAAATTGTAGCAGAGCATGATGACTTTGCTCAACGGCAGAAGGCTGAAAGTCCTCAGCCTCGTCGGAGGTTGCTTGGCGCGGGGTCCCGAAACTAAAGTAGACTATTCCTATCTCAGGCACGTCAACAAAGAATGGGGGACTTATCAAACACGCATGTTATTTCTGATGCCTCCAGTATCCTATTCACAAGATCGCAACTTGCCGCACTGCTTGTTTGTCGCCATATCATACGTTGTCGCCTGTCCACTACCGCCAACATGAACTCCCAATACCGCCCCTCCCAGCAACAGCAGGGGCGCGTCAAGAAGAAGGAAGAAGACCCTGCCGATTTCATGATATTATCCGATAAAGACATCGCATCATGTATCACCGATATGCAAATAAGTTTCCAGCCATCCGATCTCCTCAAGCCCAACCCTCAAGTCATTCAGATGGTGTTCGAACATTTGGGCGGACTTGTCATGAATGCGACCAGAGACACCATAGATCCTGCAATGCGCGCCGCTGCCGAAGATATCTGCACCGAGTTTCCTGAATTAGTACCGACCGAGACAAGACTTCTGATGGGCTTCTTCGTTCAACTGCGGACGATGATGGAACAATGCGGCATCAACGACTTCTCCTTCAGTGACCTCCTCCGCCCTACCCACGATCGCCTCGTCAAGATTCTATCCTACACCATCAACTTCCTACGATTCCGCGAGCCCCATACGAGCGTGATCGATGAGAATTCGAACAAGGCAGAAAACACAAAGGCGAGGATAGAGACTTTGTACACCGAGAATGAAGATATAGAACAAAGACTGGAAGAAATGAGGCATAATAGGAAAGCCATGGAAGTCGCAGTCAAGGAAAAGATGCGACGAAATGACGAATTGAAGGCCCGCTTGCTGGAACTGCGTAAGGGGCAGGAAAGAGTTGCAGAGCAACTCGAACGAGCAAAGGCCGAGAAGACGCGTGCACAAGCACTTCTGGAGGAGAAGACCGAGCGACTGGTGCGAGCACGACAGGAAAGTGAGAAATTGCGACCATACGTCCTACAGAGTCCTGCAGCTTTGCAGAGTACATTGACGGAGTTGTTGGAAAATCTGACGCGAGAGAAGGCACAGATCGACGCTCTCGAGCGCAGGGGACGCGCACTCCAAACATCTGGGGACAGCTTTACTGTGGTGCAAAATGATGTGCAGGCGTGTGTGAAGATCCTTGAAGAGATCTCCATCGAGCTGCAAAAGGAGGACGAAGAAGAAGCACGAGCTGCAAAGAACAGAGATGCTTTAGCAGAACGAGGCAGCAACGTCCGCGAGGTCGAGCAGAACGAGAAACTTCTTCAAAGACAGCTCAAGAAGTGGGAGGAACGAACAGACGAACTGCGCCGGAAGCATAAAGAACGAGATGAAGCCAACAAAGCCAAGATGGACGAACTCCGAGAAACACAGCGGCAACTTCGCGAAGAGAGAGCCGAGAAGGGCCGAGAAATGGAGAGAAGGAGGGTCCGAATTGAGCAAACAGAGAAGAAGGTAAGTCGGCTCATGTGTCTAACGAACTCGACAACTGATGCTAACAATGCGCAGATGGCCGACCTGAAAGACAACATCGAAAACGAGGTTCATTCTGCACATGAAGAATACCTGAAGCTCGAATCGCATATCAAGTTGTATGTTACTGAGATGGAGCAAAGTATGTGAGCACAGATATCGTGACATGATGCCCATGACGGAGTTGGCAGGTTTGGATACAAGATACCCTGGACTGTTGGTTTGGAAAGTTGCTATCGTATGATTAATGCTAAGCTTATGCACGGCGAACTGCGGTTTCCCTGGTCTTTTAGAGCAGCATTGCATCTTCGAGACTCGGAGGGTCGTGAGGCATGTTACCCGGTCTGTGTGATTTGCCCGGGTGATTGTTTCCCTGGACCCTAAACCACCTTGACGCGATTCTCATGATGGAAATGGTCCGACGACCCCAGCTTGCACCGCCTTCCCCAATCTTGACTGACCCACTGAGCAACGGTACTTCGGCGTACCACAATGCCGGACCACTATTGGGATCCGAAGGGTCGTTGATATCCTTGCATTCGACCAGGAGAAGAAGGCGATTTGTCCTATGTGCTGCCGTGACGGCTACTGCAAGAGTTTGCGAAAGCCCTTGCAAAGTGAACTCTGAAGTTCCATGGTGTAGTCTTAGAAGATTGAGGATTATGAGTTGCCTGCCCTCTGGACCTCTAGGGCCTGTTGATGGGATTGGCAGTGCTGAAGTCGAGACATAGCCGGAAAGGTAACCCCGAAGAACTGTGATCGATGGACAAAATACGAGCCGACAGTATTGGCTTGCATTCAAGAGGTACAGGCTCGGTGAAGAAAGTATATGACTTCTGGGCGACGAGCTGGCCTGGACAGTCTGATCGATATCTCTGCCTTCAGCACCCTCTGTGGATACTCTCTGTTCGGCATTGTGACGATCAAGTTCCGACACGACTTCGAGTAGGAAAGCCTCCCTGGTTGAGCAGACTATGAGGTCTGTTGGCAGTAGCCGATCTTGCTTGGTAAGATCTTCCAGCAGCTCCAGGACAAAATCGTACTTGGTTGTGATGAAGTTCATGGAGGGTGAGGTGAAAAGGGAGCTGCGCGTGGCTTGCCGACCATCATGTTGCGACGATTGTCAGAATGTCAAAGGCATGCAGTGCATCAAAGCACGTATTTCAGTCAATCAGATCATTATGATGAGAGTGTTCAAGTCAACGACTCGTCCGCAAAGACCACCACGAGTCATTCATGACAGAGGGCGATGGCTTGGCGCCTGCAGAGCCTCGCTCGCAGCCAACCCCGCCAACAGCGCTCAGCACAACTTCCAACTTACATCGACTCAGATGCATCGCCATTTTACGCGCTCTTGCCAAATCAGGCATGTACTGGAAATACATGCCGTTGCCTCTGTAATTGGATCTGTGAGAAAACACTCAGCCACATCTCAGTTACCCCATCTGGAAGTCTCGACCTAGGCCAGACTTCTCAGCCGTAATTGGGCCGCCTTTGACTTCTGAAAGTGGGGATGATTGCCTAGAACAGCAGGCAAGAATCGACGAACGACGGAGATCGGCTCCTCCGCTTGATACATATAGTCACTGCGATGTCGCCAGATACTATCTGATTTGATCACACAACGAACGCAGGAGACTACATACACAACCGCCGCCAAGATGACGACCATGCAAAAGGTCTTCGCCGGCTACGAGTCGCGCAAAAAGGTCTTGGAAGCCAGCGGGAACCCGTTGGCAGAGGGCGTGGCATGGATCGGAGGCAAACTCGTCCCTGTCAACGAGGCCCAGATTCCAATGATGGACCAAGGTTTCCTACACAGCGACTTGACGTACGATGTCCCGTCGGTGTGGGATGGACGCTTTTTCCGGCTCGATGACCACCTTGACCGACTGACACTCAGCTGCGAGAAGATGCGCCTGAAGTTGCCCCTGCCGAGGGAAGAAATCAAACAAGCCTTATGCGATATGCTCGCTAAGAGCGGCATCAAGGACGCCTTTGTCGAGCTGATCGTCACCCGAGGCATGAAGGGTGTGCGCGGCTCGAAAGGCCAGTCCATGCAGAACACACTGTACATGTGGATCCAGCCGTACATCTGGGTCATGGAGCCCGAGATGCAACTTACAGGAGGAAGCGCCATCATCGCGCGTACCGTCAAGCGCACTAGCCCAGGCTCAATGGACCCCACAGTCAAGAATTTGCAGTGGGGAGATTTGACGCGAGCCATGTTCGAGGCCGACGACCGCAACGCCGATTACCCCTTCCTGACTGACGGCGACGGGAACCTCACTGAGGGATCGGGGTTCAATGTCGTCTTGATCAAGGATGGCGTCTTGTATACCCCGGACCGCGGCGTGCTCAAGGGCGTCACGCGTAAGAGTGTGGCCGACGCCGCGAAGGCGAATGGGTTTGAGGTGCGCATCGAGTTTGTGCCCGTCGAACTCGCGTACCACTGCGACGAAATGTTCATGTGCACTACTGCTGGCGGTGTCATGCCCATCACATCTATTGATGGTCAACCGGTCAACGACGGCAAGGTCGGGCCTGTTACCACCAAGATCTGGGACTACTACTGGGCCATGCATTACGACGACAAGTACAGTTTTAAGGTCGACTACGAAGGTTCTCATGTCAACGGCACCAACGGCACCAACGGCACCAACGGCGTGAATGGCCACTAAGCTCTGCGAAGTGATGTGCGAAAAGTAGCACGCCGTTCAGGGATGTTCACGACCGCCTCACTATGGCACCTCATACATTTTGTCTCAGCACGTAGGAAAGTCCATGCAATTTGCATGCCGTACATTACCGGCTTGTGCAGTGTCATCAAATTTCACGATTCTTTTCGTTACCACTCCACAATTTGTTGTATGCCCACTTCGTTCCTTTTCCGGCTCTCAACCGTGACAAAACGTAGACGCGCTTTTCTGTCGTCTTGGAATTCGACTTTGACCTCCTCGACTCTTTTCTCGCCAGGAATACGTTTGGGCCGGTCAGACGAGATATCCATTCCTTCATCGGCGCCCTCCTCTTCAATGTCCAGTGTCTTCTGTGTGATATTCGCAGTCATACCAGCGTCCCAAAGACATTCGCGTCGCGCGCCATTGAGCAGCAAGTCCAGGGCTTTCCGTCGGACTTTAGGGTTGCGGCATCGAGCAGCCACCGTATGCAGGGGCAGTACGATTCCTAGGCCAGAATAACACGAAGTATGTGTGTGCTTAGCTTTGTCAGCTTCGACGACGGCCTCACAGTCCTCCAGGATTCGCTCCAGGTAAGGTTCCAGGTGGTCGAATGCGGCTTCCCGCTCGTCTGGACGCAGCGCATGTAGACTCAATCGCATCTCCACCAAAGTAAGGTATATTCGTAGCACTGTGATGCCGCTCTCCTGCCGCTGGCGCTCGGGTGACACTGTATGTAGTAGTTCCAGGGCCTCCCGACCTTGCCCTAGTGCGCGAAACAGATCATGCCGTCGTCTGTCGTATGCAGCGTGCTCTGCAGGTGTTGTCGCAGGATAGAAATCAACGGCTTGCAGATAAGCGAGCATGTTGTGATGGAGGCGTTCGACGTAGTCATGTGCTTCCAGGTTCGAAGCGAACAATGTCACAGGTTCCAGCTCCGATACTAAGTGATCCCGTTTCCACTTCGTCAGTGCCTCGTCGTTGATAATGCATCGTACTTGTCCATACACGGAGATCAGGATAGAACGGAGCTGGTGGAGGGGGACAGGGTAAGTCGATGGTGAGCTGCCTTGCTCCGACAGGGAGGTTTCGAAATCTTGTAGAACTCTGAGGCCGGCGCGGACATGCTCGATGGCTTGGGCGAGATGTCCTTGGAGGCTGGCGATATACGTGAACAGTATTGACGCCGTCAAGATAGAGCTAGTGCTCTCCAGCGACGGACCACTGGTGGATGCGGATTGGAACAAGTCGTTCATCAGCCGAATAGACTGGTTCGCTTGCTGCAGCGCGAGGTGTTTACTGGCGGCTGGCTCCCCAGAGCCTGGGAACTTGGAATGTTCGCCTTCAAAGCCCTCATAAGCGGCTCCAAGGGCGACGACGAGGTGTCGAATTGGAGGATAATGCACGGCCGATTGCATCACCTCTCTCGACCAGAACTGCAGGTGAAAGTAGCCGCCTAAAGCTTGACATGCCCGTGCCTGGAAGAAGTCAAAACTTCGCCTTTCCGCTTGTGACGTGAACATGTCCGGTTGTGTCTGCAAACTGCTGCTACTGCCTGGAGAAGGTGTCCTTGACGCTGGCTCGTAGCCATCGCATTTTCGGCCAGTGGACAAACACCGATTGCACTCGGGTTTGGCCTCGTCACACTTAACCTTTCGAATCCTGGGCAAACTGTATCAGTATGTCTGGTCTGGAACTGGGAAACAAGGAAACCACCTACTTGCAAGTTCGACAACCCGTCTTGACTTTGGGTAGAAAGGCACGCTTTCTCCTGATTGGATCCATCGGATATCAGGGAGTCTTCTTGACTACTGGAGATAATTGAATGATATATAAACATTACTCATTTGCTAACAGGATGCAATACGACCATGACCATGAATGTCTTGACATCCTCCCCTCCCCAAACTTAATACCCCAGATTAGCCCCCATTGAACTGCTGTGCACGCCCGTGATCTTTCCGAGCGATCCAATAGGCTTCATGGCCCCATTTTGCCCAGAGTTCAGGCCCCCGACACATCAATGCTATATCTGGGCTAAGACCACACTCAGTGATTGAACAGCTTCACTAGTAGTATACCGCCGATCCATTAGCAGCCTCGTAGCCGATCATGATGAAGTCCTCGAAGATGGCTGTCCCGTTGTTCATCATCGCCTTCTGGCTAGACGTGCATGTTTCCAAGGTATCCCAGAAATAGCATTGTAGCTGAGGATGAGAAAATGGGGTATCCTTGATGCTGAACACGGAGCTTGGTCCTTGGGTGCTGAATGTGGAGCCAATTGAAGTCTCGCCTGTTGCAACATCGGCATTCGACAAGGTGCGGTTAAAGATTCGAAAAGCTGTTTCGGGCTGGTAATATGGCACTACAAAGGACTTGTCAACGACCTTTACGAGAGATGACGGAAGATCACCGACCTTGATGACCTGCTTGAAAGACTCGGGAGAAAGACAGATTGCCATATTGTCGAACCACCCCTCCTGCGTATGTAGCGTTCGTGGTGATGTTGGCATACCCAGCATTGTGGAACTTCGACTTGATACTGGAATTGATCGCTAGACTTATTTGCTCGCCTCCAAACCCTGTATATTTGTGAGCACCAGGCGGTAGCACGTCGTTGCGGACTCACAGTTGCACTGATAGTCGCTATCGCCGTAGACGAGTGCGACCTTGACGCCCTGGTCCAGAAGTCGGCCTAGCGCCGCAAGATTGTGTCCCCGTACGAAGTCGCCAGTGGCGACGAAGCCTGAACAACGTCAGCATCCCTCTCGAAGCCGACCTTCACAGTCATGCACACTTACTGGCACTGACAGGTACAGAGAGCCCTGTAAAATTGAGAGGAACTCCAAGCCCGGATTGGACATTCTGTCGAGATAGATATCCCGCTGGATATTTTGGGGGAAATGGAACAAGTGCTCCAGCCGTGATGTCAAACATACTAAGCTGTAATCTTCGGTCAGAATGCCTCCGATCATGAGGATGTTGGACTTACCCCGGCCTCTGTTGGGTTTTGGTACACAGCGGAGAAACAGTAATTGTAAGCAGCACTGCACGCTTGGTTCACCTCCGTGACGTTGCCATATGCTTGTGCATCATATTCTTGGGCTGCAAACTGACACTTTTCTACCAGTGCTTGACACTCGGTAAAGTTAGCAACCGCAGACTTGTATTGAGTTTCGTTGATGAACCGAATTCCATAAGTGTTGTTGTATGCCATTTGTGGATAAGTTGGAATCTGCGTCAAAGCGTCGATGCAGCCATTGATGAGGCCGACTGTGTCAAGTCTCAATGGAACAGCAGATTCGTGCAGACTGCCATTTGCAATCAGCAGGTTTTGTGCTTCGAAATAGTCGGCAAAAGTAGGGACGTAATGCCCTCCGTAGCTCTCGCCCCATATGCTGAAGCTGTTGTCTTTGGGTTTGTATGCTGGGAATCTGTCGACATCAGTCTTCAACGTAGCTCGATAGACCCATGAGATTGACATACTCTGTCATCCAAACCTGCATGAAGTGCCAAGCAATCCGAGCAGCAGCCATCGTCGTATTGGGGGCGGACAGTGGATTCTGAGAAGCGAATGTGCCAGCCAGGACGGTGGAATTTGTTTTCAGAGAGCTCAACGCCGAGTTGTTGTAAGTCGTGACCTCATAAGGTAATACGGGCTCGTCAACAGTACCGTTTACAAGAGTGCTGTATGAAAATCCAGTTGACACAGGTTGGTCAATGTAGAGCATGTTGGCCTCATTGTTCCAAGACCAGGGATTGAGAACTGTGGTCTCTGAATCCGCAGTCACCAGACATGGCCCGTTTTCGGAGACCGCGGCCGGGATGGAGGGCGTTCCAGGGCCTCCCTGCAGCCATAGAGATAAAGGTGAATTGCTAGGATCTTTTCGAGATTCAAAGAACCAGAAGAAGGTGTGTGTAGGGTACTCGCGGCCCTCGGCAGGATCAGGAGGCAGATTCACGTAGCCACTGTAGGACTTGACCCCAGGAGTCGTTTCGCAAAGGCATGTCTAACGAGCATGAGCGCAATGGAAAGCAGCGACCATGACTCCCTGCTTACCTCCTTGAACGACAGAGACACATTGGAATCGAGAGCTGACTGGATCGTCACCCATTCATCTTTTGATGGGACAGCGATTGATGCGGCTTTTTGAAGTAAAATACCTGTAAGGAGAGAAAAGATGAAGAGTGCCATAGTGGATGTATGTTTGAGAATTGCTGTGCAAAAGAGATATGTGTGTGGAATAGAATGGCTTGGAGTTCAAGGCATGTCATAACGTATATATACGTTAGCGTTCGACTTACCGCAGGCATGAAGCTAAGCTGATCAACTTTCATTCTCGGAAAACAGCCTCACAGCCTCCAATTCCCACGTAGGCTGCAACGTAAATGGACATGGACAACGCCCTAGCTCCAGCGGCTGAGTGTCCAGGTATTGTGGTACGCTTCGGTCCTTGTGCTAGATCATATACTGCCGGCCTTACTCCATAACTGGGAATGTCATTGGTGCGATCGGAAAATGTCACGTGTGGTGCGTTCAGCGCTGAGCGAACGTGGAGTCCCATACAAGATCCTTACCAGATCCGCAGTACCTGGTGGACCCGACAGCAAGATTGAGGTAGGTGCCTTACGAGCAAAGTTCAAGGCGTAGGGACATCGGGAGACTTGATCAGGACACCGTCAAATTGCTCCAGGATCATCGGCATGGCATCGCGACCGCGATATGAATAGCTGCCTGTGTTTCCAGCCTCAGATTGCATGCGTCCTTCGAAGCTGGCTTGAGCTTCCTGAAGGGTCGTGCTTCGTACAAGAGGTCGCAGGATATCAACTCACATGATGAAGTGGAAAGGAAAACCAGGGAAACCGGCGACATTGTGATTGCAGATGTTGTGGATAAGGCGGCGGCACTCTAAGTCCATACGCGGAAAATCGTATTGGCCGGTTTAAATAGCTTGGCGTCGGAACAACTTGACCGGGATGACCGACTCCGACCTTGAGTAAGAACAATCGGCTCTTGCCTTGACTAGTAATACATCATACTGCATTGTAGCACAGCGGCAGGAGGGTGCCGCAAAGCCCTCGAGCAGCTTCAACATGGAGTCAACCTCCCGTATCTCGTCCTTGTTGGATCCGAGTGAGTCAAGATGGATTCGTCATGGTTACAATATGCTGATCCGACTGAAGCACGAGACTTGACCATTGATGCAGCTCAAGCACTGGGCAAGGCACTCAAAGGGGGAGGCTCATCCTCTCGCAATATTCCTTTCCAGAAATTGAAGGCTCTTCTAGACAGTAGGAGCGACCGGGATATTCTCGATGGCATGAAACGAGTCATCTCGGTACGGTTCACTGCCAGGACGTAACGGTCAGACTGCTGATGGGCTTTCAGATGATGTATCAAAACACGCCATGCCTACCATATTTCTCATCAGTGGTCAAAAATGTGGCCAATCCCAACCTCGAAGTCAAGAAGCTGGTGTACATCTATCTTCTACACTACGCCGAATCCGACCCAGACCTAGCTCTTCTATCCGTCAATGCGATCCAGAAGTCTCTTACGGATCAGAACCCTCAAATTCGAGCCCTGGCATTACGGACCATGGCTGGCATGAGAGTCCCAGTCATCAGCCAGATTGTTTCCCTAGCCATCAAGCGAGGCGCTGGAGACATGAGTCCACATGTACGAAAGGCTGCGGCACTTGCCATTCCCAAATGTTACAACCTCGACCCTAACACTTTACCTCAACTGCTCGACTATCTCTCGGTACTACTCGGTGACAAACAGTACTTCGTTGTTGGTCCTGCTGTGCAATCTTTCCTCGAACTATGCCCGGAGCGGATCGACCTCATCCATAAACACTACCGAAGTCTAACAAAGAAACTTGTTGACATGGACGAATGGAGTCAATTGGCAACTTTGAGACTGTTACTCTTCTACGGCCGGCGATCCTTTCCGCAGCGGACACAAAGAGTGACGAAGGTCAACAAGAAAGGCTTTTACGAGGACGAGGCTGATCAGACCGTCGAGACAGACGAAGTTGTTCAGGTCCTCGATCCGGACCTGGAACTCTTCCTCAACGCCTGCAGACCACTTCTCTCGAGCCGGAGTCCAGCCGTCATCGTCTCGATTGTCAGTTGTTTCCTATACTTGGGCACACGGACATATCTTGAAGAAGCTGTGGGACCACTGATCGGACTTTTGCGAGGGCCAACAGAAGTGGAAGAGGTGGCACTGTGCAACATTGTGTTGGTATCTTTGACAGCACCGGAGCTGTTCGTACCTTACGCCTCACACTTTCTCCTCCGGGCGCTGGACTCACCACAGATGTGCAAGTTGAAAATTGAGCTTCTGACGCTCATTTACCCACATGCGGCTTTACATCTCAAGTCAATCATCTTGAGTGAACTACAGCACTTCTCACACAGCTCTGATATTGGACTCATTCGAGAATCTGTACGAGCAATAGGTCGTTGCGCACAATCGGACCCGAACAATGCACATCGGTGTTTCCGCGTGCTCCTGAATCAGATATCGAGCTTCGACAATGTGCTAGTTTCGGAAGTGCTGACAGTCATGCGTCATCTGATCCAACAAGATCCGAAGTCTCACAGAAAGACTGTTGTGCGATTGGCCAGGAACTTAGACAAGACCACAAGTCCGGAAGCTCGAGCGACGATAATTTGGCTTGTGGGAGAGTTTGCAAGTCTAGATCCAGATAATGATATCGCACCAGATGTGCTGCGAATTCTCGCCAAAGGTTTTGCGGAGGAAAGCGAGACTGCCAAACAACAGATCGTCCTTTTGGCGGCTAAAGTGTATTTGTTGTTTTTGCAGAAGCAGAGGTCCGAAGATGATGGTGATGCATCACAAGACAACGGAGGCGATCACGTTCAATCGACCTCTCTGGACCATCTAATAACGAAACTATGGGACTATATCCAACTACTCGCACGATACGACACGTCTTATGATCTGCGAGACCGAGCACGGTTATTCAAAGCCTTGCTAGCGAATTCTCAATCGACCCAGCTGGCAGCGCTTCTCCTTCTGGCTCCCAAGCCGGTTCCTCACTCACCGTCACCTTCGGAAAGTCGCAAGGGGTTGTTGTTAGGGAGCACGACTCTCGTCCTTGGAAAAGATGTCGCGGGTGTCCTGGGTCTTCCCGGCTACCAGGAACTTCCTGAGTGGGTATCTGATGGCCTTGAGCCAGATCCAAAGCTCAGAGATGGTGATGGCGGAGAGAAGGAAGAATATGTGCCCCTTGCGGCGCGAACGACAGCATCTGTCTCAGCCAGCAAGAGGCTTGCAGAGGCCGTAAAGGAACGGGGTCTGGAAGATGTTGTTGCTGCAGGTTCGACGAAGACTGCCAAACCCAGAACTCTAGACGACTGGTTGGCTGAGAGTGAGGGTGAAGAGGAAGAGACGGAAGAAGAGACGGAAAGCGGAGAGTCGGGGGAGGAAAGCGAAGAAGAAGAGACGGATGCAGAGAGCGCAGATGATGAGGAGAAAGAATCGAGGAGAGGGCTCATTAGTTAGCTGCTATCACAGCCCTTTTCGTATACGACATTATAGCGATGCAATGTAGACAATGAGGATCCTGCAGTGCAGCATTGGGCTGCGAGTCCTCCAGCATGGCTCCTTTCCCATATACCAGCACCTGTTTGTAATCGCAGAGCCGTTGTTCTGGAAGTAACGGCACAATAGCGTAAAGCAGTCACAATCTGTTGCAGCAAAATCGTAACCCGGTATGAGGGTCCTCTACGGAATCCGACTTCACCGTGGATAAAATCTCAGGCCACAATCTTAGTGGATCACTCGGCAAGAAGGAACGGTCCGCATCCCAGGCCGTTGCATTGCATCCCAACCGGATATAAATCAGTGACGTTACGGAGTAAATTGTGCTGAAATTGTGTCCATCAACCCGACAGCTGTACGGTACCGTTGCAGGCCGCGTGGACAAGTCACAGTCGGCCAGCGAATGCATTTCCCCGTCTGCAGCTAACATTGATTCGCACAGCGCATCGACAATGGGGATATATTCCCGCACTGTGGAATGTCGAACTGTCCCGCAGCCGCTGCGTTGATACCTGATGCTGATCGGTGGAGTTGGAACCTGGCGACGGCGCTTCAAGATCAACCCATCACCAACTCGTCCTACTGCCGGTATTCATTGGTGCCTCTATATAAGCGACCGGATAATGCCCGTTTACGAACATCGGGTCGTAGAACCGAGAATGTTAAACAAAGCACCTGTGACCCAGTAACTTTGCCGACACACAGGATGGGTGAAAGTGATGCAGATCAAAACTGAATACTGAACGTTCAAAAGGCCGCGCATCCTGTTCCAGGATTCCGCGTGCGATCTAGGAGTCCTTCCCGCACAGCATTTTATCTGATCAGGGTTAGAGGTTTCTGACCATTCCCAGAACATGCCAAACTGCGTGCATGCGTTGTCCTTGTCAGTTAGTACGGATAGTGCCTAAGGTCACATCGTTAGCAACAACAAGAACATTCGGAGTCTCCGAAAAGCTGGTGTCTCATCATGCCTGACTACCGGAATACCCTCTGGATACAGTGATGCAGGCGAATGCCAAGTGTAAGTATCGACAGTGAGGCAAACCTCTGCGGCCCATAGTCCCACCCGCGCCGTACTGAAGTCTCGATTACCGTGTGTACTTTGCCCGATCCGAAAAGTCGACCGAGCAGGAGGGGTTTCATTTCGCTTGGAAACATCGGCACCGATCAGCAGTGGGAGCATAATTCCGCATTATGCTCGAGGGCCGAAAACTAGCCGTCTCGGTTAAGCAAGCCCTTGGGTCGTGGGGCCAGGTGTGAGGCTTCCTTCTCGGGGTCAAATCCATCCGAATTGAATCCTATCGACGTTCCACCAGTGCTCCATACGTCTACACAGTAGTTCTTCCAAAACCGGGTCACATATTTATCGACAGACGAAGCGCCAGTGGCAAATTCGCATAGGGACAGTCTGTGTGTAAGGCCAATAAGTCGTTCAGGGAGGTTTATATGATCGAGTTCTCCAGGCGGCGAGATATCGTGCTGACGTGATTCTCTCCACGCTGTTTGGATGTCAAAGCCCCAAATCAGGGCGAGAAAGGGGCGTTTCAAACGAATGAGTTTCAGCCTGATTTCGCCTCGGTTGAGTCCTGTCTTGCCGTGAGCTGTGCCGTGTGTGCGATCCGATCCCGCGGTCCCGGGATACCTTGGGATACGAGAAATATGCATGGGTGCCTGAATGACAGTGTCCCTGATGTGAAGAGCGGTCACGACCCATCTCAAGAGTGGGGATCTCATTGTGCGCACAGAGAAGTCACGCAGCAGACAGCACATCCTCCCATCCAGGAAGTATTGAATAAATGAAGTCGAATTGGAGGGAGCAGGGTATATATGTCCATGATTTTCGTAGCCTTACAGCGATATTGTGTTCGGCGGTAATGTGATCTGTAGCAATCAATGCGTGCGATGTTGGAGGTCTGTACTTCCTCTGTGCTCCAACCTGTCGCCGTATGTATTCGACCTTGAATCTGTCACACAGTGTCCATTGGTGTCCTCCACGCAGTTCGGGCGGTCAACTTCGGCAATCGACCCGCCTTGGATCATGATGATCCCTTTACAAAAGAATGAAATAATCAAATCCAGCTCGAGATTGCACACGTGGTGACCTTCGCTTTTGCGTAAAACAAATCCCAACAGAAACGCTGGAGTAGACCCCGTGGACGCCATACCAAAACCGATTTGTAACGAGAACGCTCAAAGAAAGAATCGAGTCGTTAATTGGTAGTCGTCATCGCATCGTTAAAATGCTCGGAAGGAAGAATGAATCGTAGGAAATGTGACAGTTGATGAAAGGTCGACAATGTCAGCTCATGGGCGCTCGCTCTCCTGCGGTCCCTGCTTGGTCGACCGTTATGTCAGGCGGGCGATCGACAGTAATTGTGGCTTCTCGAAGACAGCGTTCACATATTCGGTGTTGACAATTGGGACACTCTGTGGCACCAATTTCCACACCTGTCTGACATTCATGACATGATGCCTCGACATTCTTGGACGCTTCGCCTGTAATGTCAGCCGGAGGGGCTGTGGTTGCGCTTGTCTTCGTGCGATCTTTCCTTGGAGGGTATCGAGAACATTGCGTACAGCGACGATGCTGGCAACTGACACAGACTCTATCATAACCAAACGTCGTAGAACAGTTGTGGCAGGTGTATCTCACTCTCATTCGGATGTTCTTGGAAACTCTTTCATAGGGCACTCTAGGCCTCATGTCCCAATCGGTCTCATTCAACTGAATGTTGTATCTGGCAAAAATTGCCTGGGCTTTCTGGAACCGCATGTCTGCCTCGTTGAAAGGTTGTCCAGGCGTTGTGGTGGATATCTCTTGTGGTGATAAAGAAGACTCAGTAGGCTTCACAGGCTCATCTGCTGTATCATCAACTTCGATCTTGATCTCTTGTTTAGTCGGCAGTTCTGAGGTCTGTACCGGTGCAGCCTGAGGTGTTTCTGATGGTTCGGGAGCTGGTGCAGGCTTCGTGGTTGTGGCAGGTGTTGTTGTAGACTGCACAGTGGTCTTCGGAGTTGTAGTTATGGGTTTCTGTCGGATGATGTCCCTAATCCTTTTCCAGATCCTTCGCAAGCCCTTCTTTTCCTTCCCTGATGACTGAGTCTGCGCACTCTCCATTGGTGGGCTAACATGGAGGGCCTAACAAGAGGGCGTCACAGAGATTCAAGGTAATCAGCGACAACGGGAGGTACGACGTTGGGTCTCGAGATCATACGCGTGTATGGGGTTATTATTGGTTGTTGCGTGACCCGGGCAATTGAACTTCGTGAAGTGGTGTAGAATGTTCAATTGGTGCCGGGATTCCGGAGGAGTGGATTGGAATGTTACTTGTCGGAGACGGAGATCCCTGTTCCAGAGGTGCGGAGCGTCGACTTTCTAGGCGTGCTGTGACAACAACACAGCGACAATGATGTTGGAGGCCAGATGTCGAGGATATGGCTGATTAGATGTACGTAAAATTCGAATTGACTTAAGTCCAATGTGACCGACGGTGGCCTGGTTACTGCCTGGGCGTAGTCGGATCTTTAGCACCGGGGCGAGGATGACAATGGAAGGGCGATCGTCAACGCAGGGTACTCGTAGGGCTTTTGACCGGCAACTTCCCTTGGTCCACTGATCGACGGGTAGAGGTGTCTGTATGAGATTTCAAGAAAAAGGAAGCAAGAGAGATATGAGCGTTGAATTGAGAGGAAGGAGGATGTGAGATAAGTCAAAGGGAAAGAGGAGAACAAGAGCTGAAGGAACGATTATCGGATGATGAAAGGGCGATGAATGAACCGAGAAGAGCGAAGCACAAGCAGCAGAGAGGGGGGTTACTAGAGGAATGTGAACTAGCACTGTACAGTTACTACTTTAAGTGGATGCAACTGCTGGAACCGAGCGCATGGGTTTGGATACCTTAGCTAACAGCAAAGAAATAAGAAGCGCCGCCGCCGCCTAGAGGATCATGGAATGGACAGCACATGGGGCACGAGTTGCGGTAGTAGCGGTACCGATGCAGTGCCCAGGTACTAAATTACCGAACAATCCCAAGGTCAATGCTAAACAGGCTTGACCTGATTGTTGTTAGAGCGACGTTTAAGCTTCAGCGGCCTGCTAATAAAACTAGGACTTGTCTGAAAGCATAATCTTCTAGTTAACCGCATTACCGAGTGTTTGGCTGCACAGAACGTGCACTCTGACGGTCAACGGCGTATTGAACATGATTCATCGCTCTCCCCTTGCCCTTCGGAAAACGAGGCCTATCTCACACCACTTCTGAAGACAGCACACAGCTGCGCCCTTGACTTACTCGGCAGATTCTCTGCGGTACTCTTTGGCTGGGACATATCTCTGGGTCAACGGCTTCACTTCCCATTCGAACATGTTCATTCTCTTAGCGAACTCCATCTTTGACAGCTGTCGCGACCGACGGAAAACATGGCGCTGACGCAGCCACGCATTTCGATTTCACCGCTAAGCCAGGTCAGGGGACGCTCACGAGTAACTGTGTTCGTGGGTCAAACTCTGGAGACTCTCAGATACTAAGGTAAATCATCAGCACAGACCCATGATCCATGGTCAAACCTGATACACATCCTGGTCCTTTTGCTATCCCAGACTGATGAGAATTCCATGGCCATACGGTTTCCGATGCCTGCATCGAATCGAACAAGATGTACCTGATCATTGACGCCTCCAACTGCAAGCTTCTCCACCGCACCACAATCGGGCAGCTAGCTATCTCAAGCCCCCCGTTTTCCCATTCCCCGGGATTTTCGGCTGATTGTCGCTGACGCCCAAAGTCAAAACCTTGGTCAAAGCGAAAAAGGAAAGGCCGTGGTCATTTATTGGATTTCTGCTTTTTGCTCGTTACGAGATGGGAAAATAGACACATAACAAGACATGGGATTTACTGATTGTGCATAGCAGAGATGTTTTGACATGTGTAAGAGCTGAGCACAACCGCGGAAACCAAGCCTTCACGTTTTCTGTTGGGCTTGTTGGCTAGTTGGCTAGTCCTGAGCAATACCAAGCCCCCTTATCGACTTGAATGGCGTGGAAGGCAAATTGTCGCCTATGAAAGAAGCAAGCTCCTCAAAGTACTGGAGGGTGCTGACTTTACCAATTCTTCTCCTGCACACGCCTTGAACCCATATTCAGGGACAACACACGCTAATCTTGCCTTCATAGCGCCCACACGGCACGCACCCGCCAAATCTCACCATAGCAGCTATTTGAGGAGATCGTCTCTAACCCCAGATCTTCGTATTCGAAAGGATGATCTCAGATCTCTTTCCTGTCTGAGCCGCGACCCCGAGCCGTTTCTGAGACGTCACATCTTGTTGAGGCTGCTTCTCCGTGCACAGACAGATCATCCCCCGGATCACCTCGTATTTTGACTTTTGCTTACCCTGCCACGTCCTGCTTACCCTTTTGCTGGTGAAAGCTAACGAAATCCAAATGCTCCTAACGGCTCGGCGAGGCGCCTCAACCGCTACCAGATTCTGGATAGTGATCGCCATAATGATATTACTTTCAAGAGATCTAGCGAGGCAGCATGGTGAAGACCTGGACCTGCATCGAAAAGACGATCTCTGTTGGAAACAAGAGTTCATCCCAAGGTCTTTATTTTGTTGCAATCAACCTCGGCCTGCACTCGAGAAAGTTACACCATTGGCACAGGACAAACCGAACGATGTATACGTATCTCCAAGCGGATTCAATGAGGACTACGCTTGTGGTAGGTTCGACTCCCATTACAAGCTGCCTCCTGATATCATCAGTCGAGGTCAGCCCTGGTCCATGCGCACTATCGAATCTACCAGACCCCATGCTCTAAGACGTGCACGCGTCGAAAGCTCTAGGAGCCAGATTAGCTGTTCAACCGGCGCCTCGATCCGCTACGCTTCCATTCGAGTGTATCAAGATTGCTCGCACCAGCATTGTTCCGCTTTCGTATGCTGGACGTCACGGCGCTTTAACCGTTGCGTGGGCCTCACATGCTCCCATTCGCATTCTCAGTACCTGATTTCAGGAGACAATTGCAGAAACCTGGTGCTTGTCAACAACCAGCATTTTTTTTCTTCCAGGCTCTTGTGAGACAGCATTCATACGTTGACCAACATGACGTCTTGCTTCTCTAACGGGACCGCCGCATCAGGTTCGGAGTTACTCAGTCTATTCGAAGCAGCTCTTCAAGGCATGAACAGCTGCAATTAGCAGTCCATCGACCTTCATCAGTGCTGCATCCTGGAATACGTCATATGGCTCGGCCAATGCAATGTGTTGAGAGCCAGGTCCTTGGTGCCCGTCTGCAGGTTTAGCTGTCTCTTTCCAACAGTTCCTCTTGGGAATCGACCGGGATTTGAAGGGTGGTCGCTACGGAGATCACGTTGCCCTTCCGTTCGAAAGCAAGGACGGCGGCAAGTGTCCATATGCACGCATGCGAAAGGCGCCGTCGACCTCGCCAACGCCTATCACTGACAGACGTCTGCCTGAGGAGAATGGCACTGGGACCATGGGACGTCGAATCTCAGGTCTTCCTTGTGCAAAGCGCAGGTGGATGTCGCTGTATTGTCGATTCCAACGTGTTCTTTTTCGGAGTCGATGTTCATACCCGACAGGAGTGAGTGAGTAGTTCTGTCCATAGCTGCCACGCGTCGTTTTGGCTAGTCAGCATTGGAGGATGGAGGCTCAATCCACCATCGCAACTCTGCGCTCCCACGCCGACTTGTACCCTGGCCTCAACGCCGCAAAAGAGGAGGCTACGTAACCCCAAAGCGTCGCCATCGAAAGAGTCGAAGTGGAAAGCCCAGAAAGAACAGGCTCGGTGTCGCTTGACTGCGCCAAAGGCTCAGTTGACTTCGTGTTGTCCAAGTAAAGCACCATCTTTGAACACATGTCGAAAAGCTTCTTTGTCTCCTCGATCACCTCGTCCCTCTCCGCATCCGTCAAGAGCGAAGACGCCTCCATAAATGCAGTCTTGAACTGAACCTTGAGGTTTTCGCCGTCCATACCACAGTCGTCGTTTTTCTCGAAACCCCAAAACGACAGGGGAAGTGTTTTGTTGCCCCAGAATTCTGCTCCTGCTGATGCAAGCTGTCGGTGAATCCAACGACCACCGTTGAAAAGAGCGAGATACATAGCCCATACGTAGGACAGTAGCACGTGTGGCTTCTCGGACAAGGAGGCGGTAACGCCTGAGAAGAAGGCCTGCGAATCTTTCACCAGTTGATCGACTTCCTCTGCGAGATGCTCGTCCAGTGTCGACTTCAAGGCGTCGAGGTCATGCCGTAGTCTGGTCGTTCTGATAAGAGAGGGAAAGTAGATCTTCTGATAGATGTCTCGGAGTCGAGGATCCTGATTGGCTGAGGCAAGTGACGACTCTAGGAATTGCTCAAAGGCGAAGTATATTTGGCCATACACGGTCATGCCTTTGGCATAGAGAAGTCGCGTGTTTGTACTCGGTGGCAAGCAAAGTGGTAGTCGTGCCATGATTGAAGTGTTTAGCGCATGGTGCTTCTCTCGAGTTGCAGCGTGCAGCTCGACCGGCAGGGCAGGCCGCCCGTTGCTGTCCGGGCTGGAGTCCATTCGAGGCGTGTGTGCTTGTGCTTTACGAGGTTAGGATATTTTGATGTCTTCCTATTCAGTGGCATTAAGGTGTTGTTGGCGAACAATTGCCGACGCAGTCCACTCCTTATACCATCACCCGAGACTGCGGTAGAGACTGGATCGAGACAAACAATACGAGATTGAGATAAAAGAACAATGAAATGATAATCAATGAGTGAGTGATGAGTGGCATCGGACGCGTCTGTCACGTTTTGCCTGGGAACCAGAACAAGGGAATCTTCGCTTGGACCTTTCGCCTTTTACCGAAGATCGCAAAGTTTAAATTCCAGCAATCCAGTTTGTTGCAGCGCCATGCAATTGTTCAATACGAGCAGATGATGACGCCATTAATCAGTCGACTTTCTAAGCTGTCACGTGGTTGTGTAACTGCCAATTACTCCCTTTCCAACACGGCTGCAAGGGTCCGTTCACGTGATTGATGCTGTTTGGTACCGGCAAGCCGGCTTCGTCTCCGCCATCACCGTTGTGTTGAGATGGTTCACGCGGCTAAATTGAATATTACAGTTCCCTGAGGTTCAATTTTTGAACTCGGTGTTACTGAGTATAAATTGATCGATGATTGTGTACCTCAAGACAACGCCAGAGATCAATCATTGAAACCGTGCAGTGCCAGCCGTACTACTCTCAACATGACTATTGGTGTTGCTATCCTGGGCGGAGGTAAGGTCTGCCTATGAAAAGTCCAAGTGCTCATATTGACGTTCACAGGCATCTTTGCCAGAGAAGAACATAAGGTGGGTTGATGGATTTGACAGCTACAACAGTTTACTGATATCTGTTGCTTTCCATAGCCCGCTGTCGAGGCTGCAAAGGACCTTACGCTTAAGGCTGTCTATTCGCGCTCAGCGAAATCAGCCAAGACTCTCGAGGTCGACGAGTCCAAAGTTGACATTTACTCGGACGAGTCTGGCTCCGAAAAGGGCCTGGACGCTCTCTTCGCACGAACGGATATCAAGGCGGTGATTATTGCGCTACCAATCAAGAATCAGCCGGAATATGTTCGCCGGGCCTTGTTGGCAGGCAAGCATGTTCTGTCTGAAAAGCCTGTCGCCGAGAACGTTGAGGAGGCTGTCGAGTTGATCAAATGGTACCATTCCGAGATCGCGCCTAAGGGTGTGACTTGGGGTGTCGCCGAGAACGTCAGATACACCGCCTCCTTCCTTCATGCTGCCGAAGCTGTAAAGCCTAAAGGTCGTCAATTGACCTTCAGGTGTCGCATGCAAACGCTGGTGGAGGGTGGAAAATACTATGAAACTTCGTGAGGCTCCAATTCAACAATGAGCTGGATGGGAAGGCTAACTTTGACCAGGTGGCGCAAAGTGCCCACTCACCAAGGCGGTTTCTTGTTGGACGGAGGTGTACATTTCACGGCAGCCCTGAGACTCATGCTTGGCAAGGACAATCCCTTGGTGTCGTTATCGGCGCATTCAGCTTTGCTCCAGGAGCATCTACCACCTGTCGACACCGTGGAAGCAACAGCGAAGAGCAAGAGTGGTGCCGTTGGAACGATCTCGATATCCTTCGGGACCACTGCCAAGGGTAGTGAGTGGACGGTTGGGTGCGAGAAGGGCTTTGTTAGTGTGAGCCGCAAGGGGGTCACGATAGATGACAAGCTTGAAGAAATCGAGGATGAGAAGACGGGTGTACCGCCCGAAGTTCGAGCCTGGGGAGAGGCGTTGGCAGCCGGCACTGTCAATGAGTTGCAGTCTCCAGAAGAGGCTCTTGCTGATTTGGAGCTGATTGAAGCAATGCTACGAAGCGGCGAGCAAGGAGGTGTGCCGATCAAGTTGCAACATCAGCAACTGTGAGATGACCAGGACGCATGATCGAGTTGAGGGTGATCAACAAGAACTTGTCGCGCACAGTACCATAGTGTACGCGATCAGTTGTGGACGGGCACCCCCCACTCCTGCTTACCAGGCTGGCGAGCAGTCTTCACCGACAGAAGAGGATCTGACTTCAATACTATCGTGGAACCTTCCACATAAAACCTGTACGATCCACTATGTCCACATGATACATGATTCACCCCGAAGCATCAATGTAGACCTGACCTCTGAGGCTCGAAGTTGGAGAATCTCGAAAGCAGCGACTCGATTCGCCCGACAAATACAGTTTCAAAGATGAGACCAAGTCATGATCGGCCTGGCTTAGTCACGTGAGCCGTGCTAGCCAATCACTCTTTCCCGCACATACCGTAACTCTTGGCGCAGAAATTGAGGAAGCCGCAAACTGCGACTTCGAGACGACAACGACTTTCACTCTCCACGTTTTGATCAACGCTTCACACTCCGGACCACAATACCGTCAAGGTACGACTATATTGACTCATTGACTATGTGAAACCTCTAACACTTGCGCAGATGGTCTCAGCAAAGAAGCACGTTCCGATCGTGAAGAAGCACCCAAAGAAATGGTCACGACATCAGTCCGACAGATTCATGTGTGTGCCCGCAGCATGGAGGAAACCAAAGGGTATCGACAACCGAGTCCGAAGACGGTTTAAGGGACAGATGGTCATGCCATCGGTACGTGGATGTCGCACATTTTCACACTTGAGGCAGCATGAGTGTCTAGCGAAAAATTGAACGGCGAGGTTGCAATCAAATGGACATTGGGCTGACCAGGAAACTGTACAGATCGGCTTTGGCTCAAACAAGAAGACTCGACACATGATGCCTTCAGGCCACAAGGCTTTCCTCGTTCACAACCCCCGAGACGTCGAACTCCTCCTCATGCACAACAAAACATATGCAGCCGAGATCGCATCTGCTGTTTCATCAAGAAAGCGAATTGAAATCGTTGCAAAGGCAAAGGCACTGGGTGTCAAGGTCACCAACGGCAAGGCCAAGATCACTACCGAATCATAAGCTGGATCATTATCTTGTCGAGGTTGTGGTTTTCGCTGGTGGGCCTTGACTTGTTTCAAGGACTCATCCTAGCACTGCGCGGAAAGGGTTTACGGCGAAAAGCGTCACGAGCTTGACTTTGGACGGCTGATTGCCAGGCTATGGGCATCATACAGAGCGTTCGGTCGATCGAGAGATGAGAAAAAGAATTGATACCATTCCAACCGAAACTTGATGCACGGTCCAAATCGATGCTCTAACGACTGTGGATACAGCATCATGCTATCGTTCTGTGTGCAAGATCCTGTCAAGCTGTCGCTCTCGGAAGACAATGTACTTGCCTGAATGTGCACTTTTTGATCTGTTTCTAGTTATTTTCGTGGACCATATCATGCTTCGAAACTTCACACAGGCCTTCCCACGCAGCCCTTTCCTCCATTGAACAGACCGTTCTCATTCAATGCTGGGGGCAAAGCCTGGGTTTTGTTACGGTAGCCACTACGCATGAAATCCATTGTCGCTGTTGCATTGTTTGACAACTTTTGTCCCTCGTATCGGAATGAGAGCCGTCCGCTCTAGTTTCAACTGCCGTTCTGCCTTCCCATCCTCCGTCAAAGCCAGTATTCAGTAGTTTCCATACGAAACAGCCGCGTAGATCTTTGTACTATGTCGCAGAAAATCCAAAGTGTGGCGTTGCGGCGCAGTGGTGGTTCCGCAACTTGAAAGACTTTCGAGCCGAAAAAGTACTTCATCAACAACAATATATCCTCTTTGTCTCAAGGAATCGCGCCAGTGAACCACGCACTCCTATCGCTGCGCATATCACTGGCTCCTTCACATCGCATTCTTGCCTACTTGGCAAGTCGGGGTCGACTGCCCAAGCCTCCTCAAAGTCCCAGTATGGCACTGACTGCGGTCGAAACAAAGCCTGATTCGTTCTTCGATGATCGAAAGCCTCTTGCGCCCCCACCAGCGGTCGCAATAACACCTGCCGCTGCTCTCCCTCAACCATACTACGTTGAAAATGGTCTGCGCCGCGTTGCGCCATATCACTTCACGTACAACACATACTGTAAGCAGCGATGGCGTGGGCGGGAGATACTCGACATTTTCGCTGCAGAATTTCGTGATCGGACAAGGGAATACTACAAAGAAGCGATCGAATCAGGACATATTCTGATCAATGGGAAACCATGTAATGATATTCATACCGTTGTGCAGAATGGAGATGTCATCTCACATACCCTACATAGACATGAGCCGCCGGTGACCGCACAACCTATCCGAGTGATACATGAGACAGACGAGATGATTGTCATCGACAAACCTGCTGGAGTACCTGTCCACCCTGCCGGGAGGTACAATCACAACTCAGTCGTCGAGATCATGAAAGCTGAGCGCCATTCCACTTTCAAACCACTGCCGTGCAACAGACTGGATCGACTAACCAGCGGAGTCATGTTCATTGGTAAGACAAGCAGGGAAGCTGAAGTCATCAGCGAGAAACTGCGTGGCCGGACCGTGCGCAAGGAGTACGTTGCGAGAGTGAAGGGCAGGTTCCCAGACGGGGAGGGCTGGGATGGAAGTCCCATGCGCGGTGGTGTCGTTAGCTGCGAAGAGAGCATTCTGCAGATCAGCCCAATTGTTGGCCTCAACCGGGCTCGAGCAAGCGGGAAGTCTGCCAAAACACTCTTCAGGCGGTTGGCATACTATCCCCCACACAAGCAGAATGAACCACAGTCTGCGGACACCGGGACGAGCTCTGGAGTTGCTCAACCTGCACCAGCGATATCTGGCACGGAGAATGACGGCTATAGTATTGTCCACTGCCTGCCGCTGACGGGACGAACTCACCAGATCCGTGTACATCTTCAATTTCTGGGCCATCCGATCACCAATGACCCTATCTACAGCAACAGAGCAGTGTTCGGTCCTTCTCTTGCACAGAACGAGTCGACTGGAGAGAGGGACGAGGAAATTATTGCCAGGCTTAAGAAGGTCGGCAAGACCGAGGTCTCGGACTCTGTTTCGTACGAGCAGGAGCGTTCAGATAAGCACGTGGATCAAACTCAGCAGATGACCGTATCTGAGGCTGCTAGAATGACGGACGGCGAGCAGATTGCGCATTTCAAGCCGTTGAATGCAGGGACTCTACATGCTGGATCAACGTCGAGACCTGGCGAAGACCCTATGCACGATGAGGCCGAATACGGAGCATACATCAAAGCCCACGATGATATGGTAGCTGACTACAACAAGCGTAAAGGAGAGAAGATGACGGGAGAAAAATGCGCCGTTTGCGATACTCCATTGTACTCAGATCCTGGACCACATGAGCTGGGCATATATCTCCATGCTCTCTCATACGCAGACTTGGTGCCAGGAAGCTGGAGCTACCGCAGTCCTGTACCGCAATGGGCTTTACCACCCGCAGGCTATGATGGCCCTACGGATATTGATGGTTGGGAGTACGAAGGAGAGGAGGTGTTAGAGATAGGTGATGAAAGGGAGGATGAGAGAGTCAAGAACCTTCAAGGCGCCGAAAGGAACAAGGCAGAAGGTCTCTGACGTGCTGATATCAAGTTAGATACCCAAAGACTTGCATAACATCTTTCTGTGGCATCCAGCACACACACCATACATCTAATAAGTGAGCACGTCCCTCCCACGAGGCCGACGACGTTGAAGGAATCTCCAGCCACCCAGCTTTTTATTAGGCGGGAGAGAAACCCCGAATTATTGCTTCGCTCCCCCCAAATGGTCAATCGCACGGGCTAAAAAAGCAGCTCCATCATCATCGTTCTGGCCAACCAAGAACCCCTGAAGGTCGTGATCGAATCTCTCCACCTCTCTGATCCCTCGCCCTGCCTCTCGTTTTCCCAGCACACGGCCAAAGGTGACGGAAGCTGTGACTTCTTCGCTCTGCTCGTCTCCGTCATTTTCTACTTACTCGTCCTCCTTCTCCAATCGCGCTCCTCTCTTTCTCTATCTCTACAGTCGCGTTATTCGATACCCTTCTCGACTGCGAAGACACTTACGCCTTATCTGCATTTTCAGTCATCTCACGTTTCCTTCTATCGGCTCATCGGCGGGATTGCGCCAATTGTCGCATTCACTCAGTCCATTCTCGCTTGCGCGACGGCCGCATTTCTACACTCCCTCACCTCTTATACCACAGACGCCTTCCGCGCTCTGAAACCCGAAGTATCTCAATATGTCGCGAAGTCTGCCTACGAAACGGAATCCCCTCATCTCGCGGGATTCGGCGCCTTCTTGTGAGCAATCTGCTTTGCATACTTCTACACTAGGCGCAACTGACAGGCCATTTAGTTGAAGACTTGCTCGGCCTCCGCCGACTGGGCAAGACGAAACTCACAGTCAAGCCTGGACAAGTAGGTACTTCAAACGCCACAAAGGCTGAGAACCTGGGTCCTTTCGAATATGCGCACCTCCGAGCTCCTCTGCCGGATGATCTGAGCGGTTCCGAAATCTTTGCTACTCAATCGAACCAAGCTCATCCCGAAACATACTTCCTAATGGTACGATCGCAAGCTATGGTGGTGATACAAAAGTTCTGACATGGTCGCAGAGAAGAAGCAAGGATGGTTTCGTGAGCGCCACTGGCATGTTCAAGATTGCATTCCCTTGGGCTACCCATACGGAAGAAAAGGAAGAGCGGGACTACCTCAAATCACTCGATTCGACCAGTCAAGATGAAATAGCTGGCAATGTCTGGATAACGCCCGAATTCGGTAGGACAAACTCGCCGACGAAGCAGATGGTTTTTACTGACAATGTCCGGCAGCTCTTGAACTTGCTGAAGACTACGGTCTGAACGAATGGGTACGGGCACTTCTGGATCCATCTGAGATATCTCAAACGCCTTCAAGCACCAAGAAGCCGATTAATCCACCACCTAAGTTCGACCTGCCCACGGATAATACAAAGCTAGCTCCGCCTGCCAAAGCGCCGCGGGCTAGATCAGTCAGATCTGCATCTCCCAGCAAGATGGCCACTCCCGCCAAACCTGGCAAGGCTGCATCGCCGCGCAAGAGACAGACTAAAGCTCAGAAAGAAGCCAATCTCGCCCATGCAAACGCTGCAAGTGCCAGCTTGCAATCAGCATTGGATGATGCAGCGTCTGTAGCAGAGACAGAGACAAAACCTGAGTTGGCCGGGCCCCTCGATCTAGCTCCTGCTGCACACGAAGAAACGGTCAAGGTTCAAGTCGACCAGTCAGTAGAGGTGGACGGCACGACGGAGACCACACATACAAACGTGACGGTGGAGATGCCGGCTGGTTCACCTGAATTACCCCTGCCCGAAGATACGGAAAAGATGCTCGAAACTGCCAGAAAAATGGTCGAAGAGGCCAAATCGCTTGAGGCCTCGCCAAAGGTTACGAGAAAGCGCAAGGCTCAAGAACCCGAACCGTCTGATATCGATGCGGAGTTGCCCCTCCAGCCGGCCAAGAAGGCCAGAATATTGGAAGAGAAACTGAAGAGGGAGAAGGTGAGGACGAGGGCGGTCCTAGGTGTCACTGCCACGTTGGCCATTGCGTAAGTTATAACCCTTTTGTTTTTGAGATTGCGATTGCTGATGGTACTAGTGCTGCTATTCCTTACTTTTTCTGAATAATAATCGTCAGAAGGCCACAGTATGACTTCTTCGAACTTTTGTTGGAATTTACTTCGAGAGATACCTGGTGCTCAGATGACCCAGAGGAGGCAGCCCAGTCGAATAGTGCACATCACCCTCTTGGGATCTGGGAGCGCGCCGAGTCGCATTCTTGCTACTTGGAATTGCCACAAAGACCTTTTCTACCAGGCTCTGTCCATCTCAGAGTCGCCAGCTCGATTGATCAGGACTTAGGATAGGTCTCGCACCCACCTGAGCACCCCGGGGAGCCTGGCCCGAGTTTTGTACAAGTACAAAAATTCGATGCTTTTGTTCAGCGCCTCGGAAGAAGACTTTATTTCCCCGCAACCTTTTTTCTTCTTTCGATTATCTGTATACAGCGATCGCCACCGTGTTGGCGTATGTGAGACCGGCGAAAGACGTGATGTACGAAGAACCCCAGATGGAATACTAGGATGTCAGGTAGATGGGAATCCAGTTGGAAAGGACATCCGATGCCTATCACAGGCTCCAGCACAGTATTCGACAGAATTGAGAGCACCACAGTACATACTTTTTTCGATGCAATTTCAATCTGATCTGTGCCTCATGCCGTCTTACCAACACGTGATTGTCCTCGATGTCTTCGTGGTCCCCGCTGACCTGCATCAACCCCCTTCCAATGTCCATTTCCCTGCAATGTCACTCTCTTTTGACAGCGGCTGAAACATGCACTGTGACAGAATTAATGTTCATCCTGTTCTCTAGAACTCCATTCTCGCGCAGTCGTGAGTTGTATGACATGAAAGTCGTACACTCAGATCGTCTGTGCAATTTGTTGCGTGTTGGAATTTGGCCTGGGGCTTAGTACTCCGCCGCGTTTCAGTCACTCCTTCCTCGTATTCGCAGGCGCCGACAATATCACTGCCACGGCTCGCGCCTAATACAACTGGACAGCCGTCGTCGAATGCTGTGGACTTCACACTACCCTCTGAACACTCTTTTACGAGAATGCCATGGCTACATCGGCCGTCCTCCTCCCTAGCGCAGTAATGAATCCTTCATTCTCGAACCCGACCTCGAACGAGGTATACGCCTCCGCCGCCGCACTCGCCGCATCCTCCTGCCCATCATGCGGCTACCATTTCCCTCAATCGTCCGATCCCTCCACCGAAGCCGCGGAAGCGCATCGCCGCGTTGTCGACCTGGAAGCGCAGGTCAGGCTGCTCAACAGTAAAGCCGCCTCCGCAGTAGATAAACTAGCCGACTACGAAGATGAGATACGGTATCTGCGCGAAGGGTACGCGCGGTCACAGCAGCAGCAGCAAGCGCAAAGGCCGTCTCTCGAAGGACCGGGACCTGCAGTGCTGCCTGGCCAGCAACAACAGCAACAACCACCCCACCAATTGTCCAGACTCGCCAGTCTGAGCGCCTTACTACCCGGACGTCGGAAAGAATCCAATAGTTCTGGACAACTCCCCCTGACGCCTGCGACGGGGACATTTCCTCAAAACAGCGCTGCCTATGGCAACAACACGCTGTCACCGCCCAAGACTCCGTTCTCTGGGTTACTTCAATTGGGTCAAACGCAGTCAGATATGCATGTGCCTACACTTTCGTCTCTACAAACGTCTCTCGAAGAGGAGCGGACGCTGAGACTACGCGCCGAGTCGAGTCTATCAGATGCACAGACTGAGTTGGAGGACTTGACGGCGCAGTTGTTCGGGCAGGCGAATGAGATGGTTGCGACGGAGCGGAGGGAACGAGCGAAGTTGGAGGAGCGGGTGAAAGTTCTGGAGCAGAGGGATAGCGAGAAAAGAAGGAGATTGGAAAGATTGGAGAAGGCGATTGCGAGGATTGAAAGGGTTAGAGCCATGATTGGGCCTTGAACGAGGGTATCGGCATGGTGTATGGTCACCATTGAGATGAAAAGGCGCGAGACATGGCATTGCATCACATGCGTTCATCTCTCCAGGATCAAGCCAGATGCCTAGGACACTTTTGCTGAGGTGCTGCAATCAGGTCAAGCACCGTTGTGGACAGGAACGTCCAACAAAATCCAAAGGGTCGTGGACCAGAAACGATCCAGCAACGGGTTTACGACACTCTACTGTCCGACGGCTCGAATTTCACGAGCCAGGATGATATACGTCCAAACGCCAGACCAACGAAGGCGTCGGTTCACGTCGTCCACGTTGGAATTAGCTGCTTTCAAATAGCAGTGGGGACACAGAGACGGGGAAAGAGAGAAAGAGGCCAATCTCGAAATGTCGGGCGAGAGAGCAGCAACTCATCCACCATAACAGAGTTGGGGCCCTCAAGATTACGAAAGTCTCAATTGTCGGCTTGATTGAGGTTACAGTGTGTCCATGATCGGCACTTGGTGGACGCACCATGGATGTTTGCGGTGCCTTCTTGTTCAGACCTGTCTGGGATACAAATTGGAGAGGACACTTTCGTCGATATTTGCGGTGGACTTCAAACAAGCGATATATTCAAGCTGATGCCGAGGGAGGCAGGCATCATGGAGCCGTTATCAAAGCAGAGAGTTGATAGACGTGGTATAGGCCTCATTGATCATGGTGCCTATAACACTCATCATTGCTACAAGCAAAGAGACCTTCAGTGATCAATGGTTCATCTCAGTATATTCATATATGTACATTACGTCGTAAGTGGTATCCAATAACCTGATAGACCTGCGCTCAGGCCCAACATTCCTCGGACAATATGCCCATCACTAGCCCAATGTGCCCAACTCTATAACGCCGTCGCTAATGCGTTGTGGGTGGGACAAAAAGTTGTGGCTGGATCTCTTGCTCGCTGAAACGTCTGATAGACAATGAGCATCGCCTGGTGTCTGGAAAGAAAAGAGTGACACGTTCCTCCTCCGTGGTTGATTACAACGTCTCCGACAATTCGTAGGCAGATTACAGCTGGATCAAATCGACCTCGCTGAAATCAGGGGGAGCGCCGCTGTACACGCATCGACCTTTGGAGTCGAGTCCCTGTCTGACATTGCTGACCCAAATATGCGAGCTGAATTTTCCCATGCGATGCACCTCGTCATCACTAATGCCCAGTTCATCACGCGGGATCCAGATCACAGGTCGTCTGGCTCGAAGGGCGCTGTGCTGGAAAGCTCGCTGGACCAATCTGTCGCGCTCATCGGGCGTGAGATCCTCGAGTTCATCGCTCACTCCGCTAAAGAGAGCCTCGGTAAGCTGGTTTCGAGCAGCGCGCTGAGCTTCGACGTCCTTCTCGTTACCGAGCAAGGGATTGAAATTGTTCAACTTGTTGAAGACTTCTCGGGGCGGTGATATGTGGCGCTTGTTTGAGCCATGTCTGGGGCGTGCCTCGGAGTGGGCTCTGCTATGGCTCTGTGATTCGCTTGCCGACCACTGGCCAAAACTGGTCGATCTTCGATTGTGAGCATTGTCTCGGTCTGCCCATGACTTGCGCTGTTCTTTTCGTGACACGGCACGGCCCAAGAGCTGCTTGGTGGTACCAGTCGTCTTCTGAGCCATATTCTTGGCCAATCGAACGCCTTTGCTTTCCTGGTCCAGATCCATATTGATTTCAGGATTCTGAAACTCGTACGGCTCGAGTTCAGGCAGCTGTTCGGATTTTTGTTTCTCGAGTCGTGCTTGTTTGTCTGACTTGATCCTCTCCAATTCGTATTCTTGCTGCTGTCGGTCTTCATCCCGTTCTTGTCGCTCCTTACGCTCCAATTGATCCTCCAAATCTTCAGCTTCGGTCTCTTCCTCGATGAGGCCAATGTGCTTCGCTTGCATTGCTCTGGCAAATTCCTCGTCCCGGCGCACAGCGTCGTCCTCGAGAGTGATAGGCAGATATCTGAACAATGGACCAAAAGCCTCATTCAGCAGGAGTTGATAGCCAGCAGTGAGAACCAGAATTATAATCATGCCAATGGCTTGTCCTGTACAAGCAACATCTCCAGCCGTATTCCTAACAAGGAAGAACATGCCGATCAGGGCAATCTCCATGACGTAGAGTCCGACAAATGTAGTGTTGATTGCATTCGGATACAGCAAGCCGCCAGTGTCGCGAGTGAAGCGGGTCACATAAAGTGTGTTGTAGCGGTATGCAAACCAGAACAATGCAAATGTGATGATATTGAAGATCAGGATCAAAGGTGCAATGACGGAGTAGATCAAGCCGATGCAAGCCAAGTTAGTGTACACAGGAAAGAATGTTCCCCACTGGACGTTCGACAGCTGGGTCTGTCGTTTGAACTTGGCTCGAGCTGTGCTGTCGAATAGAGGAGCCAGGATAAACCACGCAATGAGTGAGCCCACTTGCACCAGAGCACCTGCGCTCACGGACAGCGCTTGCAGCAGCATGTAGGAGAAAAAGTAATTGCTCGCTTTGGGAATGTTAGTCCCCAACAGCGAAGGAATATTCGTGAAGCCGTCCACGCTAGTGAAGAACGCGAAGAACTGGGTTAGCGCCGAGGCGACTGAGACGACCAGAAACAGCTGGACGAAGAGGAAGGCGAAGTAGTAACGCTGGACGGAAATCTCCACAAGCATACCAGACTGAATTCCTTGCATTTTGGCCAGGAATCGAAGGATGAGAGGAAGTAGGAGCATCAGCAGACCCAACAACGCGGCAGGCAAGACACCCTGCAAAACACTCCTGAACCATTTGGGAATACTTAGGACCCAATGGAGCCAAGTATATGTCTCGGCAGCGGTATCCAACTGTGACAAGGCGGAGGTGAAAGCCACTGGAATAGCCCAAAGAATGATCATGCCCGTAACAATAGCGACCACTGCACCAGTTCTAACGTAGCGTTGCCACCAAGGAATCGACATGTTGTCCCAGATAACGTCGTTTGGATCAATCTCGACAATACGTGGCGCCATTTGCTTGGGTAGATGATGGCTTAATGTTTGACAAGCCATGTGAGCAGCCACTTGATGATTAAACTGGATGAAAGCCGAGTTCATGAGCGGAAATCGTTCTGGATGAGCTTGGTCGTCTTCAATTTCGACGTTTAGTCTGGCAACTTCCTTTCGGCAGTACCGAATTGTATCGACCTTTTCGCCAACGAGCGGAAGTGAAGGCATCCACGACCATCCGAATATGGGCAACCTCGTAGTGTCGCGATCTTTTTCCGGTAAATAGTGCCGCCATAAGGCATCATCCGGATCGTGTTCGAAGCCCCACTCGAACGCCTGAGGATAGTCGACAGGCTCCTTTTCCTCAGACCCTAGGCCGATCGCTTTTTTGACCTTTTGGAATGTACTCAGGGACTTTTCTGGTCGGCCTTTGTCATCTCTCTTTGTACTAGATCGAGAAATAGGGCTGGAAGGTGCTAGATCTCTGCCGGACTTTTCTGCGGACCGTCCACGGTTGTCGTTCAGAGCAGTCGCGGAGGCATCTTTGGCGTGCGTTGTCTTCTTCTGGCCGAAGGTATTTCGTTGCTCTGATTTTGCGCCATGGTCTCCGTTTTGCGGCGCACGTTTCTCATCAGAAGGTCTTACAGCTTGTTCCTGGTCAGCCTCTTGGGGCACGAACCCATTGGTCCTATCAATCGTGTTGTTGACCCCTTTGTTGACGCCGCGAATTCCACCCAGAAGTCTGTTGCCGATGTTATCCAAGCCCTGAGTGACTGCTGAGAAGCCTTCGCCTAGAATGGGAATTGGGAGTATGCGCTTGTTATGCTGGGGCTCCTCTACTTCCTCGTCGTCGTCAGAGGACGAAGCGGAAGAGTGTCGAACATCAGGGCCATCGAGGACGTCTCGAAGGTGATGTTCGACTTGATGGGGGTTGCCAGTAGTCAGACCGTGTCCGTGGGCTGCGTGATCACCGGCTTCGTTCTTAACGGTAGCCCGAAGCTTCTTTTCCTCCTTGCTAACCTTTTTGCCGGCCTCTTTATCAGCCTTAGCAATGTTGTCTTCATTCTTCTTGAAACACTTTTTGATCAAATCTGTTTCAGCAGACTCGAGAGTAGCCGCAAGCTTGTCCCGGCGCTTGATCTTGTCGTTCAATTCGTCAAAATTTCTGTTGATCCAAATATTCCTTAGACCACCCGGAAAGACATCGTACAGGCCATCAAGTGCTTCGACAGTGCACCACTTTTGAGGTATCGAGCTGACCAAGACGGTTGTAGCGGAGGCGCGCAGTCGATGCTGGGGAGATGTCAAATATGCCTGACGCATACGAATGTAGTTGCGTAGTTCATCGAAAGCAATATAACAGACCCAGATGATCAGACTGAGGGCCAACAGCCAGTGGGCCCAGTATCGGCCGGTGTGGTTTGGAGCGACATTTCCCCAAGCAAGGGTGTCCAGACCAGTGACATTGGATGCATTGGCGTTTTTCCCAACGGCATAGTCGCCACCACGACCATCGACCGCGTTCAAGGGTATCAGAATCGGCAAGATAATTAGAGCAGCAGGGACGAAGATCTTAAGCAGGGTGCGCAGATATCGGAGGAAGAAGTATGCGTCCAGGCCACATTTCTGTACGAACTCGGAGTTGGATGTGGTGAAGACTGGCTTGATCCATTCCCACCACCCAGGAGGACTTGGTTTGGTCCGTTCTCTTTCTGGTACCAGGTATGTTCTTGGTTGATAAATTCTGGCGAATCGATCTTTGATGAGGAGGAAAAGGGCGACTTCGATCCCGAAAATGGCCAATGAGGTGATCAAGGACGCCGCAAATTGACTGGCCGTTTGTCCGCTCTTCGAGGAGCCTGCGTTACTGTCACCGCCCAAGGTAAGGGTCTCGTTGAGAGACATCTTGAACTATTATTGTTCGGTGTAGGGTATGTCGAGTTTTCTATCAAGGTTCGTGGGTAGAGAGTGCGCGTAAACACATGGCGGACACTCGTGATACTCGCTCTATAGTGGTGTACGATTAGGTGCGGTGTTGGTGGAGCGCTATTAGGCGTCTTTCTTTGGAACAATGCCTAGGTCAAAAAGACAAAGCAGGCAAGAAAGGACTGTTGTGTGCGTGTCAAAGAGGGTAGTACGGTAAAAGATGGACAAAAGGACGCGGAGAGGATTGAGATAAAGGGAAACTTGGACAAAAGCAATGGTGGAGTTGATTGTCGGTCAAACCAAGAATTGAATGGCGTGTCTTTGATAGAGCGTGCAGTGCATCGTGAGATTTGGTGGCCATACGATGCAAACGCCAATGCACCAAAATGACGTCGGAGGCACTCACAGGCATGAAATTGGCAATGCCCCGGGCACTTTAGTAGCCAATCATCCTCTAAGCCTTCGGATTATCCCAGGCATTTTCCTGCCGCCTAGCCTCCGTCAAGTTTAGGGGCTCCGTTTCAAGTAGACGAGCCGCGCGGGTGGCATTTTTGGCAGCACGGTCGCCTAGATCAGAACCGAAGAGAACCCTTCATGTTCCAGGGTTTCCAAGCACCACCGCGCGCGTTGTTCTTATCTAGCAACACGTGTGATTTGCCGAGCAGACACACAAAGTACGAAATATTGGTGAGCTTCATATCTACTCGACTTCCCAGGACATCAAGATCGTCGTATGAGACATTCTACGCGGTCCAATTTCTTTGACCTTGCACTGTCCACTCACGTAGTACAAGGGATCCTTGCGCAGTCAGAGGTGTGAACCGAGGGCAAAATATGTCACAAGGCTGAGAATACGAATCGCGGGGTGCATCCATGCTATGTAAGCAGCCTCCAGACTACCATTAATCATTCCTCTTCTTGTGAACAGCGATGGTGCGAAATGACTGCAGGGGAGTACTTCTGACGAAATCAGTTGCCTGGCTACTAGAAGAATGAGCGCGCATTCCAATCCAATGGTGGTCATATCCACCACTAGCGAGGGGATAACCACGATTACGATCTCACGGCCTCATCGACGAAATGCGGTCAACCCTGCTACTGCCCGTGAGCTATACGCGGCATTTATCAAGTTCGAAGAAGACCCCTCGCAGAAAGTGGCCATCCTGACCGGTGCTGATGGCTCTTTCTGTGCTGGCGCTGATCTTATCGACCTCACTACTCAACAGCGGCAGGATCCAGAAAGCTTGGATCCACTGGACAGAGATCATCTTCAGCCCGTCCAAGGTCGAAATATCGCACCAATGGGTCCTTCCCGACTCCAAGTCCGCAAGCCTGTTATCGCAGCGGTTGCAGGTCACGCAGTCGCAGGTGGGCTCGAACTGAGTCTTCTGGCAGATATGCGTGTCGTTGAAGAAGATGCTGTCTTCGGTGTGTACTGTCGACGGTGGGGTGTGCCCTTGATCGATGGAGGAACTGTCCGACTTCAGGCTATCATAGGCCTTGGTCGAGCGCTGGACATGATTCTCACTGGTCGACCTGTTCCTGCTCAAGAAGCATTGTCGATGGGTCTCGCCAATCGAGTGGTCCCTAAGGGGACAGCGCTGCAGGAAGCGACGAAGATCGCCGAACAGCTGTTGAAGTTTCCCAATGGCTGTATGAATGTGGACAGAAGCTCATGCTACCACGCCGCGTACAATGCTTCAAGCTTCGAGGATGCATTGCGGAACGAATTTGACCAAGGTAGCAAAATCCTCAAAACAGAGAGTTTTCAAGGCGCAGCAAGATTTGCTGGAGGTCTTGGAAGACATGGAGGATTTGAGAAATTGTGATCGAAATGAGGCATTGTGTGGGCTACACATACCTATGCATACATATGACGGGATCTTTCCACCCAAAACATTTGCAAAATGTGGCTATATCTTTCTTACATCTCTTGCATGTTGACCATACCGTCTTCCAGACACCCCTGGTGTTCGTACTGGAATGCGGAGGTCCTGACTTGGTGAGGAATGCTCATCATTCGACCTGGATGGAAATATGGGCAAGTCATCAATTATAGCAACCGTAAGGGAAAGATTGGACTTCCGGGTTCCGAGGTTAATCAAACCAACCATATGTACGAAAACCTTGTACGAATCTGCTGCACGTCAATCAAACTCAGTGTCAACGCCTCAATCTCCCCCGGCTTCACCCCATTTGACCTGGACCCTTTCTTGCACTTCCCAACCACCATGTCTGACCCTGCATGCGAAGACGACCTCTCTTTCCCCAGTTTCCATGCCGTGTTGACTATTTTTCGTCCTCCATGTACCTGCAGTCAAGTACAAGATGGCGATAACCCCGTCATCGTGATAGTACGGGACACTCGTTGGGTCCTGCGAATAGGGTGTGTCTGGCACCAGACCTGGAAACAACTGCAATGGTGTGGTCCTCACAGGTATCGGGGTAGCTTCGGGCGTCTTAGACTCTAACTCTTTGACCCTCTGGAAGATGGTGCCCACTGTACTGGCAACCGCATCCCTCTCAGAATGGTCGATATGGATCTGGCATAGCCTTTGTTCCATGAGAGCTGCTTGGTCGGTTCAATGTGATTTCAATCGTGGTGACGGCGTCTTCGAAGGCTTCGAAGGTTCGCCGACTGCTTGGATGGAGTCCATTGAAGCAACGTCGAAGAAAGTGAAAACTGCACCCGAAAATTCATGGGCCATTGTCCCCAATGCAATATCGAATGTGGTATGAGAGCCTCTGCTGAAGAGGTGACAGAAAGTACCGTGACACTTCCTCTGCGCAGGATTTTGACTGCAACCAAGTCTTCACAGCCAGACATTTTGGAATGCGGCTTGGCGATCGCGAAATTCCCTAAATGCCAGCAACCCGTCCTTTCCTTTCCTTCTTTTTACCTGTCACTCACTTCAATGCTACCGAGCCATCTTTTGATTGTCTCTTCTTCTTCCGATCTTTCTCTGCGGATGCGCGCAATGGTACGGTTGACGAGACATCAGCTCTACCGACCCTACAAGCAGCAGTCCGTGGTTTCACGCTGCGGACTGCTGCTTACTTCTACCGGCTTCTTTTCCCCCTCCTGCAAAACAGTCCCAAGCTTTGGAATAGTCTTGCAGGCGGGTCCTCTGTTTACAGTGCATCCTTCGGGATCACTGATACCCAATCTTACATGATGTCTTTCAGGTCATCTGAATCTCCTCTCCACGCGACTCGTGAGGCCTGCGTGTCCTTTCAGGACATTACGCCGAGCGGTCGTAGCCCCCCAGCCTCCTGTACTCGTGCGTCCCATATTTTGGGGTGCTGTTGCAGGTGTTTTCTCCCAATGGTTGGACATGGTTCCTCCATCACAGCGTTCCTTCGGGAATTCTGAAACCTTTTATTTTTCATGATGTCTTCACTGTCATCTCAACCTTCTCGCCCTGGCGAAGACAAGGCCAAGGCCAAAGTCAAAAGGTTCAGGAGCCCTGCGCAGGGGAGACACCTACGCGCAGGTGCAGGGCGTGAGTAGCTGGCTTTGGCCGGTGAAACCAAGATCTCCCCAATGTCTCTCAAGAGCTCCAGGAGCCTGACAGAGATGAGACCAAAACCGATGTGCCAACGAACGGTTGGGTCGCCCTTCTGGCCTTATCTGAGATAAGTGCCTTCACCCTCCACTTAGGCTTAGGGTCCACCTCAAATCTACATGCATCTGCATCAATGCCATGAGAGCTCGCACATCCAGACAGCTCTTCGTGGCCATGACAGAAGCCACGTTCGCGCGGCATCGCCTCATCCGCAATGCATAAGTCCCCTGAAGGAGTTCCTACAAACAAATGATTTCTGTCAAGTAAGATTGCTTCTCCTGCTTGAGTTAAGTTGTCTTGCTGACCCTGATGCCCGTTGCAGGAAAAAAGTGGTCGGGGAACTACGCGACAGTAGTTTTCCAGATCCAAGGCCAGGCTTCCCGTAACCTCAAAAGGACATAGGCATGCCGGCTGGGGACCTGGTGGCATTCAAACCAATCAAATAATATGCCAGAAGTTGAACCCCCAATGACCTCAACAGGAAAGAATACTGACTGTTCTGCGGTTCCGTAGACAATTTCCTCCTCTTCACACAAGACAAACGTCCGCCGATCTTCGAATCTGGAACTTTCTCGAAACACTAAGAGGCCTGGCGATTGGAACATCGCATGCCCGATGTTTCCTACAAACACTGGCGCATCACACGAGGTGGTCGCCCAAAAGCAAACAAAGCACCGCACTCGACTTCTCAAACGTCACAGTGCACTACAAAAGGAGGGTTCTGGCAGTAAATCGAAAGTCACCAGGTTCAGCCGGTGTACTTTAGTGTGCCACAATCCAAATGTGCGCTGGAGTTCGTTGTCTTCGGTGCACAACCGAGCGATATCAGAGCATTGCTCGTGCAATACCCGTGGGTGTTCGTTCTGCCTTTAACCAGCGGTTGAATGGCCGCTGGGCGATGAATGAGCCAAGTAAGCGAAAAAATGGGTCGGGGTACACTGCAGCATGTGTACATGTGGGGATATTGCACTGGGACTTGACCGCGGCTCTCTCTATTCGGTGTCTGCGCAGGATTACGCGCTGCTGGCCTGGCAGGCGTGGTGGGAGGGGGCCAAACCAAAAAAATGGACTCTTGAAGGAAATCCGGAACAGAACAAATGACTCCTTGGTCAATATTGCAGATTACCACTTGTCAATCTAATATGGTGATCAAAACCTTTCCGCTCATGCGCTTCAATTCTTGACGCCAACTTCAGGTACTGTGCCTGGTTTCGTCCAAGCAAGACCTCACTGCAAGTAAACGAGGAAATTCGTGTTCCCTATCTCAGCCTCATCGTCTTAGGATGTTGCCCACTTTCGTAAAGTCATATCGATTATGCGCTGGATCTATCGACTTTGTCCCTTCACTAGAGCCTATAATGTAAAACTATCACGAGGAAAGGAAATCAGCGCTTGGGGGCGCGTCAGGCTCTGCGGACTGGGAAATCACAGACGACCTTCGCAAATTCATACCCAAGTTCCCATCCCAACCAGTGGAAGTGGGCGAATCATTCCCGCCTGCTGAGGATGAGGACAAATTCCCAAAACTCTTCGCGAAGAACACCTACGACGCCTTCATCAACACGAATCTCGCTGAGGTCTTGGAGACACCGAAGATCGAGCGGGTGGTTGTATGCGGTGTTATGACGGATTGCTGTTGTGATACGACGGCCAGGAGCGCATTCAAGCGTGGCAATGAGACTTGGCTAGTCAGCGAGGCCTGCGGGAGTGCTAACAAGAGACAGCATGAAGCTGGCTTGAGGGGCTTTGGTTTCGCATTTGGTGATGTCCTGACTACATCTGAGGCGATAAGACAACTATGGGGTTGATTGGACCGACTTGTGGATGGAGGCAGCATCCAGCAGAAAGCACCTTCCACTCTGGGATGGTCGCTTACTGTGTACAGGGCATGACAGAAGTTCAACTGCCGAAGAATCCACTACCGCTAACATCCGTGGGACTTTTGAGAAGCGGATCATGGCTCGGGGCGAGCCTGCACTTAACTTACCTGCTGAAGTGCCATCGTGCATGATGCTGTAAAGTCAATCTCGCATCTTGATCCTGTAATCCTCGAAGTCCATTTTCACAGGGTCACCCAATAGGTGTCAGGTGTAGGCTCCGCGAAAGACAGTTCACGACCACTCGAGTTGGTATCAAAGCACAATTATGACCTTATGGTTCCAGTTCTGAGAAAGGAGAAGTTCTGTGTAGGAGGATATTGCAGCTGAAAACGGAGCAGTACCAGATCGCAAGGAAATGACCCATCGTACTACAGTATCGGGATGCATGTTAGCTCTGGTCATGTCCTTCATTGTCCATCGTGCAGACTGGCCAAATTCGCCCTGTCGCGCCCGGTTTCACGTCCTCAGCACGCACAGCCCGTCCCATTCCCGACAAACACGATCAAAACAGCGATGAATGTAGCAGTCGCCGCAAACGAGTCGATTCTTCGAGGCGTACCCAGCAGCGTGAGTGCAGCACTGAAGAAAAATCCAAGAATCACAATGACGCCGAGCCTGATGAGTTGGTTATCGATGAAATAAAGCACTATGGCGCCGGATGTGGGCAGGACCGGTGCTAGGATAGTCGTCAAGATTGTCACGACTTTGGCGATATGCTCGTTCGAGTAGTATGTCAACTTCAATGGAAGAGCTGGACGCCATGCTTCATCCACGTCGAGACGAGGGTGAATCTTGCCTCCAATGAGCCGGTGGTACGGATGTGACACGCACCATGCCAGCCATTGTGAGAGTGTGTCCCTCTCACCTTCCGCGTCTATCAGCGAAGTCATGTCGTATTCATGCTCTTCCTCGCCCCAAACGGCCCATTCGCGGCGAACCTGAAAGTCCATGTTCCTCAAAACCTCGCGGAGGTGTTTGAGGTTCGATTTGTGGACCGAAGGCAGGCCTTCTATCTGCCGGTATCGAAGAAGGCCTTCATCTATGGCACAGAAAGGTTAGTCATATTGACCAATGCAGGAATGAGAGGATCTAGGAGTGCTTTCCGAACACTTGCCGTACTCCTTGAGAAGCTGCCGGATATCCATCATCATCTCTCGTTGTTTGCTTCCTCCTTCAGTCGTGTCTTCCATCATTGCGGTGAAATTGTGCGGGAATGACGCCCTCGCCTTCACTTTCGATTCTCGGTCGGCTGCGATTATGGAGAGCAGACGGCCCTGCTTCTCAGCCAATTCGGCTTGCATGAGTAGCAGGTTTCGGCAATTCAACGTAGAGTATTTGCGAAATATTGCAAGTTCAGGGTATTTGCCCATCAGGGCGCTCAAACTGTCGTAACCTTCCATCCCGGACTCTTGCTGTCGCGGTAACGGCTGAAAGCGCAAGAGGAGGCCGACTGAATTGCATATCGACTTTTGCCCTTACCGGAGCGTGTCACAAGCCTGTCGATGAAGCATCAGCCCACCACCCTCATGGTGTGCTGGCAAACAGTCTAAAAGGCTGCCTGAGAGGCTCATTTCGCCCTGCTTGTCTCGAGCAGCCAGTGGCAGCATGAGATCCTTGCCGGCAAAGACGCACGTAAGGCAGTTGCACAAGAAGAGGGGGCTGAAGAAAACTGCCCAGACAGGTGTTCATGCACGATCCTGGCTTTCTGCACCCTGACCTGAGTAGCGTCGACGACTGCGTGAGATAGGCTGTGATAGTGGTAAGGATTGTGACTGATAGGTTCTTCACGACGCCAATCTCTGGGAGCAGAAGCCAATGCAGTGGAGACGAACCCCTAGATGCTGGAAGTGGCGGGCCTCGGTTCAACGTTACACCAGACGACGAATACATAAATCAGTCGTTTTCCCAAGCTGCGCAGAACCTACATAGCTTCTTCGAATCCCACCTTGACGGAGATTTCTTCTGTACAATGCTGTTTCTTTCTCGATGCTCGCTCGCATAGCGAGGTAGACTGTGTCGGGCTTTGCGACCTTTCAGGAGTCAGGAGTCGTCAGTAAGGTTGATGGGCTAGCTCTAGCTCTGGCGGCAGCCACGCCTCTCTTCAAATTCCCAGACTGTTCTTCAGCTGCGCATCCCCAGACCGGCACTTTGAAGCACATAAAAGGGCATGAGACACATAGCCATTGACGAAGGCCATGCAAATGCGTTCATCAACACCAAAGGTTTGCAAAAGCTTTCCGAATGAGGTCGGCTTGTGGTCGACCACGCGCAGTTCCTTTGAGATGGTTCACGTGACGCATCAACGAGTGTGCTGGTGGACAACAAATCACGCGCACCAAAAACCAACAAGAGTACTTATGGAAGCCTATCATCGATGGACCAGAGAAATGACGATGTCAAGTGAGTTCAGTGAGCAGTCAAGCATATGCTGATCTAGGGACCCAACGATTGAACAAATGTTACCACTCGATATGATCATGTCCAATAACCTCTCCACCTTTTGAATGAGCGGTGTACCATTTCATTGCTGTGGGCAAGGGTAGGCATTGTCCCCAACCTTGGGGCCTGCCAAAGAAATTGCTTAGCAGGGACGATGCGGCTATCATCCCCAAGCGTCCCCGTGGTCCAAGGCCAGCTTTAGGCGATCAGCCACTGAAACCTTAATTCCACGGTGACGACAACAGGAAGTTGGCGCAAGGTGATCTCAAAGGGTGGATTTTCCTGGAATGCTTTGCACTTTGGGATGGAAAACGACGGATGAGTTACCCTGCTGTTAGCCCAGGAAAGACACCCTGAGTACAGTCAAATGCCCTTCCGCACCAACACTTGTCGTTCCTCGATGCCGGCGGAGCATCCGTGGATGCTGTTTTGGCCCGGCTGCATGACACCAAATTCCGGCAGGGGTTTCAGTCGATCTTGCGGATGGTGCTTCTTGCAGTCGCGACAGTGGCATCAACTCTTGACAGCTGTTGAGCCATTCCTGGGCATTTGGCGGAACATGTCTGTCTGCCGTCTTGCCAACCATGCGCTGCACTCCTGCGCATGCTGATGGGAAGGTTGAGACAATGCAGCGGCTCTTTTCGTTCCGCTGATGTTGACACTAGCGCGACTTTGCGTACTGCGGCGTACTCTCTGCCCACACCATCTTTTCACACTTTCACACACATCCTCCTTTGCCCAACAATAGCCTAGGTGTTTGTCTGCTCCTCAAAAATTCTGCCCTCTTCCATTGTGCCAACTTGCTGTCAATGATCGCTGGCCTCGATTGATCTCAATTTGTTTTCTGACGCAGACCTGCAACGCGAACCTTCGTCCCTTCCAGCCTTGGAAAGCGTTCCACGATACCCAATCCAATGATTTCTGCCATGGTTGCCATCGGGATTAAGCATGCTCTGGACAGGAATGAATACCGCACCAATGCCAGGACATCCCGTGAATTCAGCATGCGAAGAGCAGGAGCAACCATAGCTTGGGATATTCTAGAGTCAGGACTGAACTCCAGGGCTGTTGACCATGCCATCTGGCCTCCAGAGCCGCCTTGTTGCCAGAGTGGTGAGGCCAACGGAGCCGGAAACAAGACAGACACAAAAGAGGCCAATGTTGTAGAGGAAGCAAGAGACGTAAGGATTCTTTTTGAAAGACGTCTCTTCAAACGTCCGCAACGCTGTGAAGAAGGCGGCCCGATGCTTCAAGCATGTGCGGTGCCGAACCAGCTCCCGCCTGTTCTGTACCTGAAATCCGATGGCGTGGTTAGCGATGCGAGTGTCGAGTCCGGACATGACACAAGTAAGGACCCGGTAGTGAACGTTCTAGCCCGACTTCCGCTCAGGAACAATTCGCCCGTTCACCCTGCGGATCGTTCGGCAGATCGCCCACCTCAAAAAGCAACACGTAGCAAGCAGCAATCGCGGATCGCTAAAGCTGGAAGGCGGACACACACTCAGCCATCCACATGCTCTTTTGAGACACGGAATCATGCAGCGAGGATCGCCGCAAGAAAGGCTCTGAAAAGAGATTTAAGCTATCCAAGCTCAAGAAATGGGGAGAACGTACCTCTAACCACATTGCTGGATACTGGAGCGGACTATTCAGTAGCCTCTCGGAGAATTGTGACACAAGGCGATGCTGAAGTCCATCTTCTAGCCACCCCGTTCACATTGACGTCTGCTTTTGGAAACACTGTGACCATAACCGAATTTGCGAGGCTCAACGTGAGTTGCGGTTGTTCCATACATGCCGAGTCTGTGTCCATCGATGTCTTACTCTTGGACGATGACGAGCTCTCGGGGTATGATGCTTACCTGTGTGCTTTTGACCTCATAAGGATGGGACACATGATAAATGTGCCTTGCGAGGACCTGAATGGGTGAAAATGTTGACCGGTTACGCTAAACAACTGAGCTGGGCTGCAGATCCTTGTCGTCGAATCTGTGCCCTGAATGAAGCAGTCGAGGAAGGCTCACTCATTACATCGTCATGTACACAACCTCAAAGATAGGCTTTTTCTCCAATGACAATAGGTTTTGAGACGGCTCATAGAGTGTTTCTGCCCGATGACTTGCAAGGGCCATGTAAGCAACCACCCTCCATCGTGAGATTAGCGGCAATTGTGTCTTGAATGGCTGCCAGGTGCTGACCGCTTCGACAGCTCATAATGGCCATGAGCCTATGTTCCAGCACGTGCCGACGTGTTTTACGTGTCCGATTCTCCTTGATGGGCGTGTCGCGAGTTCTGCGGTGTGACCTTAATGTCTGCCAGGGTTGGAGTTCATCGGACGGTGGGTAAGAGATGATAATGTGGCCTTTTTAGTAAGCCCAGGCGTATGATGAGGGCACGGAAGTACGTATAAAAGAGCATGAGGCACTCATGTTGTGACCGTCACCTTTCTTCTCATGTCAAGTCTTTATTATCATGGATTCTTCACAAGAGCCAGGTACAGTGGCATACACTGCAAGCTTGTGCGGGCCTGTCCAGCCAGCAGACCATGTGGCCAGCACCACGCAAGGCAATCTTACCCGGGCAGACGTTCGCGTTTGGGCAGATCAAAAGGGAAAGAAGAGATTCATCGCCCTTCCCGTCCCACCTACCTTGGACGATCAAGCCAAATGTTGCACAATCACGACTCGAATACTCGAAGAGGTTGACCCTAGTGGTACTATACCGCCGTTAGAAGATGGCCATGAGTGTACGCAGAACACTCACTTCAGAAGAGTACGGCTCTTTCTCAGTGGGGAAGATCAAACATCTTCTACCGGGTTTCCGTTCTGTGTCCTTCAGGGAGAAGAGCGCCGAGTCGTCATGACTGGTCGAGAAAAATGTTTCGAGGTTTGTCCCGAAGTCATGCGCATGGCAGTCATAGCTGCGGACCCGAAAACGCAAGGTGAGTGGATCTGCACCAACGCACAACAGCTTCATCGGATGACGTGTACGCCAGAAGAATACTATGATGAGAAGCGAGTTGAAGAGGAAAGAAAGAAGCGGTTGGAAGCCGAGGAGGTTGCACGAGCCCAGAAGGAGCGAGAAATCTGTCAGGCAGCTAGTAAGAGGGACGCGGAGAAGGCAGAAGCTGCAAAGAAGCATGCCTCCAGATAGCAAGCCGGGAAGGAGCAGGCCTCCAGATGGTAAGTCGCTCTCGAAAACGATGCAAGCCAGCACCACGACCGACGAATCACTCCCCAAGCCATTACATCTTCGCTAATCACTCCTGGCAGGCGCCACTAGTCGCGGCCACACTTGCAGACCCAGGAAGAACAACAGCGAATAAGACACGCGTACTTACTTGTACTACTGCGGTGACCAGTTTTGCTCGGTGTAAGATTAGCCTGTTGGCTCATCGTGACTGATTTTCGGTCAGGACAATGTAGAATCAGAGTCGTCTACCATGACTGGAAGATGATGGCTCAAGAATGTCCACAAGTGCATGTAGTGCGAACCACAGTTTGAGAAGGTTTGTCTCGCGAATTTCGTTCGAAGCTGTATGCAAGTAAATCTGAGAACGATCGTCGTCATGCATTCAGCTATATTTCTGTGTCCCGGGCACTGGCAATAGAAAAATGGCCGAGCCGCACAAGCTCGAATGAATCCAACCTCATTTAAGGGGCTCACAGCCTGGTCGGGCTAGAGACCACCCCATACAAAGCTACATCTTATGCTCTGACGGTCTGAATACCTTCCACGATATTCTGACCCCTCGGTCTTTTAAACTTGTGCGACTACAAAACTCCTGACGAGTCGCCGATGGTCTGGGCTGCCTGTTATTGATGTCTAGACTCTAAAATGTGTTTCATTTCATATGACATTGATACTTGTAAAAAGCTGATATTGCAAGCTATGATTATAAGATAATATTACAACGTTTCAATCAAATCTAATACCCGAATTGAATTCTATCGTCTCCCCACCCGAGACTCCCATCACTGATGTTGTTATCCGTCATGCATGCAGAATAGAATGACGATAAGAAGAAAGTAGAGCCTAGGCAACTGGGGTTGTCTAGACAGTTGTTGTGGTTGTTGTTGTGGTCGTATTGCCGAATCCTGAAGTGGTGATTATGCCTGACGTGGTTGTGAAAAAGGTGGTTCAGATGGTTGAGTTGCCTGCTGTGGTTGTGATGACGGATATGGTTGAGATGCTTGAAGTGGTAGAGGTGGTTGATGTGGTCGGTACGGTTGTAGTCGTGGTTGTTGTGGTTGGGACAGTTGTAGTCGTGGTTGTGGTTGGGCTGGTAGAAGTTGTTGTGGTTGACTTAGTGGTAGTGGTCGTTGTGGTGGGTTTGGTAGTAGTTGTGGTTGTGGTGGGTTTGGTAGTCGTGGTCGACTTTGTGGTTGACTTTGTGGTAGTAGTGGTTGTGACTGGTTTAGTGGTAGATGTCGAGGAGGAATGTTTGGTAGTAGACGTAGATGAGGAGTGTTTGGTGGTGGATGTGGATGAAGATTTTCTAGTGGTAGATGTGGATGAAGGATGTTTACTGGTGGTCGTGGTTGTAGTATGTTTGGTGGAAGTTGTCTTCGAAGTTGGCTTGGTTGTGGTGGTGCTGTGTTTAGTTGTTGTGGTGCTATGCTTGGTAATGGAGGTGCTGTGCTTGGTCGTGCTGCTGCTATGCTTGGTTGTGGTTGTAGACTTGGTAGACTTGTGCGTAGTCGTGGTCTTTGGCTTGGTTGTTGTTGTTGTTGTTGTGGACTTGGTCGACTTATGCGTAGTCGTGGTCTTTGGCTTGGTTGTTGTTGTGGTAGACTTGCTCGACTTGTGCGTGGTTGTCGTAGTCTTTGCTTTGGTCGTAGTTGTAGACTATTTAGTTGTCGTCGAAGTCTTGCTTGTAGTCTTTGCTTTGGTGGTGGTGGCACAAGCCTGTTCATGAATCAGCGATTTTCCAGGGCACAACCTGCAGCTTTACCACATATATGGTAAACACAGTTTAAGAGGACTCACCGTTGCGGTTTCAATGCATGAACACATTGTGGATCTCACATGCGTAAGCGCCTCGAGGAATCTGGACCAAACGGAAGACTCTTTTGCTGAGTTTATCGTCGTTGTCGTAGTCTTTGACGTTGCTGCTGCACGCTTGCTGACACCCGCAGAAGTGCATGAGACAGGGAATGATGTAGAGCAGGCTTCCAATGCCACAGTGTAGGAGGCAAGATACGGTCTGAACTCTGAGTAGACGCCGCTGGAGCATACATTGTCGCTTCGAGCCTCCAGTTGTGGAGCTGCCAAGCTCCCCTGAGGTAGGCAGACGGCCAGGAGGGGGAGACCAAGATCTGTGTGTACATCATCTTGAGAGGTTGTCAAGATAGGTCGAATGGGATGGTGACTATTGAAAGCGCGAGTTGTCTGGGGAAGAGGATGTACTTCTGCTTTATATGTTAGACCTGCTGTCACAGACCTCAGCATGCCTTCGAGGGCGATTTCCACCTGCGCATGTTCTCACCACGACATCTCGGTTGTTATGCTGACCAAAGCCAGCCTGAAGCCTCGAACCTGAGTCGCACAGACTCGGACTTGATGTTCAGATCATATGAAGACATTATTGGAGACATGTCAGCTAGTCTAGACCGTCTCCACGGGTTCGCGGAAGATCCTACCCCGGCTTCAAGCAAGAGTACCATTTGTAGTGCAGACCCCCACTCGAGAAATCGTTGTCCAGGTACCAACCCTAATGTGCTTCTCAAGACCAGATAGAAAGATGTCAAGACCCTGTTACGTTGCTGTCATGCTTTGTGACAGGTTGCTTAATTGAACTCAGCTTCGTGTTGGTACAGCGTCCAATCAGATTGACTTTCTGGAGACATGCTCGACACTGGATGACAGGTCATGACAGACTTTGTTATCCGAGAGTATTCATCTTATCACGAATGACAAGGCTACACGCTTCCACGCGCCATGAGCTGAACAGCTTGGAGCAGGCGAGGCTTTCACAAGCTGTCATTGAGGCTGCTTGATTGAACTTATTCAGCAGCGCCTCGATACGGTCCGTCCCAATGAAACTCGTTCACTGTACGGGCACTATGATACCACTCTCGTGCAGTAGTTGTTCCAGACGTGCCTATAATCGTCCACAGGGAACGAGATCGTGGTTCCTGGAAATTTGGAACGTGACCACTGGTCATGATCAGTATGAAGCAACAGAAGAATTTCACAATATTGACCCTCAATCAGGATCGCTCAGTCGGATGATGTTTTCGAAATATGGCGCCATCAGACGTGGAAGTGCAAGTCAATGCTAAGCGGTAAGTTGGTGGCTGTATGTCCAGATGTGTACACAAAACAGGGCAATAAAGAGAGCGAGCCCCTCGAGCTGTGCTGTTCACCACAGCTGCTGCACTAGGGTATGAGTACACGCAACAACTGCACCGTAGGTGTTTTAGCCTGTTGTTGTCGCTGTGACCGTTTTTGGTATCTATCTTGGATAATAAGTTAAGTTGTGAGAAGGTAATCGAAAGCCAACCTCAAGTAGATACGATTTCCTGACCTGGTTCCCAGTGGGGATTAGTCTTCTCGGGAAGCTTATTGACACCTGCCAGGATGTCAACGCGGGTGAAGAGAGGCACCTGCGCCATATTTTATTACCGCAAAAGGATTCTCAGATCAATGCTTCTCTTGACATATCCTCAAGCATTGTGGAGATGGACGGGACGGCCGGGAGATCGCTACCGCCATATCCGTTAGATTCGAGGCCCTATTCAGCGCCTGCGACTCCTGGCTGACCACGTTTTTCACACTTTGAGCGATTTGTAGAGTCTGAGCTCGGACGATTCAATGACTCGTTTCACGTTTGTGCTCTAACTTTGACGAGATTGAAGTATAAAGAACCAAGGGAAGAGAGTTGCAGGCCGTGCCATCGGCAAGACTCCAGGTCGCGGCGAGCAGCAAAATTGACGGGGTGTTTCTCTCCCGTCCCAGGTGTATTGTTATAGCAACACTGTTCGTGAAGTCTCAAGTCGATCACTGTTCGTTGCCGATTGTATAAGTCTCAAATGTGGTCACGTTGGGGCTGCAGAGTAGACTGCTGGGTGTCAGGGGCCTTCAGGGGTTTCAGCCTTGTCTCGACGGTGGCAACCCCCGCTCAACTCTCCTGAATTGTTCTGATCACGATTCATCAGTTTGGACCGCTGTGAGATAGCACATAGTCGCGCGCACAATGAGTCGATCGAGGTCGACTACGCTTGCAAATGATGCTTGAAGTCCATTCTTTGTTCACATAAAATGTCCTAATTGCATGCGGGGCTTATCGGCAAGTCGGTTATCGCAACATGACATGCTCTCTCCGCATCTCGGATCATCACTAGCCTCAGGCATCAGACCAGGACAGTACTCTCCACGATCATCTCCCTGATCATCTGATCAACTGTCATTCCGCCTTTACGCAAATCCCTCAATCGCGAACAGATTTCTATATCTTGTGCGAGACCGCTAAGTCTGGCTGCCTGTTCTCGCCTGCCATGGCGCAGATAGACTTCGATGCCCTTATCGTGGGCGCCGGGTTTGGTGGTATCTATCAACTCCACCTCCTCGTTGAACGAGGTCTATCCGTCAAAGTGATCGATGCTGCCAGCGATGTAGGCGGAACGTGGTATTGGAACAGATACCCCGGCGCCATGTCCGACACGGAATCATACAGTAAGTGTTTATCCACAGACCATATCGAACAATCCAGGCTCATCTCTCCAAGTCTACCGCTACAGCTGGGACAAGGAAGACCTGATCCAGTACCATTGGAAGGACCATTATGTCAAGCAGCCAGAAGTTCTGGGCTATCTGGAACATGTGGTCGAGAGATACGACATGCGGAAATACATGCAATTCAATACGGAGATGGAGAATGCACAGTATGATGAAGCCAACAATGTCTGGGTCATTTCATGTTCGACGGGCGAGAAATTTACCGTCCGCTATCTGATTACCGCCTTGGGATTGCTATCGAAGACGAATTACCCCAATATTCCTGGCCTTGACAGGTTCCAGGGAGAAATGTATCATACAGGGTAAGCCTGGAACCTTGTTTGTCCTTCCCTTCCACTCTCACACATACTGCAGCAAATGGCCCCGCCAACACGACTTCAAGAACAAACGCGTTGGCATCATCGGAAACGGCTCGACCGGAGTACAAATCATCACCGCCATCTCAAAGGATGTCAAGCAGCTCGTTTCCTTCCAGCGAACACCCCAGTATAGTGTACCGAGCGGCGACGGGCCCGTGTCCAAAGAGTATCGCGACTCAATAAACTCCCGATACGACGAGATATGGAAGCAAGTCCGTAATAGCAGGGTTTGCTTCGGTTTCGAGGAGTCCAACGTTCCAACCATGAGCGTGTCAGCGGAAAAACGCGAGCGGATCTTCGAAGATGCATGGCAACGCGGTAATGGCTTCCGCTTTATGTTCTGGACCTTTAACGACATAGCAATCAGTGAGGAGGCGAATGAGGAGGCCTGTAAGTTCATCCGCAAGAAAATCAGCCAGACTGTGAAAGACCCAGAAAAAGCCAGGAAGTTGACTCCTCATGACTACTATGCTCGACGCCCGCTGTGTGATGCCGGATATTATGAACAGTTCAATCGGCCGAACGTCGATATTGTCAGCTTGAAAGAGAATCCGATCGGGAGCATTACCGAGAAGGGAATACAGTTGTCTGATGGGACGCATTGCGATCTCGATGTCCTGATCTTCGCAACAGGCTTTGATGCTGTGGATGGAAACTTTAATCGAATCGCCATCAAGGGCCGCAACGGAGAGAGTCTGAAGGATCACTGGGCCAAGACCGGCGGTCCAACGACATATCTCGGCTGCTTTGTGCCTGAGTTCCCGAACTTGATCATGATTACTGGTCCGAACAGCCCCTTCACAAATCTTCCGCCGACGCTTGAGGTTCAGATTGAATTTATTGCGGATATCATCGCTCGAGCCGAGAAGAATAGCCAATCCAAATTGCAAGTCAATGGTAACAGCAACGGTGACCCAAAGCCTGCTGGGCCGGTTGTCGAGGCTCTGCCCGAGGCTGAAGACAATTGGACGAGGTTGTGCGAGGAGCTGAGCAAGGATAGCCTGTTCAGAAAGACGGATTCCTGGATTTTTGGCGCCAATGTGCCTGGCAAGAAGCATACTGTTATGTTCTACTTTGGCGGGCTTGCTGAGTACCGGAAGGAGCTGCAGAAGATTGTCGATGGTGGGTATACAGGATTCAAGCCTTTTTGAAGGGGCACAATGCTGGACATAGACTTGTCGGAGAAGCTGATCCAGCTGAGATGTATGAAGATGCAGTCTCCATCCCAGAAACCCACAGTAACGCCATCGCTAAACGTATCATTGAGTCCTGACAACCACAAGTGCTGCTAGTGGGAATGTCAGTACTTGACTCTTCCCAATGTTGGCTTCCAATCCAGCGGATGTGTCTCCGGCGTCGCTTCTGGATCCGGTCTCCAGATCTTGATCGTCTTATCCGCCTCGCCCATGATCAATCGCAGCCCAGTCTGATCGAATGTACTGCTCATGATACCAGCTTCGGCGTCAAGAGAACCAGGCTGTGCCATCGACTCCGTGGACTGAAATCTGTGACCCGTCTTCCAATCCCAGAAAGATATGCTTCCGTTGTCACCACCACTGAACAGCACGTTATCTTCGTTGACAGCCAGCGTGTTGATTATGGCATTGTGGCCTTCGAAATTCTGCATGAAGGCTCCTTCAGGGCACTTCCACTGCTTGATTGAACCTGCAGATCCGGATGCGAAAGTGAACTCTTTCGGGTGTGTAGCGAGAGCTCTTACTCCTTTCTTGTGGTGCGTCAACACACCCATAGTTTTGCCGGCGGCGAGGTCCCAGAGACGGACGGTGCTGTCGAGACTCGAAGAGATGACTTGCGGATCCGCCTCTTGACATTTGACGTCCGTGACTGTCCCCTTGTGTCCGCTGAGAACGTGTATGTTTGATCGAGTCCTCATATCCCATACTCTGGCCACACCATCCCTGCCTCCTGTCACCAGGACATCGAGTGTTGGGTGTAGAGACATTGTGTAGACACCGGACAGATGGCCGTGGTAGTGTCGGATCACTTTGTTTGTTTCCAGATCCCAGCATTTGACCATTTTATCTTCACCACATGAGAACAGGTAAGGATGACGCGGTGACACTGCCAGGCCGCGGACTGTAGAGATATGTCCTGTCAGCGTAAGGCGGAGCTGTCCTGTCGCTAGATCCCAGATCTTGATCGTCCTGTCTCCAGCGCCGGATGCGAACCATTGATTTCCAGGTTCGACAGCCAAAGCTCGTACCCAGCCCAGATGTCCTGAGATCACTCTCATCAACTTCCATGGGGCATGCCAATCCGGTCGAGGTTGTTGCATATTCGGTCTTCGAATCAGACTGTTTCCTGTGCCATTGGATTGCGGCGACTGTGTCTGTGACCCTGGCTTTCCCTCGCTTTTCACCAACGCTAGCTGATTGCCTCCAGCCTGTACTTTTGGTCTTTTGGGTCCTCGACCGGCCGCGGCCTTCGCCTGTTTCTCTGCCAACACTTTGGGCAACTCGCGAACACTTTCATATTCGACTTTTCTTTTGAATGACATCGATAAAGTGGAGGACGTAGGCTCGGTCAGGTCGCCAAAGTCATTGCCGAAGATGGATCGCGTCCGCTCTGTGAGCGCTTGTGCTGCACCAGCTACCTGTGCCATGTTTGCAGCGTACCCGGGTTGATCCTGCAAGTGTCTGAAGCAAAAGGCAGCGCAGGCTTATTTTTTGGGAGCGAAGATCGTATCGAGGGAAAACTTTACAAACTGGCCAAGCTTGAACGAACTTCTTCCGTATTGGCGGTAATAATTTCGCCGGAGAATGCGGGGAAACAGCCTTGCCATTTGTGTTTCCTGGCCGCGACATTTGTCCCTCTGCCTAAGCAAGTCAGAACAGTCGTGATGGCTGAGACAAAAGAGAACAAATACGCTATACACGAGGCGGCGCGGGAGGGAAGAAGTGAGCAATCCGGGTCTTCACGCGACGCTTTTTTACTGACAATTTCTGTCTAGTCCAGGTCGTCGACTCTCTTCTGAGCGTGAGTCTTCCCGAGCATACGCATCCCATCTGAATGGTAGTAACTATTTCCAGGCAAACCCGAAACTCGCATCACTCGTCGACCAGGATGAACGGCTTCCGATACACTGGGCCTGCGCATTCAATCATCTCGACATTGTCAAACTCCTCACATCTACACGATCCTTCGATCCAGATGCACAAGACGGCTCGGGATGGACGCCACTTGCCATTGCGGCCAGTTTGAAAGACAACAGTGGCGAAGAGATCATTGAGCTGTTACTATCGAAAGAGGCTGATGCCAAGATCCCTACAAACTCTGGTGCGACGGCACTACATTTCGCTGTCTCGAAGGGTAATCTCGAAATCTGCAAGACACTGTTCAAGCATGGGGCTTCCGCCAGGACAAAGGACAAGCGAGGACAATTGCCATTGCACAGAGCCGCGGCGGCTGGCAGCGTTCCAATTGTGAAACTGTTACTCCAGCACAAAAGTCCTATCAATGCGACTGATATGGATGGAATGACGGCTTTGCACCACGCTATCAGCGAAGGAAATGGAGATGTGGCCATCGAGCTGCTGAAAGCTGGCGCAGAGACGGACAAAAAAGACAGTGATGGAAGACTTGCCATCGAGTACGTTCCTGACGCCAAAGTACGATCCTACATATTAAAAGCTGCCGAAAGAGAGGGTATCAATTTGGAGTGAGATCGCGCAGATGATCAACACATCAGAAATCATTTCATGGTATCCGCCAGCTGCCGATACATCTGCTTCACATCCACTATATCAGCCTTGAGCTCCTCGACTTGCTCACTCTTCTCGCCGAGAAGTTCAAGAGTGGTTTGATGGCGTTGGCTCAGATCGGCTTGATCCTTTTCGAGAGCTCTTAGTCGGGCTTCGAGCTTCCGCTTTTCTTCGACCTCCCGCATCAAATTCACGACTTCCTGTCTGGCTTCGTCACGCTGTGTGGTGAGTCGTGTAAGTTCGTCCTTGGAAGCAGCCTTTTCACTTTCGAGTCTACGAACATTCGCAGACATTCGTTCAACGAGCTGAACAGAGGGGCCGGCCCCGACCGTGGAAGTCGAAATTAGGTCGTTCACGGCACGCGGAGAGTTGTTGGAATGAGGTGTTGGGGGAATGTTGGCGAAGAAGTCGTCTGCATCGTTCGAGGTCACCACAGATGGGGTTTCTGCAATGGTCCCGTTGACCTGGTTCCTGAAGGAAGGGTTCGAATACTGACGGGAAGGTGCGTTCCAGTCGAACGTTGGCATCATCGAAGACTTGCGGCTGTTGGGCCTTTCGTATTGAACCGGGCTCATCAAATGGTTGATATCGAAGCCCAGATTTGAGTTCTTGCGGGAAAGCCCAGGAGAGCCTGTTCGCTGGATCTGTAGGCTGGCTGTCCATTTCGCCTTTTCTTCATCGAGTCTGCGCTGCAGCTCTTTCTCAGCGTTCGCTTTTTCTATCTCGACATCTTTTACAGCAGTGGCAAGCTCGGTTTCGAATTGGGTCGCTTTACGGCTCAATCGCTGAACCTCGGCCTCTGCATCAGCCACAGACTTGTCCATCTCTGCGAATTTGGTTTGCACTTGCTCGAGCTCCTTGTCAGCACTCCTCAGTTTCAGGGTAGCATCACGCAGCTTCTTTCGAAGGTCTGTCTCCCTTGCCGCAATGTCGTCACGCTCTTTCTCCAGGTTTGTAATCCTTCCAAGCAAACTGCTCTCAATGCCTTGCCAATTTTGACTTGCCGTCGCGTATTGTGTCTGCAGGGTCTCGATTTGGCGGAGGAGTTTTGCCTGTACATGACCGTGGTCTGCAGACGAAGCCTCTTCTGCACGGACACGAAAGGACTCCAGCTTGCTTTCGAGTGCTGCCTGCTCGCCCAGCATTTCACTTTCCATGACACGGGATTGTTCCTTTTCCCTTTCAAGCGTGGCCTGGAGGTCTCTGATTTCTCTTTTCAGTTTCTCCTCGGTTATCTCCCGCTCAACTTTGGCGCTGGTCAGATCATCTTGTAAGTCGGCGATCCTCCTTCTCTCCTTTTCTAGTTGGTCTGCCTGCGCCTTGCTCTCGGCCGCTTCAGCCCTTGCGTTGGCTCGTGAGATCTGAGTTTTCATATCTGCCAAGGTCGCTTGAAGTGCTTCGCGTTCTTTTCGGACCGCTTCGAAATCATTCACACCAGCCGTGCTTGCCGCCAGACTTTGTTCCGCTCGTTTGCTTGCGGCTTCAGCCTTCCTTGCCCTATCCTCCATCATTCTTAGTGAGCGCTCTGCTTTCTCGGCTCGAAGCTTTGCTGCGTCTTGTTCTTTGTTGTTCGTCGTGATCTGGGCTCGTAACTTCTTGAGCACAGTCAAGTGGGTCATCTCTGCTTTCGAAAGTCGCTGACCCTCATCCATAAGCAATGCTATCTTTGCATCCTTTTCCAAGATCTTGCGCTCCAAACTTCCTGCATCTGCGGAGCCTGCAGCTTTCCTTGCTGATTCTGCCGCCTCTTTGCTCAGATAGTGTAATTTCGCCTGAAGTGCATCGATACGTTCGATATAGTGGTTGATGTCTTCTTGTTCTTGTGTGCTCTTCTCTGCCGGTCGCATAGCATCTTCACTCTTTCTTGCAAGGTCCTGCGAGGCTCGATCAGACAGCGTCTGACTATCCCTCGGGGCGTCGGTAGAGGGCCGAGCAGAGTCGCTGTCAACTTGCACTATAGGATCCGTCCTTTGTGTTTCTGGCTGTGGACCTTCTGTCCCCTTCAATGTCTGCTCATTCTTGTCGGTGTCAAGATCAGGCTCAGCCTGGTCTTCCACCTTTACCACCAAGATAGCAGGCGGTTGCTCAGGCGCCGAAGAGCCAGCCTCGGCGTCGTCAGTCAATAGGCCGACGGGCTCGGTCGTTGCGGCTGCGCTGTCACTCGTAGCGGAATCCGACGCAGGAGCTGGTGCCATGGGCGACGCTGTTCGAGTAACATCTTTCTTCGCTGCCATCGCCCGTGCGAGGCGCTCTTGGAGCCGGTCATTGGTGTTAGAGGCATTGCTGCTAGTCCTTGAGAGTTCAGATGAGACTGCAACTGAGTCAATACTGCGATGCTGCCGAGTGTGTTTTTTACGTACCTCTTACCGCCGGGCTGGTCTCGCGAGAGGGTTGCGGTACTGTGCTGGCTGGGTTCTGTGGATCGTCGGCGAGGATATTGTCTAGACGAGACTCTACAGACGCGACCGCCTGCTGCAGGAAATTCCACCTCGAATTTGGTTTCGAAGCCATGGCGCAGGAACATCACCTCGAGTGTTTACTAGGGAGGTTTCGCAGCCTCGGGCACGATGCAGATAGTTGCATTATAAGTCTGGAGGTGCATTCGAGTCCTTAGAACACATAGCGCATGTCAGTGTGGCGGATTCGTATACTTATTTGAGGAGTGATCCAGTGGTCCAGTGTGAGTATTGATGGCGCGTCCCTCGTGGACAAAGTGTAGGTTCGCAGTGGTGGAGATCTGGCGTTAAGTAATGCATTGTTGGAGAACGACCATCGCTAATAGCCTCTAGCTTTTGGAGCTTCGATAGCGATTAGGCGATGACATAGGTTTTCTGAATTGACCTTCAACCAAATCTCTACACCTCTTGTATGCTATGCCTGCATTCATGTGAGACAGAGTTCCTTCATCCACTACGCCTCGTCTTCGATTTCGCAGTCAGTGTTCAAGATGTCGCTGAGCCAGCCGGTCTACCTTAGCTCGCTACAGAACAACATCAGAGCACGCCCGGTAGGTCACCTTACGACGTAATCCAGACATTGCCCAAAGCTGACAATTCCATAGATACCGTGGGATGGAGCTGTTCGAGCTGGAAACCTCACCGACGACCAACTCAAGAAGATAAAATCAGTGGACAAGGTCAGAAAAGAGCAGAGGAAGCAAACCATCGAGAAAGACGTCAAAAGCTACAGCACGTTATTAGTAGGAGGTCCAGATGGTGGGAGTGTGCTCGAGAAGGCATCCAAACGGAGTGATATCATCCAGTACATCTTGGTCCTGGCGACAGATTTGATCAATGGTATATGCGCTCGAACTGCTGTTGCGGAAGACAATACTTACTGACTTGGAACAGATGCGCCAGCTCTTGCAACAGCCATCCTAGAACAACCTGAACCTTATAAGACTTTCCTTGCCCTGCTGAACCAGCCTGGTAATCCGGAAGATGCTATTCCCTTGTTCTCGGCCACTTTCTTGGTCAACATCATTGCCATTTCTCTGACAACCTCATCAAAACCAAGCCCTCGCGATGACCAAGCACTTCCTCAAGTCTATTCATATCTGGCGAAATTGGTGAAGAACCAAGACAGTGGACTACAAGATATTGGCGTACAACACTTATCACAACTACTGCGGACTACGCGGTCTAAAGAATTGTTCTGGAAACAGAAGGCCGACACAGTAGAACCACTGTTCGACATATTACGAAAGGCTGTGGGAGCTGCAAAAGATAACGACTCTACTCTGTGGAGCGGGGGAACGAGCATTCGAAGCTCTGACACAAAGTTCGGTGGCGGTGTCGGGCTACAATTGTTGTATCAAGTGCTACTTGTGATCTGGCAGCTAAGTTTTGAAGGTGAATTGGTTGGTGACGGCCTTGAAAAGTATGGCTCCCTTGCAGATGTCTCCACACTCAAGCTAACAACGATTCAGGGATGAAGAAATTATACCACTATACACACAGCTGCTGCGGATGTCGCCAAAGGAGAAGACGACTCGACTGTTGCTCGCCACACTCAACAATCTACTTTCGACCAACAAGGATACTTTGATTCCAGCTGCAACGACCGCCAGGCTTCCTGCATTGCTAAGCAACCTCTCTGGACGACATCTGACAGACCCAGATTTGCTAGAAGACCTTCAAAGTCTCAATAGCATGCTTGAGGATTACACGAAGAATCAAACAACATTTGATGAATACGCCGACGAGGTCAATTCAGGTCATTTGCGTTGGTCGCCGCCACATCGTAACCCCACTTTCTGGAGGGAAAACGCTCGCAAGATATTCGAGGACAAGAAAGGCGAACTTCCGAAGAAGCTGGCCGAAATTCTCGGTAAGGGATGGGAATCTGAAAAAAAGGTACTTGCCATTGGCTGCAATGATGTGGGTAGTCTGGTCAAAGAAGTGCCAGAGTATCGGTCTACTCTCGAGCGACTGGGTCTCAAAGCTCGACTTCTTGAGTTGATGGGTGACTCGGACGAAAGTGTGCGATGGGAGAGTCTCAAGGCTGTTGGAGAATGGATGCGATACAACATTGACAAGTGAACGCTTCCACTGATCCAGATTGATGCTGAGAATGGAGCGATACGAGGTTAGATGGTCCGCCAGCTCCGGAGCGGCATACACTAAATACGAGTACTTTCGAGAGTGGGATAAGCGAGGAACAACACAGCTGTTTTCGGTTGAAGAGGCGCCATCTGGTTGCGGAGTAATTTACCCTTGATCAGCCCGCATTCGTGTAGATATTTGTTCTAGGCGTGGCTTTTGTTCAATTGCTTCGGACAGAGTTGCTTTTGCTTGCACTAAAAGCTGACCACAGCGACTTTCTGTCCGTACATCAGCAGCGCCATTCAACATGTCTACTTCTAAATGCTCGATTAGCCTGTAACTCAGAGAATCTTCCACCCTGCTCAGTCCCCATCGATAGTGGAAGCAACCATTCTCTATGAACCGACTGCACTGTTGGCCAATGATGTTGTAGAACGAATACTCCATATGTGATACTGCGAGATGCTGGCTAGTTCGTGGTCACTAGATCGTGATAGCAAAAGTGAACCGGGGCAGCCAACAGGGGAATTTGTGAATAGGTCTCAAAAGGGAAACTTCCCCTGCCAAGCACAGCGGCTTCATCTCTCCCCCAGTGTCCACCAGGCTCCTCATCAGCTGTCTCACTGGTCGCTCGTCTGCTGCATGTGCATGTCAATTCGACGGCCTTGCAGGTCAGATCGGAGGCTCTCGATCACCACAGGCACTCAAAGAAGACAGAGGAGGATTTCCTTGTGAACTCTATGACGGTTTCATGCTTCTTGCTGATGGCACGCGTTTATGCCCAAGAGAAGCTCGAGCCCCATTCCAGCCACCCTTAACAACCAAAGTTACTACCCGGAGCCCTCCGCTTATACTTGCATCTTCCCTACCTAAACGCTGGGATTTTCGCCAATACCCCGATACGCTCGCTGCTCACACGCGCCATCCTGCATGCGTCTGTCCTCTGGTTCTAGCATATTACATTCGCGCAAGTGATAAGTTGCAGTGAACCTCAATAATCTCGGCAGATAAGTCAAGTTCATCAGCCAGAGATTTCGCAACTTGGTCCTCAATCATTAGGCGGGTTCTAGTTAAATGCTCGGAATGCGGTAGGCGCCATAGTGCGCAATCTGCGGATGATCCAATGAGGGCGACATTGTCCCCGTAGCCTAAACCACTTTCCGTTTTGTAACAACTTAGCGACCGTCTCTCACTCTCGATTAATCGTCTCAAGTTCACCATCCACTACCACCAAAGTTACACTCTGGTTTCCACTGGTCCGCGAATGGACGATTGCATGTGGCTGATCTACGTGCCATACTCTAAGCAGCAAGTCGTGTCATGTCGCTATTCTAGACGGACGTCAAAGCGTCAACCCACTCCGTCTGCGCCGTATCGCTCCCATCCGCCAACCCCCTGACTGCAACCAGGACAAATGGACGACTACGTTCGTCCTCCAAGAGGCTACGCTTCTGCTTCCCCTCCTTCGTTGCAGAACGAATACTCTACTGTACAACGGCTTCCCTCCATTCCGGCAGCTTTAAGACCCTTCTCCCCGGTGTCTCCTGTCCGTCGAAAGCCTCTCCCTTCGAACGCCTCACCCATCATCCAGTCACCCCAGTCTCCTGAAACCGCACCACGGTTACAGCACGGGAGCTCGCCGTCTGTTGAGAATCCTTCAAGGGGGGTTGCGCAAGTCATTGACGGGGTGGGCAGCGCGTATGATACCTCGTTATGCAACGTGTATGTACACTCGGCTAATCCCAGTAGCACATCGAAGACAAGTGTCCAGAGAGAGACAGATGAAAACGGATTGACGCGACTAACGACGAACGGCTCCCTTTCCTCCATCGACGGTCGCGCAGGCTTTCCTTCAAACAGCCATAAGGCACAACAACTGAATGGCCTACCCGTAACAAACGCGTCTTTAGAGGAGGATATGGCTCCGAAACCAGGCACGAGGCCGCCGCCTCTACGGACGAACACAAACACCTCAACAAGGTCATTGACCGTCGTTGACTCCAAGAAACCTCACACGCCTGGAAGCAAATTTACTTCGTTTTTCAGTCGCAAGCCCGCTGCATCACCTAGTACAGAATCCTCAGCAACAGATTTCTCAGATCGCAAATCACCCCTTCCGTCGCCATATGTCGGATCTCCACATGCTTCCGCACATTCATCGCCTGGGTTTCCCTTTGGGGTGTCGGCAGCCCGGGCCTCTCAATCTCAGCCATCCCAAGATTCTATCGAGTTCGACGCCAGCACATACATGCAGACCACACCCCATGGCGACGCTGCGAGCAAATGTCTGCAGCTCGAAGCTGAGTTGCGCGAGATCAGCACAGAACTGGCGGCCTCGATCAGACGTGAGATGGACTTGGAAGACCTCGTGGACCGACTACAGACTGAAGGTCCTCCAGCCATCAGAGAGGTTGATCGAACTAGTGATTACTTCTCGGATTCAGGCGCGAGTTCCATAAGACCCTCGACCAGCGAGGAAAACCCTAAGGAGGAGATACAAAGGATAAAACGTGAGTCCGAGCAACAAAGGGCGCAGCTGAAGGTAGAAATGTCTCAAAAATGGCAAAGCGAGAGATCCAGTAGGCAAGCACTGGAATCTCACGTTCACCTACTGGAACAGAAACTTTCACAAACACGTCGCGAGCACAATCAATCCGCCGATGTCACTGCAAGAGCGAAAGAGTTGGAGATGGCGCTAGATGATGCGAAAAGGAGACTCGTCGAGGAGAGACAAACGAAAGAGAATTTCGAAGACCTCTTGACGGCGCTCCGAGTCGACCTTGAACAGCACCGGAATGAACGTGACAACCTGCGAGATGAGGTTCTGCCTCAACTACGGTCCCAAATTGAAGGTCTCGAATCTAACTTATCTGACTCACAAAAGTCGCCGTATGACTTTACGCGCTTGCAGCAAGAACTTCAAAGCCTTAAGGATGAAAACGCAGCACTGCAAAGTGCGAGGGCCATGAACATGCAATTTCAATCTATCGCCGAGGACGGGGAAATAGTCCAGTCGCCGACAAAGACGTCATTTTTCGGAGGTCGAAGTACTGGCCTCCAAAGGTCCAACACTGTTATGAGCAGATCAAATACGCGGCCAGCGAACCGTGCAAATTCTCTGTCCAGATCAAACTCCAGCACAAGCCCAGAAAATCAACTACCACTCGCCGACCAGCTAAAGGACGTGACGGACCAAAGGAACGCCCTGCATACCACTGTTAGGTATCTTCTACGGAGGCAAGAAGCCCAGCGTCGACAGTACGAGAAGCGTCTCAAGCTAGCTGAGACTGAGTGGGATCGCGCCAGTTTCGTCCAGAGTTCGAGAAAGGGTAGCTACGAACGTGAAGTACGGACATTAAGGTCTGAGATCAACCTTCTGCGGAAAAGAGCAGATGACGCCCTCGAGCAGAAGTGGCAGTGCGAGAAAGGCCTGGCTGGTTTGAAGATGGATCTTGACCGGAGTAAGCAAGAAACGGCTAGCCTGCAAACCTTGCTGCAGGTTCGCGATGAAACTGCACCGGAGGTCCTTTCGTCCACCCTCGAACAGGCATTGCGTCGTTTGCAACAGGAACGGGATCAGGCACGGCAACAAGAATCAGTCGGCTCATTGAAGCATGAGCAAGACTTTGCTGCAGAGCTTGAACTGTCCGCCGAAAGATCTGAAACGTTGGCAATACAAGTCAGGAAACAAATGCAAGCCAACTCTGAATTGAGGGATCGACTCAAACAGGCCATTCAGAACGGCCAGAGCAATCAGCAAGCCTCCGCCGAGCAGATCAACGAATTGCAAGATAGATTACGAAATCTCGAGGACGTTATCACCGTGGCACAAATGCAGTCAGAGACGGCTGTAATGAAGCATGAAGATGAGGTCCGCGTCCTTCGGGCTAGTCATAACAGTCAACTCATGCGCACAAGATCCGGGAGGAAGACCCCTGGAGGACTTGGGCTCTTCACATCGACCCCGAGATCTCCCATGTCGCCCATGTTTGTGAACTCTACAAAGAGCCCGAGACTGGACCAAACCAGCAGTGGGCCGGGCATGCCGCTCCAAGAAGCACTGAAGACTGAATACCTCGAGGTCAAGGTCGCAGATCTAGAGAAGGCTCTGTCTGAAGCGGAGAAAGAGATGCAAGAAGTCGTTGGGCGGATGAATACGGCTCAGATGGGCGTGGCTGAGCTGGAATCAGAGAGGTAAGCATGACCTGGTCGTCCTTTTCAGAGGTGATACTAACAATATGTGCAGAGACGAAGCCCTCCGACAAACTCGAAGACTCGAAGCCGCTATTACGGCTGAGCGCGAGAAAGTGCAGGCGCTCCTGGAAAACACGTACGACTATGGCTCGGACTACTAGTCCACAAGCATGCACTTTGACGACATGAAAGCGACTTGCCCGCCTATAATCTATCTTTCAGCATCAAGCCTTTATTGCCTGAGGACATATTTATTTTAGCGAAGGAGTTAATGGTCTGAGCGCCGTTGTCGTGCTGGCCTTGGACAAAAGTTATTTGGGATATATTTCTTCAGCACCGTCAGATATGGACTTTTACAGGTTTGGGACCTGATTGGAGGGTTTGGTCGCGGGTTTTATTTTCGACAGCAGGCGAGCATCAAGATATGGATGGACTGCTTTGTACATCACTATACCCGGTTAATCAGCGATAACCATATGTGGGAGAACGTCCTTGGATAGGATGACAGTGTTCAGGAGTTTGCGGGCTCAGCTTCAAAGCTGCAAAGAGTAGAGGAGCAGGTCGAGCCTCGCTGAGTTATCATGGTGCCTGCGTTCATATCATCAGGGTGATGAATGGACGAATGCCTTGAGCCACCAATATAACCGACATCAACCACCTACTTATAAGGCAAACACTTGGGTTATGCCTTAGAAGGTGCTCAAAGGTTCATCAGCCTCGTCGGGACAGAACTGCGTGTTGCAAGAGTAATGTTCTACGGTACTTTGCTGAGTCGCCGTAGATTATGACACAATGCGCAAAACCGATTTTCCCCACGATTTCGTGATCTTGACTTAGGTTCTGATTGTTGATCCTACCACAGTGTGTTGTGCAGAGCTTCCATCACGATATTTTCGCATTGGACTAACAGTGGTCTTTCACTGATCCGTTGATTCTCCCAGAACCAAAGTGAAGACATCTGTTGAAGTCTCGTGTTGATCAGTCTGCACGGGAGTTAGCTACACTAGCAGTTTACGATATGTGAGGTGAAGAATCACCGACACCCACCTCTTTCATACTTTACTCGGACTATAATATTCACCACACACTCACAGCCTCTGGGCTTGAAAATCTCGACACCGTGTCTTAATACTTCCTTCCCTTGTTGTCCAGAAATTCGGACCAGAACCAGATCGAAGAAGACGTCACATCGCCCAACCCTAACCACCTCACAAACACAAACGCGAGCGAAGAAAGATGGCACCACAACTACCGCCCTACCTCGCGCATTTCGCCGACCTCTACAATGCCTACATCCACCCTCTCCTGCCCACACCTTTACAAAGCATCTCTGGCATGGTCACACCGTTCCTCAATTCCGCAATCGCAGCCGCGGCATCAGGCGATATTGTCAGTCTGGCCGCGTTCGTGGTGACGATATACTTCACGGTCCGGATGGCGGATTACTTGCGTCGCAGTGTCGTCGCGTGGGTGGTGTTTGGGCTCAAGATAGTGATGGTGATTGCGGCGGTGAATGTGGCGTTCTATGTGAACTCGGTGGGTGTGCAGAAGGCCTTGGGTGATGCGGAGTGGGTGGTTGGCTTGGTTTGGGGGTTTGTGGAGGATAAAGTTACCAACAGCGGCGGAAGTGAGAAGACGGGTGGTCCATTCGGATATTATGGTGGAGGTCGTCAACAGGTGCCGCTTACTGGGGGGAAGAAGAAAGCTGGTGGATGGAGATGAGAAATATTACACCACACTGTACTGGACGACTGGATGACTCAATGCGAAGACTGGAACTGGACACTAGGTCTTGAGGCTAAAGCCGATTGTTGGGTATCTACCACTTGAGAGTACACGATGCCGCCAACGCCTACGCTGAGAATCTGAAACAAAATCCGATCGAGGATCAAGGATGGATACATGGTAGGGCCTCAACCCTCTTCCCAAGCTGGCTCTTCAAATTCCGCTTCTTTGGGATCTTTCGGCTCTTGCGCCTCGTGATACTGGATGGCATCGTCAATATAACTCAGAATGTCGCCCACACTGTCTTCGTCATTCACATCCAGCTGCAGGAAGGAAACCATGCTGAAGTCATCGATCAGTCTAGCCACTGCGCGATTGAGCTGTTTGAATGACCCTCCGGTCATTACTTGGTCGACCTCGGAGGGATTACCGACGTCAACTGTATGTTCCGCAGTACCTCGCCCGGTATCATCGTCGTCAAGCAGGTTGGCATCTGGATCGACGAAGCGCTTGAGCTCTTTCTTGGGCACTTGATCTTTCACCAGGTCCATCTTGGATAGGATATTGACGTGTGGAAGTTCCATCATGATCATGGCGCTCATTGCCGAAAGTGTTCCGGCAAAGAACTTGGCCTTGTCCACCACGAATGTCGCTTCAAGCAGATATGCAGCGCAGAGGTTGATGTTCAACGGTCCCATTCTTGACAGGTATTTGACCAGCTCGGGAAGTAGAGGGATATGTGTGTAGAGTTCTATTTGACCGGGAAGATCGAAGAGGATGAGGTATTCTTCGGAGAGTGGCTCGATTGCGGAGGCGAGGAAGTCGAGGTTTTGCAGGAGAAATTCGAAGCAGAATATTAGACCGCCATTTGGTCCTAATGACATTTCTTCCATCACGTCTTCCAAGGAAATGAGGTCGCGAATGTCGAGGTCGGGTTCGTAAGCGAAGTCGTTCGCCGCAGGATCGAGGTTGATGTAGAAACATGACCGCCTGCTGTGTTGAAGATGTTGGATCAATGCTGTACAGAAGGTAGTCTTGCCGGCACCGGCAGGGCCCATGACTAGACAGCCGAACTTGGACATTGTGAGTGTCTCCTGCAAAGGAAGGAGATGGCTGTTTTTATTGCGACAAAGTTGGATTTATGCGGTGTACTTCGATCGTTATATCATTCATGGCACATGAGCATGCATGTGCACAGCACGTGTCCTCCTCTTTGACGATTTCTGCCGGACCGGTGTCCCAGACGCGTTAGACTCGTTCGCCTTGTGTGTATGCAGGTGAAGACAATAGTGATATCGATGTCGACGTTGTAGGTTGTTCTATAGACAAACACATTTGACACTTTCAAAAACTTTCAAACAAAATGACGGCGACCACAGTCCGGGACTTCTTCGGATAAAGACTTCAGTTGTTAAGGTCAGTGAGAGGGTCTCAGGTGTTCAGAGAGTTGTCCAGCGATGGGGTCACTGGAACTCAGGCACCCTCAAAGCCCGATAGGGCGAAGGGTCAGGCAATTCGGGAAGAAAAAGGTATGTCGCGCCGAACACGCACTTCTCGTGCCCGCGGCCGCGCCCTCTCTGCCGGATAAAGCGCGAAAGAGATACTGTGAGTGAGTGTGCATGGGGCCATCAGGAACCGCTATTTGCTGGTTTGGCTGGAAAAAAGACACGACTGCCGATTGCCTGCCGATAACGACATCGCAAGGGCAAGACTGCAAACTGTTTTCTCCTCACTAAATTTCCCCCCAATTTTTTTCCAAGGTCCATCCTCTTCTCTACTTGTTGTCATAGACCGCTTTTCTCCCACTCTCGCTGGCTTGAATTCCTTTTCACACACCTCTTGTGACTCTTGGACATACGGATCTTGCAGTACATCACAGTCAGGACCCGGGAAAAGTTCAGCAGCGATTGGGATTGTCACTTCTCTTGACAGCCTCCTCTCCCTCTCCAGTACATACCCCTCCACCAGCCTCTTCGCGTTCAACACCCTCGGACAACCGTCTCCGGCACTTTTTCTCTCCTAAAGAAACCCTCAGCAACCCCTGTACTCTTTCAAAATGGCCGGTCCCGTTAATGGCAACACCAATGGTGCCGACAAGCGTGATACCTTCCTCTTCACCTCCGAATCTGTCGGCGAGGGTCACCCCGATAAGATCGCGTGAGTTTAGAGCTTCGCTAGAGAGGCCGAGCTATAGATCTGACAAAATGTAGTGATCAGGTTTCCGATGCCGTCCTCGATGCCTGCCTCAAAGAAGACCCTCTATCCAAAGTCGCTTGCGAGACTGCCACCAAGACCGGTACGCGGCCATAAAAATACAGCCGTCGCTGCCCAGCTAACCGTTGTGCAGGCATGATCATGGTCTTTGGAGAAATCACCACCAAGGCTCGTCTTGACTACCAGAAGATCATTCGTAACACCATCCGGGAGATTGGCTATGACCACTCCGACAAGGGTTTCGACTACAAGACTTGCAACGTCCTTGTGGCTATTGAAGAACAATCCCCCGATATCGCTCAGGGTCTACACTATGAAGAGGCGTTGGAGAAGCTCGGTGCCGGTGACCAAGGTATCATGTTCGGATACGCTACCGACGAGACCCCAGAACTCCTTCCCCTGACCATCCAACTCGCCCACAAGCTCAACGCTGCCATGACATCTGCACGAAAGTCCGGCGAGATCCCATGGCTACGGCCCGACACCAAGACTCAGGTCACGGTGGAATATGCTCATGATGGAGGTGCCGTCATTCCCCTGAGAGTGGACACTGTTGTTGTCTCAGCGCAACACTCTGAGGACATCACCACCGAGGAGCTACGAAAGGAAATCAAGGAGAAGATTATCAAGAAGGTCATCCCTGCCAAGTACCTTGACGACAAGACCGTCTACCACATCCAACCTTCTGGTCTCTTCATCATCGGCGGCCCTCAAGGTGATGCTGGTCTTACTGGACGTAAGATCATTGTTGACACATACGGTGGCTGGGGTGCTCACGGTGGTGGTGCTTTCTCTGGCAAGGACTACAGCAAGGTTGATCGCTCGGCAGCCTATCTTGCCCGATGGATCGCCAAATCCCTTGTCAAGGCGCGTCTCGCTCGTCGATGCCTCGTTCAACTCTCATACGCTATTGGTGTTGCCGAGCCTTTGTCTCTGTTTGTCGATACATATGGCACTGGTGACAAGTCCAGCGCTGAGCTCGTCGAGATCATCCTTGCCAACTTCGATCTCCGACCTGGTGTCATTGTCAAGGAACTGAACCTTATCAACCCCATCTACTGCCGAACCGCCAAGAACGGCCACTTCTCCGACCAGACCTTCACCTGGGAGCAGCCTAAGGAGCTTAAGTTCTAAGCTGCTATTGACATACTGCGGCAAAGATGATGGCACTCCTCAACTGGACGATCGAAGACGTTAAACAGATCGAATGGCGGATCATGCAAGATTCTGCACCTTGGTTTCAACCATCCAAGGTCGGTTTGATGCCTGTGCTGCCATTTCCTGGAAGCGTTTCGATGAAGTCTTTGTGACGACGGAAAGTATCATGAGTTTCATATGTGGTCATGAAAAAAGAGCGGAGACAATGGTTTTGCTTATTTCCAAAAAGTTTCTAGGGCGCGGGCAAATTCGTGACGATATTCAACACTGTTATGATACCCCCTGCGCGCAAGACACGTTGATATGTTTGTTTTACTTGGCATTGGGAAACGGCGTTCAACTCGCTATGCTAGATGGGAGACAACAAGTGTTGTACAGCTATGGAGGGGGTACCTTTTGAGGGCTCCAGAGAGATTTCAGCGGTTACGCATACGCAGGCAATCCTGTTGCGAGGAGTGATGCCCGCAATCAACACCTCAGGATAGACCGAAACTGGTCAAACATATTGGGACGGCTCGAAATGAATACCAGTCGCACCCCAAGGTCTCAAATACCAGCCTGCAGAGGCTTCAGCTTCAACCCCGACGTGCACTACGTTGCGCTCTTTCTTTTGCTCTTCTCTCACATCGGCTTTGTCCATCTGGGCTGATGAGGATCATCCCTTGTGTTTCTTTCACTAACATCAGTAGACCTGGACTGCCAATTGCGGTGTCCGAAATCTTTTGAAGCACGCTCAAGCAACTAAAACCGTTGATTGAAGGAGCTGACACTACCACTGATACCGGATTGATCTGGCGATCGCAGATACAGAAAGCAATCGGAACCAGAGGACCATGGCCAACAACTATCGAGGTCATATTGCCAACAAGAAGCAGAACTCAAAGCTCCCTTACGACTCTCGCGTCGAAGACCATCATCGACCAAACGCCGCCACCGCTCACCTAGTCCGGTCCAATTCAGTGCCTCCCATCAAGCGTTTCGCCCGTCGATCCACCCATGCAACCAATTCGCGATATCAGTCACATAAGACGGGGTCCCCACGCTTTTCGGACTAGCCAGATCTCCATCGCTCGCAATACTCCCGGAGTTATACACGCGCAGTGCCTCATACACGTTCCCATGCTGTCGATCAAGGTTCTGCTTGAAATGCAGTGCCCCGGCGTGGATCATATCCGTCACAATATCTTGTCTCAATGTGCCGCCCTGCCGACAAAAAAGTCAGTACTGAACACCAAAATGATCCACATGCATTGCAGTGCAAGGGCGAAGCCAGATTCGAAAGCACACATACCGGCGCAACACCAGTGCAGCCCGAACACTGCAAGAGTCCTCCAGTCCCTTGACCGTCAGCGTCGATAGTCGTCTATTTATGGTCATCTCGTCAGTCATCGTCAAGATCACCGATTTTCATTGTCTGAGAGGCGAAAGAGAGCTTACAGGTACATAACAGTTTCCGGTACTCTCCTGCATGAGCATATCGTACTAGTACGATATGCTCGACGCCTTTACAATCTGGCTTTGCAACGACGGTGTGAATTGCCTCATGAATCTGCAAAGCAACAATTACCCAGTGTCCAACCTGAGCTCTCATACGAGAGAGTACAGAAGACGTACGAGATTCGCCGCCTGCTCTCCGTCACCGTGCGGCTTCTTTGCCTGCTCGATCGTGGGCTGTAAGTGCTTGAACAGGTGGCCGTACGAACAGACACGAGGGTCGAACATCTTCTCAAACGCTGTTGCCGGCCCGCTGCAGTGATAGTAGGTCTCATTGATCGGAGCTGTGCCTCTTGGGATGGCACCACTTTGGTCGGTCTCCTTGATAGGAGCTTGACCCTGGGAAGCCGCACCGGACTGTTGTGCTGCCATGGATATGATATGACGTTCCTTTTGTGCAGATATATCCCTGAATGGTTTGCAAACCACGTTATGATCAGGCCGTTGCCTGTTATATACCCATCGCGCCTCATATTACTATGCGACATGGGAGATCTGAGCCAATTTGCCGCTGAGCAAAGCCCATTTCCAATAAGACTAATCCTGCGTTGTCCGTTGGGGCCCGGAAGTGATACACCCTATTCTAGGGATGTCGAGTATGACATTGTGAGTTGCTGTCCACTAGATTTAGAGGCCTTGCCGCCTTTGTGGCCATAATACGCACGCTTCGGACTCTTCCAACTCTTCCGAGGGGCCGTATAAGTGATACAAGGCAAGACACCACGGGTAGTTCCTACATAGATGGCAGTCGACGGCCAAATGCCGAAAACCGCATTGCACATGTTTAGGTATAACGATGCACGGATACCTGATAAAGAATCGAACCAGGAATAGTTGATGCTGGCTACTTTAACTTAGTCTATGGAGTCATATCTCACCTGCCAACCTAGAGCAGCAGGCGTGTTAGTTCGAACAACTTGGGCCTGGTCACTTGTGGGGGGCCAGCAATGCCTGATGGGAAAGTAAGCAAGGCCCTCCTCCACTTTGTCCGGAATAGGAGATGCCACTGGCTGATAGATTTGATTTGTCTGGAGTAGCTAGAGACGAATGTATGACCCCTGTTCATCATCGAGGCCCGCAGTACTCATACCACCCGCCTAGCATGTGTTTTGCACAAGGTACATAGTAGAGGAGCCTCCCTTACGCAACGCCTGGAGGTGGCACATGCTGCTGAACCTCGATCATATTGCCGTCCGGGTCCTCCACCGTCAACAGCTGCGCAAATCCAACGAGTTGTTGGCCCTTGACGAGCAGCTTACGCTCGGTCTGATTAGTAGTGGCGGACGGACCAAAACCAAGCGCATTTTCGACCGACGTGATATTCTCCGCACTCTGGCCAATGCGTTTGGTGATCTTGGCCCCGAACTTCTCCATTCGCGCCTGAGCTTTTTCTAGGTCTGGCACTATCAATCCGATGTGACTGAAGGTGTTGGGACGTACGGTGGTCGCTGTCATGCCTTCATCCTGGGAGTCAGAGAGATACTGCAGTTCAAGGAGTCCCGCGGCGTTGTTCTTGTCACGTAGCATCTCCTGGCCTGTTTGATAGCCTGTGCCGTTCCTGCCGCCTTGTGCATGACCCATGTAGGTTACGCTGTAGCTGGGAGATAGCTGCGCGGTGAAGATGTGTCGCATGCCGAGGACCTTACTGTAGAAGTGCTGGCTGGCCGTGAGGTTGCGCACTATGAGGGATAGGAGGTTGATGGCGAAACCGAGGGTCTCGGGGTCGGCGGGACCGTCGTCGCCGTTTGTCAGGAAGTCGGCGCTGGTCTGGCGGGACTCGAGTGCACAGGAGTGGACCCCTTGGGCTGCTAGGGCGAGGCAGCTGACTAGAAGTTTGATGGCGACCATGGCGATCGATGTGTCCTTTACAAAATCTTGAAACCCCTGACTGTAGTTCCTGAGCAAAGGGATGTGGTTTCTTGGTAGAGGCTGGAACAGTGACTGCGGCCTGTGTAGAGGTTTGTTTTTTATTGTCGAGGCGGTACATCTTGATGGATTTTCTGCTGCCTTTTTATAGCCTGCGAGAATCCGCCCCCATCATTCGAGAGCGGTGTTCATACCTGCTTTGGTCGAAGTCCTTCTGTTCATACTCACGATTGCTCCGGTTCCTACTCACTATTGCTCGGGTTGAGGCTCAAGAAGGCGACAAGTCCGTCCTCGTTCTCTGGGCACGAAGATCATGCCCAGAGCGTGAGGCCATGCGCGCTATTGTGCTCAGGCTGTCCACCTTTCCTCAGGTGTAGAGCAAGTGAGGCCACCAGCCTTGTTAGTGGTGCCGCCCACTATGACAAGAAGATCGTAGGTCTTGGTCGTCTCAGTGCTATTGCTGGCTGCCGTCTGAAATGAAGAGGATATGAGGGGAAGAGCTCGACTTGGCGAAAAGCTAGGCAGCTCAAGATCAGAGTGGCACAGCACTGTACGGCCGTGAGATGTACTTCCGCTATGGTTCCATGGAGTATCGGCCAAGACGAATCCTCCTCCCCTCAAGCACTGGCACATGGCGGAAATGTTCAGCATAGAGTCTGATCCGACGACGCGCTAAGCCCGATCTGGACCTATACAGCGCTCCGACTTGGCCGACCATTTCTTTGGGAGGCCTTACCTGATACTAGTCGGTAGGTCTTGGGACATTCCCACAACTGCTGTCCTGGTGAAATGCCCTCATAGCCTCCAATAGACTTCGGTTCAAGCACATTTCCTCGAGAGGCGAGAAGCACAGTTTCAATCACACTCCAGGAATGTGCCCTCAAGTCGATGAGATACCACGTATAGGCACGTTCACCGCGACTCGATCTCACGTCGTCTGTCCCTGTCAAGATCGTAATCCGACTCTCTCTTCCGCCGCCGTGGCGATCGTGACCGTGACCGCGACCTAGAATGTGATCTCTTCCGTCTCTCGCCACGATCGCCATCTCTGTACGACTCTTTCTCGCGTCGCTGACCCACGGCGCTGGCATTGGCACCGGTGGGACCTGTATTGCCACCACCACGCTGGTCGTCTGGGAGGAATCGCTCGTCCAAGCCTCTGGTATCGAAACCCTCACCAGCACCTCCTGATGGGCCAGCACCACTTCCTCTCCACCTCTTCACGTCCTCGCCAAAACGACCGGTATCCTGACCTTTGAGATCGGTGTATCGTGTGCGCCCTTTCTTGCCTAGTTTCGTCATGTCTCGTAGCCGCATATACTCCGGCAAAACAGACTTGTCAGTGACATCGTCCTCGAATCGTGCGCCCATGACATTGCGTCGTTTTAGGATCTCAGCAGTCTCGTCGCCCTGGAAGAACGCGCCTTTGTGATGATACCTTGCCAGAAATTGTGCTTCCGATCGGCCTCCCTCGCGTTCTTCACGCTGCTTGTCCAGGTACTCTTTGTCTTCCTTCTCCCGCTCCTCAGCCGTGAGGTTTCGCCGTCGTTCCGTCTCTTCAATCTCTTTTTCTCGCGCAACCAAGGCTTCTCTGTCGCGTTTTAGGCGCTTAAGTTCCCGCACTTTCCATGCTGCATACTCTGCTTCCGGGTCGACACCATCCGTGTCGTCCACCATGGATTCTGGAAGAACATCGTCGTCATCGTCCCATGCCTTCTTGCCTTGAGCTCGAGCGAGGGCATCGCGTTCGAGTTTGTCCTTGATTAGGAGGTCTGCTTGGGCGAGCCGGCGAGATTGCTCCTCGACTTCAGCGTTTGGGGTCTGATGGGCTGCGTCTGTAGGTGCGGATTTACGTTCGGTCTTCTTAATGAATGTTGGGCGTTGGAATTTGCGTTGGGGTGCTTCTTCCTCTGAGGAGCTCTCCTCTTCCTCTTCGGATGCTTCGTCGGATTCGTCCTCCTCCGATTCCTCTTCCGACCTTGCCTGCGTAGAGTCCTGCTTTACAGCAGGCGGTCTGGATATCGTGGATGTAGTTCTTGCCGGTTGTGATCCTGCCGGTGCTGGAGTTTCTTCTGCATCTTCTGGGTCTGTTACGAATCCCTCTTCGTCTTCGTCTTCCTCCTCACTTTCTTCCTGAACTGGTGCCTGTGGCCTTTTGGCCTGGGTCGGTCGTGCCTGAGGTGTCCTCTGAGATTGTGGTTGCTGTTGCTGTTCCTCTTCTGACTCTTCTTCTTCTTCTTCGGACGACTCTTGTTCTGCGACTGCTTTTCCCGGACGATACCTTCCAACGGGTTTCGCTGGGTTTGCGGTCATGTGCTTCGTGGGATTTGGCATTGGAGGAGGCATGTTAGGCAACGTATAGGAGGAAATGCAGGCTGATGGCAGACTTTGTGATGCACCAGTGCCCAAGGTCAGAGGACCCTTACCATACGCTCGGAAATGTTTCGTGGTAAATAGTGATGAACAATACTCCGCATGTAAAAAAAGCTGCGCGACTGACGTCGGATGTACGGTTGGGCATGAAAATTACGGCAGATCATAAAGCTCGAAGACAAATAGATATTCGCGTCCGATCTCGGCTTCATCATACCGGCTGTCACTCCGATTATGGCTCGCTCGAATACACCCCCAGTACAAAACTAGATTTGGGACGTTGCGACCCAGAGGGATACGCGATTCAACGTCCATTTGATACATTCATTATTGGAATATCATAAGTCTCATTTGGCAGCCGCCGTCTGGCCCGACTTCCCTAGCCTTCCCAACGAGTGACGGTGCTCAATCCAGTCTTTTACAGTCTTGACCTGTCTACCCGTTACACAAGAGACAGGCGTCTCTCTTTTCACCGCTCCATCAATCCCGTCCAGAACCTCCAACAACGTATCCTGACTCGGATGGCAGAAATATGCCATTGAGTAGCGATCCTTCCCAATATCTTCAGCTCTAGGGCTTCTTGCCACTCTGTGCAACGTGCTCTTCATCAGTCCGCCAGAAAGAAACGTCAGAGTCTCTCCAATGTTGATCAACACCGCTCCAGGGATCACAGGAGCATCGAGCCATTTCTCGTCAGGTTGGATCTTGCCCGTGTACTTTGGCGGTCGAACCTGGAGACCCGCAATGACATTCTGGAACAGGATCGTGATCACGCCTTGGTCGCTGTGTGAACCAAGTCGAACGGGCGCCTCGTCACCTGCCTCCAAGGTCGGGTAGTATATGAGTCTTAGGGTGGTGTACGAAGGGTTCTCATGCTTATGCATTTGTGGAAGTTGATCTTTGGTCAAGCCCAGACCAAGACCTAGACATGCGAGTAACCGCAGTGCAATCCTTTCGTGAGTTTCCGCCATGAATTGCTGGATTTCTGGGTTGAACTTGCGCAACGAAGGCGGCATGGGTTGATCGTACGACGCTTGTTTTCGAATCACAAAGACTTCTTTTGCGTCTTGTTTGGATGTGATGTCGGTGGCACCATTCTCCGCAAAGTACTTTTCCGTGCCGGTGCGTGCATCGTAACCGGCATTCAGGACGCTGTTCCACGGTGTTGAAGCCTTTTCTTCGAGGGGAGTCGTCGTGAAGAATGTCTCGCTGATGTTGAACATGCGATCGACCTGGCTTTGCTCTAGGCCATGATTCTTGAGGTACAAGAATCCCCACGTCTCGCAGATCGTTTTGATCTCTTGCGCTAGGCCAGGAAGATCAGTGTCGAAGCGCGAAAAGTCCACTATGGGTATATTCTCTGTGTCGACAGCCCCCATTTTGGCTTGTGGGAGGATCAGAATAAGCCTGCAGCAAGACAAGAAAGTCTGAACAGCACAGTGAAGTAACGAACAGGGGTAGTGGCAAACCTTTGGCACTGAGAGAAGAGGTACTGAGCGTACCTTTAAAGAGCCTCACAGCGCCCGAAACCAGCGATAACCATATCACGACGAGCCAATCGTGCACCGGCCATTGGCCTAGTGTGCTTGTAATCTCTGCCGCGTACTCGGCGACGATGGTCTCGATCTCGTCAAGCTCGGGAAAGCGGCAGCAGTCCGAGTACGACGGTGATGTCCGCAGATAAGCAGTACGACGAGGCTGAAGTCCAGAGGGGGCGTCATCTCCCCATCCTTGTCCTCGTAAGCTGCGAGCACTCGAACAGTATGTCTATTCTACGTATACGGGATGTTCGGCCATCTTCCGGTCCATCCCATGCACGTCCTTGACAGTTTTGGACATCATGCCCAATGTCATCAATCAGAACCGAAAACCCAATGTCTTTACCCCAAAGAGCACCTCCGCCTTTGGGTACAAGGATGAGACACCCCGCAGAACATGCGAACTCCAACATCAAGACCGAGGGCCGGACCCCTCGACATGGTACCTAACCTAGAGACATTGAGAACGGTAGGATATGAAAGGCCATCGTGACTCTGTGTGAACTTACTCGCTGCCGTCAACGCCCGTGACATATTCGTTATACGCCAACCTTCGTCCACCTGATTACCCTCTCATTTTGCATCTTTCAACAATGACAGGCCGAGGTCCAGTGGAAGACTTTCCAGTCGAGAACAAAATCGTCCTCGTCACAGGCGGTGGAAGTGGCATTGGTCTCACATTCGCCCGTATTTGTCACGAGAAGGGCGCAAAAGTCATCATCGGGGACCTGAAACTCACCCAAGAAGCACAAGACTATCTCTCCTCGAAGGACAAGTCTGAGATCTTCCACGAGACATGCGATGTGACATCCTGGAAGTCATTGCACAATCTGATCTCGGCGAGTCTCAAGACGTTCGGCGACGTTCCCGACGTCTATGCGCCAGTCGCAGGGGTCTTCGATCCGTCCTGGTCAAATTTCTGGGATGACACGGAAGACGAGAGCTACAAGACAGTGGCGATCAATCTGCAGCATCCCGTCAAGTTGACTCGCCTTGCTATGAAGGCTTTGGCGTCCGCTGATAAGAAGGGCGTTGTATGCCATGTGGCTTCGACAGCAGGGATTCGCGGGAACTTCTTTGCGCCACTCTACGTCGTTACCAAGCACGGTGTCGTTGGCATCACCAAGTCACTTGCACAAGCTGATCCTGAGTTCGGCGTACGGATTGTGGCTGTGCTGCCGGGCACAGTGAAGAGTAATTTGTGGGAAGACCGGGACGATCACGTCATGGAGGCGACTAAGTACAAGGAACGGAAATTGATGCCACCGAGCACGATCGCAGAATTGATGGTCAAGATGGTCGAGAGCAAGGAATATACCGGTGGAACTTGCGTGCTGAAGACGCTTACGGAGGAAAGAGTTGTTGAGGAGGGTTGGGACAAGGCTGCTGGGAAATATGACCCGAGTCCTCGACCGGAAGCTGACCTTAGCCATATCAGAGAGGTCATTGCCGCGGAAAGGGGCAAGAAATGGGAGGCATGATTCGCACAACACTGTAGCACAGTTGAATTGGATTTGCTCATAGGGCTATAACCGAGCCTGTTCCGACGCATCGCTTGCTATGTTTCAACACATGCTGTCGATAATCCTATAAGTTTGCTTCCGTAAGCTGTTTCACAGCTAGACCAGCGCCAACGCCGATCAAGCTGCCCGCGCCGAGTCGACCGGCAACCACTCTCCAGCCTTGCTTCACCACTCCTGCATCTCGAATGGCCCCAAGCCCAATGGCCGTTGTCATGCCTATTAGACTCCAAGTGTCCACTGCGACCTGGCCTTTATTGTGCAGCAGCCGATAACTTCGATCTTGCCATTCAATCTCCTCCTTGCCGTGCATCATCATGGGAAGCATGATGGCCATGGCAGAGAGTCCGACGACAGAGCCCACACCTGTGCTCCGTAGGATCTTGGCTGAGGCCGCTGTCGTCGACTGAGCATTGACGGGCAGACGAAGTTGTGAAGTAGTCGTAGAAAAGAATTGCCGCGACGGTCTCGTGGCTTGAAAAGTGGCGGCTGGATGTGAGAAGACTGTTTTCAATGTCGTCGGTCGATTGCTGGCAGAGAAAGCGCCTTCAATGGCCGAGTTGTGCTTCTGCCGAGGTCTTAGGATGCTCGAGTACATCGAGTTGAAGGGAACTGTCCTGAGAGCGCCGACAGCTGCTCCCATTACAGCTCCGGACTGGAAGCCTCGATGTAAAACATGCGTGGTGAGGATAGTGCCGGCAAAGCGTTGATCCTCGGCATATTCTGCTACAGGGAATAAAGCTGACATTGTTGTCGAGATATATTTGTCGACCCTTGCGATAGGGATATTGTGTTGCTTTAGTGTCCAAGTTGGCTATCTTCAGACTTTCCTTGCTTTCAGTTGATCTCAGGTATTGGGAATGCACAGTTTCACGTTTTCACGACAGATGATACTCGTAAACGTTGGTAGAATTTTAGACTGCTTGTGGACTCACCAGATATAAGTCATTTGCATGCACTATTGTTCGGCCGTGCTCGGGTTTTATCATTATCCGCTGCTCATACGACGAATGGCTTCGACATGCAATGTTTTTGAACATTGATAGGGGATCCAAGTGTCACGGGGAAGAAATTCCCCCGAGGTTTCAGGCTTTGCGGCCGCAAGACAGAGAGTCTTCCAGGCGCCTAACCGCTTTCCCACTAGCATAGACCGCGATCATTCCACTCGCTCTGGGGTGAGTGGAGCGTATAAGGGCACGGGCTCCGAAAGTCAAGGACGAGGAGCAATTCAATCCCGTCGGTTCATCATGCTTTGGAAGTAGGTGGTGCAATCAATTGCAATGACTTTCAAGAGTAGTCCTGCGATTCTAGCAATGCGTGATAGATGTGGTTGAGAAGACTGAGTTGTAGTAGCAGATTGATGGTTGAGGTGAGCATTCAAGGCCGTTGTCAGATATGGGAGGAGGGGCCTCAGACGACACAGCGCTGTCCATATCAGGTCTGCGGCGCTAAATCAATTTCGGTCTTCAGGCTCAAAGTGTCGCTGAAAGAGATAGAATGATATGATTTCAGCGGATTACATTATAATATGTTTTCATGGCAGTCACGGGCAGTAACTTCGAGCAAGGTAATACCCTGGACCCTGCCCAGAGAACTTGGGGAAAGGTACCCAGTTTAGGTGATACTACAGCCTAAGTCCACTTTCAATGGGGCACCAGACAATAAAGAACCTTAACTATGCTTAATTAGACAACCACGTGCAGTGGACCCGGGCACCATCATCGATCCTTTGCTCTTTGCCGCATTCTCGCCTGGGTGATGAGAAGTCGCTCCCATGCCAGTGTTGCCATCACGCGGTAAGTCTTTGTACAAGGGAAAGGGGCTCACGGGGCTAAGCAAACCATTGAGTCTCAAAATGCCAGCCATCTTTCATCTTGCCTGTCAAAGCCAGCACAGACATGCTTCAGTCGCAAGATGAGGAGAAACTCCTGAACGATATACACTTGCGCCGGCACGCCTCTCTAATTTGATTTCTTGGCAGGTGTTCTCATGATTTCGACGCCCGGCGCGTATGGTCTGACAGAGGCTTCGAGTAGTGACCTTGGCCACGGCCAGTTGCAAGGGAAAAAATTGCAACCCTCTCGCGCGGTCGGGCGGAAAGCTTGCAAATTTCCTCCAGTCGATGCCCTCACGGCATTTCTCATCATGTTGGCTGGCCCTAGTCCTGAGACAAGCGCCACCGAGCTAAAGGAAAAGCGGCACACTCTTTCCCAGTGCTAATGACCTCAACACAGTTCGGCTAGCCAAATGCCACAGCAGATCCATCGGTTGTGACCTTGAACTTTTGTTCTTCCCCTCAATTCTATTGCAATGGCACGTTCTGTTTCTTTGCAACACCAACGACAACTGGGAATGACCACTCTCTGACGCGCACAAATAAGACCGCAATCATGCGCTTGAGTCCGCTCTTGTTCGTGGCCAGCGCCATGGCCACGCTTGACCTTGACCTCAGTTCTCGCTCATCCATCGCGTCCGCCGCCTCTAGCGTCGCGTACAATATGATGACTTACTACGTCGGCAACCAGACCGGTCAAGTTCCTGGTATTCTTCCTGGATCACTCAGTTGCAATCCCAATGTCGCTGGCACATACTGTTGGTGGGAAGCGGGCGCCATGTGGGGATCGCTCATCAATTACTGGCAATACACCGACGACAGTACATACAACTCGATCGTTTCCGAATCAATACAGTTTCAACGTGGACCACAAAACAATTTCAACCCGCCGAACCAGTCGCGAAGCATGGGAATCGACGACCAAGTGTTTTGGGCCTTCTCGGCGCTCGATGCAGTCGAGTCCAACTTCCCAGAAGCTGGAGGCGACAATCCCTCATGGCTAGCGCTCGCACAAGGTGTCTTCAACTTCCAAACAGCATATTGGGATTCAGCAACCTGTGGAGGAGGCTTCCGATGGCAAGTGTATTCCTTTAATTCTGGTTACAACTTGAAGACAATGGGTGCGAACGGCGGCAATTTCCAGCTTTCTGCTCGACTGGCTTACGTGACTGGCAATTCCACCTATGGAAACTGGGCGAACCAGGTCTGGGATTGGATGTATAGCAGTCAGCTGATGACCTTGTCAGGCGACGATCTGTATATCTGGGATAGTACGGATACAGCCAACAATTGCACCAATGCCGACAATCTCGTGTGGACGTACAACTACGGAACTGTGCTTTCAGGAGCTGCCTACATGTATAATTATACCAACGGCAGCTCTGTATGGGAGACTCGAGTGCAGCAAATACTGGCAACGACGTTCCTCTTGTTCTTCCCATCCGAATATGGAGGCAACATCATGACCGAAATGGAATGCGAGCCCAAACTGATTTGCAACCAAGATCAAAAGAGCTTCAAGGCCTATCTTGCCCGCTCGCTTGCCATTACTGCTCTCCTCGTGCCTAGCACTGCTGCACAGATCACGCCCAAACTACAGGCAACCGCACAGGCAGCGGCGGAATCATGTAACGGCGGTGTGTGTGGCGAGCAGTGGTATTTGGCGAGCTACGACAGCACGACTGGCGTTGGCGAAGAGGTACGTATCTTTACTGTGGCAAGAAGTTCAAGGCTAACAGTATTGTAGATGGCTGCGCTATCAATCATTGGTGCCAATTTGATGGACTCGAGTATGATTCCTCTGAAACTGAGTACGGGCGCAACTTCCACACCTGATCCGAACGCTGGAGGTACCACCGGCACCACTCCATCAACCGCGTTCACGAAAACCATCACCACAGGCGACAGAGCAGGTGCTGCAATCCTGACTATCCTTGGATCCGCCTTTATACTTGGTGGTGTCTGGTGGCTCATAATATAGGAAACGGACGAATCTCCATCAGCAATTGGATTGCAAAATCTAGAAGTTTTGTTCGCGGCCCTGACGCCCACATGCGCCATCACGACTCTCATCAGAGAACAAGTCTACTCACAACCCTTCGTCACGATATGATTTTGTCGAGTTTTCACCGCCTGGTTGGACGAGTCCTCGCAAAGCTCATGGAAAAGACACGCTTAGCGTTGCATACTAGTGCGATGATTGGACCTTTCGAGGAGTCATCGATGCCCCTGAGAGGTTACGTTAGCCATCAACCGCTTCCCTCAGTGCTTCACACGATTGCAGCACTCACCTGCGTCGGAATCGGGCATGATGAAAACCCCGCAGAACTACCACTGAGAAGTGCTGCAGGTGGACGAGTCAAAGGCCATAACGATCAGTATATCGGTCAGTCTCATCGAAAAGGTCCTTCATATACAGGGCATTCTAATGCCTCCCAAGAGTCGCACGAGCACGCCAAGAGCGAGGGGGTGGTGGAATATTGAGAGACGGTTGTTTTGCGTTGACTCATTCGGACTTGAGCTGGCAAAAGGCCGGTCGTCGCGTTGGATCTCGAATCTCTGGACGCCATTCAAAATTGTCGTGATCCGTATCGCTTGTGTCTGCCAGTTGTGAACATGGGATATCGACTGCTACGTTTCGGCGAAATGGCATTGGCATCAATCGAGAGTGTTTTGAGCATTTCTGCGAGGACACCTACCTGCATAGCATCGGAGCAATCAAGATATTTGTACCAGCATGCCATTGAGATGAAGACAGACTTGGTATTCGTACTCAAGACAATCATGCGCCCTAGCTGCAGAGTCGATCACTCATTGTTCAGTTTCATCGTGCAAGTCGTCGCGTTAGCGGATTCCCTATCGTCACAGAATGGCTGTCTGAGATCTGCTGTAGCATAACGACACTTGCAGTCGTCATTACCTTGACATCCGTTCATTTACTACCTCTTTTTAGGTGAGGTGTCATAGATGACATCGACTTCCACGGTGATGCGTCCCCAGTCATAATTGAGTGAACCTTCGCCGCTGCACGCCTCAACGTTTATCTTGTTACCGCGGTTCTTATCGGCTATCCATCTTGCCCAAAGTTAGGTTCCAGTACATCGCTACACAGCCTCACCTATCAAAGGTCTATTGAGCGTTGAGACCATTTCCATTGCTCATACTATCCAAGAACAGCTAAGGATGCCCTCATTTCTCTCACGGGTGCTCGGCGCCTGGGAACTTCTCACATACACCGCAACCAATGTCGAGGATGGCAACGATGTGATCTATCCAATGGGCGAAAACTGCAAGGGTCAGATCGTATACACCAATGACGGTTACATGGCTGCTCTGCTACAGTGGGGAGATGTCGAACCATACAAAGACGGCTCAAAACGAGGTACAACACAAGAGCTTGCCGATGCAGCGAAGAAGACCATGTCATACTGCGGACCATTCCATCTCGATGAACAGCCAGGAAATAAGCAGAAGATCATTCATCACGCAAAGATCGCCCTTCCGCCAAATTATATCAATACTCTCCAGCTGCGAGTTGCAGAAATGACCGAGGACGATGGACAATTGTTTTTGACATTGGGGCCTGAAGGTCTCACTGAGGACAAAGGTGTGAAGAGAATTGTCAGACTCAAATGGCGCAAACTACCACAGAACGACACAAGCAAGGCGCCACGAGATGGAAAGCTGTAAGACGGAACCATAACATGGTGGCACCTGTTGGCTGCATGTGGGCTCGATAGATGATGGGGAGACGAGCACCGTGATGAAGTCGATTTCATTGGGTGTTAACCGTGCTGGCGGTCTACTGATGAATCTGGGAGCTTTTCGGTTTACTGTATCACTCCAAAGAACTATACATCAGGCTGGCATCTGCAAACAAGTCTTTTCCGAGCCAGACAAGACCTTCTGAATATGACTTCGGCATCTGTAGTGTCGTTATCAAGCGGTGTAAGAAAATGAGGCCGTCCGGCAGGAAAAGTTCCCGTCCGTCGCGCTTCCTGCGCTTCCCCAACAACTCGCGTCTTCCTACGATGTGAAGTTCAACTCGCAGGGCTCTTAGTTAGCCACTAATTCCCTTCTCTTCCTTGATCGTTTGAAAACCACAGCATGGCTGAGGTTGTTAGCATTCCGGTGGCTCCTGATGGGTCGACAGATCCCGAAAAGCCCGCAGGCGACCTCGCTTCGAATATGAACCAGATGAAACTCGAATACAACTCGGCGCACTCCGCAAATGGTACTCAGTCTGTACCCGTTCCATCCAAGACGCTGAACTTGCCCCGTTCTAGTGCTGACGGCATCATCAAAACACCTCTTGCCGAGCCTTTGGGAACTTCCAAACCCGTTGCGAGGCCCCCATTGACCGCGGAGCAAGAAAAGAAGTACGCCACCTTATTCAAGAGTGTGTTAGGATGGGACCTGTTACCTGTGGCTTCCACGAGCGGCGCGAAGACGGCTGTTCTTACAGATTCGGAGCGAATGTTCTTGACCCGCGAATGTTTATTACGTTACTTGAGGGCAACAAACTGGAACATGGCGCAGTCAGAAACAAGACTGAAGAATACGCTGATATGGCGTCGAGAATATGGCGTGGAAAAACATACCAAGGAGTACATTTCCATCGAAAATGCCACCGGCAAGCAGGTGATACTGGGATGGGACAACAACGGTAGAACTTGCCAGTATTTGAGACCATCCAAGCAGAATACCGAACGAAGCGATCGTCAAATCCAGCATTTGGTGTACATGCTCGAGCGTGCAATTGATCTAATGCCTGCTGGACAGGAGACTCTGGCCTTGCTCATCAACTTTGCCGAGACGAAATCAGGGCAAGGTGCGTCGGTTGCTCAGGGAAGACAGACCTTGAACATTCTTCAAAATCACTATCCCGAACGGCTTGGCCGGGCTCTTGTTACGAATCTCCCCTTCTATATCAGGGGATTCTTCACGCTGATTACGCCGTTCATTGATCCCCTGACACGAGAGAAGATCAAGTTCAATGAAGACATGGGTCTCCATGTACCGAGGGAGCAATTATTGAAAGAAAGTGGAGGTTACGTGGAATTCGAGTATGACCACGAAGTCTACTGGCCGGCACTGAATGATCTGTGTGAGTTGCAGAGGGCGGAGAGGCAAGCCAGATGGGAGAAAGGAGGTAGAAGGATAGGCGAATACGAGACATATCTCAAAGGAGGGGAAGAGAAGAGCCTTGCAGAACGTGAGCGGGAAGATGTTGCAGCTTAGTTGCCTCAGCATCTGGTTCGTTGACGTCCTTGGAAAGAGATGCAGAGTATGGGTAATGGAGTTTGCTTATGGGTTCGAGAATTGTGTCCGAATGCTGAGGGAACCTTCAGGGACGGTACGCTGTTTAGACATAGACTGAGCCAGACGATGCATGATAGACTCTTCATGATGTATGGAATTTTAATCAAGATGTGTTCAACGACAAGTCTGAGTGTTGTCTCAAGGGGAAATGTGACTCGGTGTTCTCCATCACATGCTAAAATAAGGTACAGTACGCCATCAAGTCCCAGAAAAGCAGTGCTTAAAAGACAGGCCACTAACCCGCATCGTGCCGCATCCCACATCCCACCAACCAGCCTAATTTGCTCCCTTCCCCTTCGGTCTCTAATAAGACCCTCCGACCCTGCGCTGTCAAAGCACCTGCACATCAACGATTGCTTGCATTGACTATCAGCGAGCCCTTCTTTAAAGACCCAGAAGTCATCACTTTTCCCCGTCTGTTGTCGCTTAGAGTTCGATCTCTCTACCCACCTGTTCTCCACCTGTCACCCGACAATCATCCAACTCCTTCTGCCAACAAACGAACACCTGCCCGCACTCTCTTCCCGCCGTCCCAAGAACAGAACCTCATTCGTCTGCAAGAAAAGAAGATGCTGTTTGACCGGTAACCATGACAGAAAACGCAGAGGCGACCAGGATGTCTACCCCACCAAACGGCCAACCTCCTACGAATCATCCAGCTTCTCCTGCTGCGACAGCCCACACTACCCACCATGGTCACGAGGGCACCTTTGTCCGACCATCAGATTTACTACGCCCAAGAACTGCATCTAGACCAAAAGCTCCTCCGAAGCCAGAGCGACCTATAGACCGAGATGAAAGAACTGGACTGGTAAGAGAATGTCAGACATGGTTGAATGGGACTGATATGTGAATAGAAAGCCATTCGAGATTTCCTCAGAGTGCGCAATTGCTATGAAGTTTTGCCATTGAGTTTCAGGCTCATTGAGCTTGATGTTGGCCTTACGGTAAAAGAGAGCCTGAATATTATGGTTCAGTGCAGTATGTCGCATGTTGTCTCTGTTGGGATATGATATTGACATTGGGTTGCAGATATTGTCTCTGCGCCTTTATGGGACTCCTCAACTTCCACCTATGCGGGCCTGCTTACCGTCAACGATTATCTGAATGTCGTGCGATACTACAATTTACAAGCCGACAAACTGAAGGACGTTGACAAACTCTTGCTCTCCGATTTAAAAGGTAGGGAACCAAAAACGGCCGGTCGAAATTGGTGCTGATCTGTGGTGAAGAGGTCGAGAAATTCCTAAATGTTAAACCTCCCGAGACCGTATCCGCCTCACCGGAAGCAATCTTGTACGATGCGCTACGGAAACAGTTACTGTCCAGGGCTCGTCGCATACCCTTGGTGTCGTATGATAGTGACACGCAGAGGACAATGGTCACCAGCGTCATCACACAATACAGAATCCTCAAATTCATTGCGATGAACGTCAAAGAAACCGAGATGCTCCGAAAACCGCTGGAAATGATCAAGCTCGGAACGTACGGAAACATTGTGCGCTGTAGCATGGACACAACGGTTCTGGATGTCATTGACGAAATGGTGGTCAAGAACATTTCTAGTGTTCCTGTGGTAACGACAGAAGGTAAGTCAAGCGCGCCAAGTTATTGAAACGTACTCATTCTGTCTAGGCGTCTTGCTCAATGTCTTTGAAGCCGTCGATGTTATTGAAATTCTCAAGACTGGCGACTATGGCAACCTTACCTGGACGGTTGGCAAGGCTCTTTCTGCGCGATCGCCTACCCATCCCGGGATATACTGCTGCTCGTTAGAGGATGGTCTGGACACCATTTTCGACACGATCAGGAAGTCGCGCGTTCATCGATTGATGATCGTGGACGAGAACAACTACCTTAAGGGGGTTTTATCTCTCGGTGACATTCTACATTATATTCTGGTTGAAGGGCAGGAAGACGCACAATCATGACAAGCAGCACATTGGGACAGCATAGCCTGGCGTTTACTGGGGGCAGACAGACTGGCGTTATTTGATTTGTGAGAACCAGATACGATACTCATAGAACGCGCTGGATACAATTGGGCTAATGTCAAAGATTGGATCGGGAGGAAAACCGTACAAAAAGAGGTAGCCGTTAGTATTCAGGTTGCCTTCTGCGACAACGTTCCCGATATAGTGTCGCCGCACGTGTTGTAAGTCGAAGACATTGAAAGCAAGGCCGAACAATGGGTCGAAGTTCTTGCACTAGCTACAATATACTCTCCCGTAGAATGGAACTACGTTAGCGCATACCATGCGGTGCGACGCGTTCCACTAAACGCGTCTCCCAATCCACTTATTGTAGTACTGGTGACTTGCAAGCAACACTCTGACTATTGTCGCTCTCCAATCGTTATAGAAGAGCAAGACGACTCACAGGACAAGATGACCGACTCGAAGGAAAACCTCAACGCGGCATTCGACCCTACAGGCACCGGCCTCTCGCCAGACATCCTCGGCGTCCTCGAGTCGACTTCGCGCCTGCACTCTCTGACCGCGGACGAACTGTTCATAAAATGGGAAGTCTACTGCCTGAAGATGGGCAGCGAGGAGACGCGGCTCGATCTAGAAACGGCGCGGATGTTCGCGAAGGATGTGCAAGACGGTGTCGAGCGAGGCGAGGTCTATAATAAAGCACAGCTTGCGCCCAAGTCGGAGAGGAAGGGTGCCGTGCATGCTACGCCTCGTGCTGGGGCGGCGGGAGGGGTCTTCGGGATGTACGTATCATGGCTACATGCTCAGGGTTCCTCCCCTCAGCCGGATGTCTACTAACAAGAGTATTAAGGCTCGACGAACTCACGCCGAATGCTATCCCACGACGCAATGGCAGTGTCAAGAGGAAAGCGGACTTTGACTCGCCTGTGCCAAATAAGAAAGTCAGTCGGACGGATACGAAGACACCAGCGAAGAAGACGGATGGACCTGCGTATGGACACAACACTGCGTGATTGAAGATGGCTGTGCTAATACAAGGGATCAGGGGGATTCCATTTCCCGAACGCCAGAACGCAGGACAAGTCGTCGAGACGCTGAACGAACACCTTCCCGCCGCAGGAGCACCGATGGCTCCGTTCTCAGATGCGCGATTCCGCTTGATTTCGAGAACGGACTTCAAAAAGTTCACATACAAGCCCATGTCGATGCGGTTGTCAGACGCTTCGGAAATCCTGGACGAGCGAATCGATGATTTTCTAGCGCTGGTCCAAAAACATCATAACCTTGAGGACTCGGCGTTCGGAAACGCTGCGGCACAGAGTACAAGCGAGATCATTGCCGTGGGGAGGATCGCGTCAGACACACCGGAAGGCAAACTCAACTCTGCGTCGCTCGTGCTGGAGATGTCAAGACGGATGGGCGCGGGACTGCGTGTGCCATTGAAAGTCGACGCATTGCCAGCATATCAATTCTTCCCTGGTCAAATCGTCGCGCTGAAAGGCACGAATGCGTCTGGACTCTATTTCACGGTCAAAGAAGTGCTCTCCGTGCCGAAATTGCCTATGCCGTCGTCGCTACCGAGCGAGATCACCACGATCAACGACAGACTCGAGGACTCTACGTCGTTACCCCTGAACGTCATGATCGCTTCTGGACCGTACACTGCGGACGATAACCTCGATTTCGAGCCGTTTCAAGCTATCTGCGAAAAGGCCGCGGAGAACATGGCGGACGCCCTGATCCTGAGCGGACCTTTCCTTGACATCGAACATCCTATGCTTGCGAGTGGGGATTTCGATATCCCAGAAGTGCGAGGCCTGGATCAAGAAGCTAGCATGGCAGCATTATTTCGGGTTTGGATATCCGGACCGATACAACGACTCTGCTCAGCTGTGCCGAGCATCACTGTTATCATGATCCCAAGTGTGCGCGACGTGATCAGCAAGCATGTCAGCTGGCCGCAGGAGCGACTGGTTAAGAAAGATCTCCACCTGCCCAAACAAGTTACCATGCTACCAAATCCGTGTTTTGTGTCCTTGAACGAAGTGGTCTTTGCCATTTCGTCACAAGATGTCCTGTACGAACTCAGTCGGGAGCAGTTGTCTCATGGCGCCGGGCCGGATCTTTTGACAAGGCTGCCTGGGTATCTGATCGAGCAGAGACACTTCTTCCCCCTTTTCCCGCCCATGTCGAGAGACAAATTGTCGAGTAATGGCGTGGTCAAGGCGACTGGGGCGTGTTTGGATATGGGTTTTATGAAGCTCGGTGAATGGATGCAAGTCAAACCAGACATTCTGGTCGTGCCGAGCATGTTGACGCCTTCTGTCAAGGTAAGTGCACGACGCGTATCATGAATGCAGCGCTGACAATTCGTGTCTAGGTCGTCGATAGCGTCATGGTGATCAATCCTGGACAATTGTCCAAGCGGAAAGCCGCCGGGACGTACTCACAGATTTCTCTGCAGCCGCGGATCGTGGCCAAGGACGAGTCGTCGGCGAGAACTCTGCCTCATAATGTGTTCGAGCGTGCTAGGGTGGATGTCGTGAGGATATAGAAAGACAATGTGTCGTAGTCCCTGAAAGAGCATAATGGATAGTCATAGCGTGGCATGCAATCATCAACTCGGTTTTTGTGTTCACCGCAGAAGTAACAACCCCGTCCTCTTGCCCTCTCTCCTTGCACCGGGTCTTTCTCCTCCGCCATTAGGTTTTACATTCGCCACGAGACTTTCCAAGCCCAGGTCTCGCCAGACCGGTTCTCGCTGTGTTCCCGCGTTGCTCGCCTCACCGCCTGGCTCTCCTGCGTTTCTTGTTTGGTTTGTCTGGTTCTGGCCGAGCGCGCGATTGATTCCGAATGCGGCGTGCATGTCGGGAACGACATCGTCTTCGTCTTCCGGATTGATGGGCATCAAGTGTGGCGGGAGCTGGATCTCTTCGAAGGGTAGGAAGTGGCCTGGTAATTGGGTCATGCCGGAGCCGTCGCCGCCGCTCCCGCCCCCTGCGCCATTCTGTTGGGTGTTGGCGTTTTGTGCGTTACTGGGTGGTGGGAACGTCGCGGAGGGAGGTCGACAGAATTCTTCGAAGAGGTCGGCGAGTCGCGAGGATTTGAGGTGGATGTATGTTGCTGAGGAGTCGCGGGACTGTGATGTTGAGGATAAGGTTAGTTTGGGGAACGCGGTGGGTGAGAGTGTTCCACGAGTGAGGACGTACCATGGCGAACAGTGTGAGAGGCGCAAAGGCGCTGGGCAGGAAATGCAGGTGGTGTGGTGTACGTGGTACTGTTGTAAATCGAAAGGTGAATGAGGTAAACATTCGCGATCAATTGTGGGGGAGATCCATTAAAGCGCGAGTAGCACCTATAGAATGCTAGCGCCCGACCACTAAGCTTACGGGCTTAGGTAAGTCGGAGTGTTACTGTAGGCCCCGTCCAAACCACTCCACTCTACAATCGTTTACCCCTATTGTCTGCTCACTTCTTAATCCCCTTTTCCGCCGTATCTACCTCATAACATCTCAGGTCTTCACGGACACGATCGTTATACTTCTATCTCAATCTTTGCACTCGCTGGTACTGCAACACATATCTTCACATCACCATTGGGTTCCATTCCACCACTCACTTGTCCGCTTCTCAATTTGACTGTGCAGGCTCCGCATGTGCCTGCTCTGCATCCATACCCCGGAGTCAAGCCTGCCATTTCAGCAGCTTCCAGTAATGTTAAGGCTCTTACGGAAGACCCATTGTCCTGTTTGTCATTGGCGGCGCCTTTTCTCCATATCGTGCTGCATTGTGATTTTGAGAAAGTGATATACGACTTAGAGATGGAAGTCTCTCCAATGATTGCTCCTGGAGAGAATGATTCGCTGCGAATCATGAACTCTGGAACTCCAATGCTTTGCAGATACGATTTCATCTCTTTCTCGAAGGACGTCGAGCCGCAGATATAGACGGTCGAGAACTGGCCTTCAATTTCGATGGGCGTGATCTTGACCGGATCGACAAAATATGGAGGTAGAATCAGGTCCTTCAGAAGTTGTTCTGTGATGCGGCCTTTGTGCTGATAGTGCTGACCTAGCTGGTCCTCTGCTCCAGGTGAAGAGAATGTTGTTACCATCTTGATCATGCTTGCAGCCTCGGGATCCGCATCTCGTAACAGGTTCTCGATTTCCTTTTGAAAAGTATGGCTTTGGCCATTTCGTGACGTTTGAATCCAGATTGCGGGTGTTATTTTCATTGCTGGATGGGTGAGGTGTGCTTTGAGCATAGCGAGGACAGGAGTGATTCCAATTCCGGCGGAGATATAGATCTGTCGGCCAGCAAACATTGGTGTCCAGTCAAGAGTAAAGGCGCCTGCTGGGGAGCGAATCTGAAGTATGGTGTTCTCTGTGCATTCATCATGCATCCACGCAGACCCGGATGGAGCGTTGGGTTGCGAGGCAGCTTTCTTGATACTGAGACGATAATACTTGGGATCATCGTAGGTAATCCAGTCCGATATCGACCAGGAACGCACGATTCCATTAGGTAGCTGGACTGTCAGGAACTGTCCTGGGATGTATGTCGCAAGCGGTCTGCCGTCTGTTGGTGTGAGGTAGAATGATTTGACATCGTTCGTCTCAGATACTATCTTCAACAGACGAAACGACCGCCAACCCGTCCAGGAGTTCTTCCCTAGTAAAAGTTGGTCATTCATCGATGAAAGCTTTCTCTGGAAGATGGCTCTGTTCATATAGAGAAGATTCGGGTCAGCTAGAAGAATGTTCAGGGTATCTTTCGTCTTGACAGAAGCATCGAAAGCTAGCTTAGTGATGGTTGCACAGTCCAGGGAGGTTGGAAATTTCTCAAGCAGCGTTGCGTGGTCTCCAGGGTGTATTTCTCCCTCTGTTAGCACCTTGAAGTACACCCCACACAAGCCCGTATCTGCCAGCTCTTTGATCCACTTATCCTTTTGTCCACAACGCCATGATAGCTTGTGACATGGGACTCGACTTCCGCAAACCTGAAGACGGGCGGTCTTGCCAACGTGCCAGACATCCCCTAGGTTGAAGTCTTTCTCGGCGAGGATCCCGCCTTCGTCACATCTGAAGGTGATGTTCTCACACCAGTGGCACCATCCCCATTCCGCGCGATTGACGTTGAGTGTCTCGGTCCAATAGTCATAGTGTTGTGCAAAATATGCATATATCTGAGCGTTGTGGGCTGCAGGCTTGTTCTCATCAACCCCGTCTCTCACAGTGACGTTGATGAGATCTTCTTTCGACGTCAGAGGTTCATGTATGATGGAGGTAAACTCTTTTTTGCCATGGATGGTGTGCCACCTTGGCTGAGCGTAGCTGACAGCAACAACTTCCATAGTGCAAGGGGACAAGATGGTACAAAATACCTGAAAAGCTGCAAATGGCAACGGAGCTGACAAATGTATGTATGTATTCAATGGCACCCATTTGACCGGAGTTATGGCCGTTGTCTTTGGACAGCTGGCCAGGGTAGGGAAAGCAGCTGTGCGAAATACTGATCCGGAACTTCGTAGCATTCTGACTCTTCCAAAGCAAAGCTTGTGAAATTGCATTCTGGATGACAATTTTGAGAAAGTCGTCTGCGTCGCAACCCTCGCTCCACTCCTTGGCCTGAAGGTGGTAAGGCAAGCAAAGAGATCTCGTTTAACCATGCTGGCATAATTCCACCAATCTGCTGCAGCCTTGCCCGGCAGGGGGCTAGCCCCATTGAATTCCGCACTTCCCACAGCCTTCGGGACGACCGAATCAAGCGTGCTCGTGATCTGATGAACCCTGTCTTCACAACCTTTAGCCAGAGAATTCCAATGACGCTTGATTGACATGTGAATTGCATTCCAGAATGTAGTCTTCCGTATCTAGCCGTGCCGTTCTTGATAACAATTGATATGGATCTCCACGCCATAGCTTGTTCTCTGGATCATTGACGGTTTGAGCTCACCCTGAGTTCGCTCAAAATTCGTGTATCGTACACAAAGATACTAAAGGTACTAGCCTATAGATGATTGATGGTACGAAGTATCAAACCTCGTTTATGACCGGGCGCGATATGTATCATCTACCATTCACTTGTTCGCTCAAGAATGTCTTGACATCTGCCTTGGCTCTCCTTGCCTCATCCGACATCTCTGCACTAAAGGCAATGAATGAATGTGGCGCTCCTTCATAAATCTTCAGGATTGCTTCAGCACCCGCCATCATCCACTTCACGCTCATGAACACCGAATCATCCAACAGCGGATCTGCAGTACCGCATATGAACAGCGCCTTGTGGAGCCGGGAGTCTCCGTTCCCCATTCTGAAGTCTTCTAGCTGCTCGTATAATGGGCTAACGCTTGCGTCCTTGCATTCGGCAGGTGGTCGAGCTGGCAGGAAGGCTTTGTGAAACTGTCCCATGATATCCCTGTCTAACATCGCAGGCTTCTTCAGAGTGAAAGCTGAAGGCAGCAGTGAGAGGTCATAGACGCCAAAGTTGAGCACGAGGCCGCCAGGTAAAGAGAAAGTTGGTCGCGAGCGGAAGAGTTGGAAAGTTGTCATGACGGACATTTGTGCTCCTGCAGACTGTCGGGTGTCAGCCTTGACCCTCCGTTGAGACCACGAATGGATCCAATAATGACAAGGAGTGACCGTGCTACTTACCTCACCACCAATGAACCTGAGTGAGCCTCCAAATTCCCTTCCACCGTGCTCGACTATGTACTCAGCAACATCAAAGCAGTCCTCTGGTGCGGCGGGAAATGGATGTTCAGGGGCAAGCCTGTAGCCGACACTCAACGCCACGCAGTCACTCACATCAGCGTAGAACTGTAGCAGAGGGTCAGATGTCGCCTCAGACATCAACACCCAGCCCCCGCCATGGAAGTGCAAAAATACTCCTTTAACTCCATCTCTGCTACTGTGGCTGGGGTAGAAGAGCCGGCACGGTATTTTGCGACCAGCTTCGCGAGATGGGATGAGAATATCCCGTCCCTGGGGTAGAATGGTGGGTTTGGGAGTGGGTGTCTCGCCGTTCAGGCGCATTTGGCGGTATCTTTCGGCACCGACCTTGGTCGATTTGTTTAGCAGATGCTCTCAAAAATGATCAGGACAGCAAGGCAGACTTACATCCCACCAAGTTGGCCCTATCTTACCAACGTGGCGGAGCTGGTCAAGCAACTTCTCAGCCTTGTCGGAAGACGCTCCAGGGTTGAACTTATGCGCCGCGATCGTGAGGTCGGAATCAAGAGACATTCTGAGCGAAAGGCTCATTCGGTATGTAGACTATCCTTTGACTTGGTAAGTTACTACAATTCAGAAAAACAGGTGTGAGGCACAGACTTTATACTGTAAGTGGGACGATCGAATCGGATTCACAAAGCCACAAGATTGCACGGAGTGCTGTAGGCCAATCAACTCCGATGTCCAATGAGGGAGAAGAACGACATGGTAAATGTATGCCCCTCGAGCTATGTGTATGAATGTCCTTATTCAAACCGTGGAAGGTGTAAAGCCTGCTAACAAGAGACGTTCTGTCTAGCCACCGAGCACAGCATGCGGCATAAGCAACCCTTGTTACCTGGCGAGACAAAGTGCTCGCTGGGCTACTGTTATGTTGAACAGTTCTGTTGCAGCGGTTTACTATCTGGCCTATAAATACAGGTAAGATGCAATTAATGGCCGTATCTATAAAAGAGCATCACAAAATGCTTTTTCACCTTCCTCACCACCTTACGACATCCAGAACAGAACTGTTTCACCAGATCACGCCACCAAACCTGTTCTTGCGGTTACCTCACACTTCCTTCACTGAAGCTTGTTTTGCCTCATCTGTAGTGTTGCCAATAGGAGATTCCACACCTTCCACTGGCTCCAGAGGTGACATGCCATGCTCAGCTGCCTCCTCACGTGTGAAAGTACCGAAGTAATCAATATCGTCTATCTCGCCAGCTCCCATTGGGGGCGAAAGTTTGCAGAAAGACCAATATAGCATGAAACTGATTGTAAGCCCGAGAGGAAATGCAAGGTAGTACATTCTGACGCACGCAATTGGAACCTTCACCTTGGGATTCACCTCAGCAATGAAGCCGGGAATTTGTGGTGCCCAACCAATGACCCAAGCGACAAACGTCCGCCAGTTGAAACCGTTCCAGAAATAGTAAATGCCAGTCTTGCTTGGGGTGTACAAATCTGATAGCTTGTGTCGTCTGTGACGAATGACGAAGTAGTCGCACACCTGGATTCCGATCAAGGGGCCGAAAAACAACCCATAGGCGGACATGACACTGGTGAAAGTCGCCGCAGTAGATAAAAGTTCCCATGGGCACATCGCGGACGCGGCAATGAGGCCTATGTAGCAACCGCGGCGAATGTTGATGTACTTCGGGAAGAGACCAGCTAGATCCATTCCTGCCGAATATGCATTGTCGACCGTGGTGATTGCCAGCTGGCAAACTATCAGTCCGATAGAGGCGAAGAAGATTGCCGCACGACTTCCGGAGTCGTAATGCGAGTCCAGAATCCTGGAGTGATGTTAGCCATTCTGCACTTTCGCTGAAAAAGGTACTTAACATACTGTTGCAGTATAACCGGAGCATTCCACATGGCTGTGCCGTAGAGCTTCATGGTTGCTGAAGCTGCAAGGCATCCAAATAGTGGCATAATGGTGCCGAAAGTAATGATAGAGAACCATTGCCCGAAAACTTGATCCCCAGGATGACGCGCGAACCGTGAATAGTCAGGTTGATTGGTAAGTCCGACGGCGAGACCCCCAACAATAATGGTGGTCCCCTGGACGACAGCCCATCCGAGACCTGAGCTTCCTGTAACCACTGCTGGTGCAGAAAGTAGCGGACCTCCTCCATGTGCTGCACCCAGAAGATAGATTGTCATAGAGACAAGGGTAACCATGGATACGATGTTCATGCCAAAGAGCATGTATCTGGTCTTCTCAGGGCGCACATAGAGGATCGGAATGGAGATGATGTTGTAAACAACCCAGCCAATCAGTTCCTTCGTTGTAAGGTTGGCAGAAAGTGGTAATGTGTTGTTCATATTCTGGAAGGTTGAAGACAATGCGCTCAGCAGGGAGGTAACACAAAGTCCCCCAAACCATGCTTGAACCGAAAACCATGTAAAGGCAAGCACTATGCGCTGTATGATAGGCACGTAGGAGCCATATATCCCCCAGACAGCACGCGAGAGGACGGGGAAGCCTATGTGCCATTCAGCGCCGATGGCACCGTTCTAGAACACACATGACCGTTAGCATTCATGTTCGAGCAAGATTTAGAACAGTGTCTCGGCCTCGAGTCAAGCTCGAGGTTTTGGCACGAAGTACATAGAAGACAGGTACTTACATAGACTGCAACAATTGCCGTAATAATGCGACCAAGTATGACTGCGATCATCGCCTGCCATACGGAAAGTCCTATTGCCACGAGTGAAGCAGCTTGTGAAAAGTTGGAAATGGACAGTTGAGCAACGGCCCAGTAGGAGACGAAGGCCCAACTGTCCCAGAGGCGTCGAGACGGAGGGAGAGGCCGAATGTCATCGTTGATCCAAACTGAAGCATTATCTGGACTGTGTCCAGGTAGGGCAATCCTTGCTGGGAGTGTCTTGCGCATCGACATTGTCAACCGGGCTGAATGGTGTACGGGAATTCAAGACAGACTAGACACTGCTGAAGGAACGATAGTAAGGCCTTCCAATTGGCAACGTGATGACCAAACTCCATCACTGGTCGCTACATCCGGTCAACTATATAACCTGTACAGAGAATGTTGATCTACAAAGACTTGATGGCTCATGGCTCGGTGGAGAGATAGATCTCGGCTTTACACAAATCGAATGCTTTTGAGTCCGACAGCCAACCAGATAGTGTGGTGTCCGACAGCCAATCGAGTGCACTAGGGACCCTCCTTTCGAATGGAATTGTTTCCGGAATATCGCGCTTCAGGCTTGCCGTTCGGCCTTATCGCTCCACTGGCGCCCTAATTGATAAGAGCCCGTCCGCTAGCTTATCACTCTTCTTGCATGACATTCTGTCGAACACTGGAACATCTATTAAGTGTACTTCAGATTCCAAAACCACCTATCAATTGTCGAACATCCCGGACTCGTGGCAGACAACCTACGTATCGAAGCAGGAATGGAAGGTCTGGCCATCCCCAAGAGCAACAAGCGAAAACGACGGGTTCTAAGCTGTCTTCCCTGCCGCGAACACAAACTCAAATGTGACCACAAAGCACCTTGCTCTGCATGCACTCGCTACGACCGAGAGGCTCGGTGTTGCCAATATCCGTCCTCCTTGATCAAGTCAGCAAGCCAAAGTCATGGCATTCTATGTTCCAAAAGTAGGGAAAGTGGTGTCTCTAGTCTCGATCCAGAAGCAACGATTCAGCGCGCACGAAGTTCACTTCCAACTGATTTTCCCCAGTGGGGCTCTTGGGATTTCCCATTCGACTCTGTCGATACTATCTCGCTGCGGCAGAAGACCGTAGCCTCAGTTGTAACAGGGAGAATCCCTATCGTCGCAACGACCGACGATAAACGAGACTATTGGCGCTTAAGACTTGCAGAAAACCTGCCGGAGCAACAATTATGCAATATTCTTGTGGATTACTTCTTCGTCAATCTGAATTGGATATATCATGCTACGCATGTTCCGTCATTCAGAGAAGAGTACTCGGCCTTTTGGTCCCAGCGCACCTGCGATATCGATCTTCACTGGCTTGCGTTGCTGTTCAGCCTCGTCTGTTCGGCTGCAATCGTCCTACCCACGGATCTCTGCGAACAGATCGGCGTCAACCGCGAAGACGTTCGACGAGGCGCTCACGCCTGGTATTCGGCATCTCGTCAAGCACTAGCTGCGCATAATTGGGAGGCACATCCGTCATTTCTTGCTCTGCAGACCGTGATCAATCTACAACACTACCTTTATGCCACGAAGAAGACGGAGATTGTGTATTCGTAAGCAGCGCCAATGTCGCCCTCAATCCGCGGCAAGAGCCACGCCTTGCTGACAGATCCAGTCTATTGGCTTGTTCCATCAGAGGTGCTCAGGCGATAGGTCTTGATCGACCATCTCAGAAGACGAATTGTATCGAAAGAGAGATGCACCACCGTATTTGGTGGGAAATCTGCCATTCAGACACGTGAGTAACGTTTTCCGATAAACCATACCGGTCAGTGCCACTCACTCATGCAGGTATCAGTCGATCTCCCTGCAGAGACCATCCTTGGTTCAGGCATACCTCTCATCGGTACCATGGCCTTTGAACTGTAATGATTTGGACATCACAGATACCCAGATACATGCGCATCCTCTTGACCATCCGACAGAAATGAGTATGAGTATAATACGAGGCAGGATTCTTGTTACCATGAACAAGCTGTATACAGACAATTGTACCCATCTTACCGACTACAACTTCGTGACAAATGTGGACTCGGAAATATCGTCCATAATCGACACCTTTCCGTGGTTCTTCGATGCTCGAAACAGCCATAGATGGATGGAAGTGCCTTCAGAGCTTGAAAATATCCATTGGCAATCCCACTTGCTCCATACAAGCGTTTGTATGCACCGGATTAGGATACACAGACCGTTCTTACACCCTCGCGTTGGCGATGCATGGAACGTGACGCTTACGGCGGCCGAAGGTGCACTTTCCGTTTATCGAACGCTCCGGATCGATGGCTTAGAAAAGCTTAGGAAGCACATGCGATCTGGTGTTCAGATGCATCAAATTTTCTCCGTGGCGGTGACCTTGGCAATACTGCTTTTGGTAGAGCAGCCCGAGCCGAGCACTCAGACAAAGGCAATTCGCGCGAGCATCGAACTCGTGGTCTCAGATTTGGATGCTTTGGCCCTGAGAGAAAGTATTCCTAGTGCGGCAGACGAGAGCCGGATCATCAGGGGCATACTTGAGATGTACGATTGTCCAGAGAAAGCCGAGGCGGGCGACTTGATCACGAATATCCATACAGTGACCGGAGGCAAGAACAACATCGAGCACTATCTGCAGCAACGCAGACAGCTTGGGACAAGAAGATTTCAGGCTCTGTCAGAACCAAGTAAGCTCGAACTCGGATCTGCAGAACAGAGGTATCCGACGCCGGACATGTATTTCGACGTCTTACAATATGACCTGAGTCAGTATGATTTCGGCAACTTCGTGGACTATGGCAATTGGGATTGGGAATCACTACTGGCAGTACACGAGCCCTGAACTTTGGTAACGGCCTGACTCATGTTCAGCGGAAGCACATAGGATGACCGTTGACGTCCACATTGATAAGCTACTGGTGGATTAGTGTCTTTGTTCATGGTGTCTTCCATTTGATGTGCGCCATCGATGCAGGCCGACACGTTATGCGTCTCAACAGGTTCATTTCCGTGCCGCTTCCAGAGAACTTCGTCTCCTCCGCGACTTGCCTAGCCTTGCAGTAGGCTACGAGACAAGCTTTCGCATACCTCGTTTCATCCAATCCGTCCCAATCCACCAATCTGGGGCTAGAGTGGCCGAAATGAGAGCAATAAATCGTCCTACTTGGGACATATACCCGATTTTGAGTCCCGAGTCCTTATCTTCACGGCTGTTTCTAGCCCACTCCTGTGTAAAAGAGACCACGGCAAGTTGTTATCGGTCGGCGCGGAACACTGCTTGTCGTGGTCGTTCCTACCTCAAATCCTCCAATCAGATACCACCATGGCCGACGACACCTTCCCCTCTGGTCTGACAAGATGGGCACGACCTAGTACTCACTATAGCAGATAGACTTCATCTATCATGACTTCCCAAAAGTCGAGACACGGGGCGAGGAACCATATGGTAACAACTCTTCAATATGGCGCCGATAGTCAAACAGGTATATCGCATTGGGGTGGACGTAGGCAAGTCGCCCTTGTATCTAACACGGACGATATCCCGTGCAACACATTGCTCAATGAGGCTGACTTTATGCTTCCAGGTGGCACTAACACTGATTGTGCCTTGCTTCGCATGACTGAAGTGACAGCCAATGGGCAACTATCAACGCCCGAGGTCATAGCGACCCAGAAAAAGCCGACCACATCAGACGTGACTGCAGGAATATGCGAAGCCATAGGATCAGTTCTGGAAGCGAGTCAAGTGCCTCGAGCAGATATATTGTCCGTCAACATTGGCACGACTCATTTCATCAATGCCGTCACACAATCGGACCGAACCAAGCTCAATCGTGTGGCCGTACTTCGCCTTTGTGGCCCCTTCTGCAGAGAGCTTCCTCCTTTTGATGGCTTTCCCAACCGTCTGCGAGACATTCTTGAGGGACATGTCGGATATCTCAAGGGCGGCTTTGAGATCGATGGACGTGTTATAGCGGAAGTTGATGAGGAAGAAGTCATCAAACATGCGAAAATCATCGCCAGTAGCGGCATACAGGCAGTCGCAATCGTTGGCGTCTTTTCTCCTCTAGATAGTGGACCATTGACACAGGAGGAGCATGTCAAGGAGATCTTGCTGCGAGAGCTACCACATGCAGACATTGTCTGTTCGCGCGATATTGGACGGGTTGGCTTCATCGAACGAGAAAACGTCTCGATCCTGAACGCGAGTATCTTGGAGGTGGGACGCAACATCATCTCGAGCTTTGAGGCAGCCCTATCAGACCTGAACCTCAAATGTCCGCTTTATTTGACCCAGAACGACGGCACGATAACAGATGCTATAGCTGCGCGCAAAGCACCGATCAAGACCTTTTCCTCAGGGACAACCAATTCTTTGACAGGGGCGATCTTTCTGTCTGGAATCCACAACAAAAAGGGTGCTGTTGACCTCGAAACGGATCAAGTGCTCATGGTCGATATAGGTGGTACCACCTCCGATTTTGCAGCGCTCTCGTCATCTGGGTTCCCGCGGCAATCGAATGCCATTGTCGATATAGCTGGGGTCCGTACAAATTTTAGCACGCCCGAAGTACTGAGTATTGGGCTAGGGGGCGGATCTCTAGTAACTTGCAATGTTGATGGATCTGTCACAGTTGGGCCCAAATCGGTAGGTTACGCACTCATCAATGAGAGTCAATGCTTTGGTGGAATGACCTTGACTGCCACGGACATCATCGTGGCAAGTGAAGCGAACAGTTCAATTGCCTCCGGATGGAAGCACGACATCCCAGAGTCTGTTCGTCTTCAGGCACGCAAGAACATTAGGGAACAAATACAAAATGGTGTCAGCCGCATGAGGACCTCTGACTCTGGTAGGCTTATACTTCTTCTTGTGGGAGGCGGGTCGATAATCCAGATGGATGAGCTCCCGGAAGTCGATCTGTGTATTCGCCCTCCTTTTCACGACTGTGCGAACGCGGTCGGCGCTGCGATCGCGAAGATCTCGGGCGATATCGATGTCATTGTGATACCCGGATCTCGCACACATCAGGAGATTGAGGATGATCTCAAATCGCAAGCTATTGCATTGGCAAAGAAGAATGGAGCTCAACCATCCAGTATCAAAGTGGTGGAGATGGACATCATCCCTATCAATTATGTGAACAACAATGCCGTCCGTGGGGTCGCGAGGGCGGTTGGTGAACTTGGGCTCCAGCCCGTCAAGCACGTCTTCACGAAACGCAACCCTCAAGAAAAAGGGTCAGCCCGCAAAGTCTCGGATTCTTGGATGCAAATCACCACGGAGCCTAGAACAAATGTCATGGAGATGGATCTCGACGGATACGTCCCGTCGGTATCGAAAATAAGCGGAGAATGGTCCATCTCTGAAGTTGATCTTGCCTTCATTTCTGAAGGTGTGGGAATATACGGGACAGGTGGTGGTGGGCCGGTTTACTCCATTTATATGAACGCACTGAACGTCCTTCGACAACTTCCAGCAGGCAGGATGCGGGTCATTGAGCCGGACAACGTACCTCTCCAGGACCGGTTTGCCTACGTCGCCAGAGTGGGCTCTCCGTCTGTCTTCAGTGAACGCTTGGAAGGCGACAATGAAATCTCAACAGCTTTGGATGCTCTTGCAAGGTATGGTGGGTACTCACACTATGGTGGCATAGTCCACCCCGAAATTGGCGGCGGAAATGGCATGTGTGGCTTCTCGGCCGGCGCCATTATGGACATTCCAATCGTTGACGCCGACAGTATGGGAAGAGCATTTCCGACAGTGGATATGTCCCTTCCCTATGTATACAAGTCATGCGATGCGTGGCCAGCGGTTGTTGCGGATGCGCGTAGCAATGTTCAAATCATTGCTTCTGCCGACAGCGCGCAAAGAATGGAAAACTTTTTACGGCAAGCTGCAGTTGAGTTGGGCCATAGTGCACTTTTCGCCATGACGATCCCAGGCCGTTCGGTGAGAGAATATTGCTGTCACGGGGTCATGTCGCAGGCTTGGTATGTTGGACGACAGATCTATTTGGCAAGGCAGAAGAACAAGAACGTCCTTGAAGCAGTGGTAGGGTATTTGGATCCATGTTTCAAGGTGTGTGCTAACTTGAGTCGCCCAGGTTTCGACATGGCCTGGCAGCAGATTACTCTACTCGGGAAAGATTGTGAGCGTATCAAAGCATGTTGTGGGTGGTTACACGATCGGCGAGGCTGTATTGAAGCCGGATGCCGAAAGCATTGATGTTGGGCAAGCGCAAGACCAGACTTGTCGCCGATCGCTGGTCGTCCAGTACAAGGTGAGTTTTGCGCAGGGGTAGTGTGGAGGTTCTAACGTGTTGCAGAACGAATACCTCTATGCAGCTTTGAAGGACGCGGAGGGTCATTTGGAAACCTTGTGCACAACACCCGATATGATTAGTGTGCTCAACCAGGATGGCTCCGCGTTGCCAACGTCTGAGTTGCGGTACGGTCTCCAAGTCGCTGTATTGGCAATGCCTGCACATCCGCTTTGGCACACTCCGACAGGGATGAAGGTGGCGGGTCCAGCGGCGTTCAAGTGAGTGACCCCGTATTGTCCTTGCGTTCAGCAGTGCTGACCATAGTCAAGTCTCAACGTCGAATATAAATCGTTTGGAGGGACATGGCAGCAACCACCATCTGTGATACAGGAATTTGGGAGATAGACACAGAGGATCAAGGGTCCGGCGTCATTGATGCGTGAGGAAGAGAAGCTGCAAGGCTAGATCAAGAGTCCAAGAGCGCTGAGAACAATGGCTGAAGCAACTCGTATCATCAAAGGGGTATCGCAGGATAGCATAGAATTGAAAATAGAGCTGTGTCGCCAGCCGATGTTGGACACTTCGAGCTAAAGCAGGCTCACGGAGATTATTCAACGTGTTCGTCGCCTTTGAGATCTCCTCCTTTCTCCATCAGCTGTATCTTCTTGCCGTCCGGCACCAGCGGCTTGCCCAATATCTTGTCCTGGTCACCATCCTCGATACTCACACCGACGCACTTTGCGATGAAATTGCACAGCATCACCTCTGCCTCTAATGTGTTTCGGCTCAGTGCATGGTTATCTCCCTTGAACAGCTTCAATGCCCGATCACCTTTTGGACCGTACCAGTCGTACAAATCTTGTGAGCAACGATGACTTAATGTCTGATCTCCCGTGCCGTGCAGAAACAGGACCGGCCGCGGTGGCAGGTATTTGATCCCCGATGTTGCGGCGGTCTGGCTGGCGACTGTAGCACATCCGACCACTCTTTCTGGCGTGGTCGTCAGCATTGCCTTATAGTATCGTCAAGTCAGTGGATATGCGTACCGCTCTCCCGCCCACCGACCGTGAATACTGGCGCGCCACCGAAAGACCATCCCACCAGGACGAAGCGGTTGATAGAGTACTTTTCCTCCATGAAATCCATTGCTGAAAGCACGTCTTTGACACAGGGATTCGTGTCTGCTGGGTACCGGTAATCCAGCCTTAGGGTTGGGATGCCGCGTTGCAGAGTGGCCAATTTGTCGCCTATGGATAGATACATTGCTGAAGGACCTGTGACGCCTCCACCGGCGCCGGAGAGGAGGATCGCTGCTGCTGGTACCCTGTTGGGCTGGGTTGGGGCATAGCCTGCAGGTAAATGGAGGAAGCCTGGGACTCTGCCGATGCCGCCGACTGGGATTGAGAGGTTTTCGACGGTACATAATGAGTGCTGTGCTTGCTTGAGGGTCGGGAAGTTTGTGGCGTGCTGGAGACTCGGCGTGGCGGTTCTGGAGGAAGGCTGTGAATTGTTCATGGTTGGTATTTGCTGTTTTGGTAGAAGCTTCAGGAAGTCGGCGCGAAACCTTGCGAGGATGTTCATGAGAGGTAGAAGGGTGTTTGAGGGAGAAGTGAATGTTGATCTTGTTAATCAAGGCTTGTGTATTGCATGCAGCCTTGCCACACTGCACTTAATGGGCGGATATTTGTTTCCGGCGTGTCGAATCTGGACCGGCCCGCATTGCGTCACTCGGGGCTGATCTGTTTGCGGAGAGAAGTCACTACCACAATACCAAGACGTTTGCTCACACGAGCATCGCGGGCTGGTTGTTGTACTCATGAGCAATAAGATCGTTCTACTGAAGTCACAACGTGAGGCTTTGCATGTGTATCTTTTGTGCACACGACACGTTCTCGACTCAACGCGCGGCGGCTTTCCGATGTGGACTTCAGGGATGCAGCTTGTGCCATCACCATTCAATGAAGGAGCGGCACATCGACACTTCCATTGGGATGGTAAGGGCCTTGACATAACATCAGTGGAAGCCTCAGTGCAGAAGGATTTCCTGGATGTGTGGTGTTGTTCTTGACATTCGTTGTGAAGAGGGCCCGATGCTCAGACCACCAGTTCATGATGGCGGTTTCGGTGACATGGTTTCCTCACATGCACGACCTGATATGCTTGGTGTTGACGATGAGATCATAGGTCTTGCGCACGTTTGATGATAGCGACATCCGCTCGAGGATCCTGACCGTCGACACTTATTGAAGCCTAACACGTTCGGGCAGTCATGGACACGACCAAGCGATTCCCTCCCTATGCGAGAAGGTTGATCTAGGCAAGATCTTGCGCGTCTGGCCTTCAAATCCCCTGTCTGTTGTGTGTAAGATATGCACATGGTATTGTCATCTCTTTCTCTCTCTCTCTCTCTCTCTCAGACCTCGATGTAGTGAGGTCGATAGCCCGTGCTCCTGGACCCACCTGATGTGGCTTCACGATCAGGCTTGATCGACAATCGATAGCGCTCGGGTAAGCTCCTCGATCAACCAGTCTTACCTTACTGCAATTACCTCAAGCCCACGCCGTTGAATTTACGTTGTGGAGATACAAACACAGAAATGGTATGCTGGAAGACGCGATGCTGGAAGGGTCGACATCGTGGCTATGGTGCTAGTTAACCAGTGCCTGATATAGTACAGCGCACCGGAACAATGTTGCGCAAGCAGGATGCACACCTGATACAGGGGACGTTGGAAAGGGCGAGATCTCAGCTGCAACGGCTATGAGCCTTCTTGATCGGTAGGCATTGCAAGCGGTGCTGTGGAACGTATGCTTTTCGTCCCAAGTAATAAGTGTGCAATGGACAACTCTTAGCGCAGCACGGACGCGTGGTGCTGCGGATCGTTCCTTGAGCACTAGACGAGGGCAACAAATGGCGGCAGCTTGGACTCAGCTGTATAGGATGATAAGACGGCTCCCTGGAGAATGAAAGTCCCGCTATCGGTTGGATGTCGACCGGCGATAGCCAAATGCTAGATCGAAGAATGGACGGAATAGGTGAGGATGGCGCCGAACTGCTCAACTAAGTGTAGCACGCGTGTGCAGGGTCGATATCATGAAACCATGCCAAGCCTCTATGGAAGCCAATCATCTTGTTGCCTTCGATTAGATAAGCAAGCTCGATTTTTCCACCATACCAAGCATGCGTTGGATTCGTCATCCCCTCGACAGCCATCACACTTGACCACAACACACTCCCTGCCAGAAAGCGTAGGACCGTTGTCGCCTTGCACTCCGACACGGCGTCAAAGCGTTCCGACGTTGACAGACCACTTCGCGCTTGATCAGGACTTGTCATGTAAGTTCCAAGAGGCCTACAAGCCAAGATTTCGGTACCTTATCGATGCGATGCGAATGCGCAATCCTTTGGGAAGCTCGGGGCAGCTTGAGGGCCTTGTGAATAACGGCCGTCTCGTCTACTGTTCCACATGTTAAGACTGCGCATATATCGAATCCATGTGTTCCATCGTCATGTCTGTGATCGGCGAAAGAATCGAATCATGCAAGTGTTGGGTTCATGCAAGAACCTTCCCATTGCCGAGTATGCCAGGCTTACGTCTCAGACTCGGCGAGTCGGACTCTTGCAACCAGAATGTTGTTCCCACCAGAGTGGAGAAGATTCAGGCTATACAAGTCCTTCCGCTTGCGACCAGTCGTGTGCTTCGTGGGCAAGGCAAGACTTGGGTCGAACCAGGAGTTTGAGTGTTGTAAAGCTTGGTTTGTGAGCAGAACATGGTTCACTAGAGCTACCTGTCCACCCTTCCTTACCGCGCAATGGCTCTCCCAGCGGAGGCCCTGAAGAGGTTTTCTCTATGTCCTTTTTTCTATATATTGTCGTGCCCATCACGATTGCCGTCTTTGCTTTCTAGCCCCTCTCACATTGGCAGGTCATCATGGCAATGGAGATTTCATATTTCTACCTTGCCCTCACTGTTTTCGGGTACAGCCCGGCATCGGACTGTGTGAATGGAATCAGGACAGACCTTTCGAAGTTCAATTTCGCCGGCGGTACTCCGGGAGATGATTGGGGCAACGTCTGCACCAACAACCTTAGCGTCCATTCCATGTGGGCAGCAGCAAGGCTTTACTGTACTCCAAAAGAGATTGCAGTTGGGGCGAAGTTGCTTGGAGTTTTCTGCCAGGAGTTTGGACAAGTCAAGCTCTTGCCATACCAGGAGGTCCTCCCTCATCTCACTGAAGACTACGTTTCCAGCCTGCCGAACGTGGGATTCAACGATATCAATGAGACCAAAACATGGGATCATCCTGTCCTTATCTCCAAGGATTTCTTCGACGCCGGATTGCGGACAACGGTGAGTCTGAAATGGTCGATGACAAGGACCGTGAACTGATGGACTCTCCAGAGCATCTTCCACAGGCAAGGCATACTCAACCAACCACTGAGGTACGTCCATCTCCATGAATCGGGACGACTGCTGATACCTTCCCGTTCAGCTGGGCAATCTATGCATTCTGGGGTGGCATCTTGTTGATAGGCATTATCGCTCGTGTTGTGACATATTTCTCTTCAACCAGGCTGGCCACGCCAAGTGCAGATATCGAGGATCACGCGAAGTATGCGTCTGCTGGTGGGGGATCGCATTGGAGCTTCGCCCGCTACTGGACCCGAAGAACCTTGATCATACCAACCGCGTTCGGACTGCATGGTCAACGTTACTGGCGGTTAATTACAGTCCCAACCCGACTCGAAGCGCTCGTCGTTGCTGCCTTTTACCTCCTAGTTCTTATCATCTGTTGTGTCTCCTACGAAATCTTCTGGCCGAATCTTTTGTATGCCTCCTATCTTTGTGACCGTCCTTGCCGCCATGTGCTAACAAGCCTTGCAGCTTTACCGAAGCTATGCAGACGTGGAGGTACATTGCAGACAGGACTGGACAAGTCTGCATCGCTACCTTGCCGTTCTTGTGGATGTTTGCGGGCAGGAACAATATCTGGCTATGGTTGACAGGCTGGAAGTATTCGACTTTCAGCATATTCCACCGTCATATCGCACGAGTCGCCACAATCACAGCGATAGTCCATGCCACTTCTCACACCGTACTGGCCGTGGATAGTCAGTACTAGCCACTCTCGACCAGAGGTCTCATGTGCTAACATTCTGCAGAGGGCATATTGGCTGAGTCCTGGAGCGAGCAGTACTTCCACATGGGCGGCATGGTAAGTGGCAATTCTAAGCAACGGAAATGTGCTAACCAAGACTTGCCAGGCTGTCGCATCGATGGGGCTGTTGGTGCTCTTCTCGTCAATGTGGTTCCGAAAGAAATGCTATGAGTTTTTCCTGCTGGTGCATATCGCCCTCGCAGTGATTGTTGTGGTTGCACTCTTCTAGTATGTTGGATATTCGTCGTCTCAATACCTTCCTAACTGTGAATGCAGTCACATCAAGCCATTCGAGGGCGAGTATGAACCCTATCTCTGGCCGATTGTCGCCATCTGGAGCTTTGATCGATTCGCTCGGTTTGTCCGTTTGGTATATTGCAACCTCCATGTCAGACTATCGGGCAGGCCTGCCACTACCAGCACGACCGCTACCTACCTCAAGGACGGCGACGTGATCCGTCTGGAGGTGAGTCCTGGATCACGTATGCTCAAACCTGGGCCTGGCCAGCATTATTTCATTTACCAACCCGCGACATGGAAAACTTGGGAAAACCATCCGTTCACCCTGGCCGCTTGGCATCCTACCCATGCTAACGCCAAGTCACCTAAGATATCCATCTCAAGCATGGATACGACTCTGTTGAGAAAAGCAGTGGAAGTGGAGGAGATGCCGCCAAATTCACCCACCGGTTCGTCGTCTTCCCGGACTAGCAGCTCGAGCCCCTTGGAAAAGCAACATGCTGTGGACGAGCATGATGCCAAATACAAGCTGGTGTTCTTTGTACGGCCATACAGTGGCTGGACAAAGCGGCTCAAGGCGGAGTGCCTGAAATCCTCGTCCGGATCAGTCAACCCTAAGGTCTTGATTGAAGGCCCATATGGTGGATGCAAGCCACTACACCTGTACGAGAACGTTGTCTTCATAGTTGGTGGGACAGGGCTCTCAGGTGCTTTGCCATATCTTCTGGATCATGTTAGCAGAACATCGGAGGGTGTCTCGACACGCACTCGAGACATCACCTTCATTTGGACAACCAAACAAGCCTCCCTGATCTGGGATGTCGCGGCTCGAGAATTGCAGCCTCTCCTCGACAGAGATGATGTGCGTATGCACTTCCATGCAACATCCGACCACGAGAACAACGTCGAGAAGACAGACGAGATCTCTCCTCGACTGAGTATTTCTCGCGGTCGACCGGATGTTAGACATCATATCCTAACCTTGGCTGAGGAGATTCATGCCGCTGGGTCGAAGGGTGGAAAGGTGGCGATCTTGGCTTGCGGTCCGGCTGGCGTAGCTGCGGATGCCAGACATGCTGTTCATGAAGCGCTGAAGAACGGACAACGCAACATAGAGTATTTTGAGGAGACTTTTGGGTAAGTATCATCCAGCTTCCGCGATGTGCAAACATGACTGATGCGCATCCAGATGGTAGATTGATACGATAGATGGAAACAGGGGATCCAGGTGCCGTGGCATGGACATGAATGGTGATGGATCGCCTATGAATGAATGATGAATTTATAGAATCATCTGCGAATCTGCGACCACTGATTGCTGGCTGTCGGGTAACGCACTAGATAGTTGTACCTGAACACTTTCGAAAATCACGCTTGCTAGATATTTACGTCGCTCGTGCGATTTCCCATGGCGATATGTAGAGATGCAATTTGACGCCGACCATGACTGGGCTGTTTCTATCGACATGATGATGGGTTGTCGTGGACTACCTTGCTCACTGATAGCTGCGCCGTACGAGCTTGCTGAAAATCCTCTCAGGGGTTCTAGTGTTCGACCGAGCGCAGCCTTGCGACGTGTCTCCACCAATCATGGCATTCTAGCACATCTCAGTCACGTGAAAGGCTATGACCATAACTTCTTGTCTTGGCGCCACCCTTCCCACAATCTTCAGTAAGGACCGCACCTCAACCTCGTCGCCGACCGATCGCAGACAGAACCCCTCAACACTCCTCGTCGTCCAGACTCGCGCACTTTCTAAAGTGAGTTTCCACAGTCCTCCCAGTACTCTTCAGCACTCTTACCATCACTGCCGTGGCCGGATCCAATTCAGAATCACGAAACTAATCCTCTTGCTTCACAGTCCGAGAAATTTGCTTCTCAAGCGCATCAACACATAACCGCAATCATGTCTCACGAGAGCGTCTGGTACTCACGGCCCCGAACCTACGGCAAGGGTTCTCGATCATGGTACGTCTCAACAAAGTTCTACCTTTGGACTTCGTCTTGGTTTCCCTTCCATACACACATTCCTCGACAACAGACGGTGGCCTCCTTGGTCGAAAAGAGCGTGGAAATATAATCGGAAATGGGATTAGGCAACGAAAATAGCGAAGGAAAACGACCATTGAAGAATATATTTGACTGACATTGTTCTGTGTATAGCCGTGTCTGCACCCACCCTGCCGGTCTGATCCGCAAGTACGGCCTGAACATCTGCCGTCAGTGCTTCCGGGAAAAGAGCCAGGACATTGGTTTCATCAAGGTATGCCAAAACCAGCACACCGGCTGTGTTGTAGCGTGGGAGTTCTGGCGTGGCTGACATGGCGAAACAGCACCGATAAATCCCTCAATATGACCATCCATCGATCTCCGACCGTGTGTGCGACTTTCAAAACATCGATTATGGCTCTAAACGTTAGTTGATATTGCAAGGAGAGCTGGGAGAGCTGGGGAAATGCAGATGAATGGGAAGATGATTTGCGGCTGGGTTTGCATCGAGCTACTGCGAGATGGAATCCAGTGGTCAGTAGCCTTGGGCGATGAGGCATGAACCATTGCCTTTTCTTTCAGCATTTCAAACACGGACAATGGTAGACGGGTTCCCTTCTTACTCCAATTATGGAAATGGGAAGGGAAAAAATTGAATGAATCTCGAACAGCTTCCGGATCACCATGGTATTCTCGCTTGCTGCGAAGACATCATGCCCGCGTTCTCGTGTCTGCGGTGTCGCTCGAAAACTACTCTATCATCAGCCTAATCCGAGCATACTACGGCACGATCCCAGAAAGGAGTCCAAAAAATTGTAGTCATACACCAGTGCTTTCAAGCCTTACGAAATGACCCGTCCACCTACTCAACAACCACGGTACAACCAACGCTTCATATGAAACACAATTCGAAGACCTTCAAATCGCGATTCTCACTGCTCACTGCTCCATCATGCCAAAGCCTGCTCGTCTCCATGCACGCCATTAACCACAGGGACGGCCATGGGCGGCAGACTTCCCAGCTCACACACCACAGCATCAATGAACTCCGCCGGCGTAACATCGTACATGAGATTCAATAGGAACAACCCCTGCTGATCTCTCCACCCGGCCAACCCTTTGCCCTCACCCTTATCCTCATCATCCCCATCATCCTTATCTTTTGGTTTCTTGCCGCTTTGTTTGGGATCCTGCTTCGTCGTCGTACTCGTAAAGACATCCACCTCCGCGACTTCGACCAGAGCATCCGCATCGCCCACCTCATTCATAATGATACTATCCAGCGCTGCTTTTGCCGTGAATTTGACCGTCTCGCAGAGCACAATCACAGGCACACTGCGAGATTTGTTTTTCGAACACTCCTTCGCCATCATGGCGACCATCGCACTGCCCACGCGCGACAAGAGCGTCCCGTTGCCCAGCATGGCCGACGCGCCTAGAAAACACTTCGTCACTGATCCCTGGTCCACAATGTCCGCCAGTCCACTGAGCAGAGCGTACTGGACTTGCAGACCGGCCCGGATCAGACTTGTCGCGTGGTTCTTGCCTTCGAACATCGGCCGCGAGTCGACGATGATGACTTTGAAGGTCTTGCCCTGCCGGTGTGCCGCGATCAGCGTCTTCTCGACGACACTGCTCTTGGCGTAGGTGAGGATGACGTCGGCGTTGTCGATGCGCGACCCGGCTTCACGGGCAATCACTTCGTCGGCCAGCGTGATGCGCTCACGGATGAAGCGGTCGATTTCGGCGCACAGGGTCTTCTTGGCTTCGCTGTCCGTCGCGTCCACGGGTTGTGTCGAGATGAGGTTCTTAAGCCATCTGATGCTGTTGCCCTGGCTTGTGCTCAGTGGCCGAGCGTTGCGCAGGTACGCGATCTGGTGGTTCAGGTGGGTGAGGAGGTGTCGCGAAAGGGCGACGCCAGGTGGTGTGGTGTACGTCTGGATGACCTTCTTGAAGGCGAGGAGAGTCGCGACGCACCGAGCGTTCCCGCCGCAGATAACGTAGTCTCGTAGTTGGAGGCCGAGGGAGAGGACGGCAGGGTGGATTTCTCGTCCTGCGCCTCCAAGACTCGCCTTCTTTTCTTTTGGGTATAGATGTGAAAACATGCTGACGCGCTTATCCTGGTGCTTGTCTTTTTCTGGGGCTGCAGGCATCTGGGGTTGTTGTTGCTGCTGTTGGGGACCTGCTCGTATGGGTAAGGGCTTCCCACTAGCTGACGGTGTTCTTTTGTGGTGTGTGCCTGTCTCGCTCTCCCTCTTGGTCGCTGACGGTCGACGCTGGAGATCTGGCTTGGGTGCCGCAGTCACTGCTACCGCCTGGGCGCCTTTCTCGGCGACCTTTTCTGCTCTCCTGGCAGCTTTCTCTGCCACTTTCTGTGCCTTGAGTTGCGCTCCTGTAAGTTTGACTCCTGCCCCGGCTTCTGCAATGTTCTGCTCGGTGGTCATTCGAGGGGCTTGTTCTGGCCGAACTGGTTTTGCTTTTTTCGAGTTGTTCTTTCTCGTCTGATCGCCGCCGTTGACAGTGGTTTGATCGGTGCCGTTGGTCAGCACAGTTCCGCTGGGAGAAGGCATGGTGAAAGATGTGGCGGCAGGGTTGAGAGGAGAGTTAGCACCAGAGGTGTTGGATGAATTTGAGTCATCCATGTCCGGCAGATTGTCCAGCTGGTTAAAAGTTGGACTAGGTCATGCAGCAGACGTATAGAATGCGATCTCTAGACGTAGGCGAGTGCAAGGGTTGATGGTCTACAGTACATAGATGTTGACTGAGTCATGCTGTCTCAAAAAAGTTCTTCTCCAACATGCGGTTGCAGTGTTACTGTGCACCCGCATCATACTACTTAGGTCCTCGCTCTAGGCGATCGGCGGAGCATGCCATGCCAAGGCCGCGGCGGTTAAAGGGGCTTAGCCTTAGCCTTCTCGATCCATGGCTTCTCTTCCGAGACTGCCTTTTAGTCTTTCATCGGACAATATGCACAGCCTTGACGAGGACGAAATGTCGAGTGCCAGGGCAGGGGTTGAGTACCAGGCTTATATAAGGGAGTGGGAAGAAGAAGAAGGGAGAAAGGCTTCTAGCAATACTTGCACCTAGGCTATATCTCACCATACGCTCCCAGTACGCTCTGTCCACCAGTATGGCAAAACAACACATTCGATCCAGGCTGTATCTCATTCTGCTCCAGCAATCCCAAAAGCCCAGCGAACGCCTTGCCCGTATACACAGGATCCAGAATAAGAGCCTCCATCTCCGCCGCCACGCGCACCGCATCGACTGTAGCCTTCTCCGGCTTCCCATACTGTGACCCAGTAAACCTGTCTTCAACAAGAACATCGTCCTCGCCAATCTCATCTTCGGCCAGTCCAATCCTCGCCGCCGTAGTCCGGGCAATCTTGAGAACCATGTTCTGGACTTCCTCTTTCGGCCTGGAACTCGCATCCACACAGACAATCTTCCTCTTTTTGTTGGTGTCAACATCAGCCATCTTAAACCCAGCAATCATCCCAGCAACGGTCGAACCGCTATTCACCGACACAACCACCGCATCAAACCGCACGCCCAATTCCCTCTCTTGTTCGACAACCTCAAACGCCCACCTCGCAAACCCCAAGCCGCCGAGCGGATGCAAACTCATCCCCGAAGGGATAAAGTAAGGTTTCCCACCCTGAGCTCGTATCTGGTCCATGACCTCCTCCACACTGTGATCCTGTCGACTCTCACAGCCCATCACGCGCGACAGCTGCACATTGCCTAGTTCGTAGTACGTCTCGTTCGGTGGATGTACGCGATCATCCTGCACGGTGACCACTTTGTAGCCAAATTTCGCGCCGATGGCCGCAACTTGCCGACAGTGGTTGGACTGGATACCGCCTACGGTTACGAGCGTGTCGCAATCGCTGGCCTTGATTTCGGGGACCAAATACTCCAATTTGCGGATTTTGTTACCGCCCATGGCGAGTGGTGAGTTGGTCTCTTCATGTTTGACCCATATGCCGATGTTGTGGGCGTCCCCGTACTTGGAGGTCAGACGATCGAGGCGGGAGATGTGTGTTGGGCCTGGGTACATCAATTGTGTCCGGGGGATTGATGAGAAGGGTTCTGGCAAAATAACCATCCTGCTCTGCGCCAGTTGCTCGTTGGATAGGATGTAGATTCCTTCTCCGCTCCCTCGCCACTGACTCTTCTGCGGTGTTCAGTGTAGTTGTAAAGGCACGTGAAATGCACAGCAAGCAGGCTCACTGTAATCGTTCATCCGAACTTGTGTCAGGTGGGAGAACACTTCTTTTACCTACCTTCGAAACGCCGAGGCATGGACCTGCACCGTCTTCAGGAAACATGATTTGAGAGGGACTACGCCCTGAAGTTGACATTGTCAGCTTAATCATCGGATTGAGAGTCGCTAAGAAGGTCGATGCGACTCTGACGTCAACGAAGCGCCAACACCTTGAAAATGTATGAATGCAGACTACCTATACTGAGGCAATATTCAAGACTCTCATACTTACCCAATTGAAACCAGACACCATGACGCCTCGCTATCTGATTTATGTCTGTCGTCATATTCGTCAATACTCCCGAAAGACCACATTCCACATTCCCTATGCCGCAATGCTGATGCCAAACATCTCATGATCACTCGCAACTTTCTTCTTGAAATTTGCCAAGTCAGCAACCAGTGCCTCCATCTCAGCCTGTATCTCTGCTGCTTCCTCATCGTACTCCGACTCCGTGTCGACTTCGTCGCTTGAAGCAGTATCGTCCTCGTAAATCATGTCAGGCGTAGGGACTCTAGACCTGCCGCCAATCAACTCAGTCTCCTCTTTGTTGATGACGATCGGGTTCTTCAGCTCATCCAGGACAAGTCGAAGGTGGATGCTCAAAGCTTCTTTCTCTTCCTCGAGTTGTCGAACCTTTGACTCAGAAATGGCCAGCTTCTCTTCCATGATCTGCAACATGTTCTCATATTTCGAGGTGAATTCCCGGATCTTTTCTGATTGATTATCGGCATTCTCTTGGACAGCCTTGATCACAGAGACACTGCCATTCTGCTGCTGTTGGCTAAGCGTCCATCGTAACGTACGAATGGTCTCCTGCATCTCCTGGATTTGAGCATCCTTTTCAGCTGAAGAGACATGATCTTGATTGACAATAGCCTTGGTACGGATGTTCTTAGCTTGGTCGGCATACCGCAGCGTTGACAAGGTCTCGTCGTAGTCTGCGGGTGCAATGCAGGCAATCATGGCAGTCTTCGAGTTTCCACCCAGCGAATCCTTCAGCAACCACGTCAGAATTGAGTCGCGGTAAGGCACAATATCCCGGTTCGCTCGTTTGCTGTTGTGCATTCGGGCATGTTTGGGGTCTGCGAGTGCGGCAATGACTCTTCCTAGAGTGGTCAAGGACTTGTTGATGTTTCCACCTTCTCGAAGTCTTTGGCCGGTCGCTTCTGTCGCCTTTGCCCGCTCCGACCCTGCCAGGTCCACTAGTCGTATTCGTGCCAGTCTTTCTGTGGTCTCATCTGTCTTGTAGTCGTGGTGAATCTGTTTCAGCATGATTGTGAAGACAGCATGTGAGCGAGAGGATGTATCATTCATCTTGGTCGACGCCGTCGTTCTCGAGCTGTCACCCATGCGCATATACTTCAGGATCTCAGTGTAGTTCTTGACCTGGATCTCTGTCAAGTCCTTCACATACGGTCCTTCAGTAGGTGATTCTCGGATCTTCAGATACTGAGGAGGATCTGTTCGAGGTTGGAACAGGTCTCTGACATGCTCATTGTACACTTCGAAATACGACACTCGAACACTGTAGCTGATGTGGGGGCTTTCGTTCGACTCGATCCGCTGGAATAAGTCCTCGCAGGTGCGTGGGATTAGGCCTTCCTGCTCGGGCGTACCCATCATCGTGTAACTCTTCCCCGAGCCTGTTTGGCCATAAGCAAAGATACATGTATGATATCCTTCAAAGTTGTGATCAAGAAATTCCTCTCCTAGAGAGTTGTAAACATCTTCTTGTGTGGCATAGTGCTCGTCTTCAGTATCGTGCGACCAGAAAGATCTGTCGAATGTGAAGGTCTTCTCTTCGACCACTTTTCGGGTTTGGGCTCGGGCATTCGCAGGATCACTCGAGGGAGGAACGAGGAGTTTCGTGGACTGGGTAACTGGGCTCATGTCGATCAAGCATTGTGCACCTCTTTCGATCTCTAAGCTCTGGTTAGAGGAGGAATGGCCGGTCTCTCAGCCGCGCACTCACCTCGAGGAAGAAATCCTCTGACTCTCACCACTACTTTCACGTTACCACCTGGATTGGAATTCACTGGCGCCATGAGTACATTCACAGGCGTCCTGGATCGGAGTGATGGACTGGAAGCGCTTGAAGGAGTCGGTGTCTTCGACCTGGAGTCGGCAGCAGTGGTGATTGATCGTGGTGGTGGCACCATGGCGACGGTGTGGTCGAGGAGTTGAATACACTTGTCAAGGACAGTGCAATATCGATTATGTAAAGAGATATACATGAAAGGGAACACAGACGACAAAGGGACGTGTTCGATAAGCTTGGCTGCGCTGCGCTGACGGGGGTGATTGATGGGGTCGCAGGGTCGCAGTGACAGGACCTTTTTTGAATCGCTAAAATGGACAGAACGAGTTAAATCAAAACAATGACATCATTTCGTGTTACACCATTTTTCTCTACTACCAGGTAGTATCTCACTCCAACATCAACATCTCTAGGAACCTCCTTAAAAGCCTTTTGTCACCACATATCTGTTGCCTTTCCTATCACCTGGGAGCCAAATGATGAAGACGTCGTGCTCCGCGTCGCAGTCTGCAATCGGCTTATGCACGAAATCTCCTCTGCCCCCCTCATCGCATCTGAAGACTCACACCAGTATTCGCTTGCGCACCGTAGGTGACAGTCGTAGCCAGCTGTGACAGGTTTTCTGGTCCCCGGAGCCATGTTCTATCTTCGTTGGTCTCCCTTCATGGATCCATTGCCCTCCGTGGAGACAGTCATGGCGACAGGACACGTAAGCGCAGCACATCATACGGGCTGTTGTTGGCTTTGGAGTCCGCAAGGCTGCCATAAACTGCACTCTTCCTCCACGAGGCTCGCCTCGCCGCCCGTCGACGTACAGGCTTATAATGTAGCCATATTGCAGGCCTCACAAAGTTGTACAATCAGGCTCATGGGTGACCGATCATTCTTTCACCCAAGGTCTTCAATCTTCCTTTTCTTGACTCCAGAAACAATCTCTCCTTTCAGATGTGCCAGTACATCATCCTGCATGACCGCTACATCATCATGTTCATTTCCTAGTTCGCCGTCTTCGTCTTCCATATCCGAAGTGTCGAGTCTTATTTCATCGTCGTCGGCTTTGCGCTTTCGCTCACCTAGCACGCCCAGTCCCAGATTCATCTCGATGTAATGCTGTTCATCATCCGAAACATGATCGATCCTTTTCTCGACCAAAACATTCGCATCCTCGAGCTCCGCATTGGCCTGTTGGAGTTGCGGTAAAAAGCTCTGCAATCGAGATCTCAAGTCCGAATTTCCAACTGCTGCAAGCCGTGTCGGCAGTCCCGACGGGAGGACTGGAGGCAGAGCATCCTCGTCCGATGCATCTTCTTCTGAGTTCTCCTCGTCAGATTCATCCGATTCTGTCGAGGTTCCTCCATCCTCGTCCTCGTCATCATGCTCATCACTTTCATCCCCATCCATCAGTTGTCGCTCGAGTTCGAATTGTGCACGAGGTCTCCAAGGTGGTGAATACCCAGACGAAGACGAAGAGGAAGTAGACGATGATGATGGGGCAAGTGTTTCACCTTCAAACTGTGCTTGATGATCCTCTTCACGGTCAAGATCATCGATCATGTTTGCATTATTGTTCTCTTCCATGCTTTTAGACGTATGACTTTCCGAAGTTGAGGCGCTTTCTCTCGGGAGCCCATTCAAGGCTCTGAGTCTGACCCCAGACCCAACATGTTGATGGCGACTTCTGGTTAGGAGAACTGAAGCCTATCGCATAAACTTTGTAAAGCAGATAATTTAACATGAGGACGGCCGGCCCTCAACTCTGACGTATCGTCAAGACGATCGGCTTGGCAATGCGCAGCCTTGCAGGATATATCGGCCCACCAAGGCTGAACAAAGAATCACGTCTGTCGTGTTCAAGCTCGGGTGCACTTCATAGTTCGTCGGGCAACTCAGACAACTTGGACCTAGGCGTCGACCAGGCGAAAAAGCATAACGCTCGCCAGATTATAACAAGCACTTATCGAGGACATAAGGGACAAGGTATCCGATGTCGTGAGTCCACGAGAAATGATGAAGATCGCCGAGAAGCTGGATTTCAAGTGGGAGAAGACTGCTCGTGGTCATAGATTGGTTCAGCCGTGTGAAGCCGCATGAAAACACACTTTGGCTGCCAGAAACATGGTGCAAATTGATTCCTGCTAGAGCTTCGCGTTCGACGCACGCATCTTGAATTGCCCATCTTGGAGGCGATCGGACCTCACATTGCCTCGTCTCCTTGAATGGGAAAGTCGATGGTTCAACTTCGTATCACCACCATATTGGCCGACAAGCCGTCCCCATCCGCTGGCTTCCCCCAACCCATGCTCAGGCACTGTACGTCACCAATACTCGCGTTCTGTCCCGTTGAACCAGGCAGGTTGATGTCATTCTGCTCATTGATGTGCCTTTTTGTAGTTTTAGACTCGCGAAAACCACCGCGGTTTCCGTCTACGAACCGCCCAAAGTCTTTCCCATTTCCTCGGCCCTACTCGTCGCCGCTTTCACTGCCTTGTCCACAATCTCCTTGAAGCCTGACGCCTCAAAGCTCTTCAACGCCGCATCGGTAGTTCCATTCGGACTTGTCACATTTTTACGAAGCTGAGCCGGCTCATCTGAAGACTCGACCAGCATCTTGCCCGCACCCAAGCACGTCTGCGTAGCAAGGCGTGTGGCCTGTTCCGTCGAAAGCCCCAGGCTGGTTGCGCTTGAAACTAGATGTTCCACCATAGCAAAGAAGTACGCCGGTCCCGAACCTATGTCACACCTGCATCAGCATAAATATGTAGAGAAAAAGACTGGATAAAACTCACCAGACAAGCCAGTAACGACATCGAGTAACTCCTCTTTGTCCACCCATTCAATAGCTTTGCTGACACTACCGAGCAGGGCAGTCACCAATTCCTTTTCGTCTGACGACACATCATCTCCTGCGAACAGTCCTGAAGCACCTTCTCCCACCAAAGCAGGCGTATTCGGCATGACACGCACGACATGAGGTGTCCGTCCATCGCTCAGCTTCGACCACTCCTGAAGACTCTTCAACGTGATGCCCGCGGCGATGGAAACGATCATTGGAGTGCTCTTGCGCTGGCCCCAACCACCGCCGAGTTCTTGACATACACTCTTTGCGACTTGTGGTTTAACGGCGAGAATGACAATGTCAGCAGTTTCCGTTGCCTCGGTGTTAGATGTAGTAGTATTCACCCCCAGGCCTTTCATCTTCTCTCGGTTAACGTCCCACGGCTCGGAGACGAAGATATTTTTGGGGCTGATGTCTTTGGCCAGTAGGCCACCGATAATGGCGGCGGCCATATTGCCACCGCCAACGAAGGCGATCTTTGAGCCTTGCAATTTCCAAGCCATTGTTTTCAACCTGGGTGTTTGGAGTTAGTTGTTGTGTTTCTTGTCTGGATGTAGCGGTTAGATATGGCCATTCTAGCTTCGCTTAGCAACGGAAGTCACTTGTGCGCCGTGCGGCGGGTCTGCCAATCACGTGCAGCTACGTAACCAAGGAACCGAGCCTCTGATGAACTAGGACTCAATGGCATCGCTACGATCTGGGGATTGCGCGATATGGTGCTTGAGCGTGAATCCTGCAACCAGTGGACTGCGGCGTGAAGGCAATGCTATCGCGACATCAAGGTAAGGGATCGGAAGGAGAGGGGAGAGGGCAGTATTGAAGGGCACCGTTAAGGAGCTGATCTTTAGGTCTTCAGATTCGATTCATTAATTATCGCTAGTGTAAGGTCCTCTTGGTAGGAGTCGCCAAGGGAACCGCGAGGGTATAAGACGATCATGCCGAGGGTAAGTTGAAGCCGGACTGCAAAGGTAAGAGGAAGGTGAAGGGGAGCCGAAGATAACGCTCACGATGTCGGTACAGTCTGGTTAGCTCTCACAGGAGCTTCCAGCATTTTCAACATTCGAGTTGCTGGCGACGCCAGGTAAGCACCAAGTAATCCGCCTCACCGATTGTACCCAAACACCACACAGCATTTCATTCGGTCAAATATGTAGAAGCCTTGCCAGGAATTCCCCCAGAATCTGCAGAGTCAGAAGAAATTGTGATCGAGGTCTCAACGCCTTCTAGCCGATTGCTACTTTGATGCTTTCAACCTAATAGAACCTGGGACTTGTCGTCAAGGTATGCTGGTCGAAAAGTCGCTCCTCATGGGGTCAGAGTGCAATTCAAAGTGCCGGCCTCGACTGGCAGGATCTAATCACAAGGCTACAGTGCCAAGGAGGAGAATGAAAAGCCTCTCCATCGCGTCCAGGCTTTCATTGTGCGCTGGTCTCCTACTTCGTATATTTATAAATCATTCCGGTGTCTGGCGGTACACCTGTTTCCCTGCTGCCCAGACCTACCTCTATGACATGCCTGGGGTCACACTTTCTCTTGACATTCGCTGACATGATGGCCATAAGAAAGCACTCACCGGGTATGTCTGCAAACATGTTGGTTTCCAGAAACCGTGTGTTGTGTGTTGTAATTGCAAAGCATTGCTAAGGGCGGAGGAAGACAAGATTGGTGGCTACCACGAAGTCAGATGACTCCAATGAAGAAGTCTAGAGCACAGAGACACAAACCCCCTTCGTCGAATCCTCCTCTGCAGCGTCGAGACCACACCCCAGTCGAGTCCAATAGCAAGTATTGCGAAAAAATCTTGCAGGGACTGGACATAGGGAGAGTGTCTCCGGCTCTGCCATACTGGCACCAATCTAGCCACCTGTGGAACGACGGCAGTTGGAATTCGGAATATTTTCTGCACTGTTATCGACCTTTCATTTCCGGTTTTCCTCAGGATTACCGACATGAGCTTGTCGTCGTTGCGGACGTCCGCTCGGACTCACCGACAAAGATCCATGCAGCTTGGTGAACATCCTCCTGAAGGACGACGATGAGGACGCCTAAAGCCTTGGCATCGTGAATTGAGAATGTCTCAAGAGTCTCTGATCCTGGTCGAACAGGTAGCATTGCTGAATGGCAAATTGGCAAAGTCAGTCAAGTTGAGACCCGCGTTACATTTCAAACAGCTTCTCGAAGCCAGACCGCATTGGCAATTGATGTTTTCCGTGGGTCTCTCAAGTTGAAGATGGTTGAGACAAGGGATACGGTGGATATTTGTTGTGGCTCAAGGAAGGTTCCCATACGGGGTGTTTGTTCCGGTAGAAGGAGACTCACACTGACAGACTTACATACTTCCAGTTCGTCGAATACGGTGTTTTTCGCCTGAACTTCGGTGAATGAGGGTTGATGATCACGTGAATGAGATCTGTCCTTCACATGTCATTTCATCTCCTTCTTCCTCTCCATCTTCCCAGCGCTCGGTGCCATTCTACCGAGACACAGACACTCACCTTTCTTCATCGGCTACCCACCTTTGTAACCACTTTACCCACTCGCCATGTGGTGCCAGGCCTGCTTGCAGACGAAGCGCCATCAAAGACCATCCCACACGATTCCACATACTGCATGCTGACAATTTGTATCACAAACGCAACGCTGACATAACTCACGCTGGTCGGTCTTCGCGACATGACCAAGATCTAGCCCTTGTGACCGTGGCGAAGCTGATTTCTGTTTCAGAAATTGTCTGATGCGCTGTACGTCTGGTCGCGCTCAGTTGCTGGATGTGGAATCCTTCGGAACCGCTGCGATACCTAGACTGCTAGAAATGGAAAGTGCCGTTCAAGCGTTGACATGTTCCCGTATAGACGGATTATTGGTGCAACACACCCACTTTCGTGGTATCTCTGCGAAGAATCGGCGTGCGGTCCCGAGGCCGGAAGACCCAGTCGAAGATCGCTAGTCGCAGCAGTGCAGCACACGGGTTGCAAACCAACTTGGGGTATTCCGCGCACAGATCTCTTCTTCCCCAAACTCTATACTCGGACGTAGGGCCGAAAGCAATGGAAACAATAGTGTTCGGGCAATCACCAAACATGGTAGCCAAGAAGCGCAAAGTTGCTGATGTCTCAAGATGCGTTACTGTCATCGTCTTGCCTTCCGGATCCCGAAGATATTCTGGTCGTCGAAGTCGAGTCGATTCAGTCAGCACCCAGTCAGCGGCGCGAAGGTTCTGTCCAGCCTGGAGGCAAGGGAAAACAGCCTTTCGCATGAAGGAAACTTTGAAAGCTACACATCGGTGCGGTTGAGGCTTGACCCGAGATCGGCTCGTCGGGTATTGAATGCACTGACCCTCGCCAGCCGCCTTCTCCTGCCTCACAAAGTATCTTCCTGAGTGATGTCGTGCGGTCTCACGTCGTAAGAATTCACGGAAAGGCCAATATGACAGCAAAGTAACACCAAGTCATGGTTTGGAGTATAACCTTCAAGTCGCCACTAAACTGTCAGAGCGACTCGGTGGCGGGCGACATTTCCTCAAGGGACAGAGAAAGCATATGCTTGAAGCCGAACAGCCTCCCGGTCAACAGGGAACCATATCGATCTCAATTCGACGCAACCGCTTCCCGAGCACACTCGAATTTAAGGTATCATGACCACATTTTCCGCTGGCCGACGGAACGATGCCGGGGTAAGCTTTCATTCCTCAGCGTCACTGTCGGCGGCACATGCAAGCACTTTTTTCTTTTTGGACAACAACTCACCGCTCTCTCATCCTCTGACGGATGCTGCTTCCTTTGCGTAAAGACAGCCATGCAGTCGGCAGAGTCTTCCGTTCGTATAGCACACTTGTCAGGTAGAGCTCTGATGCAAGAGTATGCAAGGCTAAGTGGAAGTCTCAACAGATATACCTCAATGGTGGTCATTTAAATTGCAGTAGAGGCGGCAAACGTGAACGCAAACGCCCCCAATCGCAAATACAGTCCAACGGTCCCGAGGTCGATGCATCATCGTTGCTCGCCCCCCGAGCTTTACTGCAGACTGTAGCATGTGCCGAACAACATCCCTGACACTGGATAGTATGTTGACATGACGACAGATATTTACTCGTAGTCGCAGCATGTGTGCATACTGCATACGTATGTCGGCGACCAATGTCTCGGATGCAAAACATCCCAGGAAACGTTGGTGCGTGGTCGGTGTTGTAAATCCACGCCCGTGGAAGCTCCCCGCGGGCGTGCGGAGATTCAACTAGAGGCTAAGGGGCGTCTGCAAGAAGGAGCCTCGGGGGCCATGCTCGTAAAAAGCCACTGAAAGCATGAATGTGGTGGTTGCTGTGAAGGGTACTCCGTACCTGACGTAGAAGCGGCGAAAAGGCTGGAGATCGACATGCTGCAAGATCGCGATCTGCGCACAAAGTGCATGTGTGGCCGAGCACCTTGCGTGTTAGGATTCCGAAGGTTCGGGCACTACGGAGTAACACTGTGCAAAGCACCCAAGAGACAGCTGCAGCATGCGTTGGCATCGACTCAACCACTGCTAAGACGGTTCCTTTGATTCAGGTTGGGCGCAACCCCCCAGTTGGAGGCAAAGAGGCGCCCGTGTGCTTCACCAGCGAAAGCAAGGCAAGGCAGGGCGAAAAAGGCCACCAAGACCCTTGCATGTACCACACAATACAGCAACATTGCCTTGCCCTGCCTTGCCTTGCATTGGGCAACAACAGTAAGCAAGTTTCGTGGTCGTACCACAGATCAGTCGAACATAGCCACAATGCACGAAACATCAATGAAACGCAAAAAACCAAGATTGAATAACGGTGAAAGTGGTTTATGGGTAGATTACTTGATTGATTAATGCTACTATTTGTAGCAGATGCTGTAGCACTATATGCTAGCTATGATACCATACTCGTACGAGGGTATTCCAGTAACTCTCCAGTGGTACTGCTGCCACATGCGTATGAAGGGCAAACAAGTCAACCACTTCTCGTATCCATGAGAATCATGATCCATGTCAAAATACATCGCCATGTAAAAAGGCTGATGATGGGGGGTATCGTATGAAAAGCCCAAACCCGGTATCCGTAGATATGCCCAAAAGACAACATATGGGTTGGCGCGCAAATCGTTTCGCTCGTGAGAAAAAGTCGCTCCTCGCTAAGCAGACAGATAGTATACAATGTCGTGTCGTGTCGTTGAGGAACCAGCCATCAACTCTCTTCGTCTCATCATTGAGGACCGTTCAAGGAACCCAGACCACGTCGGACCGAGGGCTGACGTCGCTTGGGTGCACTGGGGCGCCGGGCGTTCTCGTCCTGACTAGCAGCAGCAGCAGAGCCAGCAAAGCGTACGACTTTGCGCTTTGGCTCGGATTGCTGGTGATTGTGGCTGTGTGCGTGGCGATGCTGGTGATGGCGATGCGCGGCCTCTTTCTCTTGCAACTCGCGCAGAAAAGCAATTTGTTCTTCGGTGGTGAGTTCCTTTTTGGGTGAAGAGAGAGCGGGGATCGCCTCGACGGGAGGTAGACTCTCTGGTGTGCAGAGCAGGTCATCATCTGACAGGTAGGAACTAGGTTCGGACCCGAAGGTCGACATGCACGACCTGTATGGGCTGGGAAGCCATGAGGAGTTGCTGCTGTCGCGGCGCATGGCGACGGAGCCAGCCTGTGAGAACGACAATGACTGAGACAGTGTGCCAGTAGACACGTCGCTGTCTGAGCGTGTAAGCGTATGGGATATCGGCCACGACGAGGTTGGCGACGCGCTCAGGAGCGCAGAGTACGCGGAATTGGGCGCGTAGATTGTGTAAATGTGACTGGTGTTGGAGGCGGTCGAGTCGCGAGAGTCGGAACGCGACATAGCCACCGATGTCATGGCTGGAGTGATGTTGGAGGTGGGCGACGAGAAATACATCTTGTCTGTGTCTGTAGCGACAATTTGCTGAGGGGAGGCGGCGCGACGGTGATATACTGTGGTCAACAGTAATCCCGGGCGGATGATGTTTTTATGATTGTTGTCTGAGGCCAGGGTTATTGTTTCCGGCTTGTCGGACCTGTTTTCCTTGAAATGATGTGTCGGGCCGCCAGGGTGATGGTTTTGCGCGTTTTTGGATGGTGATGCAATGCCACAGTCAGGCCCTTGCAAATCGTGGGCGGTGCCGTCGGTTAATGAATTCGTGTTTGCAGGGGGATGCAGTGTCGGTGACTCGGAGTTGCTGGGGGATTTGATCGGTGGAATTGCCGCGGGTTTTGCTCGCAGACCAGGGTTGGCGCTGGTGACTAATTGCTGCCTAGGAGTGTGCTGAACAAGCTGGGCGGTTGAAGTGAGTGGTGGCTATATGCCTCAAGACTCAAGAGTCAGGGCGGTTATTTGTGTTCGACACAGAGTGGTTGGGTTGGAAGAAGAATGTCCGTAGAGGAATGATCCGGGGTCGAATGTATATGAATTAATGTCTGAGAGAAGTGGTTCTCGCCCCCTTCCCCGTGCTTGTGAGTTCGTAGCGATGGCGAAAATCCGGTATGTCTTCGTGCTCCGTTCGGGATGCGACCTCGGCCCAGGCGATGACTGTGTCTGTGGGTGGCTTTTGGTAACAACCAGATGGATCGGAAGCACTGACGGGCCCCGGTTTTACTGCTTTCGGCCTGTGGAGAGGAATGTTAGGATGAATGGGTCTGTGTCTGTCACTCTTCTGGCACCGTGCCCGTGGTTCCGCGAAAATGCCCTAGGCTTTGGTGGCTTTCTCGGTAGGAGGGGAGGCTGGACACCCGGAAAATGCTGGCTGTTTTAGGAGTTGGATGGTTTCGAAGAACAGCACTGTGATGAACGCAGGGGATTGCTGTCTCTGTTTCACGAAAAGATGGCCTCTCACCTCAACGCCAGAGAGAGCAGATGATATACCCTTTGCCCGCGGAAAGAGGCAAACACAGCTGGGATTCGGGAGTTGGATTCCGTTGGCTTGGGATTTGTTTTGAGAGTATTGAAATAGGGCGGATGATTGATGCCTGTGAGATGAGTGGTTCTGGGTCGTGTCGGTCTACTGACCGCCGAAGTGTATCGACACCAGTCAAGCGGGCTTGATCCAGAAATGGGGGGTGACTGAAAGCCTGAGACCCTTGTCCAGAAGTGACTTTCTTTCTGGCCGTTCGCTTTCCCTGGTCAAAGCAAGGGTTGATGGCTGGTGGCTGACGGGGCCGCGCGGATGGCGCCTGGAGGATACAGCTGCAAAGCACGGGGCGAGATCTCATAAAGCAAAGCGGAAATCCACACCCCACATCCACGAGTGTCCGTGATTCCTTACTCTCAAGTGTTGGTGACGGCCTAGAATTCCTTGATTGATCTGTCCACTCCCACGCGACGTGTCTAAGACTTGAGTCGAGATTCGTGGTTGGGATTTGTCCTATGACCAGACTGTGTCGCTAATCAAGGACGTGATTTGTATGCATGTGGCAGTGACAAGAAACAAATGATGAACAGGTAATTGGCGGTGATGCCTGGATTAAGGGGGTATCACAGAGGTCGAACAGGTGGCACAGCGATAATCCGGACGGTCAATGGCCAAAACAAATAGTAACAAGAAACATCTCCGTATCACTTTCTATAGATGAGATGGTGTTTGGCATTCTCGTAAGCATCATCCCGCGATCCCCGTCTCTCCGCGATAATACGGAGTATTGATGATTCCCTTTCGTCAATTTAGTATAGAACTGGGTTGTTCTTGAGTAGTATCCTGAATAAGAAGCAATCGTTTAGCATATTGTAGTTGATGATATGATGCAACCAACATGACTAACACAATCTCACAGGTTACGGCCGGGAGAAGGGAGGACGATTACTTCACCATGAATATAGCCTGAAGTTGTATCCCACACGCAGCATCCATGATGGAGAAGGGTGGTTGATGAACCCTCGACTATCTCTTGCCTTGCACCTGCTTCAACCAGGGCCAGGAGGGAGTGAAGCAACCAGCTCTCATGACTCCATGACTCACCTCGTCTTGCATGCCTGGCATCGAAAACATTGCTGCCCAAGGCGTTGGTACAAGCACGAGAACTGCACCCGGGATCATTTTCCAATCCCTCGGTCGGTCGTTCCCGGGTGCCAAAAGAATGTTCCCAGAAACCGCTTCCGACCACTGTTGACCTCTGGCGAGTACTGTACATCTGTCACATTGATTATTTATCCTATACCTTCTTTCAACTCGCCTCTCGTTCATGTTGTTCATATTCTTCCACTTTCGGGACCCTTGCACGGGGGAGGGCTTCGTCTCACCAGTCTTGACGGTGTCTCTACCGAGGTTTTCAACGGGGAAAGGTTCTGTGTCTAGACCGATCCCTCCTCCAGACGCCAGTGAGTAGTGCAAATTTTGGCAGGTTCCGGCGAGTCTCGTCCTCGGTACCCCATGTACCTTGCCACTAATTTTCTAGGCGAAAATACATCTCGGAGGGGGTGGTGGTACGGCAGTACCTCGCTAGACATCTGCCAATGCCAACATGGCATCCTCAAGCTGATACTACGGGGTACTCCGTACAGGTCACTGGTCCTGATCTCTCTGCGCAGTTGCATTTCCTTTTTCGTTCTCCCGTCCACAGTACTCCGTACCATTGCCTCCTTGTCATGCATCTTACTTTTCTCGATCGTGGGCACTCTTCCATGCAAAGAAAAGTCTGCATGGGCGGTTCCATATTGCTGATGTTGAAAATGCACATGCTTCGGATGCGTACCTCTGATCCTCTGCGGCTCTCTGTCGCCCTTTGACCCGCTGTCAGGATGCCAACGACAAACGCCAGATGGCGGACATGAACAGGGTCCCTGCGTGCGATGCTGGGCAAACTCCCCACAACTCAATAAACGGGAGCCATGGCCAACACAATACAATCCACATTGCTGCCCGCCTCTGACCGCTAGTCTTCTTCTTTCGAACCTTCTGTGCGTTGTACCAATTTGCCGATGTGCCGATACGATTTTGTACCCAGTCATTCGGTAGCTGGTGGCTGGAATGAAGCATATTTTCAGAGGTCCACAACAGTATAGGCAGAAGGCAAGTCACCAATCTCGCCTCTGCGGTCCAGACATCGACTGGATTTGCTTCTCGGCGACACCACGGTAGATGTTCTCTTAGTCTCGATATTTTGGAGGCTGCCACAGTATATTATTGTCCGTCTCGAGGCACTCGTATCCGTTGACCTCTTCTTGGCTTTCGGGCCATTTACACCGAGCAATCACTGCACCAAGAGACTGATCCGGCATTTGCCGATGTGAGAGCCTTTGCTTCTTTGACATGTACCAGCCCATACACCACTAGTACTATTATTGTTACTTGTCAACAAATTCACGTTCAGGACAAACGATTTAGTTAGGCTCTCAACTTGTTGTTGATGCCTGGAAGATGAACCATACCCAACCAAATACCCAAAAGGGTGTGTCGCCTAAGCACTTCTGGATGCCTGGCATGCTGATCCGGCTGACCTGAGACGGCAGCGAGCCGTCGACGGACCGTACTGGACCACTCACACTCTTGATGACAGGACATAGCCATCTGACCTTTACGCACGCGACCCTATCACGAATATCATGACTCGCATACCTGCATGACTAAGGCAGTCGCTCTTGTCGTGTCCTCGGGTGTCAAGGACTTTATTTTGCGCAACCCTACCGATGCACGACTGACCGTCAACAGCTGAGCCTCGCCTTGTGTGACCCTTTCTACCAGGCTATTTGCGGTCCTCAAGATCGCCCGAAATAGATTTCGTAAGATCATCAAGCAGTCATGGACTCTGCCACAAACAAGGCACAGGTCTTTTCAGGCCTCCTTCACACCATTCCGGCGCTTACCACAGCGCTGATCTTACAAACACGGCTATCCCCCACCCGATGTCCTCCGCATTTCACGGCGGCTCGTATGCATGTTATTTCGTGAATTTGACCCTAAAGACGGAATACGAGACAGTCCCCCGGATTATTCCTACATGTGCGGGGTGTGGTTCGACTCCAGGGTTTCGAGACACCACTGATCTGGTACTAAATGCGCGGGTTTCTATCTTGAGGGCTCCCACTTCCCTTGTGCCGCTAAGGCCGAACTAGACATCACGCATGCGCGACTGATCTTTGTATCGGCACTAATAAAATTCACCGTCGCCGACTGCTGCGATTACTGCGTTTCGGTTATGCCATCGATCTTACGCCCACTGGCAAACCTCCCTCACCCCTTCGAGTTTGGTGTCGCGAATAAGAATTCCACCAAGATAAACCGAGTTGGGCTTGGTTCAACGATTCACGATCATGAGTCATTTCTCGAATTTGTCTCGAAGAACCCCTTGACCTTATCAATCATGGCAGAGAGGTATCGTCATATGCTAAAGACATCGCCCGAAGACATCATTATCGTTGACTTCGAAAGTTTGCCAATCTTTCAAAAAGGGATGCGTATCGTCCCGACGGAGGTCACGTTCCGAGATGGAAATGGGAAAGTTATCCTCAGCGCCGTTATTAAAGATAATGGGGTAAATAATACCCAATTCGAAGAGAAAATCAAAAGACTTGGCTATACGGACCAGAGGTGTATCGCATCCTGCAGAAGAATTCGAGGCATGCCAAATCGAGACCTAAGAGCTCCATCGATGACTCCGAAACAGATTCTTCAGAAATTACGGGACTATGGCTTTAATCGTTCTTCTGTGCTTATCATAGAGTACTCCATCGGATACTATGATCGCCATTGCTTTGAAGACGTGATTATACAAGCCGGAGTATCGCCTGACGACTTCCTTCCACCACTTTCACAGTTCTGGCCGGTGTGTTCAGATTTTATGCGTTGTCTACCCGGTAAGTGTATAGACTTCGAAAAGCGATGCATCTATAATTGATGAGATTTAGGTCTAGGAACATCCTATAGGCTTGGAAACGTTGCAAGACTCATGACACCAGCGATTCTAAATGGACTACAGCTTCACACCTCCAGGGCTGACACTTTCGTCCTCCACCAGATTTTAAGGCACTGGGTCAATGTGTACGGAGCAGGGGCTCCGGGTGCATCTGTCAGATGAAGGCCATAATCACTAGTTGAAGCAGAGCCTTCGATTCCAAGCCGCCAAAGGTCTCTATCTCTTTCGCGGCACTTTCGCCTGCGATTCTATGTGCGACCCATGCCCTGCACTGAAATGCCTTCTGCGTCCATGGCGTCTGCTCTACAACAGGTCCGCTGCGAGTCGTATTTGACTGCCACGGCAAATTGAAGGGTATGGTGCGCTGACACGTCCTGGGAAAGCTGTGCTTGCCTGATATGGAATTGCATGATTCAGGGGAGGTTTTTGGAAGGCAGAATGGATGCAACTGATAGCAACAGAGCCGGCAATTGCTGCAGCATGGCGAAATCGTTGTACATTGCAACCTGTATGGCGAGCACCTTCCGTCTACCTTGGATGGAAGTCCTCGTCGAATTTGTCATTTTCGACTGGAGGCGAGTAAGGTTCATCTTGGCTACTGTCTTGGCCCGGCGTAGAAGACATGGAAGTCCGTTCATTTGTTCACATTGTGCTTGTTGCTGAGAACGTACCACCGAAGATAAGTGGCCGCCTTTGACTGTCAGAAGTCTGTAGCCAATGGTTCATCTCGAATAACACTATTGACGAAAGCGCTCTCTTCCCAGACATTGCCAGGCAAGCTTTCTATGCGAACGGGAGTATGTGAGCGCAAAGTGTCGAAGTTCCAAGTCATGAATATCATGAAAACACAGCAGTAGGCTTACGTAATGAGCCACAGACTCGGGATACCTTCCTTTTACCTTAGAATCTCTCTCTCAAGCTGCACCTGCAATCATCATCGAGCTACATTGGACTGCGCACCAAACCATTCACCGCTTTAGTCACATCTTTCGACCTGGGTGGAGGTTGGCACAGTTCAAGCAGTCAAGATGAGTCTGGTTTACCCGACCGGTGGCGCTGTCACCGCATTGAGCGTCGTCGGACTGTGTAAGTGACGATTCGAAGATGAATGTGAAGCCAGCTAATTTCCTGTTCTAGATATGCTCTTTAACGGCGAAGGCGAACGGTTCAATGTACGCAATCGAGGGGCGATACGATGAAGAAGCTGAGGATCTAACATGAGTGGCGCAGGTTGGACAATTTCTCGAGTCAATCTCGCCGTATGCCTGGGCGGATCTTGGAATTGCGTTATGTATAGGGCTGTCAGTGGTGGGAGCTGCATGGTAAGAGATGACAACACTGAAAGAGAAGATCATCAGACAGAATCTGCTCTCTTTTTCGAAGTCATACTGATGTGATGGTTTAGGGGCATTTTTATCACTGGAACATCCATCCTCGGTGGCGGAGTGAAAGCGCCTCGGATACGAACCAAAAACCTGATCTCCATCATCTTCTGCGAAGTCGTCGCCATCTACGGTGTCATCATGTCCATCGTCTTCTCCTCCAAGATTGCCCCAGTGGCAGAAGAGAATTTGTACACCGGAGCGAATTATTATACAGGCTACGCAATTTTCTGGGCCGGCATGACTGTCGGCATGTGCAACCTGATATGCGGTGTCAGTGTTGGGATCAATGGTAGCAGTGCTGCGTTAGCAGATGCAGCCGATGCTAGCTTGTTCGTCAAGGTGTTGGTCATCGAAATCTTCTCCAGTGTGTTGGGTCTGTTCGGACTCATTATCGGCCTGCTGGTCAACGGCAAGGCTCCCATTTTTGAATGATAGAGGATACCAGCGCCATGGAATATACTGCTCAGAGACCTGCACGAGAAGGCAGGCCAAGGATCGTGGTATGTTGTTCATGCGTGGAACATGACTCAATGCGCATGAAGCGCTGTGATGGATGAGAGGATAGAGGCCAGATTTACGACGAGGTCATGATCCGTCGATTTGAGGACAATGAGACAGGAACGTCGACGGAGTAGCAGCCGGCAAAACGGACAAGCTGGAATGTTGAGATTACATTGTATATCTAGCGCTACAAGCTTTTGTAGGGATTGGCAGAACGCATTAATGAGCCAAAAACGCAATTTGGCTCCTCGAGTGAGTGAGAACAACGTCTTGACTAGCGATGCGCAGGGAATATAACATGTGAACCACGTTGATCTCGAGTCGACTTGTTTGATGGCTACTGTGATACACTAAATTACTAGTAGCTGCGATGAGATAGATGCATCTCCCTACGTCATTGCCGAACTCCGCGGTTGCTTTGAATTTCCTCGCATAGCAGCCTCGTCCACCCTGCCAACATGTGCTTCTCTCTAGAAATGTCGAGGTAGGAGTTTGCTGGCAATCCCACCTGCCTGTTTCTGTTTGTCTCCTTGTCTTCAGCACATCGAGCGCAGACAGGCTTTGCCGCAAGGTGTCGAGAGACCCGAAATTCGCTTTCGTGTACACTCTTTTGCTGCCTGCTTTATTTTCCGACGCACTTCCACCTCTTTTGTCTTGGATCTAATTCTCACTTGTTCGATCTCAACCACATCAAGGTGCGGCACGATTGTTGGTGCTACAATGGCTGAGAATGCCCATTCTTTGGGACCTACATGTGTGTTTCACGAAGACGACACCGAAGACACCATCACGGACGACTTAAGCCCACCGAAAGTGAAAGCTTATTCTTCTACGTCTCCTCCCTCCCTATAGACGACCCTCTCTCGCCTTTACCGCCAATACCAACGGCGGAGAAAATCACCGACTTTCCTCCCAAGCCCTTCTCTGTTCGGGACAATGCGGCTCTGGAAGAAGCATGGCAGTCTTTCCAAGACGGCGGACCTGGCTCCCTGACAGATCCTCATGCAAAGAGACGGAGAAATCTGGCTCGTGGAGTCATTTCGTTTCCTGAATTCAAAGATTCCAAAGGTACTCCTGCTACACAGCCTCTGGCCACAAGATCCGGAAATGCAGGAAAGACACCAGGACGGGCTTCCGCGGAGCCGACTCAAGCCGAAGCTGAAGTCATGCTAGACCCGGTCCCGCTGGAACTGAGTGCGGACTCAAAAACAGTCGACATGCAGGAACTACAAACACCACAGGATGACATGCCCCCCAAAGCGTCCACCAAGCACAAGAGACGAATGTCACCCTTCCGCCACAGGCACAAGGATGGGAAGAGCGGTCGCGACACTTCTGCTCCTTCAAAGAATTCTGACAGAGGCCGTCTCGTTCCATCTCCTTCATTCGCCCCCGTTGACTCCGCTATTAGTGGCCGACCTTTTGCTCGAGCGCCTAGTGCACGGGATGTGAGTTCAGGTCTTGGGACCACTGGTGGCTATGCTACATCTTCCGACGCCGAAGATGAGGATTCAAGCACAGACATAAGTCAGTCCCGAAGTCCCGGACATCATCGACGGAAAGAAAAGGAGCCGGAAAAAGTCTTTGTTCCCGTAGGAGTATCCCGCCTGCACCTGGTCGAAATGCCGGACCTCATTATGAAACCAATCTACTGGTCACCCATCAACGACACGTCCGATGTACTCAGGGCTACTTGGTTCTACAAAGATACAATGTTACCCGTGCCGGCAGATGTAGCCAATCGTTTAGAAGTGGGCTATGAGTATATCAAGCCATACGCCAAGTCTTATCAGGATGAATTCCAAGCCTGCATCGAAAACGGCGCATCTGCCGAGATGAAGGTCGTATATAAGCTGTGGCCTGACGACTCCAAGTCCAGCAGGCCTGGTACGTCCATGAACTTGGAAGCAGATACGAAAGTCGGCGGTCAAGAAGAACTGAGTGGGATGATACCGGAAACAGCAGCGAATGTAGCTGCGGATCCTCGAAAAGCGAAAGACAAACGATTGTTCTCGACGCACAGCGTTATATATGTCGATGGGAAAAATGCTCAGATATTGAGGCCAAGTTTGTTACCATCTACCAGCCAAAACCGTCGACCTCTGAGTTCTGTTCGAAAGGGAAGACAGATCGGCGTCGCCGTTGTGCGCGGGTTCGACCGAAAGGCTTGGCTGAAGGCTCATCCAGATCCCAAGATGAATGCAAAAGCTGCTCATGCCAAAGTGGGAGCATACATGTCCCAATCGGGAGACGCGGCCACCAGAGGACGAAGAACGTCATGCAGTGCTTGCGAGCAGGAATCAAAGGCTCCAAAAGTGTCGGATCTTGTGCTTGTGATACACGGTATTGGACAGAAGCTCTCCGAAAGAGTAGACAGCTTCCATTTTACTCACGCAATCAACGGACTGAGGCGAGAGTTCAATGTTGAATTGTCAACAGAGGCTGTCAAAGGAAATACGAAAAACGGTACAGGCGTCATGGTCCTACCCGTGAACTGGCGTTTGACTGTGTCCTTCGACGATGATGACAAATCATTGAGGGAAGAGGACAATAAGTTTGCATTAAAGGATATCACTCCCGAGACATTACCCAGCGTACGCTCACTGATCACCGATGTTATGTTGGACATACCATACTATATGTCGCACCACAAAGCAAAAATGACGTCGGCAGTTGTACGCGAGGCAAATCGAGTATACAGACTCTGGTGTCGAAACAACCCCGGGTTCGAAGACTATGGCAGAGTCCACCTCGTTGCGCATTCTCTCGGTTCTGTTATGGCTATGGAGATTCTCGGCCAGCAACCCACCAAATTAGGCAAGGACGTCACATTCGACGGCAACAAGCCTAGTGACAAGTACTTCGAGTTCGACACCACAAATTTGTTCTGCTGTGGAAGTCCTGGAGGTTTTTTCCTCCTCCTAAACAACGCCAGTCTTATTCCCCGAAAGGGCAGGAACAAGGTCGGCATGGAAGGCGAAGATAAAACCCCGGGGATCGCAAGTGAAGCCCGATACGGTTGTCTCGCCGTGGACAACGTTTACAACATCTGCCATCGTAATGATCCAATCTCTTACCTGCAAAACGCGTCAGTCGACCAATTGTACGCGGCATCCCTACAACCTGCTTCGATTCCAAGCGCCAGCGTGGGTTTCATGACACGGCTCGGCAACAGTTTGCGCTGGGGCTCGACTGCAACGTCCTCGGACTCGTATAAATCTGTGGCGACCCCAGCCCGACCCGAATTACAACACATACCTAGCACAGTGGAGCTTGAGACGCACAACTTCACACGCGAAGAGATTGCTGAAAAGAGGATGTATCTGCTCAATGACAATGGGCAGATTGACTGGTTTCTCAACTCGGGTGGTGGTCCGCTCGAGATCCAGTATCTTAACATGCTGAGTGCCCATAGCAGCTATTGGATTCTGCAAGATTTTGTACGGTTCCTTGTCGTGGAGATTGGCAGAGAGCCTGGGCGACAGCATACGCTTCCGGTTTTGCGGGCCGTAAAGAAGAGGGAATACAAAAGAGGAGACATTGTTTGAGGCTTTTGTCTGTTTACGCCAGAAGTGACGGGCTGACGAAGTATGTCTTCAATGGGTCAGCCATACGACGGACGTCCTCGAGTTGGAAAGAGGAGGATGTATAGAACTGCGTTGCATTGCATGGTTTGGTGTTTTATCCTTACGACATTGATACCCCTGGACGTCGGACAGTACCCATGCTTCACTTGTATCACTTATGACATACATTACGAGAATATGAGGTTCAACGCTAGACGACTAATTGTTCATGAGATAAAGACATCAACTGTCACTGGCCTACGCATGCTTTCTGATGGTTATATATCTTGTGCCTCTCAAAACGAATCCGCGCACTCATAATTCTCTGCCTTTCTGGCATCTCCATGCCCCTTGTATCTCGCGACGAGAGGGTACATGCACAGTGGCCGGCGGATCTTGTCGCCGCCGGGTCTGCTGAAACTCTCGGCGTCGAGTGTCTCGGGCGGCACACCGTCTTCTACCCAAGCACGTAATTTGGCCATGACGTTGATTGGCAACGCGCCGGTACCGCCGCCGCAGTGGTCGACGCCTGGCGCTAGAAAAAGCCGGTAGTAGTCTGCCACGCTCACATTGTCGTGCGTCTCTGTCGCAGCATGGGCAAGCACCTTCTCGTAGTACGTCTGCGTTTGTCCGGGCATGATGGCCTCGTCGGTCATGCCGTGCCAGGTGATCATCTTGCCGCCGTGGGCGGCGAAGTCGGAGAGATCGACGTCGTCGGTGGCGATGATCGACCGGTAGAGTTGGTCGGACTGGTGGAAGAGTCTGGTGAACTCGGAGCGGTCGATACGTTGAACGAGTTCGTCGGGGGTCAAGGTCGGGTCTTTGTATAGGAACAGCCGGATCCAGTCGAGGGTTGTTGACGAGGTCGATGCGCTGGTGCATGTGCCGTTTTTGTGGCATTTTGTTTGGGCGAGAGCGGACAGGGGCGTGGATTGTGAGAAGCCGTGCCAGAGGCTGTTGTTGTGGGTATCGACGGGGCCGCGCCATATTGCTGATGCTACTTGTGCGGCTGCGTGCGTGATGGTGAGTGTGCCAGTGCTTGTCTCAGTGCATGGTACGGCCCGTCCGATCATGCTGGACGGGTCGAAGGTGCATAGACTTGGGGTTGAAATGACACCGTCGGTGACGCCGTCGAGGTGGTCGCATTCCTTGATCGCGGCGGCTGTGATGGCGTCGAGTTCGCATGGGTGAGGGTAGGCTTTGAGTTCGGCCATCACAACGTGCGGCCAGTGGTGACTTACGAGAAGTTTGGGCCAGTAAATGGCTGGCGCGGCGGCCAGAATGCCGTCGTAGTCATTTGGATAGCGCTGGGCATGCATTAGACCCTGGCGCCCACCGGTCGAGCAGCCTTGGAAATAGAAGTGGCGTGGGGGCCGGCCGTAGAAGGATTGAACGATGGATTTTCCGATGACCGCCATGTCGTGTAGCGCGACCGAGGCGAAGTCCTGGAGGAGGTAGAGGTTCACGTTGCCTGGAGAATTCAAGGCCCAAGAGTCTACCTCAGAATCTGGGTCGTGGCCGCCATCCGTTCGGGAGACCGCGTAGCCTTGGGTTAGAGGCGACGAGATGTATTCGACGGGGAGACAAGTCCTCCAGCCACCACCACCGAAGGAGAGGAATAGCCCATTCCATGATGGACTGGTGGTCGGCGGATCGGTGGAGGTGGAGGTGGTGGAGTCCGAGGCTGAGATGGGAAGCCAGGTACTTACATTGATTGTGTCATTCTGACCGGGATGGGTGTATGCCACGCTGACGTTGCAGAAGGACAGATTGGTGGTTTTGCCGTACAGGGGAGGGTCCGAGTTGAAGAAGCTCGGGGGCAGGAAGGATGCCGTATAGTCTGGGACGAGGGATGAAGTAACGGACAGTATCTCAGCGCCGAACAAGTCTGGTGCCGGGAGCGAAGATGAAAGACACTGAGCTGTCAGGTTTGTAGTTGTGCTAGCAATTACAATGGGCGCTTGACCTTGTAGGACGCCCATATTGCTCGTCGATTGGATATGGATAGTTCGTACGGAGTACAGCCTAAGAATGGGTTGAAGTGATGCTGCTCTTGACGCAGGCAATATCCATGGCAGGTGGCATAGAAGAATGAGTGGCTCACGATTCGATCTCACTCTTACCCCGGTATCCAGTATTCTCGTTCTGCAGATTGATTTCCATATGCATTGTGGTCTGGACGAGATGAAGTTGAATAGTAAGTTCGTCGGAAATACGTTGATGCGGATGACTAAGCAGCTTGGTTGACTTCACCTCATCACGATCAGACGTGCAGTGCATTTGTACTGCATTGTCATCTATTTGATCAGGTCAAACAGCTTCCTCACAACAATGAGCACACAATCGCTTCTGCGTCCAGCGATCTTGATCATCTCTGATACTGCGGCTGCCGATCCATCTACCGACAAGGCATTTCCTATTCTCAAGGAGACCTTCGCCCAAGACGGGGCAGGGAAATGGGGAGAACCTGTCGTCGAGATTGTTAAGGATGATATACTCGAAATCCAGCGCATAGTACGTGCTTGGGCAGATAGCGAAGATGCTTCGTCCGGCCAAATTAATCTGGTCGTCACCACTGGAGGAACGGGCTTTGCTCGACGAGACTTCACACCGGAGGCCATCGCTCCATTAATCCATCGCCATGCACCGGGTATCGTGCACGGCATGCTCGCAGCTTCTTTCCAAGTCACCCCTTTCGCCATGATGGCCAGACCTGTCGCGGGTGTACGCAACAAAACCATCATCGTCACACTACCAGGCTCACCCAAAGCCGCGAAGGAGAACCTCCAAGCCATCCTCAAACTACTACCACACGCATGTCTCCAAGCTGCGGGCGAAGACTCGAGGGCCGCGCATGTCGGCGGAGTGAAGAAACTAGAGACGGACGCCGGCTTTACTGCCTCAACGAATGGTCCGGTACCCGTAAGCAACAACCACGATCATTCACATCATCATCACCACCATCACGACCACGATCACGGGCACGGTGGTCATCAAGTACCCAGAGCCCACACGCAACCAACTGAAAGACCCCATTCTAATGACCCTCGTCTTGGGGCCAAAGCACGCGCCCGCTCCTCACCCTATCCAATGCTCAGCGTCGCCGACGCCGTTGCCAAAATCCTCGAGGTAGCACCGCAACCAAAACCGGAAGTACGCGACTTTGGTCCAGATCTTACAGGCTACGTGATAGCAGAAGACATCAAAGCTGCCGAAGCTGTCCCAGCTTACCGTGCCAGCATAGTCGACGGCTATGCCGTGATTGTGCCAGATAAAAAGTCCTCCGAAGTCCACATCAAGGGCACTTTCCCCGTGGCGTCCGTCTCGCATGCCCAAGCTGCGTCCCTCCCTCCGCCCCTGGAATCCGGCGAGATCGCACGCATCACCACGGGAGCACCTCTACCCGAAAACGCCAATGCTGTGATCATGGTCGAAGACACCACCATCGCAAGCCTGACCGACGACAAGACGGAAGAAGCCACCATCGAGATCCTGACCGACGAGTTAACCGTTGGCGAAAATGTCCGCGAACCAGGTAGCGACATCAAACTAGGCGAGATGATCCTCTCAAAAGGTACCCATATCAGCGCTCTAGGCGGAGAGATCGGCGTGCTCGCCGCAGCAGGGATCCAGAAAATCCCCGTCTTCCGCAAACCGCGCGTGGGTATCATGTCGACCGGCGACGAAGTCACAGACATCACACACTCGGGTCCCTTGAGCGGCGGTATGATCCGCGACTCCAACCGTCCATCGCTACTCTCGTTACTGCGCGGCTGGCGCATATGCGAGGAAGTCGTAGATCTGCACGTCGCGCGGGATACGCCGCACAATGAACTCGAGGAGAAACTACGCGCCGCGTTCCGGACTAACGATCTCGACGTGGTGATCACCACGGGCGGTGTGAGTATGGGCGAGTTGGATCTTCTCAAGCCGACGATCGAGCGGAGTTTGGGAGGAGAAGTGCATTTCGGTCGCGTGAGCATGAAGCCTGGCAAACCTACGACTTTCGCGAGCGTGCCGTTCAAGGGCAGCAGCTCGGGTGAGCGCGAGAGCAGGCTTGTCTTCGGCCTGCCAGGAAATCCGGCCAGCGCGCTCGTCACGGCGAATCTGTTCGTGTTGCCGTGCTTGCAGAAGATGGCGGGATTGCCTGGTAAAGGGTTGGAACGGATCATTGTCAGGGTGCAGGGGCGGGTCAAGTGTGACAAGGAAAGAGTTGAGTATCATCGCGTTGTCGTTGCTGTGGACGCGAAGGATGGGAAACTTGTGGCCAAGAGTACGGGTATGCAACGCAGTAGTCGTGTTGGGAGTCTGGCTGCGGCGAATGCCTTGTTGGTTCTGCCTCAGCGGGCAGGTTTTCTAGAAGAAGGGGCGGAGTGTGAAGCTCTGATGATGGGGCCGATTTTGGGCTTTTGAGCACCAGCGATGAGGTGGTCGAAGTTGTTATTCGATGAACTGCCATCTCACGATGGTATGGGTATATAGCTGTTCCTTGCCAGGCTTATAACGACGTCCCTGAGCTCTTCTCACCATTGTCAGCTGAACCCGTCCTCGTAGTCGTAGATATCTCTTTCCCACCATCCCGTCCCTCAATTCCGGTGGAGGAGCCATGCTCTAAACGAGACTCTTCATCTCCAACTCGTTCTTGTCTGCGCGTCAAGCTCAACGGCTGCAAAAGACCCCTCGTAATCTCAAAGGTGACGAAGAGATCGTCAAGCGGCGATGGACTCCGGAAAAAAGCCCACACGCTCGTCAATGGCTGCGGACCTTGTTGTCCACGGTCAGAATCTTCACCCTCATCCCCACTGCCATCGTCGCCAGAGTCCTTTTGCGCTTCACCAGGCCTAGCAGTCAGCTTCGGTTCCAACTACACTGCGATACGGCTCGTCAACAAGAAGTTCCGCGCCCATGGCCAGAACGCTGAAGACCCTGCCCTCTTCCAACAAACCAAGACCAGCACAACGTAGCATCCCAATAACGTAAGTGCGAACAGAATGATTTGGACGATGAAGAAGATGGGCGCACCGATGACATTCATAACAGCCTCGATAAAGAACCATGTCGGAACCAGTATGGCGCTAATTGCGCGGCGAACATCAAAAGTTCTCGATGGCGAAGAGTTGCGTGGATCTTTTGGGAAGTGTGCATGGAACGCGATCTGGTCCTGGCCATTCTGCTGACTGACGGCAGCATCGAAAGTGAGTGTCAAGAGCGGCACCACATCAGGACTATCATGATTCGCCTCCTGTTTGTCAAACATTAGCCTCATATGCGGAACGTCTCCAACGAGTCTCTGACACAAGGGTGTTATGACTGGACCACTCACCAAAACAGAAGACTGAGCAAGCACTTCCACCGCCCTCTTTTCGTCGTGTTGCACCACCCTCAATCGCAGCGGCACATACGCAACGTTACGATGAATCTCCCAAAAAAGCAGCGTAGCATCAGCCTGCGTGAACCAGGGCAGATCTATCCCATCCTCGTCCCCAGTCTTGCAACGCACGGTGAACACTTCCAAGATCGATACAGAAGATGATGAGGACAACAAGGCAGTCAAGTTGAATGAGTGCGCACTGCGCCCACTGCCGACAAAGAATTGGCTCGTCCCACGGGCGTAGCTGTACTCAACAGCGAAAGAGCGACGGCCCGTACCTCTCGCGTCGTGAACAGAAGGAAGCGGGTCATTCCAGGAGAAGAAGTCATCGATACTGATGAAAAAGACATGTTAGCGTCAGCGACAGCTTCAACTCAATGTGCCATTTCAAATCAAACCCAGCATTCCAGCACAACACGACTGGAGATGAAGCATGTGGCGGCGGCGGCGGCGGCGGCAAGGCTGGACTCACTCATAAACACGCGTCACACTACCTCCTCGCCATAAATGTCCAGATGCCTCATCGCTCCATGAAGCGTTAGGTGAAGGTAAACCGACCCACAGCAGTATTAGACCCAAATAGAATAACGGTGACAGCAACAGTATGCGTAAGGGTGTTATTCTAGCCATGGCCGCATCGCAAAGTGACGCAACCAAACAGGATCGCACAGATCAGAAAAGAAAATCCGACCTCGATCGATGGCAACAACGAAAGCTGGACGCCTGACCTGAGGCGACATGACAAAGAAATGTTTCAGAATTAAAGGAGACATTGGCTTGCACAGCCTTGTTGTCTGAAAGTTGCCTATTTCGGGTAAATATCTGCGTCCAAGGAGAGCCTTATCACCACGTACTAAGTGTGCATGTAGTACTCCGTAGATACTCTTCATATCGAGTACTCGTGTAAGCAGAAGCGGACACAATGCGGGAATATGAATGTTCAAGTATCTTTTTGCTCCTCCTGATTATATAGTAATATACAGTACATCAGTGAGAAAACGAAGAGCATCACTCTCGTGGGATCAGTATCTTCCCATCCCCGTAGATAAGTACATAATAGTAGGCCGTTGATATACATGGTAGTACAGTCCATTCGCAAACCAGCTCTTTTTCAACATCGAGCTGTCGAATTCCTCTCTTTTCCCAAAGTCATACATATCATGAAAAAAAGTATGTGCTGTCCTTCAGACGATTCACATCGAACTCGCCCTTCTTAGGCACAGGTCGGAACTTGATCGGCAACCACAACCACATTTGGTTGTTTGCACTCTTCTTGGCCTTCTGTTTGCGGACCTTTTGTCCAAAGGCGTTCAATACCACGTTGTCGGCAGGAGCGGTTGGAGTCGTCTTTGCAACCCCCAAATCGTCAGAGTCAATCATGTCGTCGTCATTGGTCACGGCATCTCGCAGAGGATCCAAGGTACTGGCGATATCAACGTCACCGGCCACCTCTGATGCGTGAATGGCGTCTTCCACAGTGGCTTCCTTCGCATGCTCCGGGATGACGCCAATGGCTGTTTCGCCCAACGAATCCCGGTGGAATAGGTACTTTTCTCCATCATGCTGTTCAAATAAAGTGGCCGCCGTCACCATCTTCTCTCCTTCTTCTCGCTCTTTTGAATCCTCACTTTCGAGCAGTTTCTTTCTGCGAATCTCGCGTAACAGCTCCTGCTGCCGTCGCTCGGAGACACCTTCAGCGCCTCTGGACGGTTTGAATACACCTTGCTGCACCATTTGGTCTCGGTAGGCGGCGATGGCCTTTCCAAGGACATTGCCCTTGTTGATTTGAGCCAAGTAGTAATGACCTTCATATCTCTTCTTGAACTCAGCTGCAAGACGACCAATTATGTCTTCGCTATGCATACGGATAAATGAGTCTCGTAGAAGCACATTGAGGGTATTGACGTCAGTGGCATGCGTCCAGAAGCTGTCATGTACAGCCGAGAAGCTCAGTCCAAGTTCATTGGCCTTCAACGCCGAAAGAATCATGTGAGAGGCATCCAGGGAGTGAATGAAATTCGGGGGGAATGCTTGCAGTTGCTTCCGCTTATTCACCGAATCTGCCACGCTGGGTTGGGCCAAGGTGATGTTCTGCAGGTTGGTCTGTATCTTCAAGCCTTTATTGAGTCGATATGGCTGAACGACCGGTAACTTTAGTGGTGTCGTCCAGATGACTGTAGACTGGAAATTGCTAGACTCGAGCAAAGACTTGGATTTGCTCTTCTTGCGTCGTCGTGGTTCTTGTTCCGCAGCATCCGTCTCATACTCCTTTTGGTACATTTTGTCTTGTTGCGCTGGCGAGATAGATGAGCTAATACGGTTGGCGCAATCGCCAAGCCAGTATTGAATCTCATGCGCACCAGTGAACAAGGCACCCAAGCCTTTGAAGATCTTTCTTGCAATGTAGCTCGATGCTTTGCCGGAGAGCTGAGCCGCCTTGATGTCCGGGAGCAGATCATCCACTTGCCTGCGAACTTGACGAATGGCACCAAGGAATGTGACGCCGTAGACATTTGTCATGACGGTCTGTTTGACAACCTTTCTCGTCACTTTGCCATCGAGCAATTTCGCCAAATGATCACCGTTGGCCGCATCTTCTTTGATCTCGGCTTTGACCAATTCGCAGACACCAGTGTAGACGTCTGCCGGCTTGTCGCCCGGCACCAGATTGACTTGTCGAGCACCTGCAACATCTCCACCGAGAGCAGCGTAATGCTGGAGACCGTTGCATGAACCATCCTGGTGAATTGGCAGTCGAGACACGAACTTCGTGGAGTCTACAGAGTCGAGCGCATTGGTAAGTTCGTAACAAGCAGCAAGACACTGCCACGGGTCCTCGGCGGTAAGCCACCAACGTCGTCCGTTCAATGGGTCCTTGACCGAATCATAAATATCATCAATATGATTCATAGGAAACTGCGCACGATCGGCCAGGCTTGCCTTGTCGTAGCCATAGACATTTGACAGATGGATCTTGAGCCAACGCAAACCATCAGGGCCAAGCTCGCGTCCCCTGTCAAAGAGCAACAATCCACGTGCGTTATCAGCACCCATTTGATTCAGGTACGGAGGAATAGGGTATGCTCGACCGCGGAAGTCCACATTGTGAGGCAGATAGAATGTCTCGTCCAGATAAGACTTGGCGATCTCCATCTGGAAATTCTGAAAACAGCGGTTGGAATGGATGCCGCTCTTCTCGTTGTCGATTTGACGCATCTTTACAAACCAGTCGTATCGTTCTTTGGAAGTGGCATCCTCACCCGGGCGCTCAACTTCAGGAAACACTTTGTCCAATGGCGGCAAGTTGGCGACTTCTTGCCCGCTGTTCCACGCCTCGACCATGACATTGAAGACTTGCTTGTTGATACGCCAACCAGTCTTGCCAAGGATATCCACGCCAGCAAACAGCTGATCAAGGTCCCCTCTCTCCGCTGCAGCTAGCCCGTATTGTGCCTGAGCATTTTCATGATGTTTGACTCGCAAGAATGGTTGCTTCGACTCCAGATACCCGCCTTCGTCAAAGTTGTTCCATGGTTTGGGAGGGCAAAGCATCGGTAACTGCTTGGCAATGAGATGCTGGGCTGGCTGCGACACGAGGATTTTGACAAAATCTTCATGTAAGGAAACCACACCGACCCTGCGCCCCTTTTGATAGCTAGTAGCATGGATGAAGACTGGTTGAGCAATGGTCATCTTCTTTCCAGTAGCTTTGTCCTCTTTAGTAATGAGAATCCTTGCTGAATCGAACATGAGTTCACAGAGAATAGACCCGAGCTTCACATGTATCGTCTTGGACCAGTTTTTGGTGTATTTCAGGGGTAAGGCGGCATGGTGTGGCGTTCGCCTGTGCATCTGATGATCCGTTGTCGCCATCCACGTGGCCCCTGGATCGTCGACATATGGCACCTTCTTCCTCATCTTGTACATCTCGTCCTTTCTTCGAGCAAGTTGGGTAGCGTCATATTCTACTTCAATCGCCTGCCCTAGTTCGGTGACCAGTCGCACAAGTTTCACAGGCTTGGATGCTCCCATTTTGCTCATCATCTGCATGAGAGCGATTGACGTGACAGCGGCGACTTTCTCTGGAGGAAGTAGCTCGAGAAACGGAGAGTATTCGGCACGCAGTTTCTGCTGCGAGGATTTTGTCCCAGAAGCTCCATCCTCCTCTTTCGCCGTCTTGATCTCCTTTGTGATTTTTCTGGCCAATATTTCATGCCATTGCCAAAGCAGTGCTCCAATTTTTCCATGGGCCAAATCGCCAGTGATGCCCCCTCGAGCTCTCTTTTCGTGTTCAATTCTCCATCGCTGCACTGCGGACTTGATGGCGTCTCGCTCGAGTCGGCGTTGTCGAGTGATGCTGGGATCCTCCTCTAGATCAGCTTCCTGACTGGGGTTGGTCTCTGCCGAAAAAACGGCCAGGGACGTCCTTAACGAAGTCAGACCCATCCCTTTTTGTTCTGTCTCCCGCACATGTACGTGATGTCTAGAGATTCCAGCAGCGGAGACGTCGCGAGACGGGGATGAGATGTCCCTAGATTGGAAAGATTTCACCTCCAGAGGGCAGATCTGAGAGAGTCTTCCAAGATCTCTTTCGTCGAGGACTTCTCGAAGACTTAGTACCTTGCTTTCCAGACCACTTTCTGTTGTCATGTCCCAATATCGGCGAATCGTGCGAGTGCGCTTCCCTCCGCCCAAAGACTCCAAGGCCACTTTTATCCTCAAGGCCAGTGTGCATGCGTCCGGCTCCAGACCAGCTCTTCTCATATGAACTTCAATCCATTCGTTGATACGTTTTTCATGAGCCATATTGTGATTGCGAAGGAAGTCGTCGATCATGGCGGAGAAGACCTTGTTGTAGGAATTTTGGACTCGTGTAGGGTTGGTTTGATGCGAGGCCGATAGCTGGGACAGCATGGTAAAGGCACGATCCCACCGACGTACTTGCAGACAAGCGTCTAAAGTCGCCTCAACTTCCGTTATATTCCTCCGTATATTGACTCCTGGAACATAATCCGTGCCATCGTGATCTTGCGAGGCTTCGGCGCCATTCTCCAGCATGAGGATCTGAGACAGGTCGAACGGGGTGAGGTCGCCAGTGGCAGGCCGTGATGAACGATGGGGGACGGGATATTCTCCATTGCTATGTACGAAGGGAATGTAGTCGTCGTTTCGATCGAAGCTCTCGGGAGCTGCTGCCGGCGAGGCAAGATGTCTCGACTGGGTTATGGGCGCAGGCGAAGTTTTGGAGCGGGATACGGATGGGCGCGAGGAAATCGACCTTTGTTGCCGTTGAGGTCGATGCGGCCGAATGAGAGTAGGGCACAGCCATGGTAATTGGATGTTTTCTGCTGCCTGTTGGACTTGACGAAGAGTGTGTCTTCGCCGCAGCGCCGCTCGCGTGAGCATGGCACTAGACAATTCACACAGGACTCGGGGGCGAAAGAGAAAAGATACAAACTACAATGATAGTGGTCAAAGTGAAGACTATCAAAGCAGCTGGCCCCCAAACAGCAGATAAAAGCAAAAACGAAAAAGGGGATAGAGGTGAAGATGTCGAATGAATTCGTGATTGAGGAAGAGAAAGATTTCTAGAGAGAGACAGACGGCAGGCAAATCATTTGATTCGATTTTCTTTCCTCCGAAAGCTTAAGCTACTTAGTACGGAGTAGTCATCCCCATAGCCAAGTCACGTGAATCGGGGAGTATTCCACCCGGTCGGAGTGACTCCAGTATTTGCTACTCGTACGCGTGGTACCTCATTGTTTGCATCCCTTTGGTATCCTCATATTCCTTCCTGGTGTTGATGAGCTGATATGTCCTCAGGAGGTCTTCTAGCTCCACCTGACCGGGAACCTAGTTTCATCGGGGTGGCAGTCGTGAATCACGAACTCTGACAAGCGCCCGCCACGACGTCCTTGTTAGATAGGAGCTGCGCTGCTGCGTTGATCTGGTCACCTTCTGTCGAGGCAGAGTCCTTCCTTATGTACTTGGTCGAACAACTTTTGCACTCGGTATCAGCCATCGCCTGATGCGGCGTCGGGCCCGGGATTCTTTTTAGGTCGTCCTCTCTTTTTTGGGGTGGTGGCCGCATTCGATATCGATCCGGAGGCGGTGGGCTCCTCCTTGATCGGTACACTGTCGACGTTCTCTGTACCTGTCATCGTCATATCCTCTCCAGCTTCACTCTCTGAAGCCTCGGGGCTGCTCAAATCGCTGTCCGAAGACATATCCAAGGTGTTATTTGCTTCGATTGTCGTACCATCTGCAACCTCTCGCTGCCTCTGGCGTTTTTCCTCCTCAGCCTTCTTCCTCCGAGCCCGCTCACGCTCCCGACCGCGCAGCTTTGCCAGCAATCCCTTCTTGCCATCTTCCCTCGGCGCGCTCATTTTATCAAGCCAGTCACCATTGCTGAGAGCACTCTTCAATTTGAGTTTTGGTTCGCCCCCATCACCCCCCAAATGCATGGTTGTTTCGAACGCAGCTCTTGAGCCTTCCTCATCTTCGTCTATCCAATAATGATGTTGCCACGGCTCAACCTGGATATCACGTAGCAGTCTAGCGTTCTCGTTCAGGCTACGGTCGCGAGCGTCCTCCTTGGTATCCTTGATCTTGATCGAGATGGCTTTCGATTCCATCTTTTGCGCCGAAGTTTCCAATCCTGGTTTCTGTTTTGCGGCTGCGGCATTGTTGCCTGTCTGAAAGCGTTTCTGATTGAGCTCGTCTTCGGCATCAAGGTGGTGCAACTGTGGCCGCAGTTGGACGACTCCGTTCACACGAGTAAGGTTCAGCTGATTGTCCTCAAAGCGTCCCAAGAAATAGATCGGATCTCGGGCGCTTGGAGCGACAATCTTGCCACCCAACGTTTGAGACGCCAACATGGTATCACCGACGGGAGGCCGATCGTGCATCGGTATGTCTACCATCCGTGACGGTGCTGGGCCACCAGAAGAGAAGCCTCCCCCAAGGCCATGACTGCCACCCACCTCCAAAGTATGACTCCTTGACAAAGCCTTGCCCAGTTTCTCGCCCATGTCTGGGTTGTAGTTTCCTTCCGTGAACATCGGAACATCCACCTCTAGAAATCCTGTGGTCGGTTTCAAGCGAAAGGACGTGGGCGCCTGACCCCTGGCAACGTTGTAGGGTCTGGACTTTTTGCGATGTGAAGGATATTGCAAAACGTATATCTTCGAGGAGTCCGCTTTGCTGCTCTTGGCCGGTGCGCTTGTCAGGTAGACATCGTAGGAGGCAACGACAGGGTCGTCTTCGTCGTCCATGGTTGGATGTTTTGGCTGATCAGTGAATTGACTGGGAGAAGGGAAATTCCTAATTTGGCCGTCTCAGGACTGCCGTCCCTTTGCAACGACTTAGCCCTAAGCCTATTCCAAGAAACGCGCTTCTCGGATTAGTGTCAGATGCCCTTCGCCAGCCTTGGTAAGGACTTGACAATAAGAGACTGTCGTCAACTACGAAATTTCGCAGGTGATAAATCCGTGCCAAGCTCTATAAATCCGGCACTTGTCGATCAGGGACTGGGACACTGGCATTGCAGCTTCACTGCTCACCGTAGTTCCCTAGTGTCTTTCCGCCACGACTACATAATCTAACCACAAAAGACTTGGATGCCGAAAGGGCCAGTACCACAGTACTTCGAAGTGACAGCTGGATGCCTGATATGCTGTTTCTTGCCAATCCTGTCAGCTTCCAGTTCTCGAATGTCAACAGGATTGCATGACTTCATAGGTTGGTGGTGAACATCTCGTCCCAATCTTCCCAATTGATGTTCGGAGTAGCACCTCCACCACCTAAAGTGGTGGTAAGATCATGGTCAAACAAAGCCGACTGTGATTCGACCACTGATGGTCCCGGTTGCCGAGGACCTGAAACCTCAATCCCGGACGAGCTTTCAAGTCTCAAAGGCGTCCCCAGATGCATCTGACCAGTTGCTTTGAATCCTTCCATCTTCAGTGAAACACTTGCACAGACCTCTTCCCTGGTGAGTGCTATATCTGGATCGAGTCCAACTGTAAGCCAAACACGGGCACGCAGACGGCGAACAAGATCCCATGCCTCGGCCCCTCCTTCCGTCAGTGGACGTGGTGTCATGCTTGAGCCATCGCTGCCCGTGATACCACCCTCAGGACTGCAGAGAGCCATGACTTCGTCAATAATTGTGCATGAAATCCGCACGTCTTGTCCCGCGGGATCGCGCTCTATGCCTTTCAAAACCATCATCATAGCGTGAAGTGGCTGATGATTTCCGGGCCAAGCCCATTGAAAACGCCCGAAATCTCCTGCGCAGGCCAAAACCACATATTTTTCGAGGAATGCGCAACAGTGGACCTGCAAGCTTTGGCTATTGTTAGCCCTTGATTCGCGGCAAGTGCAACATCAAGATCATGCGCAAGGCAGGACCTACTTTGGCATCATCATTCGCCATGCCTGGTTTATGGAGCGATGGAGCAGAGATGAGTGCAGAAACCACCAGTTCTTATCACCAAGCGCTGAAAGAAGTATTTTGGCCCACAAGTTCAAATCTGGACTGTTCTCGTAGGTATGCGACTCCGTATGTAAAGGGATTCGTCCTACTCGTTCCTGCATCTGTTGTTGTAGAGATTCCAGGCTATTTCGGACCGACTCGAGGTCATTCATGGTCATCGACTCATGGCGAAATGTCTTGTTCAGCAGCTCCCGTACAGTTACTGTGTCATCAAACGTGAGCAAACGGAGTGAAGCTGGTCAACCTCTCACTCACATGTTTCCTGTATCTTCCCCTGCAACCAAATCCCCATAGGCGAGATTAGGGACATTTCGTCGGCAGGGCCAGCCGGAAGTCGTAATCCTTTTCGAACATCTTGCATGTATTGGATGCCCTCTACAGTACCGATCTTGTCTTCGTACAGCTCACTGACCATCAATGTGTCCCATGAATCTCGATCGATGATGGGTGGCAAACCTGATGCCAAAGAGACCAGGACGTCAACGTGAAAGACGTGCCACCAGACTCGGCGATGAATCTCGGCAGGAATGGGAAGTATGGAGCTTGAGAAGTGCGTGGGATCTCTGTGTAGCCCAAGCATTTGCGCTACTCTCACAGCCACACCTATGAAGCTGGAAGTGTTCAGTGGTTCCTCGTCACGCATCCAGGTTCCTTGGATTATCAAGTAAGCAGCTAGGGAAGCCACGGTCGGTACTCTCGGGAAATGGGCACCATGCAAAGCGCGTGTCGCTTCTCTTTGCAACTCAACTGCGACTCTCCTGATATCGGCATTGGGCAGGACATCTCCAAGTGAAGAACCTTGATACACTGCTGCACCAGCGTACAGAGCGGCCAAGATAAGAGGCGATGTTTGAAGTGCGTCCTGAGCTTCGTTGGCATGGATCGATTCCCAGAAATGGTCGTAGTCTTCGCGCAGAGTGGGGATATGGGTCAGCGGCACGACTGGATGAAATGAGGAGACATAGGCCTCAAAAAGAGCGTCACTCCGAGATCTGTCAGGGATATGCAGTGTTCGCAAGGGTACATGTTGCTGATATCTTGAAGACCTCCGCTGGTAGGAGTTCCAAGATGGCGGCGCGGAGATGAGGGTGTCTGCGAATTGTGCTGCTCCGGATCCCGCGTAAATGGTGTTATATCGTGTCTGTTCTCGTAGAAGGTTACCGATCTCGTCAAATTCTTCGGACAAGGCTACCCAGTGTGTGCGGGCAATATACCGAACTCGACCTCCAGCTTGGACATCCAAATAGCCCGTGTTTCTATCTTGCAGTGACTGAGTTGCTGTAGTCTGGGAGACTCCGATGCTATTCGTAGACTGGGTAGGATTCCCCGGGTGATTGTGTTCAAGAGAGCCTGGGTCGGTAGTGGGAGGGGGTTGCAAAGAGTGAACCAGAGCGGTGAGATGGTGCAATCTTGCCTCTAGATTCTCGAGACGCTCCACTGGAATCGTCACCTGATCATTGCGTTCAGCTACGCGTCGTGTCCGATCGACCGGAGACGTCGCATGAACAAACTGGTAAGCACTAGAGCCTTCGTTTGCAGCATCGTAGATACAGCGTGTAGTTGGGCTAGCGGCACACCTTGAGCAAGACGGCTTTGTGAGGTCACACCTTACCTTACGCCTCTTGCATTCTCTGCAGGCATGTGAGGTACGCGGTCTGCTTGAGCCGGACATGGCGACTGATGAAAGAATCGTGTTGAAACGACTTGAACATCCACGGACCAGAACAATGGGTGGAGAGCCCCGCAAGTCCAGTTGCTGGGACGTCAGAAGCTTCCATTATAGCGACAATCTCGTATTGATATGACCCTACAAGATAATGGACAATACGAGTAGTAAATGATTATCTCGGGCGTAAACGCATCACAGCGATGTGACACAGATGACACACTGAATATAGAGTATTACATAAGCAGGTGTTTCTGCTCTGTGTACGAGAATCGACGAGTACTTTCGTACTGTAGCAGGAACATCCTTGACATGATTTCGCTTTCACCTTCTCGAAGCTTCCTGCCTGACATGAACGTCATCTTCTTTCTCACACAGCACGACGGCGAGAAGTGGATTCTCCAGCATCTGTTTTTGGAGAAAGGTTCATTATGGCTGGCATGATTCAGCAATGTGCAAGCCATCGCATCTCATGCTCTTGCTCGATCAAGAAGATTCGGCCGAGGCGCCCTTAGGTGCAATGACAGGCTTTAGTCAACCTGCAGTGCCATGACTTAGCATGAAGGTCTATTTCGTTTCGATGAGCCAGGCCGTTTGTTTCAGCTTCACGTACCGTACTACCCAGTGGTGGCGTTTGCACTTACCTTACGCACATATTTGGTCCTCCACACGTAAAGCCACATGGACGGAGGGACCAACTCGGCCGGTGCTGCCTTTCACGGTAGGTGTATGATCGAAGTTATTGGTAGCAGGATGCCTCAAAAGCTCGCTGCTCCCTGCCTTCCTGTCACAAATGAAGGTGGTCACGGTACCAACTACTGCGATGATGGCTATAAAATTCACCTTTGCATCCCTGGTGCTCTTCATAGTCGTGGCTCAAGCAGCACCATACGAAGTGGTCAACGTCAATGTGTCGCTTCCACAAAACAACAGCGCCCTTGACTACAATCTTGCCTGGGTCCAAAGTCAGTTGTACGGGTACAACGGCGCAACAAACAACCAGCTCACCCACAGCTTCGTCCCAGTCACCTGTGGAGCGAACGTGTCCGTCTACCACACTGATCCTGGCGTTTTTGCCAATGCAGGCACCCCCCAGACTCCCATCCTACTACTCAACCATGGATACCCCGAGTCGAGCTATATCTGGCGGGATGTGACACCAGTGGTCTCACACAGGGTTCCAGTCTTCGTCCCAGACGTGAGTGTGGTGTATGGTTTGGGGCTGGATGTTCCTAATGTTCTGGCAGCGTCCTGGATACGGTCTCTCCACGGTGTGTCCTAATGGCACAGACGAGTTTACGATGGCGAGTGCGATCTTGGAAGCAGCCAACAAGATCTACGGCAACGGCATACACGTCATTCTAGGCGGCCATGATTGAGGCGCCCGTTCGATGCACCGAGCTGCTGTGTCTATTGATCAATTTCCCAACGTCAATGCACTTGGTGTGTGGATGGCTGACGTCGTCCCCATCGTGGAAGAGTACGCTTCCTTCAGCAATCCAAACTACTCTACAAACTATTTTCATTGGGTAAGGCGTGCGTCATTGCACTCATGTCTATCTCCCTTGCTGATTATCATGCTCACCAGAATTTCCTTCCGAAAAATGCCTTTGCCACAGACGTGATTATGGCATACGGCGGCGGGAACTGGGTAACCGAGATCAATCACCTGGGCAGCGGTATCAACGCAACAGCCACGGCCATATTCCAGTCGGGTCAGAGTTTTGAAGTTTATGCCAACTTTTTCAATCAGCTCTCCGTGACCAAGGCCAGCGTGGAAGACTATACGTCGGGCGCCACCACCGACTATCAAGCGCAGCTCGCGGATCAGGCTGCTGGTCGCAAGATCAAGATGCCCACCCACGTCCTCTACTCGTACAGCAACCTTGTCGTAGCGTCGGGGTTTAACGTCTCGGAGACGTGGTCGCGATGGGTTGAGCCCAGTGCCGGACTGACGACGGGTCCTGTGTGTTGTGGACAGGGCCATTTCATCATCGAACTGGCACCACAAGACTCAATCGACCAGCTCGACGCATTCATGGACCGTTTGGGTGTTGCTCCTTGCTGCGCGGGTTAAGGCTGGGGTTAGCTCTGAATACTGGTGTCGAACCACAACCCAACTTTTGTCACTCATTTGTCGTTGCGGCGATGTTGCAAGGAAAGCATACCATACTGGTCGGGGCTCAATCACTCTTTTTGCATTTCCCACTTCCTCCAAGTACCAAGCCTGAATACACCATCGAAGAAATCACCACCGCCATACCCTTTGTCAAATCTGCTCCTACTAATGTCCTCGCTGATCTTGCAGAACAATATCGCCATGAGTTGCTCCGTTGCGTAGTCGGATGTGTAGTTGTGTGTCTGGGCGTGGTGGAGAATGGTTGATGGCACGGGTTTGAGGTGGGAGGGAGACATGTAGTTGCTGCTCACAGGGTTCTAGTCGGCATTGCATATCTATCGAGGGCCATGATGCCACTCCAGGATCAGTGTCATAAAGTCATTGAGTATGGTCGAATATGTGAACAGGTAAAGACATAACATGTGAAAAGGTAGCAGACAGTACGTAGTGACGGAGTGGCTCACCGCTTCATGCAAAGCCCCAAGTCACCACTTCTACTACAGTACTCCGTACAGTATGTAGCTTGGCTAGTTGCTCGTCTCGCTAAGAGTACCTATAAGATGCTGGTATGGGCTCCAACTACCTATACCTGGTTGCAACATGCGAGCATCTAAAACACAAGATCAGCAGAGACATACCTAAAGTACGGTAAGTGGAAGATTGTTCCGGTGCCATTTCGTTAGTTTCGGCCGCTGTCTCTGGCGCTTGTTCCTGCATATCATTGCGTCAACACCCATCATTAAAATCTGTCACTCAACAAAAAAGGCTACCTAGGTACACTGTACTGTATTGTACCTATCAAGCTTGCCGAGCCACGCACAAATCCCAGTACCTCTCTGCTTTCGTTGCTTCCATCGATCGGGAACAAGATGGGGGACCCGTCCGAAGCTCCAGCACAAACCCATATAGGCGATCAGTACGATGTGCCCGAGTTTGAACCACACTCTTCCGTCGCTACGTTGAAAGAGCGAATACGGCACCACTACGAGTTGGCATCGGATTACTACTATTCTTTATGGTCAGTACATAACAATGCCGTCCTAATTATTTACCTCTTGCCTTGTGAGAAAGGGTCATGACACCTCCGAGAAAGCCTGGGGAGTGGTCAAACATGCCTGTCGCGTGACCACCTACTATACCAAGCACACCGCATCTTCATATCCTCACTTACTTCCCGCATGCTTCACCCCCTTCTGATAATCCATGAATCTAGGGGTCAACACATCCACCACGCCTACTTCCTCTCGCCGTCCGACACCAAGGAGACCGGCCAGACAAACCTAATCAACTTACTCCTCGAAATCTCCGCTCTCAAACCAGCCACCACCGTCCTCGACGTAGGATGTGGCATTGGCGGCACCACGCGCCATCTAGCCCGCGACCACGGCTGTACCGTCACCGGCATCACCATTAGCGGTCGTCAAGTCCAGATCGCCAAACGTCTGACCGGCGACGAATCGTCCACCCCAGTAGACGCCGATGGCTTCACCCCGATCGGCACAAACGGCGGGCGTGTGCGCTACCAGGAACTCGATGCCGAGAAGATGGACGCCCATTTCTCTGCCGATAGTTTCGACGCTGTCTGGATATCCGAAGCTCTCAGCCACTTTCCCGACAAACCTCTGTTTTTCCGCAACGCGGCCAAAGTCCTGAAAGTAAATGGCAAGCTAGTCATAGCAGATTGGTTCAAGGACGATGATCTCAACCAGGAAGCTATGGAGAATGACATCGAGCCAATTGAAGGTACGTTTCCCCCGACCATTCCGGTGTACAACATCTCCGTCTACATGTAGATGTTTTCCGCGATTACTAAGATAACGTTGTTGCGACAGACGGCATGCTCCTCCCTCCTTTGTCCACACAGTCCGACTACATCTCTCTCGCGGAGAAAGCTGGTCTGAAAGTCCTCCACCCACCCAAAGATATCAGTAAAGAAGTGGCGAAGACATGGTAAGTCTCCCCCTCATTTCCCGAGTCTACCCTAGCTTGTACAAGGCCCCTGGGAGCGTCCTCTGATAACTGTTAGGGACATCTCTTGGAGTCTAGTATCGTCGCCCTCGCTCTGGGCCTTTGCCATCTCCCAAGGTCGAGACGGATTGGCCTTTTTGCAATCATTCCGTGCGATGCGCAGGGGTTATGCGAACGGTAATTTCAGGTACGCTGTCATGGCGTTTGAGAAGCCTGCGTCTGGGACTGGGGTTGCACCAGCGGCATAGCGGAACATAACTGGTGATGGGCAGGCGACGACAACTGCTCGACAACACTCCACGACAGAAGAGAGCGCTCGAACATCCTTCGGCAGCACTGGAACTCTGGACAGCACACGGCCGCATCTCCTGGTGACGATCAGGATGACAAAGCGCGACATCTCGCATCTCAAGGGAAACATACCGGAGACAAAATATCAAAACACCATTTGGGATCAATGTGTAGATCATAGATGATGGTTGCAGCCTGATCTGTACAGCTCCTGGTTGCCATCAACGAGGAGACAAACACGCTGGTGATAGATTTCCCATATTCAATTGCTAAGAAATCAATAATGCTACATGATATATGCACCCATCAATGAGTTTCTTTTCCATTCCACGCCATGCAAAATACATCAGATCCAAACGCAATGCCGTTTTGCAACCACCTTCACTCACACGGCGACCACCTCAATCCTCCTCGCTCTCTACTTCAGCAGTATTGTCGTGGAAGTACTTGCCCTCAGTAGTCTCATTGATCACACCAGAGCGAATCGTCCAATCGCCAAATCTCTCGCCCGAGTTTCGTTCCTTCGCATACCGACTCAACAAGCCCGTCATGATCTCCAAAATCTCCTCCTCCTTGATACTGCTTCGGAACAACTTATTCAGTCTTTGCCCATGGTACCCACCGCCAAGGTACATGTTATACGCGCCGTAAGCTTTGCCCACGAACGCGGCCTCGGCCAACCACGGTCTCGCGCATCCATTAGGACACCCCGTCATGCGCATGACGATACTATCCTGCGCCAGACCATTATCCTCAAGGCACGCCTCAAGCTTGCTGATCAACTCCGGCAAGTACCGCTCCGACTCGGCCATGGCCAACCCACAAGTCGGGAACGCAACGCAAGCAGAGCTCGACAATCTCATGCCCGAAAATTGCGTGTTGTCAAGCTTATACTTTTTCATCAACTCCACCAGTCCAGGCTTCGCGTCGTCGCTGACATTGCTCAAGATCAAATGCTGGTTACCAGTCAGGCGGAACTCGCCTTTATGCACCTTGGCGATCTCTCGCAGGCCAGAACGCATAGGGAAATCAGCAGTATCTTCGATACGACCGTTCTCGATGAAGAAAGTGAAGTGGCTCAACCCCTTTTCGTCCTTCTGCCAGCCGAAAGTGTCGATGTTGGAAGCGAACTTGAACGGTCGGGGTTCCTCGAACTTGATGTCCAGTGGATCCAAGAGCTCTTGGACTTTGGATTTGAACACCTCATTGCCCATGTCGTCCATGGTGTACTTCAGACGGGCGTGCTTGCGGTTCTTGCGGTCGCCGTGGTCGCGCTGGACGAACATGATCTTCTCGCAGACCAAATGAGCCTTGTCCGCGGCGACGTAGCCCATCATGTAGCCTGTACGGGGGTATGTCTTTTTATTGTTGTGCGTCACACCCATGCCGCCTCCAGCGAGGATGTTGAAGCCCTCCAGATGAGCGTTGTCTTTGGAGCGGATTGCGATCAAGCCGACATCGTGCGCGTACACGTCCGTGTCGTTGTGAGGTGGGATGGCGATTGTGATCTTGAATTTTCTTGGGAGGTAGGTTGGTCCGTATAGTGGTTCGTAGTCTTGGACGGCGTCGCCTGCTACCTGGGCCTTCTCGCCTGTTGTGTCGTCCTTGAGCCAGATCTCGTGATAGGCGTTTGTTGATGGCAAAAGGTGGTCGGAGATCTTCTTCGAAACGGTGTGGACTTCGTGATGATATTCTGACATGGTGGGCAAGCTGGAACACATGACGTTTCTGTTGACGTCTCCGCAGGCTGCGATGGTGGTCATGAGAGATTTGTTGATAGCCCTCATGGCGGGCTTCAGCTTCGACTTGATGACACCGTGGAACTGGAATGTTTGTCTTGTGGTCAATTTCATGGTCTCGTTGCCGTGGGCGCCGGCAATGGCATCCATTTGTAGCCATTGATCTGGGGTGGCAACACCACCAGCAAGTCGACATCTGATCATGAATGAGTATGCTGGCTCGAGCCCTTGAGCTTTGCGCTCGTCTCGCAGGTCACGGTCATCCTGCATATATGTACCGTGGAACTTGGTCAGCTGCTGATCTGCGGCCGAAATGGCGCCCGTAGAAGTATCCAACAGTCCTTCGGCGATGGTGCCTCGGAGGTAATTCGAAGCAATCTTGATGTCTTCGTTGGTTACTGGCGCGGGTTCCTCAGGCAGACCTTCAACATTGGCGACATCCAGTGCTTGCCAGAGTCGAGGCTCCCATTCTTGATAACCAGTTTGATATGAATCAGGGTCCTGGTCGTCACCGAGGCCGATTGCCGTCAACGATTTGGCACCCAGGAATTGCATGCGTACATCGAGATCTTTACCAGGCTTGTTGTAGAAAATCTTGTCCTCTTTTCGAGGCCAATAATGACTATCACCAAGGGCAAAAACTGAGTAGTGGACGTTGGCCAGGTCGAGATCCGCAGCGTCTTTGATGGCTTCCCAGAAGGCTCGACCGTTCTGTGGGAACTCTCCCTGACCAGCTGTACTAGAAATCAAAACGACATTCTCTTCACTGGCGAGATCTTCCAAAGGATAGTCGTCCATGGCGAAGACCATGGTCTTGAGACCACGCGCCTTGCCACGGTTGCCCAGCCTCTTAGCAAGACTTTCGGCGTTGCCGTTGTCGGATGCGAACAAAATCGTCAATGGAGCTCCGTAAAGACCTTCCAACATTTGCTCGTAGGCGTCCTTGGCTTTACGCTTCTGTAGCTTGCGTACTTCAGTACCATAAGAGTCGGACAAGTTGGCGGCAAATTGAGGATGTCTGTTCATGACCTGTGTCAATTGGTTGTCCCGTCGGAGGAAGTCTTCCAATTCGCGCTTGATCCGTTCAGAGTCCAGGTTGAAGGTGGGCTCGCCCTTCTCTTCGTTTGACGGGTCCCATCTGTAAAGAGGCCAGTAGCCAACATCGACGGCTTTCTTCGTCTCTTGCAGGACGGTCAGCGGAGAATCGGTCTCCTTGTTGTATGGCAGGTACGCAAGGACGACCGAAGGACCGTTAAACTTCTCTGCCTCAATCATGGCCTGTAACACTTGTGTATAAGAGCTGTAGACAGCCACTGATGCGACGTAGGCGTTGCCAAAGTTCATAGCGTAGAGACCGATGTCCTTCTTCCGCTTATTCGAATCGGCGGCAGCTCGTTCCGAGTGCGGCTCCGAGTCGATGATAAGCATATTAACGTTCGCACCAGATGCGAGGACATGGTGGACACCAGAGTTACCCAGATCATATGCCCAGGCATCGGAACCAATCAGCCACTGAGACTCCTTGTAGAAGAAAGCCTTGTTATCAAGCAATCTCGTAGACAACCTGGATCCGTCGTTTGACAGACGAGCAAGCACCTCGCCTGCATACTCATTCGCCTTTGCAGAATCATTAGCGTTCAATGCCCATCTTGATAGCCACTGTTTCGGTGATTCTGTGATAAACTCATTGCTGCGTGCAGCTTCCTCTGCCTCCTTGACGAAATTCTGACGACCTTCGATCCGGGCAAGCAATGAACCAAACCCATATTCAGGCGACGCTGCCAAGGTTGTAGATACGCCTGTGCTCTTCTCCTTCAGCTGGTTGGCGATGTATAATCTGCTGCCAAAAAGTTGATCGAGAATCTTCAGGTAAGCGTTCTCCAGTTCAGGTTGTTCCGGTGTAAAGCTGTCAACGACGGGGTCAACTTCGTTTCCAATAGTCAAGTTTTGAATGGAATTCACGACCATCGAGGAGCGACCTCGGCGTCGGGAATGTTTGCGCGGAGTTGAGGGTGGGGCCAGGTTCTGGAATATACCGCGAAGTGCTTGCAATGCTGTTGCGGCATCGATTTGACCCAGGCGGTATTGAACCAAGGATATTTGGGTCTCACCACCAGCACCGGGACTCAGGCTTGAGAGAAGATCGAGGAAAGAAGGTCCCCATCTTGTGGTCTTCCTCCTAATTTGTTCCAGCACAGCAATCTTCTTGATTGATCTCGGTATCGAATCCAGGAGGACGGCACTTCCCAGCCAGGGTCTGTATAGTCGAGCGGTGATTAAACCAATGTTTGTCAGATCGGCCGGTACATCATCCGAGTCGAGGACGTCAACGAAAACACCTGTCGACCCAAAGATGAAAAGAGCGGCTTCGGCATCTGGAGGACCTGAGTACTCAATGGCGGAGTAGCTGCGACCGGTAGCCTGGGAAATGACAGCCCAGATGTCGCTAGCATAGGTGAAAACGTCGGTAGCGTTGACTGGACGAGAGGTTGGTGTTTCGACAGTGGTAGCCAGAGATGAAGGGGCAGTGCTGTCCGAGGAGCTGTCCCGTCGGGACGAAGGCGCCGAGGAGATATCGGTGGTGCCGTTGGTGGAAGATGGTGCTACAACGGGTGACAAAGGGTCTTGCTGGGCACCTGCAGCTGTTTGCCCTGACAGCACCTGCGGAAGACCAAGGTCGGTGATTGTCGCAGTCCTTCCACTACTGACGTACAAGCTGTGTTCGTCTGAAGCTGAGTGCGAAGCCTTGGGCCCGACACCAGTCTCCAAAAGTGTAGTAACCACCTCCCGACTCTCAACCGCAATGGGATTGTCCTGTACCGAGTTTCCAGGGTCGTAAAAGTGTATGACACCTTTGCCACTCTTGATTGCCAGAGCATGGGCAGTCAAAGCAATGTCCTGCGCCTCCTGCAACGTCTCTGACTGTAGAAACGTAAAGCCACATTGTCGAATGGAGCTGATCTCTGAAAAGTCTGGGTGCGGTGTTGCCAACGCTACATGCAACACGACGGGGTATTGAGCGAGTTTATAAAGGTGGGGGATTGAGGTCAGGAGGATCGAGGAGGGGGCGGTGACTGCCACAAGTTTGCCAGCCTGGGCGGGCGTGTAGGCAGAGAGCAGAGGGTCTGAATTCTGTCGTACTGGAATGATCTCGGGCAGAGACTTGGAGACGAAGCTCTTTGCATTGTTGCCGGTGAATCGGGCGAAGTGGTAGGAGAACTCGGAGTCGGTGTTCAACGACGGTTGCACAGAGAGGATGACATCGCTGGCAAGATATGCGATTCTTGCAACTATTCACCAAGAGTCAGTCAGTCTGGTTCTGTTTGCCTTCGCAGTTTGTAGCTTTGGCGCAAATCTTCAAGGGCAAACTGTGGGGGAAATGCAGGGTACAGCAGTGTAGCATTCTTACGTACCAGCTTCTGCGGGGCTTGCAACAGACCCCATGTTGCCTTCTGAGTCTCAAAGAGAGTGACAAGAAAACAAAAAGACACTGAGCAGAAGTCGAAGAGCAGGACGAAGAGTCGAGAAAAGAATAGCAATAGTGTAGTTATAAACTCCAAAATATTACTGCATGGTTTCTCCGCTCAGTGATGCACCCACATAGCAAAGCCCGATCAAAGCCCTTGACTATTGAATCGCCTCCTTGGTGTCTTGGAGGAAATTTTTATTGTACCGGGCAACTTGTTCTCGTCATCTATTTGAGGTGGATGGTGATTGGCTGGTGATGGCGACATCGCGGTCGAGATGCGGCGAGTCGCCCGATCGAAAAGGTGGAGTTGAGAATTGGAAATGGAAATGGAATTGGAGATGGAGATGTCAGTACGGAGTGCTCGTCCTCATCGTATCGGATGCGGTGAGCGCGGATGTGGGCGTCAACGAAGAGTCGGCAGTCTGGTTGTTTACGACTACTAGTAAGTCATTCCATCTCGCCTCTCGGGCTTGCGACCATACACGACATAACTGCTTCAAGTGTCAGCATCAGCCCGGGGCATCCAATGGCGATCCAGTTTACGAAAACAACTCACTATCGCACATATTGATGATAGTTTCGATTCTTCACATCTTTCCGAAACCCGACCATGGCCAGCTCCGTCTCCTCACGTGTCCATCCGTATGCATGAGAAAACACTCGCAGTCCAAAGGCAGAAGCCCCTTCCACCAGGTTTGTCATCTCCAGTGCTCCCACTTTCTTGAGACGTCGGTCCTTTGGCCACGGTGATGATGGCATCTTGAAGATAAGCTCGGCCACATCAACAAAGCCGGCGTTTCGAAGATACTCGGCAAAGTGTAGACAGCAGTCCAGTGGAGCACCCAGTCCATATGAGGCCTCGATGAACCTGTCGCAGATAAATTTGAACATGGAACTCTCCGGCATCGATGCATCGTCACACATGGCGCGAGGATATACCGAAGCCAGCTCAAACCACCCTCCAGGTTTGAGATGATCATATGCTTGTCGCATGAGTTTCGGCCAGTCACGCACCACGTACAACGGATCGCGAAGGTGAATAAAGTCAAAACTCTCCATCCGGTAGGTCCAGCTATCCTCGATATCGTCGATTTCGAACTGACAATTGGGAGCAACCCATTTGGGTTGTATTGGTGCAATATCTACCCCAAGTACTGACGCAGTGGGGAACATGTCTGCCACGTCCAGTGCCCATATGCCCGTACCAGTCGCCAGGTCGAGGATGCTCTGAGGGCAATCACCAATGGGAGCCAAAAAGTGTCTATCCCCAATCACGAGTTCGTATTTGCGGTGTTGCAGGTCCATTCGGTCCATCTCAGCTTCGTCGACCGGCATTCCGTAGCTGTGTCTTCCATATTGTGGGTACAGTCGTTCATTTTCTAAGATGCCTCGAGATATCTCCGAGGCGATGGATGTCACGTAGCTTGTGCTAGTGCTTTCTGCATAGGCTTCGTCGTCTATATCCAAATCCGGCAACATCATGGGCGCGATCTGGGTGGTCATTACCGGAGGTGGAACCTGAATACTGAACTCTGTATCTGCGGGTCGATCAAGGCTGGCGTATGCTGGAGATTGCGGACCACTCTCAGAGTCGTTGGAAGAGATTCCCTCATGAAGTGCAGGGGAAGCAACGTCAATTTCACTCAGGTCGGTGGATATGGGCATCAGTTCGCACTCGAAGGGCACGGCTTGCGGTTCGTCTTGACGAGTTTGGCCGTCGCCCGAGAGCTGTATCGATTGAGGTGTCGCCGGACGCTCTTCATGATCTTCATTCAGAACTCGATGTTGAGTTATATCCTCGCCATCGGCCTCAGCGGGAGAAGCAAGCACTTCACGCTTAGCTGACAGCTCTTGCGAAGTCGAGTGGAGATGCTGCTGTTCATTCACAGCGCATGCATGTTGAATACTTTCTGATGGTGCACTGGTGTCGTGCGGCGATCCAGAAGTCATAGGCGTTTCGATCGTTAACGGCTCAACTTGTGCACCTTCCTGACTACCCACGTCGAGCGTTCTGGCCGCACATTGTTCACTTGGCTGCATTTCGGCAGACATGTTGAAGAAGGCACGAGAAAAATCTCGTACAGATACACCTACCGCCACAATTCTGATATTCAGAGCGGCCGACAACGCAAGGAGGCAAACATTGGCGCATCCGCCAAAATATCTCTTGTCTGGAGAAAAGAGAAGCCATGGTCATTGGAGTCATGTTCCGCATGAGTAGAGTCGTACAGTGAAGTGCAAACAAGCCTGGAAAGAGCAGGCTGGAGAGGCACATCACTGCCATTGCTTGACCAATGACATTAACAACGATCAAACTCGGTGTGGGTTGGATATATTGTGCCGATGATCACCCAGCAGTGTGAGATCATGGATGCGTGCAGATATCGTACGACTATATGCTTAGGCAGAGGTCGACCAGGGAGCTAGGTGTCGACCAGCAGGAGAAAGATGGAGCGCGCAAGGACGATCAAGCACTTGCAGACTGCACATCGCAAAGATCAGTAGTACAGACAAGAAAGCGTTCTGGAATCTGTGAGAGGTCGGCTCCCTCTCAACAGGCGATGTTTCAGCAGGGTTACACGAAAAGGTCTGATTTGACTGGCCTTTGCCACGTGGAGGGCCAATCAGTCTCGACGGCGCAGAATAACGCCCTCAACGTGCATTCGACTGTAGGTTTACGTGCCGGACAGCAATTGAAAAGAGGCGTAAGACATGTCGAGAGGATAACAGCATATCGCAAAAGGCCGACGCAAGCTTCGCCGATGGACAGAAAGGGTCAAAGAGGCCGTTGCTGGCTGCTGGTTTTCATCGAGCCTCGTTTCAAACCGAGCTCCTGTTCTCGTATGAGTCCTTCGCCCCAATGCATAAAATGGGATATTTCGTATGCAGGTCGCCGTGGATCCGTTGTATACACAACCCTGACCACAAGATTATCCAAGTCGTCGGCATTTCGGAGAGTGGGAAACCTAAGTTGAGTTCTTTGCATTCACTCACCTTTGATAATGAAGTCTGTGACCGATCAGCCTCGGCTCGGTGAAGAATGCTTGACGAGGAATCCGCAGCCATCACAATGGGCTTGGCGGATTGATGTAGTAGCAGTGTCCGGCGAGTTTGGCTTGACCCTGCATCGCGGTCGAGAAGAGTCTGTGTACTTGTTTTGCTCGACCAAGCACAAGGGGCCGGATTCCAGCAGCCATCTGCCAATGAGGCTGGCAAGGCTGAGATCCCAAAGGGGTGCCAAGGCTGACAAGCATGTCCTTCTGGAAAGACGACGATGCAAGGGGGAGTGGAGTGGAACTTTATAAGGTGGCAAGGGTAGGTGACTTGTCTATGAGGGATTTCAACATTCGCAGCCTCTTTAACTCCCTCGCAAAATGAAGTCTTACCATGTTTCCTCACTCAAAAGATCGCTTAACATGTCACTTTCTCCAGCCTCATCTCGCAAGTGGGTGTATGGGGTATTTGTCGCGGGTTTAGTGCTCCTTAGCCTGATCGGCTTCAATCCAGCCCTCTTGACCGACGCGACGAGCCAGGGAGTATCCTATGTCTATGACTTCCCCTATGCTCCGGAGACTGGCCTTGCCTCCAATCAGCTGGCGAAACTGAAAGCGTATCTTCCTGAGCTTGAAGATATCGTGTCAGCATTGCGAAAGACGACGATGATAGACCAACCGGTATCTGCTGAATGGTCGGCAAGCATCGCCAACAGGACTCTCGGAGTACGTGAGATCCACAGCCTATCTGTGGGAGACATTACTGATCGCGCGCACAAAACAGTTCCAAAAAGTCTTCGTCTTATCACTTCCAACCCGGCCAGATAAAAGAGACAGTATCAGTGTGCAAGCTTCCCTCACAGAGTTTGACGTGACGTTTGTCGACGGTGTTGTAGGCTCTGAAATCGGTGATAAAGCTCTACCATATGTGAGGGGACCACGTCCGGGAGACTGCGGCTGATCTCTCACTGACCCAAGACCAGACAATGACAGGTAGAGTTAACGAATTGGGATGTTGGAGAGCGCACATGAATGTCTTGCAGATGTAGGTGTTCCTCAGGGTTTTCGGGGCTCTGAAATATATCTGACGACTTGTTAACCAGGATTGTGAACCAAAACATTGCAACAGCCTTGATCTTGGAGGACGATGCGGACTGGAACGTTGGGCTGAAAGCGCAACTCGTTCAGTACGCGCGTGGTGCCAGGTATCTCCAGGACGTCGAAGAAAATGCGGTGACCAGATCTGCCTATGGTGATGACTGGGACATGCTATGGCTGGGACACTGCGCCGCATTCACCAACCACACGGACAAGCGGCGGTTCGTGATAGCCAACGACCCAACGGTGGAACCGGTAGGACACCGCCACTACTTGGAGGAGATTCCCGACATGTCAACGTGGGATCATCCGTCCAACGATGTCAACGATACTCGGATCGTCTTTCGGTCCGCCGGTGGAGGTAAGTTCGCTACCATGGCTGTTGGAGGACCAGCTGACATTCTGTGCAGTCTGCACGGCCGCACAGGCAGTGTCATTGGAGGGTGCTCGAAAAGCCCTGTACGCCATGAGCATGACACCATATAACAATCCTGTCGATTGGTATGCAACAGACATATCCTCATTCACAGATTCGGTGCGCTGATGATGATGACGATAAATAGGGGTTATCAAAACTTGTGCAACAACAGCGAAGCCCATTTCTCCTGCATCTCACCGTTTCCCACTCTCTTCGGCACCAGTCAACCAGCAGGAGCGTTGAATCGGGGCAGTGACATTAGCAGTAGAGATGGGGTGCGGCCGGAAGCCCACTCGAGCAAGACAGCCTTTTCTACTCGTCTCAATATCGAGAGGCTGATTCTGGGTGCTGATAAATTCAAGAGTCAATTTCCCTGGGGGGCTGGTGAAGAGATGACATATGATGAGATAACAAGGGGTGTGGGCCATGCAGAAGTTTTGCCTTGAGATTGAGACTCGGCAGACTGAGATGAGGTTTGTCGAGGAGGTGTTAATTGCTTGCAATTGTACAGACGAGAACATTGGAAAAGGGTGAATTTCGAAAGCTACCAGAGTACAGAATAAGTTATTGTGAGTGCCCAAAAACTTACGGCCTGGGACCGTTCTCCAAGGGCCTAGGGAGCCCCTAGCCTAAGGGGTCCCCCAGAGTGCGTCATCTTTACAGTAAGTTAGCACCTCATCGGCGCCCGGCTGAATAGTTGCCGTGGAAGCCGGCTGGCTTACAAGTAATCCGTTATCCTCAGTCAATTCAACCATCTATCTCTGTTCCCCACTCATGGACCGGCTCATCATGCTGTTATCAGCCGGATCTTGGCCTCAGCTCCGGCCAGAGCATCCGCTTGACATCGCAGACAATGCTCTCCTGCTCAGATCCCTCACGGTAGGTAAACGGACTTGCCACTCATGGCTGGCGGATTTACCCATACGACACGCCAGCTAGTCGGCCAAACACGGCTGTTGAGAATAGCTTCCGAGCCGTTGGAATGGCGTGCTAAGAAACTAGGTCGGCGCCGAATATCAATATCAATGCTCAGGCCTCCCGTCTCTAGGTACTGTAGGTATATGGCAGCTTTGAATACTTATAGCTAGCTTCAACCCACTGCCATAGCCAATACCTTTAAAAGAATCACTTGTAAGCCAGATCAGCCCAAAGCAAAGCAAACAGACCCTCATCGAAGCAAATACCAACACTTAAAATCCACAATCATGGCTTCCGCAGACACCTTCTTCGCCGCCATCGAAAACCGAGTCTCCTGCTACTCCCTCACCAATAAGTCTCCAACAATCTCAGACGATCGCATCCACCAAATCATCAACGACACAGTCAAACACGCACCCTCCGCCTTCAACGTGCAATCCACCCGTGCAGTCGTCCTCGTGAAACAAGACCACGAAAAACTATGGGACATTGGTGACGCCCAGCTCAAAAAGGCCATGCCCGAGCCCGCCTATGCAGCTCTGGCGCCTAAAGTCCAGGGCTACAAAGCCGCATACGGCACAGTCCTATGGTTCGAAGACCAAGCCGCGCTGGACGCACTGAAGAGCAAAAATCCAGGCCTCCAACATGTTCTTCCGGACTGTGAGTATCGTCCCGTCCAGTTGGCGGTCAGCGCTAAAACTTACAGGGGCGCAACACACCAACGGCATGCACCAGTTCATCGCATGGACAGCCTTGGAGCTGGAGGGTCTCGGAGCCAATCTCCAGCACTACACGTTTATGCCCGACTTCTCAAAGGAAGTTCTCGAGACCTGGGATCTGCCTAGGACGTGGGTATTACACGCGCAACTGGTCTTCGGACAACCAGCGGACGGGTTGAAGAGGAAGCTCGAAAGGACCTACGCGCCTTTAGAGGAGAGAGTGAAGTTCATCGGGGCTTGAATAGGCTGTTGGGCGGCAGGACAAGATACAGGTAGATATAGATGCTGAATGCAACTGATAGATATAGCCAGTCTTGGAACACCGACGATGAGAGTTACAAACGCATGTACTTTCCTCTTCCACCACAAACAGCACAGTATGGAATCCCTGCGCAGCCTTCCAAACCTCGTCTTCATCTTGGACCTCGTCCTAAAAAGCTTTATGCACCGTTGCCTCTTTCCCCAAAGGCGTCGGCTCGACATGTCTCGCAAACAACCTTCTGAACCCTTGTATGAAAACAATGTCCGCGAAACGAGCCGGCCCTTTGGCGAGACTGGCGAGACTAAGTCGTCGCACTCGGAAGAGGTAATAAAGCATGATGCACCCAAAGATGTTGAAGAAGATGTAAATGAACCCGATCCCAAAGTTCCGCCAGCGCTGGCTGTAGTAGATGTCGCTGGAAGCGAGAAACTGGTCCGCCGATGTGAGCGGGCAATACTCGCAACTCGTAGTGGCGCTCGGGTTGAGCAGCTGTCCTGGCGCGCCGGCACGAAGGTACTCTGCGAGATATTGGGCGCAAGTCTGGCCGGACGGCGGATCGAAGATGGCCTTTTCATTTTGCGCGCACTCGACGTGACGACCATGGAGGCCTGTGCTGGCCCAGCCTGAGACCTATCACGCAGTCAATGTCTGTTTGATCCATGGAGGGTGGGGTATTGCATAGCATACCATATAAGTCATTGGCGATGCACGATCTGATTTCAGTCTTGTCAATTATCATCCCCTTTGGATAGACCCCGGCGGAGTATTCTGAGTAAAACTTACACATAAAGATCCAAAAACCAGGCAATGCACTCGGCGCCTGTAGCACGCCATCGAAAGTGAGCATCATGCTGAACAAGAGCGTCGCGATATTGCCCGCCGTCTCCGCATCCGGCAACGCCGCAATGATCATATGCGCGAACGTGCTGGTGAACAGCATGAACTGGACGACGAACAACAAGATGAGACCTCTGGCCTCGCCGCTCTGGTCCTTGCCGAACAGCGCAAAGTACCAGGATATCCACATGAGTACCGCTAGAACGATCTGATAGGGCATCTCGACGACTATGTTGGCTACAAGAAACGCAATCCAGGAGTACGCCTTGGACGGTCGTTCCCTGACTTCGTAGAGAGATCGCTGGATGACGAAGCGTGGCATGATTTGCTGGACGAATGTCGAGAATATCCTATCAAAAGGTCAATACTGCCCGGTGAGAACTTGATGGGAGGAGGTTTTACGTACGTGACGAGCATGAAAATGCCGAAAATGGTGTTCTGTAATCCGGCCATCGTGCTGTTTTGTTTGTAGAAGGAAAAGCCTATGAATAGGGCACTCATGATACCGAGCAAGAACCTTTGACTTTGTCAGCATGTGCCGTGGACTGGGATTTCTCAGGTCAAGGAAAGCGGATGATAATATAACTTACTTGCCGCTGATATATGACGGCGTCCTCCAGTACTGCTGAAACACGCGGACGGTAACATAGTATACCTGTGAGGTCAGCGGCATGGCAAACTGTGTAGGGGCCCCTTGTTCAACGAGGGGCTCCGACCTCTTCGCTTCATGGATCCGGTCGAGCTCGGCTTGAACTTCTCGGGCTTCTGGTGTCGCCTTCCACACCTCGCTCCAGTCCCGGGTAGCTTTATTGCCGCATATATCAAGCATGTATTCCGCCGGATTCGCATCGTCTTCGCATTGTGGAGCACCGTTACCTTCAAAGTAATCGAGCATAGTCCTTGAGTTGGGCCCAATGTCACCAAAATAAATGGTCTTGCCGCCCTTCATGAGGAATAAGAGCCGGTCAAACTCCTGAAATAGAATCGCCGATGGCTGATGAATAGTGCAGAGTACCGCCTGTCCGGAATCGGCGAGCTTACGCAGGAATGCCACGATTGACCAGGAGCTCTGGCTGTCCAGACCCGAGGTGGGCTCGTCCAGGAAGATGAGTAGGGCCGGCTTCGCAGCGAGTTCGACGCCAATGGTAAGAAGTTTGCGCTGTTCCACGTTCAGACCTTCACCGGGATTGCCGACGACGGCTTCGCTGAAGTCCTCCATGTTGAGCATCTTGATTACGTCTTCGACGAATGCGTCCTTCTCCTGCTTTGAGACGGATTTTGGCTGTCTCAAGTTCGCTGAAAACCGCAATGCTTCGCGGACAGTTGTGGTTTCGAGATGCAGATCCTTATTGGAAGTTAGTGCGTGATACCGTTTCCACACATCTCACTTTCTTTGTTCACTCACCTGTTGCTGGACGTAGCCCGTTTTACGTTGAAACGAGGCATCGAGTGGTTTGCCGTTCACGAGCTGGAAAAACATCGGTCAATGAAAATCCTGATTTATCATGGACAGACTTACCATATCGCCAGTCAAAACACCAATGCTGACCCTTTGTGCCAATGCGTCCAGCAGGGTAGTCTTGCCGGCACCGGATGTTCCCATCAAGGCTGTAAGAGTCCCAGGCTTGACCCAACCAGATATGCCGTCAAGCAGTCGTCGAGGCTCGCCTTTGATTTTGATGTCGAGGGTGACATCGCGCCAGGTGAAGACATCCCTCTGTGCCGGGAGAGCCTTGACCTGTTCCTGCTGGTTCTCACCGACAACCACGTCGTTCGAGGTCGATGGCTTTTCGTCGGAACCAGCTACCATTTCTTCATCTCTGCGAACGCCATGTTGCATGTATGACGGGACATGACCTCGTCGGAAAACCAAAAATTCCGCTGCCGATGTCGAATCCGAGTTCAACTCGCTTGCAATGAAGTACATGGTGTAGAAGAAGATCATAAACGCGAAGAGAAAGCCGAGGTTTCGCCAAATGTGGCTATAGGAATATCCATACGAGGACTGCACCCACGCATCGCCGGAAACCTCGATGTGGCCAGCTACAGCACCTGCAACAGCGCACTGGAAGTGGTTGCCAGTTCCATAGGGAGGCACCAAGCTAGTCGTTGCGCATGGGAATTGTCGTCCGTGTACTTCGTTGACTAGGAGGGCTTCGAAGGCATAAGCAACCGGGTTGATCTGCCGCAAGTTGCCATGTTAGCATACTGAGTCTTAAAATAGCGCGGTGGTGATTGAAAGCCCTAAAAATAGGCGCCTTCCCTCAACAGGGACGAGCTACTTACCCAACTGGTCCATTTGAACCATGGATGCATGTAAGAGCGTTGCAGAGTAAATCCAGTGTAGATCACAATCCACAGCACCATGATACCTGCGATGGCTAAAGCCGCACTGATTGTCTTGGTCATAGCGGCCGTGGTCCTGAAGATCGCAGACATGGTCAACATGGACATGAAATTGAATAGGAAGAAAATGAAGAACTGTGATGGTTCCGTCCTCAGGCCCGCCAGAAAATATAAGATGATGTTGAAGACCGTTGCGATGCAGAACTTGATGGGCAGGTCGGCCACAATTCCAGCTACCGCGTCGGTAAAAGGATGGTAGAAGGCATATGACTTGTGCTTGGTGACAATCGGCCGCTGGGCATATAAAGTGTTGATCTCGACGATAGACTGAAGAGCGCTGAGCAGCACCGCGAAGAACAAGACTGATCCCTTGGCAAAGAATGACCCTGTCGACAACGGCGTGCCATAGAAGACAGACCCAATGATGAGGGCCTGAGCGATTTCACTGAAAATGACGGCACTGCGAACAAATTGAGTCAGTCTGAGCAAAAGTGGCTGAATGAGTGGGAGTCTTACAGTGTTGACGCCTTGTCATTCCAGATCCTTTGGTAGGCTCGTCTTGTACAAAGGCGGATTTGCATGAATATACTAACCATGTAAGGTGATTGGGGCCGGGTGTGCTGGGCTTGCATGCGCTTGTGGGTCTCTCTCAGGCCCGATAGTGCTTCTTTGCCATCGGCGTTGACCTCAACAGCGTGTTCAGATTCAACCTGACATTCTTTGTAGTTCGGACTTTCGAGCCAGTACTTTTCGAACTCTTCAACTGTCCGAGGTACTTTGTTTGCGAGACCATCCTGGGCCTTTCTTTCTCGAGGATTGGTGACTGACGTCAAGAAGTCTCCTGTTGTCTGCCTGGCCGGGCAATACCAGCCCATGTCCTCAAAGTAAGCTCGTGCTTCGTCTGTGGGACCAAAATAGATCTGTCGGCCTTCATACAGCACGATGACTTTGTCACAAAGGTCATAGATTGCTTGCGAGGCTTGATAGATGGCAATCAGTGAGGTAAGACCACCAACATCTCCGGCAATCCTCAATGACCGGACGAATTCGAGTGCAGTTTGGGAGTCAAGCCCTCGAGTTGAGTTGTCCCATGCGGCGATTTGAGGCCCTTTGAACTGATCAATATGGTCTCCAAGGTTAGGATTGTGTTCTCATACCTGCCAATGCCATCTCTGCAATGCTTACACGTTTGCGCTCGCCACCACTGACCCCGCGAACAAAGTCATCGCCGACCTTTGTGTTCTTAGTATGGGCTGCATGCATCACAGATTAGACAGGAACTTTCATCAGCTTCCCAACTTACAAAGACCGAAGATGTTCATCATGACGGCCGACATGTGCTTGACCCAGCTAGCTCGGGGTAGGTCAAACATTCTGTTGGAAGGAGTCCGGCAGGCGGCAGCGAACTCGAGTGTTTCACCCACGGTCAAGTGAGGGAAATGTCTTTCGTTCTCCTGGTTGTAGACGGCCTCGCCGCGGAACTCCTTTAGGAACACGTCTTGTGGTATACCATTGTAGGAGACAACAGACTTCTCGGAGAGCTGCAGGCCCTGAAGTTCGCCGCAGATGGTCTTCAAGAAGGTGGAACACCCACTACCGGGTCTACCCAGCACGATAAGAAGCTCTCCACTGTTGACGTGACCATTGAAGTTGCGCAAAATCTGCTTCTCTTGCGGGTGACCAAACGCTTCTCGGAAACGGAAGGGCTGCATGAACATGGAGCCAACAGTGTCCTGGAGCACGAGGGCTGCGCCTTTGCCCGAGACATTGAGGTCTCTGAAGGTGAAACCGCTTCGTTGCAGCCTGTGTCCTTGCTGTTCAAGCAGTTGCGTGAATTTTCGCATCCAGAGAAAGAAGTTGAAAGCGGGATGGGACGGATCGAACTCTGGGGACTCGAGGGTCATGCCTGTGACCGTGTCTTGTTTCGAGAGGCCAGCAGTGCTGTGCGTACGAGTGGCTTGACCACCAGACAGCAGCGTAGCCAATCTTGCCAATTCGCCACGCTTGGCCACATCACCGTTGTCGAACTGGTAGTCGGCTTCATCTCGTGTCTTTCTGGTTCGGATGGGCTCAAAAAATGGACCATCAGAGCCTATACCACTTCTGGTGGAGAGCGACCGATGGTCGTCTTCGAACCGTGCAGACACTGCCGTCTGCTGGTTATCGCGTTGTGCCATATCGTGCAGATGCATTCACCAGTCTGAAGTAGGCATTGACTGGAAAGGCCGGTACTGAACGGATGAGGAAGGGCTGTCAAACCTCACCTTGAGTGCATACACTCTTACAAATTCGAGTATATATGTAAGTTGGGGAAGATATATAAGGAAATGCAACAAGGTTGAGGACGGGAGCAAAACATTCCGGGCACAACAAACAGCAGCGAGCACATCCTGAGCCGTCCGAGCACGTTTCGATCCTATCAAAAGCACAGGCTTGCTCTAGATCGTTGACAGGACCAGACGGTGGTAATGACCATCGTGGAGTTGATGGTCTGTGACCCGAAACCCTGAAGTCTAAAACGCACCTGGTTGGAAGCAAGCATCACTGACCATGCCCCAAATACGGTCTACGGTACAATGCACCCTGTGCTCGCAGTATCGATGGTGGCTTTGGACTGACTTTGACGGGCTCCTCTGTGCACCCGGGCTGCCAGACCGACGCGTGGCATGGTGTACAGGTAGGTTTCCCCATAGATATTGCAAGGATGAGATTCCGCCGCGGAGAGACTCCAGGTGTCAGGCGCAGAACGGCTTGCATAGTCAACGAATGGGAACAATGGCTGACTGTTTAGGTCAGCATCTTGGAATGCGAGTTGCGTGTCTATTGGGGGCCTTAAGCGGGAGTAAGATGCAAGATGGTGATGACAAACAACGTGCCAAGGAGGTTTCGGCTCCCCAGCGGCGGGAATCTACAATGCATCTCCCTGACTAAGGACTTGCAACGGGGGTCCGACCAGGTATTCAACCGTTAGATACCAGGTAGGGGACTTGACCGGGGCGGCATGCAGGGACACAGTCATTTGTACCAGCGCAACATGAAGCTTTGTTCGGGCGGGCTGCCGTCTGCAATGCAAGGCATGGGATAGGACGTTTTTTATTGATCTATGGCCAGACCATGCCTTAGAGAAGAGCATATCCGTATCCGAAATGAAGAAGTCTGTACGGACAACGAGGAGAGAGGAAAGAGGAAAGAGGAAAGGACGGGAATTAACGACTTGTAAAGAGGAAAAGCGCTGCTGTTGCTCGTCGGGCGAGCTTTCAGGACAACAACATGCTGACTAATACGCCAAGCCACCCTGCTCTCGGGCGACCTTCCTTGACTGCGCCCATCAAAATGACTTCACCTTGCAGCCAAATGTTGTTCTCAAGGCATTCCAGTACAGCGCGTTGGTCATGATGAGGAGATGTCTCTGCCTGGACTTGGGCTAGCAGAGCCTGAAGAGCTGTCTGCAGTTGAGACAGCGCAACATGACCTGGCCAAAGACTGCGAATGGCGTTTTGAAGTCGCCGTGGGAAAGTATGTTCAGGTCAAGGTGAGAGATCTCTAGCGGCACGAGGTACTGAACTTGTACTCACAAGAAGTTTAGGTATTGACAGGTACCGCCGAGCTCTTCGGCACCGAACTGGTTATCGGCAACACATACACGTTCACAGGCACGAAGGCTGCCATCTACACCTGGCATGGCTGTGCATTTGAAGTCAGCGGCGACTCACTACAGAGCGAGTACACCGCTGAAGAGACGCCCATGAGCGAGTACATAAACCTGCATTTCGCCCTCGAGAGTCTACGTGACCAAACCAAAGCGTCCGGCCGAGAAGGTCCACGAGTTCTAATCCTTGGACCAGAAAACGCAGGAAAAAGCACACTCGCAAAAGTCCTGACTGGCTATGCTTCTCGATCTGCGCGATCTCCTGTCGTCGTAAACCTGGACGTCCAAGAAGGAGTAATGAGTGTCGCTGGCACCCTTACGGCCACCGTCTTCAAGAGCATGATGGACGTCGAAGAAGGATGGGGAACAGCACCTATGAGTGGTCCGAACGGAGCGGTCCCCGTGAAACTGCCACTGGTCTACTTCTTCGGCAGCCACACTCCAGAAGGGAAGGATGGCAAGGTTTACAGGGCTCAGGCCAATCGTCTCGCCCTAGCTGTTGCAGGACGAGTGGCTCAGGACGCAGAAGCCCGAGAAAGTGGCGTCATCATCGACACCCCAGGCAGCCTCATCAGCACCAAAGCCGGCAACGTAGGCTACGACATTATCCAAGAGATTGTCTCCGAATTCGCAGTGTCAGCCATCATCTGCATCGGCTCTGAAAGATTATACAGTGATATGGTCAAGCGATTTGACCGGCAACCAACGGCATCTCGAACACCCAGTGCAAACGAGACCATCTCCGTGGTCAAACTGGCCAGATCGGGCGGCTGCGTCGATCGCGACCCGAACTTCATGCAGGCCTTTCGTGCCGCTCAGATCAAGACGTACTTCTACGGCAACCCACGCCTGAGCAACGGTATCTCGTTACAGCCTCGTCAACAACAAGTCGACTTTTCCACATTGACTGTCTGGCGGCGCATAGGGAGCACGCCTAATCCATCTGGCGAATGTGCAGACGAAGACTACGACACATTTCTACCAGGCGGGCATGAAGACTCTGGAAACAAGGTTGCTCTGCCTGCGTCACAGATATATGAACGATTGTCCGCTCCGGTTGCGGCCATGCGCAGTTCCATCCTTGCAGTCATGAATTGCGAGCCCGAAGCCGACCAGGGAGTCATCCGAGACAGTAGCGTCATGGGGTTCTTGTACGTGACGGACACCGACGAGACAAGGGGCCGTATCAGCTTGCTCAGTCCCGTCGCTGGACGTGTTCCAAGCCGTGCTATTGTGTGGGCAGGCTGGCCAGAGCCCGTGCTGGGAATGGATAGATCATAAATCTTGTGAATGGAGCAGGAGGGCATCTGACAGGCAACCATAGACCACGATGATTGAAAATGAACGGGCATTTTGACGTGATCTTTCCCCTTCAATACTTGTACATTGATTTATCCTTTTCCTTTTACATTGTTTCCGTGCATGCAACTATTAACTGACCAGTTCTCGCAAGACTCGCACCATATTCCTAATACCCATCAACGAATTCTCGTCGGGTCCATCGCCAGGCGTCCATGAGGCATGCGCGAAATCAATAAGCCGTACCTCGTGCACTTTTTGTCGTATCACATCGTCGTCGTCGTCATCATCATCGTCATCCTCTCCTTCTTCCTCTTCTTCACCGTCCAGCTCATGATTGGTGTCTTGTTCATTTTCTTCCTCCTGTAGACCCCGCTCCAGAGCCTCTTCGTCAGCCTCATAAACCATCAGCACACTGGCGCTATACATCCTGCTCTCCTCATTCTCCAGCACGTACTGTATGCTCTCCAACTCGCGAGTGAATCTGTTTACAATCATGCGCGCTCTTTTCCGCCGGAATATGCGCTTCCCCGTTGCTGGATCCTGGTGAACGCCGCCGAGATATGTGGTGAAAGCGCCGAGTACGTTGTGATGATTGAACGACTGGCCGTATAGCTTGGTGTAGGACTTGTAGCCGTTTTTCAAGTCGACATGCGCTGGATCCTCTTGTATATGTGCAGGTTCGTCTTCGTCTTCGTGGTGGTGTCGGATCTTCATGCCCGCGATCCGAAATCCTAGACTCCCGCTCGTCGTCCGACCGGCGACTTCCTCGAGTTTCCTCCTTTTCGCGGCGGGAGCATCATCGGCCCACAGCCTTGCTCCAAGCTTCACGTCTAGTATATTGGGATGTTTGAACCCGGCTGCGACATTCTCCAACACTATCGCCAGGCCTGTAGACAGTTTCTTCCCGCCAGAGGGTTTCCAGGATGCACGCTTGCCTAGGGTGGGAGAAGGGATTGTGGCTCCGTTGAAGGCGGCGGTGCCTATTGCAGAGGTGAGAAGAGGTGCCACGGTCTCTTGGTCATCATGTAGTGAAAGAGCCCCAATGTAGGTGGGCATCTGTGCTTGGAAGAGAGGGTGGTCTTTGGCGGACTCGTAGAAGTCGATCTCTGCTTGAGTGCAGGGTTTGAAGATGAGGGTGCCGGAGACGTTGGAACTGATTCCTTCACTGCGACACACAGTCAGTACTCAAATAGCCTTCCAGTCTATCAGGAATAACGACTCACTGGCCGGCGGCATTGTGGTCAAACGCGACCAGTTCGGACTGGGCGGGTATGGCAACGATTCTCTTGCTGGGCGGCGGTGCTGGCGACGAGGTCATCGTGCTGGAAGTCGTCGGTCGTGTGTGTGTGAGGTGTCAGAGAGGCTTCGAGCACAGATTAGGCACCGAGTTGAAAGGGCTCCCCTGCCAAGGGCGCATCCTGGCGGAGGGAATCAGGATCGACCGTTGTAAAGTTTTCAGAAAGATCGTCGGGCCTAAAATCCTGGAACTTGGGATCCGAAGGGAAGTTAAGTTAATGAGGGTGTCGTTGGTGGAGCTGGGAACTTCGCGACGAAACGTGGGGGAATGGCGCCGGTGATGGCTGACGCCCAACGCCTAATCCCTAATGCCTAAATGGCAGCTGATTCAGGTACAGCCGTCGGTATCGGTCCTAGCTTTGATGCCACCGATTTTACTTAACGTACTTTTGATTTCAGCCTTGTCAGATTGGTCTAGTGGTATGTGGATTGTAACAAGAAGCGGCAGAGAACCAGGTATCGATTTCTGAAGCTGATCCGAAATGGTACTGGAGCTGGGATGCAGGTAGCCCGCTCACAGGCATAAGCGTTTGCTCTCACAACCAAGCTGAACGAACCTCAATACACCAGGTATTCACCACAACCTGCTGACTTCACTTCTGAAGAGTCAAGGTGAACATGTCTGCCGAGAGCTTCACACGGTGTCTACTGGTATTAGTTCCCTGAGACATTCTTCTGTGCTCTTCACTAGTTTCTCGAGGAATGATCTCAGCAAGGGTTTGATTCAACCACCTTGTTTTTTGCATCAAATTTGTGATCTTCTCTAAACCTCATCGCGAGAATGGCGGGGCACGAAAACCCTGGAAGCGAGTCTCAAGCTGCCGGAAAAGACCTTGCAGCGTCTATGATTGCAGTCGATCTTAACCACCAGCATGGCGAGGAGGACAAGCAAACCCCTCCCATAGACGGTCAGTTTACCAGCCCCAGTGCCAACGGCAACGCTCGAGAAGGATCAGTACCAGGAGACGAACCAGCCGATCATCCCGACGACGAAGACTATGGAGAAGAGGTCGACCTACCTCCTCCTGAAGCGCGCAAGAAGAAAAAGAGAAAGAAGGCCAAGCCAAAGAGCCAGCGAGGTCTTGTAAGAAAAGCCGGAACTATCCTTCAACATGAAGGTTGCCATTAACGCATCATCTTAGGGCAAACCCACCGGATTTGAAGACTTCTTCGCAGATGCGCCAATGACACCAGCTCAACACGCTGAAGAGCAGGAACTTTATGACCCGTGAGCATGCCTCACGACATCCTCACACACACACAACTAACCACGCATACCCAGTGCTCTCCACTTTGTCGACCGCGTCCTCACTGCCATTGCCCGCTTCGAGAGAACTCGCAAGCTTGTCTCCGAACGCCGCGAAATCCTGTTCAAATACCTGGCCTACGGTAGTATCGAGACAGGTCCAAATCAGTTTCAAGGCGGTCAGGATACCGAAGGCATGGACAAGACGCAGATCGCCCAAACTCTCACACAGGCGCGCATTCGCGACGACAAGCGTGATCTTGGCACAGAAACAAGTCTCTACGAGGTTGATTTCCAGGGTGTGATGAAGGGCTTCCTGAGCCGCAGAGCTCAAGACATATACGGTTTCGAGACGAGGGAGCAAGTATCATTGGTGACGACCACCCTCGAACGTTTCATGGACTACCTCCTCCAGCACGACGTCTGCCCAGAATACCGGACCGACGTGCTGGCCACACGTAATCTATGTCGAGACGCGCAAATCGAACTATGGGATGTGGCGGAAGCGACCCGTCGCCTTCCAGGTGATTTCAACATCGCGTGCTCAACCTTATTCGGAGGGAGCTATGCCCAAGGCTACGATGGCGAAGCATCTTGGAGACCTGAGAGCGAGGCGCAAGCCTTTGTAGGCATGAAGCCAGAAGAGGCGCGTCAAGTCATCCACTTTGGTGTCGCAGGCGCAGCAAGCGAGGACGTCTACCAGACATATCTGCACGCCGTCCACGGTGACGGTGCGTTGGAAGTGCTCTCGGTATGGGAACACGTTGGTTTCGAGATCACCAGAATCGTACCGCCCACCGAGGAATGCAAGCAGCTGTACACAACATCTTCCCAGCACTTCCGACCAGTCGGCTGCGTCTACGCCAAACCATGGAACAATCCCGATGCACCACCCGAAGACCTCACCGAGGATGAAAAGCAGGCTGTGAGTTTGCCATCCACGCCCGATGAGACGGAGTACGTTTTCTTCATCGAGTCGATTTTGCAGTCCTACCTGCGCATCGGCATGAAGGTAGAAGCCACCATCCGTGTGCTGAATTGTGGCATCATGTTCTTCGACGAGGTGCTTAATGTGTTCCCGACGTTCGATGAATATGTTGTCAATGACATGATGCTAGGATGGAAAGAGCCAAGACCTTTGAAAGGTGCACTCGACTACGTGGAGAGCGAAGATGATGACGAAGGCGACGAGGTTCACAGTGATCAAGCAGAAGATGAAGGACCTGCCGAAGAAGTGACCCCCAAGCAGAACGGCCACGGAGATGAGTTATCGTGAACGATGCCCGCTGGGGTCTCATTTGTTGGTCTGGTTCACACCAAAGGCACCTTCGAGCAGGTACATCGAGGACATTTCTCACCCCTAGACAACCAACCCACAGCGAAGCGGCTTATGTGAGACAGATAGAAAAGCACAATCGGCCAGTTCCTTGGATCCGAGCAGGCTCAATTCGTGAAACCTAATACTTATGCGTTACCGAACAATAAACGCCATCTTGTCTCGAGGTCCAAAAACGATTACACACTTTTTGCAATTGTCGCCTGTACTGGTGCAGGACTCGCTACGCTCAACACTCAAACAAAAGCAAGTTGCCAACAACCCATATATCCCGTCACTCACTCCTCGCTATGTAAACATTGACCAAGCCATGTCGGTAGTCTGGGACGGAACTGTGCTCGAGTTCCAAGATACCCAGGTATCCAACCTGCCTTCCTTCCACACCTGCGCTGTCAATCGTCCTCCGTTCCGGAAGACATCTCCCACTAGTCAAGTACCTAACTCAACCGATGCAGGACTTTCCTTCCCAACACCAAGACGCTATTCCGCCTTTGATTCTCCGGATCACTATCGGCTCCATCCCCATCCTGATGATTCTGATGGTTGTTCTGATGACTGTGATTCTGTCCTTGATTGTTCTGTCCCTGGTTTTGCCCTTGACTCTGTCCGGCGTGGTGCTCGCCTCGACTCTCGCCCTGATTGTTTTTATGCAGACTCAACGAGCCAAAATGCACGCCTCTCTTGCCGGCTTCGGAAAAGTGCCGGCCAAAAGTATTGCTCAACAAACTTCTCGGCACACCAGTATGATTTGCCGTGCTGGGCCTATCAGGCGCGCCGGCCAACGGCGCGAGAGAAGGCGCTTTACTATTCGACGCCGCTGTCGATGGTGTCACACTTCCTCCCAGCCCACCACTGGGGCTCGACCGCGGAATTTGAAGAGCGCTGGTGCTCGGCATGTTGATACCGCTGGTCGAGGTCCACGATCCACTCCTCAGCAAAGGCGAGGGTCCAAATGTGGGGATCTTGTGCCCGTTCTGATCTGTGGGCGAGCGGAACGTGATGCCCGAAGACTCAAAGTCGTCGTCTTTGTCATCCTGCGAGAAACTGTACAGACTCGTACTTTCCGATGTATTGGACAGCTGCAGATTGATGTCAGAGTTCGGAATGGTCGATGTCACTGCAATCTCTTTCAGTCGTTCCACTTGCTGCTTTTTTGGTCGGTGGTGTGATAGTTTGTTGCCGATGATGGCGCCGGTATGGGATATCAGGGCTCGGATAACGTCCTTCTTTAAGCGCAAGGCCAAGTCGAGGTTCGACCATGTCTTGTTGCGGTACTCGAGAGTCGGCATGCGGAAGACAAAGTCGTGCAAATCCTCAATGTTTCTGTCGCCCTTGCCCTTGTAGCTTAAACAAATGACGAAGCTGTTCAACTTCACATGCGCGAGAGTCATGTAGTTCGATGCTCGGGACATCATTTGTGACAGGTCGTCTGAAGGTTTGTCCTTCTTATCCTTGTCCTTTTTGGTGACCAGACCGCCGTCTTTGCTTCTAGTCCGGTGCAGCATGCCTCCTTTCTTCTCTTCAGATTTGCGTAATGCAACAAGGCTGGTAGTCGAGACGTCATTCTTCTTGCTGGATCTTAGACTGCTATTAGATCCTTTGCGAGTAGGCTCCTTCAGAACTGCGCGAGGATTTGACGAGTTAAAGTGCTTGAAGAATGTGTGATGCTCGGATGGAACCCGTAGTCCCCTCGGTTTGCCCGATGATGTGGACGGAGTCGCTTTCTCACGATAGGTCAAGCTGTAAGTCGGCTTCAACCTCTTGGCCATCTCGCCTGGAGACGTCTCCCTTTTCGATTCCATGCTTGGACCACGAAGGTCGGTTTCCGACATCAAAGCTTTCTGAGCCGCCTCGAGTTCTTGATCGTCACCTTCATCGAGAGGCTCCATGTTGCTCACCAACATAGGCGAAGAGTTGTTATCATCGAAAGCGTCAGATCCAGTGCCAGGGAAGACGTACTCAAAGAGCCTCTTGCCAAGCTCTCGTTCCAGTTGCACTTTGAGTGGATGTACAGTGACAAAGAATTGCTCCAATACTGGAATACCAGCAATGGCCTCGAGCATGTACCATTGCACTTGTATCATCTTCTGCGCTTCCACTATGCTTGGTTGTCGATCAGCTGATTCATAATAAGGACCAATGATCTCGGGATACAATGCATTCGACAATAAGTTCCAGCCTCTGATGTGTTCAATCTCTAGTGCATTATGGTTCGAACCGTCAGTGTTATCGATACGCTCATATGCGGCGTTGCCAAGTTGGAACTCTGTCAGCGGCTGATCCTTGTCCAGCATCAGATGCCATACGATCTCGGAAGCACTTAGATACCACCTCAAGAGGCCACTTGTCTCGGTTGTTTTTCGGTCGTCATTCCTCTGCTGAGAGGTGTTGATGGCTTTCATGATAAAGAACAGTTCGTCTTCACAACTGGCGAGATCCTTTTCGAGGTTGATCCGATCTTGCCAGCCATGCTTATCCAGATACTTCGCATTGATCTGGAAGTGAAGCTTGATATCTTCAAGTTGTCTGATCCGTTCTTGCAGGCTCTGGGCCATTTCAGGAGCGCCCCTTAGATCGCTAAAGTCCGATGCAAGCATAATCTTTTCAAGCCGCTCGCTTCTTGTCTTCTCCAGCGGTTCACTAAAGAGTAGCAGGTCCAGGACAATGATATACATTGTGTAATACTGTTGCGAATCGCATCGAGCACGAACTCTGGGGAAGTCGACCCATAAATGATCGATACGGTTTTCTCGCCGCGACGGATGTTTGACTTCACCCTTTCTATCACTTTCCACCTCTTCGTTGTATTTGAGGCGAAGAGGATTGTACTTTTCGTATCGGAGACTTGCAGACGTTTTCTGAATGACCCGTTGAAAGCCAAAAGGCTCCAAATGGAAGTCAAACATGGCCTCGAGAGAAACCCATGGAGGCCATGATGAACCAGGGACGTTGCCGTATCTGTTGCCAGAATAGAGGTGGAGAAATTTCGCCAGGGTCTTCTGACTAGCGACGAAGAACTGCGCAGCGTCCATGTCAAGGGCGAACCTGCGCTGAACAAGTCCACTGACCTCGTCTGCCATTCGTGCCTTGTCCATGATAGAGACGACTTTCAGCTGCGTACCCTTCGTCGCAATCAATACGACCGCCTTTTCGTTCTTGTCACTTTGAAGCTGAATCTGAGGGGCAATCAATCGCAGATGATAACTGTTCATCGCCTGAAAGTTTTCGGCTATTTTATCTCCGAGATCAGCACTGGACGGTCTCCTCTCTGAAGCCGTATCGTCTCCTTCTGCGTTCGAGGATCCATCTTGATCGGCGTCACCAACCTGCACGAAACGTGTGGCGTCACTCAATAGTTGGTTGATGCGGTCTTGAACCACAGAGTCTTCGTCCTTCTCCTCCGTAGGCGAAATGACACTTGGAGTAGCTGGGACCGGAATGTCATGCTTTCTTTCTTGCTTGCGTCGCAACTCTTTTGCTTTTGCTTGTTCGTCCACAATGTCGAGGATAAACTTGACGGCACGCCGCGACATGTAATAAACAAAGCCTCGGCGCTGGCTGACTTGATGGCTGTAGCGAAGAATGATGTTTCTGAGCGAATTGTTCCACTTGACCTGCGCATTGTGAATAATGAAGCGGTTGTTGAAGTCACTCGCGAACTCGTCGTGAGTCTCTGAGTCGAGTGCATCCATATCCACTTGAGGTGTTGATGGAGTCGAGCCGTCCACAAGTTCAGCAGTCGAAGTGGCTTTGCTTCCTGTGCCCTGAGGACTACTCTTTTCCTGGTCCTCAGCATCCGCGGGATATATGTTACCCATCAGGCGTCGCAGTCCATGTTGTAAGAATCTTCGCTTACTCTCTAATTCTCTCCTCTGAGCCACAAGCGTGTTTTGCTTATCCATGATTGCTTGGTCGTGCTCCCCATCGCGAACCACGCGCAGTTCATGATCGCTCATCAACTTCAAATGAGCCTGAAGCTTCTCTTCGAGGTCGTGAAGCCGGTTTTGTATCAGGTCCATCTGGACTTTGCGTGGATCATTGTTTTGGGACATCACACAAAAGTGCGTGTCTTCGTCACCAAAAGGACTTGTCCGGGAGTCGTCGCCCTGGATATGACCAGCTCCGTGTTCCGTCTCTCGGAAATAGGTGAACCTTGGAGTGAACGCAAGAGGTAATATCTTGGTCTCGGGATTCGATTCAGCCGGCAAAACCCAGTCCAACTCCACAAAATCATCCATATCAATCCAAGAGAAATCACGATCGGGTATCGTGAATTGCGACATGTCAATGTTCGGCGCAATTTCTTGAAAAGAAGGCAGTGTCTCGTCAGTAGCTTTTTGCAGATCCTCGGCGGTCGTCCCAGCTATGCTGGCTGCGACAGCTCGTAGATCTGCCCGCATAAAGTCAAGCTCCGCTCTGTTGATCTTCATGCCGCTTGTCCTCATCTGTTTGGACTTGCCTTTCAACAGAGTATCGAAATATTCTCGTCGTTGATGGAGGTCAAGCATAAAGCTGTCGATCTTGATTTTCAAACCAGTCGCAGATACCACGTTTTCCTGATAATCCTCGGCATCCTTGTGCTTGTACAGATGAGCGATGAAAAGAGGTGACAGGAGTAGGCCGTACTTGATTGTGGCCAAGTGTCGACCAAATTTCTTGCTGTTCTTCTCCACGCCCCGCCATAAGGGACCTTGACGGATGGGTATAGACATCGCACCAGAAAACAAGGACCACCAACTGAGAAAGTGAGAGAAGAACCTTGGACTGAGATGGACACTGTTATAGCTTTCTGACGGAGCTGTATCAGCGCCTACCCAGTCGCGGTCGAACGGGGCCGCTACTGCAACGGAGAGATGAATTTGCTGGCTGCGGAAACCACGAAACGCATCATAGGTCTTGAAGTCGACCCCAGGCATCGTAGCTGGATTTCTCAGGATAACGTCGTAGTGGGGTATGAACTTAGAAGTGCGGCCTCCGTCATCCAGATTTCGTTCAAAGACCAAACCAGCTGTCCACTGGACATTTCCAGAGATCTTCATGATGACTTTCTTGAATATTGCAGCATTCTTTTGTGAGCTGTTGGTGGACACACTGTCTGAATCTTGTGTGCCTCGCCGTTCAGGAGTATTGCGGGCTTCATGACTGTAGTCTGGGATCGCCAGAATATACTCGCCACTTCTGACGGTCATGAACTGGCGGGGATCGTCAGTGGAGTGTATCGCCCATTGCACATCGTTTCGCCAACACATGACGAAACCTGCACCATAGCCTGTCACGACATAAGGGTCCCTCGAACCCTTCAGTCGCAGCTGTACATCGCCATCGCCTTTCCAATTCACGACGAGGCGTGAATGGAAGCTCATGCGGATTTTGTCCCAGAATCCAACCCTTTCTGAAGTATCAACTTCCGGTTTCGTAAACCCTTCAATGGTCATCATCATGTCCTGTATGACAGGCTGGTAAGATGTGCCCCAGGATATTGTCGTTGGCAAGCTCGTATTGATGTCTATGACAGGCCTGGAGTATGTTTTGACAGGTGAGACGGTCCTGCGTACGTCGATATAAAAACCTGGAATTTCTTCTCCACTCTGGGCATGTTGTCCCTTAGGAACCACTTCCACTTTGACATGTCGGATGGACTTTTCGTCTCGGAATTCTTCTGCAATCACGAAGTCCGTCTTCAAAGACCAGCTTGGCAGGCGAGAGGATTGACCATTCCGGATTGCAGGTATGTGAAGGAGGTTGAGGGGATAATCCCGAAGCATGACACGAGCTTCCCCCATATCAAGAGTGAGATTGACGGGAATGAGAAGTGAGTATTGAGTGTCATAAGGCATACCTTTGCCAATCTCGTGCAGGAACTTGGGCAGCTCGGCGTACGGAAAAGAAGGCTTGTCAATGATGAGATGTAGATCACTAATGATCAAAGTCATCAAGCCTGGCCGATTTGGCACACCCAGAATTGCCTCATGCTCTCCACTATCATGAGGTGGCTCGTCGGCACCCGAAAACATTTTGCGGATGTTCTTGATTGTGTTGTTCTGTAGCTTCATCATCCAGTCGATGCGTCTCTTCCAGCTCCTGACGTTGTGCTCTTGAAGCTTCTCCCATGCTTCATTTGCATCTATCTTCGCAGTGCTTGACAATGCACAGACTCCATCACGGTCGTAGCGGATCCTTGCGGAGTCTCTACCTCGTCGTCCCCTTGAAGAGTTTCGTTTCCTGGGTGTGTCATCGACGCTCCTGGCACGGCGGGAAGCGTGGTCAGCTCCCGCGTCCGGAGATGCTCGGCGACTAGAGTGAGCTCGATACCTCGATTCTGCACGTGGCCTTCTTTCCTCGTTCAAGCGTTTTACTTTGAGGCGGAAGGCATCCTCTCTCGCCAGCCGTTGTTTCTGTTCAATCCGACCAGCGTGGTAGATGACACCAAGTTTCCATTCGAAAGGATCGTCCTCAAGTTCGAAACAAAGTGCTTTGGATCGGAGTGAGATCCGGGGGACCTTTTTAGGACCCTCAGGTTCCTTTTTGAGGATGTAATCATTCGTCCTGGTCTTGAAGCGGTGCATGAGCTGGGCCATTGTCTTGTTGATGTTGACAATATTGTCAAAAACCCTGTACATTTGCAACCCATGAGGCACCGCCAAACGAAGAAAGTCTGTCGTCACATCAATAGATCTCTCATCTGTTATTAAACCATGCTGCGACTTCTTCTTGCTGTGGCGCAGATCAAGACGAACATTGTTTGCAGACACAACACGCGCCCAGACGTTCTTCAAATGAGGCGCTTCAGCGTGCAAACGTACAAGCTCGGATCTCATATATGGTGGAGACCATCGGTGTCGACCTCCAGATACCTGATAAATTTGCAGGAGCAATTGCGGGTCGTGTGGCATCTGACCCTTGACTTGGACGTAGTTGGCTTTAACATCAATAACAGTAAGCTCCTGACCCAGAGGGTGTGGGTGGTGTGTAGGGACATCATGCTTCTTGGCGGGAGAGGCTTGATGGACATCCGCTTGCACCGGCGTAGCTGGTCCGAGAAAGGCATCTTTGATAATCGAGCCTGCGACGCCTACTGAATAGAACCTGTAAAGGGAGAATTCCAGATATATTGCGCGTATTACCGAGTGAATGTGGAAAATCGGACCTTGCTGATCTCTTGTGGTGCTTAGAGCAACTTCGAATCTGGGTATCCATGTGAATGGCTTTGGTTCCCAACCTTCGAGGGACTCAATTATGTAACCTTCTAGCCCCTTGATGTGAAACGTCAGACGTCGTCCGTCAGTTGGATCGACATGGTGATGTCGAGGTGGTGATGTCGGCGGCGACAGATGGCGGTTTGGCGAAAATGATTCATCGAACCGGGCAGAATTCGATGCTTTCCTCCGCGTCAAGGTCTTTCGTGCAGCTTCCGTCGACGACGACGCATAGTGTGCCGTCCAAGCCTCGAGTTCTAGTGCGACACCTCTTGTTTGACTTGAGACGCTGGTATCTACACCGGCAGTCTCGATACTGAAGCCAGAACCTTCAAAGGTCGCTTCAACAATCCAAGATGGGAGCTTTCTCAAAAAACTGGTCGCTTGTGTCTCATGTACGGCGACATTCTCTGTTGGCACACGGCGTTTGAAGTGCCGTACGATGTTGTAAATTGCTTTACTGACTTCTTCCCGCACCATGATGATAGAGAACGTTCGGAGGTTCCCTGAAACACTGACAGCAACGTCCCTGGACGCAGCCACCTGAGCCTTGATTTCCAGCGCTTCCGTGATCATGATCTTGTGTTTGACGCCTGTAGACGCTTGATAATAGAGTTGATGAGACATTACACGGAAGGTTGAAGCCAAGGAATACAAGAGCTCGCTTCCGGCCGAGTGGGACGATTCAATATCCAGAGAAATCGACGTTATCGACGAAATTATCATGTCGTATTCACCGGGAGCCGCATGGGCTGCATTTGCCACTGGTAATATGAACCTGACCACCGGCTCATGAATCGAAAATTTGACACTTGCTTTTGGAAGTAATCTGGATATAAGGCGATGGTGATTTTGGGCTGGACTCCGAGACGGTGATTTGCGGGCTTGAGCGACAGCGAGTGCCCTCATGAGATGCTGCGGTACTAAATCGAGCGATGGAGAAGTAACAACCAGGTTTGCGAATAGTATATTTGTGTTTCTTTCGGCCACGTCTCGATCTTGGGTGAAGCTCATTGTCTTGGCTGGCAATGTCGTCCGGATCGTCGTCGTGGCCATCGGGATGTACATGATCCTGTTCGTGTGTGAATCGTCTTCGTCCAAGCTGAGGGATATCGAGACAGCCGCTACCAAAGCCTGATGAGCGACATCGTCCCTCGAAAAGTACATGCGGTGAGAAGGAGAGTTTTGATCCAGTCTGTGCAAATCAACTCCGATCTCGTGGGTTACAAGATTGGCAACCAGAGGCAGATTTGCCTGTCGGAGGGACACAATTTCTTTCGACATCCGAACGAAGCTCAATCCAACTTGAACCTCCTGCACGCTGCGAAGAACGGAACTGAAGAATTCTTTGGAGTCAGCCACCGTCTGTACAATCGATGCCTCCCGGCTGCCGGGTTGATCCAGTTCTTCAACAACATCTTGGAACGACATTTGCTCGATAGAGTTCTCAGATGGTGGTGCAGTATCTGTATCTGACTTTGCAATCTTTTTGGCTCGCTGCGTGAAGTGAAGTATCTCGTCAACAGGGATGTGAAGACGACCTGCTTTGATGGCGATGGAGGTATCACGAAGGCCCTCACGCTCCTGGTAGAGCAGACCATGGACATTGATAGTCATGGCGTCCAGAATCTCCATAGGGTCACGGCCACCAACACCCAATAATACGCTTCTGACGATAAGCACCCATTCCGCCGGCTTTTGGTTTCCCAAAGGTTCCTTCTTATGACGAAAAAGGCGTCCTCTGTCAAGAAGTTTGCGTCTCGTATACACAGCCAGGGTCAGATTCGTGATCTGTATATAGCCAATTCCCACAACCTCGGCAGTGGTGTTTTGAAAACTAATATCGAACATACGCAGTACGTTGATCTGACGGTGTATCCGTTTGAGTCGCTCCTTGATATTGGTCAACTTTCTCCATAATTCACTTCGTCCACCTGGTTTGCGGCGTCCGCTATGGTGTACATGGCTTCCTTTGTACTTGTCTCTGAGGGCAGAACGACTCGTAGAGTTCTCGTACACGGCAGGGTCAAAGGTAACCTTGAGCTCCTCGAACACAACGCTTATCCATGTTGGCTGAGCAAACGTGGGTCTGTGTAGACTGAGCCCAAGTCCTCGCAGGTCTATACGCAGTCCATCTCTTGGTGTGTAGGATATATGCCTCAAACTGAAATAGCCAACTCGTTGTATAGAGACGCCGGTAGCGATGCGCAGGACGGCGAGCAGGACGAAAGACGACAGGTACAGTAGGATGAAGAAGGCGGCCACGGAGGTGGCATTGACCAAAGGCATCTTTCAAGTCTCAGCACCCTGCAAGAGGGCGACAACGATAACAGCTCGATAGACGGTGATCGTGACCATATTATATGATCTTCTGGTCGAGTCTTCCGCAATTCATGCTGGAGAACCGGCGAGGCCAAATAGACAGTCCAGCTCTTGCCATGGCCTTCCGCAATGCCTATTGTCACTCTTCCAGTGTCCCAGCGGCTTCTTCTTGTTCGGCGAAGCTGGTATTCCCCAAAAGGCGCCGTGCTAGGCCAGGGAAACCGCGGATTTATCTCCGGGTCGATGTTGTCGGTTTTGCGAGATTGAGGATCTGCGAACCCTGCACTGGGTGAAGTAAACGGTCGGTCTATGTGTCTCGTGTCATTGCGACAAAGGAAGAGGACTCGCGACAACAGAAAAGAAGTTGCCGGCAGGTCCGGTCAATGCTAGCAGCGATTGAAGGACAAACGTAAAGGTGCGGAGGGAATGCTGCGCGCGGGCCACTCTCCATCTCTCCATCACAATCTCGAAGATAACCTTTCTGGGAGGCCTTTCCATCGGTGGTTCTGCTCGCTAAGCTTAGTGGACCCCCAGGCATGAACTCATCCCGCCTAAACTAGCTTGTGCAACAAATCAAAGGGCCTAGTGTGCCTGGCACCTTCAACATGCAGGTCATTATTGGGCTATCCGATTAATGAGTAAGCTTGAGGAGAGCATGACAAGCTTTTTTCAACTACCTATGGCAGCAATAACCTGTTCTTATCCTAAGTTAGACAATTCCGACGTCACCACATTAACTCTCGGTGCCAATGAGCGGATCGAGGTGTGGCCAGGGATCCCAGCTCTTCGGGGTGCATGAAGTTAATTAAACATCTCCAAGACAGAGCCATCGCATCATATGGTCCAAATTGACGTTGTGCAATGCCAGTCTTCCTCAGCTCCTCCCTCGGTTTCAAACACGACCGTCTTCACCCCCTGGAGATGCTTAGGAATTGGGCGCTGACTTGATAGGGTCCTGTCCACCATACATGTTGGCGAAGGCCTTCATTGCTTGATTCTGCAGCGCCAAAATCAAAGGGGTTTACTTTGTGGCAGCACATCGTCTCTCGCGATCGACCACAGGTGAAGAAAGCAGGACTTCCCGTTTGCTCAGTCGTACTTAATCCTCACGCCGGCTCACCAGTAATGGGTGTCGAGAGAACCACCAAATCCGGGCTGTCGATTGTTTTTAGTTCCCTCCTTCGTGCCCCTGAGTTGCTTCTGCATCTTCGAGGCCCAGACGGAAGTGGCGGAGGGGGATTGGAGGAGGCCCGCGTCCCATGTCCTACGGGTGTCGCTTTTCATACGTTTTTTGTCCCTCTGACATTATAGGCTCAGGCTGTAGTGGTCGGCATCCAGATGAAAGCATGGCATGTTGGCCATATTGCTGCCTTCGAATACTTGAGCCCTTTGTGCGTGGCTAATACTGTCTGCCAGGACTTGGGCTATGATAGAATTGTGATAATCCGGGTCGTTAACGACTCACTTTGTGCTGTCGTGAGTATGCTCAATACTTGTTGGCATCTGCTGTTTGCTTGCGGTCCGTAAGTTCGCTATTTGATCATCAAGGATTGAGATCTCCGCCTCGACTTTGATTAACTTGTTCAGAAGCAAGTCCTCATATTCCTTATCGGAGAGTGACTTCATCGGAATGAGACCTGCAAGGCCACGTTGTAGAATTGAAGGAAAGCCAATGGACGACCCTTGCGCAAAATTCAGCCCGGCTTGGGTGACGGCTGCTAGTACTCCAAAGATGATGCCACCTGAGCGTATGGCTCCCTTCGGTACTTTACTGGATCAGTTTCCATGCGCAAAAGCCCATATTACACCACTCACAGAATGCTCCGGCCACAGCTCCAGCACATGACCCGCCTATACCACTGGCAACCACTCGGTGGAGGTCATTGTTTGCGGACAGTGATGGTTGTGCGAGTAAAGCACTACGACAGTCTTGTTGATGGTCAGTGGGCCGGTCAGACTCAAAACCCTGACTCCGAACATACAAAAGTAGGTTGATCCTGCACAAAACCATTGCACTCCAGACACAGATGAATACAGCAGCGGTCTTGGAGTCGAAACAAGAATACCAGCTACAGTACCATAGGCCACGCCCAATGCTCCTGCCAGAGGATGTCAGTAACCTACATTGTGATCTCCATGAGGACAATTACCTGTAGCAGTTCCGACGCCTAATGAAGGCAATAATGGATCCAGAAGAGCTCTTTCGGCAGATGATCTCGACTTTGCCTGAAGTTCGGGCATGTTGCCCTCAGATCAGGTGTTCTTGTAACCAGGAAAGAAGAACGGACAGAACCAACGTTGTGTCTCGAGGCTCGGTTGATGCGAAGCGGGTAAATCTGACTCGGCGAGGGATCGGCAATGGACGCATGCCAAGCCCCGATCAGTTCTCGCCCCGGCAGAAAGAGAACGGGACGCAGACTGCACTCGACTCTCGCAGACCTTTCAGTCTTCCTTGAGACTTGCGCCAACATTCCAGGCGCTTCATCAAGACCGTCTATTCTTTCGGTCTCTCATACGTCTAGTCTAGGCACATCCACATACGTGCCGGACCTTGCTTCCACATCAAACCATCAGTTTTGCAGGCAGTCGCACACTTGAGTGCGCCCTGCTAAGAATTTGCAATCATGGGTATGATCATTGACGTATCCATGCGCAACCCTCTCGCATGGGCAGGCATCCTCGGAATCACCTGCTAACGATGGATAGGTCCCAAAAAGAACCAGAAGATGTCCCTCGGGACCTTCTTGCAGGACGAGAGTACGTTCTACCGCGATGTCGGCGGGGTTTACTCAGGTCACTGACTGGTACAGATTATGGATCATGGGCTGACGAGATGGAGGATATGCCTCTTCCATGTATGTTGTTCCATGCTTGACTGCTCTCACTCTCTGCCGACTAGGAGAACCAGACTGACCGACATTGTGATGACAGCCTCGGACAGACCAAGCTACGGATCAGAGCGCCGAACGTTCAGCACAAACACTGGTATGGGTATGGGAATGGGCAATGGGTTCGCAGGTTAGCATACCTTGCTGAGTATCAATTGCGGCAAGCGTTTAACCCCGAGTGGTAATAGACAGACGAGACGGCTATCCTTCGCGCGAACAACTCCCTCTTCCCACTGAGCCTCCATTCACCGCACATCTGGCAAATCTTTCATTTGACGCCACTCAGGGAGACATCAGCGACTTTTTCAGCGACTGCGCGGTCACCAATGTGCGCATTGTAGAGGACAAGATGGATCGCAAACCAAAAGGATTTGGATACGTTGAATTTGGAACTCTGGACGGCCTTAAGGCTGCATTGGCCCTGAGCGGTAGCAACCTTGGTGGTCGTCAAGTTCGTGTCAGCGTGGCGGAGCCGCGTAAGTAATGTGGAAAGGTGGATTATATGTACATGCTGACGAAAGTGACAGCCAAAGACAGAGATTCTTCTCGAGACTTTAGCGACTGGTCAAGAAAGGGGCCTTTGCCCGATCTTCCCAATCAGCGCAGGGTCTCTGAACGACCTAGCGGTGGTTTTGGCGGTGGTCGCAACTTCGACAATATGTCAGACGCAGGCAGTGAGCGCGGCCCTCGTCGTGGTGCCTTCGAACAGGGCGATGGGAAGTCTAGAGATTTCTCGAACTGGGAAAGAAGGGGCCCCTTGTCACCAGTGTCGCCTGCTCCCACTTCACTTCGGGAAGGAGGAAGACAGGGAAGCAGAGAGGGTGGTTTCCGCAGAAACTCGCCAGCCTGGGGTGAGGGCACATCGCAAGACGGTTCGCGACCCCCTAGACGCGAATTTACCGAGCGGCCGCCACCAGAGCGACAACCTACAGCTCCAGAACTCGATAACCAGTGGCGATCTAAAATGCGACCCGATGCTCCAGCAAAAGAATCCACCCCTGAAGCTAGCGAGCCTTCTTCCCCTGGCCCGGCAGCTGCGCCGACGACGAGGCCCAGATTGAATCTGCAGAAGAGGACTGTTTCAGAGGCTGTGCCGGTTGAGTCCCCAGCTCCAGGGTCCGACTCGAAAGCTAGCCCATTCGGTGCCGCACGTCCTGTCAACACAGCCGCCAAGGAGAAGGAGGTGGAAGAGAAGCGACAACTGGCTATCCGGCAAAAGAAGGAATCCGACGAGAAGGCCAAGGCTGACAAAGCTGAGGAGAAGCGCCTGGCCAGAGAGAAAGCCGAGCAGGAGAAGGCAGAGAAACCAACAACCAAGGAGAGCAAGGAAACGAAAGAAGCCCCAGCAAACGACACGACTACGTCCAAGGACGATGATGAGGAAGCCCCACAAGAGGCTACGCCGAAGTTTGACATTCTGCGTCGCGCTGATTCGGACAGGAATGACATGGTTGCAGAAGATGAAGAGGAGGGCGAGGAGCATCTCCCGGTCGATGACAAAGCTGTCAAACCCAAGGAAATTGTACAAGATGCCCCAGCCAAGGCCAATGGGTCGTGGCGCAATGCTAAAGCACCACAAGCTGCTCCCGAAGGAACCACCACGGCGGAGCTGGAAGAAGAGGGATGGAGCACTGTCTCGAAGCCAACCAAGCAACGCAACAACCGCCGAAACTATCCGTCTCGAGCGATTGCCTCATGATTTGATTGAAATGTTGAGGCCATTGATGCACTTGTTGAGAAGAAGTTGAAGCGGACCTGCTTGTGGCTTGTGGCGGCCTTGTACGTTCTAAGTGTCTGCAGACCTTCGGGTGGCATGCCTGGTGGCGGTACTGATCAGGACGCGGAACTCTACGATTTTGGCTACATGCTGCTCTTACTCTCGCACACGCTCTCCGATTCAATGCAGGCTGCGGGATCGCTTCCCTTGTTCCAGCATTGTGGAGTTTCGGAAAAGTGCTGGAGTGCAAACTGGGCAAGATTGCAAGCAAACAGGCGTGGAGGTGGCTAGGGTTTCAAAAAGGGATTAATTTCTCGACTCGCATTTGCACATGTATTTTGTACACAGGCTCTAATCTCAGTCATGAGAGCACGATAGAGAATGACCTTTCTACAATGTCCCGGGTACTCCTGAATGTTCGCAGTGACAGTTGGATGAACTGGTAATGAGCAACAATACTGAGTAGGCGGTAGTCCAGTATCAGCCAATCATAATTCAAGAAAGTTGTTTGTCGCCAAGACCACAAAATCGACCAAATATTCACTGGCACGGGTGAGGGTCGAACGTCCTCAAAAGTGATTCAAGTTCTGTATCCGATTTCTTCTACGAATCCTTCTTTGTTATGGCAAAGAAACGATGGCGAAGAGCTTGGACGACTTGATCGAGTTTTTACTCGAACAGATTGCCATCAGTGGAAGTCGAGGTTAGTGTCATTCCGTATTCGATCTTTGGATGTTGTGGTTGGTCTCATTCCAACGCGACCTGCCCCACACTCCCTCCGCTCTCATTCATGCATACATTCCTCCGACAAAGATGGGTCTATCTTTCAGGGGATATCACTGACCTCTTACCTGCGTATGAATAGGTCTCTCCGTCAATGAAATCGCAGACTTTGCTACTTCGTTCTACAACACGACCGACAATCAGAATGAGTTGCACAAACCGGACGACGCCTCAGCCACCAATGTCACCGTCGATCGCCGTCTGCTGGAGCGAATCTGGACATGGCTGGGACGACTTTCCGATGTGTCCATTGGCGAGTACAAGCAGTATAATCAGACTAGCCTAGGTCAAGTTGTGCTGCAGTTCCCAGGGTATCTCCATGCGACCTTTGATAAGACCACCCAACCGGTCGATAAACTCCCAGACGACGCCTCCCCGGAGAACGCCTCGGAGAATCCAAAAGCTAAACAAGGGAAGCACCGCACTCGTCCAGTCGAAGGTCCAAGGTTCCATGTCAGCGAAGAACGAGTGTATCAGGCGATATGTGGTCATCTTCCGGACATCGCCAAGGTTGGCCCGTTGGAATTCGATCTCCTGTCCCATATTGCTGTGACGCGCTCAGATGGAATTCTACAGGGCGAACTCGTCAGGGCCTCTGGCCAGGATAAGCGTTCCGTACCCAAACGTACCGATGCTTTACAGAGAAAGGGTTACATTCTGAAGGAAATTGTGTATCAACGGGGAACACGGACAAGTCGCCTGATTCTCAAGAAGTTTGCCGCTTCCTCCGGCACATCCGGCGACCATGCTGAAAGGAAGTCGACCATACGAGATGCTGTTCGACGAGTATTCGAAGTTCTATCCGACCGGCCTCTCGTCCCGCAGAAGGCGATTGCAGAAGCATTGAACCTGGAGTCCCCAGCAGAGTTGGCAGTTCTGGTCAAAATCATCCGTCGACTTGAACGTCTGAAATGTGTCAAGAGAGTGAGAACAGCGACTGGACCTTCCGCCACCTCTGGAGATTTGCAGAACTACGTTCAGATCTTACGTCCTCTTGAGCCCGAGGACATGGAGAACTTTGACACGGATACGTTATGTATGGATCAGACCATTGAACACTTATCTGCACGATCCGAATCTGAGTCCCAGGTCGATCCTCCGACACCAGCTGGAATATCTGAAGATCAAACGGAAGAAGAGCAAACTAGGCGCCATCTTGCAAGATGGAACCCTGACCGCTTAATGCCCAACGCGGTGCACGATGCTGCCTGTCTTGCTGGCCATGAAGGACTGACAAACACGGTAAGATGGCTATTGCGACATCAACCCTTTATCATGCTAATCTCACATAGACCTCTAGACAGTTGATCACCGGTCTTTTCGTTCAACGCACAATGGAGTCACTGCTTATGCGTGTCTCATGCAAATCATTGGTCGTGCAGCCATCACATATACGCCACCTTGCGATTGTTAGGACGGTTGCCGTCAACGACGGCGTAACTCAATATATCCACTACCCTTGGCAAACGTTCTGCGAACTGGTTGACGAAAAGGGGTTGGACATAAGCCAGATACCAGGGGCAAAGCAAGCCTTGAATTCTAGGCACCAAGGTCGATCTGGTATTGTCAGTGATCAGGAGCCTTCAGAAGGGAGGGATACAAATGAGTTCGGCTTTCCTCCTCAAGGCTCGATCCCTCTCCAAGTCAGAAATGGAGAAGTGGACTTCTCGACACTGTTGGGAAGTGTTGCTGCAGGAGACTTTATGCCACGTATTGGTGAAACCATTGTCGTTAAGCAAGCCGACGGCAGCTTTGCCATCTCGTTGCGAGAAAACATGCCAGGGAAAGCGGGATCGCTACTGATTCGTCAGCAACCCAGACCTCAGACCCCTAGAACTCCGAAGCGAGCGGTAAGAAACTCACCAGGGGTGGAGATCGTCAAAGGTCGTCCCCGAAAGTACATGCGAGGTACAGAAAGCTTTTGGCGGAGAGTGTTCAAACAAGTCCGCACAGACTCTGGGATCCCACCCACTATAGGTTGGGCAGGAATCATGAACGATCCGGGCGGGTTGGACCTCTACGCTCGTCGTCCTGTCAACTTTGATGAAACACTCTTGGAAGCTATTGCTGCCGGGCTACCAGAGCCTCACTTTCCCGAACACATCAATGATGCTTGGATCACCTCGACCAAGGAGATCCTCAACCGCTCATCAGATGGCCTATACATAACTCCAAGAGGCTTACGCCACGACAGTGCGAAGCAGAAATCCCAGATTGTGATCATGAGAAGCAGTCGTCTGAGCGAGGTCGACCTTTATGACAGGACACAAGTGCATCCGTTTCGATTGATATCCTCGAGCGCTGCACATAGTTTCGCCTATCGAAGATACTATCCCTCACCTCCGGTGGGACAGTCATCGACGAAGATCACTGACAATGCGTCCGCAGACAAAATCAAGTCTCCAAAGAAGAGGGCCAAATCGATCGGCAAACCAGGTCCGCCAGTTGGTGTGTTCTATGAGGAGCGTCCTCCAGCCGAGCCCTCAACAGCAGAGTCACATGCGCACCATGAGACCGTCATTGCCTTAGATACTCATATGGATACTACAGACGAAGAGCTTGAACCTCCTCCAAATACTGATCAGCCTTCCACATCCGTCAGCCTTAATTCGGCCATACGCCCCTTAGCGCCAAATCAAGTGCAATCTATCCAAGGGCTTGCCAAAGAAACAACGCACGGAGCCGAACACGCCTCAGAGAGATCTCGGGCTACTCCTTCCGCAAAGAGGCCAAGGTCCCCATCAGTCACAATCACAGACCTTGCGAGGCCATCCAGGAAACGAAAGTTGACGCACAAGGCAGTTGAACTGTTGGACTCATCAGGCGATCACGATTCTCCGCTCCTGCTCGGACCCTCCATACCCCAAGGAGACAGCACAAGTGAGGCAACAGAGCATCACCTTGCGTCGGGCGATCAGGGTCAAATTCAACCACTGGCGCAGGAGGCTCCAACTAAGCAGGAAACACCAGAGGAAGATCGGGTTCCCCGTCTCTTTGTCGAAATCCCGCCAAGAGCAGCTGAGCCTCATACAGAAGATGAACGAACGCTACCAACCACAAATCAAGGATGGCGAGGCGAGCAGCGGATTGTAGCACAACAGCCTCCGGCGACGCTTACTGAGCCAGTACAAGAACCAAGCTCGGCCCATCCCACGGTCAGCCGGGTTCAACCTATCCCACAAGTTCAACACAATTCGAGCATTACCCAACCGGAGGAACCATTTGTGAGTGTCGAGACTAAGGGGAATGCGCAAGCCACTGCTATCCCGGAGGAGTCTACCAGAAAGAAGATTGTTACCCGAACGAAGAGACGTCGTGAGGACTTGTCTTCCGACTCTGAGGCTCCCGCCACACCAGAAAAGCGTGGGAAGCGTAGCGACCACCAGAGAGCCAATGCCTTGTGTCGCAAAATTGTCCTGCAGCTGGTTTCGGAGACATCGGGCGTGGTGCCCAATGATGCTTCCACAATCAGACGAATATCTGCACCTCGCTGGCAAGAAGCTGGACAGGAAGATCGACCCCAGTTGAAAGCCATTAAGGCCAACATCAAAAGCCTCTGCGAACAGAGGAAATTACGACAGGTCATGTTCACTTTTCGCGGTAAGAATGGCATGATGCTCAAACGAGCAGTCTTGTTTTTGCCGAACATCAGTCCTGAGTCGCCTCTTGTTCAAGAAACGAAGCAGAAAATCATCGATAATCAGCCTGCTGATTATATCCCGCCGGAGTGGATAGATGAGGGCAACCGCGTTCCTTTGGTTGGGAAAAAGCAACAGGCCACGATTTCGGATGATGAAGACACTCCAAGCAAAAGACGACGTACCTCCACGGCTGCAAGTGAGGTGTCTGGTAGGACACCAAGGACACCCAGAGGACAAAGATGGTCATTGGCGACCAGTGTCACTCCAATTGAGGATCTAACAATGCCGCCGAACACAAGGAGCATGTCGAGAGTGTCGACGCCACCACCGGCTGCTGAGACAGCTGCCACTGGTTTTCTCACGCTTAAAGTGCCACGAATAGGCACACTCCCGTCGGTTCAGATTTACAACTGGCGCACGGAGACACCTGTTACTGCGCTACGATTCGAAACAGCCGCTCCAAATCCACCAAACTCTACTAGTGTCACAGCATCCAGACGTGGTCGAAAGCCTCGAAAGCCGGCAAATCGTCCACCTGGTCGTACAGTCGTCTGGGCAGGTAGTAATTCTCAATCATTCCCGTCGTCCCTGAACGACATCCTGGACCTCCCAAACCTCAAAGTCCCGTTCGAACATGTCCAATCCGACGATTCCGAATGGCAACGCTTTGCTTGCGAGGTCGAAGGAGTTCGTGCTTGGGAAGAACAGGAGACAGAGGCGGCGACCGCAAATCGGTCCAAATACGCCTTCATCAATCACACTGTACCTGGAGCATTATATGCAGAAGCAAGCAGCCCTGAGACGACCACCTTCGCCGGTCTTGTCCAATTCGACCAGGATGGTGACGGGTCCGTGCTTCCCCATCCTTCCCCAGAGTCCTGGCCAGTCTTCGCTTCTGCGCTGCGGGCTGCTCCAGAACAAATGGAGCGCATCGCGGGAGCAGCGCCTGACGAAGCAACAGCTACGCCGGATTCCGAGATGCCGCCACCAGTGGGCAACGAACCAGCGGTGCGCCGGTCAGGACGGGCTCCCAGACGTAAAGCTGTGGTCGACGAATTTGGGTTTGGACCACATCCCAAACGACAGAAGAGAGGAACCCGTACTCCGCGCGCTACGCCTGGCCGTCGCACCCTGACTGCAGCTACCGTCACTCCCACCAGGCTGACTCGGGCACCTCAAATCCTTCGGGCGATGCCGGAAGGCGCGATCTATCGCATTGTCGTGTCTGTAGTTGTTGTGCGCACATTGGCAGGAGGCATCCAGAGCAATATCGACTGGCCACTGGTTATGACCATGTTCCCCGATCAGGATGAAGAATTTGTCCAGGCGCGGTGGAAGACACTGGCGAAGAGATACGCGCACGACATCAACGGTCTGACCGAAAGTCTTCAGTTCAAATACCTTGACGCACTCGAGAAAGACGAGGTTCCATCCGTCAATCTCGAGGACCTCAAAGCTACCGACTGGCCCGGGATCGTGGACTGGGCACTCCAAAAGCTCGACAGGTTCGACACAAAAGAAGTCGACGATTTGCCGGCCACGCAAGAAGAGGTCCTGTACACAAACACTCTGACCTTCTTCGAACCTAGGCCATATCACAGCGTCCTTGGGTATGGCGCCCTGTTAACCAACCCAGTGAAAGAAGACCTCGTTGCCAGCCTCCCCTTCGCAGGAGCGCAGAAGGCTACAATCGAAACAGATCTCCACTATCGACCATCTTTCGAGCTCGCAATGTCCGATCCGAAGCTGCATCTCGCAAAGTCCTGGGTTTTCGCGACTGTTCTCACTCCCGAAGATGGATTTGATCCAATACTCGCCCAGGCGAAGCTTTCATCGCTAGCCTCAGAGCCTGGAGAATGCGAGGATCTCGTCCACCGCGCCCTGAAGGTCCTACAAGACGAGAAACTCGTTCAGCGTGCACACAAGGAGAGACACTCCACTCAACTCGCCAGCCTGCGCACATGGGAAGGATCTCGACGGCTGTACGAACGTTTCGAAGAGCGTCGCAGCATCAACGCGCAAATGCTCCAACGTGCCGCACGGTATAAAGTTGACGTCCTTGACCCTGCGTTCGCGAAAGGTGAGAGTGTGCCCTTTGAGAATGATGGCATTGTGGACGACGGCGTGATGGTCGCGGTGCTGAATCTCATGGCGATGGGTATGGTTCGGGCCAAGCCTGGTGCCGACGTGCCGAGGACACGGTATGGTTTGGAGTGGGAGAAAAATGGATATCAAACGAAGAAAATGGATAAGAAAGTGCTCAACTTTGGGGTCGATATTGTGCCGACTAGCGCATATGTTCCTGATGATCCGAAGTTTGGGGATCGCAAGATACCTGTACCCCGGGGAGGCGCCGATGAGCCTGACGGCTTGATGCCGCCTTGGGTCGATATCCATGGATCTGTACAGACGGGTCTATGGGAGATGTTTCTTGGTGGTGTCATTGGGCTCGTTTCGCAGCTGCCCGGGATTTCGGCGCTGGAAATCTCGAGGGCGCTTACCTTCGCGTTGGACGAGGGTGGGGTCGAATCAATTATGGATTGGTGTGTTGCGGCTGGGTTTGCAAAAGTGGATGGTATTTCGGGAGGATTTGAGACGACGGAGTGGTGGTGGTTGTGTATTTCAAGGGGGAGCGATGATGGGTGGGTGTGGAATGCTTGAGTGCGATGTTTTATGATTTACAAGGGCTGGCGCAGGAGGACATTCGACTACTAAGCGTGGCGTCGAGGTGCGGGCACGGAGGTATGGCTTGCTATTTACATTGGGCTCTATGGGCTGGCGTTTCGGGCTTTTTCAGGATGGCAGGGGGGCAACTACATGCAAGATACCCCAACTATGTACCACGACATGAGCAATGAGAGCTGATGCAATTTAGAGCTGATTGACTATATTCATTCGGTCTCCTGAGTCATGACTTACGGTTCAACGTCCTTGTGAGGTCTTCTGCAAGTACTGTTGGTCTACGACTCTAATTCGAAGCGTTCTTCCGAAATAGGCAAGAGAGGTGAACTGGTGGTGTCAACAGAGTTTCGCGTATCGGAGGATGATGGGGGAGCAATCGACTATTTGACCGCGCTTACCGCCCTTGCCTCTGCAAGTTCATGAACGTCGCAAACGAGTACCGACCTCGACTTCCTGGTACCTATCACCTTGTTATTGTATATATACGTGCAACCCTCCAGAAGTTTAGGACTCTGAGGACGACAATCCTTATCTTATCAGTGATATCTGACCCTGCTCACTATACCATACCAGTTCGACCAACGATTCGTTGACATTAACGGCAACATCTGAGCCAACCACGATCCGCATTCCAGATAACCAGCCATGGTCTTCCTCCCCAAGCCCGGCGACGCTCACGTCCTCGACCTGTTCAGTCTAAAAGGCCAAGTCGCCGTAGTTACAGGTCAGTATCAATTCCAGCCCGTCCCTACCTACTGCCTGGCCATGTCTCCAGTCTGACATGCAAAGGCGGCAACCGCGGCATCGGCCTCGAAGTCGTCAAAGCCTTGGCCGAAGCAGGCGCATCCGTCGCCATCATCTACCGGAGCTCCAGTTCCGCCCATGAAATAGCATCTCAACTATCGTCCCAACACGGCACCACCATCCGCGCATATCAATGCGACGTCAGCGATGAATCCGCCGTCGACAAGGTCTTTGATGAAGTTGTCAAGGACTTTTCCAAAATTGACATCCTGGTCGCCAACGCTGGGATATGCTATAATGTGGCCGCCGAGGATATGACAACGCAGCAATTCCGATCGGAGATGGGCGTCAACTTCGACGGGCCGTGGTTCTGCGCGCGTAGTGCGAGTCGGTACTTCAAGAAGCAAGGGTCTGGAAATGTCATTTTCACGACGAGCATCAGCGGGATGATTGTGAATATCCCGGATAAGCAGGCTATTGTGAGTTTACCCCTGCCTCTCTTCCAGTCTGTGGAAGTGTCTCAGCTAATCTGCCCGTCCGTAGTACAATGCATCGAAGGCCGGTCTGATTCATCTTGTGAAGAGTCTGGCGATAGAATGGATCGACTTTGCCCGGGTGAACTGCGTTAGTCCGGGGTATATCGCCACTGATATGTTGATGGCGGAACCTCAGGAGCTGAGAGATAAGTGGGTTGCCCTTACGCCGGCGAAGAGGATGGGCGAGACATATGAGTTGAAAGGGGTAAGTTGGATGACCCAACGTTGACCACTTGTGAGCTGACTGAAATGAACAGGCGTTTCTCTTCTGTGCGTCAAATGCGTCCAGCTTCATGACTGGCGCAAATATTGTTGTTGATGGTGCGTATACGATTCCGTAGAAACCCCATGCAAGGCCCAGGCTCGAGCATGAAGCATCCGGTGGCATCACATCGTCAAGTGTCGTAAAGTGTCGTAAACATGTCGGCATTGTTCCTTTGCTGTTCAAGGGTGAACTTCATGAAATGCCTCTTGCGTAACGGCAGCTTCGTCATACGCCAGTCTCGATAACGTACCCATGCTCTCATCCCAGAAAAAGGTTTTCAGATATCCTTCCAACTCGTCCCACTGCCGGAATTCTGGCCATCTAACGACGGCCTGCTGAAGCAGTGGTATCCACTGTGCAGTCGGTCGTTGCGCGTATTTCAGGAGTTCGACAACCATCATCAAAGTCCAGACATGACACTTAGGACCAAAAGCCGTGAGGGTTGGAGTACGTCGCAGGGCAGATTCAGCGAAAGACTGCAGCACCAACCCACAATAACCGGTGACGACCTCATGGAAGTGTATCAACCGTAGTAAGTAACAGTACACGACGAGTCCATGGCACAAGTTCCGTTCTGTTTCCGTGACTCGCCAGATTAAAGGGGAGTGCAAGATCTCGAGGGTCGTCTGTATCCTGTGTTCCAAGCTCGCATCGATAGTCAGGTACTTTGGACCATTCAACTGAGCTGTCGTGGCAGTCAAATCGCTTAGAAGCCGTATCGTTTGGAGAGACAGCACACCGGTAAGAGCGACGTCGCAAAAGCCCGGAGGGATATTTGAGAGTATTTGACAGACTTCTGGTGTGAAAGGATGCTTCAGGTATATTGGACTCTGCTCGCTCTGCTCGGTTGTGGGCACGGATGCTGGGAGACTTGACCATAGAGACTCATAAACGAAGACAACGGCACGAAGCTGTCGTTCTAAAGGCGTATTCTGGCTCATGCCACCTCGGAGTTTGATCATGTGTTTCAGCCCCATGGTGTGAGCCGCAGCTGCCGCATGGTCACCTAGGATATATTCGATGGTCCCGAGAACAGATGCTGCCAGAATGGTCGAGTCTTGGATGCATTGATCCGGGCTCCGCAACCGCGCCTGTAATTTAGTTATGGCATTGCCTCTATGGCGGATGAAAGCTTTGTCAGCGTTTGCGGATTCACCACGGTCGGCCAAAAGCGCGGCTCTGCTCAGAGCGATGATGCTTTCAAAGTAAATGTCGGACTGCAGGGCAAAGGGCCACAAGAGGCTCAGGAAAGGGTTGGGATGGTCTTCGAAAGCAAACGCTGGGCCAAACTTAGGACTCCAATCTTGAATATCTGTTGGAATTAGTGGTGAGGCATTGACTTCCATTCATTCAACTCACAGTATAAGACGGTCTGCTCAACGCAGGCGGAGTTAGCTATCGGCAGAGTATTGAAAGGGTCGAATTCTGAATTGTGTAGTGGAGACTTGGGAAGGTCCGTTCGCTTTTCGATGGTCTCAAGAAAAAGACGTAGCTTGGACTTTGAGAACCTGATGTTTGGAAACTTAGATCGCAGCCTGGTGCGCAAGCATGATATCACGGGACTGCTTAGGCTCACGTCTGGATCCTGCATGGTCAATCATGAGAGGAAATCAGAATTCGAGGAGGCATAGTCATGCGAGGAGGCTCCTTTTCTTCCTTGAACCTGGTCATGGGAGAGGGCGACAGGCACGGGCAGGTGTAACTTTACATAAGCTGACCACAGGGGAAGCAAGAGCGCTTCCAGCAATTGCGTCCCTGTGACAGACCTACATTTTGGTCATCGACAAGAGGTAAGGCTTACCTTGCAAACATATTCATATTGATTATTCTGTATGTGGTCGGAGAGTCGGCGAGTGTCCGGGTAAAGAACAATTTATTGCGTTAGTCAGCTGCCACTCAATCAAGTCTACCTAGGCGGGGTTCCCTCGATAGTAAACTTGATAGGCGGTAGGCTAGCGACGACTAGCCCAGGTCCAGTTAGACAGCTCACCTATAGCCTATAGGCCATATTAGGCCTTCAAACCCCCGGAGATGCTCATCCTGGCACACATCATACTTCTATATTTAACCTGAAACCTGTCACCCTCGGTAGAGAGTGTATAGCAGCCAAGCAGTATAGGTTTCATCTTTTGAGCCTCGAGTTCATTGTCTTCAGGTCTGGAACATATCAACCCATAGTACTCCATACGGGTCCAATTGAAACAATATACAATTCAAGGGATTCATGGCACAACTTACCAAGGTAATAAGTCGATAGCCTCGTCATGGCCTACGCGGCCTGCGGATCAGCCTTCTCCTTCTACTTTTGCTTCTTTTGGCACGTGCAACCAGGTTTCTTCCAATCTCCGTACTTTTTCCTCATTCTCAATCTTCCTGGGGGATATTCTTCCCATCTCTCCACTCACCACCAATAAACCCACCCTGTTTTCCCCTTCTGCTATCTTCTGTTCGTTTAAATCATCCCTGCTATTGTACTTAATCCTCGTCTTCTCCACAGGCTGGTCCTTGTTACTTACTCGATACTTCGTCGTCTTTTTCGATCCAATCCCTGTAAATATCAGTCTGCTTTGACTGCGACTGCTGTCCTTTCTCTATCAGCAATGGCTATGAAACGATAATGCTCATAATATGCTCCTACCTCGGTCGACTCGAACGCTGCCGGCTCTATGGCATCGTCGGAAGTCTAGCCTAATTGGCTCACTGCTGGCCCTCATCGCCCTTCTCTTCTTCCTGCAGAATCAATGGCTACGAAACCCTGTCGAACCTGCGTCCGTACCTGTTCCTCCAGAACCACCACGTCCCACGAATTCCCTCCTCAAGAATCAGACCTCCTTCTGGCGAGATCTCTACCTCATAATACTCAATAATGACCCGAACTGCGACAAGCCTCCCGAGGTCGTGGTGCCCCAGAAGTTGGACATCGGATATGACGCTTCTCACGCCCATCCGCGGCCGGACGTACTGTTCATGGAAGCGGCAGACGTCACACGCATGCGCGAGGCACATACCAATTTCATAAACGATCTGAAAAAGACTCCGCCAAAGTTGCCATATGAACCAGGCACTCGAGGGATCGTCATGACTGCTGGCTTCAACCAACTCCCCGTCCTGGTCATTTCCATCCGCATGCTGCGGAGGACTTGGTCACTGTTGCCGGTCGAAGTCATACTAGCCGACCCGACGGATTACGACGAAGAAATATGCGACACCGTCCTACCATCATTGAACGCCAAATGTCTGGTCTTGTCCGAGATCTTTCAAGCCGCCGAGTCGGGTGTATCGATCGACAAGTACCAGTATAAAATCATGGCCGTCCTGTTCTCCTCGTTTGAAGAGGTTCTCCTGCTCGATTCCGATGCTTTTCCCGTCTACAATCCTTTGACCTTGTTCGAAGAGGAACCTTTCAAGAGTACCGGAATGGTTGTGTGGCCGGACTTCTGGTACGCTTCCGAATCCCCATACTACTTCGAGATTGCCAAGATAGGAGACATACCTCTACTCAGCTCTCGAGCCTGCATAGAGTCTGGTCAGCTCATGTACTCGAAAAGCAAACATAGCATGTCCATTATGCTTGCTGCTTATTACAACTTATATGGCCCAACCTACTATTACCCACTCCTCTCGCAGGGCGCTCCGGGTCAAGGCGACAAAGAGACATTCGCATGGGCGGCCGTAGCCCTAGGCGAAGATTTCTATCCGGTTCGTGAACACGTCATGGCTCTCGGTCGCTTCGATACCAACGGTCAATATAAGGGAAGTGCCATGGCCCAGCACGATCCCATGGCGGATCATGCCTACATGAAAACCCATAATGTCCCTGTGCATCCAGGTGGAGACATACTTGACAATCCATTCGACATCCGGCCCAGCCACGTGAGGCCTTTTTTCATCCACGCCAATTTCCCCAAATTCGACCCCTCGACCATCTTCAACGCCCTTAGTCCCACTCACGATAGCAACGGGTCAGCTGTGCGTTGTTGGATGGACGAGGAACGTGCCATTGAACTTTTCGGGGTCGATGTCGAACGCGCCTTTTGGGAAGAAATCATGGGTACGGCCTGCGAATACAACTTCGGCTGTTGGAAGGGCAGGCAGGGCATTTGCGACCGTACTAGGGACCATTTCCTGGAAGTCTTTCATCAGATGCCAAGTGAGTCCCGCCCAACAGACCAGGAGTCGTGATATGTACATGGATGGCGCGGACTGACCATCCTTCGGGCACTGATATCTTGATCTTTGAGATCTGTATATGTTTGAACTTCATGCACATGTAGCATGTATGGACTGATATTGGTTGTTATCTAGGATGGGGAATGGGTAATACAAAAGGTAACGACATTTTCCGACTTTTGAATGAATACAAATAAGATACCTAGACAGCATTTGAGAACAATTGGCATCCTTGGGCATGTTTGTGAAATGAGACACGGGAGATGTAGCCAAGCAATCTTGAGGGCTTCTTAAAAGAGTAGAAACATGCGGCATACTGTAGGAAGACATGATACTGACAGGAGTGATCATTGATCATCATTATGTGAACTTTCACCGTTGACAAAAGTACATTGGATTCTCAATGTAATGTAAGTTCCCTTAACTCGAACCGAAAGAAAAGAAAAACCCCTCCAGTTTCTGTTTGTTGTACGTGTTCGTTCATCAGACAAAACTCCCGTGCTCTCAGCCTCGCCCCCAAAAAAGCCACCTTGATTTCTGTACACTCATACACCAGACACCAACATTCCTGAAATCCCATATCCCAGTAGACTCAAAATTCTCAATTCGTGAACATCATTATGGCGCAAAACCGACTCTGGACCCTCCATCAACTTTTTGTTCGCATAAACAGACAAAGTCCGACCTCAGCACAGCATCGGCTAGAAACGGCAACGTTAGTACGTCTCTTCCAACTCAGTGCTCCACGCAGCCTCGCTCTCCTCCCCAGCACTGTGCGCGTGTAAAGCCGTGCTCAAGTTCTCATCCGACACGTCTCTAAACTGTCCGTATTGCTGAGCTTGATGGCTAGCATGAGGCTGTACTCGCGTCTTCGCTGGTGGAGGGGCCATTTGTCCGGCAAAAGCGCTTGCTGCGCTTCTGTTCGCATTCAGATTGTGGTTCATGCCTAAAGCATTCGTGGTGGCCACGTTCGCTTGTTGGACCTTGGAATAATATGTAGCGCGGACGTCGCGTTCGGGTTCCATTTCTGAGCCATCGGAAAACGTCTCCCAGTTTTCACTGCCGCTCGCTGTGGTGCCTGTGGTCATATTGGAGGACGTGTTCGAGGTCTGGCGAGATACAACCGTTGAAGGCGGTGCAGATGGGTTGTGCCGGATGCTGTGGCTGTGTATTGATGTCGATGAAGAGTGTGAGGGTTGCTGTTGTTGGGCGTGAGGGGCGAAATACCGCTGCACAGCTGGCTGCGCTTCTTGGCTACGATTCAATAACGAAGCTGACATGTACGACATCCTCTCTCGATCATCATATACGTCTTCGGGACTCGTTGGTACGACGTATCGACTGCTTTCGTTGGAGCCTGTGGAGACAACGCTTGCTGGACGGTTTGATGCGGGATGCTGGTGTTGCCCAAGGATGCTATGTGCTTGTGGCTGTTCTTGTGGAGGCACAAAAAGATCCCTCATCCTTGGAGGCGGAGCGCGAGGTGGTCCCATAGTCCCGGTGCTCTGCGCAAAATTCTGCGGAACTTCAAGCTGGGAATGTTGAGAAGAATGATGTGGCGCATTCCGTCGTTCGGGAGAATTGTTCCCATGCTTGAGGTTGCTTAAGGGTGCACGAGCTGGAATCTTCGAAGGAGACTTTTGCGCCGCGGGTGCTGCGATTGCTGGTGCTGGTGCAGCATGTTGCCTCATTGTACCAGGTCTACTGCTGGTGGGAGTCTTCGCATTCGAACGTGGAATTGTCCCCTTCATTACGCTGACTGGTCGACTTGGTGGAGCGGACTTTGAAGAACTGGCAGCTGGCTTCGAGGGATGAGCTGGTGCAGGTGTTTTCGATCTTGGTGGGAGCCCATTGGGTGTCTTTGATCGGGCAGGTGGTGCTTTCACTTCCGCCTCTTCAAGCTCGTCGAGGAATCTCTCCCCGTGTATGAGGAAAGGTCTGCCGTATTCGTCCTCATACTTCTGCAGAACCTTCGTTAGGTCCGCTGTGACCTTTGGTAGGTCTTTTGCAATTCTCTTTCTCATCTTCTCCTCCCTCAGTAATTTGCCAGGATCTCGCTTCTCGCCCTTCTGCGGCTTCAGCATCAGTCTCGAGGCGTCAGCGGCAGATGCTGCAAGAGCGTCACGGTCTGCGAGGAGAAATTGGTACTTCTCGACGGCAGCTAGAATTGGCGCACGCTGTTCTTTCAGCGTGGTAAGTCGTTCGATTTCCGCTTCGTGCGCTGACAACAGGGCATCACTGTAGACGTCCGAGAATGCTGGTGTGAAGTCGAGCATCTCTTCTTCCGAGAAGAACAGTGAATCCCAAAGCTCTTGAAGTCTGACCCGAGCATCTTCGACAAACAGGTGAAGATTCTGTCTCTTCAACTCATTCAGTCTAGCAAGCTCGTCTTCGAATTCGTTGATGGTCCGCAATCCACAGCCGCGGTTAGCAGCCAGGAAGGCTTTCCTATCTGCTTCTTTGATACCAAGTCGATCCCATAGATTCTCAATGTTCTTTTTCACATCACTCAGCCTCTTTTCGCGTGCCTTTTTCTCGTCCAGCAACTTGTCACGCCGACTCCTTAGCCGGTCGACGTCGGCCTGGTGAAGACCGAGTTGTTCGGGAGTGTCGCGGTAGTGTTGTACTATCAGTGAGTCCGTTTGTGCTTGTGGAGTGCCCAGTTCGGACCATAGGCGCACAATCTCCTCCGCTGTTTGCTGAACAACAACCACTCTCTTGTTGTATTCGTCGTATACTCGGGTAAACTCATCGTCGAGTGTGGTGACGTACGAGGGAGACAGGTCGAAGTTGGGTGGGCAGGAATTGGAGGAAGTCGGCGGCAGTCTGATCTTAACGAAGGAGGATTCGAGATGGGATGAGTATGACTCGAGGGCTTGTACAAGCTTCTTGACTTGTTCGAATCGTTCGCGGTGTAGTCTGCTGACTATGTTGTATTTCTCTTTCAGGTCGCGCAAACAATCAATCAAAGGGTAAGTAACTCGCAAGCCAGTGCTGTCCAGATCGTAGCCTCTGTCCTTTTCGTCGTCTAGCGACGCCTCCATCTGTTTTATTGTCTTGATGATGTTCTGTGCTTCCTCCGACATTTGGTTCTTCTCCCTAACACCAATGATTAGCAGAGCAGGCAGAAGCGACATGGTTATGGTAGCATACTGGCTCACCAGCCGTAGCTGATTGTGGAGGGTTTCTGATAGTGCTGCAAAGAGCTCTGCTTCTCTTGACTCGCGCTCATTGCGAGGAACACCTATTTCGTCGAAGATCGAGTGCAATTGGCCGATGATAGTGGTTACTTGCGTCGTCAAGTAACTGGTATCCATTGGCGCAGGCATTTTGGCGACTCAGGCTCTATGGCCGAGCTGTTGAGAAATGATTGTCGATCTGAGATGTGTGTCCGCAGTGGCAAGAATGAAGGATCAGTGAATGCATGGAGAAGACCACCAGGTGGTCGCGGCGTGAATCTTGTCGAATGGTATCAATACGAGAGTCCTGTCATTGGCGAACATCCGTGTTCGAGAAAAGTTGTTGACGGTTTCGCCGTTACGGCAGCAACGCAATTTTCGGCTTATGTAATAAGCTTAATTCTCCGAGCTGCGGATGCGGGGGATCAATTCATTCATTCGTCACCTCCATCCTACTTGTTGCGTGCAGCCAGATGAACTGCATCGCGTTTACATCTGCAACCTGAGTCAACCCTTGCATCTATGCTAGTGTGATAGACATTCCCGCGTGGGAGTTCAACGCAAGATGTCGACTCTGTCAGCTCTTCGAAACTGGGAGGCCGAAAACAACATCATCACCATCGACCCTTCCCAGAATGCTCTCTATAGCCTACCAGATCCCGAAGCCTACAAAGCCCTGCAAAATGCTTCGCCATGGAAAAAGGATCCAAATTACTTCACCAGTGTCCGGATATCCGCTCTCGCGCTGCTCAAGATGACCACACATGCACGTTCAGGCGGCAGCATCGAGATCATGGGCTTGATGACTGGCTACGTATCCGGCCGGTCCCTCATCATCACAGACGCTTTCAGATTGCCCGTCGAAGGAACAGAAACAAGAGTGAACGCTCATGCAGATGCAGACGAATACATGGTCAACTTTGGTATCGCATCAAGAGAAGGAGGAGGTCAACTTGAAAACCCAGTAGGATGGTACCATTCACATCCAGGGTATGGATGCTGGCTGTCGGGTATCGACGTGAACACACAGATGACGCATCAAATGGTGGAAGATCCGTTTGTCGCTGTGGTCATCGACCCAGACCGAACAGTCAGTGCAGGCAAAGTCGAGATTGGTGCTTTCAGAACGTATCCCGAAGGACAGCGGCCTAAGGACAAGCAGTTCACCGACGACAGCGACGAATTCCAAGCGATTCCCACAGGCAAGATTGAAGACTTTGGAGCTCACGCCAACTCCTACTACGCTTTAGAAGTGACTCACTACAAGTCAACTCTGGATTCCCACCTGCTGGGTCTTCTCTGGAACAAATACTGGACATCCACAATCTCCCAATCTCCATTGTTCACCAACAAGGAATACACCAACAAGCAAATTGCAGACCATGCAGTCAAGACCCGAGAAGCTGTAAAGAAGCAACGTACAGGCGCGAGCATGGGAAGACGAGGCCAAGAACTGGCAGGCGGCGGAGACAAGAACTTCAAGATCGTCCGCGACGGCTCATTAGAGCAGGTCGTTCGGGGAGGAAACAAGATCGCTTCCGAAGAAGTGGCCGGACTACTAGCCAACGATGTCAAGACGAAACTCTTCTGGGGTGTCGTGCAGGAAGCACAGATCAAGGCTGCCGGCCAACAGGCCACGAATGCTGCAGCTGGTGTTGCGGTCGCCAGTAACGGTGGCTGAAGAGCAAGAAACTCAACAGCATCAAAGATCTTGAGCGGTTCCGCGCCCCGGTAGGGTCTAGACCATGATGGTCACTTTCATGACCACGCAGTCCACGATGGATATGGGTAGTGCTTTCCCAAACAACACCGACCTCGATATCTGGTGAGCGCGGAGACGGCTTGCATGCCCGAAAGACTGACAGGTCTTATGGAATGACCGGATGGGATGAATCGACATCTGCAACAGAAAGGCACTTGCGGTTGCGGACACTGGTGTACATACTCTGCCTCATGAGAGCTGGCGCGCACACAATTCCCCTCTCAAGAACCGTGAACGGGTGTATCAGGGTCGACGGAGAAAAGTGCCCACGTCCCCCTTCGAGGTTCTGATGCTCCAGTGGATGTGGCAGTGGAATGACTAAGACGCAGTGAACGGGCGAGCAGTTTGAATGTGATCATGACCAAACACACAACACTCTAGAACGCTAGATGAATATGAGTAGATTGAACAAGAAACGAGAAACGTTGCATGCATGCATGCATGCATATATTGACATCCTGTCTCAACGGGCCGAGCAGAATGACTTGCACTTGCACTTTCTTTTCTCACGAGACCCTATCGCTATGCTGATCGTGATCGGGCCATCGTCCTCGGCGTCCTCCGGTCTGATGCACTTCCGCACTATTACTTAGCAGTACTTCGGATGTGCCTCGACCGCAAGTAAGTTCCATCCGATGTTTCAAGTGACAACAATCCTTGCAGCCTCAACCTGCCCTGTCAGATCAATCTGACACGCATGAGATATCCGGAGCACGCAGGGTGAACTTCTGATGTCCTAAAAAGTAAAAACCGTTACGGTTAGTCTTGAACAGGTGATGTTTGTCGCTTGATTTACCCTCAGCTTTTCAGTTTCGGCGTTGCCGCTGCAGCGAGCCGCTTATCGTCCCGTGCTGGGCCCTCATTTTCTTATTTCCTCGGGAGACAATCTGGTATAGACTTTCTCTTACGAGTAGCCGCCTGCATCATCAAACCTTCTGATCCTCGCCCCGGGCATGTCCCCGGTTGGGTCATGACGTCCCGACGAAAAAGGAGCGAGAGGGGGAACGTGCGGTGAGCGAAAACGAAAACGATAAACCTGATACAACGATGAGCGGTGAGTACAATAACGACAAAATGAATGAGAAGAGTCACTTCATGGTACGCCCAGAATTGTTCTTCGACATAGATATCATTATACAGGCTCAATATAGATCGAACCTATGATGAACGGCCGTAGAACCTGAGGATCATACATCTCAGAGCCCTCCCATAAATGCCGACCTTGATACCAACTCGTCCTTCACATATTCTCAAGTGCAGGCAAATATATTCTTCGATAATGACAGTCGTATTGTGACCAGCCAACATCACTTGCCCACGGTCCCAAATGTCGCTCACATATGCCCTCCCCTTCCCATGTTAATATCCCTTGAACCTGCAAAGGAAATGGAAAACTCCACGAAAATGCCGCAAAGCCGCTCACAATGACATACCACACGCTAACAAGCAAAGACAAATTTGTGAAATGATCAAGGAAATTCGAAATACCAAACTTTTCCCCCAAGGTAATAATCAGACTCGGGTCCTTCTCGGATTTGCCAAACGATACTGAGTAATGTCGACGACGATGGAGCTTTGATCGCTAGCATCATCAACTTCGATGTTGTCAGTCGACAAGCCAGGAGCGTTGTTGTCCGAAAGTTCAGGGACACCGAAGGAAAGCTCTTGAGCTTTCATATCCTCCAAAGTGCGAGTTGTCAGAGTGGGACCACAGTCTTTGCTGAGTCCAGACCTGATGTAAGGTCCTCGGTCCAAGAATGATTGAACCGACAAGGTGGTATCAGACTGTGTGGTACCACCAGAAACCAGTGTGCAGCCATCGGAATCCGTATCTTCTTGGGCTGCCTCGTTCTGTTGCTCTGTGAATTTCTTCAGGGATTCAGCCGTCTTGGTGGCTTGTGCCAGGACGGCATCGATCTTTTGCAGTATACTGTTGAGTTCAGTGCTGCAGTCTCCGTCTCGTAAAAACTGGTGCGCCGCTGTTTCACAAAGTGACTGTATCGACTCAAGTTCTCTGTCGACCAACAGGAATGAAGATTCGTCATCCGCCACGGGTGTTTGCGGCCTATCAGCAACTTTCTTTCCTGATATTGGTGCGAGCGAGGATGTTTTTCGAGATATCATAGTGGATCTGAGGCTGTCCAGCGAGGGGTATTCTCGGGCTCGAATACCCAGGGTAGGTAATCGAAAACCTCTGGCCGCAACCAATGCATTCTTCCCCTTACGCAGATTGTTCCGGCCAACTCCTAGAGATTTGACCATGGAGTCGAGCTGGTCCTGTAGAGAGGAGTCATAGTAGACAATGACTTGATTTTTGTTCCTGAATTTCTGCGGCCCTGAAGCGCCAGAACGTATAGAGGTACCAGGTTTTCTTTTCTTAGTTGCCTGTGCGTATAAGTACTTGTTCCCGGCCTCGAGAGGATTGATTTCTGCACGATTAGGGATAGAGGGAACATCGTCGGTATGTTGTTCGGCAGCTTCGTCATTTGTGTGAATCGAGGCAACCGAGGGACTCAATTTCCGTTTCGGTCTGATCTGATTAACTAGTTGAGCAAATTCGTTGACGAATTCGAAGTTCTTTTGTGCAGCATAAGTGGACAATGAGGTGATAGTGGTCTTCCAGATGGGGAGGTTGTCGAGGAGGTAGACGAAGCTCGAGTGAGCGTCCATGGCTTCAGCCATGATGACCGCAACACTGTCGATGTCGAGCAGTACCAAGTGCTTGATCGACTCTTAGGACATAATTTGGGACGTTCAAGTCGTGCAAAGGCGATATTGCATTGACAACACGAATGTAAAATCGATCGAGGAGAACCAGTCGATTATGCGGTGTGCAGGTGGGTTTATGAGCGTTTGGAAGTGGAAGGCGCCGGATCTGTCAAGCTGCACGAACGGTTTGGGAGGAGTCGCTGCAGGTCATGTAAATCGTATGCAGGCTGTCAGATGCATTTATTGGTGAACCAGATGATGATGGTGATGGGAGTGGGAATTCGTTGTAGGGAAGGATAAGTACGGATGAGAGAGAATTGCAAGCGTAGGAGGCCGCAGGAAAGTGGGCTTGAGCTGGGTAGAAACTAGACGTGGACCGTGGTACTGTCCGGCTTCGGGGGTGGTGGAGGAGGGAAGGTAACAGCCAACTGGAGAGTGACTTGGAGGGTCAGTGAGGGTGACTGAAGGCTGTACGTAGGTAGCAGTGGTTTGTGGCAGATTGTGTCTGTGCGTACCGGCACTGGACAGAGATGATTTTTCCTCGTCGTTTGATTCGAAGTTTGTCCCCAGATGGCACTATACCCGATACAGTGTGAGGAATAATTGGAATACCACAGTCAATCCGAGATCTACACACTAGAAGCGACAAGGGGTGAAAAGAGACTTCCGAGAGAGATGTGAAGATTAACTCTACTGGTAGCTGTGGTGGTCCAGGAATCATGTTAGAAAGAGATACGGAGTACCTAGAAAGAGTGGAGGTGGATGAGGTGGTTACTGGCACTCTGGCGGTAAAATTGTCCCCCAATGACCCCCTCAAATAGGTGTGACAGTCAATTCGAGTCAGAGTTGCAGGGCTTGACTGCCATAATGCCTGCGCTTTCGCCCATGCTCTCGCCTGTGGTTGCTACTCTCGTTCATTTCTTCCTTGTTCCCTGCTAGTTTGCTGTTCCTCTCTTTCCACCTTCCATTGTCCATCGCAGCACTTTACAGAGTACTACGTACAGTACTTGTCACCTTTGAGTGTTGTTGTTGCTACTGCCCTTCTCGCTCTACGGAACTACTAGTAGTCTTGCGTCGCATCCATCATCATTTCGCGAGCCTCCCTACGCTACAAACACCACACCCTAGTCTGCTATATCATGTATGTGATGGAACCTAGCCGTCAACAAGGTCAGGGTCGGGTCGAGGTGTCGGATGGTTGACAACGTCCCGCTCGTGCTTCTAGCGAATGTCCTATCTCAGTCAAGTTTCTCACTACTATCGTCCCCCACTTTTGCCTCCTCCTTTGTCCTTCTGAAGATATTTCCTTGCTTACACCCTGGACTGTGTATCACAATTGGCTCGCTACTGTTGTTCAGTCCGGGACACCAATTACCTTCTTAAGTAAGCTGGCGCCCACATTCCGACCATCCGCCTTTCGGCCTTGGCCCGAAAGCGCCTATTCAAATGGACCAAAACCGACGTCAATGTACACAATGGCAGAGGGGCTGCTGTGAAGCATTAGAGAGTATTCAAACACAAAAGGACCTGCGCTTTCTTTGGGCCAGGCAGCATATGATGGTTGTTATTGCCAGCTTGGTGTCACAGTCCTTCGGTCCGGAAACCTCGTCCACCTGTTTGTGTGTGCTGGGTGCTGCATCACACTCGTGCAACCTGTTCATGCCTAACAGATTCGGATAGGACGATTCCAGTAGAAAAGTCCCACTCGACCCCAATCAAGCCATAAGCCATGGCCCCAGAAGCCACCATGAAAAAGCCACTACGGCCGAGAGAGTTCAAGCCCCACATGGCTATGGTGTCAGATCAAGCAATTGAAGAAATCCACGATGCATACGAAAGGCTTCAACCCAGTTCATACTTTGATAATCGTGAATGCATCGTCAAGAGAATCACATTTAGCGCTGAAGTGCGACACGTTCACCACTACCAGGTTGTGGTAGATCTCCCATCTGGAGTGTACCGCTCATAAGCGAAACATCTGCATGATGAGTTGTCGATCATTCAAAGATGAGACGCCCATTATGATCACCACGGTGAAGATCACAAGGACGTCGGACCGAAATCCTGACTCCCTAAATACGTGTCACAGGGTCATAAAACATCAACTATGTGCTGGACTTGCGGAGAAGACGCTTATGCTGAACCCAATCTGCCCATCTCCTGGCCTAACTGTTGGCTACAGTGTTGAAAGTCTGTCTCACCGACACTTTTGGCTAGGAGAGGGTTCCGTTAATGATCGGCAATTGGTTTCAACTCTCACCTTACCAGATCTCAAGGCACCCAATCACTCGCAGGTTTGATCCCCATATGTGAGGACAACATTGACAAACAGTAAGTATGGAGTGGTTGCTGTGAACCTGCGAGGACGATCATCCATCGTCAAGCCGTCGTCTACGGAACCCCATCCTTCAAAGAGATCGCCCTGGACGGAGTATGCCACCACGGCCACCTGCTTTTGGAGAGCCGCTACGGGTGCTAGACAGCCCACTACAGCCTCAGATGGAGTTTTCCCACCGATCCCAAGAGCACGGAATACTCCGGTCTCTTTTAAAACTCCCCAAGTCACGACCATCTGGTGGCTGGCGCCATACTTGCACTGATCGACCACTATTGAAACGGAGTACTGCGTAATGCGGACTTGAACGACCACTGCAGTAAACGACGGGGATAAGGTCGGCTACCACTACTGCATAGGGCCTTGTGTCTTCGCACGGGGGATGTTAATGACCGCATTGTGAGATTCGAATCTTTCTCGCTCATCAAGCAAATCGTCCGTGCCCGTAGAAGTGCGACTCGATTTGACAAAGAACGTTACATGCAAGCGCAAGGCTGTCACTCATTTCCCGATGAGGAAGGTCAATGGTGTCTCGCCGTCCAAAAGGTCTAAATGCCCAATTACACAGTAGTGGCTGACGCACGATGCACGCTTACGAGTCAGGCTAGGGTGACCTAGGTTAATGTTAATCCGGCTCGGCTCATACCTTCCGACCACTAGGTACTCGAAATTTGACATCTTCAATGTATAGTAAAGCGACCAAAGAATATTGACTGGTATACTATGTATACTATGATGGTCCGGAGAACAATCCTTGACATCCAGCAGCGCAGTATTCGGCGACGTGTTTTGTTGCCTGAGTACTATGGTTTTCCAGGAGCCTCGCCCTAAACAGAGTATGTACTACACTATGTACGATTTACCCATCTAGTCAAGCAATGAACAACGCGCGATTAACCAGATCCTCACCTCCAAAGCTCTCCAGCTTCAAAAGACAAGCCCGGCAAACAGCGCCCCTGCAAAGGAAGACCCTATCCCCTCTCGCCACTCCCATGGTTGCCGCCGCCAATCGAGCTTCCCAGTTTCCATGTGCCATTACGACTGCCGGGCTATTGGGCCTGTCAAGAAATTCTTCCCAGGACCTAATAGCTACGATGCCATCTGTGACCTGTTCCGACTCCCGGCTAGGTGAGTCATGACCACATGTGTGACAGTAAAAGAACTCGTGATCTGGTTGCGCGCAGCCTCGCCGCAGAGCAGTCAACACATCAAGATCCCCAGTCCACTTGCCCCGGTCGAAGACCGACACGAGGGTCTCGACCAGCAAGGCTTCAGCACTGCGACGGCCTCGTCCCGCAGCACCTGTACTGACGGGCACAGACCAATTCGTGAAGGACAAGTGCAGGCTGGTCCGGGAGAAACAGTCCTCGAGTTGTCCGCCGTACTCTTCTCGCTCAATCACGCGCCAGCTGTCAGGATTGGGCTGAGATATCATGGGCTCGGCGGGTGGAATCATGAGGGCCAGGCCTGACTTGCCCACATTTCCCTCAAGACGGATGACCTTGTCCGGCTCACGGGGCTCGAATGGATCAGTCAACAAGGGTCCAGAGACGTAGATCGATTCACCAATGGACATCGCCATGACAGATTCGAACTCGGAAGAGGCGAGGTCAATGCCACCAGTCTCAAATTCGGCAATGCACGCAAAGGCCTGCTGGCGAGTGCAGGGAAGAGATGCTGAATCGGTAACTGAATGAAGATCGAGCTTGAGACTCTTCGTCCATTCCGAGTCCATGACGCGTTTACCCAGGACAGCTGGGTCGACGGTTGCCTGGCCTAAGTCGGTGTATAGATTCCAGGCCGACGCTAGCGCCATGAGAGACCGGTAGTAGTTCGACTGCCGCTTCTCCGGCGCGTTGTCTATGTCCGACACCCACTTGGACAGGTCTATCTCATCCGAACAGAAGGCTTCTTCGATATCGACGAGATCAATTTCCTTTTTCAAATTGAGTTTTCGTGCCCACCCGGGTCCTGTTGTGGCGGCGTCGAACTGGGCAATCAAGTCTGCACGAACGAACATCATACCAGATTGAAAGTCTCCAAAGAAGGAGTCTTTGCTGCCATCAATTCCAGGGGTCCCCGATTGAAAGCCATGTCGCTGCTCGGAATCTAAACGCATAGTAATGGTGGTGCCGTCCGGTATTATGTGATCGCTGGCTGCGAAATCGACGTGATGACCATCTCCTAGAGGAAGGCAGGCCTCTTCCCGGACCTTCCTGTAGGACCAATGGAGGTAGGATTCTGAATGGGCTGCAATAAGCCCCTCGACCGGGAATGCCGAAATATATTCGATTCCGATGTCTGACTCTGTCTCCGCTTTTCCGTCATTGTCAGACGATATACGTTGCTCGTCGGAGACCTCAGAGACCTCTATCTCTGGTACGTTGAAAGGTACGGTTAAAGAGGAATGAAACCGCGGCTCATAGTGTACTACGAGCGCTGGATGGTCTGGGTAGTGTATGATCAATGTTTCATCTCCGCCTGCTTCGTTTGCCGTGGTTGAAACTCCTTTTTCAGCGTCAGATGGGGAATCGCTGGTGGTTGATGCACTGGATTGGCTCTTTCTGTCGTCGACATCTTCATGATTTGTACTGGTGAGGGTGCTGTTCAAGTCTTGAGTCGTGAAATCGAGTAACGCATGTGGGTCTGCACCCATCTTTTCATCAAGGGCTTGTTGTGGCACCGGTCGAAATTGTGCATACCAGCTTGGAGACACAGCGACCTTCAAAACCACGTCATGTCCCTCCGCCGTAGGAAAAAATCGTCGAGCATACTTCCGAAGGATCTTCAGCTTGTACTCCGGACTCTTCAAGCACTTTAGGAACAGTGATGGATCTTGAAAGTCCGAAGACTGGCAGCGGATGGGTCCGGGGATCCGCTAGTAACGATGCTCCCCTTTCCCGACCAATCCTAAATAGCTTCAAGTTAAGGAGCCTTGCAGCATCATTTGAGTTCAGCATATCTGCTGCAGCAACTCCAAGCATACGCATCCAGGCTGGGGCACGGCTCTCAGAGCTTTTCACTATCGCCTGTATGATGCGGGCGGCGTCAAGCGGTGAAGGAGACTTAATGCTCCACTGGCTGCTAGTTGAACCAAGCACAGCGTGTAAGAATTGAGTGAAAGATATCCGGGAAGAACCCGTGGCATAGCTGCGCTCAGTCTGGATAGGTGCACCGTAAAACCTCCAACAGAAATGATTAGCTTTCCGTCATGGCCGTAAACAGCGGCATGATTTCTCACCTCATGTGAGAAAGTGACAGCGACCAGTAAATGCCACGCTTATCTGTGTTAGGATTGCCCTGCAAGTTAAGGTAGGCAGTGGTTCCATGTGGAAACAGCTCATCTTTCTGCAAGACAGGAGCACCACCCTCGACCTATCGTGGTGTCAGCCCGCCGCCGCATACACCTCAGGAAAAACCCATGACACATTCTTACACTCAGGTCGGGGTAGAGATGCCAACATGACAACGCCAGTATCAGTCCAGAATGAGAAACACCCTGGGAGGCGCCTTGGAGCAACTCTTCCATCCCGCGAAGAGCCACCGTCCAAGAATCAATGACACTTTCGTAAAGGGTCGATTTCGTGGCTATGGGTCGTTGCATCTCGTCGATGACAAGCTTGAGCTTGGTTTGCTGCTCATCGTGAGCTCGATCAGCGAAACCAAGCCATGCTCTTGCACTGTTGTCCCATTCTGCAAGTTGTTCATGTGTTATTGAGACCTGAGAGGCGAGGATGGTTGCCATTTGAAATGTCTCATCGATTGCCGCTTCTTCAAGAGTCTTCTTGCGAACACTAATGATTTCCTCCCATATCGAAACAGCCTCGGCTGGTTTCCAAAATCTTGCACTTGGAATCGAGCTCAGCACCGACTTAGAACTATTCATAGGAGGGGGACGTACAGGAGGCATGCCAGCAGATGGACTGCGATCGCAGCCTTACCAGACGTAGCTGCTGCCCATATTGATGTTGCGTCTGGACCCGCGAAGTCGGCGAATAGCCCTACGCTTTCCTACCCTTCTTCACTTTTTCCGTAGTGCTGACAGATCTGTGAAGCTCTGCGTCCATATGCTTCGTACAGTCTTGGTGTTGGTGGAATGACATTCTCAAAAACGGCGCCTAGCTTTCTGGCTGTTATATGGGTGGATCCAGATTCTGCAACATCACGCCGGAAAGTACTCAGAGCGTGACCAACCCCCTCGAACTCGATTGGGGCGTTCACCTAAGAGCGTTAAATCGGCATGCCAACTATAAGAAATGGATGATGGCTAACCTTGACCAACGAGAAGTCGAAATTGACATTCGCTAAAGCTAGGGTAGCCTCTGCAACGCCCGAGAAGACCGAGGCGCTGACTCTGCCAAGCTGGAGCATTACGACCTGAAGAGTCGCCAGTGCTGAGATAGGTAGCACTGGGCTGGTCAAAACGGATTGTCAAGTGCAAGCAAGCTCCAGTCGATGAAGTCAGCAGGCGAGGTGGCTTGGGGAAGTTGAGGAAGGTACCACGTATATTTATCCGAGGCAGGCGTCTGACCTGGAGTGAGGTTCGCACACAAGACAATCTGTGTGAAGCTAGGCCAACACCGCACGATTTTGGCCCGGCAGGAGCAACACATCTAGCCATCTTGGGGACCACATAGCTGCGGACGCGGCAGTTGCGTCGCCCAAGCGTGACTCAGCCACATGTGCAGGGCACGCATTGGGTCATCTTGATAAGGCAGCTTCGCTTCGTAGAAGAACGGCAATACTCATTGGAGGGTGCTCTACCCTCGTCATCCTGGCCCACGCAGCCACTGAGAGAGGTTCTTGCAAGTGGAACAGGGGAGCCTGATCGTGTTATCAACTACCTCGGATCCATGCTAGAGCTGTGATATGGGCGCACTGGAAGGGTGTAGTGGAGCGTACTTGTGCATCGCGGAAAAGTGCTAAAACCGCTTGGTGTAATAGCACAAAGCCGAGTGTGAAACAGTAGTAAGTCTTCTGTTATGTATCTTCATAGCAAGAGTTCGCATTGCCGACAAGAGAAGGAAGAATGAATGCAGACAGGCAACAACTTGAACTGCTCAAAATCTGTCAAACCGCCACTGTGCGCCACCACGCTTCGTTCCGCTCCGTTCCGCTCCGTTGCCCCTCCCGTAAATGTAGACTTATCAAAGTGCCGCCTATCAGTGCATCTGAGACGACAATAGATTACCTACACGAAGTCGACGCTGTTGAAGGGTTTGCAACTTTCAATCTACCGTAAAGGGAGCTGCTGTGAGTGGCAACCAGGCACTAGACCAGCGTCAGGCATGGTCAAACGGCAACAATATTCACTTCCTCATGCTCCAAACAGTATCAATAGTAACTAATAACGTATAGCTTATGGGGTATCATTCATACACAAAACAACTGCCAACCCTGATCAGACCTCTGCAGCCCTGCATTCTAGACTGGAGTCCGTCGGGAACAACCTTCAAGCATGACTTGACTTGAATCTTTTCGCCGGGCCTCGCCTCTCAGACACTGCAGCTTCAATAGTAAATCTTTTCCTCAAAGATCGGTGGACGTCCGCCAGACTCCTCCTCATCCCAGACAATTTTGCCCTTTTCATTAAACGACGCTCCCTCATCAGTCATGGGCGTCACTTTGTTGGTATGCAAACATTCCTGCCGCGACACTCTCATCTCATCATGAGGCACCCACAACAAAGGCGCGATGGCGTTGACGGCCGGATCTTGATAGGCGTCCCTCTCAACTTCAGGCGAGTATCTGATCTCCGCATAATCCTGTGGAACGAGTTTCCGCAGCACCGCATAGCTGGCATAGACGTCAGGCCTAAGGAACTTCTTGAACATCGAGACATGCTTGTTACCGCCCGGTTGCATGGCGCGCTTGGTATTTGTCAATTCTTCCACTCCATTCTTTTCGAACAGATTGTCCTTGCCATGCGCTTTGGACGATGAGGCACCTGGAGATTCTGACTGAAGAAGTGCAGCCTCTTCGGACTCGAGCGACCGAGGAAGAAAATGTAAGAGTGGCTCCACAGCTGATGTCAGAGAGATGTGATAAAGGATCATTACAATCAGAAAGATCACCATGAGGACCAATGGACCTGCCGCCGCTCTGATGGCCAGCAGGCCAATAAGGCAAACGACTGCAAGGTAACAGCCGGCCAGGGTATGTTGCAACGCCTTCGAATAAACAAGACCTTTCGTATCGATCACGGAACTGTCGACAAACAGCAGGTTATATCGGTAAGCGAAGTAGAAAAGTCCAAGGCCGAGCGTCGCAAACCCCATCATCAGAGGAGCAATAGGCGCATAAGTGATGGAGATGACTGTCATCATTCTGCATCAACGTTAGCAAAACGCGTTAAGAAGCGTCGAAGACACATACTCAAGGACAGGAAAGACGGAGCCCCATCCTACGGAGGACAGGCTCGACCACCGAGCATACATTTTCCTGGGAGTCTTGTCGAGGAACTTTGAGAGAAGGTTGAACAAAATCAGGCCAACAATTTGCAACAGTTGGCCTGAAGAAAATACCAAGCCTTGCAAGATGAAGTAGGAGATGTAGAAGTTTGATGACAGCGGCAGGTTCTTAGCCAAAAGCGTGGTGATGGAGCCCGGATTCTTGATAATCTGAGGGACCGCAGCACTTGCTGCAGAGGTCATGGTTGTGACCAAGAAAACTTGTATAATCTGGAACCAGAAGAATGATTCATGACAACGGAGTTCAATCAGAGAGAGGGTTGGCAATCCCGCCACCTTTCCCATGAACCTCATGATCTGCGAACAAGGATGTTAGCAGGTGTCGAGGAATTTTAGACATGGTCAAGAACTTACGGTGGGCACAAGAGACATCAGGATCGAGAGCATGATGGTCGGCAAGAGATTGGTGATGACTCCTAGGATCACACTGGGACACTTGTTGATGAACTTCAAGAATGGAGCAACCTCGGTCAAATATGATATTTGTGAAATGGAACCGACGACGGCGACTGGGATAGACCTGGTCGAAAGTCAGTTCCTGACAAGACACTCGTCTTTGCCATGCAGTACTAACCAGAAGATGATGAGAACTGTAACAAACGCGAGCGAGACGACATTGCGGATTGTTCGAGTCTTCCAGGTAATGCCCAGGTTTGACCAAACCACCTCTTCAGGACTCAGACCCACGACACGGGGAGACATATGCAACGGTTGATGATGGGCCACCATCTGAAAGGCGCTCTGAGCTTGGGTCTGATTCCAGAATTCCACAAAGACCGCATTTCTGGGTTTCAACTCGCTTGATCGGTACTTTTCTTGTTCGGTCTCGATAAGTGGGTTCAGTCTCGCAATTTTCTCTCGGCACCAATCGATGGTATCGACCTTCTTACCAATCAATGGTTTCAAGCGATGCGTGGGACGGTCTTTTGGTCTAACCCAGCGAGAGGCCGCTGCGCCTGACTCGTTGCCGTTCTCTTCGTCAGCAGCAACCGGCGTTGGCTGGGCATCCCCAGGTTGACCTTTGATGGACTTGAGGCGGGCATTATTGGCAAGCTTGATGAGTTTGGTTTCGGCTGTCTCAAGTTTGATGCAAGCCTTGTAACGGTCTTTCACCATGTCTTCCAGGTGTTTGGCGTCCGAGACAACCCACACGCTCTTGAGTTCGTCACCGAACATTCGGCGAACTTTTGCTTCATTTGCGTATTCGATGGGTACTGACTGGAAGAGAACCGTTCTGGACGAGATTCGCGATGCGTACAATGGGGACAACAGATAAGCTTGCCGCAGATTTATGTAGTAAATCATCTCCCGTGTAACCAGGAAGAAGATGAAGCCTATGAAGATCCAGGCGACAAAGACATGGGCATAATATCGATTCTTGTTCGTTACGTTGCTGAAGCTCAGAAGGTTGAGTTGACTCTGACCACCACCGCCTGTTGCGTTGACAGGAAACAAGATAGGCCAGGTAATACAGCAACCAACGAAACAGATGATGATGGACATTTTGAGGTAACGGAGCAGGAAGTAGCCATCAAGGGAGTTGTGTTGAAGGACGTACTCATCCGGGAGCTGAGGGTTTTTGCTCATTAGATTCCATAGTGAACGTCGACAGCGTTATTTGGGCACTCACCTTTCTCATAAACGGAATCCATCCAAACAAGGTGTTAGGCGGTGCAGGTGTACGTTCTTGCGGCCGCAAAGCGCCCAAGTATGTCCGAGGAGCATATTGTCTAGGGAATCTGGCGCGTAGGACGACGAAGAGGGCAAAGTATGCGCATGCGATGATCAAAGTCGGAACGAGGGTAGAGATGAGACCGGAGAGAGATGGCGAGGTTGAGCGGCTGGAGCCCACGTTTTGATCGTCGTTGGCGTTTGTATCAGGAGCCTGCGCGCGAATGTGAAGAATGGTGTGCAAGGCCTCCATCTTGTTAGACTGCGCCTGAGGGTAGGATAGCGATACTAGTATGAACGCGAAGACGACTGAGGTAGAGAGGACGTAAACAAAAGCATTTGGGATTGGAATGAGAGAACGAAGTAGGTATTTGTCTATCGAGGAGTCGAGTCAGTGGATGTCGGGCAAGTGCATCTGCAGTGCATCGCTCGCACTCATATTCACCTCAGCTGGCATCTGAGTTTCTAACCAGGAACCTCCTTCAAAATTGGTCAGGGCAGAACCGAGTTTGAAGCCAAAAGACAGACATCAAAGACCGACGATTGCGCCCAATTTCTGTCGAATCTCCACTGATTTTCCGCTTTGACATTAGTAGCATGAATAGCTCCGAAGGGGGACCCTGATTTTCCTGGGCGCTAAATGACGACGCCCTGACGCCCATAGCCACTCACGGAGGTTGCCGAGTTCTCGTCAATGCACGTAAACTTGAGTGGCCTGTGGGTGCCACCTTTAGGCATGCCTGTACCACCCTTGTTGAGCTGACATTGTCCATTCAGACTGTCCTCCGGCACATTGCACCAACTCGGTTGCTCTACGCGATGTGACTTCTACTCTTTGTGTGATACTTCATTCTCCTTTGTACGACAAGGACATTGATTGCGCTGGCACACAAGCTCAGCACTCGCACCCGCCACATGCCAGCCACGATCGAGTTCCTCTTCATGACTGACGGTATCTCCGTCCATCTCTTCAGGCCACATGCTGCCTGGAAGGTACCCATGTGGGGTGGACAGTCGCGGCTGAATCAATAAAACTTGAAATCGGAATGCTGACCCTCCTCGAATTGAACCCTGTTCACAAGGTGGCCAGGTATCTGATTTTCACTCGGTTGCAGCGGGAAAGAAGACGGAAAACGGTATTGAAGCACAAGCAGAGATACAGGAACATTTTCCCTTGAGCGCTGAGGTGCTAATCTTAACGTCAACAACGCCGTTGGGGACTTCCAAAGCATACGGCCAGGTACAGGCTCCTGAGTACCGGTCAGAAGGGATTTCAGAGATACCAGGCCACCAACACCCTCGCATCGCCACGTGTTCCGGCGCCCAAGAAACCTCGGAAGAACTTAATGCGCATCAAATTCCTACCTCATGCAGAGAAGCTGGTTGTGGCAAAACACCCCAAGCACTGACGGTACTTTTGCATGGTCCAATGCTCATATTGGTACCCCAGCTCTAGATTCTCCATGCACGTGCTGGTGTTTCTTTGCTGCACATTCTACCCTGCTGTCAAATTCAAATAACATGGTAGGAGTTGCCCGTTCGGGCGGGTGCCACACTTGCAGAAGAAGAAGGGTAGGGGTAAGATGGTCCTTGATTCCACAAAGTAGCATCAAACGAAGCTACAGTATGCTTATCACGTACTAGTGCGACAAGCGTAGACCAACATGTCAACGATGTGAAGCGGATGGCCAACTCTGTCAAGGCTATCAAAGCTATGCCGTCTTCATGAACAGAACACCAGAAGGACTACAGAGGCGCCAGAGACTTGAAGAGGCCATTTTACCCGGCCATGTCATCCCTACAGAACGCGACACCCATCCTGCGGGAATGTTACCTTCAAGTAGCAGCGCTTCGGCGACAGCTGTTTCAATCGCACGAGACTTGGGCATTGCCGCAGCACGATCCCAACTCGATGATTTCATGACAATCTACCAGCCGACAGCCCCGGAAAACAGGACGGGAGCGACACTCGTCTGGCTAAGGGAAGCGTACGGCTATGCGCAACCGTCCCTACTACTTGAGGTTGCCCGCAATGCCCTGGCCGCCAACAGATGTGCAGCGGCCACTGGGGACCCATCAATGCAGTATACCGGGCATATGTACTATGGTCGGGCTCTACAGGCGTTGACCGAGAAACTGAACCAACAATTTGAGAATTGTGACAATCAACTTCTAGCAGCAATCCGCTGTCTCATGATATATGAAGCAAGGCGTCTTTGTTGATTGTCGGCTGTCACCTTACCAACCTATCAAAGATCTTTGATTCAACGGCCGCCTCGGTAAGTGCTTGGGCCAGCCATCAACGTGGCCTTGTCGAGCTGCTCATGAAAAGAGGATCGGCCAACTTCGAAGACAAGACATCTATGGCTCTGCTTATTGACATTCGAGGATCCAATGTGAGCACGTGAACGTGTCTGCATGCGACATCGATATCTGATCTGAAACGACAGCTTATAACTTCTGCTCAGTACTCGAAGTCCTCTCCCTTGGCTGCGAGGGAGTGACAACTTCAAGCCCCGCCTCAATCACTACTCGACATTGAACACCGATTCTGCGACCTAGGTCTGGAAATGTCAGTATTATCTGAGCAAGACGACACCATTGTGTCTTCAGCTGAGATAAACGTCGAACGGAATGAAGATCTCGTTGCCGAGATCGACCAGTGCAGTTCAGACCTTGAGACTCTGTTGCAGCAAATGCAGCAATTTCGGCCTTCTGCTGGGTGGCATGATGAGTAAGGCTTTTGGAACCTCGAAACCGCGTTGCACACTGCCAATATCAAGGTCATGATGTTGGATGCTTCAAGCATGATGCGCGAAATAAAGATTAGACACCACCTTACAGCGGCGCCGAGCTAGCCTTCGGCCTCCATCGTCACGGCTGTTCCCGACAAGTATACACCAGAGGTTGAGGCGATCAACGCAAGTCAGATACTCTCGGCTCTCGAATACACTACTGGCGATGACATGGGTCTTTATGGAGCGCAAAAATCGTTGTTTGCAGTCAGAATGATGCTATGCAATCTTAAATGACAGGACCCTCTCTTCGACCGCTTTCTCGAGATCTACAACAGGCTAGCACAGAGAGGATTACGGCATGTCCAAGATCTCAACGACGAATGGGGCCAGCCAGGAACCCTGAACAGAAACCAGAATCCTCCATAGCGGCGTCAATGTCTCCGGGCTTCACGTATGTTTCTCGACAGCTGTTCCCATCCTACCAAACTGGCTCCTCAGGGGACCAATATCAGCATCTACGACAGGCTGGATCCATACCTCTTCGCCATCCTCATTTGTGCATTTGACGCTGGTCAGACCCATCAGAAGAGGATGCATATTACCATAGATGGACTCGTACGCCTTGGCCGGGACACAAAACATTTCATGAAAGAAGCCGATATGTTTGTATCCGCCCTTGGAGAGAAAATCCCACGCCTTGCGGTGTATGTCATCATGAGCAAACTTGTTCAACCCTTCCACATCACGGAAATAGTACACCATCATCAACGTATTGCCGGATCCTCGCTCAGCGGCACGCCACGGCGAGGCTCCCAGCATGCCATATTCATCTGTCTGCTGAAAGACCAGGTCATTGCAGGCGTTGAAGTGGTCCAACGTTTGTCTCGCGCCTGGTGAGAACAGCCCCAATGGATGACTGAAACGGACGCCAAAGTGGAAGACCACGATCGGGCACTCCGCGGGCTGGTTGCCGAAGCGGGCAGTGGCTCGGGAGGGATATTGTGCACTTGTTCGCCCAACCATCACATCTCTCATGTATGCATCTTTGGGACTGAGAGCGGTGCCTAGAGCGGTTGACGCGATGGCGTAAAATGTGAGTACCGCGGCAGGCAATACCGCCACGCGGAAAGGCAGGACCGAGATGAGAAGAATCTGCACAACGGAGCCAAAGAGGATGAGTGTCTGGAGGGTGAACAGGTCCTTGACGAAGAACTATGCAGGTCAATCAGCGTCCGAGTCTCCTTAGGCACTCATGTCAATGCTTGCGTACACTGAAGAGAGCAAATTGCCCCGTCTGTTGAGACTTCTGTGGCCTGAGGAGGCCTTTGAACTCTGCTGGAGCCATGGGTTCCTCAATCAATTGCAATCTACAGTGTCGCAACAGGGGAATGTGTCAACGCAGCTCGTGAGATACAAAATGATGGATACTTTCTACGAGGTCCTTCCGTAAATCAGAGTAATGAGTCAGTCACTTTGAAGGGATGGGCCACTGGCGACTATGGACGAACCAGCCTATGACGATTCAGCCAGATCCCCAGTCCGAGCCAGGAGAGTCTCCTCAGGACAGATAGCCTACTACTGCTCTCCCCACAACCACATGAACAGCACAGCGGCCAGAGTGGCGGACGCTATACCCAAAATGGGGGTTATTCTTAGAGAAGCCAACCGCTTTCGAGCCAGACGATTCTAATATGCCGTACATTCTAGCAGTGAAGAAAACTGTCCCCGCCGCTGGTCACTGCTCTTATGACGGTCGGCCACAAGGTAAGCTGTTCCACTAGGTGGCCGGTCATCTTCCCATGCAGAACGGACAGATCAGGCTACCAGTGCGAGAAGACGTACGGACGGAACAAACATCGAGATGCTTTCCAGGACAGCGGCTGCAAGCAACCTCGACCGGGCTCAGCACAACGGTTGACTGCTTGCGCACGCTTCTTTGGCAGAACAGTCGACCTTTGAAGCTTATGAGGGTCTTTGAGAGATATGGGAAGAAGCGTTGTATATATACCCCCCTCTCTCACCGTGGCCAAGCCAACACAGCACCCACCACCACCACCACAACAGGCCGAGAGCAAGAGCAAGCGCAAGTTGCAGCACCAGCACGAGCCCGATTGCCAGCGCAATCGATATACGCCAAAGCAGAACATGCTGTCGAGAGCGCGATGACGGGTAGCACCGTCGGGAAAGATGCGATGCCAGCGGAGGTGTGGGCACGGCACGTTGTCAAAACGCTGCTGGAAAACCCACGGGAGCGAAGGATTTGGAAAGGGCACAATGCGTGTGGGGTATGGGTCGCTGGCAGGTCCATGCCCGCTGGGTTTCTGGATGATAACATGAGGAAGATGCGGCGTTTGAATGAAGTTCAAAGATCTCTCAAGGGAGTGTCATGATTCACTTGGACAGTTTCGGGGGAAGCCTGGAGGAGGTCTAGAAGCAGCTCTATCATGTTGTGTTATTGATGTGTGATGTGCTATTGAACAAGACATGCATTGCCTATCTCCATCTCATCTCTCACAATTTCTCCAATGATGGTCCCCCAGCTCGATCCGACTCGACATGTTCTTTCCGAGAATGATCAAGATTACCATTCCAGGTTATGTTTAACTTAGTAATTGACCTCCCGGGCCAAAGACGGACCCAGCAAGTCCCAGACCTGCTAAGCCTTTTGACTCCAGCTTTGTGTTGACATGCCGAGTGTTGCTGAAAAGCCCCAGATGAAGGAAGCATTGTTTTCGAAGATAGGTTTCGTCAAGGAATGTATGAAAAGAAGCACCTTTCGAGTGTGCGAGTATCACATCGTGTGGAACGCCACCAAGCACCAGCCAGCCATTTCAAGAAGCAATTTTGCGCGTGGAATCCCCGTGATCATAAAGTCGTGAATCTGGTGTCGTACTCTGTTTGAATCTTGTTCAGATCCACGGCTTTGCAATCGATCCGAGTTGATCCTCAAAGATACCACCGTACAAGCCGGCAATCTCGTCCAGATATTCTTCCACGCCAAACTTGCGATAGCCCTTGCTCAGGATCTCCTGCTCTTCTTCTTCCAGCAGTCTCGCCGTTGCGCCGAATTCTTCTGCCACCTCATTGACCTGAGCCAGCTCTCTCCCGAAGGGATGGTTGGGGTCAGCAGAGCCACCAAAGATATCGGCACTGCGTCGAACGACGGGCTTGTTGAGTGTTGTTGGTGGAGGTGACATCCGTTGAATCGATCGCTTTCGTGACAATTCGACGTGAGCCTTCTTGGAGTGAGATGGAGCACGTTGAGGAATGGCCGGTGTCTCGAATGCAGGAGAAGCAAGGGCGGGCACCGCTGAAATGGGCTCCTTCGCGTTGAAGAAGGCGTTGCCATTGTCGGCAGGTGTGATGGGGGTTGCCGGACCACTACTGTCAATGGACGAAGCGTCGCTACCAGAGTTGTTGAGGAAGCTTCGATCGATGGTGGAGAAATCAGACTCGTTACCACTAGAGATGATCGAGGCCGACGAAGAACCTGAGACGCTTCGGATGTCTGGTGCAGTCAATGCTTGAACATTGGTAGTGGAGATCAACTCGGTTGGGAGCGAGATCAAATTGCGATTGATTGTTCCCTGTGCATATCTGACACTTGTACCACGCTGGGGAGTTTGCAGTGTGTTGTCGACGCTTCGCTTGCCTCGTCGAGTGAATGCGCGAGCAAGAGACATCGTAGTCGAAGACATGACGATGTTGCTGATCGTAGGTTTGTATTGGCCTTAAATTGGCTTGTGCGTTATGTGAGTTCCGGGTGACGGGTGCGATGTGCGAAAGGTTAGGTTGCGATAATCTTAAGTCGAATTGAAGGTGTTTGTGTTTGTGCAAACGGTAAGGAATGGTTTGGTTCTAGGTTTGTTGAAGATACAGGACTCAGTCTCTGTACAAAGGAAGGATCGATTGGAAGGATAAAGTGAATGTGCCGTTGTTGTCGTGAAGGAAAGATGACAAGCAGGACAAACACTGGCGAAGGAGTGAAATGATAGGATACTGCGACGAATCGACCGTCGAGTAAGGAATGTGGTTGTTAGAGAGAGTGTGAGAGAGTGTGAAGGAGAAGTCGACAGTGAAGGGTCAAAAGAGTGACTGAAGCCGTAAAGAGGCCAAAGAGATAGACTTTTTCCCTTTTCCTGGGTCGAATGGATGTTGGGATGCGGGAAGATCGAGAAGGGGAAGAAATGCAGGAGAATGGAGTGAGCGCAGGAGAGATCACCAGTGGTACGCGAGAACTCTGGGTGAACCACTTGGAGGGTGGGTGTGCATTCTTTCTGGGCGGACGCCCGGGTGGATGCTCTACAGGCTCTACAGGCATTGGCCCAAGGCACCAGGTACCCGGAGGCTTCTCAGTGGAGTCTGCGGGTGGAAAAAAAAGGGTACCTGAGAAGAATGTGGACTCCTCAACCACTCATTTCATTTCCTCTCCCTCCTTGAAGCGACCATGTCACCTCAACCTCGACATGACTGGCCATCTTGTTAACGTCACAAAGATAACTGCCCTTTTTGGCGCCATTCCTCTGCAAGTCTAGACACCTGCCGACCGCGAAAAATGCGACTATCTCTCATTGCTCCGAACGCGCATCCACCTTACCACGTTGCCGATCCTGTTCCTGATCAGTGAGCATGTGAACATGAAAGAGGAGGTCAGTGCATACGCACCCAAGTGGTTGTGAAGTTTCTTGACATAAGAGAGTGATGCTGAAACGTGGAAATCGAATAGACGCTGCGAAGAGACGCAGTCGACATCAGCATTCCTTCGTACCGGCGGCTATAAACCTCGTTTTCGTACCTGAAGTACATGTCAGGCGGTTCTTTGAAAATCACAGACCATGATTGTTGCCCACAGGCCATCTGTCAACGGGAAACGTCCCTACTGGTTAAGAGGCCAAATGTATTCAAACAGAAACAGACCACATCGTTGACCGTTCTTCATCTGGACCACCAACTACAAGATTATACAGGCAAACAACGTGGACCCTAGAAACCTCACGAAGCACGTAAACAAGCAATTTGCGGGTGCGCGTTCTCAAGCCACCGCGTGCGACTTACGGAAGGCCCATTTGAGATGGAGAGATCTAGTTGTGTGACCCCGTCGTTTCAGCCACGCCTTTCAAGTTAGGGCGCCCATTAAGACATGCAATTGTAGCCTGCTTTAGCCCCAACTTGACCGCGAGCAGTTCTCTTCGGTTGTTTCAGAAAAAGACACGATCTCGTGCCTGCGGAGAGCGCAACTCCTGACTTTGACCCAAACCGCCATCTCCAAGGCTTGTCTGCGTTTCAGGGGCCATAAGTGCTCGGGTATCTTCAATTCGGCTTGATGGTCACAAGATACGGCAGCTTACGTTGTTCTTCTGAAAGTCTCATGATGTAGTCCTTTCTGCGTCTTGATTTTGACCAACAATACCTCAGGTACGGTAGGGAATGAAAATGTACAAGATGCGATCCGGGGTGCCTGCCAAGCCTTCGCAGCCTTGGTGCGTCATCCAGTAAACTTCAGTAAGCCTCGCGTTTGAAGATGCAAAAGATTTCCGTACCAGCACAAGTCATAGGAGAAAGCAATGTCATGAAATCTACATTGCTGTTTACATGCCTGAGGTGATCCCGACCATGCACATCACATAAACAACCGAATCCAACATGGTCCGCATCAAACACCGCTACCTCCTCTTCAACATCCTCTACCCAAACCCTCCACAAGCAACGGCACTACCCTCCTCTCAACCTCCCTCCTACATCCTCTTCTCACGTCCTAGCCCGAACCACTTGACTTCCCAACTGTTGATATCCTCCATACGCTCCAGCATCCAATCCGTTTTCGGCGACTATGGCGTTTCTGTTACCCAATCCGGCATGCGGATCGTCTACTTCAGCCCAGGCACAAGCACGGTCATCCTGCGCGTCCCTCGCGCGCACTTCCGCCTCGTATGGGCGAGTCTGACCTTCATGGACACTTTGCCAGGAGCGTCAAGGAATGATGCGCCAGTACGATGTGTAGTGCGAGTTGTCAGATTAAGCGGGACGATCAGGAAAAGCGAAGAGGAAGTGCTACGCCGAGCGAGACGAGAAATCGTTCGCGCCAAGAGGGAAGGCAGAGACGCTGATGATGACCAAGGCGTCCTGCAGAACTTAGTTGGTGAAAACAAAGGAAAGGGTCGAGCAACAAGCGACTCGTTGCGCGCTGGCGAGCAAGTGCTCGACATGGAAGACCTCGACGAAGACGATATTATGGACGACATTTCTGACTGAACCATCACACATCGTGATATTCACCCATCTTGCCGCCACGCGGCCATCACGACCAGTGTGACGCCTGACGGTGTACAAGTCCTCTGTGACTGACCCAGGCGGCCATCATGGTCACGAACCATCTACCTCCGGAACATCTGTAAGTTCAGGCCCCGTTTTCTCTTTCTTTCGTCTGACCTTGACACCACTATCCGGTGGTGGTGGAGGCGGCGCATCATCTCCATCCATCTGCATCCCCTCCTCGTACTCCTGTTCCCGCCTCTTCTGCTCCTCCTCCCACTGTTTCTGCTCCAAATCATCCCACTCCTCTCTGTTATCTATCCACCGCTCCTGCACATCCCGAATATCCATCTTTCCAACGCCCTCTCTAACAGCGACCTGCCAGATCGAATCATTGGCCCCCTCCGCCCCACCAAAAGCATATCCGCCCGCGCGATCAATCGTCCTCAGAAGCGCCATCATACTCTTCTTGTCTTCTACCGCGAGCGTCTCGAATCCAACCAACCCATACTCTTCAACGAGGTTGACAATCGCCTCGTTCAGCGCCGAGAATTTCCCACGTGCGAACATCGGCGACTCCGCTTCGAGACTTGGTATCAAGTACGAGAGATCCTGCACTTCGGTGTAGAAATCCAGGTTGAATTGTAAGGGAGGGTATTTGGAGAGGTTATCGATCTTAGTCAGGACGTTGATATGCGTCATGTCGAGTTGCAGCATGCTCCGCAACGAAAGGAGGAGTGTCGAAATGTATAAAGACGGCAGCGTCAGAGCGTACGAGTCGATCAGGTTGACAACCACCAACTACTCCTGTGTTAGCATATGCGTAACAAACAGAAACGCGGTGTTGTCCAAAGACGCGCAGCGTAGTCCACACTGAGGTGGAAAGGGGGAGAAACATACCCGATACCCAAGTTTCCCCAGTTTCGTAAACACCCGTCGCAAAGAATCATGATGCGTAAACAATTCAACCTGCCCCGGACAATCGAACAGGACATAATCCTCGCCCAATTTTTCCAGCTGCTCTTCAAGCCACTCGAAATTCTCCTCGAGTTCTTCCAGCGCATAGAGCACGCCGCCATTGGGCCCCAGCCGCACATCCTCATCTTGCATGATACTTTCGAGCGTGACTAGATCTCGCACATCGATCGCCGCTTCATAACTGGTCTTGTCGTTCGCCGGGTCTAGATTGACGATAGAGCATTTCCGTCCGATGGCGCCCATGAACTGCTGCATGCCGTTGCAGTAGGTCGATTTGCCGGCGCCGGGAGGGCCGATTACCAACTGCGCAAACGGCATCTTGGATACGTAGAAGTGGAACCTCAACCGCAATCGCCTTTCTGTTGCTTTCTGCTGTCCGTAAACCAACCCTTCTTGTTCCGCCTGCTATCGTTTGGTGCGTGTGTTCTGGATACGCTTCGAGGAAGAGGTGGTCGGTGAATCGCTCGTCTGGTATATGACGTGTGAGGTTCAGCCTTTCTGGATGAGATGGGAGAGATATAAGATAGTGGGTAGCGATCAGATCAGGTACTCTGTGTGAAGTACTTGAGCGAGTGAGTAGAGTGGCACAGTAGATTCTCTTGGGGAATGGTGGTTCATGTCGTGACTGTCATGTCCGTCGTTCTGGCATGCCCACAATGCTCATATCTTCAGCGCGCGGTCACAATCCTCATGTCAAAGAAAACTAGAATGTCTACTTCTGATCCAACAAGAAATGTATTTCTCGTGATCAAGTCAAGGCAAGTGGCATGTCGACAGACGATCTGGAGTAAAACCGCAGTCGGATTTCCCAAACGTTCCGCCAATCAGAATAGAGTACCGAGTACGACCATTCATGGCCCATTATGATATGGCTATTTATGACTACTTCCGAGCACGGCTGCAGCAGAAAGGAGATGGAGTATGAAAGGATTGTTCGGCTGCTTCAGTTGCTAGGAGTCCTATACTGTTCTGGCTGTCCCTCTTATGAATACAATAATGATAAGACGCTTCAACGCTGTTCATCAGACTGGCCGTCTAAAAAGGTAAAATCAAGGCGTTTCTACTATCACGTCGACGTTCCTTAGACCCAACTTCAAAGGAATTCTGCACGTTGATGTCCCATTTCCATCCGCCAGTGCGGGCTGTACACCAACCCTCTGATTTGAGTTGAAAGAGATCAAAAACCTCGGTCACCCAGCTTCTCCTCTCTTTCGATGCTGCGATTGGCAGTGCTTCTGTGTCTTCATCTTGAGGATCCTTGTACTCCTGAGCCAGGACCCTGGCCATATGTAAATCCGATATGGAAAACTCGGCCGGCATTTTCTCATGTTCGATGATGGTCGCCTCGTCACTTCGACGACTGCTAGCCACCGACTTTCTCAGAGGATGTCTGAAGGTGACCGACCTAGGCGAGTCAGCTCTAAGCCTGCTTGCCTCCGTAACGCTTGGTCGTTTGGTTCCTCGTGTATTATTCGAGCCCCTGCGCCTGATGCAGTATCTCTGGAGATGGGCAAATTGAGTTTGGACCTGACGTGGGAATGTTCCTTCATCGGAGTGGCTGCCATGTTCGAGCTGCTGCATGCTGAAGAATGAAAGTGGTACAAATGTAAAGTCCTTCTGTGGACCCGATGCATGGATGTTGGTCATGAACCGCACTGTCAACATTGTACAGCTGGTACAGCTCGGTGTCGAACTAGTGCCGCCGCCATGTTGACATGAGATGCGGAATTCTTTGGCCGAGAATCTGGCTTGCATGATGGTGTCGTAATTGCCTACCAGTTCCACAAGTCTGACGAAGGCATTGTAAAGCTGACTGCCAAAATCGTCGTCCAATTCTAAACCACTGGATCTGTTAAGGAGCGCTCCAAGGATTTCGCCGACCGGCTGTTCGTCAAAAAGCTGGAGCTGCATCTTTTGCTGAGCAGAGAGTGGGGACAGTTGTAAAGTGACATGTGGTAGTTGATTTTGTGCACCCTCAGGTACCAGGACATCAAAGCTCTTGTACATGCTTGGACGGATCATAAAGAGAGACAAGTAAACTCCCGGAGGTGGCAAGCATGTTCGTTCTGCACAAAATCTCATGCGTTCCATCCTCTCCACAAGGTGACCACGTTGAACTTGTAGGCTCCTAGCCAGGGTATCCGCGACTTGGTCCACAGCAGCGAACCGATAGCCACGAGCGGAAAACTTCGCAGCATCACTGAAAGAAATTTGACGGATGAGAAAGAGGTATTTCCCTTTGGCGATTGATCGAGAGTCGCTTCCCTGTTCGATATCCCCAGTATGAGAGGCGGAGGCGGAGAAACATGAGAGTCGCCTGGTCGCAATACTTGACCGTGGGTAAGCAGCGCCAGTATCCATGGGTTCTTCAAACAAGGTTCCGACATTTTCGACCGGTTCGTGAATGTTGTTGGCAAGCGCCTGAGCGGCAATGCAGAATAACTGTTTGAACAGGCGTGCAAAGTTGATGGATATCTCACTAGCATCATCAGGTAAAGTTGTTGGAGGAGAGGCGGCGCAGTATTTCTTGGTCATCGGATCGGCCTCAAGGTCAGCCTTCATGGCTGGGATGAGATCTTTCAAGATGTTCCAGTGATGTGAAGCCTGGAAGATCCACAAGAATGTCTCATGTGATCTACTCAATTCGTCCTCCCCAAAGGTCTGTATTGTGTCAACGCACGAATGTGCCCGGGTCAACGTAAAACATACCTTCTCAACATAATGGTTGGTGATCTCCGTATTCGGCAGTATACCATTATTACACACCATCAGCTTACCATCTTGATTGAAATAGGCACAGGCAAGGACGAGGCGTTGAGATCGCTGTTTGGCAGAATGCATCTTTCGGCCTCTGACGAACGTTCCAACAAGCAGTCCGACACAGGCGCCTATTGACTATTGACAGTCAGACTTGTACATTTTCCCAGGGAGTTGACTTACCAAAGACGCTGCGATGACGGAAGTCTGAATTCGGTTGCCTCCATGGATCACCATAATGCCGTTCCAGTGATAAACTGTCCCGACAGCGGCTGTCCAGTGCATACCGGATACTGCCACGGCAAGCACACCAGCACAGAGGGCTCTTTTCCACCAATGATCGATCCATTTGTCCCGCAACGTGAAGAAAACACTGAGAGCTATCAGGCTGGCCGCCACCGCTATTATTGCTGCTCCCACGACATGTTGTACCTGATATGTGCAGTCGTAGTTGGCAATTCCCAATTGTCCCATATAATGCATTCCACATACCGCGGCTCCAGTGAGAACTCCGGCGATCGCAATGTAACGGTGACGAGCTTTGTTGGACATGTTTCCAAGCAGGTAGAAGGCGAAAAGGAGAACAGCAATTGGCAGGAAAAAGGATGCAGCAGTAGGGCCGCTGCTGTATGCGATTTGACGCTGAGGATTTCCATGGTCGAGTACAATGGCCCTATTTCCGACAAAGTGCATGCCCCATATGCCGATGCCACCCATCGTTATGGCGGAAGCGAACAGAAGAAACCTGGTAGGAGAGTCAGAGGTCAGCAGCCAGAACGAATGAGAACACCAATGGCTATCAGTACCAATTGTAGACGCCTCTCGTCGACGTGCGTCGCTGCAACAATTCTATCGTGGTAATACATCCCACCAAGGAGGTGAAAAAGGAGAGAACGATATAGCCAGCATCGTAGGATACTGCCGTCGGTGAGGCATCGAGGGCCGATTTTGCTGGAGGTTGGAGCCAGACAGTTGATACATCTCTCTCCATCCGTGATCTGCGCACCACTGACAGCGCGAGATCGACCAAGGCCGGGAGCGAGAGTTGAGGATACCAAAATGGTTTATCTGAACGAGTGACCGGGCACTGAGGGTTTCATCTGACAGAAAACAAGTAGAGTTTAAGAGAGAAAGGTTGATAGGGTAACATCGAATGTTAGGTAGAGAGGGTAGAAAATAGCCGTTGGGACCAATACCTCACTGCTGAAGCGTGCTTGAAGTAAGGAGAATAGCAGAGAGGTGTATAGCGCAGACAAAAGGACTGATGAAGTGGCGGAAGGTACGATCTGAATCTGAGGAAGCCACGATCGCAATATACTCCCGCATCAATTGCCATGACACAATCAAGGCAGTCCGAGGGCCGGAAAAGACATGTCAATGGGAGAAGCCGCATCAAACAGGGTGTGGAGGTAAGACAAAATACGCAGAAGGCGTCGATAAACAGGAGGGCCCGTGGATGTACATTGGACTGGTGTAATGTGGTTGACAGGAGGACGTGGAGCAAGGGGATCCAGGAATTCGGATTTGAGGGCAAAGCTCGGATCACCAATGTCGGTGTCATCGATTGGAATCGAGACCATGTCGGTTCAGTCATGAATCCCAGCGTGTTGCCTGGCCGGTACTGTTGAAGAGAGCGAGATATTGCCAATCTGATCTCACAGAGTAAGACTCGAAGTCGAGAAGACGCAGCAAGATGATGCCCATAGGAGTAGAAGATCATACAACACTCACACGGTCATTCAGGCAGCAGCAGCACGGAGAATGAAAAGGTTTGAAACTTGAAGGGACGGAAAGTTTTGGTTGTACCGGAGTAACTCGAAGCCAGAGCTGCATGGACCAGGCCCACGGGGAGCTGAAGCAGCGGAAAGCTGTAAGTTACCTTTGGACATCTGGCAGGAAAATTGGGGTCATGGTTCATTCAATCCAAGGACCAGAATCACCAGATGCGCGGAGATTACTTGCGAGGGAAAGACACGAAAAAGTTAACTCTAAAAGTTATCATATATCTATATTCATAAGGTTAATAAGCTATCCATGCTCATCATACTTTGCTAGAGAACAATAACATCTGGTTATTTGCATTTCCCTATCCCCCAGCCTTTTCCTTTTGGTTGCCGCCCATTTGCCCATGTTGTACTACTGTAATATCATCCTCGCTGTCAGAAGCCAGGTCGTAAGGCTCAGTCTCCATGTTTGGCCGTCGACGATTTGAACCCAGATTGTCCAGCTCATTTTCGTCAAAGTCTCCTGCCTCGACGTCTCGTCTTTTGCCCAGTGCCAAAGCACCATTCCCCAGTGGAACGCTCATGTAACCTTCTCCCCGTGCTCTTCGCCTTCCTCGCCATACCCACCAGCCGAACAATCCTGCTGCAATCAGTACTACCACCAATGCAGCCTCTCCACTGCGATAGTATGCTTGAAGCTCGGCATCCTTGACCTTTTGCTTCTCGTCCTCGATTGCGGCAGTGCTGTTGGGGTGTCCTCCCACGCTGGTTTCGGTGCCGGCCTTTTCACCGTCGATGCGGCTATCAGCTGGCTTGCCGCCAATACTGGCAATGTCAACTCCCATGAATCGATCCAGCATATCGCGACTTCGTCGTGGCCAATCAAATGGAACCATATGACTGGCGTTGTAGAATAACACATATGTCAGGTTTCGAGCCTCCTGGTATATTCCAGCTGGCTCGTCTTCGAAAGTCCAGTCGCGTTTGGGTGCCCAGACTCCAGGAGACAATTCGAACCCAGTCCCTCCACCCCATTTCATGTTGCTGATCAAATCTTCTGTACCGAGATGGTTGCAGATCATGTCCTTGGCACCGCTGAATAGTAAGATGGGAACCCCAGCCTCTATGATGCCGGGGAGGAAATCCACACTCGGCTTGGAATGACTTGCTCGGAACGCTGCGGACACAGCTCCAGAGCACTCGGTCCAGCCTGTTCGCTTATCGGGATTGATGTGCAGAGCGTTGATAACATCTTGTTGACGAAGGTAAGGCGTCACCGTTGTCAAATCAGGCGGCCAGGCCATTCCACAAGATGGCCAGTTGTCTTGTAGGCGGATGTCGTACATGTTGTAGCATTTGCCATCTTGTCTGGAAACGTCCAGGATCATTGACAGCACAGTTTCGCACGTATTGACGTCCACTTTCTCGTCACCACCCGGTTTCCCCAATTCTCCAATACACTTGGTCTGCGCCGACTCGACCCTTTTCGCTTCGTCTGTCCCACCGCGAATGAGACCCTCTTGATAAGCGAAGGGTAAGTAAGAGAGGTACTGTTGCGCTGGTGCAATCCATCCATTGCCAATCAACAAGCCTTTGATGTCCCATGTCTGTTTGCCGTCCGTTTTTGCCTTTTCGTTGCGGTCCAGAATTGCTCGGGTGATGTAAGGAATATGCTGGCCAGCGTAAGACTCGCCTGCAAAGTATATATCATCGGTTTCGAACTGTGGGAACAATGCAAACCACTTCTCCAGGAATATCAGAAATTGATCCGCCATCTCTTGCAGTTCGTGGAGATAGCTGTCCGTATTGACGTAGCTGAAACCGGTCCCAACAGGATTGTCCACGAAGAGCAGATTGGCAAACTCATCCCAAGATCCGTCATTGTAGCCCAACTTCCCTCCTTCTCTTACTCGGTATGGACCCAACTCCATCATCGCTCCGTCCATCGAGCTGCATCCCGGCCCACCATTCAGCCATATAACGGTTCGAGATCGATCCGCGATGTGTCGGTTCTCGTAGAGCCAGAAAAAGAGATGTCCGTTATGCTCGGGAGTTACTTCAATATGCCTGAAGTCGGTCAGTGTTGCCACTCAGAAGACGTCAAGCAACGTACCCGGCATGCATCTTCAATAGAGGACCGTCAGGCTGGCCCGGCAGCGAATGGACAAAGTAGTCCGCTGCGGTCTTGTCTGCCTGGACGGGACATGCTGTCAACAACAGGAAGCCCAAAAGACAGTGTAATAATCGCGTAGGCCATCTTGAGGCAGGCTGTGCGTAATAATCACTGAAGTTCGCCATTCTGCGATCAGAGCATGAATGAAGAATGAGGTAACAGGCCTATCGCGCAGCCAACATCTCCAGCGGGCAAGGACACGCGTGATCGCCGCGCAACGGAACTCGGGGCGTTGGGGCAGCGGAAGTGGCTTGAGGAAAGGGGATGCAGAAAGACTGAACAGGACAAATATTACAATAAGAAGTAGAGAAACAGTAAGTTGTGTTGAAAGAGCACGAGGTGAATGAAGCCCCCTACCCTTCACTGTGCCCAAAAGGTCCGGTCTTGCAGGTCGTCCAGGCGTTCGCTGGTCCAGCCAGAATGTCAGTCCGTCAAAATTTCCTTAAACGGTATGGCGGCGGCTTCACCCCGGACCAACGCGTGCCGAGCGCCTCAAAGCTGACGTCCTCCCAACGACTCCCTCCTATTCTTGAAACAATGCATGCTGGAGAATCCTTTCTTGTTGAAGATAACGACGACTATGCTTCGGATGTGCCATCAGCCGGGGCTGCTTGACGCGTCCACGAAATAGATCCAGCTCAATATGGTGATGCATCATGGCCACTGCTGTAGCGAAATGGGGAGGAACCTCACTCTTACAAGGCATTCGTTGGTCTTTGTCAAGAGTTGACTGTCTACAATGTCGTCTTGGTGTTCCCCAGAGCGAACTTGCAAACATGGACGAGAAACGTGGGTCTGCTCTACCGTGTATTGGGCATGCTTCCAGGAAAAGTGGCATCGATTGACGAGGAGTACAACAACGATCCAAGATTACAGTCCAGCACGTTCAGAACAGCGGGATACTTGACGCCAAGCCAGTAGGAGTATACGATATGGCTGATGACCTTTCTTCGACCAAATGCGAAGGCTATGGTGTTGTATGCGAAGGGCGACCGGTCAGCAATGAAGAACAATATCCATTTGAGGCTAAGGGAGTCCATCAGCTCTATCGTTATACTCCTACTGTATTGCTGTCCTGGCACCCACTGGTGTGAACCTGCTGGATATCGAACTTGGATCGTCGTTGTGCTCCTAGTCAAACAGTGCCACATTCCTATGTGCAGCCTCGATGGGTTGCTATTGTCTTTTCTGCCACACCATCTATTCATTCACAAGTAGGTGAGAAAAATCTGCATTGAAGCCCAGCCCCTCAATGGAAAGTAGCAGAGTGAGTGAAAGTCGGAGTCTCAATTTTTCATATCATCTCTAGCAACTTATCTCAATCCTTCAACATCATTATGAATTCTGAGGCGACTTCAATGGCACCCTCGAGCACCATGTCCACACCAGAGATGATGGCCATTGACGACATGAAGGACATGATTCGTCAAGTCGTGACGCCAGAAGAGCTTTCGGGCTCATGGTACAACAAGACCATGACTGCTGTGAGCAGCAGCCTACGCTCTCTCGGCGGTAGAACCAGAACCATCAGCGCCGACGAATACCTCAACAAACCATTGCCAATCGAGGACTACCTCAACAAGCCTCTTCCGCCGCTTCCGCAGCAGCCCTACTTTGAGTACATGTTTGCAGACGCTGGTCTGGGAGGCAAAGACTCCAGCCCTCCAACACAAGTTGTGTTCAAGTCAGGCCCAAAGCATCAAGGTAGGCTCGCAGTCTGGAGCATTGAGAGTTCTCTGACACATTTTCAGTCTCCAATGCGCAGCATGATATGATGATGCCAGACTATGAAGTCCCAATGGCTGCAGAGTATCCAAACAAGAAACGCATCCTTGAGCCCAAGTCTCAGAAGTCGAAGGCGACCCTTCAGGAAAATTCAATTTTCGACTCAAAATCTCAGATGACCATGACTGCTCCAGCCGTCCAGGCTCCAAGCTCAGTCACCATTCGCAGAGGTATGCTCACTCCCAAATATGCGACTTTCTTTCTGACCGATCTACAGTCAAGAAACGCGGCGCTCGTGACTCCTTCGTGGCCAATGCACTGGAAGACAAAGGTGAGTCTACAAATCTTGGAAGTGCATCACCAACTCACAATTCGCTCAGATTTCAACATCGATCTCCGCACCACCAAAAAGATTCGGGTAATCACTCAACAAGTAGATTCAGATGTCCAGAGTCTTCGCGCCTCGTCATCGTCAGTCTACAGCAGTGAACCACCAACTCCCCCACCCAAGGATCTTCCCACCAGCCCGGACACCATCTACTCCGCTCTCGACCTTGATCTTGAGCCCAAGAGTCCAACCCTCACCGGCTACGCTGGCCAATTCGAAAGTTACGAAGCAAAGTACATGCGTCGTCGTGGTAAGACATCCTCATCTCACCCAATTCCATGGTCCACAACTAACCTCTTCATCAGCCGCCAAAACTTCCAAGGTACTCTCTTTCACCAGCGGCGACGTTCTTCACCCAAACAACCAATTCACCCACACCAACTTCATTGCCGACCCAACCTACGCCACCCAGAACTACACCAAGGCCATCCTCGCCAAACTTCCTGTCCGCAATGCAGCACTCACCTACGCAGACTTCCAATCCGACCTTGCTGCAGAGCTTCTCACCCGTTCTGTGTCTGAAGAAAATCTCCGCCGTGAAGCACACCGCGAATGTGCCGCTGCTCGACTGGAAGGCTGTGCTGTCGGCCAGTACCGCTATTACCAAGGCCACATGAGTCTCGAAGAGTACAAGGCTGCGAAGATGTGCGTGTGCTGGGATGGATGCTACTGCTCCAAGCTCTGCACTATCTATGGTGACGTTTTGTGCCCTTGCAACGAATGGATCGTCTTGCACAAGGATTAGGAATGAGGTGAAAACTTGGATAGGTGTTGCACTCGAAATTGCGGCGTGGGCGATCAGGTCGTGGTGGTTGACCCATCAAGTATCACTGTTGGTCGGAAATAGACGGTCAGACATACCGAGACTCATCATAGGATGGTGGTCAGTAACATAGCGCTTCTCATGCAATTTTTCATCCAATCATTTCGACGTCCCTCGTGCTTTTATTGGTGAGCTTCTTGCTTGGGGCGTGGTTTTGCGTCAAAGATTCCAACAGCACCTCTTTCAACACTGTTTGTGCTCCGCGAGCAGCCGCCACAGCGCTGTCGACGAGCTCTTCGTAGCCCAAGTCATTGTCACCCGCTTGTGTCGAACCGGAATCATTACACCAAAGCTCAACAATTTCATCGCGTGACGGTAGATAGCCCACAAGACAGCTCGACAGCATTTCCGGATGTTCAATGGCTGCAGGGTCCAAGACTCTGACAGGCTTCATATCAGGTCCAAGAATAATAGCGCCAACTCCAGCAGCCAGAAGATCCAGACAATCCAGACGTGCGTCGGCAATAGCGGCCATAGCAACGTTGATACATCCAGCCAGCATGTTGAACAAGCCTAATCCGGCGATGCGATCTCCCGTCTCTTGATCATCTTCCCCTTCAAGTACCGTTACAGCGACGTCAATCGCGCTCTTTGGCCATCTGTCGGGTATGATTGCGCCTTTCAAAGCGTTCTCCAAGTGCAACCCGAGATCTTTCTCCGTGGAATCACGGATGTACCCTAGTCGGTTTCGTGTCGCGAATGGCGCAAACTTGACCGATGCCGTCATCTGAAGGTTTGGTGAGAAAGAAGCGGTTCGTGGTAGGGGTTTCGGTCCCTGTACAGAGCATGACAATTTGATGGTAGAAGATGCGGATACAAAGGTCGTTTTGTTAGGTTGACTTTCGAGTTCGAGGTAGGCTGAGCCGCTGGCAGAAGGTATGACTCCAACCTGCAAGACTGTCGGAGTTAGTGTAAGTCAACATGCTAGCAGGAAGATTTCGTACAAATCTTTCGTAGTTCATTCGGCTTCCTCGACCGTTTGGGCTGTGATTTGCCAGATTGATTGGGATTTACGAACACTGCAGGATATGTTGTGCCTGCAGGGCCGTTGATACGTCTTCGCTCAGACATAGCATCACATTCGCTATGTTGAAAGAGTGGACGTCCCCACCAAGGAAGGACAGCTTTAAGGCAATAAACAGTACATAGGCCTGGAGCGTCGCGGTTGGAATCTCTGGAACTTTTTTTGTCCGAGACGTCATTCGCCAAATTGTGGTACTGTAAAATGGCGGCCAGATTATCCAGTTTAGGGACCAGGGGTCGTGCCGCCCTAATCTCAACCCCCGACTTCCGTCAGCCTCGCAGCCTCGTGAGCATCAACTCTTATTGTACTTCACCTCACCATCACCACCTCCTTTCTAGTTCACTCACCACACCCGGTGACTATTGTACCTCACCCCATTGCCTCTTATGTAAAATTCAGGGTTTATGGATTAAATGTGCAGAATTATGCCTAACAATACACCTTCATCGGGACAGTCTGGTGAAACCGTTCGAATTTCTCGGCGGCCCCAGTGGCAGTGTCGGTGGTTGTTAACAACCACACAGAGTTAACTTTTCTAAATCGACTACACACTAAATCAACCAAACCTAAGGCCTCAGATGCGAGAGATGGGGGTGGGTAAAATGGGGTTGAGCGCTCATGCGAGGAAGAAAGAGAAGGACTATGAGCAGGAGGGGTCCGCTGCGAGAGGGGAGAAGGGCTTCAAGTCCGGGAAACCACACAATCTTTTTTGCAACTTTCCAGTCCTTGTCTTTTTCATTAATGCGTGGATGTTTTGTGGCTTCAAACTTCACTATGCCAAGTGGTAATGCACGGTGGGCTTATCAGGGCGTGGCTTCACTCGCAGTCTCTTCAACAGGCCTTCCAGGGCAATCTAACGAGCATCTGTGACTAACCGTGTTATTGCTGCGAGTTTCGCTACGACATTATGACTGTCAGGCCGCATCCCTCCAACTTGACAGTCTTTCGCCTACCATTGTTCGGCAGTCATCAATTTTGGCCTTACCGGAGCGGCAACATGCTTTGGGTAAATATGAGAAAGGGCACATCCCCAAAAAGCAGTTCCCATAAATTATAATCTGATGAGCCCGTCCAAGGTATCAGGCCGCGACATTCTCAGAGCAAGGGATGTATAGCATTACATGGTACACCAACTCTGCACCGGAGCCAGTTTGCCTTCTGTGCTTAGACTTGCTTGAAGATAAACCAGTAGGAACAAAGAGGATCGATGTTTCCTTTTTCAACTAGCCATACCGAGAGGAAGGTATCTATCGTAGCCCACCCGCCAGTGTTCTTGGCTGGCACACCACCTTTTCATCATTCATATGACAGATAAGTGGATGGAATGCAGACCCGGTCGCTGCAAGATCACTTTTAGCATGCCTCGACCAATGCACAGGTAGGGTGCTGATGACGATACTAGGCACAAGCAACCGATTCCACAAGCGTCGTTGAGTTGTGGTGATACGCCATGGTGCCTGAGGCTCTGCCAGATAACCGAAACTTCAAGCGAAGCTAGAGTGCCGACAAATATGTCGTCTTCCTTCCCTTGCCATACTACCCATTGCGCGTTTGTCGCCCGCCGCACCTGTTGGAGCTGGCTTGGACAACCTTCGTCGAATGCTGATCTAGCCTACGGGAGTGTATTCTGGCACTTCACCGGCTGCATTTTCAATCATCTGACGTCTGAAGATGTCCCATCGTGCGTTGGTCATTGTACATTTCCTCAGCTGTGGCACGCAGACTCTCGATAAACTCCCTTGTCATCGAATACGGAGTGGGGAAGAGTCGCCATCTGGGATCAGTCGGTGCTCGCTGTGCTCGGAGTTCTTCGAAGAACGCCAGAAAGTCGGCCTTCGTGATTGTTCCCAAGACCTGCTCTCGGCTGAGCACAACGGCCCGCCCAGTAAGACCAGAGACAGCCTGAGCCAATCTGGGCTCTACCTTTGTGGAGACATACAGGCATAGCGCCTCTAGGTGAAGGCTGAGAAGAGGCAATCCATCTGCGCGTGCCACGAGAACATCTCCAATCTTGTTGCCAGTCCAAGTCTGAGGCGTGGAGGCGAAACCCTGCTCGCCACAGTAGGAGCCCTCCATACCGCGCAAGAAGTCGCCGTCTCCAGATCCGGGAGTGCTTGTACGGGTGCTAACCTTGACCGAAGTGATGTCTCTCATCAGCAACATAGCTGTCTGATTGCGGAGGTCTTCGCTGCCAGTGGGGTGCGCGTACCACGGACGCACAGTCATCGGGAGTCCGAGTAGGTTCGCTATCCCGCTACCTTCAGCCTGGAAGATGCTATCACAGCCGTTGACAATGAAATACCCTACGGGTGATCGAACGAAGGTCATAGGGCACACGACAATTCCAACTGGTACCCGGACGCTGTCAAGATCTGGATCCTGCCCACCCCTTCGGTAGGCGGAGCTCAAGTAGTCTGCCGCTTTCCGAACGTCTCGCATATCGATGTCGCGGTATTCTCCAGGGGCAGTTCGAACGTCTCGCACATCGATGGCGCGGTGTTGACTTGCTACCCAACGTGTAACAAGGATCGGACCCCGGAAGTGCTGAGCGCAAGCTCCAGCCCGCGTAAAGGAACGCACCGCCACGTTTGGTGCTTGATTTGCGGCATATCTCTTGGAAGTAAACCACAGCGTCTCGTACTGCTCACGGTGGATGTCGCGGGCTTGAATGCTGTTGTGGTTGGTAGATGCGCTATCATGACCGCCACGGCGGAAGTAGGCTTCCTTATTGAAAGATTCACCTGCAGTTTGAGGATTCTTCGAAACAGCGAGCCAGGTGAATCTTGGAGGTTGGTCGCCATCCGGGAAGAACAATGCTCGTCGATGTGCGTGAACATCTACACCTGCGGTGCTCGGTCTCGCTTCGCTGAAAGAAGCGCAGAGGATCTTATGGTTCTTCCAGTCAAGTCGTTGACAATCTGGCAGGTTTCAGCATCAAACACGTCTCGATCATTGTTGAGATTGGAGCGCACCTTGGGAGCAATACCGCGCATCCAGACATTTTGGGCATCGTTTGGACCTCGTCGAGGACACGTAATGCAGGTTTCCTCGAGCGTCATGATGCTATCTGCGGTGGCGGCGGCGGGTGCCATGGCGACAATGGCGGCCGCGATTGACAAGTTTACCAATCCTCGAAATTGGAATCCAAGTTATGATATGATTGACAGATGTTGATAAAGCAGAAAGTCAAGCAGGCCCGCAGAAGCAGTTTGATTTTCGAATGAGCGCTTACAATCGCTTCACTTGGCGAGCGTGTCACTGTACGGTCGGTGAATTCTGGTCTGGTACATACGGACCAGGTAGGTATCATTGCAATTCACTTTCCTGCCTTCAGCGTACTGGGCGACTTTAAGTACTCGATACCTCTATTGTAGTCGAAAGGAAGGAAAGTGCCGCTTCAGAAAATATGTTGCTCCGCTGTAAGAGCAAGACCACAGGTTGTGATGCGGGTCCACAAGGCTGGCCTCCCCTAGATGGTGGACCGAGGGTTTCCGCACAAACTGCCTTTGGACATCAATCAAATGGCGCCTGGAAACACGCCTCACCACAGATGTGATTCGATACGGACAGGTCTGATGGGAAAATACTTCCTTGCGAAGAGTTGAGTATTTTGCTGCTCGGATAGCAGTACCTCTCCGTATGGAATTTCACTGCGGAGCACAGACACGACTTCTCACGTACTGCGTCTTAATTCCCGGACTCCATGCCCTGACGATTGATGCTGGGGCGGTCGAGTCGTACATTCCTACAGTCGATAAAGCATTACCACAGGTGCCTGTCTATGTACCTGTATGCAAGGATGTGATTTCCACTGTCGCATGTCAAATGTCCGGATCTCTCGCCCCGTACTGGCCCGCACCTGATATGACATGTTTGACAGGTCAATCTTGTAAGCATCGACCTTGCCATGTTTATGCGTTGTTGCGCAACGGCAACCACATCCTTGCTATCACATGCGCATCAGTATGCGCATATCTGGAAGCTTTACGCTCGTGGACTGCAATCTGCATCCTGTGTTTTGCTGGGGATTGTGCTCAAGCAACATGCAGCACGAGCGTCTTTCCGGGGAAGCTTGAAATCAAGGGTTCACGGCGCAGCTCTGTGATATCAGCTTCCTACATATCGCCTTTGTCCTGCTCTTCCTCCTTCTCCTACCTGTTCTGCCGCTGCATACCTCAAGCATGTAGAAATGCATCTGCTTCTCAGGGTCCTTTTGTGCTTCTGCACCGTCGTGCTAGGTCATCATGCCCCCAAAGGCAGCTACGAGCATGGGGACTCAGCTGGCATGACAATGCTCCCCACTGTAAGTTGCTTGCCCCAACGGCTTAGTTCCCTGAGCTTACGTTCTGGTAGCCAGATAGCCGCATATCTGAGCATATGAGTTATGCTCCTCCGTACGATGCCCGGACACCAGGGTATCTGTCAAAGTATCCGAACGACAGCGCTCATGGGGAAGAACTTGGGATGAACATTATCGCAGATCGACAACTATCTAGTGCAGCTCCTGAGATGACTGTGTTTCAAAGCCATTTCATGGACCTGGTAGAACAGTTCAGAATCGAAGCCGAATCCTGTCCTTCCGAATGGACCTCCGAGCCAGAGACTTCGAGCCGTGGTATAGTTGCTCTAACAAGTAACATCGGCGTGCCAATGCTCAAGCCGACATCCCTTGTAGCCGCATCAGTTTCCGAGTCAATGGACGACCGAGGTCTTGTCTTGAGCATGAAACCATCACGATCAAAGTGGTGGTATGCCGCTTATCCCCTGGCCGCGAACGCCATTGCGGTCACCGCAACAGTGGTCATTTCCGTGCTCACCATCTCCTTTATCTTCAATGAAATGTCAGATATATGAGCAGCTTGTCACAGTGTGCTTTAAAGCATAATACGTTTGATCATTCATTACTTTTGTTGTCCCATCTGTCCTCTGCGATCCGTTACCGACAAACATTCCCAGGAGGCTATCCCTGCTGCTTGTCAGGCTTTCCCCGGACCATAATGCATGCATTCCTCATTTTCATGACCCCAAGATCAGATAGCCGCCGGAGCGACCAACAACTGTCCACCCTCGGGGTGAATGAGCTGGTTGTTCAAGAACATTCCACCCTTGCCAACCAAATACAATATTGTTGCAGCCATATCAGCATCGCCACCACCACGACCTATCATCCAAACGTCAGTAGATTGCTCACAGGGAAGGTTGGGTGTGCCGCGCAAAACGTATGGGAAAACATTGATAACTTACCAGCTGGGTTGCTCAACTCAGAGCTCAGCTCGCTCTTTTGACTTTCATCACTCTCGCCCGTGGTCATTTCACTCGGGAAAATACCTGGGGCAATCTGGTTCACACGGATCTTGGTTTCGGCGAGCGTGGTGGCCAACATGCGCGTCAAATGCACAAACCCGGCTTTGCTGGTGGCATAGGCGAACTGTCCATTACTCGATCCTTTCATGAGACCACTGATACTTGTGATGTTGACAATGCTTGATGTATATCCAGGGGTCACATCGCGTCCCTTGCCCAATAAGGGCAGGAATGCCGCCGACATGAAGAATTGAGCAGTCAGATTCGTCTCAAAAGTGTCTTGCCAGTCCGAAACTTCGGACTTGAGCATGTGCTGCGAGATGCTGTCGGCGGATTTCATGTCCGGTTGGCCAGCGCTGGAGAACTTGGTGTGGTCGTCGCGAGCAATGCCGGCGTTGTTGACCAACAGATGGATACCTTTGGACTCCTTCTTTCCCACCTCTTCAGCCAACTTGATACATTCTTCCTTTTTTGTGATGTCGCCAGGAAGAGCATGAATACTGCCGGGTCCAGTGCTGTACTGCTTAACTACTGCATCCAGAGCGTCTTCACGACGACCAGTGATGTAGACCTTTGCACCGTTGGACTGTAAAGCCTGGGCAATCATTAGACCAATGCCGGTACCGCCACCTGTCACGACGGCCACCACGTGAGAGACATCGAAAAGCTTGCTGGCTGTAAGGTCCTCGTTAGGCACATGGGATGTTTTGACGGCAGACATGTTGCGGAAGAGAAAGGTCGGTTTCGTTTGTGGGATAAATGATTTGACGAGTGGTGATGCGCGACGAGAAAGGGCAGAACGGAACATTATTCAAAGTAGAGGTGGTCTTATAGCATCTAGGCCGTGTTCTTATATTCAGGGTGTTCACAGGAGGATGAGCTCATGGCATCTACAGTGATGACGTTTGGAGAGGAGCAACTCGACCCGTCCATAACACGTGGTGACATACACTTTCCTTGGCTGATACTACCAGACGACTACCCACAGGTCTTCAGACATACCTAGGTATACGACTGTGAGTACTGCAGAATCCACGTTGTCGGCGTGAAAATGAGAATACCGCAGACACGACGGACAACACATCCGACGCAGCCTTGCGCCTTGCGAGGCTGGCATCACGTGTACAAGTGCCAAGAGAGCGAAGTTTAGCCGAAGTAGAATAGCAATTTTGAAATCTCGACGAGAATTCAATCTTTCAGACCTTGTAAACAGCAACCATCTTTCGTTCTGGACAATCTCGTTCAAGGATTGCATCTGCGACACAGCTTGATGCGTCGTCTCCTGATGTAAGACCTCCAATCCATACTTTCTTCCAACCAGCAACCCTCACTTGATGAATTTTATCATACTCCAGTTCCGGCGATCAACAATGAGCCATGAACTTAACATGCACTACCATCTGACCCAATCTCTCAAACCCCCTTCATCGCTCCAAATGTCTTCCAAGACTACAGACTGACATTCATACCAGGTAGTAGATACAAACTTCTCGCGAGCTGGAAGCAGATTTTCTCACCCAGGTACGACTCTTCCCTTGTTTCCCCGTAGTTCACATCCTCTCCCCAAAATGATGATCAAGGTTTTTCTTTATACAGTTCTGCTTCTGAATCAAAAGTTGAAGAAATCGTTACCAAGCTTACCATATGTCTGATCCATTCTCGCTCCATCCATTATATTCATCACATCTCACTATCATGCAAAGCGCTAACCAGTGCTCCGCACAGATTTCAACATGGCTTTGAAGCAAGTCCTTCACCTGGCGGGGAACATCACTGCTCAACTCATAAATCTCAAGTAAGCTACCTCTTTTATATCCTCACCCAGCATCACCACCATTCCCCCTCAACATGATGACACCTAGTCTATCCATTCTCCGAGTTCTCCATCACGGCGACACCCTTTCAACGGACCTTCTAGTCCGAGATTTCGATCTCACATCTATCCACTCTCCCTGATACCGGACTTGCATCTCTCACCCTCAAGCTGCTTGCAGTCTGAGGCAGGGGCGCAGGGATGATTGGTTGTGGAGTTGCTGGCGGAACCGAGACTGGATTCGAGGACACATGGAGGTTTGTTCTCGTTGTCCTGTGTAGATGGTGTTGGTCACAATTCCGTTATGGAGCTGCGATTGATGCTTCTGCCAGGGCAGGGAAGGGACTGGGGTAAAACGGCTCGTCTGAATTTTGCATTTAATTGGCTCGAGCTGGTGATGATCACTTAACTTGAATAAAAGTGACTGACAGTCTTATAGGGTTGGTTCATCGTAGATCATATAGAACACACAGTGTCACTCTGTCGTTCAATGCTGCTTGGTTCTGGTGTCACAGAAGTTCAATTAGTCTACATTATGAGTCTATGAAGTCCACGTTTCAATCATCATCATACTGCTCAGCGTCGTCGAGCCCGTCTCTTTCATCGTGTGGCCTTTCTGCCAGACTATCAAGTTTCATAACCAGTCTATCCACCGTCCTAGCCTGCCAGGGCGTGAACCTCGCTACGTTCCAGCGAGCTCCAGCCGGATTTTGCCCAAAATTGTCCGCTCCAATACCGGTGCGCATATCTGCTGCAAGGTCCCGAATTTTGTTCACAAGCTCGGTGACTATCGCGTCTATCGAATCGCTTGTACGGTCCATCTCCGAAAGCACTTCTCGTTCATCCTTGGCATAATTCGAGAAGGCGTCGACGACGCCATCGTCTTCCTGCAGGTCCAGTCCTTCCCAAACAGCCTGTAGCCGAGAGAAGAGTGCAACAAAGTGATCACACTGGGTGACGAGCGTTTTCATGACCTGAACAAAGGACCCATTCGAGAAGAACAACCCGGATTGCAGAGCTTGCAGAAATATTCCGTGAGCTTCCGCCAACAGACGAGGATCGCTTGGCCGAACGTCGATGTCGGACATTCCAAACCCAGAAGGCCCGTCAAAGAATTTCGTTGTCCTTGATTGGCCGGCGGAAGATGATGTGGTAGGTCGCGAGGTCTTTGGACTGACAATTCGGTCTTCTCCTTCAAGCCACCTACGAAGTTGAACCCAACTGCCTTGGATCACCTCGCCCTGCAGGTATGCCTCAACCTCGTTGACCAGAAATAGAGCTTTGCTTGCGACTGTCCAATGACGCCGGGTTCTTTTCATCCTTTGAGTATCTCGCAACCGTCGTGCCGCAAAGCTTGCCTGTCTCGCTTGCGAAGTACTTCTTGGTGGTCCTAGTGGCGTTGGATATGACCTACGGTGCCCGCTCAACTTCCAGAGTCCGGACAGATGAAGACCTGCTCTGTAGATGGAAAGGAGGTATGCGTTCAGCAGGGCGTAGACTTCAGTGTCCTGAGGAGACAAGAAGATATGTAATGGTGAGGATGGCTGGAGTGTGATATAGAGGAATGTTGTTGTAGGTAATAGTGTTGAGAGCATGTGAGAATCATTTTCGACATCCACTGTCCTGAGGGATAAGATCTGCTTTGCGAAAAGGGAGACATCTTCTTCAACATCGTCATCCACCCCCAATGCAGCCAACTCTGCCATCGTTTTACTCAAAATGCTGTTGATCTCAGCATCTTTGATTGCTAGATCGTCCAATTTGCCAATTTTTCGAACCGGCTGCGCAGTAATCTGTGTGTGCTGGCGCTTCATCACACGGTCGTCGGCGTGCCCCACCAAGGAGACCGCGAACTCTCCATGGTCAAGAAGGACGTAGCGCAAAATCACCTGAAGTAGTCGCATGACCAAGGCGCGAGGAAGGACTTGGGACAGTGCATTTTCAGAAAGAGAGCCGTTGATGGATAGCAAGACGTTCTCCAGTAAGGGCGGATTAAGAGGGTACTCGAGGCTCTCCAGAAGCTTCAGATGGCGAGGTAGAAGTGCCATGGCTGGATCAGAAGAGGTCTTCAAGGAAGAGGTGGCAGGCTTCCCATGTGACCGAAGCTGATTTAGTGCAGTGCCCGTCGAATATAAAGCCTGCGCTGCTGTGGAGTTGACCAATCTAGGGACCAACGACTGATCGAGCAAGAATGTGTCTATTGTTGATGAGGCCAGCGGATTCTCCTTGACACAAAAATCGTGCGGACCGGATCTGGAAAGTTTTCCATATAGTATCCAGAGCGAAGCAATGCGCATCCAAGCTCGTTGCGCCACAGTCAAGAGAGCAACGGCCATTTCTTCGATATCCGAGTAGCCCGTATGGGTCTCTTTCTCCAGGAAATCCAGAATGTCCGGTGCGGTAGTCCTCCTTTGCTGGGAGCTCGCATTCAGTCGTCCCACTACAGCCATCAACCACTCTAGCCTTCTTGTCCATGGGGCGAAGTCGGAAGTAATCGTGCTCAAGGGGACAATGCCGTAGGCACCGACGTAGGCGGCATCTTTCTTGAGTACTGAGGTCTCGACTTGAATGACCTTGTCCATAAAGTTGCCCAGGTGGACATCTTCTATCGAAGCGCTGACAGCTCGGCAGACCATGGACTCGTGTGTCTTCGCAAATCGTGCCGTAGCATCTTTCACTTGAACATGCAACTCTTGGAGGTGGGCAAGGCTCTCTAACATTGCCCGCTCTGGTAGCGATACATATTGGTTGAAGGTCTTTGCATCTAAGTCTCCCGGCGCATGACCTTGAGCCCAGATAGGCGACTGGACTCCGGATAACGACAAGAGGATTTCATGAAGCATGTTGGCGGATTGCTGGATGGTCGTGCATGCGGGCTGGGTGGCGGAGCACCTTGAGACAATTCCAAGGATTGTCCGACACGGTGTTGAGGTTGACACCAGAGCACTATTCGTCCGATGAGCTCAAACCGACACATTGGAAGGACAACTTCATGATGAAAGCGGGCGGTCAACGCGTCGATACAAGGTGATAAAACGCGTCTCGAAATGAAGATGCTCGCCAGGACTCGGTGAGTAACCTACCGTTCGTGGCAGGTGCAATTGACTAGGTCATTCTATGTAGGTGTTTTCCTGTAGGCACCAATATGGGTTGTAAAGATTGGTCTCGTGCTTTCCTCGTAGACATCGGCGTCGGGCACTATCGATTGAGCGCAGCCTTCAAGCCGCAGGTGCAGGTCCCGTGTGTTTCGGATTAGATGCAGATGTGGCAACTCTGCCGGGTACGATGGGATGGGGGGAGCAGTTGCCGCCTGGATTATTGCATCACTGAAACTCTCGGTATACTCCAAATTCGCGAATCTTCTTGACTAAGACACTGTTCAAGTTGCCTCACCTTACCTTACAAACCTCACTTTGCCTGCGCTTCCTCCTTTTCTAATCAATCCGTCCTCAAGCCCCTAAACTGTCACTCTTTCAAGCTCCTTTTTGTCAGAGTCCAGATAATTACAAACCGTCATCTGAAGTGCCCATCGCTCTTCAGATCTCATCCAACCGCAGTCTGGGTCTTGCTTGAAGCAAGGCCACAGTCACAATTTCACCTCACGCCGACATTCCAGAAACCATCAAGGCCGGTAGTAAGAGAAAGGCTTCGACAGAGGATCTCTCCCGGCCAGAGAAGAAAATCATGACAGACACAGTGATGGAAGTCGACAACCCCGGGGCTGCTATCCAGCAGCTCCAGAATGGGGAGATTGATGAATCACTTTACAGCAGACAACTCTACGTTTTGGGCCACGAGGCAATGAAACGTATGGGATCTTCGAACGTTCTCATCGTCGGTCTGAAAGGCTTGGGAGTGGAAATCGCGAAGAACATTGCTCTTGCTGGCGTCAAGTCATTGACTTTGTTCGATCCCAATCCCGTAGCCATTGCCGACCTATCCTCCCAATTCTTTCTGCGTCCCGAAGACGTCGGAAAACCACGAGCAGAAGTCACTGTACCACGAGTCGCCGAGCTCAATTCATACACCCCTGTGTCCATCCATAAATCCCAATCACTCACGGAGCATCTTGATCAGCTTAAGCAATATCAGGCTATCGTGCTAACAAACACACCACTAAAAGATCAACTCACCATATCTGACTTCTGTCACAAGAACGGCATCTACGTTTCGGTCGCGGATACCTTTGGTCTGTTCGGCTACATCTTCAATGATTTCGGCAAGGACTTCACCGTCGGAGATGTCACCGGGGAAAATCCAATCAGTGGTATCATCGCGGACATCGATGAGACGGGTATGGTCTCTGCTCTAGACGAGACACGGCATGGTCTGGAAGATGGCGATTACGTTGAGTTCGCTGAGCTCAGAGGTATGGAGGCGCTGAATGGTGCTCCACCCCGAAAGATTACCGTCAAGGGACCATATTCTTTCTCGATTGGCGATGTATCTGATCTGGGCAAGTACGAAGGAGGTGGTCTCTTCGCTCAGGTTAAGATGCCCAAAATCATACAATTCCAGTCACTCTCAGAGCAGATCAAAAAGCCTGAAATCATGATATCCGACTTTGCCAAGTTTGACCGACCCGCACAGCTTCATGTTGGTATTCAAGCCCTACACGCCTTCGCCGAGAGCCACAAAGGCAGTCTTCCGAGACCCCACAACGACGAAGATGCTCAGGAGGTACTGAATATCACCAGAAAGCTGGCAAAGGAGAGCGGAGAAGAGACTGAAATCGACGACAAGTTGATCACAGAGCTGAGCTATCAGGCACAGGGCGATCTCAGTCCGATGGCGGCATTCTTCGGCGGAATGACGGCGCAGGAAGTCCTTAAAGCCGTGTCTGGAAAGTTTACACCTGTCGCACAATGGCTTTATTTTGACGCTCTCGAATCGCTTCCCACCTCAGTTGCTCGAAGTGAAGAGCTATGCAAACCAGTCGGATCACGCTATGATGGCCAGATCGCAGTCTTTGGAAAGGAATACCAAGAAAAGATCTCGAACGTTCGAAATTTCCTTGTAGGCTCTGGCGCCATTGGTTGCGAGATGTTGAAGAACTATGCCATGATCGGTCTGGGAACTGGACCCAAAGGTCACATCACTGTCACCGACAACGATTCGATAGAAAAGAGCAACCTCAACCGGCAATTCTTGTTCCGACCCAAGGATGTTGGCAAGGAGAAGAGTTCTTGTGCTGCTGAAGCTGTCCAGGCAATGAATCCTGATCTCAAAGGCAACATCACCTCCATGACGGACCGAATCGGACCCGATACCGAGGACATCTTCAATGAACAATTCTGGAACGACCTTGATATCGTCACGAATGCTTTGGACAACGTCGAAGCTCGTACCTATGTTGATCGACGATGTGTGTTCTTCATGAAGCCACTCCTCGAGAGCGGTACCCTGGGAACCAAAGGCAACACTCAGGTCATCTTGCCACGCCTGACTGAATCATACTCCAGCTCTCAAGATCCTCCTGAGCAGTCTTTCCCGATGTGTACCCTTCGAAGCTTCCCCAACAAGATCGAACACACCATCGCCTGGGCCCGGGATCTGTTTCAATCATATTTTGTCGGACCTCCAGAGACGGCCAACTTGTACATCATCCAGCCGGATTACATTGAGACCACCCTGCGACAGCAAGGCAATGAGAAGATGATACTGGAAAGCCTGCGGGATTATCTGGTTTCAGAAAAGCCAACTGATTTCAATGACTGCATTACCTGGGCGCGCATGAAATTCGAGAAGGAGTACCATAATGCGATTGCACAGCTACTGTACAATTTCCCGAAGGACTCGAAAACATCAACGGGCGCTGAATTCTGGTCCGGACCTAAGCGTGCTCCCACACCACTGAACTTCGATCCCTCCGACGAAACACATCTGGGTTTCGTTGTGGCCACAGCCAGTCTTCATGCCTACAACTATGGCATTGAAGTCCCAAAGCTTTCGCCTCAGGATTACACCAAAGTGCTCGACAACATGATCGTTCCCGAGTTCAGGCCTGATGCGAATGTCAAGATTCAAGCCGACGAAAAGGAGCCTGATCCAAATGCCAATCGTCCAAGCTTTGCAGACGACGAGGAAGAACTCAACAAGATTATCGCAGAGATACCATCACCATCCATTATCCCCACCTTCCGGTTAAATGTGGTCGAGTTCGAGAAGGACGACGATACGAATCATCACATCGATTTCATCACAGCTGCAAGCAATCTCCGAGCGCTGAATTACAACATTCCTGTTGCCGACCGCCACAAGACGAAGTTTATTGCCGGCAAGATTATCCCAGCCATTGCTACCACAACTGCCTTGGTGACAGGCCTAGTCATCCTCGAGCTGTACAAGATTGTGGATGGCAAGACTGATCTTGAACAGTACAAGAACGGATTTGTCAACCTTGCACTACCGTTCTTCGGCTTCAGTGAGCCTATTGCAAGTCCAAAGGGTCAATACCAGGGCAAGAACGGCGAAGTCACAATTGACAAACTCTGGGATCGATTTGAGGTTGATGACATCACCTTGACTCAGTTCATCGAGCATTTCGAGAATCTTGGATTGAGTGTGACCATGGTCAGTTCTGGTGTCAGTCTGTTGTATGCCAGTTTCTACCCACCCAACAAGACGAAAGATCGCATGCCACTGAAGATGAGCAAATTGCTGGAAACTATCAGCCGCAAACCTATTCCCGAACACCAAAAGAACATCATTTTCGAAATCACAGCCGAGGACAGCACTGAAGAGGACGTGGAAATTCCCTATGTCATGGTCAAATACCGAAAGTAGGGTTTTCGTTGACGAGCGTTCCCCGGCGTTTTCACAGCAGCGGTGCAATAGGGCTATCCAAGGGCGGGTAGCGAAAACACAGGCTGGACATTGGGATTCTTTTGGGCGGTGTACCAAGCTGAACACACTGGGCTGAAGCACTCTGTAACAGTCCGATAGACACTAGAATTCAAACCAACATGAAATATTTTGCCAAAGAGGAAACACTTGCTTACTGCATCTTTAGTCATGACTGTGGATTTAGTCATCAGGAGGATTAGTCTTTAAATCTTGTCATGATGCTTTAACTTCAGATCTTGCTGTCATCCCCACAATGCCATCATCATCGGCTGTGTTCCGCGCAGAGTATTTGTGTCCGCAGCCGTGGCAGTAGCATAAATACTTTACGATAGCCACCACAGAGAACGTTGCTGCAGTCCGTGTCAATTGCTTCATGTCAAATATCCTTGCTCGACTACGACAACAAGCGGCCCACCTTATTCAGTCGTCACCACCATCGAACCTCATCCCAACCGTGCGAAACGCACCCCGCTTCGCTACAATGTCGGTACGCAGTGGCTCTCTATTTTCTATCCTCGTTCTTCTATTCTCCGGCTTCATCGTGCTCTGGCTGAACTATGGACTACAGGACGCGAAGGCAACGATTACAGACTGGGTCAACCCGGGTGACAAGTCGGGCGAGTTCAAAAGGCAACAGTCGTCATTTCGCAATTTCATATCCAAAGACCCTAATGCAGAATTTCCGGCCGAGAAAGGGAGATACCACCTCTATATATCTTATGCATGTCCTTGGGGTAAGACGCATCCCCCGAGAGTGTAGAGTCGCAGCATTGACTGGGTGAAAACAGCTCACAGAACCCTGATCGTGCGGAACTTGAAAGGTTTGGAAGACATCATCTCCTTCACCAGCGTACACTGGCACATGGGCGACAAAGGTAGATCGCTATCCGGACAATTCAAGATAGTATCTGACTCGCACCTACAGGCTGGCGCTTCGCCACGTCCGATGAGAAAGTTGCCGGAGAGAACACGACTCCAGACCCCCTACACCCTGAGTTTACACACCTCCGAGACCTCTACTTCCACGCAGACAAGGACTACGCAGCCCGCTTCACGGTGCCGACCCTGTGGGACAAGAAAAAGGAAACGATCGTGAGTAATGAATCCGCCGAGATCATCCGCATGTTGTACACCGAGTTCGACGACCTCCTCCCCGAGAAATACAAGAACGTCGACCTTTACCCATCCGACCTGCGAAGCAAGATCGACGACACCAACTCCTGGACATACGACGACATCAACAACGGCGTGTACAAATCAGGATTCGCGACGACACAGGACGCATACGAGAAGAACGTAATGCAACTGTTCAAGTCGCTTGACAGGGCGGAAGCCGAGCTCGCAAAGTCAAGCGGACCATTTTACTTTGGCGATAAACCCACCGAAGCGGATGTGAGATTATACACGACCATCGTGCGTTTCGACCCCGTGTATGTTCAGCACTTCAAGTGCAATATCAGGGATATTCGGTCGGGGTACCCTCACCTGCACAAGTGGGTCAGGCATTTGTATTGGAATGTACCTGCGTTCGGCGAGACGACTGAGTTTGAGCACATCAAGAAACACTACACGAAGAGCCATAAGCAGATCAACCCGCATTCAGTTACGCCTGTCGGGCCGCTGCCGGATATTTTGAAGCTGGACGAGGAGGTTCCTGCTGTTGGTGCGGCAAAGAGGTAGGCAAGCCACCAAGACGAGGTATAGTTGTATAGTAATGGCGGGCTTCGTACACGAGACAATGATCAAAAGCATTCGTTCTTCGCGGGAGTGTCCTTTCTGTGCGTTTTTGGCTATGTTTTGTCTCAATCTTTGTCAACCTTGTCCACAAAGCGCATCCCTAGCCAGTATATGTCACACTCATACTTCGAGCAGCCTATGCTGCGGAATGGGAGCTCTCCTAGGGTCAAGTCCGAAGAGGTAAGGTGTCGCTAATTGTTCATGGCAGCCACAGCTCCAATGACCCCATAATTCACTCCCGAGTCCTCCATCTTGCGTCCCAGATCTTCAATCTCAGCAATCGCACTCACCACAATCTCATCGAATTGCTGCCTGGACAGGTCTGATCTCCAGGCTTCTATGCGGCCGCTCCCCAGTTCGTCTCTCAACACGACGGTACATACGGCTTGGCCTGTCCGATCGGCGCATTTGATGTCCGCTTGATTCTTGTTTCCTTGGGTCATGGTCCAGAAGAGACGGCCTAGCGTGGACGACTCGAAGTTGTCTTTGTATGTGATGGCATTGCCGTTGGTGAAGGTGAGGTCGATCTTGCCGGACCAGGTGTGCCACTCTGCTGTTGCAAGTTGTCCTCCTGAGCTAGATGTTATGGTTATGGCGGGCTTGGTTGAGGCTATGAGTGGGCGATTATAGTGCACTGTATAGCTTGGTTGGCTGGAGCCTTCTGGGGTAAAGGTTTTGGTGTGTTTGGCTGAGGGGGCGAAGAGGAGTGTGTAGGGACCTTGTTGAGGTTGTTGTTGCTGTCCTTGAGGCTGGCATCCTTGGGATATGTAGCCTTGGGACGGGGGATATGGTTGGTAGCCTGGGTGAGGAGGCCGAGGTTGCTGTTGGTATGGATTCTGGGCGTAGGGGCTTGGTGTGCGAGAGGGAAGGTGTTGCAGAGGACAGCCTGGGTCTTGATATGGTTGTGTGGGTTGCTGGTAGGGACTCGGTGGACGGCTGCTGCTCTGATACGGTGGGTAGAGCTGTTGTTGTTGTGGAGGGTATTGATATTGATTTGGAGGATATTGTGAGGTTGGCCATATGGGTACTGTTGGGCCATGGCTGGGTGCTGAGGTGTGGAAGTTCTTTGCTCGAGAGTGAACGATACCAATGACAGCAGAAGTCTGAGGAGAGAAGGACGAGAAGTTTATGCGTATGTGGGAAAGTAATCCTTACCTTTGTGATTTGCCGCCAGCATGCTGGGGGATGGTGACTGGGTACTGCTCGTCAACGACTGACAAACAGTGGGAGGTGGCCAGGAAGATCTTTGATAGCTATCAACATGTCAGCACTAGGGATAAAACGGCGTCTGCGGCGGTTCCATGCAGGCTGCTGTCCTTTTGTGTTGCTCTCAAATTCTGATTGAACAGCTGGATAGGGGAAGTATATCGAATGTAAAGCATGGTCTTCAAGAATATGTTCTAGCTGTCAGGGCCACTCGCGATGTGAGGTGGTGTTATGAGGATACCAATGACTGAGCAGTCGACGAAAGAAAGCTGGGGAAATCACTTTTTGATTACACATGTATGTCCTCTCCTGATCTCTCATCATACAGGTCCCAATATCGTACAATGCCTTTCACAATCCGCAGTATCTGCATTCTCCAATATATCATTGGCACAACGAACCACCTTGAACCACGACGGTCTTCGTGATCACCAGCAGGATATTCCAATGCGTTATCATAGTCCTTCTCCATAGCATCGCCTCTCCTCATGGTATCCGTGCCGTTTCCAAGCCTACAGCACAGCCGCCTTTTCCCCTTGTAGTCAAACGTCCCGCCTTAGCTAATGACCGAGATACCAACGTGCTAGAGTGCGCCCTCCGGGGCACGCTTCCGACTCTTTCGATATAACAATCACGCCGTTTTGTTCGTTGTCTCCAACCAGAATGATGCCGTCAATCTTCTTGACGAATGGTGATACGAGGAGGGCCACCAAGATCTTGGGATCATGGGCCATTGCAGCTTCTTCAAAAAAGACAACAACACCATCAGCATCATGTGCGAACATCTTTGCGACTGGGTGAGTGACCATGATAGGGGTTGTGACCAAGATCTTGCGCGAGGCGATGTAAGCTGTGGCGCATTGCTGGCACGCTCCCACTCCTTTGTCGATGTGCTCGGGATGTGCTGGTCGAAGTACTTGTCGATGTTCCACTCCGCACTGCCAGTCATATACAGAACATGTCTTGCTGTCGAGTCCTTCCCTGCTCAACAGAGGACGGCTGAACATTATGGGCGGCGTGAGTTGCCCGTTGGTCGTGGAGGCTCATTGCGCCCTGCCATCTTTGGACAATTTGATGCCAGATGACTCTTTTCATAGAGTTTACAAGGATATGAAGGGCAGGCGTATCTTTTCACACCTCAGGGTCGGACCGAAAGTGATGGGCGTTTCTCTTGGGCACATAGCCTGGCCTTCGGCGATGGCTGCTTGCCACTCATCGTTGGTATCGACCTCTGTTACGCTGATGTCCACGACGGGTACCTCCGCGCCCTCCCGTCATGCGGCCACCGCGAGCAGCTTGATGTAGAGGGTTGCTCTTTGCTTGTTGACCAAGAGCGGCCCACCACTCGGAATAGTCAGGGATCCCGTCCTCGAAAGAAGGGGACGGTGGAGGTGTTGGTACGCAGTGAGTGCCGTCGGGTATTCGGTCGATGCCATTGAGCGACTCCTTGTCGTCATCGCAAGTAAGGACTGGTGAGTTCGCACTGCATTCCCTGGCATTCATCGCATCGTCCTCATTGCCACCGATGCTCGGATCTACATTGAGTTCGGTGGCTTTTGTTGAATACTCAGTTCCCTTAGTGCCGTCGGCAGGCTCCTCATTCTCCGGGTCCGAGTATGCTAGGAAGATGTCGTAGATGGACGACAGTCCAGAGCATTCGTAATTATATATTGGGGGAAAATGCGTTAAGTGAATGATGACTCTTGGCTCGGGTACTGAGATCTCCTCCGGCCGTGGGTAGCATCCACTTGTCGCCTTGAACTCCTCCATGAAGGCCACCGTCGACATCACTTCGAGGACGTTGTTGCCGGCGACGTCCTTGTAGCACTGAAGATCACCCCCTGGTCGCAGCCTCTGGAACAACTTCCAACTGTCCGCGTTGAGGAAGGCTGCTATCTCTTGCGATGTCAAGGCCCTGGCAGCGAACGTTCCTTTTCTTTCCTCGGTCGTAAATTTTCTGTAAGGGTGACAAGCAATGTCCGTGACAAGGGCGTAGGGGAGCATTCGGCCTCTGTCTTCGGGCCAATAAGGTTCAGGTCGGCACCCGAAAGCGAAGGACTCCCATGAGAGGCCCAACTCAGGCTCTGGTTCCTCGCCGGTAAAGAAAGGCTCTGACACTCGCAAGCATTTTGCGACGATCCATTGAACTTGTCGCATGTAGTCAAACATCCTACAGTCATACCACACGTGAGCAAGCTCGTGCACAAGCGTTACAGCAAGCATGAATAGGATTCGTTGCTTGACTTCGCCAGTAAATAAATCGTAGTGGGCGTGCGTAAAGAAGGTGGTATGTCTGGTATTCAACTGTATCGCCTGGGTTGCAAGACGTTGAGAGCCTTTCTGAGGAAACATACCATGTTGTGCTGTTGCATGAGCCTCTTCACAACTCTCCTCGTTGTATCCGGTGAAAATTTGAAATTTTTTGAGAGACGAATGGCCTTCCGGAAAGAAAGAAGGTCCCTCTGTCAATCCTTCTTCCAACGCATAGAATCTTCCGTTTCGCCGATCCTGGATTTTGCCCAAGAGGACCGTATCAAAGAATTCACCAGTCTCTTCAAGTAGCCTGGTAGCCAAGACAAGGGCAGGGCGTATACGGTCGTAGAATGTATCTGTGACAGTCCACTTGGGGTCCAGCCAGGTTTCGATGGGTTTTTCGAGACCGGAGATGGCGCTCAATCGGCTGAAGTTCGATTTCGCGAACAGTCGATGAATGCGTCCCTCCGGACCCTCAGGCTGCTTGAACTTACAGCTGTTTGCATGGAGATCGGAGAAAACTTGGCCCCAAACCGGGACGGCCAGGTTGTTGTTGAAGAGGTGACTGGCATCTTTGACAAAATCTCGGAGCTCAGTATGAGTACAAAACGCCGTGGTTCTTGCGGAAGAAGCCATGATGGAGCTCGTTCTTGTGTTCGTGAGAGTATCCTTGGTAGTGAATGCGGAAGAGATGTTATGAATGAGCAAGAGGATGGACAGTAATGATTGTAGGGGAACCTCCTGTCGTTCTGTGTAGATAAGTTCGCCAATGAATATGGGCAAGATATTCCGACGAGCACAGATGATTGCAACGAGGGACTAAATAGTCTCAGGCAACTTCCCAAGCACCACAAAGTAACGGGCATAAGAATGCTGAGGGTCTTTGCTGGGGCATTCATCGACCAAGAAGATCTACGGCCTGGACCCAGGCAGTGCAGCTCGCAATTGCTGGGTGCCACTGCCTGGGAGCCAGTAGTCAGGGAAACCACTCTTCGCAAACGCGAAAACATACTCCCGCAAACAGGCATAACGTGTATTCTCTCCAGCACAACCACAAAAACATCCATTCTTTCTGACGTCTCTGATGGAAGAGCATTCCCGTCCAATCATGCTCTTCTCAAACCGGACACAAACGGGTTCCGACCGTTAGAGATCCATTTGGGGAGGCTCTAGCACTCGAAAACGGCTGTACCATGACTGCACGATCTTTCCAGAGACTGTGACATGAAGTGGCAGCCATGTCAAGCATACACGCTGACTGGGCGTCTGCGTCAGCCACGGGAGCTAGAATCGTCGGCGCCCGAAGTATGCTGGCGCCCGGGAGGACGCAGCACCTGAAGCTGACTGATGGTTGATCCTATACAGTGGTTGATAGGAATATATTGAGCTACTATACCAGAAGTGTGATGTAGGAGCAAAAGACCAGTTGAACAGACTGTAGGGTTGATATATGGGTCTGTTCTCTGCCCACAAATCATGGGTCAGTACAATCAGCAAACCGTTTTCTATGTTCTCATGCTTCCCATGACATTACACATCTGAGAAGTTTGTGCGCGGTCGGACTCATAATCGGCCCTCCGAGACTGCAATCCCCGGGACCAAGACATTTTTCTGCGGTCTCATGAGGAGAGATCTTAGTGGGGTCGTCAGCAGAGTTCGACACGATTCTCCGAGCCGTTCTTTCGTGGACATACCGCTGGCGCAAATATGGCTGTCCAAGATGCACGTACATTTGATCTGGATTGTCCATGTTTGTCCAATCCGATGGTGGCATGGCCTACCTTCGACAATTTGGAAAGGAATGAGACTCAAAGGCGAAGTCGTGGGTGAGGTGGGTTGAGATGAGGTCCCTTGACGAAGCACGTTGAGTGCCGAAATCTTGTGTCGCTGGCAAGATAAGATTAGATCGTGGCTCGTCAGACCAAAATTTCTGGTTGCACTGTTTCGCCGACTGCGTCCAGACAATATCAAGCCTATCCACTGCAAGTGCCTGGAGAGATGCTGGAAATTTCCTCACGAGGCTTATTTCGTGTCTTCGAAAGATGAAGCTCGATACCAAGGCTTTGCGATACCTCAATCCTACCGACTGGCGCACCCTCACGGCTGTTGAAACTGGCAGCAGAAATCATGAATTAGTGCCGACGTCGCTGATAGCCAATTTGTCGAAGTCGAGTCTGGGTGACGTTCAACGCAGTATATCGCTGTTGGCCAAGGCCAACCTCATCGCCAAAGTCCAAAATGCCAAATACGATGGGTACAGACTGACTTACGGCGGTCTAGATTATCTTGCCTTGCATGCCCTTCAGAAAAACAGTACCGTCTACAGTGTGGGCAATCAGATAGGAGTGGGAAAAGAGAGTGACATCTTTGTGGTCAGCGATGAAAAGGGTGAACAAAGAGTTCTCAAGATCCACAGATTGGGCAGAGTCAGTTTCAAGAAAGGCGTGCGCAACAAGCGAGACTATGCTAGAACAAGAGCACAGAAAGAGAGGGGCGCAGGAAGTTGGATGTACATGTCACGACTTGCGGCGGTCAAGGAGTTCTCCTTTCTGCAAGCACTACATGATGTTGGGCTCAGCGTGCCAATCCCTCTAGGACAGAACCGTCACCAGCTCGTCATGTCTTTGATCGACGGCTTTCCACTACGACAGATCGAAAAGGTCCCAGATCCAGCTGGTCTGTATGCTGAATTGATGGATATGCTGCTTCAGTTGTGCTCGCTAGGCCTGATACACGGAGATTTCAACGAGTTCAACATCTTGATTAAAGAGGTGGAAGAAGGAGAGGAGATCAAATTAGTGCCTGTCATGATCGATTTCCCCCAGATGGTCAGTGTGGATCATGCCAATGCAGAATTCTATTTCGACAGGGATGTTGAATGCGTGAAACGCTTTTTCGCCAGGCGATTTGGATTCACCAGCACAGCGAATGGCCCGCATTTCAAGGATGCGAAGAAGCAGGTTGGTAGAGACGGGGCGCGAAGATTGGATGTCGAGGTCGAGGCTTCAGGCTTTTCCAAGAAGATGGCGAAAGAACTCGAGGCATACATGCAAGAGCACGGGGTAGACGGTGACGCCAAAGGAGCCGGAACATCTGATAACGAGGAAGACGATTCCGATGAGGCGACCAGTGACGACGAGGTCGACGAGCCTGTGGACGAAGCGGCCTCGGACAGGGGATGACATGACGCTAAGATCCATGAGAATGCAGTTCGGTCGTCACGCGTGATGGTCTGGTGGAAGACCTTGTTGACAGGACAACACCAAGTCATAACTTACAGCTCGTTATGAGAACGATAATCCAGGGCGCGACAACACTTGCACCTTCCGCTCTCGATCAACGCTTGCTTTCTAGACCAAGGACAGCGCCTCGGGGAAGCTCAAACTATGCATGAGGTTTCTGCTGGCGTGGGTGGAAACCCCGCACTCACATCATCTGAGTCGGGCAGTAGCGACCACTTCGGTCTGTTGAGTTTTGTGACGAAAAGCAAGCCTCGGCCTCAGCAATTGACGTCGCACCTCGAAGCGTGGATTCTGAAACGCAGAAAAAGTACGCCATGGAGCAAACGGCTTAGACTGAAGAGTGGCAACGACTCGGAGAACAATCCGAATGCCACATGGGAAAAGTCTCAGCGTTGGCCGAGACGTACCCATTCTTCCTGGCAGTCTTTTATGCATCCGACCGTTGCTCGATACGAAACTTCATGCAATGTCTATATGCTTCTTGAAGCTGGCAGGCCTTTCTGGCATCAATAGACCAACCTGAGTCAGATCAAGCATTGCAAATGAGGTTGGACTCATGGCCACTTCAAAAGCCGCGCAATGTATTGTCCAGCCTAATTGTTTCCCGCGAAATGGTCCGCGAGAGCTTGCGGTACATTCCGTGGCGTTAGTGCTGGTACTTCCTGGGCAGGATGAGCTGTGATCAAGCATAATACTTTGGCTTCTAGAGAGTGCATATGATCATCCCCGACGGCTTGTTGATCGGGAACAATCCCGCCAACCTCCTTGGTCCGTCATGGGTCGTGAGAAAGTCGCAGGGCCATTACCAATGCTATCACAGATACTCCGTACCTCAAGACAGATATGCAGGTAGAGTAGCTAAGCAAACGGGCCTTCCACTAGGAATGCGGGAGGCTGTTAAGCGAGGATGACAAGGACGTGGACTTTGTAATAAGCTTTCATGCAGCCTTGAAATATGAGGTTGATCGTGGATGAAAAGCACCTTGAAACAAGGCATTTGCCTGTGGCTGATCTGGCGTTCAAGGCGATATGCCCGGATAAGGAATAGAAGCGTGTCTCTAACTTAGCCACCGCGGGCTTTGAGTTCCTGGTGCTAATCATGCCCGCTAAGTGCCCACTAAGTGCCCACTAAGTGCCCACTAAAAGAACCTCCCGTGATACCCGGAAATTAATTCTATCCAATAGCTGCCACTCCAGCCTCCCAGCACCGAAAGGACCAGAGACGCGAAACCCTTTTTTTCAATTCGACTCCTGACGAGCCTGTTCAGACACAAACGCGAGAGCTGGTCCCAATTGTCACGCCGCAGCGGCATTGATCACGTCTCCAGGGCGCAGTCAACAACGCTGATGCCATACTGTCTCCCAGCTTCATACAAATCTTTTCCCTTCTTTTAGGTGGACTTCCGGACCCTCAAAAGACGCGTATCCTCCGCGATCCTGACCAGCAATTCTCCACCCCTGGCTCTCCATCACTGTTACACTCTCCATTGCCTGCGATCGATGGGCCACTCACTTGTCCCTCGAAAGAAGCAACAATAACTCTCCGGTTTTGCGAGTATCAGATCTGAATCAATTTTGACATCCCCACAATTTGTCACCGTCTCAGGATATCCTCCGCCTCCTCTCAAAATCAGAACTCCCTTGCCTCGAATCCACCTACGCGTCAGACTTCATGCTCGGACCCCAAGGGTTGACGACCGTGCGCTGCTGTGCCGTTTGACCCCCAGCGGGCGCACCCGTAAGGTCAAGGCGTCGTTGGACAACCCCAGATCTTATCAGAGACAAGGGGAAACTATATCGCAGCCAGAATGATCTCCTCTCCTCCTGCCTCACCAGAGGCGGCGCGTCAAGGACGGGCGCAGAGCATGTATTCCGCGCCCTCACCAGATCCCGTCCAGAAGCAGCGACCACAAAGCATGCTTGGTCGACCACCGCCTCGGAGCAACAGTCGGATGAGCCAAACTAGCAACCATATTGGTAGTAGAGCCTCTGACGAAGATGGCAAGACTTCGGTCAAAGTCGGTATGTAAATAGCTGCAACAATTGTCGTAGGTCAAGAGCTAATGCTAACGATATGCGCAGCTGTTCGAGTACGACCACCTCTAGGCCCCACGGATCCCGGCTTCGACCTCATTCCGCAACGATTTCAGCGTTCAATGGTGCAGGTGAACACAGATACCAGCCTTGCAGTCGACTCGCCTCAAGGACGAAAGATCTTTATCTTCGACCGCGTTTTTGGTGAAGACACAACGCAGATAGGAGTATGGGATTACCTACAGGACAGTGTGGAATCTTTCTTGCAGGGTTACAACGTCTCGATACTCGCCTACGGCCAGTCTGGTTCGGGAAAGAGCTACACAATGGGCACATCAGGACCGACAGAGCAGTTTGACCCTGCGCTGAAAGGTAAGGTCGATCAAGTCTAAGAGTCAAGACCTTTGCTCATCGTCTTTCAGGTGTGATTCCTCGCGCTGCGCAGCACTTGTTCGACAGTCTGAATGGCGTTGCTGCACATAATAGACATAATTCCGGGCTAAAATCACCAACGCGCTACTCGGTGACGAGTCTCAACCAGGTCATGCAAAATTCCAGAAGCCTCGTAGACAAGGGTTGGGAGATGTCGGTAACCTATGTCGAAATCTACAATGAGCAACCGAGGGACTTGTTACTACCGGAGGATGGCCCATTTACCGAGAGAGCGAACGTCCAGATCCGCGAAGATCCTCGTGGCCGAATCTTTGTCGAAGGTCTCAATTCCGTGCGCGTTTCTTCGTTCGAGGAACTGATGCGTGTCTTAAATCATGGTTCCACCATCCGACAGACTGATGCGACCGCTATCAACGCACGGTCCTCTCGCTCTCATGCTGTATTCACCGTCAATCTGCGTCAGACCAGGACACAAGGTTTTCCATCCGCCAAAGATAAGCGATCGACTGTTCAGGGCGACCATGGCTCAGGACACGATTCACCCATGACTGTGGAAAGCAAACTTCATTTTGTCGACCTGGCAGGCAGTGAACGACTCAAAAACACTGGTGCTACTGGTGACCGAGCAAGAGAAGGAATCTCCATCAATGCGGGATTGGCCAGTCTGGGCAAGGTCATATCGCAACTGTCATCGAGGAACCCCGGGACGTTCGTGTCGTACCGAGATTCCAAATTAACGCGAATGCTACAGGATTCGCTGGGTGGCAATGCAATCACATATATGATTGCATGCGTGACACCAGCCGAATTTCATCTTAGTGAGACCCTCAATACTGTGCAATATGCTCAGCGAGCTCGGAACATTCAAAGCAAGCCGAAGATTCAACAGATCGATGATGGCGCCGACAAACAAGCCATAATCGAACGTCTACGAACCGAAATTGCTTTCCTGAGACAACAAATTCGCAGTGCGGAAGGAGGAGACCGTCGGCCTGGTATGACTTCTGAACGCGGAGAGAGACTTCACGAACGGGAAGATGAACTACAAAATCAAATGCTCGATATCCAGGAAAGCTATACAGCTCTCAGCCAAAGACATGCGAAACTCATTTCGGAATTGACCAAGAGTAACGACACTCATGACCAAGTCGGAGCGATTGCGGGAGAAAGTGCTGTGGATCGTTTGAAACGTTCCCAGGCGAACCAAGAAATGATCGAGCAAGTCGTGATGGAGTACGAGAAGACGATTCAAAGCCTCGAGACGAATCTTTCGACCACCCGCTCATCACTTTCTAACACTGAGAGCAATTTGCTTGAGAAGGAGACCAAATGCGCATATATCGAAACAATGAATCAGCAGCTGAATTCGCGGGTGCAGAAAATGATGGACCGAGAATCAAACACCGAACAGTATCTCAATGAGTTGGAGGCCAAACTCGACAATCAAGGTACCGGTAGCGAGAGGAATGATGCAGTCATCGCAGAATTGCGCAAAGAGATTTCCCGAATACGAGAGAGTGAAACAAACGCCGAAGACTACATCTGCACTCTCGAGGAACGACTGGCTGAAGCAGATCAAGATATGGAAATTATGCAGCGCCAAATCGAAAAACTTGAACATCTGGTTGAGCGACAGAGAAGTTTCGGCAAGCTCGACAACTTGCTCTATGAGCTGGACCACAACCAAGGCAAAGATTCAAACGCGAGGTTATCGAAAAGAACCCATCCTGATGCGCAGCAGACCACCGACAATCAACAGCAGCAAGACTTGAAAACGGCAGAGGAGGTCGAACTCCCAGCCCAGAAAGAGGGCGAGCTGAATGAAATGTCGGAGGAATCGTTGGCTCAGGTCAACCCAGAGTCCGACGAGGCAGGTCTCGAAAAGCTACAGAGGTCGGTGGCACAAGAACAACTCCTCAATGTGGTGGATCAAAAGGATGAAGCTCTTCCAAGCCCTGCCCAATCGAGGTTCGTCAACGAGAAGTTCGAGGCAGTCAGCCAAGAACTGTTTGACCTTCGTCTCGAACATGAATCGACGGTCAACGAGCTGGATCTTCTTTCTGCAAAGTATCGAGAGGCACTTCGAACTCTGGCTGAAATGCAAGAATCAATCGATGAAGAGCGTCAAAACGCGATGGCGCCACAAGAGCTGGCGGTATCCCGGAACCAGTCTTTTTTAGGCGAAAGCACACTGCAAGAGGGGTTGGATGGACAGGAATTGCCCTCGTCACGATCACTCTCCTCGGAATTATCTTTGGCTGGGGAGTCCTCTACCTCGACAGATACCGATATTACGCCGGTCTCTAAGAAGTCGCCCTCCGTGGAAGTTGCTTCACAGGAGATTGAGCGATTACAGAACCTTCTTGCAGACCATGAGAAGAACATGCATGAAGTTACTGGGCAATACACTCAATTACAGGCAGATCACAAGGACGCCTTGACGACCGTTGACCGCCTCAAGTCACAAGTTCAGCGAAGCAGGCCTGGTTCGCCTGGAACGCCCGGGATGCTTAGGCGCATGACTTCGCAGATGGGTACAGGGCCCGATCGAGGACAGCGATCGGTGACTGCTTTGAGATCGCTTCTTGCAGAGGAGTTTGAAAAGACACCTGACCGCATGGAGGGCATTGAAGTCCATCTCTCTGCCGCTGCCAATGAGCTGCAAGCACGTTTTGAGCGTATTCAGGGTCTTGAAGCTGAAGTAAAGACGACAAAGAAAGAGATGGATCTCAAATCTACCATTATTTCTGGGTTGACTAGAGAAAGAACAAGTATCAAAGCTGGTTCTCCGGTGGATCTCAATATGGTATCTCAGTTGAGAGATCAAATCATTCAGAAGGAGACCGAACTCAAGTCGTTGCACGAAGGATATGCTCATCGGGAACAACGCTTGCAGGAGGAGTTCCAGACGCTTAGGAGCGCACAGACGAACGGACACATCACCCCTGGGCCAGCCGAAACTACAGCAGATGTCGAGTCTCTGAATGAACAAATATCGCAACTACAGTCGAGACTGGATACTGCCCAAAGAGTGGCTGATGAGTCCCAGAGAAATCATGATCGAAGCAAAGCGGAGCTTGAGGCAGCATTGGCAAGTGTGGCCACATTGAAGGCTCAACAAGCTTCTGGCGCAGACGACGCGGCATCCGATCGTGCCGTCACCGCAATGCAGGTCGAGCGTGACAATTATCAACAATTGATCAACGACCTCAAACGAGAAGTGGAGAAGCGGCGGGGAGTCAATGACGAGCAGTCTGCCAGACATTCCGAACTCGAACGATTACATTCGTCACTCAGCAAGGAAGTCGAGGCCCGTGCAGAGCTCGTCAACTCTCAGCAAGCAGAGATATCGTCTCTCAAGGAGGCAATTGCACAGCTCCAAGACAAGGTCAAGAAAGCAGAGTCTGATGTGCTATTCCATAAGCATGGCCTGAAGTCGCTCCACGACAGCCATGCCAACGAGATTGAGGAAATCAAACTTGCCCACGCTGGCAATATGGCTGGGTATGACGATCAGGTTGCTGAGATGACCGCGAAGCATGAGAACCTCGTATCTACCTATAAAGCAGAACTCGAGCAGGCTTTGTCGACGATAGACGAACTTGTTGCGCATGTGCAAATGGCTCTTGGCCATCCTACAAGTGCTGATATGCTTGCCCGCCATATACAAGATCTGGCGGACGAAAAGCGTGCCATTGCACAAGCCAATGTACGGTTGACTGGGATTAATGCCGAGCTCGAGCGCCAGCTTGATTCAAAGCAAGGCCTGGTTGAACTTGAGGAAGAGCTCGCCAAAGCAAACACGAAACTCAGCGATTACCAAGGAACGATTCGCAGCCTTGCAAACGAGGTTGGGAACCATGAAGAGACTATCCGGGAAAAGAATGCTTTGCTCAAGAAAGCCGAATCCACCATTCAGGCTATTGAATCCGAAAAGACCAAGAAGTTGGTCATGATCGAAGAGCTTGAACAACAACTGCAAAACAGCTTCGAGCAGCATAACAACCGGGTCTCTGTCATCCAGGCCCAGCGTGATCAAGCTTTGATTGAAGCTCAACACCGCATCTCGTCGCTAGAAAAGGACCTGGATCACCGACGATCAATCAACGAGGGAGGATCGGATAGTGGCTCTCGAAGCAACACCATGAAATCTCAACATCGTCCTCAATCTCCAGCTGTCGATGGCCAACCACGGACCAACTCAATGTCTTCGAATCTGCGCAAATCTGCATCAATCGCTTCATTACCGTCGCCTCCACCAGCCATTCCGCTACCTCCTCTTCCCAGCCTGGCGAGTGGAATGCAGCTGAATCCATCACCGCCACAATCTCGCCATGCTTCCAAGGAAGTCACACTACCCGTCACGCCCGTCTCAGGCACAGCCGTTTCGTCGATTTCCCAAAATGTGCCTCGACATTCAGCTCTGATTGAAGAACAAGAAGCACGCTTGCGCACGGTCGAAAAGCATCTGCACGCCGAGAAGCAGTTGACTGCCACGCTCGAGGAGGCCCTGGTCGACCTCGAGACACAATCAAACAAATTGCGAGCCGACGCTGATGGTTGGAAGAAAAAGGCCTGGGCCATGGAAGAGGAATTGGCTATCTCCAAGAAGGAGCGCAGATCTGAAAGACTTAGCGTTCAAGCTGTGGAAGAGGAAGTCAAGAAGAGACGCGAAGCCGAGGCTGCGCGGGCACAACTGGAGGAGAGAATGAGGTTGTTGACCGTGGGCAAAGATGGCAAGACGAGGAAACGAAAGGGAAGCTCGTTGAATTGTTTCTAAGCGTCTTGCAGCCAGACTTTTTGACGAAAGAACTCTTGGAAACAAACTTATCTTGACGGCTGATGACTCGATGGATGTTGTACTATTGTCTCTTATGTTTTGTTTTGCTTTCTGGATTTCTATCCTTGGGTACATACACCTCCTTGGGAATTTGCTTCTATGTACAATTTAGCATCAGCGATAAAAAGCCAGCGAAGAGTTGAGGTTGGGCGGGGGCAACGTCTTGGATGTTTCTGCTGGTGCAGTGACCGATCAAGATGCGGAACGTGGTAGTGTAATGATTATTTGGTTTTTGTATACCCTGTCTGTATCTGAGCGGAAGTCACTTTGTGATCTTGTTTCCGTGAGTACATGATAAGTACCTGGGTATCTGGGCCCGCGCCCGGTGGCCTTTTCTCCATTGCGATGGGCTTGTAGCCCTTCGGTCCATTCAATGGAAGAGGTGCGGCATTGCGACCCTTTGCCTATGGCCTGCTGAATAGGTAGCGGGGATGAAGTGGGCGGATGTCCACAACGGTGGTGGATCGGCGAAAGTCGACTTGTAGCGTCCGTCGACTTTCTCATTCTCGTCCTTTGTGAAAGAGTGTACGAGGAAGTGATGATGTTGTGACGATGTTTCCATCCCTGATCCGTCACGGCTTCGTTCTAGGAGTAGCCGTTTCCAATGTGCTCGATGGCGTTCGATGTAGGGAGATACATGGCATTTCAGGGCCGTCTCCCTTTCATGTGGTGTTTGTGCCGTGAAGTCGACGAGTCGGCCTGCTGTGTCCAACTGCACGTCTCGTGTGGTGTGTCGAGGAAGTGCGCTTTCGGATCGAGAAATGTTCCCAAATATGTCGTGCAAGGCCATTTGGAGACATCCCTACTGACGCGCCCGTCACGATTTGCTGCTATCGAAGCGAGAGCCATCAATAGACGGGTCTGAGATAGGTGGTGCTACTTGACGGCCGAATCTGAGTCTCTGCCGTGCTCTGTACGTCGTGTACTCGACTGGGAGCCAGTATCCTTTCTTTCGGGAGATTTTGCACGTCGCATATCCTTCGAGACAGCTTTGTCGCCGCAAATAAACCTTCCCTCCTGTGATCATTTCGGTGTATCATTTTGGCTCTTCACTTAACACCCTGCCGTTCAAGCTCCTTCTCCCGTTCCAGCACATGGTCCTCAAACTTGATCAAAAACACAGTGCGATTCGGCCAAACATCCGTCCCCGTATTATGTGCAGAAGCCTTACACTCGAACCCGGCGCCATCACACACACCCTCGATGATCCCCGCGATATAAGCCGCAACGCTCAACTGATTCATCTCTTTAGGCACAGAGATATACTGGTTCGTGAGTGGCGTGTTGTCGATGATCATGTACTCCCCCGGATTTGTTGTGGATTGTTCCAACGAGTCCGCAGGCCTCGAGAACAACAGCGGATAAAGTTTGGTCGTGAGCAGCGTGAGTAGAGGGAGTAAACGTAACGGCCGGTTCGCGGCGCCGGAAATCCCACCTGACCCTGTCGACGAGCTTGAGCTCGAACTACCAGCTGGTGTGGCGCGGTATAGTAGCAGATCCAGAAGTTTCAGGCCGAGCGGGTATCCTTCTTCGTTCAATCTCTTTTCAAAGTCCGCTATCCCTTTGACTCGGCGCTGCGCGTAGGACACCATTTCCATGAACAAATAGGCGAAACTGGAGCGCGAGAGTTCGGCATTTCGCGACCGGTTCAGGTTACGGTCGTAGATTGTCTTGCGGGTGGATGGGTAGCGTAGAGCCGCTGTGGTGGCAGTGCTGTTTGGCGTGGATGTGCCCTGCCCGCCCGCGAGTGTCACGCTGGACGTCGAGTACGTGGAGATATGCCTCGATGGGGAGGATGTGTGGGAGGGCGGAGGAGGATACGAGGGCATCGTCATGCCTGGCGGGACGGCCATGACGAGGATAGAAGTGTGACTATCTAAGACCGGTGGGTCGTATCATGCTGCGTCAAGGCAATTCCATTTACAGCAGAATGCGGAGGTTGAGGTTGATGTACGAGTGAAGTCTTGTGGGAGGGAAGGTTCCCCGAGCAGAAGAGAAGATGACCCCTTTAAGTCCCCAGACACTTCAGCCTTGTGTAGGTTGGCCACCATAGCCATGCCGATATTCGCCAGACCGGCAAGTAAATGCTCGCATTGTTGATCTCTACTCGGGTCATAATGTTGTTCTTTATGTCTCGCAAAAGCTAGTGATACCCAGGATGTCCTTCTCCGCCACGCCTCTGATCCGATCTATCATAATCTTCCGATTTCGAATCACTCTTTTTATTCTTCAAGTCGGCTGATTCAGTGTGATCTCCGTCCCAGTCCTGATACGCCTTTTGCCTCTGCCTCGAATTCCACTGCAGTGTTCTCGAAATGCTATTGACCCAGTCCTCACTGCGACGGCCAGGGGGCAAGACGTTTGCAAACGGATACCGTGATGCCGATATCGTAACGTAATCACCTGGGAATAGTTCGATTCTGTACATCAAGTCAATAAGCATCACGCGCAGCCAGAGGAGGTTTGCTGGCTTACCTTTCGCGGCCATCAAAACTAGCCCAAGAATTTGACCTTGCGTCGTACGGCACGCCGAGTCGTAGGACAATAGTATCCGGAAGAATGATGGGTCGGAAAGAAAGAGTGTGCGCGCAAATGGCCGTGACCAAAATCACTGGGTTTTCAGGATGACATAGCGACCCTCCTGCGGCGAGGTTATATGCTGTCGAGCCAGTCGGCGTGGCGACGCAAATACCATCAGCTTGGACCGTGGTCAGGTGCTCCTCGTCGCCAAAGAGCTCAATAGTTGACATCGTCGGGTTCGGCCCACGATCGACCACGATATCATTGAGGATTTCAAACGTTTTGTCCGGTTTGTGCGTGTTGCGATCGTCGGCCTCCTCCCCGATCAGCTCTTCCACGATGTCCCGACGCTCTGCGTCGTCGTGCCGTTTGTGCGACCGCATCACAGTCCCCTCAAACCGTAGTCTCAGACTTATTGTGACACCATTATTAATTGCTTGTGACAAGGTGTCTTCGTAATTGGTAAAGTCGAACTTGGTGAGGAAACCGAGCGAACCTAGCGCGAAAGAAAGTACCGGAGGAACCACCCTCTGAAAGAGCCAGCTCGCATACAAAACGGTTCCGTCTCCTCCTAGTGTGATAACAAAGTCAAAGGTGTGAGGTCTCTTCCGTGCAAGGTCGACGTCCCAGTACTTCAGGCGATCGCCGCACGCAGGATCCTCGGCAATCAATCCTTTAGCGTTGAACATCGGGTTGTCTTTGAGTGTGTCCTGCACATATACGATGTACGGTACTGACCGATCTTTCGACAAAAGCCATTTAGCCACCTCTCTCGTCTTCACGATGAGTGTCTTGTCGTATATCTTGGTGAGTAGGAAGATCGCCCGAATCTTTAATTTGACCTTGAGATTGCCTAGTTTCTTTGCAAGTGCTCGGACGCTCACGGCCATGTCACTCAACTGTTTCTTCGTGAGGAGGCGGGACTCTGTTGCGCGGGCTTCCTCTTTCCCAGAGGCGGACTCTGCACCGTCTTCTGATGGCATTCCAGGGTCGACTTCGTTGATTTGTTCGAGCTTCGATTCGACTTTGGGTTGCTGTCCCAACGATGTCTTCTCGACTAGCTTGTGGACGAGGCATTGGGATTTTAATCGGGCAGCATTCTCTTTGATGATGGGCTGTTCGAGTAGCAGTGGATCGGACTGGACAAAAGATGACTTGCGCCGGCGCGCAGTGTCTGAGTCGAAGACAACCTGGATTGGGAAGCGTCAGTTCTGGCCGACGTGGAGGATTGCGCTGTTGGGGGAGGAGCCTTACTTCGATCTTGCGATTGAATTCATCCTCACTGCTAGAACCGTCCTATGGAAATTAGATCAACGTCGAGCTTCACGCTGTGAAGACATACATGTTCTGGCAGGCATTCGCTAATCCTCCTGCTCAAGTGAGGGGCACCCTGCGACTCGGACATGGCGACACCGTGCTAAAGGATGTCCGATCGGCGAAGTATGGCAGTGGTCTTGTCAGCTGTAGCACATCATAGGGTGTAGGTTGCAAGAGACGCTCTTCTCAAGATGAATGTATTGCGTTTCTTCAATAATGACGCTCCTCCGCAGTCAATGTGCCGGAAACCGTCATCTCCAAATAATATGCATTTTACTTTTACTAATCTTGGGCGCGCAGATCGAGGGTCTCATGATTACTAAGTAACACATCGCATTTGGAAAACGCAAATCGAGGTACAGGCACTTGGGATGATGGACCACGAACAATCGTGGACAGGGTATCTACGTAATGAAATCATCCTGGACAGTTGAGAGGTCACACAGAACGACACTGGTTTCAACATTATGATTGACATAACCAACATGACAGTAATGCTACTACCTTCGACCAACGCTAGCATGCCAGGGGTATCTTTTCGAGTTCATCATCAGTCATAATTCATAGTCAATGTACATTTCCTCAGAGTGCCGAAACCACAGGAGGTGCAGCTTGTTGCCGCTGCTCATGAAGTGTCGATCCGCCGGCCGTTCGCATGTGTGGCACAGAAACTCCAGTCTGCATGTCCGCCTCAGTCTTTGAAAATCCACCGAAAGCGCTTGCGGAGTTGCATGAGGGGGACTCCTCTGATCCGTCCGTGAACGATGCAGGGCCAGTATCCGAGTCGGATGCTTCGACTTCTGGTTGTTCTTCATTCGACCCCTTCGGATCAGTGTTGCCTGCTTGCTGTATCGATGGATCGTTATCCGGCATATCGGCGATGAAACCTGCCGAGATGTCGTTCTTATTCGTGTCAGATACTGGTTGTGTTTGGAATGGCATGGCTTCGTAGAAGAGCATGAACCCATTCCCACGCGCAACAACTTCGTCCTCAGTAAGATTGGTAACAAATTCGTCGTTGAAAGAGTACCACTCTTTTCCGCGCTTTCCCAAGGCAACATAATGACCATTGTCATGTCGACCATAGTGCGTGACAATACATTTCAGCTCATACACGGCTTCGATTGCGGCCCCGTCCTCTTCCAATGGCGCACACCACCGACTCAGGAAATTCAACCTTGCAGGGACTTTGACTGGGGCGGTGTTCTTTAATTGGTTTCCAAAATCATCGAAGATGCTGCGATTGATGTGGAGGACTAGATCCCTCGGAAGACGTCCAATAGTAATCTGTTTCGCCTTTGTTCGAAGCACACCGGGTCTCTTTTTCTTCGGTTGCGGCTGAGACTCCGGGTCAATAGGATTGTTACCATCCTCCTTGTCAACTTCGCCGTGGGCCACTTTCGTGCAGTAGTCACATTCAACGCCCTCAACCTCTTCCGGAGCAGTGTATTCATCCAATAGCTCCTCCACCTCTGTCGGGCCACGGAGGCCCAGATTCAAAGTCAGGCAATTGAACTGCGTCAATGACATTCCTTCCGTGAACCCGCAAGTTGTACACTCCAGAGCTTGAGCTGTCATACCGTCGATGGGATTGGGTAGCTCGAATTGAATTGGCGTTGTGTCCGTTTCCCTGTCGACTCGAGCTGCGTTCGGAACTCCAAGGTGCTTAGTAGGACCGCCCTCATCGTTGTGATCGATGTCTGCTCTTGCATGTTTGAGACACTCCAGACCGGCTTTCGAGGGACGTTTCAATCGCTTGGTATATGCTTTTGCCTCTTTTTCGGCAGCATCCATGATCCTCGAGAAGTACTCTTGAGCGTCCTGCTGCTGCCAACTATCCATGGATTTGAGCACGCCCGGCGTCCAAAGAGTTGTCTTTTGACAACTTGAGTCGGCGAGCTGCTCAAGGAAATTGAGTAAGGCTCGATGGGTCTCCGCAGAGACGCTGTACCTGTCGCACAACTCCAGGCTATGCTTGATGTATTCTAAGAACGCGGGCATCGAAGCCAGCCCTTGAAGGACACTGTTTTGATAACAAGAGTTGTCCCAATTGCCCAGACCAGGAGGGCCGATCTCATTGCTCAAGGAAATGTAGTTGCCGACGCCAGAAAGGCTCCTAACCTTCCGTAGCACAAGCGGCATCTGCGGCTGTCCAAAGATCTTCTGCATAGCCTCCTGTTTTGCAAAGATGTTTCCAAAGTCGGCTCGACTGAACCTGGCTTCGTCACGGGTGAGGCGTCCGATGCGTATCAAGACATACTGCATGGCGTAGAGAAGAGGCGACGGGAACAGATAGAGGAACAATTCGTAGCTGGATCGCTTCGTGGTCGACGGCCAAGCATCGAGGAAGGTGATGGCATAGTAGCCGAGGACAAGAAGAGCTAGGGCTGAGATGACCTTGGTTTCTGTAGGATAGGATGTAGTTCGAAATTGGCTTTCGAAGAACGGGCTCTCGGTTGCCCTAGTCTGGGGGTTGTTCATCTCGAAGGCGATCCGTACGCTTGACGAGGTATTCTGGCATATGGTCTAGTAGGATGTGATGCCAAGATGAAGAGTGGTGAAGGGGAAGGTCTAACGGAGGGTGACAGTCGTGGAAAGTGCTAGAGGCCAGGCTGATGTGGTGACAAAGAGAAGTTGAATGGCGACTGCTGCTGACCCAGGTGTGGTGACTGGTGAGGCGAGTTGCATCTCCAAGAAAAAGATTCGTAGGGGTGGCATCAGCCTTGGCGGCGTCACTCCAAGCCTGCCGCGGAATCCATGGCCGAGAGTGTTGTACTTCTGCAATTGCTGTATCACATAACAATGGAGCATCAATGACTCGCTGCATGCACGATGCGAGGTTTTAGCAGGAACGAAGAATTAGTGCATTTGGGTATCCGATCTAGAAGGCTTCCTCAAGTACTCTAGCTTTTCGCTTTTGCGCGGTTCCAGGTCTTTGAGGACGACCCTCCTGGTCACTCCTTGAGACAGCCTCTGATGTTTCCTCTTGCAGCGCCTCTCTGCATAGGCCGTCCATAGATTTAGGACCATAGCCATAAAGGTTCGAGTGAGTCGTCACCTCACGTTCAGCTGCTTCTCTCGAAATGCGTCTCCGCTCTTCAACCTCTCTCAATGCCTTGCTCGGATCGCCAGTGACGCTCTTAACCCACCATCTTTCCCACAGCCATGCCAACGCTTGCAGAGTCATCTGCCTCATATAATACACGTTTGGCATATTCCCGTGCGCGACCTGGTGTCGTAGATCGACGAATTTTTGTGGCAAGCCGATAGTAACTGCATGAGCATACATCGAATTTTCGCCCTTTGATGGCAGCACCTCCTCTTCGACCTCGGATCCATCCTCTTTGAGGGCCATCTCGGCTGCGTGCGAACGGGCGACATCGCGATCAACAAAGCCGTTGACAAACCTTGCAAACGCCATGGCGTAGATACTTTGCATGGCCGAGTCTGAGATGCCCCTTGCCGGTCTTTCCTGGTCATCATGCAAGAGAGCCTCAGTCAGACCGGCGGTGGCTACAATTGCGGCAGGTAGCTGACCCGCCTTGAAGAGCCAAAGGTTGACCTTGTCGATGGCTCGCTGTCTCATATCTTGTATAGGGGCTGAGAACACGTCGTGTTTCGCATGGTCCGGGAAGAACCAGTCGCGAATCATGGCCAGTTCGGAGTCATGTCTCCATGGTGGAAATTGCAGAACCATCACCGGAGGCTATCCGAACGCCAACAGGAGGTCTGACAGTAGCGAAGGTTGGAGCTGGACCACAGTCAGGAGCAGCCCCCAGCAGTCGACCACTTTCCAGTGACGACTGCCAGTTTCGAAGGGGCGACAGCAACGACTAAGCAATATTGCGGCTGATAGATGTGGCTAGCTGCTGAGTTTTATAAAGATTGAGAGGAATTTAGTGAAAGGATTCTTTGTGAGTTCTTATTGGACAGGATAGATCTTGAAAGCCTTTCTCTATCGGGGTTAGCTTAGCCGCTATTCCGATGATTCTCATTGGTTCTTAATCAAGGACATTTCTCGTCTTCGTATTCTGGGGTCTAGAACGGGCCGAAACCTCAGTAGTGAAAGACTTGAAGAATGATACATCATTGACCTAGAAGGCTAATATAGGTAGCTGTTTTCGCTAGCACGTCATCGGACCTGGTGACCGTGAACGTTGGGTATATTGCTGAATAAAGACCGCTATCACGACCGCTGAAATGAGTACAATTGTTTAGACATGGTCATCAAATTTCGTAATTCAGATCCAGCCATAGCCATGGTGTCCTGCTGGATAATAAGTGCTGTTGAGTTGGCCCAAGGTCGCCAGGTACTCGTATGCAAGCGGGTTTACCTCTGACTGGTACCCAAAATTTAGGTGGTTGGAGATGGATTGTGACTGCGAGTTGGTCTCATTCATCATGGAACTTTCTTCCAAAGGATCTCCCTCGATATCCTGCTCGTGCACAGCATCCTCTTCATCTTCACTTTCGTCGTTCACTTCCGCCGGCACGAACGACTCTTCGAGCTTCAACGTCTTTCGCTGAGGTTCCGAGATGCCACCGAAAAGCACGGAAGATGATTGAACTTCAGCAGGCGAGTCGTACAGCCCCATACCCACCAGCTCGACTTCATCTTTCCTCGATGCAAGAGCGCCAACGTTCAGAAACAGTGTGTCTGGCCCGACGCTCTGAAGAGGCAGTTGATCTGGTGATGACGGTGCTGTTCTTATGTTTGGATCCATCGGCTGCTGGTTTGTATGCGAGAATGGCATGCCATTGGACTGATAATGCGCCGGCAGAGAGTAGGAATTGAACTTCAGCTGTCCTTGAGGCAGCCAATATTGCTTATTGTCGTTTTGTTCATCGTAGTTGTAGGCCGTGTTAGCCCAAGGATATTCGTCAAGCGGCGTAATGAGCTCTTGGATCTGTGGCTCAGTCACCGGATATGATATAGGTGTGACGAGGCCATTAACTTGAGCCGTAGAAAAGTTCCAACTAGACAAATCCGACGTGCCCGCCAGAAGGTCTTGAGAAAATTGAAGGGGGTCGAGTGAAACAGGGTGCCAGCTGACAGGTCTTGAACGGTGACTTCCAAGGACTGGTTGTTGCTGGTTGTGTGAGCGTAGTTGGTCAACAACAGATCGAGTTTGTGAAGAGATGGTGGCAGATGTGGTGGTCTTCCTCCTTCCCAAATTCCGTGGACTGGTGTTGCGACTGCTGGGTTTGATGACTTTGTTGGGTCGAGCAAAATATGACGATATACTCATCGAGGATGAAGGATTGTAGATCGGCTCCCCAGAAGGATAATTCCAGGCTTGTGAGTGTTCCATTGTGTTAAGGTATAGATGAGGTCAAGGAAGAGAAGGTGTTGGGCGAGACCCGGAATTCATATCTCCAGCATCAAGCCCAGGGCAAACGGTGAACTATGGATTGTGGATGCCAAACAAGAAAAGGGAGACAACATGAGATTAGAATGGAACCTCAAATTGCGGCGAGACACAGTGTGATCAGACTTTTAGTGTTGAGCACATAGTTGTGAGATGGACTAACCGTGAATCAGGTGCGATGTGGACAACGACTCAAACCGGGGTCAAATGCAAAGTCAAACAGCATGACCGACATGGGCAACTTACTAGTTAGGACAAGCAGAAGGAGGATGATACGCACGTCTGAAGTGTTTTGGTCGCTGCGTGAGTTTGGAATGATGTGCAAGCGACCAGGCGAGATGCGTCAGAACCGGGCGGCAGCATGTGTACGGAAAGGTAGTGTAGAATGTGGAAACATGGGGCAACATCGATGCGAGGGTGAAATGATATGGCAGATGCCAGCCATAAGCACCTAAAAAGCGCGTAAATTCCGTGGAGCCCACGGCCGACCTGGTCGATAGTGGTGAAGGGGTTCGAAGTTTGAGCAAGGAATGTCAGCGGCAAGTCTCAAAGAAGCCAAGGTCAAGACCGATCGGGCGGCCAGGAGATCCGTGGACTCAAGCGGTAACGGATGGGTGGCACCTTCGTACTCTGTACAGCGGGTCGGCAAGGATGCTCTGGTCTGATGATTGAGTGCAGCCTGGAACTAAGGCTATAAAGAATAGTGCATGGATGTCAAAAACCCAGTCAGAAAAGCGAAAGTTGTCAGAAAGCTAGTGTTTTAGGCTGGGGAACGGCCCAAAGAGAAGACCCAAAAGGCGTGCAAGCCGGGGCGCATGGTGACTCGAGTGTCCCATAAAAAGTGGCTCAACCAAGGATACTCTGACATCGGCGAGGCGGAAAACCTAGAATTGGCAGACGTGGAGGCGAGCAAGAAAAGAAAACGGGATGACGCGGTGTCTAGCGTTGACGAGGCATCCCGTATGGCTATCTCTATGGGTTGGTTGGCCAAAGAACTGCATAGGTGAGGATGAGTCGCCACGCAAGCCGTTGCATAAGACGTGAACATAAGCGAAGGATGAAGTGGTAATGGGTAAAAATGGCAATCGCGGAAGTACGAAAGGTCGCAGCGCGTCTGATCGTTCCGAGGCCTCGTAAAACAATAATCATGTAGACGGATGATGAAGAGTTGTCCAGGGGTCCCTCCGACACTGAAAATGCAGCTAGCAAGAACCACACCACAAATGTAGACCTACCGTGGTAGGTTTGACGGTCACTATACCCTGCCTGAAAAGTTAACCGCCATCTGGTGGATCAGGGCAATGGTGAGATTATGTGAGTAGACCCGGGCCAGCTGTGCTCGAAATGGCGAGTAGGCAAATCGCATCGACAGACAAACCCACTCCAACGGAGAAGCGAAAGGAAGGGCAGTGGTAGCCTGGTAGGGGTGTGAAGACGATCGTATCAGAAAGGGAAGGTTGAAGGTCAAATCAAGGACCAAAGGTCTGTTTCTCCCAGGGAATGGTGATGGCTGCCATGTGGAGTGGCACGCACCGATGGTCATGTCTATCCCATGTTTGGCAGATGTTCACGCAGATGACCAGGATTGACAACGCCGAAGAGAAGCAGTGCGGTCGATCGCTGTGCGTGAGTCTGGGACCAGGGGACACAGACACAGTCACACAGGTACGAGTTGTAGATTTGGGTGGGGTCCTGAATGGAAGAAAAAACCCACCGGAACGGATGTGTGGGAATGATAAGAATGCCATGACACGACAGGGGGTGTACGAGTACAGAAGATGGGTCATGGAGGCATGGATCAACGGAGATTGAGGGTGCCATGGCCGACGATGGCACACTGCATGGTGGCAACTTGGCGAGGAGAGAGGCGTAACACTGTGTGCGTTGGTGTGGCAGTGCTGTGACTGCTGTCCGTCGTGTCCGATGCAAAAGAGGGAAAAGAAAGCAAAAAGTGAGAAAAAAGCCACAAAAAGCAAAAAGGGTCGACGGAATCCTGCAGCTAAACCCTGTACTAATCGTTTAACTAAGTTACCTCGTACGGAAGTATAGATGCACTGTGGATGGTTACTACAACGAGTACGGACCCTTGCTTGACCTGCCACGACTGCCTACAGCGGGTTTCCAACGGGCGGTTAGGTTCCCTGGATGGACACCCTCCTCTTTTCTTCGGTGCTTTTCCAGGCCAATGGATCTTGCCTAACCAGCCATTCTTTACCTAGCAAATGACTTTCGGTGGGATTTTGGGCGAGTTGCTTGCGATGTGCCCGCTGGGTGTGTTTTGTTTTCTGCTCTGCGTACCTCACACTTCCAACTTAAGCGAGTTCAAAACTGACTTTCGAGACTCGAGATTCGACTACTCGTACTGCCGTCACTTGTAAAAGGCCTAACACAATGGCCCAAGTACCCTGTGTGGCATCTTGTTCGCTGCATTTCCATGTCTCCTACACCACACTTTTTCACAAGAGCCCGCAGCCTCAATGGAGATGAAGGAACATTGACTACAGTTACGAGTATGCAACTACGAGGTACGCCTAACAAGTATACGAAACGACCGTAATGCACGAAAAGAGCCAATACAACGAGACCCCTTGGCCGGGCAGCAGCCCGAGATGTGGCCGTTCCATCGCAGCATAACCTATCGGTATCTCCACCGCTTCCGTCTCTCCATCACGCTCATGCTTCATCTGAAGTTTGAACTTTGAACCCGTTTGACTCCTGCCCACTTGACCTTCGTGGGTCCCGTACTTCTTTCACGTCAAAACACCCAATAGCGTGCTGCTCTGGACAGGGTACCTCGAGGCGCATGACTAGTAAGGGGACTCGATAGGTACCTGCAAATTCAACTCTCCGTCTACTGTGGACAGTACGAGGCGCTCGGAAGCTACAGCTGCCAAGTTGCACCACCATATCCGAAAATGGTCAACTACTGTACGATCCCGATCATACTGCGATAATTTGCCTGGTGATCGCTTTGAATAAGGTTCTCCTATTCACCAAGCGAGCCTTGTGACTGCTGCTGCCGGCCTTCTGTACTCGTCTGTCTCGCTGTTGCCTTGCTGTTTTTGTCAAGAGAATGTTCAGTGGTACAGTCACTCAATGGCACATCGTCTTGATCTGAGCGACAGGAATATCAGGCTGGTGATGAGATTGGCTCAAGCCTTAGGCAAACGAGCATGCATCATGACAGTTCCCTATGGTCACCAGGTACATCCTGCCGCGAAGGGCGTGGAGAGACGAACGGCGCCACTTTCATGAATGCTGAAAGCCTGAAACGTCCGGCATGGTACCAAATGAGGAACTCCGGGGGCGACCTGAATGGCGGTTCATAATCAACACCGATTGACCTGTCAGGCCTAGCAGGAGAATCCGCGGGTCAGGCTACTTGGCCATCAGTTTTTCGGCTATGAGTAGACTCAGAGTTGCCTGAGATAATACGAGCCAGTGTCAAATGCCGAATGGGGAAGTCGAAGGATCTTGTCGTGGTCCATGACCTTACTTGCACTCGGTGCGATAAGGTACAAGGCAAGTGCTGCAATAATACCCTGGTACCCTTGTGCTGCGATGGTCCAAAGGGGCATAGAAAATGATGCTGGGCCCCTTCACGCCTGGAGTGGGTTTGGTGTCAAATATTGTTCCGTTCAGCACACTATGGCATCTCGTGGGATCCTGGCATCATCGATTTCCATTTCATGTCGGGCCGGAACATTGGACCTAGTGGTCACACTCGAACGCTAACCTGGACTGCAGCAGACAGTTTACGGAGGTTTTATTTGAGGCCAACCAAACAAGTTAGCCCCGCCGAATTTGAGACTCTTGTCACTTTCACGCCTGTGGCCAACGACTTAGCGAGGCGACACGGAAACTCATACGAAGCTCGATTAGTTGTTTAGCGCCACAATCACGTCGCGGCCCAGGGTGCGTGAGCATTCCGATCAGAGATCCACACCAACAGAAGCTTCCGATTGATCCCAGATCCACTATCCACGTTCTATTCAGGGGGAAGAGGGCATTTACGAGGTTGTATTGACTACTACGCCGAACTACATACTTCAAAGGGAGCTGTTACAGTGTTGAGCAGATTCAAAGAATGAGGCTCTCGGTTCTCGATAGGGTGCAAATGAGACTGGAAAGCTGACAGCGTACCATGGAGACGTCACCGAATATCGGCATGAAAGAATGCAGCGCGGTCTCGTTCTACCCATCGCTGCCGTCACACAGTCTTGGGCGACCCCAGCTTTGCAACGGTACGTGCCAGGCTCCACCGCCCCAGGGCAAGGGTAACACGCACGGCATCGCGCAGATCGGTTTCGCCCTCAGGTCAATTCTTGAACTTGTGGAACCAGGCCTAGTGCTAGAGGCTGACCGCTTCTCTAATATTTACTTTACCCGGTCCACATTCGGCCCAGGCAAGGGTTGCTTCAGCCGTCAAATTTGAAAATCACCTTGTGACAAGACTATTAGGACAGCAGGTTGTCAGAAGACTGGTGTAGAAGACCGGCACAGCATTCGCGTAAAAAGCACTGCCTGAAGCCTTCTCAACCTCATCCATGTCTCCAAGCGTCTTGCGCCAAATGATGACCGTGGTATGTCTTTTGACAATCACTGTGGCTCTTGGGAGGTCCATGTTCTGTAGCGCGGGACTAATCAGCTCTCAGTCTTGTTGTTCGGGGAATCACCTTGTTCGGGGAATCACCTTGCGGTCTGCCTGTTACAGCACCTGCGTACTGCTCTCAAGAATCGTCGACTTCCAAGTGACCGAACCTTGTCTTTCGTTGGCGTACTCCTCAAAGACAACTCAATAATCCACGTCTGGCCATTTTGTGGATTGGTGCTTTCAACCTAACACCCATTTTTGGTCATGTGGTCTTGTCTCGATGTTTTTGTTTTGGATCTCCACCTCTTTCCTCATCTGTTCAACCTATGATCGACTCGCTTTCTGATATTGTTCTTTCAATTCCATCAAGAATCTTTTTGAGGCTTGAAGGGAGTGATGCGGACTAGGTATTCACGATCCCAGTACTTTCTCGCCCATGGACACGTGAGTACGCAGGACCAGTTCGAAGACTACGACTGCGTGTACAGGCGAACTTTTCGCTGGAATGGTTACCATGCACCACGTCCAAGTACAAGTCACAGTCTGATACTCGCCAACTCCCTGCGATGTTTCTCCTTGGGTCATTCGTGATTAAGCCTTGAGGCACGAAGGATGGGACCGCATACCTGATCTGCATTACCAAGTATGGTGACGTGAACCCTTACGTACTGTCCCGGATGGTACGGGTTGCCTAGGCGCATATTAGTCCCTCTCATCTTTGCTTGCCTGCCATGCCTTCTCACTTCAGTTGCACGCTTATGCACCGTCGCCTAGGGTCGATTTTGCTTTCGAAATATACTGGGTTGACAACACATTGACTATGTCAGGAGGCAAAGAGAACATGTGCAACACGATTTGGGCGGCCGTCAGTTGCGCCATAACTATTGGCGTCGAACCTCCGGCGATCACCTTCTTCGCTTGTTTGGCCCCAGTCTGGGATCAACACCCACACGGCTGGGACGGGATACATGATTGCACGAGTCCACGAGTGGCGAATGTCAACGATATCGTCTGCATGACTTGAACATGCAAGAAGGTAGTGTCAATGAGGCACAGAAAGTTGTTCCGGAATGCATTATCAAACGCGAGACCGCCTAGCCTACCTAGACCCGAGTTCATCTTCCTTGTTGCAGTGACTTGTACAAGGTATAATCTGGTCGATTCTTTCCACCGCTACGGAAGATGCTTGAGGCCTTGCTTCGTACATGACATCTGACAACACTTCTTGAAGCACACTACAAACGGAGGATCGTCATGCACCGCTTCAGGCTTGTCTCGACTGGAAATTCAAGCTAATGTAAGTTCACCTAGAGAGAGTGTGCATTGAGGCTCTGCTGCTGCCAAGTAAGTCAAATTGGGCGATCTTTTCCTCCTGCTCCAGGTCCAACATCTTTCAACGTCAGATTCATGCACGCACGAAAAAGCATCACCTGGATCAAATCACTGCCGACACGCCTTGTAATGTTGCGATGCCACTACTTCTTCGACAACCAACTGAACGCCTTCCGGGTATGTGCAATGTTGGCGACGAGATATTGCCGTTCTCTTGAGGTATCACTTCGTGCTTTTTACGTGTTCCATTCTGCAGTCCGGAGTGGCGCGGTCTGTCTCCAACCGTTGCTTGATTCAAGAATACTTACTATACTTCCTTCAGGGCTGCCAGGCCGGTTCCCGTAAATTCAGCCTCGTCATAAACAATTAGGATCGTAGGATAAAGCTTGCCTCGTGGTGCGAACCAAATTTCGTCGAAAGGGATCTGGGTCCTGCCACGCAATCACCTCACCCGTTGATTCGCATCACGACTTCTCCCTCCTGGAAAATGCATCCAGTTAAGTCGCTATTTTCTGGAGAGCAGATCGAGTATATTAAGTGCGACAATGCGTGAGAGAAAAGAAGATCGCGGAATGATTTCAGCGCTTCACCGTACAGAAAATTGTACGGCGGAGCGCGTGGCCAGGTACATTGCGACTTCCATGCCAAGTCGAGATATCATTTACGACTCACTTCATCGACTTCGAGACATAAATGCGACTCGCTGAACCAAGCTCGAGACAGCATCGAACAAGCTTGAGATATTATCGCGACTCGTTGCACCAACTTGATATATCGCCACGACTTGCTGACTCAAGCTTGAGATATCACTGCGACTTAGTCAAGTCGAGTATTGTCGTGACTCACTGAGGTTTATTGGACTATATGTACGCGTGGAATTCTAGGTAGTCCACCGCTTGGATTGCCAGATTCTCAAGACATCAGCACACGATTCACCCAAGCACGCAGGTTTGTCCAAGATCGTGAAGCACAAATTGCTGGAAGATTTATTCGGGAAGTCGGGAACGTCAACCCAGCATGACTTTCATCACTGTCGCTAGTGCGACACTTCCCAGTGTGCCGCTGGACTTTCAAGGGAACCTACGGAGAATTCTGGAGAGCATCCGAGTTGCAAAAGAACGAGGAGCTACGCTTCGGACAGGACCTGAGGTAGGGCAAATTGCGGATATAGTACGACCGAAGCTGATTTTATCAGTTGGAAATTCCTGGTTATGGATGCCTCGACCATCACCGTAAGTCAGGTCCCTACCTATCAAGAAGTCGCTGACTCGGACACCACAAGTCGAGAACGATACTTTTGTTCACAGCTGGGAGGTGCTCGCCCAGATCCTCAGCGATCCTGTGACTAAAGATATGCTCGTCGACGTAGGTATGGGCGTGAGACATCGAGTGAGTGATAACCCTACTATACTCTCTGCATTGCTTATACTCGAGACAGGATGTACGATACAACTGTCGTATCCTGCTTACATACAAAAGAATCTTCTTGATTCGACCGAAGATGAGCCTTGCCAATGATGGCCTGTATCGCGAAGCCCGTCACTTCACCGCTTGGGTGAAACCGAGGACTGTAGAGACATATTATCTTGAGAAGGTCGCACGCGACATTACTGGACAAAAAACCGTACCTATCGGAGACGCTGTCCTCTCCACATTAGACACGTCCGTTGGGTAAGTCATGTGTGCCCTGATGGGAGGCATCTTCTGGCTCAAAGCTCACAATGAATGAACCAGCTGTGAGACGTGTGAGGAGCTTTTCACTGTAAGTCATTTTCCTCAATGCAGTCAACAGCGTTATTGTCAAGTCAACGTATGCCTAACTTCATTACAGCCACTAAATCCCTCGACCTATATGGGACTCAACGGCGTGGAGGTCATTGTCAATTCAAGTGCCTCACACGCCGAGCTGAGGAAGCTCAACACCAGACTCTCCCTAATCCAGAATTGTACTCGAAAGCTTGGTGGAATTTATATTTATGCCAATGCGACCGGAGTTGGTGAGTCCTTCTATTTCACTGTCCTCCAACAAAGAGGTCTTCTAGGTCAGGAACTGACCTACTTCCCATCCAGATGGCGAGGCTAGAATGATGTTTGACGGCTCATCAATGATCTTGTGCAACGGCAAAGTAATGCAGTATGTATCACGTTATAAACTGCTTGATGTTTCATTTGCTGACTTGCCAAGGCAATCTTCCCAGTTCTCCCTGGTATGCATGACACCCACTGTCCAGGTCAAGAGACTGACACCATACAGGCGCCCGTCGAGGTCATCACTGCGACGATTGATATCGAGGAGGTCCGCAGTTATCGAAGTAGCATATCGAGGAACGTACAAGCTGCAGCACAGCCGGAGTACCCACGAATCGAATGTGACCTATGTTTATCCTCCCCAGCCGACGAGGTTCTACTCTCGAATACATTAAAACTATCGAGACCAATCTCGCTCACCATCCTGGATCCAATGGAAGAAATCTTCAGGGCTGAAGCGGCCTTCCTGTGGCAATACCTCACGCGGGCTAGTGCTGCTGGGTACTTCCTTGCTCTTTCCGGAGGTCTCGACAGCGCTACCGTGACACTCTTTGTCTTTGGCATGGCCAAGGTGGTGTTGCAGTTCATCAACGAAGGAGACGAAAACACGTTGGCGGATCTCAGGCGAATTACGGGCGAGCCAGATCTCACCGTGAAAACACCTCAAGACATTGTAAAGAGGTTACTCCACACATGCTATATGGGAACGCAACACAGTGGGAGCCATACGAGATCGCGTGCTAAACGATTGGCCGAACATGTTGGTGCATTTCATTCTGATCTCAGCATTGATGACACCATTACTGCACACGAAGGTATCGTGGAGCAGGCCTTGAACTTCAAGCCAAGATTTAAGGTCGAGGGAGGAAGCTGGGCAGTAAGTGGCAGTGAAGCCTCTTTGTGTCTATCATTTTCGTGACTGACAATTGGACCCTTACAGGAGAACCTCGCCAAACAAAACATCCAAGCACGAAACAGAATGGTTATTGCATACGAGGCAAGTGATTACTTTGATCACCCCAGAGAGGAGGCATCCTTTCCATTGAATTGACGTTACATCTCCGAACAGTTCTGACTTGTGTGCTTGGAACAGATGGCGCAGCTTAGCACGACAGCTCGCAAAATGCCGCGTGCAGGTTCAAGTCTTTTAGTGGTGAGTACAATCCTTACATTCCCCACCGCCCCAACACGGCGGACAACGGTGCGAGATGCAAGTCCGCCTTGTTGCTGTCCCTCTGGCTCTAGAACCAGTACTAAAAGGTCACATACATAGTTGTCATCTGCGAACGTAGATGAAGCTCTCCGAGGGTGAGATCTGCCGCCACCCTTTTCATCGGATTGACAAGGCTCACAAGTCTGTCATCTAGATACCTGACCAAATACGACTGTTCGTCTGCCGACATCGCGCCGCTAGTAAGCCGACCTTCCCTTTCTCTTCGGACCAGACTCCTAACAGTGGAACCTTGTAGGGAAGCATATCAAAAACCGATGCAAAAGCCTTCCTGGCATGGGCTCGCGAGAAGTGGGACATGCCAATCATCACGGTCCGTACATTTCCTTTCTTCCACGACTTGACATACTCAGAGGCTGATTATCTCCCAAGGAGTTCCTTGAAGCGCGTCCATCGGCTGAGCTATTACCCCTTTCTGCTGGAGAGCAAGACGACGAATCCGAGTCCGAGATGGGTCTTACGTACGATGAATTGAGCACTTTCGGAGTCTTGCGGAAGGTATTTCCCTCTACATTTGACATCCTGCTCCAATCGAAGATCTGACGTTGGTGATAGGTCGAAAAGCTTGGTCCATGGTCTAGTTACCTCCGACTCCTGGTTGAGTGGCAGGATCGGCCTGGATTCGGACCTAAGGAAGTTGCAACCAAGGTCGAGCGCTTCTTCCGATACTAGTAAGTCGTCCAGTCTTGCGCAAAGTGGTATCTGGTATTTGAAGAATCGTCGTGAATCTGTGTCACGGTCTTCCATTCTCTTTTCGTCGGATTTCGCTCCTCTTGATCACGAAGCTGTGCTGACGTACCTGACTGCAGTGCGATCAATCGGCACAAGAGCACTGTCCTTACGCCCAGCGTTCATATGAGTGCATATGTAAGTGATCGGTCCTCGAGGACTGGTGTATGACTCTGGCATCGTTCGGTGGCTTACGATATTCTAGAATCCAGATGATAACCGTCATGATCTCAGGCCGTTCCTGTATGTCATCGACTGGCCGTGGCAGTTCAACAAGATCAGAAAACATGCCGACGCTCTGGTGGAGAGGTTGGCCCAGAAGGGTGATCACCCAAACGGTCAGCAAGTGGATTGAAATAGTCTGTTGGGAAGGCAGAAGAGGTCTCTCAGCGCCCATGCAGGGTTTCGCCATGTCCTGTTGAGGAGCAGCACAACTCATCTCAGTATGCACAGACGATCAAGCGACAACATACGCAATTGACAAGCTTTACGTGGGTGTCTACATCGCATCGCTTCATTTGATCTTTGAGTCCGTCACCTCGGACTCTGAAACCAGCTGGCTTCAGCCCCGACAGGCTGCTCGTGGCCCCGTATTATCGCTGGGCGATAGGGTCGATAAGTTGACGGAGGGTCAAAAGACAAGCAGATTTTGCCCAGATCTCAGACACACCCCCAGTGGACCAATGCATGTTGCAGCTCCCAGCCACATTCAAAAGACAAAGAGGTACTATTGAGGCACTGCACGGTGTTGGTGGGTGATGTTTGTGGCTATGACTATTCAAGTCGGCCCATTGCACCCCTGAGGATGAGCTGCAAGCGTGATCGAAAGCCCGGCCCATTGAAAGCTTGAAACACCTGGACTTCGGCCACGAAAGTTCAGCCTCATGTAGACATTAGGTGTTTTGGGATAGTAACGCAGGGGCTGTTTGTGAATTTGGCCTCGATTTGCACCTTAAGGCCTCTTTGTTCCTTGAGAGCAGACAACTACATCCCCAGCCGTGGTCGCAAGGCTGAAGGTCCCAGCCGACGCAGCAGCGAAGAACCAGGTCGAGAAAGCTATAGTTGCACATCGAGAGACGCCACGAATTCTGCATACGCAATCATCTCTGGGTCGGCTAACTCCTGAAGCATCCAACCTGGTCACGGTAACACCGAGAACAACAAATAGTGGCGGCTGGTGCCAATTCATGGATGCATGCCTGAGCAGCAGTGGTGGACATAATTCGCTGCATCCGCCCCAGCAATCGTCATCACTGATTGGATCCCAGGTGTGACGGTGGCTGAGTGAGGTTTGTGAAGCGAGGAAGTCCCTGCAATACCGGCGGAGATTACGGATCTGGCCCCTTGCTCCAGTATCAGCCTCAGCCTGTAATAACCATGTACATGATAGCAATGGGACTTAGACTTGGCAACTTCGGATGAACGTGAAGTTGACGAATCCACCAGCATGAGCTGTATTTCGGCTTCTCAGGCTGTCTTCCCATTCTCGAAGATGGGCCTTTCCAAAGCAGTACTGATAAAGAGTATATCGCCCCAATTATCTTCGCCCCTCAATGTCTGTGGATGCCGTCGCAACCTTGCCTCGACCAGGTATATGGCCAATGTCGGTCTTGGTACGATTTACCCTTCTTTGTCCTCTTCCGATGTTGTAGTGGCGTATTTAGCCATATCGTGTGCCCGTGGCGCTTGTGGCTACGTCAAGAAGTCTCAATATAGTCATTCTTGACAAGCTTTACATTGGTACTGACAGAATCTCATAGTTGGATGGGCGTATGTGCTAACAAACAACGCGTGTACACACTGCCCCAGCAAAGTTGCTCAATTGAGATAACGCTTAACGATGCGGCCCTCGAAGGTCGGGGCACGGGCGGCTTTGATGGTCAACATGCTACCAGTGATGTACTAATCATAGCCTGGAATCACTATGAGCGTTATACCAACATGGTCATCTGAAGGGCAGTACCGGCCCCCGCGAAGGAGTTGAGCTTCCGAGCGAGCACGACGATAAGTATTCAGCGCTGTTCCATACGGCATAACATGTCCGCCATCTCGAGATTGACACATTCGAAAGCCCTTGGTCTGACCAAATATCGATGCACTTACTAGGTACAATGCGGTCTCTTTGGGTACATATTATACCCACCAGAAGCAAAGTGCAGCCACCAATTCCGTTAGAATCGATATCAAAACCAGATTCTCTCACCTCCCAACGCTCCAATGGCATGGCAGAATTCGATTTGCATGGAGACAAGGTTGACCGCAGGTTGAAACTAGCATCGACAATGCTAGCCTCCTGTCTACTATTCACAGCCATCTGCTTCGGCAGCCTGCATCTGATCTTCGACATACATGCCACGGAGATACTCGGTATTGCGATCGACACCGACCTCCAGTTTTCCGTGCTCGGACTCATCAATAAGATTATGGATTTCCTGGTAACCGTGACATTACAGGAGGTGGCAGCTGTTATACTCACTCTCTGGCTGACGGACCACAAGCTACACATCTTTCGACCAGGAGCTCGTCTGGCGGATCTTGAGCTTGCCGACGAGCTCACCAAGCCATGGGTTCCCATCATGGTCTTACTGAGTAGATGGAAGATGGGCGGCTGGGACGGGATCAAGTGGCGTGGCATCCTCCGCTTCCTAACAACGTGGACTGTGTCAATTTGTGTTCTGCTTCAGGGTCTTGCCATCAATACTGTTGCCGTGCCGAAGCTGCGATGGACCGACGACAGTCCACAACACTATCCAGCGCTCCGCTTCAATAACATCGACTTGAGTCAATGGTATCAAGGAGCTCAGATGGTCGGCAGTGGCACAACAAACGAAATGCTTGTGGCCAACGCATACAGCACTTCCATAGCGTTCCAAGCGCTTTCGACTCTACCTCAAGGCTTTAATGATAGCAACAACAAAAATGGCCGGTCTCGCGGGCTCCAACAGATTGGTGGCAAAGATGCGGGAGACGACGTACTCCTGATTCTGGATACGCGCATGAGAGGGAATGTTATCCAGGGCACTGCCGTCCACAACCCCTTTGTCCAAAATATCTTTGACTGGTTCCACGCGAATGGTACCGACTCTGCCAGGTATGCTGTTGGCTGGGATGCTGATCTGAAGCTTGTTGTGCCTGTTGTAAACGTTTCCTGCTCGCCGGAAACGCAGACGCAGACGGCTCTCAATCAAACGGTGACGGTACAGCAGGCGGCATTGACTTCCACATCCTTTTCCATCAACGTCAACACTCCACTGGGTCACGCAAATGCGACGCAACAGATCACGAATTGCACACTGAGCTTCTCCCGCGGCCTCTTGCCGGTAAAGTCCTGGATTGTGAGCGATGAGCCCATTAGCACATCACCAAACAACTACAACACAGACTGGAACGGAAATGTTTCTTCATTACCGGCAGAAGAGGTGGATGCCAACATCACCTTGGCTCTCAACCAACAGATGTCCATAATCATGGATCGATTCGAGACAATCACTCAGAATCTCAGCGCCGCCGAGCTGCTGACAACTACGGCAGCTCAAATACGCAACGTCGCCACATATGTCGATTCCGACGAAGATGCCTTGGCGGCCGTGCTTGCCTGGGTTGCGACGTCGAGTCTGGGCTATGCCGACTGGGATGTAACAATGGACCATCCAGACCAAATGCTTGTGGCAAATATCCGATGGCAACTCTACGGCTCTTCACCCCGGTTGAGCTGGGAGTGGTCCACCATGATCATCTTATGTGTTCTGTTACTATCAATGTTCACCAGCATCACGATTTTCGCGATGTACCGCATCTCGCCATCACAGTGTCTCCGACCAGGTGGGATGCTTGTCGCTGCGAATCTCTCCAAGGAGCTTCCAAGCTTACATTCTTCTGGGCCAGCGGATACAGACGTCACAAAGAAGTCGGCCGACGAAACACGTTACTGGATCAGAAGCATGGGCGGTGACAGAATCAGCTTTGTGGACAGCCACAGTCCAGATCAGGGCAAAGCGACCGGTTTGAGGACGCCATATAGATGGGGTTCAAGTTGATGTTGACATTCAATATGTTTGTTTTCTGCGAGGGGGCATTCTTATCCCGGCGTTATCCCGGCGTTATCCAGGGGGTTTCCAGGCGTTATCTAGGCGTGTTATCTCCTAAGTTCTGACAACTTTCAGCATGAATCCATGACATTCTGCAATGTCTACCGCAGCATAGCCTTCGGCGCTTGAGGGTACTCTACAGGTCCACTATAGGTGCTGATTTCTTCTAGTATATAGTAAGAAATAGTGAGCTCCCAATAGGTACTGGCGGCGCTGACGGGACTGTAAGTAGAATCAGACCGACCTCTTGGACTTGCGGACATGAGACGATGAGCAGCCTGTCGAAACCAAATCATAAATAGGGTGATATGTTCAAGGGGTCAGGTATAGGGTGCCGTCACAAAGGCCAAGAAAGTTGTCATTCTATATGTCACCGCTGGTCTCAGTGTCAAGCAAGTCTCAATCCTTCGTCCTCTGCGAGCTGGTCTGCTGTGAATCCGTCATGCAGCTTGTCGAGATACTCGTCGAAGCGGCCAGCGACTTCGATGACGTCCTTCAAATGCTCGTAGGTCATCTTTGTGCCTTTCCATTCAGCATACTGTCTGGCAGTTGTGATGGCATTTCGAATTTGTCGGCCATTCATCTTCTCCTTGGACAGAACCTCCAGATGGTCACGCAAGTCCGCGATGTCGATGGTATTGTCATCGAAGGATTCGAGCCGTTTGATAAAGTTCTCCCAGATCCGTAGACGTTGGTAATTCCCCAGGCTTGGATAATGAAGGGCGAGCTGGATCCTTGACTTGAATGCCTCATCGAACGTTCCCACACGATTGCTCGTGAGTACCAGGATCCCCTCGTAGTACTCCATTACTCGCAGGAAGACGGACACAAGGGCGTTCCTTTGCAGATCCGCAAGGCTCCTTTGTTCCAGGAATACATCTGCCTCATCCAGCAGCACCACACAACCCCAGATTTTCCCCAGATGAAGAACCGACTCAAGATACTTCTCGACGTCTTCAGCTTTGGTACCCACATCTCCACAAGTAACACGATATAGCGGCTTTTGGGCTATTTCAGCGACGCTTTCTGCTGTGAGCGTCTTCCCGGTTCCTGGCCCACCGTGTAGCAAAAGGATGAGGCCGTTCCCCTTGCCCTCAATCAGATCAGTGCCTTTCTCGGCTGCAACTTGTTTGCTCACAAGAGCTCGGATCAGGTCCTTGGCTTTTCGATCGATGACGAGACTCTGAAACGCTTCGACATTCCATTGAACCTCTGAGATCCGATCGACTTCGAGGTCGTGCCATTTCTTTAGCCGCAGATTATAGCCTTTGATTGACCTCGGGGACCAAGAAGTTAAACTTCTCATCGGGCGGTTCATCCTTGGCTAGCGCTTCAGCACCAAGTTCATCCTCCAATTTTCGACTGGCATAGACGTTATCTTTATGCAAGCTGGAGTGAGTCAAAAGGTCGACCATGTAGCGTTCTTCAGCCTGCATGGCAAAGAGGAGACGTTAGTATGACGTTGATTCGAGCGTTCTATTTCGGACGACTTACCATGTTCTGGGCACCAAATCTGTCAGTTTGCATGTACGAAACAAGCCGTCGGTTGCGGCACTTCCAGAAGGTGCTACCCCGCTTACGGAGAGTGTCGACGAGGTCAGCATTGGCATACTTGATGGGAAATACCTGAAGATCGGTGATCTCAGACTCTTTTGGCTTCGGCTCTTCCATTCGCCGTTTCTGCCAGGCACTTGAAGATGTGGCGTTGTCCCATTTGTCAACTTTCTCGACCTCGATGTCAAAGTAATGCGAGCTATGCTCGCGTTGGAAGTTACCATCAAAAGCCCAATGCCAGCCAGTCACCGACCAGTCTTGAAGTTTGATCTTCTCATGCCTGATTCGCATCGAGGCTTCTTCAGTACCATACAGAGGCAGGCCCCGATCTTGGATTGCACGGCTCCCCAGACGTGAGGCATACTTGATGGACCCCATAGATGGCCAACCTGTAGCCACGAACGCCTTGTAGCGGCCGTCCTCTCGCTGTACCAAGATGTCACCTGGTTTGAAGACATAATGGATATAATCTGACGTTATCTTTCCCCGCTCGAAGAGCGCATCGGCGGTTGCGTACTTGTCGCCGTACTGGGATTTGATGTAGTCTAGAAGGAGTGACACCTCTTTGCAGGCTTCAGGAGAGAAGTTTTCTTGGATGGCATCGAGATCTTTCCGGCTATGGTATATGAACAAATACGGAGCCTTAAGTTCCCTTGACAACTGGAACTGTTGCAGTACAGTCGAATACTCCTCTCGAGTTCCCAGGATGTTCTCTATTGCACTAATTAGTGCTTGACTTATAGGTTGGATGGTCTCGCTATTGGGTTGTGGGTGCAACTCAGGCAAAAGGCCAGCGCCTCTGTTGCCCCTGTTGGTAGTGCGCAAGCCAGCATTGTCAACCAAAAATGGGTCGAAGTTGCGGTAGACGATGAATGATACGTCCTTGTTCTTCTCCAGGTATAGGTCGAAATTGTGTAGGGGCAGCTTGCATTGGAGCTGACGCTCGGCACCCTGCCCCAGAACCCATTCTGGCTCGTCGAAATATGGCATGGAAAGCTTAGTTTCGACCTCGGTGCGACCTTTGCGACTGATATAGTGCGTTTCTCTGATGCGGTTCAAGATCTGTAATCTAGATGGAGGCTGATCCTTGCGATCAGCCTCCAACTGCTTGACTTGCCTTTGCAGGAGCCCAATGTACTCTTCCAATTTCACCAGATCCAGCTGAGAAGTGTCGCTCACTCCAAGAACGCGCTGTAGGCCAGCTACTACAGACGGCAACTCTTGTTTGTTGTGGCTTCCGAGCGATCGAGCTTCACCATCGAATGAGGGGGATCCCAAACCGGTGGCAAGGCCTCTCCCTGTCATCGTGATTAAATCATCCAGTTCCTGGCGTTCCATCATTAGCCTCTTTCTGTTCTGTCGCTCAAGCAGCATCAATTGCATCTGATACTCTTGAAGACGGGGATGCCGAAGGATATCGTGAATTCTATCGTCCTCAGTCCGCCTGGTGTCGGCTACAGCATCCCAAGCCTCCTTTTTCGGATCCCTGAGGGCTAGTAGATGTCGTTCTGCTATTTTGCTCCCCGCGCTCTGGTCGTCAGAGATGGTGATATTGATGAAGATTGGCGCCTCAGCGGTTAGTTTAAGAACCGAATTCTTGAAGACCGCAGTAAGCGCACACTCTAATTCAGGTCTTGTAGACGTTGGTTGGGGAACGGCACTTTCAGGAGCATCATCCGTCTCCGATTCTGACCCTATGTCGCTGTCAGTGCTCGAGGTCGCTGTGAAATCTTCCGAATCATCTGAGTGCGAAATTTTCTGGCCGGTCGTGGTGGACTCCTCCTCTTCACTCCATTCTAGATCTTCTTGTAGTTCTTCACTGAAAAATGAGTCCGAGACGTCGTCGTGGGCTGTTTCTTTGCTGCTCAGATCACTGGCTTCTTGAAGGTCCGATAAGGCGGCTGAAGCAGTCTGTTCAGTTCGGGAATCGCATTGGGCGACGCTCCCCTCGTGCCTGGACGTGAGTGATGGAGTAGCGGAATGATCGCCACGGTTTCCGCTATAGGACGTGGTAGACCCAAATTCGTACGCTTTCCGTCAAGGTCAGTCCATTTGTCTAACGGACTGCGTTGTAAAAGAGGACTCACGGTCGGCGAGATGTTGTTCCTCGTCGGTTAGATCTTCGCTATTGGGAGAGCATGACTATGCAACCATCTGGCATAATTGGCTAAGACGTGTTCAACACCGTATGCCCTCAATGGCTCCATGGAGCGTCCATGTTTTCACCCTGTCAGGAGAGACATGAGGTCGCGCAGTCGCCAAAGCTGTTGTCGGTCAGGCTGAACACTAGCGAGGACGCTAATCCAGCTTCACAATCATGGCTTGCATGCAGGCGCAGCTGCACAGCCACATGCGAGGCAGATGCGGGCTGATTCCAGGACGTGCTTTGCACCCATCGGCAGACACTCACTTGGATTTGGGATATTGGATTTGTTACCCTTTTCTTAGAAAGAAGGCAGATTTACTCAAGTTTTATGGTTGCATACCAGTCCATTGTTTAAAGACGTTCGACTAGAGGTTGCTGAGACCCACTACGATCCCCAAGTCCGATCTCCGGAGGCTCGCCCTGACATGCGATGAACCGCACCACACCCGTCCCACTTTCGCGCTGGTACTGCCAAAGCAGGCCGCAAAGGTGCTTGTCTAAAACCGTGAACCATAGCATTATTGCTGACGGTCACCAGCTCCCCAGGAGACTACGACGCGCGACATGCATTTGAGGAAGCCGTACAGGTCTTCAAAAATAAGGGGACTAAAGATCCGCGGAAATCCACGGCTCTTGACAACATTCAAGCAGCTACAATTCACGATGTTGTCGCCGCTGTCAATGCAGCAAGCGAGGCTTACAAGAGCAGAAGAGCGAGCCCTTCGGCACGAAACTGTCTCGTGGAGGTTTCCAAGCGAATAGCTTATTATGGCAAGGTTATGGACGCACTGGTTCAGCAGCATCCGGAATACGTGTCTCTAGCATGGGGCACTATGAAGCTCGTCTTCGGCGTATGTACACTCCGTCCACCGTTGATTTCATGTGCTGAGTCTGTCAGGCTCTGGTCGAGAACGAAAAGTTAGGGACCACGATTGTCACAGGCCTCTGTGAGGTTGCAGATGCTCTGCCCAGGAGTGAACTTGCACTAGAGCTGTATCCCACTGATGCAATGAGGGAGTCCGTGGTCGCATTGTACACCTCGATCCTGCGTTTCTTGACGCGCGCCCTGTTATGGTGCGAAGAGGGCAGAGTCCGCCATGCAATCCATGCTGTCACCAAACCCGCTGCTTTGCAGTATGACGATATCCTGGCTCAAATTCGGCAGGTCAATCGCAGCATATCTGATTGTGCCACAGCAAGTAGCCAGGCTGAACAAAGAGATATGCACAATAAACTGCGCGATGTTGAAACAACTGCGAACTATGAGTTCAGCGAAATCCGGTCACGGCAGAAGGAAACTCAATCAACGTTGGGATTGTTCGAAGACAATACTTCGTCTGCGCTGACCAGGATGGAGAACCATCAGCTGCAGGTCAATACAGATTTGGTTGCCATGACAGTCCTGATCCATGACCTTCGGGACACACTCTTAGCGAGAGACGCCGCATACGCCACCGAGCGCGCGCAAATAACGAATGCATTATCCGACATTCAGCTGTCGCAGGCGTTGGGGGCAATGTCCTCGTCGCTCGCGTTGGACCATATGGCAACTCTTCGTCAAATCGGAAAGCTGCTAGGCCGGCGGCCTGGGAAATCAAGTCGGAATGCTATGAAGTTGCAGACATATGCAACCTTCAACGATTGGTCCACCTCTCCAAGCACAAACATACTGTGTGTCGGAAGCACCTTCAAAGAGCGCAAGGCATTGCAACAGGGCGTCGTCCAGATCATCGAATACCTTCGGCAATCCAAGGTTGCTGTACTATGGGCCTTGAGGAGCCGAAACCAGACATATGAGACGTTAGAGGTACTGAAAAGCCTTGTCTACCAAGCTTTAGCCGCGACTCCCAGCACGGATACCGATACCACATCATCTTCGATGTCGCGGCGACTGTTTAATGCATGCTTCGAAGAGGACTATGTCCACCTTCTGGATGACATCTTGCAGAATTTCAACATCGTTTATATCATCGTCGAATCGTCTGTCATGTCCTCGGACGCCTCGACACGGTTTCAGAAGCATTGTGGTGATCTCCTAGCAAGGTCAGAGTCTCGTGCGCCAAGGGGCCGTTTGAAAGTTCTCGTGGTCAATTATGGGCCGTCAGTACCACCGCCCCCAGGAGCGAAGGATGTTCTTAAGCTAGGAAAATCGAACCAAGGCAGAGCCCAACAAGCAAGGGGCAAGGTCTCCCCAGCATTCAGAGGGCGTCTGTCGTGCAGGAGCTCCGCAGCTGAGTAAACATGCAGCCTTGAAATGAACGGGTACTGACAAAAGACACGTTCAAAAAAGGCAGCAGAATGGATTGTTGAAAGTCGGCTGACGGATGCGATACGAGGTGCCCCTTGAAAGATCTTGCTAGATGTACACTGATGTTATGTCAACGTTACTAGGATGTTCAAACAACATAAGTCGTCCACGTTGCGTAGTCACCTGCTGCATCATACCGCGCCCTTTAGCTATTGTTCTTCATCTCTCTCAATTTGGCCATCACCGCCTGCGGTTCCGTCTCGCCCGTAGCCTTCTTCATCTCCTCCGTATGCACCCGCATAAACAGATTATGTTCCTTCTCCTGCCCGATCGTGAATTTACCTTGAGTCTGTTGATTCTCGTCGGCAAATTTCTCGAGTTTTCGGATCGCTTCGTTCTCCGGCTGCACCTTCTTCAGGAACTTGACGTTTGACTTGGTGTACTCGTGCCCCGGGTATACTTTTGTGTCGTCCGGCAAGGACGCCAAAACCTCATTGAGCGCCTTGTGCATCTCCGTGCCGTTACCTTCGAAGAACTTCCCGCACCCGCCGATAAATAAAGTGTCGCCGGTGAATACCACGCGCTCGTTCGTCGCATTGTCTTCCATGAACCAGCAGATGCTGTCTTGGGTGTGGCAGGGGGTGTGCAAGGCTTTGACGTGGATGTTCTTGCCTATATTGAAGGTCGAGTTGTGGGAGGGCGTTTTCGTCACGGCTTCGCAGTCTTTGCCGCCTATCACGGGGATCTGGGATGGTAGAGACGAGAGGATCTTCTTGTTCCCGCCGGCGTGGTCCCAGTGATGGTGGGTGTTTACGATGGCGGTTAAATTGAGGTCTTTGGATTTCTCGGAGAGGACGGGTGTTACTCTGAGCAGATTGGCATGTTAGTTCGACGGAGAGAGCAAGCAAGGACGGAAGACGTACTCGGGAGGATTTGCTGGGTCGATTATGACTGCGTCCTTCGTCTCGTCGTCGCTGACCAGGTATGCGTAGTTATTGGACGAACCAACCCCTAGAAGTGGTGATTGTCAGCGATGTCTCTACACTTATCAACGGCGTATTCTGCCGGTGTCTTCACGTCGAGCAAAGAGCAACTCTTGTGACCATTGCTACGAGTTTTTCTCTCACTACCTCGTCTGCATTGTCCAATGGGCCGCCTTTTGAACGTGATGAGAAGAGGGGGTCTTTGGGTCTCTCCGGGCACATACACATGGGGATACTGAGGATATGCATTTTTCGTAATGGCTGCTGTGCGACTGCACTTCCAAAAAACTGCGGGGTGTTTACTGGACGAATGAAAGACGAAATGGCGACGCTGGTGGACAGGAATGGCCGAATGAGCCTTGAGGTGATCATGAATTGGTTTCAGGCAAAGGAAAGCTGTACAGTCAGTCCGGAATAGAGTAGTCAAAATCGACAGTCGTGCAATTGTACAGTGGAAAGACAATTGTAATCATCAAGATGAAGATGCGGAGAGCGGTTGGAGAGGTCGAGCATTGACGTCAATCATCCACGCCGGTCGTATTAAGTCCGGGGACGGCAGACAAGCTCATGTCGTCCGTGCATACTGCATAGCCCCTTTTTGCGGTGTCGATATTCAAAGTATAAAATACGATCTTGCTTCCAAGCCCCCTCATCAGCCAGTAGGCCAGTCTATCGCTATGCTATGCTATGCATGAATCATTCTACCGTGCCATAATCACGATGGCTGTCCCTTCTCCTGCTCAAGCTCATTCTCCCACTATCAGCAAGTAGGCGCTGACTCTCCGCCATGTCAACCACCCTATCCTTCCCAGACATGTTTGGTATCCAACCTCTCATCCAGCCATTGACTCTTTCCCAGTGGCTGTATCCATATCTGTCTCGGACCCGCACAAGCCTTTCCTCTTTTTCGCCGTACATCAGAAATTGCGCTCCCATCAGAGCGTCCATAGATAGACATCCGGCAGCGCCCAAGAAAAAAGGGGCTGCTCTGGCCACCCAAGCCCATCTCTGTGATCCTTCACCGTCCACCCAGCCGTGGTGACCATATGGCCCATAGTCTTGCCACGCGTTTGGATTGGTCAGGAGTGACGTAGAGTAGAAGAAGTTACCGCAGAACGCCGCGAGGAACAACAGAGGCGAAAGGCCAGCAGTGGATTGTCGTTCCCAGTTTTTATACAGCTGAGGTAGACGGGACGCAAGATATAAGAATGTAGAGCACCATGACAAGACAGTACCCGCAATCTCAAGAGGTGTATCGACACGCAGGAGATGTATGCCATGTCGATAGTGGTCTGCAGGAAACGGCAGAGGCGCTGCTGCCGCGCTGGATGCCAGCGAGGATATAGTAGCCGCGTACATGAAGGTCCGTGGAGAGGGTGAAGGCATCCAATTGTTGGTGATCTTGTGGATGTAGGGTATGTTGCGAGGACTGCCATTTTTCTCGCCATAATTCACTTGCGAGAAGCGAGGCCCATCAACAGTGGTGGGACCAGCCGACTTTTGAGGACTAGTATCCGCATCCCGCAACAACTGTTCTTCGCCCGTGAAGCTGGTATTGATTGGGGACAGTGCGTTGATGATATCACTGTCTGCATCATCATCGACATCGCTGCCATCGGGAGAGTGGAGGCTTTCCGCATAGATCCATTTCGCGAAATGGGTGTACCAAAAGTATTGGACGACAAGGCAAACATCCACAAACACGTAGTAGCTTGCAATGATGATCTGCCACGCAGCCTGCTTCGTGAACAGTGCACCCAGAAGGTTGGTCAAATCACCCAACAACCATTCGCCCAGAAAGAGTATCGACAGTCCTGCCGTAGATTTGATGTGGTAATTTTTGAATATCTGCGGCATCTGCGCAAATAGCCATGATATTATTGAACATGTCCCCAGCAGAACCGAGATCGCCGCAAGGGGAGTAGGAATACAGACACCGAAATAGGCGGAGACGTCAGCCAGGAAAGACGTGGTTGGTGTGCAATGATGTGGGAGGGAGGATATCGACACGAAGGAGGTATGTGATAGGGACATCGTTCTTGCTACTCCTTCGCCCGCTCTCTTATCGGATCAATGTTTACTCGTCCTTGATATCCTGACCATCTCTTCTGGGTTTGCTTTATCTGAAACGTCCTGCCCTTGCAGAGACAGCGTCTTGATTCAGAGACGACAGTACGTAGATCTCTGGACGCAACCGTAGTAAGAAGGAGCAGACTCTTCGCGTCTGTTCCTTGGAACCTTGAAGACTAACAAGTTGCGTGCCGCACAGCTTCGTCGTCGTGAGCAATACAGAAACCAGCGAGCGCAGGGATCGATTAGAGTATACCAGTCTGTATTCGGTCGATGTAAGCACGCAAGTCACATAGAATGAAGACAGAGGGAACGCAAGATAGGAAGAAGAACACAACAATGATGCGGAGAGTGCGCGTGAAGAGTGGGATGAGTGTGTAGCCATCTGATCAGTCACGAACTGGCCCCTCAGATAAGGCAGTTGCAACCACCCTCTGGGTCCGGGCGAAAATAGGAAGCTCGGATATTGGTCAACCCCATGATATCAAGGGTCCGACGGCAGTCCAAGGGACGAGCCGAGGGGTTCGTAGGCAATTATGTGCAGATGACATTGCAGAATGACACCTAAATTGGTCAGATCAATGCTTGATGACCTGTGTGAAGGTTGCATGATTCGAAGATGGTGGTGGATGACCGAGGGGCAGAAGGCGGATATCCACGCGACAGTCCGACATTGAACTGATAAGCAGAAATGAGAAACCAATTGCATGTCTGAAGATGAGAAGACAATCTCATCTCTTGGCGTGGGAGGAGATCGCCGGGAGCTGCGCTGCTCAAACGAGATCTGTTGTTATTCATCAACCCCGCCTTCACCTTTCGCTTAATAAGTTTGCAGAGTCCAGCAGCAGGTCTTTCGTCGAATCAACTTCAACATTTGCGCGCACTTGTCATCAGCGAGGGTGTCCAGAAGATGAAGAGAGTCGCAGTGTATGGAAGGCGGCCCTCAAAAGATTGCTCTGTGCCCATCTTCAACAATCCACTGAGTCAGTCGAGGCGGTGTCCATTGGTCTACCATGTTATTACATGATAGATTGATTCATGTGCGGTGGGTCGGCCACAATAACTCCAGATATTGAAGTGTGAATTGAGCCGAGGTCTGGGGGTGACGAGGATGACAAGAAATACATATATCGCATCTGTGGGAGTTGATAATGCCAACAGTATCCTCTCATGCCAGCACGTATGTGCACTCATAATCGTTCACGTCAGCAGACATAATGGGCATCCTGTCAGTAACGAGTCATTATGCATCTCAGATTGACACGAACCGCCACCTATTTCTTTCTACCCATCACTGAGGTCTAGGTATTATGGTGAGGCTCATTGGCCTTCGATATTTGCTGTCAAACTAATATGCATACTCCAGCTTCACCGAGAATCTTAAGGAGGATGTGGTTTATCCTTGGTGTTGTAGCTGTTGCGTGGCGGTCAGGTCACCTCACGCTATGACGGAGTGAAATTGCCAAACATCCAATCACCCCAATGTTAGCTTTTGGCTGAGGCTGTCTACCGCTAAGGTACGGGGAGCAACGTGGAGTGATATGAGCTCCTGCAAGCTACATTGGCGGTGAGTTCGGATTTTGACTAGCTTCGAGATGCTCCCACGAAGCTGCATCGAAAGCCAGGAACGAAGGCTGCGAGTGATCTGATCATGAAGGATTCTAGGTACGCATGATCAAGATGAGGAACGACACAACTCACGCCCATTCGTAAGCTCCTCAGCAGTCCGTCCACCTTCGTCTACAGCCTTGTCTGGCCCTACGAGGCTAGTTCGGGATAATTCTCCGACTCTCAAGTGAAAAACTTGAGGCTCTCGCTGGCAAGTTTCCTTTTCGAGGCCATTACTTGTCGCTGTTGATTTCCGCTATGGGTAAACGACACGTTGCTCCTTTTGCGGCTTGTCTATCGGTAGTTGTAATTCGCCCTCGTTTCCCAAGATACTGATGTCAGAAGCAGCTTGTGGCAGCTGGAAAAGATATCCAGCACCTGCCAGGTAGCTCGGTAACGACCAATAGCGGTGGCACGGATGATGCAACAGGTGGAAAATGTATTTCTGCAGGTGTCGGATGACCGTTCCGGTACCTAGTATGCGGGGCTCGCTTCAACGGCCTTGGTGGGCCATACATCATTTTATTGGCTTTTATAGACATGACGAAATGTTTTCAACACCCCAAACGTCATGGGCATCAAAGGTGCCTGCAATGGTCTCTTTCTTATTGGCGAGAGTCGACCCGTAACTGTCCCTAATGCACACGCGTATCTAGTGCCATTGTTGCTCCGCATCTTCTTTCTGTTTATCTCGTCCAGTTCACCCATCGCCCCTTCCTTTTTCTCCTTCTCACGCGGTAACAATGTCTTCAGTTGGACAGAGCATCTTGAACACGGCCGAATCAGTCAAGGACGGCGCCAAAAACATGTTTGAAAACAAAAAGATTGCAGACCTGAAGAAGGATGTCAAGGACTCCCACAGCAAGCAACCCCAAACCACCGACTATGGTGTCAAAGTCGCAGACTTGGACCATTGGTTGAAGGTGGTCGATGAGGAGAAGAACAAAGTCGGCCCTTCCTTGCTCGAGGATCAGATCGCCAGAGAAAGAGTATGGTTTTGAACGCTCTCCTTCAAGGCGAACACACTGACCATTCCCTAGATTCACCGTTTCGACCACGAGCGTATCCCTGAGCGAGTCGTCCACGCCCGAGGTGCAGGTGCCCATGGTCAATTCAAGCTCTACGAGAGTTTGGAAGATGTGACATCGGCCAAGGTCTTGACCGACACATCCCGCACCACCCCAGTGTTCGTGCGCTTCTCCACCGTTCAAGGCAGCAGAGGAAGTGCAGACACTGTTCGAGACGTTCGAGGTTTCGCCGTCAAGTTCTACACCGACGAGGGTAACTGGGATATCGTTGGTAACGACATTCCCGTCTTCTTCATCCAGGAGTCCATCAAGTTCCCGGATCTAGTCCACGCCGTCAAGCCCGAGCCAGACAACGAAGTGCCTCAAGGCCAGACTGCGCACAATAGCGCCTGGGACTTTATGTATCTGCACCAAGAGGCTACCCACATGTTCTTCTGGGCCATGTCCGACAGAGGTATCCCCAGATCTTACCGAATGATGCAAGGTTTCGGTGTCAACACTTTCTCATTGATCAACGCCGAGGGCAAGAGGACTTTCGTCAAGTTCATCTGGACTCCAGAACTCGGTGTCCACTCTTTCGTCTGGGACGAGGCCCTGAAACTGGCCGGTCAAGATCCAGATTTCCATCGCAAGGACCTGTACGAAGCCATTGACAACGGCGCCTACCCGAAATGGAAGTTCGGAGTTCAGCTGATTAAGGAAGAGGATGAGCACAACTTCGACTTCGACATTCTCGATGCCACAAAGGTCTGGCCTGAAGAACAAGTCCCCATCCGATATGTGGGAGAGTTGGAGCTCAACCGCAATGTCGACGAATACTTCACCGAGACCGAACAGGTTGCTTTCTGCACCAGCCACATCGTGCCGGGCATTGACTTCACCAACGACCCGCTTCTCCAGGGCCGAAACTTCTCATACTTCGATACCCAGCTCTCCCGCCTGGGCATCAACTGGCAGGAACTTCCCATCAACAGACCTGTCTGCCCTATGATGAACTTCAACCGCGACGGTCAAGGACGTCACACCATTACCAAGGGCAAGGCAAACTATTGGCCCAATCGATTCGAGGCCAACCCTCCCACTGGACACGGCAATGGAGGTTTCGAGTCCTACCCAGCAAGGGAAACGGGTATGGATCTACGAAAACTTGCTCCCAAGTGGAAGAACTATGTCTCTCAGGCTCAGCTCTTCTACAACTCCATGTCAGACATTGAGAAGAGACATATTACGAACGCCCTCTCATTCGAACTCGATCATTGCGATGACAACGTTGTCTACGAACGCGTGGTAGAACGCCTCACAGAAATCGATCTATCCCTTGCAGCAGCCGTTGCTGAAAAGTGCGGCGCTCCTACCCCTACCAAGCAGACTGTGGAGAATCCTGGTCTCAAGGCCAAGGGTCTCAGTCAGTTTGACTACCTGCCAGAAGTGCCTACGATCAAGTCTCGACGCGTTGCGATCCTCATTGCCGATGGCTTTGACGCGGTTGCTTATGGTGCTATGAAGGCCGCAGTCCTGTCACAATTGGCTTTGCCATTTACCATCTCCAACAAGCGTCAAAATGTCACGGCTGCGGATGGTGTCACTAGCGCCAAGCCTGATCATTTCCTCAACGGACAGCGGTCGACCATGTTCGACGCGATCTTCGTTCCTGGTGGCGAAAAGTCAATCAAGACCCTGATGGGCAATGGTCTAGCTCGATTCTACGTGAAGGAAGCCTTCGCTCATTGCAAGGCTATTGGTGCCACTGGCGAAGGTGTCGAGCTCGTCGAAGCTGCACTCAGGGAATGCCCAGGCACCACTGTGGCCTCGAAAGGAACTGACGCAGTGGTTGATTGGTATGGTGTTGTCACCGCCCAGACCCCAGATGATGAGTCCACCGTCAAAAAGGGAATCAAGATGGCCTCAGAAGCCAAAGACTTTACCGGAAAGTTCTTCCACAACATCGCCCTGCACAGAAACTGGCAAAGAGAGCTGGATGGTCTCACAGATATGGTCTCTGTGTAAGTGCAGTTTGGCGGAAAAGCGCTGGAAAGCCCCTGCAACTGTGACTTGAGTTGTAGCCCCAAGAGGTCAATGTGGAGGAGTTCAGACCACAGTCACTATCGCCTTACAAGGCGCAAAGTAATAGGCGACCCCCCACATACTAAATCATGCACACAATATACCCCAATCAATTTGCACATGTATGGAATCTATTGCACCTCGAGTCGTTGATGTACTGTTCGATTCTAGAACACTAAGTTCAGCTTTTTGGGGACTTCCACAAGCCCTATTCTCGAGAAGCTCTGTTCGGCTCAATATATACTTATATTGACTAACGTGAAGGGCAGAGTTGAACTGCCATGATCGCTAAAATCACTTCAACGCCCGCCATGCACAGCAAATATCTTGTCGCTAACCCGTTGAGAACGCTCATCAACCATAAATTCCAGACAATCAATTTCAATTCCAAGCCCGACTTACCTTGGACAGGCTGCATAGACGCTTAAAGTCCTGGTAAGATCAATTCTCCTCAGGAATCTCCAGCGTCCCCTGCATAGTCAGCACAGCCGAACCACTCAGCAAGACCTCGTCGATTTCCAGTCCATCAGCTCCGCTCTTGACACCGACTTCAACCGAGATCTGGCTTCGTTGGCCCATCTCCACTCCCTGCGTCAGTAGATACTTGTACCGTCCGGGCTTACCCTGCTGAAGTGACAGGTATGACGTGAGAGCGCTGGCCGCACTACCCGTCGCAGGGTCTTCCCGGGTTGCGAACATGCGCGTGCGCAGCTGCCTTACTTGATGCTCGTCGACACCGAGGTCAACGAAGAAATACGTACCGACAAGTCCCTTGCGCCAGGGCCCCTCGTCGAGCTTGGTGTAGGCAGAGTAGACATTCTCCACGCCGAGCGGGTTGCGCTTTTGGTCGGCAAGGGCGTTGAGATCAGGTAGTTCGGCCAGAATGAATGTCATGCCCTGCACGATACTGACGACTGGGTACTGCGCGACAAGAGGCTGGTCGGCGAACGGGGAGTTGTGAATGTGCACGTCGTGCGCGAGCCCGATTTGCGTGGCACTTCCTGCGGAGACGAGACTGATTGGAAAACGGCCTGCTTTAGCTTGGAGAGCGGGAACATTGTTGAGGGGATCATTCTGCAACAGCCGGAGGAGATAGTTTGCCGTGCCGACTGTTGGGTGGCCTGCGAAGGGGACTTCGGCCTGGCTTGTGAAGATGTCGATCCTTACTGACTCGTCGCTAACGTCGTGGGTGGTTTGTTCGTGTAAGAAGACTGACTCGCTGAGATTGAATTCGCGGGCTATGCGCTGTTTTTGGGTCTGGGAGAGGGTGATGGATTGGGGCACGCGGATTATGGCGAGGGGATTGCCTGTGTAGCGGGTTGTGGTGAAGACGTCGAGCGTCACGAAGGAGAGGTTGGAAGAAGACATATTGATATTCTTTGTATGTTCGGGGATTGCGAGGTGTTAGGGGAGACAAAGGAGAGCGGAATGTTTGGTAGATTGTTGATATATGTTGTTCAAATATTCTTCATTGTTCAATGGGTGTTCTGAGTCATTTGAAGGCGAGTTAGACTTTGATATCCCCGAAAGTGGAGATCTGAGGTTGCAACGGACATCAGCTTAAGTCTGGTTGTTGAGTAATACTCCAAAAGCGTGCTCTCGACTTCTTTTGACATCAAAAACTCTTGTGCAGGAACATCGTCTGTCTCCATTCCCTCCGATTGACCACGGTATTCCATTTTCGGTGATAGTTGTTGGATTTCGCTCCATCAGGCAGAACGTGACGGTCCTATTTCGGCATGAACGAACGTCTTTAACGTGGACCGTACCTCAACCGCCTCACTGATTCGTCTCTGGGAACGCCGGATTGCCCAAACCTGACAGGCCCAGGTCAGCCAGGAAATGCAGATGCTGGTACTCGAACGAGCTCGGTGACGGAAATTCAATCGTGCCATTCCCGTCTGGAGAGAACTGCTGCGATATGAAATCGTTCGTCATAAAGTCGGGAAGGAAGTTCCCAAGGACTGCTGCGGATGTGCCAGAGGGTGATTCAAATGACGGATCGAAGGGACTGGTCTCATAAACGTATGAAGACGCATCTCCACCTGACCCTGGGTTGTCGGCCACATAGGCATTCTCCGTAGGTTGAGTCCTCTGCTCGTTATTGTCGGTAAACTGCGTCTGTGAATGGCTTTCAATGCCATGCTGTCGTCTAAATGAAGGCACTTGTCGGTAGATACGGGCGTCATCAGGCCGATGCCCACGCTTTCGAGCCTCGGTCTTGTTGAGACGACTGGTGAGGTCCATTAAAAGGTTCCGGATCCATCGTGCAACAATATAATATTGCTCAAACTGCTTGAGTGCCAATAAACTCGGTCTCAACTTTTGCGACAACTGACTCGGATCGGATATTCCCCCTTCGGCTACGTAAGCTGTCATGGCTGAGAAAATAGCCGATACGCTGACTTGTCAGAAATGTGTGCTAATGGGAATGACCATACTTACTATATCATAGGGAAGTGTTCTGGACTCCAGTATAACAGCGAGTCTTCCACCAGCGTTGTGACGTGACTGGCCGCTTCCAGAACTATCGTAGAGCCTTCATGATCCGCGAAAGGCTTGTGACATAACCGTTGGAGACGTTGTTGGAGGTTGATGATGTAGTAGCTACTCTCATGCGTCAGCAGATGATCAAAACGGGACTGAATGTATACTTACTAGTAGCAGACCTTCAGCGTCAAGGTCAAGTAATGATTTTCCTCCCAAGAGGACGACGCATGCGCACACCAATCTTCCATGGCAGCCTGAATTTCTCGCCTTGCTATTTGTCGCACTGAAGGGTCGCGACTCAATGACAGTCGGGAGGGTGAGCAATGGCAGTAAAACATGTTCGAGACTGGATCTGTTAGGTTGTACGTCTTCGATCCTGGGGCGAGACTCACCAATTTTGTTAAGACTCACTTGGCCGATGATATATTGAGCTGTTTCTGGCGACTCGTCGGGGAAATCTTCCATTGTCAAATCCTCCACATCGCAATCTAAGTCGTTGATGGACATCGGCGGACCCGTGCTGAGACACACCTGCCGATCACGAATCTGTACAGGTCAATGTCTCTTCTTCGCTAGGCTAGGCGTGAACTTCACTAACGTATAAGCACCACCATATCCGCTTCCATTGCGCTTTTTGTCGAGCATCCATCTTGCTGTTTTTTGTGCTTCGATGGTAGCCCATGCATTCCGCTGATCTGATAGCATTACCTAACCACCATAATGTGTCACGATAGCTCGTTGGCTTGCCGAAGTAATAGTGAAGAAGGTACGAAGCTAGTACCATTGTTGTCCGATCTGATTCGTAATCAGCGTCGAAAGATGCGCAAGCCTTGCTGAAGAGGTCATCCCCGGCATCAAGCCTTGTGGTATATCCCATCAAGTGAAAGATCTCCGGCCCACAATGAACAGACGCAATATAAAGCACGCTGCGTAGGAGGGTGATGGAAACGCTCCCGTCGCGGACCGAGGACAGGAAAGTGCCTCTGTCGAGGATAGGGCAAAAGACATGGAACCGCTGAAAATATACTTCCAGAAGTCGTTCGGTCAGGTGCTGGGAAGGAAGATCGGAAGGAGGCACCTTTGTAGCACTCCTTCGCTTACGACTGTCGATGACCACACTGCCGCCATCAGCCGGACTGGAGTAAGCGGAACTCGATTGACCTCGCTCAATAGGGCGATGAAGCTCGCTATGTCCAGCTGCAGAAGTACTCAGAACATAAGAGGCATACCAGGACTCGCCCACAAAGTTTGAGCGGGCGTTATCCTGCTCAGTCATTTCGTTATTCTTGTTATGAGGTCCATCCGGACTGATCGTCTCGCGCCGGTCAGCAGACTCGTCACCAGAATGACTCTCATGGTCGGCGCCAACCAGTCTTGCCAAGTTCAAAGGAATTTCAGGATCTCTGGTCGTTTTCATGACCGCTGGAGCGTACTCGCTCCTATCGGCATCGGTGGCGGCGAGGGTATCGCTAACCCCAGTGTTACTGGGGCTCCATAATTGATTTTCTTTCTGCTCAGGCAGAATATATCGACCGTCCGGCCCTCTGATACGAGCTTCATTAATATGTATGTTTGCAATACGTGACTCGGCTTACCGAGTGCGCCTGGATTGGACAAGCCTGCAATGCTTCGAACTGCTTCTCTTGCATTCAGCGCACGGCGTCCCATTGACTGAGGCATCGCAACGCACGCGACGGCGGTGGCATCTTTCACATGCAGCAGCCCGCCTCTTGCGAGGGCCATATGGAGAGTGCAATGGTACAGCAGGATTTCCCATGGTCAATGAGAATTGAATAGCCAATCTCTCCGCAGAAAGCATGCAGGAAATCATGGGGGAGGAGCTTTCGCCTTGACTGGGGTAGAAAGTGCAGAGCGACACGACTGCCATCACCATACCAGTACCACTAAGGTGCTGCTAGATACCGTACCGGGCTTGCCGAGACCTGGAAGCCGATGCCAGTTGCTGCGGGGTCGGAGCTCCTCCAGCCTGCCACGATTGGGGGACGGCTCCGGGCTACCCCTAGCCCTTAGGCTTAGGCTTCCTGTCACTTGAAACTTGGCCCAACCTTCTGAGATATAGGTCACGCCATTCTGCAATCTTGTGTCGAATGCACCAATGACTGAAGCAAAATATTGAAATGACCATAGCCGAGCTCCATAACCGATAGACTGGATCAGGATCCGAAGTTCAATCGGAGGCTCGGATAGACACGGTCTGAGCATGGTTTGAAAATATCAGGGCACATGAATCGAACTTCGAGCAGATGCTGAGCCAGCTCGCTCCTTACGGTGGCATCATGAGTCGTGTAGCCGAAGTAATTATATGACCTGTCGCAGCAACTCAGCAACGCCAGGATCTCACGGCCAAGCTTGAGGCATGCTTCATTGCTTCCCTAAGGCCGAATTCATTCCACGTCTACTCAGCATTTACCTGTGTTATCTCTATGGAGCCTCTAGACAATAACGAAGTCGGGAAAGATTTTCCACAAGTCGATTTAGGATACTCAGTTTACCAAGCTTCTGGTTACGATGAGGCTGGAGATTTCTTCACTTTCAACAATATCAGGTATGCAGCACCTCCAACAGGTGCTCGGCGCTTCCAGACACCCGAACCACCACTGGTGAATCGAGACGTCGTCCAGACAGGTCTGTCGGGCAACTTTCCGCCCCAAGCTGTCCCTTTATGGCGAAGAGTTATCAAAGAATGGCCAAATCCAGGCAGTGAAGATTGTTTGTTTCTGGATGTCAAAGTGCCCCGCGCCACCTGGGACGGACGAGACACTCAGGTAAAGGGCGTGCCGGTGATGGTTTGGATCTTTGGAGGTGGCTACACTGCCGGTTCAAAGGAGGCATTCGGCAGCGGAGCTGGCCTTCTGGCCAGGTCTGCAGAACCCATCATCTATGTTGCACTGAACTACCGAGTATGCCTCCCCACACATGTACCGGCTCAAGGACTGACAGACATCCCCAGCTTGGAATATATGGATTCCTGGCAGGACCAAAATATACAGGGCATGGAGGTACAGCAAATCTAGGCCTCTTGGACCAGCGTTTTGCCCTGCAATGGATTCAGAAACATATCTCTGCCTTTGGTGGCGATCCTGACCGAGTCACTGTGATAGGTGAATCAGCTGGCGGAGGATCGATCTATCATCAAGTCACAGCCTATGGTGGCCAGAAAGGCCAGTCACCCTTTGCCCAAGCCATCTTACAAAGCCCAGGGTTCTATCCCATCACCGATTCTGAAGTGATGGACCGTCACTACCAGTCAGCTTTGACGTACGCGAATTGTGACTGCCTGGATGATTTGAAGCTCTTGTCGGAAGCGAAACTAAAGGAGGTGAACCTTGCCGTCATCGACGAAGCGCCGTATGGCCAATTTTTGGTATGTTTGGCTGTCAAGGTCACCATACATCCAACTGGCTGACTCTCCTCCCAGCTCGGACCGGTTGTCGACGGCGTGTTCGCGCCCAATCTACCAGGCACGCTTCTCTCGTCAGGCTCCTTCGACCACGGTCTCAGAATAATGCTCGGTCAATGTTACAACGAAGGTGGCGACTACGTAGAGCCCGTGGACATATCCCCCTCTTACTTTTCAGAGTACCTCGACCGCACCTTCCCGAGCATGAAGCCTTCCGTCAAAGACTACGTCACAAGCAACCTTTACCCTTCGATATCGACAATTCTGCCAGATTTCCAACGCAGCAGTGGACTGTGGCCTCATTTCTCACACGAAACCCCTTACTACACCACTCCCACCGCTCGACTCCAACGGCTGATCGGCGACGCAATCTACATTCAACACAACAACGCACTCTCCACGGCCTTTCAAAACAAGACTTATAATTACATGATGAGCCTCGCTCCTGGAACTCACGGCACTGACATATCGTACACGTTCTACAATGAAGGCAAGGAAGAGAAGTCCGCAGTGCCTGGCCTTCCCAATGTCAAGAACAGAGAGCTTGCGCATATTTTCCAGAAATACCTAACAAACTTTGTGCTGTACGGGGATCCTAACGGCAACAAGGACGCCGGACTGCCCAAGATGAATCAAAGAGGAGATGACTTTGTGGTTCTCAATTTTGGAGAGAATGGGATTGAGGAGATTCGGGATCCAAGTGCAAAAGAGCAATGCCTTTGGTGGCAGAAGGGCCTGTTTGCTTGACGGATACGACTTTGGTCGTGTACAAAATCTTTCTGATGACAGCGTAATAAGTTCCAAACAGCGACAAGCCGTGTTTCTGTACTTGAGTCGCCAAAGATCCCAAAGATCCTCCCCTTGAACAAAGGACGCCGGTGACTTGATGGTCGTCCGGGGGTGAGCGTCGAGTGTGTCCATTCTGAAATCGGATGCCAAAAAGCTAGACCCAGCACCGTTATAACAACGGGAAAGAAATGAGCTCGGCCCGTGGCCTAGACCTACTTCGGACGGACCCCCATAGCCGATGGTGAGTGGAAGTCTCTGTCCATAGCCGAGAGTAGAAACCCACAGACTCCAGTCACTTTTCGTGACCTTCGACTTGTCTTGACACGGAGGGTCTACCTACAGATACGCATGAAGGCCCTCTGGCATCGAACTACACCCCATCTTTCTCCATAGTTCGGCTATGGGGGACGTGGCCCAGGGAACGGCACCTCTACCATAATCTGGCTATAAAGACGAGAGCCCCAGTCCAATTACACCTTCCCCGGAACCCCAGATCTTGCCTTTCCTCTACAACGAGCCCAAAGATAGTGCTCTCCTACATATAGCATCATTGGGGAAAGGAAGGACGTGGTCCAACATCCACAACTGGCTTGATCGGAATCATGGAGCTCGCCGACACGGTTAACATGAGCCATTACGGCGCTCGTCATAATCTTCTTCACAACTGGCGCCTCCTGATCTCATGTGAGCTGGACCGTCCTTTCGCTGTTCTTCACGCACCTGACAATCATAGGCCTGCTCCTATCCACATGCTACTTTACCTTTGGGTATGATGCTTACATTTACGGCGGCGTCATCGCGATGCCATCGTTCATCGAGAAATTTGGCAGCCTTACAGCAGCGGGCTATGTCCTCACTGCTAAGGAGACCTCCATTGTTTCATCGATTCCGACAGTGGGCTCCCTCATTGGGTTTGTGATGATAGCTCTTATGGCAGATCGCTACGGTCGGAAAATAACCATCTACGCCGGGGCCGTTATCGGACTGGTAGGAATGGCACTTCAGGTGGCAGGTTCCAGCCTTGCCTTGGTCACTGTGGGACGAACGATTGCAGGTAAGGAGATACATCTGATCTCATCCCGTCCCAATGGTGCCGTCCAAGCAATGAGCTGACGCATTTCTCCTCTCACAGCGACTTCAACCTTCGTTACAATCAACATGGCTCTTACCTTGTCCGCAGAGCTGGCGCCTGCTTGTCTTCGAGGATCGATCATGACGCTATCTGCCGTTACAATCGGCATTGCCGGCATTATCGCATCTGGTATCAACTACGGCACCTACGCCATCTTGACCAGTCTTGCCTGGCGTCTTCCGGTGGGCCTGCAGTTTATCGGCCCGGTCGTGATCATCCTGGCTGTTCTCTTCGTCATGGAATCGCCAACATACTATCTCATCAAGGACGACGATCAAAAAGCCCGACAGAGTCTTGTCAAAGTCCGCCAGGGTTACACGAACGCAGAAGTGGACACAGAATTGGAGAACATGAGACATCAGCGCACTTTACACACAAGCACGCAGCGTATCTCTCCGCTCGACATGTTCAAGGGCAGCAACCTCCGAAGAACCATGCTGTCATCCTCCTTCGTCATCATCACCCAGCTTTCTGGCTTGGCTTTTGCCACTTCATACGCCGCCATCTTCTTTGTGCAAATTGGCACTGTGAATCCTTTTCTGATGGTCCTTGCGCTTTCTATCCTTGAATGGGGAGGCGCATGCGTGGGTCAGGTCCTCATTGAAGTGTTGGGCCGTCGCAATCAAGCTTTGCTCGCGACGGGCGTCCTTTTCGTCCTCGACATTGCCGTTGGTGGCCTGGGCTTTGCGCCGGCTACTAATCTAAAGGCCACCAGGGCGATCGCTGCACTATGCCTCGTCTTCGGATTTTTCATTGCAGCCACGATGAGTCCGCTGCAATGGTGCGCCATTGGCGAGTTTCCTACAGCACGTCTCCGCAACCTGACCTCTGCATATGCTTTGCTCAATTCGAGCTTAGCCAGTCTGGTCATCTCGTACGTTTTACCGTACATCACCGCTGCTGATGCGTAAGTCGTCCCCAATGACCTCACTTACACCACAGCGAGACACTTGTTTTATGCACAATCACATCGTGGCTCACTCGGTTAATTCACTGATATGTAGGGCCGACCTGGGACCGAAAGTCTATCTCATCTTCGCTGGCTGCATGCTAGTGTGCTTCGTGTGGGCTTTCTTCTGTTACCCAGAGATCCGTGGAAGGACGCTGGCCGAGTTGGACGAGATGTTCGGAGAGGGGGTGCCAGCGAGAAATTTCCGCACCCACGTCTGCGTCAACACCTTGGAAAACACAGCCACTATCATGGTCAACGACATCAAGCAGGAGCATCAGGGCGAGACTCAGCAGGTAGAAGTAGTAGGTGATTCAGCTGGTGCTACTGGCAGAGGTCAGGATGTGGAGATGGTTCGTGTTGGTGAGAAAGCCGGAGAAAAGATCTAGGTATATGGCGGGCTATACTTTGGGCAATTCTCTGGCACCTCTTCGTAATGCGACACTCTCTATAGGACATGATGGTGATGGTAACTCGAGTCGGATCTCAATCGGTCGACATATGTATGCATAAGAATCTACAGAGAAGACACTTCCAACCACAATCATTCATGAGCTGAGTAATCAGTCACCTTTCCCTTCGTTCAGGCTGTATTGTTTTCCCCAGGGTGTCGCCCTCACCCAGCAGGCCAAATTCCCCCTGCTGGGGAATGTTAAAGACCTCGGGAATCGTCTGGTATGGAAAGAATTGAAGCAACGGATCGCACGGAGTGAGGACCGTGCCTCCAGGCACGCCGCACGCGGCCCAAAAGCGTCCTTCGAAGAGACTCCCGCCATAGCGACTGCCTCGACTACGGTCTGCAGACCCTGTCAAGCAGGGCATCGGCATCTCTCCCCGCGGCATTATACGGCTAAGGTGCAAGTATCTGCTACTGTAGCCTGTGCAGCCCAAGCGCATATCTCTGTCCATCGCCGAACCGTAGCCGAAATCAATGAGTGACTCTGCCTTTGTTTGTGGAGCACCCCGCCTCCAACTTCAACTGGATTCTCTGGCAGGACTGGGTGCCGATCCCCCAGTATCACCAGGCGTCTGCCGCAAGAGTAGCGAAGTTGGACGCGACGTACTCGAACCAGGTCTGAATTCATCTTAGATAATATCCGCCTCAGTCTGCGTACGACTCCACGACCACGCATCATGACGAATTCATGATCACATGGTACTCCTTCCCACGTTTTTTAACGATTGACCTTTTCGATCTCTGGAAACCGGAAAGACCTAGACCTTGTCTGACTTCTCTGTGATTCCCTGGCTAGGACGGAGCAATGAAACAATCGGTCTCATCGACGCTCTTGCGCCGTGGGATACAAACATGCGCGGAACGGGGAGCAACTCTCGGTCAACACGTGCGAAGATCATCCACTCAAGGCGCAAGGACCCCTCAACCCCAGATCAAGAGCAGCATAAGTAGATTGCCCTGCAGACATACCACAATGGTACATACTGATACCTTTGAAGGATCTTCCTTTGCTCTGGGAGCCACCGGCGTTGGGCTCGGCCTTGGCCTCGGGACCGCCAGCTACTTCGGCTCCAGCGACAACGACTCAAAGTCCACGTCGTCGACGTTGTCCCTATCTAGTATGCCAGAGGTTCGACATGATTTATCACCAAAGAACATAGCTGCAGCTTGCAACGAGTTTTGCAAAATCGTCGGGGCGGACAATGTGTCCACAGCCACCGAAGATCTTTTGAGTCACTCGGGCAGCGACTATCAGTCGTACGCCTGGACAGAAGCGACGGCGACGCCAGGCCAAGTCATCGTGTACCCTGCCTCGACTAACGAGGTTTCTGAGGTTGTCAAAGTGTGCCATCGAAGGAGACTGCCGGCCACGGCTTATTCTGGTGGGACATCGATCGAGGGCCAGTATATTCCTCATCTGGGCGGTGTGTGCGTGGACTTCACTCGCATGGACCAAATCATTCAGGTCAACCCTGTCGACTTGGACTGCACAGTCCAGCCAGGAATAGGTTGGATGGATCTTAACAACGAGCTCGCCGAGCACAATCTCTTTTTTCCGCCTGACCCAGGTCCAGGTGCCATGATTGGAGGTATGATCGGGACCGGTTGTAGCGGAACAAATGCCGCCGCCTACGGGACGATGAAAGACTGGGTTCTTTCACTCACCGTTGTATTGGCTGACGGTACCGTTGTCAAGACAAGACAAAGGCCCAGAAAGTCGAGCGCTGGTTATGATCTGACAAGGACCTTTATCGGCAGTGAAGGCACCCTTGGATTGGTCACGGAGGCGACTCTCAAGCTGGCCGTGAGACCTACTTGCGAGGCTGTGGCCGTGTGCACTTTCCCCACGGTGCGGGCTGCTGCTAGCGCCGTGCAGGCGGTAGTCTCGAGGGGAATACAAGTTGCTGCGGTGGAAATTCTCGATGAGGTTCAGATGAGAAGCATCAACCAGGCTGCCCTCACCAAGCGTCGTTGGGACGAGGTTCCATCCCTCTTCTTCAAGTTCGCTGGCAGCACCGAAGTGGTGGTTAAGGATACCGCGGATCTTGTGGGAAAGATCTCAAGGCAGCATGGCTCAACTTCATACGACTTTGCTGCCGATGCTGACGAGCGCGAGGAATTGTGGTCTGCCCGGAAGAATGCTCTGTGGAGTATGATAATGCTAAGGCAGTCTCCAACGGATAAAGTCTGGACCACAGACGTCGCGGTTCCCCTAAGCAGACTTCCCGATATCATCGAGCAAACGAAAGCTGACATTGAGCGGTCGGGTTTGCTTGGGTCGATCGTCGGGCATGTAGGTGACGGCAACTTCCACTCACTTCTGCTTTTCCCAGAAGAGAAGCGGCATATTGCAGAGGAAGTCGTGCACAGGATGGTTGAAAAGGCGATCGAAATGGAAGGCACGGCCACTGGCGAGCATGGCGTGGGCTTGGTTAAGCGAGATTATCTCCCCAAAGAACTGGGCCAGACAGCGGTCGATACCATGCGCAAGGTAGGCAAAGCTTCGAGGTGTGAGTGTCGAGGAAGGTTCCACTGACCGCTTTGCAGATGAAAAGCTCATTTGATCCTTTGTGTATCTTGAACTGCGACAAAATCGTTCGTATGAAGGCCAAACCAGAACAGCATTGATGTCGTGGACGGTATCAGCGCTGATATTCGTGGTGCGCATTCGACAAATGCTTAGTGGCGTTACCTGCCTCCCATAACTTTGACTGCCGGTCAGGCCAAGAGATCGATTTTGCTGCATTATTGGGCCAGCGTCTGCCAATAAGGCATGCAAAACGACGAATTTGTATTGATACCCCGCAAGAGAGCAGGTCTCGCGTTGCAGTCATATGCCTGCCGGAGGCCTAATTGCCCCTTCAAGCATCGAGGAATGTGACTTGCTAATGAGCTTCAAAAAAGCGGTGAAACACGTGGTAGCCGGAGACTTTTGCTCCTGTATACAGAGTCGTACTTTGTTGCGCAAACTTGATATTCGATCCCCCGTGGTACGTTTGCCCGAAGAGCAGAAGACGCTGTGCTGCTCTTGACTACGTTCGCATTTGAAACACTGAAACCCACCTAAAGGCGGCCGATAAGTTCTGATTCGAGGCGGATCGTTGCTGTACCACCATTACTTGTTTCAGGGACAGAAAATGGACCATATCTTGTCAACGGACGAGGTCGACAGATACGGGACTTGCATCCCAGAGATACCGTGGCTAGGATACGACCACAGGCCCTCCCAGGCCTTCTTTGACTTTGACGACTATGCACTGCAACGCGGTTGGTCGCAAAAGAGTCTGCTAGATCTCAAGGAAGGGAGACTCAAAGAGTTAGACCAGGACTCCGTGAAGCCCTTCTTGCAGAGCTGGTTTAGTATTGGACTCTGCGAAGCGGTGCTGGGTAGGGGCCTTGAGAAGGACAGCTTCATCGCCTTGAAAGGGCCCAGCACCCTCTTCACTAGCGCACCATTGAGACAGTTTGCAGCAGATTTGGAGGCCAAGTTCATGGATAGGTCCGGTGATGATTCCGACAAGGAAATTCTTGAGCGCTTTATTCGTATATTGGGAGCTGCATGCCTTTGGAACCACAAGCTCGCCAACCTAGAACTACTTAACAAAGAGAACTCGGACTTCTGCGACAAGACCTACCATTCGATTATGAGAATGTTCAATCTCCTTGGGTTATTTCTGCAGGGCACTGGTGCGTATCTCGCAATGTATTTGCCTGCTGACAGTGTTGTTATTGGGAGATACAGGAGCCGGCTCGAGATGCACTGGTGGTGCACTAATGCTACACAGGATGGTCAAGCCGAACGTATGGCGCAGCGGGGCTGGTGTCCGTATGTTCGCACAATGTTGGGTCCGTTCACCCACCTTGTAAATGAATATGCGGCCATAATAGGACCGCCGGAGACGCATATGGATCACCGGTCATGCTCACCTATCGAATGCATCAGACATAACATCGACGAGAGCACCTACAAAACATTGCATACCACGCCAGACTGTGAATGTCAGTTCGTCAAGCCGAGACTTGATCGCCTTGCGGACATACTCGATAGTGGCCAGATCCCATTGATGGATCTCAACAAGATTGCTGTGGGCGACACAGGCAAGGTTGTCAATGTCATAGCATTCAACTCAAAAAAGCCCGCCTCCGAGAAGCCTGCCTTCAACGCCATTTCTCATGTTTGGTCTGGTGGATTGGGCAGTGTTTCTGAGGAGGGACTTCCAGAGTGCATGATCGAACTCCTTGGCGGGTACATGGAATCCAATGCTGGATCGAAACTCGTTTGGATTGACTCCTTGTGTATCCCGCGGGACAAAAGATTGAGAAAATTGTCCATCGAAAGCATTAGCACAGTGTACAGGGAAGCATCCGCGACGCTAGTTCTGGACCCAGAGCTAATGCGTACGTCCTCATCAACGACTAGGCAGATGCTCATGTGGATAACATCAGCAGCCTGGATGCAGCGAATGTGGACATTGTCTGAAGGTCGCCTGTCGCGATCACCATATATCGTCTTCAAAAATGCTGTCATATTGCTGGACGAAATCTTAGAGGATGCCCGCGAGGATTACAAGAATCCTATTGTGGACGATCTGATGAACACGTTGTTCGGTATTTTCTTGCGTCAAGGGATTAGTCTTCGGTTGATCCACCAGTCGTTATGCTACCGTACGACCAGCAAGCGAGAGGACGAAGCCCCGGCTCTTGCAACACTTTTTGGGATTGACACCGGTCCGATCTTGGATGCAAAGTCTCTGGATGAGCGGATGGCGATGTTTTGGAAGTCTCTCAGCACGAAGATCTCCTTGCCGATGAATATCATCTTCCTGCGTGTTCCAAAATTGTCAATCCCAGGCCTCCGTTGGGCACCGAGCACTTTGCTGAACGCCGGATACCAAGACAGCCTGTTGCAACCGGCTGAAGGAGAAACACGCTATGACGTCCAGTTGAGCGATACTGGCACCCTAACGGGACGGTACGTTGTCATTAGGTTGACCAAGAGAGCCACCCTAACTTACAACACGATCATTCCAATCGAGCTTGCAATGGATCCAGACCCAGGTACCACTGACATGCCACTTGGATCGTTCACAATCACATCATACAAGGAGGAATTGACTCCATTGCAACTGTCTCCGAACAGTCTCAATGGTATTGACGCATTCGCGGTCAGCGTGACAAAGTTTGGGACAACGTCTGCGCGACCACTCGCGAATGAACTAGCAGGAGGCGTCTATAGCGTCGTAGCATTGACATTGGACGATGACACGGAAGAACAGAGTTCCGACCTCCCGGCGAGTCACAAGTTTATTGCTAGAGACGTATTTCAAATGTCTCAGCATAAGTTGCCAGGGAGCAGCTTGTATGGCTATGTGGGATGGGCGCGTATCTCAATATCGTAGTACTTGCTGAATCAGTGTCGAGAGTGGTAAAGGTCGTAAAATCCTAGTAAGGATGAAGGATGAAGGAGCAGGAGAGCTGCAGTGATCAATTTCCACTAAACTCAATTTGGGACATAATTCTTGGCACTCCTCGAGGTTCGCTAGTCATGGAACTGGGACTGCGCTTCAATCATTGATGATGAGTGTCGTCGCTCGCATCCGGCCGTACATCATACAAAGCGATGTCCTTTCTACGGTCGCAGAGCTCCCTGCGGCTCTCTAGAGCATGCACACAGTCTCCTCGATCGACAAGATACCTCTCACAGACCTCGCAACGCCGGATAGGCGAGGCCGACCGCAAAGCTATCCCAAACGTCCCAGAGGAGGCTTCGCTGGTCGAGGTTGACCACAAACCTGAATCGTCCATCGAGACGTACCATCCTGACCATCAACCCGATTACAATGCGACCATAGACCACGGCACATCAACGTATTCTCCCGTGCCCAAGCGAGTCATGAACGGCAGCGAACCCACCGAGACGACCCCAGCAGCCGTCCTGTCTGGAGCTCCGATCGATCTGCAAGCTCGAACAGTCAGGTGAGAACACTCTGATTTCGACTCCTTGACGGTAACGTGCCAGCTAACATTCGTGTTTGATTTAGAATTTCCAAGCCTGTCAAACCCGCTACACAGTCCGGCACCTGGGGCAGCCACGCCTGGCGTATGGACTGGGATGTGCTTGCTAAGGGTCACCGGTGGGAGAATCCACTGATGGGATGGCAATCATCTGGAGATTTTATGCAGGGCACAAACATCAAATTCAAGTCGAAAGAAGACGCAATCGCCTTCGCTGAAAAGCAAGGCTACGAGTGGTACGTTCAAGAGCCGAACGAGCGACGAGTCGTACCGAAAGCATACGCGAACAACTTCCTACACGAGCCGGGCCCATTGAAGCACATCAAGACCAAATAAGAGCTTCGCGGTGGTGGACATCCGGCATACAAGAGCAAATCGGCTCTCTCGCAGACGGGATGGCAAGACGAGACCATGGGCCACATTCGGTCAAGTGAACATTTGAGCAGAATGACAGGGCGTAGGGAGATCTGTATATACCACACATATGACAAAGCACAAAAAAGGATAAACATTCACAGCATCGCAGTCGTCTGGTAAACCTCACTTCCGAGGGTGTGTTTTCCTCAGGATGGTTGTTGTACCTTTGGTGCGACATCACGTTCTTCACGTCTAAGGCAACAAGAGCCAGTGATCCTGGAAAGGATCTCGGTCATTCATTCATGGATACTGCTCAACAAAGCATACTGATCATCAAGCTCAATACTAATAGTACAGGGTTATCACAACAGACAATTTCTTCACTCTTCTTCCAGCACCACCAGGGTCATCATTCTTCCGACTTCCCGTCGTGTCACACTCTCGACTTGTATCGTCTAAACTGGTCGATGCAATCTAGTAATTGTGCTTCGCAGCATTCTTATGCACGTCGGCCTCGCGTTTGTGGCCAGTAGCATGGATCTTGTCTTTCATCGCATCGCCTGCAGCATGGAGACGTGTTGAGGTGCGAACATTGGGGTCCTTAGCCACTCTGCAAGAGACATGTTAGTATTGAATTCTTGATATGGTAGTAGGGGCCGACATACTGCTTATTGGCTTCTTTGCTGGCCTCACGGGCACTACCCTTGGTCTTGCTGGAGACGTAGTTTCCGGCGTTTTTGATGGCGTTCATGGTTGCTGATGTCTTCGGTGAAAAGGATATTTGTTATCTCTAGATTGAGTAATGCGTTCTTGGGAGGTTGTAGCGATGTTTGTGGATGTAAAGAACAAGGAAATCTAGCAGATCGACGAGCACTTATATACTATGGTAGCGAGGCACGAGGCACGCCTTGCCTTCGAGAGCCTCACCGAAATGGTAATCCACAATCTTGAAGGAGCGGACGATGTCATTCCGCATGCTGCCCACGAGGACATTTCAAGCTAAAAGCACAGCCTCTCCGTAGACAGATGGTGTGCTTACGAGTAGCGGGAGGTGCCATATCAGGCCTTGCTCGTGCAATCACCCAATGAAGATGAAGAAAATGGGACGGAAACCTGTTTCAGATCAAGTCGAAGGATCTAAGCGTGTGACCGATGACGAACCGACACAGATGATCAGTGGCTTGATACGGAGTACTCGCTCAAGAAAGGCGTTATCGTCCATATCAAGTAAATCAGCGATCGAAAGAAGTTTGGGGGTTGTTGTGATCCATCGACGTCATCGTGGCGGCGGGTTAGTGGCGCTTTCACAGCCTTGCAGCAGAGTAAAGAGAGCAATACTCAGGGTACTCAGGGTACTTATATCTTTGAACTGAACAATTACCGAGATAGTCTATCTACGCCAAACATCCATAAAGATGGAATACACGGGATGAGGACTCGTCGAACATGCAGTGCACCCATCCAATGATGGCCTCAATATTGTGTGCCTTTCCCGGGTTCGTATAAAGTATTGGGATTGTGCCAATTATACCCATTGTTCCCCGTGGGATGAACCGTGATGGAATTGTAGGTACATCTCACGCTGATGGGTCCATACTGAACCATTCCACCGTCGCTCAGTAATTTGCTGTTGTCGTATTCCGCAATACCTGGATACACGAACGGCACGACTCGGTTCCAGCCTTTGTCGTTGCAGTTGGGTTGTTCGTAGAGGGCGCATGTGAGGCCCTTGTCTGGACCCATAGAGCCCGATACGCCATAGTTCCTGTAGATAGACGTTAGCGGTAGTTTCAGACACAACGGGCGAGTGAGAAAGGATCATACCGATTGTAGCACTCTCCGTCTTTGAGCGGAGTCCATTGGCATGGTGCCACAAACTTCCGGTTCATGCACTCGTAGATGCCCAGTACTTTGGCAGCTGCTCGTTCCTCGTGTTCGTGACTTGTTCCATTGATCTCGTGGGTATGGTTATGGTGCTCGTGGTGCGCCTCGGTCTTGCGAGGGTGGTTGCCGTAGGCTGAACCTTTATCTCCCTCGGCGATAGCTGTGGCACTGTTGTGTATGGTGTCCGGCTGTGGCAAGGCTATGCTCAAAGCAGCCAAAGATGCCAGGAGGGCGACTGCAGATTTGATAGTGATCATGATCGTCAGGTAACAGGTGGGAAGCTCCGATAGTGACTCGACTTGGACGTAAATGCGCAGGTGACATGTATACTTGCAGAGAGCGCAGTGCGACCTACCTTAAGAGCTTGCACAGGAGCTGGAGAAAGGTCTTTGTCCTGACAACAACATCAACGGTGCTCTCATCTCAACAATGTGTCCACGCCGCTTTCGAGCATAGTCAAGTCCATTTGCGCATTGTATGCTGGATGATACAGCTTAGGCTCGAAGACTGAATGCTGCAAAAAAGGCTCTTGGCTATTTGGGGACAAAGCCGGCTCTTAATATTGTTGTCGGTCAGAACAAGGCTGACTGCTTGATATTGTTCTTTTCATGTGCCGAGGATGAGCCGAACCGCCGGCACAAATGTCTCGTCATGAAACCCAGCACTATCCTCACACTACATTGCTGCCTTTGATCTAGACATCATACCGCCTTCCCATACAATGCTGGTGACGGAGGCGACTGATGTTGAGGTGGCCCGAAGTTCTCTGAGACAGTCTGTGGTTGGGCGAACCTGGAGCTATCCTGGACGAAAGCTCCTGGAAATTGCACCGAAACCCCCACTGACCTTGGTATCTGCTCAGTAAGTTCCGGAAGACAAGAGGGTTATCGAGGCCTCAATGCATCGAGGGATTGTCATGCACCGTCAACACGTACTCTGGCAATTATCTCGTCGGACAATTGAGGAGGACTTTCAAGAAAGGTAAGGTGCTCAGCTGGCAAGGCTGGACACAGCGGCAGGAGTCTCAGTTGGCATCTACAGCCGGACCCTTGGATGGGCTTTGGGCATGCGGAACCGATCGGATCATCACAGTACCAAGACCTCAGTTCTCCCATATCTGCCCATTTTGGGCCGTTCTTTGTTGGAGAATCCAAGAAGCATCTGGATCACCCTTTACGTCGGGCTGAGCGTGGAAAGGTTGATTACATGGCAAGCACCGGACTTCGACAGTGGAGGTAGCACGCCCCACGATGCTTCCGGCCAAGGTCTAACAAGGAGTGAACCACGCTTCAGGCAAATTCGCTCGTCAAGGACAAGGAGCTGCTGTAGCCACCACATTTTGTGGTCGGCGGAGCCTGGTGGGCCGGCACCATACAAGCAAGAGTGCTTGTGCCACGATCACCACGAGGGAACTCCTCGTGGGCATTGGTTGACGAGACCTGATCGTTGACCAGAACACGTCCGCTAGCTTGTCGCTGGGAGACTAGGTGATGTTTAGGCATAGCCGTAATCTCTGCGAGATCTCCTGCGTATCTTCCCCTCACTGCGCAGGTACGATCGTCTGTTCGTATTATTTGTCTGCCAGAGATGATACGAGCCAAGCTGCGAAGGAAATATGAAGTGCCATGACGCGTCTTTTGCCAGCACTGTTTGACCATCTAAAAGTCAATGTCAAACTTCGCATCCTCTGACAGTTGACACAGTTTACTACTTGACGCCACCGACGATCCCCTGCCTCGGAATACATACACCTGAATCGTGAAGAGGGTGTGCTACGTTCAAACCACCCATAACTCTTCTGGGAGGCGAGGAAAGCTCGAGTCTTCTTTCCAAAGCTATGAAAGGCCATGCTGCTGCCCCACGTGTTGCTCCATTGGAATCGGGCCGCAGTTCAAAGTTAGTCGACCGTTTCATGAGAGAGCCCTGGGAAAGCATCAACTCCACGGCCACGGCGAGTACGGCGAAGGCTTTGTCTTCCCTGTCGCAAGGAATGATACCGATGGCGAGCTACCTTGTGTGGCAGTCCAGATCACTTCCCATTACAGATTCATACCTTGTGCTCAAGATGTACAAATAGGCAACTTTCTGTGATGCATGCAACCCCTTGCAGTATGCTCAAAGGAGTATTTGGGTCTGGAAGAGGGGCTGGACCACTGATGAGCCGGTCACCCTGGAGTCAAGCTGCAAGCCATTGCGATGGCCGGTTACGCCGGGGTCATCGGGATTTTGGTTTTCGTATAGCCCTTGCATAGCATTGCATTTGACCGAACTGTTGGGACTCTGGCCAGAGTACATGTCGCAACATCCATCCGAGATGATCGCACTATGAGCACTCGATCGATGGGAAGACAAGGTTCCTGCCTAGATATAACCATTGGGCCTTACATTAGGTCGTGCAGCCACCTAAACCTCATTGGCTCTGATATCGCTTATCGTGGGAAGCCCAACGGTGGTCGATCCGGTGGGTATGGGCGGGGAAAACGGTAAGCGGGCGACGGCACCGCCGCCTGCCGCTACCAAAAAGGCTCCTCCCTTAGCTGCATCTTTTGACAACGGCTTAGAGATCCCTTCCTTAGACCACCCTCCGTTGTTTTTTCCTATTCTTTTCACATTCCTTGCTTATACCCACATTAGATTGGGTGATTGGCAAGTCAACCTGATGGAGAGCCAACATTAGGCTTCCAGACAGAGAAGAGTTGTTGTACTGGGTACCTGAACAAGCGTCTGCCAAAAGCTCTCTGGCTACCAACCACGATATTCGACAGTCTCTCTCTGACTCGATATCAAAGCAATGACGAATGTCCGATAGGATGACAGCACGGTAGGAACGGCTGGCTTATGGTTCTCGGCCTCATCCATGGCTCTCCACATCTCAAACTTCTGGAGCCAGGGTAAGAGTGTCTACCTCTTCGCGGAAGGCTCAACGTCTTTCCCATTGATCCGACCCCATGCAAGGTCACCTGTCATCCCACCACACACAGAGACTATTGGATCGTGTCCCATGCTGAGTACCTGCCCTCACTTCCACAGTTGACAGGTCAAGTACTGCGTGATGCTTGATGCTTTTTTAGCTAAAAGGTACTATCATTTCTACGAAGAGATCTTGTGCGTCCGAAGTGGCAACCCTGGCTATCCGAAGTTGAGACAATTTACTAGTAGTACATGGGTGATGCAAATCTCCAAATTCCAGCTGCTGCAATGGAAAATATCATGGTATATATCGACAACTGACATCTGCGGGAAGGGGAGCTTCCCGAATCTCCTCGACTTTCTGATCTGTGCACTGAAATCCACAATACACGCAAGTATGTTGATGTCCACGGATGCAGTTTTGGTGGCTACGAGCATTGTGCTCGCCGTGTCGACCATCGTTTCGGTATCAGTCCAGCTGGACAGGCAGTACAAAACCGCTGGTCGGTTGGATGCTAGCAAATGTGAGCCAACTCGGTGATCATTGACTGCAAATCACTAACATTACTCAGGGTTTCTCGTCGCAAGCGCTGTAAGTCCAGACTTCGGATGCCACCAAACTCCTACTCATCGATGACAACAGTTCTTTGCCTTGGTTATGACGAGCTTGGTCTGTGCCGGTAAGACAGTTATACCGAATTCGTCTCTGGCTATCACTAACATGCATCAGCCGCCGCCAAAGGTCTTGGGGCTTCCATCTCTGCTGCCGAGTTTGCTCGCAGAGAAGCACTGCAGAAGGCACGATTACCGCTGCGTATGCCACGACTCTTACTGACTCCTCATAGCTTCTCATTGCGGCATTCCCTCCTTACTTCCTTTGCAACATGTTCGTCAAACATGCCTGGCTCACCTTTTACTATGGTCTGGCACGGACCCGCCTCCAGCGATACTTTACCCACTTCATGCAATTTGTTGCCGCAGGTTTCGGTATCAGCTCAGTGCTGGTCATTTTGCTACAATGTCAACCTCTGAGCCATGTATGGACAAAGGACCTTGTCCCTCCAACTGAAGATGGGGCAAAGTGCATTAACCTGATCAATTTCTTCTATGCAAACTCCATCATCATGATTGTCAACGATACCGTCATGTATATGATGCCCGTCTTCATGCTGCAGGATGTCGATATGTTGAGAGGTCATCGATGGGGCATTTATGCGTTGTTCGGTATTGGTGGAGTGTGAGTGCTCCTATTACAACCGCCATGGTAGCATGTCCACTGACAATCACTAGCGTCGTGCTGGCGAGTATTCTTCGTCTGCTTGCCGTCCATCAATTAGCCCAAGGCCACCACTTCTCAGGTTAGCATATCTTCCAAATCCTAGTTGTTTAGTTGCTAACAGTCCTCCACAGAGAGCTACGCACTCGTCTTCTTATGGGCGGCCGTGGAGAACCATGTTGGGATCTGCGCCGCTTGTGGAGGTGCCATCAAACAAAAATCTCTGACCGCCTACGATAACATCCGAAGGTCGTATGGCTCGATCAGACACAAGTCGTGGCCTACACCCTCCTTGGTATCACGAAGCCAGAACACCGAGGATCGCAGCTACTACGAGAGAACAGACAGCTTGCCGACCCCGTCACTGGGTGTTGATCGCAAAGACGCTGGGATGCGGACGGAGCTGTATGATCTCCAGCCCGTTGAGACACAAAGCGCGGTGTAATTATCTTGATCGCAAAAGCTTTGGGACAGGATCGGATTTCGGCTTTCCTCGGGAATGTACGATATGTGAACATGATATAATGGAAGCGGAGATATACCACAAATGTAATGATGTAGACTCCAAAACGTATTGGAACCATGCATGCCTCTGATGAGAGATTTCCACCACATGCGTGCCACTTATAGTACTCGGCACGGTCGCTTGCTAAGGTATACTAGCGGATGCTTCTCAGCCCTGCTGGAACCCAGTATAATACTCGCCTTGGCGAAATTTGAGTCCGCATCGGCAGCCCTGACAAAGACCCGGCTCGTGCCAATTGTAGCAGCAACACTTCATCTCTTGCGTTCATCGAAGAACGAAGAATGTACTGTGCGATGCACTCATTCCGCACCAGCTCTTACCACGCCGAATGTGCCAACCCAAAGATAACCAAAACTCCCTGTACGCTCGACCATTTCTCCCGAATTCATCCTCGAATAAATTTCGAGGTCAGATCACAGCTTCGGCCCCTTCGCCCCCTGCGCCTTTATCAACCGCTCATACCCATCACGCATATACTTCGGCATTCCCTCCTTCGTCGGCTTCCCCAAGTTCCCACCCTCCTGCACGACAAAGACATGCGTCGACCCTCCGACAGCCTTGACACTCTCATCGCCCTTGCGAAAGATACCAACCTCATACATCACGCTAGCTTTGCCGAGTTTGACAATGCGTAATCCACAGTCGACTTGGTCCGGATACGATACCGACCCGAAATAGTCGCAGTAGGTGTTTGCTATGATGCCGGCCTGTTCGCCTTTGTTGACTTTATACCCGCACTCGTCGATCATGTATTGGTTTACGATGCTGTCGATGAGAACGCCGTAGTATGGGTTGTTCATGTGGCCGAAGACGTCATTGTCGTTCCTGGACAAGCACATAAGCATCGGTTGATCACGCGCATGAAGAGGCAATGGGACCGCCAAGAGATGCGGTATGCTCAAGTCTGAAGTTTTGGAGTCTTACCATCGTAATCGGTAGTCTAGGTGGTAGCCATAGTCGGTGCGTTTGCGGAGGCGTTTGGAGGCCAAGTCTAGGCCTAGCTCTGTCATGGTCAGGCGAAGGAGGGGATAAGGACTGTGCTCTGGTTCAGGGCATCGACTGAGACGATGCGAGGACGCAGCTGATAGTCGCGTCACCTAGGTGTAGGATTTGATGTACGCTAAGAAGAATGTCGAGAAAGGGTGGTTGTAGTTACTGCAATGTCGGCGACTAGTTGACTTTGAAGTTTGGACCTCGGCTAAATGTTCGTGATGATGGGGTTGCTTATGAGACCCCACGCCTTGACAGACTTACCTGGCTTCACCTGGGAATGGAATGCTAGAATGTCCGACCAGAGAAAGCGAAGAACTGCACGTCGACAGGAGGACCTGAAAAACTGGCCAGTAGTGTAAGGAAGCCCAGTGGCTAGCGATGCTAGAAACAAAGGGCACTCACGGTAAGGCTGAGATTGAGTGCATGCAAGGCTGTGCAAGGCTACCTACCATATTCTTGGCAATGATAAAACAACCATCGTACCTCTGATATCAGTATCAAGGTAGGTATACCAACGACGCCCGGGAACGTCCTATGACATTCTGCGAGAGTCTGCATTGGTTGGTCTGCTACCTGGGGCGCGCAGCTGACACCAAGAACGGGCTCTGACCGCGACCTTTGACTGCTGAGCCCGAACTGTTTAACCCGCCGACCCCTGGCCTCAGGACCCTCAAGCGGCTCACCGCCGCCATGAACCGCAAACAACGACGTGCCCAAGACACAAAAAGCACACCACTCAAATCCGCAGAAGACATCCCCCTCGCCAGACCAGACTTCACACGACCTACAACAAAAACTCTCTACGAAATCGCAGCCGAGCGACAAGCCGAACTCAACGCTAAAGCTGGTAAACCAGATACCAACTCAGGGGGCATCAAGCCCGAGAACGTCGTGCACCTAAAGATAGGCAAGGATGGACAGATTGAGCCTCAATCTCCATCGCCCAACGACACAACTACTCCTGAAAGCGCCAGTGCGGTCCCAGAAACACCATGGCTCGATGCCATCCTGCTCGCAACATCCCTCTCAGCAGTACACTTCACGCTCGAAGTCCTCACCGTCCACCAATACGCACAAGATCTACACTTCCCGCCGATCATCAGACATACTATATTCGTAGCGTGGCCTACTCTAATAGCCATCATCGCGCTGTTCCACGGCCTTTTGTTCCCGGCATCGTTTACCCGCACGATACCAGCCCAGATCCTGCTACTGCGCCAAATAGTCTATGTAGCTATCGCGAATATCGCGGGCTGCTATCTGATCAACGTGACCAACGATAAAGGATACTACGCTGTGATGAAGAGCGCGCCGGGTATAGGCACGATCTGGGTCTGGAGCGTGCTCGAGCTCGGACTATTCGGCGCACTGGCTGGTGTGGTCGGACCGGGAATCTACGCTTGGTGGAATGATTATGGAATATTCTAAAGCGTCCTCGAAAACAAGAATGGGGCTGTCCGAGCCGAGTCGAAGAGTCAAGTCCCTGTGCGCCGAGCAGCGGATGGAGTCGGATTTGATCGGTTTTGCGAAGACACGGTTCGGAGATGACAAAGGACAAAGGGGGACTTTCTTCGAGAGTTTCCGTAAACTCCAAGCTTTGACGCTTGTACGAGAGATGGAGAACTTACTACTACCGTAATAACCTTTACACGATGTCTCCGATAGACTGGCTCAAATTGCGGAAGGAACGGCACACGATTGAGAGGAGCAGTCCGCTGTGTCGACTTGTGAGACGGACATTTTGTCCTTGTCCTGCCTCAATAAAGGTCACAATGGCAGTCATGAATTTCCCATTGCGCCCACTCAATAGTAGAAACGGAGTATTGGCCTCTGAGACTCACAAGGCATCATCGGAGAACTCCGACATTAATCTCGATCAATAGTCGTCGCAGTAGCCTTCCGTTTTCGGAGAGACGACGGAGAGTCGTACAATTTCCGAAACAAAAACTTCAGCATGCAAAGGTGGTACGACATTGTCGCACATTTTCAAAGGATTCGTGCTCTCAAGCGGCTAAGATACCCTGATCAAGAATTTTGGGAGGACAATAGGTGGATATTTTCGAGTAATGATCGAGTAATGACAGTATAGGGGATGGAGACGGAAGAATCCAGCGGAACATGCCCTCCATCACACGTGGTGAAAAAATTCAACATGAGCCTCACTAGGCGTCAATTGTGTGTCATGGTTAAGTTGTTTCGCCATATGAGTCAGAATGTCACCATGCCCAGACTGAAATAGTATTCATGTCGCAAACAGTATGGAGTGTTTGGCGCTTGATTGATATTGAGGAACCTTACATCGTCAACCAGATGGGTTGAAACTACCTCTTCTTCACATGTTTGTATATCCGCGGACTCGACATGTTTTGATCGACACTCAGCGCCCAAAAAGGTGATGTAAAAATGCGAGGAGAGACTTCTCCAGGCAAGCATTTTGCGGGGTGCAGGGACAATGGCTGCCATCCTTGTTAGAGAAGTTGCCTCTATTGGTAGCAGGCCAAAGCTCATCGCCGCTAGTGGCTTGTCCCAGTGTCCAAGGGTGGGCAATTTGGCCTATCCAAGCCTTGTACGATGCCTTGATGGCTGTCAATTTGTAGTCAGCTGCCCTCTCGAGGCTTTTTCTGATGGTTCGAATGTGGAAGGCGACTGTGAGAAATAGGCTGGGGCATTCGGGCCGCTCAAGAGATGCGCTTTAGTAGAAAGCATGTTTTCCCTTTTTTGACGAAAGATTTGAGGTTACATGTCCGTGTCCGCGGATGGCTTTCCATGGTATGCATCAGCCGGACACTGCACACACTCTCTTTCCTAGATTGGATGAGCATGCTTCTCCGACGAGGCCTGGAAGATTCCCAATGGCTCAAGATGATTCATGTGAGACAGGTATTTTGTTGTGTCAGCTCGCCATGACTTGTTGCAGTTGGCACGTTCTCCAATGTGTGGGTTAGGCAGTAACTCGTAGGTAATAAATCATGCGTAAAAGTGAGGTGATTTGATGGCGGTCATGGTGGTACAGAAAAGTAACACCCCGAAAGCCCATTCGTGTATCCGTGTTCCAGGCGGTTGTCATGTCCCGGAGAGACTGACAAAGGGTGCGGCTAGCAACCGAGACCATGCCTGAAGTGAGTTTCTATTATTCACACCGTGCATGTAGGCGAGGATCACGCAAGGGCTCCGTAAAGGGCGTGCTGAACACTCATTGAGTCAAGAGTCTGCAATGGATGGATGGATGGGTCGTACATAATATTATCACCTCCTCTGCATGTGCCCTTTTTGAGATTTCTTGCTCTTGAACTTCTTCTTTCCCCGCGCCTGCAAACATCACACCATCGAACTGATCGAGAGAGGACGAAGATATCGAGTGTACCCCAGAACCATCACGGAGCGCCCTCACACACCCGCCCATAGCGAGACGTCACTTACACGCACACGACGTGTCACCGCCCCCCGGAATTCAGGGCGCCGACCGATCAAGATCGCAGCGCAAAAGGAAACGGAGAAACACAAACCCTCTGTGTTAGGTGGATTACTTAGGCGACGCGGAAAGACGGCTTAGAGGCTCTTAGGTGAAATTTTTCCCGTTTGGCCAACCCCGCGCGCCCGGCAGCGAGTTCCTGCACTACGAAATTAGGCTCAGGCCCTAAAGAAAAACTGGCCGCGCTTGCGTGACTTTGCGACCCGCAGTTGCAACTCGCGCTTTCATTTTCCTTCGCCTGCGCCCCGCGTCATCGGCAACATTATTGAGGGACAAGCCAATAAATCATACTTCAAACGGGACCCCTGCTTTTCATCACCATGCGAGGTTCTCGTCGCACAGTACACCAAGGTACAACCGAGACTTCTCACCACAACCCTCCCATCACTGTCATCGACGTTGTCAGTGCCCTACAGCGAAAATTGACAGCAAGTCACTTGGAGCCGACTGTGCAGCACGCGACACCAAGACGCCCATCCTTTTCCATGGACTCTCTACTACACAAAAAGGACAAGGACAAGAAGCGGGATGACTCCAAAGACCGCGACCCGCGTGGGCAAAAACGCATGTCCCTTGCACATATACGCCACTCCAGCAAATCAAAGGATCGCTCGTCGCAGCAGTCCCCCAGAGCCCTGCCTCATGGACCGGGACATTTCGACATGATCATCGAGTCTCCTCCGTTGGTGCTCTTTGGCCACGTCAGCAACTCCACCGGCGCACTTCTTTCGGGACGACTGAAATTCCTCGTTGAAGACCAGACCGGCGAAGTCAAGTTGACTGATTTCACCATGGTTTTGCGGGCCAGCATTGGCACTAAGAAGCCCGTGGGCAAAGAGTGCAAAGAATGTAGCGAAAGGGTCGACGAGCTCAAGAAATGGGTCTTCCTCTCCGAACCAAAGACATTCTACAGTGGCGCAGACAACCAATTTCCTTACTCATTCCTCTTCCCCGGTCACCTTCCAGCTACCACACAATCTCAATTGGGTGCGATTTCCTATTCTCTTCATGCAACCGCAACGACTTCCAATGGCGAGAAAATCACCTACAACCACCCGCTCACCATCCAACGCGCCATCCAGCCAGGCCCGGACAAAGCCAGTATCCGCATCTTCCCACCAACAAACCTCACTGGACGAGTGCAATTACCTCCAATTGTCCACCCAATTGGCACCTTCCCTGTCACCATGTCGTTGAGTGGTGTCGTCGAGAAGAAAGGAGAGAGCCAAACACGATGGCGGCTACGAAAACTTTCATGGCGAGTTGAGGAGCACAGCAAGGTCGTCTCAACACCTTGCGCCAAGCATGCCCACAAAGTCAGTGAAGGAAAATCGATCCTGCACACCGAAACGCGGACTCTAGGTAACGATGAGATGAAGACGGGCTGGAAGAGCGATTTCGACACTATTGGTGGAGAGATCATGATGGAGTTTGATGCATCTCTTGCCACCAACGCAAAATTCAAAGCAGTTTGTGATGTCGAGTCCCCAGCAGGAATCGAGGTGAAGCACAACCTGGTCATTGAGCTTATCGTCGCCGAAGAATTCTGCCCGAACAAGGGTACGCAACTTATCACTCCCACTGGTGCCGCCCGTGTCTTGAGAATGCAATTTGCGCTTGTCGTCACCGAACGTGCAGGGATGGGGATCAGTTGGGATGAGGAGATGCCACCCGTCTACGAGGATGTGCCTGAAAGCCCTCCCGGATATGGCAGTGCCGACAAGAACGACGGAGCATGGGGTGGTGCCATCATGGAAGATTACCACGGACCAGAGCTCCAATACGAAGACCTCGAGTCAATGGGCAACCATGATTCTGACCTTCCTCCAACTTATCTGAACGCCGGTCTCCCAATGCGGAACCGACCACACACGCCTAGAACGGATTCGGGCGAAGGACCTTCAACTGCCCCAGTCAGAAGAGCATTTGGACTCACGAATGACGAACTGGGTGCAGAGCCACCGCGATACGCTCTACGTGACAGACACGAGTCGACGTCGAGTCCATCTGGTCCGGTAGAGGACTACGAGGAAGGCGCGGTCGCTTAAACACCCCGCGACATGACCATCGAGGTTGTCGCGAAGAGGTCTAGCGATCCCAAATGACGACACATTTTATGATTTATAACGACTTTTTCTTCCTGTCGACTTCATGTTGGGACGGTCTTCTTTTATTCGACATGATACCCTCACCATTAGCAGCGAGCATTTTGTTCTGGGTATTGGATTACGAGCTGTTGATGAGAGTACCTACAGTATAGCGTGACGAGAGGGTGCTTCGGGGAGTCCAATTCGCTGCCCTCACCCTTTGGCTTTCATGCAACGCAGATCGAGCGGAGGAAGAGAAGGCCGAGCTGCTGAATAGGCATGGCCATGGGTTGAGCATATTAGGTATTGCTCCCTACTGGGTCGAAAACCAGACTTATAGAATCTTTCGAGCAAGAGTACATTAGCACATATTGACAATCTTAATCACTCTGTTCAACTACACTGTCTATGCTTGCTCCATACAGTATCATCTATCGAAAGAAATGTCTATTTGTTCAATCGCGTTCCTCGAGCCTGCCTAGCGCATTTGACCAATGGATCGGGATGAGGCTGGCACACAAGGCTGAACCCATCTCCAGAGTCAGTCATTTCGGATACTATGTCTGCATCTGGCATTTTCTACCACCACAATTCAATTCGAAAGCATGTCCATTCATATTTGCATCTTTACATAGTATCACTAGGTATGAATCTACCCGCCAACTCCTACCTACGTACCTGGTAAGTTCCCAAGGCTCGGTTCCCCAGCTCAATCATCCACATCCCTAGGCTCATGCTTAGCCCAATATTCCTCATACTCATCCATGCTGATGGTCGGGAAATCCGTCGGCCTCGTAATCGGCACCAGACTCTCGCCTTGCTTCGCAAACTCCTTCAATCGCCGTCTCGTCATCTCCCGGCTCTTATTCACACTGTAGATCTTGACCCGATGACAACTCTGCGTAACATGTAGGCCCCAATTCCAACTATTCCTTACATCCAACGGCTGCGTGTTGATACTATTATCCCAGCACCGCACAACCAATTCAATCCAGCCCTCGACGTCGCATGGTAACGAGTACTCCCACGTGCGCCACGCCCACCTGTATTTCTTGGACAAATTCTCCGGCGGGACATCGTACCAAGAGAACCCGCCGTCGGCGCTGACTTCAACGCGTTCCGGCCATCTGCCACCGCCCGAGTACGCCCAGCCTTTCATGTCGATTTTGCCCTCGTGCACAACGACCTGCTTGCTCCAGGGAGCCATGATGGCGCTGGACACGGGCATCTCCTGGATCTGAATCCCCATGGTTGGCAATTGGTTGTGTTTCCCGACCTGTTGGTTGAAATATAAATACTCTTTGCTCTGGACGGGAGCGCGTGAGGGATGTGGTAGAGCTTTGATCCGATATACCCACTTGGCTGACCGCGCACCAATGTACCCCATGACCACCATCCTCACGGGAAATCCATGGATCTTGGGCAAGGGTTCGCCATTCATCTCCCACACGAGCATCACCTCGTTGGCTTTGACTTTGGACCACGGCACGCTGACCAGGTAGTTCATCACCTCGTTCTGCTTGAAGTATGTGTCGGCTCCATAGAATTCCAGGTGTTTCCCACCTTCAGCCATACCACCACACGCCTTGATGACTTTCTTCAGCGATACGCCGACGTACCGCGCTGTGCCGATCGCGCCTTCCGCCCACGGTGCGTTGATCATCTCGTCGCCCTCACCTGCGTACATTTGGATTTGTTCCATACGTCGCGTGCCGCTGCACTGGATCGTCACAGTCTTCTCCATTCTGGGGAAAATGTCTTCGTTCTGTAGGTCCGCGAGGGTGAATGTGCGAGGTGTCTTGACCAGCCCGTCCATTTTCAGCTCCCATTTGTCGGGGTCGATGTCCGGGACGCCGCCGTGATTGCGGATGAAGTGTAGCGAGTTAGGTGTTAGCGGTTTTGCTGTGACCAGTCTTTTGGGTGGCTCGCCGTTGTATGGGAATTGCAGTAGATGGAGCATGTCTGGGTGCTTCTCCTGGATGACTCGAAGCCAGGATTCTTCGGGGACAGCCGTTAGAGGCCCGCCGATGGCCTTGTGCCACAATTTCCAGCGTATGCCCTCGAGCACCGGGTTGGTGTCTGGTATGGGGCCAAGTTGAAATTCTGGCGGAGGTGGGAATTCGTTGTTGATCAAGATCTTGTGGGCTTTGGCTTTTTTGTCTGGGTAGTCTTCCCATTCGACGTATCTGGGCACAAACTTAGCATCTGGTTCGCCTACAAGACAGATGCTTTTACCCGTGCCATCCCTCGCGTTCCTCGGCAAATAAGACATCTGGATCATCCTCTCCGGCGATGTCATCCGCTTTGTCGGCATCTGTCTCACCCTCGCTGTCTTGATCAGGTTTTACTCCCTGATGCCCCTGAGGTAGAGTCTGATCTCGCAACGGTAATTCCCATGCTGCAAGACCCTGCTCGAGTTTCCACTCATCGTTCGGCTGATGGGATGAATTAGCCATGAAGTCCTGCAATTTTTTCTCACAGGCAGATTAACCTGGACGTGATGAGAGAGTTCTCTCATGCGCACGTCGGTGTGCATAGTGGCGGCGATCTAGGATATATTGGCTTTGCGATAGATAAGCCGTTATCAGAGAGCTAGTGATGACGATACTTTCTCGGCAGATATCAAAAGCAAGGCAGCGTGGACTTTTGATGGGCAAAGCTGAATAGATAAAGGAAAGGCATGCTATTGCCTGGCGGAGCCTGCCAGAGGTCGCTACTCATTTTGGGGATCTCAAGACTGATCCGAGCCAGTAAGATGAGCGCAGCGTTCGCACGAGCATCGCGCGAGCGGTTTTCAGTGACAGGAGGCGAGGAACAAATGGTGACCTACAAGTCCGGAAACATTGGCCATGTGCAGAGGATGGTGATCCAATCATGATTGTATGATGTATATCCGGATGCTGGAGTCCGAGCATTTAAGGCAAAGAGAAAGCCCCAACGTTTGGGCAAAGCATCTGCCGGGCGGGTGCCAGGTACGAGGATCAGGCGGTGAAATCGAGCTGCAATAGGCCTGCCCCGGACATCAATCGCTTGATTCGCTGGACGGTCGGCTTACTCAGAACAGCCCAGGAGAGTAATGTTGCTGGATCTTGTGAGCTGTCCTAGTTCCAACGTTTCGAGGAGATGAAAAACGGTCAACTGCAGAGAGATTGAAAAGTACATGGATATTGTTGCATCACTAGCACTTTTCAGTCCTAAGTGAGGTTCTGCATATCCGGATGGTACGAAGGTACGGATCAATGATGTTGTGATGACGCGAGGGAATAACAGAAATCAAGTAGTCGTAGAAATGAAACATGATGGAGTGGAAAAAGGATCTGCCGGACTTTGGTAATTTGGCCAATCACGTTATTCCAGGAAGGATCATGGTCCGACCTTTTTCCGGTTGGTCGATTGTTCGAGGTTCACGTAATAATATCGCAAGAGTCCTTGGGAAAGTCCCTGTTCTCCTTCTGTGCCGCCAGTATTGTGTCTCTGGGCTAGGATGGGGTCGGACAGTCAGGATCAACGCTGAATAGTGTAACTTGATGCAATAGGCATATTGACCTCGCCTAGTTCGGAACGAATTCGCAAAGACGCCAACACGACTCGTATTCTTCTCCGCTTTCTGACAAACACTGCATATGCATATCCGAACCTTCAACAGCACCTAGTCATATAGGGCAAACACTCAAACTCATATGTCTCGTCCAACGACTCCCGAGACTTCTTTAGATCAAACCCAACTGCTTGACAGCGTCCCAACTATCCTCAACTGTCGTTTCGAATGGCGTAAACTTCAGCTTCAACACCTCCTCCGCCTTACTCCTATCCAACCCAAAGTGCTTCCCAGGCACCACATGTGCACCTTCCTCACCCAGACCCTTCTCTCCTCTTGCTCTCAATCCAGCCAATCCGTCCTCGAAATAGTTGACCCCTCCGCACAACAAGAACCTCTCACTGATGCCCTTCTCCAGCGCCAACGCGCGAACATGTGCCTGTGCCACGTCTCTCACATCAACCCAAGCCGGCAGTCCCGGCGTCGCGACCTTGGGCTTGAAAGCAGGATCTTGCCCTTGTATACTGGTGATCAAGCGCTTGATGCTCGTGTTCATCCCATCAATACCCTTGCTCTTGTCCACCTCTTGTATCGGAGGTCCGTAGATCATAGGTGGACAAAACGTGACTAGATCCCAATCAGGTCTTGCTTCCTTCCACATGACCCATGCTGCTCGCTCCGCAAACGTCTTGCTGGCATGGTATCCCATGAAGCCATCTTTGGCCCCTTCCTCGGGTGTGACGGGATCCCAGTCTTCGGCCGTGTACGTGTATCCTCCACGCGGATTCTTGGACAGGTCGACCACGCTGGCGAAGCTGCTCATGATAGTCATCCTCTTCAACGTGTTGCTCTTGAGCGCGCTGGACACCACATTGCGTGTGCCGTTGACGGCTGGCTCGACGAGCTCTTTGATCGGGTCATTGGACGACGTGAAATACGGCGAAGCCACGTGGCAGATGTAGTCGACACCCTTGGCTGCTTCGTCCAAGGCGCCAGGAGCTTGGATATCAGGGACGGCAACAAATGTCAAGGATCCGCTCGATGATGCTTCTGGGTATTTGTTCTTGTAGTAAGTTGCCTTTGATAGAGATCGGACGGTGCCACGAACGCGGTAGTTGTTCTTCAACAAGAGATCGAGCACATGGGCGCCGACGAAGCCATTGGGACCGGTGAGGAGGACGAGAGGTTTCATAGCCGACATATGTAGCGCACGTTGGACCGTATCCCAAACCTTTGTATTGTGAGGGGGTTGTTTCGTGACTTGATTGTCTCTTCACCTGTTCAGTTGGAAATGAGTAGTAGTAGTCTTAGCCGCCGACATCCATCCTTTTATACATTCGTGAGCGACTGACTCCCCTACCTATGCGGCCATCTCGGTCTGCACATGCTGCCTACCACCATAGCTGCATAGTAAATATCTCTGATAGGATGGCACATATTTGTTCCGCTTACCGTCAAACTTACCATTCGAATTGGATGGAGCCGACAGGATCGCCATGTTCTCTGTTTGCTTACCGGAGCAACCAGTACCTGCAGTGAGTTACGCCAGGCTCTTGTCTCGGTGTAACAGCACCTCATGGGCAATCGTATGCTGACTATGTCGAAGAAGGTGTTCGGCTGAAGTCTTTCGTGAGAAGTCGGGCAAGAACATAGCAGATGATGTCATAATTCCCCCCTGTCTACAGCACTCTCACTGGTAAACACGACTTCGGTGCTGACAAACATTCATGCAGTCAATATCGTATACCCGGAATTTCTTCGTGGTTGTATGCAAAAGTCCGCAGGAGTTACAGGGACTCTCGGTCCTTGGAGGTCATGGAGATGTAATTACATATCCCTCAATCATAAGAGATGTTACACACGATTGTGGTGTACAGGTTTTTGAACTTGAACCGCCCTCTATCAAGACACCCCTGAATATAGGCGAACCTTAGCCAGCTTGAGCCTAACCCAAGAGCATCTCGAGCTCCTCAATGCGCTTCTTTTTCCTTTCTTCCTCTGATTCACCTGCTCCAGATTGCCCGACACCGAGTGATCCAGCGACAGCCATTTTTCTCTCTTGCACCCGGAGCATTCTACCTTCAATGCTCTCTTTGGTGATGAACCGAACCACTTCAACTTTTGCCGTCTGACCCATCCTGTGCACTCGATCAATGGCTTGTGCCTCGACAGCAAAACTCCACCATGGATCCATCATGTAACAGCGACTTGCTGCAGTCAGGTTCAGCCCAACACCTCCTGCACGCAGCGACAGAAGTAGCACAGTCGGCGCCTTGGGATCCGATGCATTCTCCGCATTGAAGTTGCGAATAACCTGAGCACGAAATTTCTGTGACATGGTGCCGTCGAAACGGAGATGAGAGAAGCCGTGTCTGGATAGTTGTGGCGAGATCAAATCCAGGAAAGAGGTGAACTGTGAGAAAACCACTGACTTCGTCCCTTTTGGTAGTGCGGCAAGGTGATTCAACAAAGCCGCTATCTTCGCAGAAGTCGAGGCTGTGGGAGAATAGGGATGAATACGTCGCAGAGATATTCTAGGAGGCTTGGAGACACTCTCATCCGCTGAGTACATGTCACCCTCGGACTCGAAAGACTCAGATGGGTTGTGGTACCTAACCACTTCAAACACGTCTCTGGGATTGATAGTCTCTCGGCAAGAAAAGCAACGAGGGACTTCTCCCTTTTCAATTTGGTGAGTGATATACTTCTCCAAACAGTCCTTGCAAGCACTGTGCCAGCAAGTCGTGACGGCAGGGTTGATCATAGGCTCTTCGTAACACAACGGACATTCACCACTTGCTTCATCTTGAATCTGGCGCAGAGCGTTGGTAGTGAATTTCGTGATAGGGTCCTTGGTGACTGGGTTCTCCTTCTCGGCCTGATCAGTGTCTGTAGTGAAGCGATTGATGAGGTCTTGCAGATCCATGTCATCCGCAAAGCCATTGGCATCTGCTGCTGCGGCTACCGCGGCGTCTTCCTCATCTGCAACCACATCTTTATTCCTGGTCAGAACCGGATGACAGCAGGACTGTCGTAGCCGCAAAATCTGGGCAAATATGGTGGTGTATGACTTCAACACATTACCTGCCTGCACGGATTCGTTGAAGGCTCGTTTTGCTCGAGTGAATATGAGGTCGTACACTTCTCGTTCTGTTTTCGATAATTCGACCTCTTCCACGTTGATCGTCTTGGGCGGAAGTGGAACCAGGGCTTCGCCATCTGGGGTCTTCATATCCTTCGTGCGCCGCAAGACAAGTGGTTCCAACACGGTCTGAACGACATTGAGTGCCCGAGCAATGTCCTTGGACTCGAAAGGCACGGTGATGAATGTCTTCCAGAACGAAAAGTTGCTCCAAGGCTCGACCTTGAGGAATCGAACCAAGCTAAACAGATCCTCCAAGCGATTGACGATGGGAGTTCCCGTCAATACCCAACGGTGCTTCGCTTTTAGTTCATAGCATGCCTTTGACGTCTTGGCCTGCCTGTTCTTGATGTTGTGTGCTTCGTCAAGAATCACTCGATGGAAGTCCACCGAGAACAGCCCACCATGTGATCCTCGATCTCCTCCAGCTGCTGACACCTGACCAAACTCGGACAAGACAATTCCATAACTTGTGATAATGACATTTGGAGCAGAGGCAGCATTTGCAGCAGAGCATAGCGTCTGCAAATTGGCCGTCTTCTCACTGCCATAGTATACCATCGTCTTGAGCGTTCCGGGTTTGGAGCATTTGACGGCTTCGCTCTCCCATTGCGCCAATAGTGACATTGGTGCGACGACCAGCGTCGTGCAAGGCGCTGGAACCACTTCCGTGGACGATTGTGGTAGCCGAGGCAGATGGTTTACGCTCGTGACGCCCTTTTCGGCACCTTCAAGTTCAACGGGCGATCGATTCGAATGTATGAGGGCGTAAATCTCAATGGTCTTTCCAAGACCCATCTCGTCGGCCAAGATGCCTCCGAGGCAATTCTGCTCTTGAACTGGGAAGTCGAGGCCGATCTCTCCAGAATACAAATTGACGTAGAATTTGTCCTGACCTTCCACCTGCGGTACTGGTTTGTCATCGGCATCTCTAGTGGGCCAAGTGTACTCTTCCCACAATGGGTGCATGGATTGCTGTTTGCTGGATTTCTCATCTCTTTCTTTCCCAAGCATCCAATGCAATGCCTGTCTCTGGTATTTCCGTAGATCAAGTGTGAATGTGGATGCGGGCTCGGCTTCTGGCGTGTTGAAATCGAAAGACTGTGCCTTTTGGTACAGTGCATCCAATTGATCTTCCTCCAGCTCCTCACCCTCTTCTTCCTCCTCTGAGTTAGGCGTCGACGTTCCCGATTTGCCTTTTGAAGTCTTTTCTTTGTCATATTGCTCCGCCATCTCGGCAGCCCTGAGGAGACCCTGCTTCTTGTGTTTGGCTGCCGTCTCATTTGTCGTGGTTGGGCTGAGGTTGACTTCATCGAATAGTTTGACCAGAGCCACCTGTCTGAGGCGGAGATCCTTCTCTTCGCTGCTCTCCTTTTCAAGGAAGAAACCAGTAGCCCGATTGTCATCTTTTGGTACGACAAAAGCGCTTGATTCGAAAGCCGACTTCAGCAAATATGCACGCAATTGTAAATAGATAGTATCGTTAACTCGCACGCGATCAGGCGCATAGACGCAAGTTCCCTCAAGGCGGCATATCTTTTGATCCAGCAAAGCCGACACCCATGCAGCAGTTTCCTCGGGTAATCGACCCAATTCGTCGCCTCTGGCATTTGTAAATCTGGTGACAACGTCCACCTTCTGATTCCGCCCAATCAATGGTACAAGCTTTCCACCTTTCCCAACTTTCGTCTTAGGCGTAAGCCTTGAGCGTTCGATTCGGACTGCTTCCCCGTGAGCGAGTAGGTTTGTTCCACTCTTAGTCATCCAAGCTGCGACGCCGAAAGAACCCACGTATCGTTCTTTGGGCATGGAACGTAGCAATGCAGGTTTCGAGGCGACGTCGTCCTTTGGTCGTTCTTGCGTGATGGGAGAACCTTTGCTCGTACCGTTTTGGGCTTTGGTAGGCGCGGTGAGCCAGCTCTCAACTCCTCGTGTAGGTAAGGGTGTTGTGGCATTTATGTTGACAGAAGTCTTCCAAGACCCATCAAGATACATATTGATGGCCCTTTCTGTGTCTCCGTCGGCCGCAGCCTGCACCTTGTCCACGACATCCTGACTAACATCTTCACCAACAAAAGCCTTGAATGTGTCAGCATCGAAACTTGAGGTTGTTTTATCGTCGGAGAAGGGTTGGAGGTCTATAGCGTCGGTCTGACTGGATTTCACTTCGTGACTTGTAGAGGAAGTGGCGGACGTAGGTCTGCTGGAAGCGTTGGCGACGGACGACAATTGCTGGTCGGCAGCATCTTCGGTATCGTCGACAAAGAAGCGCCTCTTCTTCCTGGGCCGTACGTCGACATCCATAAGTGGCTGTGGTTATGATTTTCACTTGACCTTGCAACCGGTGGACTTCAGTTTCTCATTGACGCGGGAAAACGCGTTGAAGACATGCGCGCCCACACGTGAGCAACACTTACTGAAAGTGTGACTGTCTGACAGAGCCTCCTAGCCCAGGATAAGGTTGACAGTCGGCCTGTCTGACAAGACACGTTCACGCCGCCGTTTAATTGATCTTTGAACTTTTTCAATGAAAGGTCCAGGCGTCATGGAGAGGCAACATCCGGGTACACTTCCACGGCGACGAACAGTGGCACTGCAACAAAGATACTAAAATTCCTCTGATATTATTCGAGCTTGATCATATTGCTATTGCTTTGAAGAATGTCTTCATGCCGGATCAGTCGTTGAGCCTTGGCTAGTACGAAGAAGTGCTTGGCCACCATAAATCATCATTGAAACATGTCTCGGTGCGTCTTGGAAAAGATACCTGGTGGTTACGGGGCGCAAAGCCTTTCGAGGACGCCATGTCAAGCACGGAGATTCTTTCTTATGAGCCGTCGCTCGTTCTCAGCGTCGGCAAGAGCCAGACTATCTCTGGAGAGAGGTTCACAGGACGTAAAGAAAGCGCAAGCCTACTGCGCGAATTTGGTCCGGTAAGACGATGATTCTTTGATTCACAAAGTCCGATGTTGAAGACGACATCTGACGGTTTGCAGCAACTATGACTCTCCTTCATATACTCTGGCTCATTTCGTCCCTGCTCACGTGCAGCCAGCATATTTCGCCATTCGAGCATTCAATATCGAACTCGCCCGGATACCCGACGTGGTATCAATGCCACAAATCGGTGCCATGAGAATGCAATTCTGGCGAGAGACGATCGACAAAGCCTTCAAGCTCACGCCTCCAGAAGAGCCTGTCGCTATTCTTCTGGCTTCCTATCTTACTCAGGGTCACAAGCTTAACAAGACCTGGTTCCAGCGCATAATTTCGGCCCGAGATCGCAAGCTCACGCATTCTGGCTTCACGAACTTGGCCGAACTGGAGTCATATGCCGAATCGACGTACTCGACCCTCCTGTACTTGACTCTTTCGGCACTTCCGTTGAATTCTGTAACCACGGATCACCTGGCATCCCATGTTGGAAAAGCAGCCGGCATCGCCGCTGTGCTTCGTGGAGTCCCATTGCTTGCATTCCCGCCCCCACCGAATCAGCATTCGAACAACCCTGCTGGGTTGGGACTCCCTCCGACACGAGAGAGGCAGGGGTCCATCACACTGCCCTTGGACGTTATGTCACAATGCGGAGTCAGAGAAGAAGACATCTTCCGAAACGCGTCAGATGCTACAGGCATACGCGACGCAGTGTTTGCCGTTGCCACTCGTGCTTCCGACCATCTAATCACAGCAAGGACCATGTTGAAAATGATTCGAGAGTCTCAGGGCCCCGATCATGACTTTGAACACATCAATGACGAGGGCCATGTGTACAGCGAATCTGACAACGATGTTGAGAAGCAGAAAAGGGACAACGATAAGGGCTTTGGCGTTGTGATGGGTCCGGCCGTCAGCACGCAATTATGGCTCGATCGGCTGCAAAAGGTAGATTTCAACATTTTTGATGAGAGTCTTCGGCGTATGGAATGGAAGTTGCCATTTGCGGCGTGGTGGCGCAACAGGAGGGGGCAATTTTAATGTCCACGAAGACACAGACAGAACTTGTTGATGTCGGGAGATCAGCCCGATCACGGTGACAAAGTCGAAAGATCTAGCCTTGCAAGGTGTTTCTGCGACTCCGACTTAGGAGCATAGCATCGCCCTTCTTGCCCAGGACAGCCTCGATGGCTCCTATCAGCGCTTGTGGATCGTACAGCATGACACCCTTGTCACTCTTGCGTCCGTATAGCTTTAGGCAGTCGATGCCCACGTCCGCGAGACGCCCTCGATCGACCTGTGGGGTACCTTCGCCAATGAGGTGAATCACATGTGTCACATACTGTCGATATATCGAGTCTCGACTGGAATTCTTCGGCTCGTATTGAGGAGAAGTCCCGGGCATCAGATAGTCACCATGTCGTGCAGCAGGCGATGTAGCCACGGTTGTTTTCAGACTGTCATCTGAATGGGAAGTATGGAGTACTGGTCTCCAGACATGACCGCGAGACTGTTCGCCGGCGCGAGCAATCGCCTCCACAAAGTCGAAAGCGGAATAGGGGCTTGAGGTTGGGCCTGTCTCACGATCCAATGTACCGTTCAAGATGAGGATCTTGTGTCGAGCCGGAGTCAACCGTAGTGCATCGCCAACACCTTTGAGAACAATGGACGGTATGATGGATGTATACAGAGACCCTATTGAATAAATCACCGCTTGAGACTGCTTGATGGCAGCGATGACACGGGGATTGGCAGGCGGTAGCATTTCTTGTCCGTACGGGTTGATGTACCAGATGCGCTCGATTTGTGCCGGAAGGTCTTCTTCCTCGCTTTTGCTGAACTTGATATTGTTCTGGCGAAGGGTGGGGAGCGTCCCAGGAAAGTTGGCATCCTCGGTCTCCTCCGTGTGATCTACACTATGCCTGCTTCTGGCAATATGATGTCTTCCTGTGGAGACAGTAGGCATCTCCAGAGCCGTCGCTGCCGCTGGATGGGAAATGTTGTTCTGACCAACAATGACATCGCCATTGGCGAGTCCAGCAGCTATATGATGAGAGAAGTTAGAGGTGATGCTAGGAATGACGCGCACGTCTTCTGGTATGGTGCAGATACTGCTCAATAAATAGATTGCTGACTCAAAACTGCCACTGAACAACCTCGCGCCAGTCAGAAAGAGGTTGCCCACACTTGCAGAAGTGAAATCGAATGTTGACGCCGGCCTTGCCCGCTTGAGGATCTCAAGATTGAGTAGGTTGAGGAATGATCGGACGAGTTCCTTCTTGGCCGCTGAGATCGCTCGCCATAGGTCGGACGTGCCGGACACGATCAGCTGCCATTCCGCAGCTGCATCAACGGAGGAAGTCGACGATAAGCGATGATTGAACAGGGATGATATGGCTAATCTCTCTGGGGAGGAGGGATCCGTTGGTATGAGTCTGACCAAGCGACTGCGTACATCACCGATTCCTGGCCCACCAAAGACTCTGATCAATTCTGAGGAGGAACCGCCGTTGTCGCTGATTGGAATGATGTAACTCAGTGGGCATGCTTTGTTCTCGCGGACTGCCTCGAAGACATCGACAAGGTTATTTGCTGCGCTGCCGCCCGAAAAGACCACTATACCTTTCGTGTCTGTCATTTGGGTACCACATCAAAGCAGCTCAAGGAAGGTAGAGAGTGTAAAAGAAGAGGCGATAATGTGTTCATATATCGTGCTCGATTAGGGAACATTCAGCCTCGTTTGGCTGCCGGGGCTGCGTTTCCTTCTTGGGCGATGATCGGTATAGGGAGTTCAGCCGCAAAAGCAGAACAGGGAAGAAATTTCAGGCATGGGCGTGCACTAGGCTCACTAGGCTAGCGAGTCCACTAGGAAATGCCAGCCTGGCCATTAAAGATGCCGCCTGTAATGCTTATCTCTGCCCCTAAGAAAAGCTTGGCCAAGCACCAAAAGTACCGCAGGATCCCCCGCGTCTCGTGCTTGTGTCAATCGCTTTTTTTCGATTTCGCCAGCAATTTTATCCCTTCGAATCCTCCCAATCCTTCAATACCGAAAAACGTCAGCTAGACCCTGTTTCATAACCCGCAGTGCGAGTCTGGTTTCCTCCTCTCCCTTATCACTCCGTTAATATGCGATCTCAAACCTTGACAACGAATTTGCAAACTGCGCAATAGACCTCGATGACGTTCATTACAGCACCCCGCGGAGGATCCCACGTAACATCTCATCGTAGACATCGCGACAAGCCTGGACGGCCATTCTCTCAACGTCGACGGACTCAAACCTTCGACATGGAGTCTCAGTCGGACGGTCATGTCAGGTTCGAAGAGAGTCTAGAGAACCTGCAGCGCAGTCGGACCGCAACCTCGCCCACTGCTCCCTTGCAGCACACCGATACTGCTGGATCCAAGGTCTCTGTCAAGACGATGCGAAGAAGAAATAGACAAGGGTCTAATACTGTCATATACGGCGGGACCGATATGGGCAGAACAACGGGATGGGCGCCGGGACTCGAGCCCGGAATTGACACAAGCGACCCTGCACCAACTGGACAAGAAGGACATTTGACTTCGGTACATTACGAAAATCTCAAGCAAAGATGTGAGATCACGGTGGTGGACTTCAGCAACGATGATATTACCACGACAGACCTGGACAACGACAACCTCGAAGAATTCTTGCAGAAGCCTCAGCAACCGGCCGACGTGAGGTGGATCAACGTTAATGGCCTTTCATGGGATGTGATCCGACTTTTGGGCAACAACAAGCGCCTTCACCCCCTTGCCATCGAGGATTTGATCAACACCAGGAATAGGACGAAAGTGGATTGGTATAGTGACCATACTTACATGGTTCTACCTCTCCAAAAGCTCATCAATCTTGCGGACGATGAGGATGACGACGACGAAAGCTCAGACGACGAGAAATCCTTTCTGCCTGATTTCATGAGGAATGAAGACGCCGGATACGGTGCGGACATTCTGACCGAACGCCAAAGAAGAAACAGGCTGCGCAAGAAGAAGGGCGCCTTCTGGGCACTGTGGGATGACATTTTCAAGCCTAAGAAAAACACCAACGCAACACAGCCCGACAACCTAAACCTCACTCCCACGTCCAGTTTCAGGAAACCAAGCAAAGGCGAGACGCCATGGGCACCTAGACAAACTCGATCAATGCAACGCTATCACTGCGGCCCGAACATAGACCGTATCGAATATATGGAACGACACTCCGTCCTTCGATCCCGCGGTATCGGCGTGTCCATGGAACAAGTCTCGATCTTCCTCTGCGCCGACAACACCGTGATCTCCTTCTTCGAGTACTCGGCGCACGACGTCCAAACACCTCTCATCCGCCGTCTCCAAACACCAGGCACCATTCTGCGCCAATCCGCCGACGCATCTATGCTGGCGCAATCGATCCTCGATGCAATAATCGATCTGGCGATCCCGGTCACCACCGCGTACCAAGACGTTATAGGCGACTTGGAACTTGACGTCTTAACCGACCCAGACATCCACGAGGGCAACACGCTGTACATTCTGACCTCGGAGATCTCCATCCTGCGTAACGCTATAGCACCTATTGTCCAACTCATCGGTGCGCTGAAGGACCACAAATCCGACGCTGTAGCCATGCCTCCGACCAGCCCAGCACCGATCGCCAACGGCGACCCCATGAACAACCAAAAACCGCCTTATTCTCGCAAACAATCCCATTTCATTTCTTCGGGCGTGCAGATATCGCCCCTCTCAGTCACATATCTCGGTGACGTCGAGGACCACGCGCTGCTCATCCAGGATGGGTACGACCAAATGCGCCGCAGCGCTGACAACTTGGTTGACCTGATCTTCAACACCGTCTCGGCCTACCAGAACGAGAGCATGAAACAACTCACGGTCGTGACGTGCTTTTTCTTGCCCCTGACCTTTCTGACGGGGTACTTTGGTATGAACTTCCACAACTTCGACGGCGTGCAACTTCACAGCGATGCTTTCTTTTGGATCATTTCAGCCCCGGTCAGTCTTGTCGTGTTCTTGATTCTCATGCGCGATGTCATGACTCGCAAGGTTGTGCGGTGGGCGCAAAAGGCGCTCATTGCGCGTGGGAGGAGGAGGAGGTTGAAGGGCTCTTGATGCCTCGTGCCTATTGTATCTGCAACAAATACTGGGTTGCTTTCAAGCTTGATAGCGTTGTCTTCGCGTTCGGGATGCTTATTTGCGGACAACAGTTACCACTTGTGCAATGTACGGATTCGGCAGCGATGTACATTGAGAACACAAAAGGAGGCGGCAACTTGGGCGATACCAGCAGCCTTTCAGCTACCAAGAGTCTTATGACCAGAGGCTTGTCTATATCAAATATATACCATCCGTGGGCACGTTCAAGTCCTAGTCGCTCGTCGAGATCATACAGATGTCATGTTCCTGTGAAGGCACTGTGACCACTGTTGCTCTTCAGGCTCAAATAGATACCAGTCCTCTTGTCGTCCCGGACTCCTTCGCGAACAACGATATAGCGTTAGTCTTTGACGGCGGGAAGGCCATCAGCTCTATCGTACAGTCCTACTAGTCTAGATTCAAGGCACCCACTGTCGCGGAACTGCTGGACCATGAACTTACATCGTCGATGTACTCCCTGTCTGATGTGCCATTTTTGCTCGAGATTGGCTCCCCAATTTCGTTCCGTCGCACATTCGGCCTACTACATGCAAACGCTTTATCTCACGAAGTAAGACTTGCAATTCAAGGTGGCCCCCATGTTGAGAGGAATGCAGTCGTACTTTGTTATTGAAAAAGATCTGTTTGTCAACGTTGTATCGCTCATTAACGACTATGTATGTCCGCCGGTCCATTCTGCGCAGATGCAGTACTTCGTGGGTATCATTAGGAAGATGAAAAAAGGAAGAGCTGGTGCCAACCCCTGGCCACCGAAAAGTCCATAGCAACAATCAATTGTCAGCCATGAAAGCTCCCCACAATGCATCCTCTGTCGATTCTCGCTTCCTGGCCTTTCCAGCGCGGATATTTCCCTTCCCATAAGCCTTGACTTCGTCCTCGTCGTCATCATCATCGCTCAATGTTTCGGCTTTGACGAGTTTCTGCTTGCCCTTGTCGTCTCTCTTCCTCTTCCGCACCATCAACTTCAGCTCGAGCGGTACCAGACTCCTAGTGGTCCCGGGACTATCCTTGGTATCCAGCTGTTTCCGGCAAACCGGGCAAACGCCTTTAACTTTGCGGTTCGGGGGAGCGTCCTCGCGCCGTTGTTCAATTGACCAGTTCAGCGTGTCTGAGATGCAGCGATGGCAGAAGACATGGCCACATATCGTGGTTGTGGCGTCCGTAGGTGTGTCCATGCATACCGGACATTTGTAGGCGGTCAAGGCCGTTCGACCGGCTTCTGTGCCCGGGTTCTGAGCGAAAATTGCATCTTGACGTTGTTTGGCGAGGGCTGAAGAAAGCGTGGCGTTGTCGTCGACACCGGTCAGATCTACGGACTCTATCGTAGGATCTTCGACTGGTGAACTTGCATCTTGCCGCGTGCTCCGTGACGAAGACGAGAAGGCTGGAGGAGACATTTCGGGAGAGGGATCTTGGGGTGTACTGAGGACTCGTTCACGGTTTCGGGCCTGTGTTCGTTCCCAATTTGAATGATTTTCTCTCTGGCGGTTGATCGCCTCTTGATCAACGATGGCTTGTATCCTGTTATGATCGGCTTGGAGATGAGGGAGTCGAGGTATATGAGGGTTTTGGACGGGAAATAGCCTCAACAGGGCGAGGGGATCGTTGGCGTCGAGAAGAGCAGCGGAATGTGAGTGTGAGTGCGAGTGTGAATGTGAATGTGAATGTGAGCCGTAGACGGGTTCGTCGAGGGTGGTGTTTAATCTTCTAAGTCTTGCACCCGCACTTGATGAGGCGTCGTGAGGATGTGTGGTACGGGACATAAAACGAGACTCTGATGAGTTTTCTGGCGGGCTAGTGTTGGTCAAGTCAACAGCCTCGCTGTCTGGTCTGTTTCTTCTGGCTTGTCGGTGCAGAGCGTCCTGCGCTCCTTGTATTGCCCGGGTCGCCCGTCGAAGAGCTTGGTTGACGTCTTGGACGGTCTCTTGGTAGTTTGCGAGAGGAAGTGTTGCTTGTCTTCGAGAGGCAGTATCGGACATGTTAGTGAAAAAGTCACGGAAGAGTCTCGGTGAAGAAGGAAGACGTGGAGGTTGCGCGGGTCTGTGTGGCGAGCTTTGAGAAGGCCGAGATTGATGAGGGCGCGGAGATGTCTGCTCGGGTTCAGGATGATGGAAAAAAGACCTTGCGTCGACCGGTGAAGAGCTCATGGTGAACAAGAAAATATCGACAACTACATTTTACATGCTGGCGTGGCAAACCATAGTGGTGATTGAACAAAGCCGGGCGATTGAAGTGGTGTTGGAGAAGAACAAAGATCCGATACGATACGAGTATGATGGATGACCAAACGCATCCGCCGCAGTTTCACCCGCCAGCCGCTAGAAGATTTGCCGCCTCAGCCTATTTCATACCAAGCCTGCCTCCTTGTGTATCTTCACTATTATATCGGTGTCTATCTATAACGGCTGCTTAAGGTGAGCGTTCATCGATGCCGACCATGGCAAATTTCAGCGATGTCGCCGTTTGTTTCATCCTTCCCTCGGTCTCAACCTGTTCCCCACGTCACGTGCGGGGATTGATCGAGGGGACGTATACAAGCTGGGATATTGCTTCCAGTCGACATAAACAGCATTGCGGAGATCTAGAACAAAAGTTGAAGAATGTCGAGTGATCACTCCGACCTCAATTGTGATTGACTAAAGGCTTGTGCTAGGTATGCTTCATAATTCATGTGCACCGTTCAGACACTCGACTTGTATTCGCCGCAGCTCTTTCTTGTGCTGTCCACTGTGCACGTCTGGATAGGAATAAGTCCCATATCAACCTAGAAATCCTTCTCGAACTTGTTGGCCTCGGTGTCGACCACGCCATCGATGGCACCATCCATAGCTGTTGGGACACCTTCCTTGCTCAATTCCGAGTTGACAGCTACAATGCTCGTCAGCTCATGTTCCTCTCATCGAGATGAGAATCAATGCATACCTTGATTGACATAGGCGTCACCTGCGTTTTGCTCGACGTTGCTCATAAAGCCTCCTGATGACGATGTGCTTGTGGCACCTTGGGTATCTTGGAGACTGCTTGCTTCTTTGTCGATGGTGCTGCCGGCTGTGCTATCTTGGCTTTCGACCATCTGCTCGCCTTCTTTGATGAAGTTGTCCATATTGGCTGGTAGGTCGGTTGATTGGTTGGGATTGTGATTTGGGATTGTACCGTGTTATGTGAAGTGGTCGATTTGATGGAGGACTAAGTGGAAATGAGAGGAGAGAGCCTTCTTATACACTGAGAAGTGACACGAGCGAGAGCAAAGGGCAAGAGCAACCCCACCAACGATGTCAGAGCATGGCCATGGAATGCCCTTATCTTCCAGGAAATTGTCCCTTGCACAATAATGACCTATCGCTTGGATCTGTTTTCACGGGCAATGACGTGGGCAGTACTTCACATTCGTGCAGGTGCAGACCGATGGTGTTAAACGTCAATATCTGAGTGGTCACCGCCCCCGAAGACCCCTGCATATTGGCCCCTAGAAAACAAGCTTCCAGCCGAGCTTAGCCTCCGCAGTTTCAAAAAGCTTGCAAGGCTTGGTCGTGCATCAACCGGTCATCAGCGCGCCACACCTCAATCAACGGCAGGGCCTTGATTTGTAGCCTCGTGTCACGCCCTGGATGACACAGTGGTGCACGGTGAAGCCTTGGGGGTTTGACGCCAACAAGAACAACAGACTAGGACTTTGCATCCAGCTGATAACTTCAAACGACCTCAAATGTCAGCCAGTAGAGACCTACGTCAATGGGTCACGTCCTCGCAACCCCAGATGACGCAAACCGTCCTCCTGGGGCACAGTCATGTCTGTGCATGAATTCCAGATCGAATTGACATTTTAGATATCCCAGTTGACACATCATCACCCATCATCACCATCACCATCACCAGCCTAGTATTCCCCTCGGTGTATTAAGTTGTGTACTCCAGCTCTAAATCTCGTGTTCTAAGCCAGACAGGAGGTGCTCGCGTGACCACCCCGCTACAAGCAGCCTCGATACATCTCGACAAACTGCCAAAGTGCACCTTTCGTTGTATCATACCTGGTGCATAATGAGCATATTTTGCGGAGTTGGTCATGATGTTCTTCGCATTTAAGGGTATCACGGGCTCTCCCAGCATGCACCAACAAGTGTCAGTGATTACGCTTCCCCCAAAATACTGAAGGTCACCGATGTATCCAGCCTTAGAAGCATCGTCCGCAACGGCGCGGCTCGTGGTCACCACGACCTCAACGCCGCCATGTTTCTTCCGACCCGTCAAGAGAGCAGCAAGCTTCGCAAACTCGTCCAGCGAGAAATGAGGGTTCCCTAGGGAGATGAGCCCGACCGAAGGTTCAGTAGCGGTGTTTAGCTGACGCCAACATTCAATCAGGTCACCATTCGTGACCTCAAAACTCGGTAAGTCCGTGTTGGCCATCCTGGTATTGACTGCTTCAGGAGTTACGCCTTGTACGTGGAACATTGGTGCTGATGCTGTTGTAGCAAATGCTGCTCCGAATGCCTTCAGGTCTGATATCGTTGGACTTGCGTGCTCGATGCCGATTATGAGAGGAATGTCAGGCCCGGCCAACTTACCAACATGATAGCCCAGTAACGGGTAGAACGCATCATCTGCTCCAAGAGACTGCCGCACGTTGATCCTCAGTTTTGGCAGACGTTGTTCCTGTAAGTGGCATCCAGCAGCTGGTGCACGCCCCGTAAGTGCAATGGCAACGTCGAGGAAGTCTGGGTACTTCTGTGTACGTGCTCCAAGAACGCTGTTGGCAAACACCACTGCATTGGACTCAGCCCAGCCAATATGTTCGCCGCTTTTGGGTGCAGTGTCCAGGAGATATGGCGCACAAGTGAAGCTCATACTGGCGCCCATGGCCATGTACGCCTCGGCGAGCTTGTGAGCTTCCTGAGCGATCGCAGGATCCATACCTATCTCTTGCCAACGCCGTTGGTCGATAGATATTGAGTTCAGTGTCGTGGGGACCATAAATTTGGCGCCTAACGATAGAAATCTCTCCGCGAATTCCAGACTTGCGGGTCCGATGTAGATGCAAGCATCAATGTGTGCTTGAGTGACATCCAGAAACGTCTCGGCGGCTTGCATCTCGGCCACGTCGACCAAAATGGTCAACGCCAGCTTCGCTGCCGGCCCGTACGCTCCTTCAAGCATGCGTTTGTCCTTAGTAGTGAGTTGGACAGTTCTTCGAGGCATCTTCGTCAACGATGGAGAAGGTGAAGCTGGCGGGACAGCATGTCCGATGGTCAACGCCGAATCTATGATGACTGCAGTTGATCCACTCCGAAGTGAAGAGAACGCGTCTGCGGATAGGACCAGCACAGGAATGGACTGGTCAAACAGCGCCCTGGCGACCATAACACCTAGTGTGAGTATCTGTTCGGCATGCTGAAATATCAAAGCAGCTGGCGCTTGCTTGCGTAACAGGAGTTCGAGTAAAACGCCACTTCCGGTACACGATCCGCGACCGGACGGTATAGCAAAGATTCGACCTGTAATGCACTCACCCCTAAGAGGATGATGTTGGTCGACTATTACTCCAATCTCAGAGTTGATCCCACCCCAGAAGCTTAAGCTAGTATCTGACACGAGAAGTTCTCCGGAGGCGGTCCCACCGACCAGGCTGCGGGCTTGAATCTCCATGTTTCTAGCATGCTGACGAGCCAGTCGTTAGTGAAGAATTTGTTGGGTGCGGTTTCGACGTTCGAGAACGAGTCACTTCGCGTGGCGATTCTGGACCATACGTGATAGTTTCCGTCGGCTCATATAAAGCACCTAGCTATTTGTTGTGGATTCTGTATGCGGGCTTCTCCTATCGCAAGAGGGAACCCCTAAGAAGCATCAGCCTCGTCGTCCACGGAATTTCCGGCAAATCATAGCACCATTCTGTAGAGGTCGCGGGCATGTCGCAGTCTGCTGTTTTCCTGTAGCGCACACAACATCTGCTATCACGCAGAGGATTCTCTCGTCGTACCATAGTGAAGTAGTCACGAAGGCCACAAAGAGAAGTAGATGGAGAATTGTTGCTGCGTACTTTACAGAACAGGCAAGGCATCGCGCCTGCAACACCCATGAATGACATGCGCCCAGGCCTGAGGAGCTGTCAACTGAAACATGAGTATTCTTCTTCTGACTTCATTCAAATTTCAGCGTTGTTTATGTCGCCATACTTCGCGGCAGCCCCGTCCAGATGCCAGCAAACAGAGTGGCAAAACATGCAGAGACTCGCTTCACTGCCCAGGTGCACTCGGAGGCATACCAAAATAATGTGCCACGAGCATAATAGCACTCTAGCAGGTTCCGACGTTGCTAGCTGCAGGACCTGCCCTTGACGACCCTGTCTGCAATGCTGAGGTAAGTGTGCTCCAATGTATGGCCCGAAAGAACTTTCAAAACACACTGGACCGGGGCTCCACGTTTCTGGTGGTTGCGATGGACGAAGGAGCTCACAACCTCACCGCTTGCTTGCCTCTCGCCGACGCTGTTTCCGGCCACCAGATACCGCGACATGGACACCAATAGAAGAGTGGAAAGGAAGACAAAGCGCAATCGAGGTTGGCCAAGCCCAAGATCCTCAGAAAGAGCATCTGTCCCTCCGAGAATACCAGCGCGTCGGTCGGATCAAAACGTCGCCGACGCCGAGCGGTACCAGCAGGCAACGAGCAAACCAGCCAACCAGAAATTCTCGTTCGCCCATCCCATTCTCCAGCAAAACAAATCAGGTATTTATCCTTTTGAGCCCAAGATACTCCTAACAATCGGCGGATCTCGCTATTCCCGTGACCTGGCCGCACATATGACAAGTGGTTTCGCTCCCACTCGAGTGTGGCCGAGGTCAAGGGGCAGGGTCGGCACACTGCTAGCTAACGCTTCAGTTAAACCGGCAACCCCCCAACGGGATAGCCTTGATCCAAAGATATGTTAGACAAAAAATCCTGAGGCAGCTAAGCTGCCAATGATGGGTTTCTCACCCTTGGGGCAGCCGAGTCAGAGCGAACTCGGTCCCAAGGGCGAGTTTTTGCTCTTTGTTTTTGTTCAAATATTGTACGGGCAGATCGGGGAATGAGCACACTGGAGCAGAATGGGCTTGGCTGAAGACGTGTACCAGAGTTCCAAGGGCGAGTTCTTGCTCTTTCTTTTTGGTCAAATAATCCGTGTTCTTGTGAGGGCAGACTGAGAATCGAACACCTGTGGAGCGACTGGCTTGGATGACGGCGTAAACCAGACTCTCGGCGCAGTGTAGCCATTCAGCATCATGAGTACCCATAGACAGCAAGATTCAATTCGCAGCGTGGGCAGCGTGGTCATTGGAAGACGCGAGAACAACGATCTGTGAGAACAGTTTATTATTCTCTTCCTCTGCTTTGCCGGCAGCATCTTCAAAATATGTCTTTCACGTTCTATGGGTATCAACGATCTACTGGTATCATAACCGACGTCGTCTCCCTCATCCTCTCCCAAAATCTCTACAGTGAAACGCCCAATCGCCCATACATGCGGCCACTCCCCATCCTCGATCGACGCGGGAAAGCTCGCATTCTAAGTCCCTCAAATCCCAAGTGCAATTTTGACATCCCATCCTCAAGTCATCAGATCCCCAACACCCGTTGAGAAATCCAGAAATCAATACGTCCCATCCTGCTGCGCCTTTAACCAAAAACCTTCCATCTCTCCTTGCATCCGCCACCACATCTCTACGAGCTTCCGATCAATCCAGTCCGCATTATCAGGATCCCAAAACTTATCGTGCACCGAAGCCGCACCGCGCTCAACATCCCCATAACTAGGCCAGTTGATATTCCATTTGCCGACGGGAAACCGACGATACGGCATCGGCCCATTCGAGCGGTGTGCATAGTTCAACAAGCCCTGCTCCATGACGCTATCATCAAATCGGCCAGGCGTGTTCATCACACTGAGATAATGATCATACAGCACCTGGTCAGGTCGCATCAGCCAGAACCCGCCGTTGACATAGTCGCCTGGGTCAGGCTTGTTGTCGTGCGGACCTCCCGCATCTGACACGCCGACAAAGACGTAATCTTCCGGCAGCGGCGCTTCGTCGTCCTTGGTATCCTTGGATCTGGTGTACGAGACCTTCTGGACCACATTTTCGTCAAAGATCGGGTCCATGGTTCGGGTAAGCAGCATGTCGAGATCAATAAACAATATTCGCTCATACTCCGTCATGGTGAAGAGTCGTAGCTTGGTGAATTGTTCGGACCAGCTCTCGCGCGCAGGGTGCACCCAATCTTTGTCCGCGTTGAGGACGTCGATGCGAATGACAGTCGCTCCTTCACGTTCCAGCACGTCCGTCTTGTCGGTGTCGACGTGGTGCGGCGTCAGGATCAATAGCGGGTAATCATTTGTCGTCTTGGTGTCGGGGTGGTGTAAAAGTTGATATGTAAGCACCCGGGCAGCGGTGAAGTACTTGTCGTCCTTGCGTGTGTCGTTTAGCGGACTCGAGAAAAATGTCGCATACGCATAGCTCTTGGGTGATGTTGATGTGGTTGTCGACAGCCCGCCACTGCTGGTCTTGGGCCTTCCGTGAGGGTGTCCATATGAGTGTCCTTTGCCGGCGTTCTTGAGGACGCTGCCCAACGCCGAGATATGTTGTGATGGTCGGAATGACTCGCTTGGAGGTCGAACTTCAAGCACGGCAAGGAAGAGCAGACATACCGTCACCAACAGCGTCGACAGAGCTACCTTGGAAAACCTCTGCATGGCGTATGAGGCATTGACCTTCACTTCCCACTTCCAAGCCTGTCGTTCTCAGGGTACTATTATCCGTATGTCGAGTTACTGGACGGAATCTCTAGGAAGACAGGAAAGTGACGATGGCAATGGCAGGAAAGAAGCCGTGTTTGCAAGTCGTTCGTAGTTGACATGGCACCCATGCTCGCTCCGCCATGGTCTCCTTATTTTATGACACTGCTGGGTGGGCGGTCCAGGCTTGTTGTGACTCGTGGTCCTGGGCTGGAAGGTACCATTGTCAGGAGATTCAGGGGCCGTGCAGTGTCGAGTGTGGGCCTGTCAAGACCATTTTGACAGCTGAATTCCGCTTTTGGCATTTTTGATCTGACGAGATTTGGTGTCATACCGGCTATTCCATAGTGTAGAATGCCACCTCATAGTTGTCTGACAATATTGACTTTAGGCCTGAAACGAGTGTTCGCGTCTGGCAGATGTCCTTTAGAGCTTCTTGAGGTCAATTTCGCTTATCGGATCTTTCGATATCTTCCCTGATGGCCCAGCACGAGCCTAGCACGTGCCCAGTTGGGCCAGTAGGATCTTAAAGACAGAGAAGTTATCAGATGTGAGGAAAGTTAACATAGCACTCTGCCCAATGATGCGTAATCGATGGTGCTTTACGGACGGGACATGTAAAGTCAGTTCATGGCAAAAGCAATAGAACATCCGAAGGTTTGCAATATAGCAGATCACGAAGCTCTAAGAGTCTATGCTTTACATCCCTCCGGTTACTACGAGGATGAGCAAAGCCTCTTGTCCCACACTCCTACTCTTTATGGAAACCTAACCCGGGTCTGGAATGTTCCATCACTTCAGAGGGCCTGACTTTTGCATTGGGAGCAGTACTGTGCAGTACCTAGGTAGGTCATCATGCGTAGCGACGGCGGGTATTATTTTATCGTATGTTCAAAGCCACTAGTTTGATTCCGCCCATTCCCTAAACCAATCCAAACATTCGCTGTTGGCCACGCTCGCGCTGGTCTTGATGTTCATACCACTCAGGATCTGCTTGACAGCGCCTTCCACCTTCTTCCCGTTCGTAGTGACCGGGATTTCAGGACACTCATCTATAATCTTGGGCACGTGTCGTGCGCTCAATTCTTTCTTGACCACCGCCTGGATCCTATGGACAAGCTCGCTTGAGAACTTGTGGCCATTTGACATTTTGAGGAACAGAACCACCACTTCATCCACATCCTGCTCGCGCTTGCGTCCTATGCACAAGGCATCTTCGACTTCTGCTCCAAAATGCTTGAGAACAATGTTGTAGATCTCGCTAGACCCAAATCGGACACCCATTGGGTTCAGCACACCGTCCGAGCGCCCAAGCATCCAGATCCCGCCCGTCGACGGGCTGATGCGGACAAAGTCTCCGTGGGTCCAGATGGGATATCCCGTCTTTTGGTCCTTGAAAACTTCGAAATACGAAGACTTGTACCGGGCTTCACCTTTGGGACCAGCTGGCCAAAACATGCACGGTTGACACGGGAATGGCACTGTGCAAACAAGCTCTCCTGGCTCTCCCGTGGACGTGACGTCCTTTCCATCCGGTGAAAAGGCCCTCACTGCCATGCCCAAGCCTCGGCATTGTATCTCCCCGACATACACTGGGAGTACCGGACAAGGTGTGCCAAACAACGAGATAATGTCTGTACCTCCTGTAATGGAGCCCAAAAGAACGCCAGGATGTGGTGCAGGCGGTGACAACTTTTCGTAGACGTACACGTAGGTGCTCGGCGCCAAAGGTGATCCAGTGGAGAAGATCGATTTGAGTGATTCGAGCGTCGCTCCGTGCGGACTCGCTTTCCGGGGAACGACGTTGGCTTGTTCGAGAACAGACAGGTACTTGGCAGAAGTCCCGAAGTGGTTGATTTTCAACTCGTCAATCAGCAAAGGCATGCTCATTTCCTTGTGCGGCTGGAATGGAGAGCCATCGTATACCACAATCGTCGCTCCACTGGCAAGACCAGACACTAACCAGTGCCACATCATCCATGTGACTGTGGTGAAGTAGAGTAGCCTGTCACCAGGCTTGATATCAGACTGTATAAGATGTTCTTTTTTGTGCTGTAGAAGGGTGCCCAGAGCGGCGTGTACGATTGGTTTGGGAACGCCAGTAGTACCGGAGGAGTACAGGATGTAAACTGGGTGGTCGGGATGGAGGTAGGTGAACTGTAGAGGCCTTGAGGCATCTCCTTTGGAAAGGAAAGAGGAATAAGTCTCGACCGTCGTGTTAGGATGCCGTTCGAGCGACGCCAGGTCAAAGTGGTGGTCGGGTAGTGTTTCGAAAATGACAACGTTCCGTATTGATGGCAAATCGGCAATGACATGAGCCACTTTGCTATGAGTCTCGTGTGTCCTGCCATTATATGTTACACCATTGTCGGCGAAGATCAGGACGGGCTCGACTTGACGCAGCCGGTCGAGGACCGCATGGACACCAGTGTCAGGGCTGACTCCTGACCATATCGCACCTAAAGAGGTCGCTGCAAGCATGGCCACCACTGCATTGGCATGATTTCCGAGGTATCCCACTACTCTTTCCCCTTGCTTCACACCATGTGTCTCCATCGCTGCAGCGCATAACCGCACCCGCTCACGCAACTCTGACCAGGTCATTTCCTCCCGAGTGTTTTCACTGGCTGCGATGATGGCTGCAGAGTCTGGAGGTGGATTCGAAGAGGGGAACAACAGGTTTTCGGCAAAGTTCAGTTCGCAACCAGGAAAGAAGGTGGGCTTTGGAAACATGGGGAGAGACTCGTCAAGGATCTGGTTATGGAGAGAGTCAGTGGAACGTCCGCAAGTCTGGTTGTGGTTTCAACGCACTGATTCGTATTGTTTGTGTGCCTTGATTCCAGTATAATGCCATATCTCCTCCCAGAAAGTGCTGGGATGATCCACGCTCCATTGCCATAGGTCACTGTATGTACCTACTGAGAGGTTGTGCTTTTTCGCGACATGCTGCTGGAAAGCATGAAATTCGGTCGCCTCCGGGCGAGGATGTCGCCATAATTCGATGGGCTCGGTTTCAGCCTTGCTGATGCCATTTTGAGTTATCCCATTGGTACCGTGTTGAGCCATAGTGTTGCGGTTGAACAGAGAAAACAACGAGTGTTTGGGGAGCGCACGAAGCATTGATATGACATGGTTCCTCCAGATCTTTTTGGTGGGACCGGAAGGCTATTTACGGATGTGAGCCTCGGACTCTCGCCTCCGGCAAGGGACATGGCTACTTGGTGTCGGTTCCGAGACCGACGCGCAGTTGAAGATGCAGTGGAGGTTCCAGATTGTTGAAGCAGGGAAGGATCAGGAGGAAGCATGCAAGTATATAAGTCGGTTAGTCTGTCAATTGAGTCCAGGTACTCTGACTCTCAACCTTTCTCATCACAGCTCGTCCAATCGGCTCACGAGCGAGGCACGCGTTCCAAAATGCATCAAAATCAACGCCTTCGAGATCCGAGATTCGATGCTGGGCTTCGACCATCTCTCATTTGTATGGATTGGCGCTGTGTGGCTATCCTGCTGTACGACGTGCATTATTACCTAGGTAACGTGATTGCTAACTTGACCATCATTGATTTCAGGTGTTGATGTCAGCGATCGGAGGATTTCTTCTTATTCATCGCCGGATAAGTGGAAAAACGATCACAAAGTGACGATTTCGATTGCCAAGGGCTTAAATAATATAACGTTTAACAGACTCTGCAAGTGGCTCCAAGTGGGCATGCCTAAGACCAATCGCTGAAGAAGGAAGTGTTAGCCCCCAGCCATCTATGATGGTACTATGGTACCTTTGCCGGTCCCCCTATTCTTTTTGTCCCTAGGCGAACCCAAATCCGCCCCAAACTTCAAAGGGCCCCTTCGCTTGAAACGCGCCCGCCGCCCAAAGCAATTTCACAAAGCTCGCGGGCAAAGAAAGCGACAAGGGCGAGCCTCCTCAGTGCTAATTTCCATCGATCTCCCTCCAAACCAATCCACTGTCAGCACCAAAAAAGAGCAAACCCAGCAGCTGCTCTTCGCGTCCTTTTCGTGTCGTGTGCAATCACTTCACTCTTCTTCCTTATCTGAACACTCTCACATCTGTATTGTTTTCCTCGACGTTATTATTCCTTTTCTTCTGGCACATCTCTGCGTGCCGTTGCGGTAAACCGTTCCCCAAGAAAGACCTGCGCGCTGCGGCTGGAGCGGGCGGCTCCTCCTGCAAGGGACACGGCTCTTTCTGATCCAATCCAACCACAGCTCGACGGATCAGAGCGGAACTCGTTCTGTCATCCCGGCCAAACCGGTCCATTTCTTCTCTCTCGTCCACTTGTCATACTCGTCGTACTTCTATCTCGCAAAATTCCTCCAATCCTTCTGAGAGCGCTTTGTGTCTTTTTGTCCCTGTTGCCACATGGTCTACATACCTACGACATCCTCCAAATCGACTCGAAGACCCGATTGCTCCTTGAGCGCGCCACCGACCTTATCGTCCACGAGTAATTTATCGCGAGAAAAACTCTTGCGACTACACCGCCACACTCGCGTCCGCGGCCTCTGCGGCACTGGATCAGCTCAACACTCGAGCAACCTCCAGGCAGCTGCGCTCCGAGCGTGCGTCGACGTTGTTTTCGCACTGAGACGACTGTCAGATTTCTCAGAAAAAGCTTCTATACCGTCCTTTGGCCATGCCTCGTCGTTTGTCGACCTCCCTCCTCAGCAGTTCGCCTCCGACCCCCTGGCCGTCCTTTTCACCATCCGAAAAGGGCGGTACCTTCGTCAACAAGACGTCCCAGAAAGCAAGCAAAATCGCGCAATTTTTCTCGACCTCACCCAAATCCAAAGAAGCACAAACTGCGGCAGCTGCGCTGTTAGCGGCTAGCAAAGCTCAAGAGCAGGCATTCCTCGCTGCAGGAACAATACCCATCAGCACACCATCACTGTCATTACCTACAATTTCCTTATCCACCGCCCGTGCAGACGCAGTCAACATGGACGAACCACCGACAACGCTGTTTCAGCCGCCTTCCGTGGCCGAAACGAGAAAGCTTGCCCGGCAACACGCTGAATTTGGACCTTTAAACTCTCAGTCGCACAGATATACAAGTCGACACCAAGGTGGCGAATTCCCTGAACCTGTCATGGACGAACCGCCCTATTACTATCTCTTGACAACCTACATTTCCTACCTCATTCTCATAATATTCGGTCACGTCAGGGACTTCTTCGGCATGAAGCTCAAGGAAGACAACTACCGGCACTTGAAAGCGCGGAACGGCTATGCTGCGCTCAACAGTGATTTTGATAACTTTTACGTCCGCCGATTAAAGATGCGCATCAATGATTGCTTCAATCGGCCAACCACCGGCGTTCCCGGTCGTTACATTACTCTCCTGGACCGCACATCAGATGATGGAAACTACCATTTCTCCATGACAGGAACCACAACCGAGACACTAAACATGAGCTCCTACAACTACCTTGGATTCGCTCAGTCCGAAGGTCCCTGCGCAGATTCGGCCGAGGAGACGATCAAAAAGTACGGACTTTCAACATCTAGTTCCAGGGCCGATGTTGGCACTTCAGAATTGGCCGTCGAATGCGAGGAGCTCATTGCCAGTTTCGTGGGCAAGGAATCCGCGATGGTGTTCTCTATGGGATTCGGAACGAATGCCTCCATCTTTCCAGCCCTCGTTGGTAAAGGAGATTTGATTATATCTGACGAGTTGAATCATGCCTCGATTCGCTTCGGTTCAAGGTTGTCTGGCGCAATGATCACCTCCTTCAAGCACAACGATATGCAGGATTTGGAAGTTAAGCTTCGTGAAGCCATCTCCCAAGGTCAACCCCGCACGCACCGACCATGGAAAAAGATTCTGGTGGTTGTTGAAGGCTTGTATTCTATGGAAGGTACCATGTGCAATCTTCCAGGCATTATCAGGCTCAAGAGGAGGTACAAATTCAACTTGTTTGTCGATGAGGCTCACTCGGTTGGTGCATTGGGTCCTCGTGGACGAGGTGTGTGTGACTATTTTGCAATCGACCCGGCAGAGGTGGACATTCTCATGGGCACTCTTACCAAGTCTTTTGGCGCCAATGGAGGCTATGTGGCCGGAGACAAGGTTGCCATTGACAAACTGCGAGTTTCGACTGCGGGTGTGACTTACGGCGAGACCCCTCTACCTGTGGTTCTGGCACAAATCATCGCAGCCCTCAAGCTCATCAATGGTGACATCAGCCCTGGTCAGGGTGAAGAGCGTCTTCAGAGAATCGCCTTCAACTCGCGCTATCTTCGACTGGGTCTCAAACGGTTGGGGTTCATCGTCTATGGTAATGACGATTCGCCCATCATTCCAGTGTTGCTCTACAACCCTGCAAAGATGCCTGCCTTCTCCCACGAAATGCTCAAGCGCAAGATCTCGGTCGTTGTCGTCGGCTACCCGGCTACCCCTTTGATATCGTCACGAGCACGGTTTTGCGTCTCCTCGGCGCATAACAAGGACGATCTCGATCGCCTCTTGGCAGCATGCGATGAGATTGGTAACGTCCTCCAGCTCAAGTTTGCAAGCGGCATCGCTGGCGGTGCTCCTCCGCTGACCGATGGCGCTTCCTGGGAGGTGGAACACAGTCGCAAGCGATTGGAAAAGCATGACAAGGTTGCTAAGTCGATGGTGCATGCACCACGATGGACCTTGGACGAGGTCATCAAGCGTGGCGTTCAGGATGTGAAATTACCACTGCGATAAGTTCCGAAATGATTGAAGGTACTGAGCAGTACGATCTGATTATGCGTGCGCTTTTATTGTGCGACGCCGTTCTTGAATCACCACCATTGCAAGGTGTTGTGATTGTCATTCTATGTTACTGTTCATCAGAGCCGAGGCGCAAGGCTGATTGTACATATTGTTTTTCTACGGATTGCGCCGGTCAAGGGCCTGTCCTGTTACGAGGTGAAGGGTACAGATACCCTGTCAAGAGAAAAGGGCCGGGGCGTTTCTCCAGTGGCGACTCGCATTGGAGTTGTTTGCACACTGTAAGACAAATATCTACTATTACCTTTACTCAACGTGTTTGCCTTGGTCTTCAGGGCTTGCCATTTAAGTGGCCAATGTTCAGCCTGGTTCGAATCGAGAGCGTGAAAGTGAGACGGAGTGGTCTGCTGACCTGCTCTCTTCTGCAGGGTCCTCTTTGCAGCATTTACACACACAGAGGCTAGGTAAGGTGGTAGTATTCTTCCCCTCGTCGATGCCGTAACGATACAATTCCCTACGGCCACTGCTGTATACTGCAGAACATATGCGCTTTTCAATTTGTCCAGAACCGAACACCATGCAGGCAAATGAAATGGCACACCTTGGACATGTTGGCTAGCTTCGTCGGTTAGTCCGGCACAACTGTGATAGGTTCCTTCTTCCCATGTATGTCATGACACTTGGATTGATTTGCTCGTTGATATCCGTGCAAAGCCGAAAATCACCATTCTCGGTTTGCAACAAGATGGTACGAGTAACAGGAAATGGAAGCCCCGCGGCAAATAGAGTCAATTGAAGCTAGAATATGCTTGCTTTACCGGTTTACTTGGAGTGAGTGCATGTACTAGGCTGACGAGGCGTGGCTGAACATTGCCGATTTTGACTGCTCTGTTATCAGGTCGATGAGCACGTCTTAGAAACGTATGGGCGACAAAGATTGTGCCAGTTCATTCAGTTTCTAAGAGCTGAGGGCGAAGATATATTGCAGATGCTGCTTACAAGCTTGGAGAGAGAGACGCGTCACGTGCACATAGCATCACGTGGGATAAGAAACGATTCAACTGCATCTTATGAATTACTCACTCTTTCTCTCGCGACGTCAATCCAGAACTTTGCTCATTGTCAAGACAGAGCCGAAGATCCCTGTCTCCTACACAGTGCAACACGCCTATTCATATCGACCGTTCTATGGCCGGGCGCATCATGATCCAAGGTCAATGTGATAACCCTAGCCAAGGCGGGTGTTCATTTGTTCAACTCTACTCACTACTGCATGCATGGCCCAGAGCGACCGAATCCTGCCACGTCAACCTCACCGCCCTTTGGTGGAGGACCCGGTCCGTTACCTGTCGTTTTGCCTCGCTCCGCTCAATTCGTTCTTGATGCCCCGCAGAATGCAGGCGGCAGATGTCCCCATCAAAACGCCTGACAGCGATCAGAGTCAAACCGCATCTGGTAGCGCCTTTGTTGCCTTGAGTGGTTCGCGAAGCTCTGACCGGTCGAGATATCCAAACTCTCACGCCCACATGAAGCGGGTGCATGCGGGCAACTGGCCTGCTGCTCAATCCCATCATTCTGATAGTCTTTTCTATCTTCATCTCGCTAACCTACGACTAGACATTACTTCTCTATCTTCCTTGTCCCACTTTTAGTCCTTAACTTTGATCAGTCTGCGTCTCCTGCGCCTCCACCAGAGCGACGAGGCCACTTTACTTACTTGTTTTCATTCCTTTGCGGACCTACGAGAAACACCTCGTGCCTGCCTTGTCCTGCTTTCCATTCACTTCCTGTTACAATGGAGCCACCACCTCCCCCAGCGCACGATTTCCGCCCCGTGAACCCTAGAGGTGGTGTGGAAGTCCTCGACGACCCTTTCGACGAGATACCTGGGTCGCCTGTGCATCATGAAGAGCGGAGGCCCAACGTTCAACAGCGCTTCTCGGCAATGTCATTCCATGACGATGTGCAGGGAGCTCGGCCACGTGCTGAACGTATCAGGCCGGTCAATGATCTCCCTGAGGCTCAAAACTACATTTATTATCGCGTGGAGAAGGCGGGCGAAGACTGGGGTACTGCTATGCCATCGAGGATCTGGGCACCCGTCTCTGAGATTGAGAAAAGAGCTCGCAAAGGCAGAGGCGGTGACCGGCCTATCCTCGAGCAAATGACACAGATGAATAGGATGCGAAGGGACCAGATTGAAGATCTTGTACATAGGGCCAATCTTCGCGAGACTGGAGGCAGCGTGTGGGAGCCTGTCTACGTCAAGACAAAGAGGATCGACAAACCCAATGGAAGATTCGAAGTGCCGGAGATGGACGTCATACTGGCTCGGATTAGAGGACGACGGCAAAATCGGCCGACATCTTTCGGTGAAGACGTCGTGAATGTCAGAGAAGGAAGAGTCAAGGAGAAGATATACGCCGACGACGTGTATGCGCGTCCCCGGAAGGATTCGGTGCTGGACAAGCTCGAGGATCCCGTCGCTAATCGGCCACTCTTCGGGCTCGATGGACGACCAATGGACGATTTGGGTCCAGTCAACTTCGAAAATGGTTCACTCCCACCTCACATTGCCCGAGAAAAGCCGCTTGGAGCAAAGCCCGAGAAAGAAAAAAAGCGCGACAAAAGTGAAAACCGCAGCAAGTCCCGGGACAAAGGTCACCACGAGGACGGCGATGGCGTTGTAGTTGTGGATGATGGGGCCGACTTTCATGCTTCTGGAGCTCTATTCGGGGCGATCGACGACAGGCATGGACGAAAAAGGGGCAAGTCTCCGCGACCTCGTGGTCACCCTCAAGTTGAAGGTCGAAGGTCTCATTCGCGATCGCGTCCGCCTGCCGGGAACCGCGGCCACTCCCGGGCGACTTCACACTTGCGCAGGGAATCAGTGCACTTCCCAAACCGACATACACAGGAATATCTGCACGGCAGCAGTGCTTCCTCACAAACCAGTGACTCTAGTCATTTTGGACGCGACGATGCAGAAAGTTCCAATACTTCATTTACCTCTGGCGGTGGTCCGCGACGTGGCAGCTTGCATCACGGCCGCCCCGAACCTGAGAGGGTGTATTATAAACAGCATCATCGTGGACCGACGAGAAGTGCCTCGTACGCCGACAATCCGTATCATGGTGAGGAGAGGTACATTACACCGGCTCGAACACCAGGACGTGAGTACACGTACCGCGAGCAACGACCGGATGCTCGATACGAGCGTCGACCTCCTGCTGTGATCCGCCAGACGACATTGCCGATCGACTATCATGGCGGTCAGGACCTCGTGCGGGCTCGTCGCTTCAGTGATCAGCCACGGTATCTCCTACGGGACACAGTGCCACCCATGGCCGTTTTCCCGGACGAGGAGCAGGATGTGTATTTCCGCGATCCGGTTCAACGACGGTCGTCCAGGATTGAAGGCTATCAGAACGAACGTATCAGAGAGGACTGGCTTAGGGACAGGGCGCGCGAGGAGAGGGAACAGGCCGCTGCGTACTATGATGATAGGTGGGAGCAGTCAGACCGGGTTTTCATTGATGAAAGAACTGGACGACCGGTGCGATTCATCTATGAAGAGTGATTTGGTGGTAGACCTGTGTTGACTCTGAGGTTGAATTGCTGGAGCAGGAGGGTACAATATTTGTGCGAGTTTGCACCAGATCGTGGTTGAAGGGACTCGATTTGACCACAAAAGCTACCCGCATTGAATCTGTTCAATGCAGGGCAAAAGGAGAGGAAAAGAAGGACCGGAGCGTTGCTGAGAAGTGCGAAACCATTGCTTATGAGCACAAATGTTTTTGACGATGTTTTGCATATTGGCTTCATCGTGCATCGCTTGATGTTGTCCCCTTTCAGTCAGTCGCTTCAGAGATACCCCTGGTTGTAATTTCTTATTTGGCAGAATATATATACGCATGTTTTACACATACCCATATGCTTGCTCCTATTGCCCTTGAAGGAGAAGTGCATATCCTAGCTCCGAGGGAGTACTTTGGTACTCCACCGGAGCTTTGCACCAAGCCCAAACTGGTAATTCTTATGGCGGTAAAAGTTGGACTAAACCTTTCCGGGACTGTGGTGGTGAGAAAGTACTACTATAATTATCATAATGTCACCTGTTCTCAATGTACCCTCGAGTTGATTTTGGAGGAATGTACGAGATAAAGATGCAAGACTATTGTGAGGTCAGCGCTGGACGGAAATAAGTGTTACGTGGCTCATGGTTCAGGGGCTGGCATCTGAATATATTTCTTCGTACACGTGCAATTTCACTCAGTTTAAGTTATGACATATACAATATGGTATCTACATCCTAGCATCACCATCCCAAGTCCAGTTACCACTGTTTAGTGTTCATATTCAGACTAATGAAGCCAGAGTGCCATATGAAGGGTTGCAGCCCGTGGCTCTGCCTCCTCGGCGCCGTATCTTACTCTCGCCCATCGTGTGTGCGCAGTACTGCTGGCAATCATTCCACCTGAGTGTTTCGGTAACGCAACACAGTTCAACCAATTCTCCATGTCTAGTGCGACCATGTCTACGATCTGCTGTTCTCTCGAGACCTGACAAGGTCATCGAGCTCCCCATCATCTTTGAGCGGTTCCATTCCCTTCCTTCTACGCCACGCACTCATGACGGTGGCGAAGAACCCGGGCAATTCAGAGTCTGGGCCCACCAGGACTGATCCAGGGTGCTTGATGTTGAAACACAGCACAGCAAACACCATCGGAACAGCCTCGAGGATATAAAACAAAGCTTCGGAGGATACCAGCGGATTGGAAGCTGTGTCTCCGGCAGAGAATTGGACGAGACGGAAAATGATCCGCACCTGGATAACTGTTAGTGACAAGCGTGTAACGAAAGGACGTGTGCGTACCGTGATCAAGCCCAGGGTTGTGTACAGCGTGTATAACAGGCCCCTCCACTTTTTCTTTGCAGGCACTCCTCGTCTTTCGAGCTCTAGCATTTCCCGTTGGAACTTGACGCCGAATCCGACGAATATGAGAATGAAAAATTGCTGGAGACCAATGCCGCCCATGTAGATGTGAATGCCTTGCAACTGTTTCGCCGCGGGAGCTGTTGGACCCGCCCAGCTGCCTCCGATGAGTTGGATGATGAATGAAACGAAATCGAGCGAGACGAAGCCAACTGCGAGGGTCGATGCTGGTATGGAGAAGAGGCTGTGTGATGGTATGAAGAAGTGGATCATACGGCCTAGAACCATGTAGTCGAAGGCATTGACCCCTGTTATTATCAAGCGGCATTAGCGAGTTGACGGCGAAGTTCAGAGATATGGGAACGTACATAAAGGCGCCAGAAGGATAAAGATCTGGAAAATGAGATAGAAAGTGGTGTTTTGCTGATGGCGCGTGCTCAAAGTCCGAAAGGTGAATGCGACGGTCTCCCAGATGGCAGCCATGGTGATGACCCAGCAAAATTTCTGTTAGAGATGTCAGTCTCGAAACGGAGACCAAGAATGCATGGAGATGCCACTGCTAAAGTGGTTCTAACCTTTTTGTATGCTGCTGCCTGCCAGATATGGGCTATGACCAAAAGGCCGAACAAAGCAGAGAAGACCAGAGCCGCGCCAAAACTGGGATAGTAGTCCCAAAGGGCGTTACAAGTTCCAGCAGGGACATGGCCGTTCTTGTCGGGCGTAATGGTTTGGATGCAAGTGGGAAGGGCAATTTGTATTGTTTGTGGTGCCACTGTAGTGTGGCTGTTTGTGGTACCGGCTTTGAGGGTGATGACTTTGGTGGAAGTATAGTACTCAACTCCAGTACTGGCGGTTGTTGTGGTCATCGCTGCTGATCGAATTCGAAGGTCGAGTGGCTCGACCGTTGGACGAGTCATCGTTGAGAACGTTGAAGTGAGTGTTGCGGTGGCCAGGCCCAGGCCGTAGGCACATAATAACAAGGTATTGAGTAACATGCTTGGAAGGATGGAGGAGAATGATGATGTTGAACGTGCCTTCCATAGGAATATACAATATACTTGTAGGAAGTGTAAAGCGCGCCTGTCGTAGTGACAAGCCACGAAAGTGGGTCAGACCTGCCTGAGAGTCCGAGGCGGCCAATCAGTGACTCGGGCATCGCGAAGGCTTGACACAGCACTGCCTGGCCCAGGCCCAATCGTTGGGTCCAAGATTAGGACTTATAATGTCACTTGGAAGCCGCGTAGTCATGGTGAATTCGTCTCAGGAGAGGGTAATCCATTCGCTTTGCGTTACCAATTCATCGATAGGTCTCCAGACAATGGAATGCATGTGCGCCCAAAGCTGTTTACAGCCATGTTCATCTCGTCTAAACTCCAAGTCACGAAGCAAAACCTCCTTAACACGTCTCTCTTCAAGGACAATATGTCTCGGAAGAGGGTTCTGTGGAGAGTCCAGATCAATATCGTGCTCAATCTCAATCAGGCGCCGGGCCACACGATACATGGTGCTCAGATCCCAGAGAGTCTCGCGAGCGACCCCCAGTGTCGTCATGAATGACAGGGCCACAAGACGGATTGATAGATCCCGGCATTTCATCGCAGCAAAGTACAGAAGAGGCGTAAATCCCATGTCGAATATGAATGAAGGACGAGGTCTTGACTGTTGAGATCTTGACAGCGCCGCCTGAGATGCAAGGTCTATGATTGACTGGAACCTGTCGACATACTGATCATAGGCCATCTCGCTTTGTTCTAGAGCCACGTTGACCCAAATCTGAACCACGAGAGCTTTCATCTGAAGGAGACAACATGTTAATAAGTCGCTGCCTGACTCTTTCCTGGAATTCGAGAAGGCGCATTGCCACTTATCCAGAGACTTCACGAGGCTGTCTTGCTTTTCCCTCATCGATTCAGGGATGCTGCTCTGCCGCAATTCTCCCAGCCTATACTTGTCACTGCACCGAACGAACCTGATCGATGCAGAAAGAATTAGGTCGAGAGAAGATTGTGCATCCATGATACTGGAGAAAGGAGCTGAAGATCCGGGTATCAGGCCGGCCACGCAAGGAAATGAAGACGCATCGCATCCAAAGAAGAAAGGAAAGACACCCATGCGACAGAAAACAGCCAAAAGGTGATCTCGAGCCCACACCGTCAACGAGTCAGCCTTGTTGAAGACCAGGATGCCGCTCCGGCAATGTTCAATGGCTGATTGGTGATTTCCTTGTAAGGACTCGACGCAGATGAAGAGGGCGCACACGACCAGCACCACTGTCTCATCTCGAGCCAAGCGCAACTCCTTGATCGCTGCATTGTAGTGACGCAAGGCGAAGAGATTTGTTGAAGCAACGTTCGTTGATTTTGACACTTCTTGAAACTGTTCATAGAGCGAGCTGACTGCGAGCACCGCATGTCTGACCGCAGGCTTGTGGTGGCTGAGCTGCATTACGACATTCGTCCAGAAGTAGGATTCAGAGTGACCAGAGAGGGCCGGACCAGCCATCTGGCGGAAGAAGGCCAAGGCCCTGACCTCATCACCAGAGCTGTCCGTCATGTTCAGATGGATTGGTTCATGCAATGAGAGATCGAGTCGCGTCTGGGGGTAGCCATCACATTTCCGTCCCGTACTAGTACACCTTTTGCAACAGGGTTCAGCCTCGTCACACTTTACCTTTCGTATCCTTGCTTACACGTTAGTCACTGTCACGTCCCGCGCAAAAGAGTGTGGCTTACTTGCAGGTAAGACAGCCTGTTCTGACCTTGGTCGACCCCTTTCTAGCCATCACATCGGAAAAAAGGCGAAGGGCCCCTAACGGCAAAAGTCCGAAGTGTCCATTAAGGACAGCATTGGTATGGTGTAAACAGTGATCATGTTGTTTGGGCAAGGTTAGTGAGGAGAACAGACGGTCGATTTAGACATGATTATCCTGTTCCAGGCCCCCGCCCCTAGCGTCCTGACGGGCACAGCCTTGCGGGGTCAAGTCCGAGCGAGCCAATGCGATGAACTCACACCCGTCCAGGTTCCGCAACTTGAAACTGGAAAGCTGGGGCCTAGACGAGCTGTTTCAAGTCAAAACGGGTTCGTAGCACAGTTGCGTAGTTGCGGTCTTGAGCGTGCGCATCTGCACTTTGACAGGAATGTGCCGAGCAGGCAGCGGAATAGGCAATTGCTACAGCCAAGTAGAACTTGCTGGTAATTGTACCTACCTATGATCTATCTTGTAACACCAAAACCTGCTTCAGTACGAAATCCTGGACGAGCCTTTGGTTGGTATCACATAACATATCAATGTAACTCCAAAACGTCGCAGAAGTGCGCTCAGATCAAAGCGATCTCCTCGGTAGAGAAGGGCCAGGATTCTTGTCCGAGATCGTCGAGCCAACTTGTGCCTTCTGGGCAATCTGGATCTTCTTTCCATCTGGCACCTACTAAGGCCTCGCCATCCATGATGCCGTGGACGTAGCTTTCACCTCTGAACTCGAAAGTCCTGCACTCCGAACCAATGCAGTGGCCCGGTGTGTTTGTTGAGACTGGATGAAGCGTCACAGGCATGTCGGCACCCATTAGTACCCAGATCTCATCCCCCACGAGATTCGATTGATGAGTCAGCCCCATATATCCTGTGTCCGTGATGAACATTCTTCGTCGTGTGGTCGCGCGGATGATATGGTTGCCAATGTCACTGACATCACCATCAATGAATATCTGGTCGCTACCTGAACTTAGATCTGCGTAGGCGACCGCGAAGTTCGAGGGTTGAGGCAAGTCGGTCGGGACCGACTCCCGAGAACGCCTGGCATTTTCAGGGAACAGATCGCCTGTTCGGAGTCTTTCGAAGGCCAGATCGACGTTCTCCTTCGTTGGCTGGTAGATGTCATGAGGTGTGCAATGAGTACGAGCTAATGCTTGCCACTCTCCGCCATGAAGGACACGTTCACCAATTCCAGTACCTACATTCTCCAGATTTCCTGCCGGGTATGACAAGACTGTAATGACCCCGATCTTCAGTCCTTTACACTTGAACACCGTCTCAGAAGTAGCTATTTCTTCACAGATGACTTGACTGCTCCCACCTGCATAGTAGATCTTGCTCCTCTTCGGACGAACGATATGCCGAGGCAGATAGAATGTATTCAGGAAATGCGGCTCCACATGGAACAAAGGGACCCACGAAGGGAGTCCTTGCGGTCTGTTCTGATCGGTGCCTCGCTGCATTTTCCTTGCTTTGGTTTCGACAAGTTGTAGAAAGCTTAGATTGCGATGTCGATTGCAAAGCCAGCGGCATACCTTTGTGTAGACAGACTCCCAGGGGCTTTGATAATCGACCGGCAAGGTGCGAACGTCATAGTCGTTCGCAAGAATGATAATGGTCCAGATCTTGTCTCTGTAATCAAAACATTTGAGAGACCGCAGATCCTTGAGTATCTGAAGCATACTGCCGAGTTCTGAAGCCCCTGGAACGGTGATTTCCTTTTCAGGGAACGTCCGCGCAATTGCGCGGGAAAATTCAATCGACCGAAAAGCTGCAATTCTCCGAAATACGTTTGTCCCACCTCTGATTCGATAGTTTCTCGTATGCTGACTCTCTCGGGACATAGTCCAGATGGCTGCGATGATCGTGAACAATTGAACTGGAAGGGAGTATGGTCCGCACACAAACGTCCCTTTCTTCGCAAGTATGAGCTCTTGAAGTGTCCAGGCCCGAAAGAACCCTCATTCTCGAGAAACTTGTTCACGGCGTCCCACCTCGAATCAAGTGGCGGTGGAAGATCTAGCACCTCATCCAGAAGCTCTCTTCTATACTGGTCGGTATGAATCGTACGGCGCGACTCCAGCAGTTGCTTCACCAGAGGACCTCCCAGCATTTGCTTCACCAGAGAGAATAGAAAGGGGAAAGCGATCATTGGGACAGAAGGGTTTGACTCGCGGATAACAATGCTAACGGACGCGCTTGAAAATGCGGCCAAAGTTGCGAACTTGAATTTCGCGCTCTTTATAATTCTGCTGGTCGACGCTGATCTGGTCCACCCATATCATGATCTCCGCGGTGGAGGACCTGAGAAGTCTCAGCGCATCAAGTAGATGTGGGCGAATCGAGAGCTTGGTGCCTTCGACCGTCCGCACCAGTTGAGCAGGATGATCGGGACCACATACATAGGACAACGCCTCGTACGGAACTGTCGGTGAATTCGTGTCATCGCCAATGCCGATGTGCTCAATCTTGCATACTATGTCGCTCTCCACGTCCGACGATGGAAGAAGTCGTACGACTCGAGTATCTTCCCCAGGAAGGAGGGGCTGATAGATGTAGTCAGGGAGATTGATTGAGTCTGACGTGGCCTGATCTGTCTGCTCCGAGCGAATATCGTTGGCTGCACTGCTCTGCGACATCTAGAAAGCTCGATTCCAGCGGGCGTAGATGTTGGCCAAGCGCGCACACATGTGTCTGTCTGAATTGGTATGAGGGGCGGAGAAAGTCCAAAAGATATGCCGAAGTCGTGCAAGTTCGCAGTTGTACATGGCGACATCAGCCTAGTTCCCGAATGGCGTGGACAGTGGTCGATAGTAACCTCCGTAAGCGAGGCCTATAAAGTGCCCACACTGCCAACTCCAACCCCACGCCATGCATCGACGAAACTTCCTCCTCGTTACTTGATTTCCGATAGCAACACTGACGCTCTGGACCTCGGAGACCCGGAGTGAACCTGCTTCGTGGCGGGCATTTCGACCCTTTTGCGAAAACACATGGACGAATCGCAGATCGCGTTTTTGGAAAGAAGGCTTGTCGACCAGTAGAATGGCAATGCTGGCAGCTGGTGCTCATCAAGGCTGACACCTCTCATGGTATTGAAAGCTATGATGGCCATCAATGCCTCTTCCGACTTGGCCTGGCATTTTTCTCCCTCTTCTTCTCCTTCGCCTGCCGCTCTTTGACCATATGATCGACCGACCTCAACTCCTTTCGACCTTTCGTGCCCATTCCCGCAGCTTCCTGCCGTTCCTTAGCACCTGCAACCTTCTTCACCTGCTTCTCATAATCCTCGCGGTACCTGTCCGGGGCCTTTGGTGTTCTCTGTGCCTTATGTCTATATCGCGCTCCGCCGTCGGCCGCAGGACCGACACTTTGTTTCTCGAACTCCCCAATTCTCGGTGCGCGCTTGATACGGTTGTCCTTCTTCCACCGGTCGTACCGACCACTTCTGAAACTGGCCGCAATTTTCGCGCCAGATTCGCCCTTGACTAAGCGCTTGCCTTTGGAGCCGTCGTCATCATTTTCTCGTCGCACGTACTTTTTGTGCCGCTTGTCCCAGCGCATGATGCTGCGAGCCTCGCCAAAGGTCTTTCCCGCCTCGTCCTGAGCAAGATCCATAGTTGCGGAGCGCGCAGCTTCTGCGAAGTTCGTGTTGCTTCCAGAGTGAACACCGTACGCGCGATCATCGGTGAGGTCGGTCGAAGTCGGCTGGTAGGACATGAAATTCTCAGGATCACGGAAAGAATTGGCCATGCCGTCCTCCACTGAGTTGGATGCTTTTTGTTTCTTGGAATGTGGTTCAGAGAAGGTAACTTCGAGCTCCGTAGAGGATGCTTGTGACATATCATCAAAGTCGACATCTGGTTCGGACTCGTTGTCGTTGATGTCTTCATCGTCGACTCTCGATTTGGTCTGTGCAGCTTCGAGGGACTTTTGTCTCCGAATATCCAGACCAGAGCGAATCTTTCGGATGGCGTCAATTGCCTCTTCCTGGTTCTTCCTGCCACCGCGACGGGCACCAATCTCGAAAATAGATTCTTGTGGTCGGAAGCCGCCGACACGTGCGAGCATCTTTTCTCTCTGTACTTCGAGATCGTCTTCTTGTTCATTGAACAAGGGATGTAACTCAGACCAGCCCTCCGAGGGAATCAGGGCTTTCGCCCTCTTCGCACTTTCAGACGATGCGGAATTTCGGGTCCGTTGATATAGCTTTTCGCCTTTCGTGGCGACCGACCGGAGAGCCGAAAGATCAACATCGCTATCTAATGACGTTGTCACCCATTCGCAGGATGTTTGTAATTCTTCCCGGTGTAGACTTCCCACGACCACATCTTGCGCAAAGTTGACAGCTTCGCTGCTCGCTCGGCCAACGCACAATTTGCGGCCAAGGAAAAGTTGCAGATCGAGTAAGTATGGCGCATCGGCATCGCGAACCAAACTGTAACTCCAGCCTTTCTGTCCAGCTCTTGCTGTCCGGCCGACTCGATGAATATAGATTTTGGGTTGCGACGGGAAGTCATAGTTGATCACGTTAGCCAGGACGGGAATATCGATTCCTCGGGCAGCTACGTCAGTCACCACGAGGACGTTTGTCTTCCCACTCCGGAAAGAATTAACCTCATCCTTTCTGGCTGTTTGATCAAGGGTACCATAGACATATGACACGGCGTATCCAGCCAGCCGAAGGAGCTGTGCCAGGTACTCGACGTGATGTTTGGTTGCGGCGAATACGATGGTGGAATAGGGATTGGAGCTGGGTCGAGTGTCTTCTTCTCCATCCTGTCTCTTTCTCTTCTTACCTGGCTTTGAACCCTCTGTGAAAGTGGATGTAGTGATAAGTTGAGATCTTGTAGGGACTTTGATAACATCCTGAAGGATGTGCAGCAAAGCTCCTTCCTTTTCCGAAGATTTGAGAGTGAAGAATGCACTCTGGAGGTCGGGTGATATTTTGCTATCTGCATCGAGACGGACAAGGACGGGATCTTGCAACCCGGCGCGTGCAAACTCGACCAAAGACTTGGGTAGTGTGGCTGAGAACAACAGCGTCTGACGGGAGGCTGGTAGGGCGTGAAGAATCTCTGTCAATTGTGCAGCAAAACCCATCTCGAACAAACGATCAGCCTCGTCGAACACGACGTATCTCATGCTCATGAGATCCAAACCCATCTCGACCTTCAAATGTAGGAACCGTCCTGGCGTCGCAATGATTATGTCGGGGTTATTGGACATTGCGGAAAATTGTTCTTCAAGACTGTCACCACCAACAAGCAGGATTGACCTTAGATCTGAGCCACGTCCCAACTCCTTGACGACCGAAAGTGTCTGCAAAGCCAGTTCCCTCGACGGCGACAGGATCAGGGCTCTGGCACCCACCTTGGTGCTATGCGCTTTCAGTTTTTCGATCAATGGTATGACAAAAGCAGCCGTCTTGCCCGAACCAGTTCGTGCCATGCCCACCACGTCCTTGTCGTTGAGAAGAAGAGGAATCGTCTTGCGTTGGATAGGGGTAGGTACGGAGAACCCTTTTCTTGTGATCGCCTTCAGTAGATTTGCATTAAGACCCATGACCTGAAATCCACCGCCCTTCTTCACGGTTCGTCCCTTGAGATTCGAGGCCTTGCGATTCGCTGCCGCTTGCTGTGCGGCGATGACAGCCTCATCATCAGATCCAGACTCCCCCGCCATAACATCCAAATGGCCTTGAAACCCTCCATCCCCTTGATTCGAGTGTTGGCCGTCGGATTCGACATCGCTGCCAACCAAGGCGGAGCCTATATCGAACTCATTCTCGGAGCGGGCTGGAGAGCCCGACCGGTTTCTCATTGTGCGACGAGATGCCTCAAACGTAATAGACTCCCGAAGTGTGTCGCCTGGCCGAAAGCATCCTGGCTGTTGTTCTGTGCCTGCAGAAGTGTTGCGCCTGCCGGAAATTTGCCTGCGTACGCAGAATGAGATTCTCCAAAATATTTTTTGACACCGCCTCGCTTAGGTAATGACTTTAATTGCGGCAGAAAAACGCGTCTGGACGCGTTCCCCTCAGGCTCGACGCAACCACTTCCAATTCATGATTGACAACTGACAAGTAGCCTGCCTCAAATCGAATCGACAAATCGCAAGGATGGGTACGTATGCCTATTCGGACGCATTGATAACCTGGCTAATAGTGTTCAGACTACGGTTACAACAATCAGTATAGCACTGGCTATGGCGCACAGGGCGCTACTGATGGTGGCGGTTTCGTCGCAGGAGAACCACAAAGCAGTCCAGCTGCTGGAAGAGTAGGCTACACCCAAGGCACAGATGTTCGATCGCTGACTCAGATTGACAGGGTGGCTATGGAAAAGATACAGTTCGACCCATGACGATAAAGCAAATCCTAGACTCGCAACAACCTCATCCTGACGCAGATTTCCGAGCCGACGGCGAGCCATTTGGGCAAGTTACCTTTGTCGGACAGATCCAGTCTATCAGCACGCAGGCGACGAATGTGACGTACAGAGTGGACGACGGCACCGGTATCATCGATACGAAACAATGGATTGACTCGGATCAGAATGCGGACAAGATGGAGGTCGACCCAAGTAAGCCCAAATTGGTTGAGAATGGATACTGCCGTGTCTGGGGAAGATTGAAATCGTTCAACAATAAGCGACACGTCGGAGCTCACATCATTCGACCCATCACCGACTACAACGAAATCCATTATCACATGCTCGAGGCTACGGCAGTGCATCTGTTCTTTACTAGAGGGCCGCCATCAAACGCACAATCCAATGGCCAGAAACACGCAGGTGCAAATGGCACGAACGGAGGACAACAAGACTTTAGCGATGCTGCGGGCGGTGCACTTCCTAATGTATCGCCTCTTGCACGGCGAGTATATGCGACCCTGAAGAATACTCCGCAGAGCAACGAAGGTCTTCATGTTCAAATGATAGCGTCTCAGATGGGGCTTCAAGTCCAAGATGTCTACAAAGCTTCTGAGGAGTTGTTAGGAGTTGGAGTGATTTTCACCACAGTTGATGACAATACCTGGGCAGTTCTGGATGCATAGAGAGTGTAGCCGGGAACGCACACGGTCTCTCCCCATTCCCTACTGGAGGTGTTCCGATGCGGGCACGCTTCTCACAATGAAGGAGGATTGTACACTACGATGATACGATACACCAACGGAAACATGTAATGTTTGAAGGCCAAAGGAGTAGACATAAGCGAAGTCTTGCTATCAAGGGATGTTAAGTCTGACAAGGCTATCAAAACCAGAGTATGGTCTCTATTGTCCGTAAGGTGACGGAGAGCGATCCGAATCTTCCCACAGCCAAGTACTGTATCCTGCATGTTGCCAGGTCAGGTTGCATGACTTTTGGCAGAGACCCCTCAGGGCCCCCCCACCCCCCCCACACGATGCTGTCAACTCAATCCACTCACTCCAAGTATCGCCCATTGAGCCTAAATTCAGCTGCAACACATCCTCGGAATCCTAGTGTATCGGCAGTAAGACGGAGGATTGTCCGCCATGTTATGCCGTCACGCGAAACGAGGCATGGAGGTAGGTGCAGAATGCTTGATGTCCTTATTGAGAGGCGTAGACGGCTAGAATGTCTCGAACCATTTGCCACACCAAAAGGCATTCACCAAATCTCAACCGTCTATGAGCTGAATCATCGTAATCAGATTCTACTTGTCTTTCTGAGCACTAATCAACATGTCCCAAAGCAGACCGGAGGTCCATTTCACCTCTTTAAACAGCCCTCTGTCGACTCGGTCTGAAGTTGTGGAAGCATGTACCTCTTTATTGAGACCTCTTCTACCTTTCTTCTCACCGGGACGAACAAGGCTACGTTTAGGTGCCACAGCCACTCGTTACGATGAGGCAGGGGCACAACTAGAGGGCTTCACCAGGCCCATGTGGGGTCTTGGAGCACTGCTTGCTGGAGGTGACAGTTTCCCCGAGTCCGAACTCTGGCTAGAGGGTCTGAGGAATGGAACAGACCCGAGTCATTCAGAGTTCTGGGGTTATTCGAAGGACATGGATCAACGAATGGTCGAGATGTGTCCAATGGCATTTGCATTATGCGCAGCACCCAAGCAGCTTTGGGACCCATTGACCGAAAAGGAGCGATTGAACCTACAAAAGTGGCTTGATATCAACAAGAAGGAAATGCCAAACACGAATTGGCTTTGGTTTCGTGTCTTTGCCAATCTTGCACTCCTCAGAAATGGAGCGGATTACGACGCAAAACGTCTCGAAGCAGATCTCGATCACTTGGACACCTTCTATCGCGGCGATGGGTGGTCGAATGATGGCCCGGAACACACGCTTCAGATGGACTACTATTCTGGTTCCTATGCCATTCAATATCTTCAACTCTTGTACGCAAAAATCAACGGAGATAAAGACCCTAAGCGCGCAGAAGAGTACAAAAATCGAGCAAAGCTTTATGCGAAGGACTTCATGCACTATTTTGATGAGCAAGGTAAGTGTTGGGAAGCGTTTGTAGAACATCCACTGACCGTGATCAGGACGAGCAATAACATTCGGACGGTCATTGACATATCGTTTCGCCATGGCGGGCTTCTGGGCGGCTGTTGCATTTGCGGATCTCGAACTCGAGCCGCCTTTGACCTGGGGTGTAGTGAAAGGACTCTTGCTACGAAATCTGAGATACTGGTCACGGCAGCCAGACATCCTGACTGGAGCAGGAACATTCAACATTGGCTACACTTACCCGAACCAATTCATGTCGGAGAACTATAACTCGCATGGCTCGACCTACTGGTTCATGCTAAGTTTTGCTTGTCTGGCAGTGCCAGAGATGCATCCATTTTGGAAATCGACAGAAGAACCACTACCCGTGAACTCGATACCTGCAATCCTGCCTTTGAAGCACCCCAAGCACATCATGGTCAGACGCGGAGGACACACTTTCCTGCTTTCATCTGGACAAATGTGTCACTATCCAATGCGAGCCTCTGAGTCCAAATATGGCAAGTTCGCTTACAGCTCAGCCTTTGCATACTCGGTCCCGACAGGAGGTTACTTTGTCGAAGCAATCGGCGGAGACAACACCCTTGCGTTGTCGGACGATGCGGGGGAAACCTGGAGAGTCCGAAGGAAAACACTAAACGCAAGGTTGGAAACTGAGGACAATTCCCCGGTGCTCATCTCCACGTGGACGCCATGGGATGATGTGTCGGTTGAGACAATCCTACTTGCCCCAACCGAGGACGCGCCGAATTGGCACCTGCGTGTGCATCACATTACCACAGGCAACCGAACCCTAAAGACGAGCGAAGGTGCGTTCGGGCTAGATGGAGTATCCCAGAAGGACGAACGAGAGCTTCCCCAAATGACCGGACAAGATACCGAGGGGCGAGTCGAGGGCGCGGGAGAGACTCTAGCTGTCTCCAGGGGTGGTGCTGTGGGGATAGTCGAGTTGCATCAACCACAGCGGCGTACCGGACGAGTCCTCGATGAAGATTCGAACAGTAACTTGACGGAATGCAGGTCAGTATTGCCAAGTCTAGCCATGGACCTGCAGCCCGGCATAGACACTTGGCTAGCCACCGCTGTATTCGCTATGCCAAACACCGTTCCGGATTACCGACAAAGGTGGAAAGACGGATTCCAAAACCGCCCGAAGATACCTGACTGGCTTAAGCAAAAAATGGCTGGCTAAGGCGGCATACCAACATGTGCAGTAGCAGCTCGGCGTACTGTCCAGTTCGGACTCGGCGACCACAACAGCCCTGCTGTAAATTGAGTAAAGCTTGAGCCACCTACGACACGTCTTTGCTAATGGATGTGGATGGTCTCTTGACTTAGTAAAAGTCTGGCGCGACTTGCTTCGATAGCATTACCATACCCTTGTGGCTCCCTTCAGCAGAACACATAACTTTCCCACCACCAATCTATCACTCGAAACTTGATCACAAGGCTCTGCAGAGTGTCTGCCCAACCAGAAATGAAGACAGATAAGTGACGCTGTATCTGGAAGGTCGTCAGAAGGCATCTCGGTGGGCGATCCACCGAAAGACGGGCCAATTGCTGCCTCCAGCCTCCCTTGACCAACAGTAATTTATCCATGAAGTATGGATGGAATGCCGTCGTGCAGCTCCATACCCCGGACCATGGAGCGGAGCAACGAATCAACTCTGCCCCAGTTTCCCCACAGCAAATGTGGTTCGGCTTTTGAATCTCCTCATCCGAATTCCCCCTAGCCCAAGCTGGATTTCAGGCTGAAAAGGCTGAAATTGTTTGAGACGAGATGCCACATCCCCGCAGCATGACACCTTTAGAACCCATCTGAGTCGTGGAGGAGCGTTGCAACCTCGACTCGATCGTTCACGAACTGTGATGCTACTGCACATCCTGACTGGTTTGAGCCTGGCGCACGGCTATAGTTGGCCGGACCTAGTGGCTGCTATTCGATAATGGGTAAAAGTCCGGTCACTATCCCATTCGCTCTGTGGCCAACTATGATCTGTGGCCACTGGCTGGGGCCATGCTCTTGGAGAGTCGAGTCTCCAACCCCCATCCCCATGTCAGGCTGGAGATCGGCTGACATGCAAGAGCATCCCCAGGGAACTCCTCGCTTGGATGTGATCCTTGAAGGACATGTGGCCGAGTGATGGCAGTCCGGTAAGATCATGCCGGATATATTAATCTTCTCACTCCCCTCCGCACACGTCCTCTGAGTCTTAAACCCAGAAACACCTTCACAACCCTGTTGAAGAGCTAATTCCAGATATCTGGCAATATGGGAATCATCAGGAGAGTCGTGCACAATGATGCCATCAAACTGGACCCTCCTGAGGTGTACAACTGGAGAGTCTTTGCATTGGCCGCCGCAGCATGCTTTGGAGGAACACTCTTCGGCATGGATATCGGTATCATTGGTGGCGTGTTGACACTTCCTGATTTCAAAAAGGAATATGGCCTTGATGGTCTGAGCAAGGTCGCAGCCTCTAACCTGTCGTCCAATCTCGTGAGCGTCATGCAAGCCGGAGCTATTGTCGGAAGTTTGGCTGCAATGCCTATTGGAGACTGGATTGGTCGCAAACGCGCCATTCTGATTGTCGCTGTATTCGCATTCATTGGTGGTCTTCTACAAGCATTCTCTTTCGGCAGCTTGGTTTGTTTCTACATTGGAAGGTCAGACAACGCTCTCAAAGCCTCTTGAACCATGATTAACAGAAGAAAAGATTTGTGGAAGGCCTCGGTCTGGGCGGTGCAACCATGCTTGCCCCAACATACGTGGCTGAGAATGCCCCTCGCGGCATTAGAGGCCTCTTGGTCGGTTTCTACCAACTCTTTGAGACGATGGGAGCGATGGTGGCATTCTTCATCAACTACGGTTCCTTGCTCCACCTGAAGGGACAGTGAGTTCTCCTCTTCTCTGTGATAGGCGCAGACGAGCTTTGCATTGCCCCTCTGCGCTGATGTCTGAGACCTCACTGACAATTCATAGCGCAACCTGGATAGTGCCTTTGTCGATGCAGTCTCTTCCACCTCTGTTGCTGTTCCTTTCCATTATGTTCTGTCCAGAAAGTCCTCGCTGGCTTGCTTCCCAAGACAACTGGGATAAGGCTTCCAGTAACCTCTCCACAGTTCGCCAGTTACCGACTTCGCATCCCTATATTCAAGCAGAGCTGTTGGAAATGAAGACTCAATTGGACGCCGAACGAGGGCGTGCTGGTGGGAACAGCTATCTGGCATTGACCAAGGAGGCATGGACTATCCCCGGCAACCGACGCCGTGCTATTATGGTTATTGCCCTCATGACTGCGCAGCAGATGACTGGCACAAATGCCATTAACGTAAGTCCATTGCCTCTCGAGTGGTCATGCCTGAAAGATCACGACCACTTTGATTTTCTGCCTATCTTGGAACATCCGACTGACAACTTGGTAGTACTACGCCCCAACAATCTTCACTGACTTGGGTGTGACCGGAAACGCGCAAAGTCTGTTTGCCACGGGAGTCTACGGTATCGTCAAGATGTGTTCATGCGCCATCTTCATCACCTTCCTCGCCGATACTCTCGGTCGACGGTGGTCATTCGTGTGGACCGGAATCTTCATGTGGTTCTGCATGTTCTACCTCGGTTTCTATGTCCGTTTCGACCCACCCAAGAAAGGTGCTCCTATCTCTGGTGCTGGCTACGCTGCGCTTGTGTTCGTGTATCTCTTTGCCGCTGGCTTCCAGTTCGGGTGGGGTAAGTACACACTTTTACGTTGCTTTCCAATCACAATATGCACATACTGACTTGCTTCAGGACCATGTTGCTGGATCTATGCCTCCGAGATCTCGACACAGCGGCTAAGAGGCCTGACTGTCTCCTATGCGGCGTGCACCCAGTGGATATTCAATTTGGTCGTCGCCAGAGCCACACCAGTCATGCTTGATACAGTGGGAGCTAATGGGTACGGCACGTACTTCATCTATGGATGCTTCTGTTTCACCGTTGGAGTGGGAGCATTCTTCCTTATCCCAGAAACCAAAGGGGTAAGTGCACATTCATGTCCTGGTGAGCGCGGAAAAGCATACTGACACATTTGTAGGTCTCCCTTGAGAGAATGGACGAGTTGTTCGGTGAAACAGATTTCAGTGGTATTGAGGACGTTGGCCTTGCAGCTCAACATGCAAAAGGTGACATTGAGACCGTTCACGTCGAGAATGAGCAACCAAACCATGAAGTGAAGTGAGCATCGGGAACAAACAGGACCACGACCTGGAGGAACAGTGCATCTGGATGACAGAAGGAAGGCCAAGTACGGAACAGATTGCAGCATTTACGCGACCAGGAAGAAATCGCAGAGCGAGTGTTGATTCACTGAGATCTAGGAGTATATAGTAGATGACAACAAGATGCGAAGTGGTGGTAATGACAGGACTGTTCAATACCCCTGACGAGGCTGTGATTCACGTGAGGGCGATGAGTAAGCGGAAGGCCGATTCAATGTCACCGAGGTCAAGCAAGCATGAACCTTTTGTACAGACCAATCAAGCACCAATTGTTTCGCTTCCTACTGCAACTGTTCCGCGCGTCGCCTGCGTTCTAAACCTCGTACAGAATGTCGATGCGGGCTGATGCCTGACTACCCTTGCCTCGGCTTCTCTCTGCTTCCCAAATGGATGGCTGCATTTCGTCAAGCACCTAGGTGGGATGGAAGCCAGCTTGCAATTCTCTGGGCCTCCTCATGTAAAGCCTGCTACATCCGGTCGCAAATAGCGTGGGGAATGCTCATGGAACTCTTCGTTCCGATTGCCCACATGATACTAATATTAGATGGACTCTTGCAACTGTCGTCCTACTCTAGTTTGACCATACCCTATCCCACAGTGGGATTGTCCGCATTCTCGGGCCAGCCAGCTTGATTGACTTCCGGCTACTTCCAGAGGTGAACGTTGCTTCCTCATCGTCAAGTTAATCTCAAAGGCAATCGCAAAGCGTCAATCAACTGTCACTTCCGCTTCACTGCTTCATCAAACCCAGGCTCAGACGTTGCGCACTTGGTTCAAAGTCACTGCCACTGACATCGCACCTTCAATCGTGCCTTCCACCCCGTGCAGTTAGCAATCATCTACTCTGGTCATCTGCAACAGAGACAACCTCTCCTTCTGACCCTGCCTAGTGATCCTTATTGTCACATCCCAGAAGCAACATAACCAACACGTCGATGTCGGTTGATCTACGAGCATCCCATACCTGCTTGCGGTTCCCTGCTCGAGTCGTTACTGTCTCGAGAGCCCAACTCTCTTCAGTCCACACTGGAGATCTCACCAGACCCCTCGATAGAGGTTGATCGGTCATTGATGGCAGGAGTATCCACGTCGAATCTTCCTTTACTAAAGCTGTAAAGAACACCAGAACCGAGATTGAGCAGGGATCTACCAACATGTCTCTTCCTCTCAGTGCTGCCACTTCCATGCTGGATGCCACCATGCTACACGAGACACGAAGTTCACCTGCCGAGAAGGGTGCCCCGACCACAACGACCAATGATGGTGTCCGTATCGTCGCTCCGCATGAATACAAAGAGGCTGCTGCATGTCTTGCAGAAGCCTTCCGCTTTGACAAGATCGTACGCTATGCCATTGATACTCCGGACCACGAGCACCTCTCTGACGAGGAACGATTCCAGCTGCACAAGTCATGCCTCGAATATGTCACCTATGCTCACTGTCTTCAAGGTCTTGTGCTGACTGTCGGTCAAAACTACGACTGCGTGGCATTGTGGCTGCCACCAGGGAAGAACATCGACGACTGGATCACTATACTTCGGAGTGGAATGTGGAGGCTCAGCTACAAATTGTCCAAAGAAGGCAGGACTCGGTTCTTTGACGAGTTCTTGCCATTGCTACATGAGACCAAGCTGGAAATCCTGGGCGAGAGGGACAATAACTCCTGGTACCTTAACTATGTCGGGACCAAGCCCGAGTCGCGCTGCAAAGGCTTTGCTAAGAAGGCAATTCAGCATGTCACAAAGCTGGTAAGTCGCTACACACCCAAATGGCGTGTTCGGAGTTGTTGACCTTCATTTGCAGGCCGATGTTCATGCGCAGCCATGCTACTTGGAAAGTTCTCATGATATCAACCTGATCATCTACGGCAAACTTCGCTTTGAGCTCAGGAAGCAGATCTACCTGAAGCGCGCTGATGGGCATGATCTTCGCATGGATGTTATGGTGAGAGAACCAGCTTCTGTGTACAAGGAGAATGCCAGCAGTGCACTGATGAAGTCCGGTTGAAGGTCGAGGGATCGTCAGGCTGTAGTTGCCATGAAGTGACGGTTGACGAAGGAATGCTAGTATCGAACGTAGACGATGACACCAGCATCATGCAGCGAGATGCGACATGACATACGATATTGCTGAATATTCAGACCTGCAATCGTTCTATATCTTTGCTGTTGGTGTGGAAGAATGAACTCGGCCCATAATGGAGATTCTAAGTTATGGGGCTGTCAGAAGCCGCACGTTTAACTAACTTACCTAAATTAACTTAGGTCCGTTATTTTAGGCGCTGTCAAACGTCACCTACTGGTCTGGGGAGGCTGCGCGTTTCAAATCCCATCAATCTCACTGCCATTCCAAACTCAAAGGCATCAACAACGAGGTATTCTTACGAGGCTTTTGAACTCATTATTCCATCTGCAGGAGCATAAGTTACATCACAGACCTCTCATAGCTCTTTGTCCACTGCAGTCAACTCCGGCTTCACCCTTTATTCCCGACGCACGAGAACAGAGCAGCAACCATGGTTTCTTCGAGATGACATGCGCTCAATGTCAATGGATTCGGCCGCCTGATTGAAGTTACCATTGCGCACTCCTGAAATGGCCAGCTACTCAACTCCCTCTTCCTCGCCTCCTCCACCCACCTCACGCCGCCGACTGCGGTCCTGCGCGCAGAGACTCGAGCGCGGGTGTTGTACCGTTGCCACCTATTTCCCCCTTGCCTTCGTGTATGGCCTGTCGACGTGGGCGGTCTGGACGAGTTGGACAATTGGGTTCGGGGGACATCGGTCGAAAAGCGTGTGGTGGCTAATACAAGGGGTCTCACTTTTGAGTGTAATACTGTATTGTCTGGCGAATCTCTCATACACGGTTGCGGTTTTCACGAACCCAGGGTCACCGCTGGACCCTCGACAGCAGACTGCCCATTCGAGGACGAGGCAGGGTGGCCAATACTCTGTCCTGCCGACCGCCGAGCCGTCGGCAGCCGACTCGAGAGAAGTCCAGAACATCACAGTATCCTCCACGGGAGCGCCACGGTACTGCAAGAAATGTCATGTCTCGAAACCCGACCGGGCGCATCACTGCTCAACATGTAAGCGATGCGTGTTGAAGATGGACCACCACTGTCCCTGGCTGTCCACATGCCTGGGCTTGCACAATTACAAGGCCTTCGTGCTGTTCCTGATCTACATCTCACTGTTTTCTTGGACATGTTTTGCAAACTCAGCGTGGTGGATGTGGAAGGAGTTGTTCGAGGACGCTGGATATCTCGAAGAGCTTGCACCCGTCAGCACCATTCTGCTTGCCGTCATCTCCGGCATAATCGGTCTTGTGATCACGGGCTTCACTGCCTGGCACATCTACCTCTGCGTCAAAGGGCAAACGACGATCGAAAAACTCGAGAGGACTAGATATCTGAGCGGCGTAAGAACCCGCGTCGAGCGAAACCGTCAGGAGCAGCACCTCAATCAACACCGACGTGGGTCCGAAGGGGTAGCAGAACGCTTACAACGAGCGGGCGATCAAATTCTTGAGATCCACGCCAATATGGTACCTGGGGCATCGCGCTACGAAGAAGGCGAGGAACATACCTCGCCTGTACCTAGCGTTTACGATTCCAGGCTCAACAAGCACGACCCTCAACTCCCCAATCACTACGCTCCCGATCACTCATACAATGGCCCCAACAACGACTCTCCAGCCCTTCGTGCCCTACGCAGCACATACTCCAACGTCGAAGCCGACCGCGAACGCGAGCGATACGCGGAATATCTTGACGACCAGGAGTCCGAAAAGATGCCCGATGCCTTCGACCTCGGCTGGCGCAGGAACCTGAGCCACTTGTTCGGACCGAATCCGTTGGTGTGGTGGCTGCCCGTGTGCAACACCACGGGCGACGGCTGGCGCTGGGAGGTCAGTGAGAAATGGAGGCTAGCGGTAGAAGAGGCCGCGCGCCAGAAAGAAAATCGTCTCCAAGCCATGGCATCGCAGGGTTATGATGTGCACGACGTCAGAATGCGAGGTGGTGGTGATGGCCTTTACGAAAGGGATCGTGACCACGAGTACAATTACGAGTACGACCATACCGCGCAGCAGCAGCGCAGACAGCACTATTCGGTCGAGATGTCGAATGTCAGCAACGGGAACACCAGTACCGATGATAGTGATTCGGACGTTGGATATACTAGTGATGATGACCCGGAGCGAGGGTGGGAAAGGAGGAATCGTGCTGCAAGGACGAAGTTGGGTCGAGCAAGATAATTGCTTGCTGAAAATGCCTATTTGCCTTGAAAAATCGTGCGGAGCCAAATAAATGAGCGTTTGTATACACAACATATGGGACTCGGCACAACCGGGATTGGATGGAGCGTTATTCATGACTGGGTTAGGCTAGGGATGTAGCAATGACAAAACTCGTGTCGATGGGGGCTGGTTATGCTTGCCGTCGTCTATCATGTCTTGTATAAACTGCCACGTCGACAAGCGGGCAGGAGCAAGAGCAACAGCCTATGTCTATGCAACGTGCGTTCCGTGTTGACCGGGAAACATAATCGCTCAGGACCATTTTCCTGCTAGGAGAAAAGTCGCGGGTCGATCGAAATTGTCTTCCTGACGATAGTCTGGGTGGTGATTATCTTCCAAATTCTTGTCCTGAGGATGGTCCCCGTCTTCCTGACAATAGAATCTTGAGTCTCACCGAGATGTATGATCTAGCATGGCGAGCAGTGCAACTTGTCTGAATACGCACCCTCATGGCCTCGGCTCTGCCCCAGTAGCTGTGAAAAGAAAGCCGATCTTGCGGCTCAGTCTATCTGAGATATTGTTGTCTATGGGCGTAATAGCATGTTCTCGGGTACGAGGTGTCGGAAACCCCCGTATCACTGGTGGTGCGCTGCCGGCGCTTTGATATGATGTGCCAGACACGACTCCGTACTCCCAGACGTTGGCAAAACCATCCATGACACTGCCCTGCGGCTAGGCCTGCATGGGAGCAGTGCTGGGAATATAGGCGTAAGGCATGTTGACAGACAGAGCAGTTCGCCACAGCTATTAGGAATTGAACAGTGTGACCTGTGGGACGAATGTACTATCAGCCGCCTGCGTTCGGGCCAGGGCCAGAGGGCAGTGTGTCGTAACATACGGATATTGTGTACACAGTTTGTGCCGTCGACAATCACTCTCGCTGTAGATAGAAGTCGTCGACTCCTCCTCCTTGACCCGGACCAGCATAGAAGATCTTCTTGAGCACCATTAGACAAAGAGCCAGAAAGACTCCGGCAATGGCACGGTCAATGGTGATGGTGGGCTCGCGATCGCGAACGCGCTGGAGAGTCAAAGGCGACGCAGAATTTGTGATAGCCGCATTCGCTGCAGCAATTGGAGGGGCGTGTATGCTGGACATCCTTGAGGATCTTGGGGCGGGATTTGTTGTGCCAGGTGGAAGGGACAGGTCAGCTGGTGTGAGGACAGACTCAGCTGAGGCCTGAGCTGCCTCAGCGGAGGGCGTGGGAACGAGAGAGACGGGCGCATGCCGTGGTGGACTCAGGATCGAGGAGGGTGGTATTTGTTGATGAGTCGAGGAGGTATTGCTTGGTGCCAACGGTGCCTCTTGCTTCGGTATTGACGGCGCCGGTGCTGGATCGTCCTGCTGTGACTGTGACTGTGTCTCCGACGCTCCCTCCTTGTCGTCTGCTTTCTTCCCATCAGCATCTCTCGCCTCCAAGGTCATGCCCTCAGGTAACGTCTCCAACCCAAGATCTTCCTCCTGAACATTCAGTCCTGCTTCATGACAGACGTCCCACCACTCGCGCATGATCATCTCATTCGACTTGCCGCACTCCGCACATCTCCAAGACCGACTCTCCTTGGCCATACTCTTTCTCACATCGGCAGGAGCTTCTAGCCCGCCAACCTGTCCTGCCGAGCCCTTCTCGGCCATGAACGACCGCAGCGCTGTGAGGGCCGTCCGTACTCCCCACGCGGGCATCCATGTTTCCTCGTGAAAGCCCGATATGCTCAAGCAGATTGCGCGATTGACTTCGAAGCGCCCGGACGGTGTCAAGAAGCGGAAGTTAGGAGGTTTCAACGGGTACGTTGGTGGGAGGGTAATGCGGCCGTGGTACAGACCTCCGGCATAAGGCGAGGGTTCAGGAGGGCCCAGTAGTGTAAAGTGCCATTCGTGTAGGTCTGCGTCAGAGACCGGCGCAGCGAAGAAGGCTGGGTTGGGATTTGATGAGGGCGAGGAGAGTTCGGCAGTTTCTTTAAGGAGACGGCGTATCGTTGGCGACGGTGCCATGTCGGTTCAGTATGTCAGGATGAGGTCATTGGAGAGACGAGGCAGCTGGAGGTGTCTGCTTGACGGCTTGTGAGGATGAGGTTACAATCAGAGTGATGCCTGTCTGTACTAGGCTATGGGGTGTTCACTGCTTGCCAACGTCGCCAGATAAAGTACCTGGTAGGATAGGGAAGGATGAGAGAGATGCAAGGCCGCCAGCCTCATTTTCCTACCGTGGTTACGCCATCTGATACCACTACCCGGTGGACCCTGCGCTAAGCTCCAACCGCCATCGAAATACTTATATCTGTCAAAGTGAACTCACTTATGACAAAGTCAACCACATTTAGAGGTGCAGATGCAGATGCAGATTATTTTGAGAATGTGATATAATTCGGCATTATTATGGCTATTGCTGTTGCTGTGCACCTTGAGATGCTATGCCCTGCCCTGCCATGCGAGTACTTCATTCCTTTCCCAATAGCATCCGCCATTCACTAGTATACAGAGGAGAGTAGTCAACCCAAACAGCGGCCGTCTCAACTTTGGATAAACTCGATTCGAAAGGTCATTAGCCAGTATCCCTGCTGGCCACACTTGACGGTCAATTCCGTCTGCTGCTTGAGGAAAAAAAAGTCGTAATGGGTTAAAGCCAAATGTCTTGGATCTCTAAGCGCACAAGGTATCAATGAGAATTAGGTAGTAGTTTGTGGTCGTTATGTTGGGAGACAATCCAGGTGATGTTCCTGGACTCGATGGTCGTGGAACACTCACAACATCGATCAGTCTTCCCTGTAAGGAATAAGCATCGAGTGGGAGGACTTGTCGTGCTGAAGAGAGTTCTTCGAAGATAGATGTTGAGAGTCGAGGAAAATAAATTGTCGAAGATGCGCCACTGATGCGCCGAAGTGTTCGAAGAAACAAAGTATGCGCCAGATCGCCATGGAATATGTGAAAGAGGAGTCGAGATCGCAAAGAGATTTTAATATGCTGTCCCCATGCCCATCAAGCCCTGATCGGTAACTTGGGGCATACCCGTGACAGGATCAATGTGAAGTTCATCGACATAGCCGATCAGAGCTTGAGCATGGAGTTTGAATGATTCGCCCATGGTCTTTGAGATACTGTGACATGTTAGTTGCGAAATGTAAGGAATCAACGGAGCATGACTTACCCCCAAACGACCACGCCGTCCAGCATTGTGCCCCAAACCCTAGCAACAGTCGAGCTCAGTCTTGATCCGTTGGCCTCCACAGCGTCGTCATCAAAAAGGCCACGAACTTTCATGTACATAGCAAGCTCTTCATCGGTAGCTTCCTGGTCGTCATGTTCAATGCGGTATAGCCATAAGCTGAGGATGCTGATGAGCTCCAGACCACACAGAGGATGCTCGATACTCCAATTCGTTGAAGATGTTTTTGTGACCCAATTAATTCCCTGCATCGCAACAATCTCCATACAATCGTAGCATTGCTCGATGACTTTGATCATCTCCTTTGTTCTCTTGACGCTGTCTCGAGACAATGACATGGCGGCTGCAATCTCAAACGAGTTATGATATCGTAGTGCTTCTTGAACGTTCTTGAGATCGACTTCAAGGAAGGCTCGAGTGTTGCGGTAGACCGCCATGGAATTGAAGATCAATGGATGACTTTTGTGAGGCGTGCTGAGCGGTACGACGATGGTCTCAGGCTCGCACAGATCGAGAGATCGCTCCCAGGTTTCCAAGGCTATACGGATCTTCCATTCTAGAACCACGTCCTGCAGAGATTCGAAGCTCCTTCTAAGATTCCAAACCTCAAGGAAGAGCGCATTGACCATGACGCGAGTTGCAAAGGCGCTATATCGTGCTGCATCTCCTTGGAAAAGGCTGTCGTACGCTTCCCGCACGGTGATCGTAGGTGATGCGGCAAAGATATCTTGCCAAGCATCCTCATCCGTAGGCTCGATATTCCATAATGATTCAGATGACGGCAGTGGTAGTGAGTCGAACTCGTTGAAACTGATCGCCGGGGTGTGGTTGTACGTCAGAGTAAGCATACCGAAGAAGATGTAGACGGCATAGTAAGTCCGTCGGCAACCCTCCTCTACAACCCACTCTTCGTGTGTTGGTGGGGCTCCTGACCGTCCATCAATCCGTAACTTGAGCTCGTATTTGTTGCCAGCAACCATCTAGTAACGTTAGCGATAGGATCAAGAGGAGTTCCTGGTGCACCCACATTAGCAAGCAAGCTCTTGATAGAGCATGCCCATTCCAAGCCTTGAGAGCCTCCACTCCAGCTCTCAAACACCATGTTGAGGAGTGTGCTCTGCATGGTCCAGAGGGGGCATTTTCGCGAATCGAAATTCTCTTTGTTTTGCAGGAATTGATTGACAAGCTTCTTGGAGCCATGGTGCAGCAAGTACGCTTGTTCTTGCTCGAAGTTGTACAAAGAGCCGATAGACAGTATGGCGAGGAGAAGAGCGGGCTCGCTGCTTTCAGGACGGAACGTGACAGGATGTAGAAATGGGAGATGATGATGGAAGAGGTTGAAATAGGTGGTGAGGTAGAGGTTGATTGAGGGTAGGGAAGGTAAGATGACATCTCCGCCTAGCTGGTTAGCAATGATAGATCTCTCGTCATCATTGTTCAACTGGGGTGCTTTGGGCAAAGAAAGGGGTTGGGCTGGACCAGGTGACTTGCGATAGTTCACAGGAGACACTGGACCTGTCATCGACGGGAAGGGAGAGAGTGCATTTGGCGTGGGAGTGCCAGAGACCGGGAACGTATCTGCCAACGACGGGAAGGTCGGAGGAAGAGAGCTACCGAGCGAATTCTGGCGTTCCATGATAGGTGGTAATTGCGACTGATGCGGCTGGATCGATCCCATGTGGACGAATGGAGGCTGCGACAGGTTATCGTGGGAGGAGATGCTCGACATGGAGTGGGCCTTGGGTTCTGAGGGACCTTGTGGCATGAAGGTGTCCCAGGGCATATGCGGCAAACCGTTCGGACCGGCGAGGTAGTCGGACGATTCGAGGAGAGAGCTGCGATCGGGAGAGTAGCCGGGTATCGAGCCTTCGCCGTTCTGAAGATGACCGTTCACTGCTGCTGCTGCCGCCTTGTGTTGGAAGTCTGTCATCAACATGGCGGCAGTTTCAAGGTCGAGCATACCGTCGCTGCTAGCCTCAATCTGCTCCAACGTTCCAGGATCTATACTGATCGAGGGCTTGGACGGAGCGGCCGTTGAAGGCGTCGACTTCGTCCCTGCGCCTGTCCCAGTCCTCTTTCTACCTTCGGATTGAAGGGGCACACCGCCATCCTTTGCATGTACGGTTCGGTCGTGGCGTAGGAGCAGATCTCGACGGACGAAGGTGCTACGACATTTCTGACATTTGAAAGGACGCTCCTTAGTGTCTATGAAGGGATAGGAAGTTAGCAATGATTGATCGCAAGGTCATTGAGATGATGGGTAATTGATGGCGGGGTTCGGGTCTCTCCTTGAAGCCCCACGTCGCAACAACAAAAAATATTGTCTACTTACGCGATCGCTCGTGTCGACTTCGGTGTTCGCTTCGACTGAAGGCTCGATTGCAATACTGGCATTTGTATTTCTTCTCGGGTGCCGAAGCAGTCTTCTTGGGGGTCGTCGCCGTTGCGCTAGCGTTGGCCGGCTCAGAGGCGGTGGCGGCGTCAGCCTGAGCCATGGTTGGCAATGCAAGGATAAAAGCCCTCCGACCAGGCGCAAGCCTTTCGCTCAGAAGTGAGATGGTTCGAGGACGTAGATTGCGCTCTTTTCATTCCGTGTAGACGCAGGAAGAGGTTCGAGGGTGAATTGAATTGAGCTTTTGCTGGACTCGTAAAGGGATTCAGGCTTCGGAATTGACTGGGCGAAAAAGCGCAAAGGTGGATCACGTGGGCCGGGCGTAGGCGCAAGTGCTGCAGGTGCCTGACTGGATCCGTATAGTGACAACCACAATGTTCGCAACGATGGGTATTAGTGATGAAGACGACGACAACGATGATTATAGTGATACAAAATGAGTGATTGAGGAGTATTGGAAAATGGAAAGAAACAAAGGAGGGGCAAAGAGATGGCCACAACCGAGAAGAGGCGCTCTCAGAAATCTCTCCCAGGCATCCCTCCATCCCTCATCTTTCTCTGGCCCTCGATGCTTTTTGTCGCCCTCCCTCCATCAACAAGCCCCTGAAAAATTACCGTCACCAAACCGACCAGACCGACCCGCGATGTCCATGAGCCTAGCGGCCCCGTCCTTCCTACCCTACGACGGCCAACCCTTCACCTTCGAGAAGCCCCTCCTTCCGGCCAGCTTCTGCCACATCCGGACTTTGTGTCAATTATTAGACCTGGCTTTGCACCTGTCATCGTGAAAAGAGGCTTCGGAAAGGCTACTTGGCGATCTAGCAAGGTGCCAACGTATACAGTGGCTGCATCTCGCGTCTGCTCCTCCATTGGCCTTGCACTGAATCACAGCGCACCTTTGAGTTCTACGGACTTGAAACTGGGATGGGAAAAGAGCGTAAAGGCACAACCGGATTCGTCATTAGAGGCCTACCTTGAAGGGCCAGCACATTTGGCGATTGTCAGGTGGGACTCTTGGGCGTTTGGATATCATCATCGCAACTCACTTTCCCAGCCACCTCCCACGCATCAGTCACTCTTAGAATGCATCGGTCCGTACCCACGCTCCAGCCGTTGGAGCCTGCTGCGTCACGTCCCTCGACAGAAACACTGCTTCCCACTCAAAATGCTGCAACCAGCCACGCCCTGATTTGATTGCATTTTTCAGGCCGAACGGATAACTTGTTCTTGATGCGGCAGTACAGTTTGTGGCACGCCATCGAATCATGGATTCGCTCGTGATGCTCAAGAGAGACAAAAAGCAATTGTGGCACCTAAAAGTTGGAAGAGAACGATCGTCAGCAATCCTGGGGACTTGTTCCTGCATGGCCCGTGCAGCTCCTTTCTTTTGGGTAGCGGCTGGCCGCCTTGGTTCGAGACGTGGAGCTCGCTAACGCCTCGGATGGACGTTGCCCGCAGTATCGAGATCTTGAAGGAAACATAAATTCTGTGGTCTGACGTCTCCTGTTCGCTGCTGAAAAAGCGGAAGGTGACTCTGAAATTCCCACTTCTGACCCTCTTGCACTTCCGGCTTTGCTAAGAAACTCCAGCTAGGAAGCGTCAGCCCTGGTTCCGCGAGATGGTCGAAATAACGCATCCGAGACCCATCCTCGTGGAAAGAGGCCCATAATTGTTCCGGCGGCCCTGTCGACTAGCGTATGCAGGCATTTTCCAATGACCCTGAATCGGACATCCGAACAAAAAGGAAAATGGTTCTCCTGAACTTATGACGAGGTCGCACTCCCACAGATTCAAGAAGCAAATAACGACACATTATGAGAGGCGATTTTGCAACCTGTCCGTCTGGTTCGGTCGACAAAGGAAGCAGTTCTTCGAGATTGGCGCAAGCGACTGAACAATCGCGAATGGGTATTTGATGCTCGTGTACGAGGTAGTTACTGTCGCGAAGAATTACCATGGTACTCGCCCGAGAGATTACATGTCATCGAGCCCCGCGCGATGTGGCATGTCAACGAGAACAATGTTGCAAGTATATCGAGTCAGCAGCAATCACGTTTCCCGACATTACTTTATGATTCAATGTGTCTTTCTTCAGAACTGTCAGCGGCTTCTCGCCGGACAAACACGACGCGGAGGACGCATCCGCGCAAAGGAAAGCTTGATGAATCAGTGTGACCGCCGGCGCCGCCGCACCCAAAGGCTCATCGATCCTACACAATACTTGTGGTCGTGGTGCCGCACCGTCGGTGACCTCTGAGCATGGTTGTTGGCAGTTGGAACCATGGCTGACGTTAGGCTTTGGCCAGGGTCACCAGGAGCCACAACCGGCCGCCAAGCAGTGCCCATCCGCCGGAATCCCACTACCCGTCAAGCTACGACTGACACCCACTCTGACACCCACCATTGTGGAGCTTTTCATACACCATTTCCCATCTGAAATCTTAACAATTTCCGACGATGTCGCATTTATTCATCGGTTCGCTCTTTCTACCCCTGGCGCTGGAAAGTGCGCCATTATTCGAGAAGTTCGAATTGCTTCGGTTGCTTATCAGCTGATTGTTGCTATCTATCGCAGTGTGAGACGCTAGGACAGTCCTGTGCGCGGCGACAATTCCACCAAGACACTGACAACCTTCCATTGGAGATACACTCACTTTTGAGCACCTTGGATATTGCCACTGCGCCAGTGGGCCACCGGGCGGAAAGAGAGTGCTTGGTCAAGCAACGCCGGTTCGAGGCGTCGCTCATCGCATGCGAAAATGAATTATCTATACCATTGTATGGTTCGGCAATTTGAGATCAAATCCTGTCAAGGCCAGCCCATTGCTGGCGGCAGGGCGACGACACACAAGGTTTGCTTCAAACTCGTGACGCCTATTTTCTTTCATAAGTCGGAGTCTTGAAGCTCGCCAGCTTTTCAGATCGTGTACAGCCAGTGGAGATTTTTCAAAACTCAAGAGACTGTGAATACACACTCGGATACCTTTTCGCATTTCCTTGAAAGTGCCGAATGCTTGCCAGACTATGGCCTCTCTCAGTACATGGCGAATGACGTTGAATGCGATCATTCTTCCTTGAAGCGGGTAATGACGAGCTGCTGTGCAGTCCTATGGTAAGTCACTTCGGAAAAGGAGAGAGAATCAGTTAGAGTCTTGCCATCAAGTTGGGTATGAACTTCTTGTTTCAATATGTGCTTCTTGGCACTTATCTTCCTCGGTCGTGCAGCAGAAGGTTCATCTTTATCGAGGATAGCATGGTGACCCCGGTCGTGAGACTCTGCCAGGACTCTGATATGGCTCGAGGTCTCTCTTGAAGGTATTTCAGTCGTCGCTATCATCTGCAATGTGGTGATCTTGCTCTCAAGGGAGTGGAACGAGGATGCCCTGCTGAGGCGACAACGAACCGCAGGCAGCTACGGCGACGCGCTTCGTACATCTATCAAGCTGCCAACAAGCGCTGGACGATGAAGGCAGTGGCAAGCATTTTTACAGACCTCGAAAATACTGGTATCAGCCGTCATTGAACAATAATGATTGCAGCGGCAATTCAGGTAAGTAGTCTTCAGTGTATTGGCTCGGAAGAAGGGCACCGTCATGTTACAAAGGAGACAGCTGTCTCTTGGTCTTGGTCCCGAACTCTGAAAGGTCAATAAGTAGGCTGTGGTTGTGTTACCTGTGTCCCGTTACCATGCGGATGACCACAGCCTGCGCATTACAACAAACTTGGCACGTCTTCAAAGGGTTGGAAAACTGGGACGGGGTATCTTGGTTGTTCTTCTCGGTCGTCGCTCCTTCTGCGATTGTATTGCTGGTAAAGTGTTCTCTAGCTCGTCAGGTATACGCGAGGGGCAACTTGAGGTCAGTGGCGTGTAGACACGGAACCAGGCGACAGTCAAGCTCCGGACAGTCGGACAGGAAGAGCCATTCAAAGCATAGAACATACAACTTTGACCGAGAATGGCAGGTTGTTCGGGCACATTATCTGACCAGTTACCGGCAGGCCTGGCTTGTGCTCCGTACTTTGAGTGTGTCCGTTGTTATTCGTGATGCCTTTCAATGAGTGTCATTCGCTCCACGACAGGCGAGGTAGGTTGGTAGGCTTTACGGATCAGCAAGCACTCCTGCAGCCTACAAGGTGAGAATCCGAGCTCGGGTATGGCCACGGGAGTTGCGCGTGGACTCGTATACCATTCCTACAAGCAGTTATCGTGGTGCTTACTATGTATGGTACAGAGAGGTTTAGTGGCCTTCAAGCGCGGGATAAGAACGAGGGCAAAGATGGGCTTGAGCGCGCTCGTGCCGCCCAGTCAGCGTCCTTCATTCGGCATTATTGCTTCCTCCACACCACTCCTCCATCATGGCTACTTGATAAATTACATCTCTGTGTGCTCACCTTTGGCTTCTTCATTGTGTATCTCTGCTCCAAGACGTGCCAAAAATCTTTGACACAGACGAGAAGACCTTGTCGTGCTGGTTTACCACAAATTCAAGCAGCCTTCGAAGAGTGCTGCGAACGTCCCTGATCCCTCCCTCTTTGAAACCTCCAATCGGGCGCCCAATCTTTTACTCCACCTTCTATTACGGAGACCACCACCTCCAAAACCCACTGACACCTGCGTGTTACTGCAACTGACAAAGAGACTTCCTTCTGCCTCAAAAGCCGTCCTCCCATATGATCACCTCCCAGGCCGACGTCGAATAGTACAGCGAGAGGTCTCTCATACCGGCCATCACGGCACAAATCGAATATGCACATCTTGCCCGCGGCACTGCGCTTCGGAAGGCAAGAGCAGGTCCTTCAACTCGTCTCGCAACGGTGAAAGCCTCGTAGACGTCAACTTCGCGCCTGAGTAGCACAAGAATCGAGGCTTCAAGAACTGTCAGTCAACTACGGGTCGACGTTAGCCACTCCCTTCCATCACACAGAACGTGACCGATCTGCTCAGTCCGCCTCACTCAGGGCTGCCACCGCTCAGCGTGCGGGCATGAGCGGCCTCTCGCCGCGCCGTCGTGCTGCCCAGGCGGTTGCTATGAACGGCTATGTCGCAAGCACAGACTTGCCTCCGCCACCTCCTCCAGTGTACGTTCGAGCGTTATACGATTATGATGCCGACGATCATACCAGCCTGAGTTTTCGCCGAGGAGAAATCATCCAAGTATTGACTCAACTTGAGAGTGGTTGGTGGGATGGTGTGATCAACAATGTTCGAGGCTGGTTCCCGAGTAATTACACTGTTGAAATATCGAATTCCGACGAGCTGGGTGAAGTGGGTGGTGGGCAGGATGACAGTGAGACTGGATCTGGGACCGAGGAAGAGTACGACGATGAGGAGGAGGACTCTGATGCTCATACACAAGATGAAGATTCGGACTTACCAATAGAGGGTGGCACTGTTCAACCTCAAGAAGAGGCCGCATTCTGGGTGCCTCAGGCGACGCCTGATGGACGATTGTTTTATTTCAATACGTTAACAGGTGTGAGCACCATGGAATTGCCTTTGGAAACTCCAACAAGCTCGGATGAGACTGGGCCTCTTGATCGCAACAATTTCCGCGTGCCGGTACAAACGCGACCGCCGCCTGAGATGATGGCGGGAGAGTATGGGCAGAATGAGGACGATTATGATGGCTCGGCCTCTGAGGCCGATAATGAAAGTCATTTCCGGTCTTTGCGCAAGAAGGGCTCCATGACTTCTGGTAGTATCTCGACTTCGACCTCGATGGATTCAATCGATGTAAGCGCTTCTAGGCAAGCCGGCAATCAAGTCCACCCTTACGGATCGCAGGCCAGCATGTCAATGGGGCTGCCTCCACTAGGAACGACAGGGACCTCATTCAGTGTGGCACCGTATCAAAAGGTGCCTAAATCGCCTGCACCACGAAACTTCCTGGACGACACAAGTACCGCACCCGTGACTTGGAGTGTCCTAGTTGAGAATATGCGATCTGCAATTGAAGCATACCGACATGCCATTCGTACTCGCGCACGAGCACACTACGTTCGCAAAGCAGAAGACATCTCCGATCACCTTCGCATGTTACTTGCTGCAGGATCGGGAACCACTGATAATCACTCAGGCAATCCTTCTATTATTTCCACTAATAAGGCCCTATATCCTCATTTCCGAGAGATGATGTCCAAATTCTCAAAACTTGTCCTATCTTCCCACATCGCCACTGCGGATTGGCCAGGTCCCGACGCCCTTACCAAATGCCTACAGGAAGCCGAAGGCGTGATGAACGGGGTGTATGGCTATGTGGAAGTGGCAAGACAGCAAAGAGGTGAAGAGATCCCACGTCTCGTTCCAGGTTTCATCATGGGAAGCAAAGTAGGAGGCAATTGGCGGGACAACAACATTGACGGACCGAAGAATCTGGAGGGAACATCGTTCATGGATTCAAGTGACGAGATTGGACCGCGTCCATCAGCACCACTTGATAACAATCTCTTACGTCGAACGGAAGATTGCAGGCAGAACTTGTCGGCTGCTTTACGCCGTTTGGAGGAGTCTCTCAAGATGAATGATAAAATTGTAACGCATACCAGGCAGTCCACCATTGGGGATGCCGTATGCCAGGCCGCAGCTGTCGTCATCGATCAGTTTCGACAGTGGATATCACTCATTGAGTCTATTGACCTTTCTTCGCTAGGAAGCGTCCTACAAAAACCATCCTTGGTAGACTTTGGTACGCAAAAGCAGAAGGCATATGACACCATTGGTGAATTGGTGGTCAATTGCCAGGCTGTGACAGCACCTCTACCCGATGAGTGGGCAGAAATCCGTGGCGAGTCTCTCGACATCCGCCTAAGCAATGTACGAGGTGCATGCAAGCAGATGGAATCCCAGCTCTCGAGTATCGGCAATGCTTTACAGCTCTTACTACCGGCTTACTCCATGAGTGCAACAAGCATGGCAAACAAGAGAGACCATAGGCTCACAGATGGTGGCGAAACGTATCAGAACGCCTATCTGAGAGCGGACGCGAACCATGGTGCAAACCTTCGACCTGCGTTGGCGGACATTGGACAATCGAAATCCTATACATTGGGTCAAAATCCTGCTGCCCTGGAGCAGTCCCGTCGGCCTCTGGCGAAGGACAAGGCAAGGCAATTCTTTGGACAAATACCGCCTGATTTGGCCCAACTCAAAACCAACCTCGATCCGAACTTGTCATCGGACGAGGTACCATGGTATTTAGAACTCGATCACCTGAGCGAAGTGACGTACGATACGAGAACTGAACCGCCGGTTGTGAAGAGCGGCACTCTCACGGGACTCGTCGAACAGCTCACTCGCCACGATCGGGCTGATCCCAACTTTACCCTCACCTTCTTGCTCACTTACAGATCTTTTACGTCAGCGTCCGAACTTTTCGAGCATTTGGTCAAACGTTTCAATCTACAGCCACCTGCGGGCCTGAATCGAGACGAATACTCAATATGGGAGGAGCATAAACAAAAACCCGCCCGGTTCAGAGTGATGAACATTCTGAAAACCTGGCTTGAGTTGTACTGGATGGAGAACGATGATGGAGCCAGCAAAGAGATCCTCGAGCGCGTCATGGCATTCGCAAAGAGCGCACAGACAAACACCAACATCCCATCGGCGCCAGCTCTTATCAAAGTCGTCGACCAGCGCTTAAAGGGAGGCGAAACAGCTTCTAAGAAGCTCGTTCTCACACTCACAAACTCGGCGCCCGCGCCAATTTTACCGAAGAACATGAAGAAGCTGAAATTCCTTGACATCGACCCCCTGGAATTCGCTCGACAGCTGACGATAATGGAATCCAAGCTCTACGGCAAGATCAAAGCCGTCGAATGTTTGGCCAAAACATGGACGCGGAAGAGTGAAGCAGGCAAAGACGAGACGGGGCAAAACCTGCAAGCCTTGATCTTGCATGCCAACCAGTTAACAAACTGGACGGCCGAGATGATCCTGTCGCAGGCGGAAGTCAAAAAGCGAGTAATTGTCACGAAGCACTTCATTACTATTGCCGATGTGAGTATTCCGTTATCCTCCTCAAGACAGCCACTAACGCCTTACAGAAATGCCGATTTTTGAACAACTTCTCAGCGGTAACGGCAATAATATCAGCCATGGGCACAGCCCCCATCCTGCGCTTAAGCCGAACCTGGCAGTCCGTCAACCCCAAGACAACAGCAATGCTCGAGTCGATGCGCAACCTGATCTCCTCGTCCAAGAACTTCTCTAATTACCGGGAGGCCCTGACCGCCGCGACTCCGCCTTGCATACCCTTCCTAGGCACGTACCTGACCGATCTGACGTTCATTGAGGACGGCATTCCAAGTTTGGTCAAGAACACGGATCTGATTAATTTCACTAAACGCACCAAGACGGCGGAGGTGATTAGGGATATTCAGCAGTATCAGAACGTGCCGTACTCTCTTCATCCGGTGCCGGAGTTGCAGGAGTGGATTGCCGATCATATGCGGAATTGTGGCGATGTGCAGGAGATGTATGGGCAGAGTCTGAAGGTTGAGCCAAGAGAGCGGGAGGAAGAGAAGATTGCGAGATTGCTTTCTGAGTCGGGCTTCTTGTGAGGCGCCACATCTGAGCCCAAAGCTCCGATACCAGACAGGCTGGGCTTCTCGGCAAGATCGCGACGGCACTTCCATTTCTGCAAGACGGCGACGCGGCAGGCGTAAGCAAACGTACATTGAGCATGCCTCCGGTGTGTGGGTGCATCTGGTGGCTACGGGAAGTTCTTCATGCTTGGGTACCGGCGCTGGATTGCAGCTTTCCCGTTTCGGCGCTTTTCGGTGCTAAAGGAAAGGCGCAATAGTATTCGCTAGACGGGAGGATGATGGCCATGGCGTCAATGGGATGGGATAGGAAACAGGACAGGAGCAGATATGGATTCTGGGAAAACCTTGCGAAATATACTTATACTCAGTGGCAATCTTGCTGCTGTTGTCATGATAATACGTCCTTTCCATGGTAGAAATTGACGCCTTACCCTCTGTGGGATTGTTCAATTGGTGAGTGTTCGCCAGATTTGACATGAATGACTTAGTGAACGGTCCAAAGGAGTCTTTGCTACAGCTGACCGTAAATGGTGAAGTCATGTATATGATATGTCAGGAGCCTTCATAAGGCTTCAAACAAATTCAAAATCTTCGCACAATGTTCGATCATCGCGACACACGGCAAGTAGCAGGGCATGGGGTGCATCAAAAGCTCACGAGCTCGCGTCATCCTTACACATCCTTGTAAATCTCTTTGTCGAACATTGTCTATACTATGCAGTATTTTTACAATGATGCGCGAGTAAGACCCCGTTCCTTTGAAGGGTATATCGCATCGTCGGAGAGTCATGACTTTCTATGCATAACTGTAGCAGCGGCCTAGAGTCCAACATGATTGACACCGTTAGTCTCCGACTTCTCAAGAATCAACAACAAATCAAACGGGCAGCAATACTGACCTGGTGGTTCGGGAAGATCAACGAATCCGCCAATACGACGTTCTCTCTTCGTCCAGCTGCGAACACCACAATCTCGGCGATGTCGTCCGGGGTCAGCGGTTCAACGCCTTTATACACGGCATCAGCCTTCGACTTGTCGCCGTAGAACCGGACAACTGAGAACTCCTGGTCCATATCACACTTTGTCAGCAAGATCTATCCTCTCGGATGGGCAGAAACCCAGGGCTTTACTAACCGTCTCAACCTGACCGGGGTCAACCTCAATGATCCTAATCCGCGAAGCAATCAATTCCTTTCGCAGCGCGTCCGTGAACGTCCTGACAGCACTCTTGGTGGCGCAGTAGATACTGCCACCAGGATACCCCTCGCGCCCGGCGATACTGCCAATCATAATGACATCGCCGGCTCCTCCGTCCTTGCCGCCATTCTTCTTTTTGAAAATCTGCAGCACCGCCTGTGTCATGTGTATCAGGCCAGTCACATTCGTGGCGAACATAACGTCTATATCTTCTGCCTTGATCTCCGGTGCTTTGTCCACGCCCTTGACCAGCCCCGCGTTGTTGACGAGGATGTCGATGTCTTGAAACTCTTGGGGCAGGTTGGGGATCAAATTGGCGATTTCGTCAGGCTTGGAAATGTCGAGCTTGACCGGAAGCACTTTGACACCATCTCCGACTTCCTTCTTTATCTCCTCAGCAACTTCTTTCAGGGTATCGATACGGCGCGCCGTCAGGATGATCTTGAGATCTTTCGGGCTCGTGCGTGCGAATTCTTGGGCGACGCTTCGTCCGATGCCGCTCGAGGCGCCGGTCACGAGGACCGTCTTGCCTTCTAGGCGTTTGGACATGGCACTGATGGACGACATCCTGCGTAGGGTCTGTAGGTGTTTGGGTAGAAGGCTTGCAGGAGTTGCTGCTGCTGCTCGAAGCTGGTGCGGAGAAGATAGTCGGGAAGATAGTCGTGAAGCTGTTCGCGTAGCTGTGAATATTTTGCCGGCGAGGCTGAAGGCAGATGTACTCGTCGAGAAGAGGGTAGGCATGTAACGAGGGTGTGGCAGTGTAAGATAACAGAAATTTCAGCTATGGCTATGGCGTAAGTGCATGCTGTCGACGGATTGTCACGAAATGATCCAACAACGAGGGGATCCATACATTGGAGAAGTCGGAGACTGGCCGATAGCGGCGATGTACGGTCACGCTCCTATTGGTGAGAATGCGACTCAGGAACAGGATGAGAAGACGGAGGAAAGCCGACTTGCATACAAGTATTTCCTCTCACAACAGTCCCTTTGTGTAGCATCGTCGCAAATGTCCAGCTTAATCGACCACTCGTAACCGTCGAGAGGCAACGCCGGCGTACCGGCGATCATGATCGCGTCTTCAATTCTTGCGCCGCTTCCCAGGTGTCCCACCGTCACCACTGCGCACATACTGTCGTGGTTCCTCGTATGCTCGCTTTCGGCCCTGCTCATTACTCCTCTGCTGAGAGTGTCCTGACGATGGTGGCCCGGCATGATCGTGCCTAGGATCATAGTGTTGGCTGCTCAACGTGCTAGGAGAACGACCTCGATATCGAGCCTGGGTACGTCCTTGCTGCTTGTGTTGCTGGTTCTGGCGCTTTTTCTTGTCCTTGTTTTTCTTGTTCTTGGAGCCTTGATTGTTGTTGTTCTGCTTTCTACTGTCGTTGTTGGAGGGGTTCACACGTTGGGAATCAAATTTTGTCTGCTGAGGCTCTGTCGGATGCATCTGTTCTCGATAGGTGTCATTGACCGGTCGCAAGTCGTACAGAGGCGGACTAGGCGCTTCCGTCGTGCTAGGATCGTAAGCCTGGACTGGCTTTGGGGGACCTGTAACTCCAAGTGCGGCAAGACGATGCTCTTGCTCCACGGACAAGGCTCTGTGATCTGCATTTCGCCCAGGATGGTCAACTTCGGCGTCGGTAGAGCTTTGTAGATAATTGTCGACAGTGTCGAATGCCATGCTCGATAGCAGTGTCTGCTTGCGTATGTCCAATTCTTCGAAGGTGGTTACCTCTCCATCTTGGGGAATATCTGCAAACATGGGATCTTCCTTGAGTATCTCTCCGTCTGTCTTGTTCTTGATATTTGCCAGATAAACTTCTTCCTTCCCGTTACGAAAGAACTGGGAGACCACGATGAGCTGATTGGACTGTAGCGTGTCATCTTCATCGATGTTTGCAGTCATTGCCTGGATTCTTCGTTGCATAACGGAGCCTGGTGGCGGGTCACAGAAGTCGAGTGCTTGGAGATCGTCGTCGCCATCCCCACAGTCGACCTCCTGCCGAGTCTGATGGGCATTATGGAAAGAGTAAGCTGAGGTTTTGTGAATCTGGTCGAAGTCTCTTACTGGGTGCCTGTCCATGCCGTCGGAGTAGTATGGTGATTGATGACGACCGTCCACCAGCGGTCCCGTCGCGCTCGGTGGTAACGTGGACAAGGGTGCTGCGGGGGTATCAGATGAGCCATGTGAGGCAAAGACACCTTGTGGTCCACCAGCATGGTAGTGCCACGAACCATCCGTGCTTGCAGTGTGGTTGTGGGTCTCATAATCCTGGAATTGGCTTCGTTGCCCATATTGAGAGGTTTTTGGGGGCATCATCACGGGGCTCGAGGTCGTTGCGTTGTCATACGGATGTACAGGAAACGCTGCCGGAGGATGCTGGTATCTGTCCCAAGAACTCTCACGATGAATGGCTCGAGGATATGGAAGGGTTGTTGAATGTGTTGCGAGTGCTGCCCTGTAATGGTTCAATGCACGTTTGTTACTTCAGCTGCACTTACTTACCCAACTTGAATGTCGTGTTCATTGCCTTGCCAATTGGGGATTCCGCCATTGCCATATGCACTGTGGAAGGGCTGTAATCCGGTACTTGGGTGGGTCTGATGAGGGTAAAGTGAGATATCAGGCCTATGGTAGCTGAACGAGGGCTGATGCGACCAAGTATGCGCACTTTCTCCAGGGTAGCTGGACATCGAGGCTTCTCACGATGGCGCGCTCTGGAAGTAGGGTAGCTTGGCAGACGGGTTCAAGGATGTATCCTTTGACGAGGGATCTCAATTGCGACAGCAAACGTTCACTGATTGCAGCGGTGTACTTTGGAGAGCCAAAAAGAGCTGGGAAACATATCAAGCAGGTTTGTGTACAGCAGTGAATGGCAAAAACAATCGCTGAGAAGGATATGATTGCGAACTCGGTCGCAGTCACTATGACCGCACTTGAACAATTGAAAGGCAACATCGACTTCCGCCTCACCCAACACCTATACCATCCCAGCAGAACGGTCTGAGCTGTTTCTTTGTTGAAGATGTAGGGATGCATGTCTCCAACCGAACCTAACGGCAACTTGCAGGACAGGTTGAGTCCAGCGCCGCCACCACCGACAACGAACATCCGTGGGACTCGCAGGACATGTCAAGCTGTAGAATAAGATGGCTTCATCTAGCAGATATAGAGCTTCACCTGAGTGGAAAAATTTTATCCCAGTACTCAAGGGTAGAGTTGGAAGGTGTCTACGAGACATTTGAGGGAGGAGTTAGCAAAAATGAACGACGGGAGGACGTTGACCGGTCCGATGCCGCTTTTGGGAGCAGCCGTTGGCGGTAGTCGTCATTCTCCACGTTCCTGCGCCGAAAGAGCACGAGCCCAGAAACTGAATTTCAGCGTCTTGTACATCATCTTCTTCAAGGCGTCACTGAATGCCGAGACATGCGCATTACTTTGTTTGTGCCTCACTCTTTGTGAAGGTGATAAGGTCAACATCATGAGAGTACAGAGTCGATCTCTCCCCCTACCCAGGAACCTCCCCTAAGCACGGCGTCGGCCTGCATCCTGTGACAGCTGGTGTGGCGAGATCACACACTCTTTCGCGATGCCCGGTTTACCTAGTACGCTCCTCGATCCTCACGGATGTCCTCGTTGCGGCGACTGACCTATGCATAGCGAGTATCGACCTTGACGAGTGCATCGCGCAGCTGTACAAGAAAAACCTACTTGCGGAATCTCTAATCGAGGCAATATGCGCCAAAGCCAAGGAGATGCTCATGAAGGAGAGCAATGTCGTTCACATATCCGCACCAGTGACTGTGGTCGGCGATATTCACGGCCAGTTCTTTGACATGCTGGAGATCTTCAAAATTGGTGGCTTTTGTCCGGACACAAATTATCTTTTCCTTGGTATGTGCCAGAATCATCGCGACGGCGACAGCGACAGCTATATCTAACACGTCTTAGGCGATTATGTCGACCGTGGACTTTTCAGCGTGGAAACAATTTCACTACTTGTTTGTTTAAAGTTACGATACCCCCAGCGCGTTCATCTCATTCGAGGCAATCATGAATCACGAGGCGTCACACAGTCATATGGCTTCTATACCGAGTGTGCACGAAAATACGGCAACGCCAATGTTTGGCATTATTTTACGGATATGTTCGATTTTCTCACATTGAGCGTGGTCATCAATGACCAGATTTTCTGTGTTCATGGCGGCTTGTCGCCGTCTATTCATTCGATTGATCAGATCAAGATCATCGACAGATATCGGGAAATACCACACGAGGGACCTATGGCGGATTTGGTATGGTCAGATCCAGATCCGGAACGGGATGAGTTCTCTCTGTCACCAAGGGGCGCAGGCTATACATTTGGAGGGGATGTGGTCAAAAAGTTCTTGCAGGTCAACAGCATGTCGCATATCCTGCGGGCTCATCAGCTATGTCAGGAAGGCTATCAGATTCTGTACGATGATCGACTCAGCACAGTTTGGAGTGCACCAAATTACTGCTACCGCTGCGGAAACCTGGCCAGCGTTCTTGAGGTTAGCGATGCTGGGGATCGGTACTTCAACATTTTTGAGGCGGCTCCGGAGAACGATGTGCACCGAAACGAACAGCAACAGCAACAACAGCAAAACCAGGCAAAAGATAGTCAGGGTTCTCATATTGAGTATTTCCTATGACCAACGGGATTGTCTCATCATTCGTGCCAGCTCGCAGTTCCATCGCAGGTACAACTGCCAGTAATGTCGCTAAACAAGGTCCAAGCTTTGGACGCCTTCACCACAGTATTTGTGGCGTCTCCATTGTTTATCCAGAGCCCACCATGGCCATTGTGACCATCTTCGAATCGCCAGTCTCATCATCATCTCAAAGATGGACATCACTACCAGTCCTTAGTAATGTCGAAAGACCAGGTGAACTCAAGGTGGGTATGGTCGTCGTCATCCACGAAACGAGAAATCGCCTCGTAATGGCCACGAGCCAACATGCCGGATGGTGCTTCTTCGATGGAGAACTTCTTCTCGTACACAGGCTTGTCCTTGGTACTTGGAGGGTAGCTGCCGATCATCTCCTGGTCTTTGCTCACGCGGATGCCCTTGCGCTTGGTGACTTGGACGTATTTCAGGCCAGACAGAACTTGGTGTTGGACGACGAATACAGCTTTCATTTGGTATTGGCATCCCTCCTTGATGGTGAATGGTTTTGCCTTCAAAGTCTCAAGTGCGCCGGGTTGGGAGAGGTCGATAGTGATGTCCGATCGGCCGACGACTTCCTGAGGAATTTGTCAATGGCTGATGTTGCACTTTCTCGAACACGAATGACTTACCAAGGCGAGGGACTTGATGATACACATGCGAGAGTCATTTGGGTCTGAGATTGATTCGCCCGTGGCAAGGCCGAGAGACGCCTTCCAACGGTTCAAGGCTTCATCCTCCTGATCTAAATGTGATTGAGGTCAGTCATAAATTCAAATAACGCTCCATTAGCTAGTGACTGGGGTGCTTTTGCTGTAGAATATTGAAGCCGAAGTGATCTTGAAAACATCGCTGCTTTCTGTACATTACAGTCCTTCCCTTGAATGTAGATGTATTGCTTGATGTAGATATTCTTTTCATAGTGACTTACCGAGTTTCTGATATTCGTCAAGTGTCTTCTTCTCTCCCACCTTGAAACCAGGGGTTCTCTCTGCCGAAGCCTCGTCCGCCATGTCTGATGATGTCGAAGAATTATCGCCCAGTAGAGGTTCAAGAAGTTCGTCTGTGTACTCTTCCTCAAGCGTAAGGAGATTGAAGTGACGATCGAGATCTTGAAAGAGTTCGTCCTCGTACTTGTCCAAACGTGAACGGCGTTCGTCGCGAGGGACCATGGTGAAACACTTGATCTACTCAGCGCTGAGACGCTAGTGGAGGTTAAAGCGGCGGGAAATATGAGGCGAGTTGCGGTGCGAAGCTGTGAAGTGGTAGATCAAAGCGGCGAGTAGATTGACCGTTTGGGGACAAATTGTGACGCGATGGCATATGCTTTGACGCGACCAGTTTCGCGTCTCATTCATGTCCCGCATCTTTTTTGTAATCATCTGCGCCTCCATACTTCAATACTTTGTCCGCTCACAGTCTTTCACGATGCCTGGACGTGTGATAGAGAAGCCGAAGAAAAGGATCCTTACAGATGCTACGAATACTCACAACGTCCTAAAATCACCGCCGTCCGCGAAGAAGCGGAAGCTCAACGGCAATGGCCCGAATGTATCTTTCCACTCCTCTCAGACTGGCCCAAATGGCGTCAGATCAAAGATGGGCTCGAGCCAGCCCAAGAGTCACTTCGAGACAGAAGTCTTGGAGAAGATGACCCAGGACATTACAGGCTTGAGAGAGAACAATTCTGAAAAAGACCAACAATGGGACAGACCCAACTTGGACGACTTTGATGCCCAGAGAGACCCCCTTCAATTTCAGCAGATCGAGATTGAAGAAGGAACACTACACGGGGGCAAAGTCACCCTCAAGCTGTTTGGTGTCTCTGAGGTATGAGCAACTGTCATGCCCTCAGTCTTCTCCTTGCTAACCATGATCTAGACTGGACACTCAATCCTGCTCCATGTTACTGACTTCCTCCACTACCTTTATGTGGCAGCCCCTGTCAACTTCCAGCGACAAGATGTCGAAGGCTACAAGGCATACCTGGAGACACACCTGGCACAGCATCAGCCTGTCATTCACTCCGTTCAGATGGTGCTTCGTGAGAACCTCTACGGCTTCCAAGGAAATCAAAAGAGTCCATACCTCAAGATCACGGTGAATGATCCGAAGTATATCAACCGACTGCGATCTGCTATAGAAGACGGACATGCAAACTACAAAGGAATGTGGAAAGGCGTGGAGAGCAAAATTCTGACGTTTGACAATATTCAATACGTGCTGCGCTTTATGATCGACACAGGAGTGGCCGGAATGTCCTGGGTAGAGGTTCCTCCTCAAAAATTCCATGTCATGCCGCAACATGACCGACAGTCGAATTGCCAGATCGAAGCATATTGTCATTATCGAGATCTTATCGCACACGGCCAAGATGGTGAATGGGCCAAAATGGCTCCGCTGCGGATATTGTCGTTTGATATTGAGTGTGCTGGTCGAAAAGGAGTCTTCCCCGAAGCCAACCAGGATCCTGTCATCCAGATTGCCAACGTGGTCACCAAATATGGCGAGTCGAAACCGTTCATACGAAATGTCTTCGTGCTGGATACTTGCAGTTTGATCGTGAATACACAAATTTACGAACACGACTCAGAATCAAAAATGCTGCTGGCTTGGAGAGATTTCCTCGAGAAGGTCGACCCGGATGTCATTATCGGCTACAACATTGCGAACTTCGACTTCCCCTATCTCCTAGATAGAGCAAAGCACTTGAAGCTACCAAAGTTTCCATACTGGTCACGACTTAAGAGTGTCATCTCTCAGGCCAAAGACACCAACTTTTCCAGCAAGCAGATGGGCAATCGAGACACAAAAGCGACGAATACGAATGGTCGAATCCAGTTGGATCTATTACAGCTGGTCCAGAGGGATCACCAGCTACGAAGTTACACCCTCAACTCTGTGTGCGCCCATTTCCTTGGAGAACAGAAGGAGGACGTGCATCATACAATGATCACCGAACTATTCAATGGCACTCCGGACTCAAGACGACGGTTGGCAGTCTATTGTTTGAAAGATGCTTACTTACCCCAACGACTCATGGACAAGTTGATGTGTCTGGTCAATTACACGGAGATGGCCAGAGTCACAGGTGTGCCGTTCAACTACCTTCTTGCTCGTGGGCAACAAGTAAAGTTCATTAGCCAGCTTTTCCGAAAAGCTCTGGAGCAACAGTTGGTCATTCCCAATCTAAGGAATGAGAGTTCAGACGAACAATATGAGGGCGCCACGGTCATTGAACCCATTCGCGGCTACTACGATGTCCCCGTCGCCACGCTTGATTTCGCATCTCTGTATCCATCGATCATACAGGCTCACAATCTGTGTTACACCACGCTTCTGAACAAAAATATCATCGAGAAGATGAATCTGAAGAAGGATGAAGACTACATTCTGACACCCAATGGTGATCTTTTCTGTACATCCAAGGTCCGAAAAGGACTGCTGACTCAGATTCTGGAAGAATTGCTGGGTGCGCGTAAGCGGGCAAAAAAAGAGCTTGCAGTCGAGACAGACCCTTTCAAGAAAGCAGTTCTCAATGGTCGTCAACTGGCCTTGAAAGTATCAGCGAATTCAGTCTATGGTATCACTGGTGCAACAGTGGGCAAGCTGCCTTGTCTGGCAATTGCCTCCAGTACAACGGCTTATGGCCGGCAAATGATTGAGAAGACAAAGGCGGAGGTCGAGCAGAAGTACACCATTGCCAACGGCTACTCGCATGACGCGCAGGTCATCTATGGAGATACGGATTCAGTGATGGTGAAGTTCGGCGAGAAAGACCTGAAGAAGACGATGGAACTTGGACAGGAAGCCGCCGACTTTGTCTCCAACAAATTCATCAAGCCCATCAAACTGGAATTCGAGAAGATTTACTTCCCCTATTTGCTCATCAACAAGAAAAGATATGCAGGGTTGTACTGGACCAATCCAGACAAGCACGACAAGATGGACAGCAAAGGTATCGAGACTGTACGTCGTGACAACTGTCGTCTGGTTCAAATCGTCATTGAAACCGTCCTCAAGAAGATCCTGATCGACCGCGACTTGGATGGCGCTCAAGAGTACGTCAAGGACACCATTTCCAACTTGCTGCAGAACAAAGTCGATCTGAGCATGCTGGTCATCACGAAAGCTCTGAGCAAGAGCGACTACACGGCCAAACAAGCGCATGTCGAGCTCGCCGAGCGCATGAAGAAGCGAGATGCTGGTTCTGCACCCGCGCTGGGTGACCGTGTCGCGTATGTCATTGTCAAAGGCGCTGGCGGGAGCAAGAACTACGAGAAATCCGAGGATCCGATTTACGTGTTGGAGAACAACGTCCCCATCGACACGAAGTACTACTTGGACAACCAGCTCGCAAACCCACTCGGTCGTATCTTCGAGCCTATCTTAGGCGAGAAACGCGCGAACTCGTTGCTGGCGGGCGATCATACGCGGAGTATTTCAGTGGCGGCCCCGACATTGGGCGGGTTGATGAAATTCGCGAAAAAGACGCAGACGTGCATGGGCTGCAAGAAGCCTCTTGTGAGTAAGGAGGAGGCCCAGGGCGCCGTGTGCGAGAATTGTCGGCCGCGAATTGGTGAATTGTATACCAAGCATGTTAAGAAAGTGGGCGAGATGGAGGTGAGGTTTAGTAGATTGTGGACACAGTGCCAGCGGTGTCAGGGGAGTATGCACTCTGAGGTGTTGTGCTCTTCGAAGGATTGTCCTATCTTCTATATGCGGATGAAGGCGAGGAAGGAGGTCGAGGAGGCGGGACGGGAGGTCGCGAGGTTTGATCATGATGCTGGGGCTATTTGGTGAACATCGCCACGGTGAGTGGTGATCAAGAGGAACATTCGACGTTGTCTTTGCATGGTCTACACTGCATGGCATGATTTGGCACCGGCGCAGTGGTCTCACAGGAGTTTGATTCTGTACCTCTGGTATTGGGCTCATTTGATTCAAGCTTGAGCTTGATAAGCGACCAAGCGGCACGGAATGGGACAAGATGGAGATCATTCACACTTTTAACGATTTTGGTGTGTGAAGGAGCATCCTCGACACGGCGCTGCATTAACTGTATGGGGTATCTCGAATTCATTATCAAGTTCAACAAAGGAAATCAATTCCTTCCGACCGATCTTCCATACGCCTGGCTTCTCAATTTCTTCCACTGCACAACAAGACTGTCACTGTTTCCAGTTCTGACCCTTTGTGTGTAATCCCTCTTCCAAGTTTTGAGTAGAATATACAATTTTCCGCGTAATCTCTCTCATGTTCACTAGTCCGCTTCCAATTCCAGAATCTCACAGGTCTGGATCATCTTCCACGTGGATTGTCGAAGACATACCAAATGTGTCATCGAAATCTTCGTCGAGCTTCGATCCTGCTAGGGACATTTTGTCAGCACCCAGCGTGTCGACACCGTCGTATGGCAGGCCGGCCCTCGCTCTGAGGGCCTCCTTCCGGATTTGCATGGCTACAATTGCCACACCCAGCGCATTCCAGACGTCCTGGTCCTTCTGGCTGAAATCAAACTCTGCAATGATACGCAGACTATCAGCACTGCAATCGCCTTTATGTGTGGATTGAGTTCCGGGGTCGGATGTTGGTGGGGAGGCTGTTTGGCGAATGCGCGGTGATGAATGAACCACTGGCTGAGAGAATGGGCTCAGGGTGACGACTGCGATGACTGACGAGATGATGACCAGACCGATCAGTGTAGGTAGCGCATCGTCATCTTCGATAACCCGCGTCTCGTCAGCATCAATCTCAGCTGTGGTCTGGACTTCAATGCTCGGCCGTATGTGTCGAGCTCGTTGATGCCTGTCAGCCAGTCGCTGGAGTTTTCCGGCCACATGCTCGAGAGTCTGTAGCGTATTTTGACCTCTGCGTTTGGTGACAACGACGTGAACAGGAAAATCAGCAGGGTTTGAGTTCGGTCGGAAGCCCACATCGGTCAAGGCCCATTTCAAGTATCTCTTCACTGTTTTCCCTAGTATTTTTTCTCGATAAGACCCAGGACTGACATAGACTCTGTCTCGAACATCATGTCCGGCTTCGAACAATTGACGAAGCGCACGAGCCGCTCGAAATTGGTTGTCTACCACATTTTGGACAAGAGGCGGATCTGAGACGTCGTCGTGCACAAACACACTGATAGGGAGCGTTCCAAAATCCAGCATCCAGTTCTGAGGAAGCAGTGGTTCGAAGCCGCGGTAGGCAAGGTGGAAGAACAGGTCACGCTCAGTCTGTGACCAGATTCCAGAATTCCGTGGGAGTTGGATGGCAGCGACGTATCGTCTCCTTTCTTCCATAAGTTCTTCATTCATGTCGTCGGCTCTTTTCTTTGCCATGGCAGTGGATGTGAAGGATATCGCATCGTCATCGTGGTTGTGAATCTGATATGAAGGATTTATCGAGGGCCGCAAAGGACTTCGAGATAAGTCTCTCTGTTCTCGGTGCGGCGTGGCAGGAGGAGGCATCAAGGCTCTGTCTAAATCCACCTCCGTGGTCCCGAGGCTGAAGACTGCGCTCTCATCATCCTCTGCATCATGGACTGGCGATGTCGACGAACTCTTGCTTCTAAGGCGCTTTCTGGGACGGTGCTCGTCGTCATCGAACTCACCGTCTGGCGTCCTTCGTTTTCGGCCGGCGACCGCAGGATCCCGCTTCTGCGCCGCTGTTGATGATGGAGTCAAGGTCGGCGGCTTTGTGGGAGAGATCACCTTCGAAAAGAGGCGAAGAGGGAAGGCGAACATCGATCTGGCCATGGTCGAGCAGAAATAATTGTGTATGTCAGTGAGGTGGATGTGATTTGTGAATTGTTCAAGTGACTTTTTGGTAAGGCAGACGGTGAGTGCTGCTTTTGGTCGAGGCAGGCGTACGAGGGTGCCCAGTTCTAGCGAGTCGATCTGCAATTGGGCGAGACCTAGGCCCGTTCATAACAAACATGTTGAGGCTATTTTCAGACTGGCCACAATGGCCTAGTGAGCGTTGTTGAATATGGCGGCCTTTGTTCATGAGTAAAGAGTCACCGAGTGATGAAAGGAACTATGACGCTCGATGACTGCGGCTGCGTTTCAGGTTTCTGTCCACAAAGAACGCGCAGTGGCTGAAACACGCCGACCAACATTTAAGCTTGTTTTTGAGTACGCGCCTTCCCTCTTTGAAGCTAGCTTCGGCACGCTGTCACATGACCACTCAAATGCATCAATATCGACCTCCTGTTCTGCCTTCATCCGATTGTCCTTCGAACTATGTCGTCGATTGTTCATGGACGCCTCAGAGCACGATCTCGATGCGAAACTTTACAAAGCATCAGGCACCCTATTGCTTGAATTGCAGCACAAGCTGCCATCGCTGGTGTACAATGTCAAAAAGTCGCCTCGAAAGCCTCGTCTTTTCGTGATAGACCACAAATGCTCCGAGTTGGCAATACTTGTAAGTGTCGGCGACGCAGACGGTCATTAAATCACTAACACGCCAGCAGCTCGATCGTTTCCAAGAATGGCCCCAGCTCTTGGATCCTCATCTTGCAGGGTTTGTGCAGCCTTTAGCTAATGCCTTTCTCCATTATCTCGTAAACGAGAGCGATCATTATTGCCCATCGAGGAAGCAAGGATACAGCAGCATTTCGCCATTGCCACGTGCGATATGTCGTCTGCTGTACGCCTTTTGCAAGGTCAGGGGCTACAAGGTCATCGTCCGATTGCTGAACAATGAGCCCAAGTACTTGGCTCCAATGTTATCGACCTTCAAAGCATGGTCCACCACGTCGCTGGGCATGACTTGGGAAGAACGCTATCTAATGATGTTGTGGTTGTCTCACCTGATGCTTGCGCCCTTCGAGCTGGCGAACATGTCCATCGCTAGTGGCTTCGACGACTCAAAAACGCCAGCTAGTCTGGGTGACCTCCCTGACAGTGCCTCCAATATTGTATCTGTGGCTTTGACCCAACTTGAAAGTCCTGGAAAAGAACGTGAAGCAGCAAGCGTCTTGTTAGTACGCTTGAGCCTTCGCATCGATATGCGGTCTCACAATCTGGTTCAAAGACTTGTCGACCACGCTACTCAGAAGCTGCTCTACGACGATGAACTTGTTTCAATAAGCCCTTACAAGGCCCTGGGCTGCTTGTCGCTTTTATACGGGATTGCGAATACTAGCTCTGATAGTGAAGCTGCTCCATACCTTGAAAAGCTTTTCCAAAGCATGCTCAAATTGATCACTAGTCAGCAAAAGCTGCATGTTGCGATTCGGGATTCGGCCCCTGCAAGAAAATGGATCTTGAAGATCCTGAAAGCTATACTCACACATGTCGTGTCGCCGCATGGGAGCAAAGGTCTAGTCTCTGACGAAACTGTGACCTCGATGTTGGAAGAGAGCATTCAGTACTTTCTGGACAATCTAAGTGACAAGGACACGCCTGTTAGGATGGCCGCAGCCAAGGCACTGAGTCTAGTCACTCTCAAGCTCGATCCTGCCATGGCCACCGCAGTCGTCGAAGCAATACTAGAGTCTCTTCAAGAGAATGTGTTACTGGAGGATCCTGAGACTCACAAACTCATACCACTTACAGACAGGACCAAATCCGAGATAACAAGTGCGAGAAGGGACGTCAGTGCTGTTGATCCATTGAAGTGGCATGGCTTGATGTTGACTCTCGGTCACCTCCTCTTCCGACGATCTCCGCCACCTGACAATCTTTCAGACATAATCCAAGCTCTAATCCTCGGCCTAGAGTTCGAGCAGAGATCAAATGTGGGGACTTCAGTTGGAGTCGGCGTCCGTGATGCGGCTTGCTTTGGAGTATGGGCGTTGGCACGAAAGTACAGCACCCACGAACTCAGTCTGGTAGCAGTATCTGGGTTCGCCGAAGCAGCCTTGGACGAATATGCGGATTGCCAAAGCGTCCTGCAACTGCTAGCAATCAAGTTGACCATCCCTGCCTGCTCTGATCCATCCGGGAATATCCGGAGAGGATCCTCAGCTGCTCTTCAGGAACTCATTGGGCGACATCCGGATACCATCCTCCATGGCATATCCGTTGTCCAGATCGTCGACTATCATGCTGTTGCCCGGTTGTCTCGGGCCATGACAGAAGTTGCCCCACAAGCAGCAGCGCTTGACCGCAAATACCACAGACCTCTACTGCGAGCTCTCCTTGACTGGCGTGGTGCTAGAGCCATAGACGTCAGTCAGCGTCGTTGGGGTGCGACGGCCGTTAGCACCCTTACGGCGTCCTTGACCCTTGCCGAGCTTTCACGTCTAGTCCAGATGATTCTTCGGCAGCTGTTCGATTTGAAATTCACCAATATGGGGAGCACGGCGGGAGCTAGGCATGGCTTACTCCTTAACCTGACTTCGGTCCTGCAATCTCTGAGACGATCCGACCTTGCTGAGACTGGGAAATGGCTACTGAAAGAAGGAAGAAATCTATTCAAGCTCGAGAAGTTGACTGGCAAACTGGACGGTAGGGTGACAGCGGATGTTGAGCTTGTCATGGAAGCGATCTCTTCTCTGATCGGCCAGATGTGCCGGTGTCTTGCAGTTATCAAGGCCGACCCTCAATCTCTGCAGGAGCAGGACTGGACACCGTTGGCCCAGGACGTGTTGAATCAGTGTACCGCGGCCAGTGGGAAAGACATAGTCGTCCAAGCGGGCGCCGAAGCGTACCTAGAGCTATTCAAGCTGCTCCCGAATCCTGCTCGTGTGGACTTGATCGAAAAGTGGCTCGACAGCAAATCACAATCTCCTGCAGCTTTTACAAGCAAAGGTCGGATTAGGACTCTAAGCCTTGTTCACGCTTATCTGGCCCAGACGAAATCTCATCATGACCTCCAGCAAGCTGTCCTGTCGTACATCATCAGAATTATTGAAGGTAACTATAGCATCGAGACGAGAGTCGACGGCATGGATGCCCTTGGTTTCACGCTCCTCAATCACGACGTCGCTTCCGAAACCGATGCCATGGCAATATCCGAGGTTCTTCGTCGGGGACTGACCGATTATACCAATGACCAGAGAGGAGATATTGGCTCGACTCTTCGGCTTTCCAGCATCGACGCGGTGGACACGTTTCGCAGCCACAAAGGTGCTTTCTCGGGCGAAGTCTTGCAAAACGTGATGCCGCTGGTCGTCAAGCTCGCTGCCGAGAAGCTGAACAATGTGCGTTTTCGAGCTTGGAAATGCCTGGAAGGGTATTGGAAAGCAACTCCAGACTTTCCAACGTTGAGAAGGTAAGCATACATCACATCATGCTGGAATTCGACTAACACCACTATAGCACTTTCCAACACCTTGCCGACGTATCCTCCATTTCCTACTTTCGACAGCTGCTGGAACTGCTGCCAAACAAGGCGTTCCGGGAGGATCTGTTTCTGGGCCTTGTCTCATCAGCCACAGCCGGCACAGAGGACATATGCCGTGCGGCTAGCAGCGCGTTTGTGGCGTACATGCAACATCTCGACAAAGTCACAGGTGCTGGCGACCTGGGTAATGCAATATCCCGGACCATTCTGGATAAGCTCGACGCAAGTGCCTTACAAGACGACCGACATCTTGTTCCTCTGCTCGAGTTTTTGTGCTTCATGCTCGACCAGGACCTGTTCTATGCAGAGCTCAATGATGCACGGGACATTTGGGCAATCATGCAAAAGGTGCATGGCCCATCGTCAAGTCTCTCAAGAGTAGAAGCTTCTTTGAACTGCTACTCGAGACTATTGATGATTGAGAAGTATCGAACAAGGGCACTTGACAAGCTGACGCGCCAGTTGCTTCATCGATGGCCGAAGGTAACATTTTCTCCTTATTATCAGACTGGCAGACTGACATGATGGGCCATAGGTCCGAAACACGGCAGCCGACGTACTGTACCTTGACAGTCCAATCCAGACACTGGCTTCCTGCGACTGGGACGAGCCCATCGTCAAGACCAAGCCTGTTGTTCTCGAATTGAGGAGGCAACTTGGGGTTGCGGGAAATGCCACAGTCAAGTAATGGATTGCATGGGTATGCCATGTCTTGCAAGATACACTGCTGGAATCAGCCCGTAAAGTTGTATGATTATTCAGGCATCTAATCCTCGCGACTTCAGACAGCGAGCAATGGTGTCTTTGACCGACTTTTCGCTGTAGTTCTCCCAAGCGTCGTACAGCCCGATCATTTCCTGGGTAGCTTCGATCATGCGTTCGAGGTCGATGCCCGATTCTACCAGGAATTTGATCATGTTCTGCATCTTTTCGGATTCTTTGGCCGCTGCAATCGCTTTCTCCTTATCGAATGGCTGCTGGGGTTGGGCCGGAGCTTTACCATTAGTGTTTGCATTGTTTTGAGCCGCCGCTGCGTGGTTGGACATTTGTAGATTGCCGAGCACGCTGCTGAACGATCCGGAGATGTTCTGACGCCCGACGAGTGACGAAAAGGGGCCATTGTCAGGATTCGAAATTGTGTCGTGCCCTAATGGTCGTAGTGTGCCGGCTGCCTTTGCGGTGGGTAGGAAGACAACGGCCATGAACATCGCAATCACTGCGATGGTATGCGGAGCACACGTCAGCGGTAAGTCCGTCATGTAACTGTCGTTGATGATCGACCATGCCAGACCCAGCTCGTCGTTAGAGAGCTTGAGGTCCTGGTTTTCTTTCAGGCTGATTAGAGAGCGGTACGGATGCCAGACAATAAGCTGGCTGCGCATTTCTGAGATGAGACAGAACTCCATCTCGCCTAGCCTTGCGACGTCGCCGGGCATGAACTCGGGCCAGGACTGGCGTGCTTCCGCTGCCACAAGCCTGATGTGGTGAGGGGATTCTTCGGTTTTGCTGGCGAGGTAGAATGCTGTTGCTGTAAGCAAGTAAAGGTTGACGTTCTGCATGGGCACGGTGACGAAGTACCGGTGGAGGTAGACTAGAGCTGTTGCTATGCATTGTTGGCGAAATTGTAGACGTTTGGCGAGTTGGAGGAGACGGTCGCGAAGAAAGATCATCAAGTGTCGACGGTCGGGGTATGGGTGTTGTTCGTAGACTTTCGGGTGTTGTTTTTGTAGGTCGTCGCGGATGTCGGATAGTTTGGAGGGGGTGAAGGTCCAGTATTTGCGTTGGGAGGAGGTCCAGTAGTTGGCGGCCATCTTGGGAAATTCACACTGTGTCTTGGTACTCCCGGGGGGGGATGCTGACTAGGGACACCTTCGAAGGGTGAGATTTGTGAAGTGATTGTCCTTGAGTTAGGAAGTCGCGAGAGCCTCGTGGTTCATGCCATGCATGTCCTCGCTCTCGTCACCACACTCGCGCGCCAGCCGCCAGCTCATATTGCATGATCAAAGCCGAAGATCATAGTCACCCACGAGTGCGAATTCTTGCTGACGAGTATCAGCCGTGGCAAGAAGATATGTGTTACCACACGAGCCACGAGGAGTTCACGATGGTACTTGTATGTTGAAGATTCGGCTTGGCTGATCGCCGCTTTTACTGTTCGGTACGGCGGTAAAAAGCCAGGCTTAAGGAAATCTTTGTTTAGGACTTGCAGCCATTGGTGGTCATGCCGGGAAGCGTTTCTGGCGCTGAACGTGTTTTCCAGGTTAACCCCACAGAGGGTGTCACAGGCATGCTCATGCCTCACTCAGCATTGGTGCCAAAAGCTCACAATCACACCTGCAACTGCACAGCTCCACATCCGTCAAACCGTCAGTCTCTGAATTTCATCCATCTCAACCACCAACCTGCCTCAGGACGGAGATTCAGTGCTGTGAACACCGTTCGCACCCTTCATTGCTCCCTACTCCATTCCGACCTCGACGAGGGTGAGGTTTCACGCGACCACTCGTAAAGTCTGGCTCGACCCAGAACTCACAATAGCCATGCTCCCTCACAGATAGGCTCTGCTCTCCAACCATAAGGCGGAGCATGAACGGAGAGTCACACGAAGACCGCGAACAGCGGATTCGAAAGTTATGGAAGACTCTTGACACCCGTAGCGAGGGTCAGCTTGACCTACCTGCGCTCAAGAAAGGCCTTCGCACCATCGATCACCCCCTCAAAAATGCCGACGATCTCCTCCACGATGTCCTCAAAGCAGTGGATACCTCCGGTGATGGAAGGATACAGTTCAATGAGTTCAGAGTCTTTGTTGAGCATGCTGAACATGAATTGTGGCAGTTGTTTGACAGTATAGACAGAGACAACAGTGGTGGTTTGGACAAGGATGAACTACGTTTGGCATTCCGCAGAGCCGGCTTGACCATCAGTACCTCAAAATTGGATCAATTCTTTGATGAGGTGGACACCAATCACGACGGCGAGATCAGCTTTGACGAATGGAGGTGCGATATGGTGCAGCCGTTGCATTGAGAAATCTAACGCTGTCCAGGGACTTTCTCCTCTTCCTTCCAGCAAGTCAGTCCAGTCTACGCGCAATGTTATCCTATTACTCCGCGACAACAAACGTCAACCAGGAAGGAGATGTCCATATCAACGACACTCTCCAAGGGTTCGGTATGATGCATCCTTCCCATTCATACTCCGATGAAAAGGCGGCCATTGCACAATGCGTTTGATCTTTGTGTTACAATGCCGTTACTTTGTATCCACCTGCCATGTAGTGCCTCAACCTGGCAATTGGCACAATTCATTTCAGTACATCTCTAACGTTATTGACAATGCTGACAGATTTTCTCCCTCCACCAGGCTATTTCATAGCCGGTGGATTAGCAGGCATTGTCTCGCGAACGGCTACTGCACCGTTAGATCGGTTGAAGGTCTACCTAATTGCGCAGACAAGCCCGAAAGAAGCTACAGTCAAAGCGGTCAAGGATGGGAGACCTTTTCAAGTGCTCAGGAACTTTGGCCGACCTCTAGTCGACGCATGCAAGGACCTATGGGCTGCTGGTGGTCTGCGCAGTCTGTTCGCCGGAAATGGCCTCAACGTCGTCAAAGTCATGCCAGAGTCGGCTGTCAAATTCGGCGCATATGAGGCTGCGAAAAGGTTCTTCGCCAAAATCGACGACTCAGACCCAAAACATCTACACCCTACTTCTCAATTTCTGGCTGGTGGTATTGGAGGTGTAGTGTCTCAGTGCTTGGTTTATCCACTTGACACGTTGAAATTGTAAGGGCTCCAGCCAGATCTCTGTGGCGGCAACTGACCATGACTCCTCCAGCCGAATGCAGTGCGAGACTGTCTCCGGTGGTCTACACGGAAATGCCTTGATCATGCAGACAGCGAAGAAGATGTGGACCCAGGGAAAACTGTTGCCATACTACCGAGGTCTGGGTATGGGTCTTGCTGGAATGTTCCCCTACAGCGCCATCGACCTTTTCATTTTCGAAAACTGCAAAAACTATGTCCTGGCTCGAAAAGCGAAGCAGGCACGATGCCACGAAGACGACGTTGAAATGAGCAACATGACCACGGGAATCATTGGTGCGACATCTGGTGCGATTAGTGCCACAATGGTATACCCCATCAACCTGCTTCGAACCCGACTTCAGGCCCAGGGTACGGTACTACATCCACCGACATACAAGGGCATTGTGGATGTGACCATCAAGACGGTGCAAGGAGAGGGCATCAAAGGATTATTCAAGGGTGTGACACCGAATCTGTTGAAGGTCGCCCCAGCTGTGAGCATCAGTTACATCGTTTATGAGAACAGTAAGGCGCTCATGGGACTACGTTGAGTGCACGGAGAGCATCCAAAGCATTGATGATACCGGGCTGTGTTGGGCCGCGAATGTGCCTGACATATATTGCATGAGAAGAACTTGATAGCGTGCTGGAGGTATCCAGCTTGAATGACATTGTTTGCATGCCCAGTATTATTGTATCCCTGACGCCGACCGCTAGCATTATTGCCGTTAATCAGTGCCTGACTCCCGCGGCCGTCACTTATCGCAGATAAGAGAACAGAGCCAATAAGATGGGCGGCCAGCTGTTGATCTAAAAGAACCTTTCCACCCTCAGTGTCATTCATTATTGGTTATTGGCCATCAAATGGATTAATCAGCTCGTCGGCATTGGACACCCAGGCGAACAAGTTTTTGGTGGATCGAGCGGCCCCTCGAGATCCCCCGGTTGACAGTCGGTTCTTTGAGGGATCATCTTCGCTTGCGCACAATTTGCCATTGAACTGGTTTGGCGAAGTCGGAACACTTGCGTAACCAAGTCTTTGGTTTAATTCCCCGCCGTCGAGACGATAACGGAACTTCCCCTTGTCCAACAAGAAAGACAGCTCGCCGGTCAGCACAGAATCAGGCCTTACCATCCACACCGAAAGTAGTCTTCCGAAAGCGCCTGCCTTACGTGCCGTTGCGAGATAATCGCAGTGTACCCAGAACTACGATTGAAGGAGACGATGCTTGAGCACCGCCTTCTTGCGATCCATTGCAAGGTCGCAAAAGACTAACACAATTAAAACTCTCCTGCGTTCGATACCAGACCCCGCCATGGATGCCGAGGTGAAGCCAGAAGGATCAAGGTCACAGTCTTCGGCCGGACAAGAGTTCTCGGAGAATACAGAAGCCCTTACGCAAACCCCATCCAAGGGAAAGAACAAGAACAAAGACAAAGAGAGCAGCGCCTCGACAAAACGACGATGTGTGAGCACAGCTTGCATCGCTTGCCGAAAGCGCAAATCCAAATGCGATGGAATGCTCCCCAAGTGCGCGGCATGTGCATCAGTGTATTTGACGGAATGTGAATATGCGCCTCATACCGATCACCGCCGGAAAGGTGTGTATAAGAAAGATGTGGACAGTTCCAAGACGAAGAACTCCACGCTACAAGTGCTCATACAGGCCATCCTTAATGCCGAAGAGGACGATGTGTTGGACTTGGTTCGCCAGATACGGACGTGCGACAGCCTCGAAGAACTGGCTGGTAGTATAGAGGCGGGCGAGAGATACGGTGACGATCGTGCGGACTCACCCGTATACAACGACGACATGATGGTTCCACAGTTCGAGGCTGAATTGTCAGGTAAGATGGGTGATTTGATGTTGGACGGGTCTGTCAAGTTTATTGGTGGTACATCGAACTTGATCTGGCTCCCTCACGACTACGAACACGGAGGCACCGGCATTTCTCCACCAGAGAAGACCGTTGTCCGACCCAAGGAGGAAGCGATTCTGTCATGGACGAAAGTTACACAAAATAAGGATGACATCCTTCATTTCATGAACATGTACTTTTGCTGGCATTACGCTTTCTTCACAACGCTGGCCAAGGAGTTGTTCTACAGAGACTTCTTGACGGGACAAACCTCGCAGTACTGTTCGCCGCTCTTGGTCAATGTCATGCTCGCGCTTGGCTGCCACTTCTCGTCGCGGCCGGCTGCGCGAGCGGACCCGGATGATTCTGGAACCACCGGTGACCACTTCTTTGCGGAGGCTAAGCGGCTCTTGTACGACAACGACGAATTTGCCAATGCAAAACTTTGTACAGTACAAGCGCTTGCATTGATGTCAGTGAGAGAGGCCGGCTGTGGCCATGAGAGCAAGGGCTGGGTCTACAGTGGCATGAGTTTCCGAATGGCTGGCGATTTGGGGCTGAACGTCGATGCGCAGCCTATGAACGAATCCTCTCGACTGACGGATGAGGACGTTGACGCAAGGCGGGTCACGTTCTGGGGATGCTTCCTCTTCGACAAGTGAGTGTTACAGGTTTGGAAACTGGTACACTACTGACATTGGCAGATGCTGGTCGAATTATCTCGGACGACAGCCTCAACTACAATTACCAAACATAACGGTGAAAAGGCCCGATGTGTTTCCTTCCGAGGACAGTGAGATGTGGTCACCGTACACTGACTCCGGGATCATACAAGCACACGCGCAACCAGCTCGGACAAGGGCGGTGGCTTTGCAGTTGTCGAAACTTGCCGAGATCTCCAGTGATCTTTTAATCTCGTTCTATAATCCACAACAACTGGACAAACCTCTGTCTAAACAGGCCGAACTCAAGAAGCTGACCGATCTACACACCAGGCTTGAAGCTTGGAAGCAAGGCTTGCCGACTGAAATGGAGCCCAAGGAGGGCCAACTCCCTCAGGTGCTTCTCATGCAGTAAGTCTTGCTCCTCTGTGTGGTCGAAATCACTGGGACTAAACGTACTGCAGCATGTTCTTCCAATTATTATACATACACCTTTACCGACCTTTCCTGAAATACACTCGTACGACATCACCTTTGCCATCACACGTTTCGCCCCGAAAGTACTGTACACAAGCAGCAGGTGCAGTATCGAAACTGTTCCGTCTGTACAAGCGAACGCATGGCTTGCGCCAAATATGCAACATCGCCATATACATCGTCCATTCAGCATGTACCATCCATCTGTTGAATTTACCAGACAAGAATGCCCGACGCGACATTGTCCACGGCATCAAGCACCTCGAAGAGATGGGAGAGTGCTGGACAGCCGCTCGACGGACCTTGCGAGTCCTCCGCATCTGTGCCGACCGGTGGAATATCGATATACCAGAGGAGGCGGAGATGGTTTATACCCGTATCAAAGTCAAGTGGGGAGTCACCGCAGAAGCGGGCTCACCTGTGTCACCTCTGACCATGGGTCATATGGCCAAGCACATCCAGGCTCAACCTGTTCCGGATCTGATGGCTCGAAATATCCAACAGCAACAACGACATGGGATGATGATGATCCCGCAAACCCAAGGAGGTATGTCGGTACCCATGGCGCCCTCACCGCCCGAAACCATTGACACCCGTCGCTCGTCAGGTAATTTGTCGATGCCGCCTCAGTCGGCCGCCGATCTCAGTCGTGATGCGCACCGCGTCCGGTCCTCGACGTACTTGACCAAAGCACAGCACGACGCGTGGAACGCTCATCAAGCGCGACTGGCCACAACTTCGACCGCGGCATCCGGCACCCAGATGTCGTCAGCCAATGCCGCCAAACTTTTTGGAGGTGTCGACAGTTTGATCGAAGATACGCAAGACTGGTTCTTCAAGGACCAGAACCAATTGGCCATGGGCTTTGGTAATTGGGTCGAGCCACAACAGGACTGGGGAACGCTGGACTTGTCTTTCTTTGGTACTGATGGGTCGGGCACCGTCAATAATGGCAGCTATGTCAACACGAATGACAGTTCACCTGCATATAATGGGGGGAGTATGCAGCAGTATACCTCTTATGATACCAGTCCGCCATACGTGTACGGCGGACAGGTCGGTACCAGCATGGCCAACGGTAACGGCAATGGCAACATTGGAAGCAACAGCACCTTTACCAACGGTAATGGTGCCGGTGTAAAACCGAACCGTCGTGGAATGGGTGGTATGGGAATGAATCCCGGCCTGGATTTGAAGCGGCGACAGAGTCAGCAGGCTCAGAATGGCGCATTTGATGATGACATGTACTATTAATGATACGCGTGGGAAAGTGAGGGATGAGAATTAGATACGGACAGGGAAATGAGGATTGGAAATAGCACGGAGTCGATGGTTTGGATGGATATAATGAAAGATCGAAATACCATCATCGAGTCAGTTAGATGGGTTCAGTCATCCGTACAATACGTTCTTCATATGGCTTCCGAGAGTTGTGTAGAGCATTGCCGCGGAGGCTGAGTTGACGTGCTCGAACACTTTCCCCGGGTTTATCACCTTCACACGTGCTTGATGTTGTCAATACCTCGTAATCGCAAAAGGTACGACCTAAGTAGTGGTAGTGTGCGAAATACAAGTAGTGGTACTCAGTGTGCCTCATCAGTCTCAATCCAGTCGTCATCTCCAGATCTGGCGGCTGTCTGTCTCATTCGGGTGATGGCCTTCCTGTACGAGTTACCTCCACCAAGTAAGGTACTCCACGTGCATTACTCGTGCAGGAAAGCCGGGGAACACAAATGGAGACACATCAGATGCCACATCTCGTGAGTGACGATGTCTTCGCAGTCTATGGGGTCGAAGGTGCACAGTACGAGGTCGTGGTTTACGAGATCAGCCCTGGATACTCGCACTCTTTTGATATGAAGGTCTTCGCTTTGAACGATGGAGACTGCCCTTTAGCATCCCAGATCTTGCGGAATGACGATGTCTTTGCGAGATATGGAGATATAGAGTCGAGGAAGGCGTCACCACTGGGAGTAGTTTACGAGTTGAGCCCCTTGAATGCTCGTACTCATTTGCTTCTCATGGCTTGTGTCTAGGTTTGGATAAGACGCTGCCATGCCGTTTCCCTGACGTATGTTCAGAGTCTATGAAGGGTGCAGTACGGCGAATTCCCGGTCAATGATCGATAGGCAGGGAGTGATGACCAGTACTTACTGGCACTATGGCGACTACGTACCGGTAGTAAAGAAATTCTACTGTGTAGGTACGTACAGTCAGGGTACTTCGTACTGACGGATGTTTAGGTAGCAAAGATGGGGGATAACGCTAAGTTAACAGTCTGTACATCTGAGATGTACATTAGCAGATTCGATCTCAAGGCCTTCAGTGATGAGAGGCCGGAGTAAACAGCCTGTGATGCTGATTCGATCGCCTGCATCAGTCGTAGCCTCGAGGAAAGAGCCTACGCTGCTGATTGGGCGTGAAAAGCCCTGTGATGCTACGATTGCGACGCCCACGAAGTGAAGGGGCGCTACTCGTGATCGACGTCATGGGGGCTTCTTCCGGGTGTTTTAAGCGGTTTTGTGGGAGTGTGGGAGACTGACACTGGCAGTGGGACGTCTGCCACACAGTATCCGGAGGCTGATCTCCGGATCAGCGATGGGCCGATGGCGCAAGATATTTTGCGAGGGAAATCCGCGGGGCCATTTTCTAGTCGGAATACTCGTACCATAGACTTCGGGAGTGATGAATTCAAGTGTTGGTATGTTACACAGATACTCATTGTTGTCGATTCGATTAGGTTGAATTGACGTGATATCTGGTTATCGCTTCCAGACAATGTTCAGCTCCAAAATGCGGTACCGAATTGTCGCAAGCTGCTTAATCCGCGCAAGTTCTGTAGGTGAGAATGTTGTTTTAATGGTACAGCCAGTAGGTTTGTTACAATGTTTCTCAGATGCTGCAGGGCGCTGCAGGGTCACTTTCTGCTCGAAATGAGTGCGGAATAGAAAGACTTCGAGAAGGATGCCCGAATGGCAACACTTACGACCCCAAGTTCGGTTTCCTGGGCTGCTGACAAGGCGTGCTGGTCAAGCCTGCTGACACAGCAATGCATTCCTCCTGCACTGTCATGGGGCTGAGTCAACAGTACCATCAGCACTGCCTGTTCCGGCGTGCCATCTCGCTCTCGCATGTTGACTTCGTATACGGAGTATCAGGTACACTTCTACCAGGGTAGGGGAGGAGGGAAGTCGGGTCTAGGCGTGTCTCCTTATGCAAGGGGCCTGATTATTTGGCCTGACTGTGCATTGCTGGCAGGGCAACAACGGAATGATAAGTCATCAAAGGATCAGTGAGTGCGTCTGTGGTTATCCTAGCATCCCGCAGAATGGGTTAGTAGAAAGGGGTAGGACTCGTAATCATGCTGTGCATGTTATCTCTGATGCTCGTATAACATACTTTGCTGACACGATTGGGGAAGTCCTCGCGAAAAGTTGAGCCGGATAGGGATGTTGTTGCGAAGGACGTTGCGAGTGCGAGACTCGCTTGCGATATTACCTGAGGATACATGTTGCGAATACGAGTATCTTTGAGGATGTGTACGAGTATTGGTTGATATTGATATGATATTGAATTATGAACCGGAGAAAGTATTCGAAATAGTTCCAGTGGTGGCCGATATTCACATTTATTGTGGTGATGTCACCAATATTGCCAAGTCACGTGCTTACCCCATTTATTCGCTTCCCTGCTTTTTCCCTCATGGCTGTGTTTTCCTGGATTACGATGCTCGTACCTGACCTGCTTTCAGGTTTCACTTTATGCAGACTCAAAGAATCAAGAAACACAAACATGGCTGCAGTCAAGGCCAGGCCAGGCCAGGACCTATCAAAGACTATTGCTCGAAACGGTTTCGAGTATGCTGTCCAGTGTCCAGTAAGTACATGACAAATGGCTGAATATTGGTGTGTTATCCGCTTGATACTTGGGCCGATCGATCACTCACCAAATGCTTACCTCACCACTACCGCATGTGTGCCAGTGCCAGTGTGTACGAGGATTTCCCTGGCCACTGACCAGGTTGCATCGGGCCATTTCTCCAAGCGAAAGCGACACCCACGCCATGCACCAATGCACCATGCTGGCCGCATCTTCCGGGGCATTGATCGTCAGGTCATGATCACTTGTCGGATTCCTTGTCAATTGGAAACCTTATCCCGCCGGTCTCCATGGGTTCCATGGCTCATATATCCTGCCCCCATGTCATATGCACTGCTCATTCCACTGTTGCTTTCCCGGTATAATGTTTCCACTCAACTGAGAAATCAAATATTAAATCTCTGTGAGAGAGACATATATACACACTGGATTCGCCTCTTATTCCAATCCTTTATACATCCCACTACAACAAACACATACATTCGCAACACATGATCTACCACTCCACCAATATTACGAGCAGTACTCCCAAGATGCTCACCTCCAACAACCCAGCCATAACGGCCTACAAGGTCTATCACCTTGGTCAATTCAAACTTGACACCGAATGTCGACGACAGACACCAGATCTCCGGCGGATAGTATGCCACGCCTCTATCGTCGACAGTGTTCGTCGATGGTCTCGTGATCTCGCCGAACCCGTTGAGACTGTCGTCGTCGACTCAAGTTCCGACGAAGAATCAGATCCATTTGAGGACAGCTATTCATCGGAGGAGGATCTCGAAGACGACGCCGGTGAAGTCGCCATCTACGACGGCGATGTTGACGACGATGCTCTTGTCATCACCAACGCTCAGTCCAACGCCAAATCATTCGAAATCAACGCTGGTATCGTACAACATATTGCAACAAACACATCGTCAAGTCCCAGAAAACGACCTCCACCACCACCATCTCAGTACGAAGTCAAGGATTCAAGTTGGAGGCATAACCGACCTTTGATTGTCAGAGAAACGACCGTTGAGGTTGGTGAAGACGATTGAGATGTTCTCCACGACTAGGGACGGCTTTGAAACGCCCTTTCCCATCCCACTCACGATCTCTATGAATTGTTACGAAGTTACGCCACGAAATGGATGATTGCGAAGACAGAAGCCATCATCAGAAACGAATTTCTACCACGAGTCCAAAATCATGATCTTGAGCGACCTTCATATTAGCGACACATACGACCTTTATATTTGGAGCATTTACAACGCTCAATATGCATACATTGCAGTCTCAGCAGTTGTGGCTATCATGATGCCAGCCTGAGACAGCATGTGCTTGCATTGTGCACAGTCACTTAAGAAGAATTGAGATGTAGCATACTTGGTATGCTGGCTACATGTATCAACAAATATTGTATATAGTCAAGGTGGTATGCCGGACCATTATCTAATCCTACTATTTCTCGATCACACTTTTACCATTTTTGGTATTACTTATTCTTTTTTCCATTGGTTGTACTTGTAAGCTACTTGCGCAGAATGTTTATTGGCTATTGTACCACGAATCCTTGTGTTCTTGTCTGCTGCACATGTCGCGTGCTCAAGCTCAACAGCCTCGGACACTGTCGGATGTTTCAATCAACAAGTGTCATGAGGACCAGTTATCTCAGGAATACTACTCGTGGTCGGACGATCGCCACTGATCATGCTGCCCACTCGCAAAATTCGCAAGTGACGGATGATCACGTACCCGTATCTTTTCCCCATGATCGACGCTGGAATGCCGCAGCCGACGATCGCTTGGCCTAAAAGTGTTCGCCTAGCTCGCCTGACGCACCCACTTGTGGTCGCATTTCGCGGCGCAGCTCGGAATACAACTTCCTTTGACAGGGACAAAACTCTGTCGCTCCAGCTGAAAAAACTGTATTTCTGACAGATACTACGATGATCTACAAACCATTGGGAGCACGTCACAGTGCTTAAGACGTTGGTCTCTGCCCTATCTTGACCCTCCACCGCTCGAAAAAGGCCAAAATCAAACACTAAGATTGTGAAACGACCTTACTGTGTACGTACATGGTACAGGATATAGTATTCGACACAAGGACCGCAAGTGCCCGTGACTTCCGCAAAGCCGTGTTGGATCTGAGCATGCGATGACTTGCATCACTTACAGTATGTTCCTGTGACCACGAATTTCTGAGAGATTTCTTATCAGGAACGACCGGATTGATTGACCATGCGCGACGTCATTGGTTATGGTCCTGTCAAAAAATGCGGAGATGGATATGTCCTCCGTCACTCGCCACTCGTCGATTCTTCTGGTGTCCTTGTGGAAAACAAGCCGGAACTGCGGAAGAGAAAGGTACAGAATATGAGGGATTTCGTTCCTGCTTTTTTTCGGTGCATCTTATTCTGCAGTGAATCGAGATCTGTTGCGGGACTTTGAACACTTTCCATTCATGCTGCATGCCAGGGCGATGGCAGGTCATGTGCAGTTATCGAGATCCGGAATGTGGTCGTGATGAGCATGACTTGTGACTAACATGGTACCGCCCTTGCAAGGTCAGCTCGCTGCGCAAGGCTCGCAAGGCGATACCTTGCGAGGACGCCCTTCCGGAAGCGGGACGTGGCTCTTCATATGATATCGCTCGACCGACTATGGCGGAATGATACTGATACCAGCCTTTCTACGCCTGCCTCGCCTTCCATAACACCTGGCATGAAGTTTTGTTATATGATGAGCGACATGGACATCGGTGAATTCCAACCAATCCTCGTGACAGGACGATATGTGGTTTTACAATGTTGGATTCAGCCTCGTCTTCCCCAGGTTTGGCATTCGCTCGCATCTGACTACTTCACATTCTGCCTCACCTCACCACACAAAGTCGATATCACCGCCTGGTCAAATTCCCAAGTCTCTCACTCACGCAAAAAGTCAGCCCCAGGAGCAAAAACTCGAACCCCGGGAGAGTCGAGAAACTCTGCGAGGAATTTTTTCTACAGGTGTTTATCTGCATTCGAAACTCGTCTCTCCGACTTTAACTCAGTATCATAGTAGAGGAGTATAAGAGGTCGAATACTGGAAGGGAGATTTCGCCGCAGCAGAGGGGCGGAACGCACTCGTCTCTCCAACTTTAACTCAGTAACATAGTAGAGGAGAATAAGAGGTCGGATACTGGAAGGGAGATTGTTGACCAGAAATCCGCGACTTTGATATATTAACCCTCTATTCACAGGATGCAAAACACGTGAGTGACAACGGCCTCATCCACGATGGGCATATCACGGGATCAAGTGAATGAATGGATATTTTTCACGACGCCGTGAGAAATCCGGTGGCCGATGAGTACTTGGGCTGGTCAAAATCTAGATTGCTGGTCGAATTTTTCATCATCGACAAGTCTATGCTCGCAACGTTGCAGGCACGCTGTCCACAGACGAGCTCGATCATACGCAAAGCCTGTGAGGTAGGCAGAAAAGAAGGCAGAATTTTCCCCGTATCTCACTATCTCGATGCCCAGCATGATTCCTTCGTGACGACGTCGGAACGGTAAGTCGGGCCAGTATATCATTCAATCCGATCCATGGCTTTCTTCATCACCAGGTCAGCTTGAATGTTCGCGATCTTCCTGTGTTCTGAGCAATTTGAAGCCTGCGGGCATGGTCTCTCCTTGGATGATGAGTGACCAAACACCCGAACCGGTGGACATTGAAGCCTTCCATAGTGTCGAATACGACGTCAATCAAAAAACGAGAACTGTTCGATGTCGAGCAGTACCGTCCAGGCCTGGTTTTCACCAACCCTTCGTTGTGGCAGTGGTTTGTGTTGCCGTGCGTTTCTCGAATCGCCCGATACTTGACAGAGCTGTCCAGGAGCACATCAGCGAGCATTGTGTGAGGCCGAAAAGGTACAAGGAGAGACGGCGGAGGCACGGTACTCTGACCTGGCAGGAGTGGTGAATGACGAGAGCAAAGGAACTCCAGGGGTCTAGGTAAAAGGTCAAATAACAGCGCTTAGAAAGAGAAGGCGTGAAAGGTGCGGTTGAAACGAGCCATGGTCACAGTCAGCGACCGATGTGTGCTCCATAGAGTGATGTGATGTGCTCGGAGATCGGACTGGGAAAGTGAGACATGGTACAAAAGGAGACTGTGATCTGCTAGCAGGTAAGGCAGGATACATCCGATACAAGGTGCTAAACATGGTGACCATCAGTGCAGCCCGAGAGTCTTTGCCCGACTCTTTCCTGGCTCATCTGCAGACACATCTCCTGCTGCCTCAAACATCTTCATCGTTGCCGCCGAATGATCCGAAACAAGTAAGCCTCGCTCCAAGGCTAAAAGCAAGAAGAGAAAAGGAGTTTGTGAGGAGGACTCCGGATTATGTGATGCAGCGGTGATGTAGTGAGGTGACGTCCAATTTGAAGCAGACTAGTAGGTCGCAACCTGGCATTTCCTGCATTATGCATAGGTGGTCACATATGGTCGACCAGATGGTGTGCTTGACGTGTGCGCTTCCACATTAAACTTCCTCGCAAATGTTGAGGATATGGAATGGCGCTGTTTGCGCGCATTCTGCTCGGAACAACTCGCGCCACCTCTGCAAGCCGTGTTCGATAGGTGATACCAGGGCACCTCATTTTGTTCACAGTAAAGCAGCTTGCGGCGCCTCACCGCTATGTTGAGCGGCATCGCGCAGAGCCATGGGAATGTGATGTTTCGATAAAGTCCAGGGCCAGTGGGCCGGGCGCCTAAATGAGATTGGGTGGGCGACAGAAAGCACCTGGACCAGCGATGTCGCTAAAGGCGGGACGCCCCTCAACCTCAGGTGAAACACACCATGTCCCTGAACGCGCCAAGCCCGTACCTGACCAAGCCTCATAGGTCCAGGGCCAAGGGCACTTCCGACGTGCCTGGATCTTTTTGACCAGCAGGATCGCTCTGTCCACCTTCAGGAACAACAAACTCAAACACTTGTTTCCATCTCATGGTCATCGCAGTACCACCAGTTCATCATAAGGCTATCTCTTTCCACATATTGGTCCTCGAAATCGGATCTTGCGACGTGTTGCGAGCCTTTCGAGAAAGGTGGTGCGGGCATTCCAGAAAGGCAAGCCTCGCGCCATTCGAATGTGCAACAGAACCTGGTAACTCGTAGCACAGAACGTGAAAATCTCCTCGAGGGGGTCGCGAGGCTGGCACCCGCGCTTGTACCTTCGCCTGCGATAGGCCGGTGTGGACAGTCGCTCACAAGTACCTTGCCTGTGACATCCGCACTCACCCTCCTTCCACCTCCTTGTCCCTGATGTCTTCAAAAGTCCTTCTTTCATCTCAAGCGTCATGCTTTTGCTGGAAAACTCTCAGGAGACGGGGTCAGCCTTATGGCAGGGGTAGCATACTCCAATAATGGCCGCTGTCAAGACCCAGCATTGGTGGCCATGAAACCAGGGGTCACCCCTCTTCGTTTCCTGAGTGTGCTCCGTTTGCTGCCATCTCGACGTCTATTGAACTGCAACTCGTTTCGAACCCGTGATGGTCTTCACTTGTCGTCAGTCGAGCGCTTCCATGAAGTTTGATGCTTGCCGAATGTCATGGACAGCGCCAGCTCTGCCACTGGGAAGAAAGACAAGCGAGCCACATTCCTGAAGGAGGAGTCATCGATGCCGTCGCTCATCCTGATATCCAAAGACCAAAGCACGCGTCCCCATGTACTGGCCTTGCGCGGTCACCTCTGATCGCTGTGATGGGATCCTCCATCCTCTATCGCGCGCTTCGAGTTGTGCTAGTATCACAACCACATGGTGTTGAGGGGATGAGTCGCTAACATTGCAAAGTATATAGTCGCACCATAGTCTTGTGTTGGAACGACTGACCTCCTCCACAACTCACATCGACTCCACATCCACGAGAGTGTACCACGCTTTGTCAAGATCTTATTCCACCATCGACCAAGACTCAGACGTCCCCACAGTCTCCCATCAACATTTATCGCCACTCTCGCAATGAAGGTCATAACCATCCTTCTCGCCTTCATGGCGGCAGCAGTCATTGCCCACCCCATCGATGCTCCCGCAGGTACGAGACACATGCCTTGTGGTGCTTCTGGCATTTCATGCTAACCTTAACAGACCTTGTCGATCGTGGCGTCGGTGGCAATAGTGGCACTCACGGCACTGGTGGCTTCAAGCGGGACGAGCTTGAGGTCCGGGGCGTCGGTGGCAATAGTGGCACTCACGGCACTGGTGGCTTCAAACGGGACGAGCTTGAGGATCGCGGTGTCGGTGGCAATAGTGGCACTCACGGCACTGGTGGCTTCAAGCGGGACGAGCTTGAGGATCGCGGCGTCGGTGGCAATAGTGGTACTCATGGCACTGGTGGTTTCAAGAGGGAGGAACTCGAGGTCCGGGCCGTCGGTGGTGCTGGGCGCATCCAAGGGAATGGTGGGTATTGAAACACCCAATGAACCAATCGTCCTCGGTGCGATGCATCACCATCCGAGGCCGAGTGCGTTCGGCTAGGATTCAGTTGCTCGCCGTCATGAATCGGCCCTCCCAGTCTCTCCTCTTCGATGCATGGGCTCACACCTCAGCTTGGTGTGTTCAGACTGTAGTATGAGCGTTGTCAGAATGCCGTGTGAAATCCTGAAGGGCAATTTCATCCTGATCAGATGTCCATGATGCTGGTATGGTTGCATGGTGTAAATGTCTTGAATGCCGGCCAAGGGAAGAATGCACCACACTAGGTTCGCGGCCCTCTGCGTCACTGTCGAGCTGTCCGCCCAGAACACCCGTAAGAAATTCAGGAAAAGTTGCGGAAGCAGGAGTTCCAAGGTTGATAGTTATCCATGATTCTTGTGCTGAGGTATGATCAAGCCTGGTCTGAGGGTCGGCCTTTGGAGATTTTAACCCGCCCACCATGGAGATATATGCAGGGTCATCTGTTGGAAGCACTTCAGAAGAGTTTCGATGGCTGGTAAGACTTCGCTGACTAGATTGCAGTTGGGAAGTTCTATCTGCGTTGCAACGTCGACATGTTGACCGATGACTGTTGTCCCTTGCAATACGTTGAGACCCCCCCAACCCTTGTATCATGGACCGCGGAATGCCTAGCATGTTATCGTCCTCCCAATCATCCTGTCGTGGAGTCTTTCCGAGACACTTTCGAAGCGGGGCTGCTATCTGCTCGATAATCGCACTGAGAACGATTACAAGCATCCCAAAGGCGACAACCAAGATGATGGCTGGAACTCTGAATGACTGGTAAACAGTCGATGGAACCACCAAGCTCTGGCAGAACCATTTGTCCTGGTCTAGTTGGGGAGGAAGCAAGTACTGAATGTCGAACAATGGTGGGTCTGGAGCAATTTGCCCTGTGGCCCACTCAACGACGGTGCGTTGGAGCTGTGCCATCGCGATCGAGTACCAGAATGTCAACTCCGTTTCCCACTGATTGTCAGGCAAAGTCTGCGATACAACAGCCCCCGAGAGTCCAGTTACGGTTACGCTGCTTGCCAGCATCGGCGTTGTTGTCAAGGCAAGGTTTTCGACAAGGTGGCTTACGGTCGAAGCAGCCACGGCACGTATGATTCGATCAAAGGTAGCATTCTGCTTAGGGGTAAGAACTGCGTTGAAATTGTTAACATTCTGTACCTGATCGAAACCCAGGTACCCGGTGCAGGTATTATTGCTGGTGCAGAATTGGTGCTGCTCTGTGCAACCCAATGCACTGATGGCCGCGTCGCAGGCATACCGCTGTTCGAAAAAGGACAGCGGGTTTGGGAAGTTATGTGCCTGGTGAGCAGAGAACCATGGATCGTCAATCGGTCCCAGATACATGCCCGTGAAGCTCAGGAAGAAGAGTGTCAAGTCGGCTGCAGTTTGCACCAGCTCCGGAATGGGTTCGAAATTGCTCGATGTCCACTGGGGGTCAGCGAGTCCTAGGGCATATTCAGAGTCCAGTTGGTACGGCAGTGTCACTTGCGCGGTAAAGTTATCGTAAAAGGACGCAAAATTCGTGACTGCGTATGTGTAGTCCGTGTCCTTGTAAAGCGATGGGCCGAAAAATGCTGCGGCGCTTTGTGAAGAGGGCTTGGGCTCCGAACTGTTGACTATTGTACCATCCCAACCACGGATAAGACCTGCGCCATTGATGACTGCACATGTCGTTTTGCGCTGATATTGCAGACGATCTCTTGGTTCCGCATTGATGCCAAGGTCTGCATGAGAGTCGATGTGATCTGTTTCCAAAACGATGACCCTAGATCCATTTTGACACATCCGCGGCTCGAACGGACAAGAACCTGTGCTGTTTTTCCAGGTGAGTTTCGGACTTCTGAAGGTGTGGCACAACGAAGAGGCATTAGCGGGTGCTGGCCCGTTCGCAGGGGCCAATATTTGGGTTGATGCTTGGGATAAGTAACATTCCTGAGCATATTCAAGACTCAGTTGCACATCGTGTGCTTGTTTCGCTTGCCATTGAGTGTATAAGCCGAACTCGTTCTCATCGGACCAGTCCTCATAGTTGACAATATTGAAGTATGTCTGGTTCCATACTCCGCACTGCTTGCTCCTGGCTAGGACTGCCGAACCACCATTCGTTGATGCTGCACTTATGGCCCTGTTGGAGAACACACCCGCGGTCATAAACAAAGCTGCGTAGATCAAGGCGAGTAGCCCAATAGTGTACGATCGAAGAGAACGTCGCTTCGTACTCCGCCTGGATCTACATGCCAAGCTCAGCATATGCCCTGCCGTTGCCAAACTTGAGCCTGCATTTCGCAGGATGAACTGCTCGCTACGGAGATGCGGAGTCGCCTTATTTGGAGGATGCGAGGCGCCTGTCTGGTGCAGCATATATCTGATGATGTCCCACAGTCGTATCGCCGTGATGCTGACGAACAAGGCCAACGAATTGGTCAAGATTATCGCATGCGTTGGGGATAGTGTCCAGGTGAGGCCCCATGTCTTGCTATTCGACCAGTCTATCCAAAACCCTTGATAGATGTTGGAGGACTGATCCAGAGGATCTGCCATCGTGTCTGTCCGACCTGTAGGGATGACGAACCGCAAGTGCAAGGTCAGTCACCATTCCGGTGACCTGGAAGGAAGGCAGCTTGGCTAGTTATTGTGGTAAGTCACCCATGATCGATAGATCTGGACAATAGCAAAAGATAGAAAAGGCCGCTAAAGGAAGCAATAAAGCAACAGGAAGGTCTGCGCAAACATGAGCAGCGTAGACGACGATGTTCCCTTCTCTCACCCACCTTCCACAGCCTCGTGGCCGTGAGTATTAATGGCACCTTCACCGGTTTCCATTCCGACCCCAAGGACGAGGGCCGGGCCTTCGACACGGCGTGGCAATGCAAGGGCAGGGTCATTTCGCATACCATACGGTCAACGTATGGCCGGAGAACATACCCTTCAGCAGGAAGCGATGGTTTCTGGCGAATGATGGTGCCAGCATGAATAGAGTCAAGCGTCTTTGGCCATATCGTGTAGTCGCGCTTAGAACCCCATTGGCACCAATGTCAACGACGAGCACTTCTGAACACATCGATCCATGATGGCTTCACACGAGATAGTCGAAGTTCGTAGGTCGATTTCGTTGCTTTGGCGCCCGGCAGGTCATGGTCATGGTCGACCAGCGCTTAGATATAAGTAGTTGTGTAGTATTATATGCGGACCCCTGCAGTTGGAGAAATTAAGACGGACCCATCTGAGAGAGCTCGATGGCTATAAGTAGGCACAGGTAGGTACTGTACGATGACGCATTCGGTACCGACTCTCCGGATTGCAAAGGTGCGCGTGGAGCCTATCGGTGAGGCTGGCGGAAGGTCAGTTCTACACGTCGTCAGAGAAAGAGTCTCTCGTGCTTCGAGCTGAGGTGGTTCCTTTTCGCTCGAAAAGCGCTCATACGAGATCGAGAACTTCCAGCGGTGTCATGTCGGATACCAGAGCATATGTTCGACGATGAATGATTAATGCATTTCAGCTGATTAATGATGATTTTGGATGGAGCGGGTTTGTTCTTGCAACCTTTGCAAAGCTCTGGCAGGTGCGGTTCAAATGACCAAAGAGCCGCGTCAAATGACACCCCTTTCTGGCCTTTCTCCCTCCACTCTTGTGCTCCTCCATTTTCTATCCTTAGTATAGAATACGACTTCATCCATACTCCATGCTCGCCGAAGCGCTTGCCGGCTGCAGATCGTCCGGAAGGCCTCCTGCAACGTGGCACCATAACATGTTTGGGTTCCCTTTTCGACCCCAAATCGGCGCAGCTGTTTGAGGTTCAACCGGCCCTACCAGCCCGGCCAAAGCTTGCCTTACCGACGCTGGGCTAGTGACGCTCACGAGGTCAACGTAGCGAGCGAAGACCCCTTCACCTTTGATCGGCCTTGTCTGGGTGACGGCATGAAACATCAAAGCTGCCCAAGATAGATCCTGGGTGCATAACCGCGGTGCTGATCAGCGTTCTCATTGCTGAGAAAACGGTCTATACTTTTATAAATCTGAAACGTCGAAAGAATATGAACACGAGATTGATAAAATGTCCGAATCGACAAACCAGACCGGCGGTCCGAGCTGTGCGTGCATATCCTGAGTCCTGATATGCCCGAAAAGGCCTTCCCCCGTCGTATCCGTGGAAGATAGCATGGGGCGAGACCTATTAAACGAGGCAGGTATATGTTGCAGGTTTCCATCCATGGCCTGTCAGTCCTGGCTCCTCCACTATCGAGCAACAGCAAGGCTGAAGATGTTTGAACAATGGATTCGTCCTTCGGTGACCTAACCAGGCCTCCATGTGGTGTGGGAGACCTCCAGACGGGCGCTAGTATGCAAAGGACAAACATATTGAATTAGGGTATATCCTCTTGCACACAGAGGTCTATTTTTGTAAAGCCTTGCTCGAAATCTTAACGCCAGCCGGATGCCGAACACTGGCCCAAACACTTGGTGAAACCTTTACAGGCAACTTCCGTCCTTTCAGTCGCTGATCGATCAGCCACAAGCCAGTCACAAACTCCTCCCGATTGAGTGCCTTTGCTCCAGGGCGCGCAACAAGATCCCAGACTTCTTCGAGCACGTCCCCTGGTAGCCGACTTCTTTCCCATATATCCCGCACAACGACATTGGCAACAAAATCGCTGACGGGCGTCCCATCCTTGTTGTATCCAGATATAGACGCTTCAGGGTCAAGGTCAAGAAGAATGCCCTTATTCGCAGCCCAGACGCCTTCATACCTCTTCCTTTCTCGTTCTGTGACTTTGTCTCGCCACCGCTTGCGGTCTCCTTCGTGGTGCTTGTTGGGGTGCCGCGTCCAATGACCCTTTTTGCGCTTGTCGTGCTCCTCCTCTTCTTCCTGAGAGTGATTTCGCATTGTGTGCCTCAGTGGCCGGACACGTAGAGGCTTGAGTTCTGGAGGAGGTGGTGGCGTCTCGCTCCTCAGACCTGGAAAATGTAGTTTATGCGCTGGGGCTTCAAAAACACCAACAGATCTTGACCGCCGCCGGGGTATAGGCGGAGGAGATCCCCTCGATCGTGATGCCACACGGGATCGTGACCCCACATGGGAACCAGTATGTTGTGCTGCTATGGAAGACGCGACCATGGCATCCGCCAGGGAGCTAGCTGACAATCTTGTGCGGACATCAAGGATCGGAGCGTCCTGGCTTGCAGAGGCTGCGTGTTCTTGAGCGACAATAGCTGCTCTGCTAGGTCGTAGGGGAGCTGGAGCTGGGAGAGGTTTGCGAGATGGTTCCCGCCGCGCTCGGAAAGTTTCACTCTCAGAGTCAGTCTGCGGTGGAGTGACCCGAACCCGTGGCCAGGTCGATCCAAGGATCTGGCGAGCGGAGTGTTCCATGTCAAAAGGGCCCCGACCATTTAGAGCCACTTCATCCGACTCCGATTGAGCTCGCTTCGTCGCCTCCGCAATTGCAGCATTTCTAGTAGCCGTGACAGCAGCTATTGTGCCGGCCGAAGGAGAAGGACTTGAGGAAAGTGAGGTCTGTGAGGATCGTAGGGACAAGCGCGGGACTGACCCCAGATCCTGTCTTGGTGTATCCTCAGCCGCATCTTGAATCTGGACAGGAGCAGGGGTCATCGAAGCAACCGCTCCTGCAAGTGCGTCCGGACTTCTGGACAGAGAATAAAAGGTATCACTGTTGCTACTTATGCTGCTCGATCGTCCTCTTGTTTCTTGCGATGTTTCCGGCGTCTTCAGGTACTGGCTTGTCGGATTTCTCGTGATCTGGGGCCTGCGACCAGGACTTCTTCTCGCGGACGCTGTGGCAGACGCTGCAACTGCTGCAACTGCGGAGGTAGAGCGAGGGATATGCGGCTGAGGCTGGGACTGAGTAGGATGGCCTGAGGAAGGGTTCGCTGCCGCGACAGGAATTTTGGCGGCTGTAGGCGGGCGACCACGAGGGCTTGAGAGTAGTTCCTGTTTTGCAGGGCCATTGAGCCGGGTGTTCTGTTCTCCATCATGCTGTGACTGCTGTGGCTGCTGTTGCTTCTTGCTCGCTGCAAGGGTTGCGGCTAGGAGGGCTCCTGCAGTCGGATTATGTGAGCTGGGGCTTGGTGCTTTGACCGAACCGGGGACGAATGCCCGTGATGCGCCGCGTACCGCCGGTGAAGGTGCAGGAGAGATCTTCAAGGTAGAGGCATCATGCTGAATGAATGACGGCTTGGGCGCCACAGGTGGACGCCGTGCCTTGTTCTCAGTCATCAATCCATATGGACATCGAAGTGTGATGGTAGTGCGGCAGCATTCAATGCAGCTTAGAGAAAGTGTAACGTCATTCGACTTATGACTGTGACGAGAGCGTGACCTTTGCCATAATCATCGCAGGGTGGAAAAGAATGTGTAGACGGTCACGAGGAAACAAGATGGCGCGGTATGAGGCTGTCGTAGCATTTCAATCTCAACAATGTCAGCACCGCCCTGCCCTGTGCTGCCCATTTTGCAGGCTGTGAGACACAGGGCAGTCATGCGAGCACGTCACGTGCTGTGGTGTCGTGGGGAAAGTCGTCACGCGTTTCTGTCCGCTACTGCCTTTCATTGACTTCTTCACTCCCGTGCTTTTCAAAATATTGATGTTTTGGTTGGTAGGTGATCGATGGAAGGGTGTCATACTTCATGGCCACCTCTCCTTGCTGCCTTTCGTTCTGTGCGGGGGAAATCAAGGTGCCAGACACGCCTAAATCTAGCGTGAGAGATCAACAGTCTTCAACATGTCAGACGACGATCACATGGATGTTGACTCCAGAAATGGAGGCCAACCCAGTCGGGCAGACATCGAACGCCAGTTGAATGAAGAATATCCAAACAGACCTCATAATAAACACAGAGCTCTACCTTTCCACACCCTCATCCGGGATCTGTTCAACCCTCTAATCGACAATAGGACCAAGAAGACAGGTGGTGCAGTAATCAACAGGAGAAAAGTAGGCCCCAACGGCGGCTCAAGCGCGTCCCCCTCTGAGCTGCGGCGCGCCATCATTGAGCGATATATTGCTCGCTGGAGGAGAGACGTCGGACAAGATTTCTTCCCTGCTTTTCGCCTCATCATCCCTGACAAGGATCGCGAACGTGGAGTGTATGGCCTCAAAGAAAAGATACTGGGCAAGTTGTTGGTAAGAGTTATGAAGATTGACAAGAATTCCGAGGATGGTTTCAACTTGCTGAACTGGAAGATACCTGGAGGCGGAAGCAATGCTTCTCGTTCGGCCGGAGATTTTGCTCTTCGTTGCCATGAAATCATCTCGAAACGACCAATGAGGATGGAATATGGCGACATGGACATCGACCAGGTAAATGAATTGCTAGACCAACTGTCCGCAGCACCGAAGGAGGAGGATCAATTACCTATCCTGGCCGAATTCTACAAACGCATGAATGCTGATGAGCTCCAATGGGTCATTCGAATCATCCTCAAGACGATGAAAGTTGGTGCAACTGAGAAGACCTTCTTTCATATTTGGCATCCCGATGCAGAAAGCCTGTTCAATATCTCCAGCAATCTTCGAAGAGTATGCTGGGAACTATGGGACCCTGCAAAACGTCTAGACAGTGATGAGACTGGCGTCTCCTTGATGCAATGCTTTCAGCCACAGCTTGCTCAATTCAGTCAAGAACCTCTGAAACGTGTCGTCCAAAAAGTTCAAAGTCCTGAAGACAACGAATTCTGGATCGAGGAGAAATTGGATGGTGAACGCATGCAACTACACATGGTCTCTGACAACAGTATAGTTGGAGGGCGCCGCTTTCAATTCTGGTCACGTAAGGGCAAAGATTACACGTACCTCTACGGCAACGGGCTTTACGCAGACAATGCATCTCTCACTCCTTTCATCAAAGGCTGCTTCTCAGACAGGGTGGAGAACATCATCCTCGACGGAGAAATGATTACCTGGGATCCCAAGGAGAAAGCCCAAGTGGCTTTCGGCACCTTGAAATCCGCCGCAAAGGCTGAACAGACCAACCCATTCGCCGAAGGTCAGAGACCTCTTTTCCGCGTCTTCGATATACTTCTCGTCAACGATCGACCTCTGACACGTCACACTCTGGACGACCGCCGAAAGGCACTGGTGGCCAGTGTCACCTCCGAACCTGAGCGTTTGGAAGTTCACAGCTACCAGATTGCGACCACTGTAGAGGAGGTCGAAGATAGCCTCCGGGAGGTCATCGCGCAGGCTTCTGAAGGATTAGTCCTGAAAAATCCCCGTTCAGCATACAAATTGGATGACCGTAATGGTGACTGGCAAAAGGTCAAGCCCGAATACATGATGGACTTCGGAGAGTCGCTTGATTGCCTCATTATTGGAGGGTTCTATGGTTCTGGCAGGAGAGGTGGAAATATCTCTAGTTTCATGTGCGGACTCCGCCTCGCTCCTACCGGACAAAGCCAGAGTCAGCGTCAATCGCAGAGCCAGTCACAGGCCGCAGAACCCTCTCGAAAGTTTGTGTCTTTCTTCAAAGTTGGTGGTGGCTTCACAGCAAACGACTATGCCACCATACGACACGACACTGAGGGCAAATGGCACGATTGGAATGCTAAACGTCCACCAACACAGTATATCGAACTAGGAGGCGGACCTCAGGGACAGCGCGAAAAGCCCGATGTCTGGATCAAGCCTGAAGATTCTCTCGTCATAGAGGTCAAAGCTGCGCAGGTCACTGCCAGCGAAGATTATGGTTGTGGTATGACGCTGAGGTTTCCACGCTTCAGAAAACTCCGACGCGACCGCAACTGGCAGACGGCACTCTCACTGGAAGAATTCCTAGATTTTCGAAATGTCATTGAGGACAAACAGAAAGAGAAAGCAATGAACGTAGACCAGCAGAAGAAAAAGAGCCGCCAGCCCAACACGCGCAAGAAAGTTATCACCGTGGCTGGTTACAACGCTAAGGACATCAACAATGTAGCTCTTCCTGATGGTCCAAAGGGCAATGTCTTCGAGGGTCTAACTTTCTACATCATGACCGAATCCATTCAACCCACTCAAAAGAAGTCGAAGTTGGAACTCGAGGCAATAGTCAAAGCCAATGGCGGCAAGATTGTTCAGACACATACCACTGACGAACACACCATCTGCATAGCAGCTCGGCGGACCGTGAAAGTCGCAAGTCTCGAAAAGACATGCAAAAAAGAAATTGTCAAGCCTACGTGGATATTCGATTGCATTGAGCAGGCTCATCAAGATTTTGCCAAGGGGATGCCGGAGATGGTAGTGCCCTTAGAGCCAGCACGACATTTGTTCTTTGTCCCTCACGACATGGAGGATCGGTGGACGGAGAACGTGGATGAGTACGGGGATAGCTTTGCCAGGAATACCAATGTCGAGGAGCTGCGGGAAATCATGGACAAGATGACCAATATTGACTGTCCAGACGACGAGGAGAGCCGGATCCCTGAACTCTTCCCCGAATACCTAGACATGCAAGGATACATGTTTCACGGTCTGGTATTCCTCTTCGACCGTTTAGCAGCGTCGAAACAAGACGATCTGTTGGGACCGAACGGCGATCTCGACGGAGCCGCAGACAACCTCAACGTCAGCACAGACGTTATGATACGAAACATTGCACTCTTCGCGGGGGCGGAGATATTGCCCAAATCTGATCTGTCCACGCTACCAGCCGAAGAAAAGCACCGAATTACACATATTGTCGCCCGGCCCCACTCCGACCTACAGTCCCTACGAGCGGCCGTCTCCCGCTGGAAAGGCCGTCGTATTCCTCGAATCATGAGTCAGGATTGGATCCAAGTGTGTTGGAAGGGAGGGATCAAGGTCGACGAAGAAGCTTATGTGGCAAGGTAGATCAAGTTCATCGTCACCGGATCGCATTATCTTGCGGAAGATATCACCATGGCATGTATCAAAAATCATGTCAAAACCATGCTTTCCACTTCCCGACAAAGTTCTATCTCGGCATTCCGAGTTTCAGTGCAGAACAGTCGATCATACGCTCCCTGTGGCCCTCAGACTTTCATTTTTAGCATTTGCAAGAAGAGACACGCGACACGGCAGACATGCATAACGGTGTGGGCCGTGGACGTTGAACGTCCCATGTGTGAAGAACGCCCCGTCGTATGGGAGCCTCCAACAGAAGTCAGTGAGTTCGGTAAACAATGAAACTATCCAAACCGTTGGCCAAAGCCCAGCTGCCCAGATATAAATGACGCGGCGAAAGGAAGCACACACCTCTGGAACAAATCTCGATTACGGCACAGGATCAACAAGTCTCCAGATCTTGCGAACTAGCGCAAAGATCCTGTCAATATTGGGGGTTAAACCTTGTTCTAACAACGGCAATTTGACATGGCCAAATCCCAAGACAATGGATGCATAGACACACTGACCACCCTGTGGTATGAGCATCACTCGCTTACCAGTCGTGTGCCATCTCTTGCTCAACTAACGATGGCACGACTGGATACCTCTTCAAGGCGATTGGCAGACAAAAATCTAGTACGCACGAGACATTTTCCCCATGCTCAGATCACCATGGCAGACCATATTTTTGCTTTATTTACCGTCATCACCGTTGCTGCCATTTTAGCTACACCTACTGAGCCAGCATACACCATTTCGCATTCGCATTCGCAATGTCGGCGAGGACCGGATGAGGTGGTGATAGATGGATTGTCTGCATCTGGGAACGTATGTCACCCACAGCTTCAGCAAGAGCACTGGGCGATGAGTCCTTTCTCCATCACGTGACAACTTACTACCTTCCCTCAACGACCATGGCCGGAGTTCAGCCTGAGAGCACGCTCGTCTGTGCAGGCGTATTCACAGGTCTCGCCATAATCTTCAGCACCCTTCGTCTTTACTCGAGAATCTTCATTGTGCGAGCAGTCCGCGTGGATGATATCCTTCTCGGAGTTGCCGTAATGTGCTCCATGGCTTTGACAGTCTTGATCATCTTCCGTACGCTGCAGCTCCTGGGTTTGGTGGAAGGCTTGATTGACTGACAAACTCTCTAGAAGCTTACAATGGTCTCGGCGTGCACCAGGACACTTTATCAAACGATGAAGTCTTTAACTTCCTCAAGGTTGGTCAAGGTCTCAGTCTATGAACATCAATTCGCTGACCAAAGTTAGGGGTTATACGGTGGCTCAATTGTCTACAGTATCGGCATGCTATTCACCCAAACCACTTTCCTGTTCCAGTATCGGAACTTTTTCATTGGTAAATGGCTTCGACGATCAACCGATGCCATGATAGTCATTGTTACGCTTGAGGGTATTGCCACTACGCTTGCTGTTGCTTTCCAATGTCTGCCGGTCGGCACCCAGTCCATCTGGAACCCGTACGCTCCACCGGCCAAATGTATCAACTACGTTGCCTTTTGGTTCTTCTCGGCTCTGTTCAACGTTTTCTCATCTCTGATCATCTGGGCGCTACCACTCCCACTGATCAAATCGCTCCAACTACCGAAACGACAGAAGCGTTGGCTACTGCTAGTCTTTGCTCTCGGATTTTTGTGAGTCCCGGCACTCGCTCCGAGCTTGATTTGTCAACTAACCGAACGGGTTCCAGTACGTGCCTCGCCTCCGGTTTGCGCATTCGTGGACTCTACATCAGCGTACAGCATGCCGAGAATGACACTTCCTTCTACTATACAGCGGCAGCCACATGGTCCTCGCTGGAGATCAATGTCGGAATTATTTGCTCCTGCCTGCCTACTATCAAGCCGATTGTTGATCGCGTGTTTCCCGAACTGCTGCGTGAGCCGACACGTCCAGTGCCGCCTCTCGGAGGGGTCGACCACAGTGTTCGCAGGAATGGAGCCGGAGTGCTGCTTGCCAATAACTGCGTCCCTCTCACTGACAAATCCCTGGGCACCAGCGCAGAGTCCAGTTCAGTTCCTACTCCAAAAAGACAGATTGAAGACGTGTGAAGTCAGCACTACAACAACATAGTGTTTACCTTATTCACACGCAGATTCACTGCGGTCGTGGCCATTCCCGGTGCTTATACGCCATTTCGGTCACCACTCGGCGCTTCAAGGATATGCGGTTGCATCGATCAATCCCATACAAACCGCCTTCTGGTCTGATTAAAATCCTATCAAGAGGACCGCCATGAAGCCGAAGCACGGGATGGGACATGGAACAGCAGGCTCAACTAGCGGATCGAATGCATATTCAGTCCCCATGGTCGAAAATGCAACGTCAACCTCGCCACCCCGAACAGCATAACGTGCCGGACTATGCGTCTCAAGAACGAAATACATCGGTCATGCCTATGAAGTTCAACGCAGCGCAGCCGGGCCATATACACTATGTATCAGGTATAGCTGAGCTTCAACACGACAAAACGTTGTTTGATGTACGACAAAAGCCATCCCTTCTGCCGTACTTGGGTCGGAACACGCGGTGTTCACTGTCGGTTTGGCAGGTTTACAGTACACTTCACCTATTTTTATCAACGTTCGCGAATACACGACATCTTATGAAGACGAGAGGGCTTGAAGAGGGAAAGGTCGAAGGTCCGAGGGGACTTACCGGAGGGGAGGGTCGATCGAACTCGATATATGAGCCGCGCCAAAAGAGGTTTTCACAAGACCACTTCACTTCACTTCACTTCACTCTTCACGAGGACCACTTTACTTCACTCGACCCTCGAATATTCAGCCTTCACATATCTAAGTCTAACAAAATCACTCAACAATCAAGGCGAAAGACTGCCCTTGCAAGCAGACCATATCTTCAGTATTTGGCTCAGCAAATGACTTTGTCACTAAGCTTCTAACAGGGCACCGAGACAAATTCCAGAATAAATCTTGTTCCTATCTACCTACCTAGGTGGTAGGGACTAAGTGTCTGGCTCTGGTAACGACCTGTGAATGAAGTCTTCTACAGAGGCACTGAGATTTCCAAGTAACATCTCCAGAATGGCTCTGCGTCTGCACAGGCATGTTGGAAACCTACAATTGTATAACCCTTAATAAACTCCCCTGGGGTTTCCTCACGATCAACCCAATTTCAACGGGTTGACTGAGTTTTTGCCTTTTTTTTTGAACTGGACGGACTGCTGCAAAGTCTGGATACGGGGACCATTGGCGGTGGTAAGTGGAATGTTCAATGAAGGATGAATCCAAGCACGATTCGAAGCAAGTCGGTAGGAACAGCGGACGGGGTAAATCCACCAAATGCAGAGGAAGAGGGCGCACGCGATACATGATACAAAAGTTACTATGCACTGCTACATCACTGCATTAGCATACGAGACAGAAAAGCACTTTCAACTCAATTTCTTCTTCATTAACAGTTTCATTATATCTTGTGGACTCTTTCCGTATAAATCTCAGGTGCTACCCAAGATTACAGCAGATTCGAGAGCGTATTTATGCTTATACCGATTGTCCTTTACAGAATAAAGGAGGTGACCGAAATGCTGGAAAAGAAAACATCCAAAAGCGCGTGTTATCGGCTTTCTGAGAAAAAGCAATGGTAAAACATCCCGAAAAGTGCCTGTGTCGACTTTTCATAGACCGTCAAGTGGTATCATGTAGCACAGATTCAAAAGCAAGACAGAGGCCGTCGCAAATCGTCATCATCAATGGCCCGGCTAGGCCAGCGTTCCAGGCCCACCTTTTTCGCCGTGGTTTTCTTCTGTTCCTTATCACCTTCGTCCACAGGCGGCAGCCATAACCGCGCATGTGGTATTGCCTCGTCGCTCAATTTCCCACTCTTGCGCATGTTCATTTCGGCAACAAAGACCCTCAGGAAATCCCTGTTCTCACGCGGTTCCCGAGGTCGTGGCTGACCTTCAGCTTTGAGGCCATCCTCGTTCTCCCAAAGTGTCTGTGCAGCGCGATATTTATTACTTGGCGTGCCATCCGGTTCGAGCCAGGTTGGTGGACTTGATGCGTGAGCTGTACGGATGCTCGACGGAATGCAGGTTGCCAGCGGCACGACGGGCGGCAGTTGTGCGATGGGATTCCTCGATCCGGCGACTCCTTTCTCCTGGCCGGCAGAGGTGACAAGCTTGTATTTTCGCTTGATTTTGAGCTTGGGCTTTGCTGCGGCTGCCTTTGATTGAGCCGTGGGTTTCTCATCCATCCAGAAATGTAATTGTGCAGGAGAGTCAGGGGGTACAAAGGTACGTGGATTCAGATACCTTCTCAGCTCAGCGGATGGAAGTTCTTCGGATGGTGGTGGCCGCCGATCATCGGTCAACGAAGGTTGGAAGTCGAATATGGACTTTGAGAGAAAATCGTCAGGTTGGATCAAGGGAGGTGTACTCGCGATGTTGGACATGGTTTGTGCTGCGGACTTGAGGGCTTTCAAAGACGCAGTCAGACTGGATTTGAACGAGCTCGGTCGTTTCTCTGGCATCATTCTGCGCTTGCGCCTAGGTATAGGTGTAGGTGACAGCGACAGTTCAGGCGTGATGTCTCCACTGGACTCTGCTTCTTGTTCCAGCGATAGCAGGGGGTGTTCGTTGCTGGCGTCTTCTGAGTTGCCCATCTGCCGCAGTCGTAGGTCGGATGGCGATCGTAAGGTTGCCGGGGTAAAACTCGTCATGTCGGAAGTACTGAAATCTTCGGGTGAGGCAAGCGAGGGCATTGATTCGCTCGAAAGTGACCTCGTTGACAGAATTCCTGCATCAACACCTTCACTTCCCACGATCATCTGACCCTCGACCAAGCTGTCGATCGCACCAAATAGTCCTTCAAATTGCGGATTTGTCCAACTTCCTGTTAGACTGCCTTCAGCACTCGAGGGCACATCATCCCGCAGTAATTTACTGAACTCCGCCACGTAGTCACCTTTTGGTATTCTTTGCGCCGACTTTTGCTTCGGCTTGCGCCGGATTGGTATAGTGGTTGATGAAAGAACTTGTTGCACCGACTCCCTCCTTTTCGGTGACCCTTGTAGCGAAGTACTGCTGCGATTGCTCGAAGGCTGAAGCGACGAAGGGGCAGGTCGTTGCGGCGGACTCACGGAATGTCTTTCGGTTCGCGACGGAATCTTGACAGGATCTGAATGTGGGCTCCGTGAGTCCCTTTTCTGCTGTGCGAGGCTCTGGGAGAGGGCGGAGCGTGAGGCGGATCGGACAGATTTCCGTCTGTCCAGGGTGTCTTTCTCCTGGAAGTCGATAGTTTGCCTCCTTTCTAAGGGATTTTGGGCGAAAGCCCGTGGGACCATCATCATGTTGAAAGCCTCGTGTAATACATATAAGTCGATAATAGATCGATAGGCGCGAAGCCTGCAAAGCGGTCGACCGCTGCAACCGTCTTATCGCAGCATTTCTGGAGGTGGCCGAGCAGAAGGAAAGGATGAGGGTGAGGCTGAAACCGGACGGTATCAGTTGTGTGTAGGCTGCTGATAAGAACAATGTGGTTGTAACAATGGCTGTGGAGGATATTTTGGTGTCACTACAGCATGATCTAGGAGTGATAGTGTGTCCAGCGCGTTAGGATGCTGATGATGAGTAGTATGCTGAGAAAGCAGGCAGTTCAGCTGAGATCGCGACGCATGGCAGGTAGATGGCCTGGTGTGGCAGGTGCGAAGTAACTTAGGGGCCGGTGCCGGGGTGTTTGTCAGAGTCGTGTGCGCGCACTGTTACAGCCGGAAAGAAGCGCTCCTGCGCTCCGAGAGATAAGAACAATCGGGGTAAAGCGATTGGCTGCAAGGACCCCTTAGTGCTAAAGTGCTACCGTAAAGGCGCGTGGGATGACGCCGCCATGACGGAAGACTAAATCGGGCACTTAATTGGAGATGACTTCCAGGGTGCCCTAATGGAACCGCCTATTAGTGGAGACATGGGCATGAACCACAGTGTTGGCCCCTAGAAGCGACTTCTTCCCACTGGCCAAGAGACCTGGATTTGTTCTGCGGACACTTGAGTGAACTCTTTCATACCTGCCTAATGCAGCCTTGGTAACTGCTACTTGCAGCAACTCTCGTACGCTGCCACCCACTTTTGCAGTGTTCTGCAGCGGTGCTCGCCATGAACTGCCCACACACTGCCCTGATGATGGCTGCTTGCAGGCTGTCAAACGCCCAATCGTCAAAGAAAGCGACAGCCCCGGAAGATGCAGCCATGAACCCCCAGATTCTCCTCGATTTCGGTTATTCGATTGATTTGGCCAACACAAAGTTGAGCGCATATCTCACTCAACGTACGACTAGGAGCTTCAAACTCTCAATACCTAGTAGAACATGGTGTGGTTGCGGACTTTGGCGCCTACACTGGAATCAACCTTCAGGCAGCCCCCATACTGGCAAATACCAACAGAGTCTGTGCTGGGTCAAAGAGTCCTGTCCGACACGCGATTACTAAAAGGTAATTAAATTCATCTCGAGTAATATTAATTCGGGTGTCGGAAACTGCCGGTACACAACGGTGGATCTGGTTCCTGAACTTCCCTCTTTTGTCGCTGGTTCATCTGGAGCTTCTAGAAAATCCACGTAACTTTCATGTAACAGTTTCAGCTGTACTCCGTAATGCTGTGCCGGATCCCACGCAAGAGAAAAGAAATACCTTGATAGCATGGAACGCAAGCCAAGTTATCAGAAGACAGCACCAGCCCGAGACACCAGCAGCAAAATAACCATAGCAGGTTACTGTGATTGATTATTGATGATGCGCAAAGGCTGCAGGGCCCCCTGCTTGTGCCGAATAGATGGATTGATCTTTTCCGGATCGATGGTGCCGTGCATGTTCTCGCTTGACCAGATATGGAGAATGTATCCGCACAACAGGAACCAAGATTAGCCTTTCAGCCTTGTACTCATACTGTTTCACTGTTCACAGTAGATAGCTAGGTAGATGATGTGACTCTACCAAAGATGCCAACCCCACCATATCTTGAGGCATCAAGTAAGTCTACATCGGGTAAGGAAAAATGGAAGAACTACTCTCTTCACATGACTCTTACGCCTCAACCTGCTCTCGGGCATTCCTCGCCCACTCCGCGGCGCGGGCCTTAACCTCTTCAACCTTCCTCTCATCACCGTGCTTTTCCTCAAACCTGAGCCATCGCTTGAAGAAGTGATTGGCTTTCTTCGGTTTCAACCTCATCTCCAAAACCCGCTCATAGACTCTTCTCACCTCCTCCTTTTGGGGGTCATCATCATCACACCCATTCTCCTCCACGTCGAGCCTCACATCAAACAGATCCAGACGCCTAGGATACGAGGCAATCAATCCCTCGAAGATGGTCCGCCCGCGTTCCGGCTCGCCAGACCTAAACTCCAGCAATGCGAACTTCAATGTGACATCGAAGTGCGTGTGTTTGGGCAACACCCGAACCGCACTCGTCAGCAAAGCCCTTGCACGCGGTCGGTCGCGCATGTTGTCAAACAAGAACGTGGCGTAGTTTACCCACACTTTCGGGTCTTGGGCGCCAAATTTCTTGATCATTGCCGTAAACTTGTCATCTGCCTTGGAGTGCTTGCCCAAAGAAATGAAGGCGCTGATCAATCGGCTGTACATCTCAAGCGCGTCGTTGTACTCGCAAGCCCGGCGAAACATGGCTTCAATGGTCTCGTCGTCACCATGAGCAGCCTCCAGGTTAAGCAATGCCGTCCACACGATCTGTTTCTCGGCCTCCTGGCCCAGTCCGATAGACTTCAATGCTCGTTCTCCGATGGAGCGCGCTTGATCGAGGTCGCCCAGGTTGGCGTGGAACGCCATATACTGCACCCATAGAGCGCCCGAGTCAGGCTCAGTCAGGAGATATCGTTCAAAATCATCCACGGATTGTGGTCCATCGGTATCCAAGTCTGCAGTACGGTCGACTTGGACTGCGGCCCGCTTCTTCTTTTTCTTCAATGCTTTGTCTGGTTTCTCATCGTCTGAATCATTGGCATCGGCGGCACGTTTGTTCGATTGAACGCTTGCAGATCCGGTCCAATCGAAGCCACCGGCGCTGAGACCTGAAGGTCCGGCAAGGCTAGGGGCAGCTTCGTCGTCAGAGTCATCAGCCTCGTCTTGGTCTTCGTCTTCGTTGTTGAGGTCCTCAAGATCCTCATCCTCGTCTTGGCTTTCTTCATCGTCTTCGTCGACAAGGTCATCCATTGCTTGGTCGAGGTCGACACCATCTTCGTCGGAGTCTTCGTCATCAATTTCCTCCTCAGAAGCATCGGCAAAGTAGGATGCTTTCATGCCAAAGTTGACTCTGCGTTGGGCCGGATCGATCTTCAGAACCTTCGCCTTTACGGCATCACCTTCACTGAAAAGCTTGCTGGCATCTTCGATCCGTTGCTCTGCTATTTCACTGCGGTGACACAGTCCACGTACGTTCTCGGAATCGTCCACCAAGATGAAAACACCAAAAGACTCGACCTTGACGACCTTGGCAGTGACAACGTCCCCAACATGCAGGTCAGTGAATGTGAGCGGTGCCTTGTAGTTGGGGTCTAGCGTCGATCGTTTCAAGCTCATTTGGACATGGCCAGACGCTTCGTCAACCAAAGTGATTCGTCCTTCTACCAATTGATCTCGCTGAAAGTGATCCTTCCAGTCTTTCAAGTAGCTGTCCGACAGATTTCCGACCCTCACAAATGCTGTGACACCGTGTCCTAGTGTCACGAAAACACCTTTGTCTGCGACGTTGGAGATGAATCCTCGTACTTTGTCATTGACAGCCAACTGGGTTGAAGAGGTAAATTCTCGGTCTCGAACCTCGGACGATGAACTTAGGACCTTCGACCGACGTGCGGACAAGGTCACCTTTTTGTTCGGCACGTCGACGTTGAGCACGCAGACTCGAATGACATCGTTCTTCTGGTACTTGGCAGGATTCACTTCGTCGTAGTTATCCTCCATGTCAATGAGCTCGACAACCCCAACCAGTTGCTCGCTGAGTTGAACAACAATATTGTGATCGGAGACTTTCGTCACTCTCCCAGGCAGGATGAGTCCTTTGGTCATGTTGTTGAGTGTAAGAGATCCGACTGAGGCGTCTGATCTCGCCGTAAGATCCAGGCGATTCTTCTCCGGGTCGACTGAGACGACGTGAACACGTAGAGCAGAGCCGATGGGGAAGTTTGCCTCCAGGTTGGCTGCGAGAGATAGATCATCAGAGACATCGGTTGCCCTGATGCGTCCGCGTGCAGCTGGGGATATATTGACCCATAAGCAGTCTTCGGCGATATTGTTGACAAAGGCTAGGCAGGATGAGCCGACCGATAGATCTTTCAAGCTCAGACTGGATCTGCTGGGATCTGCCACCGAACTAGGTTTGCATGACAACTCAAGCACTGTGTTCTTTCCCTGCCGATGACTCAGAGGCAGGAATCGGTGATTTCGGGTGTCGTGTGCTCCAAGCACTTTGACGGTAAGTTCTTGCTTGGTGGTGAATTGCTTGAGTGAGTTCTTGCGGTCTTTGATATCCTTCCACTCGTCAAAGACTTCGGAAACATCTATGCGGCCCTGAACATTCTTGGCCAGCTCTACGTTGATTTGAGTCTCCTTGACCGAAGTGACTCGAGCTTTGGTGATCCTGCCTACCATTAGATCGTCCAGCCGCTTCAGGCTGGTATCGACAGGCTCTACGAGTTCCGGTAATGGCTCGTTGGAGACTGCAGGGGCTACTTTCGACGGTCCATCAACGACTCTGTCTCGCATGGTCAACCAGAATCGTGGAGTGGCACCCTTGTAGTCAATGGACAAGACCCTGGTGGTGACTGATTGGAACTTCGACAACCCAAAGCCGGTTTCAATTTTCGGATCGACAGATTCGTCTTCATGTTCGACAGGAACTTGATTCTTCGGGATCAGTCCACTGATGCCGGCGGCGAAACTGACGAACACGCCATCATCTGTAATGTTGGAAACGTAGCCGGTGATGAGCGCATCTGGTTGCACCTGTTCGTAACTCTTGAGAAGAGAGCCATCTTGAGCCGCTTTCAGCAGACTTTGTTTGTTTGTGACCACAACGAGCCTCTTCTTGGCCTGAACCTGTAGAATGACAAGGTCTTCCAGCTTCTGGCCTACTCGTATTTTGGCGAATCGAGATTTACGTTTTTCTGACGAACCATCGGAGATATGGTCACGAGTAAGCCGCGCAATGGCATCAGAGCCTTCCAGGCGCAGCAGAATGTCGTTATCGGATTTCTCAAAAACAGTTCCTTTTGTGATAGATCCAGGCTGCAACCTTGCAAGAGAGCTCTCAATTGACTGATTGGAGGCATTGACGTCCCTGCACGACACTGTAAGGCGGCGGTCAGCGGCATTGACGCTGATTGCATTCACAGTCAAAACCCGCCCCACCCGAAAATGTTCAGTGGCGTCCTTGATGTATGCCTCGCTCATTTCAGATACTGGAAGAAAGCCTCGTACAGGACCGAAGAATCGAACAACGGCGCCGTGGCGATCAACCTTGGCCAACATGCCGACAGTAGAGTTACCAACTTCGATATCCTCGTATCGTAACCAAGGCTTTTGATCGCTGTTAACGATGGATTTTTTGAGTGTCAACTTCAAGCGGCGCCTGACTGGGTCCGCGGATACGACTCTTACGGCCACAGCCTGCCCCTCTCTGAACTTCTTTTCAGGATTTTTCAGGTCGATATCCGACATGTGGATCTGTGGAACAAAGCCGGTCACACCTTCTGCCAGGTTGATTAGCAGACCTGACACCCCGTTGGAGCCAATGATGAGCCTTTCGATGGTGCCCTTCACTACCGCACCCACAGGTACGTCTTCAAATCGCAGAAATGGTTGCTCAAGGACTTTTTGCTGTAGAGAAACAATATAGAGGTGATCGACGGGGTTGTATTCGATGAGTCGAGCCTTGTGTTCTGAACCAAGCTTGTATGGGCCGGTCACCTCCGAAATGGCGTCAATCTTCTTGTCCGAGAGACGAGAAATATGTGCAAAGCCGACTGTGTCTTGATCCAGCTGTAGGTAGACACCAAGACCAGGCTCTACTCGGATCACCGGGGCAGAGTCCACGATGGAAGACAAGGCAAGTGTTCCATGTGCCTGTGCAACCTCATTGCCCAGGGTTACAAGATGATCGAAGACAGAGAAACCCAACTTTTTCGTGTCGGAGAGGGGAAAGTTGTAGATCAGGCGACCCTGTATTTTCTTTCCAGCTTCAAATTTGGCCAGGAAGGCTTCCTTGTCTTTGAAAGAGCCCGAATGTACCACGTCAGCGGTTACATCTAGAAGACCCATGATTTTCCCCGAAAGACCAGCATCAGTTCGGCTGGTCAACAGAATTTCGGCTTTAGTACCAGGGAGGAATGTGTCGATGGATGGCGCTGTCTTGAGGGCCGTATCTTTCGACAAGTCTGCCGTCAGCTTCACTACTTTGCCGTTGGAGCCAACCTCCAAGACGCTGCACAACAAAACGGCGCCCGTCCGGAGATCGGAAAGAGATAGACCATTGGGTAGATGCTTCTTCGATATGAAACCCCGGACGTTTCCCTCCTCCAATGCCAGGTCGACAACCAGGCCATGGTCCTCGACGCTGCTTACAGACACTTGGACGGTGGCACCGACGGCGAGATTTCCTCGATCAATCCCGACATTGGTCAGCGCTGGCTCAGTGGACAGTTCGATGCGTTTCCGCGCAGATGCTTTCCCTCCTGCCTTCTCCTGCTCTGTAGAGGTAACCGCAACTCGAAGATATTGTCCCACTCGGCAGTACTGTGTAAGAGAAATGTCTTGGTCCTCCTCTTCCTCCTCGTTAACGGATTTGTTGTCGTCATCGTCATTCAGCAGTGCTTGTATCTTCTCGCTCAATTGTGGTGAAACCGCAGTCAATGGGACGTAACCAACCAGATTGTCCGGCAAAGCCACAGTTAGCACCCGGCTACTTATCGACGTGACCTGACCGAGTATGAGAGAGCCGCTTGTGATGCGTTTGTAATTGAGACCTCCGATCTGGACTTCGGGAGTGTGTGAAGTAGAGATTTCAGGCCGCTCTTTGGTTTTTTGAGATTTCTTCTTGACCTGCTTTGCCGCTTTCTGTGGTTCGCCAGTCTCCCCCTCATCGCTAGTATCCTCTGGTTGTGTGCGACCGGACCCGAAGAGGTCCTGCTGCTGCTTCCGTTCTCTTGCAACGTCTTGTGAGGCCTTGACTTGTATTTGTTTGCGTTCAAGCGGAGTGAGCAGGCTAGCACCGCCTCTAGGAAATGCTGGTTGTTCCTTTGTGAGTATCGACGCAGGCTTCGGCTTTTGACTCTTATTTAGTTCGGGTGCAGCAGTATTGGTCTGAGACTTTGCATCTGATTTTGATCGTTTGTTTGCTGGTGAACTCGTCGCTGGCTCGTTCGCCAATTTGCGCTTTGTGGAAGCCATACTGAGGTCTGGCTAGAGAAAACGCACGCTCCTCAAAGTCCCCGTCTACCACGACGTTGAAATTTAGACAAAAGTTGTTTGCTGCATGTTGGTGTTTCTCTTGTGGCAGCCCAGTGATGGCGATCACAAGTGCGGCCCAGGATTTTTTTTGGAGTGCTTTTGCTCGTTGGAACTTTTTTTGGAGATGGATTTGAAGGGGACTCCCTGGCCAATGAGGCAGAATCGAAAAGTTTACTCAATCAGTTTCATCTTATCTTATCGCAACAGCATCGGACGCGTCGCGTGTCAGTCTCTGCGGGCTGGAAAATCAATTAAAACACTTGCATGATTACTCGTACTTCGTGACATATGCCAGGGCATCTTCAAGCTCATTATTGCACTTGCTTTTCCATTGCCACCACCCAGCTTCTATCTTTGACTTCCGTTTTGTACTTCTGTTATCGATACGCCAACCTGTTACATCGGTAATAGGCGATGGACTTGACACCCGAACGACCTCCACGTGGAGAGACAGTCACCTTTGCCGTTGCCGCAGACGAGAGCCAGAATCTCAGTCCTCGTCGGATTAGCCGCCCGAAGAAGAACCCGTCAGTTACACCCAGACGTTTCAATCGATTCTTTACGCCTCGAACTCGAAATGTGCAGCGCGCCGTTCGGACATCTCGCAAAGCTTTACAAGACCTGTCTGCAGCCCGCCTGAACAGCCGGCGCGATCCACCCCAGCATCCGAACAAGAAGAGGAAGCTCTCATTTTCGTCCGTCCCATCCCTACCATCCTCGCCCATCAAGCGGGACACAATACCAAGCAGCCAGAGTAGCACGCAGGCTGGTGAGGGTCAGAGACTTCTGGCTGAAGACGACTCGGATTTTGAATGCTTCGACACCGAGGCAGATGAGAAGGGGTGTGCTCCTAGGACATATCCGGCGCGCCTGGTTCCCTATCGCTCTGTTAGTAGCTCAGCGGCCGCGCTTTACAAGAGGCTTGGTGGGAGGAAGACCGTCGTCGACGCAAACGACAGCCGCCTGTGGCAGAATGAGGCAGCGAACTTCTATAGCTCCTCGGAGGACTTTTACGGCTACAACCGACGCTTTGCGTCGTTGCCATTTTGCGCGGCGGGCTTTAAGACTGTATCACTGGTTGCAATTGGCGACGAGGATGGCAGTGTCCGCATACACGATGTCTCGGGTCCTGCCATTCCCTACAGCGAGGTTTTCCTGACCATGCATCCTCACGACAATGCGATCATGGATATGGAGTTGTCTTCTGATGACGCCCTGCTCGCAACGGCCTCCGGAGATCAAACTTGCCGCATCATTGACATGAAAAAGCAGATCGCTACGCACACCTTGATAGGACATACAGGGTCGATCAAAAGAGTGCAATTCCAGCCAGGCTCAGGTAACAACATCCTCGCCACATGTTCACGGGACGGCAGCGTGTGCTTATGGGATCTTCGCTGCGCTAAGGCCAAAGGCTCCACCATGTTCAAGGAGCTACGCCGTGAGTCTGAAGGGTTTCTGAACGACAACAGAGAAGTCAATGCCGTTAACGACATTCGTGACGCCCACACATCTTCCGACGGTAGCCGAATCTCCACAAGTCGCCGTCCGGTCCCTGTCTCTGCAAGAAATGACTTTGCAGTCACGACGTGCGCCTTCATGGACCAGACTCGTCCACACCTGTTGGCTACAGCGTCTGAAAACAACGCAATCGTCAAACTCTGGGATATGCGGACCTCGTACAAACAACGATCCGGCAAGCCCAATCCGGTATCTGCAACAGAACAGCCCAAGAGCCACGAAAACGTCCGACCATTTGGCGTGACCTCGATAGCATTCAACACCGACGGTTCGCGGCTGTACTCTCTATGCCGCGATCACACAGTCTACACATATTCCACAGCACATCTCGTCCTCGGCAGCGCATCCGAGATGTCGTTGTCCTCCTCTCGCCCATTCAGACAATCTCGACAGACTGGGCACGGCTTAGGACCGATGTACGGTTTCCGGCATCCGAAACTCCGCCTGCAGACATTCTACGATAAGCTTGCGATTCGGCACCGGGCCGAAGACCAGACCGAGATCATCGCCACTGGCAGCAGTGAGGAGTGCGCAGTCTTGTTCCCCACGGACGAGCGATACCTCAATCAGGCCACGCGCGGTCCACATCCAGATCCCCGTATTGTGCGCACGGAGTTCCCCATGTCCACCCCGGACGGTCACTGCCCGATATACTATCATGGCACTGCACTCGTCAAGGGCCATCGCAAGGAGGTCACGGCGGTCGCATGGACTCACAACGGCAACTTGGTTACGACGGCCGACGATTATACAACGCGGTGTTGGCGGGAAGATGCGGATGAGGCGCGTGCCCTGAGGCTCAATACAGAGCGTGATGCATATGCAAGGTATATGAGTGGATGGGCTGATGTGCTGGACGGGTACGACGACGATGGCGATGAGGAGGACGATGAGTAGAGCTTTGGGTATTTGAGTTTCTGGAGCAGTATAAAGAAGCGCAAGGCGTACTCCGAGACCGACTTTGGGTAGATGGAAATCGGCTTCAAACATGCATTATTCCTTGAAACAGCAAGCGTATGTGTACTTTGTTGTAAGGCTAGTGCACAGTGCTGTGTTCCTTCGCACTATGTAGAAATACACGGTCCGAACAAGATTTTGCAAAACCAACCCAAATGCAGTGTTGTCGTAACCAATCCTCATAAGTCATCAATACCAAGCGTAGACGCTGGTCCTTACTATTTTCGCCCTGCCGCTGCTATTGCTGACGGAGAAGCAACATCGCCATCAATATCAGCGCTTCGCAGCAGCAGCACCACCACATTTACATTCCCGGATTAACCTCTTCAGCTCTGCGTTCTCTTGGAGGAGCTTGTAATTCTCCTCTTCCACGCGCATTAACTCCGCCTTGAAATGCTCAATACTGACCTTGTCGCCGACTGGTCTCGAGTCTGTGGCATTTCTAGGATTCGGACTCAGCGGAGAGCGGTGGTTGCTGACAGTCGTACCAGCCGAGCCTGCCGTCAACGGCCGTTTCATGACAGACCCAGATGAAGACAGACCGGAGCTTGAGGTGAGAGGTCGGTTTTCGTCCGAGCGGACATTGCTGACTTGCTCTGGGTCCTGCTCCGACAGTATACCAGCGAGCCCAGGTCGTGATGTCTTTGCTCGTCGACTCAGGCTCCTGCCCAGACTGGGGAAGAAGCGAGGTCCGTCGCGGTTTTTGATACTGCCACTCATGGCTGATGCTTCTTTGATTGTCCCCGTGGATCGTGTCAGTCCTGACAGGAGCTTCGTGGGAGATAGAACTTTCCTTCGTGCTTCGTGCTCAATGCTCAGCGAGTCCAGAATCGTGGAGGCTGCCGGTTCCATCTCGCAGATCTCGGCGATGATCTTGCGAGCCTTCTCCAATGTTCTCGTCGCAACTGTGAAGTTCGTGGGCACGTGTGGAAGCATCGTGTCAATGTACAGACCGTATCTCGAAATACGCTGAGCTGGCTCCATAAGCAGGGACGGTGCTTGTTGTGCCGACATTGTGCCTTCTTTCAAGAACTGATCCAGGTTCAAAGCGACTTGGGAATGGAGGTCGAGATAGTCTCTGTACGGCACAAGAAATTTTGGAAAGTGGTTCAGCAAGACCTTAGCGAAACTGGATATGCCCATTGGATCTTTTGCCGTTTGTAGGAGCTGAGGGTCGTGGGAGGCGCGGTCCAAAAAGGTCAAAGCAGCATCTTCTGAGCCTTGCAGCGCGGTCTCGATGTCGTCCAAAAAGGCCAGGTTGAGGTCCTTGATCTGATCGAGCAGAGATGGGAACTGGATCATTGCATTCACGGCTTTCTGGCTACGTGAATTTGACAATTTTGAGCTCAAGGATTTCGGTGTCCGGCCTTGGTTGGTGACAAGCTCTATTAACTCCTGCAGACGTGTGATGTATCTGTCTTCGGTGTCGACGAATTCGCACATTTTGAAACGTAAAGACTCGAGTTGTTCCAGTGAATATTTTGGCACGAGTGCAGCACTAGCTTTTCGATTTGACGGAGTCGATGCCGAAGGAGACCTGGTCTGACTGCTTGGTATCCTCCTCTTCGCAGGCGTAAGTGCATTGACACGGCTAGAAGGCACATTGCCGGAATCCTGGGGCAGAAATGACGGCCTGGTCTTCCTGATCGATGCAAGCGGCTTGATGGCAGCTGTTTTGACGGGAGTCTGGGGGCTTGATGGTCTGTCTTTTGAAAATGGACGAAGTGCCTCGATGACTTCTTCTGTGTTTATAACCCTGCTCATTCGGCAAGTGACCTGCGCAGCATGTGACTGTCCCCATTTCAAAGCTATCCCATGGTGTAGGTTCTCATCCGCAATGGCATTCTTCACATCGCTTGATATCTCGGAGAAATATCGACATAGAGCGAAAGCAATAGCACGGCAGACATCGTCTCTCTGTTTATCTTCGGGTAATTTGTGGACAGCAGAATAGTAGCTGCTGTTAGGTGCCACAGAGAAAGCCCCATAGCTCTTGAAGCCGGCTGCACTGAGGATGGTTGTACGGATTCGAGAGGTCGAGGCCAGAGAACCCACAGCTTGTACAGGGTAGTAGAAGATGAGGATGCGTGGTAGATATGGAGGGTCTTCGGCGTAGAAGACTGTAGGGGTGTCTGAGGTATTCAGGATGGCCGATAATGCGGCCAAATTACCGGACTTGGACATATTTTTTGAGGGTTGCTGAAGGGGATGCGATCGATTGGGTCAAGGAGGTGGAAGATGTGCACAGACAATCATACTGACTGTCGTCGAAAGTGATGCTGAAGGCTGGAGAATGGTTGTATATTGATGCAGAGTACAGAAGACGCGTAAAGACACGTTCTATTCAATGCCGCAATACTTTTGGTTGTACATTGAGTGGTACAATCCTCAATGTTTACATTTGAACGTATTGGAGTTCTTTCGAGGCCTCCGGGGACATGTTGTTCCGCTCCGCTCCTTCCACATCTTGGCGCATCACTCCCTCACGTTAACATGTCCATGCAGATGAAGAAGCTTCAACGCTGAACCAGTGGGAGTGATCGGCTTGATGGCTTCGACGGCGTACATTTGCCGCTTTTAACAAGGCGACTTGTTGCTGACTGATATCCAAAGCCGAAGATGGACGTTGCGGCGTGACGGGAGTGCTTTTGTCTCCGCCCCGAAAGAGCATATACTGAATGTGGCTCCAAGTACAACTGATTACGGAATCATATTCAGGGCGTCCCGCTGGCTTACTTTTCGGTGCCTGCATTGCCGTCGGTTGCACAACCAGCGATTGCCCTGAATACGCATCAACCACTCGATTTCGATCTTTGCATGATATCTCGGTCATGCCACTCTCGATTCCATCCAGCTGGATCTCAATAAGCCTGTTCAATGACATGCCACATCGAGGGTGTGATGGCATCGGAAGGCTAGCCTCTTTGTTCCTAGCTTTCTCTCTCCCCTCTTTTTCGACCCCTTGTGGCTCACAGCCTTGGGACGAAAATTTCTTCCTCTGCTGGTGCAAGCTACCATAAGCAGCGGACCAACTGAATCTTGAATCTCCGGACCGTTCATTGTGGCAATGTCAGTGTGGATGTCTTGCATTCTATGCTACTCGTTAACTCGCTGTATCTTGTCGTCATTGTCAGCGGTAGGCGTCTCCATTTCTCTCCACACTTTCTTTCTGTTGGTCAGATGGGCTGCGTCCACGAAACATGCCGCGCTTCTCGAACCACCACCTGTCATTTCGCCCCGTTGCTGAATCCATTTCTCCTGCGGAAAACCTCCGATTCCATAACATGGGTGACTGATCATGCAGCTGTGTTAAAGTCCCTGCCTCTTGTGCGCGCCCTGGCGGCATCTGTCGCTCCATCGCAAAGCTCAGGCCAACCCCTCCCGCAGGTTCTCGGGTGGCTTATCCATAAATACATACATTTGGACTGCAGAAAACGCGCATTGATGTTCCTGGACGTGCCGGGACACGAGTGATCACCTTACTAGAGCTACCTAGCGGCCGCCTCGACAACTGCCCTCATTGGCATCTGGGCAACTTACCATGCCTGGCCAAAGGTACAAAGGTGGGGTGGAGTTCTGGCCTGACATATTCAATATGCATGTAGTTCATAGTTTCCACGATCCTATTGATTCTTATATATATCAGTGCCTTCCTTCAACAGCATCCGCTTGCTACCTCGTGCTTTGTCAGTGAAACTCCAAGTACCGAAGCATCTTGACCATGGGCTCTTACGAACCTGCCGGGGTGCCTATCCTCGACATTCGAAGCGACAAGTCAGATCAGTCACTATTAGGGACTCTTCGTCAGTCTCTGAATCCCACTAAGGGCGGACCGCGCACCTTCCCGACTTTGTTGCTTTATGATGGTACAGAGGTTCTAGTTGTGTGGAACAAACACTAAACAAATGTTGTAGAGCAAGGCTTGAAGCTGTTTGAAGACATTACATATTTGGATCAATACTACTTGACCAATGCTGAAATCGAGACTCTCAACACTCACGCCAATGCCATCGCCGCACGCCTCCCCGAGCATGCTCGTCTTGTGGAACTTGGAAGCGGGTATGGCTTTTCTTCTACACAACCCTGACCATCTAGTGAAGCTACTGATGATGAACAAGGAATCTCCGCAAGATCGACATTCTCTTAAAGGCCTTCGAAAAGGCCAAGAAGCCGGTCGAATACTACGCCTTGGACCTTTCTCTGCCAGAGTTAAAGCGAACGTTCTCTGAAATTGACACGAACACATATCAATATGTGACATTCCACGCATTGCACGGCACATATGATGACGCCCTTTCCTGGCTGCCACGGTCCCGTAACCACGGCCAGACCACCTGTGTCATGACCATGGGTTCTTCCCTGGGCAATTTTAGCAGAGAAGGCGCCGCTGAGTTTCTGGCGAACTTCAAAAATGTCCTCGCCAACCCAGATTCCCTGCTGGTTGGACTTGATGGATGTCAGAATGCCGAAAAGGTGTTCCATGCCTACAACGACGATCCAGGTACCACCGAGAAGTTTTACCGGAATGGGCTGTCACATGCCAACGACATCATTGGCTACGAAGCATTTAGGCAGGATGAGTGGGGGATCGAAGGGCTGTACGTCGAGGAACAGAACAAACATCAAGCCTCATACGTCGCTTTGAAAGACATCAAGACTCCTGACTTTACTTTCGAAAAGGGAGAGAAGATCCATCTGGAGGACGCATTCAAATATTCCGTTGCAGAAACTGATCAGCTTTGGCACGCTGCAGGCCTCATCCCACAAATGGCTTACGCTAACAAGAGCAACGATTATTGTGGGTATTTTTATGTCGCTTGAATGGCTGTAGCTAACATGTCTAGTCCTTCATCTCCTTTCTCCCGCCAACATCAACTTCCCGACCCGGCCAGAGGAGTTTGCGGCGAGGCCTGTGCCGTCCCTAAACGATTGGCAACAACTCTGGGCTGCCTGGGATGTCGTCACCAAATCCATGGTCCCCAGAGACGAATTATTGAACAAGCCCATCCAATTGCGGAACGACTTGATCTTCTATCTCGGTCATATACCAACATTCGCGGGCAAGTTCACTGTTCCTGAGTGTTGACTTGAGCTTACTGTCCATAGACATCCATGTCACTAAGGCTATTGGTGGAAAGCCAACAGATCCGGCTTCCTACTGGTCCATCTTTGAGCGAGGAATCGATCCAGGTAAATCATACGTGTTTCTTGCTGGACACACAAAGCTGACCATTCTTGCCAGATGTGGACAATCCCGAGGTCTGCCACGATCACAGCGAAATTCCAGACAGTTGGCCACCATTGGAAGATATCCTGAACTATCAGCACCGTGTCCGCGCCAGGATTTCCCAAAAGATCAATTCCGGCGAAGCGTTCACAGACCGCGGACTCGGCAGACGACTATGGCTCGCTTACGAACATGAAGCCATGCACCTGGAGACTTTCCTGTACATGCTTCTCCAGAGCGAGCGGGTTCTCCCACCACCAGGGCGAGAAGTGCCAGACTTCAAAGCCCTAGCAGCCGAAGCCCAGTCCAAGCGTACGGAGAACAAATGGCACGCCATTCCCGCTGGTAAAGTCAACATCGGCCTTGACGACCCAGAAAACAACGACGGTCCTGACAGGTACTTTGGCTGGGACAATGAACGACCATCTCGCATCGTCGCGGTCAAGGAGTTCGAAGCACAAAGTCGACCCATCAGCAACGGCGAATATGCTCGCTTCTTGGAAGTCACCCATCAGACTTCCTTCCCTGCGTCGTGGACTACCACTACCACCAGCGCGACGAAGACCGGTGCCCATTCGAACGGCACAAACGGCCACTCGAGCGGTTCTGGAGCCGTAGCCAGCCCAGCTTGGATCGAAGGCAAGGCCGTTCGAACAGTCTACGGCTTAATTCCGCTCAAATACGCGCTCGACTGGCCCGTTATGGCATCCTACAACGAACTCGCTTCCTACGCAGAGTGGTCTAACGGGCGTATTCCGACGCTGGAAGAAGCACGCAGTCTGTACAAATATGTCCAAGACCAACAAGCAACGACCATGGAGAAAGTCCCCAGCGGATTGATCTCCGCAGTCAACGGACATCTGTCGAACGAAGGCGTAACAGAGACACCGCCATCCAACGGTTCCTCTAACGCCGCTGTTGCTGCCACCAGCAGTAGCAGTAGCGACGACAGTAGATTAGACCCAGACCCGCGCTCTCTTTTCATCGACATGCAGGATGCCAACATCGCCTTCCGCAATTGGCACCCAACCCCCGTCACCGACAGCGCCCGTCTCCGCGGCCAAGCCGACGTTGGTGGGTTGTGGGAGTGGACTAGCACTTCTCTGGCTGCGCACGAAGGATTCCAAGCGATGGACTTGTACCCGGGGTATACTGCCGATTTCTTCGATGACAAGCACAATATCTGTCTCGGCGGTAGTTGGGCGACTGTGCCGAGAATCGCGCTCAGAAAGACCTTTGTGAACTGGTACCAGAGGAATTATCCTTATGTGTGGTGCACAGCTCGGCTGGTTCGTGATGAGTCTGTCGCGAACTAGGGCCAGCCAGCGGACCGGGACTCGCAATGTGCGGGTGTGCGGGAAGATGAAACGGCCAGAGAGCAAATCAGCCTACACGCCGTACAGTACAGCCACATTGGACGGAAGCGAAGCCGGACTTGCCTTGGAATTGTTGATGGAAGTTGAGTTTGACTTCCACGAGTAATGAAACATGACATGTACACGCTCATTATATACACGCAATGCATATCTGGTATTTTCAAATCCTGCTCTCCATGTAGCTTACAGGTTGTGATCACAGGGTCCAGACTGTGGTCCTGCGTACTCCTATTATGCATAGCCTTGTCATCTTCTCCTTCTGGATATTGCACCCAATTTGCGGCTCTGCGTGGCGAGATCCCGCAGAAGGGGCCGATAGCAGTGAACACTGATCTTGCCAGCCCAGATCATAATACCCCATGTTTCTTGATAAAACTTGTGTCTTGGTTCTTTGTTTGCCCTCGAATTGACCACCATGACGACGACTTTCCCGCTGATCATGGTGTGAAAACTGGCCCTTCCACACATCCTCCCGGTATCCACATTCAGCTGTGCGCCGAATTGTTGTTCTTCGTCTCCATAATCCCGTCCCTTACCCTTCAAAGGAACACCTGGGTCTGTCGTAGGTCAAATTGAACGAACAGGAACCGATCAATCCGATACAAGCGCATAGAATAGCATATCTCTCTCGGGTCCCGTCGTAGTCCAGTCCAGACCGTGCATATCCGCCAGTCCATTGTTTGCGTAGGCTGCATGTGAAGGTTCTTTACTGCCGTACCCGATAGTGACTTGGTTCACTGCCTCGACAGGACAGTCCGCCCTTTGCACTTTGCACAGTCCGAGCATTCACTTGAGGTCCCCAAATTTCACCGCAGGGAGTTTCTCTGTTTTCGTCCGTTTCTGTATCTCGTCCACAACAATCATCGACCTTGCTGTCAATCTTATCTCGTCACTGACCGTCTTGCTTCCTGAACTCCTATTTCGTGCTCATTGTTGCTTGTCGCGCGCTCCTATTGCACGTTCGTCGTCGCATAGTCGTAGCTTAGTACTCTCGCATCGTCGCCTCCGGCAACCGATCACGAACAGAATCTCTCGGCGTCTCTCCTCGCGCGTTCCCCTCGTTCGGCACAAAAAGGCGATCAAGAAAGCTCGGCGCAAGCAAATTCACACGGTCTCAAGAATTCTCTCGGCGAAATGGATCTCTCTATCCCAAACAGTCCTTTTAAATGGGAATCGGCTTCTGGTCTTGGTGAGTCTTCTCACAACCACTCTTTCTGCCTGCGCAGGCGCCAGAGAAAATGCCAGAAGCTGACTGTGACAAATAGAGCACAGTTGTTTCTCCTGCTCCATGAAAATGAGCAATCCCAAGGCCAAGCTGACATGCTACGGCGTCCACTCCATCCCTTGCTACCGGTACCACCAAACCATGCACGCAATCGGCACCTCTCACAACTGCATGTCGTGCATCCAGACCGACGAGATGCATGAGCAAAGGCACAGAAAAGTAGGAGCCCCTTTCTCTTTGCAACAAAGAGACACGCCCAGGTTGATACTGACAATGTTTCCAATAGATCGCAGAACTCGTCGCAGAGTATAGCGTAGCCACGGGCACGGACCCCGCAGGGCTGAGAGATGTCTTTCAACAATTGAACATCAATAACAATCCCCCCGAGCAAGCTGCTCCTGACCCTGACGCCGATTTTGAAGAGGAGGAAGCATTCGCCGAAGCTGAAGACGCGCCTGGTGATGTTGCTGTTGCGCAACCGGACAATGACGATGCAGAAGATGCAGAAAACCTCCTCGAGCCGGTCATTACCGAAGACACCACACAAATCACCGAAACCATGCCTCCACCAAAGCTCACCAAGGCCGAAATCCGCGCGCAAAAGAAAGCCGCAAAAGCCGCAAAGTCCCAATCAAAGGCTGCAAAGAACCAAAAGAAGCATACAATCAACGTCCGCAGCGAAGATGTGGCACTCATTGCTCGAATTCTACATGGCGACAGTGCAGCGAACTCTGCAGATACGCATCCGCTGGCATCAGACAAGGAGATTGACGATGTCATCAAACGGAACCTGGGTTACGTGTCTAATATCGAAGCGCACAAGAAGCAGCTTCTTTCGAGCATCGCCCTGAAACGGAGGGCCGACCGCAGGCCTAGCCAGACTGACGAAAAGGACGAGGAATGGGAGAACATTCTCGCCGCGATTTTGACGAAGCTTGGTATCGAAGCCGCCCATATCAGTGCTTCTGTTCCGAGCAGCGCCGGTTCCAAGAAAGAGAACCGTCGCTCGCAGAGGTCAAGCGAGGAGGCGTCTGCACTGCCAATGACAATTGTAGCCAACTTGAAGGTTGCGGTGAAGGAAGACCTCGAAAGGTTCATCAATGAACAGAAGGAGACTTGTGTGCGGGCGGGGGCGTTCTGGAGGTACGTTGGCAAGCCGATATTTGACAGGATGACTCGCATCGCGATGGAGGTAGACTGGAAGACCGGAATGAAGTTGAAGGAAAGGGATGAGTGAGGTGGTGATGAGAGGGAGGCGAGTTGAATTGTGTTGAGATAGACCGTTTTTTCTTGAATACCAATGCCCCTTGGAAAGGGCGTACTCCCAGGCACGAACCTAGAGAAAATTGGAGTCATTGTATCGCCTGTTTTTCTTGCCACTAACGACACGAGATGCTGTCGACGTCCTCCTTGAGTCAATAGCATGCCGACCTGGTCTTACAGTGCTGAAGTTCGCCTAGGATAACGCGTTTGCAATATACGTTGTCCACCTGGCAAGCTCCTGCCAGACCGTTAAACATGCCTCGTTAGGCTTGCAGAGACGACCTGTATGCAACGTCGAAGTTGCTCAGTCTATGTGCTGGGTGACCGCCTAGGATAACGCAGTCGAAGTAAACGTTTTCCACGTGGCAGGCTCCGGCCGAAACACTCAACATACCTCGTTAGGCTCGAGCAGACGACCTGTACGCAACGTCGAAAGTTACTCTGTTTGTGCGCTGGGTGACCGCTGGACTCAATAGTGGGTTTGCGCAACTCGATATGACCGCCTGTTTTTTCCGCTGGCCAGCCCTCCTCCAGCATTGACTGTACAACAGGCGGTCTTCAGGCATGCTTCGTTGAGTGCTACTATGCACATCTCATGTAATGTTCCATCATCATGTCGATCTCAGCTTTTCTCATCTGCTGCAGCAACCATATTCTTGTCTTCAAAGCCCAGTAGACGTCCGAGTATACCCCTTGGCTTAGGAACAGGACACTCGTGGCCTTGCTTGTCTAATGCTTCTGCTTCTCGTTGCAATTCGCGAAATAGCGCAGCTTCCTCCTCAATATCCTTGCGTTGTGCAAGGCCCTTTCGCAAGCTCTTATTTTGTGGTTGCACCATCACCCTGTCCAGATCTGAGGAGTCTTTCAACGATGCAGACGTGTCTGATGCATTTTGGCTAGCTTTCCGTCGCACTGGTCTTCCTTCTGCATCGAACTGGATTTCTGCATCTGCGTATCCCTTCCGTGGCCGTGGGCATGGAAATAGGTGCGGGATGCCCACCACAACAAAAGACGCGAGTAGAGTGCCAGCAAACAATGTGGATGTTGCTGTCGAACGAGGGTGTAGATGTGGAGGCATTGTGAAGAACTTCTGTCGCTGGTCGTCGATGTGTAAAATGTGGTTGTTGATTCAAGATTCCCCTTCAAGGTTGCTCCATTTGTATGTGTGTGGTCTGAGAAAGTATGGGACAGGACGTATGATTAAGATGCTGCTCACACAGCCTGTCGAAGTAGGTGATCGAGTGTTCGAAGGTGGCTTGCACAGTTCCTGATGTGGGTTGAATGGTACAGTAGAGAATATCGAAGTTGGTAAATTCAATGGTGGAACACGAGGACAGGCCGAATTGCTGAAGCTCTGATTTGATCGAGAGATGAATGGCTTGCAGGTTGCAGATGCCAGTCTGCAGTGTGGAGTAAGATCTCACTTGACGCAATCTAATCTTATCAGCTGCACCAGCCATTTTTAATCTGATCTCCTCGAAGCAAGCACTCAAACCGCATCGCAACCTGATAATCGCCTCCATCATCAGCATCATACTTGAGACTCCGACTTTGTGACCTTAGCGAGGCTGTCTAGATCACCTCACACTAAACGCAATTCCAAGTCTCGTTTCTGAAGCACATTCGGTTTGCGCGACCTCTCAACGCAAGGCATATACGAACAATTCGTCCTGCGCAAAATTGCCCGGTCACTTCTTCGCCGCCCAGCTTTGATCAAACCACTCAAACAACACTCATGCGCAGAGGTCTCCGGTGAGACTCATCTGCGCTGCGATGAGTGATCTCGACAAGTGAGTGGCCAGTCTCTTTCGTCTTTTCCTCGGCCTGAACCTTGCTGATCAAACCTACAGAGCCATTGCGCAACTGCGCGCGTGCCGACCCATACCAGAACCTCAGGTCCGCGAGATATGTTACAAGGCCAGAGAACTGCTTATAGAAGAAGGCAATGTGGTCACAGTCGACGCGCCAGTAACAATATGTGGCGACATTCACGGCCAGTTTCACGATCTTATGGAACTTTTCCGTGTAGGCGGTGATGTACCAGACACAAACTACCTGTTCATGGGCGACTTCGTCGACCGGGGTTTCTACTCTCTCGAATCATTCCTCCTCCTTCTCTGTCTAAAAGTGCGATACCCAGACCGGATAACGTTAATACGGGGGAACCACGAGTCAAGGCAGATCACAACCGTCTACGGCTTCTACGACGAATGTATACGCAAATACGGCAGTGCCAATGTGTGGCGTTACTGCTGCGAAGTGTTCGACTACCTCGCTTTGGGCGCATTAATTCTAGGCGCAACCACCGACGTACCACCGCCAGCTACATCCTCATCCTACAACGACAACACACAATCCACCCTCCCACCCGATGACGAAGACGTCGAGTCAGAAGTGCTAAACGCTAATGGCGAAATACTCAGCAAGACGCTCCGACGGCAGTTTGCAGGTCTGTCGCTCGGTTCGCAAACAAATGCAAGCCGGATGTCACCCGCTCCCGATATTGACCAAGAACCGCCATCGAGTCTCCCGTCCCAAGCCACTCCACCACCTTCTTTATTCAGCCCTCCAACCTCTACAACAGGCGCCGTTTTATGCGTACACGGCGGTCTCTCACCACTAATTGACACCGTCGACAAGATCCGAATGATCGACCGCAAACAGGAAGTTCCCCATGAAGGCGCCATGTGTGATCTCTTGTGGTCAGATCCGGATGAGATCGAAGGCTGGGGTCTATCTCCGCGGGGCGCCGGATTCCTGTTCGGTGCCGACATAGTCCGACACTTCAATCATAACAACGATCTATCGCTCATCGCCCGTGCCCATCAATTGGTTATGGAAGGCTACAAAGAGATGTTCGACAAGACGATAGTAACAGTCTGGTCCGCGCCGAACTACTGCTACAGATGTGGCAACGTTGCTGCAATCCTGGAACTCGGCGAAGATGGGAGCAATGGCGGCTGCATCGCCCGCGCCAACGGCGACCAAGGACGACGAGAGCCCGTCGGCGGTGACGGATCTGGTGGTGGTGCCGGTGTGCTGTGGAATCTGGCAACACCGGGTCGAAGGTACCGCGTTTTTGAAGCGGCGCCGCAGGGCACGAGGGGCATGCCTGCGAAAAAGCCTGTGGGCGAATATTTCTTGTAACATTATGAACAGCAGAGCGACTTTGTCTTCGGAGCAGTTAAGACCATGGTAGACCCTTCGACTTGACGAAGCGGCACTCGCGCCGCGCAACAGAGGAAAGATTAGAGCTGTCCTTGGGGTTCTACTGACCTCATCCATCAGCCGAGATATGGGTCGGAGGCGAACGGAGATCTTCTCAGCAAAAACCTGCGCATACTCGCCGATTTGCAGAGTGATCATGAAAGACTACGGAGGATATCGAAGGCCGAGAACTCAAAAGTCGGCCAATATCTTGCAAGAGTGCCGCACACAGGGGGACATCCTGCTGCCAGGTCATAGATATCTATTCTTGACGAGGCCATGAGTCTACGGTATAAAAGCTTCGAGTTCGGAGTGTCAAACATGACATTTGGCCATTAACTTGACAATCAACATATGGTCTGGTCTAAATTACCCATCCAACCTCTAAAACACCGAATCCAATGTCCCTGGGGGTATAAATATCTTCATAAAGAGTCTTGCAAATCCAGAATCATCTCTTTCCCTTCTTCGTACTGGGCGCCATATCGTCCCTAACCTTCTCCAACATCTCATGCGCCTTGCGGTCTCGTTTGGAGAACCCGCTATTAAACGTTGACGGCAGAATTCGTTTGCTATGTGCATGATCTTCCGCAAACTCAGGTCCACTCCAGCCCTTGTTCTGGCATAGCTTAGTCGCATCCTCCAGCAGACCCTGCCCGACGCCCTTGCCGCGGTATCTCCGCTTGACGGTCCATCCTCGAATTACCCCTGTTGTCGGTGCATTTCTGCGCGGTTTCTTGCTCGCGCCTGTATCCCTCTCCCCACGAAGGATAACCGTCCCAATGACTTCGTCGCCGAAGCGCGAGAGGAGAACCTCATCCGCCTCCCCTACCGCGGGGCTGTTCTCCGCGTCACGCCCCTGATCGAGCCATTTCCACGTCCCTACTTTCTCCGCCTCGTCGATATACCCGCCTGCCAGCCAACGGACCGTCACCAGCATGGACATCAACACTCCGGCGGAGGTCGAGCCTATCAGAAACCAATCGGACCGCTGGCCTTTGTACATGTACTGGGATATCATGCCGAAGAACAAGATGAATGTGCCGATACTCAAGGGGTGGAAGATTACGAAATTGGAAGCGACTTGGCGTTGCTGCGCGACCGAGTCGGCGAGTAAATGGAGGGCATCGACTTTGTCGTCGACGCTCACCGCGGGTTTGGTGGACAATTCGGGGATCGACTCGAGCGGGTTTTCGGGCGTGGTTACGACCACGGTGTCGTCCTCGCCAGCCCCAACTTCTTCGCTGTGCGCGAGCGGCGAGGGTGATGGCGGGGGTAAGGTGCCTGAGGAGGCCATGGTCGGTCGAAGGTCCGGGGTATTTGCGAGGGAGGGCGGAGAGGAATCGGGGTCGAGAATCAGATTTGCTCGGAGGGTGTTGAAGAATGCTGGGGAGTCACAACTGTCAGGTCTATTTCACGAACGGGGATTGCTGGGGTTGGCTGGGTAGTCGCGTGCCCAGTGCTCGGACTCAAACTCACCAGCAGAAGTCTTGAAGCCTGGGATGCGGTCTCCGACTGCAAAGGCTGTATCTGCAAGAACTGTAGAGCGACCAGTCTCTTGGAAAGGAAGAATATAGACGGCCGGTTTTGTGACTGCGAAAATGGACGAAGCAGTGGCCGGGAAGAACGAAGAAGGCTGCGGAGGTGTAGGGGGAGAAAGGTATAGGTGTTCAGGAAATCTCAGATGATGGTGCCGGCCCATGATCTGAGAAATTCTTCCACCTCCGCCCTAATTGGCATGGCGAGAAAAAAAAACAATGAAACCACTGCGGTAGGTGGTGGAAATTAATTGGGCATAATGACGTTGGGCCCAGTAAGAAAACCGTGCAGAGGAGAAGAGGAGTCTATTGAATTGCTGGTGTCACGGTAAGAAAGGGTACAGTACGTAGAGGAGAAAAATGTATGAAAGAAGAGGGGCAGAGAGGGAGTCTTGTAAGAAGCACGTTGGCGATTGTGATAAGGATACTGGACCGCTCGGGGTCTTATGGGGAATTTGGGACTCTTTATAAAATAGTATCAAGCCACTTTACGGGCACTCCGTACGTTGAGTAGGTCTAGGCTCTTTCAAGCCTTGTGAAAAAAAGTTATCTTGCTCATCGACGCAAATACACCATAGGGCGACATCCGATCTCTGGCATCTACCGCGCAAGTTGCGCCTCTTTGTTTGGCTACCTATCACTAGGCAGTCTTCTTATCGCATCGGTGTGAGATGTGATGCAGCAGATAGAGATTTAGCTGATAATGTATCACCATCACCCCCGCCAAGCACCCCCTTATACATACCCGACGATAAGCTGTCATGTTTTAACTGGACTTCCATTGGATCTTGTGTATCAGACCGCAGTCTTCCAGGCTGCGTGCAGGGTTGATCTTGACCTGTTCCTGGCAGTAATTCTCCTATCATCTGCTTTATCGCTTTATCGAAAGTGCTTTCTTGCAGTGGATAAAGCTAAGCCCAGGCCAGCCATGCATGTCCATGTACACCATGTGAAATGTCGACATCAATCAAGTCTTGTGATCACACAACAACACCTCCTTCGGCAATGCCGGTGCTTCTCAGCTTTGGATATCATCGAACACCATCATCACTCATATCGTCGCTCTCTTCTATCCGTCAAGGGCAGTCTGCTCTGCTCTTCTTGAGTACTTGTCTAGTAGGACCTTCCAAACATGCACCAGGCTTCGGCCAGATTCGAACAGTTGGGATTCCCGCACTTGGTGACACCCTTCTCGATCCCTTCTGGCTGCTCGAATGGAATGCAAAGACTTTTTGCGCCCATGCTCGGGGCACGTTCATCCTGTGGCACCCCACTCTGTTCCTCCGCCGTGCGTGCACTCAAGTCCTTGATCTGGTCCTCGCATGCCTCCGTAAGACAGTGAGGCAGGAGAATAACGTTCTTGTCATTCAGCGTCGGTACAAAGTCGTCCCAGTTCGTCACTTTCTTGATATGTGACTTGTACTTGGCATCTGCTCGGTCATACAAGTCTTTCTGGATAGTCTCGAGAAGCTCTGGGACAGCAGTGTTGAGCTCGGTGATTGCGATCTGACCTTTGCTGTCGGCCTTGGGAAGGTCTCGGCGGGAAGTCGTCACAAAGTGACCTTTGCTCTCTCCAGGTCCGAACTCAAGTCGAAGTGGCACACCCTTCAATTCCCAGTCGTTGAATTTCCATCCTGGAGAATATCCCTCCCGGAAGTCGGCTTCGACCCGGACACCGACAGCCTTCAAGACCTCTTTCAGACCATCGACCTCCTTGTACAGGGCTTCTCGCTCCTCGTCTGTCATCTTCGCTGTCACACCGACGGGCACAATAACAACTTGGGTCTCGACAATACGAGGTGGAAGGACCAGGCCGCGATCGTCTCCATGAATCATGACCATCACACCAATGACTCGGGTAGACAAACCCCACGAGTTCTGCCAGACGTGCAGCGAATTCTTCTTCTCTTCCTCGGACTTTGCGTTGGGATCCTGTACGGTGATGCCGAACATTTTGCTGAAATTCTGACCCAAGCAGTGTGATGTTGCGCCTTGGATACCTCGTCCTGTTGCCGGAATATAGCCCTCGACCGTAGTGGTGTAGTAACCTCCGGCGAACTTTTCCTTCTCCGTCTTCCTGCCCTTGATTACGGGAACTGCCAACAGCTCTTCATACACACCAGCATAGAGGTCCAGAATGTCCAGAACTTCTTTGCCCGCTTCTTGTTCCGTCAAGTGAGCAGTATGTCCTTCTTGCCAGTGGAATTCCCGCGTCCGCAAGAACGGCTGAGGATGCTTGAACTCCCATCTCACAACCGAGTTCCACTGATTGAGCTTGAGCGGAAGGTCACGATAACTCTGGATCCATTTGGCGTAGTAGGGATACATGACGGTTTCAGAGGTTGGGCGGATAGCAATCTTCTTTTCCAGCTTTGTGCTGCCTCCGTGTGTCACCCACGCGACCTCGGCCGCAAATCCTTCAATGTGGGCCTTTTCGCGGTTCAACACATCCTCAGAGACGAACAGAGGGAACGAGCAATTCTTGACACCCATCTTCTTGATGCGGCTGTCGAACCAGTCGCGTACTCCGTCCCAGATGAATTGTGAGGCAGGCTTCAGGATGTAGCAACCCGAAATATCGTAGTAATCGAGCATGTCTCCCTTTAACAGAACTTGCTGATACCATTCTGAAAAGTCGGTATCTTTCGACACATCAATGCCAATGAGTGCAGCTCCTTCCATCTTCTTCTTCTTTCCTCCAGCTTTGGATTGTGGTGTTTTGGCTTCTGCCTTGCCAATTCCCTTTTCAGGCGCAGGCTTCTTGTCCATCTTCTTTGAGGCCTTGTCTTTGGGTGCTTTCTCTCGAGAGGGAAGCTCGGTCTGGAGGGTATCTGTCGACTCGGACATGGTAGCGGGAAGAGGCGGTCACTAATGAAGGGGACTTATGAGTCAGGGTTCAGTCACCAAATCGGTGTGCTGTAACTGGATCTGGGCTGATGTGAGTCTTCAGAATGACTCTGTGTGAGTCGTGTGTGCCCAATGATCCCGCCCGCAGCTCTTTCTCCCCGCATACCAAAAAGTTCTCTTGGCGGCTACTGAAGCAAATCGGAAGGTAAATTCACGCCGAGTGCCACCTCCTAAGATCCACCCGGAGGAAGCCACTATTGATCGCAGGGTCTCACTTATGAGCCGCGTACGAAGCTTCATACTAACAAAAGGTCTAGGTATTGTTCTACCAGTCTACCTATCTACCAAGCATGGTGGTTATCTAAATTGGTACAACTGATGCAATGTTGTCTCGTCTCATTTCCTTCCTTTCCACTCTCTCACCATTCCACGGACTGCTCGAGCAATCTCATGTCGCCCGTCCCAAAACGGATATACGATAACAGCGAAGATCGCGCCGAAATGCCAGATGATAGCCATGGTGACCCAGCCGCCAAAGAAGCTCTTTGTAAAGATCCAGTCTCGGTATAGGGGCAAAGGCCAAAGGACGATAGTGACCAGGACATTGATGACAAAGTAGATGCTGGCTATCTTGAACCACTTCTTGATATGTCGGAGTGTCTCGTTGTCGAAAGGGTGGACAACTTCATCAATAGGGATTTGGGTATTCACTGGATGGTGTGGTGGACCAGTAAGTGGGCCACCCTTCTCCGCGCCTGTCAGATAGGTTCCTTTCTCGGAGCCGTCTTCCGTCTTGAGTGACTCATTCACGGCTTCGCTGCTGGGTAGTTTGGATTGCAGAGAGCTGTTTGGCTGGCTGCTGTCTTCGATAAGGTCAATTCTGAGGAACTCGCGCCAGTCGAAACGACTCGGCCAGACCAACGAGATGATGACGGAATATAGTGCTGGACTGAAGAAAGACACGATAGCGCCGTAAAGGCCTGGCAATTGATCCTGAGTCGATGTAATGTTGATTACGCCGGACCACTTCCATGATAGGGAAAGCCAAGTCGCCACTCCGGACAAAAGCCCAAGGATGGGACCCAATATGGCCGCCAACTTCGTCTGTCTAGACCAAAGGAGCGTCAGGATCATGGGTAAGATGCCAGGACAGGCAATGATGGGTCGAAAGTAAGTGGACCAGTTGTTAGTCGCGCCAGCGTACTCCAGCATGATGGCGAAGCCAGCCATGAAGCAGCCATGAAACACGACACCCCAGTGGCTCACCTTCAGAGTCTTGCGGTCGGACGCACGAGGGTCGATGTAGGTGCGGAAGAAGTCTAGCGAGATGATACTGCTGACCGCTATCATGGATGAGCTGACGGTACTCGTGATGGCCATGAATATGAGAACAAGCAGACCAGCGGTGGCACCTGTGCCAAGCAGTGACCTGAGCACGTATGGCATAACGAGGCCGGAATTCACCTGAGTGAGCGTGAGGGTATTGGGATAGTCGAACCAGACAGGAGTCTTTTCGATTGCGCGGGCACTTAGACCGATGATAGTGCCGGTGCACCAAGGTATGGCGAGGATGACGACAGAGACAAGGTCGTAAGCTGGAACAGTCGAATGCACCTCGGAGGCGAACGATTTTTGCCAGAAGGCCGTGTCCATGAGCACAAGTGCAAGGTTGCCGAATTTCAGCACGAGGCCGAAAAGGAGTGAGCTCTTGGATTTCATGGTCAACAGCGAGCCTTTATAGTTGCCTGGAATATAATCGTTCGTGGCTTTAACTTTCTCGTACAAACCCGAGGGTCCGCCAATGTGCTCATTCGTCAAAACCGCAAGAGAGAAGTAGATCAGAAGGATCAGAGCGATGGTGGTATGAAGGAAGTCGGTCAAGAATGTGGCCTTGAGTCCGCCAACGGCCGTATAGATGACAACTTCAGATATGGTCAGCGTTTGCATGCGGCATTGAGCGACGAGCGCATTACCTCCTGCAGGAATCAGGATACATGCAGCGATAACGTGCATGCCAGTCATTCCAGTCACCAATTGAGCACCTGCGAGGATCATGCTGCCGCAGCCGAAGACATTGTTGACCAGGTTCAGTAAGATGAAGAGCCAGTGAGCGTATTTGCCATATCTCATTTTGATGATCTCAAGCGAGGTGTGTGCGTAGGGTACTCGCAGCTTCGCCACGATACCGAGCACTGCCATCAGAGCAATCTGGAAGGACAGCCCGCTTGCCCACCAGATGGGAAGAGCAACACCCCATTTGTAGGTGTAGGCAGCTGAAAAGACACTTTCATTGATCCACATCCTCGATATTGGTTAATACATATCATGTCATACTCCGCCATTAGAACTCACCAGCTAGAGAAGACGGCCGAGGCAGTCAATCCGGTCCCAACGGAACGGTTGGCGACCATAAACATCTCTGAATGGTCGCTATCCTCCGAAAGGTACCTCTTCTGTATGCGGACTGCAGCGATGATAATAAGGCAGAACAGCACGGAAAGACCAATGATGATGCCATAGCCGTCGGCCTGGGTGAGAAGTTGCACAGCCATCTTGGGATAGGAAAAAACTTTGGTGATGGGAGGGTGGGACAGGACGGCATACTCCTACCTGATACATCCTTGAAGTACTTATACCACGATTGTATCATGTCATCGACGTAACTCGGTGCATCTGAAATTCTCGATCATAGCGCTGACTTACGGAGTACCTCCGTGCCACCTGCCTTTTGAGTGTTAACACGAAAGGCGTCTTCTCTGAATGTCCATCATGGGTGCTTTTCATTCGCTGAGATACCTGTATGAAATGAAAATCGCGTGCTCACGTGGTGGGGAAGCACGATTGCGTTATACGGTCCTCGCAGCACGCCATGAGGGTTGGAGGAGGGCAATATGATAGGTCCTTAAAAACGTGGTGACTTGTGCAGAGCCCAGTCGACAATGATCGACGCTGATCCCGTACTCCAATGCCGTGCATTCGGAACAGACTTATCCAGTGTTGAAGCGTTGGGGGATATTGACCTCTGCAATCACAACCCCTGTTCTCGGAGTTCGATGGGGGCGCGAGTCAATTCCTGGATCAAGTTCCCTTAACACATCGATGGCGTGCTCACTCAGGGTCTCGCGTCAGAACGGTCCCTTGCGGTGAAGTGCGCGGTCTTCAATGACCCCTAGGCAGATACTTCGTAGTTTCGAGTGATGGTCGAAGAGGTTGAATCACTTCTCCGCATGTTCCGGTAAATGCCGTAAAGGAACCGAAATCACCAATAAGTCTTCGGACTTCGAATTCGAAAGACAAACAGTCACGGTCTCAGAAACCACGTACTTTAAATTTTGTCCTTATCGTGGTATAACAGATTGTAGATCTGCCTCCCGGGCTGGTCGTCCAACAGCACAACCCACATGCAACACTTCAATGTTTCCTGCATGTCCTTCCATGACTTCACCTGACACCGGTCGGCATAGTCCCGCAGGGATTCTCTCAGCCATGATTCCTCTGATGTATCATACAACGAAATAGCCCCAGTCATCAACAACCAAAGCACTACCTGAGGAGAAAGACGCTGGCTAGGTTTGACGCCCAGAATGCGATTCCGATAGCCCGTAGGAAAGCGGTAATAGGGTAATCTGATATCCTGCCACTGCAAGAAAATATGATGACAAAAAGCCAACAGTCCAAGCCGAATTACTTCATCGACGGACCCAGTGATAAAATTCATGTAAAGCAGGCGATATGTCACTGCAGTCATCGTCTCAACGATAATTTCTGGATGGATCAATCGTTGAATCTGGGTGCCTAGATTGACTAGAAGGCAAAACCTTCGCATGATTCGCCAGGCCGTCGCCAAATCGTGGTCCATGTCGCGAAGCAAATCGACATTGTCTTGGGGGCATTTTTCGTCGTTGCAAGCTCGCAGCAGCGTCTCCGGGTACCCGGGTACTGGCTCTGAAGGCTGACGGAAGAACACGGGTTTTGAACCATTGTGTAAAGCGATACCCAGGTCACATCTGGGAAGGGTCAGCATGCCATGTGAAAACCAGCGATAGCCACTCACCTCAGCATCTCCACGAGAAGTTTATTCCCATTGAAGACATCTAGACCGCCTCGCAAGTCGACCATCTTGCGAAGGCCTTCCATATGCTGCTTGGAGGCTTGAGAATCTCCCTCGAAATGAGCGTGACTAGCCAATTTTGCAACAGCGCCGATCGTAGAGTCCGAAAGCTGCATTTCATCGTCTGTCCTCAATAGCCTTTCTCGGAGAAGTTTGAGGCCTTTCTGAAAGTGTAGCATTGCTGCTGGGTTGGTGAACTCATCCTGACGGCGTAGAATGCGGTCAATGAACCCGTAGACGGCAAATGCCGCTATGTGTAGGGCAGCAGCGTCAACGGGTCCATGTGAGATGATAGGCCGACCTGAGACAGGACAGGACTCTTGGCCGTCCGCCTGGGAACCAATTGCCCTCATGAGAGGAAACATAACCCTTGTAGCGATCATGGAGACTGAATTCATAAACAATTAGTCAGGTAAACATTGACATGTTGTACAACTCAACGAACCATCTACCATCCTCAGAGCCATCAAAGCGTCGATCTCATCGGCGGCGAAGGATAAATCAAATAGGATGGTCCGGGGCACCAATGGCGCGTACGTCCTCATCACTTGTTCGAGATTGGCTGGCGTTTTCGGAACACGGTTGCCGGTCTTCGCTAGGCTCGTTGCTCGTTTGTCATCTTCAGGTTGGTATTTCTTCTGCCTTTTCCCGCGCATCACATGGCTTCTGATCTGCTTCCTGACAACTGGATCGACCTTTTCGACATTAGACGACACAATAAACATCATCCTGGTCGAAGAGCCAGGAGGCATATTGGCTTTGTCTGGTCCTCCCATCCTCGCGAGTATTGGCTCTCATGTTGTTGTCGAACATGACAAGTAGAAATGGATCAGAAGGCTGGATTCTTGGAAGATCTACGACATGATGCCTCAGCCTCGCAACGAGTAGAGGTTAAGAAACGCCAAGACACTCGATTGTATTCCTTTCTGGGTATAGTCTGGGACTGTGGAGTGAATAGGTCGATTTAAGCTTCATCTGATATTCGCTAAAGTGTTAATCGGTTTTAGCTGCAAGAGAACTAAGGCGGCAGGATCGCCCTCCCAAACGGCGTGAGTCGCAAATAAAATCCCCAAAGTTGAAACCTTGGCGCCCGCAGGAACAACAGGCACGCATTTGATGCGGCCCCTCTGAAACACGATCTTCATTGTTCCCAGGACTTAAGACGACATCTCGCGCAGTCACACTTGATGGCCGGCATTTTCGAGGGTCCTCGTAGCGGAGGAACGCTCTTCCTCGGAGGTCAAAAGATCAGCGGACAAGATATTCGAGATCAAAATGTTCTCGCAACGCAAGCCATTGCCAATGTGGTCAAATCCTCCTTTGGGCCTTCAGGTCTGGACAAGATGATGGTGGACGATATTGGAGATGTCACAGTCACGAACGATGGAGCGACGATCCTGAGTTTGCTGGACATCGAACATCCTGCGGGAAAGATATTGGTCGATCTGGCACACCAACAGGACAAAGAAGTCGGAGACGGAACCACATCTGTCGTGCTCATTGCAGCAGAACTCCTACGAAGAGCCAATGAATTGATGAAGAACAGAATACACCCGACCGTCATTATCACCGGATATCGTCTCGCCCTACGAGAGGCTGTCAAGTACATGCAAGAGAATATCAGTACGAAGGTGGAAACACTGGGAAGAGAAAGTCTGATAAACATTGCCAAAACATCGATGTCAAGCAAGATTATCGGTGCAGATGCAGATTTCTTCGCCAACATGGTGGTTGACGCCATGCAGTCCGTCAAGTCGGTCAATCCGCAGAAAAATGAAACAAAATATCCCGTCAAGGCGGTCAACATCCTTAAAGCACATGGAAAGAGCGCAACGGAATCAATACTCGTCAAGGGATATGCTCTGAACTGCACGGTCGCCTCACAAGCCATGAAAACAAGAATCACAGACGCAAAAATTGCATGCCTCGACATCAATCTCCAGAAGGAACGAATGAAGCTTGGTGTGCAGATCACAGTCGAAGATCCGTCACAACTAGAGAAGATCCGTGAACGAGAAGCAGGGATCGTACTGGACCGGGTGGACATGATCCTCAAGGCAGGAGCGAACGTCGTCATGACCACCAAGGGTATCGATGATCTGGTGCTCAAAGCATTTGTGGAACGTGGCTGTATGGGTATTCGGAGATGTAAGAAAGAAGATCTCAGACGGATAGCCAAGGCAACCGGCGCCACTCTTGTCGGCTCACTATCCGATTTGAATGGCGATGAGAAGTTCGAGAAAGAATTTCTGGGTCACGCAGAAGAAGTGGTACAGGAGAGGATATCGGACGACGAGTGTATTCTCGTCAAGGGTACGAAGGCTTTCTCATCGGCATCCATCATCCTGCGTGGTTCAAATGACTATCAACTTGACGAGATGGAGCGCTCTGTTCACGACTCGTTATCTGCCGTCAAGCGAACTCTCGAGTCTGGAAGCATTGTTCCCGGAGGTGGTGCGGTGGAGACGGCCCTGTCGATTTACCTCGAAGAATTTGCCATGACTGTTTCCTCGCGCGAACAGCTTGCCATCGGTGAATTTTCTCAATCTCTTCTCACAGTTCCAAAGACACTCTGCGTCAATGCCGCTAAAGATGCATCTGAACTGGTCGCCCAGCTACGTGTACGGCATGCATTGAGCCAAAGAGTGCAGGAAGGGGATGCCAATGACAAGGAAAAAGACCTTGCTAAGAAGCGACAATACAAGAACTACGGCCTGGATTTAATGAAAGGCAAAGTGACTGATGTTGTCAAGATGGGCGTACTGGAACCAAGCATGAGCAAGGTCAAGCAGCTCAAAAGTGCAGTGGAAGCCTGTATCGCCATTATGAGGATTGATACTCTGATCAAGCTGGATCCACCAGAGCCACAAGACGATGGTCATGGCCATTGAAGTGGGTGAGCTATTCTCTGAACAAGAGTTTAGAGAGGCCTAGCCCTTCGCAGCGCTCCCAATCGTCCTCCCGCACGGACGCCTTACTGGGATACCCTCTACAACGCCCACCTGTGGCACTCTGCCTATACCAACATGGGAAGCAAGCTGAGGAGATCAGTATCAGTTTCGGCAAAAGACCTGGTGTCAGACTCTGCCACTGGCCCATTACCGGCAGTACCACGACAGCGCGTCTAATATGTGCGTGTGGACATTGGTCATCGCGCTTGAGGAAGCCATGCTTTGCAGTGCAGTAAGAAGAGGCAGTTGGAGAGCTCGAAGTAACACAAGGCAAGCTGTAGAAGATAGCAAATCCTGTGTAAAATGTTACAACATGACAATCCATCCGAGATCAAAACGTCCACATTCCGTGATTGAGGTAACCATTTGTTATTGATCGGGTTCCCTTGCAACCTCTACAATTCCTGATCTAGAAGGGTCAGCCTATCTCAAAAGAACAGCAGCGTCATCGTCTTGACAAAGTCACAATTGTGAAAACTATCCCATTTTGCGGAATTGGGGAATCTGTTCGATCCCATACTTGATCCGGGCGTATCTATGCGAAAGTATAAAATTCGGTAGCATCAAGCACAGCCCCCAGTCTATTGATCCGTGCACAATCCGCGAGGCTCTACCCATACTGCCGCGCATTCGGTCTAGAACTTTGAACTCGATTGAAGATTGAATATTCAACGTCGCATCAGCATTGCGAACAGCTGTTGGTCCTCCCCATCGTCCCAATCCATGTCACTCAGCAATCATGGATACCTTTGACCTCTTGTGGGGTCTAATTGATACTGACCGAATACCACACGATGGGGCTCGTTAGAACCATACGAGTCTGAGCTTTCCTGAAGTTGTTGCTACCGTTCCATTGGAATACGTACGTTCACGATGGACTCGTGGAACTATACCACCGACCATCAGGATATATATCAGCATGTTGGCATCCTAGCAATGCCGGTTCTCTCAGCTACTTCAAGACTCGCAAACTCCACACGCATTCGCATCAAGAAATATAATTTGAACATCGAACAACATGGAAGCCACTCAGACCACCACTCAAGTCATTGATCAGCCTCGTCGTCTGCTCAGCCTTATCCCAGACGAGGTTCCAGGAGCTCCGCCGGTCATTGATTTTTCACGTATGTCTCCCCCGAAAGAACTTGACTAGCATCATGCTGATCGTGGATGCAGCATTTTACGGCAAGGATGCTGCTGCCAAAGCTGTCCTCGTAAAGCAAGTACGAGATGCCTGCTTAGCGAAGGGCTTCTTCCAGATTGTCAACCATGGCGTACCAGAGGACCTCCAACAAGCCATTTTTGAGCAATCCAAAGATTTCTTTGCACTTCCGATGGAACAAAAGGAGAAATACGATAAAGGTGAGCACACATCGGTTGTTGGGATGACGTTATACGGTGTCGACAGTGGCTGACGTTCCTGCTTCGACAGCATGCCATCCAAATAAACTAGGTTACGAACGCTTTCGATCCCAGAATTTTGAGAAAAAGGCTGTCGGGGAGCTGAAGGAGGGTTTCTTCTTCGGTCCCAACCTACATAAGGATCACCCATTCGTACAACAGGGAAGGATCCATTGCGGAACGAACATATATCCATCCGAAGTCTCTGATCCAGAGATATTCGAAAAGACCATGATGCAATACCACCAACTGATGACAAAATTGGCCACCAATGTCCTCAGTATTATCGCCATGACTCTGAATCTGGGCGAAGAATATTTCGAGAAATTCTGCCACGACTCAGGCGCGGTGCTCAGACTGCTGCACTACCCACCTCAAGCTGCTGACGCAAGTGAGGAGGAACGAGGTAAGTTGTAAACTCTTCGACCATTGGTTTCACAGGCTAACCTCGCAAAAGGGATCGGCGCGCACACAGACTTTGGCTCAGTGACATTACTGCTCCAGGACGACGTCGGTGGATTGCAAGTCTTCGACAAGCCGACAATGTCCTGGATTGATGTAAAGCCCACCCCTGGAGCGTACGTGGTCAACCTGGGCAACGTCATGATGAGATATTCCAACGACACCTACATCTCGAACTTGCACCGGGTCATCAACAAGACTGGCAGAGAAAGATACAGCATTCCATTCTTCTTCTCGGGCAACCCAGACTTTGTGGTAGACTGTCTACCCGGATGTGAAGATGCGGACGGCAAGTGCAAGTACCCGCCAGTCAGGATTGAAGATTGGATCTTTGGACGGCACACGAACACTTTCGAGGAGGGAAAGGGTGTGGAAGAGCTGTCGTCGCTGGCTAAAGTTGCTTGATTGCCAAGTAGGCTTGGTTGGGTCACCATCATTGAGGTGCAAAATGCCATTCCACATGGTGGTTTCGGAGCTTGATATTCCTTTTTAATGTCCATAACGATGCAAGAATTCATGCGATAGAATTTTGGTGCGCCGAAGTGAAATTATGAGGAGGCGGTCGAATTGGCCGAAGCAGATCTGCAGCCCACGTCCACGAAGGCTAGCAAGTCGATGGCTTTGGAACATGCCATGGGCATGCTGTCGCTAGCGGACCCGACTCCTACATTGGCAAATACACACAGTGTCATGGTATTTGATAAGATACCTAGGTATCAATGTGATGCCTCCTTTAGTGATCATTCGTAAGATACGAAATGCAGGGTGACGCAAGGCCATGAATGAGGAGAGGGGATTGAACAAGGTTGAGGCTCCGACTCTCTCAGCGGACAATCGGTTCCCGTTCTCCGACTGCGGGACAATTTAATTCTCGAGTCTCGAGTTTCGGACGGACATCACCTTTACTTATACTTCTCTTCATATCTACACACACTTCAACAAGACCAGCCAGACAAGCACAATGGTCGCCGAAATCATCACCACCATCTCCCCAACCACCAACAAACCCATCCTCACCCGTCATGGCCTACCGCCCGACGAGATCCTGCGCCTCGGAGCGACCGCCCAAAAGGCATTCAAATCGTTCAACAAATCCCACCCAACCCTCGAATCCCGACAAAAGATCATAACCAAAGCCCTCGACATCCTGCTCGAAAGACAAGATGAACTCGCCCTCGAACTCACCGAACAAATGGGCCGGCCCATCGCATACACAGCCAAGGAAATTACCACGGCAGTCAAGCGCGCAGAGTACATGAACCGCATCGCCCCGAAAGTGCTGGGCAAAGATATCCCAGGTGAACCAGAGCAGGGTTTCAAACGATACTTGCGCAGAGAGCCCGTGGGCGTGATCCTCGTGATATCTGCCTGGAATTACCCTTACCTCATCCTCGTGAACAGTCTGATCCCCGCGCTGCTGGCGGGAAACACCGTCATCCTCAAACCCTCTCCCCAAACACCGACGATAGTCGAGCATATCGTCGACATCTTCAAGGCGGCGGGTCTACCGGGGAATGTGATACAGTACCTACACTGCGGGACACCCTTGGACCTCCGCCCACTCATCCTCTCGCCTGACGTCAATCACATTTGTTTCACGGGCTCCGTGGCCGCTGGCATAGCGATTCAACAGATCGCAGCGAGCCGTGTGTCTGTCAGCGTTGGTCTGGAACTAGGCGGCAAGGACCCCGCGTATGTGCGATCAGATGTGGACGTGGCGTGGGCGGCTGAGGAGATTGTCGACGGCGCTATCTTCAATTCTGGACAGTCATGCTGCGCGCTCGAGAGGGTGTATGTGCATGAGGAGGTTTACGACGCTTTCATAAAGGAGGTGCAAAAGGTGCTGGCGAATTACAAATTGGGTGATCCTATGGATAAGACTACGCATGTCGGGCCTGTGGTCTCGGTGCGTGCGAAAGATGCGATCCTCGCGCAGATTGAGGATGCGAAGAGCAAGGGGGCGAAGGACGAGACTCCTGAAAACAGCACGTTCGCTGCACCGCCGAAAGAAGGTAATTTTGTGGCGCCGGTGCTTCTGACGGGCGTGAATCACAGTATGGAGGTCATGCGTGAGGAGACGTTTGGACCGGTAATTCCTGTGCAGAAGGTTTCTGGTGATGACGAGGCTGTGGAGTTGATGAATGATTCGCAGTTCGGGTTGACTGCTAGCATTTGGACGAAGGATGTTGAGAGGGGAGAGGAATTGACGAGGTTGGTCGAGGCAGGGACCGTGTTTGTTAATCGTGCGGATTATCCGAGTCCTGACCTTGCATGGACGGGGTGGAAGGATAGTGGGAAGGGAGTGACGTTAAGCCGATTTGGGTTCGAACAGTTTGTGAAGATCAAGAGTGTGCATCTGAAGGATTACCCGAAATGAGTTTGACAGGTCATCGTGTATAGCGGTTATGGCCTGGGGAAAGGGCTGGTTTAGACGGGTGTGATAGACAAAATCAAGCCTGTGCTGCATGTTAGTATGTCGATACGGCATGACGGTGTAGGTGTATAGACTATGCGAAGACATGTTATAGAACTATTGCGCCAGCTATGAGCAATGCCTGAATGATGACTCCGATAAATGCTTAAGTTCGCGGAGGGAAGACACATGTGAGTCGTGATATCTTCATTTCAAAGCCGAGATCGCTTCGACTGGGTATTTGATTCATCAGCCTCTCTATGATCAACTAACTCTCAACACATAGAACATTCAGTCATCATCGATATCCACCTCAATCGCATCCGGATTTGCCGCGACCTGCTGTGGCTGTCCAGCCTTTTCCACGTCCACAGGTTTCGGCCTATTCCCGCCTTCAGGCCCCGAACTCGCTGCGACAAAGCCCACTGGCGCACGAGCCTGGCGTTCCAACGCAGCCATAGCATCACCACCAGCCACATCCTCATCGCCATTAACTTCCATCGCACCCGCCGCCCGTTTAACAGCCTGGCTCGCGATGAACTGCACATCCGTATTGAACTGCGCCGCCACACTCCGTCGAATCCGCAACATCTCCTTGAATGTATCCTCATTACCGTGCGCGACCTCGAATTTCTCCCAGGTATCCCAGAAGTCCTTCTCGACTCTCGGGTCCGCAAATTGACTACCGTGCCCGTAGATGGCGCGGGCGCGGTCGATCTCACCTAGTCGGCGCTCCATCTCGGCGAACTTGAGACACATAGTTTTGGCTTCTTTGTCAGGTAGTGCAGCAATCGCACGTTCGTATATAGGCCGTGTGGAGGTCAAGCCAAAATTCGTCGCGGACTTGGTGATGTAGAAGTCGAACATGCCTAGACGGTCGTCGTCGGCCACGGCGCGTGTGGAGCGCTCGTACACGCGCATGGCTGACCTTGCGAGACCGCGCTCTTCTTCCAGGTTGCCGTACATGAGATAGATAGCCTTGGCGAATTGAGCCGGGCAGTTTTCCACCGCCTGCTCGAACAGATCGCGCAGTCGCTCGATGCTGATTTTGCGTTGTACCGCTTTCGTAAGATACAGATTCCATAGCTCGAATGCGACGGGATACGTGAAGACGTCGAGACCACGTTCGTACACTTTGAATGATTCCTCAAAATATCCGTTTTCTTCGAGCAGGTTTGCATAGTTGACGACTGTCTGGGGTGTGGCGATACGTAACTCGAAGATGCGGTCGTAAACGGCGCGAGTCTCGTCCATTGACCCAACAGACTCGACGAGGTCGACGTAGAATGACCATACTTTCCAGGACTTGTGTACTCGTTGTTGCGGTGACAGCGTTTCGTCAAAGTAGTCGATCGTACTGCGTTTGGGGGCTTTCGTGGCTGTCGCCATGACTTTCATCGCTCCGTCGAAGTTCTCGTTTCGTAACTCCATCTCCGCCCAGCCCACCCAGGTGTCTGCCAGTTCGGCTACAGATTTGTATGGAACTTTGACCGCCTTGTCGAGAATGATCCGTGCTGTGTCGAGGTCGGCTGCCTCTTCGTAGAATTTGGCGTAGTTCAGCCACAGTTCGTGGAACTTGCCGATGGCTCTCTTCGGTGAAATCGCTGCAATGGCGTCTGTGTATGTCTGCACGACTTCCTCCTTGTTGTCACTCCAGAGTGCAACCCGTTTCTCCCACTCGATGACATTATTGGGATTCTGCCGTAACAGAACATCGTTGACCAAGAAGGGTCGCCTGTCCATCAGATGCTCGAAGCGCATCATTCTCATATCCAGATCAATGTCTTTGTTGGCGTCGACAACGCCTTTTGCAGCACGGCCAGATGCCGCATCCATCAGACTTTGGAGGATTGATTCTTCAAACTCGACGTAAGCATCGAAGATCATTGTGAAGTCGCGCACAGTCATTACTGTCATGATGCCTTCCTCGAATACATCTCTGGCCTTCTCAAAGTCGCCTCGGGTTATCCAGTAGGTTGCCAGTCCCGCCCACAGCTTTCCACGTTGGTCGGCAAACCGTTCTATTCCGCTTCGAATGATGGTGTCGGGATCGAAGCCGGATACCGAACTGTCTCCAAGGTCGCGGGCTTTGGTGACCATCAGCTCAACCATCTCGCTCCAAAGCTGAAACTCGCTTTTGATGTGTTTCGAGCGGAATTTCGGGTTGTCCAAAATCTGCATGTATCGCTTCACAGCTTCGAGGTAGTGTCCGGCCTCGACCAGCAGATCGATGTAGTCCTCCATGTCTTCCGGGTGTATCTGCACGTATCGTGCCCATATCCTCACAGCGGCCTCGCCTCCCGCAGAATTCGCAAAGGATTTGTAGAGTCTCCAGATCCTATTATGCTGTGTAACTGGTAGAGCGCGCAACGCCCGGTCAAACGTCCTTCGAGTCTTTGTGACATATGGTTGTCGCAGCAGGAACGTAAGGTACATCTCCCAGATGACCGGCATCTTGTTCAGGAGGATCAAAGCTCTTTCGAACAGAGCGTTCACCTTGTTGAACTCGGCCTTGTACTTGACAGGATTTTTCTTCTTGAGATGCTTGACTCGGAAGTCCAAGTACATCTTCCATAGCTTGTATGACCGCGGTAATTGTATGCATGCTCTCTCTTGGACGAAGGCCTGTTCGTGAATCGTGCCATTGCGCATCTTGAAGTCGATGTAGGTTAGCCATGGTCGTACGCTTCCTGGATTGCGGAGGACATCCTGCTCGTAGATTCCATCCTCGTTCGATATCAGGTAGAGATCGGGCTTTGCCTGTGCAGAAGCCATGGCGACCTCTTGACCAGCATGCGGGATGCGTACAATTCCAGGCATTGCAAGAAGATGTCTCTGCCCCAGAAAAACATGCGTCTCAGAAAAATGCGCCGCGCTGCAGCACTTGTCGCGCTGCGCTGGAAGAGGCATGTTTGGCGAGAGCCGGAGATAAGTTTTAGCGGGTGCCGCAATGTCAGTGTCGTCAGGTTCAGCCTTGCATGTGCGGGAGATAGTTATCACCTTGCGGTCATTGAGCTTCCAATACTGCACATATTCACCCATACTGCAATCCTCAACAATACCTAAGGCGCAGAGGCGCTTAAAGGTAACATGTCTACATCAGCAGGCGTAGGTTGAGTTTCAACCCTTGTGCAACTCCCACTGACCTTGGAACAGCGAGAGGCCGTCTTCCCAACACGACAGGCTTTGGGTCAGATGAACAGCAAGCTGAAAGGAGCTCAGACCGGTCACAGCCTGCTGAAACGAAAGAGTGAAGCTTTGACTAAGTATGTCGCTGCCCATTCAGACCAAGTTCTACACTAACAGTCGAATAGACGATTTCGAGGTACCATTTTCTCCGCGGGCGCTCTTCGTCCTGCATACTGATCCTACGCAGAAATCCTAAAGCGAATTGACGAAGCGAAGAGAAAGATGGGTCGAGTCATGCAAATCGCAGCCTTCTCTTTGGCCGAAGTATCGTATGCTGTCGGTGGTGATATCGGCTACCAGATCCAAGAATCAGTCAAGACAGCACGGTTCAGGATCAAGACGAAACAAGAGAATGTCTCAGGTGTCTTCCTGCCACAATTCGAGGGCTACACGAAGGATGAGATCAACGACTTTGGCTTGACCGGTTTGGGCAAAGGAGGACAGCAGGTACAAAGATGCCGAGATACATATACCAGAGCAGTCGAGACGCTGGTTGAACTTGCCAGCTTGCAGACGGCTTTCATGATTCTAGACGAGGTCATCAAGGTCGTCAACCGAAGAGGTATGGTATTGTTCGCATGTCGAAGTACTCCTATCGGCTAACAAGCGCAGTCAATGCCATCGAGCATGTTATCATCCCACGAACAGAAAACACCATTAAATGTGAGTGCACACGATCTGTCCGCCCATCGGTGGCTGACCATGTCCAGATATCAACTCCGAGCTCGATGAATTGGATCGTGAAGAGTTCTACAGACTGAAGAAGGTTTCGGGCAAGAAACAGAGGGACGTAGCTGCACAAGACGAGGAACTGAGGAAGAAGAGAGAGAAAGAGACGCAACGCAACGGCGACACGGAAGACAGCGCAGGCGCTCAAGATGTGCTGGGTGAACACGAGGACGACGACGTTATCTTTTAGTACTCCAGGACGCTGTGCCATATGCCATACATCCCACATCCTTCAACGCCGCTGTACTGTATCTCCCGCAAGTAATGCATGGGTATCAAGTTTTTAGCCTTTCCGAATAAGACATCATACTCCTCACCTCCGATCAAGCTCGTTGGTAGGTGACTCTGATGCCCTTGCCCTCATCACCCAACTGCATCCCCGCTGTGGCCTCCTTTGCACTAATCGCACCAGCTTCTGCTTCGTATTCCACGAAAGCAATGCCTTTTCGCCCAGGGACCATTCTGACTTCCTTGAATCCTTCGAATCTGCTGAATATCCTCGACAAACCATCCGCATCGTAGCTGTCTGGCAGATCCCGTACGAAGAGAATCTTGTTCGGAGGCAGATACTCGTCTGGCACGATAGCCGCTGCATTCGTGCCTGATGCCTTGAGTCCTGCGCCCTTGACCGCCTTCGCAGGCCGCGCGCCCAGACCGGCCGCCTCTTGTGCAGGTGCTGGTCTCTTCAATTTCTGTTGTGTGGCTTCAAGTGCTTGTTTTCTCTCTTTCTCCGCGAGTCGCGATCGCTTCCACTTCTCGAGACCCTGGTCGCCTTCTTCTTTCAGTACTGTCGCGTCGGACCGCGAGCGGGCGAAATCTAGTTGCATGGGCTTATCGAAGAGTTCGAAATCGTTGACTTCTTCGATCGCCTTGGCCGCATCGTCGGGTGATTCGAAAACGATGAATGCCTGGCCTTTGGCTTTTAGGTTCTTCTTGGCTACTATGTCGATGATGGTGCCATATTCGGAGAAGATTTCGGACAGGGCTTCTTTGAGCTGGTCGACCTTAATCCGCTCTTCGAGGTTTTTAACATATACGCTGTAGAAATGAGTTAGTTCGTGAATGACTTGAAAAGGAAAGGTGAACGGTAGCGCACGTCGAGCTTGGGGGATTCTGGGTAGCGGTCGCCATGACTGCTGTTGGGTCGGGATGAGGACAATCTCTTTACTGAGAGTCAGAAGCCATGCAGTGTATCAGTAGGGTCGAACACTGTCGAGACTGCATGTGGGATGCAATGCGCCAGCGACTGGTGGAGGAATGGATACTGGGGCTTAAAAGAAGGAAAATCTCACGCTGCTTTGAAAGCTGTTTCAGCAAAAAACCTAAACGCAACATAGGCGTGTGTTGGTCAACGGTTCCGCGACAACACTAGAACTCTCACATCATGCATCTTCATGAAAGAACCAACATCCCAGCCAGTCGAAGCAGTCAGCAGAGCATACATGAGTGAATGTAATGTAGGTATTGGTACTACTATTGTTGCCATGTTATCTTGGTCCTAACCGCCAAAAATCTTTCACACCTTCAAAGCAGACTCCTATGAATATGATGTCCCCCACTTGATCCCTTACTCCCGGATCATTACTTTCTCAGATTCAGGTCGCCAATGCCAGCCCTACCGTCGCCGGATTTTCCAGCACAATCAGCGGCCCAGCAACCACAGACGTGTCCGTCGGCGCACCTTCTGCATCTGCAATGACCGTGATGATAATACCTGTTGGGTCAAACGCAGCAGGGATGGTGGTCGTGTTCGTCTTTGTATCGAACGGCACCGAGGTATTGTACATGCCATGGAAGAAGACGGCATAGTAGTCCTTGCTGTCCGCGAACTCAGGCTGTGTCTCGAATGTGACCGTCACATGCGAACCAGGCGCAATGGAGCTCGTGTTCGATGCAAGCTCGAATGTCGCAAGTTGCTGCGCTGGATCCGGGTATACCGGGTTCTCTGGCGGACAGGATCCTGCGACGATGAAGGAGCGCGTGAACTCCAAGATCTGGTTGGCGTACGGGTAAATGGTGTCGACGGGTCCAGAGAAGGGGTTTGCGTTCCACACGTCGATCAAGGACCATGTATTGTGTCGGGTCTCGGTCTCACCGATAGCCACTAGCGCAGACGCCGCGGCCGGATCCATGGCCTGGTACTCCATACCGGATACAAAGGCCATGCTTGCTACCTCGATGATTGTTTGGAGTGCCAGGAATGACTCCGCGTCGGTGAATGGGTACTCGTATTTGCAAGGGCCAGGCTTGACGCTCGAGGGCGAGATGCTATCCTGGAAGATACGGAGGTGGCCGGCTTCATTATCCCGGATCTGAAGGAGGCGGGTGTACGTGGTGTTGGGGAGGCCGAGGGCTGTGAAGCTCGACTCGTTGAACTTGGTGATGCCTTGCTGGTAGAAGGAGAAGATGATCCACTCGGCGCCTAGAATGTTTTGGAAGAGGACGTCGTCGGGGCCCGGTGGGCCGGAGGTCGTGTTGAGGACGGCGCCGGTCGTGTTGCCGGGGAAAGGAGGCTCAACCGTGTAGGTCGTGCTGTAGACTGGTGATTCTCCTGGGATGGGGCCATAGTTGGGGTTGGCGATTTGAGAGGACTGAGGAGAAACGGCCGGCGCACTGGAGGCGTGTTGGGACAGTGCGAGACCGCTTAGCAAGAGGAGGAGCTGCTTGGACTGGAACATGGTGCTGATAGTGTAGTCTTGTCTTTGGAGTGAATCTGGTTCGTATGGAATGCAAAGTTATATGTTCAAACTGCCTGCAGCCCAGCATTTATAGGAGACAATCTGGTCCTTTCGGTCCGCTTTCAACTTGCGTCATGTCGGGAGGCCTTGTTACTGCGCTTCGACGGCGACATCTGGGCAGCGACAGCTTTCGATCGCAGAGCATGCTTTGCGTGGAGAGATCCGCGAGTCAGTATGTGGCTCGGGAGGGGCTGACGGCGTGCAAATCTTCTCGCGGCCGTCTATACCGAGAAGCAAACGAAGCAGCCCTGTCATTTTGTCCAGTCAAGATCAGCACCAAGACTGTGCGACTGTTACCTTGGTTTGATCAGATATATGGGGGCGAAGACTGGTGAAGATTTTCCCGACGGGGTTATTGGGGATTGATATCAACATTCAGTGCATACCTTGCACCATTTGGGTAATTGCGCGAGACATGAGAGCCAATGAATGGCATTTGATGACGAGCAGGCAGAAAAGTTGAAAGCATCAGCGATTGCGACGAAGGAGGCTGATTATGAGAAGCATTCCCTGTTGGGACATACATATTCAGTCCGGGGCCACCTGATTCGTGGACGACGAGATGATGCCCGAAAGCGATATTTGAGTGAAGTTCAGCGATCAAATTGCTGATCATTTCGTAAGTGTGTGAACACACTGGTTGCACAGCAGACGGGTAAGCCTGAAAGTATCTCGCCACACCGTCGGTATATCCAGTGGATAAGTTTGTGGGGAAAGTAAAAGGGGTGACAGCCTTACGAATTCAAGGACCAATCAGATGAAGTTGTCCGCTAAATATGCCGGAAGAGGCCTGGCGGTATATCGGAGCAAGAACATCGTGTCGTCCACCTCGTCTTGTCAATCTCATCTCCACTCGTCATCAGACCAAGTTGTGACTAAATATTCTCAGGTAGGAACTCTCTAATCATCTCTCGTATCCCATTTCAACACTGAATACTGCGTTCGCGCAGGCTCGCCCTCCGGCCTGGCAGTGGTCGAATACCACTCGGTCATAGCCACCGCACATTCCCCTCGTCCATGATCAGCATCTTTCGGTATTCCATCAATTAGCTCCTGCGTCTTGGTTCTGATCGGACATATGTTTGCCTCGCCCAGACTGAAGCTAATCTCATCGGTCTTGGAGTTATTAATCCGGATAACGAAATTGCTGTTGCCATTCGGGTCCAAGAGCGCCTTGGAGCGCGGAATGAGTTCAATATGCAGCGTTGAACCCATGTCAGGGGTGACATGGTAGAAGAGGAATGGTACAAACCGTTGATTCGAGAGCATGTGTACACCCGGTCCGTCATAATTATCTGTTAGCAGAGGCTCCACATTCTTATGCCCTGCCACGCCTGCAGACGATTGGGACGAGACTAGCGGAGGACCTCCTGGAAGAGCGGATAAGGCCGTCTCCATGGGAATGTCGACTTCGATTTTGAGGAGTTTCGCGGTCGTACCATCGTGTTTGATGGATCCGTCTGGATTCTTGATCTGCACGTCGACGGAATCCCGCTTGCGGATGCTGAAGATCAAGTCAAAGAAGTATTGGTTTAGGGTGGGGATGAAATCGTTCGAGTTATAGGTGCGGAAGCCGTGGGCTACTGCTAGGCGTTCGGGGACCTGGTGATGGTCGGGGTATATGTAGATGTCGAAATTTGCCGAGATGGAAGATCGAGAGAAGGCGTGCAGGGTGGTGCCTGAAGCAGTAGGAGGAGAGCGGCGGGAAAGGTTTGTAGGCTGAATCTTGAGCTGTTTGCTGGGCCCACGCGGGACGTGTAGGGTTGGCGAAGGCTTTGACGCCGCCGTTGCCGTGGGCTTCTTCGCTTCCTGTAGATGCAACGCTGCTGGAGGAGGTGGGTTGGGTTCATCCTTCGCCGTCAACAAGACACGCTTAGTCGTACTGACTTCAGTGGGCTCTTGGTAATCGGTCTTGGTGCGTTCTCGGACATAAAGTTGTCTCACCCTCTGAGTGAACGTTGCATTCTTCGTAGGGGTGATTTTGAAGTAATAGCTTGGGTCGTTCAACTCTAGTCCAAACTCACAAGAGTTGGACTGCGTGTCTGCATAACCTGGCGAAGTGGCATCCTTCTGAGCTTGTGGTCCGAAACGTAATGCTTTGTTGAGTTGATCGGCCATAACTTGAATGTGGAGCATCCGAGATTCGAAATTGAACCAGGAGTTGACTGGATACTGCTTGGGATCAAGGTATTTCTCCCGCCATTCGCCAGTAGGCGCACCCTGCGTGTATAGTGTGCGCATATGAAATGTCACGGCTTCTGCATCGAGGTAGGCCCCGAAGCTGAAACGTTGTTGATGGGGAGGTTGCGCTAGCACAATTGAAGCAAGTTCTTCGGGTTGTCTGTCCAGGAGGCACATCAAAGTCTCGTTGTCGATCCGCGTCCACCGACAAACGGTAGCTCTTTTGTCGACAATGGTCTCAGAAACCCCAGGAGCAGGAGTCCAGGTCACAGTGATGCGAAGATCGGGCATGGCTTGAATGAGCTTTGACCGAATGACAAAGCCATAGCAGGGTATCTGTGGGGCATAGTTTGCGTCCGGCACGGGGGTCCTTAGGTACAGGTTGAACCATTGTTTTATCGTCCGACGGATAATATCGTCGTCAACATCAAGGTGATTCGCGACCGACAGTGCCCCGTCTATTAGACAATCCAACCAAAAGTTATCAATGTAGAAGAATCGAAGAGATTCGGAAGGTAAAAATGCAGGCTCTGGGAACAGGTAGTGGTTCGGTATGCCTCCGAGATGAAGCTTATCACATAACCATGTATGAATGATGGCCCAGTCGCTGTTGTTGGCTCCAGCTTCGTTGAAGTCGTTGTAGATAGGGTCTTCGCCGGAACCTGCATGAGTCCCCACCACATCATGGACATTCTTCGCAAATTTTGGGAGGTTTGACGGTGAGTGGAGGTCGACAGTTGGGGAATTCTTTGCAACTGGCTTTACGCGCTGAGGGTCGACAGCGGACTTGATAGAGCGGCTTTTGACATCTGCAACCCGCTGTGATGTCGAAGCTAGGATCATATGTATAGGTAGCACGTTGTTCACTTCCATAAGGGTCTTCTGTGTCGTGGCGTTGTGCACTAGAGAGCGAAAACGCATAAGGGCAGCACTAAACACCGTGTCTGATATTGCCAGGAGTTTGCCGACCTGCCAAGCTGACGCGTATGAGACGTCCATTATGCCTGTCTGTTGGTCGAGGATTTGGTAGTCTTGAGATGTGTTCGATGAGTCGATGGTGTCTGCAAGCCGAGAGGCTGTCCCAATGGCTGTTGTCGCAGTCCCTGGCCACGGGACAGGTTGAGGCACAAGTGGTCCTCTGTTGAATGCTACAGTGCATTCTCCTGTCTGGGTTCGCCATCTGGCCAAGGTATACCCAGAATCCAGCCTCGAAATTGTAGCATTCCAAGCTGGCGATGTGGCCAACGCTTGTTTGCTTAGATCTTGTAAGACGTTCTGGTCCACTGTCAACATTTGCTGATTTTCGGTCAGATTACGAACCGTGTCCACGAAATTGACGGGATTAGGAGGCAAGGCCGTGTAGATCCAGGAGAATAGTGAGATCATCCCAATACGGTCAACCACAGGATCTTTGGTTAGCCAGCTTGTGGAAAGTGTCGAATCGACGTTCTCAATTGATACAAGATGGCAGATTTGGGTCGTCGGAGTCGTGATATTGTATGCACCCGTCCGGGGTGATATCACAATTGAGAAGAGACCATGTTCCTCAACACCAGCATCAGGAATGCCATCAGTTAAGATGTGCCGAACATGAGACATGTACTTGAACGCTTCGACCCCGAGTTTGTTCGTATCCGTATCTGCAGCGTTCTGGAAGATCTGTAGAAACTGTGCCTTTGTTGGAAAGATGACATCCACGTTGCCCTCCGTGGTTCTGATACCACTGAAATTGTCAATTCCAGCCTCAAAATTGATTCTTGATGACTGATCAATATTGAAATAATCGGACACTTTCATTCGAAAGACACCTTTAGGATCTTGCTTGTTAAAATCCGGCGTCAAGCCTGTGGGCTTTAGCAGAGGCTTTCCTTCATCTGCAGTCAACCGTAATTCTGCAGGATCAAATACCAACAGTGCCACCCAAGGAACAAGGCCACGATATCGTCTCTCCGCTGTCCCATCTTGCTTGGGGATATGCTGTAAATCCACTGGTTCGCGCATATTGTCACCCGTATTCCCGGCTGCGACTTCCCATGGATAGTGAGGGTCATTCAGGACAATGTGAGGTAGGATACGGCCCTCATCTTGGTGCCCGTCTGGTGGATAATAACTGTTGATAATAGCTGGGTCCAGAGTGAACCTGGGTACCACCACATTGAATGTCTGCCCAGCAAGAGCATTGGTGGTATCTCCTACTGTAGTGTTCCAGACATCTAGAGAAGAGACTCCAACCTCTGGGGTGGAAAATGTTGTTATAGTCTGTTTTGCCTCTACCATGTAGGAACCTGCCACCAGTCCAGGCCTGTAGTAACTGTAAAGCCGCATCTGTCCTGGTAGAAGCATTTCAGGGTCAGTGGTTTCTTCCTTACGCTCCGTCTTGATGGCCTTGGCCATGTGGCCAAGCGTCAGGATTCGAGGACCCATGCTTGAGCAGAATGCTGGGTCAAGCCTGTGTGCTCATAGATGATGTGGTCGCTCTGAGATCAGTTCACTGTCAATTATCGAGGGATGGCAGCAAGCAACTGCATCGTCGCCAATGCTGTCTTGGTCTCGCGACAAGTCCCTACATGCAACGCTTGCCGGCAGTCGAATACAGCCATAGACATCGTCATTTCCTGTGCGATTGCATTCAGTCGAGGCCACCGAATGTTGCTGCATATGGTTGTTAGGAAGCTTCCAGAGGAGCGCTCGGATTGGCCCGTTTCCCATCGCAAGCTCAGCCCGTCACTCTGTTTTTGGTGGCTTCGATTCGTTCAGCTCGGTTAGGGGCGATGTTGGTCAGATAGCGCCCAACACGAGGGTCTGCATGCAGGGTCATTGCTGATTCGTCCAGATTTTCCGGGCGGCAAGTTCCAGGCCGTCCCGCCGTCTTTCCAGGCGCCAATTCCAGTGGCTACCTGAGAACAGCCTGGGTTGGCTGCCTAGACCCACAACAACATTCAGCCCACCGGGCATAATCTTAGCGGTAATTTTCAAGATGCCTTTCCAGGATGGGACAACTCATGAGGCAGGGGTAGCAGGATGCTTCGAAAACACAAATAAAGGCCAAGGGCCAAGGAAACCCTCCTGGGTATTGACCATCATTTGACAACGATCAGACTCTTCTCCTGACACTGAAGGACCAACGACGAGGCTATCATGTCGTCCATCAATCGCCATATGCTGGGTTCAGCGATCACGACACTATTTGCGACGCTCGGGTTTGTCTTTGCTCTGGTAGCAATCACTTCCAAGGAATGGGTGATGCGCAACGAATACTCAAGTACAGACCCTGTGCAATGGCTCGAGAGACAATACCGGCTGTATCGATCACCATTTGCGATCTGCAACTATAACGGCACAAACGTTACTTGCCATCATTTCCACCCCTTCGGAAAGAATACCAGTTGTGAAGCCATCTCGCGAACCGGCAACCTAGATGCAGACAGCTCGGGCGACGCAAGGCTTTGCGAGCAGATCCACCTGGCTGGGCATTTTGCAATCGCCAGTACGACTTTGATATCCGTTGGATTCTTGTTGAGCCTAGCTCTGCTCGCCTTTGCAATCACTATGCCATCAACGACTTCGGAAGATGGCACTGCTGGTAGGTCGCAAAGCAGACATGGCCGCAATCATTCTAAGCATGCACAAGAGGGCGTAGCTGATGGATTAGAGGCAACGCCGGTCGAAGAGGAGTCGACACTCCACAGGCGATCAAGCGCAACTGGATGGTCGTCATATGCCAGCTTCCTGATGTTGGTCTGCTTGAGCATCGGTATCATGACAGCTCTCCTCAGTCAATTTTACACAATATTGGGATTGATTCAATCAGCCCCCAACAATGCAGACTTTGCATCCAGCTCGGCGATCACAGATTCTTCGCTTCGTCAGTACGACTCTTGGTATCAAGGAAAGGCACTAAGTGTATACGAAACCTGTGCATGGGGCTTTGCAGCAGTTGGAACGGTGATTGCCACCAGAACATGGAAGATGCCGGCATGTTATTGATGGTAGCTGACGTCGATAAACCTTGGTGGACCAGAATGCTCCTTTGGACAATCATGAGAATTAGCTTTGGACACGCTTTCCATTATGTATATTTCTTCACCTCAAACACCAGTCCTCTCATGCGTTCCTTCTCCGCGTGCTGTCTTTGAATGTAGTCGAATTTGGAGTCTAGGGACAGCCAATCATTTCACTGCAGTGGATGTTTTGTCCAAACATACATGACACCGACAATACCTGTATCGTGTCGTCTCGTTGCTCCAGCGGTATACCAAACCCACCCCTTTCCCACAAGGACTCAATTTAGTCATCATCAATCATTTCCTGTGCATACGAACTGTTCTCGACGTTGCTGCATGCACGTTTCAGCTGAACGGCCGTTCAGCCAGCTAGTATCAGTAAGCTGGTGTGAACGCCGCCAATGGCCAGCTGCATATTCCTGCAATGTTTGCAGGGCTTCAGCTGGGTAGACAGACAATACGAGCCTTTCAGTCCGCCATGGCTTCATGTGCTCATTCGCAACAGTATCAACGAAGACCTCGTGGGGCCACGAACGTGTGGTCAGTAAAGGTGGCGTGTGTTGCTCGTTTCGAACACTGGCGACCATGAAACGAGGAACCAAGTCTAACACGGCCTCGTAATACTGCTGGTCTCAAGTTGTGTTGATGCAACTCTCTACGTACCTACACAGCATTGAGCCTCGCCCTGAAGTGGCACGTAGCGTTCGGTGTCAATCGATAAGTCAGGAACGTCCATACTCAGTAAAGCACCTATTGAGAATTACTGGAGTCATCACCGCTTTCGAGATCTACACAGTCTCATTTTGTTGTCGTGGCAAAACTCAACAGTCAAATAGCTCATACATAGAGAGATATGCCGCTTGCCGGCATAAACGGCTACAGCATCTCTCCCCATGCTCACATCGAAGGTGGCCAATTCTACTCTTCTAATGCTGAACACAGCAACTATCTTCTGGTCCAGTTCCAAAGCCCTTTGGACCACGAGAGATACGAAGAGATTCATACCCTTAGCCTGCACACCCTGGAGTACCTAGGCGAGAACACGTACCGCTGCCAATATGAACCTGAAGACCTCCAACAAATTCGAACGCTGCCATTTGTGATATACGCCAACGTCTATCACCCAGCTTATGTTATCCAGCCAAGTTTGAAAACCAAGATCAATACGAGTTTGGCGGACTACGAGACTGAGCCTGGTCGGCTATACCACGTCAGCGTTGTATTGCACTCTGAGAACGAGGGAGAACATGGCAAATCGATGCTTGCCGATCTTTTGCGCGTTGAGAAACACCTGCTTGAGGCCGACTGGAAATGTATACATGCCCATCTTACTGCTCAGCAAATAGATGCCGCCGCTGCGCTGGATCAAGTGCTTGCAATCGAAGAGATTCTACCTCTGAGTTATCAACTCTTTCAAGCTCGTCAAGACATTCACCTTCCCCGGGCAAGGCTTTTCGGGTCTGTTCCATACCGTGGACAAGGCCAGGTGATTGCCATAGCGGACCAGGGAATTGATGGGGGCCGCTACATAATCAACAAAGGACGCAGCGACGCCGAGGTGAAAGGAGACGGAAATGATCATCCTGCGTTCTCGGGCAGGATTCTTGACCGCATAGCAGAGAATCGCAAAGCGGCCGACTATACGGGATTAACTCCAGATAAGGATACACTGCTACGACTCACCACCAGGGATAGCATCAGCAGCCATGGCACACACGTCTCAGGTTGTGCGTTAGGAAATGGCAATGCAAGTCCATATGGCCAGGTACAGGGAGCGGCCCCTGCTGCTTCGCTTGTCATGTTCTCTATAAGTTCTGAAAGAGGAGTTCCTTTCATTGAAAACCTGACAGCTCTACTGAAGAGGGCATATCACCACCTACGCGCGCCCAGAATCATCAACTTCAGTCAAGCTCCGATGAATTGGCAAGATAAACCAGCCGTATACAATGCCACTCTGGCAGCAACAGCAGATGCGTTTGTGTGGGCTAATCAAGACATATTGATTGTTGCGTCAGCTGGTAATTTTGGCGCAAAAACACCAGCCCCGTATGGTCAAATATCAGGGATGGGGCTTGCGAAGAACGTCTTGACTGTGGGTGCTTGCCAAACTTCACATTCTTTAGCCTGGGGTGTAGGACTCGACAAGCAAAACAGGCATCTCCAATACCGTCGAAAGGGTCCACGAGGAAATCCAGATACAATGGCCTACTTCAGCAGTCGTGGACCGGCCTATACAGGCACTGGTGCTGCGGATACTGCCCCCTTTCGCTGGAAGCCCGATGTGGTTGCTCCAGGAACGGCCATTCTGTCAGCAAAAGCTCGCGGTAGCACTGGCCCAGGCGATGGTAGCAAATTTGGTACATCTGCCAACAATGATTATGTCTTTGACAGTGGGACTAGTTTCGCTGCGCCTATCGTGGCTGGAGTGGCCGCGCTTTTGCGTCAGGCTGTCATGACCCGGCGAGGCAGAGAAGGGCGGGTGACTGCCGCACTTATCAAAGCACTGATGGTGAATACCACGGACGATATACAGACCAAGCTGCCTGCAGCTTCGCCTATCCCTTACGTTGCTGGGGCACCAGCGCCATTTGGACCAGACCCGCTACCAGGACGAGCGCCGGCACCTGTTCTTCCTGTAGATCCGAGCGGTTCGACAGATTCGGACGATTCAGATGATCCGGGTGTACCTCCTCCAGCATTCCTCTCTGATCCAAAAGTGAATGCAGCTCCCGACGCAACCCAAGGATTTGGTCGGATCAATGCTGAACGAGCATTGACGAATGTCACTGACACCACAAACTGCTGGTTCCTTGACGACGTACCCTGCTCTTTCGTGGCTACTGCCCCCTGGTCGCGAACCGTCAACATTCCGCCGAAGCCCGCCGGTGCACGCGGCTGGAAGCTCTCTGTCACAATGTCCTACACAGATCTCCCGGGAGCGACACTCCAGAATGTATTGGAGCTCAGTATCACGTACACTATGATTTCTAGTACAGGTGGCCACACAGCCGTCACGCGGTATGGAAACGACATGGCCGTTCAAGGAGAACTCCCAAGACCCAGCGAGCAACCTGACACCAACAACACAGTTCAGAAGATTGTCTGGAATCTGGTGCCAGCGGGACAAAATGTCCGCATCGCGGTAACATGCACGCGATTCACTATCATTCCAACACCTTTAGGAACCTTAACGCCAACATTTGCTATTGTTTCGATGCTCGAACGCGTGTAAGGGAGGACATATCAGCAGTTGTTTGTATGCTCGGACTGTCGAGAATTTGAGCGGTCAGCACGAGTGCAGGAATAAATACCCTATGTGAAGCGGAACAGCCTAGGCAGTCACATCAATCATGAAATCTACCTGTGAAAGTACCAGTATTCAAAGTCGTCAACCATGTTGCTTAGCCAAGGCGATGATCAAATTTGTTTCTCCAGGAAAGAACCATTTCTTTTGTTGCCCTCTTATCTTCCCGCCGTTGTTCCTCCGGCACTTCCTGCCGTCGCAGCCTGCGGTAGCCCTGCCCCGGCCAAAGTACCCATCAATTCCAGATAGCCTTCTAGCAGGGTGTACGGGCCTTTCCTGAAATTCTCGGTGCCGGTGTCCTGCGTCACCGACAATGTTGCGAACTCTGGATTTTGCTGAGTACCTGGGGTTGGAGCAGGCGCTGGTGCTGGCATTGGCGCAGGCAAAGTCGAGTAAGGTTGCAACCAGCTCCATGTGCCCTTCTTTCCAGCGATAGGTAACTTTATCTGCGCGCTGGCAGCCATGTCCTTTGTAGGCGGCACATCGATCGTACTGAGGATCGGACCCATATGGAAGAACGCGTGCATTTTCTGAAATGCCTGCTGGACAGCCCATGCCGGCAGGGTCAGACTGACGGTCGGTAAGATCGGTGAGTACCCGTGGATCGGCGTGTAGGGATCCATGATCATAGTGGTGACCGTGTATTGTGCAGCCTTTGCCGCGGTGAGGGATGGATTGGCCGCCACGTCCAGCGGGTCAATGTACTTTGGCTGCAGCGGGAGGAATTGCTCTTCGCCAGAAATGATCTGCACGTGCTTCGGGTCAGGCGGGTTGTCGTCCGCAGCGAAATACGTGTACAGCATGTCCCAGGCCGTGCTTGGATTAGGGTGTCCGTCGTTGCTGGAGGAGAAGTACCCGACGACGCCATCGTATGTGCGTTCCCAGTCCCCAATCTTGAGCGGAAATGTGTACGATGAGAGCTCTGCTTGTGCGGCCTTTGTGCGCTCCGTCCACGAGACCGGAGTCTTCGGCAGGGGATAGGTGTTTTGTGAGGTTAGCGCAGGAGTCGACAGCTCGAGTGACCAACCTACGTTGACTAGGGCCAGTGGTTTGCCGACGACGGCGTTCGCAAACGCACTGTAGTCGCTTGGGGGAAACGGCATGTGTGCGATGCTCCCATTGATCATGTCGAAGAAACTCTGGAGGAATGCTGGGTCATTGAGGCGGTTCATGAGGCCGTTGAGTTGATGGATTTGTGGTGCAGTGGTGTCTGAAGGGAGTTGGGGCGCGAAGGGCAGCCATTTCTTCGAGTCCGACACTAGATTAACGCCACCCTTGCGCAGTTCGCCGTAGAAAGTACCGTCAGCTAGAAAGAATTGGATGCCTTCGTCGGCGTAGTTGATTACCATCCAACCCCATACTGGTTGCTCAAAGTCGAGAGCCTCACGCCATGCCGAGAATTGAGCTTGTCCGTTCTTATCCCTACCCCCAATTTCCTGTTTGAGGAAAGCTGCATTGATACGCGCGGGCTGATTAATGGCGGGCGTCAATTGCATGTACGGACAGAGCGGGTACTGATGTGGAGTCAGCGAAACGCCTTCGTCTGTGGCTAGTGGGAAGACTGTGTTGAGCGTGCTCGGGCCACAGAGGTCCGGAGAGAGGTAGTCGCTCATGCACGGGTAGACCTTGGAAGCAAGCTCCATAGAAGGATCCCAATTGCGTAGGCGACGATTCTGATCGGGAAGGCAGATGGCTTGTCCAAACTTGTCGACGATGTTGAGTTTCGTGAAGGCAAATTGGCCATGAGTGACTGGTTTGAAAGGGTTGTCAGGGTACACGTCCGAGCCAAACGGTAAGAGAGTACCGTAAGGGGTTTGTGCGCTTTGAGCATCGATCAGAGCTAGTGTGGTGGCACACAACTCAACAGCATGAGCCGTGGACGACCCTGAGCCGTCGTCAAGATCTGTTCTCAGGGCGGCATTCAGCACAGCCAAAGTGTTGTCGACATTACGAACGAGGGGCCTGACGTGGGCACCTTCGCAACGCGTTAGCAGATGGCTGGTTAGCCCGTCTAGGGGCGCCGAAAGAAATTTGATCTGGCGTATACGCTGTCGCAGTGCTTGAATTTGATCAGCAGGGCTCGTGGTGGAATCATAACTCAGAGCTTCTTGTAGACCTTTCGGGTTGTTATTCAAGACCTGTAACACCAGTGCCTCGAGACTGAACACTGGCTGAGGTAGGATTGGAACCCGTCCACTGACTGTCCGGAAATCCGTATGGTTGGGATTCCTATGACTCTTCGGATCTTGTTCATCTGCCAGCTTCAACTTTGGCGTATACCGAACTTGCGAGTGATCGTGGCCGACTGGGCTAGGAGCAAGATGAACAGTCCAATGATCCCTGAAGTTGTCGGAGTCGCCGACATGGTAGTAGATAGCTTCCCACTCAATGAAAATCGGAACAAACGGGTTGCCACCTCCCCACTGCCGGAAACCAGTCGTAGTCACAGAAGCAATGTCCCCAGTCATGCTGTCTACCGTGGCTGGATCTCCATTCTTGGTGGTGCTGTTCTGCATAAAAGCAAGCAGTAACCGGGCGACGGACTCTTGCATATCGTTATCTGTCCAGATATTTTCCTTGGTCTGTGCCACAATCGCGTGGCTTTGTGAAGACCTTGGAGGTAATTCTGACTTCATATGGGCTGTTAGCGTGTCCGAAGCATCTGAAGGCCACCCCGAGTCCAACCCAGCAACACAAAGGGTGGGATCTAGTCGAGTCGAAAAGGCTGAATATGGAGCGCTCTTGAAGTGGGTGCTGGTTTTCGCAGCACCCAACGGGCCTTGTAGGACCTGTAACTGTGATTGCAGTTTCTGTATCTGATACTTCAAATCCTTGATCACAGAGGTGTAGAAAGGCGCCCTATTCTTCTTATCAGTGTCAGTCATATATTCGCTGACATATTTCCACCATTCAGCGAAAAGATCCCACTGCATGAGTTGCAGCCTGCGGGACTTAGCATCATACTGAGCCTGTGTCTCGTTGAGGGAGTTCAAGGCCTCCACCAAATCATTTTTTTCAGCTGGCGGTGCATCTGGAATACCACCAGGAACAGGCTGTTGGCTGAACGTCCAGCGTACTCCGCCATCTGAACGCGAGAAGTTTTGTTGCGACATCAGGTCTTGCGCCTTCACCCTGGAGTCGTAGTCATCGGTACTGGCGTAAAGAAATGATGCAATTGCGAGAAGATCAGTAGCGAGTTCACCAGCCTTCGGGTCTTTGAAGAAAGTGCCTGCGTCTGTCTCATGCGCCTCGAGAAAGGTTAGAATGGCATCCAGGGGTGTGGTTCCCATACTCAATGGCTCGATCCTTTTCGCGTTTGTCACACTTAATGGGTCAGTCTTTTTCGCGCTTGTGAAGTTTGCAGCACTATTGTCCGCGAGGCTTTTCTGATTGTTCTTGATGTCAAATATAACACCGTAGATGGCGCCATATACCAAGCATCTAGTAAGAGCTTTACTCCCCCCGAACTTGGTCTTGGAGCCATCGGAAAGTTGCAGTTTCAATGATGCCAGCCGATCAGATAGTCCTCGTTCCGAGCCATTGACGAGAACGGCCTCTTGCAGAGGGTCATCGCCAGCAGCAGAATGCCATCCGATAACAAAATAATCACAATTAGCGTTGGGCAGATAGTGGACTTCTCCAGTCTTCGGATCATTTTCGTATGCAAAATTATCGATGATTGACAGGACGTTAGTATTATGCAGAGCGTAGTCGGCGAAAAATGGATTGGCTGAAGTCATTGGCGTTAAATTCTGCATATGATTCCGTGCCGCGCTCTCTGACCAGGTTGAAAGATCAAACCTCTGACCCAGGAAGACTTCGGTTTGTGAATTGAGGACATCTGAATCGCCGGGGTGGGTGTCGTACAGGACAAAAGGCGACACCTCGCTCTCAAGATCGGTATCATCTGGAATAGTTCCGTCGTTCAGTTTCCGCGTAACATTGCTCTCGACGACCCACGACTTGTACTCGGGTGCTCCAGGAAAGTCGTTGGCGTTGTTGAGGTATCTAGTTATCAGCCAACGATCCGGCATTGTGCGGAAAGCGGGAGGGGCGGTGTTGGTGGTGATGTTGCCGGCTGAATCTTGTTGATCACCGGTGGGCTTTGCAGTACGATATAGTCTGGGCAACGACCACGACAGGTGAACGCCCATACGTGCCCGCTTCAGCGTGTCAGAGGTTGACGATGGATCTGTCGGTGGTGGTTTGCTGGTGTCTGCCATACGTGAGTTCTTGGTAGCGGGCGAGACATTGTGGAAGTCAATGTGGTCCAAGACATCATGCTGGATCAGACGGTTGTCAAGCCTCAGTGCTGTATAGTTTGGTTGTGTATAAGGAGCAATTTTAATGACATTCTCCTTTTCGCAATTTCCAGGGCATAGCGAGAAGGCATCAAGGTGCATTGGAACACATACAGTCTCCATCTTGAGGCTAGTTCAAAGCCTCCCACCGCAAGCAATGAGTGAAGCTCTAGATACTACCGAGGGAATACGCCAAATGATCAAAGGTTGGAAACTCGTTGTCACCTGCTCACGGCGGCGACGATAGCCTGTGCAGCTCAAGGGAGCCTTGCACTTTGCCCATGTTGACCGAGTCTTGCGGTCAATCTGTGGCCAGCGAGACCAAAGTGGACTAGACAACGGCCTGCATAACTGAATAATACGGTATCATGCAAAACCCGTCTGAAAGGTGTATTGCCTGATACCAGCATCGAATGCAAAGAAATCTTCAAGGTTGAAGTAGGCGAGCTGAAATGGAGATCGAAAATGGAAAGCGATCAACATGTCTGCAAAAGGAATAGCGCAAAGCATGATGTGATGACAATGATCTGCTTGCATGATCTTCAGCTCCTTTTCGAGCATGCCCTTTCCTTCCCACAATGTCCAGCCAGCCACTGTTTCCGCGGCACAAAAAAGCCCGAAGTGTGCAATGGAGTCTTGCAGCTCATGCATTGCCCTCCGCTCTCCCATGCTGGAGGTGCTGCATCTCGAATCAAACGGCCAGGAGAATGGCGGCGAATCAATATGAAGGATTTGTTCGGCGGCGCAGACTGACAAACTGGGACGACGACCACCCAAGATGAAATGTATACCTCATCGATGCGTGTTGACTTCGCGGTCTGTCGACGATGAGATACATACAGAGTCAATCTCATGAATTTCACATCTTAAGCCTAGCCGATCATGGCCGGTGATGACTCTTCCCTTTCCATCTTCAATGCCTCTGAAGCAATATCACAGAGCTGGGTTGATTTCCTGAGCACCGATACTGTCGATTGTCCTGTTGTTGCTGGCACCTCAGCCAGTGGAGGGGCAGGAACTTCAGTGACTGAACTCACCTGCACGTCCAAAACGCGATGCTTTGGCTTGTCATTCGACACAGCCTCCAATCAGAGTCGCTTTTCAACCAGCAAGTACAGTGTCGATGACAACACCTACTTACTGTCCTTAACTCCCGACGCATTCTCCAAACAGCTTCCAGGCCTTGAAGAAGTGCTTGAGCAGTTTGGAGTCTTTTCGTCTGCCAGCAGTTCTACTGGTGACCAATTTATCGATAATTTGGTGAAGAATGGTATCGAGAAAATACAAATTGATCCCAACATAACTTCCAGGAACGCCCTCTGGCTCAGCCAAGGCCAGGTCTATCGGTGTGATGTTGCTTTAACTCTCACAGCTTCCCTAAATGGAACTTTTGGAAAAGCAATCAAGGAACGACTCGGGTTCAAAAAAGTCCTGAGTGATTTGGGGAACTGCAATGTGTTGCTACAGAGGACCTGTATTGGTGTACCGAGCACAATCTCGGGCAGTGCTCAAGAGACATGGAGCATCGATTCGACGTACAGCTTGTCCTTCAACTTCGATGCGGCCGGGTTTGCGTTCTGGGTTACCCTGGATCCAGTTGGAGTGCGATTCGATATGATACACGCAGCTAGCACCGACTGGTCTGACCTTACTGCCCTAGGAGTCACCAACAAACTTGATGGCTCTCAACCGCTGGACATCAACAGCTCACAGCCATCATTTGACAAGGTGCTTAGTGACGTCCAGCTCTTGAGACTATCGGCTGGGGTCTCATTGTTAGATGCTGTGTGGTGGGACATAACAGCCAGCATTACTGTCACACACGATCAGGGGGAGAGCCACAAGCCTCTGCAAATATTCTTGGATTTCCAGTATCCGGAAAAGATTTTCACTGGCGGCCTCGTTACGGAAGCATTTTACTCTGCCCAGGGCAACCAACTTCTACCCACATTTTTGCCATGGCAAGCCATCAAGCCTCCTGACGGATTGTTGCCGGGTACATGGGATTTGTCACAGCTTTCGTCTAAAGTCAGCTCGCTTCCTCCTGGACTTCCCACCCAATTTCAGGAAGCAAATGTGGTCCTCAACATGAACGATCCAAAGAGTCTGTCGTTTACAGCGATTCTAGGACCGCGAACCCCGCCCACGGCTGCTGCTCCACCCACTGTACCCTGGCCAAGCACGTTTGAATGGGATACCGTAAACCTTCAAACCAGTACAGCATCGAACTCGTTTTCATGTTCCCTTTCCACGACCTTCACGCTGAACCCCTCACCTCTGGCGAAGGATGCTGATCCCGCCCACATTGGCATCAGCGTCGACTACAATAATGGGGATTGGCTGTTGTCGGGGTATGCACAAAACTTGAACTGTGGTAACCTTGCAGATTGCTTCGAAGCGGGGTATCAAAATGCAATGGCCGAACTGTTAGGAAAGATTACTATAGCCGAGCTGGATCTGACATATGCTTATGACAAGCAAAATGCCGCCTCCAGCTTCCTCTTTATGGGCATCATAACACTCGGCGAGCTCCAACTGCGCCTTGTCTATCAGTATGCCAGCAGTCAAGCAGGATCGGACACAGCTGCTAAGAAGGTGTTGACTGGTGAAGATGCAAAGCTTGCTCTAGATACAGTAAGCCCGAAAGATGGCAAAGTCACATCGAATTGGAGTTTCGAATGTGATCTGGAGGCGTCTGCCCCAAACGCTACCGTCAGACACATTCTCGACTCCATCGTCGACGATGCTGCCGACAATCTGCCGGACTTCATTGCGAATATTCTCATTCCTCAAGGTGATGGACGAGATCTCGTGACGATCAAGGTGGGTAAGAAGGGGGGTGCTCAGGCGGATGATGGAAGTGCCCTCAACAAGGGGACTAGTAATATCATGTTTGTCCTTAGGATCATGATTGATTCGTTTGCACTTTTTATGATACAGGTATCGAACCCGGATCCCACAGTAAAATCTAAGAGGATGTTGCGGTTTGCAGTCGAATCATTGATCATCCCAGTGGATTTCCCGCTCGTTGGGAAGCCGCCGCTGCCCTTCGACGAGCTCGAGTACGTGTGGGTCAATCAAGGCGATGGTTTCACTGAATCAGATGTACAGTCCTTGAACGACAACATGCTGTCCGGACAGGATGTCTTGGTGTACAAGCAGACCAATTCCGGAGACTCGACCACCAGTGGCCCCGTGGATCCGAGCTCGGAGGACTTCTCGCAGGCAGACGAAGCTCACATTACGAAGAACAAGAATCCTGATCCCGTCGCCCTTGTACCAGGACATCACTTCATGGTTGTTCGTACTCAGACTTGCGTTTTGGATCACGTTTTTGTATCGACGCCCGTCACAGCCCCGGATTCAAAAGAAGGTGAGCATACTCAGAGAGGTGGCCAAGTAGTCAAGGCTGCAGCACCACCTGCAGACGAACCAACTCAAAAACCGCCATCAAAAGGAAACGTAACATACAGTCTGGGTCCGTTGACTTTCAGTGCTGTATCTCTGCAGTACAAGGACACATCCGACGGACGATTCATCGCTTTTACATTTGATGCTACTTTTACCATGGGACCACTCATCTTCGCCTTACTTGGATTCGGCTTGGACATTCCGCTACCGGCCAACATGACCTTTGATAGCCTGAGTCATCCTGATACGTTCCTGAAAATCATGGAAGGCGCAAGTCCTACGTTGACAGGCATGTCCTTCTCTTTCAGCAAACCACCAGTATTGATTGCAGGCGGTTTCGAACATGAGGTGACGAAAACACCTGAAGGGCAAGAGCATCGCTTCTTCGGAGCTGTAGGGATTGGCTTTCCTCCATACACATTCGTTGGGATGGGAGAATACGCAGTCGTCAAGCACGCAGGGTCGGATTACAAGTCGGCGTTCTTGTACGCAAAACTCGACGGGCGTAAGTATATTGACCATTCTACCAGGATAAACACTGAAACTTCACAGCTGTTGTTACGGTCGAGTTCGCCACCATCGAGGGCGTCCGGCTGGGTATCGGCTACAATTCGCTTGTACGGCAACCAACAATCGACGAGATATACGGCTTTCCTTTAATCGACGACGGCTCTACTTCCGGAGTGGGTAACGATCCCATGGCCTTGCTGAAAATCATGGTCGAGCCTCCCTCCGGAAAACCACCCTGGGTGACACCCCAGAACGGAGAATACTGGCTCGCCGCAGGGATGACGATTACGGCATTTGCCGTCTTGTCAATCACTGCGGTTGCCATGTTCGAGTTTGGGGAAACGGGTCTGATTATCAGCTTGTTCGCAGATGCCGTTGCCACTATGCCTCCGACTGAAGGTACAGCCCGCAGTGACCTGATCGCCTATGCGGAACTCGGCGTGGTGGCTGAGATGAATTTCTCGGCCGGATACCTTCGCGTTGACGCTGCATTGAGTCCGACCTCATTCCTTCTTGTGCCTGAGTGCCATATCTTCGGAGGATTCGCCTTGTCATACTGGTTCAGCCCTAACGAGCACGCTGGCGATTGGGTGTTTTCTCTCGGTGGATATCACAAAGCCTATCAGCCGCCGGCATGGTACCCAGTCCCAAGTCGTGTTGGAGTCTCCTTCCAAGCTGGTCTCCTTTCGGTCACCGGTGAAAGCTACTTTGCTATCACGCCGCAGTGTGTTATGGGAGGTTCTATGCTTCATGCGAGTATGAGCCTAGGCCCCATTCAAGCCTGGCTAGATACTGCTTTTGACGCACTCATCAATTTCCATCCTCTCCATTACAACGTCTCCTTCAGCGTCTCGATTGGAGTCAGCTTCAATATCGACTTCTGGTTCGTTCACATCCACATCGGCGCCACAGTCGGTGCGCACCTGCAGATTCAAGGCCCACAACTTGGGGGAATTGCACAGTAAGTCCATTCATGCGATCTGGTAGCTCTTGCTAACCCGTCCCCAGTGTCGACTTTTATCTTTTCGGCTTCGACGTCAACTTTGGTGCTTCACCAAGCATACCATCAGCACAAAGTCTTGACCAATTCTGGACGTTAGTCCACAAACCAGGCCCGTCACCAGGCTCCACGTCGAATGTCGAGGCGGCTCATCAGAGCCCACTACAAAGCTGCCTCAGCCTCCACCCGCCACTCCCACCCGGTACACAAAAGACAGTCTACGTCGCGGGTGCTGCACACAAGTTCATCCTCGAGGACGGAAACTTCCCACAACCCAAAACCACATCTGACACATCGACTACGAGCCCACCACCAAACACTGGCGCTGGAGCACCCTGGTACGTCAAAGCCGGCACATTCAAGTTCCGCATCGCCTCGGAATTTGCGCTTTCGGAGGCAAGAATGGTTGTCCAACCAGCACCAGGGGGCCAGACCAACCCCAATTCACCGATCTTTGTGCCCGCTCCGGCGCCATTCCTATTTTCCCGGCCCATGCGAGTCAGCCGGGAGGATGGGCCAATCTGGTCAAGCCTCCAAGTGACAGTGTACTACGAGAAAGGCACCAAGGACGAAAAGATCATTTCCAACTGGTCCAATCTCGGCTTCGACATCAAGAACGTCCCAGCCGCGACATGGGCGCCGTACGACGTTAATCTTGACCCCATCTTCTCGACGGATCCCAAAGCTATGATCGGGCAGAACGGCGGACCTATAACGGTCCCACTAGCAATGGCCTTGAAACTTTCTGCACCGCCACCTATATTGGCTGAGAGTTTTATCCCGGCGTTCTACGCCAGCGACGCTGCGAAGTTTGGGATCCTGGATTTTCGCACCAACAAGACATCGGGAACCGACTGGCATGTGCCGGTTGAAGGTCCTTTGCAGACAAATTTCATTCCCCGCGCATTGACACAGGACGAGAAGCCACCGGACCCGAGCTTGTCTGTAGACCAGCAGAGGACCATCAACAAGATGAGATGGGCCAAGGTGAAGACCACATGGAGTGCGCTGGCTACTGATCCGGCTGCTCGAAGCTTCATTGGTGGGAAAACGAGTGATCCTACGTCTACGCCAACAGCGGCACCGGCACTGGCACCAGTAACACCAGCAACGACATCAGCACCGGCACCGACACCAGCACTTGCGCAAGAAGGCATGATCGCGCTCTTCAAAACTCTGTGCGCATGGGACACGCAGCGCCCAAAGGACGAAAGCCCGGTAAAATTCACGCCGCCAGGAGCGACGGCCGCTACTACCATCCAACCATGGGATCTCAACGGTGCGTTTCCCTTGAACATGATTTCTGGCTTTGATGATGTATACATGGATTTGCCAAGGATGGGAATTATCCTCACGCCGACTATGCGGCTGTGACTTGGACACATAAGTACGTATAAGAGGGTAGATTTGTCCAGTAGGAGATCAAATTCCTGAGCGTCCAGCACAGAATCGTTTTCGACATATGTATTCGAGCATTCGAGGCTTGTGACAATGTGCCAACTACAACATAACATTTTGCCAGTATTCCAGTCGGCCGTCACTCATTTCGCGCCGAGGGTATATATGAGGTAACAAACCTCCTCACACGGCGCTTCTTCCAGCCACTGCTCAGGCTTTGTGGCTGTGGCATATATGAACACAGCCTCGTATACCCAGTCACTAGGAGCACTTGCCAACGGCCTTCCTTGGGGAGTTTCGTAAAACCTCGACATCCCGTCGGCGCAACACTTTGCACGTCCACCTATTGGGGACCAAACGCCAGAAAATAAAATTGCTTTAAGCCTTTCCCCTCAATTTGAGGTAAACCAATAGTCCCCATTGAACGACAAAGAAACTCGAGTGATGCTCCAAAGGCTTTCCAGGATTGACAAGCTGGATTTCGTACCGCCGCAAAAGCTGAGGCAGGACTTTGTTCATCTCGAGCAGAGCAAGATGTCGACCGATGCAAACGTGCGAGCCGCCACCGAACTGCAAATCACCCGTTAGCACCGACGTCCCATCATATTGAGTGGCTGAACTCACCTGGAACATGCATCTCTCCATCATCTTGATTTTCTCCTTGTCACCTTCGATCCACCGTTCAGGTCTGTAGACCTCGGCATCATCGCCGAAAATGCTCGTATCACGGTGCAAAACCCATCCGTTCACAGCCACTTCCGTGCCACCGGGCAGCTTGACACCACCAAGTTCGACTCCCCCGGGCGGGACCTTCCTTGTGATGTTCAGCCCCACGGCCGGGTTTATCCTCATTGCCTCCTTCAAGCACGCCTGGAAGTAGGGAAGAGTTTGGGCTTCATTGTAAGTGACCATCTCCGACAGATTGGCCGACAAAATTTCCTGCATCAGCTTGTCGTGAACGCGCTTGTTTGATAGAACCTGCCAGCAGAAGCTCTGCATCGTGCTTGCTGTGCTGTCACTGCCGGCGAAAATGGCACCGTGGGCAATCGCAAAAACATCGCCCTTGCCGAGTGCTTCAGGATGTTGCTTCTGAGCCTCAATCAAGCTGTTCAAAAGGTCCTTGTACTCGACTTCCTTCTCATGTGGGTTGGTGCGCTTTTCGAGTTGGCCCAGAGCAGTCTTAGTGATCAGGGCGTTCTTCGTTGCAAGGAAAGGAATGTATTGCCAAAGCGGATTGCGTCGGAAAAGGTGGTCAAGCCACGGAACCTGGCCGATCAGGCCATTGTACCATTGCGAGTCGTCAATGGTTTTGATGGCGCCATCGACATCGACACCAGCCTCTAAGAAGCCGAACTTCTTGGAGAAGGCGACCTCTCCTAGGACCTGGGGAGACGTTGAGTTAGCACCAGTGGATACAGCAATCTTCAACACTACTTACATCGAATGCAAAGAAATGGAGGTAATCTCCAAGATCACAGACTTTGTTGGGGGTAGCGAAGTCATCTAGCCTGCTGACCAAGAGCTGCTCAGTTTCTTCGATCCGCTCCACAGATTGTTGCATGGTTGCCAAACTGTACGGTGTAGCGGCGTATCGCTTCTTGACGCCATGGACAGACTCTCGAGTCTCAGTGAAGATATCTGGATTCTCAGGCGGTGGGAAAACGCCATAGAAGTCGGTCTTGTGGAACCCTTTTCCAGTCTTGAACAACTCGAGAGCGGCCTCGGGCTGTGAAAAGGAAACCTCGTTGGGACCAGTGCGAACGACTGGTCCGTATTTCTTGTGGATTGCGATATGGTGTTGTTCGTTCTTGCCCGTCCATACACTCCACATCTTCCATACCCTCGAGCAAGATGCGATGTATGGGCCTGGGAATTGTCGAAGCGGCGAGGCATACCGTTTGTAGAGTGGTCGTGCAACCAGCAGCCCGAAAAGGGCAATGAAGGGGAGGAGGATTGGATGGGCGACCAGGAACGTCCACGCGACCAGCACGGCGGATTTGGTCACAGGAGCCTCTGTCGTTGTTATCGTGGTTTCCGTCATATTGATGTTTGAGTCTGGGGAAGGCTAGTATTCGGCGCCGGAAGATGGAGAGACACGACGAAGCAAGAAACAATTAAAAGGATCGCAAGAACAGTCGCAAAGCCATCTTTGAACCAGCCCTACCACCCACCTTCCACTGGTCTATCCTTGATCGACCCAGCTGGTGTCACCCTCCACGCTCGTAAACACTTCTGGACCTCGCAGTTTCCCCGTTCTCACGAAACGGCAGAAGCCCCACCTCGAGGCAGCCCCACGATCTCAATCGCTTCCTACTGAACAAGGGACATTGTCGATTTTGCGGGTGAAGCCTGGACTCTCTCCGGACTCCGGACAGTCTTACCGACACCTGGCTTTTGGAGATCGTGCCCATGGTTGGAGCTGATGGCTTATGAGAACTGACCGTAATTAGGCCACATCAACCGCCGTGGATTCCATGCATATCTTCGTCTCCAGATTCCGCAGACGATCACCAAGACAATGATCAGACAAGTCTTTGTTGCTGACTTCGAGAATTCCTTGACCGTCGATCCATTAAGCAGTTACCCATTCAATTCGCGGAATGTTGGTGCGGGAGCAAAGTCTCCCATCCAAGGTCGCTGCTCAGCCTTTGAAAGGTGTGGAAGTGATTTTTACCCCACAAAACGAGATCTCATCACACGACAGACTGCACTGCACTGCACCGTCCCCTGCCGTTCTACCCCACATGTCGGCATACCACGGTGTTCGGTAATATTTTTACTGGCATCGTCGATTGGATGATTGAAACATCGTGAGTGCCGATCTGATTTGGCCTACCAACACTCAAGATGCTGCCATGGATATTAGTTCTTGTTGTTGAACAATACGTAAGGCAGCACCTGTACAGTTTTGACGCGCAAGGTAAGGAGCGCTGGGCTTTACAAGCCTGGTGACCGCCGTGTATTTATCCCATGATATTGTATCGTTGTTAAATCCCAACGCTGTACGAACTTTCTGAGTGTAAGTTGGCTGCTCAAATCCGATGGACCAATTCGAGATTGCAAGGGTTTCGATATTCATGGAACAAGAATGATGAGAGACTATCAATTGTGCGAGTTGAAGCATTGAATGGATCAGCTGTTTGTAACAGTCTTGGAAGATGGTATATGCGGCGTCAATACCTCCGGAGGGATGAAATGGCAGATACTCGCCGTTAAAACCAACGGCAGCTTTGATTGGTAGCAGGAAATGCAGTTTTCGAGCACGCTCGGTTCTATCCAATGTGCCGAAGAGAACTTTGTCGGACCAGGGGCGGCAGAGGCTTCATCGCTGGCATTGGTCATTTCAAGATGTACAGTCGGACTGGCTATTGCATGTGCATCGCGCACGAGAGACATGGCCACAATGTACCAGGCCAATCCACCCTCATTTCCACATGACCTAGAGAGATAAGGGGGATGCTGTGGATTCGTGCAAAGGCTTTCCATGGTTCAATGAGACAATGTTGAAAAGCATGCCCTTCTCAAACGAAAAAGTTGTTGCAACCCTCTCAGCATTCATCATGATGGTTGGAATAGAAGCGCCTTGCCTGAATGAGAAATCGACCAAAGATGCCCCGAACCTCGGTCTTGGACGGAGTTCTGCTGCATCCCGGGGTATTGGAGATGATGATGACTTTGTCCGTCAGCTGATGTCGACCTTTGATGATGAAAGAAAACTGAGGAGTCCGGTCGAGTCAGCAGCGCGCCGTCATGCCGTAGTAAGGCATGCTCACCGTTCACACTGCTGGGAGGTCAAGACCAAGGAAGAGGCATTCAGCAAATGCAATTGCACTGTTTCAAAATTACAGAAGCTTCAGACAAATCACCCACAAATTTTGAGGTCCTCATGTGCGTCATGTCGGACGTACTTCACCAAGCAATAAATGCAATGGACTCCATCATACGTCCATGAATTGTATAACATGAATAATTCCCACTCGAGAGATTTCCAGATCAATTTTCACCTCAAGCCGTGGCAGCCCACTGGTTTCTGAAGTTGTTCAAACCAGCCATCATACCCAAAAAGCCGACAAAGCCCATATTGAAACCCTTGATACCCTCTGGATACAGGCTGTAATGCACAGCGACGGGCATCCAGTATGCCGCAGTCATGAACTCATTCCACCACTTGCGATCAAAGTCTTCCTTCTCCTGAGAGGTTCGTCCGACCTTCTGCTGTTCAAGCTGAGCCTCACGCTGTAGGCGGAGGAAGTCGCTGGCCACACCGACCAACCACGCACGGCAGCTCCATGCGACCCATTTGGCAACGCCGCCGCGCCTCTCAACAACGGTCAAAGGGATCACGCCCTTGAGACCCAAGTGGTAGACATTTTCAAGTGCCTGGAAACCGATATAGGCGCTGCACTGGATGAGTGCAACGCGTCTGAGCGCAAAATCCATTTCAGAGGCTGTCTTCTTGGAAAGCAATGACCTCAGCCATAGGTACATGGGAATCAAGCCTGTCAAACGCAATGTAGTACGCGTATCGGAGATCAAGGCGCCCAGAGGGGTGAGAAACGAGGTAGGTGCCGCTGGAGCGAGCGCGCCGGGGGCGATCTTCTGGGGCGTACGACCTATGAGGCGGGAGATGTATGCGATGACAGCGGCGCGCGTGGGCGATTGCGCATGAAGGTATGCGGCAAGGTAGATGGAATAGTTCAGAGTAGAAAGGGCAGCGCCGAGACCTGCGGTGGTCTTGATCAGTCTGTTTGCTTGCAATTAGTATACGAGCATTCTTCAATTCCATCATTGTTGCAAGGAAGCACAAACTCACTTGCTAAGGCGCAAGATGATCTCGTCAGCCTTGGAAATCGTCGTCTTCACGTCACTGGGCAATTTGGCCAGTCCAGGTGTCTGCGATGGCTTGATCGGCTCGATCTCTCTCTTCTCAACCTCTCCAACATTCTGAGGGACAACCTCCGCATCTGGGTGCGTTGCTTCGGTGCTCGACATATTCAACAAGGAAAGCTTTCTTGCCCTTCAATGTGCAGGGACGAAGTAGATCAAGCGGGAACAGGCAAGAGGATATTCGACGTGAGCCGGAGAAACACCTGCTGCTTCGGTCAGATTGTAAGCACCCAGCGAATTCGGCCGTAAAGGACTATATCACAATGTCCTGCTCGTAGCAAGAGCAATCATAATCAAGGAAACCGAGAATCTGGGGTCAGCGTCCACGGACTCGGGCCGTGGGAGATGCGTCCCATCACTGTACCGACTCTACCGAGGCACATTAAAGCCAATGTCAAGGTCAGCATCACGTGCCTGTAAGGTTCAGGCCGAGGAATGTACGATGCCTCCCGCCACTACGACGCAGTCACGTGCTTGTCTAGTCGGCGGGTACCGCCCTGCATCAGAATTTGCGGAGGCGTGCGCTTGATTGTTCGCTCAGCCTCGCAGTCAGGGTCTTCTACAAGTACGTACTTCATGCCACCCTGATAGGCACCTGCATTTCATTTGAAACATACACATAAAAGAACTTCGGATTGCTCGCTACACAAAGGCGTCTCCCTAAACTGTTACCTAGGTACCGACCTAACATACGCACATCACCATCACCATGACCTGTGGCGACCTCTTCCTCGGCCTCATTGCCGTCCTCTTTCCTCCCATTGCAGTCTGGATCAAATCCGGAATCTGCTCCTGCGACTCTCTGATCAACATTCTCCTCTGCATGCTGGGATATGTTCCAGGGCTACTGCATGCCTGGTACATTATCGCCCGGAACCCCGAACGTGACTACGATTACGAGGCCGTCCCAGACACCGAAGGACAGCGCGTCACATACTACTACATTCGACACGAGCCTTCACGAAGAGATTATGGTACACAGCAGCAAGGACACAACCGGCCTGCCCCGCCACCGCCGAAGGCTCAAAACCGGCCTGCACAAAATGGTCAGGGAAGCAACAGACCGGCACCTCCGCCTCCTGCACAATTGGAAGGACCGAGCGTAGGTGCAGGGAGCGGAGATCAGGGTGCCCCTCCCAGCTACTCAGATGTTATTAAGGGAGACAACAAAATCCAAAGTCAAGACTAAGCACCTATGCCTAATGAACGCGGTGGAATTGTATGAATGTAGTGTCTGAAAGCCTGTTCAAGTCGGGACATTCCGTCGGCGTTTAGGGGTTGTATGGCTTGACAACTACAGTTAATGCGCTCTTGAGGTCGGGGGAGTCTCAGTCAGCCGGAACATTTCATGATCTTGTCTTCAGTCCTGTCAATATCATAATTTTAGAGTTGTTGATAATTCTGACACGACCCTTCCTCTCTTCTCGCATGGCATTTGAAGTTTTCTGGATGCGGGCTGCTGCTTTCGAGGACTGCATTGTCTATCATTGCCACCTTTCAGGATGCTCGGGATGGTTAGTATTGATTGTTCGAAGAGGCCTACACTTTGGCGTTGATGATCTGAACGACTGTATGATGTATTTGATTAGCTCTTTGGTATTGTCACTGAAGAACCATGCGTGCTTACACTCAGGCTTTAGACTCGCACCGCCGACCAGGAATCCATCCACGTCAGATTGTTTGGCCAGCTCTCTGCAGTTCTTCTCGCTAACGCTGCCACCATAGATGATCCTTGTTTCTTCGGCGACTTCGGACGAAACGGCTTCGGAGAGCCATTTTCTGATAGCCGCGTGGACCTCTTGTGCTTGCTCTGCAGACCAAATCAGCATGCCAAACCCTGCAAATGCAATTGCCGTTACTTACCAGTTGTGGCAACTTTGCCTGTTCCAATAGCCCAGATAGGTTCATATGCGATCACGACATTCTTCCAGCCATCCTTGCCAATGGTCTTGTTAACAGCCTCTAGCTGTCTGGTGACGACCTCGGTAGTAACTCCCTGTTCTCTCTCCTCAAGGCTTTCACCACAGCACAGTATTACGCCAATGCCGCCATCAAGTGCAGCTTTTGTCTTTGTAGCCACGAAGTCGTCTTGCTCGCGGAGAATCGTGCGGCGCTCGGAGTGGCCCAACAGCGTCCATGTGATGTTGCTGTCCTTCAACTGGGTGACAGAGATCTCACCGGTGAAAGCACCGTGGGGTTTGTCGAAAACATTCTGGGCAGCAACTTCGATATTTGGGCCGAGATGTTCGCGTGCCAGGAGTAGGTACAAGCTCGGGGGAGCAATGACAACTTCGGTGTCGGGATCTATATCAAGACGTATGAGTATAAAACTGCGCCGCTGAAGGTCTCTCGAAAAAAGAAGCCGGAGGAAAGGTGCTTCAGGAGAAACCGCATACCAAGCTTGGAAGTAGACAGATTGTGGACGATCTCTTTGATGGACTTGATTGTCCCATTCCTGTAGAAGAACTTTATTTAGCAACATGGTCAACATCGAGTACAGCATCTATGGATGCTCTGCTTTTCCATGAACGTACATCTTGAAGTTACCTCCGACGAAGAATTTGCGACCCATGTTGGCGGTTGTAAATTGCGATTAGCTGGGCGTGTAAAGGTCCTGTGCGAAACGGTCGAGAGTGCTATGAGGATCTGGGAGGAATAGAAGCTCAAGATTCAATCAGAAAAGAACCTTCAATTCGAAACAAGAGCAGAGACGTTCAGCGGAGCGACGATCTTTGGATTTCTTCTGTTGACAGCGGGGCTCCCAATGACGCCCGAGGGGCTTAAGGCCCGACGAAACGGCGGCTGGTTTTATCGTCGAGGTCCCGAGTTTTCACGATAAGACCTAAAAGCAGCGATATCCGGAATCGTGGAATCTATTTCACTGGTACGGTATCACTCATTCCTGCCGCCTCTCGAGTGAGTGAATGATCGTTGCGTACCTCCGTGTCTTTGATATTTTTCTCCAGCGTCGCAGCCTCTTATATAACATGCCCTAGATGCCAACATCTGTCAGATCATGATCGGCTTCTCCCGGTCCTGAGCAACATCACCAAGGCCTTCGCTGTCCTCCAGGTGGGATCAAATTGTCCATCCCGATTCCTTCCGCTTGACGCAAGTACACATCTCACAGGAATGGGGGTCACCGGCCTGAATCGTTCTACTACAACGAATGGAGCAGAGCAGACCACAAAAGGACAACTTCAGACATGACAGTCCCACAATCTCAGACAAGACAGTCTGGCGCTGACCGACTCCTCGACAAATATCGTCTCTCCTGGATCGCACGCGCGTGAAGTTCCCATTTCGCGTTGAATCCATAAAATCGCAGCCTACGACTACTGTCCAGTTTGAGTCTTGCCGACGTCCCGAGGGCCCACGGTTGGTCATATCGGCTATATTGTTCCATCCTCATGAGGGCGACAACTCGTTGCTCCGTGCGTGCTACACATTCAATGGTGGTAAGTGTGATGGTACTCGTCGCTTACTTCGCTTCGAGTTTTCCAGCTAGCTCTCGCCGTTCCGAGCTGCATGTCGAGGCCCCTCGTGGTCAGTTACCAGCCTCATTTCCAGCTGACATCTCGCTTGAGTCGCTTATACTCGATTTTCTTCGGTGGTCAGTGCGCCCATAAGATGGATTCTGCCGACACCGTGCCACAGGAGGGCCCATTGCCCACTGCCACAAGGAGTCTGGATTTCCACAGCAGCGTGCGACAAAGTACAGGTATCATGCACCTGGGTGGAAATCTCGATGGTAAGGTGATGGAGAAACAGGGCCCGTCCTCGTCGCCACCATGATCAGAAGAACGTCCAGCACAGACCCCAGTCTTCAGGCATGAATGGACAACAACGATGGTGCACCTTGGCACTCCTGGTAGTCGAAGTAGACTTTCCCTCTTCGGATAGTATTGACTGCACGACCGTTGCGAAACTCACCCCAGAGCGTCATGAGGTGAACGGTCACGTCGATGGCGTGTGCGATAGTTGCACGGAGCGGATCATCCGACGAGGCGTTAGCCAGTCCGTGCGTTCAATAATCGATTCATCACTTAAGTCTTGGACCCTTCAATGAGCCTTATCACTAACCCCGTCACAAAAGAACTGGGCGCATCCTCCACTCACATGAAGGTCAGTAGATATTCCAAGGATTTGCAAGTGGTGGAAAGAAGTCTGAGGTTCTTTCGATTTACACAGACGAGCACACTATCAACAACATCATCATGATGCTACCAGATGGAATGAGGCACCTCGGCAGGCGAGACCTCTATACTTCGCTTCACACCAGAGTAACATATCTTCTGCAGTTCCTGGAATTTGGTCCCAGTATGTATCTCTATCCTGGCTCTGAACGTTGCTATCGTGTTACTCACCATTTGCAGACGATGTCGCTGCCATCGTTGAAGGACAAAAGTACATCAAGGCCAAACTTCCGGATGTTGTCGACAAGGTGTACAGAAAGGTTCTGAAGCACGACCTTACAGCAAGAATTTTCTGCAATCACGATACCCGTGACGAGGAGAACCCTCTTGATTGGGCTCGAGAGGCAGACCCTCAGATTAAATCCAGGAAGATGAAAATGAGATGGTATCTCACGAAACTCTTTTCTGATCCCACAAAATCCGAATACTGGGAATACCTAGACAAAGTTGGGTAAGCTTCATTCTGTCACTGTGTCCTACGAGGATATATTCACTAACAGCCGTAGCCTAGGGTACGTCGGTAAAGGACGACCACATCCTGTGTATATCGACTATATATTCCTAGGAGCAGCACTAGGGCATATCCAGGACTCCGTCACAGAAGCAATATTCTCCCATACAGAACTAGATCTTGCCCGCAAGATAGCACTTGTGAGAGCATTTGGCAAGGTGATCTGGATTCAAAATGACCTGATGGCCAAGTGGCATGTCGAAGAAGGCAAGGAGTATTGCGAAGAAGGCGAAGCTGACCGGCGCCAATCAGAGGTGTCTGAGCCAGACGGGTTTCCCGATGATCAGAGTGTGTCGGACAGCTTGGACAGAGGGTCATCATACTCCAGAGCGTCATCATACTCAAGCTCGTCAGATGAAAAGCGCACCAGTCTCGGTCGGAGACTCGAGCAGATTCGCAGCAAAGAAGCCCGCTACTGCTCCAACACCATGGAGCCAAGTAGGGAAGAATGTATGGAGAGACAACGAGCCGCCGTGCACTGGAGGCCAAAAGCTGATGAGGCTGAGGAGGTCTTCGCGGCGTCATGAAGTGCCAGCTGTCGAAGCATGAGAACTTAGTTATAGTCATGATTTCTAGATACCCAATGTCAATACAATTTATGAATATGTACAACAGCAGTAATTCCCTGGTGAAGGAATTAAAACTACTGTATTCCGGAGCCTCTTGCTGTGATGGATGCTCCACCGTAGAATCACCTCTTAATGAGTCATGGAATGATAGTCTCGATTCAGAACTGACTCAAGTTTGCTAACATTTTTCTGCCTTTGCCGGTCGATCACTTCGAGATTTGATTCTGAGAAATGCGACGATAGATTACCAGCCTTGGGTGTTCTGGCTCGACGATCACGAACTGACAATATCGTACTGATCCCCGTTCATCTGTTCATACACCGCTCCCTGTTTCCCGGACTTTCATCAAATCTCCCCTGTTCTGCGCCTTACAGTGGCAATGGCTGGAAAACACTCTGACACTACAGACGGCGCGCCTGCAAAACGGCAAAAGACGGCAGGAGAGATGAATCCTGAAGATAACCCATATCTGTCGCACTGGTACGAGGACGACACCAATGGCAATGGTAACGGCTATTCCACCCCTCCTAATCGTGCCGATGGACCTCTTTCCAAACTACAAAGACACAAGACTACGGCTGCACAAGCGCGGGCTGCCGAAGACAGCAACGCCAATCCTTTCACCGGTCGGCCGTTTTCCGAAAGATACATATCCATCTTGAAGACGAGGAGAGATCTTCCCGTACATTCACAACGCGATGAGTTCCTTCAATTGTACCAAAAGTCTCAAATCCTTGTCTTCGTTGGTGAGACAGGTTCAGGAAAGACCACTCAGATACCTCAATTCGTCATCTACGATGATCTGCCGCAACAAGAACGCAAACTGGTTGCTTGTACACAACCTCGACGAGTGGCTGCCATGTCGGTGGCAGAGCGTGTGGCACAGGAGATGGATGTCAAACTGGGCGAAGAAGTCGGTTACAGCATACGATTTGAAGACAAGACCAGTCAAAAGACCATTCTCAAATACATGACCGACGGTATGCTTCTGAGAGAAGCCATGAACGACCACGAATTGAAGCGATATAGCACCATCATTCTCGATGAGGCTCACGAGCGAACATTGGCCACCGATGTTTTGATGGGTCTATTGAAAGAAGTCGTGCTTCGGAGACCGGACTTGAAGTTGATAATCATGTCCGCAACTCTAGATGCCCAGAAGTTCCAGCGGTATTTCAATGATGCACCCTTGCTTGCGGTACCTGGTCGAACTCATCCCGTCGAGATCTTCTACACTCCTGAACCTGAACGAGATTATGTGGAGGCAGCAATCCGCACCGTCCTTCAGATTCATGCAACAGAACCAGAAGGAGATATCCTGCTGTTTTTGACCGGAGAAGAGGAAATCGAAGATGCATGCCGGAAGATATCCCTGGAAGCGGACGAGATGATCCGTGAGGCTGATGCAGGTCCGATGAAAGTCTACCCCCTATATGGAACACTGCCCCCTGCGCAGCAGCAAAAGATCTTTGAGCCAGCACCTCCTCCACGGCGCCCCGGTGGCAGAGCAGGGCGTAAATGTATCGTCTCTACGAACATCGCCGAGACGTCTTTGACCATCGATGGTATTGTCTACGTGGTCGACCCTGGCTTTTCGAAGCAGAAAGTATATAATCCTCGCATTCGTGTCGAATCTTTGTTGGTATCGCCCATATCGAAAGCATCCGCTCAGCAGAGAGCTGGTCGTGCGGGTCGTACTCGACCTGGTAAATGTTTCCGGTTATACACAGAGGGAGCCTTCAAGAAGGAGCTCATCGAGCAGACCTATCCCGAGGTACTCAGATCGAACTTGTCATCGACCGTGCTAGAGTTGAAGAAGCTCGGTATCGACGACCTGGTCCACTTCGATCTTATGGATCCTCCGGCTCCGGAGACCTTGATGCGGGCTTTGGAAGAATTGAACTACCTTGCATGCCTGGATGACGATGGCAACTTGACAACAATGGGCAGACTTGCGTCCGAGTTTCCCCTCGATCCAGCGTTGGCCGTCATGCTCATTTCGTCACCCGAATTCTACTGCTCAAACGAAATTCTGAGCTTGACAGCTCTAATTTCCGTGCCTCAGATCTTTGTGCGACCGGCATCGGCGCGGAAACGAGCAGATGAAATGAAGAACCTCTTCGCCCATCCCGACGGTGACCACCTGACTATGCTAAATGTGTATCATGCTTTCAAGGGACCAGAAGCGCAGGCCAACCCAAAACAGTGGTGTCATGACCACTTCCTCAGTCTACGAGCTCTACAGTCTGCTGACAACGTACGAATGCAACTCAAACGCATCATGGAACGCGAAGAGTTGGAATTGATGTCAACTCCTTTCGAAGACAAGAAGTATTACGAAAACATCCGACGAGCATTGGTGTCCGGATTCTTCATGCAGGTTGCCAAGAAGGAGGCCAATGGCAAGACCTATACGACAGTCAAAGACAATCAAACTGTCCTTTTGCATCCCAGCACGGTCCTAGGCCAGGAGAGCGAATGGGTCGTCTATAATGAGTTTGTTCTTACCAGCAAGAACTATATTCGGACGGTCACCGCCGTTAGAGGTGAATGGCTCCTTGACATTGCTCCCGGGTATTACGAGATAGACAGTTTCCCCAAGGGCGAGGTCAAGACGGCGCTGCAACGGCTGCACGAAAGAGTGGCTAGACGGCAAAAGATGAAGGGCGGAAGATGATTAGACTGAGGACAAAAGCCCGGCTCGGAAGAGAACTATTATTAAGCGGTGAGGACTGGTCAGGGGCTTTCACGGTCAGCATCGATGTTACGCAAACGCCCCCTGCTTTGTCGTGGCGATGATCACGGCTTAAGGTCAATCGCGATGTCTTATGTTAGGACTGCTGATTATTGTTTTACTGATGCCACGATAGGAAGGGCATTAGACAGCGTCTATGAAGATGGCTCGCGCACTGAGCTCGAAATAAGTGTGCAGTTGTGCATACTCTATCCAGCTCTACCATTACTTTCAAAAGACTTCTCTTTGCAATGTGGTGATTAATCATGCTCGAGATGCTATGCAAGTCATGTTACTCAACAACGTTGTCCGCATATTTTCTATGAGGAAGTATCCTTGTCTGATATTAATTGTGCCAGGAGAAGCGGTCAAGATGTCTCTCTCTGGCCATTGGGCAGTGGTATCTCCACATCTCACTCCTCCTAGTCCTCAGCCTCATGTCTAGCTCATCGTTGTGAATGTTTTCTCGACAACGACACTCAAACCCTGGCTCTCTGGCTTCGTATCTCACGCTTGCAAGTATGCCGCGCCCCCGGTTCAACGCCCTATGCGGTCAGAACGTGGTCAGCCCTACGACTCCGACTTCCCTGGCTTCGGGCCCCAGAGCGAATTAGGGCTACTTGGGTCAACTGTTCTACGGGCAGGAGGCAGTGCCTTTAGCACAGCAACGACAGAGGAGAGTCAAATACGAACGGCGTCGCCGTGAACAGGCAAGGTTCTCTCCTCGTGTCTGTGTCTGGACTGATTGGTCCGAATGCGCCTTCTCTTTTCGGGAACCCTGGTCGGAGGCAGAAAGGGGCCTATATCCTATCGAATTCAGAATGTGTTGGTTTGTATCCCGAGCTTGACTTGATGGTCTTCGCAGCACCAGTCACTGTCTTGACCCAACCGCACACCATAAACGACTGCACAGTGACTTTCAGATCTGCAATGCTATGGCTTTGAATACCGTGAACAAGGTCGAGAGCCCGGCTCCCACGACGACATACTCTAGCACAGCTGTCCGTCCAGCCAAAGACTCACCAACGACTTCCGTGACAGGATCAAACACGACGACTCTCGTGGCATCCGTCAATCCTACGTCCAAGACAATTTCACTTTCAAGCAAGACCTTTGCCATAGCAGGCGTTGCTGCTGCCATCGCGGTAATATCGACCATAATCCTCGGCCTAACAATATATTGCTGTCTGCGACGGAGGACATCACGAAAACTTCGAGGTCAGGCCGATCCCTTTCCAGTCATGCGCAGGGGCTATAGAGCCCTTCATGATGACACTGCAGTCGGTGAGTGCAAAAAACTTTTGATGGCAAGGAATTGACGATTGACTGTTCTTGTTGCCAGATGAGACGAGCCTACCACATCGCCCCCAGAGGACTCTGCTCTCATCGACCAGGTACTCACCGTCCACTGGCGTCGACAGCTCGACCTACACCATGGGTGAGAAGCGTCAAGGACCGGAGCCGCAGGAGATGATGGGTGTGGGGTTGACACCTGAGGAATTCGATCGCCGTAGCAACTCCAGATCACCGGCACTTTCTGTTGAGGGTCCTGTCGAGCTTGCCTCTCAGCGCTTCTCTGCTGTGATTCCAAAAGACGTGGACGAGGAGCAGCCGCGGCCTGAGACGAGACCGGGGAGGAGAAGAGAGCGACAGTCACAGTTGAGAAGCAGTCCAGCTATACGGGATTTGCGTGTTGAAGCATCCCGAAGCCCGTCTGCAAATCCAGCCGGAAGACTGCTTCCCAGTGGTTGAACAGACCAACTTACTCACAGTGTACTTGCATTCAGTCCGGAGAGAGCCGCTAGGACTACAGCGGAGACGACATGGTATGTGAGATTACCAACTCATTGTCGCATACGCTGTATCGCTGCTGACCCGTTAGCTTGCACAGGAATCCTTCAAACACTTTGACGCCGGTATCCCGGTGACAAGACAACATGAACTTTGGAATGTCTTGCGTCGGAAACGGAACGCAGTATTGCCGCTAAGGCGAGATTCTAGTCGGTGAGCGTCAAGGGACTGCGATGTCTTCGATATTGGGATATCTTGATCCGGGCAGGGAGCATGGAAAGGAAATTAGAAATCGGATCTTCTCATTTGCTGGGAATAGACGAGGCTGACATGAAGCCTTGCCTGAAATGGTTAGATAATCTCTCCTTGGATCACGTGAGTATAATTTTTCCAGATCGAGGATTCATTTCAGTTTGTAGAAATCACTTTCTGGCACATTTGGAAAAGGACTTTAGTATCTGCTTCGCGTTGAGCTTCATGTTCGCAAGTCGCCCTCTATATTCAGCGCGACTAAAGACCTTTCCTTCAGCCGCGAGACGGTTCCAAAGATCCATACACTGGGAACCCTTCAAGCAAATCCCTCGTCAGACAATCCCCGTCGAACAAGAAGCTGAGAATCAAGCTGATCTTGACTGGCTCTTCCGAGGCAAGAACCAGATCAAGCTACCTTCAGGAGAGTACAATGCACAGGTGATAGCTACGATTATGGCGGCTCGCGCAAAGCACCTACCTCCCAAGAGGCGGAGGTTTGATCGGTCCAATCCCGCTTCCAACGAGGGCACGCCAGACGAAGTTCTGACTATAGAGGCTGTCGACCTTCTCGAGAAATCCAAAGCCCAACTCGAAGAACGAAAGACGTACAAGCATCCGGAAGCGCAGACCGAGCTCGAACTCGAAATCGTGGAGCTCTCCTCTACTGGCGACGGATTAGCATACTCTCCCGACAAGAACCACATCTATGCTGTCCCATTCTCCGTTCAAGGAGACAAAGTCCTGGCAAAGACATATCCTCAAAAACCGCATCCATTGTTCACTCATGTAGACTTCATCAAAGTTCTCAAACCGTCGCCGAAGCGGGAAGGCGTCACCCCGGGCTGCAAATACTTTACGACCTGCTCAGGATGTCAGCTACAAATGATCCCTTACGAGGATCAGCTCCAACACAAAAAGACCATAGTGGAGAAAGCTTTCAAGAACTTCTCGAACCTTGACCCTTCGGTGATTCCCCCTGTAGGCGACACCATAGGATCACCACTACAGTACGGATACAGGACGAAACTCACACCACACTACGACCGCCCCAAAAGAGTGGACGCACAAAAAGACGGCGACAAGCCACCACCAGTCGGGTTCTCCAAGAAGAATGTGCGAGTCGTATTAGATATTGAACAATGTCCCATCGGCACGCCGATCCTAAACAAAGGTCTGGAGATCGAGCGCGCGAAAGTAGCCGAGACGTACAAAACCCGCAAGTCCGGCGCAACCATTCTCCTCCGCGAGTCGACGCAGCGCAGATCCGTCTCCCCTTTATCAGCACCGGAACCAGCGCAGGAGCAGGAGCAAGAGCAGCCAACGGACTCGGCCAAGTCATCGACACCGCCACAAGCTGCTGAAGCAAACGGCAACAACAGCGACATCAACGGAATCACAGTCCCCGTCCCGACACCACTCTCGATACAACATCGCTCCACCTCCGCCACCAAACCGCAAATCGTCTACACATACCCAACCTACAAGGACATCAAGACCTACACATCCGACAGCAACTCCTTCACAACCGAATACATCGCGGACTGGACCTTCGTGTCTCGCGCCAACTCATTCTTCCAGAACAACAACTCCATCCTGCCCACATTCATCAAATACGTGCGCGACAACTGTCTGCCCAGAAACACCCAAGGCCCACCGATAAAGTATCTGTTGGACGCGTACTGCGGGTCCGGCCTGTTCGCAATCGGCCTCAGTCCCCTGTTTAGTTCAGTACTAGGCATCGACATCGATGCCGCGGGCGTGGAAGCGGCAAGAGAGAACGCGAAACTCAACGGCCTTACCAATGCGGGCTTTATCGCTGCCGACGCGGACGTGTTGTTCAAGGACGTTCCGTTTCCCTCGGACCAGAGTCTCGTGGTGATTGATCCGCCTAGGAAGGGCGCCAGTATTGACTTCCTGGAGCAGTTGTGCGAGTTCGGCCCCAAGCGTGTGGTGTATGTTAGTTGTAATGTGCATACCCAGGCGAGAGATGTGGGCATGCTGGTCACGGGTCTGAGCAAGAAGTTCAGGTATGAGATAGAGGGTCTGCGCGGGTTCGATTTCTTCCCGCAGACGGGGCATGTCGAGGGCGTTTGCTTCCTCAATCGCGTCGAATCTAAGACAGGAAATGGGGCTTGAAACAAAGGACTGAGAAGAACACAAAAGGGTTTCATTTCACGATAATTGTATTACACCAAGGCTTACCGCCATCATTCAAGACCAAAGGAAGCTGGAAGCATCTCTGGGGTAGACTGAGCGGTTCTTAATGCAATGGGATTCTTTTTTGCTCAAAGCGCTTCTTTTATCGATTGTCTGTCAAATCAGGAGCTCCCCGGTCCTCCCAGCAAAGCAAATCTTCGCACAATGCTAGGTCCTATCTCGTCATATTCGGCCTTGGTGTGGCAATAGCTTCGGAACTCGGGAGTGGATGCCAGCAGACTACCGCCGAACCAAGGTCCATGTCTTTGTCGCTTGTGAGTTACGACCTGTACTTCTAAACCACCACTCTTGGCGCCACCACTTTTCAGTTCTGATGCCCGGATACGTGCGTCCACCAGGTGTCTGATATCACGCTGCAACCTCCGGCCAAAGTCCTTGTACAAAGTTGAACCACCGGACAAGACAATGTTCTTGTAAAGGCCTCTTCGCACATCGATCGGAGAGGATTGGATGACCCCGTCCACGACCGTCGGCAGAGGAGTCAGGAAATCGGAGGAGTAGATTTCGGGGTTGAAGAAGATTTCTGGGGCAAGGAATCGTTCGTAGCCGACGTCGACGGTAATTGACCTGCCGTTGGGAGAGGTGACGGTATGTTTCAGGAAGCGATCGGGCTCCTTGTCGTAGCGTGCAAACTCCTTGACCATATCGGGACAGACATAACAGTATTCTTCTTTGACTCTTTCCGCCGTCTTCAGGCTGCTGTCGGGCTCTCCCCTGTCTCGCAACAGACTTTGCACGAAGTATGTGATATCTCGACCAGCGATGGGTATGCTTTTTATTGAAGAACCAATGACATAACCTTCAGCGACTGGAATGACGTGGGTGACACCGTCTCCAGAGTCGATGACCGTGCCGGTAAGGGATCTATCGACCACTTTGGAAGATGTCCATGAAGCAGCCAGGGCGAGAACGGCCTGTACTGCAATGTAGAGACCGGCGCAGTTGAAGGATTCGAACATGATTTCGGCGGTGTTTTCGCGGTTTTCGGGAGGGTTCAAAGGCTAGATCGGTCAGAGCATAGACAAATACGTGCTGCGTCCGACACGTACCGGTTCGGTGAGTAGGAAATAGTGGTCTTCAGGCTCGACCCGCAGGTACTTGAATATCGAGTTTGACCAGAAACGCTCCATATAATCCCAATTCTCAATCTGACCATGCCTGATAGGATAATTTATGCTGTAACCTGGCCCAGAGGAAGCTGCAAGAGCCTCGTCGCCAATGAAGAAGTCGAGGTCTTCTGTTCCACGTTTACCTGCCAGGTTGGAACTTGGTCCTGCGCCACCAGTAAGGTATGAAGGTTTGCTGGGTGCGGCTGGTCTCCCAGAGCCAGTTCCTGCTCCACCCCCAGCGCCGCCTTTCATTGAGATAGCTGTGGGAAACACCCATGAGGGAGCATCGTTTCCGGCGAACCCTGGCAGCGGTCATGTTAGAAGAGTAAGCCGCGTAAGACACGACGAGCGTACCGAGTTTGGAAAAGCCCGTTCCGCTGGTAGTTTATCAGCATGCGATCCTTAAAGGCAGGGACAGATTATACGTACTTGTCCATGACAACGGCTGGCGTTTGGGAGGCCATCTTGTGTATCAACCTGCGGGCACACCAGAGAAGCGAGGGAAGCCGGCGTAGGTCGAGGCGGGGAAGAGAGTGTTCGTGGTAGGGAGATTAGAGTCGTGGTTCAATGTTCATATCATGGGTATTGGTCAGCTTGGAAGGAAGAGAATAATCAGCTTCGCCCGTCGTCTTAGGAGTACGTGGTCGCCGCAGGCAGCTCCAATATGGACGATTGAGCGATGTGAGCCCTGGTTGCAGTTTGGAGATGGTACGAGTAATGCACTGGCGCTGTGAGTGGGATGCACGTGACCGTCGTCACCGGCATCAGCCGAAGGGAAGTTGAATCCGTTTATCACTTGGCAATCGCCAGGACCACGACTTCTCTCCTCCATCAATGTCCCTTCCAGGTGCGTCCCTTGATGTCCAATACATCGTGCAATATTGTCTTCAAAAGACGAGGTCCCCGACTGCAGTCTACACAGGCATGTGGAGTTATGATGCCAAGCTGCCCTTAAATACCGGCAGTGAGGTAAATGTATGGCTCTTTTGTCGCGTCAGCCTCTTCATCCTCAAAACATCCTCCTTCATTCTGCCCTTTGAGGCTTCTCACGACAACATCATTCCTTGAGTAGTAGGCTTTACAAGGTGCCATTTTGTCGTTCGTTTAGTCCGCGTTTCTATTCTCACGAAAAGTCACTTTCATGCTGACAATCGATCAAACTTTCCTTGAGCACAAAACTCTCCGTCCGCTCATGCTGTTCTGTTTGATGAGAGCACGTCTCTTTCTCATCCATTCTTCTATTCTTCATTTTCCACACAAGCGACCTGCACCAATTCGAAGAATACCGAGAAAGTCAATGCAGTAATTGAAACGCCGAATTTCATGTCTCCTTCCGGCCACGCTCTCAAATGCCTCGCCGTTCCCAAGAAGGCGGTGATCTCTGTGCCATCTTCATACACGCCGGAGCTGGATATCACAGTCATGCAAACGAGAGGATTCATCTCACTGCAGTCAATGATGCTGCCAAGGTTGGGATGGCTGTTCTGAAAAATGGGGGAGATGCCACCGATGCTGTTGAGATGGCCATTAGGCTACTCGAAGATAAAGAGATCACAAACGCTGGATATGGAAGTAATCTGACCATGGACGGTCAAGTCGAATGCGATGCCACCATGGTTGATTACCTGGGACGCAGCGGCGCTGTCGGGGCCATATCCCAGGTCAAGAACCCAATCGTCGTCGCCCGGCTCGTCCTTGAAGAATCCACCAAGCCTCTATCCCTCCAACGTGTCCCACCCAACCTCCTGGTAGGTGCTGGAGCCACGGACTACGCAGCTGATAAAGGGGTACCGGTCTTGCCACCGGACTTTCTCGTGTCCGTCAATGCTCGTGAACGCTGGCTGCGATGGAGACAAGATTTGAGAGATGCGGACGAAAAGGAGGCACGGAGACTCGCACAAGCTCAGGCACGAACCGAAAACCCGACCGAGTGGGAAGATGTCCATTCTGCGGCCGCTGGACCAGGCTTCAGCTCTGCCAATTCGACCGCCTCTACATCGACTGTGCAGCCACGTCCAGGCCTATCAGCGTTGCCGGCGTTGGTGCGGCCTCTGGTCGCGTCAACTGCCGATGTCCCAACCTTAGCACGTCCAGGTGATGACGGGACCATCAGGGAGCCAATGGAAAGTGGCTTTGACTCAAGCGATCAGCAAGAGGATGCAATGGATGATACTTTGCCATGGATCATGTCACCTCCAAAACGGCAGAGGATGGAAGGATCATTTGATGGTCTGATGGGAGAAGATTACAAGGACTTGTTGCAAAGTTCGTCGTCGTCGGATACTTTGACAGGCTACACGCATCACCATGATGATGGCCGGGACGACGAAATCACAGATACGGTGGGAGCAATAGCGGTGGATTGCTTTGGCCACATAGCAGCTGGCTCTTCTTCTGGAGGGATTGGCATGAAACACCGAGGTAGATGTGGTCCCGCAGCGCTGGTAGGAATCGGCACTGCGGTCCTTCCTGCTGATCCGCAAGATGCAACGCAGACCTGTGTAGCCACGGTTACGAGTGGGACAGGTGAGCATATGGCCACCACCACGGCAGCCGCTACGGCTGCGGATCGAATCTACAGTTCTATGCGCAAAGAAAACGGACGACTCATGCCGTGCAACGAAGATGAAGCAATGCGTGGGGTGATTGAACATGATTTCATGGCACACCCTGGAGTTGTGCACAGTCACTGCACGGGAGCGATCGGCATCCTAGGCGTGAAGAAGTGTCGAGATGGAATTTACTTCTACTTTGGGCACAACACCGATTCGTTTGCGATAGCTTCGATGCATTCGGAAGAACGAAAACCGGTGTGCACCATGTCACGCAGCCGTGGTCAGGGAGCGGTCGCACAAGGTGGAAGGCTGGCTCGATCTAAACATGCGCGCATCCGCTGATTGGTCATGTGCACAGAGTTGAAGAGCAAGAGTCTGGGAACGTCTAGCGTGGGGAGATCACCTATGGATCAGGAGCAGGACGAAAACGGTGAAGGAGACAAGCAAGGCGCTGGGGCATATCATTAGCTGACTGTGACACGAGCGAGATAAACCTAACGGTCTCACTGAGCACGACTCGGATAGTATTGCAATGCATTGAATTAAGTAATCTTCCCATTTCCATTCTGTCATCTCACGGCGGTAGCACCCTGCTTCTTTTTCGACTTCTTAGGTACGACGACGGGCCGCGATCCATATTTCCCGACGGTCAGATGGGTGCCACAGGTCAAACAGTCTCCGTTTTCGGGCACGGAGCAGAAGATGCTAAGACATATACTGCACACGAAACCGATGCTAACGATGTTTCGGTGGCAGAAGCAAGCGGCGCGAAAGTCGACGTCGATTCGTGTTGGGAGAATCAAATGCCTGCTGCGGGTGTTCGGGCTGGGCAGGAATGAGAGGAGGAGATATGTGAGAAAAGCCTGAGATGCCGATGCTCCTGATTTGCTGTCTGGGAGGTCAGCCGGGATAAAGATGCCGTGTGTCGCGTCGGCGGCTTGCTGTAGGAAAAGTGTGGAGTTGGATGATGGTGATGTACTGCCGCCGCTGCCATCGGTAACCGAAGGTTGTGGTTGTTGCGTTGATGGAGGTATTGGTAGAGGAAGCTGTAGTATATCTATCGGTATGGATAGTCGCTGGCACGCGAATATGGCGTTCATGATGGGGATGTACTGGTGCGCTAGGTCTGTCGACGGCGAAGCGGATACTAATAGGATGCGGGATTGGAGGGAGTTTGTAGAGTTGCCTTCGCCTGTCGAGGAGATGGCGTTGCTGGAGGTGGGGTCTGCTGTGGCTGAGGTCGTTCCGATTAGTGATTCGGCGTAGGCTATTGATTCGCGGTTGACATTGCTGAGGGCTAGGGTTAGAGCGCCGGCAATCATGGTGGATGTGCTGGATGAGACGGATTCAGGGGTCGTGGTTGAGAGGAGGGCGGTTAGGTTGCGGAGGACCTCTTCCTCGACGATGCGGAAGGGTCGATATTTGTTGCCGTCTGATGATGCGGTTGAGGATGATGAGGGCAGTCTGACGTTGAGTCCGAGACGTTGGGTTGATTCTGAACTTGCGGACTCATACTGGGTTTGCCGTTGATGGGACCGAGGGAGTTTCTGCTCGGTTGGCGAGGGATAGAGCCATTGAGCCTTGTCGCAGTGGGAGGCGATGACGGCGATTTTGTTGGCGTAGTTGGCGGCGAGGTGAGCGTTGATGAAGACGAGGAGGTTGGCGACGGCGCTGGAGAAGGGGAGGGTCCCCGACAAAAGAGACCATGCGGCTGGGTTGGTGTCGAGGATGATGGTCAATAGTGAGGGCGATTGTTCTGTGACGTCTTTGTTAGGAGAGCCTTGTGGTGGTGTTGGGAAGAGAAATGATTGGGTGGAATAGTGGTACGGATTTCCTGGTGGTGGAACGAGGGGGAGGCGATAGATCAAAGCTTACCTTGTTGAGACGGTCTGTCAAATTGCTCGGAGGTGTCGACGGCGTTCATGATGATAGATGTGGTGGGTGTGGTCTTTGTTGAGATGGTACTGCACAGTCAAAAACATCGAAGTGACGAAGGTGACAGCCTTGTTGAGAACGGTTGCCTGTTGGCCGAGCCTCGCGGTCTGAAATTACCTAGGTAGGCTTATCAGAGATGCCTCATAGGGAACGGGTAGCCTATCTGCCAGGCAAACTGCCGGTGCATGATAAGGCTGGGTACTCACCTGTACCTGGTAAGCTATACCTGGTAGGATAAGAAAAGGGACGTCTAGAAAAGAAATGCCACTCCCACGTCAAAAAGTTACCGGGAGGAATGTAGCCCGGAGATCAAAACCATCCAACCGGCATTCAACGTGGCAGGATCAATTGGTTTGAACGAACTACACATCAACTTTACGGAGTCCGTTGTTATTATTATTATTGAACTCGCGTTTCACTCTCACAGTTTGTGTGTGTCGCTATTGACATAAATTGATGTTCTTGTATGCTTCGTAGTGACCTACAAATTAAGACATGTCAACTGATTTGTTTTTATTGTGTCTTGCTCCTTCTTTTTCATCAGACTGCAAGACTCTCTTCTCCTTTCTGAAGTTCTGACTTTCTGCTGCACTTGCCGAACCAAGGCTTTTGCATCCCATCAACAACAAATTTTTTCTGCCATCCGCGTGGCCTCTTGTGCTGTGCTCTATACTCTCTTCAACAAAAAGCAAATCCCATCCAATCACCTACCAACCCTACATTGATTCCGACTATTATTTGTTATCCTTCCCATACCTATCAACTCAGTCTCCCGCCTCATTTTCTCTGGATCGGTCAGGACTCACCAAATCATCCCTCCCGTCTCCCTTCGTCAGCCTCTCTCGTATCACCACCTCTTCCTCAACTTTCCTTCTTCAACGAAGGGAAATCTCTTCACGCAACCTACTCATTCATCGGCTGACTCGATCTTCAACCCGTCAACTCCGTCGCCTCCCTCGATTGTCTACGATTTCCGCCAGCTTCCAGAACCCGTTGCGCTATCCAGCAATCCACTTCAGTTGCCCCTGAAATATCAATCATGCCCAACCCTTCATAATCTCACGTCACCCTCGTGGCACTCCCTGCTCTCCCTCGACCACCCTTCATCGTTCGACTTGGAATCCTTCGACTCTCATGGTGAAGACATTGCCTTCCGCCACCCTATCAATGTCCTCCATGGCGGCCGTTCAGCGGATGACCCGGAAATTATCCGAGGAGCGAGCCTCGCATCTGGCCCACGAGGCCGTCGAGTTGTCCCACTCGGGCGACAAATTGGTAAGCCTCGCCTCCCATCACACCGATCCAACAGATTTTAACGGTGCCTACAGCAAGCTTCGCGAAAGCTGAGGGAAGCTGCAGCTTTGGATTCTGGTAACCCAACTGTTCAGGCCGCATTTCTGGCCATTCACAATGACCAACACATTTCGCCACTTCGAGATTTATGTCGCAAATTTGCGCTTTACCACAACAACGCCGCTGGCGATGAAGCCGTCAAGTATCTGAAAGGTTCTGAGGCTCCCGAAGCCGCTCCTGTCGCTCTTGAATCTCTGCAGATTATTCTGGAGAACCCGTCTTCCTCCTTGTCGAGCGCTCAGGATTTTATCATTGCCGAGCTTGCGAGACAGAGTCCTGCCGTCCGCCAATACTTTGCCTCTGAACTTCAAACCTCAACTACCGAATTTTTCGACAATGTCTACGACCGAGGGGATGATGCGGCTAATTGCCTTCGGTCCGTGGTCCTCGACAACAAGCTATGGCCGTCCGAAGATGTCCGACTTCGAGTAGAAGATGACCTCTTTCAACTCTTCCTAGCAAAGCTGATGGAGTCTGGCCATGATCACGACGGCAGAGCCCTCAAAGGCATTGCCCTCTTACTGATTGCCGATACCCAGCGACTACAACACTTCATTGACGAAGACGCTTTTGAGGCTCTCATGGGCTCATTGGACATAAGACTACCACCAGATGTCCGAGGTCAGGCTACCCTAGTCCTCTCTAAATTCTTCGAAATCGCCGAGTCTATGGGTCAAGGTTTTCTTGATCGATACATCAGAACGCATGTCCAACGCCAGAAGGGCGATGATCTTGTGCTTGCTTTCTCGGCTGCCGCACATTTGTTTCCCGTGGTCCCTGCCATGGTAGCCCAATTATTCCTGACCGAGGGCTTTCTACCGTCAATAATGGCTCTTTTGGGGAGACAATCCAGCAATGCTACTGTGCAGGATTCTCTCCTGATGCTATTGAACGCCGCCTGCCTTGACGGAGCATGCCGTGCAGCTGTTGCACAGTATTGTGCGACTTGGTTGTCTCACAAAGTGAGCAATGGAACCGGCAAACAGCCATCAGTCGCTGCAACTATTCTGGCCAAATTGAGAACATCGGGTGTCCAAGCTGGAGATCAGAGAGCCAACAGGGCTGATGAAGATGTTAGTGACCTCGTTGATCTCCTTAAACAAACCCTTTCTGCTGAAGAAGGAAGGAATGTTTCTGACTCACTTGAAGGCCTTGCGTACTCATCTTTGAGATCCGGGGTCAAAGATTCGCTTGCCAAAGATCGAGCTTTCTTGAAGAGTCTTCTTGAAGCCCTCGATACCAACTATGACTCTCCTGAAGTCATGGTTGGTGGATTGAGCATCATCTCGAATCTAACTCAATATACCCCAAATCTCTCTGAGGAGCAGAAGCGAGTGTTACAGCTGAAAGCTTACGCCAATGCCACGAAACCAGTCGAATCGAGTCCGCTGGAAGACGATGATCACGTGAGAGATCGATGCTCTGCGGTGGTTGAGGCAGGGCTGGTCGCAACACTAACCAGATTAAATAAGGGAAATTCACCGGCTACAGCACATCTAACTGACCGGATACTTGTGTCCTTGACTAAGAATCCCAAGGATCGAGGCAAGATTGCCCAGCAGGGAGCTGTAAGGCTTCTGATCAGTCACGCCCACAGAAACTTGCAGTCTTCGGAGAAGAATTCGCACTCGGACACCGATGCTGCACATGCTCTAGCCCGAGTGCTGATCTCGCTAAATCCGTCACACGTCTTCGCAGCAGGCTCAACGCCACACATCACAGATGCTGTACCACCTCTCGTGGCACTACTGAAGGCACCACAGGGTGAAGTGTTCAACGATCAGCCGCGAGATCTGCTCCCGGTGTTCGAGAGTCTGCTTGCTTTGACCAACCTTGCTTCCGCTCCTGAGGAGACTGCCGCGAACAGCATCATCAAACTGGGCTGGGACGAGGTTGAACAACTGTTGCTGGGAAACAACGATATGCTCAGACGCGCTGCTTGCGAGCTCATCTGCAACCTGACAATCCATCCTGCGGGTGCGGAGAAATTTGCAGACGGCTCGAAGCGTGCTGCTCAGAGACTCCACCTACTCGTGGCACTGGCCGACGTTGAAGATGTGGCTACCCGAAGAGCGGCCGCTGGTGCGTTGGCCATGCTCACAGATCAGTACTCACCAGTTGTGTCGGCGCTGTTGGACTTCGACCGGACCCCTGAGATCTTGCTTGAGCTCTGTCTCGATGACGATGCTGGTGTCGTCCATCGAGGTTTGGTGGCAGTAAGGAATATGGTTTGTGAAGAGGATGAGAGTCTTGCCATCAGGGCGAGGAAGGGGTTCAAGAGGCAGGGAGCAGTGGAGAAGCTGAAGACTTGCTTGAAGAAGACCAGAGACCCGGACATGCTGCAGATTGGCGTCGAGGCGTTGAAGGTCTTGGTGGAGTGAGTCTCAAGTGATTTCTTTTCCTGAGGGACTACGAAAACCTCTCTCATACCCAACTTACGGCCGTCGTTACTTACGAAGTTATGAAGGCGTCTTTTTGGGGTCTTTTACAACGACTTGTTGGCATGATATATTATCCGAAAGATAGACGCATTACTATGGAGGTATAGACAAGCGTTGCTTTATAAGAGTTCCTGTCAGGATGGAGTTTTTGGCTATGAGTCATTTGAATCATGTTGGAACGTCTTCGGTGCAGGAGAGCGAACACCTTCATCGGCGGCATGAGCACTTCCAGAGACTACAGAATAGAGATGGTCATGATTTCTATACATCTATACACCAAGTCTTCTTTCCTTCTACAAGGATGGCCTCTGAGGCTTATCCTTTCCGACACTTTACAGTGCGGACAAGATGTCAATACATCACTTCGTAAAAGCTCGACTTGACCTTGCAAATCTCTCTATTCAAGAGATTGCTGCAATCAATGACGGCTGTAAACCGGCTCGTCCATGTGCGAATGAGTATCTGTGTTCATCTCGATGCTGAGTTGGAGTTGCCGGCAATGACGATGCATTCGCCCGGAGCAAAGGGTTGGCGCATAGCAATGCTCCAGGACCTCATCGTGCGAACACGTTGGACGTGATTCTCTCTTTCGCAGCATAAGGCTGGCTCTGCTTGTGAGGCCGCAACCAGAGTCTGCTCGGACGTCGTGCTTGGAATTTGCTGCGCGTGTACCGCAAGAGACGGGCCATGCGGGTTAGAGCATGGCGAAGACACTAAGTAGCAGCCTTGTCGATTGGTGCCGCGAATCTCGAACGCACGCGTGCTGTGACATGCCAAGGTCGTGTCCCACTTTCTTCTGCCCTGCGATAGCCAAGATTAGATGGCACGGATTTGCTCAAAAAGAGTGCCTTTGAGAATGTTCACGAAGTCATATGCCTGATTCGGAACCCTCCCTGGGTCGGTGTGGGCTCTGCGGTGATGTATCGAATCGCGGCTTGAGATGCTACGTCAGACTTTGACTTGTGAAAGTCCAATCGTGCACTTATGCCCTTCGTCCCAACCGTCCTTGGAGGCGGCATTTTTGTTTCAGGAGGCGCACTTCCTTTTGGTGTTTTTGGTTTTGTGTTAGCTCTAGCTTCTACTGAGAGCAACTTGGCTGGTGTCACAGACACTTGGCCAGTCGCTTGTGTGTGGGATACTGATTGATCCGTGGGCCGAGATACGGACGGCGCTGGTGGCTGCTGCGATGCTCGTTGTTCCCGTTGCTGTGCCATAAGCTGTTTCGCGATTTCCTTCAGATCGTTGATCTCCTTGCGAAGCTCGGTATGCTCTTTTGCATAAGATTGATTTTGAGCGTGAAGCTGCTGCATCGCCTCTTGAGACTCTTTCAGTTGCTCTTGCACATGAGCGGTGGTCTTCCCTAGTTGGACTGTATTGTCTGTCCTTTCCAGTCCGGCGTCTAGAGCGGCTCTGTATCGTGCATCTGCAACATCCAGGCTAGCTTTTAGCGAACGTATCGTATTGTCATAGTATTGGAATCTGGCTTGGACTTTAGCCTGCTCCTGAAGAGTAGCTCCGCTTAGGTTCTCTTGAGTCGAGTCTGCAGAATCCTTCTTGAGTTGACGACGAACGGCATACCGCAGGGCGTGCGGCGTTGGAGGCATAAGCACCAACTCGTCATGTTCCTCGTCTTGTGAAGCTCTGTTGGTGACGACGGGTCCATCATGTATATGATCTACCAGCGGTTGACAGGCTGTTTGGAAAGTCCTAATCTTCTCGGTAATTGGAAGGGCCTCGGCGTGGTCAGGAGCGGGTATGGAATCCCATTCGAGAAGGATACTGCGGCCACGAGGGTAAATTACCCTGCGGTTGTTCGGATTTTCCTGCATACGTGGCGGTCTGATGCCGGAAGTCACTGCTGCCTCCAAAATCATTGTGTACTCGGGAAGCTTTCGGCATCGGACGCACAGATCTAGCATGCGGTAGATCATGCGAGTGAAGCCATCGGCGGTATACGCAGCGATCGATGATGCGTGCTCGACTGCACGACGCAGCCAGATCTTGCCCTTCTCCCAATTACCATGCATGGTATAGTAGGCCAAAAAGCTTCTGAAAAGATGATTTTTCCTGAAGCTCCCATAGTCCATCTCGCGGAGCATCGACATCCATGCTTCTGCTCGCTCCGGTTGTTGACAGCGTAGCGCTGCGTATACCAGCACCTGCAGAAGCCGTACATCCAGGGAAGAAGGAACGGGCAGTTCCAAGTCATTGACAATGGTCCTTTCCCATTTGCTGGCGACATTTAATTGCTCGTCAGACCGTGTTATGAGAGGCAAGATATGATTTAGTGACCTGGAATCACATGCTTGGCCAATCTGAAAGAGTATGTGGAAAATCGCGTCGTCCGATAATGGTAAGGTGCTGTTCTTCAGGGCTCCCATAACATGGTAGGCCAGACTGAAGCTTCCAACCTTCGAGAGACTGCGTATCAGCATAACATAAGCCATGGTTGAGGGCACCTCTGTTGTTTGCAAGATTGACTGTCCGAAACCGTTGATAAGCTCACTCAGGGTGATATTGCCTGCGTCAAAACTGGTGGTCAACGTTCTGATCCTGTTGCTCAGTTCCGATTTAGACGCTTGGGCGTTGATGTGGGAGGAAACGACAAACAGATCGCGACGGTGTTTTAGTCGACGCATTTCGGTTCGCGTCGCTCTCAACAATTCGACCAGCTGGTTGGGGTCTTGCCGAAATGCAACATCGCCCGCGTCCGCCTGTGTTTCATCGGGAGCTAGGGCAAAGAAAGGACTCGGGCCAATCTGGAGATGTAAAAGCATCCTCAAAGACAGCATGATCGCATTGAGCCGGTGGTACCGATGGAAATTGGCCATCTCTTCCGGCGAAAACATGCCATCCTTGTATATTCTCCCAGGTTCCAAGTCTTGAACAAGAGGTGTGAGCTCGTGAGAAATCGGTCGGCGGATCTGAGGCATTCCTTCGTCAGTCATCCCATCTTCCTCCCATGTTGGCACCTCTACCTCGACTTCTCCATCGTCGAAGTCGATGTGAGCATGTGCCGCTGTAGCATACCCCCGCCGTTGACCGAGGGCTCCGTTGCTTCTAGCACGGAGCCGAAGTGCGCTCTTGATGCGTTGTTCTCGTTCATGAATCTGGTTGATTTCTTCTTGTATCACCGAAAGTCTTTCATCCCAGTCCCTCCGTTGTTTTCCTTTCCAGCTGGTGTCGACGATGAAGACAGCCGCTAGCACAGGGGCCAAAAGGAGTGTGAAGGCATCGTTGAAGGTTGCACGGCGTCTGAGAGGAGCTGTGGTAGTCTTCCGCACCAAAGTGGGATTAACAGCCTCGATTGATGCGTACGAGGGAGAACCACTCAATCTAGGTCGAGGTATCTGAGACCATAATGCTCGCATTGCCCCCAACAGCTACCACTCAATACTCGACGTCCGAGCATAGAGTCGTCAGTCGGGGTTTTGGTCTTGAGATGAGGGCTCGTTTGCCGGTGGAATACTGTCGAGTGGTCTGAGGTAGGATATTGGAGTCTCCAATCCCGCAGACTGAGAGCTTCCACAATGTCCCAGTCACGTGCATCAAGTGCGCAGGAGCAACGTTCAAGTCAGACTGCATGAGATTTCCCGTCATTGGCTTAAGAAATGCACTAAACCCTCACGACTACAGCTTGGTCAGACCATCATGATTCTACTTACCAGTATATACCACGGTACTTCAATTGTGATGTAGTCGCAAAGTTATGCGGTAGAACCACCTTTGTCGCGTCGTCGCCTCGCGCGCCCTCACACCAATGCCAGGTGTGACGCTCGCATCTACGAGTTGAATGGCGGCCAGGAGCCGGTTCCTTCCTGGGGGCAGGGATTATGCAAAGAAAGACGACGATATGCCGGCGCATACTCAAGGGTCGTCAACATTCGGCTCATGGAAATCGTTCCGTCGAAGACGTGTGATCCTCGCGATCCTGGCGCTGGTGCTACTCTACTTGTTCTTCAAGAACATGCCAACAGATCTCCCCCCGATCTCGCAACGATACGACCGTCGGTATGGGCATTTGTACCCTCCTGGGCCCCCTGGCCCACATGGTTGGGAAGGACAAGAGCTGGGCGGCCACGGACAAGATCAGGACTTTAACGGGCCTATCTCATTTCTTCATCTAGCCAAAAGTATGCGCGGCAAGGCGACCACGATGGACGCGAAAGGCCATGTTCTATTTGCTATCTCAAGACTGGAGAGCATACCGCGGATTCTACCAGCCGCGTGCTCCATGGCACAGCACAACCGGACGCGAGTCCATGTAGCATTCATGGGTCGGCTGTCTGCAGATTGGGCAGACATCAAAGCCATCAATGGCATCTCAGAAGCTGATTGCGACGTAATTATACATGACGCCCGACCCGATTTTCCAGCGCAATCCTCCATTACCAGAATGGACGTCAGCGCACGAGCCAGTCTGGGACATATACATTCGGTTGTACAGCTTCGTGCCGTTCTGGTTGGCGATTCCGAGTACGAGGAAGAGCACTTCGTCCGAGCCGTGGAGGATAAGACTAGAGCTATGGGCGTATCTCTTATTGCTCTCCCTGCTAATGGCCTTGGGGGCCTTTCGTGGATATCCTCTCTGGACGGCGCAGCATTGGGACACTTCAGTCAGGTCCACGTCGACATCGTCATCCAGGCTCGACCAGAATCTGCGGCTGCCCTCATGCGGCTATTGCGGTCAATCAAAGAGGCCGATTACAGTGGATTGTCTCTTCCCAGACTGACCATCGAGCTGCCACCTAACGTGGACCCTTTTCTCACGAACTACCTTGCAAATTTCAAATGGCCTCCAGACGGGTTCGGCAGTGAAAGCAGGCTGGTCATAAGACACCGGATTGATATGAACTTCCTGTCACCAGTACAAGCTTCCATGCGCACCATCGAGTCGTTCTATCCTCTGATGGCGAGCGAATCTCACGTCCTCATGCTTTCACCTGATGCGGAGCTCTCCCCCGGATATTTCCAGCTGTTGATGTATACATTGTTCGAGTACAGATATTCTGCGAGGAGGACCGACTTCACAAACCGTCTGATGGGTATATCCCTTGAACTGCCATCTCACGCTCCTGATATGTCCACCGAATCTCCTTGGGTTGCCAGTCACCTTGATCAACCCCTTGTTCTATGGCAGGCACCAAATTCGAATGCTGCTTTGTACTTTGGGGATCGATGGATCGAGTTGCATTCATTCCTGCTCCGCCGGCTCATGACCGATGCTGAGCTTTTCAAGAAGCTCTCCTCAACCCCAAGCATATCACATACATTACCGGCCTGGCTGCAACCCGTGCTCGAGGTGATGCAGGTACGCGGCTATTACATGATGTATCCGACATTGTGGGCCTCTGAACAGATCACAGCGGTGACTATGCACAAGGAACTGGACCAGTCACCGGAGGAATACAGGAAGGAGGTGGAAGAAAGCGCGGATTCTTCGAAAAAGGCGCCAATGCTCGAATTTGCAGAGGACCAACCTCTCACTGCAAACGATGAGGTTGAGCGGATGAAGCAAAAGGAGAGCTTAGTATACACTGGGTCGCTTGTAGAGCCGCTTTTGGACTCGATACCTCTTCAACAACGGAGGAGGAGTCTCACGGAGGTCATACCATTATTGTCCTATGCTGGAGAAAAGGTCGCCTGGGAGGACTCTGGGACGTCTTCCTCGAAATTCGCGCAAGAGTTCGCGCAGACTATTGGAGGTTGTGCCAATTACGATGCAGGCAAGCCGGAGAACGGTAACGTCGAATCGTTGTTCTGTCTAGCAGCAGGGTAGAAGGTTCGGGGTTGCAACAAGCACTCACCTCTTTGCAATTCACAAACACTCGGTTGACCATCACACATTTGATTGTACAACTCGAGTATACATCTCAAGGTTGGCAAATCTTCAGTCTGAACATCAGCAGCATCATAAAGGCCTTGGTTGGCATGTTTCGACCTGGTGAGAGATCCTTAGCGATCGGCGTCCTGTGCCGCGCATGAGATGTAAATTGCGCCATGAGACTTTTGGGAATTGAAATGTCTGGGCCCGCCAGGCTTCGCGCTTGCCAGGCTCGACTGGTTCATTGTGGTAGGGATGATGGACCAGGTAGCACTAGGGAAGCGGCCTGGGATGGGGGGACGATCACAGCGGGATCGAAGATCGAAAGCGTCCTTGGGAGGGCGATGATCGCTGATGGATGCGGAAGTGCATTATATGCCTGCCTTTACAGGCATGCCAGAAACGACCTAGAACAGTGTCTGCCGAGGGAATGAAGGCTATCATAGTAATGGCACTATGCAGATTGACAGGTGGGAATGACGAACACACCGCGCATCCCTCTCGTGTGCCTGACTTCTATGCAGTATGTATGTCCAAGTATCTGTACACAATTTGATATGGATATATAGAAGTGCACGTGGGAGTTGGGGCTGCTCGTTTTGAACGACAACCATACTTACGGTGCATATTTGTCTATCAATCTTTGCCCCTCCTCCCTGTGAGATACTCGTGGATGCTGCAGCATAAACCCCTCCTTTTCGACAGTCTCACACACTCGGGCTGCATCATATCTTTCGCACTAAGAATCATAGCTGCCGCCTCATCCACCATCGCCCTCCAATCACTCTACGAACGGTGGATTTCTGAACGGCAAGCACCTCCATGAGAGTTGATTCCTACCACAGTAGGTTTCCTTTCGCTCTCGCTTACTGCCCCTCCATGAATCTTCCGTTCCCTGCGCCCATCTCAAAGACGTTGAGAGGGATCCATTTTCCATCATGCTGCACCACTAATGCATGCTGCTTGTTACTCTGTGCCTCTCTTTGTGAAATCAACGACGACTATGGACTTCCCCGGCTGCAGAAAGCCTATCAATTGAACAGGGCGCCGTTCAGACCATCATCGCGTCTTGAATTTGGGTCCATCCGAGCCGCCCTATCCATCGGCATCGAGTCCATCCATCGTCCTGGTCCCTGGTCCCCCGGTAGCATGAACCTAGGGAGCCCTTGTGCTTGGGCCTCTCCCTGGCTCGCGCTCAGCCCTCGAACATTTCCTGCCCCCCACCATCCTCCAGTGTCAATGTGGACCTCCTCCTCCTCCAGACTTCCACTCAAAACATACACCTACGTGCACCTTGCGCTGCGTTACTTCACTCCCAGCCGCCATACCAGACCTCCAACGGCTCGCTGGGTTTCACTAGGCATCGTTGAGACTCAACGCTAGAGGCTCCTTTTACCGTACTTCCTCGAGGCAATTACAATCTCCTGCGTTGTTATCTCCCTCCTGCAAACGGTCAATATTCCTCCTCAGACATATCGACCCCTCCTTGCACTCACTTGAACGTACCAAGGAGTATATCGGCAACCGCGGCTTCAGCACCACAACTTCCAAGTCCTTGCAATGCAGGCTGGCTAGGACTCCTGTAGGCACAGGATGAGCCATTGAACACACTTTCTTCAGATTGTGTATATATTATATCCTATATCGCGGCAAGCATGGCTACTGTTGTTGTGCAACAACAGCCTCAAGTCCGACAGTCCACCACTCCACCACCGGTTGGTCCAACACTCACGCTCAATCAAAATCGATCTTCAACCCCTATTCCCAACAAACATCTTCCTTATTGCCCTCCAGGACCTGTTCCCTCGCAGGGACAGATCACCCCACCAAGCTCGCCGCCCCTGTGGAACGCCGCACCCAAGGCCAGTTCACTTCTATACCCTCCCAACAACTACACGAAGCTGTGCAATTCCCCGCCTATCTATGGTATAAGCGCAAAGGGTCTTGCCGAAGCTCTCGAGCATCATGCTTCTCAGCCACTTCCTAATCCAACGACGGTCTTCCCCTGGCTGCATGGACTGCACCCAGAAAATAGCATTCAGCTGGCCTTCTTCGTGGCTAGAAAGAAGTCACTGAGGAAGATACCAAAAGGTTTGCGAGGTATAACCATAATAAAAGCCGGTGGCGATCTCAGTCGCTCGCGCATCAAAGGCGCTGTTGCCCCAGACGAGATTCTAAACTTATCCGATAGCAATGGCCGGGGTTTCTTGGAGTGTGATCCTCGTGAGGGTTTTTCTGTACGCAACTTTCACATACAAGCCGCAAAATTGGCGCTGGTATCCGATATTGTCGTTTATGGTGACGAAGATACCGACCATCGCATCATCAATTCAGTGGCCGAGAGAACTGCTTCAGTCCAGAGAAGATGGCGCAAGGACCTGGAGAGCTGTGGACAGACTCCTGAAACTTTCAACACCTTTGTGCTCACCCAGCCATTCGAAGATTTTGAACAAGATTATCCAGAACTGGTGGCGATTGATGCGAAGGGCAATTATCCCGACCATAGTCTAGATTTCTTGCAACAAGAGAGGAGGGAAATGTGTGCCATGTCGAAAGCATCGGAGATATCCCATGGCATTTTCCAGGGTCCGTCACCGGGACCTTATACCAGCCCACCATCGTCCCTCGATGATCCAGATTTTGGCCTATACATTGAGGCCAGCGATCATGCAGCGCTTCCGGACGAGACTGTATTGGCCGACAAATTGAAGGAGCTGGAATTCTCGGAAGGAACCAAGCCCGTTCATCTCTCGTTTCCCAGCTCCGGAAGCATCTTGCCGCCTTCTTGGTCCCAAGCCGAGGTTGATGGGATCCTGCGGATGTGTGCTTGGTTGCACGGTCTAATACACGTCAGAAAGCCTGTTGGCGAAACCCAAGATAAGGATGGTGATGTTGAGATGACGGAATTCTCGCCAAAGTCTCGTCGAGTGCTCATACACTGCGCAGATGGCTATACAGAGAGTTCGATGCTAGCTGTTGCCTATTTCATGTACGCCGAGGGTGTTCCGGTGCACGATGCTTGGATCCGTATACATCGTGAGAAGCAACGCAATTTCTTCGCGTACCCCTCAGACGTGGCGTTGTTGATGGCGATACAAGATCGAATCCTCCAGGAGAGCCCTAAGTTTGTTGGTACCAAAGTTCCTGATGTACTGGCCCCCACCTGGGTATCGAAGCTTGATGGCAGCCTTCCCAGTCGGATACTGCCATATATGTATCTGGGAAATCTGACGCATGCCAACAATCCGGAGATGCTTCGCCTGCTCGGCATTCGACGCATACTTAGCGTTGGTGAGCCAGTGACGTGGACAGATGCCGAAGTAACGTCCTGGGACCGAGAGAATCTGCTTATGGTGGATCGGGTCCAAGACAATGGTATCGATGAACTTTCTCCTGAAATGGATCGTTGTTTGGAGTTTATTGGTAAGTCGACCTCTCGTGCGATCACAACGCGACTCGCTAACTGCTCTACAGAAAGAGGGAAGTCTGATGGTACGGCCACATTGGTCCATTGTCGTGTTGGAGTCAGCAGGTCTGCGACGATTTGTATCGCAGAAGTCATGGCAAGCCAGGGGCTGAGTTTTCCAAGAGCATAGTAAGCCACCTCATGCGTTAGCAGATCCTTGACTTACTTTGTGTCACAGCTGTTTTGTGCGTGCTCGTCGCCTCAACGTCATTATCCAGCCACATTTGAGATTTGTGTATGAGTTGATGAAATGGGATGAACAACAGCAAGGCAAGCGAGGGAAGACGCCTAAAAGAGAGCTTGAGTGGGCAGTTGTGGCAAGAGAAATTGCTGCTATGAACAGACCCTATGCTAGGACATGATGTGCCTGGTGAAAGCTCGTTGGGGATGTTTCCCCAGTCAGAAATTCTCGATGAATAGGCGACATAGCATGGAGCGATTGACGATGAGATGAGATGAGATGAGATGAGATGAGATGTTATGATCAGCTGTTACGGATGTGTATGATGTTATGAAGCGATGATCTGAGGCATGTATGTTTGACTTGCTGGGATTTGACAGGACAAGGGTGGATTTGGCTCTGGATTTGGATTTGGATTTGGATTGACCTTGGGGCGAATCTGTACCGTGTCAGAAGCACCACTGTGATAGTGGTCAAGGGCACGTTGTGTACATGTGAACTCGAGCCGTTTGAAATGTGCGAGAGGAAACCAGAAGTCTGAGGGTTTTGTCCGTTTCTTCGGTTGGAAGTCTGGAATGTGTGCGGGAACAAAAAATCTTTTTCCTGGCAGATTGATTTATCACGATGGATTTGGCGTATAGTGGTCCACTTCAATGCATACACGAGGCGGAATTTTCACCAGAACGACTAGCACTGTCTATATTCCTATTTATTTCTCACAGATCATCTAAATGGTAGCCAAAGCACTGCACAACATGCCTACAAAATGGTTGGTGTTTTCGAGGACAACTTTCCCCCATGGTGAGTATGAGTCGTGTAAAACGGCGGCATACGGGGGTAAAATATAATAAACCTTTATATTACAATAGTATTTTCTATTAGACTCTGCTCCTGCAACTGTTCTGAGACGCGTGAAGTGGTGATGTTACATGTCCCTGTAACTGTAGAAAGACAACCTCGCCATGTGCTATGCTATAGTATCAATTATTTATCTATGATGTGTGAAAAGGCCGAGTCAATATCATAACCGTTCGGCACGTTCTCTAAGCTCGTCGACCAGTCTCTCTATATAGGCTTTCGCAATGGCCTTGGGGATTCCGGCCTGGAGACCAGGATCTTGGGTATCTGGAGCGGATGCTTCGGGACCAGTGATGGGTACGGTTGTGTTACCGTTCTGCGCTGCAGCCTGGTTGCTAGCGCTTGGAGTCGTGGACAAGAAACGCCGGACGATTCTGTCTAGATCGCGCCTTCCATCCTCGTAGGCGGCGAGATCGCGGTTGCCGTAGACGTCGCGGCCCGCTTGGTAGGCTGAGGCGGAGAAGGAGCGGAAGAAGATGTTCAGGGAGATGTTGATGCGGGATGATGCTGGATCTGATTGGGGTTGAGGTGTTTCTGTGGGTTGAGGTTGAGACTGGGATTTTGATTGTGATTGTCCCGCGGACAAGGGCGTGCCTGTGTGGGACCATAGTGGAGGAATGAAGAGTGCTTCACCGGGTCTTAGAATGGCTATGTGAGGGTGGGTGTTTGGGATGGGTTTGAGGCGGTCTTCTTCTGCGTCTGGATTCTCGGCCGGCTCCAGGATGTCGATGATCGAGGTGGTCGATCCGGGAGGGAAGGACAGGTGTTTAATGTCTTCGGGCGGGAAGAGTATGAGTTTCCTGGTGCCGCGGATCTGGAAGAGGACGTTGGCCATCACGTCGTAGTGCAGCCACATGTTGACGTTGGCGCTGATGCGTATCGGGCTGCTATGTTGGTTTCGGCCTATGAAGTTGAGAGGAGACGGGAGGTGGAAGTCCGGTGCTATCTCGGGCCAGTCTGTCGAGAACGAGGTGGGAAGTTGTGTCGGTTTCGTGCTGGATATGGAGCGTAGGTATAGGTGTGCGTTCGGGTTGGTTTCAAGTTGCTGGATGAAGTTGTGGAAGGAGACGGTTGTGTAGGCGAAGTCTTTGCGCTGAAAGTTCATGGTTCGACTGGGTGCAGCGTGGATGACGATGGATTTGGACGACGGAGTTTTGGAGACCAGGTATGATGGTGTCCATTGAGATGTGCACGGGCCGAGGTCGAGACATGTGAGGATTTTGGGAATCCCTTTGCGAAGGATACCGGTGAACTCTTCTTCGGAGCACAGACTGACACATTCCACAGAGGTCAGGGGTCGCATGGAGCCTTCCTTAGGTGCCGGCTGGGAGCTAGGCAAGGCTTTTCTTTCCGCTGGCTTGACAAGACCCCACGGTGAGATGTCACCGGCCTCGAAGTAGTATAAGAGCCAACAGCCAGGATTCCAGTACGCACCAAAGCTGAAGCATGTCGCCCCCCCGCCCACCACCAAGGTAGTCTCATCGGCACTCGCTGTACGATGTGTTGAATGTCCTATCAGGAAAGGCCGGGGAACATTTGGGTCCTTCCTTGGTGACACGCAGGCGACACGTAGTTCCATCTCCCTTTCAAATTCGCCAAAAGCAGAGAAACTGCCGAGTATGGACAAGATCTCATAGTCTTTGGGGATACAGCCATGCTTGGCCACTCCACCAATGACTAAGAGTTCGTTCCTGATGACGCTGTAAGACGCGCCAAGTCGAGATAACCAAGGCCATATACCGGCAGAGGTGTCCAGGGCTGTGGAGGGCTTGAACGTGATACCAGCGACGACATTGTCACGAATAGTTAGCCTCCATCTCCATAGACCTTGACAGATGACGCCATCGTGGCGCATTCCTCCGAACAGTAGTCCATGATTGAATCCAAGTCTGACAAAGCTCGCACCGAACCGTGGCATGGGATCTTTAGCGAGTGACCTCAGCTTCTGCCAACCGTTCTTCCGATCCCAGAGGATGCAATCTACAGCGACCTTGGTGGCGGATGTTTTTCCACCAAAGACGACAATCCCATACTGATTATCGGGAAGCACCACAGAAGCTGTTCGGTGTCGATATCGTGGCTCGGGCAGGTCCTGAACTCTTTCCCATTTCGACCCAGTTTGCAACCAGCAGTCTTTCATGGGCGCGGAAGGCGACCCACGGCCTCCGACCAGTACATTCTGGCCGTTCGCTAGAGTCGTTATAGTGTGGCAACATCGGGCTCCGATGTCTTCCGGCGGCAGACCCGTTGGCGTATACCGTGCGTCTGTTGCAGCATACACTGATGTGCTTGACAATCGGCTCTGAAGACCTATCCCGCCGTGTAAAGCAATGGCGTCTTCACCTGGCATGCGGTACGCCGAGCCATGATGTACCCTGCCGTCCTTTTCGGGATTAGCTGTATACTTGAAAGCAAAAAATTGTGTCAATCCTTTGTAAGGTGAGACTGTCCTTGTCGAGAGATCGGATGCGAAACTATCGATAGACGCCCGTCTGGATCGGCCTTGTTCCGGAATGAGTGGGTCGTCACCAGTTTGTGCTATGATGAGCCCATAATGCGAAGCAAATAACGCGAACTCTTCCCTGATCATTTTCAGTTTGGGTGGCCCAAGAGGGGAGGTGATCATATTACCATTCATCGAATGGTTCGACTTCATCCAAGGATATTCGCTGCGATGGAGACAGAAACCTCGGATCAGCCCATAATTCCCACAAGTTTTGCGTCTCAACCATGTGGAAGCCAGCGCCTTGGAACCGCAAAGTTTGAGTATGGCACCCGGGATACTTGAGGACGGACCGGAGAGGCGTGCCAAGTTTAGCAAAGTGTTTCAGCATAGCAGCCGTGAATGGATTGTCAGGTCGGTCGGGCGATTGCTGCTCCAACAAACAGAAGGTGACATCTGGACCAGCGTTAATTCGCTTCGATGAGCTGGGTACTAGCCGCCTTACCTGGACTTAGTGTGCTGCTCCAGGCAATGAGCGCATCCGAGTCCTCTCCGTCCATGTAGGTTATGCTGACCTCAGCCAGGCAAAGCACCAGACAGTCATCAAGGTCTACTACCGACCTAAGTAACCGTTCCAGTCGTCGCAAGTTCCGCAAGTCGCAGCCAATGGCAACATATTCTTCGCTATCCAGAAGTATTCCTTTCTCGAGCGGGAGGTCATTGACGGAAAGCATATCTCTCATCTTGGGCGTGTTGAGAATGATCTCCCGCTTGCTGATCATGAGCTCTTCGAAATCGATGTCAATGAACTTAGTGCCGCTGCACAATTCGGGCTCCTGTGCCATCCACTGAAATGGGACTGGATCACTACTACAGTCAGTCGCCTGGCCAGGGTAGACCGGCCATTGAAGACCTTACTCACTATCCGCAACCGAGGTTTATAATGACCTTTCTCTGGTCAGAAGGCTTTTCTAAGAAATGCCTAATCACCCAATCAATAGCTCGCATGCGAAGCCAATATCCACGATTGATCGTTGGTGCTCTGCGTTGGGGCTTTTTAACAAAATATCGATAAAAATGCGGCTGAGGCAGGTATAGTCGTTCCACACTCCTCTTCGAGACTATACTGCTATTATTGGTCTGGTAGATTCGTCAGAGGGCCCAAATCAAGAAAGAGGTTGAGACCTACGCCCATGATGAGACCAGCATTCTTCTCCATGGCGATCTCATCGTCCGTGGCATGGCTCGCAGCCGCCATTGGAGAAGTCATGGTTGCGCTGGAGTCACTTAACACAACATTGGAAAGCAGAATCACGGATCCAAGAGGATCGAGAAGAGGAGGATAGCAACAAGCAAATGAGTCAGAGTAGAGTGTATGACTAAAGGTGCATGAATGCAAAGGTGAAAATACGCTGGAAGGAGGAACAACGTTTTTCCGTCATCCGGCCTTGGCAGTATATACGCCCTGATTGGTCACTGTGGCGGTGTTGGATCTTCATCTAGCAAGTAGCCATTGCTTGAAAACACCTCCACCACATCCGAGTAATCGCAAACATATCCCTGAGGCCATATCCGAGACCCCAGCACTGCTTCCCGAAGTATACGACTGCCAGCATTAAAGTGCGACAGAAGTCGCTAGCCGAGCACTCTCATCAATTGATCAGAGAGGACTTCCGTCGGACGACCCCGAGTAGAGGCGTTGCCGGGAGGATGGACACATCAGAACCCTCTCTTAAAGGACTCTATAATGAAGCAAAGTCACAACAAGAAGGTCTCGATGACCTAGACCCGAGAAGCTCAGCTTTCAAGACGACCTTGCAATCCATCATCGACAATTTCCGACGTTGTCAAGAACTTATCCAGCAATTGTCACTCTTCAGCAAGAATGAGGAAGTGGAGGATATCTCGACGCAGGACCTCCAGTGTGTCCATAATTCCCAGCGTGTTGGACGACGTGGCTGATTTGATGCAGGTATCTACTGGTAGATTACGAGCTGGCAGAGACAAAGACAAGGGCGTACGACAGCGACCGGCAGTCATCATTACAGGAGTCATCTCGGCTTCTGGAAAGCTTCTTGAGCCGGCTTGACCAATATGGACTATTAGGAGCCTCCGATCGCAAGCTGTATGAGCGCTTCCTCGAGCAAAGAGACTCATTCAGAATAGTGTCTTCGACAAATCCTGAGGATAAACGAAAGATCAAAATCGCACGATTTCAGGAGGAGAAATCGTTGAAGCAGAAACTCGAGGTCAGTATGATTCCCTTCTTTCAAACCCGGGGTCGGCTGTTGACATGCAAAAGTACTTGAGAAGTGAATCGCAAAAAATCAACATTGACGATGAGACCGTTCGACACCTGCACTTGGCGGAGATAGCCCTTGCTGTCAACAAAGCTTTTTCATCATTAGACATGATCAATCAAGAATTGGAAATTGTATCTCATATGCGACAAGCCGAACCAGCCCGAGCTGATCCACCTCCTGACCAGAGAGCTCCTGCCAGATCTAACGGCTATTCTGAGCGCCTTGATGGTCCCACAACACTGGGAGGGCTGGGAAGAAAGGGAGGTCCTCTGCTGAGTCCCAGTGGCAAACCACTTCAGCCATTCACACTGACGGACAAACGCACTCAGCTGCAACAAGGTGTGTTCAGGCCTGATCATAGCCTGCCCACTATGAGTATCGACGACTATCTTGAAGAGGAACGTCGCCGAGGAGGCATCATTGATGGCGGTGGCAATGCCAATGCTCCTCAACCGGAGGCTGATGAAGACAACCTGGAGCAGGTCGATGCCGCCACGATGAAAGCGCGTAACTGGGATGAGTTTGTCGAGGCGAATCCGAAAGGTGCTGGCAACACTCTCAACCGAGGCTAAGAAAGCCAGAACCAACTCATATCATGGCCAAGGCGTGTTGAATATGTTCTTCTCCAGCCTGCCTACGGCAATGTCTGCGGCCGACAACTCTATGTGAATCGCGCGACAATATGGGTATATACAGCTGATTTGAGTACGCCGATTTGGATGCCAATGAAGCGCCAATCCATAAATGCAAGCACTGCTTGACAGTTTCAGCCAGTGACCATCGAGTTTGCATCCTGGCCCCTATAAGTGCAAAGTCCATGGCCTGCAAGATACTTCATTTCTCCTCGAGGTCTGTAACAGTTGTCGGCTTCTTGGCCTTGATCTCTGCCAGAATCTTGTCAGCACCCCTACTCAATAGTTCCGATGCTGCATTGATTCCGAAAAGTTCGGCATCCTGCTTGCTCTTCACGATTTCGGTCATGTCGATTTCACTTTTTTCCTTTCCATCTGTACTGACCACGATAGACTTCAGGTTAAGTGCTTTCTGTCCGTCGTCTTTCTCGACCCAGGTGGTTTCGACGCCCAGAGGAGCACTGCAACCGCCTTCAAGGGTCCTCAAGAGACTACGTTCCGTTGCTATGGCAAGGTGTGTTTCGTGGTGATCAATCAAATTGAGCGTGCTTTGAACTCGTTCATCAGGGGATCTGTTCTCTATCCCGATTGTGCCTTGTCCTACCGCCCATAACATGCCACCACTCTTGGAGTCGAGATACTGGTTGATCCTATCGCCCAGATCAAGGCGAATCAGTCCAGCAGCGGCAAGGATCAAAGCATCAAAAGGTCCAAATTCGGCGTCCAGTTTCGATAACCGTGTGCCGACGTTTCCTCTGACGTCCTGCACTCGTAGATGAGGATACTTGAGGGCAACCTGAGCAGTCCGCCGTATCGAAGAAGTACCAATAACGGCACCTTTAGGTAGATCCTCAATCCTGCACGGTTTTCTCCCAGCCTTGATAACTAAAGCATCCCTGGGCTCTTCTCGCTCCAAGACAGCACCAATCTCACAACCAGACGGTAGCTGCGTGGGTACATCTACATACTCGTGAGCCAAGGTCGAAATCAAAACCGAACAGGCACAAACCTTTCAGCGAATGCACCAGGAAATCCAATGACCCCTCCCCCATCAGGGTTTCGAGTTCGTGCGTCCACAAATTCTTCACAGGCATGTCTTTGAAAGGCGTTACCTTGTCGATATCCCCTGCCGCGGTGTCTCGTGCCTTGATAGCGTACACATTGCTGGGACATGCCGCTGCCAGCGCCTTTACAACCATATCCGTTTGTATCAGAGCCAATTTTGATTTTCTGGTGCCAACGTTGAACACTGCCTTCGAGTCGTTCTCGGCCACAGTTGCCGACGCATTCTGCCCCGAGACAACGGCGAGGGTACTCATCGCGGCTCACGAAATGAAGTTGACTATTCGATTTCGATGTTGCTAAAAGTCAGAACTCAAATAGGACGGTTTAGGGATTTACTATACGGTGTACTCCTACAAATAAGTCCACTCGGGAAAATATGCGATATCCGTGAAATGGAGCACGTGACCAGGCTGCATGGTCGTCGGCGTCATTCGCTCTGACGCGATTGTCGTTACCTCGGCAGTAAACGGAACGACCGTATCGCCTCATCAAGACACCCGCATCACGCATCTCGTAGGTTCTATGACCATTCGACGGAATGCATCGCAATCACTAATCGCTCCCCTACATCACCCCGGATCTACTATACAAGTCATTAAGCCGCCCCGCTCATTCCCCTCTCCTTCACATCTCATCCATCTCTCTGTGTCACAATAATGGGTTTCACGGCGAAGGCAACCATCCCGCTTCTTCCTCTCGCAAAAGACTCGGTCCTTCTGCCTGGCGTCACGCTACGGATTGCAGTCTCGAATCGAGCCGATATACCTCTTCTCCTTTCTTCCGCCTTTCAACGGGCAACAAGATCACGAGCCGGAACTGCACAACTGCCAATCGGCTGTGTCCCGTTCAACTCCCCGTTCCTAAGTCCTGATGGAAAGGAGCTCCTTGACAGTTCCAAGAAGGAGAGCAGTGGTCATGTTGAAGCCGATGTAGAGCCTGGCAATGCAACAAAGAAGGACTTGTTTGGATATGGCACGCTTGCAAGAATAGTCGGCGTCCAGGGCAACTCCAACACTGATCCATACCTGGTCGTCGAAGGCGTCCAAAGGTTCAGGATTGACCGGATTAAACACGAGAAACCAAACTTTGAAGCAGAAGTTACCTTCTACGAGGACGAAGTCCCGGATCCGAACGATGGTAACACCCGCGCCAGTTTCACACGACTCAAGCAGAGGTCGCGGGAACTCCTTACCCTGCTTCGCCTCTCGTCCCTCTTCCGGCCAGCCTCAATGGTCCTCTCTCCCTTGGTCGTTCGTCGCTTCGAGCTGTATATTGCGAAGAAAGACCTGTCACAGGCCGGCCAACTGGCTGATTTCATGACGGACATTGTGGAAGCGAATTATGAAGATAAGCTGCGCGTCTTGAGCACATTGGACTTGCACGACAGACTGGAACGTGTTCTAGCCTTGCTGAACAAGCAGATTGCAGGTATCAATGGCAACATCAAGATCACGTCTATCACATCAACATCACTACCATCGAATATCGGTGTGGACATCTCCGATCTTAACCAGAGCCAACGTGAAGCACTCGCTAGACGAGCCTTATCCGGGCTGAGCCCTCCTGGCATGCCCGGACAAAGGGGAGGAGAGGATGACGAAGACAATGAGGTCAATGAAGTTGAAGAACTTAAGAAAAAGGTCGCCGAGGCAGGTTTATCACCGGAAGCGCAGAAGGTCGCAGAGCGCGAACTGAAGCGCCTCAAGAAGATGAATCCAGCCAATGCTGAATACGGAGTGATCCGCTCATACGTTGAGAATCTTGTGGAGATCCCTTGGACAAAGGTAACAGACGACCACTTGGGTGCTGAGACTCTCGCCCGAGCTCGAAAGCAGCTCGATGACGACCACTATGGACTCGAGAAGATTAAGAAGCGATTGCTCGAATACCTGGCAGTACTGAAACTCAAGCAATCAGTCAATGCCGACGTTGATCAGCAGATCGCACGACTTGCCAAGCAACTTGCACCCACCCAAGAAGGTGAAGAGAAGGAAGTCGAGCCAATTCCGGATAATGAAAAGGATGCTGCTACCACCAAACTGCATGTGCTCAAGTCGAAGAGGATGATCGACAAGTCACCAATCCTTCTCCTGGTGGGTCCTCCTGGTACAGGTAAAACGTCGCTCGCAAAGTCCGTTGCACTGTCTTTGGGCAGGAAGTTCCACCGGATCTCTTTGGGTGGTGTTCGCGATGAAGCAGAAATCAGAGGCCACCGAAGGACATATGTCGCTGCTATGCCCGGTCTAATTGTTAGCGGACTGAAGAAAGTCGGAGTGGCGAACCCTGTCTTCTTGCTGGATGAGATCGACAAAATCAGCAGCAACAACTTCCATGGCGATCCATCTGCCGCCATGCTGGAGGTCCTGGATCCAGAACAGAACCATAGTTTCAGTGACCACTATGTTAACATCCCTATCGACTTGAGCAAGGTTCTGTTCATTGCAACAGCTAACTCGCTGGACACCATCCCGGCACCCCTTCTCGATCGTATGGAGACCATTCAACTCTCCGGCTACACAACGATCGAGAAACGACATATCGCTAAACAACACCTGATCCCCAAGCAGATCCGCACGAACGGCCTCTCGGACGGACAAGTCGTCATTCCCGACGACGTCTTGGACACGATTATCACATCGTACACGCGAGAGTCTGGAGTCCGTAACCTGGAACGCGAGATTGGCTCAGTGTGCCGGTACAAAGCGGTCCAGTACGCTGATTTTAAGGATGCCAATGATGAAGCCAAGTACAACCCCACAGTCACTGTCGAAGAGCTGGAAGATATCCTCGGCATCGAGCGATTCGAGGAAGAAATCGCCGAGAAGAGTTCGCGCCCAGGTGTTGTCACCGGTCTTGTAGCCTACGCGTCAGGCGGCCAAGGTAGCATCCTGTTCATCGAGGTCGCCGATATGCCGGGCAAAGGACGTGTCCAGCTCACTGGCAAATTGGGCGATGTACTCAAGGAGTCGGTCGAAGTTGCGTTGACATGGGTCAAAGCGCACAGTTTCGACTTGGGTCTCACGCACGACCCGAATGAGGATATCATGGAGAAGCGAGCTATTCATGTTCATTGCCCTGCTGGTGCAGTGCCCAAGGACGGACCCAGCGCTGGTCTAGCGCACACTGTTGCCTTGATCTCGCTGTTCTCAGGCAAGCCTGTCCCGCCACAGATCGCGATGACTGGTGAAGTCAGTCTGAGAGGAAGAGTGATGCCGGTCGGCGGTATCAAGGAGAAGCTCATCGGTGCGCATCGTGCGGGCGTCAAGACCGTGCTATTACCTGCGCATAATCGCAAAGACGTCAAGGATGTGCCTGATGAGGTCAAGAAAGATTTGGACATTATTTATGTGAAGTAAGTTCGCTTTCCACTCTTGTTGATTCCCGTTGCTAACTATCTGTTACAGGCATGTCTACGAAGCACTGCGCCACATCTGGCCTGACTCGCAATGGGCGGCAGACAACCATTTCGCCCAGGTGGAGAGCAGATTGTAATGTTGTATACGACTTCGCATACTTAGCAAGCGGCGTTTTTCGTAGCTAGGATAGCTTGAAACAATATATGTACCTCATGTACTGCTTCGTCCAACAATTGTATATGCGCGGCGCAGATAGAACGGTCGTGATTCAGACCTGACGCGTGGTGGGAACCAACGGTCTCCTGAGGTGGTCGTGGACGACCAAATCGCCATGCTCCTTAGACATAGGAAATCCGGACTTTTGGGGAAGTGAGAATATTGTGCAAGTTTCTCTTGCGAAGCTGCACAAGGTATGAGGAATGTCCGCCTCTTTCGAATGTTGTACAAGTTGAGCGCCCAGTCGCAGTATAGTACGAGGTTCATAACATGAACTCAACCTGCATGTTTTGGAAGATACATTTAGGATCAAGGAGAACCGACGGTAGGCTGGTCCCCTAGTTTCTGCCATGTCGGAGCCCATTTTACCCTTCCTTTCAGCAAATCTTGGGCTTGTTGCGCGATGCTCTTTCGGTGCTTCTTGTTGGGATGCGTCGTTCCAAATGTGGTCTTGTTCCGTTCATTGGCCACCATCGCTTTATTGGAGTTCCAGTAATCGTTGTACTCCCATCTAGGAGACTGGTCAGTACAAATGCACCTGATTATGAGAGGGGGATTGCATACGGGTCTAGACTTTCGACCTCTTCGGGGTAGACGAATGGTTGCGCCAGTTGACAGGTCATCTTCTTTGTGCTTGGAGGCCGGAATAATGGGCCCTGAGTATGTGGATCGGTAGGGTCTTTTCTGTCTACCTTATGCTGCACCACGACACTCCGAATGTGGAGTACGTCCACGTTATAGACGTTCTTCAGGTACGCTCTGAGGTCGATCTTGCTGAAATGCCGCGGAACGTCGAAAGCGGCGTATCGTGGGCCGAGATGTGGAGTGCGCATGAGTACAACGGCATCTGAGGGTTCGGGACTGGCGAAAAGGGTAAGCTCGTTTGGGTATGACCATCGAGAAAGGGAGGACTTACAAGTATATCTGTTTTCGGGTTTCGTAGGGGACATTTGCTGAGGCGGAAAAGAAGCGGACTGGATTTTGAAGGAGCGCTGATATCGAGGACTGATCCATTTCAAGCCCGGTCTCCCAGATGAATGATCTTACATCGCTGGAGACTCTGCGCAGTACTGGGTGCGCGTCCATGAATTTGTCGAGATGCTTTCGCTCTAACTTCCACCACTCTAGTACGCCATCCTCGTTCTTGACCTTTTGGATGGCATAAACATCCTCTTTTGTGAGTGGCTCCCATTGTGGTAGCTCTATCTCGCCGGCTTCTTCATTGAGTTCATCTGTTTCTGAGGGTTCTAAGCCTTCCTTCGACAATTGTGGCTCGGTCACGTCGACTGCTTCTATGTTAAGTGCACTTGGTTCTGAGGGTTCTAGCCTTTCATTCGATGGTTGTAGCTCTGTCTCGCCGGCTTTGTTGATGATAAGTGTTTCTGAACGTTCCCAATTATCCTTGTATTGGTCGAGCCATCTACCGGGAGGGTAGCGTTTGTCTATCTTCAGCGACTGGCTTGGAGTCAAACCGACACTGCCCTTGATACGTCGTTTGGCATTCCATAATCGAGGGGCTTCTTGGGGTGCGGACGGGCGAGAGAGTTTCGTGAGGAGATTGGGAGGAACGCGCGGTCGAGGCATTGTTGCGATGCACCTCTGAGAGCACTCTTCCGTGCTTTGGTGGTCCCGTCAATGATCTTGAAGGATTTCAAAAGGTGCATTTGCTGCACGACTCAAATAGGAAGCTTTGCCGGGATGCGAGTTAGAGCTAGCTTATAGGCGTAGGCGTACGGAGAGCGCAGCGCAGGCTCATGGACACGCGCCAAACATTTTGGTGGATCTTCTTGCCCATCACTGCAAGTGTCGTTCCGTAAGCTAGTTGTCGCCTGCCACCACGCATTGTACCATCAACATCACCGATCTTTGCCTTTTAGACACCTCACGTACGTTTCTCTGCAAGTCGTTTATTCTCCCACATCATCCACGGTCATTACTCGATATCCACTCTTTCTTGGCCACTGAGGCCTCCGTGCGAAGATGGCGCAGGACGAGAAGAAGCCGACCGCCGCAGAGAAGGGCAAGGGCAAGGCAGATGATGGTCCCATGGCAAATGGAGACAAGGACGCTCCTACAGACAAGCCTGATGACAAAAAGGTCGATGGCAAAGCAGAAGCTGCCGCTGAAGAAGAGCTGAGCGAGGAAGATCAACAACTCAAGAGTGAATTAGAGATGCTTGTCGAACGATTAAAAGAGGACGATGCCAGCCTATACAAACCTGCGATGGACGCCATCAAGAACTTCATCAAGACCTCGACATCATCGATGACTGCCGTACCAAAGCCTCTGAAATACCTCCGACCTCACTACGATGACCTTGCTGCTCTTTACGACAAATGGCCTGCCGGTTCCGATAGAGACTCGCTTGCCGACATGCTTTCGGTGCTTGGAATGACATATGGCGATGAACAGAAGCTGGAAACACTGAAATACCGGTTACTATCAAAGTCCGATGACCTGGGTTCTTGGGGTCATGAGTACATCCGGCATTTGGCCTTGGAAATCGGGCAAGAGTATCAAAATCGGCTCCTTGCAGGCTCAACCGAAGTTGGGGATCTTACGGAACTTGCTCTGTCGCTGGTACCTTATTTCTTGAAACACAACGCAGAAGCGGATGCAGTCGATCTCCTCAGCGAGCTGGAGATGATCGAAGAATTACCGGGATTCCTGGACGAGAATACATACTCCCGAGTATGTCTTTATATGGTCAGCATGGTCAACCTCCTCACATACCCCGATGACATCGCTTTCCTCAAGACTGCGCACGAAATCTACATCAAATACAACAAGCTGGCACAAGCAATGGTGTTGGCGATCAAACTCAACGACGAAGAACTTATCCGGCACGATCTAGAATCGACAGATGATGTGGCTTTGAAGAAACAACTGGGCTTCTTGATTGCCCGGCAACGGATATCCCTCGATGTGCCTTCGGAGACGAAAGATGAACAGGAGATCGCCGAGTGCATTGGAAACACCCAATTGCCCAGCCATTTCAAGACATTGGCAAAAGAACTGAACATTCTTGAGCCGAAGACTCCAGAAGACATCTACAAGACACATCTCGAGAGCGGTCGTGGTAGCTCTGCCGCTGCAGATTCTGCGAAGCATAACCTGGCAAGTGCTTTTGTTAACGCCTTTGTCAATGCTGGGTTCGGCACGGACAAATTGATGTTGGTGGAAGGCGACCAACGACCCTGGGTATGGAAGACCAAGGACGACGGCATGCTCAGCACAACAGCTTCCTTGGGTATGCTGATGCAGTGGGACGTCGAAGGCAGTCTTGATAAAATCGACAGATTTCAAAGTATTTCGGAGGATCCTGTCAAGGCTGGTGCTCTCCTGGCATATGGCGTGGTGAATTCCGGTGTCAGAATGGAAGGCGACCCTGTTGTGTCGCTGCTCAGTGACGACGATGTACTCCAGAATGGCAATCCTTCTATGAGATTGGCTGCCATCATGGGTCTGGGCTTGTCTTATGCTGGCTCAAACAGGGAAGACCTGCTGGATTACCTGCTGCCTATCGTTGAGGATAACAACCTCGACATGCAGTTGTCCGCCATGGCGGCCGTATCACTTGGTATGGTCTTCGTCGGCTCGTCTAACCATCAAGTAGCTGAAGCCATTGCCACTCAACTGATGGACGAAGATCGTCAGAGACAGTTGAAGGATAAATGGGCAAGATTCATGGCTCTGGGATTGGCTTTGCTCTATTTCGGTCGACAAGAAGAAGTCGACGTTATTCTGGACATCTTGAAGGCTATTGATCACCCTATGGCGACTCCAACTGCAACACTTGCTTCTGTTTGTGCTTGGGCGGGGACTGGAGCTGTGCTTAAGTTGCAAGAGCTTCTCCACATCTGCAATGAACATATCGAGGACAAGGAGGACACAGTCGGCGAGCAGCTTGTACAGTCTTATGCCGTGCTTGGACTGTCACTAATTGCCATGGGTGAAGACGTTGGCCAGGAGATGGTTCTTCGACAGTTCGGCCATCTCATGCACTACGGAGAGCCCAACATCCGGAAAGCTGTGCCACTCGCCATGGGCCTAATCAGCCCCAGCAACCCTCAGATGAAGATCTATGATACTCTGTCGAGGTACAGTCACGACAACGACAACGATGTCGCAATCAATGCCATCTTTGCAATGGGCTTGGTTGGAGCAGGAACGAACAACGCGCGTCTTGCACAGTTGCTGAGGCAGCTGGCGAGCTATTACCACCGAGATCAGAATTCGTTATTCATGGTCCGAATCGCTCAAGGTCTTGTGCACATGGGCAAAGGTACCATGTCTCTCAATCCTTTCCATACCGACCGACAGGTCTTGTCCAGAGTTGCTGCGGCAGGTCTTCTCACAGTGCTTGTCTCTCTTATCGACTCAAAGCAATTCATCCTTGCGGATGCTCACTACCTGCTCTACTTCCTGGTTACTGCCATGTATCCCAGATTCCTGGTCACCTTGGATGAAGACTTGAAGCCGCTTACAGTGAACGTCCGCGTCGGTCAAGCTGTCGATGTTGTCGGTGCTGCTGGTCGGCCACGAACCATTACTGGTTGGCAAACTCAGAGTACGCCTGTGCTACTGGCGTATGGCGAGCGAGCAGAACTGGAAGACGAGGAGTATATTTCTTTGACTAGCACCTTGGAGGGACTGGTCATCCTGCGCAAGGTAAGCACCTTTCATCAGTGATTCGATTCGATCTAACTAACAATCTCTAGAATCCTGAATGGGAGGGCACAAACAAATGATGATACGCTCTGCATCAACATAACATGGTCACAATTAGCCTACACTGGGATGATGGAGGGAAGGCTGGTCATTCAGCCTCTGTACTAGTATCATGGGTAATCTAGATTAGCCAGGGGATCAAAGCTGGGTGCGGATGGCACCTCAGTCTAGAAGTCAAGTCGGCCTTGCCATCGTTGTCCATGATCGTATTTTGTCTGGTGGCTGTCTAAGTACTCCGGGGAAGGACCATGTCGGAGAAACTGAGGCAACTGCCGCCGACAATTGTATGGCATCATCGCTCTTCCGCATTAGGTTCCAACTCCAATTCCATGTACACGTTGCATGGCATTTTACTTTCCTTCACCTTTGCATTGACTTCTCGAGGCAGCCAATATGATACTTTCTTGAGTATCAGGTATTGGCATCATGGTTGTGCAATATAGCCCATTCAAATACCTCTGAAGTCCAATAGCGGACACACAGTTGTCTGCGCCGCCCAAACATGGCGCCAACCTCCAACCCACGCATTACTACGCTCGACTTCGACGCCAACCGCAGAACAAGACGACACTCGCATGGTTCACGACCGAGCGTTGGCGATGATGACTTTGATTTCATGGGTCAAGTCGCCGAGGAGATCATTGAGCGGGATCGTTTGCGAATGCGTAGAGAGGTCATGCGAGTTCTGAGCTTTGTCTCCGCCGTTCTAATGTGGTACGCTGTTGCAGGATGTCGAGCATCAGAGGAACTATAACTAATGTACCACAGTCTATGCGCCGGATCTATCACTTCCTTCTCGCTGTATGGCGCCCGGTTCTTGACCGACCTTCATTACACCCAATTCCGGGTCAATGCCGTATCCATAACCGCCGAACTCGCCATGTACCTTCCAGTCCCTCTTTTTGGCTACCTCTGCGATCGGTATTCTCCTCCGCCGTTATCTTTCCTTGCCTCCATTCTGTTCGGCGCAGGATATCTGTTGGCCGCATACACATATAAGGCAGGCCCACCTCCAGACGCTGCGAAACACGGGGAAGGGTGGCCGTTCGGAGTCATGATTCTGGCGTTTGTCGGCATTGGCGCAGGAACCAGTTGCATGTACTTGTCAGCCGTTGCAACGTGTGCGAAGAACTTTTCGAACGCAAAATACCGTGGGCTCATGCTGGCCGTGCCAATTGCAGCGTTTGGTCTCAGTGGAATGTGGGAGAGCCAGATTGGCGCTCACCTGCTGTACCAGAAACTACCCAACGGACAGAAGGGCGAGGTCGACGTATTCAAGTACTTCATATTCCTTGCCGGCACGCTCATTGGGGTAGGTCTATTGGGAACACTGGGCTTACAAATTATCAACGAAGAAGAGCTCATCGAGCAGGGTGTCGAAGCGCTCGAACGGAGCGGTCTATTGGAGGAGAGCGAGTTCTTCCGTGACTCGGACACTGGATCGCCCGTCAACTACGGCGGCATTGAACCTCATTCGGGTAGTGCTACTCCTTCAGACGACGGCTCGGAGGATCGTGACCTCGACCTCTCAGAATCTCAAATGCTTAAGAGACATGAGCAAGATCAGCGCCTTCGCAAGAAGAAGTGGTGGCTCTTGAACCATGCGACGCGCAGCTTCCTGACCGACCGGACCATGTGGCTCCTTGCTGCCGGATTTCTTTTGCTCACAGGCCCTGGGGAAGCGTACATCAACAACCTGGGCACCATCATCCCCACACTAACGCCCAAGAGCTATTTCGACCTGACGAAGCCTCCCGCCGGCCATGCATCGACGCACGTGAGTATCATCGCGGTTGCGTCGACCTTTGCACGCCTGTTCACGGGTTCATTGTCCGACCTCTTCTCGCCACCCTCTCAGCCGGAGAACCCGCCATCCACTCGTGTCAGCTTTTCACGTCTGGTCCTGCTGTTGCCATCGGCGTTCTTGTTGCTTCTATCCTTTCTCAACCTCGCGCTACCGTTCCTTACGCCTAGCAACCCGAGCCTGTTCCTTCTCTCTTCTGGACTGCTTGGTCTAGGATACGGCGCATCATTCTCTCTCGTGCCCATTATCATCTCGGTGGTCTGGGGCGTTGAAAATTTTGCGACGAATTGGGGTTTCGTGGCCATGATGCCCGCTGGTGGTGCGGCGCTCTGGAGTATCGTGTACTCTGCAGCTTATTCGCATGCGAGTCAAGGCGTTGGAGAGGGGGAGTGTAGAGGGTATTCATGCTTCGGCGCGTGGGCGTGGGGCTGCGCTGCGAGTGTTGCTGTGGCCATCGTGCTGTGGTGTCTCGCCTGGAGGACTTGGAAAAGGAGGAATGTCATCGTCTAGGACGCGACTGGTGCAGAGACGGGCGATGGTGATGTGGTTGCCAATGTCAGGATTACTGTCACATTGCCACGAGAATGGCCTCCCAGGGCGGCTCTTGGACCTGGCGATGTGGACATTCGTAGGCGATGATGAAATTGCCAGGGATCGACAGCTCTTCTGGGGCTCAGTCCTATGCATTTGATTGATTTTGGATGGTCATTGCGTCGGCGTCGGGTTGGGTTGGGTCATGCAGGATTACCATTTTACTGGTGTATGATTCAAGCCTATAACAAAGCAGGCTATGCCAAAATGAGGGATTACAGGTAGGCATCACTACGTCCTTGGCTCTGGTATGGCCAGGGAAGTCAGATTCTTGAGCTTGTAACATATATTGTTAAGCTTGTGCTCTCCAATTCTGAATACAGAGAATTGCCATCCAAAATGGTTGAAAATGTCTACATCATCATGTCGCCTTCAGCGCCTCGGCAACGACGTCCACCATTTCAAGCACTTTCTCCTCTTCGAGACGTCTCCCCACTACTTGCAAACCCACAGGAGCACCGTGGTAGAATTCCGCATCATAGTCCGCTTGAATGCGTCCATCAATATCACTGAGTTGTTTGAAAGTCTTCATATCGCGCGGCTTGTCAAGGTTCTTGTCCGCAAATGTAACGGGAAATGTACATGCGCAGAAGTCTAGGGTATTTTCGAGTCAGTCACTACGCCTCAAGCATCGGATAACAGAACGGTATCGTTTTTCGACTCACCCAAGAAGTTGACGAATCCTGTCCATCCAACGTATAGATTCTGCTGTGTCTGTCCGAGCCGTGGCGCGGCCCACGGCGCAACCGCGCATATGATACCGTCCATCCTGTCCTTGTCGTCTGTTGCAGTGGCGTTCCATTGATCGAGATACGCTTTCTGCAACTCGTTGCGTCGAATCGTCATCATGCGCATCTTCGTCGGACCGAGTTCTCCTTCTCCGCCAGCCGCGGCTAGGGCGTAGCCTCGCATACATGGGAAAATGGGCTCGTTCCAGGGCTTGAGGAGGTCCATTATCGCGCCGCCGCCGAGGTCGAAGAACGCTGCTTGGAGGTTCTGAGATGCTGTTAGTTATGATTGGGGTTTGGAAGATCTTACTCGTTCGCACCTTGATCAACGCTTCGTGTTCTTGTGTAGACCACGCAAATACTTCGTGGCCTTGCTTTTCGAGGGCTGCTTTTGTGATATTGAGTGCTCGCTCGACGGGAGGGTGAACGTGCACTAGGCCGTCGTCGATCCCGATTATGCCGAATCTGAGTTTGCGACCGGGTGGTTGAATGACGTTCTTCCTCCATGGGATGGGGAGGAGTTTGTGGTCGTAGTTCCATGGTGCTACTTTCTCGGACAAGAGGGCCTCGGAGTACAGTTGTAGAGACTTCAGGGATCGTGCCATGGGGCCGTTGACCGAGAGGATGTACTCTTGGCCTGGAATTCCGGATTTGGTGCCGTAGACTGGATATCGACCGAACGAAGGCTTGATACCGTACATGCCGGACCAAGCTTGATGCATGTGAGTAAAGGTGTATACCTCGAAGAGCACAAGAGGTGCTAACGTACCTGCAGGAATGCGAATACTGCCTCCAATGTCTGTGCCTACACCGAGAGGCGAGGCGTACATCGCTATCAGTGCGCCTTCTCCGCCACTCGAACCTCCAGGGCTGAGGTATTTGTGGAGTGGGTTCCGGCATTCGCCCCAGACGTTGTTGGTGGTCTCGGCCATCATCATTGCGACTGGAACGTTGGTCTTCACGTAGAATACTGCACCCAGATTTCGTAGGATTGTAACTAGTAAGGTGTCTTTCTGCAGGGGTTCGTTGGCGTAGGCGGCCATGCCGATTGAACTGGGATGCGGAGCGGTCACGAAGCAGTCCTTGAGAGAAATGGGTAGACCATGAAGTGGTCCGATCGTCTTGCCCGTTCTGGCGAGATAATCGTCGAGGTATTTCGCTCTTTCCACGGCTTCGGCATACAGGACTTCAGTCACGCAATTGGTCTGTAGCAAGTGAGCGAAGGCATGAAGCATACGGGTCGATGGAGTCATACCAGTTCTTGGGCTAACGCGGAGGCCTTGCAAAAGGCTTGAGCGACTTCGACAGCTGTCCATGATTTCGTCCTGATCTTCTCGAGGATCACGTCTGCTTCGGACTGGATTATGGCGAGTTCATCATTGGTATAATAGCCTGATTTGAGCGAAAATTCAGTCAGATTCTTGGGAAGGTCTTCTTCTTTCCAGGTCGGAGGCTTGTAGTAGGCTGCAATGTTAGCAGCTCTCCTTTTGCGGGCAATGACCGAAGCCTCTTTGTAATCTTTGGTGGCCATGGCTGACGATCAGTGAAAGCAATAAGAACGTATCAGACAGAAGAATATGCCAGCAGTCAGACTTTAGTAGCGCTGGCAGCAAGAGTGAACAGGTTGATCTGATATTGATACAACCATATACCGGAGCATTGAGCAGCAGAACAGTTGGTCTAGTCTGCTCATGAATGAATAGTGCCTCGATATTAGAGAGATACTGTACCGAGGACAACGCCGTGATACCCGTACATGTCCGATACTGGAGGTGGAGTTCACTGAGTGTGGTACTATGCTATCGCGCGTACCTGTATCAGTTTGACATCAAACGGTGGTGTGGCTGTGTGGCGTCATCCTGCCACAAATGGCAGTCAGAGCGAGGTTAAATACATAGCCACGTGATATTCACTGCCACCTCATTGTCGAACTTTGAATGGGCGAAATGAGGATAGCCATTGGCTGGAGAGTGATGCAAGTAAAGGCGGAAGTATGAAGGCCCTGCATGATTCGTTGTCCTTTCAGGGTCTGGGCCCACCGAACGGTCCCCCCTCATACCAAAGTCTCACAGCTGCCGCGGGGCTGAGCTGCTGATGAATTCACCTGCAGTGCTCCAGCCTGCGGTTTCAAAGTCACCCCGTCCACATTCACTTCAGCTTCAACTGCGCCATTCTTTCACCTTCTGCTCTCCCTTCGATCTATAAATCTCTTCTGTCGTTATCCTCAGATCCTCCCATCGTGAATATTCCACGACACGCAACACACTCCACTTCATCACCCACGTAACCTCCACAGACACAATCTCCAAGATGTCCGGACCCTACGACTCATATTCTGGCTACGGTCAGCAGCAAGGCGGGTATCCTCCCCAAGGCTATCAAGGCGGCAATACCGGCTACCCACCTCAACAGGGTTACGGCCAAGGCTACGGCGAACAGCAGGGATATCCTCCTCAAGGTTATGAGCAATACCCTCCACAAGACCAAGGCTTCGGGGCTCCCCGTCGTCAGGACTCTTTCGGCCCGCCTCAGCAAGGTGGCTTCCAACACGGTCAACAAGGTGGTCAATATGGCGCATATGATGCCAGCAATCCTCAAGGACACCCAGGCTACTACGGCCAAGGACAGAACCAGGGCGGCAACGAGGCCTACGGCCAAAACCAAGCATACCAGCAACAGCAACAGCAACAGTATGGTCAAGGTGGTCAGCAAGGTAGCCAGCAATATGGAGATGCCAGTCAACACCAGTTCTCTCCTCAGTCTAGCGATCCCAACGGGTAAGTATCCTGCTATGGAGACACGAACACGAGGAAACTAACCCATCTTACAGTCCTAACTACGATGCAAACGCGCCTCCCATGAACGAGAGTGACAGAGGTCTAATGGGTGCTCTTGCTGGAGGTGCCGCAGGCGCTTTCGGTGGTCACAAAGTCGGCCATGGCTTCTTGGGAACGATTGGAGGCGCCATCATGGGCTCGCTGACCGAAGATTTCGTCAAAGACAAGAAGCAGCATCACGGCAGCGGCCAGAGCAGCTGGGGTGGTAGCAGATATTAGATCGGGGGCTTCGAGAATGAGGCATGGAGGCACAACAAACGCCACATTGAGCTCGATGCATACCACATACAGTTACGACTGATGATGACTTTGCTTGAAACATTGTTTTGCGAGCATTACCACACTCCCGCCGCTGGTGCTCTCTTTCCTACGGGTATGTTCAGGTGGACAGGGGCTTTTGGATAGATACACTTCAGGCTCTGTCAAAAATGGCTTCAATACAGTTTCCTTAACACAGTCTCGCATCTCGAGGCATGGGTCTATCTCTATGAAACTGCCTTCGGTACCAACATGCGGGCAATAAGCGTTCAGAAACAGCAGGTGCTTCTCGTGCCCACGCCTTCTTCCATCTGAATTCAGCTTGAAAACAATGTTGGTGACCAGAATGAGCGCATTGACTGCTGTCATTGATGGCAATGGTTCATCATCCCTAGTGTCACATAGCCTGCGAGACCGAACCTAACTTCAGACATACTTCACTTCTCATTGGCACCTCAGCCTCGCGAGCCCAACCATGACTCACTTATAGTCATCAGATGGTTCAATGATATGGTTCATGACTCTTCAGACATATATGACCTCCTGTACTCTTGGCTATGGGTCGGTCTCAGGCACTTACACCGGTGTTACCAGCCTAGGTGCAGAGGCTTTCGCGATATGCAATCCAAAGGCTGTCCGCGCACTTACTTCGTGTCTCGCTTTCGTACGAGCATAGATCTTTTATCCTACGGCTGATAAACCTCATAGTGACGACATCATGGACCTTGTTGTTCGTAATCCCTCCCTGGCAGAGGAAATCTACGTTCTCAACGCGATTTATGGGGACCGCACCATCACCGTCACCTTCGCTGATGGCCATCATACCACAATCGCAGTCAAGATGCCACATGTGAGCTACTCGTTCTTTCTGCAAGTCCCGCAGACTTATCCTCGCTCCGTCCCAAGGGTCGTTGGGATTGACAACCTCATCGAATTCTCGAGCCCACTCGTACGAAACAACATTTTCTAACTCAAAGCCTGTGTCTTCTCTGTCTATCAACCCGACACTGTGTACTTATTCGATGCCTTGGAAGAGTTCACACCGTTTCTGAAGACGCAAGCTCAGCGCCAGAAAATGTCTGACGAAAATCACCAATCAACATATTCACCAGTCCAGACTGAACAGACACTGCAGCGCCTTGCAGCCCGAGCTCGTTCGATGCGGCCTCTGATGGCGGATGGGTACAACGCCAAAATCTCTGATGTGGTGGATAGCTCGATCCCTCATGTGGTGGACTGTGCGGTGTGTATGGAGGCGTTTTTCGAGGTCCAGACCGCGAACTTGGATTGCGGACATTCATACTGTCGAGAATGTCTTCACGGTAGGTCACCCACGACAGATCTGTCCTTGGAGCTCACTGACATTGAGAGCAGAGGGTGTCAAGATCACGTTCCGGAGCAAGTCCGAATTTCGATGCTGCGGTAAAGGTCTTCCCATGACGCTCATTGGTGAGTATGGCGACCTTGAGGAAAGTCTGCTCAGACACTTTTCTTCCTGGTTGCGCGAAATTCATTGTCCCAATCCCCTGTATTGTCCCTGGGAACACTGCTATGAGTTCATCGTGCGGTCTTCTCTGGGAATCGACACCAAGTGTCCCCGATGTAAGCAGGGTCTGTGCTTGGCGTGCGGCGGCAAAGAACACCAAGGTGTGTGCAAGACGAACAAGAAACTCACAGCTATGATCGAAGAGAAAGGGTGGATGTTCTGCCCACGCTGCCCGCAAGTCATCGAGCGTAGCGCGGGCTGTAACCACATGACGTGCCGTTGTGGTGCCAGATTTTGCTACCGCTGTGGGTCTGCATCCCGGTCGGAAGGCTGGAATGGGTGTCGATGCAAGGTCTTCGGTTGACTGGGCGACTGTGACGAAGAGAATGGTATTTTGGACGAGCCAGCAGACTTGGGTGGCTGACTGAATCGTCAAGAGGGATTGTGGCAAGGAGCTGTATTCTCAATCAAGGAACAAAGCACACTCGAGCATGCATCACATAAGATAGACAAAAAGCCCAAAGCTGATTCAATAAGAAAGCCCCGAGCCTGTCTCTAGAAAAGGTGATGCTGTTTGCCCACTGTTGCCCTCCAAATTCAGTTCGATCTTGTTCCGTATTGTCATTCCAGAGTCCCTGGAACACAACGGCAGAGCTTTAGTCATCGACATCGTAAACGTCGTCACTTCTATCGTGTATCCCATCTGGCTTTAAGCCCGAGACCACGCTGTCGCCAGCCCATTGGGACCAATACTGATATCGACGACAAACTCTCCGTCTGACGGTGCCAACATCTGTATGACAGGGTCGGCTCCTCACCTTCAAAGAAGATACCGTTTTTTATTGTTAGTCCGCAGTTCTTCACACACAACAATAGCTGCAACACTTCACGGACATGAAGGTGGTCTGATCTATCGTATAGTACTGCCATTGCTGTCAAGACACCCGCTGTTATGGATCTGCTTGGCCACTCACTTGTATCATCGATGTACGCCCTATCAGACAAGGCCACTTTTCTGGAAACAGGCTGACCCCTATCGGCGGCCAGCCTCGCACGTGATCTTCAAAAAGAGATTCCCCGATACAGCAGGCGCCATTGCCTAAAAAGACTAATCATCGGTTTTTCATGGTCCAAGCTTACAATTCTGACACATTTTGTGATTGGGTCATCAGGCCTTCTAACATGCAGGCATAAGAAAGTACTGAGGAAGTCGATCCTGATGCAACCGTCCAATCCCTCCATATGTTATGCTAGCTCAAGCTTCCTCTATTACTGTCACACTCGAGGCATTCGGAAACTTCAAACCCGCTATCGATATCTTAATATTCGACACCATCCTGCAACATCAATTAAAACCAAGGACATTCGGCGTCATCACCATCAGCAAGTTTACATGCGGTGTTGTTGTCTCCAAGGCTATTCCCGTCCATACTTGCTCCAAGTAGTTCAGTACCGTCTTCGTCCTCCTCACTACCTCATCAGGCCCACTTTCCTCAACATCCAGATTCATCTTTTCTCTTCTTCAACTTGCTCCTCATGCTTCTCCGTGAATCTCAGGATTACCATCATCTGATCGTCGAATGACATGAGTCGTAAACCTCCGACTATCGACTCGCTCCTCGAACAAGACGTCAAGTTCCTCAAAAGTCTTGTCTTTAGTCTCTGGGAGACAGAAATAGCACCATACGACGCAAAGTGCAGCGATCCCAGCGAACAAGAAACCCAGTTTGCCCTTCCAGTTGCCTTCATCAGTATCCATAGCATACGGGATCGCAACACCAAAGATAATGTTCAATATGTGGCACGTGCAGGTCGCCAATCCAATAGTCATACCCCGAAGTCTTTCTGAAGCGACCTCACATAGAACGGTGAAACAGGCTGGTCCTATGGTCAGGTCGTATAACACTATACATAGAGCAGACCAGGGGCGAGAGCCTTGTGTGAGAGCCTTGTCATGGCAAGGCTGAAACCACGGCCTGCTTATATAACGATAAGGCTGCAGAAAATCCCTGCAGGGCCAAGCAATTTAGCGTGTCGCGGATCAGATGCACGTGAGAAAGTACATGCATTCGTATTGTCTGACCTGAAGCACGCCTTGACCGAACAATCACTTTATGTACACGGGAGAAAGGCCGTTGGTGTGGGTGTATTGCTCTTACTGTGTTCCCTGCTTGACCTCATGGTATTTATGGAATGGGGGATTTGCAGTGGAGCAACTACATGTAAGGTTTTAGAAATCAAGGTGAAGTGAAACCGGCACCTTGCTGGGTGCCACCTTGTCAGACCCTGCCACGAATTCCTTGCCCATACCAAGCCAGCCAATCCCCCCAGACTGCGCCCGCGCGTGCCCTTTGTTGTACTGTATCTGCTACGGCCAGCCCTTTGGCGACCTCACTCTCACTTCTCCACCGTTCGTTTCTCACTCTTACAACATGGCCGACACGCTGGCACTATGACGACGACCATTTGCTCTCCCTTGGTCCTCTGTTTTACCGACTTATATACGGATCTAGGCTGAGATATTCGTTGACATGGCTGAAGAGCCTCAACCTCTTACCCTCCAGCAGCGCATTGCCGCCCTGAACGCTGCCCATGTTGGCCGCATTCCTGGTGACCCTCCACGACCCTCGGCACATCCGCATCCTCCTGTCCCTACCAAGCGTCCAGTCGTTGTGAAGCAGAATACTTTCAATAATCCTCCCGAACAAGTGAATGGCTCAATCACCGATCGCACCATTGGCAATCAGCCTGCACCGCCTCCCCGAAAACAGCCTCCACCTCTTCCGAGCAGGAACACCTCGCTGGACGAACCGAGGAGAGGATCAGTAATACCTACGACAAATGGTGTCAACGATGGCCATTTCTCAACAGTCACAACGACTCGCACAAAGTCGACAGACTCTGCAAGCCGAGTCAAAGCCCCAGCATGGGGGGATGTCCAACTTCCACCTCTGCCGGCCAGAGGCAACCAATCTCAGTCTCCCGTCAGGAAGTATTCTGATGAAAGACCGAAATATGTCAATCGGGCTCCCACTTGTGCCACCGATTCCACACCTGCCAGCAGCCCAGCCGTCAAGCCCGCACCTCCACCGAGACCATCCCTTCCACCAAGAGTACCATCGCGGAAGATTGAGACGAATGGACACGCTGCGGAAACAACTGTGCGAAAGATGCCTCCGGTCGTCCCAACAGAGGCACTCGAAAAAGCGAAGAAGGCTGCTTTCTCACACATTTCTCAGAAGGGGGTTGCGCATGTCGAAGTCGTCTCAATCGAGGAGCCAGTCATTCCGCCTCACAAAGAGCACCAACTTCTACCTGTTAGAGAATCTAAACCACAGCCTATCAAGCAAATAGCAGTATTGCCGTCAAGAGGCCCTGAGCCTCAATGGGAAGAGCCGACACAGCATAGTCACACACAATCCGCACCGCCTCCAATCCCACTATCTTCAAGACCGGACCTCTCTGCGCTTCAAGCCACGAAGCCCAGACCGGCCACTACCACTACAATTTCATGCCTCGTATGTCGGGACTTCTCTGGCCCCGATCACCAAGCCACGCTCTTTCCCAGGACGCAAGTCAGATCATTGCAGGACCTGGCGTATCAATTGACCTCGCCGTTTCCTTCACCCACGGACAAGTCTCGTGCAATATTCACGTGGCTTCATTACAATATTGCCTATGATGTCGTTAGCTTCTTTGGCAACAACGTGAGAGGCTCTACACCGCAGTCGACGCTGCAAAGTGGTCTTGCCGTATGTGAAGGCTATGCCGTTCTGTTCACCAATCTAGCGACTTACGCTGGCCTGGAATCCGTGGTAATATCGGGTCACGGCAAAGGTTATGGCTTCACCTCCCTTCCTCCAGGAGCGCCACTTCCACCCTACAATGCTGGCCATGCATGGAATGCAGTGAAGATTGACAATGGAGAATGGAAACTCATCGATGCTTGCTGGGGAGCAGGCTATGTTCAAGGCCCAGGACGACCATACATGGCCAAATTCAACCCCGACTTCTTCAGCATGTCCAACGAGCAATTTGGTGTTAAGCACTTTCCTGGCAACAAAGACCAATTTTTCCTCCCAGGTGGTCGGCGTATGGCATGGGAGGAATACATCGTCATCGATCCGGCTTGCTGGCCAGAGATGGTGGAGGGCCCGACTGTGTTTACGAATGCCAAAGAAGACTACTCAATCGGTGAGAAGACTGTGTATCCTCGGGCACGAAAGATCAGTGTGCGGCAACAAGGTGCTATGCGTTTCCAGTTCAATCTGGTATGTCCTCATTGGACGTTGGAAAGACATACGCGCAAGGGACCGCCTCCGGTGTTCCTTGTCTCTGTCAATGGTGTGGACGGTCGAAACAAGGATCTCATACCACTGGACCATTATCCTGGTCCGCAGGGCCAGGGCGGCGATACATGGGTCGTGGACATTGCTGCCCAGGAACTCGGTGCGCCTGGTCAGACTGTCACGCTATTCGCCGTCAAAAGTTTCGGCGAGAATCAGGACGCGCGTGGACTGACTGTGCGCGAATTCCGCGAGGGTAAAGGCCGGGTTGGGATGGGGTTTGTTGGCGTTGCGGCATGGGATCTTGTTTGACACGCAAAATATACCACGGTAATTCCCTTGGATGCTATCTTATGAAAGCTATGGGGATGGGCGGACACGGCTTGGGGGTCGATGGTACCTCCCATTCGTAATGATAATGAGATGAATGATACCCTTGATAGAAGAGATTTTAATCGCGGTACCCGTACTGACTTGACACCACTGTTCCATTGAGTTTCAGCCATTTCTCACTCCGAGATGGGTCGAGAAAATACTCCAGTTCGACGAGGACGGTGTCTTGAATGGGGTATGCATGACCTTGATGCTGCGTAATTGCAGGATGTAATTCTGTATCTGGGAAATTCTGTATTCTGTAGTGACGGTAGTCCTGTGTGGCAAATTCTGCAGCAAAGAACTGTATTCTGTACTTACGGTAGACTGAGTGGAATTCGAGATATTTGGACAGGCGAGTGCCCTGTCTTCTGGCGGACATGTGTTAACCGCCATCAGCAACACCGTTTTCCAAATTGATCCACCTTGACGGTTCTGTGCTCCCTTCATGAAAACGAATTAGGTACCGTCTTCTCGATCCAGTAGTCTAGTAGTGGTTGTCCATGACCGGCAAGATAGTGAGCATCAAATTGCGGAGGCTGCCAAAGTCAGATGACTGGACATTATATCTGTGAACATCACACCCGGTTCACCATAAGCAGTGAGGCGATGAGACGACTTGAAAGTTGCTCATATTTTGTCTTCATACCATCAGCCAGTCGTTGTCTACTCATGCCGACTAGTGATTTGCCTGCATGGCCACCATGGGCATAGTCACGTGCTTCCGAAACCCTCAACAAAACGCCGTACCATTACAACGATTCTTGTTCCCAAAGTCGCTCTACACAGATACTTCAACACGTCCCTCGCTGTTCTGGCCCTTCGCAAACGTTGGTAGGAGATAGGTGATGTCGTCCCATGGATGTCTGTACAGTCCTTGTCTGTTTCGCTTCTGATCAAGGTAATGGGCGATCAGACCGATGGATCGACCGAGGACGAACAAGCCGTTGAGGACACCCATCTTCATATAGTCTTCCGCTTCTTCTGCAGAGAAAGCACCGCAGTTGCGCATGAGATCAACTAATGAACGTTAGTACACGGATTTTTTTTTGGACGAATATCCACCAAAACTTACCGAACGACACTGCAATGCAACCGTCAACATTAACTAGAGGCATAAGAGGTTAGCAAACATCATAACGACGATGAATAGGGGAGAAATACGAATCAAACTGTCCTTCTTTGCCGTCGTGAGGGTCTCTACAGCAAGCGCATAGTCGAGAAGCTTGTGGGAGGGAAAGTGCTTGAAGACAAAGTCCTTAACAAGCTCAACACGAAGATCGGGATTGTTCCGGGACTTGATTCGGTGACCGATACCAGGGACTAGAAGTTGTTAGTCAGATTGTGCAAGAAGGGCTCGAAGCTTGAACTTACTGAGTTTGTTCTCTTTGCGCATGATGTCGACAAATTCTCTTGGGCTGAGACCCTTGTCGGAAGCACGGGAGAACTCTTCGGCAGCGCCATCCAGGGCACCACCGAAACGGGAGCCAATGGTCAGGAGACCAGCAACGAGTGAAGAGATCAAGTCTTTGCCGGCACGGGTAGTGATGATGGTGTTCATGGCACCAGACACAGCAGGACCGTGATCAGCGGTCAACATAAGGACCATCTCCAAGAACTTGCCGGCATATGCAGGAAGTCGGCGACGGAACCACAGGAGAGACATGACACCACCAATACCAATGTCCTCCTTGAAGACGTCTGAAATTGGCATTCCGGCGTAAAGCAACTCCTGGCCTCTGTCGTCGGAGATAGTGGAGATAAAGGCAGCGGGTTTTCGGATGAGGCCCAATTCCTGAGCCCACGCATAGTCCATGGGGATTTTTGGGACGGCTGGTTCTGGGGCAGGATTGATGGTTCCTTGCTTGACCAATTTTTGGTACACCTCGGCAAGAAGAGTTGGCATCTCCTCGAAGGTGTCAGGAACGAAGAAACCAGCTTCCCTCATCGACTGGTTCTTGAGGACAGCTGTTTCGAGTTGAGAATTGGCGGAGGCACCGGCGTGACCGAATTGGACTTCGGTCTTGAACATGCTGGCGCAGGTTCCGATAGCCCATGCGACAATTGGCTTGGTAATCTGACCATTCTTGACAGCCTCGATGACTCGGTACTCCTCGACACCACCAACCTCACCAAGAAGCAAAAGGATTTTGCAGTCCGGCTCGGCCTGATAACGAAGCATGTGGTCGATGAAAGTGGTACCGGGGTATCTGTCACCACCGATGGCAATGCCCTCGTACACACCGTCGGTGTTCTGGGCGATGATATTGTTCAATTCGTTGGACATACCTCCGGACTTGGAGACGTAGCCAACAGAACCCTTCCGGTAGAGTTTAGAAGCAACAATGTTGTCCAACATACCACCAGTGTTGCCGATCTTGAAAGCACCGGGCTTGATACCACCGACGGTGGCCGGGCCAACAATAGTGATGCCCTTCTGTATCGACTTGACCATGATCTCGCGGGCACGTCGTTCGGGCACACCTTCTGCAATGATGGCAATCGAGCGAATCTGAGGAATGTTCATCAACTCCATTGTGGAGCTGTAGACTGATCGCGAAGAAGCAAAGTTGACGATTGTGTCGACATCAGGGTGCTTCTCGAAAGCCTTGTCCACAGACTGGTAGACCGGCAGAAGAGTCTCGCTCGTACCCCAGTACATCTTGCTGACGAACTGTCCGCCGAATGTGTAGATAATACCGGCAACTGAAGGCGTCGTTCGCTTGCAAATGAAGTCGAAGTCGAGCATACCCTGGACAGCCTTTGGCTGCATTCCGCTGTTCCAATTGTCAATATCGCTCTCTCAAACTGCGCCCGGGCTGGCTTACTATACGAAACATCTCGTCTTGTTGTGGAACAGAGCATGCGGAGCAGGGCTCAGTGCTCTTGAGGGAGCCTCGAATCGGCGAATGTTGTCGTTGGCAGAGAAAGGTGCGTCTGAACCCGGAGAAGCGTCGCCAGCAGGGAGATCGATCTTGGGGACTCCATTGGAAAGGGGGGCAGGCGCTCCGTCTGTCGCGGAAGGCATTGTGGGAGAGTTCTCACGGACTGGAAGGCCCATTGTGTTAGCAGTAGAAAGACGGCAATGCTATAGAGGAGCAACAAAGAGTGGTTGCAGGGAGGTTGTCGCGGGTAGAGGGGGTTTCGGTGGTGCAGGGAGTATATCGAAGGAGTATAGTATATCGGCATTGAACTGGAGTGCGGATGAACTTACATTCGGACAAATAGAACGGTTGAGTGGTGTATGAAGAAACAACGACCGTCGGTTGATGTCCAGCAGAGACAGATGACCAGCGAGAGAAAATTGGTCGAATTGGTGTTTTGGTGTGGACAATGAGGTGTGATGCTGATGCGAATGCCAGGTGTGTCTGCTGCAGGTTTAGCTTGGGGTAACTGAATTAACCACTAACGTGGTTGTTGAGAGTCCGCTACTAAGGAGCTCCAACACGAAAATAGGCATGGCGGCCCCCAACTTGGTTGCGGTGAGATTTTTTAGTGGACCCCTGATAATCGAGTTTCAGCGCCTCAATCATTGCCGATAACTTTACTAGGCATGATATGCGGCCCGTAGCCGGGATAGCTGAATCGCCATTTTGTCCTGGACCACCAGGGCTGATTGTGGCCTTTCGTCTGTCCTGGCGGGCCTGATCCCCCGCTAAGCTCGCCCCTTACTGGAGGAGACCAATTCCTCGCGTGCCCCTTTCGCGCCTCTCAGAGTCAATTCGGAGTCCGGTACCCTGGCCGTATTTCGTATCTGCTTAGGTATCCGGGTGATACGATATTTCACACAGGGCAACGGTGGGCTACACTCGGCGGATATACAATGGAAGTGTTGGATACCTTCCGGGATGAAATGGATCAACAGATGATAGTCTCGGGCATGAGATCCCGAGGCAGCACAAAAGGCCTCCGGAATAGCAGAGTAAAGAACAGCCATCGGCATTGGAGTCTCTGCTGCACTATTCAGCAACCCTCTCTTCAACAGATTCCTAGTGAAGTCACTCAATCGTCACAGGGTCAGCTCAACTCACTAACAAAAGCGGTGACCGACGGCCTGAACACGTCGGTCACTTCCCTGGACCATTTAGGCGGGCAATAGGCGTGCAGGCAAGGGCGGGAATCTGGTTCCTGGTGTTGGTGTGGCTTTTAGCGTGCGGTGATCCACCATTGATGCGCCCCTTGTTAAGTTTAGCATCCTCCTCAACAGACCATTCTCCGCCCAAAATTTTATTGTGCAGGGCAAGCTGCGCTCTCCGAACCGCCAACATTATTGTCCTGACCCCGATCCAGTAAGAATTCTGGCCCCAGCTGTTTCGTCGCAGCATCACCACGCACTTTTGCTCTTGAATCCAGTAGATTGACAACTGGTCAATCCTCTACTGAACTTCCCCAATATCATAGAGACTCTGTCTTCTCATTCATCCCCGTTGACGCTCTCAAACTGTCTGGAGCCTCACAATCACCCTGACATTCCCTTGATTTACCCCTCACCGCCGCAACAATGTCAGCAAAGTCCATTCTCGAGGCTGACGGCAAAGCCATCCTCAACTACCACCTCAGTCGTGCTCCAGTGGTCAGGCAGACTCCTCTGAAGGCTTCGGGGATACACAACCCTCCTCCAAAGCTAGCATCACTCTACTTTCCCGAAGATCAGTCTGTATCGACTATCCTCGACCAGGCAGAGGCCACCTATCCGTGGCTGTTGGCTTCCGGCGCCAGGTTTGTCGCGAAACCAGATCAATTGATCAAGAGAAGAGGAAAGAGCGGCCTATTGGCCCTGAATAAGACATGGCCTGAGGCTAAAGCGTGGATTGCGGAGAGAGCAGGCAAGGAACAGAAGGTGGAAACCGTCACTGGTTACCTCAGACAATTCCTGGTAGAACCATTTGTGCCTCATCCTCAAGATACTGAGTACTACATCAACATCAACTCTGTTCGAGACGTGAGTGTTCCCGGATGTTGAAGTTTTGGACCACACTAATTGACCCACAGGGCGACTGGATTCTCTTCACGCACGAGGGTGGTGTCGATGTCGGTGATGTCGATGCAAAGGCAGAGAAGATCCTAATCCCAGTCGACCTGAAGGGATTCCCTTCTATTCAAGAGCTGGCATCAACACTGCTTAAGAAAGTCCCTCAGGGCGTCCACAATGTCCTGCTGGACTTCATCATCCGATTGTACTCAGTCTACGTCGACTGCCAGTTCACCTACCTCGAAATCAACCCGCTAGTCGTCATTCCCAACGATGCAGGAACCTCAGCTGATGTCCACTTCCTCGATCTTGCCGCTAAACTCGATCAGACCGCCGACTTCGAGTGTGGCACGAAATGGGCCATTGCCCGAAGCCCGGCTGCTCTTGGTCTGCCCGGTGTCAAGGCCGACTCAAAGGTCAGCGTTGACGTTGGGCCACCAATGGAGTTCCCTGCACCCTTCGGTCGTGAACTTAGCAAGGAAGAAAAGTACATTGCAGACATGGACGCGAAGACCGGAGCCTCCCTCAAACTCACCGTGCTGAACTCCCAAGGTCGCATCTGGACTTTGGTTGCTGGTGGTGGTGCGTCCGTCGTTTATGCCGACGCTATTGCTTCCGCCGGTTTCGTCAGCGAACTGGCCAACTATGGTGAATACTCCGGCGCTCCAACCGAGACGCAGACGTACAACTACGCCCGAACTGTGCTCGACCTGATGCTCCGCGCACCGCTCAACCGGGAGGGCAAGGTCCTGTTCATTGGCGGTGGTATTGCCAACTTCACCAATGTCGCCTCAACATTCAAGGGTGTTATCCGCGCCCTAAGAGAGGTTGCTCCCAGACTCAACGAGCACAAGGTTCAGATCTGGGTCCGTCGTGCGGGTCCCAACTACCAAGAAGGTCTCAAGAACATCAAAGGCGTGGGTGAGGAGCTCAAGCTCAACATGCACGTGTATGGCCCTGAGATGCACGTCAGTGGTATTGTGCCACTGGCTCTCTTGGGCAAGAAGAGCACCATTCCCGAGTTCGGTGGTTAGTGAACGACCTTGCATATGCTGTTGTTGTATGATTTGATCTAGAGTATATCCATCGTCAGATCGTTTTTGATGGGTTGGCATGCGCCTGGGCGATCGGAAAAGGGGCCTGGGTGTTCTTTCCGGAGTTCCATGATGACTGCGGAGGAAAGCATTGTGATGAACCGCGAGTGACACGTCCTCTTGATGTATGGGCACTGAACTTGAATCAGATAAGCGTGAATAGCACAAGGTTGGCCATGATGAGATTTGCCTAATGAGAAGCTCTTCGAAGAGCGAAATCATAGCTCCGTCATCTGGCTGACAAGATCTAACGGTTAACATCCCCTTGAGTTTTCTGAGCCCTTATGAGCCTTGCCTGCTAGACCTCTTGTGCAAGGGCTGCATCGCCTTCATTGCAGTACCATGGGTAAAGTCTCCCCATATTCCTTGCCAGCGACCTTCATCCTGCCAGCAATGTCTTCGCCTGAACGCCTAACCCCTTTTTGATGCATTTCGCTGAATCGACCCCCGTATTGTAAGTGCATCCCTTTCTCCTCCTATGCACACAATTTGGGGTAAACATTGGTGTCCTTTTACTCCACGAGAACAACCCTGCCACCAGCCAACTCGTCGATATACGCTAGTTTTCCGCACCCCTGACTCGTCTTCTTATCTTCTTCACGTAGAAGAACAGCGAGGACTTCGACCGGCGGTTCCAGACCTAGCATGTTGGCCCTCTTCCAGCGTAGAAGCCGTGAGATGCCGATGCACGGTCCGTACTGTGAGGAGAGGTCGAAATGGCGTAGGATTTTCTCGTGGATGGATAGAGATTCTTGGTGGACTAGAAGGAAAACGACATGTTAGTACTCCTGAGGAACTAGACAAGTGCTTGGTGCTGGAATGGTGAATAACGTACTTCTAGGAGCAAGTCTGCTGTCCTCCTCGGCTCTCCAGTACTTCTTGATCTGAGCGTCCGTCACTTTCTCCGCTGCGAGTTTCCGATCATCTTTCTCTGTCGCCTTTTTCTTAGACTTGGGTTTCTGGCTTGATGCTAGCTTCGCCGGTGTCCCAGGGGCTGCGATTTCGACTTGCGTTGACTCCGCCTCGGGTTCTGGCACTTCGATCGTTGCGGGCTCCTCATCCACCTCAGGAGTCTCGATGTCTTTTACTTCTTCCTCCTGGTGCGATTGAGCAGAGTTTGATAATCTGGATGATTCCTTTGAGTCGTCATGTCTGGCACCCGGCTTGGTCACTCGTGTGGAATTGTTGAATGTGAGTGTGGATTGAGCGCTCGACGTCGTGGCGCCTTTGGCTTTGCGGCCTCGAGCCATTCTGTCTGTGATGGAATAGTGTATGGATGCGGACCTTCGAATGCAGTCTCAGTTGATGCGCACTGTGGATGTATGCCAAATGTGGTCTGTATGTTGCAATGTCGTTGTAGAGGTGTCAAAGGCTGGACCGTGAAAGGCAGATGAATGACGTTCTTCAATTTCCTTTCATTTGGCTTGCTGCCTCAGCAACCACCTGTCATTTTGGGCTTGCATCTAATGCTGCTTCTAGGCCAGTTACTTATCTCGATTGTCATTGGCGAGTGAACACGCGTTTCCTTGCCTAGGGTGAAGCGGCAGCGCGTTTGCGTGTTCAAGACGTTGCATACTATCATTCTACTGCCTCATCACTGTCGTCCATTATGATAAAGAGGATGCTAACCATTTCGAAACGTGCTGGTACAGAGGTGACAATCTGCTTCGCTGTATACAACCTGTCTGTGACATACTGTGTTCGTCTCTTCGATGGCCGTAACAACTAATTCATCACGGCAATGCACCACCAGCTCTTTCACAAATAGGCCATCCGAAATCCCACCCGGGGGTCGCTACCCAAGACCAAACCCATCCACTTCGAGGGAGTCACCATTGTCCGTCGATTTTATCATCCTTACGGCTTCGCTCAATCTAGACCTTCTGTGCCACTATCCCCTTGCCAAAGCATCGGGTACAGCCACAACGCCATCCCAGCTGCAAAGAACGGCACGAGAATCTGCATAACAGCGTTCCACTCCTTGTGAGTCAATCCCCCCAGCTGTTTGAGCTCTCTCTTGTCGAGCTTGTCGAGCTTCAAGATCACCGTCGACAACTCTGCGCACCAGTATATGCCGAACGTGAGCAACGGAACGCCCACGAGCGTCTTGTTCTCGATGACCCATGGCCAGCGGGCCCAAAGCCCGAGGAAGACGGCATAGCAGGCGCCTACCTCGACAAGGCAAAACAACGCCCGGACGAAATAGATTCGAGCAAGGTAGGGGTGTTTGTCTTGATCTGTGGGCGGCGTCGGGTTCGATATAGGCCCTGCCGTGCCGCCTTGCTCTGATGAATTTTGTTGAATCGTGTGAGTATCATGATTAGAGGTCGAGGCTGAGATTGAACCGGTAGGACCACATAACATGGCAGAAGCTGGTCGCTGAACAGTGTCGGGGCCTTCGACTTGGGCCTCGATGTCGTCTTGACTGATCTTGGAATTGGTTGCGGCTGGTGCCTGAACAGCGTCTGAGGCTTGGACTTGGGCTTCGAGGTCGATGTCGTCTTGACCGGTCTCGGAACGGTAAGAGGGCGGTCGTGAGGACGTACGCCGAGGTGCCTTGACGCTCTTGGATCGAGTCATTTTGTCGAGATACTATCCTTCGCTATGTTCACGAGTCGTCTTCCCTACGCAAAGAAGAGTAAGAGGCGTCGCAAAGAGGAATAGCTCTGATATATAGGGTAAAAGAAAAGGGCATCGACGTGCTGAAAGACCAAGAGGTTAAGTGAGGACTATCGCACCTCGAAAATGTATGGTACACACAATGTCAATTCTTTGGGTGAGCCACAACGTGTCTGCCGACCCTCAAGGCAGAACTTGGAACAAGAAAATGAATGGCAAGGCATACTCGAGTACAGTGGAAGGGAAATGGTCGATTGCCAAAGAATGGAAGAACTTTCTTTCGAGATATGCAGCTTGTGCGTCTATCTGGTTCCGGTTATATGCTCACTAAGAAGCTGGGGTATCAATCATACTGTAAATGCCGTGCTTCCCAAGATCAGCCCTTGTATAGTGCTCAAACGCCGTCGCTGTGCCCATCAAGGATTTACCTGGCATTCCTGACTTCGTTTCGGATGCCTGTCCCAGATCATTTATAAAACTGGATACCTCGGCACCCTCCGTTCGTCCTCGCTCATCGCCTGGTGTTCGTTCCTGTAATCTTTCTTCAATCATCAATCATCTGTCGCACGCCATGGTTCATGACCTTTTGTCCGCAAACTGCCAAGGACCGCTGAACCAAGATCCCTTCTTTCCCCAATTCCAGGTGCCTTTCGTCGCTGCACGTAGATCGTCCACGTTCAAGTAATCGACACCTTCTTTGTATTGAACACGCCAGAGGTAGTTTCTCATGGCCTTTGGCCAACTGGGTACACCCCAGTATCTAACTTTGAGACCTCGCGCATGTGCACCCGCAATTTGTTTGCGCATTTTCTCCTTCTGTGCATGGGAGAGTCTGCCGCGCCACGGCCAGCCAATGGTGCGTGTAAAGTCGACTGAGGCATAATAGGAATTTGCAAGAGAGTAGATGGCTGGATCTACAGGCGCTGCTCCGGAATGACCTTGTCCTTGATTGCCGAACCACCGTTTGTCTACGGCATGGGTGTCCTTCGATGTAGACGTACTTGTGACGTCCAACTTATCCATAAGGTCCAGAGGCGCATCGAAAAACATGTCTCGATAATCCGAATTGGCCACCACCATATTAAACGGAGCGTTACCTGTGACCACAACGGTGACTGGTCCCTCGACCACGTCCGTCCCGTTGAAGTGAGTGAGATAGTGTTTTTCTCGCAAAGGCTCGAGTTGTTCGGAGACATAGGGCCAAATTGCTTGTCCGTCATTCTTGAAGTCGATCAAAAGGACTAAAGTGCGTGCAGATTCTGTGTCAAACACGCCGTTTCGAGGGCTGTCCAGAGTGTCATGAAAAGATGTGATCGGATTCTGCTTGTCCAGGATGTTCACCAATGGGTTGATGTAGAGGTTGCGGAGAGTCCTTTCCGGTGTGAGAGAGGCGGTAGAATGTCCAACATACAACTCTTGTTCATAAAGCCAAACATCGGCCTCAACTCCGGTACATCCTGCCTTCAGCGCCGAAAAGAGAGGTTCTCTCCTCCAGTAGTCATTGTGAGAGTGACAACTGACTGGATGAATGTCGGCTGAGAAATCTGTAGGCCATCGTCCTAGGTCGCCCGAGAGTTTCTTTGCTCCTTTCCATCCATCAAATTCGTCGTCGGCCTCGTCCGGGAAAAAGGATACAAGGAGACCAGATGCTAGGGCGATGAACTCCAAAAGGCCACTGCGAGTACATTAGAACGTTAGACCGGATGCACTTGGATTATTCTTACAGCAGCATGAGCGAGAACCCCAATAGCCGTAGAACTTTCTTTAGAGCCGTCGATCTGGTAGATTTTAACAACGGCCTTTCAAGCGTAGATTGTTTATGCCCCGTGGAATAACGTCGACCCCAGAACAAACTTAAGAGACTCTTTTTATCCGGCGACGGCCACCTGGAGGATGTTTGAGAGGTAACATGGTCGAAAGAAGAGGCAGGTGCAGGGAGGGCAGTACATGAAACTGCGGGCGATTTGGCAGCATCGGATCTCACGGAAGATGGATCTTCAAATGCTCCATTTTCCAGATCAGAACTGTCGTTGAAAGTCTGACCCTGTGTCAAAAAAGGTACACGTTCGGGCTCCGTAGACGATTCGCGAGTATGAGATCGAGCTCGGTCATTACGGAATGTCCGGATGCCTGTAGACGAATGTTGAGGCATCCTTCGCTGGCGCGAGCCTCGCAGGCTTGGGAGAGGGGAGACTGCGGCGTTGATTGGGGAGGGGCAGCGGCTGATTACTTAAGGTCGAACTGGGGGGGAAAAGGCGACTCCAAGACAGCCGAGGTGCTTGCTAATCCTTCAATTGCATGACTTTATGCAATGCGATCCGATGCGATAAGAGAGCGGTGAGAGTACTGAGAGCATCGAATTACTTTGTCGAACTGTCGAGGGTCAATGGTATGTTTGGCGATGACATTAGAAGCCAAATCAGAAGGAATGCGCCAAAAGAAAGCGTGCAGGGTCGAGCTCTCTTTTTCAACAATGGCTTTCTTGTTCGAGACAGGCTTCAACAATGTCACCACTGGACGGGACCCTGAAAAGCCCTTGAGCGATTCAAGAAATGCTTCCCACTTCCCTATATCGGATCGACTAACTCACCTAGTCGATGGCTAACCACATATGTAGGCAGCCACACGGGCGAGAATCTGTCACCCGCTACAGACTCTGATGGTTCTCACCGTGCCTGAAGTAAAATACAATTCATACTTCATCTCCCAGTCCTTCTTCCATACTTCTCCCACATGTCTGTCACTGCTTCTCCCAATTGGACCCAGAACATAGCTAATGATGTGTTTCTCAGGCGCTCACCGTCCGGTCGCCTGTCAGTCTTGTGATCTGCCGTCGCCTCTCAACTTCAGCTGTCACCATAGCATCCCACTATCGTCAGGACGGTTAAGGTTTTGGGTCATTTGAGCCGGAGCCATCACTTAGATCGACTCCAAGCCGTGCTTCTTCCTCCAATCCTTCCGTCCCGTGGTCTAGATCATCTCGAATTCCAGCATGCCAGATTCGTCCGAAGTCTTTTTGGAGTTGAGTTTGCGCCTGTGAACGCCCATTATTTTCATCATCTATCAGTTCGTCCTTGCCGTCTTTTCCGCGGTGGAAACATTCCCCGGAGACATTGCGGCTCTACAATTATGGGTATGGTGGTCACTGCATACCCATATCTGGACGAGGCTTCACGGTTGCTGGTGGTCTGTTTATTTGTTAATTGATTCTGCTCAAACATAGCATTGAGCACGACTCTTTGAAGACTTGTTGCGCACTGGCAAAAATCAGAAAATACTGCTGGCACACACTGCGACTGTCTTGAAATGCCTATCCCACAGTGGAGCGGACGGGGTCTGCAAGACAGTCCGATGCATTATCTAGGGGTCAATCGTCCACCTATACAAGATCGCTGATAGCCTCCCCTGGCACATGACCTTCCAAATTTTCTGTTGTTGCAACTCCCACCGTGTTTCAATCACCGCTAACCAGTGATGGTGAGGCTGGGGATAAACGAGTGACGTCGAGTGTGCAAATCGCCAAAATGCTTTGCTACACGTGCGCCTTGGCTGATGGGCTTCACTTTCTAGCGTTGAGAGTGCTGACCATCTCCACGCCTCAGCGATAAGAGGTGAGAACAAATGAGAGGTACTCTCTACACTCGTGGTCAAGCCGGCACTCTGCAACGGACACAACTTCCAAGTCCCAGTCTAAACACATTGACACACAGATACTGGGATTAGACCGAATCGACAATTTCCGTGACAATGTTTGTGCACATACTTGGTCACGAGAACAGGAGAAAGGGCTCTTTTAGGTCAAGAAGAAATGATGGAAGAACGGCGGGTCTCTGGCATAGAGTCCTCTCGAGTTTGGCTGCTCAATCAATAGCTACCATTGTGAATGTACAAACGTTATGTTCAGCTCTCCAAGCCAGGTGCCTGCTACCATACAGCATCCCAGTCTCGCAGCGTCCTGCTATTTCGGATTGCAGCCGCTCACAATGGTCCATTGGGATGAATCAAAACCTTGGTGTACCCGTCGATCCTCTTGTCAAATTTCTCATATGCCGTCTCAGCGTCGTCAATACCAATCTCATGGCTGACCACAAACGACGGCTTCGCTTTGCCCGCAATGATCAGATCCCTCAAATACCTGTTGTACTGCTTGACGTTGCACTGGCCAGTCGCCAAAGACAGGCCCTTCTCAAACAACTTTCCGAAACTCATACTGATCATACCCTTCCCGCTTGCCTCGTCAGGCGCACCAGGGTCAGTAGGCACGTACAAGCCCGGAATACCAATCCCTCCACACGGACGCGTCGCCCTGATCATATTCTCGAGAACGATATTGGGCTGCTCCTTCTTCCCGCCCGTGTCGACTGCCTGGTATCCAACGGCATCGACCGCCCTGTCGATCATCCCGCCGTTCTTCTCGAGGATCTGGTCCACTGCGTCACCTTTGCTGAAGTCAATCGCGATACATCCGATCTTCTCAGCGGCCTTTAGACGCTCTGGCACCCGGTCGACAACATACACGCTGCTCGCGCCCCTGAGAACAGCTGAGTATGCTGCCATCAAACCCACAGGTCCCGCTCCCCACACGGCAATGTTCTCGCCGGGTTTGAACCCGCTGAGAGTTACCCCGTGCCAGCCAGTCGGGAAGATATCGGCCAACAGGATGAAATCGCTCTCATGTTCTGTACCGGGCGGCAGCTTCAGGGCATTGAAATCCGCGTATGGGATGCGAATATATTGAGCTTGGCCGCCTTGCACCCCACCACGTCAACATCAAAGGCCACCAGGATGGACGGTGGAAGTACTAACCTCGATAAGGTCCCATAGCCACATACCCGTACGCTCCGCCCGCGAATCCGGGATTGACACCCGTGCAAAACGCTGTCTTACCTTCCTCGCAGTTCCGGCAGCGTCCATCAGCCACGTTGAACGGCATCACCACTCGATCACCTTTCTTCAAGAGCGTGACGCCCGAGCCGACCTCGTGCACGATTCCCATGTTCTCGTGACCTTGGAGAGCCATCAGCCATGCAGTCTCGCTTCGGGATTGCAAGAAACATACCGAACGTGATACCAGCCTCAGCACCCGTGCGCCCTTCGTACTATATTTCTATCAGATCGTTCCCAAGTGCTATGACACCGTCGAGGGCCCCGAAGGAGACTTACCATATGCAGATCCGAACCGCAAATAGCTATTGCACGCCACTTGCATCAGTCTTTCTCGTTCTTATCATGGAATGATGGCTTTCCAATCCTCAGGTGATGGCATTGCACTTACCAGCAGTAGTCACCTTGACAAGAACATCATCCGGATGTTCGATCTTCGGCAACGGCACATCCTCGACCTTGACCTTGAACGCTCCCTGGTAATTCACCGCCTTCATCATGCTCGAGCCACCCCCCGAGTTGTGGTCGACACGAACTTCTGTAGCCGACATTCTGAATGACCGATCACGACAGTAACCCTCGCAATTTTACACTGTGTCTCACTGGTTCTGTACGACAATCGTAGGGATGAATCTTCAAGCAGGGAGTTGCAAAAAACGTGAATGACACCCTACAGGTCAACCTACCCCAGTCATATATATACTCTTGCTGATCAAGTGTCAACCCACCTTACTCGATCTCGGTAGATTTGCACCTCTCGTGCATAATCCTTACTTGCCCATCGTTGCGGAGATGTGGTCGTGACTGGTTACGTAGGTAGCAAGCGAGAGCGGGCGGCCTCGAAGCTCACCTCTGAGGTCCCTTTCATCCATTCGATCCCCATATTTGCGGGGTAACGAATGGTCACCGATGACATGTCGAAGAGTGTCAGCGAGAGCAAACACGAGGGGCTCCAAGTGATCTAACCCCTCCCACATGGGGATGAGAAATCCGGCAAATGCATCTTCGTCTCCTCACTGGTCGCTGCTCGGGAAGTCTGGAAGTACATCATGCACGAGACCAGGATCTTCTCCGTGGTACCGGAGAAACGCCTGCAAAAGCCTGCTTTGACCTCGTACCAATCTTCAAGTCTAGATCGTGCTGTGGGCAACTTTGAGACGGGGCATATTACCGTGTTCGGGGTGGAAAGAGCGAAGTGCAGACAATCACAAGACACAGCACGGGGTCTAATTGCTTGCATTGGGCCTGAGTCATGGAAAGGTAGTCGACATACATTTTCATAGGGTCTGGATCAGTAACAGGAATTCACTCGAGATTATCCTGCCTGATATCTGAACAGCTCGATAAACCTCTTCTCTTCCTCCCTCCCATTCCCGTGCCGCGCCTGAAAGCTGGACATTGTTTTTCCCGAAATAAACGCCTCTATTGGATGCTGTGGCAAGGGTGGTGCTGTGTCGAAGGTTTGAAGGGGTATACATGACGGTGCATCTGGTGGGTGGTCGTAAATGATCTTGGAGTCGTACTGAAGGTTTGTGGAGCGCGGTGGTCTTTGTGGGGATCGGGATCGATGACTGACTGGGGTGGAAATATCGGAGTGCTGCGGTTTCAACGTGTTGTTTCAGCGATATGCGTGGGCTGGGGCTGTCTCCCGACGACCTGTCGATATGGGACTGGGCTCGTCTGTGAGCTGCATCACTCAAGACAGCTCACTCAAGACCGAGCATGACCGGGAGTGACTGAAGGTTTCGTGCGCAATCTGCAAGTCCATATTGCTTAAGCTCTTACATGTCCATGGAGTCGTTGCCGTTGGCAAAGTTAAATTGTCCTTGAGGTTGGTTGGACCCGAGCGTAAAGCCGCTGGCGTTGGCTTGAGGCGCCAGTTCTTCAATATCGGCCCCAGCATCTTCTTCATCTGAGAAGTACCGCTCGATGATGTTGTAAGCCTTCATGTAGATCTCCTCGTTGGCATTGTTTTGGCAATCATGGATCTTCTCCATACCACCAGCCTCTTCGATGAACAATGCATATCGGTTGACTTGTGCCTCTGGAGCGCGGGCATCAGCAGCCTCTTTATCCATTTCTCCCACCTTGAGAATGTTCTCAAGCCCATCCAACGCAACCTGGATAATCTTATTGTCGGGGCAGGCGAGCAAGTCGCACAGTGGCTTGATGCAGCCTTCGGAAACGAGATATCTGATCTGATCAGGCTTTTGAAGGCCTCCCGATGTAGCATTTGAGATGGCCCAGCATGCTTCCTTGCGGGTCTTGAAGTCGCCGTTGGACAGCAGGTGAATCAAAGGAGGAATGATACCCGCATCAACCACAGACTGAATCTGGGTGGAGTTGCCGGCAGTGACATTTGAGATTGTCCAGCAGGCTTCCTTGCGGATTCCATCCTTCTGAGAGCTGAGTAGCGAGAGCAGAGCGGGCAGTGCTCCGCAGTTGATGATGACCTGGGTCTGAACATCGTCTCCTGTAACAATATTGCCGACGGACCGGAGGGCGGGGGTTTGGACGGAGGTAGAGGCATGCATAAGAAGTTCGACGAGTCGGCGAGGAATGCCAGCTTCAATAACGGCTTGGATCTTGTCGTTAGAGCCGTCAGAAAGGTACGAGATGGCCCAACAAGCATCGATTAAGACTTCGTCGTCAAGCATGTAGACAAGTTTGGAGAGGACAGGGAGAGCGGGTTGAATCTGGTTTGGGGTCAGTACAGCATGCGAACGTGATCCCGGGAGACGACTTACAGTGTTCCAGTCTGGTTGTGGTGTTTTACCACGGCAGAAATTGCTCAGAGTCCAGGTAGCATTTCGGAGCATGCTCAATTTGCGACCATCGGCGATGAGGTTGAGGAGAGGTTTCAAAGCCCCCTGACTGAGCACATAATCACGACAGGCAGGGCTGTCACCAGCAATGTTTCCCAAGGCCCAAACTGCTTGTTCGCGGACATCTGGTTCAGGGCTGCTGAGAAGCTCGACGAAGATAGGAACAGCACCGGCTTCGATAACAACCTGTGTCTGCGCCGCAGATCCAGAGGCAATGTTCGTCAAGGCCCAGGCCGCTTCGAATTGAACGAGGGTATGGGGAGAGCGAAGGAATTCAACGAAGCGGCTGACGACACCAGTCTCGATGACTTTCTCGATGGGAGGATTGCGTTCCTTAGAAAGAAGTTTTCGGAACTTGGTGGTGGCTTGGATCTGGGCATCGATCTGGTCTGAAAAGACCCCTCGTACCATTTCTGGCAACTCTGTGCTCAACTGCGTGTATCGTCAGCCGTAGCTCTCACAGGTATGAAAATTGTCACTCTTACCTCGCTCTCGATGTTGCCAGCCTCATCATCGCTATCCGCCTCAGTGACCCCGCCGATTCCAATCTCTCCATCTCCACGTTGAATTCCTCTTCGCTTGGCTAGATTTTCTTCTCTCTTCTGGCGACGAATTTCTACCTGTTGTTCCTCCCGACGGCGACGTAGTTCATCTGGTTTGAAACTGCCCTTGGCCTTGAACTGGGTCCGGCGATGCTCGGGGATGTATCTTTCCGCCATGTCGTATGACGTCTAGGGGATGGACACAGTCGATTTACCGATGTTCGTAGGGTCAGATTTCAGCTTAGCCTCAGAAAATGAGGTTTGGGAGCAAGTCTAAAGTTGGCAGTGAACAGATGTTTTGCCTTCAATAAGACAGTGATGCAACTGCGCAAGGGCCAGTGCGATTCAAGGGCAAATAATCAATAGAAAGGATCTGAGTCGCAAACGAGGGCAGTCACTGTTTTTGGCCCATGCTTGGCAACTACAACGATGGCACGTGACCTCGCGTCCCTCCTGAGAAAGGGACAATCGCCAGCAACGCGTCTCCTTTCAGGAGTCAAACCGACCGCTTTCACGTCCTTCACAACCTCGTACTGTGTCGTCCGGGAGCCAATAAAACCAGTCAAGACAAACAGCGAACACAACATTGTCGATGTGTCTTCAAAATAACAGTTTGCTGGCTAGTGCAACCACCATTAGCCCACTTCACTGTCTAGACCCGACGTGATTCTAAACTGACAAGATGGATCCTGCTCCTATTCCACCCAACTTCATTTCACTGTCCGAAGCGGTCCGTAGAGTGGGCACGGGTCCGGAGTTCAAAAATTACAATGTCATTGGAGTTTGTGTCGACTTCCTTGAGCCTACACTATCCGCAAAGGGAGACTATATGATCACGTTCACTTTGCATGATCCCTGGTGGACAGACCAAGGGCCAGGCATGAAGTTCCGATTCTTCAACAAAGTTGAGAACAAGCTGCCTACCATTCAGAACCAGGGTGATCTCGTGATAGTGCGCAATGTCAAGACTATCAACAATAATGGCAAGCTTGTCGGAATCTCCAACTTCGACACGAATTGGCTTGTACTTCCTCATGCCGAACTGGATACGCTACAGACCTCAGCGGACATCAAAGCCAAAGCTCTATGGCACGGGAAGTCAGATCCGACTTCCCGCATGCAAACGGCTCTTCCCAATGATGCTGAGCTCAAGTATGCCAAGTATATTGCTCAGTATGAGGATCCAACTGGGTGGAGCCCGCTCGTCGGGACCACGCGAATACAGCTCGAAAATATAATGAGGAGCAGCGGCGGTCAACCGCCTCCCCGCGAGAAGAAGTTCCGCTTGATAGAGCAGTTGAACTCACCTAGTCATAAGCAGCGTACTTGGGTCGAGATGCTGGGAGAAGTGCGCAAGATATACTCTTCGGACTCGAGAATGGAAATTGAGGTGACGGACTACACCTCACATTTTGATCTATACGATCACCAGTACGACAATGGTCAAATTGGTCGGGATGGTGACGACTTCGGACATCTTGATGACTCGAACCAAAGCAAGAGCTGGCCGGGCCCTTGGGGCAAAATGGCACTAAATGTCGTGCTGTGGGAACCTCATTGTTCAGAAGCCAAGAGATCTGTTACAGAAGGTACTTTTGTATACCTTCGCAATCTCGAGATCGGAAGGGACAAAGAAGGGTTGAAACTAGAAGGGCATTGTAGGACAGACCCGTCCAATTCTACCTCGATCAACTTCGAGGTCCGAAAACCTAAAGAGGACGATGAAGAATTGAAAGCACTCCTTTTGCGGAAGCGCAATTACGAGGCACAGGCGAAAGCAGAGAACAAGCGCTTCTTCCGCCATCCGCAGGACGCAAACAAAAGGAAAGCGAAGGAAGTCGATGAGGTCGAAGATACCCATAAGAGCAAAAAGGCAAAAGCTAGACACCGAAAAAAGAAGGAGAACAAGACAGCAACAACGGCTCGGACAGAAGGGAATCCCGACGGCGCCGAAGATAAAGCTCTGACCAAGCCTAACCTTAACGTTCGATGCAACAACTTCGATGTCCCAGCCAAACCGATCATTGACATTCTGGACGCGGATATTCTGGGCCGAACAACTCCCAAGGGTAACTCGTACAAGCTGCCTTTCCAGAATTGCAAGTACAAGTCCAACGTGAGGGTTGTGGACTTCTTCCCAGACAGCATCGAAGACTTTGCAGTTCCTCGCATCACAAGTGAGTACGATGTGTTGGGGGATGATGAGGAAGACCGGGAGGACGACGCCGAGATGGACCTCACACGGGAAAATGCAGATAGCTTGCAGTGGGAGTGGCGTTTCTTTCTTCTAGTTGAGGACGCTCGACCGCCACCAAACCGCGACGGCAGGCCGACGCAGATGGAGCTGTTGGTTGCCGACTCGGACGGAGACTTCCTCCTGAAAATGGACGCTTGTAACCTGAGAGAAAAGAAGAACGCACAAGTGCTGGCACAAGTGAAGGAGAAACTGTTTCACTTATGGGGAGATCTCCAAGAGAGGAAAGAAGAGTCCCCCACGGTCGAGACGCTGGCAGCCAAGCCCAGTGGGAGGCCCTTCGAATGCCTGATCAAGGAGTATGGCGTACCGGTCCGCAAGCCGGGTCAGTCAAAAAACAGCTGCTCGTACGACAGAATGTTCCGTCTGTGCTGGACAACCATATGAATTGGGAATGGCGAGACTGAAGATGCTCTCACACTGTCTCGACGGAGGCCAATTTCTGATTCGGGCCGATTCGGCGGCATGCCAATATGGAGCGCATGCTTACCTAGCATGGAGACGAGGTCAATTCGCCGACGTTGGGTCTCCCTAGCCATCGACGAATGCCACTCGAGCAAGTTCGTTATTGAAGCCCTGCAGCTGAGACAGCAGCTCAACGTTGGCTTGCGAGGCTCGGCTAGAAGGGCACAGCATGGCAATATCGCTGGGGAAGGGCTTTGGCACATCAATGAATTGCACGGGCGGGTCATGACTAATAACTTGGTATTTGCAAGGACCCTTGACAATCACCACCTGTGTGTCCTACGCTCCCCACCGTGATTTCATAAAGACTTTTCGGTCTTCGATGGAGCATGATGCAGACGGTGGATCGGCCAGCTCCGATTGCCAAACAGAGTATCGTGGGAAGGTGTTTGCCACGACATCATATGTGACCCATTCGGCCAGTGGTCCATGGCGGAAGATAGGTCGGCAGACAGAGGGACAATTCCGCCGGAACATTCGAACGACCACGTCGATGTCTTCCTCGAAACGTGATAAGGTGCAGGTCTCAGAGAACAACGCCGATGCCCCAGTGATAATTCAGGCATATCAGCGCAGCGTCTTGGAAGCGTTGCTATTGATCGCAAGACATGCAGAATGGCCCCGACGGCTTGCAATGTCAAACATGAAATATGTTTGGTGCTCGCAGTTCGTAGTGGAGATACCCTATGTTGCACGACTGCGCATTACCGCGCTGCGCAATTCTCTCTTTTCGCCATCATATAGACAATACTCCCCCTTTCGCAATATATGCCGTGGAGAAGCACGAGGCATTTGGGGGCCATCTGTCGCCAGCAGAGGCTCTCCTTTCACTTTTTAGTCATGTTATGGAGCAGGCATGCACGTCCGTCGCAGTATATCCACCGGTACCGGCGCGAGACGCCGAGTCTGCCGCCGGACCGTCCTCGGTTAAGATGCAATACCAGCAGTGGCCTGTTTGTTAAGGGAAATTTGCGGGACGTGATTGCTGTCGTGGTCCGAACAAAAGCCGGGCTTGGGAAGTGCGGAATTAGGAGAGCAAGGCAACATTGAGAATGGAGGGTTTCTCCAGCCTTGTGCAGATGTTCTCATGCTTGCTATCCCCAGATTCCATACAGACCCCGTAGGTGGATCCCATGGTTGATAGCGATAAGCCCCTCATCTCATGTGATTGCCCCTCCAGGGTACTATACATGTGGGAGGATGCTCGTCTGGACTATCAAAAGGACATATATACGTAGCTTTGATGCTTTTGAAGTCAGTGAGAGCTTCTTTTCCATGTCTTCGAGGGCGCCACACACGGGTGCCAACATGCATGAACACTCCGATCAGTTAGACACTTTGGCCGGGAGATAGGCATCGCCAGGGTCAATTTTGATGGGTGGATGGCGCTTCCTTGCAGCTTGTCAAAAACTTGTGGTCTTTCGTCCGAAGGGGGAAAGATAATCGAATGAGGCTGCTCATCCTTGAATTTTTGCTGGCGATCTCCCCAGGCCAAGGATACGCCTTCGGTCGTTCCAGGCCTGGCGAGCCCCGATATGCGAAGTGGCTTGAAAGATGAACGTGAGACATCAAATCGTACGTACATCCTTTGCCACAGGGATTCAGGCCAGGCCGTCACAGTTCACTTTCCTTCTGCACGGCAAGGCGAGAATTATGATACTTCTCGAAACCGTCCAAATTGAAGTCGCCCGGTGCAAGCGACCCCTCTAGCGCCCAGCGTCGTCAGCGCCTTCGAGGGAAGCTTGAAACTACGCGATGGAGGAGGTCAACGTTGTGAGGCTTGAGCATTAAGTTACTTCCAACTGGGCGACTTTCAAATCAGTCGCTGTGCAGAGACGTCCAGGTTTCTAGAAGCCACTGACGAAAGGACAATATCAGAAAAAGGCGTGCGCCATGCATGCCACTTGTTGCTGCATGTTGGCAACAGCGTTCAACAGACTGCTTCCCTCAACGTCGAAAGGTCTTCGAAACATTGGACTTATGCAAGTATTGGCCAGTGACAATCTGAAATCCATATGGGGATAGCATAGAGTTGCGGCAGCTCCTGGTGCTGGCGTCGAATGGTCTCATCGGTTGCTGCAGACAATATTGGCTAGTGTACCCTGGTGCATAGGTATCATAGGGTCAGGTGTTCCATTTGCTGACCACAGTATTGCCCATCACTCGTAGCCGGACGTATCGAGTGACTTCTGCGGTTGTGCATGCTTTTTCATAACTGCTTCGGTTGAAACTCATTCGTACTTCCGAATGCAAAAGACTAGTCACCAGCCTACAGGATCAAGGATACGCCGTGCTTCCACAGTCCTAGGGTCGATACGCCGGGATCTCGATCGTCTGGAATTGCTGGTCAGGGTGTCTAACCCCAAGTACAGAACTCTCTTTCTACGATGGTAGCGTTAGCAAGCCTGGAGGTACAGTCAAACTTTGACCTGTCGGCTTGCCTATCGTAGATGATCTAGGTTGAAGACGTTGTTTCCTGGTCACTGCGCCATGTCAGCACGGTACCGATCAGTTCATCCATCTGGCGTACCCACGAGCACATGCGCACCGGTGTCTGTCACGAGGCAGACGGCTTCGCGGCGAATTGTCAGTGCATACCGAGAAGTCTCGGTCGAACTGCCGCCCAGTCTGTTGTAAGCGATGGGAGGCTTTTGACCATATCACGTTAGGTGGTATTCGTGGCCCTAACGTCTTCGGTTGTGGGGATTTAGTTTGACTTTTCCAGCTGCAGCACATCGTTGACCGAACCGTCTCATGACCACCCCAGATTTGCACTTGATTGTGGGTTAGCATGGGCACACGGACCACCTTTTCTCACCAGGGGTGCTTTTTCTGTGGTCGTCTTTCCACTCGAAATACTTCGGGCTCCGCTCGAACTATACTCTTTTTACCTCCTTCTGTTCGTTGCTCGACATGGCATCGAGTGGCTTGATGGCGGTGATAGCAGCATCATATCAATGGCAATCGAATCGAGATGGGGTTTGGAAATCTTTGACTTAATGGTCGTTACTTGCTCTCATGATGCGTTGATAGCCCGTGCGGCGGCCGATGGGGTCCGTGGTTCCTCGGATTTATTTATACACCGATTGACAGGGTCTCAAACCCTATGACCTGAGGACAGAGATGGTGGAATTGCTGACCGTGTGCGCGACTTTTCCACGGCTTGCTCGCGTCGTGTAGAGTCTTACTCCAGAAAAGGTCACTACAAAGTGCCGGGTTGTCTAATGCAGCAATCCAAGCATGTTGTGTGACAGGCGCCCGGAAACTGTGGTATCAAAATTTGGAAGCTGTGCCGTCGCCGCCGGTGTACAAGGATTCGACTAGAGCTCGAACTCCCGGTAACACACCGGGGTTGGTGCTTGGGAATTGATGAATCGGTGTTAGACGAGCAAGCAAATGTAGCCATTGGCTTGCTGATATCATCTTACATTGGAAACAGCACCGTACGAGTAGTCGTGTCAGCTACTTGATATCGGGGTTGATCTCCACGTACACGATAGGTATTTGTGAAAGGAGACACACCACGCGAGTATGATAGACATGAGCTACCCTGGAGCGATAAGAGTGATAGACATGCAAGCTTGTTGATCTTAAGACCCTGGGCGGCGATGAGATGTACGACCTTACGACTTGCCTAGGTGGGATGAGTGATTTGAACATTTCATGGTCGTGTATGGCCTTGCCTTGTCCTGTCGTTCGCCACTGCTGGTTGGGGAGGAAAAAGAGGATATACCACGCCCCGGCAGGTACGAGGAACAGTGGATGGATTATGGCGTTATGCACCTGCTGGACAAGTTTGCAGACAGGAAGCAGCTAAAGCTCAAGGCAAGGTGGACCGTACCCAAGAGTACTTACTGCTTTTTGGTATTCATCGTCCCTGTGCTGGTTCTGGTCCATTGCATAGGCATAAAGAGCTCCTGTTGAGGTTTTCTTGTTGATTTTTCTTGCAGCTTGCATATTTGTCCATTTGGTTATGGTGGATTTGAGGTCCCCTGCGCAGACTCCAGTATACCCGTTCTCCATGGGACTTTGTTGGCTGATCTTGGTGGGGATGGCACAATCCCAACCACTGTTATTGATGGTGAGCAGTACCATCTGTGCCGTTGAGCCTCTGCATGTGCATTGTGCATTACTCTGGTCGTCTGTCCTCATTCATATCCAACGATGTCGACTCCCCTGTGCATCTCTGAGCATGACTCAAGCGGTCGGTAATTCGTCGGTAGAGTTGAACAAGAGCACGGCTGCACGGCACCATGCTTTTGGCCTCTTGCGACAGAGTTTCGGTGCTAACCCTCTAGCCTCTAGGCACGTCAGGCCTTTTAGCCTCAAACAAGGCATTCCCACAAGCCTCCAAGGGAGGGTCCACTGGGTCGTAGGCTGTGCCATGGGGGTATCGATCACTTTTTGCGGGCGTCCGTTGTGGGTTGCTGCAAATCCTCCCTCGAAGCGGCAAGCAAGTATCCGCTCAATTGGCACCTTTTGCGAGTCGAGTCCAGGGCCTTGCGCAGGGCTCGTTCTTGTTGCTCACATCAATAATGAACAGCTTCTTCTCTGCATCTTCATCACACACTTGCGTCGATTCGATATTCTCCGGCCAAATCCCTTCCCTTCTCTTCTTGAACTGCTCCATTATTTTTCTGTCCTACTTTGAACTGCGCCTGTTTCCATTTTGCCTGTGGATGAGAGAGCAGCGAGCGTCTCAAAAGGCATCTCGATTCTTCGATCCCTCCACCATAATACTACCCTACTGTCACCATTTCGCGCCGGCCTCTATTGAAATCCGTCCACTCTATTCTCCTCGTTATACCCCAGACTTGCACGCACCCTGCGAATCGTCGAGTCTGGTCGCATTCCGCCCAGTGATAGCTTCTCATACCCTGGTCGACCCAGCCAACAGCGTTCCGGCAGCTAAACAGTCTACCTGCCTGAACGAGCAGCCTGCCAATCCTGTTGTTTCTTCCCCGGCACACCCTACACACCACGATCGCCAACCACCATTGACACCCGCCCACCTCTGACGTCCAGAGCCTGACTGGCCCTCTCGCCTCGCGACTTGCCCCTCTACCCCGAATACTCCTGCCAGTCCTCGGTCCTTGACATTGTGTACCTTTACCAAACTATTATTTCGCATATCTATTACACCAGAGGTAAGTGTCTAAGCTGGCAGCCTTTACTTGCAGGTCGCCTTTCTTCAGCCTACATGTGGAATGCTAAAGGTCGTCCAGACATAATTCCGTTCATCCTCGTTGTACATAATACAGAACCCATAGTCACGGCGACAGGACCTTTCAGCGACGTCTCCGCGACTTTTTGTATACTCCTACTGTCTCTACCTGGACGACCCGGCGTGTCTTTTAACCTCCGCGCGTGAAGGCTACGAGCACTCACGAACCCCTACCTTATCACTCCTTGGTCGCCCGACGAAGCAGTCCGCACGGCGTCCACAGGCTGCACTTTCATGGCCTGCTGAGATACCTATTGGTTGCTGTAAGAGTGGACGAAAGACAGAAAATCGAGGACCGACCTGCAAACCTATTACGCCGCTACGGAACTCTGTGCGCATGCTCTTGGAAGAGAAGTCTGCTTGAACGGCGTCTCCGTCAAGCTTGAAGAGGTAGTCTGAAGTCGTTGCACCAGTCGGACAAGACAAGAGTTCGTGGAACAGTCTCCAGTGCTCTCAACAGAAGCCAGCGGGTCTCGGAGCATGGCTGCACAGGGAGCCACCTCGAACGGAGTGGTGGAGGCGAAGGCTCCTGGTACTGGTAAGTCTAAGCAAAAGCCATTCTGCTTCGTGACTGATCTTGCTTGCTTCGTGCAGATGCCAAACAACCGTCCAAGAAAGGGACCACCTCCAACACGCCGGCTGTTCCAAGCTTCCCTCCTCCAAAGACTGACAAGCCTCGGCCGCATGTCTGCACGACTTGTACAAGATCGTTCGCTCGTCTGGAACATCTGAAACGTCATGAGCGATCCCACACTAAAGAGAAGCCGTTTGAATGCCCAGAGTGTACCCGATGCTTTGCAAGGCGCGACCTGCTTCTCCGCCACCAGCAAAAACTTCACTCTTCCACAACTCCAGCATCGCGTCCGCGAGCAGGGAGGCGTGAGAGTGTGGCCGGCGTCGCAACTGGCCGTGTCCGTAAGAACTCGACCACCACTGGCACCAGCACAATGCGGCCAAGAGCAAATACCGTCAGTCACATAGATTCCGCCACGCTGGGCATGTTGACCAATTCCGCTGGCAACTATGGTCGTCAGTACCTGCACACTCATAATCATCACAACAGTATGACCGGTCTCAGTGAGCCTCAGGGATCTTTCTACCGTGGGACAACGATGAACCACCATCCTCTCACTTTGCCAAAGCTGGACACCAATGGTCTACCATTGGAATTTTCAGGTGGACTGCGTACCGCACCTGCTTTCGGAGAGTTTGGACACGATTTCGATATGACTCCCATGGACTTCGGGATCGATCACGGCGAGACCATCAATCCACACGCCCTGCACATGTCAGGTTTGGGGATAGACACTTTGCAGTCTCCCTACCAGCAACTGTTCGGCGGCATGACGGCTTCCCAGGTCTTGAACGACGATGAAACGACTTTTGACTGGATGGCACAGGGGTTTGAGCATCAAATGTCATTCGCACAAGCCAACGAAAATGCGATTGATGACTCCTCTCCTTCCGCTATGAGCACTCACAGCCCTGTCGGCATGAATGAAATGGCCAGCGACGCCACTCTTCCGGCTATGCAACATACTGCGGTATCTGGACCGAATATGTGGTCCGCCAGTCTTGCCAATCAGGCTGCTATGGTCAACAGTCCCGTGAGTATGGAGTTAATGTCTGGGTTCAATGAGATGGTTCATCCTCCCATGGGTACCATATCACCGAAATCCCTGCTGGCTCAAGGTGCCGCAATGGACCTTAGTCTAGCAACCCCTCCAGATATGGCCTCCATGGAATCAGGTGGGATGCATCCAAGTATGCACTTTCCAAATTTTCAACTTCCGCCAGGGAGGGATGGACCTGGATCTTCCGGGTCCACCGCCTCAATGGACAGCAGTCTCCGGCAAAGTTCGGTCACGACAATGTCTTCTGATCTTGTGTCAGACCATATTCGAAGTGTATTGATCGCAGGCCTTAGCCAGAATGCCGCGTTTGGACAGCGTAAATATTCCCAGCCAGCAATCAGTTCGCCGCTGTCTCCAAGCCCGTCTTCTCGCACGAAAGGCTTCAACCTTAATACTTTCCCGACCACGCACGACCTGCAGCGTTATGTGGCATCATACATCAAATATTTTCATCCGCATCTGCCATTTCTTCATATTCCCACTCTCAGCTTTGATACCTCGGATTATACAACCCCTGTTCGACTGGTCTCGGGTGCTTCCCCTTACGGTCAGACAACCGTGGCTGGGGGTGGTAGCTGCTTGATATTGTCGATCGCTGCTGTCGGAGCCTTATACGAACATGAGGTTTCCCAGTCCAAAGATCTTTTCGAATGTGCCAAACGGCTGATCAGCAGCTATCTAGAAGAGCGGCGCAAAGCCAACATGACCAAGACACAATTTGCACCCAGACATTCCACCGAACGAGAGGATACACCGCTCTGGTTGGTACAGGCAATGCTTTTGAATGTCATCTACGGTCATAATTGTGGGGACAAAACTGCGGCCGAACTAGCGAGCAACCATTGTGCAGCCCTGGTCAGCCTAGCTCGTGGTGCAGAACTTGCACGACCTGCGCCGGGCACTGGGGAAGATGCTGCCAAAGCTCAATCCGGCAATGTACAGTTGAACGGCATGTCTGCATATAACTGGAATTCCATGACCAACGAGTTTGATGATTCTGACTGGTTTGAGTGGAAGCTCATGGAGGAACGCAAGCGTACTCTCTATGCCGTCTTTATCCTCTCCAGTATGCTGGTGACTGCGTACAATCACCCTCCGGCCTTGACCAACTCAGAGATCCGGTTGAGTTTGCCTTGTGACGAAGAATTGTGGGCAGCCGGATCAGCTCACGTCTGGCGGAGCTTCGGCGGTGCAGCCGGTGCGGAGGCCACTTCAACCACGTTCGCCGAATCGTTGACATACCTGCTCATGGCGGCTCAGCGTGAACGCCGGCAAAGCAGTTCATTTGGTATGGCAGCTGAGCCAGACCTCAGACCCAGCACGTTTGGTTGCTTGATTCTCGTGAACGCATTGCACAATTACATATGGGAAACAAGGCAACGACATCTCGGGCGACAATGGACAACTACCGAGACCGAGCAAATGCACGCTCACATCGAGCCGGCTCTTCGCGCTTGGCAAGCTGCATGGGCGAGTAATCCTACTCACAGTCTCGAGCGTCCAAACCCTTTTGGGGCGGGACCGCTGTCGGCGGATTGCATTCCCTTGCTTGACCTTGCATACGTCCGACTATTTATTAATCTTGGGAGGTCCAAGGAAGCGTTCTGGCAGCGCGACTATGATGCCATGGCACAGGAAATTGCCAAAGGTCCAGAGGCAATGCCGAGCGGGGAGGCTCCGAATGGCAACAGTCAACACGAATCATCGCCAGGGAAGATCGACAGCGACAGCTTAGTATCCATCACAACGCCACCAGATGAGGACGTGAAACCAAATGTGGAACAGGAGCTTCGAGGGGCACACTCGTCTACTCGAGAGAAACACCTCCGGAAAGCAGCATTTTATGCAGCTGATTCACTGTCCATGTCCGACAAGCTGGGCCTAAGCTTCGCAGAATATACCTCTCGTGAGCTACCAACGCAATCGGCGATGTGTGCGTTTGATTGCGCACAGATCCTGGCAGAATGGGTCACCACCGTACAGGAACGTGTTGGTAAATACATTGGTGTAATCGGCCGTGATGGGATGAACCTATTGGAGGTGCCTGGCATCCTTTTACTGGAGGATGAAGACCGCAAACTCATTCAGAAGATCGACGAAGTCTTGACTAGTGCCGAGCAGAAAATTGGCTCACGAGGCGGGTTCGACCTTGTTGCGGCACGAGAGGGCGGTCACGGCAGCAGAATACTTATTTTGACGGCATACCTGCTTGAGAGGGATGCCGTTTGGCCAGGTGAGTACCAACATCGCATGGTTATGGTCTGTACTGATGATCGATGCAGTTTTCAAATTGATGGCACGATCCTTGGAAACCCAGGCCGGCCACATCAAAAATCGAGCTCTAGCCTCGGTTACAGCTACTTGACGAACTTTGGCTGACTTGAAGTTCGACCCTGTCATCGAATGAACGACCCTTCAATTCTTATCCATACTGCGCAATGCGGTCTTCTTTCTCAAATATTTCACCAAACTTTGGTCGCGAAGCGGCTGTATATATGCCTTCTGAGGATATATGACCACGATATACCCGAGTAGGAAGACAACCACGAAATTTTTTGGAGACACTCTTATTTCTCAGGCGGCGCGCCTGCAAAAGTATTGAAAACTTGGTTCTTTTTGGGGCAGGTGATTTGCGGCTTTGCCATACTGACATTTAAGAATATTGGACACGATGCAGACTGGAACACTTCACCCGGACTTGACATTATGCCTGGGGAGAGAACTTGTCCCGCACTCGAGGTTGGCCTTGGTCATGGATAACACAGCCAGGTGCCTCTGCTGATGAGTGAATTGTGGAAAGCGACGGATTTACGACAACGGAACAAAATGGCGTTGGTGTTGGTTGATAGGTCATTCTCATGCATCAAGCTGTACCAGACAAAATACTATGCTGATCGATCGCCGGTCAACTTGATCTACGTGCAAGGCAGAGTTCTCTTCAAGCTTTGAGGATAGTAGAATTAGTTGTTTACGAGTAGCGTCTCGTCTCTTGTCAGTACCATTATGGACGCCCACGGCAATGACCATCCGAAGTGCTTACCTAATGTTGCATATCGAACACCTGGTATGCGGAGAAGGGAAAAAGCAACCAAGCATGCATGATATTAATACTTGAACCACAGCAAGAGCCACTGCTTTCATTGACCACTGTGACGGAGTCTACCTTGCACCTCATCAACCAAGTTAACAACCAAAGGACAGAACCCTTTTAACGTTACAACGGCATGAACAGTGGCAATCCAAGACCAAGAATAACCTAATCACTGACCAGCGTCGACAGCCGAGATTCCGGTGAATTTGGTGGTGGCTCTCAAAGCCCGACTTGTGGTTGGTTCGCCAGCCAAAAGGGGTCCTCAGTTCTCGTTTGCGCCGAGAAATATCATCATCTCTGCTTCCGAGTCCTTCAAAAGTTACTGACAATTGCATGTGGTGTAGACGGCCCACATATTGACCAAGACCGCCGAGACCAGCTCTCAACGAATTCGCGTCTTATTTCTACTTGGCGGTCATCATTCGGATCCTGGTGCAAACGATAACTTCCCCAGCTTGCATCTGCTGAAGGAGCATCTGGAGCAAAGAAAAGGTGCTCAGTCTTCCCACAGCCAGTCAGTGCTACTGCCAGTACCACGCCCCCTCTGTCACGGACGGCCGGGTTGTAATTTATTGACTTCGTTCTCTGACTTTCTTACTTTCCTCGCCTTGTCCGAGACCACTGCTCCATTACGATCTGCTCGACGCTTCCGAGCACACATTCTTTGGCCTATCCTCACATGACGAATTGACGGGATCTGGATGCTGCGGATTCTGCACCACGATCTAAAATCACGGGAAAGCAACGATTGGGGATAATACGAGATACCATATCAGCTATTTGAAGCAAGAAATACATTTGACACGAAATAAGAGGAGGAGTCTGTCACACCTATCTTGATGGTCCCTGCTACACGCATCGTCTGACAACAAACGCAGGAGCTGATACCAAACCCTGTTATCCTTCAACCTCGAATGTTTGTCTAGGAAGTGCTGGGAGGAGTCTGTCACCCGCAGCAATACTGGCTACGACCGCGTGATTCACACCAAGGACGTGGAGGGTTTCCAAAGGGAGGAATCCTTGACCACAGTCCAAGATGGCGTGGGATCAACTGACGATAGACAAGCCCCATCTGGTGTACATCATTCTAGGCGGATTCACCAGCATTTTCATGTTATGTTCGCTGTTCATCAAGGAAAAGATGTACATCGGCGAAGCCACAGTGGCCACCATTTGCGGCGTTATCTTCGGACCACATGCGGCCAATCTCATCAATCCTCTCACCTGGGGAAATGCCGACAAGATCACTCTCGAGTTCTCTCGCATTGTGTTGGTGGTCCAATGTTTCGCCGTCGGTGTCGAGTTGCCGAAGGCGTACATGGAGAGACACTGGAAGTCCGTGGTCTTCTTGCTTGTTCCAGTCATGACCTTCGGCTGGCTCTCGACCAGTTTGTTTGTTTGGTGGATGGTCGAGCCTCTCTCGTGGTTAGAGTCCCTGGCTGTTGCAGCTTGCGTCACAGCTACCGATCCTGTCCTGGCATCTTCGGTTGTGGGTAAGGGCAAGTTCGCAAAAAGAGTTCCCAAGCATTTGAGAGACGTCTTGTCCGCCGAATCAGGCTGCAACGACGGGATGGCATTTCCTTTCATTTATCTTTCCTTGTACTTGTTGAGGTACGACCTTAACGCTCGAGAGGTCGTCTACCACTGGACTTGCTACACAATTCTCTATGAATGTGTCTTTGGCGCCTTTTACGGAGTCATGGTGGGCTACATTGGCCGCCATGCCATCAAGTTCGCAGAACGGAAGGGCGTGATAGACCGAGAAAGTTTTTTGGTGTTCTATTTCACCCTGGCCTTGTTCTGCGCCGGTTCAGGCAGTCTACTAGGTATGGACGACCTTCTCATTGGGTTTGCAGCTGGCGTCGGGTTCTCGAATGATGGTTGGTTCACTGAGAAGACCGAAGAGTCCCACGTCTCCAACGTTATTGACTTGCTCCTCAATTTGGCATACTTTGTCTATTTCGGCACCATCATACCCTGGGATCAGTACAATGCTCCAGCGCACGGTCTGGTTCCTTGGAGGCTCGTCGTCATCGCCATTTTCGTCGTTCTCTTCCGTCGAATACCTGCGATGCTGGCTTTGAAACCGCTTATTCCGGACGTCAAGACCTGGCGAGAGGCTCTTTTCGCCGGTCACTTTGGGCCCATTGGAGTAGGAGCGATCTTCGCGGCAATTTTGGCCCGAGCAGAACTGGAGACAGACTCGGCGCAGCCGTTGGCTGTGCTTCCCACTCCAGGGACGAAAGATTATAACTTGATCTACCTGGTGTGGCCCATCGTGACATTCCTGGTCATAACATCGATTCTTGTGCATGGCTCATCCATCGCTGTTTTTACGTTGGGCAAACGGATCAACACATTGACAATCACATTGTCCTACACTCAAGACAACGACAAAGGGCCTGCTTGGATGAGCAGACTGCCCAGGATCACTTCCCAATCTAGGTCAATGTCGCGTATGTCCGAAACCTCTGACCATGAACCGGATGAGAAGTTGGACATTCCGCCCGGGGAACTGCCTCCCATCGGTATTCCTAAACTTCACCTAAGACGACAGCGTGAGGACGAATATGAGAAAAGGCCAGGATCGCGATCTTCGAGCGTTGGACGGTCACGGTCACGCAGACGCAAGCGGCGTGGTGGCGCCGAAGATCGCCCAGGTGGACCGATCAGTCAAAGTGCCATTGCGCCCCAGAGACGTGCTGAGCCAACTCTGTCGCAACAAGAGTCAGGCTCAGATACGCTGGCTGAAAAGTCTGGAGAAACCTCACCCAAAAGTCCCACAGACCGACTTGTCACTGGTTCTCCGACTTCGTCGCCGGAACGGGATATGGTGGAGGCTCGGCATGAAGCTGAATACGAGGAGGGAAAGCGTCGACGACGAAGTCCGTCACCAGACAGGCCTGCAGATGTCGAAGCTTATGAAGAAGGGCACAACATTGTGGTTGAGGATGAAGAGGGCAATGTTGTAGAGACTATTGATACCAGCGAGATGACCGAAGATGACAAGGTCGGAGCCATCGAGAAAGCACGGAATCGCCTGACGCACGACGAAAGCGGCGAATTCACCAAGCATAAGCATCGGCCACATCCGAAAAATGAAGGTGAGGATATGGAGAAGGAGGTGGGAGACGCTGTTGGGCAACCCCAAACGACGATGCGACAAAAGCTTGATCGGTGGACAGGTCTTGGTAAACGCAAGGATGAGGAGGGTGGGCCGAGTCCGGAGAAGAAGAAGAAGGCCGAGGTGACGCAAGATGCACGAAAGAGAGGTCCTGCTCATGCCTACCAGTTCGGAAACACGATTATTGTTGAAGATGAAGATGGCGAGGTCATTAAGACATACAAAATACCCGCTGATGAGGCTGGTGGTGATGGGCGTCGTGGGCAGCAATACCGAGAAGGCATGAAACGAATGGGAACCTGGGTTGGTATAAATCGGCAGCCCAGTGTAGCCGGGCCAAGTACTATGCCTTTGCCTACAGAGGGAGAACCTGCTCCGAAGCGGGAACCTCCACCGACGCACATGAGACGTTCTTCGACTGATGATGGGTTGCGAATGACCATCTCAAGTACTGATCGATATGGTCTTACTGGGCAGAAGAAAGTTCGAAACGCACCTGGCACGATTGCTCTTGGTTCTGGAAGACGATTGTCAACGAAGGACTTCATCAAGCAGATGCAACAGCTCGATCCAAAGAACAAGATCAGGGAGATCAACGAAACCGATGCACCTGAGGATGTTAAACGTGAGTTGCGTGAGGCAGCTAAAGATGAAGCTGCCACCGGCAGACCTTCACGGATCCGAGCCGATACCAGCACCAGCGCGACTCTGAATGTACCTCGGACAGATGCAGTCAGAGGGCGGCAAAGTAACACGGCGCGGGACGATGAGGACTATTTCAGCCCGCACCGACAGCCCGCCCCAGATCGCAGGACCAGCGCCGACCACGACAGTCCACTTGAGGAGGAAAGTGAAGAAGAAGACGTCATCCCTACTCATGACGTACGATCGAGTCTTGCCCGGTTTGGTGGTGGTGAGACTCCGGCGGACCTGAGGAGACGTCAATTAGTGCCTCAGGATGAGGAGGAGGATGGCGGGATGGATATTCCTACTCACAACGTCCGATCGAGCATCGCCAAGCACAGTGCAGGCGGACAGACTGCGGCGGATTTGAGAAGACGACAATTGGCCACCATTCGTTCTAACGATGATGACGATGATATCGAAACTCCCGGTGAAGAGACCGCTGCTGAGAAAAGGCGTCGGATGGCTGCTTTGGGGCTGGGTGGTCGAGACGAAGACACAGACAGTGACAGCGAAGAGGACGAGCAGCCACGTCGGGTTGACACTGCAGTTCCGGAGCCTAGTGAGGGAGGACCGTCGGCGCAGCCTAGGGCGAGGATTCAATGGGCCGTGGACAGTGGGAGGGAGAAGGAGAGGGAGAAGCCGGAGAAGCCGGCGAAGGATCCGTATGATATATACGCGGGTGATCCTATAGTCGGGGCGGCGAGGAAGTTGAGGGGGATGATGAAGAAGAGGTCATGAGCCAGACGATGTTGGTGTATGTCAGGTTCTGGTTGGACATGAATGGGTATGCATGCTTGATGTTGGTCATTGATATTATGATATTGGACTTTAGCGACGGCGCAAGATGGACTCAGATGGAAAGATGCTGGTGTTGGTTCGGATAGACAATGTGAGCCATGAAAGAGGCAATTGCACGCGAAGGCCTCGCTCCAAGCATTGTTACCAGTGTACTCTCGTGACCTAGACCTAAACAGCGCCTAAGAGGGAGCTCTGGGTTCTATCGAGTTATTAGCCTCCATGTCCCCCATTATCTCATGAGTGGGCCCCAAGCGCTTCATAAGGCCGTGATAAAGTTTCCTTTTGGGCAGACTAACGACCACTTGCATTATACGCATTCGGTTAAGTCCCCAAGAGAGGCTAATCGCAGTGTTGCTCCGGCTCGATCGTTCAACCTCACTGGCCATCGCATGGAACTCTTCGCGATGGATAGCATTTGCACAGCAAAAGAGGGAAACTGAGCTCGGGCAGGCAGATGTAGATCTGCACCGACAGAAGGGTATAAGAATGGCAAAAGTGCCACTATGACGGGCGCTCAAGCTCCCCTGAGCATTTTCTAGCACTCCTCGATTACCGACAATAGTCTACGTGAAAATGTCTCTCACCGGTAAAGTCACTCTCATCACTGGCGGCGGCAAGAACTTGGGCGCTGCAATTGCGAGCCTTTTCGCCCTCGAAGGATCCAATCTGGCCTTGCACTACAACTCAGCTTCGTCCAAGGCCTCGGCTGATGCCCTTGCCGCCCAATTGTCGTCGAAAAACAGCAACACAAAAGTGGAGACATACCAAGGGGACCTGACACAAGTGTCGAACGTGACGGCATTATTCGACGCCGTGCAGAAGGACTTTGGCGGCAAACTGGATATCGTCATCAACACGGTCGGGATGGTGCTGAAGAAGCCGCTGACCGAGATATCTGAGAAGGAATATGACCAGATGTCCGCGGTGAACTCCAAGGCTGCGTTTTTTGTCACCCAGGAAGCTGCCAAGCGCGTCAGCGAGGGCGGGAGGATCATCAACACTGTCACCAGTCTGCTGGCCGCCTATACGCCTCTGTATACGAGTTATCAAGGAACTAAGGCGCCGGTGGAGTACTTCACTAAAGGGCTGAGCAAGGAGTTGATGCCGAAGAAGATCAGTGTCAATGCTGTGGCACCGGGTCCAATGGTAAGTGCTCTATCAATCTACCTTGTAATGTTGCTGGTTTGATACTGATTACGAGCGCGCAGGATACGCGTACGTCGAATCTCATGACCTAAGTCATTCAGCCCTGGCCCGTCTTCCTCGTCAATCCCCTTCGCATTGTCTAGCTCCTTACCCGATACCCAAAGAGGCTTGTTCTGACCTTCCATTCTGGATAGCATTCTTCTATGGCCAAGAAACTCCCGAGGCAGTGGAATTTCACAAGTCCAACGCCATCGGCGGACGTTTGACATTGGTGGATGACATCGCGCCGATTTATAAGTTTCTCTGCACAGAGGGAGCATGGATCAATGGTAAGTTGTCCGATGACCGTTGAAAAACTGGTAAAGGATATCATGCTGACCACGGGTTTCAATGGCGATGAACAGGCCAGACACTTTTCGCCAATGGAGGGTACACGAGCCGCTAGAAACCGGTGCATTTCACCCAGCTTGTATTGCAAGCAATTCCCAGAGGAATCTTGCTCGAGACTTCGTAAACATCCAAGCTAGAGAAGATGTGTGCGCGGGATTCGGAGATCCAGCCTGCGACTTCATATTGCGACACTTACAACATCGTACGGATGTTACTTTGCAATCGTGGTACAGTAAATAAGGTAGAAGAGGTCAATCATGAAAGTGCAAAGGGTATGCTCGTCGATGGTTTTCTTGCCTCTTCGTCTCATAAGTGTTTCTCAGACACTCGTACTTTACAATGAGGTAGTGCTGATAGATGTCCATCAACCCACTAAACCTAAGTACATTTTGTCTTCTGGTCCGCACAAAGTCTATATTGGCCTCATTCAAAAACAACGTTGATCAATGCGCAGCCTCAGCCAAGTTTAACTTTCACAAAGGTTCGACCTCGTTTTTACGTAAATTTCCTGCCCTGGTAAGTGATCTCGATCAGATCATCGATCTCACTTTCTCAAGATGTTCCTTGAGTTTTTCCAATAACCACAGTACTGTAAACCGGTTGTCAGGATCAACACTACATGTGGACCTGCCTTTGACGTACAATGCAGACACTTCCCCAACTATGACTCGCCCAGTACTGGAATTCGTCAATGTCACCCCAGCCAACGCGGCCCAAGCGGCACAGATTCGAAAGCAAGTCAGATCGCATGCAGCGAAGATCTGGGGAGGCCCGGACCCGGCTGCTGCAGGAGACCACGACCCTGACTCGACGATGAAGCCTACCAGTGCACAGCGGAAGGGGAGGCGAAGGCGACGTCAGTGTCCCCCAACAACCTGGTCCATTGAGGTCCGTGTCCGGCAGGTGGAAAGAGAAAGGGAAAGGGAGAGGCAGGACATGGTCCAACATCTGCCAAACGCAAAGGCGCCGCCGTATAAGGACACCGCACGGAACCCGAGTCATTTGCCTCCAAGCCCACTGAGCTGGCTCTCAGGAATGGCAACGGCAACGATCCCGGCATCACAAAGCCCAGTCTATCACCTTCCATTCGTACCCGTCGTACTGCAAAACTACCTCCAGCACCTTGCCGTGGCCATTCCTGAGATCGACGGCGCCGGCAACTCGGCGCTATTGAAGACAAGGTGGTTCCCCTTGGTGATCCATACTCCCGTTGTCTTTCAGGTCATCGTTCTGTTCTCGGCGTCGCATTACGCGGCAAAACAAGCAGATCCAGCCATCGCCACCACCATCTTGTATCTGAAGCAGCGCGCCCTGAAGGGCATCAGCCTGGCTCTGGCCAAAGGCGTAGGAGTTCGCGATGAACTCATCGCGGCCACGGCGAAAATGGCGAGCTACGAGGCTATATGGGGAGATGAGATTGCGTATCACTGCCACATGAAAGCTGTATCGGAGATGCTCAGAATGCGTGGCGGACTCGCCAGCCTCGGACTAGATGGTTTTCTCGCTCGACTGCTGATCTTCATCGACACCAATTCGGCTTTTCTTCTGAACACTTTTCTGCATCTACCGGACTCTTCCTTTCCCAGAGTAGAGCCGTTCATCCTACCGAATTTGAGTCGCTTCGTCGGTGAAGTGTGACGGCGTCTGGGCGTACTCATGCGAATGCAGTTCTAAGTGAGGAACTCAATGGTTTAATACCTCTTGGAGCCCACTCTGAAGGACGGCTGTGACCAGCTTCGGCATGCCTTGAGGCACTTGAAATATTCATGTTGGAATCATGTTCAGAGCTCTCCAAGACTCGGACACAGCTGAAATAATCCGTCTTCACCAGACGCTTGGGATGCGTCATTCTGTCCTTGCATTTGAGATGATGGAGGCCCTATCAGGCTGGTCAGCAGCTCATCAAGCCCTTCAGACATACCGCCCGTGTCCGCGATGGAGCTCATCCATTGCATGAAGTCCCCGGCGCCGGCTGGATCATTGGGTTGTTGTGCAGCAGCCGCACCCGGCGGTGTCCAATCTCCATGTCCGTTTTCGTCCATCATGGTAATGGTACGATTGGCCAGCGCTTCAAAAATGTCCCGATACGGCGCTGCTGTGTCCCACCGTTCGGCCATTATCACCAAAACGATGGTGCAATCGGTGCACGTAGAGCTCACTTGACCCTGCCGGCTGGCTTTGCGAGCCGCAGGGGATGTCCAAAGGCAGTGCAGGTACGTCAGTCCAGCAAGGAACAACTCGTGGAGTGCCGACCATGTGTAGCTTGTCGGCTTTCCCAGAAACTGGCGCCGGTAGCTGTGGCAAATGCGCTCCGAAGCGCGTAGACAGTCGAGGAATATGCTGTCCGTGGCACCTTCTTGGGCGCTCACAATGTGAACTCGATATAGTTGCAAGAGGGTATAGTTATACTCCATATCAAACCAGTCGGAAGTTTGGAACAACGAGAGTGCTGTTGCTCCGCCGTGACTAGGCTGTACTGCCATTGGAGGCGTCAGGGATCTCCATTCCTCGAGTTCGCTCCGCAACTGATCGATGTGTGTTCGATAGAGATGTTTAGATGGGCCGCTTGGCACCAGCTCCGAGTAGAGAGAGGTATGGATGCGGCCTAGAAGGCGACGCATTCGGAAGGCATGAATCGCCCTGGTCATGCTTGTCGGCGGATCGCTGGGTGAGGCCCGTGGGGTGCCATGAATACCTGTTTCCGTAATGCACGAATCGTCGATGTCCAAAGGATACTGCATTTTCCCAGTCAGTCATTGGGAATCATGTGACGATGCTGGGACTTTTCAGGAGCATACGAACCTCCGCATCGACCTCCTGGTAAGGTATACCCAGAGGACGTCCCAACATTACGGCAGCTTGACATTCCATCACATAAGCACACCAAAACACTCGCTTACGTAAATCGGTCCTGAGCGGATCAGCGCTTGGTTTGAACCGCTTGGAGTTTCTGTGGTATCCGAGATCGATACATTGACGAAGTGCTAGACCGGCTAGCTTCCTAATACTTGTGAGTGACAAGACGTTTCTGGATTGATCCTACGTACCACGTTGATGTGCCAATCGAAGATCGCAGTGAGTATGCTGCACAGCATAAGATGGCTTGTATGGATTCTAGGTTGTCGTACGGCAAGATATGGTCAATATACAACTGCGCTGACATGTATAGACGCTGGAAATCCGTAAGCGTCGTGAATGTTCGAGGAGCGGTCTCGCCTACCTCAGCAGAACATCCGGAATTGGGTACTAGGAGGGCACCAATGGCATATACCTAGGCCGGTCAGGTTCACCCACCTCCAATGTAAAGGATCCTGACATACCATATTCAGGAAGAATAAAGGGACAGGGCTGGACATGAGAGTGTCGACCGCTGCAGACTTGCTGAACAGCGTTCTCTCCCATAATCGAAATGTTGGTTCATGTAGATATGGATACTGTGAATGAATGTTGTCAAAGTAGACGTTGCTAAGTCTTAATGCGACATCGTGATCGGGTAAGAGACAAGGTGTCGGCGTTGTCGTCGAGTCGTTGTCAAGGTCGCCAAGCGTACTTGGATTGGGATGGTTCGTTACAACAACTTGACGTAGAGATGAGTTGATCAATCGCGAGAAAGCAAACACGGAAGACGGGCCTAGGTAATGAGGTTCCGCTCCTGCTGCATTCAAACTTAGGAGACCGACTTTTGATTCCAATTCGTCCAGTCCATCGTGTTCATCGTTCGGCAGGGGGGAAACCGATCGACCGCTGTACTGGTTGTCACTCCGCTGCTCGAATGGCGTGGGACTCGTCTGAGCTTCTTGCTGTTGTGGCTCGGCTTGGAAGAAGTGATCCTCGGCCACATCTGGGCGGTATTGCGTAAGTATGCCCTCAAGAAAAGCTACGCGCTGTTCGAGGGTCTCGAGGTAATTTCGCGGTTGCCATCGTTTTGTTGCTGGATCTTCCACAAGACAGACTACCAACCGTTGTCAGTGAGAATGACTATTCAAGTCGTGCTACTAAGGATGTGCTACTGCGGACGACCCATAGCAAAACAACGCACTAACTTGAACCAGAACGACGACAGTTGTCGCAACCAGTGATGTTATTATCGCACTGAGGATCTTGTAAGCTGAGATCACTCGAGTCCGACTTGGGTTGAGCCTGCCTTTAATTTCTTTTCCTTGCAATGAATGCAGGCGACTAAGGCTCTCGGCCCCGTCCGAGTCCGTTGGACACTCTTTGGTGGTCGCCGATACCGCGGTGAAGTAGCATTCTGCGACATGCTGAATATGGTGATTGTCCGGCAGAGAACAGTAGTGTCGCGCGAGGAAGGCCGTAAAGCTATGCATTGACCGAAGTCCTCAAGAGGGAAGCAGAAAAGTGAAGTATGTGCAGAGTTTCACTTGGTCCTTGGAGAAGGCCTGTCACTTATCTCTACTTAACGTCACCTTCCCCCTACGCTCCTAACTTAGCTCCTGCTATGGTGCCCGGACCAGCCCTACAGTAAGCCTAAAGTCCCCGCAAATGGCGGTCCAGAAGGGGCGGTCTGGTTGGCCTAGGTACCACGTACTGTACAGTATTTATAAGTACTGTCCCATGGTGCTCACGACGGTCCCAATCAGCTTGTGCAGCGGTTTGGCTCTGGTACAATATGCTCAGCGACAACAACATGGTAAAATAGTTACCAGTCACCTAGAAGCTTTGTCAGACTCCTCGCACTTACATCTACAATCTATTCTATGTTTCATCAGGGTTGAGCTCTTGAATGCTCATTTGCCTGGCCGGTCTATCGAGATACGCTATATTTGGACTCAACAATGTCATGCATATCAAAGCCGTGATGGAATTCGGCCTGTTTCGATAAGCTGCTTCAGGCCTTTCACTCGTGCTGGAGTGATTTGGTAGACGTCTGGTATTTGCGTCTCTGACCAAGAGGCCCCGTTCATCAGCTTGATCAATGCAGGTGCTGCAGTGAAGATGCGTGCCATACCACTGTCAAGTCAGCCAAATGAATTTATGGTTGGAGGGCGAGTTGCATTACTTACTGTCCATGGTGGCCAGCACAGATCCATTGACCTGGCAAACCAGGCAACTCTCCCACCCACGGCACTCCGTCTGCACTCTGGAAAGGGGTTAGCTCGTCTTTGTAGACCGCGACATGCTCGCAATAAGCGGACTTACCAATCCAATGATGCCACTCCAGCTATCTTTGTAGAGCTCCTTCGAGTCTGTCGAAGGGTTCTTCCACCCTGAAAACTGAGACTCCGTAAATTCCTGGACGGCCTTTGTCACAGACGGAAATGATTTTAGGCCGTCATCTGCACACATCTCCGGATGCTCTTCTACCCATTTCAGGAAATCTCCCTGGCCTGGGCCACTGCCGCCAAACAGGTTCGCATCACTGACAGTACCTCGATGGTTGATGGTTATGAGAGCCCCATTTTCGAGAAGGACGCCGTAGGAGTTTTGCAATGCACTGTTTCCATCGAAGCCCACAGGAGGAATGGCCTCATTACAAATGTGAGGAATGGGTTTGATGACTCCGCGTAGAGACGGCTCAAGTGCGGAGCTGTATGCATTGGTAGCATGAATGACTTGCGAGCACTCGATCTCGCCTCGCTCGCAGACGACAATCCATTTTCTGGGGCTTTGTGAGGACGATTTGACTTTGGTAACTGTTGTGTGGGTTTGGAGATTGACACCTTTACTGATGTTTTCGCGCATGACATGAGCAGCTAGCTTCCAAGGATAAAGTGTTGAGGCAGGCCAGGCATAGCACGCCTTTGCATCCTTGATACGAGATATCTGTTACCAAGTCAGTAGTGATACACCAGCCTTGAGGCAGCAGAGGTACTTTTCTGGCTTCATATGGATTTTGCATAACCTTGATATGGTCAACAATGCCGCCGGCAGCCTTAAATCGCTCGAAACTGTCCTTTGCTACATCTGCTGCCTGCGACGTTACTGGAACATCCAATGTGTCGCCAACCCAGAGATCACATTCAACGTCATTTTCCTTGACATATTTGACCAAGTCCGACCATGTCTGTTGTTCATTTTGTAGGATCTGTGTTTCGGGGTCAGGACTACCGTGGCAACAGGAGGGAGACGAACAGACCTTGAGAGCTTGCTCTGTTCCGAACAATCTTTCATACTCTCTGAAGCCGCGCCACTGATCCGGTTTGCAATGGCCTGCATTACGCCCGGTGGCACCAGAGCAGAATTGGCGGGCCTCGAGGACTACCACTCGTTTGTTTGGCCACGTGGCAAGGCAGTGTTTAGCCGCCAGCGTTCCAGTCATCTGCGCAGAAGGTATTCAGCACAGGAACCAATAGCTTGATCACTTCTCATGAGTACCACCTACACCAGAACCGATGATCACAATGTCTGCCGATTCAGGTAGCTCGGCTGTGGTGCGATGATTAAAGAGAAGGTCATTCTGCACGTTTCGTAGCCAGTATGACAACGAGTAGCCATGTTTCTTAGGAAAGCCATATCTCTTGGCCCAGTCGGAGTTGGATTCCCGTTCGACGATGTCTGGAATACCTGTCGAATCTGCTTTTCCGCCGCTTGACAGCGGACCAGTCTCGGGCCACGATCCTGCCATGGTGTCTAATGAGGATGAGATATTGTCTTCTAGGATATACTTTCAGACAAACCAGACGTAAGTATTGAGACAAGTATCGAGGCAGAGAGTCAACAGCCGGGGGCTCTGCCGTTTACGCCAGAGCAAAGACCGGTCCAATCCGAGACTGCAAGACCTAGACCGCTGCAAGATTGTCAGGTGATGAAGTTCATTCAAACCACGGATTATCGTTAACCACCAATATCATCTCTGCCGGAACGAGTTCCTGGTGGGCAGACATCGAAAGGTCAATCGATCCTCGCCGAAGGCACTGTCTGGAGATGTCCGCGACAATACCAAGTCAGGAGTAATGATTGCAACTGACTGTTCGTATTCTTCCGAGCAGCCGAGTTGATATTGGTTTACTACGCTCGTTACGGCTTAGTCTGAGAAAGTCAAGAGAGCTATCTGATTGGCTGTCCGTATTCTTCCGGACTAGCGTTGTTAAAGGCCTTCGCCCGGGAAGATAGCATCCTTTCCATCGACACTTCCTTCCGAACCTATCTGCCAACTATGGCTTCAGACGTACAGATAACTCATTCCGGGAGATTCGCCTATTGATGGTGGCTATATTATAACCATGTACGCACCCACAATTATCGTTCCTGTATCGCCTTTCGAGTTACGACTCGCTCACGGAACATTTTTTACTTGTGCGCTTGCGCCAGGGCCATACTATCATGTCTCCTTTTTTCCGTCATGAAGATGTTCACAGTACCGCCATGTGGCCCCCTGGGACGGTGCGGCTTGAGGATATGGCTGCGGCGGCCAAGAAAGATATCATCTTACAGCCAAGACCATCCAGTGACCCTAACGATCCCCTGAACTGGTCACTCCAGCGTAAATACTGGAATTTTGTTCTGGTCTGCCTATACGTCGCAATGGTTGCAGAGTTCATCAACGCTTCAACTCCAACATGGGGGCCAATGAACGAAGAGCTAGGCTACAGCTACGAGATCTTGAACGACAGCTACGCAGCGGGCTGCGCCGCTCTGGCACTCGGTTCTCTCATCCTCATACCGTTTGCTCTCAAGTTCGGTCGTCGGCCCCTGTACCTCTTCAGCACGGTCCTACAGTTCGCTCTCAGTATATGGTCCGCCAAGATGCAGACGGTCGCCGACCTGATGCTTATCAACATACTGCAGTGCTTGTTCGGAAGCTTGGCTGAAGCCATTGTCCAAATGACAGTTGCCGACGTCTTTTTCGTGCATCAACGGGGCAGGATGAATGCTATTTATGTTTGGGTGTGGTTGGCATGCAGCTATCTGGGGTCGTTCATCGCTGGATATGTCGCACAAGGCGAAGGATGGAGGGCGATCTGGTGGTGGAATACCGGCTTTTTCGGTATCATCGTTTTCATCGTCGCGTTCGGATACGAAGAGACCAAGTATCGCCCGAGCGCCCCCTCTTCACTTGCATTGGACGCCTCTCCGCCGTCGACTCATGTCCACAGCTCAGATCTCGCTCAGGCCGTCAACTCGTACGACAAGATGGACGTGGCGGATACGAAGCCGCCGGTAGATACGCAGACGAAGACCGACTCGAGCCATGATCCAGCTCAAGCAGTCGAAGAAGGCTCGTTGCAAAATGTCCATTCTGTCATGATTGACCCCAACATTCCGAGAAAGACTTACTGGCAAAGACTGGCAATCACGACCTCGACTTCGTCCTCAGGCGAAAGTAATCAAGCATTTCTGAGACATATGTACCAGCCACTGATTCTACTCTTCACCATACCTGCCATAACATACGCAGCTTTGGTCTACGGTATCCTCGTTGGGCTGGGAGACGTCATGTCAACTACTATGTCAACGTTCTTGACTGAGCCTCCTTACAACTTTTCCTCAGGCCACGTCGGTCTCATGCATCTGCCCCGGGTGATCGGTGTCACGATTGGTGCTGCCATCGGCGGCCCCTTAAGTGATTGGACGATCTTGTATCTTTCTCGCCGAAGGAATGGTATCTATGACCCCGAGCTGCGACTCTGGGCCATCATACCCTTCCTGCCATTTGTTCCCGCAGGTGCGCTCATGTTTGGCATCGGTCTTAACAACGGTGCTTCCTGGCCGATCATTGCTGTTGGGCTGGTCTTGTACAACATTGGTGTCACTCCGATCAACAGTATCATTGTGACATATCTGACCGATTCGTACAGAGAGGTACGTTCAACTGCAGATTCGTACTCTGAGACAAACGGCATCTCTGACTGTCTAACAGGTTATCGGCGACGCAATGGTCGCGGTTACTGTGGTCCGCAACTCTTTCAGCACTGCCTTCATCTTCGCCCTTACTCCATGGATCGCGGTGGTCGGGGTCAAGTGGGTCTTCGTCACTATTCTTTTGATTGCATGCGCCATCTTGATGGCTTCCGGCGTCTTTATCAGATGGGGAAAGACCTTTCGACACATGTTTGCCCCAAGATATGAGTATTATGCTCTCCGGCAGTACAAGGAGAGGTAACCAAACAGGGTTGGACTGTCAGTCTAGAAGAAAAAGTGAGAAGACTCATGGTCGCATGATTCAGCGCGCCAGCGTTATTAGCAGTAGTATTATCCCAAGAACAGAATAAGGAGCTACGTTACTATTCTATAGACCAAGTTCGAATATATGATAGCCCTTAGTTGGCTTGCTGGGACTCACCCTCACATCCTCTATGATGGGTCATTAGGATCCTATATCGATTTCCTGGTTCTTTAACTCTCGTTATGTCCTGCAAAATGTTTGACACAGGATATCAGACAGCTTGCCTTTAATACAGGGGTTCTTCATTGACACAGCCCCTAGTTCAAGGCATCAGTTATTCGACCCAGGTTGCACATCAGTCCATCTACTCGGTCCTCCGGAAGCCTACCGCAGGCTTCGACGGCGACTAAGCCAGATTATGCCGCAGCTTGCAAGGGGCGGGCAGTACCTCTGTTCCCTGCAAACAAATGAACGCAACTCAAAAAACGGACGTCCTTCGTATAGGTCACAAAACGGCACAGCCTACCGAGACGGTTCAGGGGCCAAAAAGGTGTTGAGCTCTGACCTCGTCGATATCACTGTGCTTGAGTTGAATCGTCGCTTTGCTCAAGATACACAAGTCTACTGCAAACAACAAAAATGAAAGCTCAGAAAGTGAGCTGAGTTGAAATGGTCAACAAAAAGTGAGCTGAGTTGAAAGGTCTTGCCCGGATTCGAACCGGGGTTAGCGGAAGATTCAGACGAATATCACTGAGATATTGTTAGGAATGATATTGTCTACGATTGATAGTGATAAAACTTACGAATCCGCTGTGATAACCACTACACTCTGTGGCACGCATTAGAAGAATTCATAACTCAGATCGTAATGTGACATACACAAAACCTGAGGCACCTCTGTGTAGATTGCGTGCAAATCTTGCCTCAATTTTTGGCCATCCAAAATATAAAACATGCTTATTTCACGGTGGAGTCTTAGGGCCTTATAGGTATCACATATCACGTGGTATAAAGGTGTAAGGCTTGACTAGGTTTTATACGAGACTAACCTGTTTCGGACCGTTAGATAACTTTTCTTCATGATGCATGTCTTTTTCCAGTCCCACGTAACTCGACATAAGCCATGGCGGCAGGTGAGGAGCATTCGAGGAAGAAGAGGAGAGTCGGGGACTCTACCTCTGCCTCATTGGAATCCGCCCACGAACTGAAAAGCCTCCTACATCCGTCGCAGAAATCTTCAGCCGAGATCAAGTCAGGTACGTTTGGCACCTCACATTCGAACGGACAAGTTTTGACATCTCTAGCGGTCGATCGATTTTCCAAGTTCTTGACATCCATCACCGGAGATGGACTGGTCTCGGAGCGGGAGCGACCGCTCAAAATCCTCAGAGATTACTGTGACGACCAGTCGTCTTCATCTCACGACCAGGTCGACTTCCCCGATCTCCTAGCCGCATGGTCAAATGCAAGCCAGTCAAGTGACGAAGCTGTCCTGACAGCTGTGCCTTCAGCGCTTGTGCGCTTCTTTCAGACGACCTCGAGCAAATTGGAGTTTCGTGACTTTGGACTCTCATTATGCCATAGCCTCCTCAAGCGAGACCAGGTTCGCCTCCTTGACAGAGGCTTGTCTGCTCCTCGGGCGAAAGAAAGCCTCATCACTCCGTGTCTAAAACTGTTGACGGAGGTCATCAGCTTTGATGCCGGCGCACTTGCTAGCAATGTCTGGGCACGACGGGATCTACTCTACAGGCGTCTAGATGCCATTCTGGGTCAGCCTCCACTTGAGCAGGGTGGACCTCAGAACTTTACAGCACGCAGAGCTGCTTTAGATTTCTTAGTGGCCAACCTGAGATATCTAGATACCGCTGCGAAGTCGGAGTTGATCACGCAAGGCAAGACATTGGCTACGGCCATTCGTTGTCTCCCCAACGAACGCTCGGATACTACTATCACCATGGTACGCGCTCTCGAGGACTTTTTAGCCAATGATTCAAGTCTTTCTAGACAATTGAAGGCTCGCTGCTTCAATTCTGGCAACCTGACTGCTTTGGCGAAGCTTTACGATGTCGAGACCCAGGCTCATCAACCCGACGAAGAAAATGGTACACAGGGTGTCCGAGAAGCCGTACATCACCTGTTGCTTCAAGTATGCACAATGGAGCATGGCATATTGCTCCCTCAATCGGGGTGGTATCCAACAGGCACGCATCCCGATGTCGTTGAAACAGACGATGACATGATTGACCTTGGTCTCGACTCGCCTTACCACTTTGACGATTACAGTAAAAAGGTACCTGTCAGGAACGGCACTGTTGCAACATTCCTCCAGACTCTTCACCCCGAAAAGGACACGCTGCAGTCCAACCTCATAAAGTCCATATTCGCGGCAGCTCCTGAGCTTGTGGCGGACTACTTCTCAAAGAAGCAAGAGTTCCATGCGCAGACATCTGACGACCCAATATGGCGCGGCCAGTTTGCATTTCTGTTCTCTGTTGTGCAATCATCAGTCCCACCTTATTGTGGATGGCATGGAAAGCTTCCTGCCCTGCCGCCGCCGGTGTCGGTGGTCATTGAGAGCATCCTGCCACGCCCTTTGGATCGGACGACCATTACTAGATGCCTCCATTTGAGTGAGGACATCATGACGATATCAGGCGCTCGTCTATTGACCATCGCGCTTGGCAAGCTTGAGTCGGTGATAACGATGTTTGAGAGCGCGCATCCTGGATCCCACGTCTGGGATCAAACGTGTAGCAAGCTCATCAGCCTCTTCATTGACCGCATCCCGACGCTACACGATACCATTACCACGTTGCAGAGGCTTTCGAAAGACAACGACCAGGTTAGGACAGCCGTTCTCGAATGCATAGCTGCTTATCATAGAGTGCTACCATCTTTAGCAGCTGGATCCAAGTTCGACATTGGGCCTTTACTCAATGAGAGCATTCATCGGCTGCTTTCGGACGACGTTGAAGATACTGCTCACGAATCCTTGGAGGATCAATTGCCGCATCTTGTACACATTGCCGCCCTCTCGCCTGCTACCAAGTGGTTTCAGAAAGCAAATGCAGATTCTCTGATCTTGGTCACTCAATTGCTCGGATACTGCGCTCGCAATCCCGATAAGCAGGTATTAAAACAATCAATGCCTGTTCTCAGGGACTTGCTCCGAAGTAAAGGCATCCTTGGCTTTCACACTAAGTCCCTCGAAGCTCTACTACTGAGCTTGACCCCAACCAAAAAGTGGCAACCCGATGCCATCACATTGCAATTTCTGGACAATTGCATAACAAGGACGATGCAGCGGCCCGTCAAGTACCTGGATCAACTCGAACGCTATCAAGAACAGGAGTCAGACTCCAAGGATCTAAGTCTGGTTGCGTGTTGCGCGGCCGAGCAATGGCCCTTTGTGGTGAAAAAGGAAGGGCCAAAAGGTGCCAAAAATGTCGCCGAATGGATAGCCAAGCTCTTCGCAGCATTGGATGCGGCTGGCGAGAACTTTCGAGTAATAACGAAACTCAAGGAAGAGATGGCGAGCGTGGTAGAAGGGGACGAGAAGTCTGCTGGAGTGATATCGAAGGCATTCGACAAACAGCAAAAGAAGCCTGTCACTTTGCCGGAGCCAGGGGCAGAGGGTACACTGGACGGTCATGACTCTGCGAAGCTCACGAATGGTGACCACTCAGCTTCCGTGCCTGTGGAAGAAGCAAAAGGTGTCAATCTCGCCGAAGTCCTCCCTCCTCCATCAGCTATCCCGATATCCCTCAAAGGTCTCGACCGCTGGACCAAACCAGACTTCGAATCCGAGATCCAATCCGGCCGACTAGCCAATCTCCTACGCTGCCTTATTAGTCCCGACCAAGAAACCCGCCTCCAAGCATTCCACACCCTCCAAACCGTCACCCATGCAGTCGAACAGTCCACTTACCCAGAGAAAACGCAATTGCACCTCCTCCTAGGCGAAGTCGGCGAAACCATCCGCACTCTGACCCAGTCTCACCCAAACATTCCTCCACCATCGATCGTCGCAGAACTCGCGATCCACACACTCCCCGTCATCGCAGACCCTTCATCGCCATACTACCGCAAAACAAACAAATACCTACTTGACGCACCAAGCTGGGCCATGAACCGCATCCTCCCACACTGGCTGTCTGAGACGTTCCTTTTCGAACCGGAATCTGACGACACAGATGTAGGTAATCAGAACGCTCAAGGTCTTGAAATTGAGCGTCTCCTCGATTTGCTGGCAGACTCTCTCCGCAGCGAAATCGACATGGACCTGTTTCGGCGTTCGCACGTCTTCACCCGTTTGTTCAGTTACTACCTCGCGCCGGTGTGCTCGAAACACGCGCGCAAGAAAATCTTGCGGATCGTTCATCACGCGGCGAACGTCAAGGACGGGAGTGATACGTTGATCACCCGGGCCGGCGTGCGCGAATGGTTGACCGTTGCGGCCGAAGTACGTGATCATAGCGGCCACGGCGCCACGGCTGGACAGATCGATGAGGAGATCAGGGGGATCGTGAAAGCCGTGGAGAAGGAAGGAAACGAGATGTGTGATCGGGGTGGCATTGAGAAGTGGGAGAGGGAGAGGCCGATTTACAGGCTGGACAAGCGGACTCAATCCGGAGCTGTGAATGGACATGTGACGAAGGCTGGTCATGGAGAGGGACAAGCCGACGAAGAGGTTGAAGATTAGAAGAGAGACCGTTCGAAATTGCTTATATTGGCAAGAGAAAAGTGAATCAATTGAGCAAGCCGCTAAACTCGCAACCGGTCATGATCCTGTGTACAGCGCTCAACTTCAAAGCAATCTAATCTTCTCTAACTCGCGTCGTCCCGACTCAGTCCTTGTCCGCCGAGTTCTTTCACAATACCACTGCTCCTCGCTATTCACAGTCATAGTCGATCGTATCACTCTGATGTAGTGAGTCGGGCACACGGCGTCAATATTCGACACCGACACAGCACCATTCAAATCCATAGGACTTGAAAACCACTGTGCATTTCATACTTCAGCGAGACTGCACCTCCCGAGCCATCTCTATTTATTCGCTCATCAAATCTGTGAACGGCAAGTTAGCGGAAGTTTGCCAAACACATACAAATGTCTTACCTCTTCCAAAGAGAGCTCTCTTGGTCCAATCCATGGCCAAAAGTATTCTCGTTCTAATACTCACGCTCTGCGCAAAGTAGATACTTCTCCACAGATAGACGGCCATCAATCCTCCACTGAAATTCAGTCCGCCGAAATCAAAAACGGCGGCATTGCCAATGTACGCCAGACTACCGAGGTGGTGGTATTCGAAAGCTTTGTACACAGCTTCGTCCAGATCTCCGAAGTCGACCTCGTTGGCTCGGAAGCCAGGAATGGCAGCAGCTATCTTATTGAACTTGCGCCCGAGATATTGACCCTGTTGATTCGCTCGTTGAGCCGTCGCAGGCAAGGAGGTCAATTTGTTATCAATCTGGACAAGCAGTTCGTGAATTTCACCGAAGTCGAGAGTGCCGGATTTGTCCTTATCATATTCCTCGAACAAACGATCGACTCGCTTGAGATGGGCCGCGGCTTGAGGAAAGCGTCTGCGAACGCTATGAGCCACGCTGCGCCATTCTTCGAATGTCAAATGGACTTTGTCAGGATCCTTGCCCTTCTCGAAGGCGACACCACGGAGGAAAGTGGTGAGATGGTCGGCGATATTGTTCTGCACAGTAGAGCAATCTCCAATAGCATAGACGTCACCTAGTGGAGCTCCAAGCAATCTCAAGTGCGTGTCGGTTTCGAGTGCGTGGCGATTCGTCTGGAAATCTCCAAGCTTCTTTGCGATCTTCTGACTAAGTTCAGTCTGCGCAACACCCGTAGACCATAAGCAGAAACCCATGGGAAGTTCCTTGGTGACGGACTTCCCATCCTCCATTTGACTGAAGAGGATTCTGTCTGGCTTAACTTCTTTGACTCGAGCATTGGTCAAAACCTCAACCTGATCGTGCTCGAACCGTTTCTCAGCGTAGACAGATAGCGCTTCATCGTACGTGTTGAGAATGTGTCCGCGGGATTGAATAACGTGTACAGAAACCTCATTCCGCAGGATTCTTGGGAAGGATTTTAGCAGATCCTCGTTGAGCATATCATATAGTTCGGCGGCAAATTCGACACCAGTGGGACCACCGCCGCTAATGACAAAGGAAAGTAGTCTCCGTCTCTCTTCGTCAGAAGTGGTGGGTAGACAGGCTATTTCCATGTTGTGCAGAACCTTTTGTTTGATCAGACGAGCGTCTTCGATGGATTTGAGAAAATTGCAGTTTTCCAAGCCCTTGACGCCATGCGGGTTCGTTGTAGAACCTACTCCGACAATCAACTTGTCGTAAGGGAGGTAAAAATGTTGCTCTTTGCCACTAGCATCAACGGCCTTGACCTCAAGCAGCTTCTCAGAGAACTCAACATCGACGGCCTCAGCTTTTAAGAAATGACCCCTCACACGACTGACTATCCTCCGAATTGGCTCGGTCAAGGAGCGAAACTCTAGTGTGCCCACGGTAGCTGATGGCAGCATCGGGGTGAAGAGAAAATAGTTGGTAGGAGAAACCACAGTCACATGGTAATCGCCTGGCACAAGCTCTTTCAGCATAGCAACACTGCCCCAGCCTGTCCCTAGTATGACCAACTTTGGCTTGTCTTTTTGTTCTCTCATCGGTTCGCAATCCTCATCATCCACAAGAACCTCCGCAATGGGCAAGTTCTTGGGACCGCCCCTTCTTGGGGAAAGTGCCTTCTCGTTCACGGCAATGTCACCGGTCGCATCGGGCATTTCCTGGTAGGTGGTTGCATCGAAAATGAAGAAGGCCAAGACTAGACCTCCTGAGACGACGATAAATATTCCCGTCCAAGCAAAGATGCGATAGATGAATCGAGCAACCGGGCCATGGTGGTTGGGGAGTTCTTTGGTGGAAATATAGCGTATGCTGTTTGGAGCAGCTCGGACCGGACGGAAGGACAGCTGCGCTGCAGTGAAGCGAGGATTTCTCAGCGCCAAGGGAGTGTAGGATCTTGTAGAAAAGGCTTTTGTCGACAGAACAGAAGATGTTATACAAGGAGCAGGTTTATAGGAGGAGAACTGCTTCGGGCGAACAGAACGCAGGCCATTGCGGAGGACGGATCGAGGGAGTGCCTCCATGCTGGAAGGATGTAGGTCGAGCTTTCACCACATACTTGGTGTTGAGAGGCAGCGACAGCTCTGACAAAGGACCAAAGACCAAGAAGATTGGATCAAATCGTCTATCGGCGCAGTAAATGATCAGGTTGAGTAGAGAGAGTGAAAAAGTAATAAAAGACGTAGGCGTGGGTAGGTGAGATAGAGCAGGTGCCGGGTATGAGATCATCAGCTTGGATAACTCGGATCATTGGAAAGTCTGAGCAAAAAAACATCATCCACCTGTCGAGCTAACTTAAGCAAGCCATCATCTCCATGTACGAGTGAGGTACTTATCGCATCGCCGTCTGGCCTTTCCCGATAGGAAGACGGCATTCGATTTACTTACTCGCACTTTACTGTACGAGATAGGGTGACATATGTTCAATTTCTTGCAGTCACAAAGGCTCTCGAGGCCACTCAATAACTAACTATATGGGGTATCATGTAATAAACAGAAGCATCATCAATAAATGCACTTGACCCGACCCTCTAAAGTACCTTGGTACTCCTCAACTTGGACTTCTTTTCGTTCGTATCATCACCAAAATCCTGATTCGGGTTCATCACCCATGCCTCCTCAGTCGACATGCAGACGATTCCGTTGTGTGCTTAGCCAGCAAAGTCGCCCTCAGGATCATCTTCGAGCGACGAGATGCTTGATGATCGTCTAGGACCTGCGTTCTTTGGAGGCCGTCCACGAGGTTTCTTGGGAGTACCGCCAACAGAACCATTGATACTTTTTCGTTTCCTACCTCGTGGTGCGCTCATGGGTGCATCGGGAGCAACATTTGCTGAGAACTTCTCCCCTTCCTCCTCAGCAATCTTCACCTCATCGTCAATCGCCACAAGCGTCACAAAATCTTTGCATCGCTGTATCATTGCTTCTGTACTGCTGAGAGATTCCAAGACAGAATTACTGCTCGTCCAGAACCTATCGCCACTGATGCCATGCACTTTCACAGGCTCTTTGGTCGACTCCTTAGTTTGTTTGTTCTGTAGCATCGCCATTTTGACATCCCGAGAGATTCCGTACAGTCTCTTCAGATAATTGCGAGCTTCCGATATCAGGGTGATGGCACAGGCTGCTATGGCCAGTCGTTTCAGAACTTCCAAATCCACTGGTGCCGTAGCCTCTGGTTTTTCGACCTCTATCATGTCTTCGGTACCGTTATCATTTGGCCGACTTTCCGTTGACGGGTCCACGAGATATGGCTGGAGAAGTGTCTCGATCGCTTGCGCAGTTTCGCCGCCATTCTTGCCAAAGGCCAGCTCCAGCTGCAACACAGCATGGAGCAACTCCTCCATCCTCTTGTACTCGAAGAATCCAAGGTTCTGGGTGACAAACAACACAAAGGCAAGATGCTCGGGAATCTCCTGCTCATCCAAGGTCAGTTTGGTGTATTCGGTGTTGAGCTTCGAAATCAGGCTGCTGAGAAATTTCTTCACATATTTGGATCCGCTGCTGCTGATGATGGTGAACGCAGGAGCGAGTTTGGCCTTGAGGCCTGGTGAAATGCCGCCATGAGGATCCTTGAAGACTTCATTTTGGTACCGGAACGCTTCGAACACTGCATGGATGTACTCTCTTTCGCAAACGGACTCGTGCTGTTGATGAAGGTGCTCATGAGCGACTCTGGCGACGTTGGACACCCTCGTGTCCATACTTGTCTCCAGCGCCACAAATGCAGCAGTGCTTTGCTTGGGATGAGTCATGCCCTGATGGTCGATACTGGCAAGGGTTTGAGCTGCAAGCAAGGCTTTTTCACCAGTCTCCGACATGGCAATTCGAAGTAAGTGATCGACGAGAGGATTGGTGATGATGGCGATCGCACTGTCGTCCTCGCGTGTTTTGCTGTCTCCACCAATGTTTTTCAAGGCCTGCACTTCAGCACTCGTTTCTCCTTTGGCGGTGCCTTCTCTTTCGCTAGCCCTCCGTGCGTAGAGTTCCTCGAATGTACCGAGCACCATGACCTGCATCTTCAAGATATCGTTCTCGTTCAACGAAGAAAACGAGGATCCAGCTAGGACCTGGAAGAACGTTTCTCGAATGTGCTTCTTGTTGAATTGGCCAGGCCAAGCTTGACAAATTAAACCCAAGCTCTCCAACGCTTTCAATCGTACTTCCACAGCAGCATCTCTCAATGTGTAGGGAACAATGCTATCAGCGATGAAACCTGCGACCGAAGTAGATTTGAAGGTGGGAAAGTCCGCTTGGAAAGTCTTGCGGTAGTTTTCAAGGTTGATGTGCTTCGCCACCGTCCCAGCAAGGCGCAAGGACTGCTCTCTGACCTTGTTGATTCTGGCCTCGATCTCGCCGAACTTGTTCTCCTTCGTCAACTTGTCTTTGAGTGGTTGAGAAATCTTGGGGTCCAAAACATTCTGCATGACTGATACCGTGAATGCGACAATCCTGCCTGTATTGTGCAAAACCCCATCAATACTTCTCAAGCAAGACATGACTTCTTCCAGCTCTTGACGACGTGCAAGACTCTTGGAAGCTTTCATAAGGTCGAGCTGGACCTCTTGCAGCAATGGGGCTTGCGTGCTTGACAGGTTTGGCAGCACGTTTCGGAATATAGCCACGACTGACTTGAACTTCAGTATATTGTCCGACTTTGAGAGATCCTTGAGATAGCTTTTCAGGCTGGTAAGGTCTCCTGGTACGACGGTCTGTGGGCGAGCTTCCGCAAAAGCCACAAGCGTTGTTAGGTCTGCCGGACCTGCTTCGGAGCCATTGGCAGTGTCCAAGAGCTTTTTCACAATTCGAGCGTAGAGATTCTGGACTTGGGTGACGTCCTTTGAGTCTTTCAACCTCCACGCTAGGAATGCTTTCAGCAGCGGAGCCATTGCTTCGGTGTCGCTGCTAACACAGGCGACGATATGTGCTGTGAGCTCTTGGACAGCAACCTCAACTTGAGCCGATTCATTCGCGCCACTCAGAAGCGTCAACTTTGGCGTGATCCAGATCTCTGCCAGTGTCTTTTTTGCTAAATCGGCGACGGAGGCTTCTTGATCTGCGGTGCGCCGGAGGAATTCAATGGCAATAGTTACTTTCATACCCTTGCGTGACTCTCTGGCATAGACATCCTTCAAGTGCCCCATGGCTCGCTTCTGTACTCCCACATTGGCGTCCATTGCGCATTTGAGAAGTCGTTTAAAGGCCTTTTCTTCAAGGGCTGGTCTCGGCATGATGAATTTGGCGATCAAGGCCAATGCAGAGTCCCGCACAAGAGAAGAATCATCCGAGGCACATTTGAAGACATCATCGGCTATGGTGGGATCCCAATCAAGAAGACTTGAGTCGGTTTCGAGAATGGTAACCACACTCTTCAAGCTGCGACTTCTGACTTGAGCCTGATCGCTTGAGAGAGATGAAGCGAGTGTCTTTGCAATTGATCCAAATTGTCGACAGAACCGCATATTGAGGATGCTCAACAAGTAAGCAAGCTGCGCTTCTTGGTGCGTCGGTTCGTGATGATCGCCTGCAAATCCATGATTTTCATCTGGCTCAGAAAGTTGACGCAAGAGTCCCGGTATCAAGTCGGCCAGTTCTGTTTCAAGGGCAGCGTCAATCTCAGCAGCTTGTGGTCCCCTCAGTGTTCGGGACAAAAATGTTGCATACTGCACAAGGAAGTAAGCCTTTGCAGATCTCGTCCTCAGTCCTTCACCCTTCTGAGAGTCCAGATATGCGCAGACGATTGAGAAAGGACCGTCTACGGAAATGAGATCGTCGTCGCGGACCATGAAATGTGCTGGGTCTTTGACAAGATCAGCCAGGTCCTGTCCTAGCGAAGCATTCGAATCCCCATCTCGCACGATTGATGACATAAGATTTCTTGCAGATGCCCTTGTCACAGAAATCGCGGAGCCCATAACTCCGAGGGACTCCAAGGCCATGTTCTTAATCGAGGCAGCCTTATCGTTTTTGGCGAGCGATACCATGCGCATAGCCAAGACTGTGAGGAGTAACTCCGAAGCCGGCCAGTCCGTTGACGGAAGGACGATGGTCAAATCTTCGACAAAGAGATCGAGGATGTTGCGGTAAGGTGAGTCACCAGTCTTGGTGACTTTCGAAGCCTTGTCAACCATCCAGCCTACAATCTGCTGAGCACTTCTGAAAGCATCCGCAAAGAGACTGTCGGCTTTTCGGGTTAGACTTGACAGAGGGTCCTGATCATTGCGGTCTAGAACGGCATCCGCATCGACTTCCATGTCGTCCACAGAGTCGTCTTCGTCCGAGCTTTCCGGGTTCCGTGATAAGTCCCGGCGTGCACGACGGCTTCGGTCGCCCCGACTTTTACCTGATTGCACCGCCGGAGTCTGTACCAAGAGCATAAACAAGGCGGACACAAGTTGTATGTTTTTGCCATTGCCCAGCTTGTACTGTCTGGCGCTACGGCTGTTGGAAGGCAGCTTGTCTAAAGACGTCAAAACTTCGTCGAGAATAGCTCCTCTTTCATCAGGAAAAGCTGCGTACAGCTTTGCAAGCACGGCCATGGCCTGCTTTCTTAGTCTTTCATATGGTTGTGATCCGATTGCTGAGGTTTTGTCATTATATGCATTCTGCACGAAGAGTAGTTTCGAAGCAAGAAACTCGGTAGAGTTGACGATGGCACTGGCACCTTTGACTTGTACACATACTCTGGCAACGAGATCAAGAAGTTTTCGGCCAACGTCGAGTAATCTCTTGACGGCTTCACTGTTGGCTGCGGCAGTTTCGAACAATCTGCCGTCCTGCCCATCTGGCCGAGCTTCCACAACTGGGATCAGACAATTCTCGAACATGTTGACCAATACATTCGGAAGCCACTGGAGCACTTCGGGATTGACAAGGTCCTGGCTTTGAGGGGCTCCCAGTACCGTGTAGATTAAAGTGCAGGCGGACATCCCTCCGCTGTCCGCTTTATGAAGTTTCGATAGCCAGCTTGCGACATCGTCATCGGACGGATCGGGTGGAAGTCGAAGGTTGACGGTTTGCGCTGCCTCCACGGCTGGTTCACAGATGCGTTGTAGACGCTGCAGGTATTCCAGAGGAGCATCGGCCAAGCGAGCGGAAGAGACGAGTTGATTCAGAGTCGTCTGCAACTTCTCGTGCACTGTGATGGCGAGACGTGGCTCCGAATCTTCTTCCTCATCAGGCGCATCGAACATGGCGCTTCTGGCAACTGACGAGGCTGAGGTGTCCGGGGCTAACCGATCTTGAGCCTCGAATATCTCGGAGAGGAAGCCCTCGAAAGTGCTCAGAAGAAGATTGTCTTTGTCCTTCTTGGAGCCGACGACAACAGCGACTTTGCCGTCTACCTGGGAGCCGCTCAATTTCCTTCTCTTCGGAGAGTCGGGCATGGGTGCATAGTCATCTCGGCGGAAGGACGAAGGTGGTTGAGGAATCTCAACGACAACACGAGAAGTGGCTGGCTTTGGAGACTGTTTCTTAGGAGTCGTCTTCTTAGTGGGCGGCTGAGCAGATTTTGTGGAAGGGTAGGTATAGTCGATCTTCGTGAGATTCAGGACCATTTTCTGGATAGGGTTCAGATCGGGTTGAGCTGGGGTTTGCATTTGCACAGGAGGTCGTTTGAATTTTCTGGGTGTATTAGTGCAAGTGACATATCCGACTGACTTGTAAGGTCATACATCTCTGAAAGTCTGCTCGGGTCTAGCAGGACAGCCAAGCGTTCCTTGGTCCTTGATGTGTACAGCTCGCTACGATAGGCCGCCTGTCGCTCGGCGGAAGTCGTGAGTCTCGCATCGTGAGCCCGCCGCAACTGTGGTATGGGAATACGATCTGATGAATTAGCCAAGCCACGGGAACCAGAGTTGAACAAACTCACCATGCGCCGGCAGAACTGAGGTGGTCATTGGCGTGTATTGTATAGCCTCATCAACCGTCACTTGCCGCGGACTACTTTGGTATTGCGGTCGCCGTGGCACGAGTACCTCAATTGTATCGTTCATGGCTGTGGTGATGATTTGCTTCCCGCTGTCCAGTTCATGTGGAGAGTGGGAGTACGTTCGTTGGGGGGGGACGAATGTGGACTAGGGACCACTTGATAATGGATTCAAGGAGGGCACTGACAGCAGGAACAGGCTCCGAGACATGTCTGCGTTGTGAATGACCGACGGTGATCGATAGTGCGCTATGTGATGGAATATTGGTCTCGTGAATTGCGCATGCGGGATAAGACCGAAAAGAGAAGCCAGCGATATTGAGAAGGGTCGGCTGAATTGCGGGCATCCGGAGATCGTGCTAACCTAATTCGGACCAGTCAGGCACCGATTGCAGCCTTGTCGTTTCTTCCGTAAGCGAAGGCTCGAAGTCGAAAATATTTTCTGGAAACACTCACCCAGATTCCTCAGCGGTAGTCGACCTACACCTCTTCAAAATGGTCGCGATAGCCAGCCTCCTCTTCTGCGATGCTTGCGGATCTCTTTTACCGCGGGTCATCCCCGGCCAAAACCAGGATGATATGGTCAAATGCGACGATTGTTTCCAGTACACCAAGGATACCTCATCTAAGGTCATAACTTCTGTTTCCAAACCGAGTGCGTTTCCATCGGCATTGAGGTCGAAACACTCTGAAGTACAAAATATCAACGCAGAAGACCTGCAGGTCGAGGCAGTCATCTCCAGAGAATGCCCAGACTGTCACCGACCAGAAATGTTCTACCACACGAAACAACTACGGAGTGCTGATGAAGGCACGACGGTCTTTTACAGATGCGAATGCGGCTTCAAGGATGTTCAAAACAACTAGGTTCATTTACATTCATTGATCCTATCACAAAACGCTTGGAATGCACGCTATATAGAAGACTCCCATTTCAAGCAGCAACCGGTGCCGGGATACTGGCGTATTCCATGTCACCATTCTTCTCATACTCCGCCATGTCAAGTGCGACGATGACGCTCTCACGAACAACCTGCTCGGGGTCGTTGAGGAACTTCTTCAACGTATCCTCAACGCCTGGCTCTTCTCCAAGACTACCCAGGGCTTCCGCCGCCTCATGACGGACCATGCTTTCCTCCTTGCCATTCTCCAAGACGGACACCAGAGCCGGTATTGAGGCCGGGTGTGACAGCTGGCCAAAGACGAACGCGACTTCATGTCGAAACAGAGCGGATGGGTCGGACAAGCCAGAGGCAAGGGCATGGACTGCTTCTTCGGCTGTCGGGAGATCGGGTGGTGATGCAAGATCTCGCAGAGCGAACATAGCTCGATAGCGTTGGAACAGTGGCAGAGAGGTGTCGAGAAGCGTCTTTTGGAGAGTAGCAATTGATGATGTCTGTAATGTCGAAGGCATAGGTGGAGCTGGATCGACAGATGCAAAGTCACTGGGCTTTAGTGTTTCTGCTTTTCTGTCTTCAGAGTGTGCCCATTGAATGCGATCAACGGCGATATCACACGTTTCCCGCACGACGACAGGCTCCTCTTCATCGTCCTTCATACGTTTCATGATCTCTAGACTCGATAGATCGTTCAAGGCTCCTAGTGCTTCGGCCGCTTCGTGTCTACACATTGCGTCTTCGGACCTGTTCTCCAGCACGGCTCGTAGGAATGGGACCGCCTCGAGATTGTTCGTTTGTCCCAGACAATATGCCAACTCATGTTTCAAGAGTGCCGATGGAGACTTGAATCCTGCTGCAATGGCCTCGATGGCGGCTGTCGCTTGTGGTCCGGGAGACTGTGAAGCGAGATGTTTGAGGGAGAAGAGTGCTCGAAATCGACGTGCGAGAGGGACATTTTCGGAAGTCAAGTCTTTCCGCAGGACGAGCGTTGTTGGGTCAACACCTTGAGACGAGATACCGGTAGCCTCTGGCGCCATGATGAGGATTTGATTGACGTTGACGACTTGTGTTTCTCTCCGTCGTATAAATCCCTAGGAGTGAGCCTGGGTGTCTTCTCGAGAAGCCGCCGCAGGCGAAGCGAAGGCGATCTCCAAAAATTTCTCGCGGGGTAAAACTTTGATCGTCTTTCATCCTTATCTTAGCGCCGATTGCAGCCTGCAGTCCACAGCCTCGCCCTGCACCTGCCAAGCTGCAGCCGGAAAATGTTCTCTAAATCCTTCAAGTTTCGTGCATCTTCCATCTCAACACCTACATACTTCAACAGGCTCCCGACGCCTTTCACCTTGCGCACACCTCATCAACACCCGAAGCCAAGAGCTTCTTATCAACATGGGTTCCGTCGTCATTCCTCACCTTATCAGCGCGTGGCACGTCGACCAAGCAATCTTGTCTGAGGACGAGAGACTAGTAATCATCCGCTTCGGTCGTGACGAAGATCCGGACTGCATGCGTCAGGATGAGGTGCTCTATAAGATTGCCGATATTGTGAAGAACTTTGCTGTCATCTATGTCTGCAACCTCGATGAAGTACCCGACTTTAAGCAAATGTACGAACTCTACGATCCTGTCACCCTCATGTTCTTCTTCCGCAACAAGCATATGATGTGCGATTTTGGCACTGGTAACAACAACAAGATGAACTGGGTCCTCGAAGATAAACAAGAGCTGATCGACATCATCGAGACTATCTACAAAGGCGCGAAGAAGGGAAGGGGTTTGGTCGTCTCACCAAAAGATTATTCGACAAGATACAGGTACTAAACGGTCTTGGACGCAGGCTTGCGTTCCTTGCTCCGGATAGACGACGTTTGCCAAGGTTGTGCCAGGTATACACGACTTCTGCCGTCGTTGCATGATTCCGGATCCGTCTCATCACGGGGTTCGACCAACGAGAATCGACATCCTTGCCTAAGACACCGCAGTCACGAATATTGAATGCCACGGGAGTTATTGAGGTTCGGCGTTGGGATGGAGACTGGGAACGCTTGGTTGGTCTCACTTGATTATGGGTCACTCAATGATAATGTGCTGACACAATCTCTTTCAAGCCTTCTCGCTCACCTACTGACTTCAGATGCTTATTCTGGGAGTTTACCATTCCCCAGGTAATCCCTCTCACCTTGCTATTGCTTTGCATTAGCCATATCATCTGTGACATCCTTTTGACGCTGCAGAAATCTGTTGCATCGTTCTGTCGAATGAGGTGAGCCGTTGCGATTTGGGCTCTGACATCTTATTGGGAACATCTGCTTCCTAATGTCTCGACCTTAGCGGCCATGAAGCAGCACCACGCCCGTTTGCGCCCCCCATTTTCCGTAGCCTGGATCTATAGATTGGTCTGACCCAGGACTATTCCCAATTTGACTGACTGCCGTGACGACGCGTGAGCACTCCTACTTACCCGAGTTCACACTGTGAGTCAAAGTAGCGCAAATATCAAATCATATCACTTTGAATACACCCAGACTTGCTCTATATGATTTCTTCCCCAGCACGTGATTCTGTACTGCAGAGATGCACTCCAAGGACCCCTCAGTCGGTGTTGTAAACCCCTGCCGATCGAGACAGTGATTTCATTTGGAGTGGGGAGATGAAGCGAAACGAGTAAACGAACCCTGAAATCCTCCCGAGGCCAGTGACCACAAGTCTTGCATTTTGCCTGTTACTACACTGTTCTGGCCACCTTTACCGCTTCTTCGTGTGAAGCCAGCTAGGTACTCCACAGGTTCATGCAACCTGAAAGTCGCCTCTGTAGAAAGATTTATATCTTGCAGGAGGCCCCAAGTCACATCATGAACCTTCATCTTGCGGCCTCGGAGCACTTTGCCTGCAACGGAACCAAACACCTGCCAGACCGTTCAGCTGTCACATCTCTCACATGACCCTAGCATAGAGCACACGACATCCTTAGCCTTGCTTCAACAATACTTTAACCCACCAAGTGACAGGCTCAACTGCTACAAAGCTTCGCCAGCAAGGCCAACGGGCGCTGAGGCACCATGTCATCGACATTCCTCACCCTCGTCCTGGCGCCCGTCCTGATCTTTGCACTATGGCACATAACCGCAACGTCGAGCCCACCAGTCCCCACGCCCCTCCGCAACAAGCGCATCATCCTCCTGATAGCCCACCCCGACGATGAGTCCATGTTCTTCAGCCCGACCCTCCAAGCCCTTACGAACCCGAACCTCCAAAACCACCTGAAGATCCTGTGCATGAGCACCGGCAACGCCGATGGCCTAGGGGACACGCGCAAACTAGAGCTGGAAAAGGCCGCATTGACACTCGGTCTACGGCGCAAAGAAGACGTGTTCGTCCTGGACGACGAGCGCTTCAAGGACGGCATGCGGGAAGATTGGAAGCCCGAGGAAATCGCCAAAGTGCTCGCCAGCGCGTTTGCGCCGCATCTCAACGCCAAATCACCCAAGGACTCCGGGGTCGACGACAAAGACAGCTCGAAGGACCGCAAGAAATCCAAGACCAAGCAAGTCAAATTCTCACCGTTACCAACATCCGACAGTCCCCGCGCATCAATCGACGTCCTCATCACGTTCGACCAGAGCGGCATCTCAGGACACCCAAACCACAAAGCATTATACCACGGCGCGCAATTGTTCTTGCAGCAAATCATGCGCGGATACTCGGGCTACGCCTGTCCCGTGGCATTATACACTTTACCTTCGATCAATATCTTCCGGAAGTACAGTTCCATTCTGGACGCCATACCCACCATGCTGGAAGGCATCTACGCTACGATCCTGGGCAATGCTATGTCATCGAAGGGATCTGGCAAGAAGGAAGGCGCGGATCGTGTGGTGTTCATCAACGACATTTTCAAATACTGGAGGGCCAGGGAGGCGATGGTCAACGGACATAAAAGTCAAATGGTTTGGTTTCGCTGGGGTTGGATCGGTCTCGGACGCTATATGTATGTCAATGACTTGCGCAATGAGAAAATCATCGCGACATGAGGCGGATTAGCATGCCGGAAAATGTTTATGAACACATTATTTGCATTGCATTGTACCACTAGGTGTTTGTATTGAGCGGCAAAAAGGAACTGAACTGTACGGAGGAGTCTGTGATTTCAGACAGCTACATCTTACATACCTAGGTATAATGCTACAGGAAGACCTCCAAGGAGGTCCAATCCAAAACACAGCCCATTATACACGTCTTGACGGCGGTCCAGGCCATGGCTTCCATTCATCCGCCCGCCAGGTCGCGCTTGGACGATTCAAAACCCCATACTGGCGATCCTTGAGGCGCTTCTCCCGTTGCTGTCCCTCTTCTGCAAGAACCCAATCGGTGTCCTGGGCTTCCTTTTCCTTCTCAAAAGCTCCTAAGCCCTTGGGCTTTCGTCGTACAAAGTCGGCAGAGTGGCGCAGGTGTTCAGGACTGTACGTGTCGAACATGGCGCGCATTGAGCCGGCTTTGGTTGTTTGGGTCGAATTGGCAGACAGCACTGCCGCTTCTCGATGTTCCTTTCCATTCGTCAACAACACATGTCCTGTCGGAGTGTAGTATGGGACCTGGTTGGGAAGAAACTCAGCAAACTCCCGCAAAAGTTGAGGTATTGTACGCCAGGGCCATTCCTTCTTAGCAAAGTCAGGAGATTTGGAATCCCACCACCTCGTCTTGAGCATCTGGCGAAAGGCTGTGATGATCAATTGAATATGGCTATCCAGTCTCAAGGAAGCCAACACATATTCTTGCTTCAGTGTGAGAAAGTCGGCCGATGGCACTCCGTCCTTGAAGACCCGATCATATTGAAGATCGAGATGACTCCGCATTTCGTCGTAAAGCAACGAAACGCGGTCTCGGTCCTCGTCAAGCAGGCGCATGCATTCGCGAAGATCGTCCAATACGGGTCCGAATTTCCTTGCCCGGATCCTGCCCTTGAGTCTAAACATGTGGTCCACAAGCTTAGGCTTGACATTGTATGGCTCATCGTGGTACACAGTCCAGAGCATCTCCAAAGCCGGACCCTCCACGCGACCAGCGCCGTAGCCATGCTCAGCTCTCAAGTTGCCTTTTTGTGTTGTCAAGACTGTTGTCCATTCCAGGAGGTGAGTCCATACATTTTCCGGGATGGATATGTTGTAGTTTCGCGAAATGTAATCGATCAGCATGCCCGCCACGCTTACTGAATTGTTGGTGCTGAAAGTGTGCGCTACCGTAAATAATAGCCGTTCGGTTGGACGGAGAGGAGAATCGAGGTCATAAAAGGTCGGACTCTCAATCTCTTCCTCGTCGTATCGTTCAAGGGCATCCACGTCGATATTCCAAACTGATTTCAGCACACTCTTGACACTGGACACGTCCCCTTCACGACCCATCGCAGTTATTAAATTGCAAAACGTCGCTTCGTCCCCTTTCAGACCTTGCCTCACGAGTTCGTTAAATATGGTGAGCGCTTCCAACCGGATGGATTCTGGATTATTTGGTGCTCCTGGTGAGGCGACCATGTGACCGGCAAATCCTGACCGCCTGCGCTGTATCGATCGAAAATGCAGGTGCGTGGGAACGACTCTCAGCGTGTACCTCTCGTACCTTCCATATGTTCGGTTCCAGTTGAGCGCTTCCATGAAATAATTGTAGCATGCCACATCAGGCGTAACGTTGTTCTCGGGCATGGTCTTACGAAAGATATTCCTTGCCATGTCTGCGTTGCCACCGGCAGCTGCGCAGCGTAACAAGTGACGGTATACGTCAAGCGTGAGCGCATGGCCGCGTTCCTCCCGAAGAGTCACCAAGGCATCCAGTATCTGATAGAAGACGCTTGCGCGCTCCTCGAACGACCTTAGATACCGGAAACGTGGTTCGGTCTCGAGGGTCGGTTTGATATAGTGGTGGACTTCCCGGAAAGGAACAATGAAGTGGTCAGGTTTCAACGCGCATATGGCCTTGGAGAAAGCCTCGTCGTTAGCTGCTGCAACAAACAAGTCGCCAATCGACGGCGTAACGAGTCCAAAGATGATCCGTTCAGGGTTGTTGTCCTCCAACAGATCTTCTATAGAGACCAGTCTCCTGATAGCCTTCTTCGGAGCAGGTTGGGCATCGGTTGCTAATAGGTCTATCGATTCGCTTTTCGACGAATTCGAACGTGGTTCATCTTGCTCGTGGGGAAAGAAAGAGGAGTCGACTGCCACGGAGGGAAAGCCAAGCGTCGCAGCAGAATGCTGAGTACGCCGATGGCTTCTGGCCGGCCACTTTGTCTGAGTGTGCGCTGCAGAGCGAGCCTGGCGACGAACAATGTGAACGGTCAAATGAGGAATCCGACTCGATAGGGGATGTAGAGCGCCATCGATGCACCTCGAAAGAGGCACAAAGCCATGCATAAATGTGCGTGCACGCCGGGAATGGGTGACCTGCAAGAAAAAGCTGCTTGAACTGCCCCGGCAGCGTGGTCGATACCAGAAGATCAAGGGAGGGCTACCTAGGTACCGTACAAAAATTGTTCTAACTTACTGTGCCGAGTTGGAGGCAGCTAGGCCTAAGGAGTGGAGACGAGAACCCACACGTGAGCAGCTCTAAATAGGTACAGGTAGGTACCGCAGATTTTCCTCTTGGCCCCAGCATTGCGGCAGCCCATGGCGTTGACCTGCCAAGCCCAATCCGCCGCAACGAAGTCGGCCGCAGTGGAAGCCCGACCAACAGGTGCCAGTCACGAATCAGAGGAAATCTGATGATCTGAACACGACACAGTATCACGCCATTTGCACCTCGCTCGACCTTGAACATGACGGACACTGCGGATGAGACAGGCACAGCAGTTGCAGAGCCTCTCGACTTGGTTCGGTTGTCCCTCGACGAAATTGTCTTTGTCCGACTTCGGGGTGATCGCGAGCTCAAGGGAAGGTTACATGTACGGGGTTTCGACTACGAGAGACAACGGGAAACAGGCTGATTTCTTGCTAGGCATACGACAGTCATTGCAATCTTGTCCTCGGCGAGGTGGAAGAAACGATCTACACAATTGAGGAAGAAGAAGACGGAGAGGAAACTGTCAAGGTCGGTTATGGAAGCACTACACGGTGGATTGGAATCTGACAGGAAGCAGACGACGAAAAAACAGTCAGATATGCTGTTCGTCAGAGGCAAGTCGCGGGTTTGGTGCCTACTAACATCCGCTAACAATATCCCAGGAGACTCCGTCGTTCTCATTTCGCCGCAACCCGGATCATGATTTTGAGTCCTATAACGCTTCCCAAGCGGCCAACAGACTACAACATGCGCAACACAAATGTCTTGACCGAGAGAATGACATCGCAGTTGCACAAGCCAGACAACGCGCAGCCAGGGCGTTGATGATGAGACGCTTGTACTGCGGCAGAGAAAGGAGCCTGAGTCATTTGAGGACATTCGCCCACTGGTCATCCCAGTCATGACAACAGAAGGCAGGTTGAGAACATTTCGCGTGGTCTGATGAATCATATGGGATGACCACTGGTGAACCATAAAGAGGCGCATGCGGCAATCCGATGACAAAAAAGGCCGGGTCGTGCAAGGCTCGCCCAAACCCAGGCGGGAATAGGTGGATTTCTGGGTGACCACAAGCTGCAACCGTGAGGGGCACAGCGGGCCAGATTGAGTCAGGCGAACAAGGCTTCCCCGCTATGCTAGACAGTCATGACTCCAACGATGTGATATCTGACCTTGAATATATGGCACGATCTGCGCCACTCCTCGCCTTCAACCTAGATTAATCTATCCTTACGAGACGTGAACATGGAGAGCCTATAGCAACAAACACCTCTGTCCTCCTGTAACCTCTTCCCCGAAAATGATAACTCGGATACCTTAATGAGCGCGGGGGCGAACTTCCTTTCTACAATCAACATCGACAACATTCTTCAGATCGTCAATTGCTCTCGATAGAACGGGCTCTTAATGGGCACTCGCATCAAACAAACGCTGCAAGAGCGGCGCAAGGGGGAGTTGGTACGGACGCCTGTGAATGCGTCCTGCAATATCTGACAAGGTATCCGCAGGCTCTCTCGGACTTCGCAGACTACGTCGAAAAACAGCAGGCGAAGACTCGGTCGAAGCAACATGATGCCGTCGGTAGCGACAGTGGCTACTCGACAGGTGATCGTTCCTCAATCGCCGAAGATCACGCAGAGCTCGAAATCCTCGATCAATTAGATCTCTCCGATAGCCCAAGTCAGGTGAAGTTGAAAGAATGGCTACTAGACACATCAGAGGGTGCGCCGGAGACGCTGCATCAACTGTCCGGACTAGTCCAGGCAAGGATCGACGAAGGCCATGGTGAAACACTATTTGACCTGGGCCTTGAGGATAGTGGCGAGTCAATGGGTTTCTCGAAAGAGTCATGGGACCTCGCATTAACAAGGATTACCGAAGCGGCAAGCTTACTGAAGGCCGATGTCAGAGTACTCTTGACTTTCAATGTTGGAGGAGCAGAGGAAGCACAATCGAAGAAGGCCAAGGACACGTCAAGCCATGGCAAGCTCCTCATACGGCAGACCCCAGCCACGGCTGAGGAAGTCATTGAGACTCGGATTGCTGTGGTGGGAAACGTTGATGCTGGGAAGTCTACCATGTTGGGAGTCCTGGTGAAGGGGAACCTTGATGATGGTCGTGGCAAGGCTCGAGTCAACCTGTTCCGACATAAGCACGAGATCGAATCTGGTCGAACCTCATCTGTCGGAATGGAAATCATGGGCTTTGATACTCGTGGAGAAGTCGTCACATCCAGTGTACCAGGTCGCAAGTTGACCTGGGGAGAGATTGGCACACGGTCAGCGAAGGTCATCTCGTTCACAGATCTTGCGGGGCACGAGAGATATCTCCGTACTACCGTCTTTGGACTACTGTCTTCTGCGCCAAATTATTGTCTACTGATGGTCGCGGCCAACAACGGCCTGATAGGCATGTCCAAGGAGCATCTCGGTATTGCTCTTGCATTGAACGTGCCTGTCATGGTTGTCATCACCAAGATCGACATTTGTCCTCCACAGATTCTCGAGCAAACGATATCTCAACTTACGAAGATTCTCAAGTCTCCTGGTGCGCGGAAGATTCCGATATTTATCAAGACACATGAAGAGACTGTCATGACAGCGACCCAATTCGTCTCTCAACGGATATGCCCGATCTTCCAAGTGTCAAACGTGACCGGCGAGTCCCTGGATCTGGTTCGGACTTTCCTGAATATCTTACCACACCATGGCCACTACGACAGTGAAGCGCCTTTCGAGTTCCACATTAGTGACACCTTCTCGGTACCGTTTGTCGGGACAGTTGTGTCTGGGGTGGTCAAGTCTGGAGTTATTCATGCCGGAGATACGGTGCTCGTCGGTCCAGATTCGTTAGGCCAGTTTCAGACGACCAGCATACGAACCATTGAGCGCAAGCGGATACAGGTTCCTGTGTGCAGCGCGGGTCAGTCTGCTTCATTTGCACTGAAGCGTGTTCGACGGAAGGAGGTGCGCAAGGGTATGGTGGTGTTGCCCAAACTGGACACCGCACCAAAGGTGTACAGAGAGTTTGTGGCTGAAGTGCTCATACTGTCCCACGCGACCACTATCCGTCCAAGATATCAGGCGATGCTCCATGTTGGCCCTGTTAGCCAGACCTGTGCTATCATCGACATCGACCGAGAGTACATTCGAACAGGAGATCGTGCTACCGTGGCATTCCGCTTTGTCCAACGACCAGAATTCCTTTCGGTGGGTGAGAGGATACTATTTCGCGAAGGCAGAACGAAGGGATTAGGAATCGTCAAGTCCTTGGGCTATGAGGAGGGTTCCTTGGGCAACTACGCTGCAACACAGACCGCTGAAGACGGCGACGAGGCCAAAGACAAGCAGAAGGCTGAAGAGAAGGCGCCGACAGTCAAGACTCAGACCGCAAATGCAGCGAACGGGAAAGCCAAATAGGTAGACTGTCGGCAACATCTAGCTGGAGCTTAGGGAGTTGTAGGAAGCTGCCATTGCTGACTATTTTGCAAGACACGGCGCACACATCTTAGCTGAAACGGGAATTTTAATCTCAACTTGTATATCAGACGTGGACGGATCGACATCTGTCCCTCATTATCCCATCGCGCCCTTATCCGATGCCCCTGACATGAGGCTAGGGAGGCCTGTGAGATCCGGCAGCAAGCCAAAGGCTTGTAGCCAACCATTGCCCCCACGCGGCTCCACATCCCCCAGCCTTGTAAGCTTATTCCGCCGCCATGGCCATTATTTCCCGGCAGCTTCCAACTACGGGGATAACTCAATATGGACATGCAGCATGTCTGGACCGCGACGACGCACCACGCAAAGAAACGTTAATAGTGCTATTCCGGAGGAAAAGCATCCCTCACGGCCGGCAGGCGATATGGAGATCTCATCCATTCTTGCCGCGCTGCGGCGCCAACCCGTATGGATTGTACTGGCCGTTTCGAGCGGTGCATGTGCGGCGTTCAATGGCGTCTTCGCGAAATTGTACGTTGTCCCCCAGAGCTTGGGAGCTGAGACTGACAATGCGTGCTAGAACCACCACAGCCCTCACGTCGACGCTGTCCTCACATATCGCTACATTCTTCTCGCTAAGCCCTTCGAATACGGTGATTGAGTTCCTTGTGCGCGGGACGTTCTTCCTGCTCAATCTCGCCTTCAATGCGGCCATGTGGGCTTTGTTTACGGCGGCGTTGACTCGAGCGGACAGCACGACGCGAGTCAGCATTGTGAATGTCAGTGCGAATTTCATGATCACTGCAATTTTGGGCTGGATGATTTTCAATGAGAAGTTGAATGGGATGTGGTGGGGTGGGGCTGCGCTATTGGCGGCTGGAAATGTCGTTATTGGGAGAAGAGAGGAGGGACAAAAGCCTGGTGGGACTGTCGGGTTGGATGAGACCGTGCAAGAGGCGGAGGGCTTACTGAGATCGGACGAGGTCGAGCTTGAGGGTGCGACTGGGGAAGTGAGAGACCGGCATAGTGAAGAGCACAACAGGCTGAGAAGGGGAGAGGAGGCGGATGATCCGATATGATGGTCCATACTTGGGGCAGTTTTGTATACGGATGATGATCCATGCCAACAGGAAGTTTTGGACTACGAGAATTGCGGCAAGCTATGTGGTTCAGAGGTCTGCCTTCCGCACCCATGGAGAAGATACTGCATGCTATCCTTGGAGCACAACACCATCGGCCAAGATGCGCAAGTATTGAAAGACTATTGCTGCCGCAAAATGACACAGATCCTTCCTCTACGAGCAGTTCTGGAGAGTCTTCCATGCGGTGAAGTGGTATAAAGCAGTTCGTCCCCGTCCACGACCAAAACATCTGTGTATCATCTCTCTCGTGGATCGATGGGGCGGTCCGGCTTGTGCTTGTCTACCACATGACTGGAGACACGCAGAGACGCCGCGGGCTCGGTACAGTTAGATTCTGATTCTGATTCTGATGCTGACTGATAGCGGGCCATACTGTCATGGCCAATCTTTTTCCATCCCTCAGTCCTGCGGCTTTCCAGATGCGATGGCGGCTAGGACCTGGATATTCCTTCGACCAAATTGTCAAATATATAGCCGCGGGGTAGTCTGGACTCCAGTTGTCACAGCCGCGCTCTTGCCCTTGAGCGAGGTGTGCACTCATGGTGGTGCATGTGGACCCATTGACAAGAACGTAATGAGATCTCAAATGGCCGGCTTCGTTCATTTGCCGACGTGGAGGGCTACCATCTACAAGTTCATATAGTCACGGTCAGCAGCGCAGTAATAGCCTAAGTACAACGTAGTGGACAAAAAGTGGTCTGTCACTTGGTGACTGGGGCGGCCTTCAAATGAGGGTGGACAAATACAGAAGAAATGCCGTCCGTCGGAAGCAGGCCCTCCCCGAAAGTTCTTTTCCCAAATTCCTTCGTCAACTGCATAGAAAAATGCTCTTTCCTCCCTAACCATTTTTCATCAACCATCACATCACGAAGCAAGCGAGCGAGCGTGCACTCATTGTATTGTTCGACTGAGGTGAGTCAGGAGCAGACGATCAGTGCACACTCGACCTCTGGATAAGATCATGCTAAACGAACTTGCACGCGCCAATGGAACTATGTACAGGGGATATTGAGCCTCGGTATTTGGACAATGGTGTAAATGACCTTCTCTCACACTTGAGCATCGACTGCCATTCAACCTTGCATGAAACTGCCTTGCGAAGCTGATCCCTACATGGGCAGACAAATAACACAGGTGCGCACCATCTTAGTGGGCCAATCCGGTTGCTCAGCCTCATGGCCGTTTGGAGAAGAGGTTTTAAACCCCGTTGTGTTCACTATCCTGGACTGAACCGTTGCATACCCTCATGCAAGGCCTCCCACAGACACTGGAGCTCTGTTACAGGTGATCGGGTGCTTCTCTCATTGGCTTGTGTCGGACTCAGTCTCGCCAGAAGATCATTGAAGCACATTGCAATGCACAACAACTGAATGGGCGGCGACACCTCGCTTCTCAGGTACCCTGTTCTGGCAAAGTGGCAAGCGGTAGGGCGACTATGATGTGTTTGTCGGCCTAAGCCTCCAAAATGGTTAAAGTAATACTGGTGAGTGCTCCCAGAAACACTTCTTTGATAGATAGGAGTCGGTTCGCAAATGCGATTCACCAAGCATATCTATCGACTCCCCCAAGTAGTTGAGGCCAGTGCTAGCTTGTCGTTCTCTTCGTTGCTCTCAGTACCTACGCAAAGGTCGATGGAGGGACGACTTTGAGTCACGCTAAATCAGGAGAGGTCATTGCTCGCCGAAGGACACCGCAGACAGCGCTGAACATGGAACGCAAGTATATGACATTATCGAATCATGGCGAGAATGAGGAGTCTCCTCGCACCTCATTACAGAGTGAAATCCTCCTTTCGCAACAACTCGAGCAAGAACTTGCAGAAGGTATGTCCCAGTCGCTCCTGCATCATGGGACTCTCGAATTGACAATAATGACCTACGCAGAATATAGGCCAATCAGCCCTTTGACTCCTACAAACGTACTTCCAAAACGCAAACCTATCGCAAACGCTTCTCGTCACGAGAACTCCGCATTGATCCCGACGGAGTCTGCATCGGGAGGCATTGAAGTCTCCTCTGAAATCCAGAACATCTCAAGAACGCCGAAAAACATGCATCGAGAAACCGCACTCGACCTGTACGTGAACGTATCGGAATATATGCGTTGGTCATCGCAACAATTTCGACCATATGTCTCCTGGCTGCGTTGATGTTCCTGGCATGGATGTGGTTCGGAGATCGTTCCTCATCCACCTGGCGTCATATTATGCTGAACGACTTCGCGAAACAAGCTGTGACCATTTCCGCACTTGTTCTCCGGACCGCCATTGCATGTTTGGGTGGTGTTGCGACTGCCATGATAGCATCCATCTCGATCGAGCACCATGGACTACCTTTGAAGGACGTGGCTCAGGTGTCCATTGCGCGCTTCAGTAACTCTGGTCCTGACGCATTCTGGAGATCGATGCTGTTTCGGAATACCTTCATTGAGATGCCTTTTCGCCTGCTGCTTATTCTAGTGTTTCTGACCACCTTGGGCTCTCAGTTCACGTCAACTATACTTCTTTCAGACCTCGGACAAGGCACAGTCATCACTCCATCAACCACGTCGACCAACACTTCAGGCTTTTCCTACGCAGACGCCGAATACGACGCGCATACGATCGAAGTTGAGAATGCAAACTCCCCATTCTATACAACTCCTAACTACTGGACCACTGACCCTACGGTATTTCAATCTTTCGCAGAATATTCCGAGGCAGGCTATACGTCCGATGGCCTTGACGACACTGGCCTGACACTCCGAGCATTCCTTCCATTTGCCGACGCGACTGCCAGACAGTCGGTTCGAGAATTCCAAGGTTTGGCCACAGTCTTTGACACACGCATCGTGTGCACTCGTCCGCAGATGAGCAGGTTAAAGATGGCGATGGTCGACAACGACATAACTGGCTACACAGCGGTCTCTATGACGGGCAATCTCACCACTAATGCTTCCTTACCGGGTTTAGCAGCCACCCAGCCTGTTGTGTCGTTCGAGTGCCCGTTAGCTGCGCCATTTGTAAATGACTCCAATTTATCCGCAAAGAATCCCGGTACTTACTGGTCAGTATGTCCGCTGAACACCTCCGCCGGAGGTCTCCCGTCTGTCCTCGACCCAATGAACGATGCTGGGATGGAATTGAGCTACACTGAGAGCGATTTCGGCAGTGTCGGTCAACATGGGAAGCTTCTTAGTAGAGGAGGTTTCTGGCAAGCTAAAGATGTGTCGAAAAACTACTACTGGATCGTTGACATCGGAAATGCATATCTGGTACACAATGGTGCAGCGGTTGGCGGTGGAATCCTCAAAAATAGTGGTGGTGCCTACTGGCTATCTACGCCGTCTGCAGGAGCATGGGCCGATATTGATTATCAGGGGGCAGCCGACGGAGCTGATGATCCTGTGGAACTCGACCCAACATGCTCAGTCGACGAATGCTGGAAAACAAGTTTCCGCATGTCCCTTTGTTATGACGCCTTGTAAGTTGAATCAAGATTGTCGCGCCGTGCAAACATGCTTACATACCACGGCTAGGCCTGTGCCGGTCGACTACGACTCTATTCAAGAATTCAATATCACAGCGTCCGCAGCGACACCGCGCACCGAGCCCTCTCTACAATACAACCGTAGAAACCTGCTTTTCCCCACTGACTCGATCAGCACACAACTTGGTGCGACAGCTTCCAAGACGTCCCTTAGCGCCCGCGGCGTTTTGAATCTGACGCCTGCTCAAGATATCCTGGCCGGGGTCGCTCGCCAGCGCAAGTTCTGGCAGAGACAGATGCACCAAGCGAATCCCAACTACACAGAGCCAAACCCCAACGACTTGAAAGACCTATTCCACAGCACGACATACTCGTGGATCACGCCGATGGTCTTCTACTCACTACTACAGCCGCTGGCCATGTGCGCAGGGTGCGCGGGGGAGTTGTCGAATTTCATGCAAGGTTCCACGGTCACTTCGACGCTGTTCACCGACACGATAAGCGCCACCAATTCTCCAGCGCTGGCTCTTCAGGCTGTTCTGACCACGATGTTGCGTCAGGCGTACTATTCGTTTCTGCCGACATTCGACGCAGAATCCAATGTCACAGTCTCAAGTTTCCAGCCCGCGCAGATCCCGGTGCGGACGAGAGGTTTCTGGGCGGTGCTGGGAATCACTGTTGCGCATTTCGTGCTTTGTCTTGTTGCACTCGTCGGGTTCATTTCATTTACTCATGTGAGTTCTTTGAAGAATGCGTGGCAGGTCATGGCGGATATCTCGGAGAGTCCGGAGACTGTGGCAATCCTGCGCAACGTTGGGGGGTAAGACTGATGGGCAGGTCGCCGAGAGCATCGAGAAGGACGAGTCGCTGAGACACAGACGGTTCCGGGTGCGTGGAAGGACTGATGCCACGAATTGACGAGCAGCACCATCTGCAGCATCGTCGGTGCCGCACTATGAAGTGGCCCCTATGCACACTCGGCGTTAGAACGACTGGCACTAGGTAGCAGCCTGACAATACCACGACCTTGCCGGAAGTGATTTCCAAGTATGGCCACTCTGCAGTACAAGGCACGATGCTTCCCAGAAGGCTTCAGCCTTGACCGCCAGTACCTGCAAGACGCGCCGACTTCTCTATCGCTTGAAAATGATAGACAACGTGTGTCAAAGTCACATTCTGGATGACTACTGTACTGTGCTATAGCAAAATGTTACGGTACTGACAGTGTCAATCATCTCCCGTTCCAAATCCGTGAGGCAAGCACCCTGGACGTGATCCTGACCCTCCTCTGGCTTCCGACCCTAATCATCGCTTGCCACATACAACACATGCCACTAGGTCAGACAATGTCCCATAATCGCTATCCATATGCCAGTGCTGTCCAAATGTCAATTTGTAGGAATACTTGTCCAAGTGCGTCCTGTTTCCAGAGTAGGACTGTGACATGGCAACTTACCTTGCCAGATATGACCATGCTTGCTACGTTGGGAGTTGTGTGAGGAGAACGGAGTACTCCAGGAGCCTGGGCCCACTATGCTTTAAGCACCGAAGTTGCCTTTGTTTGGGACGACATCCTTGTTATTTATGAGGACGCCGGTCTTCTCTATTCTAGAGCATGGCTTTAGGCAATAAGTCTCGTTCGTCGATTCTCTGCGACCTAGGTCGTAGCATTGTGCGGAGGGGTGGCCAATGTGTTGTCCTCCCTCATTGCGTCCTTATCAACCTTGGCAGGTTCCGCGGAAGCATGAGCTTAACAATCAATAGGCCCGCAAGTCTGGAGAGATTATTTCCCACAGACATATATAAAGAGCTAACAATCCGCATATAGACGGTGGGAGTGGCGCTTTCTCAGGCAGAACACTCCCCTTACTGTCCCGCTGCGTATCCAAGGCTCACCATGGCGTCCCCTCCTATGAAAAGTTTCGTCTCATTCACCGAAGCATGGCACAACAGGCCTTACTCGGCCATCTCGCCCACAAGGCCGGAGGTTTCGGCAGCTGGGAAGAACGTCGTCATCACGGGCGGAGGAACGGGCATCGGACAGGCCGCTGCCATTGCCTTTGCCCAAGCCGGCGCCAAATCGGTTTCCATCATAGGGCGTCGGGTCGACCGCCTCCAGACCGCCGGGGCGGCAATCGCAAAAGCCAACCCTTCGACTCATGTGGTCCTGCAGACGGGCGACGTCGCCGATCGCACGTCCATCGAGGCCGCCCTGGGTGCCATTGTGGCGAAAATCGACGGCAAGATTGACATATTCCTCAACAACGCCGGTATTCTTCCAAAGGAGGGTACGGTCATCGACTACCCCGAGTCCGAGGTCCGGCGATCTTTCGAGATCAACCTCTTGGGCTCTTTCAACTCCCTACAGGCGTTTACCCCACTGGCGGCTCCCGGCGCAAAGCTCCTCAACACGGGATCTTCCATCGGTCACTGGTCTCCTCTTCCAGAAGTGCCAGGAGTGTGGGCTTACGCAGCCACAAAGGCAGCGGCATTGAAGATGATCGAGTATTATGCTTCCGAAAATCCGAAGGTCCACGTTGTAAACGTCCACCCAGGCATCGTCGGCACGGAGATCAACCCAAATATCCCCGTGGGCCCAGACACAGGTATGAGTTATTCCATTGTCCACGCCATCAAGACACTAACACACCGTACAGTGGAGTTGCCCGCACACTTTCTCGTGTGGATTGCGTCGGATGAAGCTGCATTTCTGAGGAACAAATTCGTCTGGGCGAATTGGGATGTGGAAGAACTCAAGGCTCGGGCGGAAGAGATCCAGACATCATCTCTTCTGAGGGTAGCTCTGAATGGCGTCGACATGTAGTTAGTACCATGTTGCTGTCTAACAAGCTGATAGATCTCGAGACAGTGAACCGGTGTCAGAGTCGTTTCAGCAATATTTTGCTTGCCTATCTTTTCTGCCCCAATGGTTGTACTGAGGAGAGGCCCAAAAATCTGACTGAGAAGGACAAATTGGTCACCGTGGCGCAAGCCAGAAACTTCCATGGGACTACTGCCACAAGAAAACAAAAGGTGACATCCTAAACATTAGCCATAGGCAGTAGTGCACAAGCATAACACAGGAGCTCCTCGCATGCGTCTCGTAGATCTTTCAGAGGCTCGTGCCCTGTTTGTTGTATCAGATCTTCCAAGAGGGAGATGGACAGATTCACCAGTGACAGGTCGTCTTCCACACTCGCATGGAATGGCTCAAACAGGATGTTGGCCGTCAAACATACGGATCCAGAGATATATGTGCACGCGGTCATCCTGGGAAAAGAGTGTTAGCTGCCATCTTGACATCAACGATACAAGCAGTTCTCTTACCAGATGAACGCCTGGTCTCTTCGTTCCACGCCCCAAAACAGCTGCATGAATCCACGAGCCTCGTCAACGAGTTTCTCCCAATCTTGCAATGACGGTGTAGGCAGGGGTGCTGGAATAATACGTCCTCGTTGCGTAATCGTTCTGCCAAAACTCTGTAGGCTCTGCATCCAGCGCGACGCCATGGCGTGGGCCCGGTAAACCTGAGTCCGACAGGCAAGATGGGTGGAGTAGAGGACCGCAAAGCTTCTGCACAGATTTGGCTGTCCAATTTGCAGCACAGAGCTGGGTCGGAACGGTGGCGGTATAGTTGAGATCCACTCGTCCAGCATATGGTTGAGACGAACCATGTCCTCGTCTCGCTGGTAGTTATCCATCGTCCCGGCACGCATTGCAACCATGAAGTCGTAGATCTCACCTTGGACCCGAGCAAGGCGTACGCGGCATCGAAGAAAGTTGAATGAGCCACCGTCGACACCGGTCACGTTTCCAGCTCCATCTTCGGGCTCGGCTGACGGCCACTCAAGGTGGATGTCGGCCTCGCGTTGCACAGGGGGCTGACTTGTGCGCAAGCTGATGTCTCTGTCGAGGAGGTATGCTATCCAAAAGACTCGGTCCCGTTCCAACACCTGGGAAGTGTCGAGGTGATTGGCTCTTCGAGTATGTAGCCCTAACTGGTGCGCCAGACGTAAAGCAATGGCGATCAGCATCGTCGCTGGTTTAAGATCTTGCGTGCCTTGAAAGAGCATGACCATTCCGACGAGGATCTGGACATTGAGAAGATCGGCGTCACCCATGATCACCTCAGAAAGTACCGTCTGGGCTTTATGTAGGTAGTACGCCGCGCTCTCACGCAGTGTCGCTTCGTCGCGACGACTGGCCAGCGCGAGAACCACGTTGATTGCCGCCCATGTTGGAGGCTGTCTTCGACCAGGATGTGCGTACCAATCGTTGATCGATTGCAGTAGCCGACCGGGATGGAACAGCGGAAGAACCGCGTTGAGTGTTGTCAGGTAAACTTCCGTCGCAGACAGGACTTCCTGAAGCGGTGGCAGTTCCATGCGTGCACCAGGGAGCTCTTGTTGGACCAAGTCGACCTGAACTTCATGGAGGCCGACCGAGGCAGCCGGAACGTCTGAAGCCTTGTCCCATCTCGGTACAAGACCTTGAAGCTCGTCGATCCTCTGTGAAGCCCGGCGAAGACTTGATTCGAGACGCTCTACCTGCAATCGCAGAGCTCCAATGTCTTCGCCCGACTCCCGATGCCTAGCCCGCGCTTTGCGGCTTGCAGCTCCAAAAGTACAGGTCGAGTCATGCAATACACAATTAGTGCACCGGGGCTTTTGTGCGTCGCATTTGATCCTCCTGCGATAGCAAAGGTCGCACGCCTGGTCGGGATTATTGTTAGCCCTTGGGTATAGCAAGCGCGGTGGCAGTCAAGACAGGGATTGCAGTAAGACGAACTTTTCGAGCATTGTGTTGTGGCATTTCAGCTGTGCAGTCGAGTCCCCGGCCGCTACAATTCGGCGCGAGGGCAAGACAAGGCTGGCTATGTGGCTGGCTCTTCTTCCGGGGAAGCAAGGCTGACAAATGTTTGTCTCAGTTCTCAGACAGGTATGGCAGGATTGGCGAGCCAATCAAAAAATTCAGCAGAATTTCTTGCCAAACGAGTCTGAGCTCCAATACGTTAAAACCCCTGTTCTTAGCGCTTACTAGCGCTTACTTGGCAATACTCTCCCAAAAGTTTTTGATATCGGTATAGAAACTTGTAATATTGCTCTAACTATCCCTTAACGTACTCGATTTTATTAGTAATTTCGGGAGTGCCGAGCTCTTCTTAAATACTTTATACCTCGATTTAAAACTACAGTACGAGAATTTTTTCTTATATACTACGACCTTTAGGAAATCGTAATTTTCAAAAAAATCTTAGTTTTTTAGAGATATATAGCTACTCTTTAAGTATTTTTATTAACGCTTTTAATATTATATAAATATATATATAATATATATAATATTTAAAATCCGAGCTAAATCGAGCCTAAAAC